AATTGCGCCCGTACCAGGCCGAAAACTCTGATATTACACTAAGCACTAATAAAAAATAAAGTGAATTAGAGATGTCGGAGTGAACTGACGTGACCTACACCATTCGAAACATTACTGAATGAGATTTTAAAATCTTAAATTTCGCCTTTTTTGGAGCCAAATTGCGCTCGTACCAGGCCGAACACTCTGATATTACACTAGGCACTAATAAAAAATAAAGTGAATTAGGGATCTCGGAGTGAACTGACGTGACCTGTACCGTTCGAAACATTACAGAATAAAATTTTAAAATTCCAAGTTTCACATTTTTCGGAGCCAAATTGCGCCCGTACCAGGCCGAACACTCTGATATTACACTAGGCACCAATAAAAAATAAAGTGAATTAGGGATGTCGGAGTGAACTGACGTGACCTATACCGTTCGAAACATTACAGAATAAAATTTTAAAATCCCAAGTTTCGCTTTTTTTGGAGCCAAATTGCGCCCGTACCAGGCCGAACACTCTGATATTACACTAGGCACTAATAAAAAATAAAGTGAATTAGAGATGTCGGAGTGAACTGACGTGACCTATACCGTTCGAAACATTACTGAATGAGATTTTAAAATCTTAAATTTCGCCTTTTTTGGAGCCAAATTGCGCCCGTACCAGGCCGAACACTCTGATATTACACTAGGCACTAATAAAAAATAAAGTGAATTAGAGATGTCGGAGTGAACTGACGCGACCTATACCGTTCGAAACATTACAGAATACAATTTTAAAATCCCAAGTTTCGCCTTTTTTGGAGCCAAATTGCGCCCGTACCAGGCCGAACACTCTGATATTACACTAGGCACTAATAAAAAATAAAGTGAATTAGAGATGTCGGAGTGAACTGACGTGACCTACACCATTCGAAACATTACTGAATGAGATTTTAAAATCTTAAATTTCGCCTTTTTTGGAGCCAAATTGCGCCCGTACCAGGCCGAACACTCTGATATTACACTAGGCACTAATAAAAAATAAAGTGAATTAGAGATGTCGGAGTGAACTGACGCGACCTATACCGTTCGAAACATTACAGAATAAAATTTTAAAATCCCAAGTTTCGCCTTTTTTGGAGCCAAATTGCGCCCGTACCAGGCCGAAAACTCTGATATTACACTAAGCACTAATAAAAAATAAATTGAATTAGAGATGTCGGAGTGAACTGACGTGACTTATACCGTTCGAAACATTACAGAATGAAATTTTAAAATCATGAGTTTCGCATTTTTTGGAGCCAAATTTCGCCCGTACCAGGCCGAACACTCTGATATTACACTAGGCACTAATAAAAAATAAAGTGAATTAGGGATCTCGGAGTGAACTGACGTGACCTATACCGTTCGAAACATTACAGAATAAAATTTTAAAATCCCAAGTTTCGCCTTTTTTGGAGCCAAATTGCGCCCGTACCAGGCCGAACACTCTGATATTACACTAGGCACTAATAAAAAATAAAGTGAATTAGAGATGTCGGAGTGAACTGACGTGACCTATACCATGCGAAACATTACAGAATGAAATTTTAAAATCATAAGTTTCGCATTTTTTGGAGCCAAATTGCGCCCTTACCAGGCCGAACACTCTGATATTACACTAGGCACTAATAAAAAATAAAGTGAATTAGGGATCTCGGAGTGAACTGACGTGACCTATACCGTTCGAAACATTACAGAATAAAATTTTAAAATCCCAAGTTTCGCTTTTTTTGGAGCCAAATTGCGCCCGTACCAGGCCGAACACTCTGATATTACACTAGGCACTAATAAAAAATAAAGTGAATTAGGGATGTCGGAGTGAACTGACGTGACCTACACCATTCGAAACATTACTGAATGAGATTTTAAAATCCCAAATTTCGCCTTTTTTGGAGCCAAATTGCGCCCGTACCAGGCCGAACACTCTGATATTACACTAGGCACTAATAAAAAATAAAGTGAATTAGAGATGTCGGAGTGAACTGACGTGACCTATACCATGCGAAACATTACAGAATGAAATTTTAAAATCATAAGTTTCGCATTTTTTGGAGCCAAATTGCGCCCTTACCAGGCCGAACACTCTGATATTACACTAGGCACTAATAAAAAATAAAGTGAATTAGAGATGTCGGAGTGAACTGACGTGACCTATACCATGCGAAACATTACAGAATGAAATTTTAAAATCATAAGTTTCGCATTTTTTGGAGCCAAATTGCGCCCGTACCAGGCCGAACACTCTGATATTACACTAGGCACTAATAAAAAATAAAGTGAATTAGGGATGTCGGAGTGAACTGACGTGACCTACACCATTCGAAACATTACTGAATGAGATTTTAAAATCTTAAATTTCGCCTTTTTTGGAGCCAAATTGCGCCCGTACCAGGCCGAACACTCTGATATTACACTAGGCACTAATAAAAAATAAAGTGAATTAGAGATGTCGGAGTGAACTGACGTGACCTACACCATTCGAAACATTACTGAATGAGATTTTAAAATCTTAAATTTCGCCTTTTTTGGAGCCAAATTGCGCCCGTACCAGGCCGAACACTCTGATATTACACTAGGCACTAATAAAAAATAAAGTGAATTAGAGATGTCGGAGTGAACTGACGTGACCTACACCATTCGAAACATTACTGAATGAGATTTTAAAATCTTAAATTTCGCCTTTTTTGGAGCCAAATTGCGCCCGTACCAGGCCGAACACTCTGATATTACACTAGGCACTAATAAAAAATAAAGTGAATTAGAGATGTCGGAGTGAACTGATGTGACTTATACCGTTCGAAACATTACAGAATGAAATTTTAAAATCATAAGTTTCGCATTTTTTGGAGCCAAATTGCGCCCGTACCAGGCCGAACACTCTGATATTACACTAGGCACTAATAAAAAATACATTGAATTAGAGATGTCGGAGTGAACTGACGTGACTTATACCGTTCGAAACATTACAGAATAAAATTTTAAAATTCCAAGTTTCACATTTTTCGGAGCCAAATTGCGCCCGTACCAGGCCGAACACTCTGATATTACACTAGGCACTAATAATGTTTTAGGTCATGTAACCCAAGAGAAACGAAGATGTTTCAAACATGTAAGATGTTTTAGACTCAATTTTTACGTACTTTCCGTTACGTAGCATTCCTAATAAAAATATGAAAGGGTTTGATAGTTTCAACCATCCGGGATGCCCCACTGTAGGGTCAAAGACACCAAAATTCAAAAGTCAAAAAAAAGTTGCCGTTTTTCCGTATAAAACGGATCCGAGTATAGAAAAAAGTCTATTTAAAAATTAAAGACAAGTTTCTGACCTTATTCATGCCATAATAGCCAGAAAAATAAAAAAATTCAAAAGGGGATTCGAACCTGGTCCGCAGGTCCTCCTTGTTTAGCGCCTTACCCCACTATGCCACCGAAGAACCGCGCCGCTGTGCTTTTGAAATTGATTGCGTTTGTTTTGTCCAAAGAAAGGTGAAGCCTAGAATTATTTACAAAACGCTCGCTAGCCAACATGTGAGTGAATAATAGCAGCTAATAAAAGTCGCTTCTAGGCCAGTTTTTTACGGTCTTTCAAATGGTATATGTATCAAGATAAAACCAGGGGATTTTGCCGAGCCTTTGTTAGATCAGAATTTACACGTTTTCAAAGTTAAGCTTTGAAAAAATCTGGCATTCTTGGGGTTTTCGGGCATCTGATGACCTAAAACAAGGTATTTTGGTCGATTTCTCAAAAACTATTCATTTTTTCCTCTGAAACTTCCTGTATCCTCTTAAAATGGCATAAAAATGTATTGGAAACTTTCAAAATCTGCGCCTTGCCAAAAACCCAAGAATGCCAGGTTTTTTCGGGGTCAAGGTGATCTTGCACATGAGACATTGAATGCCCAACATCTCAAAAACTATATATTTGATCCTGCTGAAATTTTTATGGTTTGTTAGACGAGGCTTGAAGTTTAGTATTCCGGTTTCAAAATCTGCGCCTCGTCCAAACTGCATTTTTTATACACGAAATGGTATGTTGCCTCAAGTGTAACGTAGCTTATATGTAATTTTTAGCTTTCGGCGACAATTACAAAAATGTTCTACATGATCGAAAACATAACTTTGAACGCGATCTGCGCTGAAATAGCGCTTCGTTCTCTCGATTAGGGCATACCTTTTTTTAAAAAAAATGTTACAGTATGCCGTCATACGGTAATTTTGGGCAAAAAAAAGAAAGCGAATGTTTTGTGCCTATCAGTGATTAAGCTGACAAATTAAGCTGAGAAATTTTTTCGGAACTTCCGGTCGATTTTTCTCGTCGGCCATGCTTATTTTGCAGCTGGAAGTTGCCTTTTCCTACCAAAGTCGACCTGCTCTATCCACCTGTACTAGTCATTTTCCTTAACGCTGGGGGAAGTTCAGACCATTCCCTTGTGAGCAAGTTTCGTTCAATTCTGAGACACCGATTTTAACAATGTCCGGGCCAAACTACGATTTGTAACAAAACGCGTTTTAAGAAAAATATATCCTTCTCACGCCCCTGGTTATGTCATCATCAATATACGGTAATAAAAAATAAATATTAATTTTTACTGGCGTTTCTCGTCACGCTCTCTTTTCTTTTTTTTTGGCAACTTCATTCACTTCTTCGATGCCCTGATAACAGGTGTTTTGTTTTAGATGACATTTTTACGTCTTGCATCCGGTTGGAGCGCAAAATGTCGACATTCCTTTTTTCCCTGCAAAGATGTAATCTGTTGGATGTTTTCTGTTCTGTAATACTGCGAGATTACAATCGGATTAGCTTAAATGAGCGCTTTGCGGATGGAAATGGCTTCAGAAGAAGTGTTTGGAAACGGATCAAATATAATTATTATACCTTGCCAGAAGAGAAAGGAGTCACGTGCCCACTTTACTTTTCTCTAGAATACATTTTACACATTTACGTCTTCTTCCTCTCTCTCCTTCGCTTATTTTAAACTAGACTGGATGAATGTACCGCCAAGTCCGAACAACTATTCAGACCCATTGCAATCTGGATGGGTGTAATCGCAAGTGTGGACTGTTTCACGGTACAGGTAAAAGCTTAATTGAAATTACAGTATGAAAGAGCCGTTTCACTCTTTTTCAGATGTCTCCAAATTAATTGAAATGAGAAAAAGCAAAACCAAACCTTCTAAGCCGAGTAAGCTCTGTTTAATGTATAAAATATTGTCTTCAGAGTTGAAAATAACCACAGACTCCGATCTGAATTACCTCAGTTCTCCCCTCAATTCAGCCGAGCCTTTAACGCCCATGAATAAAAGCCCCACGTTTGATGAAGTCCTGGAATCAGCCAAGAGGAAGGTCAGCCGAGACTTTGTAGATATCCGTTTACAAAATGTGATCGAAGAGGAAATAGAATTTGATCGAAGAGCCTTGGCCGGGTCTACTCCTTATCCCGAAGAGTTCCGGCAAGATTCGACTTTATTGGAAGGGCTTGATGATACCGATTCAGATGAAGATCCCTGGTTTGCACAATCCCCTCCATCCGATATCACTGTAGATGATACAGTAGAAGAGTTGATACGGTAAGTTTGAACGAATATTCTGACTAGGGAAGTGTACAAAATGACCCACCAAATGACAAATGATATACATCATTGAAGAGCCCTTGAAAGTGGTAAATTGATGTTAGTACATCTAAACTACCTCAAAATAGGTGTTAGACTATCCTAGGACCCGATCAATCTTATTATTTCTACTAACTAAGCCTTCTACTAGCCTCTCCCATGCACCGACGAACCGACGCGATCCATAATATCGTTGACCCGAAAAGTCGTAAACTTTTTTCCATTAAAAGAATCTTCTCTGTTTAGTTAATAAAATGACTGTCGAAAACCATATTCATATTCGCCATATTATCGGTCTGTCGGAAAAATAACGGCGGATCGTCGCGCCTCCGAATCGCCCATCATCGCTTTGCGACTCCAAGCCGCGGCTTGGGATTTGGTGCGCGACAGCGGCGAGCGAGACATTTTGATGCGACGATCCGCCGTTATTTTTCCGACAGACTGATATGCTCTACCACTTCGAGAAAAGTTGGGAGTCAGCACGGTCATCCCGCGATCTCAACGAACTTTTCGGCGAAGGAACAAAAAAAGACACCATTTCCCATTGGATAATTCCGCTTCTGTCCCGCCACACACACCACATAGCCTTCTTACAGTGGACGTCTTTTGGTATTCATTTGGGACACCTGGCGATTTTTTTTGTTCCTTTGCCGAAAAGTTCGTTGAGATCGCGGAATGACCGTTCTGACTCCCGACTTTTCTCGAAGTGTTAGACCATAATACGGCGAATATGAGAATGGTTTTCGACAGTCATTTTATTAACTAAACAGAGAAGATTCTTTTAATGGAAAACAGTTTACAAAACGCGAATTTTAACTAACAAAAAACGCGCCAATAAAAACGCCGGATAATTATGCATCAACCTAATATCAAAGATACAAATCAACCGCTCATAATTTTCCGCCCTGAGGCATTCTGCAAAAACTGAAAGTAGTTTTTAATACTACTCTTCAAGGGCTTTCGAGCGTTATATAACACTTGCTCTTTGGTGAGGGTCAGTTTTTACACTTCTCTAGTGAGTGCATTTTTTGGTTACAGAGAAACGCAACCGCCTCCAGATCATTACAGTAATCCCTTGTATCGAAAAGCGGATTCCTTGAAGAAGAAACGAGTAAATCATACCAATAGCAACAGCAGCATTGACCTCTCTGTAGCCGATTTTGCGATGAATGACACCAGTAAGTGCTTTCTAGTCATCATCGGGAAAGTATTGCCATGATTAAAAGACTGCTTTTTAGGTTTTGGAAATAATTTTAAAGTATTTCAAAACCATCTCCATGTTGGCAATGCTAAAGTGGAGTCTGCAACTTGATTTGAAATGAGTTTTACGTATAATAAAATAAAAACAATTATTATGTCGCTTCGTTTGCCAAAGCAAGTTCCAAAATTTGAAAATCGACTCCCTTTGTGCCCTGAGGGCTCTTTCCCTCCAAGATCTCAGGGATCGGACTCGAGAACCTTCCTCTTGGCCGATCGAGGAAAAAGCAATCGGCCGCACGACCCCCGCATTCTCTCGACAGCCGCCTTTCTCTTCAATCGGCTATCTCCATCCTTATTTTTCTATATATTAAAGGCCCAAAAACATGCCTGAAACGGTGAGTATCATCTTTTTATGACTCCGGGCAGATGTTTTGACAGACTTAAACCAAATTTTGATAGATTTTTGAAGGTGGCCGTTTTTCATTTCTAATTCAATGGTTGTCTTGAATAAAGATCTACCCGCACTGGAATAGTCCGTTGAAGAATCCAAATTTCAACTTTAAAATTTTTTATTTATGAATTGATAGCTCCCACCCATCAAACTCAATTCATATAGAATAACCAACGATCCTGGGATTGCGTAGGCACCCCTCTGTTCCCAGAGTAACTCTGCAGCGTTTTATATTTTCTTTCAACTTTTTGCAGAACCCCTCAGCCGCTCTCGAGTCGTCTCAAACCACTCCGGACCCCCAAAATCTTGTAAGTCCTACAAAATAAAATTTTTCAAAGAATTTCTTTAGCCAGTCGCTGAAATTTCGTTGAGGGTTGAGATTCAGAAGCCTGAAGAGAAGAAAGGAAATTAATGTTGCAGTATACCCCTTGTAAAAAGATCCCCTTTCATCTGGAAGATGAGTCATAAAATAATGTATATTTATTATATATAAATAAATTTAAAGCGCCTTTTTTGTGTACTTCATATTACCGTTCTGTTCGGCATTATTTAACTTTAACCGCTGTTATTCTTAAATTACTTTTCAGATGTCTGACAACATAGAATGGATTACAGAACCGGCTGAGGGAGAGAAATCATCCGAAGCCAATGTGGAAGTCACTTTACCGTCTCCTCCAGCAGAATTCAATGATAACTTCAGAAATGAAGAGCCGTCTTATCAACCAGAAATCTCATCATTGGGAACTCAAAACCCAAAAATTGAAACCAAGTCTGCAGAATCCATTCAGAAACCGAGGGATGACAGATTCGTTCATTATGATTTCAAACCAAACGGAAATCGAGTCAAATTTGACGATCCAGGGCCAAGAGACCCCCCTAAACCATCCAAGGCAGCATACGAACCGGAGGTTCAGAGAACGACATTTTCATCAAGACCTCTTGAAGGATCTTCTGACCATCTTCAGCATGCTCTTCCTTCGAAGGATGACGTCATCAATCAATTCAGAACTCATAAACCAATCAAAGAAGACTCCGAAGAACCACAGTCTCCGAATAAGAGTAAGAATGTGGTCAGTGATGTAGAAGAGAGGGCCTTGAGGGCTCTTGAAGATGACATTCCATCCAGACTTTCCTCTCTGAGGATCGAGCAGAAAACATCGGGAGAATCACAACAAAAAGAAAAGTCTCCGGATTCCGAAGCCGAAGAAAACACTCGTCTCAGAAGTCAGAAGGTGAAAGATTACAACGGATTCACTTACTACACATGTAGATTCTGTGGGATTACATTCAATTACATAACAACTCTTAAATCACACGAACGAACGCATGGAGTGGAGAAGGTAGGGAAGCATACATGGACGGACGGATATTGTCCGACGTAAGCGTAAAATTTGCCCAATCAAGTCCGATCGTGGACAAGATCCGCTGGAGTTTAGTCCACAGTAGACTGCGGATCGAATTTCCACTTTTGTCTGGATTGAAATACAACGTTTATAAATTTCCGTCCATACTACAAGGAAGATGGACTTACACATTTTTTTGGTCTTGCCTGGCAAAACTCCCGACAAGCCCCGCTCACGCGGGCCTTGACGCCGCTGTGCGCGCAAAGGTCGTCCAACATAAAGTTGACTTGATCGCACAAAGGTTGATGATCGCGTGCACTACAGTTGATCGTGCAGGCCACGCTTCGCGTGGCCAACAACGCGCTGGCGCGCGTTATACTGCCTCAAGCCCGGCAGTTCCGTTGCCAAGGGCCGCGCGCCAGCGCTACCTTTCAGCAGCTGAACTCTTCTTTGAACTTTACCTCGGCCTTCGGCCTCGGCACAGTTTACTCCAGCAGTCAACTACAACATTCAGAAGGTTCCGTAATCAACGGCGGCCTTCGGCCGCCGAAGCTTCCAGAAAACACTCACTTTGGCTCGGCCTTCGGCCTCGCAGTCATTTTTTGTGTTGCTTCATCGTTATTGAACTTTTCCTATGCCTTCGCCCTCGACAGAATCCCGGGAGCCCGACATTCAGAAGGTTCCGTGACCAACGGCGGCCTCCGGCCGCCGAAGCTTCCAAAAAAAGTCCCTTTGGCTCGGCCTTCGGCCTCGCCAAGTCGTATTTTAAGAAATTTTGGGTTTCTTTGAACTTTACCTTGGCCTTCGCACAGTTTACTCCAGCAGTCAGCTACAACATTCAAAAGGTTCAGTAACCAACGGCGGCCTTCGGCCGCCGAAGCTTCCAAAAAAAGCTCCTTTAGCTCGGCCTGCGGCCTCGCAGTCATTTTTCGTGTTGCTTCACCGTTATTGAAGTTTGCCTCGGTCTTCGGCGGCTGCAGAATCCCGGTAGACCTACATTCAGAAGCTTCCGTGACCAACGGCGGCCTCCGGCCGCTGAAGCTACCAAAAAAAGTCCCTTTGGCTCGGCCTTCGGCCTCGCCAAGTCGTATTTTAGGAAAATTTGGAGTTCCGCACACGAACTGCATCCAGAATTTGATTCTGCGTCGATTGGGACCAAAATCATGTCGATAGCTCCACTGGCAGCCGAGTTCTGGAAGGGCGGATCCAGAAAATTTCAAATTTTCGTCTTTGTCGCTAGGCGGGCGGGGTAAGATGGTCGTATGTTGGGAAATAAAAGTTGTTTCTAGGGCAGTTTGACGTGCTGATTACGGGGCGTATCCCGAAAATTCGCTGAATTTGCTATTCGTGCCCTCAGGGCCGATTTTGTGCAAAAAATCCCGAAAACTCCCTACGGTGCATTCGATGAGCATTCCGGCACCGTATCAGAAGCCGAAAATAAGCACAGAGTAACTTCAGTCTATTGCCGAGACAATGCCGAAGCCCTTTTTTTGAATTTCGATCTAGTTTTCCCGGAAAACTTTCCGGAAAATTTGGCCTTTTTTGGGAACTTTCAGAAAATCCCGAATAGCTAAAATACGAAATACGATAGAAAGATACGAAATGTGGTTCTAGGGCATGTCAGGCATGCTGATTCAGAATCCGTTGTCAAAATCCAGAAATTCCGTCATCTTGATGGTGAAAAATGGAAAAATCCGAAAAATGTCGAAAATCGCCAATAACTTTCGACCGGTCGATCCTACACTCACGATGTTTAGCTCAGAAGGCTTAAAATTTTGCGTAGATAACGATGGAACTCAGTTTCGTCCCACACAATAACGCTCACATCAGGTACCCTCAGGGCATATATGTGAAAAATTCGAAAATTCGCGCGCTTTTGGCCCCAGTCGATAAGAAAAAATGTAGAAAAGCTAAGGGCGACTCGAAAAATGTGAAAAGTTACAGCCGATCCAAAATCAAAAAATCCCATTTTCAAACGCTCGCAATTCCCGCCAGGATGAAAATTCCAACTAAGTGCTGATGCCCAAAGTCATCGAATCCCTGCACCAGTTGACAAAAAAAAAGTCTCGAAAAAAAGTGCACGTTGAGTATTTTTCATTTTAGCAAATTGGGGAGTTTTTGATTTCTCGACTTAACCTCTTAGACAAGAAATTCGAAATTTTTGGCTGGGCTGAGAAAAAATCTTCATGAGGAGAGAGCAGAAATTTGCGAAATATTGTGCAATGCTACGCAATTTGATTCAAAAATTTGACATTTCTTGGCAGCCAAGAAACCGGAACTTTTGCCAGACAAGTCAAAAAATATTTAATCGAATCACCTTTATAAATTACGAAAAGGCTCAATTAAATGTTTACTTTCAGCCTTTCGTTTGTGCAAAATGCGGTGAAGCCTTCCACTACGACTGTGAACTACAATATCATGTGAAAAGTCATGTCGGTATGTGCAAACGGTACCTTCGAATAAAAGTTTTAGACCAAAAGGGATACAAATGCGACTGTGGACGAACTTTCTATCAATATACCGAGCTGCTTAACCACACCCATCCTGATGATCCTCAGCCCTTCTATGGACAAGCAGCTAATCAGCCGGCCGAAGAAGAACAGGCAGTCCGAATCAAGCCGTTTTCGAAGATCCCTGAAACTGATTTCCCTACGCCCGAATACGCAGAGAAAGGATATGAACCCAAGTATCAGATAAGGCAGTACAACGAAGTAAGAACACATCCATATATCTGCCAGTACTGTTCTAAATCATACCCGGACAGCAGGTGAGTGTTCTTGATAAAGAAAAAATAATACGTTCCCCATCTTATAATCCTTCTGCTTCAGACAACTGGCTTATCACATGTACAGTCACCGCGGAGAGAGGACGTTTAATCCCAGGGCCTCCCGATATCTGATGTGCCGAAACGAGAACTCTTACATCACACCGGGAGTGTGGCTGGACCGGTGAATGTTATTGTTCGTACTGTATAAACTTCTAATACACCTCAATTAATAAGTAAATTTTCTTGAGTTCTTTCTAACGTATGTGTAAAAAACACACGTGCTGGAAATTAATATTTATCTGAGAGATTGACGGGATATGTACAAGACAAGATCGATATTTACAGACTGTAACGTAACTTGAATAAAAATAGTTAAATTTTGGAGGCCTTCTGAATCAGCAGAGTTCTGCTGGTGGAAATGGACGGATCCGCACTGCCATTGCTGGACTGACCATTCGGGTTTATCTGAGAGATCGTATCGCACCCACTGTTATTGTAATACTGTTCCGGTTCTTCCGCCAATGGAGGAGGTACATCAATCTGGATGGGTGCAAAATGAGAAAGATGGGGGGTCTCAGTGCTGACTGTCTCGTCGATCTGTTGTGTACTGTGCATCAAAGGTCCTCCTGCATCGCTGGGAGTCTAAATCGTTACATTTTCTTACATCATGTTAACCAACCTCTGGAGTTTCCAGATGTCCTGGACTAGAAGCTCGGCTCATGTGTCGAAACAATCTCCCTTTGCTTCCCGATTTGTTCCTACTCATATTCGGTGATGTTTTTGTTCTGTAATTGGAAAAACAATGTAAAACACGCCTACTTGCATGACCTTTTCCTTTTACTTGAATAAATTGAGTTTAATGAAAGCTTTGAACCAAGACGAGATGCAATATTGGTCCGAGAGTATCCAGGAAGAAGATCACCCAACCTCCGTCGTTTATTTCGTTCATCCACTTGACTGAAATTGGTAAAAGATATTCAATTCAAAAACATCAACGTACGTCGACCCTGTTGAATGCCGTTCTTCGTCATCAGAGCCTGAATGCATGTCACTGGTGGCTACAGAATTACTCCGAGTATCCAATTCATCAACGTTATCGGTCGACTTCTCGTTCTCATCGTCTACCTCACCTAAAACAGCACAATCACGGCAATGTTATCCATACCCTTGGTTCTCGTTGTCTTTCTTCTTTTTGTAAACTTCAGAGCTTCTCGACTGAACACCAAGTCCTTGTGATGCACGGGTACGCCAGTCTCTTCATCAATGATCGGCATTTGTTCCGGGACATTCCATTCGGCTTGCCGATCCGATATGTTCATGGCCTGAGTTGAACCGAAGTAAGGAGCCTGCCGATAACCAGCTGCTGCCTGGGTGTAAGGTATATCCGTCTCGACCTCTCCCCAAAGGGCATCCTTTCCGACCTTTGGTCCATTCACATGCATCTGGTCCACTATCAGGTATGACACTTGTATATTACGATCCATAATCCCTGAAACAAAAAGTCTTGAACCGAGATTACTTGGCTCACAGTTTAACTCAAAGTCATCATCGTCCTCCCCAAAAGGACAGATCATCCCTTCCGCCACTTTCAGCCATCCAACATAAAATACAAACTGAAAAATTGTGAAGACTGGAAAGTAAAAGTCCACGTCAAATCCAGAAACGGAGCTCTTAAACAATAATATAAATCATAATTAACTCCAAACATCAGTGACTTACATGCTCCCGATTTTGGATTAAGTATTGTCGTCCAAATAAACATGACAAAAAGAAACTGTAAACAGCGATAGCCACTACCTGGGTATATGACAATGGAACACTTATCCAGTCATAAGACCAGATTGTCCCACAAAGACCGCGGAATTCAATCATCTCCTAAAAACGTTAAAGTGTGCATAACGTATAATAACAAAAGCGTGACGTAATGAGGTTCCATACATCAATCAAGCTCTTCAAGTGTAGATCATCATGAATCCGTCCTTCTTTCCTCGCTTTCATTGCTAGTTGACCAAACCATTGAGCCGGTACCCACCTAAACAAGGGTAATCTGTTCGGAAATTTGGATTTATACCAGATTCCATGAGGTGTTGGGGTGTTCTCAAGAGCGGTCTTCTCTTCTGGCGTCATTATCCCGGCTTCAACCATGTGATCCAAAGTTGGAAAACGGCATTTTATTATAGTAGAGGTTTGCTGTAATCAAAAACATAAACTAATTAAAAAAACCAAAAATGTAAAAAAATAGGGCTACCTGGAAAGTTAACAACGAGATCAGATTAAGATAACGAACGAGAGATCTGCGGATGATCCTGCCCCTCTCGTCGCTGCCCTGGACGTACGCCGAGATCTGAATGGCCAATCTAAAGACAAATATTACTTCAATATACATTGTTAGCAATCATTCGATGTTCTTAAAAACTTAGTTCTTACCTGTCTGGCCAAGGGATTGCCATGTATTGTTGCCACCATCTTCCCACCACAAAACTCAGATAGAATCCCAAAATAAACGTTATGGGAACAACTGACAACAGTTCTCGGCAGTAAATAGCAAAAGATTCAAACCACCTGAAAGCAAAGTTGGCGTAAATTGTACCGGTTCAGGACACTGCTTCTAAATCATAGCTCTTACCTCTGGTATGGCGGCGTCATAAAATAACGATAAGTAAATGCGATAATGTAATAGGCAACCAGGAAAGCACACATCTCCCTGTACATCAGCCGATAAACAGAGCCTTTCCATCGGCCCAGCAGCTTCACAAAGCCCCAGAAGCGTGCACGACTCACTTCTAAGGTGTAGGTTATCGTCATTCTAGCATTATTCTCAGACCTGCAAAAAAATATTAGGATCAAATTTGCACGATAATGATACAAAAAAGATAAATCGAAAAATTATAGGAGTTTCGTCTTTACGAAGAAACACAAAGAAAAAAGCATGTTGCAAATATTTTTTGATTGTCTGGCCAAGTCTAACAATGAAAGTGTGATCTTACTCTCCAAAATTCGCAAAGTAATTAAAAAATTGAAATTGTTTTTCGAATGTGAGAACAGAAAGAAAGTTGAACACCAAATACTGACTCGACTCCAAAGAGGTTGGGGACGAAATGCATTTGGCCATGAAAAAGCGAAAGAGAGAAAGGGCTTCCAAAAATAACACCATTGGGTGGATTTCAAATACATTTGCGTTCGTCTGCTCAAGTCGAAAAACCCGGCTGGGGGACAAGTGCACCCAGGTTGTGCTTTGTAGTCGATCTTGAATCTGTTGTATCCGTTCCAACAGGACTCCGCCCCGGCTCTAAGGCCAAAAAAGACTCAGGGCCAGGAATGGGACCGATTTTGCAGACTTCATCCCGTCTGGGAAATCGCCGCCTACTCGCCGGATCTTAATCCGATGGACTTTTTTTCAATTGGAGGACGGACTTGTGCTATGCGCCAAAAAAGTTTGGAGTCGCTAAGGAAATATGAGTTTCATTTTCTCTGATCGTCCTGTAAATCCTAACCAAAGGGGCTTTGAAACCGGTACGAGCACGTACGGCACAAGACAATAAAACAGTGGTTACAAATCCTCGCAGGGCCCATTTCCAAAGCTCCCACCTTAGAAAGTGCCTCCTAAGACCACATTCTCAACGAGTACGTATATGTCGCCAACAGCGCCAACAGGAACCTCAAAAAGCTTCAGCGCGGTATTTATTACAATTCTTGTCACACGTATGGTGGTCATCGGGTACCAGAGGTCACAATAAAGATGAGATTTTGCCCTTGTATTTTTATCGAAGTTCCGTTGCATCATTTGGAGTCGGGCAGAAGAAGCAGAAGGAACTGTAAAGGTATAATAAAGTGTGTTAAATATCTCACCTTATCATTAATGACTTGTAAAAAAGGTAACTTTTTTATTCTTTCGAGTATCTCCACATCATGTACGTAAGGATTCTGTGGCATGAATTGAAGAAGTTTCTCCATCACAAGCTCCGTATGCATTGGGTTCGGGTAAACGCCGGCAATCAGTCCTTTGATGAACATAAAGATCTCATACTGAATGAAATTTCATGGTAGCTACAACATTACACATACCTCAGCAACTTTATTCCTCACTCCAACTCCCTTCACCAGATACTCTTCATTCCTCTTTTCAGAAGATGTACTTGAAGTTCGACTTCCCTGAGATCTCGCTGAAATTGGATTTGGGGATTGAGGTTGTGATCTGCCATCAACACTCAATTTGCTATTTTTATACCCGACCTCCAATGATGATGTACTGGGAATCGATTCTGGACGTTTAACTTCATGATTGGAAACATTATATTCAGGGCTTTCTTTTGGAAGATCTATAATCTCGGGTGACGACGTAGAGCTTGAGGATGCGGAAGTTTCTGGTACTTTTGATTGGAGAACGGCTTCTGTCTTCGTCTCCTTTATATACGTCTTTTCAACAATTGTGCTAGTCGTTGAAACATCGGAACTATTTACTACGGTCCTTTCTTGTTCATTGTCACTTTCATCGTCATTTCCAAATGCATCATCCAGATCCCCACCTTCAGCTAGCTCAACTCGAGCCTAACGTAAATTAAAGTTATTCAATTTCCCCATTTCGAATTCACTATCACTTCTCTTACCTCCGGTTTTGGTTTATATGTGTAACTTTCAGCAAGTTGATCGGAATCATCAGAATCTTCCATTTCTTCCTCCTCGTCTTCATCGTCTTCTTCATCATCAGAATAATCCTGCCCCACGGCAGGAGCCGAGTATTTCCCATCTCTTTTATAAGTCTTTTTCGAAACAGTCACATTCTCGGTGGTCTCAAACACCTCCTTAGCCGGTTCTTGAGCATTTTGGGTGATTTTCTTTACTTCCATTGGTGTAATTTTTGAAGGTTTCATAAAGTCGTGAGTGGGGATATCAACCACTTTCTTTTCCTAAAGAAAAAAAAATACCCCAATAAAAAGTACAGGGTGGGGCATCTTTGTGGCCCGATTTGAATTGGCTATAACTTCTTTAGTTTTTGGCCAAATTTTAAAATTCTTTTTTTCCCTGAATCGTCAGCCAACCCCATTTTGTTTGATACCAAATATGTTATACATAGTAAGTGTATATTTACAGTTATTGGATTTATTCTTGGAGTTCATTTTTTCGGTCGTTTTTCGGTTGTTTTTTCGGTCTTTCCCGGTGTGTCCAGAAATGGAGTACGGTGCGGAAGAAAAATACGGCGGAATTTACCCTCCCGAAAATCGACGATGAGAATAAGAACAAAAAGTGAAGATCAACTTCCAGAGTTCGTCGAATGGTCCTTGCTGAAGGCATTCCCTCGGTTCTGGCCAAACTTCGTGTACTCATATGCGGATTTTCTCGGAATTTTGACAAAACTTCTTAAATTTTCAGCTCCGTTCGTACTCATCGTACTCATCTTTCCTGCTTTTTTTGTTTCCTTTTAACGCTACCAGTCTCAAGAAACTTATTCCACGAACGTCGAATTGTCTTGCGATCTGGAGGTTAGGCATTACGTCCGTATTTTATGCGGTATCCCCGTTTGAAAATTTATCGCCGAACCGTACTTGCTATACCAAACGACAGACCAAGCCTTTCCTTCCACACCGGACTCCATTTTCGGACACACCGGGAAAGACCGAAAAAACAACCGAAAAACGACCGAAAAAATGAACTCTAAGAATAAATCCAATAACTGTAGATATACAATTACTATGTATAACATATTTGGTATCAAACAAAATGGGGTTGGCTAACGATTCAGGGAAAAAAAGAATTTTAAAATTTGGCCAAAAACTAAAGAAGTTATAGTCAATTCAAATCGGGCCACAAAGATGCCCCACCCTGTATGAGGCGGTTACCTTCTTTTCCCCTTTGATCCTATACTTCCGAGGATTGTCAATCTTATCCTCCTCGGCGGCACACCTTTCAGCCTCCCCTTCTCCTAATTCATCTTGCATCTTTCGAAGCTCCTCGTATTTCTGTTTGAGCACTACAAATAAATCTTTAAGATAATATCCACGCACCTTCGAAGGGATCATATAACTTCACAAAGAGCATTCCCGAAGAATCTGAAGACTCAACTACGCGAAGATCACCGTTAAAGACATCAGAAAGCATATTCTTGGCATGTCCGACATTGAACATCTCTTTGCAATTCTATAAAAAATAATTCACTGTCGACAAGTACGTGCCTTCTTATTCAACTCAATCTGGAACTTTTCCTTGAAGCGAGTCTGAACTTTTCCATATTCGATTGGAGTCCGATCACCTCCAAGCTCTTGAATGACTTCCAGCATCATCAGCTTGTGCTAAACCAGAGTAAACCGGCCCTATATTACATACCTTCAAGACTTTAGGATCTCTCAAAGCTAACTGAATTCTTGTCGCATATTCGTTTTGCTCTTGCAATTCCTTCTTTTTCGCCGACTGTCCAGCAATAAGTTGATCGTTCATCAATTTCCCCAATAGGGGATTACCCGTTTGTTTACCTTTAACAATTGTTTCGCCCTCACTGTTCTTCAGAATGTGAGTATACGGAGCCATTGCGTTAGATTGGATGAAAGCCTTCATACTCGGAAATCCAAAGTTATGCAAAATCAAGTCCAAGTGCAGACCCGTGTCTTCTCTAAAACAAGACAATAAAAAATTAACATGACCTACTCAAATTCCATGCACAGTTTGTTCAGGTTTTCGAGTTGGTACCCTCCGCGATGTTCGGAGGCCAGCAAAGTTGACTGAAGAAGCTCTCCCAAGATTTTGATCCTCTTTTCATCGGGCAGTCGTCGATCAAATATAAGTGCGGGCGTTGAATCAACATCTTGCAAGGCCTCTAGATCCTTCCCCGCTTCACGCTCAACTTCTTGATAGGCAGCGGACTCACGGATTAGGTTAAAATGGGCAGCCGTTGAATTAGCATCGTTAGTTTTATCCAGAGTATCAGAGAACTGTCTGTGTTGAGACGGCTGAATCATCGGAAAGGTCCTTCTGAGATAGAGGATCCTCAAGATTTCTTTCTTGCGCGATAAAAATAATATTTCGTACGGAGAAAAAACGAAATGCAAAGAAAATCAATGAAAATGTTACAAAATGTCAACAACCTCGTTATGACAGGATTCTCTATAAGGAATCCTGTCATAATGAGGTTCGTGCTATAGCACGTCAATCCAGCGCAGTTGAAGTAGGCATGGCTCCGGACCGGGCCGACTAATCTTGCGGCCCGGCCCCGGGCTTTGATTTGCAGATACGGGTCGGCCCGACTTTAAAGAAATTTAGGATTTTCCGAAAGAATGGCGAAATTCGAGAAAAAATCACTCGAATATATTGCAGGATTACATCAAGACGGAAAAATGTGTGGTCTTCCCCCAGAAAAGCAAAATGGAATGACAAGAGTTTCTTGGCATCGAAAAACTCCGGAAGTTTTGGGAAAGTCTTTGGCTGTTTTCTTGGCTAGCCGGGACGGCTTCGTGGAAATTGGACAGAGTGAAATTGGACAGAAATAATTTGGACAGAGCGTGGAAATTGGACAGAGATGAAATTGGACAGAGTGAAACTCGACAGATTTTTTTCACTGCAATTATTTCTGTCCAATTTCACTCTGTCCAATTTCCACGAAACCATTTTTTGCATAAAATAAAATAACGTCTAAAATTTTCTGGATTTTTTAAGAAAAATTTTGACCTCCAAAAATTCTTCGGAAAGAATTTTGAAAAATATCTTTTGGCCAGATAGTGTGTGAACAAAACGTCTACACGGTTCAGAGAATGCGCCAGAGAGACATTAAAAAAAGTTAAATCGAAGTTTTAATGTTTATCAAATCACATTTGGGTTGAGATAATAATCAAAATCTGAAAATACACAAAAAAATAATCGGTCGCGGTGAGAAATCGACTGGTAGAAAACACAAATATGCACAGTTATTGTGGGGCCGGGGGAACATCTTCGTCATCATCAGACTCGGATTCTGACAAAGGACCGGGACGACCCTCTTCGTCTTCTTCTTCTTCTCCATCTACATCCATCTGTTCATGGACACCATTTTGAAGCCGGTCTCCGCCCTCGACAGGTCTTGGACTAGGTTTTTGTTCAGGCACTGCTACCCGTTTAGCTGCGTCCGCCGGGTTGAAGTAAGGGCCTTGTTTGTGGCGATAGGGAGTCAGACTCCGAGCTCCCGTACCAACATTCAAGAAGTCCCAGATCAAAATCGTATCATCATGAGAGGAACTGACGATCTGGAAATCATCGAACTGAAGCCTGAACACTCGACCCGTATGCTCCTAAAATAAGATGCAATTCAATATGTCAGGTGCTATCAACCTGATTAAAAAGACAACTTACCGATAGTGTATTCAGACAAATCGCACTGTTCTGGTATCGCAAGTCCAAAGCAGCAGTGAGATCCCAAACTTTCAGTTTGCTAAAAAATAGGATAACCCTTCTCTCTTTATCCTTACCCATCATACGCACCGGAAACAATCCTCCGCGAATCAAAGCGGATGCATCGAACTAGTTCTTCATGACCTTCGAGGACGCGTAAGCAGTTCCCTCCGTCAATATCCCATAACCTAATCAAAGAAGAATGTTAATTCAATTCAATGAGAACTTACCGTATGGAATTGTCGCTGGATCCACTGACGACGAGCCTGTCTCTATATTGTAAACAAGCAATGCCCCTTCGATGGCCATTCAGTGTCCTCACAAATTCACAAGTATCTGCACTCCACACTTTTATCGTCCGATCTCCGCTTGCGGAAACAATGTAAGTGGTGTCAAAGTCTACCACGTTCACTGCGGCCCTATGACCAACCAATACTCGTCTCAAGTCTATCTCCGTAGGGGAATTCATGTTCCATACAGCTATTGATCGATCTTTGGAACATGTTACCAACATTCCATTCTGGAATCGGAGATGAAGAACGGCTTCACAATGGTGGATTAAAGTGTTCAAGGATTGTCCAGTATGTACATCCCATATCCTGAACAGTCGACGTTATTAAAGATAAGTCATACTGAAATCATATTAAATGACCACATACCTGACAGTGGAGTCACTACTTCCACTAGCTATTATTCGTTCATCATATTGAAGACACAACACTGATCCTGTGTGCCCGACGAGAGTCTGGACGCATTGCAGATCTGATCTGCGCCATATTTTTATCGTATTATCTCTGAGACCCGAAATAATCTTCTCGTCATCATATTGTAGACAGTATACACCTAAGAAGAGATGAAAAAGAGTCAAAGAAAGCTCACCTCGGTTGTTTTCGGATTCACAATTTATCCTCTGAAGTTTGTGCTTGCCGGTCCTCCAATTCTCCTCAATTTGAGCTATATCCTTATTAATATTTCGATACAAATGACAATAAAATTCGTGTAAATAACTAAGCATATCAGGATGTTCGCGGATATAATCTTCTGCTTCATTCCGAGTCCATCCCTGCGATGTGGCAATTTGAATGGCTGCCAATTCCTTTGACATAAACAAGTACTTCTTCCTGAAATTTACAAAAAAACAACGTGAAACTTTCTAAGCAACATCATACGCTAACAGTAGAACAACTGACCATCCCCGTTTCTCGCTTAATCCCCTCCACACGGAGTCTGACTTCACCCTTCGTTCAATTAATTTCCTCCACAACATGCAGTTAGCAATTTTATTCCTCCATGTTTTACTGACAGCGGCACTAGCCACCAGACTCTTTGCATCAAGATGAGAAAGGACATTTTCTTCCAGACCATCTAAATTCATAAATAAAACGAGAATCAAATATTACCTGGTAATAGGCTGATAAAGTCTCGTTTCAACATCGGCTGAAGGAACTGGTCGATCTGACCGTGTTGATGATGGCACATTTTCTGAAGGATGGTCTTCACAAAATCTGTTTGTTCGTGCTCAGACCAGGAGGAGAACTGCTAAAATATTTCAGAAATTTTATGATCTCAGATGGAATAATAAAATCAATTGCATAAAACAGAGCTCTCCACAAATTTCTGTTCATAATAATAAAGATTTGACGCAAGGATTACCTGGAGTGCTGTTTCTTTCTCGAGAAGATATGCCTTGGAAAACGTCTTCTGCTTCTCAACTAGGGTCAGATGGGCCATGTTCTGCCGTAAATCGGCGGTGGATGGACCCTAAAAGGTAACACGGAATAAAATCTCAGTTCCTCATGATTTCTAAAACAAAAATAAATCAATTACATTACTTTTTGACAGGCTCTTTTTGGAAGTACTATGCTTCAGAACCGAAGAGAAGAAGACAGGCCAGACTTATTAATCAACCGAAACCGAGATATATAACTTTATGTAAAACAAAGTATTGCTTTAATAGGACATACTAAGGTAATATTTTAACACAATATATTTATACTTAAGGCAGATTATAATTAAACTTACTTCTGCTGGATTTAGTGGTGTACCATTGCTTTCCGTTTTCATGTTTAATTCGGCAAGACCGCAATTGTGGACGACATCAGTGTTTCATCTAAAAAACTCCACGATTCAACTGCCGGTTATATATATTACACTTGTTCTCAAAAGCGCAACAGCGAATTTAAATTAGTTTGAAGCATTAAGAGATCGATGTTCCGCGCTCAAAACCAGATTCTAAAATGTCTAGTTGGACTGTAAATTTAGTTTTACCGCAGAGACGGAAAAAAAAATAAAAAAGACGAGCAGCTTAAGCAAATCTTGTTTTCGTGGTGGGACCCAATCTCGGGGTCCTTGTCTAGCGAATTCGAAATTACATTCCACTTTCACGTAAAATTTACACAGATGAAAAGTGGCACGACAACCCACGTTACGTAACATTTTTGCAAATTCTTTGACCAGCTGGCCAATGAGTTGAAATCACAGCTAAATTTTTTAATGACTGGCCAAAATCCTGGATGGGCTAACCAAAGTGTCGTACTGAAGTCGCAAAAATAGCTAGCTAAAATGCTGGAATATCAAAGTGTAGGAATGACGTCCGATCTTTTTAAATGGCTCGCCAAAAACCTGGATCGGCTAGCCAAAGTGTCAAAATAGCTATGAAGCCTCGAAAAAAGCTAATTGATTTTTTAAAAATCCTATGAATGTGATTTTTGAAATCCTTGCCATTACCTATAGATCCAAAAATTTCCTCCATATTCTGCCTTTTCGATGCTGGCTTCATTTCGGATCGGTTCATTCCTAACAATTGTAAGGAAGCCAAACAAATGAAAATGTTTATTTTCAATTTTGGCGATACTTTTTTACTTTTCAATTTCGGCTCTGAACTCTGCCGGAGTGTCAGGTTGATGTTTCTCGTCCGCTTTAATGAATGCAGGAAGTTTTCCCAATTCCTCGTTAATTCTCTGGATGATTGGAAACTTTCTCATGTCCACGTTAAATCTGTAAGAGTTGTTTGTATTCACTTATACCTTAGATGTCTGAAGGAATGCCTGACTGGACCCCACAATGAAAAAGTACTGGCATTTGGCCAAATTGAAAAAATCTGGCCAAAGTGAAAAAAAAAAATATTAAAGTGAATTTTTTTGAGGAAACGTGCCCTTTCGGGGTGATCTCTTTCGGGGTCAAGGCAAATTTTTTTCAACCATCTCTATTTTTCAAAAATTTTACAAGATTACGTCATAAAATTAATCAGGAGTTTAAAAAATGGGGGCTAAGGTAGTACAGCCCCCCAGTCCAGTTTAGCCCCCCATGACCCAGTACAACCCCCCTCGTCCATTCGGAACCCCAAAATTTATTTCAAAGAATTAATCCAAGTTGTATGGTCCAGCACAAGCCCCTTACGTTTTAGATGAAGCCCCTACGTTTTAGAAAAAGCCCCCTACGTTTTAGGTCAAGCCCGCTACGTTTTAGATCAAACCCCCAACGTAGTAGATCAAACCCCCACTTACATTTTTTGTATTATTCTAATTTGTTCATTATGTGGGGTGTGAAACGGGCAAAACAGTGGGTTGTTTGAACTACCTTTCGTGGGGGGTTGAACTACCGAAGCCCCAAAAAATGTGACTATTTATGCTCCGGGACCCGGAAACCCCATTATTTGCCTTGACCCCGAAATGGCTCATCCCGAAAGGGCAGTAACCCGTTACTTGAAGGAACTGACGCTGTTATCAGCTAACTGAGAGCCAGTCTGTAATTGGCACATATTCAACGTGCCGAACTACCTCAGAATCGACATTTTTTTTCAAAAATTTTACAATATTACGTCATCAAAAGTAGTCAGTAGTTGAAAAAATATAAAATTATTTATGCTCCAGAACCCAGCAACCCCAGAATTTGCTTTGACTTCGTAAGGCCGACCCATTACGTTCTAACCCCGTAGGGGCGCCCCGTAAGATCCCACCCCGTAATGGCCTGTTTCCATTTTTCACGGTTGTAAAAATTTTTTCCGATTTGGCCAAATTTTTTTACAATTTACAGGGGAAGTACCGCAAGTGCGACGCTCGGATTTTTTTAAAATTTTGCACACGCTTCGGGCATAGACTAAGTATCAATTCCTCAAAGTTTTAGCTCGCGCTTTGAAGGCGAAGCCGAGATATTCAACGATCTTTGCGACCGAGAGAGTACGCTAAACGCGGAGAGCGGTCAGAGAGAAAACCACTTTTTGGCCATTGCTTTGCTAGTTTCGTGCGGAAAAGGTTAATTTTTTGTGGAAACATTACCCTCTATGGTAGAAATAGGCATGAAACTTTTTGTGCCGAAATTCGGCAAAAAGTCTTTAATTTTCGCCGACTTTCGATCTAAAAATCTCGATTGTTTCTGCAAAGCGCGAGCTAGTATTCTCGCAGATTTTTTAGAAAAAATTATTCTAAATTTGTGCCAAGTTTCATCAAAATCTGAGCGTCGCACTTGGGGTACTTTCCTTGTTAGCCATATTTTTGCACCATGGCCATAATTCAATTTGGCCAGATTATGTCATTTTGGCCGTTCCGTCATCGGGGGTACCCGAATTTTGTTTTGGGGGGTTTAGTCAGGAAGATTCCCTTCCGAGGGGATAAAGGAGGGGTTCAGTCTCCCTTCGGTCGGAAGTTAGTGCTAATAACCCACCTGATAGCCGAATATACTTGAGATGGGATGCACACATCTACCAGACTCAGCTCATCGCCGACACTGTACTTTCCCGCAGTTGCCTTAAGACGTTTCTCGAGGGTTTCGAAGCCTCTATCAATGAAATGTCTCGCGAATTCTTCTCTCTTCGCCTTGTCATTACTGTGTACAGCAGTGACCCGAGGGTTTTGCAAAGGCTGTATATTGCTTATAATCTAAAGATAACCTCATTCAGCAAAGTACGTCGTCAGTACTTACAATTAGCGCCAGACTTCGAATCAAAGCTTTCTTGGCCGCATTTCCATAAATAAGTTTGGGTCCCTCAAAAACTTCGTCGAGGTATTCGAGGATGGCCAACGACTCTGTGATTACATTCCCATCGTGTACGAAGGTAGGAATCATTCCAGCCGGGTTAATTTGGAGATACTTCTCTTCGGACTAGCAATAAAGAATTTAGAGAAGCCAACTCTTTACCTGTTCCTGGTTCAGTAGATGGATGTGGACCTGCTGGTATTGCACTTTCTTCAATTCTAGTGCAATCCGGACTCTCCATGAACAAGAACTTCTCCAATAAGAGTAAAGAATAGGTTCCGACATATTCACCAAGAGAATTGGGGAATAAATTTTTTTTCGTTGTTGACTGATTGACCTCTATAAATGGCGGGTCAAAAGGAAAAAGATAATTTCCTTTTACAGTGATCTTTAACCCAAAAAAAACGACGGCGTTTGTCTACGAAAGATCAAACGAAAAATAGGTGTGGAAAAGATAATGTTTAGATCACATTGTTCTGAATACCTTTACTTCAAACAATTTTAATAAAGACAAAATAAGTTATATGAACAATAATGAGAGCTGTTTCATCGGTAAATCATCGATAAGTCTTGTTCCTGAAGTCGTTTGTGTAATGAAAAAGAGGAGCAGGACAACGTGGCAGCAACTGATTCCACCGTATTCTCGCCATTACATAATTCGGACATCCTATGAGAAGTAAGCTAATTGAATGTTAATATTACCTTGATTCCGGTAAGTCATCCGTTTGAGGATACACCTTGAGGACCTTGATGAAGTTGTAAAACACTCCGAATTGGATAAATCTCCTCTCATCAATATTAAAATCCCTGGGATTATGAACTCGGAACCAATTCTGCATGTCCATATTTGGCTAAAAAAATTACAAGAACGATGATTACACCTACCGAAAGACTCATATACAATCGGAAGAGATCACTTCTGGTGGGGATGGACAAGGCTTTGTCCTTCTTCACAAAATAAATACATTCTTCCACCACTTTCTGCTCCTTCATAAACAATCGAACGCGAGAAGTAGCCATATAATAATTGGAATACAAAAACATTGGCAGCAATGCGACACATCCATAGAAGTAGAGATTTCTGATGCAGCGGCTAACTAGATCGACATCTATCTGAACCAGACACGCAATGTCTTTCACACAACATACGCCATCAATATACGGACAGATCTGCAAATAACATTACATTAATTGTTCAATCGTCAAACCTACTTTCTGAGATAAAACATCCATCTTGCTGAGGTCAGCGACAGAAATGGGAGGGGTTTTGGTGAAGACTGGGACCATAAACGGATCCACGGAAGGTGGCTCCAGACCATGGAACGCAGGGCACAATTTGAGATACAAAGTGGTCTCGTTTGTAATCGAATAAATACATTCACCTAAAAGCCATTCGATAATGCAGACAGTTTCCCGTCCTACCATTCTCGTTCAGCCCTTGAAATACCCTCTGCATCAGATCCTTCAATCTGGAATCGTTTCTGCTTAGAAATTCTCCTTCAACTTCCATATCTACCAGATATTCAGCACATTTTTGGACCAATGGTTCATACATGCAATCACTCTGGGTGTCTCGTTTGTCCACCACGAAACACATATTGAAGATGTATACTTTCCGTTCGTATTTCTCATGTCGTATTCCAACAGGATACCCCATTACTTTCCAATCGTACATGTTAACCTTAATAAGACGATCCCTCATATCTTCCGACGGGATTATAGCCGAAGCAAACGCATCAAAATGAGTTGGACTGAAGATTTCACCAGGAACCTAAAACAATAAGCGATACCATCTCGCCTTACCTGATATCTGACGACTCGACCAATTTTATTGTCAAATTCAGCGAAAACAATCGCTTTAAGCTTGGGAGATGGCTGTTCGAAAAACTCGGATTGCATTGCGTGAAATTAACCGCCTAGACCGACTTGATATGTTTGGAGAAGGAACGTTTGGGCCACTTAAAAACGTTGACGGATCGTAAGAGATATGCCAATATAAATCCGATAAAAAGTCCTCCGCAAATTCCAAAAAAGTTGGGAATAGGATATTTCTGAAAATAAAAGGCGAAGTAATATTGTACATAATTACAGCAGAACAAACACAGAAGTAAGAACTTACTTGCCACCAACGGTCCCAATCGAGAGGAATAACCACACAGGACAACCAGTTGCCGAACAGGGCGCAGAAGGAGATTAACTTTAATCCTTTTCTTTTGGGATCTCTGAAAAAATCACAAAATAAGTTTACTACAAAAACGATCTACTTAATTATAAAATGAAGACATACGTCTCGTTGTCGTCGAGGACAAAAGGCACAATATCGTCGGTCTTCCCGTCAACGGCTAGACTTAATGGAACGGCGGAACAAAGACTTTGGAGAACGGCCAAGGCTAATGTCCACTCGATGTTTCTAAAAAACTAATTCCAAAAGGTTTGACAACTTACACAAAAAATGGGGCCCCAAAAAGGACAAAAAGAACGTGGAATATTGGAATTCCGATCAGAAAATGCTTAACTACGGCCAAGTTCTTCATTTCAATCCATCTAAACTACATGAAACTTCAAGCACCGAGGAGGTATTAAATGGGCTCAACCAACCAACCACCTATATACTGACTCTTGGCTTAGTCATCCGTTTACTGCAACAAGGAACAAAAAAGAAGAAGATAAAACAAGTAACAAATAACAAATGTCACAACTTCAGCTTGAGCTCTGGCAATCCAAATACCGGACTTTTGGATAAGTTGGAGATCGAGGGCAAGGGACCTCGACTTTGTAGTAGTTTGAACATTCCAGTTCCAATTCGAGCTTGTGTTCCCATAATAATACTCTCCGAAACACCCACAAGATCATCTTTCTGACCAAAGAAAGCGGCTTCAAACAGATGGTCAGTGGTCCTTTCGAACGAGGCCAACAGTAAAACCGACTCTTTCATTTTCACCAATCCATTTCTTGTGATTCCCAACACTTCTCCTCTGAAATCAGCACTAAATTTTATAGAAAAGAACACACCTGTAAGTCATCAAATCTGCCAGAAGCATGACATGTCTCCTGTCCAATTCGATTCCATGCGATTTCATGGTGGAGATGATTTCTGACACTATGGACACCCGGGCCGCTTCAATACCCAAGACTTCGGCCACAACTGAGGCGTTGTTGAAGACGGTTTTGTTCGGCTCGGTCTCGTATACAGCCATCACATCCTTGAAGTCAGTGCCTTCTACAAGCAACTGGTAGCTCTCTCCCCTTCTCTCGTCCGCATGGATCACACATCTGACCACGTTGGGAAGTCCTTTAACAACAACATTGACCAGAGAATATTTGAGACAATGAAGAGCCATTGTTCGGGACATCCCTTCATCGTCTCCAGGCCGCACCATAATCATCGTCTTCCCGACCGGTCGAAGCTGGCGGTTTTTAAGTGGGATTGGGAGTTTGGTGGATTGGATGGCTTGAATAATGGTATCCATGGTCACTTCCAGTTGAAGCAATCGAATCCTCCGAGCACTGAGTTTGATCAAAACAAAAGAATCGTCGGGAAGAAACACTTGCTCTATGTATTCACTAATCTCTCCTAAAAAATCATCATGTGGAGAGTGTTATCGTACCTAAAGTGGTTTTCTCAATTCTGGCTTTGACTCTTCTGGCCAGTTTCTCGTCGCTATCATTCTTCAAAGCTACTGTAATGACGGGTGTGGAGATGTGCCTGACAGCATTGATTATCTCCTTGATTCTGGGGACTCCTTCAGTGATATTCATTGAAGCAACGCCAGCAAAATGGAAAGTTTTAAGGGTCATTTGAGTTGACGGTTCCCCAATAGATGTGGCCGACACGGCACCAACAGCAGTCCCAGGCTCAACAATCGCCTTCTTCAACTTCTTTTCGCATAATTCAATGAATGTCATCACTTGGGCATGGCTGAGATAATGCGCCTTAATCAAGGTCTGACGAACATTCCTTGCGTTCTGGCAGAACTGGCATTTGTTTCTAGTAACAATCCTGAGAAGATCAGAATTAATATAACAATGACTTACGTAGCATTTGCATGCTTGTTACAAGTTGAAGGGAGTTGGAAGAATGATTGCTTCGAGTCGAGGTAACCCATCAAAAACTCGATAAGTCTCTGTCCGAACAGGCTGTGAAATTTGGCAATCGGCTTAATGGCTTCATCAATAAGAACTTTCATTCCCTCGCCATCAAGGAGATCATTCTCATTGTATTCAAACCTACAAAAATATTAAAATCCAAGAGTTGATGCTATTTACGGGCAAATGTTTCTGGTATGGAAGAGTATATGATTGAAGTCAACAACATCTCCATCTTTGGCTTCCATGAAACACGGGTCAAGTCCATCCTCTCCAAACTTGAACTGAACAATATCACCAGTCGACGATCTCACTGTATTATCGTAGTTTACAGCTAAATCTTCTAGACATTTCACCAATCTTCGCTGCATGTAGCCTGTCTCGGCGGTCTTAACAGCAGTATCCACCAATCCCTCTCTTCCGGCCATGGTGTGATAAAAGAACTCAGTTGGAGTAAGTCCGGAATAAAAGGAGTTCTCAACGAACCCTCGTGCTACAGGACTCTTATCATTCTTCTGAAACAAGGGAAGACATCGGTACTCAAAACCTTCAGCGGGACGGTGACCGGAGATAGACTGCTGACCCACACATGCAATCATCTGGGAGATATTGATAAAGGATCCCTTGGAACCACAAATGGCCATTGTCAAGGGGGTATTGCTTCTAAAAGAACATGCCAAAGCATTGAGAAGGTCTTACTTCGACAGATTATGCAAACAAGATTTTCCAGCGTGATCTCTGATCTGAGACAACTCATGCAAAATTAAACTTTCTAAGGTTTCGCCTTCTGTTTGGCCGGGCCGAGATTTCAATTTTCCGATTCTCAATTGTTCGATAAATTCTTCGCATTCTGAGTACCCGTTATCCAACAACTGCTTCTTTTCCTTAAGCAAACTGGCACTTGGAGTGACATCGCCGATCCCTACAACATATCTCTTCATATTTACATCAAAACTCTGATCATATTCATTCAGATCAAACGTACCGATAGAAAATCCTCTGTTAGATAAAAAAACGGGACTTATTCGAGCCAATCTCCACATGGCTTCGAGGCCATAATCTTCTCCAAAGTCTCTCAATAACACATAAAATATGTTAGTTTTGCTTCCAGATCCAAGCAATGCCTTGTCCAACATTCCACACAACAGTTGATTGTTTTTAATAATAACAAATGTGTCCTAAAGCTTTTAAAAAAAGGAAAGTTTACTTACTTTTGAAGAGAACTCATCCTGCCCTTTAGGGTGAGACTTGTTCGGAGTTGATATATTAACCCGAACATGAGTGCCGAGTTCTGGGGCAAGGATCAATTCAACCAACTAAAAGCATCAGATATAGTAAGTGTGAAAGAGGGACACATCAAAAAAACTGACAAAGGTTACCTGCTTCCCTGTCCAAAGTTCTTTTGGCTTTAAAATAGCAGGTTGTGGAACTCTTATCTTATATTGATGCTTAGCGTTAACGTCGACCAGAGCTGCCGCACATCTGTAAATCTCATCTCTTGGCAAGAACGTGTCTTTATGGGTGATTACATAAGCAGCCGTGATGAAATCTTGAATAGCTGCAACCAAAGGTTCCCCGGACCTTGGCGTAATCAGATTGGACTTGATATTCATCAACATCGACGCTTCGGCCCTGGCTTCATACGTCTGTGGAAGATGAAGATTCATTTCATCACCATCGAAATCAGCGTTATAAGGAGTACAAGCGCATTCGTTAAAACGGAAAGTTCTAAAAGGCATAACCTTTGCCCGATGAGCCATTATACTAATCCGATGGAGAGATGGCTGTCGATTGAAAAGAACAACGTCGTCGTCCTTCAGATGGCGCTCAACAATATCTCCGTATTGAAGAGATTGAGCAAGTTGTTCTCGGTTTCCGTATCTCAAGAACTTCTTATTTCCTGTCCTCCGATCAACGATATGATTGGCCCCGGGATGAGTAGAGTCTCCATTAATCACTAATTTCTTCATTAATTCAATATTGGTTTTGTTGACAATTTCGGGGAAAGTGAGGATCTTGGCCACATGAATGGGGACACCGACTTGATCAACTTTCAAATTCGGATCTGGAGATATTACCTAAAACGAAAAACATTGAAATGAACCTATATCTTACAGTCCTCCCACTGAAATCGACCCGTTTTCCACTGAGGTTTCCTCGGAATCGTCCCTGTTTTCCCTTCAGACGTTGAGTAAAACTTCGAACAAACTTCTTTGGCTGCAGATCTGGAGGTAATCCATTCAACTCGCTGTTGATATACAAAGCACACTGTATTTGAAGAAGGTCCCAGGTCTCGGCTACCGTCTTCATGGGGGCTCCATCGTGTTTGTGTTTCCTCAAAACCTCATTGATCATCATAATCTCCATTAACTTAACAGTCAAGTCATCTTCATTGGAACCAGCTCTAGTCTCGGTCATAACCGATGGACGAATACAAACTGGCGGGACGGGCATTCGAGTAAGAAGAAGGTCTATTGGATGCTGGACGGCATCGGCTTGAACCATCAAGAAGGGGATATCCTAAAGAGAAAGTAATAAAAAATTTAAAAGACTTACAGATTTCTGAATCTTTTTGAATAAATTGTATACGCGGAGGGGATCCACTAGATTAAACTTGACCATGCTGACAAGAGAATTGAGTTCCTTGGTATCCTTATTCCCCATACAGAATTCCTTTTCATCTCCCACGGGTTCAGCATGAACCACCTTGAGAACAGCGCCAACGGCTTTCTTAACCGTTCCGTTTTGGAATCCGCATTCAGGACAAGTAGAGATCTTTTTACTTAGGGCGACGACTTTCTTCTGGATTGCCTTCCGCCTAAGATAATCTAGAGTTGGATTCTGAATTTGCTTTAGGATAGCTTCCTTGGCATCTCCGGTCAACAAAGTTGAAGCGCACCTCTGAAATCAGCTCGACTACACGTGAATCAGCAATTATAACACATATTATATATTATACCTTGCATATACACTGAAGGGTCTGGATGACAAGTCTAAAGAAACCGACGTGGAAAACCGGATATTCCAAATTCATATAACCGAAATGGCCAACACAATCCGTTGAATTCTGGCCACAGGTCTCGCAGTTAGCGGTTTTCGAGCATGTTCCCAACCGGTTGTCCAACGGTCCAAACAGTGTTGGGTTCATCCTCCCTCCTCCATCCTCATATAATCTGCTATTGAAAACTTGTAAATGAGAAATTTGCCTAATATCAACAGCACTACCAGTCGTAAAACGGACGGATTCACTGAAAAAATATAATTAACAGTCATATCATGAATATTTTGGGCCTTACACCGTCCTTGAGTGATCGGATTCCCGAAAAAGTTCTTTAACCATGTTGAGATACGCCTAAAAAATTCGAGAATTGGACGGAGTGAAATTTGACAGTCTTTTTTCACTGCAGTCGTACGGAATGTGACTGTTTATTTATTTTTTGCAGTGAAAAATACCAATTTCACTCTGTCCAACCCCCTATCCAACTTCCACACAATGTCCAATTTATTTCTGTCAGTTTCATTCTGTCAAATTTCACCTGTCCAATTTCCATGAACCCGGGTAGCCACTTGAAATGCCAAGCGTTGGCATTCAATGTTTTCGTGTCGGGAAAATAAGTTGATGGAATTGTAATACTTGTATTATCTCAAGTTCTATAACAGTTTACTGCTTTATTGTACCTTTTCCGACCTTACGTATATGTTTCTGTAAGGTCTAAAATTAGAACGTATATTATAGTTCATATCAGAGTTTAGCACCACAAACGGCAAGACCAAGGAAAATTTGGCAGCTACGGATCAGACCGAGTACTTGCCGGGTCCGGCCCGACTATTCTTTCCGTTTAGCTAGCCAAACAAAAAAATGTTGGGCCAAGGACATTGCCAAAACAGGTTGATCAATCAAACGTCAGTTTCACATCGCTAGAGTACCGTATTCTTGAAGATTGTATGGTCGGACAATGAACTAACGGTTTCACATTATACACATATTACTGGCATGACATTAGAAAAGAACTGCGTTACTTCTCATGCCGCAATTTAGGAGGTGGCTCGCTGATGATTAAAGACAAAGACAAGATAAAAAAAGTATTTTGTAAACGTATTTCCATTCCGAATACGTATAATAAGTTTTGTCAGCGGGCGCTTTTTAACTTAGAAAAAAGCTCTACATAATACACACATATATATATGTATAAGTTTTTTTCTGGAGGAAAATAGGACTTTTTCTATAAATCTTTTCTGGGGAAAACTATTTTCGTCCAGAATCGAAAATATTTTTTCCTATATAAAGATTAGAGACGTTTCATCGTATAAAATGTCGCTAATTTTTCTTTTGACGGTTTTTGGCTAGTTGGGCGAGCCGGGTGCACACGCGTGAGTGTTAGTAGAGTTGATCGAAACAATTCGTCAAGTTATTACTCACATCGCATTACTCGGAATCCGATTTTTGTTTAGCCGACCAACGTCCGGTATACGCGTTTGTTATGGCATGTATATATGATAATCGATATGATTTGATTTATGGTACGAGGCTTTATGAATGTTATCTAAAATCTGTATCCCAAATAAATATTGTTTCGTTCAGTATTTACCAAAAATTGTTTTTCCTGGTGTAATATCGATGCCATTATTGACTTTTCTATTGATTTTATCCGGCCAGTAAAATATTTTCTTTTCTGCCGCACTTATTATGGATATATTATAGTATGTTACTCAAATGGGGTCGAATAAAACCGGTAACTATTACTTCTTCATCTCGCCTTTGCATCAAAGACTTTCCGGTAATTTGAACGTTGTGTTGTCTTGTTCGTGTTTTCAGTTTCAGGTTGATCGTTCGACAATGATAAGATCAATATTATTAAAAGTGTGAAAGTTGATTTTTGCAGATTTTGAAAATAGATTTCGTAAATGGCGGATCTTCAATAAGCGGCAGTACCCCCGTTCTAGCAGTACAGAGCCTAAACCAAGGAATCTAAAGAATCCGGATAAACCAGTTTGTTTCACTTCGCCTATTCCAAGGAAGAACATGAATTGTAAGGTCTCCATGTTCATTAAAAGAATTTGTGATTTTTAGTGGACCTTAGTTCGCGACGTCCTCGAATTCCCCTAGAGTTGATGGAAACATCAATCTCGGATAATGAACTGAATGATCGATATAAGGTCGTCCAGGAAATGTCGGGGATTTTGAAGATAAATGGCCAGCTCTATCAGGATGTGAAGGTTGAGGATCTTATTTATATGAGTGATCTGGGCTCGGGAACTTGTGGAACTGTCTCAAAACGAAAGTTAAAGGCTCGAGCCATGGCGGTTAAGGTAAAAATTTTTAACTATTATCTGATTGTTGTAGGAGATGAAACGGACAGACAACAAAGAAGAATCTAAACGAATATTCATGGACTTAGATGTTGTTCGAAAGTCGAACGACTGTCCCTACATCGTACAATGCTTCGGGTATATAATCACTATGGACCATCTCTATATTTGCATGGAGTTAATGGCCAATTGCCTTGAAAAGGTCCTCAATCAAAGGAATTACATTGGCCTGCCCGAGGAAATAATCGGAAAGGTTGCTTACAGTGTGGTGGAAGCTCTTGCATATCTTAAGAATGTACATGTGGGTACCTTTTTCTTTGAGCTCATGCTTTTAGAGTCTTATGCATCGAGATGTAAAACCATCGAATATTTTGCTGGATTGGCACGGCAACATTAAACTCTGTGATTTTGGGATTTCCGGGCAGTTAATTGACTCAAAAGCGACAACCTGGTCTACTGGATGCACGGCTTACCTTGCGGTTGGTTTGACCTTTTCTGTTTGTATTGGTTTCCTTTTTTAATTAATGTTCCTTTTTCAGCCTGAGCGTATCAATCGCCTGCCATATAACGTCACAGCAGATGTTTGGAGTCTAGGGATTACGCTTGTTCAACTTGCCAAGGGATTCTTTCCGTATACCGAAGACCCTACTCAGAGTTTGACTCCATTCGTGTTGATGCTCAAGATCAGAGATGAAGATCCACCTCAAATAGATCCCAACAATTTCAGCCCTGAATTCTGTGATTTTGTAAAGAGTTGTCTTCTGAAATCAAACCAAGAACGGCCAAAATACGACAGACTTTCGGTATGCGCCAACTTCAACCCCGGGAGACTTAGAACTGCTACATTAACCATTACTTTTTGATCTTTTTAGAAAATGCCCTTTCTTATTCGTGCGTCCCAAAGCGATGTAGACGTTGGTCATTGGATGGCGAATCAAGACCAGTACGATCCGCCATTCCCACCTCGAGAGTAATTGGTCAGTCCCTTCGGTGAATCAAATGTATCCACATTCCAGATATCTGGACCTTTCTAAGTCATCTCATTTTTCAAATTTTTAACGTTAATAAATTATATGGTTTACGTGTATCTAAAGTATAACGGTATGGTAATTGTATATCCCATTAAATTGCTTTTATCTTACATTCATATATTTATAACATTTCACCGCATGAAATGGGGGAGATGTTTAGCTTGGTAGGAGTATCTGCGTATGGCTTCTTGGAATGTCTTGAGGATTTGCAGATAATTGAGGGGGCTGGTGTTTAATTTCTTCATCATGTCACTAAATTGAGATAAATCAGGCTGTTTAGTCACGTACTAGTATAGAAACCGGATTTCTCGAGGGAGGTGGTTGAAGCAGAGGGATGACGGGAACCTAAGTTTTGCTTCGGCGATTGCTTCGGACATGCAGATGGACCGCCAGGGTAGTCTGAACGGGTGTTTGTTATCTTGTATAGACTCACTTTCCGTAAATCAGTTCAGCTATGACAAAGATAACGGAAACGATATCATCTGCGGGTCCCAAGTCTTTTCCACGATGAGAATTCAATGAAGAATACCTCAATGTCCCCGTAAAAGGAGCGTGCAGTCGAGGTCTAAGCGATGTAATATTACGGTAGTTCCTTACTCTGACGGGAATGGTAATACAGAACAGAAGTCGATAATTACAATTTCATGCTGCAATCGGGCGATTGTGATCGGGATCTTGTAACCAAATGTGTAAGGGGAAACTCCACGATGGACAAAGCCGAGACGGTGCAAAGAAGCCAGAGCTCGGATCATACCGTATCCAACAACCAGTGCTATGAGTGGCGGGAGATATCTGCAGGAAATAATTGATAATATTAAGTCCTTAATGTACCCTTTTTCACTGAATGCTCTGAACTCGGCTATGGGATGGGTCTCATGGCTGAATATGCAAATTGATCTATTTGTAATATCCGGTGAAGGTTCTTCTTTTATACGGCCGTCCTCGGTATAACACAACTGAAAGTATAAATGAAAATGAGTTAATTTTTTACGGCTGGTATAGTTCCATGCAAAAGTAGTTCTGGGATATGTTTTGACTTCTTGTCTGCCCTCTGAAGGACGGAGATCTGTTTCTGAACCATTCGTTGTCCCTCGTCGAAGTTGTTATCTCCTGTTGTGACCATCATGTAGATCGGTTTCGTTGGATATGCTTCATTGAACATCTAATGATGATCCTATAGACCAGTTAGAGCCGTTACCTGATAGCATGTTACGGGACGAGTGACTACCTCATCGATGGGTGCGTAAATAATGAAACGTTCGGATATTTCTCCGGCCAAAAAAAAGGCCACCTTTTCGCCGGTTACATTTGGGTTACTCATTTGCCATAGAACGTCGACCGACTGCCAAGGGAGATAAAAGAAGAATAAAAAAATTTCCTGCAGTTTGAAATTTCTACATGATTTTCGAAATCCAACCCTCGAGGGTAGAGGGCCCTCTACATCCCTGTTTCAGGAAAACTATTCTTCGGCGGTCATTTTCGAGGCTCAGCGGTTATTTGTAGGGCTGTTTAAGTCGTAAACTTGACGTGACAGTCCCGTTGTCAAATTGCCGTCATATTCGTTATGCTAAATTGTTCTTTTATTTTGATTCTCAAATTGAACTTTTTTGGAAAGTTTTTGCTGATTTTTGCTAAAAAATTTGTGAGAATCCAAAATTAACGAAGAGTTCATTATCGACCTCTTCGCTTTTTCTCCCACAAAATTCTTGCACGACTGAGAACGTTCTGTCCGATAATTAAGTTTCTTTAAAAGATATCCATTTCCTTATTTACAGAACACGGTGACGACGGAGTAATTACACTAAAGTATTTATTAATAGCAAGCAAATTATAACAATAATGCCATACAAGCTATACAACATTATTTAGGCAGTTTTCGAAGTTAAAAAAGCGATTAGCTTTGGAACATTTCGTGGACAAAGGTTTCGTAATCTAGGGCCCCTTGGATGGTTCGGTTCGTTCCCGCTTCGACGTAAGGTTTCATTCGACGGAGACAGTAATCCGCTTGTGTTGGCGTCAGATTCTGTAAATAGGACGTATTTTGGTATTGGGATTTTAAACATAAGAAAGACTCTCCACTTACAGCGTATAGTTCTTCGGCGGTGACATATGGGCGCATCTCGCGACTCAAAGCCCTGAAGGCACGCTCGATATCCTCACTAGAGTTAACGTTCTCGGTTTCTTTGTTGATCATGAAGCTCATGTATTCTTGCAGAGTAATATATCCATCCCTAGAAGAGAACGTTTTTGTTGGAGAGATCTCTTACCTGTTGGGGTCTACAATATCCAAGATTCTCTGGAACTCCGGTTCATTCTGGCCTTCATCCACAGTAGGAAGATCGTAACCAAGAGATCGGTAGCAAGATTTGAAACTTTGATGATCCAGACGGCCAGTTTTGTCCTAAAAACGTTTCATTTGATGTATGTCGTTTCCATACCTTGTCGAAGTGCATGAACATCATGGAGAAGTCTCGAAGTGCCTTTTCGCTGACTCCGGAGTGGTTTCGGGCCTGGATCTGTTGCTCCAGACTGTGTTGCATTCTCATCGCCAACTGATCGATCTGATCCCAAGCCTGTGCAAGGCCCACAGTAGAATGTTCTGTATAGCGATTGTTAAGGATTAGCCTTTCCTCGAGGGCGGCACCCAATTGCTCGATCTGAGAGAGGTGATCTCTCTGGCCTTTGATCTCTTGGGTCTTTCGCTTGAGCATGTCCAGTTGTTGTTCTAGAGATCCATGAGTCTCCAACATCTCGGATCTAGTGTTGGCCAACCACTGGTAGAAACTGTTGGCGATCTGAGCAAACTCTTGTCGCAGTTTGTCATTCTGTTCTTGCCGAATATGCTCCTTAACCAGTTCGGCATCACGTTCTTGGATAATTTTCTGTAGGTTCCTCCACGTATCTTCCAAAGCTTCCATGGTAAACCAAGTGTAAGGGTTAGGGCCAACATTGTAGGTCTTAATTTGGCGATCAAGCTCTTGAAGTTGTCTAAAGTCTTTCTCCGCTGACACTAAAGACTTCTGGAATTCGGCATGAGCTTCTCGAAGGGTTCTTATCTCATCCAACGAGTTACATCTAACGGGATCAGTTAGATCCTCTTCTGCGTTTTCAAACCACGAATTGAAAGCGGAGGCCTTCTTGGCGAAGCTCAAAAAGAGCTCCTCTACCTTCTTGTATTCGGCTTGGGTATCCATAAGTCTCTTTCTTCGGTTAACGGAGTTCGCCAGAAGATGTTGCCATCTTTGGATAACGTTTTTATGACGACGTTCGATCTCAGGGGTCTGTTTGTGATCACCCGCCACTAACTGGTCCTTGAGCTCGGTGATTCTCTGGATACCTTCTTGTTGGAAAGCATTCAATCCGGCATCAAAAGCCTCTTGCTTAGTGAGAAGAAGTTGAACGGACGAGAGATCTCTACCGTAATCCTCGGATCTGACATGGGCTTCTTTCTCGGCAATCCAACTCTCTACCACGTCGCACTTCCACATGAACTGGAGGTAAGCACTGTTGTCTTGAAGCTTAATTCGTCTCTCCTTGGCCAATGAACGAACATTATCAAGGTCGCGACGGAGTTGCTGCACTCGTTGTTCAATCTCAGGTCCATGATGGTTCTTTTGGTTTATCAGATCTTTTCCTAGGACAGCAATGTCATCAATTCTTTTTTGATGAGTCTCGAGATCTGTGTCGAAGGTGTCATGTTTCTTCAGAAGGCCTTGTACAGCAGCCATGTTTTCTCCGAAGTTGGGACCGCTGAGAATCTGCTGCTTTTCGTTTAGCCATGCTCTCTCTTCTTCGACCTTTCCGATGAAGTTTTGGAAAGCTTCAGATTCGTTGAGTTTCTGGTCACGGTCCGTCGTCAGGTCAACGATCTGTTTCCAGCTGTCTTCCAATGCCAGCATTCTTTGCCTGATTTCGGGACCTCCAATGTCGGTGGCTTCCAAGAGTTCGATTCCTTTGGACTTTACATTCTGAACAACTTGTTCATGGGTTGCCAATTCATTATCTAATCGGCGATGCTTTCTACGAAGGTTTTGAACCCCAGCCAAATCATGGCCATAGTCATCACTGCTGACCAAGAGTTTCTTCTCCTTGATCCAGCTCTCTTCTTCGTCGATATCGCGAAGGAATTGGTGGACATTGATAGCTTTATTCAGCTTCTCGCGGCGTTCAGCGGCCTTTATCTTAACCTCATCATAACGATCCTTAATGGCGTTACGACGTTCGTTGATCTGGGCATTGTCAAATTGCTCGGAAACAAGAAGGGAATCAGCCTGTTGATCCATTTCATGGAGTCGATCAACATGAGCGGCGATATCAGCCTCGAGCAACTGGTGTTTCTTCAGGAGATTCTCGATGGATCCAAGATCACGGCCATAGTCGTCTGAAGCTAAGAGAGTCTCAACCTCACCCAACCAGAACTCAAGATCCTTGACGGCAGCCATGAAGCTCTTCTGTTTGTTGGCCTCCTTCAACCGATAACTCTTCTCTGTGGTCGTTTTCATCAGAAGATCCCATTGTTCTTTCATTGATTTTAGTTTGTCGGATACAGCGACTTCACCACCTCCACATTTGGCATTGGTAATGAGGTTTTCACCGGCATTCAGAAGAACGGCAATCCTATCAGCGTTGGCAGTAAGCTCTGCTTCGAATGCCTGTTGTTTCTGATACTTTTGTTGTATCTTGGTTGGATCGCGGTAACTCTCTTCCTGTGCGATCTGATATTTCTCGGCAATCCAGTTCTCGACTTCCTCGGCATCTCGACTGAATTGTTGGAGTGTTTGCGACTCTCCGAGTTTGGATCTCTTCTCAATTAGGGCCCCTTTGAGACCTTCCCAACGATCCAGGATCTCGGCCTGCTTCTTGTCAATTGCCTGAATGATTTGATTACGAAAAAAGTCCTTTTAACTTACGCCCTTATCATAGTGATCGCCTGAAGCCAATTCCTTGGCGAACTCACGAAGACCATTAATCTTCTCCTGCTGAGACGCGATGGCCTTGTCGAAGTCTTCGTGCTTCTTTATCAACGACTCCACGTTGTCAGTGCCATCATCGGCATTCAAGAACTGTTCACGGGCTGTCATCCACGTGTCAGCTTGTTCGCATTCACGGTAGAATAGTTGAAGTTCAAGGCATTGGTCGAGCACCTTTCTTCGGTTGACCCACGCTTGTTCCAAATCTTGACGAGCTTGTTCAATGTCCTCGATTCTCTGTCTGATGTCATCCGTGGCATAATGCTTGTTGTCCATCAGTTGCTTACCAAACTGTTGGAAAGCTTGCACACTTGGGGCGCGGGCGTCAATCTCAGTACGGTAATCTTGATGTCTCTCCAGCAGCGCTTCAGCCCCCGTCACATCATTCGCCAACTCGTCTGAGGAAACTAATTGACGCATACCGGCGATAAACTGCATGAGGTCGCGGTAATTGCTAAGAAATCGTTGGTAATCGTAGCTGTCAAGAAGTTTGTCTTTTCTGGAATTTGCCTTCTGGGTGAGATGATTCCATTGCTCGTTGATTTGCCGTTGGAGGTCGTAAATTTGCTCCGCAGCTTCGGGATGAGTTTGTCTGAGCTTGTTGGCTTTCTCATCAAGTGTCTTGATCTTGTCTCCAAGTGCCGCCAAGTCTCTCTCAACACCATCATGCTTCCGTTGAAGAGCTTGGACTGAGCGGAGATCACGGCCGAAGTCATCCGAATCGAGAGCTTCGTTCTTCTCCTGGATCCAGTCCTTAGTCTCGTCAATGTCACGGTGGAACCGTTGAACCTCATGAGCCGAGTCAAGTTGCTGCTCTCTCTGTTCTGCCTTCTGTTCAAGAGCTTTCCAGCGTTGATTCAAGTCATCAATTTGTTGACGAATCTTAACGGCAGTTTCGGTTTGCCCGATATTAATCAGAGCAGTGGCGATCTGGTTCATTTCGTTGAGTCTGATCTCATTTGCTTTCATGTCTCCCTTAAAGTCATCGAACTTCTTCTGAAGAACCTCAACTTGTTCAAGATCCGTACCGATCTCTTGTTGGGAGGCAACAGTTTCTCTGGATCGAATCCAATCAGCCAAATCATTAGCTTCTCGTAAAAGTTGGTAACCTTTGCAGGCTTCTTCTAACTTTCTCTTTCTCTGTTCTCCGAGTTGAAGGAGTCGCTGATATTGATCTTCAATTTGTTGTTGTTTGGCATTAATTGTATTCGGCGGCTGTTGTGCCAAAGCTTGGTGATGATGCTGCGATCCTGGCTCGATCTTCTTCACATAAGAAGCGGGAACAAAGCCTTGACGATCGTTGACTTCCACTTTCCACCAGTCCTTGTTCGTCGAGTTCAACAAGGTTAGGATGTCTCCTTTCTTCATGGAGACTTCGCGGGGTGATTTCTCTGTGTAATCGTAGAGAGCTACGACGCATTCTTTGCCCAATTGACCGCCTGGTTGTTCTTGATATTTGCATTTACCGGCTTCTTGTCGGAGGTTCTCAATGGTTGAATAAAAGGCTTCAAGATCTGACATGAGAGCACGGTGCTTCTTCAAGAGGGACTCAGCGCTGTCTTCGTCCTTGCCATAATCGGTAGATCCGACGACCGGCTCCTTTTCTCGCATTCTCGATTCAGCTTCAGTAGCATCGGCCAGGTATTGATGGGCTTGGCAAGAGTCATCCAGATCTTGGCGTCGTTTCTCGGCCTTGTTCTTGAGGTTTCTCCAATTGTCTCTCAGTTGGGCCAACTTGTCACGAATATCGACAGCTAAGAAATGACCGCTGTTGATCATATCCTCCGCGGCTTGAGCCACGGATTCCATCTGAGGTTCGTGGTTGTTTATTTCGGCGATTAAAGCAGCTTGTTTCTTTATAAGGTTTTGGACACCAACCAGATCACGACCTCGGTTGGTACTGGCGGCGATTTGCTCCTTCTCTCTTATCCAGGCCAACTCGTCTTCGATGTCACGGAACAGTTTGTTCCCTTCAAGAGAGTCATCCAGCTTCTTCTTTCTCTTGGTCAAGGGCTCGCTTAACTGATCGAATCGAAGGTTTAACTGTTCCTGTTTCCTCACGATGATTGGAGCGTTGAAATGTTCGCTCTGGGCAAATTCTTCAGCTTGTCGTTTAATGTTCTCAATTCGGTCGTTGTGGGCATTGTAATCGTTTTCAAGCAAAGATAGCTTTTTCTGCAGATTCTGGACGCTGATGAGATCTTTTCCAAAATCTTCGCTCTGAAGCTGCCCTTCCAGTTCACTGAGCCAGATCTCGACATCTTCAATGTTCCTATTAAATTGCTGCTCTTCATGGGCTTCATTTAGCTTAATTCCCTTGCGTTGAGTGGCATCAACCAAGTCGGCCCAAAGATTGTCGACTTCAGAGAGTCTGTTGTTGACGTGATCACTTGCATAATGGCCTCCATCGACTAGTCGTTGACCTTCGGCCTTCAATTCATCCAGCCGATTTCTGTTTGCACGAAGTTCTTGTTCGAAGTTGGCGTGCTTCTGGAGTTTTCCGCGAATATTGGTGGGGTCTAGGTAACTCTCGTCTTTGGCAGTCTTCAACTTCTCATTGATCCAGCTGAGCATTTCATCGCAGTCTCGATCGAATGATTGAAGTTTGAAAGATTCCTCCAAACGCGCTCTTCTTTCATTGGCTCTATGGATAAGTTGAGTTCTTCTGTCGAGAAGGGATTGTCTCCTCTTAGCAACATCATCCGAAGAGTAATGTTGGCCTTCAATGAGCTTTGTAGCAAATTCATCCAATGCCCGAATCTTCTCTTCTTGAGCGGCCAATGATTTCTCGAAATCCTCGTGTTTCTTCAAAAGACTTTCAACACTGTCAAGCGAATCCCCCAGATCTTGATTGGCCAAGAAAGCTTCTTGTTTTGTCATCCAATTTTCGGCTTGAGCTGTATCTCTATAGAAGAGTTGGAGATCCATGCATTGTTCGTAGAGAATTCTGCGTTCTTCCCAGAGTTTCTCCAATTCGGATTGTTCAGAGGCCAGAGTCTTCAAATAATCTCGGACTTGATCACTCTTATCAGTCAGTCCTTCGTTAAGAAGTCTTTGGCCAGATTCAGAGGTTTGAGCGAAGCTGTCGGCACGGGCATCGATTTCTCCTTTATGTTCCTGATGGTTCTCTAGCAGGGCTTCAGCACCGGCCACATCCTTGGCCAACTCACTGGATGAGATCAAAGTTTTCATTCCTCGGATCCAGTCAATTAATTCACGGTAATCAGCCAAGAATCGGTGTAAATTATAAGACTTGTCAAGGTTTCGTTTTCTTTCATGGGCTTTCAATTTAAGTGCATCCCATCTGGATTGGGCCTCTTGAAGTTTTTGTTCGATGTCATTAGCTTTATCCGGATACAATTGTGCCAGACGTTCCGCTTCGGCTGCGACTTTCTCCATCTGAAATTGCCATACTTATATACGCAACATTTACTTTTTTGATTGAGTTTATGAAACCAATTCTCACCTTTGATTCCAGAGCTGCTAGATCTCTCTCCGTTCCTTCATGCTTCCTCTGAAGAGCTTGTACATTGTTCAGGTCCCTGCCATAGTCATCACTGGCCAAGACAGCCTCCTTCTCAGCAATCCATCCCAATGTCTCGTCGACATCTCTGTTGAATCTTTGGATTTGTTGCGCACCGAAGAGTCCTTCGCGTCTAAAAAGCATGAATGTGAGCTAAACAACAAAGGTCTGCTTACCTGTTAGCAGTCAAAGTTCCGAGATTGTGCCAAGCCTTGATGACTTCATCTCTTTTGTCGTAGATCTGACTTTGCTCCGGATGGCCTTCATGGACGAGATCATCGGCTGCCTGATTTATCTCTGTGATTCTGTATTGATGGTTCTCCAGTTCTTTAAGGAATTCTTCAAATTTTCTTTGCATGACTTCCACGTGCTCGAGATCAGTTCCAAAATCATTCGAATTGACAAACGTTTCCTTATCTCTTATCCAGTAGAGCATTTCATCGCATTGTCTGATGAATTGTAAAAGTTTCAAGGCTTGTTGCAATTTGATTCCTTTGTCATTGAGCTTAAAGAACAGTTGGTCCCAAAGCTCATGAAGACGATCGAGTCTCTTCTGTAATCGGGAAGATTATTTATGATCAGCTGAAACAGCCTCAAGACAAGATTTTCTTACTCTGATGGTTTCCTTTTCATAATGACCATGAGCAATCATGTCGTTTCCAGTCTTATCCAAGTTCTTGATGGCATTCGAATGTGCTTCCACTTCGGCCACAAAAGCTTCATGCTTTTGGATTTTAGCCTAAAAGACTGTAAGAAGACGAAGAGTTCAATGTTACCTGAAGATTGGTTGGATCTCTAAATGATTCTTCTGAAGCAGTCTGCAACTTCTCCAAGATCCACACTTCCAATTCATCGGCATCTCTCTTAAAGTATTGGAACTGTCTGGCCTCTTCCAGTCGGTCTCTCTTCAGTTTCGCAAAGTCTTTAAATTGGCCATAATGAGTGAGGACTTCCGTTCTTCTGTTCTGGATGTCATCGGCTGTCTCCAATACCTTGATTTCAGTTGGTGGAGGGACTTCGAGCACCGGATCTGGGGGTGACCCGTCGTCGCTCATCACTGTGGATTATAATCTGGAAAGAATTAATTTAGAAGGGAATGATTTTTAAAAACACTTAAGAAAACGATTTAAATTCCGGCATGTGGTTTCAATAGCATAAGAAAAGAGTGTTAAGATTAGAATTGGGGGAAAAATAATGAAAATCAAATGACAAAAATGAATGCAATGTCCATTCTCATATAAGAAAAATTTGACACGTAAACAAGATATAGTATGAACTGGAAATCGGAAAGCCGCGGAGAAAAATCAGAACGTATAGTGAGTGACCTTGGAGGCGCGAAAGGCCGATCAATGTCTTTGATAACACCCATTAAAGGAATTTGAATATTAGACTGATAACGGAGGAATGCCAAGAATGCTGATGAGTCAGGCACATAGGAAGGGTCGAAAAACATGACCAAGAAGACCAGGGCCTTTGGTTGATGCTTCTGAATTAAAGGCCGGAACAAAACTCCGACTATTCGGTCCGAAAAGGATGCCAAAAGCAGAAGGCGACTGAAACCGCGGCGCCCCTCTGTTCGTACGAACGAAAGGCCGGAGTCCGCAGCTGACCCCTTTTCTTTCAATGCGAGGCAGAGGAATAAATGCTGTCCCCCTCCCCTCCCTGCACTCACAATGTTTTGGTCTCGACTCACTCTCGACCCTGCCTTGTCACCCGCGAATTCCCGTACTCCTTTTTTTGTTTCGACTTCGGCCCATCCCAACATAATATCTATTATGCACGATAGTCATCCTTCTATTTATGAAAACATAATATTCATGTAAAATTAATCTTATTAAGTACGCCTGTCCACATTGTTACCCAAGTGGCGAGCCCACACTTGCGGGCAACCACTTTGCGGGCAGCTTGAAAAACCACGGAGATTCTGCGGGCATGTTTTGAAATCAGCCAAAATTTGCGTACAACTAGAAATTCAAACGATGGGCTTAACTATTAGATGTTTCGGATTAAGTTTCCAGGTGCATAAGTGGCTTGAATAGTTACCATAAGCTTATCCAGGCATTTTTTACCATTTTTTGAAAACAAACTCAGATAACTTTGAAAGCAGTGGATGAATTTAATAGATTTGTGTACTTATCAGTACCAGGGAGTTGTCAATGTAAAACTTCTACCGTACTACGTAGATTACGGGAGGGAAATCGTAATTCTAATCAAAAAATGTCGGCTGCTCGCAAGGTGGTTGCCCGCAAGTGTCGCGACACCAGCCAAGTAAAACGACTTAGTTGTCTCACTGTTCACAGCTTTTTCTGAACTGGTGAACTACAACTCAATGTTCTAAAATACCACTTGTCATGTAATCAAAATTTCTTCGACGAGTTGCTCAAAATCTCAGAAACGTTAAAGGTCTCCGGCATGGAATCGTGTCCCAATAAAAATTTCAGGCCTGGGGCCCGGCCCATTTCAAACGTTTGCAGGCTTGGTAGGAATCAGGCTCTACCCGTTTCAAAATTTGTCAGGCCCGGTGGCCACCCACGAATATAACGTTAAAAGCAATATCCACCAAATAAAAACCAAAGGTTTGCATGCCAAATATAATAACCACAAGATTAACAACACAAAAACAAGAGGCTTTATAACAACCTTCAACAAATAAAAAACATTTTAACGGTTGGATTTGGCTACACGTTCCAATTCGTCCTTCTTCTTGATGGCATAAGAGTTGCTGGATCCCTTTGCGGCGTTGATAAGCTCATCAGCCAAACATTCGGCAATTGTTTTGATGTTTCTGAACGCAGATTCACGAGCTCCAGTACAGATCAACCAGATTGCCTGAAATCACAAGTGTCAAACAAAAACCACTAGAAACATTCATGTGCAAAAACTTTATTTGCAGCAACTTACCTGGTTGACACGACGAAGAGGGGCAACATCAACAGCTTGACGACGGACGGTACCGGCACGGCCAATACGAGTGGAGTCTTCACGGGGTCCACTGTTGATAACAGCGTTGACTAAGATTTGCACTGGGTTCTAAAATAAAAGTATCAAGTAGAAATATATAAAATGAAAAGAACCACATTCACAAAGATACCTACCTCGCCGGTAAGCAGATGGATGATTTCAAAGGCATGCTTGACAATTCTGACGGTCATCAATTTCTTACCGTTGTTGCGACCATGAGCCATCAAAGAAGAGGCCAAACGCTCAGCAATCGGGCACGTCGCCTTGCGGAATCTTCTGATTTGATAACGACCAGCCGAGTGCGGCAGATATTTGGCACCCTTTTCTTTAACCGCGACGTAGTCCTACAAAAAGAATATTGATACTTCCGTTCCTAAATTCAAAACCTCATAAAATTGAAAAAGAACTTACAACGAGTGAGATATCGGAAACTTCAACATCGTTCAGGGACCATTTGTTGAAAAGCTTGACCTCTGGCATCTCAAGTTGCTCTTCCTCAGGGGCGGCAACGACACCTTCGATCTCCTCCTCGTTCCAGCTCATTTTCGTGTAAACCTAAATTTCAAAATCATGAACAACATAACAAAGCGCATAAATTCACGCGATACAATAAAACAACAAAATTCCAAAAAAGTTGTCAAAAAATATTTTGTTGGGTTTTCGCAAAATTCGACCGTAATCTCTACTCTTGTTTGTTTTCGTGGTGAAACTCAACGCTCATCGTATGCGAAACGGACCAATCGCAATTTTCCACGCAAAAGGTGACCGAAAAGACGAGAAATATTCGTGACCCTGATTCTTTTTATTTGGGTGAGTTGGCCCTGAAAGGATGAAGATCGCTCTCGTCGTTCTAGGTAAGTCAGTGTTGTTCCTAGTTGATTTTTGTCTTAGGACTATTTTGTGTTGGCACACAGGCTTTATACGATAAGCGAGATGATGTGATTGAGCTGAATGACAACAATTTCAAGAAGGAAATTTTGGATTACGATGGTGTCGCCATTGTCGAGTTCTTTGCCCCATGGTGCGTGACGTTTGCCTCTGTTTTTTATTACTTATTTAGGTGCGGACATTGCAAGAACTTGGTTCCTGAATACAAGAAAGCTGCCAAAGCACTTAAGGGATTAGTGAAGGTGGCAGCACTTGATGCCACTCAAGCCCAAGGACTCGCATCCCGGTTTGGTGTTCAAGGATATCCCACCATCAAGATCTTTGGAGCTGATAAGAACAAACCAATTGATCACAATGGTTAGTTAAACAGTTGTATTTGAATGCTGTTTTTAGGAGCTAGAAGTGCTCAAGCGTTCACAGATGCGGCATTGAATGAGGTTAAGAAGGTTGCTTCGAGCAGATTGGGAGGAAAGTCATCTTCTGGTGGATCTAAGTCGTCCGGCGGTAGCAAGGGAACCGTCATTGAATTGACAGATTCTAACTTTGACAAGATTGTTTTCAACAGTAAGGAAGGGGTGATGGTGGAATTCTTTGCCCCATGGTGCGGCCATTGTAAGAATCTGGAGCCCCATTGGAAGGCTGCTGCTGGAGAATTAAAAGGAAAAGTCAAGTTCGCTGCTCTCGATGCTACTGTTCATCAAGGAAAGGCGTCTGAATACCAGATCAAAGGATTCCCGACGATTAAGTACTTCCCGCCTGGATCTTCCTCTTCATCCGATGCTGTCGATTATCAAGGAGGAAGAACTACTTCTGACTTGGTTGCCTTTGCTTCTTCTAAGGCTGCCGAGAATCTTCCACCGCCGGAACTCAAACAATTGGTGTCCCAGGTGTCTTTCAATGAAGCTTGTGAGAACAAACAGCTTTGTGTCATCACATTCCTCCCTCAACTTCTTGACTGTCAGTCCAAGTGCCGAAACGATTACATAAAATTATTGAAAGGATTGGCTGAGAAGTTCAAAAAGAACCCTTGGGGATGGCTGTGGTCCGAAGCTGGTGTCCAAGGAGACCTGGAACAGTCCGTAGACGTCGGTGGATTTGGATACCCTGCCATGGTCGCCGTTAATCCAAGGAAGTTGAAGTACAGTACCTTAACAGGATCATTTGGCAAAGATGGAATCAGTGAATTCTTGAGGGACCTTTCTTTTGGGCGTGGAAAGACTTCGTCTATTAGAGGGTCTGCTCTTCCAGAAGCTCAGACTGTCTCAGCTTGGGATGGAAAGGATGCTGAACTGCCCAAAGAAGAAGAGATCGATCTCTCTGACGTTGAACTAGACGTCTTGGATGATAGTTCCAAGACTGAACTCTAGGCGTGTTGTCATTTACATACGGTCTCTTATCAAGTATCATTACGGTTTAATTTATTTTATAACAACTTGTCCCAATTCTAATAAATATAATTTAATTTATTCTTGCCACCGAATGAGGACAATAACAACAAAAAGTCTCGAAGAAAAAATGGAGATGTACCCGGACGATAGAAATGTAGTGTTATAAATGTAAGGGAAATTAGTGAATGCACGTTAGACTTTGTAGACCCGTATTTTCAACTAAACACATGAGATCGAATGAGTTCTCTATGCGGCTGGATGTTCCTTGTCTTCGGCGACCAGGTGCTGTTGAACAGCAGAATCCTTCTCGTCTATCAGTGAAGGTATCCGAGGAGGAAGGGCTCTTCGAGCTCCATAATAGTCAGGCCGATTCTTCGAAGGTGGAGGACCTAGACAGTAAGAAAACGTCATTAAAAACAAACTTACCAATGAAAGACAAAAGCACAGGCAGCAAAATTAACCCGTGTGTAAAACAAACCATGATGATACTTGCAAACATTCGGAAGTAGTATACATTAAAGATCTTGGAATGGGAAAACAAAATAATTAAGAGACTGCCGCCTTTAGCCGTTGTGATACCGCTTATGATCTGAAAAAGTGATTAAACACAGTCGGAAAGAATGGACCTACAGTACACCCAATTAAAGCCAGGGATTCTTTGGCTCTCTCAATTCGAGAAGGATTGTGAATTGAAACAAAGGCCCGTACAGTATGAGCCGAATATTCTAGCGAGATTCCTACAGACATGATCAGATTGACCACTGAGATCGCGTTGAAATCAATGTTCAGGAAATACATCATAGCCAGCTGATTGATCAGACTCATTACCACCGTAATCGTTATGATCATCGCTGACCAAGGATCCATATCACAAAGGATAGCAGCAACGATGAAGATTGAAACAGCAGAACAAATCAACTGGAAGATGGCTGCCTTCACGATGGTCTCATACTGCTCGTAGAACACGTAATGGAAGCTAAAAACATTATCTATCTCTGGTATCATTACCTGTAAGGGAACACATCGATTGGAGGATGTCCCATCAAACCGAGTTCAGTATTCATGAATTTTGTAATATTATTTGCCAAGAATTTGGCACTTTCCATCGACTTAAAGTAATCGGCCATATGTCTGAAGGGAGTGTGATATGTCATAAAATGAGATGCTATGATCCGATCCGACTTGCTCGCGAACTTGATGGCATTGCTGTACAACGCATGACCACTAAAAATTTTCACAATATTTGAACAAAATTAGATAAAAATACCTTGTTGGACAATGGACCGATGGATTACTACTTAAGAAACTCTTGATGTACGTGTAAAAAAGATCTGGCCGAGGACGGCCGTCTACATAGTCCACGCCACAGGAATGGCACAAATTTTCCGGAACCAAAGAGGGGCAAAACGTGTGATTAGAATCATATCTTCGGCAACACCTTCCATTGGCAGAAGGCCTTAACCATTCGATGTAATCATCCAGCCAATTCATCACCGGGTGGGCGACATTGGACCTCAAATCCGAAAAAATTATTTAACATTTACTTTTCCTTACAATTCAGGATGTCTGGAGGCCCGATTAATCTGAGCTCCGAGGGAATCTTTGTGACATCCATTTCCGGTACAAATCAAGTTCTGGAGTTGAGGATCGCCGTAATCAAAGCTGCCTCTCAACACGAAGAATACTGGAGGGCCCACATTCACATAAATCTCAAGATCCCTGAAGTAACTGTAAACGTGGGAGTCGTCTGGAACTGATCTCTTCTGATCCAATCCAAGCTGGATATTGTCCACAATTAGCAAGGAAGTGGCAAACCAGAATAGGAAAAGGATCAACTAAAGAAACCTTTAGAATATTACTAACCCTTACCACAAATATCCGAACCGGCTTAATAATGATAGATGGAGCGATGAAGTTCTTTATGACATTATACATATAACTCTCCCTATACGGACGTTCAGGCCTCAGCTTAATACAACATAACATGTCAAGACGACCTTCTTCTTGTCGCTTCGCATCCCATACAAATGCCGAAAAAAAGAGCGTAATCTGGAGAATAAAGTTGGTTATTATGGAGATGGCTGCAAATAAAGAGAAGGTTCTGACCGCGGGCATCTCAGATATGGCCCCTGAAAAATACATGAATATATCAAAAAATTCATGCAATGGCATACCGAAAGAGAAACAAATAGCCTCAGCAGTGCTGGTCAACAACATCGAAGGCATGACTTCAGCAGCGATCTCACAAACCCTCTCATTCAACGGAATATCGTGTCTATCTCTTCGCTGAAACACAAAAAAATTCATCTAGACAACACTTCATACCTGGTAGGCTTGGACAAACAAAAATATGTTATCAACTCCAACTGATACAATCAAAAAAGGTAAGATCTCAAAGACGATCAGGGTCGTCTCAATATTCCAATACGAACATATCCCAACGGCACTAAATCGAACCAAAGTTAAGCAGTTAAGAAAATCGCGGGGGTATTAAAAGAAATATGGTATTTACCTGGTAACAGCCAATGCAATTCCTATGATACCCACAAAGCCCAGAGTAAGTTTGGTATTGATCAGAATAGTACAAAGATCATCGCTAACTGGCACTTGATACTGACTGAGGGCGAATGAGACGTAAAACAGTAGAAACACATAACTTAATGCAACAATTATGACATCAGACGACGCTTGCCGACTGATTTCATCCTGAAATTCAACAAAATACCACTCTTTAAAAATTAGGTTACCTCAATCGACCTTTGAGACATAAACGATATCCGGAAAATGTCGCTTTTGACTCTTTTGAGATACTTTATCAATGTTTCCTCCCATTCCATAGCCGCTCTGTTCTCTTCCGACTTAACTGAGTTATTCAAAAGAATCGTGATCATGATGCCTTTGGCTGATTCATAGCCATCATTGAAGTCACCAAAAACCAAATAAGGATGAATTGGACCTCCAAATTGGCCGAAGCAGCTCATCTTGAAGCTAGTTTTCATGCTGAAGGGGTTTTTGATGCATTCCTGGAGATGCGTTCGGAAATTGAAAATGGCAAATTCGCCCTCAATTTCACCATCAATGGAATCTAGGTCATTCTAAAAACAATTCTGTAGACAATTTAATTTTACAATAAACTATTAGGGTGTAAAAGACAGCTTATTTAGAAACAGGGCACTCAGCAAATGTATTAAAAAGTGTAATTGCAAAGGTGCCGAATCATACCAGAAGTGATGATATTAAAAAATGTCAACTATTTGCCCGGAGGGCATATGATTCGTTTAAACTTGTCCGTTTTTTTAAGTGTAAGATATGGCGGTTTTAAAAGTACCAAGCATTAAGCAGTGCAAAGGTTTCAGGCACACGCATTACTTCTTAAACGTAGACATAAGCAAGACTTATGGGACACCCTAACATCTACAATTTCAAACAAACCTGAAAGTAGTTAAACGGTGACATCACTGCGCAATGTTTGTTATCTGGCTCCAACGGCTTGTAACAAACATCTTCCAAGGATACATTCTTCGAGGTCTGCAGTCTCAAGATCGCATTGTTCAAACTGAATGCTTCTTTGAAAAAAGTATCTCTAAACACGGGTCCGAGGAAATCAGGGTCTCCAGCATTGTCCTCTGACTCAAATGTATCAACTTCAAGAGGACGGGTATCCTTTGGTGTAATTATGACCTGTTCTATTCGATGAAACGGTCTGTAGTAAAGTATTAGTGTAAGAACCACAACTACTAGGACTACTTACTTAAAGTTGTTTTCAAAGAAAGATTCTTGAAGTCGCGAAGAACTGGCTGGAGATGTCCACAGGGATTTTGTTTCAGTAGTCAAGTTGACAAATAATAAACCAAAGGAACACGCGAATCCAAGTACCAAGAATATGAAAAATATAAACGTGTACCTTTCCATGACCAACTAAAAAGGATCAGTCTTCGAAAATCACGGTCTAACATACCTTTGCATAACTGATAAATATCTTCTGAATGAGTCTATCCAATGAGAAGACCCTTTTCTTTATTTCCCCATCTATATTGTCATTGTCATCTCTGGTCATTAAATCCCAGACGTATTTCCCAGCAACGCCCACCATCAAACAAGCGCAAATAAATCCTAATATGGCTAGATGAAAAGCATCTTGACAATCCATTGTCGCGATCTTACAATCAATCTGAACCGACCAGATGGATAATGTCTTAGACTACTTACCGATTCCAGGTCGGGATACATTGGTTCTTCCACACAAGAAGCATTACACTCTTGACAAGAGCAAGGAGAAGAGGAGAGATCTGAGGAAGAGTTACAGGGGTACGCTCTTGACTGCATGTAATCAAAGGTCTTGTTCCCATGGCGAGACCTCTCTTTCGTCAGACTGAACCGAATGTCGAAAGGAATCCCGAGGTTTTTATTAGCTCTACCTAAAAAGTTGAACCATTTATCAGCAGTACAACTCTCAAAGTCGGTTCCGCACATTGTCTTCAATGCAAAGTCCCCCGTTGACATTCGAACCTGCAAATAATTTACAACGGAATTCATCCAAACTCAATTAAGACAAAGAAAGAACTTACGCCTTTGCATGATTCAAAAACCCCGTTAGCGTAATCCTCGTCCACATAATATTCAACCTTCTTAACATAAACACTGTTTTTTATCGAGAATTTATCTTTCTCTCCAGTTTCCAACAATCGAACAAAGTGACTCTGATAAGGAGAACATGTAAACTGACACCACAGATTCATAAAATTTGACAAACAGCTAGGGCAACGAGAAAGCATTTGTCTTGGTACCTCCATCCGCTTCTGGAAGATTTTGAACTGCTTTTCATCACAACAAAAGGAGACAGTCGAATTGTCTAAAAATAAAAATAAAAGTTTAGATTGACTTACTCTCAAAAAGCCGAGGACAAATTTGCCGCAATTGGCTCTCTGTATCCACACTTTCAAACGGCATCGGAGCCGAACTGTAGGGGCAGTTCTGGGATAAGCCGGCTTCGTTCCTGCAGACCCCCATCATTGTACAACCATACCCCTTTCGCGTCACATCTGGCCAGTTTGGAGCTAACGTACCCGTCTGGTTGTTTGACTTGCCTTGAGCTGGATTCTCGGAAAATCTGCCAATTTTATCGCTGTTCCCAATGCAGCTGGATATTACGCATCCCAATAAAATGCATGTTCGCCACATCAGGCAGCGGGAACAACGACCAGATTGCTGAAGGTCGTGTTCCGCTCGTCTGAAGCAATTAGAACGTCTTTAGACTTTACTCGGAGTAATTAGAGGCAATAAATATAAAGGTAAATCAAAAAAGAAACGAATCCATACAAAACGCATTTGGACAAAAACTCCATGGACACAAGAGAAATACCTTCCCATTGGCTGCGAGAGAGACGGCCAAAACCACAAAAATCGTTCCCTCTCTCGTTTTTTGTGGAATCCGCTCAATTTTCCCACCAAGAAACAATTGTGAAAGCGCGAGCCGCGCCCTGGGATTTGGAGAGATTCCATGTTTATTCATACGCAAGGGTGAAAAACAGGCCGATTTTTTTTTTGATTTCAGGCCCGCGGCCCAGCCCGGCACAAATCAGGCCCAGCCCGTTGTAAAATTTTGCAAACCCGGCCCTATCCATCAAACACCACGTCCGACCCGGGAACGTTGACTGCCAAACGCTGGGCATTTCAAGAAACCCGGGCCTAGCAGCAGCTCAGCAAAAGTCAGACCCGGCCCGGTGACCGTCCCTGCTCATACGGATTAAAAATTCATACTGTATGCGAAAAGGTTACAAACACGTTAATATGTTCGAAGCATGGATCGTGCAATTGTGAAAATAAAAATGGGTTGACTTTAAAAAGTTTACAAGCCAAATGAATGCGTCATCACCGTCACTCCTGGACGGTTTCTCTTTTAATCTCGTTGATATTTGGAGGAAACCGAAACGCCTTTTTACAGTTTCGAAAACGTTTGACTGGAGTTAAAGGGACTTAGCCGACAGTGTGGGTGTTTTCAGTGTCAACTGTATTATAATTGAATAAAATAATCGGACGGGCGATCTAATTTTAGTTCGATTTATCTCGTTCATTGTTCTCAATGATTCAGTAGTCTAAGTAACGTGATCGAAAGTGACTAATAACTATTCGCAATAATTATATGAAATTAATTAACTAAAATATAATAGGGATGCGGAATACGGAAAAGATATCCGATTCGATCGACTCTACGCCGTAAAAAAGAAACACACCGCGGTGAAGCCACGGTTGCGAACTAATCATATCTCGTGATCGATGTCTTCTGATGTCGGGAAAGGTTGAACGTTACGCAATCGGAGGCTATCGTGATGTATTGAGTCGGGAAATTTCGGGATCTGCAGAAGTCGTTCGTACTTTAGAAATTTGTTTGAAAATGAATCAAAATTTCATGATTGATTGGCATTATTAACACACAATTACAGAAAACTGGGAAAGAAATAAGACTACAGTACACTCGAAGAAATGAAAATTTGGATCCGGACCTTTCCCAAATCATTTGGTTTTCAAAAATATTATCGATGAGTCAACAAAGAACGTCCTTATCCATAAGGTGCGGCCCTACCACCCAGTTTCTAATTCTTATCAGAAAAAGGAAAACAGTAATAAAAGTATGTTTTAGTCGTTTTGACACTTTTTTATGATACATGAAGATTGATAAGGAGGTCAAATGTTATGCACATTATCATCAACTCTTCCACATTATCTTTATTTTTTTCCTCCGCAACCTCTGCACATCTCTCAGAACATAATGCGGTTATATAACATTAATCTAGAAAATATTTGCTCTTGAAGCGCTCCCAGTCATGATAACCATCAAGAACATCATAAAAGCCAAAAAAAGAAAATTTCGCTGACATCCAGTTGAAATGTGCAAAGGTAAGAAGAATAGTTGCGAAAGAACCAGCCATCATCCATCATCCTCTCGGTAGTTGAAAGAGGGCTCTTCACTTTCCTTTTCTGTCTATCATGGTCAAGGTTGTTGTATTAGGCTCAGGAGCTAGGGAACATGCTTTGGCCTATGCTTTCGACCAGAGTAACCAGGTCGAGAAGGTCGAGATCATCCCCGGAAACTCGTGCAAATATTCCTTGGGCAGTCTGAGTAAGTCAAGTATGGTGTTCAGCGACAGTGTTCGTATAACTCTTTCATATTTTTGAATGACAACAGGTTAATCTTTGACTTTTCTCCATTTCAGTTAATGGCGACGATGTCGAGGATGTCAGAAGGTATTGTAAAGAAAACAAGATCGATCTGGTTGTCATTGGACCAGAAAAGCAGATCTGTGAAGGATGGGAAGATGAGCTCAAGGCCGATGTGAGGGTCTTTGCTCCTTCGAAGTCCGCTTCTCTCCTCGAGGCATCAAAAACATTTGCTAAAGAATTCATGATAAAAAATGGAATCCCCACAGCCAGATTTCATACCGTGGCGGCCAGGGATGACTTAGCTGCCTTTCTTCAAAAACTGTAGGCGCCAATTCGTGATTGGGTTATTCTGTGTGAACTCACTTTAAGGACATATTACAGGAACGATTGGAAAGGTTACGTGATCAAAGAAGACGGCTTATGTGCCGGTAAAGGAGTGACCATATGCAAAAGCGTCAATTCTGCTTTGGAAACGTTGAATGAAATTTTCTCTGTTAAAGCCGATTCTCATGTCATCGTTGAAGAGTTTCTTGAAGGATACGAAGTCTCAGCGCTCTGTTTTACTGATGGGAAAGACTTCAAACTGTTGCCATTTAGTCAAGATCATAAGGCCGTAGGGGAAGGAGACACTGGGCCTAATACGGGAGGCATGGGAGCCATTGCCCCACTTCTTCTACCACTCGACATTGAAGAAAAGATCGAGGATATCATTACAAAAACCATCAATGGGATGGCAAAAGATGGGCGCACTTACAAAGGTAAATAACTTCGGAATTGAACGAAAATGCACAGCGTTTTGTCCTTTTTTGGCATGAATCGGCCACCAATTTTATTCAAGAATTTTTTTGATGGCCCACATTTACGCGGGTGTAGCGGGTGCATACTACATGTGTATATGATGAGGGCGCGAAATTTATAGTGCTAATGCATAGGGTAAATGCAAACCTTTCGAAGCATGCCACTTATGACAACTGTTAACTGAAATTTGTTAGCAATAGTCAGAGTGATGGTATCATGGTATTACCAAGGCAAAATTATACGGCATGCTTGGTCAGCATGCAAACTTCATTATGTAAAAATTAAGCAGTCAGTGTAAAAAATTGCGTTAACTTGACAGAAGAGCTACGTAATTTTGTCGCTCTCAGATATGTCATAGAATTAAATTCTGCACAAGATTCTATCACTCACTTGTTCTAAAGGTGCGCCTTAGGGCACTTTTTTTTGTCGCCGAAGATCCAGAGTTGTAAATTCAGTTTCCCGTAACAGTTGTCATAAGTCGAAAGATCTGTGATTCATTTCAAAAAAGAACAGAACGCTGTGTAATGTACTGTTCTAGGAGTTTTATACGCCGGACTTATGATTACGTCAACAGGACCGAAAGTCCTGGAATATAATTGTCGGTTTGGTGATCCAGAAACTCAGGTATACTCTCACTTCCCTTTGCGAAATATTATGTATTAAGGTCCTTCTCCGACTTTTGGAGTCTGATCTCTATGATGTTTGTGTGGCATGTTGTGATGGTTGTTTGGATCAGATATCTGTAAAATTCTCTAAAAAGAAAGCCGCAGCAGTAGTTGTTGCCTCAAAGGGATATCCAGGGTCGTTCAAGAAGGATGTGCCCATCCAGAATTTGATCCAAGAGGACACCTCTAAAGGCCTTGTTATATATCATGCTGGAATTAAAAAAGATTCAACAGGATTAAAGAGTTGTGGGGGAAGAGTGCTGACCGTATCCGTAGTCGGCGATTCTTTCTTTGATGCCCTAAGGATCTGTTACGAGTTCCTTGAGACCATTCAATTTGAAAATGGATTTTGGCGAAGAGACATTGGTCATCACGTAATTCCCCGAGCCGTTGACTATTCCGATAGTGGAGTTGATATCAGCGAAGGCAACCAACTGGTTGATGACATAAAAGGATCTTGTGCGGCTACAAAAATCCCTGGAACAGATGCGGTAAGTGACATTTTTGTTTTTTATTTTTTAAGATCGGAGGATTTGGGGCCATTTTGAATCTCGATGAAGCTGGTTACCGTAACCCTTCGTTAGTGATTGGGATGGATGGGGTTGGAACCAAGCTTGAGATCGCCAGTCAGGCCAATAAATTGGACGGTCTTGGCTATGATCTGGTTGGAATGTGTGTAAATGACATCATTTGTCATGGAGCAAGGCCATTAGCCTTTCTGGATTACTATGTTACTGGAAAGCTGAATAGAAAAGACGCAGTTACAGTAATCAAGTCAATTGCAAATGCTTGTTTGGAGAGTGGATGTGCATTGGTCGGTAAGTAAAGGACCCAAAATGTTCATCTTGCAGGCGGAGAGACTGCAGAGATGCCTGGAGTCTACAACAAAGAGCAATGGGATCTAGCGGGATGTTGCATTGGGGCTAAAGAGAAAAGCGAGGCAACTTTGCCGTTAATAGAAAGGTAAGTTTTTAGCAGTCGAGAAAAACATAAACTCCGCAGGATGAATGAAGAGGACGTTTTGATTGGCGTAGAATCGAATGGAGTCCACAGTAATGGATTCAGTTTAATTAGACGGATCTTGAAACAAAATGGAATAGTGGTCACATCGCCTTGTCCATGGAAAATGGATCAAACATTTGGTATGAAACATTCCTCAAAGAGGCAACGGTCCACCTCTTGCTGATTTCTGAAATCCTTTAGAAATATCGGGCTGATTTCTGAAATCGTTAGAAATATCCTAAACACCCTTGATTCTTTGTAAAAAAATTAGTTTATGTATTCCTTACTTTTTTCTTAAGTAGTACTGTGTTAAAAAGTACTTTTTTGATTTTTTCTGAAAATACTCGATTTGGGTGTTTTTATAGTTCTATTTTGTACTGTGAAAAAAAGTAAAAAAATACACAAAATACACATTTTTTGCAAAGATACAGGGCACGGCAACCCGAAATAGAAGAAAACTGTAGGGGTGCTTAAGATATTTGCAAGGATTTCAGAAATCTCCCCATATTGGCCGGCCCTTTAGGGCATCTGCTCATAACTGTTTTTGCCCATAATGACCGGCCACGCTCAAAGAGTTTATGTTTTAGCTGATGAGTTACTCCGACCAACAAAACTCTATGCCAAACTCTTAATGGATCTGATAAAAGGTGGACTAGTTAAAGGAGTAGCTCACATAACAGGAGGAGGACTCGTCGAGAATGTCCCAAGAGTACTCCCAAAACACCTTGCCGCGGTTATTGTAAGTAAATATTATCGTCGAACATGGCAATCGGGCTAGGCCTTTTGTTCCTGGGGGCTCGAAGCCCGGCTTGCTAAAATGTAGGCCCGGAAAGTTTTCAAAATTTTCGAAGCTCGGCTCGGCCCTAAAAAATCTAAAATTTCCGAAGCCCGGCTCGGCAGTTTGACGTCAGTTTTTAAATGTCATCATTTTCAAACAAAATACTGTTTATGTAAAGGAAAACTACTGAACTAAACGCCTAACACAAAAATGGCGTCTAAATTTATAATTTTGATGCAAAACAGTCGCTTTTCCCAAAAAAAATATTTTGTATGGGAACCGCGCCTCTTGCCTAAGTCCAAATCTCAAGCCCAGGCCAGCCCGGCCCGGTTTCCATCTCTGATTATCATCAAACAACCAACATAAATTAGAAATCGGATGCATGGGAAATCCCTGAAATCTTCAAATGGATTCAATCGAATGGACCAGTGGAACCAAAAGAAATGTTCAGAACATTCAACTGTGGTCTTGGAATGGTTCTCGTTGTTCCTAACGAATTCAAAGATATTGTGATAGAGAGAATATATGCTAAAAATACAAATGCATGGTGTATTGGAAGTTTGAGGAGAAGAACTGAACACGCTGTAGTCCTTGAGAAGCAAGAAGCAGCATTCCCCAACTTTTCTCTTAACTATTTAAAAAGGAGACGAGTCAATGTTGCAGTTTTGATATCTGGAACAGGTGAGATTATGTATAGGGTGTTTCAAGAAATATTCTAAAACTTTTTGCGAATATCGTTGTGCTATTTGCAGCTATCCAAAAAGTTTTTAAACTTAAAAGTTGTACAGGGTGGGCCACTAAAACCTTCCGTCTTTTTTTGTTAGATTTCTCCGCGGAGACTCCGCCAATTTTCCCGAAATTTAGATTTTTCTGGAGCTGAGATGCGCCATTTTCAACCGGTTGAATTTAAAAAAAGAAAATATCCTGAATTGACCTTTCTATGCCTTTCCAAAGTTTTTGAAAATTATTTTCCAGCCGAAACCGCTAAAACTTAGGAAATTTTTGGAATGATTTTGAAAACTCGGTCATTTTTTCGGGTTTTTGGGTGAAATCTTACTTGGTTTGCCTCATATATTTGCAAAATACTGTTGTAAAAACTAATCAATATTTAACAAGTTGATTATTATTATTTCTATCTGAGTTTGACGTGTCCACCTCCTCTTGCAGCACGGACTTGTAGGGGCTTTGAAGGTTAAGAACAGTTCGAATTGCGGATCGTGAGCATGGTTTAACTTCAATTGAGCCTGGCTCCAAGCCTGAATGCGCCAAGCCATGACTTGTAGCCTTAATGTGGACTTTTTCACTCTTGTTGAAAAAAAATTTTTTTTCAACATTCATACCCTAACGGTAATACAGACAACACTTTTTTTGCTTTTAACTTGCTTTAAACAAAGTTTAGAGAAAGCGTACGGAACTTTTTACTCCACGATTTTACCAAAAAAGCCCGAAATTTTCCAAGTCCGAGAAAGGCAATTGAAAATCATTCCAAAAATTTTCAAAGTTTTAGCGGTTTCGGCTCGAAAATAATTTTCAAAAACTTTGGGAAGGCATAGTAAAGTAAATTCAGCATATTTTTTCCTGAAATTCAATCGTTTGAAAATGGCGAATCTCAGCTCCAGAAAAACCTAAATTTCATGAAAATCGGCGGAGTCTCCGCGGAGAAATCTAAAAAAAGAAGACGGAAGGTTTTAGTGGCCCACCCTGTATTTAAAATTCGAATGTAACGAGGCGTAATCTTCAAAAAAGACAAAATTTCTCCGCCGAAAAATGATCTCTCCGCTGAGGGGAGAAAAAATCTTTTGCATAAATTATCCTAAAAACGCACGGCTTCCAACTTTTAATACAACTTTAACTTTTTGGATAGATCCAAAGAGCACAAAGGTATTCGCAAAAAGCTTTTATAACGCATATTTCTTAAAACACCCTGTACATTAAAAATACTGATCAATGTGATTTGGAGGTAGTAACATGGTAAAACTCATTGAACAAAGTCGATCATTTGGCAGCAACTGTTTCGTCAGTGTAGTAATATCCAACAAGGAAGATGCCTTAGGCTTGAAGAAGGCCAGAAATATGGGAACTGATACAGTAGTCATTCCCCATGGTAATGATCGCTCGACATTTGAAAAGAGAGTCACGAATGTAAGTACTAGAAATAGTTATGCATAATATTATTTTATCGCAGGAACTGAAATCCCGAGGAGTACAGTTGATCTGTCTGGCAGGATTTATGAGGATCCTTACGCCAGTATTCCTGAATGCATGGCCCAATCGAATCATCAACCTCCACCCATCTCTACTACCTTCTTTCAAAGGAGCTCATGCAGTTGAACTTGCGTTGAAGGCCGGAGTAATGTTCACAGGATGTTCTGCTCATTACGTAGTCGAAGACGTGGATGCGGGGAAAATCCTTGACCAATCCGTTGTTCCTATTAGCCCGTATGATGACAAGGACTCCCTTCATTCAAAAATCCAGCAGAAAGAATATGAAATGTACCCGAAAGTCATGGAGAAAGTGGCTCTCGAAATATTAGAGAATGAAAATTTCTGATGATACTTCCAAGTAATAAACCATTTTTCTCGTCTTTCAAAAATAACTAATGAAAGTAAATTACACGAGTCGTCGTGTCCCAAAAGTACAGAATGCCGTGCACTGGTCGATTTTAGTTTTTGCGGGGAAAAATGAAGGCTTCGTGAAATTGGACAGGGTGAAATTGAACAGAGTGAAACTGGACAGAAATAATTCCAGTGAAAAAAATCTGTCCAATTTCACTCTGTCCAATTTCCACGAAGCCAAAATTAATTTTCCGATTTTTGCACAACGCCAGAACTTTTTGGCACTGATTTGGTCGCGGTGGGACAAATCATAATTAGCAGAAAAAACGACGTGCGGAGCCTTTCCAACGAGTCACGTCCGGTCCAAATAGAAGAAAAGCCACGGTTGAGATGGTCTCACGAGCTGCGCCCGCGATTTTGAATTCGCCGGCGACATGTTATACGAAAGAATATCAAATTTCGTAATAATTGCCTCAGGGCTCTAATATTGTAGGCACAAAATATTATTTTCACGTAGACCTGATATACCAAGCACCAAGTTTCTATCGTTGTCGATCTTCGAGTTTTGCTAAATATAAGGTTTTGCCTTGTTTTGAGCCTGTTTTTGTACCCATTTTTGGACCCCTTTTTGGCATGTAGTGGTAAAAGTAAGACAGTTGCTCCAAATATCGTTCTCTGTAATTCAAGATACATGTGTTGTTGAACGTTTTTAGGTCTAGTTAGACCTCAATGATATGCCTCCTTTGAGAAACGTTGGCGACAATGACGTCAATTTTGGGCTAAATTTTGATGATTTTTGCGTATATCTGCCTATATCTTTTTTCAAACGCCTTTTATCGACAAAATCGTCCTCTGTAATTGTAGACAGGAGGCTTGTCAATGTGTAGGAACTTGTCTTATAATTCAGAGACCAACAGTTTTTTCGAAACGTTGGCGACAATGACGTCTACTTTTGGCTAAATTTTGATGATTTTTGCATATTTCTGCCACCCACTTTTTCAAACATGTTCGAAACAAATTGTTTTTGGATATTACGAAAATTAGAATGGAAAAATATAATTTCTGAAAGGATTTCGAAATGGATTTGGCATTCAAAGAGTCATTCCGTGTCATCTTCTCCATCAATGTCTTCATCAATTTGGCTTGTGTCAAGCCCAAATTCGTCGTACAGCACCGTCCTTTCGTGAGCCCATCGCAGTAAGCTGTCCGCCTGTAAAGCGTGGGTTTTAATAGCAATTTCTTTATCAATAAGTATTGTGAATGAATATCCCCCATACTAATACCTGTTCTATTTTCAGCGTAACCTTTTCTGTTCGACTTACAATCTTACTCCTATCACTGGTTTTAATTCTCAGCATATCCCTATTTACCATTGCATGGGTGCTCTCTATTGACTGCTCTGTAAAGAAATTAACAGTGTTGTGTCTGTTCATAAAGTCAACCATGTGGATGATTGTCTGGTGGAATTTGTGGCCGGGTTTTTCGTTAGAAAAATTTTGCTTTAGCTGTTCGGTTAATGTCTTAATAAGCCTTTTGAATTGTTCGACCTCTTCCGCTGAAAATTTCCTGGCCTGCGTATAATTTTGAATATCTCGGAGTGTTTTTAAGACTTGGATGCAGTTTTGGACAACTTTCGACAATTCTGATAGTCTTGTTCCACATTTTGTTTTTGCGTTCTCATCAAATTCGTCGATGCGTTTGGTGAGAGGGCCTTTTTCTACAATTACAGATAATAATTTAATGGATCAAGCATTTTTGAAAAAGAGGGAGGCAGAAATATGCAAAAAATCAATAAAATTAAGCCCAAAAGTTGAAGTCATTCACACCAACGTTTCGAAAAAACTATTGGTCCCTGAATTATAAGAGAAGTTTCTACACATTGACAAGAGTCTTGTCTACAATTGCAGAAGACGATTTCGTCGGTACAAGGCGTTTAAAAAAAGGTCTAGGGAGAAATACGTAAAAATCATCAAAATTTAGCCAAAAGTAGACGTCATTGTCGCCAACGTTTCGAAAAAACTATTGGTCCCTGAATTATAAGGCAAGTTCCTACACATTGACAAGCCTCTTGTCTACAATTACAGAGGACGATTTTGTCAATAAAAAACGTTTGAAAAAAGATATAGGCAGATATATGCAAAAATCATCAAAATTAAGCCCAAAATTGACGTCATTGTCGCCAACGTTTCTCAAAGGAGGCATATCATTGAGGTCTAACTAGACCTAAAAACGTTCAACAACACATGTATCTTGAATTACAGAGAACGATATTTGGAGCAACTGTCTTACTTTTACCACTACATGCCAAAAAGGGGTCCAAAAATGGGTACAAAAACAGGCTCAAAACAAGGCAAAACCTTATATTTAGCAAAACTCGAAGATCGACAACGATAGAAACTTGGTGCTTGGTATATCAGGTCTACGTGAAAATAATATTTTGTGCCTACAATATTAGAGCCCTGAGGCTATTATTACGAAATTTGATATTCTTTCGTATAACATGTCGCCGGCGAATTCAAAATCGCGGGCGCAGCTCGGGAGACCATCTCAACCGTGGCTTGGACCGAACGTGGAGTACTCGAGTACTTGCAATAGCTCCATAATATATATGTGCGAAGTTTTCATGCTCTTAGCAAACGAGGGTTTTGGTATCGCAAAATGAGCACGCCAGGAACAAGTAGGCAGTCAGGTAAGTTTACGGTCTTAGACTATTAGTTTTCAGAACGAATTGCTACCTTGCAACCGAGGACCTTTGTAGATTCGAAGGTCAAGCTGAGAATCCTGCAAAAAAGACTTGCCATCTTAGAAAAGGTAATATCCGTAGATCCAAACATATTGAAATGTTTAGGATAACATGCAAGATGACCCGCATGCCAATCTTTCATGGCACAAGGCCGTTCCAAAGTTCGATGAAACTTTCAAATCAGGAAAGGGAACAAAAAAGAAAGGTTTTATCTCCGATCAACCCAAATTGGATATAGGCAGTAAGTCAAGGAAGTTAAACTGATTACGTTGTTGCAGCAAAGAAAGGAAAGAAGTTGAGGTCCGAGCTTAGCAAAACAAGGTTTAGAAAGGACTTTGCCCATTTGAAGGAAGATTTTGACGTAGGTTTACTCTTTTCTATTTTTACTTCATTTTTAGAAGGTAAAACACGACCTGGGTGAACGCCGGACATACGATGAGATCGTATCAGCTCCAAGTGTGATACCAGCAAGGAAGTTTTGTTCTGTTTGCGGTCTGTTTTCGTCGTACACATGTTTTAAATGCGGATCGTACTTCTGTTCAATGGTTTGCAACGACTCTCACGCAGAAACCAGGTAATAAACACGTTATCCTTTTTGATAAAACTTCAACTTTTCAGGTGCTTGAAGTGGACGAGTTGATCAAGTATTTATTATAATTAAATAAAGTTGATTTGTTTTTGGATTATGAATAGGTTATAATGTCATTCGTCATCTACAGATTTACAAGGGACCAGAAGCGGAATATTATATATGGCATAAATTACAGAAAAACATAAAATTAAGACAGGGGAGAAGTGGGGGTTTCCTTTTGGGGTGAACCGGCTTGTGATTGAGGACGGGCAACTCCGGCCAAATGATCAAAGCTGGTTGAGGCAGCCATCTTTGCCTAAAAATAGAAACTGGTAAAAATGTATTATTCCATCCTCCCTCATTTCAAAGATTTCGTCATACAACAGAACTCCAAGTAATGAGTAGACATGGACCTTCAGTCGCATGACCTTGAAGCCAAATTACAAGTAACTTACGTTGGTAAAGGCACTTCCCAATTTAGACTCAAATGATTTGAATAGGGATGAATTCCTCATGTCTTGAAATTTGTTCGACACGCTTTCAGCAGTGCCAGACACAACTTCGCTTGTCTTCTGGTATACTGGAGTGTCACGAACAGTGCGGAGTTGCTGTTGGAGTTCTTGCGACAGTTCAGCAAACGGTGTAATTCCCAGCTTGTGCTTCAAGAGCTGAGCGTGCTTCTGCCTTGAAGCAAGCACCTGCCTGAGGGTGTTGATTTCCTCCTCCGTCTAAATAATAAACGTACAAAAAACCTGTCAATGTCTACCTTCTTGAGTTCTTCCTTTAGCAGTTCACGTTCCGGTTCGGTCAGGTTGGCTCCAGCCTCCCCAATATGCTCATCCCCAGTTTCAACACCTGGGATAGACATGATCTGTAAAATAATCACTTTGTTATTCCAGATTTGAACAAATCGCGCAAAAACAAAAACGTGCGATGTTAAAAAAGGAAGACGAAGTGCGGCCAGAGTCCCGGCCACCAGTCGCATTTCATTATCCATCCATCAAGGCGAATTTGCACCATCGATTTGCAAGCTGGTGGAGCAACGACATCTTTTTCTCTCAACGTTTTCGTTGTAGGACACAATGGAACTCTGGCATTCTGACAAATCTCCCATTTTTCGTAAACTTTCTTGAGCTCAATGTGAGATAGATTACCTGGCATATTTCGACATGGCTGGTAACGATGTCGTCGGTGAAGATTCTTTCATGTTTTGATAAATTGTTTGTCTTTTATCTGCAAACGGGAGTATTAGTGTTATATTCAAACGAATTTTTATAATTTTGACGTGTGTGAACATTTTAGAAATGACGTAGACTTACAACCTTCCGGTCTTTTCTGTATAAAATACGTTTGAAGAGGGAGTTATTTGGAATATTTTCAGAGGAAATGATTCCCCACGCGGTCAATTTCTTTCTTATGGGTGTTGTTGGCCTAGGTATGTTTTCTATCCAAAATCTGTATAGTGTTTAGCGGTTGCCGATAAGAAGGAGGAAGCAGAGAAGCATTTGGAACAAGGAAAAATACTTTTGGCATCTGGACAGTTCAATGAGGCCTTGCAGCAATATCATTCTGCTGTTGACTTGGATCCAACAAACTATCAGGCGTACTTTAGAAGGGCAACAGTGATGTTAGCAACCGGGAAAATAAAAGGCGCTTTACCTGATTTGGATAAAGTTGTAGAGTTGAAGCCGGATTTCATCGCTGGTAGGGTTCAACGAGGGAATCTTCTCCTAAAGCAAGGAAAACTGACAGATGCCGCAGAAGATTTTCAAATTGCCGTAAGTTGGATCTGTATATTTGGTATTATTTTAGATCCAAAATGAGCCCAGCAATGACGAAGCAAGAGGGAAGTTGGATAAGGTGCTGGAGTTGCATGAAACCTACGAACAGATCGACGACTACCTAGCCAATGATGACTATGAAGCTGCAGAAAGGTTGTTGGATCAAGCCATGGAATATTGTATGTGGGATCCAAGCCTGCACAGAAAGAGAGCCAAATGTCGAATGATGAGAGGGGATATCCAAAATGCCATTTCCGATATTAAAGCGATTGCCAAACTCATTCCGGATTCAACCGAAGTTTATCTGGAGACATCTCAGCTCTATTATGATGTTGGGGATGTTGAAAACTCCCTGTCGTATGTGTTTTATCCTTTATTCAATTTCAAAATAACTTTTATATATTACCTGATTTATTTTAGCCAAGTTCGAGAATGTTTGAAGCTGAATCCCGATCACAAAAGGTGTTTCCCCTTTTACAAGAAGGTCAAGAAGCTCGGAAAAATGCGAGAACAATTGGAGAAGTCCGCCAAAGAACAGAAATGGATGGATTGTCTGTCCAAGGGGCAAGAGATCATCAAATACGAAAGCAATGTTGAGAACATTCAATGGGATGTGTATCGAGTAACTTGCAAATGCAACAGAGAAGCCGGGCATATTGCCGAGGCTATTCAAGAATGCACAGAAGTTTTAAAATACGGAAACCCCGACGACTTAGAGATCCTGCTGGAACGGGGCGAAGCCTATCTTCTTGCTGAGGAGTGGGATAAAGGCAAGTTCATTTATCCAAAACTTATATGTGGTCTTACAATTTTAGCGATCGAGGACTTCCAACAAGCTGTCAACTCACATTCGGATTCACGCAAAGCAAAAGAATCGTTAAACAGAGCCCAGAAGATGAAGACTCAAGCCGGAAAGAAGGATTATTACAAAATATTGGGTGTAAAGAGAAATGCCAGTAAACGTGAGATCGAAAAGGCCTACAGGAAACTGGCTCACAAATGGCATCCAGGTAGATTTGATAAGCTGTTTTCATTACTGGTTTTCGTTTTTAGACAACTTTCAAGATGAAAAAGAAAAAAGTAAAGCACAAGAGAAATTCATCAACATCGCGGAGGCCAAGGACGTTCTCACAGACCCCGAAAAGAGGCAACGATTCGACCAAGGAGAAGATCCCAACGATCCTAACGCCGGTAATGCTCATCATCATCCCTTCCACGGTTTTCAAGGATTCCCCGGTGGCTTCGGCGGGGGTTTCGGTGGTGGTCAACAGTACTCATTCAAATTCACGAACTTCTAGACATCAACCAGTCAAACAAAAGCATCAGAAAACGCGGGTTCCATGTTTGAGTCAGATACTTTTTAAACGCAATCTAGTGCCTCGAGTAATGTTGAATTTAAATTATTTTTTTGTGAATAAATAATAATTTCGTTAGGAGGGTCCGTTATTCCTCCTCACCGGTTACATTGCCGATAAGCACATTTTTTAGGAGAGAGAAAGGGTCAATTGGAACAGCCATCCAGAAAATACTTACAAGTACTTTACAGAATGGCTGACCGTTCGGAAAACGAGGTGGGGACTAAGTTGGATCGTTGTTTCGCCGACTCGTTGCTTAAGATAGCCGGTGGAATCGCCATTGGCGTCGTTTCTTCAGTCGCCCTTTTTAAAGGACGCACTGCGCCTGTGTGGCTTGGAACTGGAGTTGGTAAGCTTGCCAAATGCTTTTGCTTCTCAAATGCAAAAGATCCTCAGTAATATAATTACTTTAGGTATTGGAATGGGATGGAGCAACTGCAGACACGACCTCAACCAGCCGTATCTTCTCCATGGCCAGAAGGTAAAGGTCGGCCAAGAAGGAGGAAAACCCGTTTATCAAATCGTCGTTCAGCCGACCAAAGTCTAGAAATGTAATAGTTTTTTAGAACCTAGCATTATTAAACAGTAAAATTTAATGGGAAAGTGCCAACGTTGAGAGTGGGAGATATTGAACTAAGAAGCTGCCCCTTTTCTATCAAAACATTCCCTTCAGGTAAGGAAAGTGTAAAATTTGGCGTCTTCTCTATTAACCACGCGTCAGATTTTAATTGTCGGTACGTTTGGGTGATCCCCGGCCTCTTCTGTTCATTTATCACATCGTCCTCGGTAATCTCCAATATCTGGGTTTCCAAATTTTGTTTACCGAAACCGGCTATTACTATATCACGCACTTCTTTTGTTGTTATCCCGGGAACGTCCTGATTTAACTGCCCAACGGCCTTCGCTCTTACACTTCTTGTTGCGTTGGTTACAATTAAAGATGTAAGCGGTGACTTTAGAGACCGACTGAGTACTGTAAGGTCTGTGTCAACTAGCAATGTCAAGTGGTGATAGGCGCGACCTCTTGCTACTCTTGCCGCCGTGCCGGATACTTTCCTTTCTCCCGGTAAAAGAAGGTCGTCTCGGGAATTGAGCTCTACCTAAATTTTAAAATTGCAAAAAGACGACCAAAGACTCACTGATGTACTCAATAATGCATTTAATTGATCTGCCACTAGTTTCAAGTTTCTGATTCTGTTATGTCGTTTTTGATTAGTTAGAACGGATATGTTCAAGTTCCCTAAACGAATAAGTTAAGAATTGTTAAATAACTCACCCAAGTCATGAAAGACGGCTCCTCCACCACTAAACCTTCTTACTACATTAATCTCTCTCGTTTCGCAAAAGTTGATGTTTGCTTCAAGCCATGGATTTTGATAGCGTCCGATAACAACCGATGGTGTATTGCTAAACACGACTTTGTAAAACTTGACTTTACGCACCTCCACAGTAATACTGACTCTTCCGATTTCTCCAGGTCATGATTTCTAAAGAGCCACTCCTCGAGGGCAAGATTTTTGTACAAACACGTTGACTTCGATAAATAAATGGTTCCTAATCGAGCTCTTGGGGCTATCATACTTGTATTTGAATCACATAAAGGGGCAAGATTCGAAGGCAAAAAGATATATAGACTAATCAGAAGTACAAGAAAAGCAGGAAGGAGTATTAGAGCAAGAAAGAATGGAAACAACAACAAGAGTTATCGACCAAAACTTATTAGAAAGCACGACTTGACACTTTCAGAAATGTGTCATGTTCTCTTTTTTCTGTAATCATATTTTTTGGAATTCATCTTTTGAAATTGTCGCTGTCTGTAGGTGTGAGTAAAGATGCCTAAAGTAAATGTAAAATGGTCGGGGAAGTTGTTTGAGGTAGATGTTGACCAAGATCTTGAGCCACTGGTTTTCAAGTCCCAGCTTTTTGGTTTGACTGGAGTTTCTCCTGATCGTCAAAAGGTTATGGTGAAGGTAGGTGTCACTTGCCATTGAAGCATAATTATTAGGGGAAGACACTTTCTGACGACAGTTGGAACGGCATCTCATTGACTGAGGGAACAATGTTGATGTTGTTGGGAAGCACTGGAGCCATTCCACAGCAAGTTAAGCCGTCCAGCGACGAAAATCTGAAGCCTGACGGGTCAGTAGACAAGAAAGTCGTTTTGCCAACTGGACTTACCAATTTAGGCAACACATGCTACATGAATGCCACCTTGCAGAGTTTTTTGGTAACTTAAATCTTCTGAGAAGCACCTCCAAGTTATATTTTAGACTATCCCTGAACTTTTGAATGGAGTCAAGCAATGGGGACCTTCTGGCAGTGAAAAAGCCAGCAACGAAACGTCAAAGTTGTTTACCGGAGCCATCAGAAATTTGTTTACGGAGATGTCTGTCAAATCTGGAGGTCCCGTTACCCCTTTGGTGCCTCTTCATGTAAGTTCAGTATATTTTAATTTAAAAATTTATTTCTTTTTTAGTTGATGCATGCCTTGTATCCACAATTTGCGACAAAGAGTGATCATGGAGGTTTTCAACAGCAAGATGCAAACGAATGTTTTACTGAACTGCTAAGGGAATTCTCTGGCTGTGCCGATGTAACTGTGGATGGCGAGAAGGTACCAGTTAAGAAATTCTTGGAAGGGGAGTTTGATGTGACAATGAAGAACTTGGAGAATGAAGACGAGCCAATTTTGAAGTCAAAGGAAAAGTTTTTTCAAGTAAGTGTTTCAGGGAATGTAATGAAAATTGAATTCTTCTTTCAGTTGAGTTGTTTCCTCTCCCAAGAAGTCAGATATGTTCAATCGGGAATAAAATCGAAAATGACTGAAGAGATCGAAAAGAATTCGGAGGCGTTGGGAAGGAACTGTAAGTATGAAAAGAATACCCTCATCTCCAGACTCCCGGCCTATCTGAGCATTCAGATGGTCAGATTCTTCTACAAGGAAAAGGATCAAGTAAGTTATTTACATTTTTAGTACCTTCTTTTTGAACCGGAGGAAGTGCAAATTGATCGACCATCCTGATTTCGAAAATGTCATTCATTTTTCGATCTCTTGTTTCTCTTAAGCAGTAGTGTTAAATAATCACTTTTATCAGACTGTCGGGAAAATTGTGGCGGGTCGTCGCGCCTTGAAATTACTCATAATCGCATCGGGGAATCGACTGTTTCTTGACAAATCCACTCGGCAGACGTTATAAAACTTGATTTTCTGCCACTTTTTGATAAAATTTTTTTCGAACTAAATTTGGAATAAAACAAAAAATCGTATTTTAGAGTGCTGGACAAGTGCTTTTTATGATTAGGTTCAGCATTATACCGTAGTGTCTCCCGAACCCGGGAAAAATGGATCTCGCTGTCCGGAAAGGTCCGCTGTCCAAAAAGGTGTCTTATCCATTCAGACACATTTACGCTTTCTTTCCTTCTTCGAGGTCTTCTCGGTGACCTTTTTTGCCCAACTTTGACGACGCATATCTATGCACTCAAGGGACTGCGCGGAGATTTCCCCTTTTGGGGGTGATACTGAGACATATTCGATCAATTTGCATTTGTTCCAGTTCAAAAAATTATTTACACGTGAAGTGCATTTCCTTGTTAGATTAATGCCAAAATCCTGAAAGACGTGAAATTTCCCATGATCCTTGATGTCTTCGATCTGTGCTCTCCCGAACTTCAAATCAAGCTGAAACCTCAAAGAGATGCTTTCAAGGTGAGTGTGGTAATCAAGACGGATGTTAATTTTCGGTTAGGAATATGAAGATAAAGCTGTTGAAAAGATTCGCACTTCCAAGCTAGGGGAGGACGACAAAAAAGATGTGGATGTGAATGTGAATGTGAAATACGCCCCCTCTCACTTTGAAGGCGATCCTGGATCGAATAATTCTGGCTTCTACCAACTGAATGCGATCATTACCCACAAAGGCAGGAGCAGCAACAGTGGTCATTACGTTGCCTGGGTCCGGGTCGGAGAGAAGAAATGGGCCATGTGTGATGATGACGAGGTCCACGAAGTCTCAGAAGAGAATATCCAGAAGCTCTCGGGTGGGGGAGATTGGCATTGTGCTTATGTGCTCTTGTATGGCCCCAGAAAACTGCCTCTTATCGAATCTTAATCTTTTTATTTTTCTGTGGAAATAAATAATTATTTTGACTTATATCCTGCAGTAATGCTGTTTTTTGCGGTCTAATATTATTATCTCATCTAGCCCAACACTGAATCCGAAGGGAAGATCTGACACTTCAAAGGCTACCTGAAAAGTGTAGGATAGTGGCCGTTTATGTCAGCTTAGGCTGCCTTACATATTCATATTGTCCTGGATATAAGGGCCTCACTTCTCTGAACCATCGATGACTCTCCAATGTCAGTTTAGGTGTCTAAAGAAGGTTCTGATAACGCGAAAAGCGCCTACCGTGAATAAAAGTTGCTCCTTGGTATCAAGTTCTCGCTTCAAGAAAACCTTTAGATCTCCCATTTGATTGCTTTTGAAGTAGGCGAACATCATGAACAGGTCTTCTTCTACTGAAAATTTCCGGGTTGTGTATCGTGTCCTGGTCTGAGGCCCTCCAATGTAAGCAAAACTTCCCTCTATAAGAATAGCATTGTTGCTTATCTGTCGTAAAAGAGTTTACCTCGATTGAAGGGGAGTCGGGACGCATCTCCCGGGATTCCTCCAATCAGATCACTGGTCGGGAATGTCGAGGTTAACCAGCCGCTTCCATGAATCTGTCCAGTACAATATTCTGTAGCGTTAAACGAACAATCAAGAACATCACAGATGTCCTTATGTAGTTCTGGGTTCGAATGGATGATGATACTTTGGTCTGGCTGTGACGGAATTGAAGCGTCGGAAAGGACATTTTGCTCCTGAAAGATGACTTATTTAACTAGACACCTACCATTCTGCTTGGATGTGAATTATGTCTCATCAGTTGTGGCTGAGGACAGAATTCGCCGTAATATTCGATACTGTCGATGATTGCAAAGCCTCCTTGCAGATTGGCTGAGTTGTAAACAAAGTTCTCGGCCTGTATATAGATCTATAAAAGAGGTAAGGATGACAGAGACTGTGTAAATTTTAAGGGCTTACCTGGAAAGATTCTCCAGCTAGATCAGGGATGCTGGTATAGGCAGGACCTGGATCCCCATTCTCAATGGCCGGGGCACAATAGTCATAAAATCCAGGCGGCTTTCCCAACGTCTTTGTGCACACAATCAACTTTACTTCAGGGCTTGTCCAATACCTGGGAATTTATTTTCGCATTCTCAGGACTCACATGAATCTCAGCTCTGCTTGACCCAGTTGACAATCAATTGGATCACTTACTAAGATAGCCTTCGCTGTCGAAAATTCAATCCTATCACTTGCAGCAATACCGTAATATCCATCTGAAGTGAAAATGATTTGAGTTGTCATTTGTTGAAGGCATGAAAGATAAATGAAGTTTCCGGCGTACCTGGGCTGAGATGAGTTCCCGTAGAGACTCTCAGCCTGGATTCGTCCAGGAATCCGGCTCCTTGATACCAGTCCAGTTCATCAACTCCAGCTCCCTCAATGTTTCGCCAGCGGCATCTGTCATCAAAGTCATAGCAAAACAAGTCGACCGGGTCTGCGATTGGCGTGTTTTTTACGGTATTCGCATCTAATACAAACGGTTTTGCATAGCCGTAACATAAATTTTCAATTATTTAAATTGGTTACCGAGCTTTATCGGAGTCTGTACTCTGTTTATCGTATCTCCAAAAGCCTTTGCGGTTTGCTGAAAGTCCCCGATGTTCATCGACCGCCCATCCAATGGAGGCATGCAACATTCTACACAAGTACTTGATTACGCAATAGTTATGTCATATACCTGTCAGCCTGACGAGCAGAATGAAGAAGAACAAGTTCAGGGTCAAGACCATTTCATTGGAACCCCAAAAGAACAAAAGAATTTTATTTCTGTGTTCATGGATGTCGCAGAACACTTCAAGTGACCATTCTCGGCTTGAGTGCACTGCTAAACAAACACGATGAGGGGGATTCAAGATACCACGACTTGACTTTCTGGAGCAGATTTCAGGTAAATCTTCGATTGGATTATGTTGTATAGTTATACAGATTTTATTTACAGCGTACAGTTTTCATATTGTTTACTGAGTTATGTAAGGAGATAGTGATTACAAAGTTCTGGTGCTATTGCCAATTGAAGATTCCATGCTGAAAGACTTTTTAAAGCCTTCAAGACCGGCCACAGGACCTGCTGGATTCAGAAGGGCGAAGGAAACCATCATCTTGCTGTTTATTTGGAGTATTCCCGCCTTATTGCTCTGTGAATTTCCATTACAGAACTTCAAAAGAACACTTACCACCTCCGGGACGTAGTTAGAAGCGGAGAAAACGGTGACCATCTTCCTGTTTGCAAAGAATCCATAACCATTAGGCATCATCTGAAAGTGAGAGTTGATAAAGTCACAAAAAAGCGATAATAATGCTACCTGATGGGCTCTTATAATGAGATCCAGGTCCAACTTCTTGCAGACTTTCTTAACCATGTCAGCTCCAAAGCAAACACTAACATCCCTGAGGCGATTGAATTCGAAGCCATTTATGGAACTGGAAGGGTCTGCCCAAAGCAAATCTTGTTCTAGAGTATCCGGAACCGGGTCCATAAACGGCAACCGGATCTTTCGGATGTCATCCAAGGAGTTGAGTTTGGGGCTAATTCCCCCGTGCATGCACAGTATACGTTTCCTAATACATGCAGCCAAAGGAAGATGACTGAAGACGACGTTAAACTCCTTGTGTAATTTCATGGCCAAACCAATCGAAAAACGACGCTGAAGTTCCTCCCAGAAGCCATAAGTTCGATTGACAAGTTCGCATTCATGATTCCCGCGGAGAAGATACACACGGTCCGGGGCGAGGAGTCTCATGGCTAACAGAAGACAGATACATTCCACCGAATTCTCTCCACGATCCACGTAATCTAAAGACCGAATCAGCAAAAAATTTCCCGGACTTACCTCCAAGGAAAAGATAGCGATGTTTTCCGGGTAATCCGAGAGCTGAGAAGATCCTCAAAAGGTCTCCGAATTGGCCATGGATGTCTCCAACGACGTTGACTGGAATCGGGACATCCACCAAGGCAGATCCCTCCCTGTCTCGACAGATGATGGGCTTTGCCATGTCGATGAGTTCGACGATCTCATCCCCACGATACTCGACACTCCGCTTGTAGCTGTAGTTGAGATGCTTCTGCACAAAGTCTCTCAGATTCAAAGGCATTCGACCGGTCGATAACTCTGAGGTTGGAGTAAATAAATTCCAATTCCATTAGAGGGCTGAGTTTGATTTGGTTATGCAAATTCAATTTTTTGACTGAAACTGGCGCCATGCGTTATGAAAGTTCATTTGTTTCGAGGAATGACGTCATTGTCATAGGTTTTGCAGATAAATCCGACTCCTAATTAGATTAATCCGGGAAGCAAATTAATGTTGTAGTTTGTCGGGAGCAAAGTACTTTCTTTTCTCATCTAAATCCGAATACCACTCCTGGAGCCTTTCTCCATGACATTTACCATCTCGGTTATGTTGCCGTTGTGTGATTAGATGCGATCTTGATCCCGCAGCAAAGAAATTTTGTTGTTTTTGGGAAAATCCGGAGTCTTTTTACTCTTTAATTATCCTTTAAGTTGTAGTTTATTCCCATTCCGAAGTGTTCGCTCGTTCCCGGCATCAGAATCCTGTTTTTCCTGGATGCGAGCCAATGCCGCGAATTCTTTCTAGTCCGTTCCTCATTACGGCTGACCTGCAATGCCGAGCTCCACATCCCTATATAAAGCTGGTAGATGTACAAAATAAATATTCTCTCGCTGGTATCTTGCATCTTATCTTAACACTATGATGACTAAGACTGTAATTTTATCGGCTTTCCTGGTGATCTCTGTCTATTCTCAAGCCGATGGATCCGTAAGTGGCACCATCTTGCACCCATGGGGTGGAAATCTGGGTCGAATGGGTGGAGGATACACCTATTCGGCTCCGACATATTCATATGGCCCGAGATACGATTATTATGGATACTCCGGATACTCGGGTTACCCTTATTCGGGATACTCTGGATACTCGTCTCCTTCCAGTTACAGCCCTTCCTCATATTATAGCTCAAGTTATGGACCAAGTAAGTACATTTTAAAGATTTCTTGTTTGTATCACAAAGAAAAATTGGTAGGCAAAGAGATTTTAATGCAAAGTTCTCTTCAATTTGTGGATTTTTTCCATTAATGTAGCCGATTTTAATTAATTTTAAACAAGGCCAATCAAAGGTCTAGAAATCATTTTATGATATAATTTGCAGGCCGTTACAACTACAACTACAACTACCGCAACGGCTACTACTACTACTACAGAAAATAAGATTAATAATTTGTTTTTTCTAATTTATTGTTGAAATTAAAGAATCGGCGATTAACGTCAATGATTGCATTACACCGACCAGAATCGAAAAACAAAGTCATTCGCTGATTTCATGCAAAGTGTCTCGATCAATCTTATGAGCCTTCTGAAGATGACAGTCGTCTTCGTTGGGTGCTGATGCACCCAAGTCTAATCGAATCACAATGCTTTTCTCGGTTGCTGTAACAGACGTTGTAAAGTTTTATGTTTTATGAGGAAATGGTTCGAGAAGCCTTGCTTGCAAGTTTGTCAGAATCAAACGATCGCATTTCATCAGGGTCCGAATCGGAGATCAAAATGCGTTTACTATAATATAAAATAATAGAAGCGGATCTCCTCCTATTCATGTCAAGTTGTAAGCCGATTTGCAGCTTCAGAGGGTATGACGAAACACATTTCGTAAGCGTTTGTAGGATTGCAAAGGGCATTGATGCAGAGAGAAGGAAAAGTCAGCAACTACCGGGGAAGGGAATACAAAATCATATCGATTTGATGGCAACACAACTTGGCGTGTCATGTGGAAGTTCCAAGGAAAGGTCGTTGTTCTTCAGATTCTCTTTACTTCTTTCCGCTTTCTTCACAAATTCTATTAGGGTGTGTCATGTATTGCATGCCGTTTCGTTATGATAATCGAAAAACAAATTGAAAGGAAATGAAAGCACTGCCATGAGTTAAACTTATTACATTGCAATTACAGTGTGTATTGTAATGTTCACCCCCTGTATTACACTCTGTTTGTTTTGGATGGTCTGACCGAAAGGCGGGAAGGGAAACACCGGAAAAAAAGTAATCGAAATGGGAGTCGGCTTGTGACCGCCTTCAGCTAGCTCCTTTAAAAGCTCTCAGAGAACGTCGATAACCATCGGTCTTCGTGTTCTCATACCACAAATACCGCTAAAATTCTACTTGATAATCCCTGTTTGAAGATGTCACGGAACATCCTCATGATCCTCGTTGTTGTCATCGCTCTGGCCATGGTCTCCTTGGAGGCCCGACCTCAGGCTGATTGGTCTGGCAATGGCTCCATTCTCGATTCGACTGGCGGTGAACTGACCCGAGAAGGCACTGGCTATCACAGCTACAGCAACTACAACGCCCAACCCGCCTATGGCTATAACCCTTACTATGCAAATGGATTGTTTGGATAAACATAACATGCTCCGAAATGCCGTTGTTGAAGATTGTCACGTACCGTGATCACTATCCTGTATATATTGTTGTCGCAAAGTTTGCAATGATCTTTTAATAATCGATGTTCTCGGTGTATTTGTACATAAAATGTGTTTCAAAATAAATGTCATGCATGAATATAAGTTTGGAAATGTCTCAAAAACCGAAGAACAAGAAAAGTCTAGAATCTGAAGTGTTTGATCGAATAAAAGTTCTTATTTCCCCTGTCCCCCATCAGTTCGGACGCACCCAATGCCGAAGGAACGGGAGATGATAAACATGTCATGATTGATTACTCTGATTTCATGTGCTTTTCATCGGTGGAAAGGTCTTTCAACGACATGATTTCGATAATATTCCAACCAAGCAAACGCCGAACGATTGAAATTTAACAAGTCATGCACAATTCAAAGTTTTTCATTAGAAACGGCACTCTGAAGATGATTGAAGTCAGTAACATCATTGCTATGGAAAACAAGTCAAGGTTTATGTTGCAAAGTGCTAATGTGGATGGACCTTAATGTTAAAGATCAACAAAATTGATATAAACAAGATGGTGGGAAATAAAAATCTCGGGTGAAAACAAGGAATTCAATTCGAATCGTCTTCTGCTTTCGCTTCTGCAGAGGTAATACTGGATCGAACGGGCATCTTCAATCCCATCTCTGAAACAATTTATGCGTGTAACAATCTTTGAAACAATGGCGGCCAATGTTTTCCGCGAAAAAATTAAATCAAAAATTTGTCAAAATCTATAACTCTGATTTTGAAAATTTTGACGGATTACTAGTCCGTTCGCAAAGTCGCTGGAATGATTTTGGCGACACGCACTGTGCAAGAAATATCTCTAAAGGAGGGAGACTCAGGTGTAAACCTGTCGAAACACCAAAATTTTAAAAATCATGGGATACTGTAATGTCACAATATCTCGTTATCTTCCTGGCGAAAACTGTTGCCCTTGTTTCTGAGATCGCAAAACTTTTTTAGAGATGTTTTTAACATTTCCAAGTTTCTTTTTGTACCAGACAACAAGTTAACTCATACACTTCAACAACAATGTTTCAAGAATTAAATCGAATTTTTTTTTTGAAAAAATAGAATGGAAAAAATGATGAGAAAAAAGAACATGAAAAAGCAAATTTAGTGCCCTTATAACTCCAATTAATGCTCATTTATGTGCGTATTATTGTGTGCTTCCAGTGACCATTTCTCCTCGATCATCATTTCCATCGACTGGAGATCTCCGTCAGTAAATTGTAAATCATTTCAGTGCAGGTTATGTGACACGATAAGTCTTTTGTCTTCTCTCTGTCCACCAGTCTAGTTCAATTGTAACTTCCAAAGAGAAGTCAACAAATCAATTAGTTTCAGTCTTCAAAAGCAGAAAACCCCGGTTTTAAAGCCCAATCATTTACCCAAAATAACTTTTAAAGATACTTTTTTACAACACAAGTAGTCAAACAACGCAAATTATTGGAGAAGGTGACACTTGAACGTTCCAACGTATCAGAATTAATAGAAACCCAACGCAAACACTCTAATGTAACATCGCAAATCCTATGGAGACAACTTATTGACTACACAACGTTTTTTAACGTAATTCTTGTAAACGCAATGAACCTGGAGGGTTTATTATGCACATTACAGCTATTTCTCTATCATTTTTAAATAGTACTAGTCCGTTCGTAAAGCGCTGGAGTGATTTTTTGGCGTTTGCATTGCGCGAAAAAGTCAAGGTGCGAGTCACAACCGAAAAAGCCTATTGTACGGTGCAAAAACCAACCAATTGCACAGTGCAATGCGAACGGAGCAGTATACTCCGCCTTTGGACCAGTCTGAAACTGGAAGGAATTTTTAAAACATCTGGATTTTTTTCTTATTAACAGTACTGTTAAGTAATAATTTTTTAAAATTTTACTAACAATACTCGATTTTGGGTTTTTTAATGGCTCTGGCTTCGAACATCATGTTCATTTTTTCAGACCTTTACTTTTTTCTTAAGCAGTACTGTTCAGTAGAATTTTTTTGAATTTTTACTAAAAATACTTGATGTATAAGAGCTTTCGATGATGCCGGCAACCGAGAACGATGAGATTTAAAATGCTCATGTAACAAATGACTTGAAAAAATACATTGATTTTTTGAAGACCAATATGGAAGCCTTTTTGGAATAAATTCGTTTTTTAGCTATCAGAAGACTGAGAATTTATGGAAGGTGGCGGGGGAGCTTGGGCCGTCATAGGCCTGGTGGATCATAATTCTGCATCTTGAATTTGAGCGATGTTTTTTGATAAATTACGTACTTTTTTGACGTGTTCGTTTAGCGGGTGGTGGGGGGAATTTACAGCTGTTCCAGATCTGGAGGATGATAATTCTCAATGTTGATTTAATAGGATTCTTCATCAATTCATACTTTATATATTGGAATTAGAGTCAACTGTTGTAGACGCATCTAGGAAAATTGCGGAAAGCCATCGAAAGAAACCCCCAACCGGGAAGTAGTGAGTAGTAGGTAACCAATTGCGAGGATGTCAAAAATGAGTTCCATTTTTTTTGTATTTACTTTTTTTCTTTGTTAGTACCAGAAATTGCCACGGTCAAAATTTCGGCTCCGGCTCTTAGCTCCCAGAGCCGGAGCCGAGGCCAAATTTGCTGCTCCGAATCCCGGCTCCCGTGCAAAAAGATTTAAAACACGTTTTTTCTAAAGGTCGAGCGAGGCTCAACTACAGCTGCGACGTTAAATTCAGAGTTGTTCAATTTTGTTCAAACTTTCAAATATTAGTTGCCTATGAACCCTTATTACGATTTCACAAAAAAATTCCGAAAAAGTTACTGTAGCTGGGCGTACCGTAGTGGAGGCCCATTTTCAGTATCTCGGAAAGTACGCACCGTAGAGACAAGCGGTCTTCACCATCATCTTTGTCGTGTTCCAAAACCTATTTTTGTAATTTTCATCCAGGTCCTAACTCATCGGAAAGCATGTGAAATTTGCATATTTTTGCCCTTAATTTTAATAATCATAACTTTTCTCAAAAAATTTGAATAAATTTCCAGTGATTTTATTTCATATAAAGAAACTAGAAGTCTTCACGGTTCGAATGACACCAAAAACTCCAAAATCTGATTCGACACGGTTGCAAACGTCTCGACTGAAATTGACGACCCAAAAATTTGGATTTTTATTTTTTTTATATTTCAAATTTCAACGAGCCTAATTGTTAAAATCAGAAGCCTACTGCTCATTTGGACCTGAAAAATCGATTTTTACTCATTTTTGCATGTATTAGGCATTAAAAAATTTTTTTTGAAATATGAAAATTAATAATTTTAATAATCGTAACTTTTCTCAAAAAATTTGAATAAATTTCCAGTGATTTTATTTCACGTATAGAAACTAGAATTCTTGGCGGTTCGAATGATACCAAAAACTCAAAAATCTGATTCGACACGGTTGCAAACTTGTCGACTGAAGTTGACCACCCAAAATTTTCGATTTTCATTTTATTCAAATTTCTAATTTTAATGATCGTAATTTTTAAAATAAGATGAATATTGCTCACTCAAGGCGGAAAAACCGGTTTTTACTCATTTTTGCATGCATTAGGTATAAAAAATTTTTTTTAATTTGAAAATTATTCATTTTAGTAATCATAAGTTTTCTAAAAAAATTTGAATAAATTCCTAGTGACTTTTTTCTGGATTCTGTGACTAGAAATCATTGCGGTTCGAATGAGCCTAAAATTTTAATTTAAAATTTTTACGCAAAACGCAATCGCTTATTTAGTTTTCCGGTCGACAGAGGACAAGTACAGGGTGGGGCATCTTTGTGGCCCGATTTGAATTGACTATAACTTCTTTAGTTTTTGGCCAAATTTTAAAATTCTTTTTTCCCTGAATCGTCAGCCAACCCCATTTTGTTTGATACCAAATATGTTATACATAGTAAGTGTATCTCTACAGTTATTGGATTTATTCTTAGAGTTCATTTTTTCGGTCGTTTTTCGGTTGTTTTTTCGGTCTTTCCCGGTGTGTCCGAAAATGGAGTCCGGTGCGGAAGAAAAGGCTTGGTCTGTGGTTTGGTATAGCAAGTACGGTTCGGCGATAAATTTTCAAACGGGGATACCGCATAAAATACGGACGTAATGCCTAACCTCCAGATCGCAAGACAATTCGACGTTCGTGGAATAAGTTTCTTGAGACTGGCAGCGTTAAAAGGAAACAAAAAAAGCAGGAAAGATGAGTACGAACGGAGCTGAAAATTTAAGAAGTTTTGTCAAAATTCCGAGAAAATCCGCATATGAGTACACGAAGTTTGGCCAGAACCGAGGGAATGCCTTCAGCAAGGACCATTCGACGAACTCTGGAAGTTGATCTTCACTTTTTGTTCTTATTCTCATCGTCGATTTTCGGGAGGGTAAATTCCGCCGTATTTTTCTTCCGCACCGTACTCCATTTCCGGACACACCGGGAAAGACCGAAAAAACAACCGAAAAACGACCGAAAAAATGAACTCTAAGAATAAATCCAATAACTGTAGATATACACTTACTATGTATAACATATTTGGTATCAAACAAAATGGGGTTGGCTGACGATTCAGGGAAAAAAAGAATTTTAAAATTTGGCCAAAAACTAAAGAAGTTATAGCCAATTCAAATCGGGCCACAAAGATGCCCCACCCTGTATAATATCGAAATGCAAAATTTGAGTGCGCTAAAGTAGAAAAACATGTGTTTCCTAGGCTTTCACGTTTGTCGCACCGCATTAAAATTCTTTTCTGGCCAGAAAATGGGCTAGCAAAGAAAATAGTAGTAAAAAAATAGTTTATCTTGTGCAACTCTGTTCTGAACGTCTGACCCCAAAACATCCACAAATGACGCCAATTGCCATGAAACGATTTAAAGCGGTCTTTGTTAAGCTTTTATAGTTGTACGATATATGCTACACCCCAGAATGCCTGAATTAATACACAGGTTATTGAGCCAAGTGCAGCCGACTTCAAACTACAAGTTTGCAATCGTGCCGAACTAGATTTTGTCATTTTTAGGCTCATTCGAACCGCAGTGATTTCTAGTCACAGAATCCAGAAAAAAGTCACTAGGAATTTATTCAAATTTTTTTAGAAAACTTATGATTACTAAAATGAATAATTTTCAAATTAAAAAAAATTTTTTATACCTAATGCATGCAAAAATGAGTAAAAACCGGTTTTTCCGCCTTGAGTGAGCAATATTCATCTTATTTTAAAAATTACGATCATTAAAATTAGAAATTTGAATAAAATGAAAATCGCAAATTTTGGGTGGTCAACTTCAGTCGACAAGTTTGCAACCGTGTCGAATCAGATTTTTGAGTTTTTGGTATCATTCGAACCGCCAAGAATTCTAGTTTCTATACGTGAAATAAAATCACTGGAAATTTATTCAAATTTTTTGAGAAAAGTTACGATTATTAAAATTATTAATTTTCATATTTCAAAAAAATTTTTTTAATGCCTAATACATGCAAAAATGAGTAAAAATCGATTTTTCAGGTCCAAATGAGCAGTAGGCTTCTGATTTTAACAATTAGGCTCGTTGAAATTTGAAATATAAAAAAAATAAAAATCCAAATTTTTGGGTCGTCAATTTCAGTCGAGACGTTTGCAACCGTGTCGAATCAGATTTTGGAATTTTTGGTGTCATTCGAACCGTGAAGACTTCTAGTTTCTTTATATGAAATAAAATCACTGGAAATTTATTCAAATTTTTTGAGAAAAGTTATGATTATTAAAATTAAGGGCAAAAATATGCAAATTTCACATGCTTTCCGATGAGTTAGGACCTGGATGAAAATTACAAAAATAGGTTTTGGAACACGACAAAGATGATGGTGAAGACCGCTTGTCTCTACGGTGCGTACTTTCCGAGATACTGAAAATGGGCCTCCACTACAGTACGCCCAGCTACAGTAACTTTTTCGGAATTTTTTTGTGAAATCGTAATAAGGGTTCATAGGCAACTAATATTTGAAAGTTTGAACAAAATTGAACAACTCTGAATTTAACGTCGCAGCTATGCTCGACCCTAAGAAAAAACGTGTTTTAAAAAAATATTTTTTGAAAATAAAAGTTATTAGTGCCAGAGATCATACACCCAATGTTTTTGCAGACAAGTTGTATGCAACACATCGTTTCTAGTATTTTTGCAAGCAATTTGGTTTAACAAGATCATGAAATTTTTACTTTTCTGAACGAGAAGCCTGGCTCCGACTTTGGGTTCGGAGCCGGAGCCGCTCAGAGCCGGAGCCAAGAGCCGGCTCCGGAGCCGTGGCAATCTCTGGTTAGTACTGTATTTTTTTTAGTAGCAATTTTTTTATTTTTTCTAGAAATACTCGATTTAGGGGTTTTCGAGGGTGTTCATTTCGAAAATCATGTTATGTTTTTCTGATTTTTACTTGTTTTTCTTAAGTAGTACTGTTAAATTAAGAATGGTTTTAGTACCAAGTGTTAAAAAATGCGTTTTTTGGGCAGTAATAGGCGAGAATCCTTTTTACAATCGCCTTGGCCTTGCTTACGACCTGGGTCGCAAGCAGGTCGTAAGCAAGTCAAGGGGCTACTAGGGTAATCTGGATGGTGGATGGTTCCAGATTACCCTACTAAAACACCGATATGATTTTCGAAATCAGTATTATCGATTACCTGTAAAAATATATCGTTGACCCGAGTTAACTGTCCCTAACCCGAAAAGTCGGGACGCGTAAGGTAGTGCTATAAAGAGAAAAAATTAACATGTTCTCGAAATCAGCGCATTCGAAAACTCCTTTCAGAAAATTTTCAAAAAATTACTTTTTAACACTACTATTTAAGAAAAAAACGTAAAAATCAGACAAAATGAACATGATTTTTGAAATCAGCACCGTCGAAAGCCCCTAGGAAATCAGAACTTTTTCTAAAGTTTGGCCGGCAGTTTCTTCAGTTCTTGCGATGAATAAATGCGTGGAGATGGTTGAGAAAGGGATTCATCCGGTCTGAAGTTGTTTCGGGATTTGTGTAATTCCGAATCCTTCACTTCTTCGAGGTCCAGAACGGGTGTTACACATGCGTCTACCTCTGAAAAATACTCGCTTTTATTAGCTATAGAATTAATGCGGCGTTATGCGTAAAAGAGTAAATGATTTTTAACTCACTCTCAAAAATACTGGCCCATTCGTTTCGCGTTTTTGACTTGAATTTGGCCTCTAGGACATTTGTGAGTTCTGTTGGATTATCTATGAGATTGGGGTCCACGTCGAGAGCTAACAATAAGATTGTTATTGCAAAAAGAATTTAAAAGAATTACTTTTAAAGACGGCTTGATGAAATTTGGGTTCCAGTGCTCCAACAGCCATAAATTTGTCATCTTTTGTTTGATACGTTCTAAAAATTAGAGTCTTCTGGAGTGAGCGTTACCTGTAAATGGGACAGTCTCCCCTGAATAGTCCGAAGTCCTTGTTCCACATGACTTCGTTGCCTTGGTATTCGAATAACATAGCTCCGAGATATGAAACTCCTTCAGTCATGCTGACATCTACGACTGCTCCTTCCCCAGTTCTATTTCTTTTGATAATAGCCGCCAGGATTCCGAATGCTCCATTAAGACCACCTCCGGCGAAGTCTGCCAAAACGTTCGCTGGGGGCCATGGCCTCTCGTTCTTCCCACTGATAAAAGGCAGAATTCCTGATAAGGAGACATAATTCAGATCGTGGCCGCCCTTCTTGGCCATGGAACCGGTCTGCCCATACCCAGTTATTCTCGCGACAATTAAACCGGGGTTGGTTTTCCACAGTTCTAATGGAGCTAATCCAATCGCCTCCAGAACTCCCGGTTTATATGGGTCAAGGAGGACATCGGCCCGGTCGACAAGGTCTCTGATATGGTGGATGTCATCCTTATAATCTAACGAGATGCTCCGTTTGTTTCGAGAGAATTTAGCTTTTAAACTTCCAGACTTTTTTTTCTAAAAGGTTATAGAGGGTTAAAGTTGTCGTTCAGCTACCTTAATCGCGGTGACATCGGCGCCGAAGTCGGCCAAGATCTGGCCACAAAAAGGGACTGGAGCCAACCCCTCGAGTTCAATCACTTTTATTCCCTTGAGGGCATCCATATTTAGATGAGCAGAAAGATGTTCTCAATTTGTTTTTATTATTTTTTTAAAACTACGAGATATGTAGCGACGGTTAAATACAGAGATTAATCGTTCTTCTTCGACTTGATGGGCGATAGGTTCTTGAGTTTGTTCTTCAGAGATTCTGAGTTTTGATGGATTCTTCGGTAAAGGATTGATGGAATCTTAGGTGTTCTTCCGGATCGTGCGGCCACTTGATAGAAAATAGCACCATATAAGATACAAATAGACCTAAAAATAAGGGTACATCATTGAAACAGACATGACTTAACAATAAAATAACTGCTTACCAGATGATAAAAATATACTCGGCTCTGTTCTCAAATGGAGTTCCACAAATGGCATACCACTCCAAGGGCTGATTCTCGATTTGTTGGGGTGGTTTACCCCCAGGCAAACAATGGAAGTCAAAGTATCCTTCGTCGTAATTTGTAGCACACAAGTATTTGCTCTTGTACAGGACGAGTCCGGTGGGAGTTTGGACCTTTTGTTTTATTTTACAGTCTCCAATTGGCTGATGTAATCCCTCGGCCACAATATTCGCAGGATCAGCAATGCAAACCAAGATCATGTAGAAGAGATAATGGAGGGAGACGGCCAGAGCCAACTCATCGTACCAGAATCTGTTTCCTTCCCTGGCCTCAGGGTTTTTGTTCTGTCGATCAGCGATCCAAACAATCAGCATATAAAAACTCAAGAAAATGGTGGACGTCACCTCGGAATGCACTCCAAGGAAGTCGTGTAGAGGATGGTAAAGAAGAGAGAACTGAATGGTACCACCCCAGAAAGCAAGAGTACCAGCTAAGAAGACACAAAGGAACTCCCGACCAAACTTCTTCCAGTCATAGACTTCACTGACAAGATATTTCCGGGAGAAATGCAGGATCCAAACGAAGGAACACGCAAAGGAGGCGTGGAAGTAATAAGAATTCCAGGGGACCCAATATGTCCGGTCGAAGATGTTGGGATCTGTATCATGCCATGTCCACCAAAGCAATTTTATCCCCATAATATCGTAGGGCATGTCCAACATCACCGCGCCCAGACCAACAGCCGGGCCTTCAGCCCACCATGGAAGATGCAAACTAAAATAAAGGTGTTTTAGACAAAAAGGAGATAAAAATTAAATCTATCAGATAAGCTTCACACTTACCGCTTGACGAAGATATAAGAAATGTAATCAAATGTGTGATAGATGCCAAGAATAATATACAGAGGAGCTCTCATTCCAAAGAAGGTCATCAAACCTTGGGCTTGCCAGAAATTATCGAGATCCGGGATCCAATAACAGAGATTCTCGACGTTCAGAGCGTGGATAAAGATCCCAAACCACACGAATAAATATCGGCCGCCATGACGCCAAGCTATAATAATAAACATGAACAATATACACAAATAACCTTCAACTTCGATTACCGTGGACAAAAGTGAGGAAACATGTTACAAAGAAAACCAATTCGCATGCCAAGAAGCTTGTATGATTGTCATAGATTTTTCTGGGGTCTTGAAACTTCAAAAGCCAATCAGCACCCTAAAAATGGTATGAATGAACCACTGTGAAGGAGAACAACAAAACACTGTTTCACTTACCCTCACTAAATCAACGGCCTTTTCAGTAACGTATTTCCTGGAATCTTCTGAAACGCTGAAGGGAAGATACGGAAACACATATGCATCAAGCAGATAGTCCATACCGATGACTAACCCTGCAAAGAGAACAAATTCTTACAAGCGAGGTATTCCCCTCTCTCTTCGTGTGGAAATCGCGCCAAAATCAAACAAAAACGACGCTTTAAAGGTCTCGAAAATTTGCATATGGCCTTTACGAGGTACCCGAGAGCCAAGAGCAGGGCACGTCAAGAAGAAATAAAAGAAAAACGGGCGCCCAATGAAAAAGCCTAGAATTTTTCTTGGCATTCTGCCCGGTGCAAATCCGTTTTTGTCCAAATGGTTTGCAATATTTTGACATAAAGATTAATAGTAAATCACAAGATATTGATACCAATAGAAAGCTCGAGAGCTGCTTAAGCTAATAGAATCAAAATATACCCATAATCATAGCATTTTGACAGTCTTCCAAGGCGAAGAAAACAACGTCTAAATAAAATGTTGTATCGACGATACCGAGTCAGAGAGAACTGGAAGGGGGTATAGGCTCCACGTCAAAAAAATCCTTAAACTATTCTTCGAGTATCTACATCGGTCTCGTCCCGCTTGATGGGACAGTTTTTTTGATATTCGGCCTTGAAATTTGCACTATTTTTACACAACAATTAATCTCGCTTGCAGTCTTTTGTCTCACCACGAAAATGGAAAGGAGTTTGGCATTCTGCAAAATAAAAGAATTTCCAAAGAATATTTTTTTTATAAAAACCATTTTCTCGCCTTCCAAGTCCCGTTTCCTAGCCAAAAGTTCCTTTAGACGTCGGCAAGTTGCCAAATGACATGGGTATGAACCATCAAAGTCTAAATTATTACATAAAGACACTATAATTGATAAAATATATAAATCTTCATGACTTTTTTATATTTATTTTTCCCATTTGCAGAATGCCAAAAAGTGCCAAAAAGCCGGGAACTGATTTTTGTTATGGGGAAAGATTGATGGATAACTCCTCAGCCGAGTAGTAAATGTGCCGCGATTTTTTGCATACTGTTTGATAAGAATGTGTCAATGTTGACTTCCAAGTTTCATGCGATTTTTCGTTATTATAAGTCGGTTAGACCACGGGAAAGATTGCAATTGTTGAATACTTAAGGTGGCTATATCTTGCAAACTGTAAAAACTGCAAAAATTATTTTAGGTGGTGCAGATAGAGTTCTATTCCCTCCTTCTTATTTACTATTCACCCAATCACCCGATGTCCTCAAAAGTGAGAGGCGATAATATTTGTTGGACCGTGTTTTTGTAACGAAGTGTTCAAAAATTTCAATCAATAATTGAGACGATTAGCTAAAAAAGCGCTTTTCAATTGGGATTAATTGTTGTGTTAGCCTAGCTCGAACCGTGTTCAAAAAATGCGTCACGATGACACCCATTCAGAATGTGCCAGTGGTACAAAAAACAGTTGTATACGAGTAGTAGTACTCTCTAGAGTTCCTATAAAAAAAATTAGGTTAAACATTGTTGTTATGTGCAATTTGGATGACAGATTTTATGAATTTTTTTTCGCTGTGAGAACCTTTGCAATGCCCGAAATTTCTTGACGTGCAGGGGGCAGGCCTAAAGACAGGGGAAAATTCAAAAAATTGGAGGGTAAGGGCAAGCTTCTCGGGAAAGTAAATTAAATTCGGTTGATAGCTTATCAGTTATCAGCTCCGGTGTTCACTAAATTTATCTATGTAAGAAAAAAGAGCTTGACCAGTACGATTCCCACAGATGAAAGAAAAACTGCATCTGCAGTCGAACCTCCGAATATTCCACTTGCAGTTTCAGTAATTTTCACTATAGACTAGCAACGTACATTTTTTTTTTTGATTTTTACATTGAAAGGAACACTTGACCACTCCGAGTCAACACTTCCATTTACATGTATATTTGTGACTGGACATAACACAGCATCACAGTTATTTTTTAAGAAGAGTATTTGTTTTTGTCTAATAGTTTATCCGCACATGAAATGACAATTACAACTGCTAAATTACTCAGTCTTCGCCAGATTCTCGACTTTCGGGCCAACACAAATCTCTGCCACAGAAACCAAGTAGAAGGAGGAGAATGCATACAGTTTAGTTACTATAGGAACGACTAGGAACTGATGACCCACTGCGAAAAGTCGATATAATCGACCGGCAAACGGATCACTGACTCCAGGACACAAAATGCAATTAAGATTAACATGAGTCATGAAAGAAATGGGCTGAAGGACCAAGAAATGGTACAGTAAGATCAACGACATACTGAAGATCGGCCAGGCATAGTTTGAGCCACTTTCTGGGAGAAAGGCGCCTAAATGGAGATACTGTAACGTAACTTTTGCACTTACCTCCTAAATAAATTAAGTACAACGGAACAAGGACGATCAAAGTGTGTTGAAGGAAATAGATAAATACCTCGCCGATCATCTGAAAAGCTGTTGGCGGGACTAACTGAACTTACTTGTCGAGTATTAAGTATGGGAAAGGCCAACGCGATTAATGCCCCCGGCATTGTGTACATGTTTAAGCGAAATAATTGGGTTGTAAGTGGATGATTCTCAGGCATTTTGAGTAGCAGTAGTTGCAAGGACGTAGTTATGTGACAGGGATTGAGGAAAAAGATACCGGTTCTAGAACAGAAATCGGTAAGTCATGTTCAATATCAGGATGTCTTAAATCTAGAATACGAATTGAAACCTCACTTTGTGTAGATCTTGTAAAGAAGTTCGACGAGAAATACAGCGAGATAAACGTTGAAAACATATTGTTTGATGATCTCCCGAGGAGGGGGATGCACTCGTTCCAGAACTTCTCCCACATTATTCAGGGGCAACTTGTGGGCCAACATGGCCTTGGCCTCAGATGACATTTTCCTCTTGCAAGTCTTCTCCTCAGGGTATTCCAAATACGGATAACAACTGTATAACCCATAAAACCCAAGCGGCACAAAAATAATCGTTTCCAACACCCGCTGCCATAATGGAATGTACTGAAAATAACGTCGTAATGGTTGGGAATTCAAGTGTTAACACAATTGTGTAAGAATGTTCGAAAATAATGTCATTCGATAAATAATAGGCTTAGAGAAGCTTAGACTCACTGAAATCGAATATTTTGGGTCGGGAATTTGGCCGACTTGAGTGGCCAAATTGAACAAACAAACTCGGGACTTACATTCAAACAATCGAGTCCGCCGTTCCCGGGTATCGAGTGATTCACACCGCCCAATGTGACCTCGTACAGAAGATGGGCGAACATGGCCCCACGAATCAGATGGTCCGGCTCATGGAAGAGCCATGCGAGAGTGCAAAAGTGGAACGACAACAAAATAAAAAGCGGCCGAAGGCAGTTGTCTTGAGTCTGGGCACTGAATTTGGAAAGCGGGGGGCGCTCTCTCCACGGGCCCCACCAAACCGAGAGGATTCTCGCAGATCTCGGCCCCAAGAAAAAAGCCGCCACCTGAACAATGCACTCTCGCACCACGTTTTTGCAGACTAAACTCCGGTGTTCGGGTCGAGATTAGCCCCAGGGTTGTCTGCGCGGTCTCCTGTTTTCCATGGAAACCGGAGACAATTTGAAATTAATTCGACGCCACTTCACTTCACGTTTCTCTTACTCGGGATGGTCTTGGGTAATGCAATGTTGAAGGCATATGGTTCACAGGGGAGAACAAAAAGTAATAAAACAGTTTGAAACTTCTGAAAACGAAAAGTATAACACTTTTGACATTATCTGTGCTGACAGTCTCGAGATACTGTACACAGAGCAGTGCAAAAATCAATCGTGGCATTCCGTTTAATGAAATTTTTTTCGCTAAAGAAAACAACAGAATTAGAAAATTAGAAATCAGCAGTGATGGAAGCTGAAGCAGATCTCGGTGACAACGAGTTGAGCGCGTCGATTAGCTGCCGCAGAAGATCAGCTTCTGTCTCAGACGATTACTCGGTGCAGAAGACCAACGACGATGCCACAGAATCAAAATTCTCGGCTGTAAAAGTAAATACTTTTTGATGCGTTTAATTGCCTTTAGGTGGGTTATTGGTCTGATCCTTACATCCACCATTTCATTGTGAATCCCGACAATATTCACAGAAGAGCGCCGGAGATCCTGAGGGGATATTGGGCTCGGCATGCTGCCTTCGAGTTGAGTTTGAAGAGAATCTCAGAAGTATGTTGTTGAAAACAAAGAATATGTGTTTTAGCTCGCCGGAGAGAATCTGCAGATAATCAGTCTTGGTGCTGGCTTTGACACTTTGTACTTCCGATTAAAAGAAAGAGGATTCCCATTTCGAAAATTGGTGGAGGTCGACTTTAGCTCAGTGACCGCCAGAAAAATTCGGACGATTTCTAAATCAGATCAACTGGCTTCTGCTTTCCAGTCTCGAGGTAATTTAGCATAATGGTTTAAATATATCTCAATGTTTTAGTATCCGAATCCCATCACAGTGATCTTCATGCCGATGACTATAGTTTATTGGGAGCGGATATCAGGCAATCGGCAGAGTTGTGGCAGAAGCTTGAACTGGCCAATCTGGATCCGTCATTACCTACAGTTGTTCTTGCCGAGTGTGTTCTTGTGTACCTTGATGTTAATGTCACCGAGAATTTAGTTAGAGAATTCTCAAAAAGGTTTAATGAACTTGTGTTTGTTAGCTACGAACCGGTATGTCTTTAAATCGTTCTGAAGTTGCTTTTAGGTGAATATGAATGACAAATTCAGTTCTATTATGCAAAGTAATCTCCAAGAACGAGGGATCCATCTTGTTGGACTTCCAGCTTGTGAGAATCTCTTGTCTCAGAAGGCCCGATTCCTCAACAACGGCTATCCGGTTGCCAATGCTTGGACTATTCAAGAACTTTACTCTCAACATTTCAACAAAGATGAAGTTTCTCGGATTGAAAAGTTGGAACTTCTCGATGAAAGAGAGTTGTTGGCCCAGTTACTGGAACATTACTGCCTTGTGTTGGCCGTCAAAACTAGCGGAGTTTTTGCTGGACTTGTATTTTAAATATTAAAGAATATAAATTCATATTTAATTTATTTGAAGCCCTGGAAAGTTTCTGGTTATTGGTTTTTAGTGACCCAAAAATATTTTTTTGTTTTGACGATTGTTTTGGTTCGACGATTTAGATGACAAACCCCATGAATAAATGGAAATTGGATTTTGGAGGCAGCCGCGCCCTTTCACGAGTTTATGACACAACTCTGAATCCTCCAGGATTCAATCAGTCAGTTTCACAGACTTCTCATCATAGCGAACATGCTGGTGCCAATACTCAGAATCAGCACCATTTGATGTCAAAGAGGGCGTGGGATCTCGCTTTGCAACCCATCAAGAGCGTTCCGATGAACATGATGTAAGTTGTTTGTAAATATCTTTTACGTCAATTTAGTATGATGTATATGGCTGGGAACACAATTAGTATCTTCCCGATCATGATGGTTGTTATGATGGCGTGGCGGCCGATGAGAGCTATTATGGCGATTGGACAAGCCTTCAAGTCGATTGATGTGAGTTGTGGCCATTGTTGGATAATTATAATAATTGTTAGGCTGAGTACCCTGGCTCTTTGATTGTTCACAAGATGATCTTTGCCCTGGGAAACATGGCTGCAATAGCTCTGGCGGTATATAAATGTCATACGATGGGTCTTCTTCCGAATCACGCATCAGATTGGCTAGACTTTGTTCCTCCTGCTGAGAGAATGCAAAATGTTTTGTTTGGGGATACCTTTGTCTAAATTTACTTTTAAAAATATGTGTAATTTAATACAATTTTTTTGCTTAAAGTTGGATCCAAAGTCGTGTATTTGTGTTGAAATTCTTTGGGAATAAAGGATGGAGGGGAAGAGGGTTTCGGGGACTTTCCTCTTGGCCGAATTTGCTTGCTCTTCTCTTTTTTTCGTTCTTTTTCAACACTTCTTCCAGACCATTTGCACGCGTTTTATTGCCAAACGGTAGAAAAGAAGTGTCCCCTTCTGTTCCCAAACAAAGTGGGAATTATCGGGGTTTTTTGAGCAAATTCGCTTTCCTTCCTTATTTTCAGACGATCTCTTCCCCTCTGTATTTTAAAGTCATTCCCATTTTTTGCGCCATTTAAACTTTTGAGCATAACTCTCCTTTTTGACTTCGATATGTCCCAACTGGAAGCAATCAATCGCAACGCTTGTTCGGTCGTTCTATATTATTCTCCTTTTTTATTTACCTGATACAACAACCATACTATTCAGCTATGATGACATCACAGCCTCTTCATAACATATCATATGTCAACTGTCAAGGGATGACATGCGAAGAGGTGAGTCTCCGGTCACAGAAGTCAAGGTCTAGAACTTTTATCTGGGGTATTTCTCCCTTGGATATGTGAAGAGGACACTCTTCGGGCCAAGTTTTCGGTCGATTAATGCGCGACACAGGAAGAGGGCGCCACTTTTGTTGACTAAGTGAGGAGACGACAGGACTTTCTTGGTCATTAGCCGCCGTTTTGGGCCGGCTTCAGCTTCGTTTGAACATTGTGGTTGTGGTGCTGGTCTAATCAGATTAAGCCGAGCCCTTTATATTCTCATATTTCGGGATACGGATCAGTTTATTCGATTCTTTTAGGCTTTGAGGGATGATTCTGAGACAGCGGGTATTCAAGTGAGTTTTAATGCCCTTAGGCGACATTATTTACTTCCCAAATTAACTGCTTGACACGTTTTTTTTCGAAAAGGAAGGCCTTAAAATAAGATTAGAATGGAATATAATGCTGGTCGAAATATAAAATTTGCAGGAGTTCCTCACCTCATGAACCTCTGCCTTCATACCGCCATACTGTACTCAAAGTCTGCGAACTTCAGCTCAAATTGTGCAAGAAATTGATCCAAATCTCTTCCAAGTCGAATGCCGAACCGGATGCACTCAAAGAGATTGCTGGCGTCACAATAATCAGACCCATGGCCCGGAATTTATCACCCCAGGGGGCGAGCCTGGCCATCGAAGCGCTCAGAAAACGCCTGCCGGAGGATCTCGTCAACTTTTTGCATTACAAATCGAACAATCTATTCAAATAAATCAGGTTTAAACGTTCACGGCAATTCCTTCGGGGGTTTTGACCATTGATTACTTGACTTATTTTTGTTGTTTGTATTTTTATAACTTTCGCAATGCTCTAGTTCCAATTTCAGCTCAATTATGTTCTCCATGAAACTTGCTTTATCCATTGTCCTTGTTGGGTTTGTCGTTGTTTCAGCTCAGAAGTAAGTAATGAAAGGTGAAAGACTGTCTACCCGATGTTATCGAGATTGTAATCGGTTTTTTTTAGAAAGGCTGGTGGGGTCAGTTGTTATCAATGCAATTCGTTTACCGCCGGACAAGAAGTCTGCGAGTCCAGTGATGAAAAAGAGCTGACCAAGTTCAAGAAAGTAAGAGCCATATAAAAAAGATGGAACGCATAATTTAGAAAACAGTAGATTCATTTTAAAAATTACTATCATTCCGTTCCAGCCCTGCCCCAAAATCACAGAAGGAGAGTTGGTTGGAACTGATGCCAATTCCTGCCGCAAAATCCTCCAGACCGTCGACGGAGATAGTGGTGTTGTAAGAGAGTGTGCTTACACTGGGGATGAGGAAGTTGATGGAAAAAGAAGAATCGGGAATAAAGGGATCGTCCTCTGGCTCTACCAGTGCTTCAATGACGAACCAGTAGGTTTTGGTCCTAGTAAAAGAACTATGAAATTACACATCTCACATTTTATATTATCTTCCAGGGCAAGCCGTGCAACTCTGCCTCCACCGTGTCCCTCACCACAGTCTCCATCTTCACCGCGTTTGCTTTTATTTACAACTTGTTACAATAACAGTATATTACCTCTTTCCACCCCTCAATCTCTTCAAATGTAATAAATGTAGGATTCACAATACTTACTAACTTAATTAACGGCTAATTACATGACAAATAGAGTTATTATTGTAAAGCGCCCAAACATGGCAATAGGGCAGGGCTCTTTGCACCTCGGGGTCCCTAACAAAAAGGTCCGATCCGTTTTCAAAATTTTCGAATCCCGGTAACGTTTCGAGACTCGGTCCGGTAACTTTCCAAAATTAAAAAAAAACGTTTCCCGCCATTTTGGCAAGCAGTCTGGCATTGCGTTTTTTGGCTATGTAGTACGCAAGCTATCAAGGTAAAAGCCAACAACACAGGGTGGTTTTCTGTACTCAAAATATTCTAAAACTTTTGAAACGAATGAAATCGGCGGACTTTTACCCGAGATAATGCTTCCAAAAAATCCCAGTGGTTACTATGAGGTTAAAAATGCGTCTAAACACCAAAAGAAAGGCGTATATCTGATATTAAACAATATTTTAGTGTAAAGTCGTGTAAAATTGGCCAACCCAAGCATGAAGTTTAAAATGTTTTAGGACATTTTATTCATTTTGTCCTCATAGCTTCGGCTTGTCGGAGTTTCGGCTTGTAACACAATTGCAAAATTTTCTGACTAGCTAGCTAACTAAAGTTGGCACGACAGCAAAAAAATCGTTTGACTAGCTAAAACCTGGATTGGCTAGCCAATATGTAAATTAAAAAAAAGAATTTCGCAATGTTGACTAAAAATATTGGTCCGATATCCGGTCCGCCCCAAATAAAACGTTGAGATTTTTCGTTGCAACGCAAAGATAAATCTGTTTTCTACCTGGTCTAAATCGAAAAGTTTGAGACCGAAGCCTTGGCCCGAAAAAGCACGCCGAGCCCGAATCTCGGACCCGGCCCGATAAAAAATAGGTCCGACCCGGCTCCTTTTCAAAGTTTCCGAAGCCCGGCCCGGTTGCCATGTCTGAAAACGCCTAAGGGAAGATCTTTTTGTAAACGATCGTCGTATGTTCGCGCATTCCATGAGTTAAAGTTTCCATCGAAAGACGAGCCTCCAGGGTATTTGGATTGATAAGACGCCATTCCCGAACCAACTATATTAAATTAAAGTTTCTTTAAAGGCTGGCTTACATCATGTACTGGGAGGTCTCTGCTAAATGAGATACGACCAATGTCGACCAACCGGAAACGGAGATTTTGTCCCGACAAGACGCCTTCTTCCACGGTTACGAAACCTGAATTGTTGCGTAACAAACGTGATTTAATAAAATATCCAGTGATTACCAATATTATTGATCTTACCATTGCTCATGACTGTCGTTAACGCGAACCTCCCATTCTCAACGACAAGATAGCCATTCTCACTGTGCAGTTCCTCACTTCCATCCATACTCCATGCAAAGGCGGTGTAATTGAATGCAGGTCTGGCCGTTAACTGATTGTCGGGCACACTGAAGTCGATCTGTTCGCCATATGTGAACTTGGGGATGGTCGGGAAGAAGGCTTTACCATCATGTTCCGACCTCCAGATTCCCACCAACCAACCCAATGGCCGGAGATTGGCAGGGACACGGAGTTCGTCGTATCCTAGATCATCTCACTTAAACCCGAAGACTTACTCGCCGGAATTTTCATACAAATGTGACAACTTCTGGGACATTTACTTTGGATGTAGCCTTGCACTCGGCATTGATCTCGACTATTACTTACCCAATCCCGACATCCCGGATCCAGATCTTGACATTCCGGATTGATGACTAAAATACGGTAAGTCTAGCATTGAAAGAGTTCATTACATTGAATAATGACGGTCCTTGATGGGCTATGCTAAAACACCTTACCTGCGGTGACAAACGGAAGACAGAGAAGGCTGAGGAATAACGGGCCGTTCATTCTCTCCAATTGAAAGTAAAGTAATGTAAAGAAGACGGAACGACCGAACGGTGGGCGCGGGCCGTTTGATAGAGACCGGTTCCAGCTTTCCGTTTCGATATATAAAAATTACTTCTGGCAACAAGTTTATTTAAAACCTCGCCCTCCAATTTTAGTCATTGTCTTTTTTATTTTCTTTTGTTTTCGAATATTTTCAGTTTAAACGTGAGTGTAAGCGGGAATCGCAGATGGTCAGATCAGGGTCGAGACATCACTTTCGCCATCTTTTCCTCCTCACTCCATAACCAGAAAAGAAATTCAGCGATAAATAATTCATCTGTGTTTAAAAATTACTATACGTACATATAAGCGATACAATATAAATAGACAAGGAGGCCAAGAACACTAAGAAATTGCACAAGGTTAATTCGACTGGAATGATGACAACCGATGGACACATTATATTGCACTAAAACCGTCCATAATAAGCGACAACATAGGAAAATGTACAATCAAAATTATTAAAAACAACATAAAAAAACTCAAAGTATATAAAAAGTTACCCGTTATACAAGGAATGCGTAAACAATATTTAAAAAAGCTGCTATAGGTAAAAGTGACAAACCAGATAGGAAATAAATAAAATAATTATGATAAAAAATAGATAAGGGCGTGAGTATTGATATAGGATTTTAAAAATTGGTCTATTCTGGTTGAGCTCCATTGTTTTTGATGGACATTCCGACTTCTTTGATTGACGATAAGGTCTTTTTCAACCAAGCCGAGTCTGATGAATTCTGATTTCGTGATGACATCTATAAAATGGAAAAGATAAAAAAAGACCCCAGTTCTTACTTGATGCACTAATCCTTGATTTTGGCATTGGGCTTCTACCAAGGCCAGCTTTGTTTCCACAAGTTCCGATTCCACATGTTTTAAACTCTTTTCGTATTCGGCCACAAGATCCATCAAGTAGTTGATACTCTGAGAAATGAAACGCAAATGAATATTCCAACTCACCTTTTCGCCATACGCTCCATCAGATGTCCTTTCAGAATTGCTTTTCTTCCCGTTACTTTTTCCATTTGATATCAACTTATCCAAGACGGGGACATCACGATCCAAAGACACGGCTTTAAACAATTCATCCACTGTACTGATCTCGTTGTTACACTTGGGACATGAGGAAATTGTCTTTTGGAGCGACTCAATCTTCTTCCGACACTCATTCCGATCAGATTCAAAAAAGGAACACACAGTTTCGTATCTGGTCAAGACGGCCTGAAGACGATCCATTTCGTTGGTGCAGGTTTCCTTCAACTGAAAATAAAGCAATAACGATAATACACAACATACTAGACAACAAAATTCATAAAGACTTACAAGGACAGACTGCTCACGAAGAACTGATATCTCGTCCTGGAGATCATTGCACTCCTTTGCTTTTCTCTGATTAGCTATAACTGCTTGTTCCAGTTTATCTTCGGCCTAAAAATATATAATACAAAACCAGGATAAATAAATAACCCACCGAATCAAGTCGATTCCGCAGATCGATCTTGCTAGTCACCAGCTCTCTGGCCAAGTCATCATTTTCTCTTTCCAATCGCATTACCGTATTCTTCAGAGTCGCTACTTCCCTTTCCAACCTATCTTTCGGATCAAGAGTCTCGAGTTCATTCTGCTTTGCTTCCCGGAACATCTTCTCATACTTTGTCAATTTCTTATGAGATATCTAAAGGCGAATTGACTTCAACCACACAAGTCTTACCTTCAAATTGACCGCCTTCGCGATCAATTCTTTGGCCACCGCTTCAGATCGATATCTTCTTGGAAGGGTTACACGGAAATATTTTAATATCCCCTCAAAATCTAGCCTCAGGAGATCCATCTTGGTGTCTTGCAGCAGAGCGACCGCCACATGGAAGATAGTGTTGATGCCCTAAAGTAGAAAATGAAATCTTTTATCAATAGCATACTTCCGCCAGGAACAAATCGATGATATAAAAGACCATTTGAAGAGGGAATTTGGCCGTGAACAACGTCAGAAACCATTGTGATGCATACATATGGGTCTCCACATTGTTGTCGGTAAAGTGCCGGTACAGATCAGGAATGTAATCCTGAATTTGTAATCAATTCTTCGAACCTTACCTCAATCAGTTTCTGAAGCTGGTAGAACCTCAAATGGAGAGCGTCGAATCCAAGCTTGAACAGGTCCCTGAGCTCGTAGTTGTACATGATCCTCACCAGAACACAAAACGACTTTTCCTCGCTCATCTAAACAAATAAAAATATTACAAACAGTACTTACGTGTAGAAGTAGCGCCGCGGCCAAGAATGACAGCCCCTGACAATATCCGACCTCCTCATCATACAGAGAATAGGCCTTGGATAACTTGTAAAGTCTCGATTGACCTTCTCCATCCGCCTTTTTAAAGTAATCATGGGCAGGAAATGTCCGATGGATGTCTCGCATTATGACTTGCTCGGCCACTGATTCTTTTTCGAGCAACATGTGATATGTCTGCTCTAATTCTACATCCAATATAGCCTTAGAAAGAAGAGGCCACACTTTCTCCCTAAGAACATCTGGAATTCCACCATTGGCCATCATCAATTCGGACAGGACCTGAGGTCTTCTAAATAGAAACAACAAATGTAATCATCGTCCACACTTACTCCTGCGGCTTCAATTCCCATCCAGCCACCATTTCATTCCATTCTTTGAAAGTTTCATCACTGATGGCCCGATTCACAACCCCTGATCCGGAGAGAAGAGGCTCATCGCTGTCTAAAACCGTTTCATAACTCAAACCATGCGAAGAGGTCAAAAACACTGGTTCCTACCTGATTCATCATCATTGGTCGGATGTATTAGTTGAATTGGCATTTTCTCGAGCGATTTCCCATTCGCAAGGCCTTGTGAACGCTCTCTTTGAGCGGCTGATTCAAAACTCGTAATTTTAGATTTCCCATCCACGACCTGGAAAGGGAACAGGAAAGAGCATTTAACAGTGCGAGGTGTGTCAGTCAGTGTTAAACGAATCTGTTTACCATTAATTTCATGAAGAAATGTTCGACAACGGGGACTCTCTGGGAGAAAGGGAAGCTCTCCATCTGATGGACAACGCGAGCTCTGCATTCCATGCTATATCTGACTGATTCGTCAACTCCATCAAAGATTACATCTACTGCCACTGTCATGAATGCCCTCGTCTCTGGAAAATGACTTTTATCATTTATTGGTTTCCTACCTTTTGGTGTCTCAATATTTAAAACTTCAAAATTTCTCGCTCGGGGATTCCACGGAGCTTCAATTTGAAAAACTGTATTGTTGTCCAGTTGCTGAGACTCTTGAGAATCCAGTAGTTGCATATCACTTTCTCTGAGATATCTCCCGGCTGCCAGTAGAAAACCAAAACATTTTCGGATACAAAGATCCCGGGGACCTTTTGTTTGTTTGATTACTGCAACGAACTTCCTTTTCCGATCCTTCCGAAATTTGAAACAATTGGTTTCAACTGGACAGAAGGTGAATCCGCTTCCATTATCATCTTCTTCCTAAACAGTTAAAGATTATAGGTATAAAATCCCACCTTTATCTCCAAAAACATATCAAACTCGTGTTCTTCTTCAAAACTAACCCCAGGAGCTGTCGGATTCTTGCTTTCAAATACCCTTTGAAAACATTGCAGCATATGGCCTACCTAAAAAAGCTTTGGTTACAACTCTTACACGATCCTTACAACTTGAGCCGACTGACATCTGAAGACATGGCATTGATGAGAAGCATCCTTCTTTCCGAAGTTTTGTGTAAAAGAAAACGCAATACATTCTTGTTGTTTAGTTCCTCGCAAGCCACACGTGCAACATCTAATTTGAGCCACATTGAAAGTTCGGATTACTTGTTCCGTGTCTCCGTCGATCAATCTGAATTATAAATATTATATTAATTCACTCGTGTCAAACCCGATCTGGCCAGTAAAATATGTAGGAACTGCCACCTTAACATTCATAGCACCACTCCGAAGTTCCTCATTGAGTTGTGAGATTATTTGAGAAACCTCGGCTTCGTTAGTAGGATCGGCAACAGTGGATGATCCCAAATATGATACCTAAAATTCAGAATAATAAAAGTCCACCTTTTCACATACGTTACTAAATGTTGTTGCCGGTGAGTCAAGAGCATTTTTGGAGGGATCCATCAAAAGCTAAAAGAGTAAGAATAAAGCTTTTAAAATGTAGTAGAAAAATAAAATATCGATGAAACAGAAATATGGTTATCGGGGAGAAATTGCCGCTTTTTTGCTACATAAAACTCAAAACATTCTCAATCAGATTCATGGAAATTGAACACGAAATTCGACCGAAGAAAATTGGACAGTGTGTAAATTGGACCGAACTCAAGAAAGGACACATATGTGTGTACACATGGCAGAGAAAAAGAAATCAGTCGAATTTCACCCTGTCCAATTTCTTTCTATCGAATTTCGCTCTGTCCAATTTCCACGAAGCCTCTAAAGAATCTTTCTATTTTTACACTTTGACTTTATTGATTTTCAAAAAAAAAAAAACGCATAATTTGGCTTCATGGAAATTGGACAGAGTGAAATTCGACTGATATCTTATATCTCTCTTTTATCTGCCCTGCGTACACACATGTGAATGATTCAGTCAAATTCACTATGTCCAATTTTTACGAGGTGTGTTCTGAACTCCGTTCAGAAGACGAAGGAGCCGATCATTTTTTATTTTTATTATTATCAGGGGTGGTCAGCAGACCCTATTTTTCCGATTTTCGGCCCGCGGCCCGGCCCGTCTAATTGACCGGCCCGGCCCGGCCCGTCTAGTCTTTTTCCAGGCCCGGCCCGGCCCGGCCCGTGACGGGCCTGGCCCGGCCCGGCCCGTGCAGGCCCGTCTATAGAGGGTTCTGCGAACTGCGCCCAGGCTCGGGATCTAAACTGAGGCAAAAAAGGCGTTGATCTAGCTAGTAAAGGATCAATGTGATAGTTTTGTGGTTCTATAATGGAACTAGAGACTTGTAAACGTTTTAGAACTTGAGAAACAGCAACTATAACAACATCAATTAATTTTCCCGGCGCGAAAACAATGAATGCCAACGGTTTGGCATTGTATTTTAGACGGGCCGGGCCGGGCCGGAAAAAACCCCAGGCCCGCGGCCCGGCCCGGCCCGGCCCGTGACGGGCCCGGCCCGTTTGTCAATTTCCATTTTTGAGGCCGGCCGGCCCGTTTGGGCCGGGCCGGGCCGGCCCGGCCCGCCGACCACCCCTGATTATTATTTTTGTTGGAGACAATTGACTCATTCGGGCAATAATGGGTCAACTCTTTCTTGGAGAAATTTTGGATGATTTCGGTGTTGCCGGCGGATCGAAAAGTCAGTCGGCGTTTTTTGTGAGATAGAAACCGGTGGGAATCAATTTTGTCTGGTCGCTTGTTTTACTTGTGAATGTTATTGGATATTGTATCGTGGAGGCTAAATAAACGAGCTAATAAGTATTGAGCTGCGTTGGATATTGTCAATTGAGTGGGTTTGAGAGAATATTTGGGACTTCGGGGGTCACGGAGAGCAAGGGAAGGATAAGGGATTGGGATCAAGATCCGGATAGACTAAGGGATCACAACAGATACGGGCTATAGGCTAGAGAAGCGATAGCCCCAAAATCTGACATGGGGGCTCAGCAGCCGGTGAACGACGATCAGGACGCGAGTCGAGAAAAGGGAGTCAACCCAGGTGGGTGGGACGGATCACAGAGGAGTGGAACGAATCGGGAAGAAGTGACCAGGTTATTGAAGGCCTTCGGGAAGTTATTAGATAGTGCAGAGGCAGCGCAGGCTCAAGTGGTACCGGAATTGAGAGAATGTCAGGCGGATCCACGGAAGGAGAACGAATTGGATATAAAGCGTTGGGTGGTGAAAGTCATAGCGTTGGATCGGGCGGCAGTGGAGGTGATTAGCACGATGGAGGCGTTGAAAATTATGGCATCCGATCACAGTGATACTAGTGGAGAGATTTATGGGCATCTGACGGGGGAGGTAGAAACGAGGGTCAAGGCGATCGAGAGTAACCTTGACCATGCATTCTTCTTAGTGCAACGGCAGAGAATAAGTGAATCAATATTGAATGAATGGGGTTTGACAACCGATGTGTATGGGAGGGTGAGAACTACAGAATTTGCTGAGAAAAGACGGACGCAACCGTCAAGACAAGCGAAAAGAGCCAAGGTTGGGACGGGAGGAACGCCGATGTCGACCATCAGAGCAGTAAAAGCCAGGAGATTAGAAGAGGCAATTGTCGGGGAGGCGAGTAATAGTAATATGGATCGGGATCCAAAGGAACAGGATCATCAGGACGTTGGGGGAGAGGTTGAGGAGAACAGGATCTTGTCGGACGGATCGGAGTATGCATCGGGGGAGTCGGATGTAGAATTCATGGATCAAGGAGAGTTGTTAGAAGTAAAGGATAACAGAGATACCTCCGATCTTAAGGATTATATAGTGAGATTGGGAGACCGACTTAAGAGATTGGAAATGGGCATAAACCGTTCGAATAATGCACGAGCACCACCACAACAAGATCGACATGCATATACAGATTTTAGCCGTTATCACTTCACGGAGAGATCGGAGAATCGATCAGAGTTCAGGAGGCATCGAACCCAGGAGGAGTTTGACTTACATTGCCTTCGATCAGAAGTTGTCGAGGGAAAGCTGATATGCAGATGCGAACCACATACTGCATTCCAAGCAAACTCTTGTTCTTCTTCATCGGGAAATGAGCTGGCGAGATACAATGGGAAATGTCCAGCAGATTGGAAGATATTTACAGCGTCATTCAACGCATTGGTCGGACTGAATCCGCGATACCCTCCGATTGTCAAGTACAATATCTTGAAGTCCAAGGTAGACTTCCGGGACGAGAAAATGATCACGGACAGAAGTATAACATCAAGATCGTATGCGAGGAGTTGGGAGTGGTTACATCAATCCCATGCCAAACCCATGTCGTGTCTCAATTATATCCGTACTGTCTTGGCAACCATCCATATAAGAATAGATAGAGCCTCATTAACCCAAGTCCGGAAGCTTTGGGATGGAGTGTGTGAATTGAAGGAGGCCAACTACAACATGAAGGAGGACGACCTGAGAGCCGTCATCATGGGAACATTATCAGATGAGTTGCGTCGGAATATAAGGGCGAGTGCAGAGGTGGGGAGACTCGGGGGTTACAGGAATATCGCGGCGGATGATTTGGCCAGGGAGATTTTCGACTTCGTGACCGCCGAGGTGGAGGATCAAGAAGCACATGAGTCTGCAATGAGGCAGTTCAGACCAGCGCCTCAATTTCATCCGTTTGGGAACAGGATCCATGGGGATGGAAGGCAACAGTCCAGACCGGATAATAGAACTGGAGGAGCCGGACCAATCAGGTTCCAGGGACCATCATGTTATTTTTGTTTGGGAGCACATAAGGCAGTCGCATGTACTAGATATCAGTCAACCCAATCGAGGGTGTATCGAGCTCGGGATAAAGGGTTGTGCAACAAGTGTTTGATTCCTCGACATAATGGAGAGTGTAGGATTGGGCCATGTCGGAATTGTGGCGAGAGGCACCATCTGGCTATCTGTGGGAAGCCTAAGCCAAGGGCGACCGGAGGAAACACAGCTGAGATTGGGTCCAGAAATGTAGTAGCGGCCATTGCGGATCAGGGTCGGAAGGAACAGATTGAGATGCCTTCGAATCTCTTCATGACTTTGGATTTACTCATGTCGAACGGACCAAAGGGAACGGCTAAGCCTATGAGGGTAGCGTTGGATACACACAGCTCTACGAATTTCATAACGGTGGAGCGGGCTAGAGAGTTAGGGTTGAAGTTGGAAGATGGTGGGGAGATGCCGGCGAACATATTCGGCAACATAAGTAATGCAGTTAAAGCATACAAGACTGTGGCACATATGCATTTAAAGAACAACAAGATCAACCCAGTAACGCTTTATGCGATCGACGAAATAATTTCACCGTACCCGATGCTGGAGAGTGTTCCTCAAGAAATCGATGAGCTTTTCAAGTGGGATCCATCAGGATCGTTGGTTAGAAGGGCACCGGATATTCTTCTTGGTCTACAGGATACATTGTTATTACAACCACAGACAGTGGAGGCACGGTTAGAATGTGGATTGACTTTGATGCAGACAATTATGGGATATATTGTATGTGGGAGCGTTAGGGAGGATACAGAGGCGACAGCGCTGTTGATTAACCGGACCGAGTCAAAGGAATTGACCCCGGAGCAGAGATGTATTAAACAGTTGTATGATATGGAGCATTTGGGAGTCGCGGATGAGGATTACAATAAGACCGAAGAGGATGTTGTTACAGAGAGATTCAAAAGGGAGTTGAGTGTAGATCAGAGCGGGCGGTATCAGGTGATGTTGCCAGTTAAAGATTGTATTACGGAGTTGGGTTCAAATAAGTATATCACCATGCAGATGACGGAATCACTGAGGAGACGGATATTGAAGGATAAGGAGGCACAGGAGGCGTACAAGGAGACCTTTGAAAAGTATTTGGAAGAAGGCATTCTGGTAGAGGTGCATGACGATAAACTGCCTGAAGGGGCAATTGGAGAGCATTACCTCCCACACCACCCCGTTAGGAAGCTGGATTCAAACACAACTAAGATCCGAATCGTCGTGAACCCAACGACAAAGTCATCAAAGTCGGGGATATCGTTCAACGATGCAATGTTCAAGGGACGGACCGACCTTCCTACTATATTCGGGATTATGTTGCGGTCGAGAACCTATCCGATATTGACGATCAGTGATGTCGAGAAAGCATTTTTGCAGCTGACCGTGCATCCTAGTCATCGTCCTTTGTGTCGATTACTGTATTGGAAAGACATTTCGAAGCCAATGACAAGGGAAAACATCAGAGTATTCGAGTTTCAACGACTTTGTTTTGGGCTCAAGCCGAGTCCTTTCTTATTACAACAGACGATACGAGCGCATTTGGAGAGAAAGGATCCGGTTCTTGGGCGGGAGATCATCAAAGATATGTACGTGGACAACATCACGGTTGGGGCAGAGAATAGCGCCGAGGCGCAGCGGAAGGCGGAGAGAGCGGTGGAATTGTTCGGCAGTGCAAAAATGAAATTAAGGGAGTTTGTATCGAACGGGAATATAACGTTGCCCGAGGGATTAATGGGAAACCGAGACAAGGTCAAATTCTTGGGGACTGGGTGGATGGTGGAAGAGGATCTACTGGTGGTTAAAGTTCCGATCCTGAGATTCTTGGAGGAGATTACTATGTCGGTGGTATTGGGTGATATCTCGTCTCTCTACGATCTGCTAGGATTGGCGTTGCCGTTGTTGACAAAGTTGAAGGCTTTTTTCCAATCACTTTGGCCACTGAAACTCAGATGGAGACAGCCATTCCCACAGGAAAAGAAGGAGGAATGGTTGCAGCTAGCACGGGAATGGAATGGACAGGAAATACGATTTCCGCGATATACCAAAGTGGAAGAGGGAGACGAACTACACGTCTTCAGCGACGCAAGTGCGATCGCGATGGGTGCCGTAGTCTATGTAGTAAGCAAAGGCAATTCAAGACCTCCAATGATTGTGGCGGCAAGGGGCCAGATCGCGCCTTTGAATAAGGAGAGGACTATCCCCCAGAAGGAGCTGGGAGGAGCGAATATTGGAGTAAGATTAGCAGAGTCTGTAAACAAAGAGTTGGGGAGGGAGTTAAGGATCATTTCGTGGATCGATAATGAGGCGGTGATACACTGGATTAAATCAGGGGCTCCTCGACAGCCATTGGCAATTAACAATCTGTTGAAACGTATCTGGGAGTCATCAGTAAGGGATTTCAATTATGTTCCGACCGACGCCAACCCCGCGGACATTATATCCAGGGGATGCCATCCGAGTGAGTTGGATCAGTCGAGGTTATGGAGACATGGACCAGAATTTTTATCCGGACTTAAGGAGGGCTGGCCAACGAAGCTGAACGTCCACATCGAAGGAAGACCTTTTGATCCGAGTGGACCAGATGATTTGGTGATCCTGGCAACGGCACAGAGAGAAATGAACCCAGTTATTACGATGGTTTATAAGCACAGCAACTTCGACAGAGCGATCCGGGTCGTACAATGCTTACTGAGGCCATTTTTGAGAAAGAATGTAGACGATATGACTCAAGAAACATTGAGGGCAAGAGCATTGAGAGTAGTGCATAAATTGGATCAGGATGTGTGGCCACCGAGTGATGACCAAAGGAAAGATCTTGGCATATATCTGGATTCAGAAGGGATATTGCGGTCAAAAGGGAGGATATCGGAAGCGGATTTGGTGGAAGGAGCGTTGCATCCAATCTTTGTCAGTGACAAGTCGCCATTAGCACGCTCATTGATTCAAAAGGCGCATGAGGAATTAGGTCATCAAGGACCAGGAGCGACATTGCATAAGCTACGGTATAAGTATTGGATTCCAAGGGGGAAACGGACAACAGCAGGTGTGCTGCGGCATTGTGCCAAATGCAGACTATGGTTAGCTAAACCTTTTTTGAAACCCCCATCTGAACAGCTGCCCAAAGAACGTGTCGAAATTCAACCTCCATTTCGGAATGCGGCGTTGGATATGTTTGGTCCATTAAAGGTATTTGCGGGAAGGAAGTGTGTAAAGCGTTATGTCATCATATTCACGTGTATGACGGTGAGGGCGATTCACTTGGAAGTAGCCAACTCACAGTCTGGAGAAGATTTCTTGCTGGCCTTTCGTCGATTCAAAGCTATCAGAGGAGTGCCAAAGTTCATACAGTCGGATAATGGAAGGAATTTCATCAAAGCACATGATCTAATTCAGAGAGATCACGAGGAGTTGGTGTGGAAATTCATTGATCCAAGGTCACCGTGGCAGAATGGGGTCGTCGAAAGATTGGTCGGGATCACAAAGGAGGCATTTTACAGATCTAAACCCAGGTTTCGGGGACTTAAAGACATTGAACTGGGCACAGTGATAAAGGAGATACAGTCTGCAGTAAATCAACGACCGCTATATCCCAGAGGGGATGATCGAGATGCATTACAACCATTACGGCCGATAGATTTTCTATCTCCAGCGGGCTTTTTTTACCTCAACCCCAGGCAAGGAGAAGATAACGACATCAGCGATCCCAGTTATGTTCCGGAGTCGGAGAGACGTAAACGAAAAGCTGAAAGGGCAGCGGACGCGCATGATCTGCAACAACTTCATAATTACTTATCTCAAGTATTGGAGGTATTCTGGGGGATATGGATCGAAGAATATCTTATGGGATTGCGCGAAAGGGAGAGGACACCAAGAAGGTCCGGGAATGTGCGGACAAGACCGATAATCGGAGAAATTGTGATGATGCAGAAGCCAATTCAAGACCGAAGTCAATGGCTACTGGCCCAAATAACGGCCATATTGCCCACCAAAGCAGGTACAGATCCGGCATACGTTGTGGTGAGACGTCGAGAAGGTGATGAATGGAAGTATGAAAAGGTAGCAGTGCATATGTTATTTCCATTGGAAGATGAGGACATGGTCAATGAGTCTAATGGATACACAGGCCAAAGGGCGTCGACAAGCGAAACGGTTCCAGGAGATCAAGAAAAGAAATATGAGTCTGGGAATAGACCTGGCCCCAGCGAAACACTTGACACAACGCAACAAGAGGCAGATCCACAAAGTCATCAGAATTGCCGTAGGACACGACGACCCACGTCGCGATATCCAAAGGAAACATTTGTAACCTTTATGGTGGTTACCTCAACTTGGCGCGCTCGCGGAGGGCTCGTACGAACGAGGAGTTCAGTCCGGGATAACACTTTTGATTTTAGCGCCAGCAGTTCCACGATGAGGCCGAGAATAACTATGGAGAAGAGACCGAGGATAACGTATGAGGAACCAAAGGATTCGGAGGAGAGAGTGGTCGAAACAACAAGACCGAGACCAAAGAGCCAATTGGGGGAAGTTAGGGGCATGAAGTTGGAGTACGAGGAATATGAAGGCAGACTGGTGCGGATCGATATAGAGAGTCTGGGCAAATGCAATGGGACAGGAGATCATCTACAGTGCAGGCCAGCACACTACGATGAGATTATAAAAGAATGGGAGGCAGGGAAGACGTGCAATCACCTGTACGAATTAATAGCGTTGTGGCGGACCTCCAGAGCAACCGGGAAATGCAGGGAGAAGTGTCTTGGTTCATTGAAGAAGTACCGGGATGTACAACGAAGCGCACGGGATTACATGGAGAACATTCTCAGTGGGGGAGTGTTCTGAACTCCGTTCAGAAGACGAAGGAGCCGATCATTTTTTATTTTTATTATTATTTTTGTTGGAGACAATTGACTCATTCGGGCAATAATGGGTCAACTCTTTCTTGGAGAAATTTTGGACAGGGGTGGTCAGCGGACCCTATTTTTCCGATTTTCGGCCCGCGGCCCGGCCCGTCTAATTGACCGGCCCGGCCCGTCTAGCCTTTTTCCAGGCCCGGCCCGGCCCGTGACGGGCCTGGCCCGGCCCGGCCCGTGCAGGCCCGTCTATAGAGGGTTCTGCGAACTGCGCCCAGGCTCGGGATCTAAACTGAGACAAAAAAGGCGTTGATCTAGCTAGTAAAGGATCAATGTGATAGTTTTGTGGTTCTATAATTGAACTATAGACTTGTAAACGTTTTAGAACTTGAGAAACAGCAACTATAACAACATCAATTAATTTTCCCGGCGCGAAAACAATGAATGCCAACGATTTGGCATTGTATTTTAGACGGGCCCGGCCCGTTTGTCAATTTCCATTTTTGAGGCCGGGCCGGCCCGGGCCGGGCCAGCCCGGCCCGCTGACCACCCCTGATTTTGGATGATTTCGGTGTTGCCGGCGGATCGAAAAGTCAGTCGGCGTTTTTTGTGAGATAGAAACCGGTGGGAATCAATTTTGTCTGGTCGCTTGTTTTACTTGTGAATGTTATTGGATATTGTATCGTGGAGGCTAAATAAACGAGCTAATAAGTATTGAGCTGCGTTGGATATTGTCAATTGAGTGGGTTTGAGAGAATATTTGGGACTTCGGGGGTCACGGAGAGCAAGGGAAGGATAAGGGATTGGGATCAAGATCCGGATAGACTAAGGGATCACAACAGATACGGGCTATAGGCTAGAGAAGCGATAGCCCCAAAATCTGACAAGGTGATCCCAAAAAGGTATACGGGCGTCATAACGTCAATTATGTTTCAGAAAATTTAAAACCAAACCTGTAGGTAAGTGATATCCGTCTGTTTCAAAAACTCCGACCTGTTTTGGGGGTTGTAAAATTTTCACTTTTTATTTGAGGTGGGCTGTCTCTTCTCTATCATATACGAAAAAAGTCAGTGGTTTATTTCAACTGACATGGGAAACCTTAACCAGTTCAGTTGTTTGAAGTCCCTAAATACTGGCTTAGATTTACTTGTCATATCTAGATTGTCGCCGTTAGGAGTGGTTGCGTTTAGTACTTTAAACATTTTCCGTTCTCCATGCATCTTCAGCTTTAGATGTTAAAACTTATATCATTAGACCCGAAACGGCCTTACATTGTTCGTATTGTATGGGTCTCCATAGTTGTAAATCCTTGAACGAATGTTTACATTTTATTTGAGGTTGATTTCTTTTACAATTAATACCACTCTGGCGCAGTGACTAGAGACACAACAATAAGCATGGGAAGGCAAATTAAAAAAAAGATATGATACTATCGATCAAGAAGTCTCTTCGACTTCTTTTGTTCCTCCGATCTCTCCGTTTGATTGAGGCAGTGGTTTCTTTATTCCTTTATTTTGTTCGACATCATCTGCTATGTGTACTTCTCCATTTTCTGTGACTTCTTCTGATCTTTCAAGGATATGTTCAACTTTTTGTGCAGTGTCCTCCAACTTTTGAACTATATCCTCTACCCTGATATCCACGTCATTTTTGTCGTTGTCGACATCTTCAATTCTGATCTCGACCTCAGGTAATGCCTCTTTCTGGATGATAATCTCGGTCTCTTGAGATTCCGGTGTCCTCTCTGTCCTCACCAATTCATTCCTCGTTGTCTCGTATGTTGTCGTGATTGGGGCATCTTGTCCATGACCTTCTATTACTGTTACAGTCTCGGTTATTTGGGATGGAGAGTCTCCATGGTGTTCTACAACCTTCACCGTTCTCGTCTCAATGAATCTTGTCTCAGTTTCGACGAAGTTTCCATCGCCTGAAGGCTCCAACGATTTAAATTCTCTTTCTTGAACTGAAAATGTGATAGATTAAAGTTTTTGAAGGATAAATCTTAACAAGGGAAGTGTTTGAAGTGCGACGCTCAGATTTTTTAAAGTTTTGCGAACACGACATAGGTCACATATCAATCAATGCCTGAAATTTTTAGCTCGCGCCCGATTCAAGGTGCCTGAAAATTTTCATGCCAACTCCAAAAAAAGGCTACCCTTCATTTGGGGCAGATCGGGCCCGAAATATTAAAGACGTTGAGACCCCGAAAAACTAAAATTTTGCTCTAGTTGCAATTTAAAGCGGTTTTTTGAGAAATGGTTGAGAAAAAACCTAAATTGTGCCAAATTTCATCAAGATCTGACAAGCGACGCAATTGGAGTACTTCCCCTGTAGGGTGAAAATAATGGCTTACCAACGACCCTTGACACACTAGGCTCGTCTGCGTCTTTGCTTAGGAGAGGTTCAGTTTCTTTGTTATCTCCCTTTTCTTTCTTGTTACTTTTCTTCTCTTTCTTGGCTTTCACTTTATCTTCTTTGGCTTCTTTCTTTTTTTGTTTTTTTACTTCCTTTGCTTCTTTTTCTTTTTGTTCCTTCTCTTCCTTTTCATCCGGATGCCAGATTAATTTCTGGTTGGATCCGAATGTTCCCAACTCTGGCCAACGATATGAATTACCATCTTCTGGGGGTTTCTCATAAACCGGTACCAAGGGGACAAACGTATAATCCGGAGAGCCGACGAATAACTTATCGGATTCGTCCGGCTCTGCAAAATGGTCCTTGATGTCCCTGGAAGATCCGGAATGTTTGATTTCTGTGACTTCCGATGGGATAAACTTGACCACGTTGCTTTCGTTAGCTGACGCAAATGCCGCCTTGGTCTCAGCTTGACCCGTTGGCTTCAGAACAAAAGGAACTTCGATTAAGAACTTCCCAATAAGTATCTAAACCGATATAAATTGAAAATATACGATTTTAGATTACCTGTAGGGCATAGTGAATGTCGAATAAGGGCTCTTTTCTTGTTTGTGAGATGATCGAAGGATGATCAAAGAGTTTGTTGGCAGAATCATCAGGCGACAAGGCTGGATTAGAGCTGTCCCGAGGCAATGTAGAGTTGGCTAAAAATTGTTTCTTCGAAATAATTGTCATGAATCTCACCTAGCGAGTTTGAGACTGAAATGGGGGCAGCGGTGAAATCTAGTCGATTTATGATGATGGTGTTCCGTTTCTTTTCGACATCCTCGCCATCAACCTTGCCCGACTTAATCACACGAGCGGGTTGTTTCTGGACTTCCGTAAATGGAGTCTCGGCTTTGGCTGTCCTCTCAACTATGTTAAAAGCGATCTACATTGATACCGTAACCATGATTATGTAATGTCTTACATTTTGAGCAATCCTTGTATCCGCTATATTATCAATAATTAGACGGGACTGTAGAACTTCGTTCGCATAAAAGGCTCTTTTAGGCATGATCAATTCCAAATATACTTTTCGTTTGCAACAACAACAGCCAGAAGATTTAAATGTCTTCCTTTGCACATACGGCTCTTCGTATTGTTGCTCAACCGCGGCGGTTGATTCGAAATCATAAATTGAAAAGTGGCATTTCGAAATGTAAATTGGCTGAAAGCGACAATAATGGATAAAACGGCATTACTTACCGATTGACTTTCGCATGTCTGAAGTGTTGCTCGGGCAAAGTACCGGACAAAGGCATCTGGGCTCTCAAAGGAACTGGGACATCCCATTGGAAGTAGATATTCAAAAGGAAGCGAGTAATCAAAGTCCGCTTTCCATTGAAAGTTGCCAGCAACTGGGTTACCAGGAGGTCGTTCTAAGAGGACAAAGTCTTTGTCAAAGAATATCTGAAAAAAGTCAAGTTCAGATCATCGAGTTGAGGGTAATTAAAGACTTGTCTAATTACTCACTTTTTCAATGTCATGCCCTTTCTTGTGGTCTTTCAAACACGCGCGACCTTTGAATTGAATTCGTATGACCTGAATGGCCGTCGACTTTTTCAATTTTATCCTAACATGGCCGGTCACTCTTTCTCCACCTCCAAATAAGGCATTCGGGCCCGAGTCCAGATCGACTGTAAAGTGGTAGAACAACTCCGAAGCCGGTAGAGGGCTCATTTTTTTTAAATCTGATAAAAGAGAATTCAAATACTGTTGTTGAATAAACATTCCTGAGCGTTGTAACTGCCCTGATAACGCGATAAGAAAAGGATTGATAAGACTGATTCATTTGATGATTAAAAAATCTGGGAGGGAAGGCCTGGATGGCCTCAGGGTGTTGTTTCGGAAGTAATAACAAGCTTCTGATTAACGAAAAAGTCGACAGCTAGATCCCGTAAGAATTCCCATCATCTCACAAAGCGCCCGATACCGTTGAATCGGTTCTTTTATACGATATATTACAGTTAATGGAATAAAAATGTCAAAATAAATTCATCTTTCATGAGGCCGCTCCTTTAATATAATAAGCAAAAAGAAGAGGAGTTCACGCAAAAAAAGGAACGGCATCCAGGCTTTCCAGACCCGAGCGCCATTAGCATGCTGAAAGTGCGGCTGGCTGAGGGGAGGGCGGGGGTTCTGATCGGGTGGGAGGCCGAGATCCGCTCACACCTCGAGACTCTCAACCTCTTTCCGAGGGTGTTTACACTCTCAATGTGGGAGAGTAAAAGGGTGACCTCTAGAAACGATGGACTGAATCGCGCATTGACCGCGAACACTTTACCGAAGTGTAGCGGGTCCTGAATCTGTTGGCATTTCCGTGGCCCTGAAGGACCTTTTTCGGAACGTTCTCAGCACGAAACATCCTTTGTTAAGCTGGTTATAAAACGTCGCAATATGTTTTCCAACATAATATTGCGGGCAGAGCATAAATAAATTGATGATGACGTTTTTTCCCGGATAACGTGCACATCTGGAGTATACAATCAACGGAAATTCCATCGAGATTGAGCGGAAATTTGAGGAAAGGTTCCTATTTGAGAGCGCTCACGAACTCACTCAATCAGACGACGCCAATTCCGCATTCGAAATTCGCCTTAATACTCGCCGTAGCCCCTTTCGTCAATATTTACCGCTCATGGAACGTCTTAGTAAGCGATCGCTGCTTACCCGACCCTCCCCGTCTCCTGACCTTGTTTTGACAGGAATTAACTTGGAGATCTCTTTATTCCCGACTCCAGCTCCAGATGTTCGGTCTCTGGGGAGATTGTCGTGAAGGACGACAAAAATATGGATCCCGAGGTCAGGAAGGGCGCGCTTATCAGATAAGATCATAAATCATCCAGCTCAATTAAGAGTAAATTAGAAAACCGAACGCGCTTTTTGTTTCCTCTTCTCCATGTCAGATCGCCCAACAAAAGGCCCGCAATACCTGCTGCACGCCCTAAAGCGGATTTCGGAACGAAAAATGTTTGGGAAGGGTGATCTACGAGAATAGTTATATTTTTTATAAAAACCTGCGACCAGGAGACGGCTCTTTTTCCACTATTGAATGGCAACTGGACCGGTTTCACCCAAAAGAATATTAAGATTTCTGACGGTAATAAATATTAAATGCTTAATTTAATGTGACATGAGCGGAGTCGTCTCAGAACGTGCGAAAAACGTAGAAAACCGAAATTGATAAGCGATTAGGAAGATTTAGAGAAAAAAACAAATAGAGTCGGGATTAATGAAGGGCACTTATCTCCACAAATATTCATTTGACACAACTTCACGACAGACCAATTACGTGCCTTTCCTTTGCCCTACGACAACGTCAAAAGTCACCTGCCTACATGAGGTGTTCTTGAAAAAAACCTAACTCTCAAAATTTAAGTTTTAAGTAGACGGAAACGAAATAATTAGACCAAACAAGGGATAAGTTTAATTGAAAAGACAATTAAAGTTTACGGGATGTTTCCCCGCAATCAATTCGCCAAAACAAGGCACAGGCCACGCATACTTGACACTGCGAAAAAAGTGGTCGGAATAAAGACGCGCGCCATTTGGGTAGGGGCGACCTATGAAGAGTGAGCGGCGGCTCTTGGCCCAGCTCCAAGGCCTTGGAAAGAGCCCGATGAACGGCCGAACCCCCACCGGCCCCGAAACTCATCCATCAGCCCCGCGATCGAAAGAGTATGGAACGTCGAAAGGAGGACGGCCCTATCCCCTTAGTCCCTGAGGGCTCAACCTCGCTCTCATAAACCGGAAAGAGCAGACCTCTAATTAAAAGAGCATTCGTTAATTAACACATCGACGGTCCCTTTTGTGACGCGGCAATACAGGTTGTCGGGGAAACGGCCTCGGGCCGTTAATATGCAGTCCGTCCATTTTTTTACCAGATTATAGGATTGACTTTGACGCTTTCCAATTTTCGAACTCACCCAGAGAATGAACGTATAGAAGGATCGATTAAACAAAGATGCTTTATTTTCTATTCGAAGCTCTCGGGAAGCATCGGAGATCGCTGAATAAATCATAACGCAAGAGCTGGAACCTGTGTAAATTGTCTTAGTAATGGACTCTTAAAACGATTCGTCATTGCAGCCACATGGCATGGATCGTGGACTAGACTGAAAACGTTCTCAATTCAATATTTAAAAAAATAATTATGAAAAGTAAGCCGCCTCTCTTGAAACGAAAACATGTTTGGCATTTTGATTTAAGACAAATTTTGCATTTTTGCAATTTTTTGGAGTGAATTCATCAAGTCTGAATAAGAACGATGGAGAGAGTTAAAATAAAACGTCGACGAGTAAGTTAAACGCTAAGGACATTTACGTTCAGGAATCCGAGGAGAAAGAACGTTTAACTCAAGTCTACGAAGAATTCAAGGATGATTTCGATGGAAGCCGTGTTAAAATTAACACTATGTTTGTTAGAGGGGAAGTAGTCAATGCGGGACAGACCGGTGAGACTTTAAACCAACGTCATTGTCTTTGATTTAGATTTTGCACCTGCCCCAGTTGTCAAACCTCAGATTGATCCATCGAAAGCAAAGGAATTGGCCAGCAAGATTGGTCAGAGGATCATAATGGAGGCGAAGCAGAAGAAGGTGGCTTCCCAAATTCAGTTCGGCGGTGGAGTGACACCTGGTGGAGACGATGGAGCTCCAATCAATAGGCCGCCGAAACCGGGCACCAAGAAGGAAACCAGCACTCGGAAGAGCAATTTGGAGGCATTCAAGGAGGAGTTGAAACAGTGAGATTCGAATTCACATTGGCTCAATGAAAACCCGCTCTTTGCGGCGTTTTTATTTATCTGCAGGATCCAGGAGATGCGTCAAGAACGTCGCGAGCAGCTCAAACAGAAGTTCGGTGACAGTCCGGCGGTGGAACGGCTCGTGCAAGATCCGTTCTTATTGGGGCACTCTGAGTTTGACACTAATCCTGACACTACGAACCTTTACTTGGCATCGTTGGATCCTGATGTGGGGTTTTATTATTTTATTATTTTCGAAATTTAGATAACATTGGAAGATCTTTACGACACTTTTGGCAGCTTCGGGCCTCTTGCTTCAGCTAAGATTTTATACCCGAAACCTGAAGAAGCCAGGAAATGCCCATTGCTGAGTGGATTTGTTGCCTTTATGGCAAGGGCTGATGCCGAGAGAGCGATGGCTGTAATGCCTGGAGAACAGATTAAGGCGTCAAAGATCAGGGCCTCTTGGGCGAAGCCGGTGAATCTTCCTGCTGTGGTGGGCTAATTTTTATACGTTAGATAGTTTTTGTTTAGCCGTTTTATATTCCGAAGTCTCTGAGAAATTTTGCTATGCCTGATCCTCCATCTGGGCTTCCTTTCAACGCCAAACCCAATAAATATGATATGAAGAAGTTTCTAAAGAAACACGAAAAACTTCCACGGATTTCAGAATTGCAAGACCTCGACCAGGAAACCAAGAAAGACTACTGCAAGGTAACAACGTCGATTCGGCTTGAGAAAAATTTATTTCAGATTTTAAGGAATGCCGTTGTTAGAGTTGTAATCCCTACGGAAAGGTAAGACGAATACAGCCTTGTTGATTTTCTGTAGACCTTTGTTGTTTTTGATCCACCGGACAATTGAATTTCTGATCAGAGAGGGGCCGATGTTTGAAGCCCTAATTATGAAGAAAGAAAGGAATAATCCAGTGTTTAGGTATGTCGTTTTTCTTTCACATTTACAGTTCGTTAGATTCTTATTCGACAACAATCATCCAACCCATGTGTATTATCGATGGAGATTGTATTCTGTTCTGAATGGAGAAGATCGCAGCGATTGGAGTATTCGAAGATTCAAGATGTTTGAAGGCGGAAGCTGGTGGGAACCCCCTCCGCACTCCTTGTTCAGTGCTGGAATGCCTCCCCAGCTCTATCACAAAGCCTATAAATCTACGAAACGGGAAGAAAAGAGACGCCGAAAAACACCAGAAAGTCCTGATAGGGTAAGTGTGTTTTGTCATTAATGTTTCACTTTACAGAAACGCCAGAGAAAAGTTTCGGAACCAGTAGAAGTCTCCGAGCCAGAGAAAGTTAGAGGAGTTTTGTCAGAAAAGGAATGGGATGAGTTACAAGACATGCTCAGAGATCTCAAACCAGAGCGACAGATGATCGGAGATGCCATGATATGGTGTGTCGATCATGCGGACTGTGCCAAGGAGATATCGGAGTGCTTGTATCAAAGTCTGGGCATCCCTGAAACACCGTTACATAAAAAGGTTGCTATCCGCCCTTATCGTTTATGAATTTTATTTTAGATTGCGAGACTCTACCTCATTGCTGATATACTTGCGAATTGTGGGATTCGTGTGAGAGATGTCTTCAAGTATCGTCACTGCTTTGAGCAATATCTTTCCAAGATATTTTTGTCACTCAATGAAACGTTGGAATCTATTGAAAGCCGACTTAAAGCGGAGCAGTTTAGACAACGGGTTATGCTCTGTTTTAGGCATTGGGAAGACAATTCAATATACACACGCGATTTACTCATCAACCTGCAGAATGTGTTCTTGGGTTTGGTCAAAGTAAGAGGTCTTTCTATGAATAACCCTGTTTTAGCCGGATACCAAGAAGCATGAAAGTGAAGACGAGGAAGATGTGGATGGTGTTCCGCTTGATTTTTCAGCAACTGCGCCGTCGAAAAATAATGAGGAGGGTAGTGACAGTGATATTGACGGAGTTCCCTTACAATCGGAACCCATTAATAAAGATAACCCAGACGAATCAAAAGTGTGGAACCAGGCATGTCAATATTGTTATTTTATTACTGGTTTAGAATACGTTGGATGAATTTGCATCGAAATGGGATGCCATAGAGCCAGAGCTTACTGAGGAGGAGAACAGAGAAGGGAAAGGATTCTTTAAGCCCCTCGAAGAAGTTGCTCCTTCGCCACAAATGGAAACAAACGTTTCGAAGAATGGAGGGATTCACGCCAAATCAACGGCTTGGGAAGAAGAAAGACGAAGGCTACTCAGAGACATTGAGGTGATTGCAATCGCAATTTAAATTAATGCCTATTTCAGATGAAAGTTGTGGAGTATCAGGATGAACTTGAAAGCGATCTTGCACCCAATGTAGAACAGAAACTGGAAGACTATCGAAAGAAGCTCATTGATAAAATGGAGAAGGAACTTGAGTCTTTTGAAGAAGGAGAATTGGTGGGATCTCAGAACGATAAAAAAGAAAAGAAAAAGCGAAGTCGAGATAAGAAAGGAGAAAGCCAATCGAGAAGACGATCACGGTCGAGGAGCAGATCAGACAGCCGAGGACGCTCTAGGAGATCGAGATCCAGAAGTCCGTTGAAGTCGAGAAGCAGATCAACGAGTCGAGAACGGAGGAGAGACTCCAGAAGACATCGGGAATCGCCAGATAGGTAGGTAAACGTGTTTACTTTACGTTGTTCTCGGAAAGTGACTCAGTAAATTTCTATGACTGGTCAAAAAATAAGTATATTTAGAAAGCAAACCATGACATAAATTACTTGCTTTTTTAATCCTATTCTTATTCAGTGCCTTTTTCAGACGCCGAAGAAATAGAAGCCCCGACAGAGATCGTCGTCGCCGTTGAGTAGTATTAATTTATCAGATTTGTTATCGTATCTGTATAATATTTATATCATAAACCATTTTTCGATCATTTATACTGATAATTTCCTTCGGTGTGATCCACGGAACCACTATTTAAAATTTTTTGTTTTTTGGATTGATGAATATTCCCCTTCCCTAATTACCCAAAAACCACTTGAATGCTTTCGAAATCCCTTACAACGCTCTTTACAAACCATTCATTCCGCGTTTTGTTTGTCCACACAAAAGATCAAGGAGGAGATGAATGTTTCGGCAGTCTTATTTGTAAGAGAAGCCGTGCCTTTGTATTATATTTATGCAACTCGAATGCATAATCTAGTAATAGCCTTTTCTGGTGTGACTCACGGGTTCTCTTGTTGATTTTGTATCTTTAAGAATGTGTTTAACTCTCTTTTTGCAGCTGTATCGGCCTTTGCAGATATGAAACTTTTGTTGTTTCTTCTCCTTCTCACACATATCGGCGTCGTCCAATCACATAAAAGTATGTTGGTTGCCAATCCTTTTTAAAAAGTCAGAAAAGTGAATTTTATAACACGATTTGTTTGCAGACAGAACGGAGTGCTTTCAGTGTGAAGGGAATGGAAGGTGTTCAAGTTTATGCCAGGCTCCCTATTGCATCAAAACAATTCATTTGCAAAGTAAGTAATCATTTTATAATATTATAATGGCAGGTAATCACGTGAAACGAGAATGCCTGAACCATTTGACTCCTGAGATGCCTCAACCGGGAAACTGCAAGAAGTTTGATTCTGAAGTTGGGAATCAGGAGGAGTTGATCTGTGTGTGTGACTCCCCTCGCTGCAACTCTGCTCATCTAACCTCCATATCAATTTTCATTTTGTTGTCGATTTTGCTCATCCTTTCCCCACTCTAGCCCGGGAATTCATAGTTCGTTTAATTAATTGTTATTTAATTTAAAGGGTATTCTTCTCCTAATTACGTGTCTGTACAGGTAAAAATAAGTGAATGTGGAAGTCTATTCTCTCCTTGTCAGTCATTTCTCTTGTCAAGACCTCTAATGTGATGTGTTTTTGTTTATTGTTAATATTATATCCCGCATTTAAAATTGTTTTACTGAGATTTTTAGTTTTCGGTTGCCATAAAGAGACTTCATACGCGTCAATGTTATATCCGGAACATAATGGTTGACCTTATATTCGTCTTTTAATTTCCCTTATTTGTCTCATTCGCAAGGGATCGGCAAATAAGTATTTGACCGTTTAGCAGCCTCCAATCGGCCTTACAAAGTTAGCGGAAGTACGTCAAGTTCGTATTGGGCTGCGGGTTAGGTTGAGTGCAATCAATTCTAGATTTATTCATTACAGTAACCTAGCATTTTTTGGTCCTGCGCTAAAAAAATCAATAACGTAGTCAATTTTGGAAAAAATAACGCAAATCAAACCAAGTTTATTCTGAACCAAAACATAGACGACAATAAGTGTAAATGTAAAGCAACCTGGTGACTGCAAGACATCGATATAATGGAATGAACTTCTATTTCAACTGATTATGATACAAACAGGATATAAGCAAAATCTATATTAATCTGTCATTTTGAAAGTGTATGTTCAATTCATGTTGTTCAATGTGGAAGATCCTGTGTTGTATCTCGACGAATCAGCTTTGGATGATCTGTTTCAGAAGTAGCATTCTCAGAGGAAAGGGTCCCGGAAGAATGCTGAACCTGATTCCTGGACTGGAGAATGTTCGAGAGATTGCTTACGACGTCTGCTGGAGCATACTGTCTGAGCATTTGATTCTGTTGTTCTAGATTTGTCACCTAAAACCAGCTGGGTTACTAAATACCAAACAAAATAAATCCAATGCTCTAGGACAAATTGTCAATATTTTTTTTCTAAAAATGGAGTTGGAATGGCTTAAAAAACATTGGGTAGCCAGCCAAGTAATTTACAACCCGTTTGCCAGCCATCTGGCACCAATTCCAAACCTTTGGCTAGTCTCTTATATAAGTTAACATTTTCCAGTTGCTTCAAACTTCAGTACCACTCGTATCGAACACGGGGCTATCATTCCGGAATGAATGATAGCCAAACTGACCTTTGATTCCAACTCGGCAATTGTATTCCTCAGAGTTTCGACTTCTTCTCGGACAGCAAAAGTTAGATGGGTCTTCACAAGATCCATCGCCTGTTCAATCTTGTTGTCGATAGCAACAACATTAGCAGCTGCATTCAGTAAGCCCATATTACTCGTTCTGTAATCATGTAAGTTATAAGTCTAAACATAATGAACAACAAAGAAAGACTCTTTACCCTTCAGATTCCTCGCCAAGTTTATTCAAATTCTTCCCCGATGAAGAAGTGGACAAAATGGGTTGAGACGGAGCTGAAGGAACGGCCGATGGCTTGGAAACTTGCTTAAAAAATACGGATTACGTACATATAAAGACAACAAATAAAATAGACAACACAAAACGTAACCTTCCATTGCCTTAAACTAAATAAAACTTACTGCGTTTTGGTTAACATTTGGCTGGAATTGTGCTATGGAAGTGACTACAATCGTCCCATTTTGTTCCCCGATAGCATGACTAGAATTAGATGGGGAAACGTTATTAGAAAGAGCCGTCTGATTGGTATGAACCGAAGACAAAGGAACTGTTGACGGAGTTTCACCGGGATGAGGGACAGCCGTAGAAGAAGGCGTTGTGGAATCGAATACCAAAACTCCCGCGTCCTCCTGTTTCTGATCTGGTTCGCGATAATCCCAACAATCCCATCGGCCTCTTGTAAACTGACCTGGTAATCTGACCACCTAAAACATAAATGAATATACGGGCCGAAGCACTTCAAAACTAATTTTTTTTTTCTCCTCCATCATCAAAACGCTTCTATCTGACGGATCTAAATGTTCCAAGCTTAAAATCAAAGAATACCTGAAACCGCGGCCCTTTTTGGGAGGCCATGATTAAACTGGCGGTCATCAACGCAAGTTCAAACAATCTGTGGTGCCAGGGTCCCTCACATAGCCCGCTGAAAAAAATATTAAATAGAAAAAAAACCAATTTATACATGGTTCTTTAAAAAAAACAAAGAAGCATGTATACCCGAATAAGCTTTAGAGTCAATGCGAATGATGTATTAAAATTGCATAGATTTCACATTAAACCTGCAGCGGAATTAATTCCGAGAATAAAAATGTTTTTGCAGGGGCAGTAAAAGAGTCTTTTTGAATGGAAATTTTGTGAGCCGGGAAATTGGGCACATTGAATTCAGAGAAAGGCCGGCCACGGCGGTTTCAACCAGGGGTGGTCAGTGGGCCGGACCAAACCGGCCCGACCGGGTTCAAAACGGAAAATTGACAAACAAGCCGGGCCGGACCCGTCACGAGCCGAGCCGCGGGCCTGGGGTTTTTTCCGGTCCGTCTATATTACAATGCCAAACCGTTGGCATTCATTGTTTTCGCGCCGGGATAATTGATTGATGCTGTTGTAGTTGCAGTTTCTCAAGTTCGAAACGTTTACAAGTCTTCAGCTCCATTTTAAAAACCAAAAAACTATTATATTAATCCATTACCAGCTAGATTAACACCTTTTTTGCCTAACTTTAGTTCCCACGATTGGGTTCAGTTCGCAGAGCCCTTTATAAACGGGCCCGTCACGGGCCGGGCCGGACATGAAAAAAGCCCAGACGGGCCGGGCTGGTCCTTAGACGGGCCGGGCCACGGGCCGAAAATCGGAGAAAACGGCCCGCTGACCACCCCTGGTTCCAACAAAGGGAAAAAGTTTCATTCGTTTTGTTCCCGTTAGACTTGGCTGCCGGGCCGGGCCAAAGCAAAATTGAAACGGGCCGGGCCGACCTGTTCCGGCCCGCGGGCCGGGCCGCAACTTTCGGCCCGGGCCGGCCCGGCAAAATTAAAATTCTGAATTTCAAAGCGAAAAGTTGGGCTGCCAATAAAATTAAAACGCAAGCTAGGAATGGGGTTTATATTTTTCTTACAGTAAGCATAATTTTATAAAAATAAAGCAAGGAAGTATTCAAAAATAGCTAATAATAAGTAATTTTACTAGTAAAATCTATTAAGTACTAATGTATATTAGTGTTTGTAGTAATTTTTTGAACAAACACTCAAAATAAACGTAACCAACGTCCTTAAAAACACAATTAAGAAGTCGTGTGACGCAACACTATCATCTGGAAAACCTTGATAAACGTGGTTCCACCTTTGCCGAATCTATAACATTGATCTTGGGGCGATTTTTAATAGTCTGAAAACCGATCTCGGGAATTTTTTGATTAATTTTAGAAAGGCAATGCGTTGATAAGTAATTTTTTGCTTTAAAAATGTACTGTTAGTTTGTTATAGTAAAGAAAAATATGTCACATCTAATAGCGAATTAAGGTTATTTACTTCTCCTCAATTTTCGGGCCGGCCCGGGCCGCGGGCTGGGCCGGGCCGAAGAAAAATTGAAACGGGCCGGGCCGACCTCTTCCGGCCCGCGGGCCGGGCCGCGATTTTCGGCCCGGGCCGGCCCGAGAGCCAAGTCTAGTTCCCGTTTCTAAAGCCTTTTTTATATCAGTCTGTCGGGAAAATAATGGCGGGTCGTCGCGCTTTGGAATCGCACATCATCGCTTTGCGACTGCAAGCCGCTGATTGGGATTTGGTGCGCGATAGCGGCGAGGCGAAACATTTTGCTGCGACGATCCGCCGTTATTTTCCCGACAGACTGATAGTAAAAAAGGCTTCAAAGTTAGTCCTTTGAAAAACACCAAAAAATCAGAGGTTTGAAAAATTTCACTAAAACTACAGTATCTTTTTAATGAGACCTTTTAATCAAAAATCGACCAGAGATTTATAAACTCGATTGATTTAAAAGCGATTGTTTATACAATTGTTTAAAGCGAAAGATACGGTATTCATGCCGTCGATGGAGAGAAATCGTAAGGAAATCGCAGGAATTGTTGACAACCATAAAATTTGCATAAAAAAGTTGAATGAGCCCTGCGACGTTGTTAATTGGATTTAATCTGTGGATTACCCTTTTCTCGTATTATGTTACACTTGAGACAGCTGAAAATTACTCTACAGTTTGTACCAACGCCAATGTGTCCAGCCACAACCGGCTTGGGGACAAGTCCTGGGGACAGAACCGGTCTGGGGACAAAAAGGACCAAAAAAAGTGGGGACGAAAACTTCCTGGGGACAAAACCGGACCCAATCGATGCTCTATTTTTTGAACAAATTGCAAATAGAATTATATTAGAATATTTCTCAACCTTAAGCTTGACAATTGAAAAAATAACATGTAAAGAGCAACTGTACACATGTAATACATTACTATAGATACTTCTTTTTTGGACACAGAATGTTTAAAATGGAATACAGACTAGTAAACGTTTTAAAAATTTAGAAACCGCAGCTGCAACAACATCACTGAATTTTCCCGGCGCAAAAACAATGAGTGCCAACGACTTGGCATTATAATATAGGCGGGCCGGGCCGGAGAAAAAACCTCAGGCCCGTTTGTCAAGTTTCGGTTTTCGAGTCCGGCCGGCCTGGGCTAAGCTGACCCCTGGGTGAGAACGCGTACGTTTGCAATGTCCGGGAAATCTTGACGTGCGGCGCTAAAGTTTGCCACGCGAATCGCAGTTTATCCGTTTTTGTGGAAAAAATACATTTATACATTTTTTGTCAAAAATAGGTTTTCTTCATGGATAATATATATTTTTTTCTTTAGGCTTTGATTTATTATTGCAGCTGTATTTTACATTTTTCACGTACTTTTTACTTATTTCCGCTGAATCAACCATGTATTACATTGTGTATTTTATTTCAGATCTCTTCGGTATTATCGACCTCTTCGTTGACCCGCAGGACGAACTTACAACAGCTTGGGGAGAATAATTTTTTTTATTACACTAGCGCAAAATTCCACGGAAACGTAAAAACATGTATTGGACCTGGTTCAACAGCTGTACCAGAAATTGTCCCAAACCATACGGCTGTTTACACTACAGGGTGTTCCAAGAATCATGGAAAAAACTATTCATTAATAACTTTGTGCTCGGTGGTCCAATCCGAAATTTTTTTTTCATTTTACAGAAAAACCTTGGAGTTTTTAGAATCCAAGAAAAATTTCTTTTATCGGCGGAGACTTCCGCAATCCGCCTTGAATTCGGCAGAGTGTTTTTTTACAAATGAGGCTATAAATAATTTCTTAAATGGGTTTATGTTTTTCTCCGCCGAATTGCCGTTTTTTTATCTGCCAGTCGGCCGACGACGTAATAAGTCGTATTTAGGCGTCATGCCACCAAGTATACCATGCGTTTAGGTTTTAGCCAGGTTTGGCTCTTCGAAGAAAAATTGTACGCCGCGGCGCGCCGAGGTTAAAAATGTCTCCGACAAACCACAAAAATTTGAAATAAATGTCATTTTATATCGTCTGGATCTTTTTCCGCCCATTTTCTTTACACATACAACAATTTAAGCCTCATTTGTGAAAAAAAACACTCCGCCGAATCCAAGACGGATTACGGAAGTCTCCGCCGATAAAAGAAAAAAAATCTTGATTCTAAAAACTTCAAGGTTTTCCTGTAAAATGCAAAAAAATGGATGTGGACCACCGAGGACAAAGTTATTAATTAATGAATAGTTTTTGCCATGATTCTTGGAACACCCTGTACTACATAACGAATTTTCTCTAGCTAACTCTAGATTATAGTTTTTGATTACGATAACATTTTTGTTCGCTGTAATGTACCTTTATTCTGCGACCGACCTTTGATTTATTTGAAACGGGGTGTGGTGTCTAAGTGATTATCCTTATCATACTTCTTTTGCATCATTATATTCCCCTTAATATGATGCATGCCTCTCCGTTTTGACGACATTTATAGATTCTTTTGTAGTTGATGTTATCAGTGACGTTCTCCCTTTCTTTACGCATTTCTCCATTCACTACAATGGTTAGGAGTCTGGCAGGTGGGATTTTCGATGATAAGCAGTTGATTTATTTTTCGGATGTTTTTATTCTCGTTTTCTTCTTTCATTCCGTTGGTGGATCCAGTACTTCACGGGTTTATCTTCATGCCATTTGGCTGGGCCTTTGTGGACTGTGTTGAATCCATTGTTGCAACATTTTTTTGGGGACCGGACTTTCCCATTCAATGGGTTCAGATTAGAATACGAAGACATCCTAGTTCGTTTTATGGCGTTGACGTTGACTGCGTTTTGTTATTAGATTGTAATAACTCTTTTTTTTTATGTATGGCAACCATCAAAGTGTCGGCAGGCTTAAATGCGGAAGTTTTCACCCTTCCTGACGCCCAGGTGGTTATTGTCGGCAAACATAAACTTCTGAAACAGCTCACCTTCGACAGTGAACTAGCCCGAAAGCTAAAAGGAGTGGACGAAAAGTTATTTCAGTTAGCTGTAAGCCAGTTACAACCGAGCTCTTCAGTTTCGTTGTATCTAGATTTAGCCAAGGTAAGCTCAGATTATTTGGCACATTTTAGTGTGTATTTGTTAGATAATCTCCGTTTCCGACGAGACCAGTCGTTGCAACGCGCCATCGAACTCCAACGAGATCTTCAAGGAACTCAAATCTCTGAGGCTTTCCAATAATGTCAAGGTGATTTCAACGTGTCCGTCCATAAAGGGCAGGTGCCGTAATGGGCAGATTGATGTCATGAGCTAACGCTTTTTCGCCGTTATAAACCAAAATTGGGCAGCTAATTTCTACATACTCTTGTTCAGAATTCTTTGATGTATCTCTCGACCTATCCGTTGTCGGGAAATTAACGGCGGGTCGTCGCGGCAAAATGTCTCGCCTCACCGCTATCGTGCACCAAATTCCCAGCCGCGGTTTGCCGTTGCAAAGCGATGATGAGCGATGCCGAGGCGCGACGATCCGCCGTTATTTTCCCGACAGACTGATAGTAAAATTCTACCGCCACCGACGATTCAAACTCTGGCGAATCGGTAATTGATCGCTGGACTGAATCCTCGCGGATTCTGTCAAAAGTCGACCTTGCACAGAATCCGCTGGGTTTGCTATTATAGCGTCTGCCCATTGTGGTCCGTTCCCAATTTTAATAATTTTTTTTCATCAGGCTTTGGTTATTGTTATCTTCGCCGAGTTTGAACATGTTTTGCCGTCTGTTATTGCCGCAGCCAGAGCATTTCCTGCATTCTCGAGGAAGACCTCAGGAAAGCAATTGGAGGACGTTCAAGTTGAGGTTGTTGTCACGACCGAAGGAAAGGTATATTTACATTTTACAAAAGTTTATATAAGGATGGTGACATACAAATCAAATCGGGTTTCGTGGCCAGAAACCGCGATTTCTTGTCTGTTAGGCTTCTAGACAAGAAATGCGCAATTCTTGTCTGAGCAGAGAAAAAAAGAAAAAAATTTTCACGGGGAGAGAGCAGAAATTTGCACAATATTGCGCAATGTTACGCAAGTTGAGAATTACGCATTTCTTGTCTAGAGGCCTAACAGAGAAGAAATCGCGGTTTCTGGCTACGAAACCCGATTTGATTTGTATGTCACCATCCTTATATTATATTTAAATTAAAATCTTGATTTAGCAACTTTCTCCATTGGATTTGAACTTTTTGAATTGGATAAGCAATTATTCGCGAATTTGCGCCAAGCAGATCGACACCCCTTGCTCCGAAATGAATTCGTCGGCGTTTGCTGAGGAGACAGTGAAGATTGCAGAGAATCTCGGAATCCCAATAAAAACAACTTTAGTTAAAGTAAGGAACATTGTAAATCGGATCACTTTCTTGGATTACAAGGATGACAAAAATAGCTTCGAAATTCTTCCAGGGCGATGACTTGTTGAAGCGTGGCTTCGGGGGTATCTATCATGTGGGTAAAGCTGCTGAACATCCTCCCATCTTCCTCTGCTTCTCTCACAATCCAAGTGGTGCCACGAAGGATATTGCACTCGTTGGAAAAGGAATAATGTTTGATACTGGAGGAATGCAAATCAAGACCAAGACTGGGATGCCGTGTATGTAACGCGATTCCTTATGAAGTTTTTTCAGCAATGAAGTGCGATATGGGCGGGGCAGCGGCAGTGTTTGCTGCTTTTTGCACACTGGTACAGTCAGGATTCAAGCAGAATCTCCATTGTTTGCTGTGCATTGCCGAGAACTCGGTCTCTCCGAAAGCCAAGTATGTTTTGGTCCGTTATTTAGATGCCTTTAATTATAATTTATAGCCGACCAGATGATATCATTACCATGCTGAGCGGGAAGTCTGTGGAAATTGCGAACACGGATGCCGAAGGTCGTCTTGTCTTGGCTGATGGTGTGTTTTATGCCATGAGTGTTCTCAAAGCGAGCACTATAATTGATGTGGCAACACTCACTGGAGCTCAGGCATATGTTTCTGGCAGAATTCATGCTGCTGTCCTTTGCAACAAGGAAGAAACGGAGCGATTGGTGGTGAAGTCGGGTAGAAAGAGTGGAGATCTTGTCCACCCACTCCCTTATGCGCCGGATCTACATTTCTCGGACCTCAAGTCTCAGGTTGCAGATATGAAGAATTCGAATCTTGGTTCAATGGAAGGTCCGCCAAGTGCAATTGCTGGTCTCTTCATCGCTTCTCACATCGATTTCACTGAAGATGTGAACTGGATTCATTTGGATATTGCTGCCCCGGCCTTTAAGAACGATAGAGCCACAGCCTTTGGTCCTCCTTTGATCTGCTCGGTTCTTTCGGAACATTTGGATGTTCCATTGCTAAACTAGACTGATTTGTACAATAAAGGTTGTATCTTGGATAATCTGTTAAAGGTGGCGAAAAATTAAATATTTCTGCGGGAATCCCTTCATCATGTTGTAGGTCCTCTCGGATCCAAAATGTCCAGGTCTCCCATGCCAACCTTGACGTTTGTTTCTCCAAGTCTTGGGTTTTTTTCAGAAATATATTTTCTGAATGCATTACTTTTTAATTTTCGTTTTCTCGCTTGTTTCCGCTAAGAATGCGTTTGTATCTACACTTACATCGGACTCTTTTTTGTTAGCGGCAAAAGTTTTAGGTAGGGCTTATGAAGAAAATACAGTTTTTAAAGGATATTCGATCCGAAAGTATCACCCAGGATCGGAGTATGTATTGGTTTACACAGAAGAGGTTTCCAACGACACCATTGATGTGCTCAGTCATCATAATATCACTACCCGGCTGATGAAACGACTGGATGGTCCGTACGCTGCTACACACAAGGGGAACAAATATCAGGTAATTGGAATTCTATAATTACATATTGTTATGGTTGTAAGTACACGAAGATCCATTTGTGGTCTTTAATTGAATACGAGGTGCTCTTCCACCTCGATCTGGATACGATTCTATTGGATAAAGTGGATGAAGTTTTCGAATGCGGTAACTTCTGTGCTTCTCTTCGACATTCTGACATGTTCAATGCTGGAGTGTTTGTTCTGGTTCCAAACATGAAAGTAATAAATATGTTTATCGTTAAAATCTGCTGTATTAGGTGTATGAAGATATGCTCGGGAAAATGAAAACGTCAGAGAGTTATGATGGAGGTGATCAAGGATTCCTGAATGGATACTTCTGGCAAGTTAAGTTCTCGGAAATGTTGGGCTACAATGATTCGAAATGTAATCACAAGATACGAAGGCTCCCCTCGGCTTACAATTATGATGTGGGAATGTACTACCTCAGCAGTAAGACGCTGGTAACACCCAAGATTATACATTACACTCTCGGCCCCATCAAACCTTGGCATTGGATCGGATATCCGATATTTGATTTGAATGGGAAATGGAACGAGATGAGGCTGGGAATGCATCACCAGTACGGTGAGATGTCGTCTCAGATATATGGCGGCTTTTTCTCATTGATGATGTCTGCACTTTTTGTAATCATCCTCCATATCGCCTTAGGAAACAAGAGACATTCCTTCAGAATTCTGAAGCCAGCCAAAACAGAAATAAGGGAACGGTTTGGAGTTTTAGTAAGTATTGTATTTGTGGGTATGGCGGCTGGTGTCTACAATACTCCCGAAGACATTTTGCCTCAGTTGGGATGGCTACATTATACTGCATATTTCGTAAGTAAAGTTTAGTTGAAATTACCATGAATGAACATCCTCGGTTTAGAGTTTGACTACCTCCACCATGTCAATGTTATACTCGAAATACCGGCGATGCGGGCATTACAATGTGATGTCATCGTTCATTTTATCCTCATTTATCTTTGTTTTCCACTTTGTTTCCTGGTTCCTCCTGGCATCCGTATCTTTACCAGCCTATAGATACCTTGTCTGTTTGTTAGTTATCCCCACATTTTTTATTTTTCTCTTTTATATTCTCCATTTTCTAATCTTTTTTCGAGTTACAGTAATCTCCAAAAGAGGGCCGATGGACGATCACATTGAACTTTTACAGTAACTATGCTTTTTGCCTTATTTTTACAAAAAATTATTTTATTTACATCGATAGAGGTAACGGCTTAATAGGAGGGAACACTATCGAATCCTGGTTTGGTATACATGAACTCGGCGTTTTGTTGTTGAGGGGACTCGAGAGTGCTTACTGTTGGACGCTTGGGTTGGCCTAGGACCTGACTGAGGTCATGTTGAGAAGCTCGGAGAACGGACTCTGGGGGAAGATCGGTTTCTTCAAGATTGTCAGGAACGAAAGGTCTGAAACAAGATCTTTAATTTATAAAGTCTTCCAGTTTGAACAGGGCCTCGGAGTACCCGTTAACGTTGTAAATAGGATCGGAACTCAAGTGACATTGTTGTTTTCCCCACTTTTTTTGCTACCTATGATTATATTGTACCTATTCTACGGGGTTGTAAGAAGGCACCAGATCGGTATGAGACCTGTAAATGGCATGTCGAGCTTTGAGCGGGGTGGGTGAGGGGACTGGCACTGGCTCCGGCAACACTTGGGCCTTCCCCATTCCACCGTCGTTGTGCTGGATGACCTGGACTGCTTGCGGTTTCGCCAAGAGTTTCTCATGGAGCGGAGAAGGAACGAATTTCTCTTAAGCGCAAATAAAAATCCTGAGGCAAGGTTTATTCGAAGAAAGCGGAAATGGATATCAGGCAGTAGGTTCTTATTATTATACAGGGCAAGATTACGGTAACATAGAGTAACAAACACACTCGGAAAGTAAAAACGGAAAAGCAATACAATTAGACACTTCAACTGCTTAACAAACGAGAGAGGCACAATATTATCCTTAAACACATCAAATGGCACTCAAAATCAAAAAGAAGAATCACAACACTCAAGAGATGCGGTAAGAAGAGTTGCCGCGTTCTGTTCGCTTTAGACTCTGGAGCTCGATCTCGTCGTCGGACCCGGGGCCGTATTCCATTTCCTCGTTAATCGATTCCTCGTACGTCTCCTCTTCGTGGAAGCTGTTTTTGCGATCAGCCAAAGCAACGCGGCGGTCTGATTCTTCCACACCTACAACTTTTTTGTTGTTCAAATCATTGGCCTCGGCATAACCCGCACGATCCCGATCCCAGTCATTACCCAGGTATCTGCTCTTGTCATCATCCATCTGTCTGATCGTTCGATATCCATGAGTCATATCTGGAAGAGGGATTAAAGGAGGTCGGAGGGGAACATCAAATCTTCATTTTTTTAAAAACACTACACACATTAACTTTCAAAAATGATTAAGTATGCAGGAGAACGAATGTTACAGTTCACTTACCCTTCTTTTGCTTCCTTTTCCGCCGAGCACACCAATAAGCCAACAGGGAAAGGAGGGCCAACAAGGCCAAAAGGCCGAGAATTAGAAATAATAGCCACAGCCTGAACATAAACAGTGATCATTTACCAACATATAACTACTACTGCGTTCCTTTTTAAACAAAGCTCAAGCCACCCAAAAACTCACCATAGAGGAATGGCGGCCACTTCAGGGGTACAACAGACTCTTCCACAGCATTCCAGACTGGTGTCGCATCTGAATTCGTATCTCTCATTTCTTCCCTGGACATTGGGCTCTTCGAAGATGCATAAATGAAAATCCTTTTCATATCCCTGATACAAGATCCCAGTCGATTGATGTTGGGCAGCCAATTCGGTGCCCTGACCGCTGTTGAAAGTCATACTCCTAAATGGAAATAGGTTAACGCCAGGAACAATGTATAATATAAAATATTATAAAAAAGCAAACAACAACAGATTGTTTACTCCTCTCGCAATCGAATCACGCAAAAAAGATGGTGTGCGCGCTCCAGAGACTTGGTTGGATGGGTATGGGGCATGTCGGGTAAACCCGCAATCATTCCATTTAACACGAACATTCCCGTTTTTTAGAAAAAAACAAAAAAAACTTCTTTCGTCGACTTCGGTTCCGTCGACCAATTCTGTTAACAAAATGGCCGTTTATGGCGGGTCCCTAATTAACTATGCAATGAGGAAACCCCAAACAATGCAATGTATCGTAACTTTAAGCAAATGTTTTCATCTTCTTCGACGGGGTTTAAGAAGCCATCTCATCTCGCCTTCTGAACCAGTTCTCTCCTCTGTAATTCCCTTTAAAGTTGTTTTATTTGGAGTTTACAAAAACTTTCCCTTGATGAGACAAAATAAGGGAAAGTGATTGGAAAGACGAATAAAATAAAATATTCAATTATTAAATTCCCTTTACGGAAACCAAAAAAAAAAAAAAATAAAATTCCTAGTAAAACTACAGGGTGTTTCAAGAAATTCCCCGGAAAGCAATCGTCGATTTCTCGGCGCTCAGCCATGATATCCAAAAAATTTTTTTTGCAGTAGAAAGAAGGTTATGGGCGGTTTTTTGCCTAAAAAGATTTTTTTCTTCGCCGACGCGGAATGCAGTGTATTCGGCGAAGACTTTTGACCGCTTTTTTGACCATCACACTTATCTAAAACGCTTTACTGTGACACTGCAGCATCCGGAAAGTCTTCAGATTTTTTGCACAATGGATCAGGAGGCAGGGTATAACGCTATGCGATCCCATTTAGCGACTGCACAGTGCAATGCAGTCGCTGCAATATCGATAAAGTCGAGCCCACTGCGCGAATGTTTGAAACAGCAGGGCAAAGAGAAATTTAAGCAAATTTTTTTTTTGTTGTTTTCTGGTGCACCAAGTGGTTCCGTGATGGCTAGACATCTGCCAAGGCTTGACCACAAAATTTTGGAGGGTATACGATACCCGCAGAAAATAGTTGCCAGACAATAAAAATTGTGTTGGACCATTTCTGGTCCGTATCTGAGTTAAGATATGGCGAGCGGCTGCCATACCTTTGCCGAACGCTTGATAAGCACAAAAATCAGTAAATTATCCGCATTTCAGCCATCAGAAACCACAAAAAAGCGTTTAAGATGTATGTGATGACCAAAAAAGCGGTCAAAAGTCTTCGCCGAATACACTACATTCCGCGTCGGCGTAGAAAAAAATCTTTTTAGGCAAAAAACCGCCCATAACCTTCTTTCTACTGCAAAAAAAATTTTTTGGATATCGTGGCTGAGCGCCGAGAAATCGACGATTGCTTTCCGGGGAATTTCTTGAAACACCCTGTATTGTAAATATGGAATATAATACTAACAATAAACAAAACAGATGGGGGTCTTGACAAGAGAAATTGCTGACCAAGAGAGGGTACACTTCCACACTCCCTTATATTACAACTGAACCATCTCGATCTCAATTAACATTCCACCAATTTTAAAGCAGCGGTTAAGCGGGACGCGAAAAGACTGGACCAGTAACTCCCCCTCAGCGCTTCTTCACTTTCACTTCACCTTAGGAACAACAAACAAAGCAGCAAGAGGAAGAGATCTGGCCCTATAACATATATATAAGACAGCTTCTCGCTAACAGGGAAGTAACCCAAGTGCGACGTTCGGATTTTGATGAAACTCGGCACAAATCTAGAGTTTTTAACAAAATTTCTGAGTCACTGTATCAGCCGCGGAGACAGAAAAACATCGATTTTGAGATTTTTTTAAGTGGCCGGAGGAATCATGCTAGCTTGTTACAGAAACATCTTTGTCCATTTTTCCCATTAACATACCGTAATTTACAATAGTAGTGTTTACAAAAAACGGGAATTACTCCACGACATAAATGGCAAAAATTGGAAGTTTTTAGGTTTTGGCATTGCAATGGAAGACGAATTTTGGCGGTTGCGCAACTGTAACGTAGTCCAGCCCTAGCTCGGCCGCACAAACTAGGCCATAATAGAATTTTTTGGATACCAGTCTGCCGTGATCCACTCCGTCGCACGCATTCCAAACCCAAATTTGCACCGCGGCCGCGGAGAAATTTGGAGCGCGTCGCCGAAAAGACAGCAAAAAAAGAGGGGGGGGGGGGGGGGGGGGCAATTCTTATTTATGTTAGAATACCTCAGGGTAAGCAAAACGAACGTTAGTAATGGATAAAATTAGAAAAAGTGGACATAATGCAAATCTTCTCCAAGTCTCTGCCGAGCTTATCCGAGCGTCCTCCTACCATCCAACGGCCTTCTCAGGCCACGTAGGCACTTCCTACAACCTTATTTTTGGTATCTTTTTTTGTAAATCTGTGAGAAAAAAGTCAGGGTGCGAGCGACAGTCCGAAAAAGCCTATTGCACGGTGCAATAGGCAAGAAATTGCACAGTTCAAAGGGAACTTTTGTTTTCGCAGAGTGCATGTTGCAGATTTCCGTCCGGCGACTTTCCGGACAGACTATTATCAGAAATTTCAATTCAGCCAAAATGACGAAAATAACGGCAATCTGACGCAAGTTGACGTCATTTTGAAAAATTCTGTTAAGTTAACAACCCTAGTGAATTATTAGTGATGATATAAATATGTAAGTCTTGATGGGCTTATTTTCCGTCGGATGTGACGTTATATATAATAGTTGATAAGTGGTGGGAATTGGTACTGAAATTTAAAATTTGTTGTTTTTTCAACGTTGGAACCATCCTTCTATGTAGATGAGTCTAGAGAGGAAGGATGAGATCAACGAAAAAGAAAAACCACCGAGCAGTCTGTTCTGAGATTTGAGTCATCGATCGGATCGAAGAAACCGGGAAGGAAGTAGAGAATTATGCCCGTTTCCCCTCCCGGACTTACTCCTTTTAACCACGAAGAAAACTTGACTGATTGAATCTCTTGCAGAGACGAAGAGATTTTGTGTCATCCGTTCCTTTCTAAATTCTGTTAAAAATACTCTTATATAATCAGGTAAACATTAACTTTTCTTAATTGTTTATTTTGGTTCAGTGATTTTTTTGGTAGTTTCGATCGGACTGACCGCAGGGCGAGAAGAGCGAGAGCTCCGGTTTGTGTGATTTAGGGGTCAAGTAATTGAAGGGAAAACGAAAGGAACGAATGGATGTTTGGAATCTCTGAATCTTTTTTACTCAATTCAGAATCTATTGGTTCATTCTAAAAAATGGTGCAAAGGATCCATTTGTTTCTGGCATTGTTTGCTTTCGTCTGTTATTTGGAGAGCACGGGCAGTTCTTACATGATCTCAGCTGTGCAGAATATTGAAAGGCAATTCCAAATTCCGTCCAAATTATCTGGGTTTCTGATTAGTGCGCGTAAGTTTACGGATTGGATTGCGTTGACACCTGCTTTAAGATGACATCAGCTACATTCCGACGGTCATATTTATTGCGTATTTTGGTTCGCGCGGGAACCGGGCCAAATGGATTGGAGCTGGGACGGTGGTCATCGCGATCAGTTACATCTTTATTGCATCCCCCAATTTCATTTTTCCCGTCCCCCGTCCTGTTCTGAATACAAGCGCCATTGAACTTCAGCTCAAAGTGGACGGGGTTCTACTGAGTAAAAAGGCCGAAATCAAGCAGTTCTTTGATTACGCGCCTCTGAGGAATCGAATTCCGGCCAGGTACCGGGAAAGGGTCATTGATTTTATTGATGGAAGTAGTCCCGAGGATGCAACTATATCCTACAGTAACCATACAGGGTCCCCATATTCTATGGATGAGCCTTTGATTTCCGAGGTAACACGAATTATGAATGGGATTTATAATAATTCTGTCAGATCTTAGAACACATGGATGCACTTTTAAAGAAGAAGGAGCCTCAGTCTGAACTGATCAGAGTGCTGCAGAAATTCATTCAGAATAGAAAAAAACTGAAAGAGGAGGATCTGACAACATTAAGAACAGCTGCAATAGCACCGTTCTCTTTTTGTCACCGAATGGTAAACGACTTCAGACAAGCTCTCAAAGAAGTTCGATGTGCATCTCCAGTCTCCAATTTGGGTCCTTTAACGGTCATGTTTGTAGCCCTCTTGGCGATGGGAGTGGGTCGAACAATGCCCTGGTCTTTGGGGATCCCTCTTATAGATGACAACGTCAAAAACAAAAGTACTCCGGTGATGTTTGGTAGGTGACGGGACGCTAATTCTTATTTTTCATTTTAGCTATGATATCTTTTATCAAAATCCTGGGTCCTATTTGTGGTTTTGTAACAGGTAGTCTGGTGAATCGGGTATATTACACATTCCCCTCCCCGGCCCCGGCCGGTCTTACTAGAGCCGATCCCACCTGGATTGGCGCTTGGTGGTTGGGATTTGTGACGATTGGAGTGATTATCATATTACCTTCATTAATGCTCTATTTCTTTCCTGAATCTTCCGGAAAGTAAGTAATCTCCAATGATTGTTAATAAGTTTAGGAAGTCCAACAAAGTACACGGCAAGCGTGCTAAACAGACCGAGAAGATCAAGCTATCTTTATTCGATCGTCACGCCAAGGATGACGAGCTCACCTTTACCAGTAAGACGTTTTACCGCTGCCTCTGACCTTTTAGGGATGATAGAATCATACAGAGATGTTGTCAAATCCAAGGTCTATACGGGGACCGTTGCTGGCCGAGTTATGGATATTCTCGCCATCAAAGGATATATGGTATTCCTCCCTAAGTATCTAGAGAATCATTTTGGAATTCCCCAATATCAAGTTCATATGTACATGGGTAAGTCTCACGTTCAGGTGAGAATAAATAAATCTTTTAATTTTCAGCCATGTTCGGAGTTCTTGGATTTGCTTGTGGCACCTTCTGTGGTGGCTATATTACAAAGAGATTTAAATTTGACGGTCGTACGGCCGCCTTTTACATTCTGGTTTGTTCCGTGTTCAGCACGAGTATGTTCTTGACCAAAAGTTTCCTCGGATGTCATTCCGTGGTTAATTCGATTGGTCAAAATGGAATGTGTGTATCTTTGCCACTTTCATAACGATTTAGTTTAAACAACATCTACGCAATCTTTTTAGACAAACCAATTTCAATTACACTCGGACATGTAACAGTGAATGTGGATGTGAATCGGCCAAGCTTTTTCCAGTCTGTGATGCCTCAGGGCATCCCTTCTACTCTCCATGTCATGCTGGTTGTAGACATGTGACTGTGGTGGATGCGGATTCTTATCAATTGGTATGTCTGATCTTTATTTACTCATATTTTTTAGGAATTTACGGATTGCGATTGTGCCCCTGGCAGTGTGGTTAAGAAGAGTTATTGTCGGGATGACTGTCGGATCATGAAGAACCTTTTCTTTGCCACTGTTGTCGTTGGGGCGTTTTGTGCGGGGACAACAGTCGTTCCGGGCATGCTCATTCTTCTTCGGTAGGTTCAGATGACTGTGAAAACTGAGCTAATTCATTTAGATCTGTCCCTCCAGAAATGCGATCTGTCTCCCTGGGTCTTCAGGGATTCTTAGTCTCATTCCTGGGGACCTTACCATCTCCTTTACTTTGGGGTGCAGTCATCGATTCAACGTGTTTAATATGGGATCAAGTTTGTGGAGAGAAGGGGGCCTGCAGCATCTATGACCCGGATCAATTGAGGACAAGAATGCATTTACTTTATTGTGCTATTCGAATGTTCTCAATAATCATTGATTTCTATGTTCTCTATCATGCGAAAGGCCTCAAACTCATTGATGAAAATGAGGAGAAACAACAGGAACGAATAGAAGAAGCCTCAGAATTGGCCATCAAAGAAAACATTGCTATGGATGCAATCGCGGAATAAATGAGATCTCAATCAGAAAATAACGTGTTGTTTAATTTGTGCTGATTTCAAAAATCATATTTCATTTTTTCTGATTTTTACTTTTTGGAGTATCAATCTGTCGGGAAAATAACGGCGGGTCGTCGCAGCAAAATGTCTCGCCTCACCGCTATCGCGCAGCAAATCCCCAGCTGCGGCCGCTGTCGCAAAGCGATGGTGGGCGACTCCCACGGCTCGTCGTTATTTTCCCGACAGACTGATAGTACTGTTGAAAAACAATTTTTTAAAATTTTTGCAAAAAATACTCGATTCAATGGGTGTCAAGGGTGCTGATTAATCTTTTGATTGTTACTAATTACTACATTACATTACTACTTCAGAAAAATTTTAAAAAATCAGAAAGAATGAACCTGATTTTTGAAATCAGTTTTTTAACAGTACTATTTAATAAAAAAAGTAAATACACAAGTTTTTACAGAGATGCAGGGGGTTGAGGATGAAAGTTTTACTGCTTACTTCACTGTTCGTTTCGTTTTTTATTTCCTAAAAAATTTAAAAGAGACTTCGCGAGAGTGAGAAAATGCTATGAACTGTACCGCCTTACTATAGATGTTCTTTTTTTTGAACAAATTGCAATCATGCATAAAGATATAAGGGTGGTGACATACAAATCAAATCGGGTTTCGTGGCCAGAAACCGCGATTTGTTGTCTGTTAGGCTTGTCTGAGCAGAGAAAAAAATCTTAAGGGGAGAGAGCAGAAATTTGCGCAATATTGCGGAATGTTACGCAAGTTGAGAATTACGCATTTCTTGTCTAGAAGCCTAACAGACAAGAAATGCAACTGTACATACATGTATATAGCCTACACGTTACTATAGATGCTTCTTTTTCGGACGGAGAATGTTTACAATGGAATACAGACTAGTAAACGGTTTAGAAATTCAGAAACTGCAATCACAACAATAGCAATCACTCTTCATTCAAAAAAATTTTAAAAGGTTCTATTTCACACTACTGCTTAAGAAAAACACGATCCGAAAACAACTCCATAACATTCCAATTCAGGTCTTGTTGTTTAGAAATATATTATCAAATTTATTGTATATAACAACGCAATAATACCGTCTTTAATAAAATAGGACTAAAAAATCGTTGAATTCACCGAATAATTGAGAAGGGGAGGTAGGATAGAACGGACTGAAAAATGGGCTGATAAAAAAGAAGAGGTCTACAAACGGACTACCAAGGGATGAACTTTACGACAATATAGACTTGGATGGATTATAAGGAAAACAAAGGCCTTGCTCACACTTTTGTTGACGACCCAGGTTCAAGTGTGCCTTCCTGGCTAGCCGCAGGTTGAGACGAGCTGCTCGAGACACCGGTTAGGAACTCGGTTCGGAAGAATTCGGTTGGGAGTTGCTCTATCTCGTCCGAGCTCACTTTGCCTACATACAGATTCTCGGCCGAACTGCTGATATCACGAAGACATTCCAGAGTTTTGGGGATCGATTCGATGATGGGCATACATTCTTGGGCATGAATCGATTCAACATACCTAAAAATAGAAATATTAGTCACACACATCATTGTAGTCCAGTTCCAAAAAAAATTTACCGTCTGAGAAGATTACTGTAGAGAGTGTGGTACTTTTTTGTGAGTTGTTTGTCACTCTCAATCGTAATGACATTTGTATTCCTAAACAGAACGACCAGACCCATCAGATTGATAATTGTGTCATTGTGACGCAGATTTGCATCCATATTCAGGCAAAATCTGAAAAGGACGAATAAAAATTTAGAATTTAATGTGATCTTATTATACCCCTCATTCCCCAAACTGACTTGATAAATTTCATTTTTTGATTTTTTTCATTGAGCTTGTCGAACATGTCTAAACTGATGTCAATGGCCTGTCCAGAAATCCGTGTTGTGAAACAGAGCTTCTGAACATCAAATCTGGTGGCGCCTCTGAGCGTGAGGAGGGAAATCATAGCAGCCTTCAATAAGTGGAGTTTGGTCTCGGCGTTAAGAGTGTTGAACGCAGGCAACTTCTTGGTCATCTTCACAAAACGACGCATCGAGATGTCCATGATGTTCATGATATCCGCCGGGTTATGACTCTTCTTGGTCAGATATGCCTTCGATTTGTGGTCGGCCAGAGGTTCGTCCATACAAGAATAAGCATTTCTGACCACGTCCAACTCGAAGAGTTCCGATGAATTCAGTTGAAATTGAGAGGCGGGCTCGTTGTGATTCACCGTCTTAAACTGAAATAAAAACTATTATTTACACGAATCAAAAACATGACAAGAAGATATTGTTGTGAACAACTTACGTCAACAGAAGCAGGGCCATTCAACGGAATATCTCCCGAAACATTATGAAGCTCATCATGAATAGTGTCAGCCATCTTCTGATATCCATCCGGAGACATGTCGAGGAAGGGGAACAGGGAAGACGGAGAGAACTTCCCAGCATCCTTCGAGAAGAACGTCTTGTATGGATCATATTCGTTGCTCTGATTTCCATTCATCGAGTAGGTTGAAGAGGCCTCACTTCCGCAACCAGACTGACCCAAAGGCTGAGAGCTGGAAGACATGACCATATCTACTTTAAACGGAGTTGAAAAAGCAGAGCCGGAGGTAGCTGTGGGATGAGGGACCTTGCTTTCAGACTGTAGAAATCGTGAATAGTCGTCGGATGTAGAGAATCCCTGTTTCATCATATGTTGGATATCGGATAACGGGGGGATCTGCTTGTTTAAATCGGTAGAAGTGACTTGATTGCCCAGAATCGTGACTGGAGATTCGGGACTAGCCACACTTTGAGGAGAAAGAAGAGAGTTTATTGAGGAGGGGCCTTGACTAATTGGACTGAGGGCCAGATCCGATTGTCTTCGTTGCATTAGACTTGGAGAGTTGAAACCAGAACTGGCCGGAGAGGCCGTGGGATTTGCGGATTGGAGGAATTGCTGCAGGTCGTAATTCTGTTGAAACGGAAGTCGGAATTCGTTGAGACTGCTGTGAGGTTGATCGGAGACTTCGGTCTTGACCTGGGCCATCACGTCGGCGGGGTTTCTATTCATCATAATGCTGGATTGTGGAGAATGCATGAGTTGATGAGGGCTCAGACTGTAGTTGGGACTGTTGGCCATCCCTTTCATGCTGTTCAGACGAGAGTTCTTGCGACGGCGGAGTTGTTCGTCGTTCAGAATCCATTCTTTCTTCATGCCCACAGCGAAACATTTTCGAAGTCGACATTTCTGGCAGAAACGCCGACTCACAGCATTGATCTCGCAGTCGTCGGAGTAAGGACATTTGAACTCCTGAAGAAGAACATTATTCGTCATAGATAAACCCACACTGACCTTGGGCCGAAGTGCGTTTCGTCTGAAGAAGGCCTTGCAGCTCTCACAAGTGATGACGTTGAAATTGTAGCCGGTGGCATGGTCGCCGCAAACTCGACATGTCTTTTGTCGTCGACGTGATTCCTCGCTGTTGTCCTGAGGGTCTGAAGAGGACGATTCAAGGGCAGGAGAGGACTTACCGCCCATGGCTGAGGACATCAGAAGGGGGTTGGCCCCAAACATAGCGCGGGATGAAGACGGGGAGTGGATCACCGGGTCGTCCGGCGTGTTCATCTGCTGCTGAAAATGGAGTTTCATCAATCGTGTTGTTGTTTCCACGTGCACTTTCCAGTAAACTTTCGAAATTTTATGCAAATTTTGGCGTTGTTTTCTTGAAATGAAAACCCCCACAAACTTGCAGAAATTTATGATGCCCTATTGCGAATTTGACGTGACAACTCCCCACTTTATGGCCATAACGCCTTAACAGAGTAGTTTCTAAGTCAAAATTCCATCTCAATGAGGGCATCAGATCGCCCTACAGCAATTCGAAACACACCAGGAATTCCTATGCGCTTTCAACAACAACAAAAGATGCCCACGATTAAACAACTAATTATTGATAAAGAGACCCTTGTTTATCTTCGCAAATCTACTGGATTCCCCTCGGCCTTCCAGCTGGTCGCTGATTGGCTGGAAAGCTCCCGAAAAGAGAGATCCCTCGAATAACTGGGAAACTATGGAGTGAAGCTAGTCACCTTGCCCAATGCGTTTGCAACATTCCACTGCACAGCTTGACGAGGTCCAGCTGCTCCAAAATTGTTTAGGCCAAGCATTTCTCGGCGGCCTGGGCCGCCCACGTTCCAGTCAGCGATGGCGAAGAAATCTTAAACAACGGAATGATGAAGAGAACGACGGCGAGAACAGTACACCTTGCGAGCAGGTAACTTGTCTCGAATAAAAAACCGAACAGGATTACGGTATGTCTGGGGTCTCCGCCGGGGGTGCACTCTCTTGACAAAAAACAGCTACAGGGTCTCGTGAAAAACAAGCTCATTTTGGGGGAATGGGAGGGAGGGGGAAGACCTGACGCTCAACCACCTCGAAAACAAGTCCAGGGGACACAAGATATGAACGCGTGGGCTAAGGTATCCACAAGGAGGTAGATGGTATCTTCCAGCATCACAACTCTGATTCTAACCCCAATCAAGGATAAAGAAAGTACAGTACCTTCAAAAATAGTTAGGTAACAAAATGACATAAATCACTTATACCCAAGATCTGTCTTCTCTACCCACTATGTTTTTTTCATGTGTGAAAAACGAGAATGTTGAACAAATCAGAACCCGAATCCAAACGCATCTAACCCTGAAAATGGCGGGTACAACAGAGTGATACTATAAAGTATCGAAGAAAAATATTTTAGAGGGCTGTTTTCGCAAAAAAACACCCTGGACTGGGCCGGTTGGGGCGGCACGGAAAAACAACAAAAAAAACAGACAGAGCCCAGGACTGCGGGACGGTTGTTTTTCGATGGCGCACTCGCAAATCAACTAACAACAACAACCCCGGCGGCCGACCATTGGGGGACTGTCCCCCTGATGAGGGCTTTCCGGTAAACAAAACTATCTCAAAAAACGCCTCAAAAACCGTCGCTGCTCTCGACTATACAGTCATCCTCCATACATCACCATCAGAGACCGTTCCCCATCGGGCACGCCGGCTTCAGAGGGAGTTGTTGGTCGTTTGGAGTGCCATCCCCTTCCCCCACACCCCTCTGCTAACACCTCCAGGTTATAATTTAGCCGTCTGTCGATTAATTGTCGGTGTTATTACGAGCCTCTTCCCCTCCCATTTGACAATTGTAATGGGAGATTGCTGTCGACTATAGATTGTTGCTTTATCGGAATCCAACCGTTGAATTTGAAGGCGGAATCTTCATGGATGTCTTTACCGAATTCATACAATTATCTAAATAATTTCTCTCGGTTTTTATGATTGTTGAAGTTATTTAATGGATCTGTTGCCCAGTAAAACAAGGACATATTAGTGAGATATCGTGCAGCCGATTTCGTCATCAGCGTACTTACTTCCATGATGACGCAACACCTCAGTTTTAATATTGCGGTATTTTTAATAGTCTTTGTTTTAAGTTGTTTGCAGGGTGACGTTATTATAGTGACTAGAAGCATTTACTTTGTCACCGACGCATTACAATTACAATGACAAGATTTCTGGTCGGTTTAGTCGACCAGATTTTTGTAATTAGTCTCTATAAGGTCATGAGAGAAAGCCCTGAATAACAAAAACAGTTCTTTCTATGACCGCTCTCTTCATCTCAAATACCCCCTAATATTATTTACCATGGCGGTTACGGCCTATTATGAGATCTCGAGAATAAATTTTCATGCCATATGGGTGTAAAAATAATTGTAAACCAACCTCATCGTCGTCGGGCTTCCTCTTGGGGCTTGGCTTGTTGACCGCCTTTGGGCTCTTCGGTCGACGCCTTCGAATTCTTCGAGGGACATCTTGCACTGGTTCAGGAAGCATAATCTCGCTCGACGAGACTATGGGAGACATCTCGGGAAGGGCCGGGGGCTCATCTGGAGTCGAGGTTCCGGAGCTGGACCCCGATTGCGATAAGGCCTGGACCACAGCACCCCTCAGGTAAGTCAGAATGGGGGATGATCGAAGGTTCTCGACCGGTTGACTCACAAGTTTGTTGAGATTCTGCAGAGTCTCGGGCGCAAGTTTGGCTAGATTTAGAGTCGAAGGATCAAGGAAATGATGGTTGGTGGCTCTTGAATGAATGATTGGGAGTTCGGGTGGAGAGGTGGCACCGCCGTTGAGAAGACTTTGGCCAAACGAGGAAGAGAGGAACGTCTGGCCTGGAGAGAAGCTGGACTGGACTAGATCAGTCGTGTTGACCACCGTAGTCGTGGGTTGGACCGCCGTGAGGGAAGAAGCGCAGACAGGATGCAGGCCGGTCGTCGAGGAAACGTTTATAGCTGCGAAGACAGCGCCGAGGCGAGGGTCCATTCTTCACTCAGTATGCCGATGCACGCACTTTTGCATAAGACCTGAAATTACAATATGGAGTGTAATATTGGAGTGAGAATGGGGTCTCTCCGGCGCGAGTTACACACGACTACAAACCAACATGTTACTTTTGCATGCTATCAAAAACATGACTTGTGTAAAATAATAAGCAGAGAGTAAAGGTCACGACATGCCACCGTCTTTCTTTGTTATTATAGACACCTCGGGCAAAGGGAGGACGTGTAATGCGTACGACGCGGCGCCCTTAACAGACATTCCAGCCCAAGTTGACAGTAGGAAAACAACCCAAAACGGGGGCTACTCTGACCTCCGCTGACCAGCAAAATAATAGTGGAGAGCGAGTGCATACACAACTACAGTAATCCCTGTCTAATTGCCGAAAAACAGAACGCACATCATGGTCGTGTTCAGGGATCTGCCGCCCAAGTCATGTTTACGGATGTCTATTAAACCGGGTCATACAACCATTATAACCATCAGACACCCAGCAGAATGTTACCAACTGACTGACTGACTGTTGTGCCATCGGCGTTTTAAGAAGGCCCAGAGGTAAAAGACCGGACCGAGCGGTGTAGTTGTAGTGAGAGTGCATCGAATGGACAGAATGCAACATTGCCTGTTTTTTGTTTTGTTTCGAGACGTCCTCGACCCCCCCCTTCCCGTTCCTCTTCCCTTGGCTCTGCCCGTTCATAAAAAACGACTGGTTGCAGCGAGCTATGGAGAAGAGACGGCAGAGAGAGAAGGCCGTTCAAAAGACATCACGGCTTTTGGGGTGGTCCCGCCTCTCCTCCGCCTGGACCGGCCTTCCACACAAAAATAAAGGCGACAGCACGCACAGTCAGTCGCTGTGCCGGGGGGTGCCAGCCGTTTTTTTCAGACAAACAAGCCCTCGAGTCTGCAAGGGAAGGGACGTCCCGGGCTCCTCGGGCCCGCGGTCGCACCGTCTACTTGCCCCGGGCTTCACCTGTCACGCGGGCTTGAAGCCATCGATTCTATGCAAAAAACGTCTAAAATTGCACTTTTAAATTTGTGCGTCTTTTCGGGCGATGAAGTAGGGAGAAACGGCGGGACATAGAAGAAAAGAAGAATAAAAGTGCATGTGTGAAGAGAGAACGACAGAAATCTCTAACCCCGACCACCCACTAAAAGTGCAAAGAAAACAACGGTGGAAGCAGCGCCTAAAAGTGCATACGGGGAGTGAAAGTGACCGTTCCGTACCCTCTAAGAGTGCAACAAGGAGCTTTCGAAGGGAAGGAACGATATTAACGTAACTATATCGAAATGGGGAAAAAGCGAAAAGGGATCGAGAAAAGCCCGGGAAAATTGTAATTTAAATATCAATCCGGTGCAAAAAAAATGAGAAAACTGCAGAATGGGGAAAAGGATGAAAAAAGAGGAAGACGAAGAGAAAATGAATACCTGTTTTTCATGAAAAACAACTGCAGTAAGGTCGTGTTCGCCTTTCAGGGGAGTCATCAATAACTGATAAGCAAAATCCATTATAAAGATGGGCTGATACCCCAACTTTCTCAAAACGCAGCAAAACTTTTTCCAATGTTCCACTTGTTTTGGCGTTCCTTCAAGGACACATGCGGCTTTTTTGAAAGGGTCCGGCTCTCCCCTCAAGTCAACAGAGTAAGGCCTCGATTTCAACTTGTTCCAAGGCCTTGGATTACTAACTCCTGTACTAAGGGAGTACTGATGGGTTTCCTATCCCGCCATCTCGTTTGGATCACCCGGGTTGCGTGAACAATTGTAATCATCGGACCCAGAGGACCAGTAAATCCTCCCTTTCATTTCACCAAAAATGATTTACGGTATTTTTATTACAGTATTCTGTTTACAGAGAGATAACACGTGGCTCAGGAGCTCGACTAAAGATTAGAGTAAAAACAATATTTCGAAGTCACCAGTACCTAAAACTCAATGATGTTTTTTGTAGGAACTTGAATCCGTACCTTATCTCGCCTGATACGGCTTTCAAAAAAACAGCTCCCACGTGTTGAAAAAAGTAGCATTCAAGAGTAATATTTACTAGAAATGATAGTTCCAAAGAACCGCCGGGTACAAACAAAAAGGCCGGAAATAGATCCTTTGCGTAAAGTCCCAACAATTTTACCGCGGATGTCGCGCGCCAAAGTTGGAATGAGGCAAAAAGGGAAGTCGCGGCGACGAACGCGAACAATTTGAGAAAAACGCACTGTACAAATTGTCGGAACTTTACATCATCCCGGAAACAAATCGAGATGGCCAAATACCTAAAGATTACAGTAATAAAGGGCCTTGTGATCGCTGAAGGAAAACGATAAATGGACTTTGAAACAAACTAAGGAAAACAACCATTGTTCGAATAAAAAGAAGGTCACACAAAAAGTTTGGGATCGAGCTGATAAGCAACCAAGAATACCAAAAAATGCGCGTAGAAGAGATAAGACTGATATCAAAATATAGTTCAAAAAAGTCCTGAAAAGATCACCCCAAAAGGACAAATACCGATTATTCAGGAAACATCCAACCTGCCAGACAGCCTAATCAAACAAAAAAGTCAAAAAAAATATAAACAATTCTACGCGGCCGGATAAAAAGATATGAAACCATGGCTGCCAAAAGTGCATGTCTGAGGAAGGAAAGGGAGCAGCTACTCATTTAAAGAATGCCCAAAAAGATTCCTTAATGAGTACTCCCAATTATTGTATGAAATCGGGTAATAATGGCCATGGAAACAGCGTCAGGCGCAGATAACTGTCTTCGCTAATCAAGTCATTATAAATAGGCCGCTCAAAAGAGCTCCAGTGAGTTCGAAATCTCATATCTAAAGCCCTGAAGACAGCTTATCTTGTAATTTAAAAACGCAACAGATTGGAATAAACTGCAAAGGCCCTCTCTTATGTCATCAGGAATCACATTTCGTATCCTCAGACTCGCGCCGTTGCTATGGAAAACATCTAGACTCATTTCGTTGTAATCCAATAATTGGGATGGAACTGGTGCAGAGCTGCAGGGCCAACGTCTCTAATTCTATTACGAATAATTAGACCTTAAAAGACCTAAACCAACATCTTCTTTACATCATCCATTCTACTCATGATAAAAAAAACATTTTAAAATCTCCGAATGAAACAAAAAAGTGGCAATCAGAACACCCGAACACTGATTTGATCGTTTCTTCGTTCTTTCTTACCTAAAATCTGTTTTGACCATCTCAACGAAAGAAGAGAAAACGGCTATTTTGGAGACAGCAGAGAGCAAAAGAAATTTAAAAATTGGCGGAAGAATTGATCCGAAGCCCTTTTTTCGACTACAATTCACGAGTAATATCAAATACGAGCTCGATTCCCGTAAAATACGTCATAAAATAACGTAAATCGAAAAAATAAAACGAACATTAAGTCGCATCAAAAGAAACGTGGAAAGCAGTCTAATAAAGCCAAAAACACCTCTTAGACGCGTCAGAATCAGTAATTGCTTCACGAAACTAAAAAGCTGTAATTAATTAGAGTTGTAAGGAACATTTGAAACAAAAAATTGACCCATTTACATCTGCCAGACACGTGATCGTAAAAAAGGAAGATCAAAGCCGACGTTGCCCTCTCATGTTTGATATTATCGGAGGTAAAGCGAAAGGCAGAGTCCGTACAAAACGTCGAAATATTATATGTCCAACGTAAAAAATTTTTTTGGGAGCGAAAAGAACGCGTCTCCGACCGAAATTAGAGAATAACTCTGAGCATTTTATTATTTTGAAAAAACAGGGAAAGCAGAAGATTCGGGAGGAAATTAGTCCCCGACACCCATTTATCAAGGCATTCACACCAAAAAAGAACCGACAGAAGAAACATGGGCAAACAAAAAGAACCCCTGCGGGCAAAAGCCGCTTTTTTGTCAAGAAATGAGACTGAAAACGGGTTGATGGCCATAGAAAAGGCGGCAGAAAGACGAGTCCAGGTGGGATTTGTAACTAATGAATCCAGTAATAACTGAAATTCCTCCAAACACATTTGGAAAAACCAATTTTTGGGCGGCGCGGGGCTTTTTCCCAGTCTAAAGGGCAGCCGGCTGAGGTCGGGGACAGCGGACGATAGTAGGGAAAAGTGGGGACGGCGAGAGAGGCAAACGAAAAAACAGACAACACATCACACAAAAATGTTCCAAACGCTCTTTCAACGGGTTCAACGGGCTCGCCCTCAGGGAGAGAGTCCCAAGGATGTCAACTTGTGTTACAGAAATAATAAATATTATAGATGACGTCATCTCATAATAACAAAGGGAAAGACACCAGACTTTCTTCAGCATCTTTCCCCACATTTTACGGTGAGAAATTGCGTAATTGTAAGCGAATGAACTTGTTGTTAATGGAGATGAATCTGGAGCATTTCATTACCTCAAATCCATCGAATCAAGATTATTATATTCACTTGTATTTGATGTCATGAAAAGAGTTGTGTGTTGTCTTTTTTATCAGCATGAATCGTCCGAGAAACATTATTTTGTCTTTCTTTACATTTTACTTACCTCATAAGGGAAGTATTTCTTTACATTCATGCTTTTCAATTTATCGAACTCTTTTTTCTAGTTGGATACAAAGATAGTCATCATAAAAAAGAAAGAAAAGTCGTCAAATGTAAATTGTACTCGTGCAATTCTTTATTTTAAAATTGCGGCAAGAAAGGTATTTACAAATGCTATTTGGTATCATCTTTATATCTCATCACAACCTTGTTTTAGAGGGACCCGTTTCATTTCAAATGTAAAAGAATCAGAAGAACTTCCGTCGTTCCACACAACCCTCGACGGCTGCATACGAACGAGCTCGTTGAGTACGAGGGATGCCAAATTCTCCAGCTGGGAATAGTTGATGTTGAGTTAGGGAGGTGTTAATCTTGTTCTCGAGATCACCAGGTGAAAAGGAATTTCGTTTGCGGCTGAAGTCACTCAGACTGGCGGGATTGCGTAACTTGGTTGTGCAGGTTGCCTGATTCAGCGCCAAGAAGCTAGTTACCTGCTAAATATTCAGAAAAAAATATTTTTTATGACATCATTACTTATAACAAATACATTCAAAAGTAAAGAGGGAACGTCTTTTCATAAATTTTAATCAGACTTACACTCTCTTTGGAAATCCATTTGGATAACCAGGGTGCCAGACACGAATTGGAAAGTAAACAGAAGCAGTACCTTCTGAATCTTTTCCCCCAAAAAAAGAATACCCAGAAGTTTGTGGAGCAATTAAGAACAAGGAGGAAATTGCTAAAGTCAACAAAGACCGTGGCTGTGGAACTTGACATGAAAGCGTGGTTACCGACCAACTGAAATCATCCAATATTACGTAATAAAAAACTCAAGGTAATCTAACCGAAACCTCTGCTTTCCAGTTGATTTCGGCCCAGAATAGAGTAAAGCAACCCCGGGTACCGAAACCTGCTGATTTCAAAAAAATCTAAGAAGTCCTATAATAATTCTAGAAAAAACACGATTGTAAAATTGCGAGTGTAAAGATGTAAAAGCGTAAATTACTGGAAAAAATGTAAGAACACTATTTTTTCTCGAAATTATATTTTTTACGTAACTTACACTTACATTTTACATTCCTATATTTACAGTGGATTTTGCGGCATCTAATAAAATTCCTCAAACATAATTGAAATTTTTTTGGAATTAAATTTTTTCAGTAATTTATATATACTCTTAAATGTAAGGTAGTAACAGATACATGAACGATGACTTTTTAAATTTCATCGCACAAGTCCGTCCGAACCCTGCAAATTTAGTCCACAGTTGACAGAAAAGGAGGAGGCGACGGAGAAAGGCAGAAATTTTCGCGTCCCGACATTTCGGGTCAGGGACAACTCTTGTCGCGGCACTTCGGGACAACGACACCTCGGGTCAACGACATTTCGGGTCAACGATACCGTTTAATATTTTCGCTTCGGTACTGGGAAAAAAGAATTTTTTGGAGAGTTTGAAAAATTTTTGAAATGTTTTCGCCTCGGGACTTGGAAAAAAGGATTTTTTGGAGAATTTGAACAAATTTTTGAAATGTTTTCGCTTCGGGACTGGGGAAAAAAAATTTTTTGGAGAATTGAGTTTTATTCTTTTATTTTTTTTAGGAAAATAGTGTTTATAAGCAACGAGCAAATAAGAAAATCTTATCCATGGTTTACGTTTTTAATTGGATGCATGGGATTCTTAAAAATAAGCTCCTACAAAAATTCCTTTTCCCAAGCCCCGAGGCGAATACATTTCAAAGATTTGTTCAAATGCACCAAAAAAATCTTTATCCCCAGTCCCGAAGCGAAAATATTAAACGGTATCGTTGACCCGAGTTGTCCCTGACCCGAAATGTGGTAGCGCCGAAATTTTTACAAAGAGAGAAATTGCGCAAAGTTGTGTCAGGTTGCGCAACTTTTAACTTTGAACTAAATTTGCAGGGTTCGGACGGACTTGTGCGACGAAATTTTTTAAAAATCATTGCCCATAGTCGCACCATAAATTTAGCAGAATTTTGCACGGTGCGTTTTTTTTCCCGCCGCTTTGACTTCCCGTTTTTGCACTACCGACATGCAATTTTCTGCGATCGCACCCCGCGACGCCGCCAAAAAAATTCTACGGACTACTATCAGTCTGTCAGGAAAATAACGGCGGATCGTCGCATCAAAATGTCTCGCCTCGCCGCTATCGCGCACCAAATTCCTAGCCGCGGTCGCAAAGCGATGATGGGCGATTCCGAGGCGCGACGATCCGCCGTTATTTTCCCGACAGACTGATAATACTATTTATAACATTTTCTTCGAGTCTGCGTTCCCGAAGTCGCTTTACCCTAACTTGCGTTCCAGTCGAAGGATTCAAATTCCAAATCTCACAATCAGCATTTCACATAATGTCTCACGACAAAAAATTTTAAACTTTTGATAAAATTTAAAACTTACATGTTCTAGAACGTCAACAACCGTTGGGAGAATATCCGAGACCAGAAATTTGGCAATAACTAAAACTAGCATGACATTGGCCCGATGATCTTTACTGAAATAGCACATTCATTACATGAAAAAAAGGTCCTACTTACTTGGAAAACTCTTGTCGACAAGTCCCTTCATTCATAACCTGACACAGAGATTTCCTTCGCCTTGTAGCTCTCCTCAAAGCAATGGATATCCTCAAAGTCAGGCCAAACAATAAAAGACATGGCCCTAAAGTAACAAAAGCTGTCCCAAGGATAATGTGGTAGATGGTCCAATACAACCGATCTTTGGGAAGGTCTGTTCGGACTACTTGAGGAGCACAATTGTCCTCTTTCTGAAGACAAGACATCACTGTGGTGACTTCAAAGATCCGAGGAACTGAGAACAACATGGCCAGGATGGACACAAACACCATCAGCTTCTTCACTCGACTAAAATATGTGGTGGAATATGTATATAATAACATCACTCAGTCTATTGTATCCAATCCGTTATCAGATTTCAGCCCAGATGTTTATAGCAGATAATAGGAAACAGACAGTACTAGTCCTGTCATACCAGAGGAATGGTATGGCTCTCCGTTCCCAAAATAAAAATTTCATTTAAGAAATAGAGAGGCTCCTCAGAATACATTCACCCTCAATAACAACCTCCAAAGGGCTCTTGCTTTGACTTTAATCTTATTTTATCATGTAGGACACAATCTAGAATATGCAAGACATACCTCCTCTTTCCAATAGTCGGATGTGTCAGCGGTTTACACAACGCGAGGAATCGGTCAACTGTCAACGTCAAAACAATCCATACCGAGCCAGTGTGAGTCGTATTGGCCAGGGCATAAACATAAGGATAAACCCGAACATACTCCCCTCGCGACACAACATGACCATACCACAAGGTGGGGAAACAATAGAGAAGGAAGGCGTTGCACAAAAGGGCCGTCTGCCAAGCAGTCAATGTGATCTGGAATCAAAAAACAAGTCTTCTTATCCATTATGTCAATCATCCTAAGTCGATTACGTCACAATGGGAAAGTGGAAAACAAAAACCCACCAAATAGCACTGGATGACTGGAGTGCTGCCATGCCGGAATCGGATAAATACATACATGCAAACCAGGTTCAACAGGACCCCCGATAGCACACAAAATAAGGTGAGATGTCCGTTCAAAAGGTAGGATAACATCGCTGGAAGACGACCGACGTGTTCCAGCAGCCAGTCCGGGGTTCGTTGGCTAAAAATAACGGAATAAAAAATAACAACAACGCACTCCATGCTCTTGACAGAATCCGTCCCCCAGATGCCAGATACAGTTGACGGACGAAGGCCAAGATTTGCTTAATAAAAGTGTCCGCCAGTGCGCGGCCGTGCTTCACCGTGCGACTCGCCGTGCAATCCGCTTCGAAAATAATAATAACTGTTTAAAGCGAGAGGGTTTGGGCAATAAATAAGAGGGCTGACTGGAATTGAGATAAAGTTCCGCTAAAGGGTAAACTCGGAATATGTCAACATGCAGGGCCAAAGATGGAGAGCCCGTCAATCCGCGACATCCCTTTCAGCAGAGCACTCCTACACCCGATCATATCCCATTCAGCCTCATCTGAAATCCAATTCCGGAGGAATAAATTTCGGTATCGATAAAGAGAGGAGGTCTCGGGCGAAACAAACACTATACTCATCGGCCGCTGATTCCGAAACGCCCGAACGCATCCGCGCTTCAGGGCCTTAACGATGAGACCCCACCCACAACCGCCTCGGGCTCCTCCAAATAATCGCGGCACCTTCGGCGACGGCTATATTTGGCTTCAAGCTTGGCCAAGCGTCGTTTCCAGCTCGCCATATCCTTCTGAAACCGGTTTAATGAACCGAAAAGTGTGGAATTACATGAATCTTCTCCGTATATTCGTCCAGAAGTCTCGTAAAGAGGCTCACTTCGTGTCCCAAAAGCTCAAGTCGTTCTTCTAGGATCAGATTGGCCGGATTGGCCCAGCTTCCTTGTCTTTCCGCCAGCTCTTCGTCCAGGATATTATCTTTTCGAAGGATTGCCTTGGCTGCAATTAAAAATTTAAATCATGTTGTTACTACGTCATTTCAGTATCGGATGACATTTATGCATAAACGCAAAATATAAAACTGGAACTTCTGCCGCCAATAAACTTTATTAAAGTCTACGACGCGGCGGGCCTCCTTTTTAAAATTTCAGGCCAGGGGCCCGGCCCGTTTCAAAATTTGTCAGGCCCGGCCCGATCGTGGCATCACCGGGCCGGGCCGGCCTGGAGGCCACCTCTGTTAAAGGGAAACATTTTATTCAATATTTTATGGACTCAGAGTCCTTATCAAACAAAAAATATCCAAAAAAAATATTACTGAAACACAAACACACCTTTCTCGACTAAAGAGTTCCTAGAGCCTGGGTAATCTCTCATAACTTCGAGCAGGTCATCCTTTGTCAGCACGTACAGATCGGAGTATCCAACGGATCTAATTGAGGCACTCCTTCTGTTCCCGTTCTTATTTCCTGGAACGTCCAAGATGGACAGTTCCCCGAACACTTTCCCTTCTTCCAAAGTGACAAAAACGGTATTTTTGACCTCATCCACCACTTCCAGACGCCCTTTCTTTATTATGTACATCTCCTAAATGCACCTTGGTTAGATAATTATCATTAAATCATACTTATTTATAAAAACTATAATCAAATTAGAAGATCGCAAACATTTTCAGAGAGTGTTACACATGGATGAGACTAATTGTAAGAATAATTGGCAACCTTTTCGGGAAATTAAATCATGATTCATCTGAAGTCAGCCCTCCATTTTATGGGCAAGGCAAACACGCCCTGAGGGGAATCAAGGTATTTTTGCGCAAAATAATAAAAAACAGATATAGGATGACCAGGACAAGTCTCATCCTTCTGAGTCTGCTTATCTGTCTTCAGAATTGCGGGGCTATTAATTGTTATCAATGTATCAAGACTGGCAATGACAAGTTATGCACACGATACATGTCACAGACATGTCCTTTCGGGTTCTTCGGATGTATTAAAATAGCTACTTACTCTGGGGGAGTCGACAAGAGTAAGTTTAAAGCTATGTGAGAGTATCTGCGAAGTTCCACTTTTAATATTACACTACTTATATTATTTTAATACTTCAGTGGGCAACTTTATCAACGATGATCGCTCTCTCATCTCGATGGTCAGAGGTTGCAATATTCTGCCCTTAGGCGGTGTGGATGCCTGTCAACAAACCTCTATTTTGGGTGGACGAATCGTAACTTGTTATTGTTTTAATGATTACTGTAACTCGGCCAAACTCATTCTACCCTCCTTTCTTTCCTTTCTGCTTGTACTATTAGTGATTTAAATAAATAGTTACCTTTCCAACATCGTCCTTTCGACAGACGAAATCTCCCGGGCTATAGACTTGGAGTTTTAATCTCATCACCATCTCGTATAACATTCCGGGTTCGCATTCCTAAACAAAAATATCATAATACCGAGAACGTGGTTAACTCACCTGAAAGAGTGTAACTTTCTTTAGAGTTTCCATATGAATGTGTACAGCCAACTGTCCATGTAATCGGGTGGGTAATGATCGGACGATCTGGGATTCGTCAAGAGTCAACTGACCCACACTCCAACTGTATTCCAAGTAATCCATAATTCGCTTCGCAACAAAACGATGTACATGGCTAAAAAATAGAATTAAATCGGCACCGCGACATTTCCGGAATTTGGACACTTCCGGCACCGTGCAAAAACAAAAGACAAGGCTTAGAACTACCACCTCAACCATCTGAGTGGATTTACAGCTTTTAATTTCGAAAATGCTGCACATTTTTTTGATCTTTATTTCTTTTCTTAAGTAGTACAGGGAGCCTTATTCTTCTGTTTTCTCCCGGTTTCGGAAGTGTCCAAATTCCGAAAATGCCATGACGCGATAAAATCAATTTTACAAGTGGGTTCAAAAATCGGTATTGAAATGTTGTCATTATTCACACCGTCAGCAAAATGTCAACTCTACCACCACGATTACCGAAAGTCCATGTACTGTTTACAGCCGTCCCTGAGCTCTTCGAAGCTCATCCTGGTCGAGTTTACATTAGTTACCATGTTGCCGATGTCTCCGACAATAATGGAGAACAACAGCAATCCCAGCAACGTGTCCGTCACTTCAAACACCATCTCGAAAGTATTATTTGGCCAAGGTTGTTCTCCCAAGGTAGTCAAAGTAAGCGCCGACCAGTAGAAACAAAGCCCGTACTTCTTTGTAAAATTCCCAAGGTCTGTTTCGATGTATTTCCCTCTATAGAACTCCACTAATCGATCGATATAACTCTCTCTGTTTAGGTAGTCGAGTCCCGTCTCATTGAACAAACATTGGCCAGTATTGAAACGGGCATCGCACAGGGGATATCTGACATCAGGAATCTTGTCTGGAGTGTAAACCCAATCCTCGATAGAGGCATTTTCGAAAGAAAACATCAAACTGAAGAGATAATACAGACAACCGTTCCAATGGAAGACCGTGTAGCAGATCACGAGCAACCTCAGAAGGCGGAACAGATGTGGGAAGTTGGTTCGAACTTGAGTTCGGACAATGAAATCCGATACTCGATGGACCTTGAAGAGACGATTGATCCGTGTAAAAGTGAGACGCGGAGTAAAGATGAGGAAGATATCAGTGGGGAGAAGGGCCAGGAAATCGTAGAGGAACCACCGACTGAAACAAAAACATGACATTATCTTGGGCGATGGGTCACCTCCGAAGATAGATACTGGTGGTCTTCCAGAACCCTTGGACGATGACTCCTTCTTGCAACCTCTCTGCAATCAAAGCGTTACTTTTCATCACTTAGCAGGCATCTAATAGCCGTAATCTTGCCTTTTCTCATTTGCACGAATATATCGATGAGGTTCACGACGTCCGTAATTATGTTATACTTAATCCAGGTCTTGAAATAAACGCTGAATTCTTCGAATACTCCCAAAGTTACTGTGATTACATTATAAATACAAGAGATTGCCACGATCTCAGTCCAGTAATAGAAGATACTCGAGGAGACAGGGAATGTGTCAGTCAAATATCCTACTATTCTCTGAATCGTGGTTTGTTTCTTTTGAGCTTCCAGTTTCCGCAGAAGTCTTAAGTTGCCAGCAGCAATGGATTCAAAGAAAGTGGTCATCATGGCATCACTGTGCTCGATTCTGGCTTCTTTAGCCATATCTCCAGTCAGCCATCGACGCATCACCTACTTATTTAAAGAAATCCGTTTTTATTGATAATTTACACTCCACTTACAATTAAAACCTTGGCGATCCCCATCAGCTTGTTCCCCTCCATCTTCTTCTTCTCCTCCACATCCATCGCTTCATTCATTTTAAATATCTTCCCTGTATAAGATTTTGGCATCGACTAATGCCTGAGGGGATTAAGCTGAGGATAGCAAAATTAACTTCCGTTTGAGGACTTAATATTTTATTTATTCGCCTTCGAAAGATAAGACTCCTCCGACAAGGTGGAGACTGCCGGTTACTAGAACTTTCACAGTTTTGTTGTTCGCCGCCAGTTGATGGATAAGAAGAAGGGATTCTTCGATGCAATCAGCAACTGTCACATTGTCCTGAACAGTAATTAGGGCGCAGTGTTTGCTTACGTTTCCCATGATCTCCTTCCAAGCTTCTTTACTCTGCTCACATTTTTGTTTTTGGGCTTGATCACTTGTATTCAAATTGGTATTATCGTTTAGGTTATCGACAACTTGATACAATCTGGTTGAAGTGAAGATGGCATAGTTGAATTCATTTTCTTTCAGTAGTATTGATAACAAGGAAGTGGGTTCTCGATCTCCTGTGCACTGGAAAAGGAGGATTCGGAGAGATGGATGTCCGTTTTCCAATAATTTTTCCAGCTCCAATTTGTAATTGAACCATTCAGAACAACACTAAAAGTAATCTGGATGTACTTTAAGCATGTACCATTCGCAAATCTTTTTTGAGACTTACTTTAATACTTTTGGTGGTATGCGCTCCATCCAAGTAGAAGGTTATGTTTCCTTTCTCCAAGACCTGACTTCTTCCAGCCCATCTGGTTTCCCTAATTGCCTTTTCCAATCGCTCTTTCTCCAAATTGTGGATTCCATTTTCTGTAAACCAGACTTTGGCCAAAGAAATGGCCAATGCTATGTTTTCTTGTTGGTGGAGACCAATTGAATCCACAAATTCGAGAGTTTCCTTTGTCAAATGCAGATCAGAAAAGGGAGTCATTTCTAACAATGTCCCCTGAAATTAATTCTATGTAAAACTGATTTATATTTGCCCGACGGGTGGTATGCCAAACGAAAAATTGGTCTACTTACTTTTTATCAAAGATATGACATAGTTGGGTTTATGACTTTTCGCTATTATTCGCAGCTAAAATTCCTGGTCTTAAGTCGTTTTTGCCCGCGTCCCGACATTTCGGGTCAGGGACAGCTAGGGTCGCGACAGGTCGACATTTCGGGTCAACGATACCGTTTAATATTTTCGCTTCGGGACTGGGAAAAAAGAATTTTTTTGTGAATTTGAAAAAATTTTTTGAAATGTTTTCGCTTCGGGACTTGGGAAAAAGAATTTTTTGGAGAGTTTGAACAGAATTTTGAAATTTTTTGTAGTAACAATTTTTTTGGCTGCACCTAAACATTTTCGCGGCAGGACCCATGAAGAAAGTTGAATTTTTTTGTGGCCACCCTGCATGTAAGTACAAGTAGGCCGATTTTTTGTTTTACATACCACCCGCAAATATATATCATTCTTATACAACGGCTGTTAATATCGTATCCTTACTTTTTTTTCGTTAGCTCGTTCCTTGATGACTTTTAACGCAGAATCGTTTTGAATTACAGTAATCACAGGCCGGTGTTTTTTGATGATCCCGGCTTTATGCCAAGCGATTTCTTCGAGGGTGTTTCCCAGGAGATTCGTGTGATCCACATCCAACACCGTAATCCCACATACAACGGGATTTCTGTAATCGATAAGATAGGTTAAAAATAATAATGCTTGTAGGTATGATATAAATAAGGTCAACAAATAAGTCGGATCTGTCTTTCGCAAGCAAACCGCTGAACTCAATTTTTCGTGATTTTTTCCTAATGTCAGCTTCATTTTTTCCATTCTATTTCTTAAAAATTCAGTTGAGGAATTTGTAGCGGTTTGCTTTTGAGCAACCGATGCGGACTTATCTCTTCACTCTCATATTTTCACACTTACTCGATGACATTCGTGCAGTCATGTTCGCCTCCGATTCCTACCTCCACCACCATCACGTCCACTTTTTCTTTAATGCAAACATAAAATGACATCAGAGTCAGGAACTTGAAATACGCGGGCATCGGAACATTCTGTGACTCAGACTGACAAAAGTTAAAAATACGATGACAAAAACTTACAGCTGACTTGACGGTATCATAAACGAGATTGAAGTAATGGATAAACTGTGTTTCCGTTAATGGAATTCCATTTATTCGAATTCGTTCGCAGACATGGACAAGATGAGGTGAACTAGAATTACATTCTGATTTTTAGGGTCATCACAAAAATATAATACCTGTAGAAACCAGTTTTGAGATTATTTGAACGAAGAATCGACTCCAAGAAGGCACAAGTCGATCCCTTTCCTTTGGTTCCCGTTACATGGATTGGCCTGAGGCTATCGATATCATTGGTCTGGAAATGGATCAGCTAAATGCAGGCTCTTACTGTAATTTTCAAGGCACCGAGGTAGAAATGTGTTTCAGCAAGGTTCTGGCGGGCCATTTCCAATCGCTTGGATCTCATCATATGAATTGTAGTAGCATTACTTTGTAGTGAATTCAGTTTTGACACCACTTCCTATAATTTGACTCCTATTTATCTTTTATATAGTATAACCTTCAAAATTTTACATTTTCGAAGATAAAGACTGACTTCTGCAGCTTATTCAAAAAAGTTACCTTATATTTATCCTTGGACATAGCTCGTACTGACAGAAATCGAGAAACTGAGAGCCCAAAAACAAGTCGGGGGGCGTTTAGAGAAAATTTCTGCGTTTTCTCCCACAAAAAACCAATTTTAGAAGACATCTTATGATAAAACAAGTTAACGGAACTTTACTCCCTCAAATGATGTCTAAAATATTTAATTGCAGTAAACTTAACAATTAATTTGCATATTCTTGTCGAGATTCAACGACTTTACGCATTCTGATAAGAAGTAAAATTTATTGATAAGGAATGAAAGGTCAACTTGATTTATTGCGAGATTCGTTATTTGTTTTTATTGTCAGATAACTCTATCGTGATTGCTATCAATCTGCATTGTCATCGTCGTATCATAAAGTTCTTTGTCATCGGAGCTGCAAAAACATATTTTAAAGTTGTTTATTCATTCTTTCTTGGTGCCAGATGTAAACAAATGCCCACATCTTGTCCTTACAAACAAAACTCTTCCAGCTGGCGGTTCAAAACACTTAGAACAACTTTCCATTGTAATTTTTTTGGTTTGAGCGAGATGATAGAACAGGTGCAAGATAACGGCTGAAACGTATTTGTACTCTGTGAACGCATCATTCCTTATCATTCTCATGTTTTCATCAAGTTCTGGTTGTAATATTCATAATAATATTACCCAATAAGAACATGCAAAAGCATGACCTGCATGACAATTAACTTTTTAGGAGAGGATCTTCTAACTACGCGATCGGAAAAGGAAGAGAAACGAAGGTTGGAATGCTTCATAAATACGACAGATGCTTCCAGGGATACCTCCGCGAACAGAGGGTTCTTGCCTGAGGCGTTCGGAGATCCTCAAAGCCCCTCGGCCCAGGTCTGACCGCCGTGACTAAGAGAAAAGGGGCGGCTGCTGACCAGTCGCCCGACCTTTTCTCCCTTTCTTCATTGAACGGCAATTCCCCTTCCCCTTCTGCCCACCTCCAACGGCTTCACTCCAAGATGAGACTGCAATCGCGCAACGTGGAGTCTCTTCTTCCCCCTAAAGATTGCCGTTATTATTGTTTTTAACCCTTTTAATGCCCATTTCTCGTGATTGATTTGAAACATTTATCCAAACTATCCAACGGTATAATTCAGGATGTTAAAGTACGTCCTCTTGTCAGTATTAGTGTTGGCTGCGATCGCAGAGAAGAAAGAAGAAGAGAAAGGAACCTTCCAGGGCCAGAAATTGAGCTGGAAGGAAGACGATGGGCTCGAGGTCAAGATCATCAGACCCATCGCTGCCGAGAAGTGCAAGATCAAGTCCCAGCCTGGTGATGAAGCTCATCAATTCTACAAGTTGTCCGACAAAGACGGAAAGGAGATCGGCTCCAACTTTGGAGGAACACCGTAATTAAAAAAATACTGTAATTTATCGTATTTCAGATATGTATTTGAATTGGGGTCAGGCCAAGTTATCGCTGGAATGGACCGTGCAATGACCGGCAAGTTTAACTTTGCTGTCGTAAACGAATTTCTGATTCCTTTCTAACGGTCTTCTTTACAGGAATGTGCATTGGAGAGAAGAGGAAGGTCGTTATTCCTGGAAAACTTGGATTCGGGGATGCTGGCAGGGAGCGGTGAGTTGACGCCGTTTATGCAAAAGACAACTCAACAAACGACTAACAAATCATAATCTTTGATGTGTTTTAGTGATAACATCGAAGGAGATCAGACTCTTTACTATACCGTTCAGCTAGTCGACCTTGTTCGCCCTAACCCTGGAGAGGAGTGGACCACCGAAGAGGGAGTTCAGATCAAGCAGACCCACAAGATCGAGGAAGACAAGTGCCGCAAATCGGCTCCAGGAGATACGATCCATCAACATTACAAGCTGACCCTTGAAGACGGCACCTTCGTGGACTCTTCTTTCTCTAGAAATGCCCCTTTCATCTTTAAATTGGGAGCCAAGGAAGTGATCAAGGGAATGGACATCGCCATGACCAACATGTGTGAGGGAGAACGACGTCATGTGGTGATTCCTCCTCATCTCGGCTACGGAGTTGATGGCCGACCTCCACAGATCCCCGGCAACTCAACCCTTTACTTTGATATCGAACTCCACAAGCTGATCAAGAGAGATGAACTTTAATTTATTGTTCGTGTTGCATAATATTTCCCCTAAACGGGTCGTATTGAGATCAAATTGATGAATAAATTTAATTTTATGTCAGCCATCGTTAGCTGGAAATGAAAGCAAGAAGATCTTTGGGAGAAATCTTCGAAGAACCCTCGAAGAAAAAAAGAAAAAGAGCTCGATTTGCGAAGTAGGTCATTGATGGAATCGGAGAAAGAGGAACCAGCAGAGACATACATTATTATGATAAAACTCGGCTTCCAGAGTTCCTTGGCCCTTCTACTTAGTGTGGTGGGATTGGCTTTCTTACCCGGACTTGCGATCCTTGGTAATTCGTCATCATTTACGCATCTTACACTAATTTAGTAGTTTACCAACATTTTACGTTCGTTCTGCCGGTGCAATGGACAGTCGCAGCGACGTTATTCTTCTTTGTTAAAGTAAGAATTGGTCGGAACTCTGACAGATTTTATTTAGGTCTGCTTTGGAACAGTGGTTGCTCTCCTCACAGTGGTCACATACGCTGACTTCGTATTTCCAAAAATAATGAGAATGATTGAATCGTTTTTAAGCCGAGTACGCGTTGAGTAAATAGAAATAAACTATTAGAAAATCAACCGAAAATGATCAGAACTTCGAGATACGTACACTTTACAAGAATTTCTTCGTCTTTTTGGCCTATTGGATTTTTTGGCAAATGTGGCGTTCTGTTATTAAAAATATTTTGATAATTTTTTCACATGATTTTGTTTCTTTCCAAACATCGAATAAATGAACCTAAAGCAACTTCCTTGATAAATGGAGTTTGAAAAAGTTTGGTTTCGGGAAGCGCGGCACATCGAGGAGATTAACGCTACTGAAAGTAATGTAGTAGACAAAGAACTCTGGTAAGGAGACCATTTATTATTTAATTAAAATTTTAGGAGAAAACCGAAAGATCGGACAAAGACGGTCTCTGTTGCCTTGGTTTTATGCCTGAATATTGCTGTTGATCCTCCCGATGTTCCACGAACTGCAAATGGACCAAGGAAACAGGCTTGGGTTGAACCAGTATTATGTAGTCCTCAAAAGTCGGCAAACAAAATCGCCATCAGCTTGCAAAGCAACTATGAGAAGCTGCAACCACGAGCACGGTAAGATGAACGTTCAAACCGTTTTAGTTTAAAAAAATTATTTTAGGTATAAAACTGCTATTGATCCAACAATAGAAACTGTTAGAAAATTGTGTCAAAATCTGCGAAGAAACGCAAAAGAAGAACGGGTTCTGTTTCACTTCAATGGACATGGTGTTCCCAGGCCTACCGATGCGGGAGAGATCTGGGTCTTCAACCGGACCATCACTCAGTATATTCCTTTATCCTTGTATGATCTCCAATCTTGGATGGGAAGTCCATCAGTCTATGTCTGGGACTGCAATTCGGCTGGGACAATTGTCAACATGTTCACTCGGTTTGCTGAAGAACAACAAATCAGAGCACTTCAGGCTGGTTCCAGAGAGTGTAAATTGGATGTGGGTTCTTGTTTTGCTGTTTGAGATTTTTCTTCTTGCCTCTTCTAATTCTGTTTTTTAGGAGACCATTCAGATGGGAGCGTGCAGAGCTGGGGAACTCCTTCCTCAGCATCCCGATCTCCCGGCTGATCTTTTTACTTCATGCTTGACAACTCCAATTCAAACTTCTTTACTTTGGTATATGGTTAAAACAGGGACCAAAGGAAAGTATCCGGCGGATATAATCGAGCAGTTACCTGGCCAATTAACCGACAGGAAGACGGTTCTTGGAGAACTGAATTGGATTTTCACTGCAATTACTGATACAATGGCATGGAATGCGCTGAGCACTGACACTTTTCAACGACTTTTTAGACAGGTAAGATGACTATGATATTCTTATGTTGTTCTTTAGGATCTTCTGACCGCTTCTTTATTCCGTAGTTTTCTATTAGCAGAACGAATAATGTTGGAAAATAGTTGTCAAGTTATCAGTCAGCCTTCTCTTCCCTCAGTGGCCTCTCATCCGTTATGGGAATATTGGGACTACACAATGGATATCTGCTTGAACAATATCTCAAATCTTCGATGCCTTAAACAAAATATCTTATGCTTGGGAAGAAACGAATTCTTCGTTCGCTCATTCTTGAAACATGATTGTAAGTGTTTTTTTTATACAAATTTTGGCTTTAGTGCTTGTCGAGATCCAACCGTTGGATTCGGAAGATGCCAGTAACTTCTTTGTGGATCATCTGAAAGCTTTCGAAGTTTGGCTCAAATTCGGAGTGGAGAAGAAGAGACCTCCAAGTGAGCTGCCGGTTATACTTCAAGTCCTTCTGAGTCAATCACATCGAGTTCAAGCCCTTCAATTATTGGCGAAGTTCGTTGATCTCGGTGCTTGGGCGGTGGGGGCAGCTTTGTCAGTCGGAATTTTCCCGTATGTCCTGAAGTTACTCCAAAGTGTTGATCCCCATCTCCGAGGTCCTCTGGCTTTTATTTGGGCCAAGATCTTATGTGTTGATCCTGAATGTCAACATGAATTGATCAAGGAGAATGGTTACTTCTACTTTATCCAGATCCTCAATGACAGTAACACCAAACCCAGAATGAAGATTGTCCCCGCTTTTGTGATGGCCACATTGATCGACAAAAGATGTCGCATAGCCCAGGAGAAATTAGTGCAATCAGATTACATGACTCTGTGCATGGAATTATTGGCAAGTAATGATGTGATCAAGTGTAAGATGTTATGTCTTTGGTTGTTGATTGGACTCGGTCGTTTATGGGCTGAATACGACAAGGCTAGATGGAATGCGATTCGAAATGTTGCTTATGAAAGGGCTATGGATTTCTTGACAGACGAATTGCCTGAGGTCAGAGCAGCTGCTGTTTATGCACTCGGGTGTTTTGTGAGGAATCGCTCGGTTAATAATGAACACGCGACTACTGTAAGTTTCGCTTGTCTGAAATACATCTTTTAGATTGACAACGAAGTTTGTGACAAGATGTGTGAACAATGCACATTCGATGGGTCAGTTCTGGTCAGAGCGGAACTTGCAGTAGCCATTCAATGGTTCCTGATTGACTTCGAACAACGATTTTCTGAATTATTTATCCAACTCAACAAGGAATTCTTTGCCAAACAATTTGAGAACATGGAGGTATGTATGGAATTGCGTGTAACTATGTTTTTTTTTACTTTAGAAAGCACACGCAATGGAAGCAAATGGAAATCTGAGACCATCGGAATCGAAGGCAGTCATACAATTTGGCGACGATGACGAAACCTTCCCGGAACATCTAAAGTAAGCATTCTTTGATATCAGTTAATTTTATAATTTTAGACAAATGGTGTATTCGAATATGAAATATCTGGAGAACAAGGCGTTTAATGATCCCTTCGAGAGGATATGGTTATCCTTGTTGTATCTCTGCTTTGATTCTTTTCCGTATGTTGCTACCATGGCTCGGGTAAGTATGACATGCGGGTATAGATGTGGTTGCAGAGATTAATCAAACATATCCACGAATTGGCCACTCATAATCGAGAGCACAAGCTGAAGAAGATCAAGAGTTCGGCATCTCCCGACTTTAAGATTGATAAGATGATATCTGACAGGAATCCAAGGGTTAAATTCTCCATTGGTTCTCCGATGTCTGGGATGGATCAGGTATATTTGGAAGTGTAAATGAATTGTAATCCTCTGATTTAGAAAGAAGTAGAACAGCTGAAGAAATGCGCCTCTATCAATGACATGTTAAACAATGGACTCTTACAGACTTCGTCAACGTCGTTCACCCCGAAGAGGAATGTAGGTAAATAGAAGATGATGTATTTATTTATTGTATTTTAGATTTACGGATCTCAGTCTGGAAGGTATACAAGGGTCAGCGAAGAAGTCGTCGATCAGCCAGTAGAGGCCCTGGTCACTACTCAGTTCTCGGAATGGTGTTCCAAATCATTCCAAGAGCCTATTTTCAAAACAATTTATGAAGAAGTCTCTACTTCAACCAGGAACTCTTTGGTCGACGGATCTTCTCCGTTTACGAAGGCGAAGCCCACCGATTGGGCTCTCCATACCTACGAAGGCCTTAGACAGAAGGCGGCAGCTGATGTGGAACTCTTCAAGAATGAGGTGAGTCCTTTCTTTTACTTTTCATTGGCCAATGTATCGATCTGAAATTTTAGAAGATTAAATGTGATGTGCAACATGTCAATATCACCGTTCAAAAACCTCAAACGAGCATGGTTTGGAGTGTTCTAAGACCGTATCTCTTCACATGCGATGGCTCTGTGGTATCCATCTTCAATGCAGACAAAGTCCACAACATTTCTCCTTTGAAGGCCTCTTTCGATGCATCAACGGAGGGTATATTAGGAGACACGATAACCGATCTCATGGTTTCCAATGGCCTCACTCACGAACTGTTGTTGACTGGGTCCATGAATGGAGTTCTCAAGGTATGGGATCCAATGTTCCATGAACATGGTCATGAGATCAAAGGAGAACCACAGTTGATAACTACAGCACATTTGATGAAAGACCAAAGTCGAATTAAGATTGGAAAAGATAACAACAAAAACTTGACGTTGTACAGGTAAATATCAAGTTTGTTGTAACGATTAAGGTTTAGATGGGACCAAGAATTTGGAAGACTTGTGACCTCAGGAAATGTAAGAATCTGTAGGATTTGGGATGCATGGGCCGAGCAAACCCAAAGGGATATCAATCTGAAGACGAAGAACGAAGTTGTGTCGGCGTTATCCGTCAGTCTGACAAGTAATCTGATAAGTTGCGGTAAGTTGTTAGCTGTGCTACAGGTGACGTGCTACAAGTGCGACGCTCAGATTTTAAAAAAATTTGGCGCAAGTTTAGATGCACTTTTTCTAACGTGTATGCAAGACTTCTAGCCCGTGCTTTGTAGAAACGACCGGCATTTTTCACTCGAAATTTTGCAAAAAATATGACTCTACTAATTTTGGCATGACAAGTGCAGTTAAAGAAAATCTGTACGCCGCGCTTGGACTACTTCTCTTTCTAATTCGATGAAAATTTTATTTTTGTTGCTTATAAAATTTTCAGGTTTCCGAGATGGTGTCGTTAATGTCCTCGATATCCGATTGCCTCCGGAGGAATGTGAGATAATGAAGTTCCACGATTTCCGGTCGACCATTCTTGGATCAGCGATCACCCCGGACAACCAAGGGATCATCGTGGGAGCGGCTGATGGAGACTTCCGAGTCTGGGAACCTCGGATGTATCAAGAGCCGGTGGTCGAGTTCAATGTCTTCAAGGACACATTCGCCTCCCCTCCCCCAACCATGAGGTTCACTTCCATCCAGAAACAGAAAACTTTCCATTCAGTTTATGCATTGGACATACAATCTTATGGCCAACTTATTTCTTGTGCAACCAGCGATGGATTTGTTCGTCTCTTTGATGTTTGTGGAAAGAAATGCTTGGCCCATACCAGATACGGGCCTGAGTCTACCAAAGTAGGTCCGTCGTCGGTTCGATTCCACTCACACAAGGTGATAATTGGGTTCGGGAATGAGAAATCGGTCTGTGCCTTCGGGGCACCCAATTTTTAAGATTGTGATGCCCTCCCCAACACTGCCAGGTTTTACAGAAAGGAATAGTCTCTCTAGGTGATGTAGACTTCTATCTCCGTTATAAACTCCTTCCTTCTAGCCACGAGTATTGTGCCAAAGTTATTATTTCTCCGAATCCTATGTATTACAAGCCCTTCCGGAAAGTCGCCGGACTGAAATTGGCGGCACGCACTGTGAGAAAAAAAACTTTTGCACTGTAATTTTTTGCACCGCGCAATAGGCTTTTTCCGGCTGTCGCCCGTACCCTGACTTTTCTGCACAGTGCAAACGCCAAAAATCAGTCCGGCGGCTTTCCGGAATGACTAGTATTATACATTATTTTGCTCAATCTGTTCTACTGTTGTTGTTATGCTGTTGATTAATAAATGTACATTTAAATGAATTTTCAGATGTTGAGGTTAAAGTCCACGTTTATTTGGGTAGTTTTGGGTAGCATATGTTTTTTTAGATTGTTATTATTACTTGTTGCAAAAATCTGGTTGTAAATGCGGGCCACGTTTTTCTGCTTGGCCAGAGTTCATCGGAACGCAAATTCTGATATCCCCCTAAAAGAAGTTCGCGTTGCCATTATTGGATCTCCGAATGTCGGGAAGTCTTCACTCACAAACAAGCTTATCCGAAATGATGTGTGTGCAGTCAGCAAAGTTATTGATACTACTCGCCAGGTACGATAAGACTGAGGTAGAGCAAGTTTGTTTAGAATTGGGTGACAAAACTAAAAGAAGACCGAGTTATGCTCACTGTGGTGGACAGTCCTGGAGTTGTAGGGATTACGCATGCCAAGAATGTGATCAATACTCACTCCGAATCCAAGATTATGGTCGATCCGGAGAAGGCATTCCGGAGCGCTGCGCAGGTTCTTGTTGTTCATGTGGGTCTTGATCTTTCAATATATTGCGCGTTTTAGGATGTAACAGCACCAGGGAAATATATTCACCACCGAGTTCTTCATCTTCTTCACCGCAATTCTCACATCCCATCTAGTTTGGTATTGAATAAAATAGATCTCACACCCCAAAAGTCCAAACTATTAGAATTGGCGAACGTATTGACGTGTGGTTACGTTGGTGGACAGCCGATTCAACAGAATAAGGTTAGAATGGGAGGACTACAGAAGATCGTGGACAAGCAAAACACTTTCGCCATCAATCCACTTGCTAATTTTATGGATGGGAAGAGTGAAGAATGGGAAGAAGAATATAAGTAAGCATTTCTTCCACGATTACTCTATGCTTATTTATAGTCGAGTAATCAACAAAGCTACTCATAAATGCTCCTGGAATGAGACAAAGAAAGTGTTCCAATCAGAATATGGATGGCCTCATTTCCAAAATATCTTCTTTGTGAGCTGTAATAATGGTGAGGGCATCGATCATGTTAGGAATTTCCTAAAGAACTGTGCTGAGCACTCCGAGAGCAACATTATTAATTCTGAAGTTTCACCATTTAGACAGGTGGGAAAGTGGCGTTATATTTACCCATTCTTTCTTTCAGCGCCCAAACGTGATTGTCGGCGAACATATACGAGCAGCTTTTTTGAACTCGGTGCCTGCAGATATAGCATATAAGTTGAAGGTCATTGTCGTGGACTTTGAAAACCTTGGTGAGGAGATCAATGTAACAGCCGATGTGATATGTGAGAAACACAGATGGGCTAAACTGGTTAATGTTGTAGTCGACAAACAAAGAAGGTCCCTGGAGGAAAACTTCTCTAGACTTTTTCAAACTCAAGTTCATCTTCGAATACACCTCAAATATCAAGGAAAACTGGTTGCCCCACAAGAATAAATGATATTTGTACATAGGCACTGGTCTATTCTTTATGTCGGTCAGTGCATTAGTTTTTTCTCTTGTCATAGGTTGCTTGGATGGCCGCTTCTTTCACGTCAACATAAGCCAACTGTGCTTCCAGCAAATCTGTTGGTTTCCCTGCCCGCCGTGCCTCTTGGATCTGGTTGCCCAACATTTTCCGTTCGAGATTTCCAGCCAAGACATGAGGTTCGCTGTTTAGAATCTGGTCGATATCATTTTTTTCTCTGAGGGAACATTAAGATTAAGAGAAAAATTTCTTACCTGAAGTACCCAAAATAAGCAAAGAAGATACCGAGACTAATTACTGCATACAGAACCCTCTTGTTTTGAAATTCATCGGTGTCATAATAATTGGGGATGTAAAGAGGAGTCGACGGTTTCAATTCCAACTTGTCTGATCCATAATAAGCAGACGAACGACTGAACCTGGGTTCGATTGGTTTATTTGATTTGGGTCTCGCGGCTTGCAAACTCAGTCTAGTCCACCTTAAAAGGAAACGAGTGGACAGCTTGTTCATTTCCTAAAGAAACCTCGTCTAATCTTTTTTAAATCAAAAACATCCTAACGAGATCGCATTTAACCGAACTTTGCTGATATGAATAACAATTTAACCACAACAAAAAATCAAGGGAAAACAATATTCAGAGTGTAACAAAACCTTTGGATTTACTCCATTTGGCAATCAAATTTACTTTGAATGTGGCCATCTTCTCTCCCAACAGCTTCAAGATCTTGCATTGATCTGCTGTTAAAGTGTCGCCTTCCGAACACACTTGAAAACTGTCGTACAGTTCGACAAACCCACGTTCAACCTTGCATGGAAGTCCTAGCCTTTTAAGCTGTGGTTCCATTGAGAAAGGAAACTGTGTTAGTGGTCCGGCTGGTAGATGGACTGAGTGAGTAGCCGTGTTCCCGCTTCTCGCAAATTCTTCGTCGTCAAATGTTTTGAAGTATCTAATGAATAAAGTAGAAAAAAACCAGCTCTTACTTTATGAAATCTTTTTCCTTTTCATTTGTAAAAATCAGTCCACACTGTCCTTCCAAAGTTTTTGATAGCTTGTGGATTCCATCAGAGATTTCTTCACCAGCTGTCCTCCCCAATGCCAAAGCCATTACATTTCTCTTTCCAAAGAAAAACTTTGAAGTCTTTTTGAACTTCTGGCGAATCTAAAACGAAACAATTAATCCCATTCTATATTCAAACCTGAATGAACTTGGATGATCTGAGGTTTTCAATACTGAATGAGTAGACGGAGGCGTATTCATCTACGCATTTTCTGATTTGTTCCACCAGGTTCTCTTTGTTCTCTCTGGACTTTTTCTTCACTTTTGTGAGAGAAACTGAAAATTAGACAATAATAACAAAGCATAAACAAGGATAGAAACACATTCTTGCAAAATTACTTACTCTCTTTGTCTCTTCTGGTCTGTGGCATATTTCAACACAAAAATTAACAAAAAATAACAGAAATTACAATTATATTATCTTCTAAAAATATAACAAATATATTTTTACGGTAGAAATAATGCCAATACCATTGATTTGAAGGGAATTTCGTTGTGGGACAAATAAAAAAAAAGTGCTGCATTTTTCTGTTAACAGAACACGTTCGGTCCAAATAGAAGAAAAGCCGCAGTTGAGATGGGATCCCGAGCTGCGCCCGCGATTTGTAATTCGTAGGGGACATCTTATACGAAGGAAGACCAAATTTTGCAATGATTGCCTCAGGGCTCTAAAAATTCATGCACAAAATATTATTTTAACGTAGATCCGATATACCAAGTATCATCTTTCTGTCGCTGTCTATCTTCGACTTTGGATAAATATCAGATTTTGCCTAGTTTTGAGCCTGCTTTTGTACCCATTTTTTGACCACTTTTTGGCTTGTAATGATAAAAGTAAGATAGTTATTCGAAATATCGCTCTTTGATGTTCTAGAGAGCCTTTTTGTGTAACCCTTTTAGGTAATGCCAGACCTCAGTGGTGTCCCCCTTTTCAAAACGTTTGCTCCAATGACGTCAATTTTAGGCCAAATTTTGCTGATTTTTCGAAATTTCTGCCTATATTTTTTTTCAGAAGTCCTTTATCGAAAAAATCGCGATTTGAGTGGTTAGAGAAGATCCTTGTCGATGTACAGAAACTTGCATTTTCATCCAACGACCAATAGTTTTTTCAAAACGTTTGCTCCAATGAGGTACACTTTGGGGAAATTTTGCTGATTTTTCGAAATTTCTGCCTGTAGTTCGAGCTGATGTTGAGAATGTTTAGCTTCCGCCTCAAATTCTCCTTTCTTGCTTGCTATGCTGACTTCTGATTGTAATTTCCCAAATTGTATAGCAACCGTTGACATCAACGTATTCCAATGGTCGAAGGTGTCTGCCTTTACTATTCTTTTGATAGGATTACTGGCTGTGCCTGACGGATATGAAAAGGAGAACAACTCCCTTGGTGTCTCAGCAGTGGGAACTGGTGGAACGAGCATTGCAGCTTAAACATAATGAGGGGTTATCTTAAGATATGTTATAAGAGGCATTTTGACTGTTCTTTTATAACTGTTTTAGGTGCAAAGAAGCCGTGCTTACCCTCGATTTCTGGTAATGTAAACTTCTTAAGCCTCATTTTCGCGCACTTGCTCTTGTAGCTGAATTTCGCAGACTTTTTTTTAATTTGGTTCCTCTTTCTTTTCGATTGCGAAGTTCCAGGTTCGTTGAATGACTCTGAAGATGTAGGGTAGACGCCATGAAGACAAAACTCACCTCCTTCATCTTTTTCTGCCGTTGGCAAAGTTCAAAGTTATTTAACTGAAACAGCAGCTAAATGATTAAAACGAGACGGGTATTTCAGTCTTATTTCATTAACTCGCAAAACATAGAGATAGTGGATGGCTACTCGAATAGAATGCAATTTTCTTATAGATGTACTATGTTGACCTCCATTTTTCAAAAATATTTTAGTCGTTGATGTATATGCCGGTTACTAAATCTAATCATGCTGCTTGTCTACAATTAAAGATAATTATTTCCTCGACAAACGGCAGTAAAAAAGATGCAGACAGAAATATGCAAAAATCATCAAATTTTCCACAAAGTGTCAATCTCATTGAAGCAAACGTTTTAAAAAAACTATTGGTCGTAAAATTTGGCCTAAAATTGACGTCATTGGAGCAAACGTTTTGAAAAGGGGGGACACCACTGAGGTCTGGCATTACCTAAAAGGGTTACACAAAAAGGCTCTCTAGAACATCAAAGAGCGATATTTCGAATAACTATCTTACTTTTATCATTACAAGCCAAAAAGTGGTCAAAAAATGGGTACAAAAGCAGGCTCAAAACTAGGCAAAATCTGATATTTATCCAAAGTCGAAGATAGACAGCGACAGAAAGATGATACTTGGTATATCGGATCTACGTTAAAATAATATTTTGTGCATGAATTTTTAGAGCCCTGAGGCAATCATTGCAAAATTTGGTCTTCCTTCGTATAAGATGTCCCCTACGAATTACAAATCGTGGGCGCAGCTCGGGATCCCATCTCAACTGCGGCTTGGACCGAACGTGAGAAAATTGTTACATGTTTGTACGTTGTTTGTACCATGAAGTATATAAGGCCATAAATTTAGCTCAAGTGCTGTATAATGGAGAGTTTGGTATTCAATATTAGAACTTCCTGTTTTTTTTATTTTTTACGTTGAAGTGCATGAACAAGATTGCCAGAAAAAGTATTTCGTATTTTCTTATCCTTCAGAGTCTTATTCAGCTATTTTGAGAGTTGTAAGTTGAGAGAGCACAGAGATGCCCGTTTGACAAACTTATTTTACTATTGTTTTGTAAAATCCCTATGAAAGTGCCGGTTGGACGTAAGTGCTGGGAAAGATTTTAGATAACAATGTCTGCGATTAGTTGATTTTTTGACTTTTGTCTGCCGTGAATAATTCTGGCTTTCGATTTATATCTAGGCTGGAGTAAGATCTTTCCGTTTCGGAAATCCGGGTGTCCCTAGAGTTGAACATATATTATTTGTGTTTAGGTCTGCGGAAGTGCAATGAGATCCGACTTTCATGATCGGTAAGTCATCGACCCCTTTGCAGACGTTCTTTCTTTAGATTTGGTCGACGTGGGCCTCCAAGAAGAGATGATGAACCGAATTCAAAACGGGGACGGTTTGAGAATGCCAGTGACACTTATGAGCCGCAATTCAACAGAAAGACGGAGGGTAGCGGAAGAGTTATGTTGACATTCAGGAAGTTCTTGGAAACTCAAGACGAGGGAATTTCTGACGATGAAGCCATCCTAAAATACAATGAGTACAAGTTTGAGTACAGAAAACAGGAATATGAAAAGTTTTTCCAAAGCCATAAGGATGAGGAATGGTGGGTTCATTGATGATATTTTTGTGAATTGTTCCGATTTTGCGATACAAATGTTAATTTCCAGGTTTCAAAGAAAGTACCACCCAGAGTTGTCGAAGGAATCCGCTGCCAAGGCTGATGAATGTGTAAATAAAAGACTCGAAATTTACAAGGAAGTTGTTGAAAAGGATTACGGTAAAGACATTGAGCTGAGTTTCGAACATACGGAGAGAATCGTGAAGTTCCTGGATGCTGTGGTTATTAAATTGGAGGGCGGAACCGATGAGGATGTGGAGGTCTTACTCAAAGAGCCTGTTTTTGACGAATCTCTTGACGACTTGAGGAATAAGTTAAATAAGACGTGAGTTATCTTCTAAATTCATTTGTTCCTGTTATAGTAATGGTGAAGTTACCAATGGAAATGGAAATTCTAACGGGGTTTCAAAGGCTGAGCCAGAAGAGAGCGAAGAAATTCAGAATCTGGTTAAGAAACTCCCATTCCGAACTCACAGTATCTTCCTCAAGGGCATTCCGGCAACGGCGAAGTTTGAAGAAATTGAAAATGTGCGTAATTCTATTACTGTGGCCTTTATTTTGTATTTAGGAATGTAAGAATTATCCTGGCTTTTTGAGGCTTGGCCTCTCCGAGCCCCTGGCCGATCAAAAGTTCCAAAGAAGGGCCTGGGTCACCTTCAAAAGAGATGTGAAGATCAAGGATATTTTCTGGAATATGAAGAATGCCAAGGTAAATTTCGATACTTTTTTTCTAATTGATATTGTTTTAGTTCTCTGATACGGAAGTCAGTGCATCTGTGAATCGCGACCTCAGAAGACGGGTCCGCGTGATTAGTGGATTGGCCAATCATCGTCCGATTGTTCAGAATGACATCAGACAAGCTGCCAGATTGATTGCTTTATATGATTATAAACGGAAGGTGTATGCAGAAGAAGGAGCAGAGGAGCAGGTTCCACCAAAAGATCTGGATGCTCTTGTCAGCCGCAGCAAAAACCCAGTGCTTGATGGCGTAGTTGAATATTTTGTCGAAGAGTGTAATGCCGAGGAAGAAGAACTTCTTGGAGTCAACAATCAGGCCTCCGACGATCTTAAATTCACACTGGAAGTTGATAAGGACCTTTTCAAATACTTGGACCGACTGTTGGTCTACTTGAGAGTCGTTCATTCAGTCGATTTTTACAACCAATGTGAGTATGCCAATGAGGACACAATGCCCAACAGGTAAGCGTAATGGTTTGTAATTGGAAGTGTTGCTTCGTTTTGGATTTAATATTTATTTATTAAAGAATGGGAATCGTTCACGTTCGCGACTTTCCTCCGGACGGAGAACAGTTTGGAAAATCGGAAACTGGAGTTCCATTAGTGCCTAAGAAGAACTGCGACCAGTACATCTCTAGTACCGAGGAGAAGTTGAAGGCTTCCATTTTAAAATACGAAGTTATTCCTGAGGAAGACCTCCTGAAGTTGGGAAAGAAAGATCCGGAACAAGCCGTGGAAGACTTTATTAAAGAGAACAGCCAAGAATTAAGCAAGGACAAATGGCTCTGTCCTCTCTCTGGCAAGAAATTCAAGGGACCGGAATTCATCAGGAAGCATCTCTTCTCTAAACATGAACACAAGATCGACGAAGCCAGGTCTAATGTAAGTGCTGCTTGTCTTTTTTATGATTTCTTTGTCAAAAGATTTGCGGCTATATTTTTATTTTCAGGCAATTTACTACAACAATTACATCGCCGACTTTGATCGTCCGCATAACCTTGAATTGAAGCCGCCTCCAACTCCAACGGTCGAAGAGGTTAAACGACCACAAGAAGATCGTTTTGGTGGCCACAGAAATAGCTGGGGACCAGACCGCAGATTTAACAATGGCCCGAGGTTCGGTGGCCGCGGGGACTTTGGGAACCGTGGCCGATTTGTGGATGACTTTGGAACCGGTAGACGGGATCCTCGCCAACCTCCCACTTACCGAGACCTCGACGCCCCAGACGATATTATTTAATCCATCACTCCCTAAGTTAACTATGAATATTGCTAATAAATGTTGAATTCCTTGACTCGTACAAGGTTCAGGGAGGGTAATAAAAAGGTTTCGCCATGCTGAAAACTGCTCATTTGTCATTCGTTTCCTGATAACAAAGACCATTCTCGTATCAGTTGCATTTTAATTTTAAAAAATGACAAACAAAGGGTGTATAATAGCTACTGGCTCAGTTGCTATTCTTTTACTCGTCCTGTCTTTGGTACTGTTGGTAATGTTCCCATTTCTGATATATCCTTCATTGGTAAAAGGACAGATTGAGCTGAAAGAGGATGAAACTGGTATGTTCGAAAAACCGACCTTCTACTGGGCCAAGCCTCCAGCAAAGGTTTACTATAAATTCAATGTTTTCAATGTCAAAAACGTTGATGAAACCTTATTTCGTGGGGAAAAGGTTCAAGTCGAAGAGAAAGGACCCTATACCTTCAGGTAAGACACGCCTCCTTCTTGGGACGATGTTGCAGACAACGAGATACCAAACGAGAAATTCATTTCGACAAAACTAATGTGAATTACAAAGTCTCCAAACAATGGGTGTTTGAAAAAGACCTGTCTTGCAAAAACTGTACTGAGAAGGATACTGTTTTCTTGCCAAATCTTTCTTTGGCGGTGAGTTTCTTTGCCTTATCTCACCTCTTGTTTTAGGCATTACGTCGTCTCCTTTTTGAGCATTCCGATGCTCCAAGATTCCGACAAGTATTGGCCGATATGTCAGCCCTTTTTTTGGGGATTTATCCTTACAGGTAACGGTCAAAGTTATAACTTGTGGATCCAACTTCTAGCAAGGTGAAGGTGATGGATACCCTTTTTTGGGGTTACACCGACTCGATGGTCGATTTCCTGAACAGTGAACTGAAAAGAGACATTGAGAGGCTTATTGGTGGACCAATCTTGGGATTCGAGGCACCAGAAATAGACGTTCTCGGGTACTTTCCCCTGTACAACAACACCGATGATGGAGTTTATGATGCTTATACTGGGTCTGATGAGATCAACAATGTTGGATTATTGAAGAAATGGGTTGGGAGCGATAGTCTGGAGTGGTGGAACAGCGATTATGCCAACAATCTCGACAAGACTACAGGTAAACCATCACACATTAGTATACATCTTATGCATACTACGGTGATTCAAAAAAAATGCGTGTCGTTTTTTAACTATACTTTATTTAACAGACCAAATTTAACAAAAGTAACAATCAATATCAGTAACATAGAGAATTGTTAGTAGTATTATGTCCATCCAGTTTTAAATCGGCTGCCCTGGCGGCTTCAAAATGTGACTTAAAATTTTGGACGAAGGCCCAAAAGATCTTTCTGAACATTGTAGCTGCCGTAACCCCTGTATACGGTAATTTTTGAAACTGAAAATTCGTGCTGTTGTTCAGCTAGTACAACAAATATGCAAAACGTCAAAAGTTTCTGAGATGGTTGTGTTTTGGAAATGTTCTTCCTTCAAGTTGTAAAATAAAAGACGACAAAAATCACTTGGCTGGACCTAGCCATTTTCAAGTCAGACCCATGGAAAAACATGATTTTTTTTGAATCACCCTGTAGATGCGGTAATCAGTGGGAGCTTTATTAAAAACGACTCCTTAACCATGTTCCAATCCTTCCTTTGCCGACATTTCGAGCTGTTAAGTGATGGAGAAGGGTCGGTTGAGGGCATAAACGTCATCAAATTCAAACCAGATCCCCAAAGTTACAATCCTCATAAAGAACTGTATTCAGGGTGAGGTTTTTTATACACAATATGATGTTACATAATACGATTAGGTATCAATACAAAAATGACGAGGACATTGATTTCTTCCCTGACGTATGTCTGAAACCCGACGAGTGCGAAGTTGAAGGATGTAGTGATTACTGTAAACGGACTAATCGAACATTGCCTCCGGGCATTCACCAGCATGTTTGTTTCCCTGGACGTCGAAGAAGGGTCCCTTTCCTGGCCTTTGATTCCCTTCCTCATTTCCTCAACTCTCCCAAAAATGTCCAGAAATCCATCAAGGGATTAAATCCAGATCAGAAATCACATGATATTGGAATGTTTCACATTCAACCTGTAAGTTCAAACAAAAAAGTCAAAAGTTGCACCTTGGTTGATAAACGAGCCCGTGATCAATCTCTTTTCTAGACTTGTGGCAGCACTCTCAAAGGCCAGTTCAGGAATCAATTCAACATTGCCGTCATAAATGATCAGAAGATAACGTGAGCGAGCAAAAGACATTCCTCTTTATACGACGTTACAGTACCCTTAAACATGCCAGAACCAGTATTATTCCCTGCTTCTGGCTGCAATTGGACATTACTTTAGAAGACTATGCCTATGATTTCCTGAGAACCAACATGGTGGTTGTCCCAAATGTTGTGTTTTGCTTGGGGATCATCAGCTTTGTTTTAGGACTACTTGTCCCAATTACAGTAGGCTTTATTCAGAGACACAAGAGAAAATAAAAGAGATCATAAGCCCATTAACTTTATTATCTTTACAACAATTTCGACGAAATGAGCTAAATAACAACATAATTAGCCACTTGAGGAGAATAGTGTTTCCCTATAACGAAAATTTAAAAAATGATGACCGAAAGAGAAGAGGAAAAAAACCCGTAAGTCGAGACCTGAAGTAAAATATAAATAGACGAAGTTTGAGTATCAGATGATTATCGATAGAATCCTCTCATCGGATACCTGCCGGGAGGAGGTCCTCGAGGTTGCCCTCGACCCCGGGGAGGGAATCCAGGAGGATTCTGCATTCCCGGACCGGGTGGACGGATCGGACAAGGAGGTCCTCGGGGCATTGAAACACCTCGGGGAATGATCCCACCTCTTCCTCGTCCTCTCATCATTCCTCTTGGAGGTACGGGCATTGGATATGGCATAGAAGGGCCTGCGGAGTTGAAACCTCCACGGGATGGAGATCCTCGGAAGTTGCCACGCATTTGAGGGGGGCCACCTGAAATCAAAAACAACATGTGTGATCAACCTTGTAAAAAAGAAAAGTCATCGTTAACCTTACCTCTGGGTCGTTGCATTACAGGCTGCGGCAACAGACGACTTAGTGGATTTTCATTTTCTGGGAATTCCCCGGAAGGTCCCGGCTCCATTGCCCCCTGTTCCTCGTTGTTACCATTCTGGCCAAATATTTCTCCAGCGCCCTTTCCTAACGGAATATTATTTGCTCCCCTTCCCTTTGGATCCACATGAGGCTGTGGTTTCAGATGCTTGAAAGGAAACTTCTTTTCCTCCTTAAACTTCTTGAAAGGTGAATACTCTTCCTGATTATATCCCTCTCCGTCACTGTCAAATGTATCAATCGGGATTTGGACGGGTTCTGATCTTATCGGAATTGGAACAGAATGTTGGAACGGAGGCGGTGGAGGATAAGTTATTCCTGAAGGGAATCCCATAAATGGAGGGGGAACTGGTTGTACTTGGCCTCCTTGTAGTGACGGAATGAACGGTGGAGGGGGAACAGCTTGTGGCGGAGGAATCATGTCGGTCATCGGATGCGAGAGTGGATGGATTGGAAGTGGATAAGTTGGAGCAGGTTGAGATAAGGGTGATCCCCTGACTACTGGAGGCGGCACAGGAGGTGGTGGAGGGGGAGTCCAGTTTACATCCAGATGCTGAGGAGGTGGTGGTGGAGGAGGAATGATCTCATCGATCGGTGATTGGGTATTCGAATCAATTTCGCCTAACTCCAGTGCTGGTGGTGGAGGTGGTGGCGGGGGATTCGGTGAAGAATTTCCTTCTTTCTGCTTGGTCAATTTGGTTAACTCCTCGGCCAATGGGAGAGGCGGCAGCACCGGAAGCGGAAGTTTTTTCTGAACAACAGACTCAACTCTCCTTTCCACAACGAGATCAGGCTTTACTTCAAGATCGACCTCCATCTTCAATTCTCCCTCGGCCTTATTGGCGAGCTCTTCAATTGCCGCTTTCTCAGTGGGTTTCATTGTATGGAAACAGTAGTAGGCTTCTGACAGTAGTCTTATGTTTTCTGAAAAGAATCATACATTTAAACATGGTATCTTACTCGACTTCTTAAGATGTTTCAATTCTGCAATTAAACTTTCGAAAGTCAAGGGAAGCTTGGTCGGGTCATCCACCAGAGCCCTTGTCCAAGAGTCTTCGTCCTGTTCTCGCATACCGTTCATATTCCGTGATCTCCTAAATAATGGTAAATAAATTTATTACACAACAATTCTTACCTGATATGAAACTCATCGACATCCACCAACGAATTGAGATCATCCAATGCATTCAGAGTGAGATTCGAGGGTTTGGGAGAGTCGGATCTCCTCTTCAACTCTTCATTATCATCCGTAACAGGACTAATGTTACTCAATTTTAGCGGATCTGGATCATTTCTTAAAAGTGATCCTTCTCTATGGAGAAAATGACTTCTGGACTTTTCTTGTTTAACGGAGGCTTCTCTTATTCCTGCCGGTCTCATAAAGTCAGAGTAATCTCGTTTCTGGACCCCAAAGATAGGACTGGATCCATTCCGAGGGCTCCCAATTCGATTCATCAAGTCCGGCTCAAAGTCATCGGTTGTGATACCTGGAGAAGCACGATAAAAAGGTTCCGGAGAGATGCTTCTTTGAGGAGATCGAGTCCGCGGTGGGGCTAGGGATGGTGGGGCCAAGGTTGGGGGAGGCCCCACCCTTCGGAGATCGTTCTCATCTCGAGAAAGTGGCCTTCTGGAATCCCGATCGCCTCTGTATGAGTCCGCTTTTTGGACCGCATCTGTGCTTCTCCAATTTTCTCGGTTCGGGGTCGCCTTTCTGACGACCAATGCCATAATGTTTCCACATTTCTTCACAAAATCCATGAGTCCTGGCCCATCTTGACGATCGAGGACAGCTGAAATATTCAAGATGTAGATTATATTCACACCATAGCATATAAAACAAAAAAGACAAACTCACGATGAAGTTCTTGCCCTGGAGGCAAAGCGTAAAAATACATGTCAGTGATACTGCTTGGGGACCGATTGGAACTGACGACGACCATCCTGTCAGACCGATTCAATTCATTATAAAAGCTAACAAAGCACTGATATTCCGAAGATTTCTGAGGAGGCTGCATCAGGAGAGAAATGAGATGCCGGTCCCATTTGTTCTTGAGACGGTCGATCTGCTTGTAAACATAATCCCTCTCCACGGACTGCTTCACCAGAATTATTGGACTCATGTCGTTTTTCAGATGATATGCGCTTCTATTTCTAACGAACAGAAGATTACAATCGAATGAATACGAATCCGCGCAAACCCGACCACTCCAGATCACATTATTGGCCCTAAACAAGTGATAATTAGACAAAACCCTTGCGTTATCGAGACTTGTAGAGTCCCGGACAGGACCATGTGGGAAAAAACGTATCTTAATGTACTACAAAAAAGTATCTTTTTCTCACCGAAATATGTAGTGCTCCCACAAAGGAATCATCTGCAAACTCCTCGCTCGCGCTCTGCAGAAACGACCGAGATTTTTAGGTCGAAAGTTGGAAAAAGGGCACTTCTTTGCGAATGTAGGCATGAAAAGTTTCATGCTCATTTCTACCACGTTTCCACAACAAAACAATTTTTCCCGCAAAAAACTGGCAGAAATACGACCAAAAAGTTTTTTCTCTGTGAACGCTCTCCGTGTGTTCGTACTCTTTTAGCCGCCAAACCCGTCGAATGTCTCGCTGCCGCTGCAAAGCGCGAGCTACACTGCTCCACGAAATGATAGACGCACCCTGTTTTTAGCGATTATCTTCCTTGTACTAAATGATATCGAATAATGTTCAACAGATGAAATGTGGCAAATTAAACGAGAATTCATGTCCCGTAGCGATTTTGGAACAAAATTTTGCCTTGACTGAGATATGACATTTTTAGACTTTTTTGGGGTCCACAAAATGATAGACGCAATTAAGTAATTTTTTGTTTATTTAAAAGAATTTTGAGTTAACCTGCTCTTATTACACTTCCTCGTGTTCTCTGTCGTATTAGAAAGGTAATTACATTTATATCCGCTGTACTTCATCGACGCAGTGGCCTTATGAGCCATTTCCGACCTTGTACATGAGGTAAATATTCGGTTTGAAAAAAACTGTAGGTGATTCTGTTTTCTTGGGCGAAAAACTAGCTAATACTATCACATTATACGTGTAGATCTCACTGATGAAAAAAAACGGCTTGCTCAAGGATCCCGAGCATTTTCTTGGCATATCATCTTCAACAACTAGCTACCTTAATACTTTTAGACCCCCGAAATACCAAGGCGATCAAAGAGAATGACAAAATTTAATTTGCAAATTCGAACTGAGCATGCCTGAAAACGTAATGTTTTAATCATCAGCCGTTACAGAATACCTTTAGTCGGTAACGTCGTTCGACAAAAAAAAGTTCACAAAAATAGGCTTGTTTTTACACGTTTATCTTTAATCAATCATCTGTCAATCATCATGACATTTAAGCAGGCAATAAGTTGCGGTTTTAGGTTTGTTAACATGCTGAGTTTGATTTTCTGAGCAAAAAATTGACATCGATAGTAATCTTCTGTACTTTTAGAGCCTTTGAAGGTTACTGTAGAAGGTATACGGTAACTTAATGGTCGATTAAATGACTTCAAGCGAATCGGTATTGGTTTATTTTATGTCTTATATTTGCAACTAGTAATCTATGATGGTTTAAGATGGTTTTTTGGCGAAAGCAAAATCGTTAATCAAATTTTTTTTCAAACGAATTTTTACCCCATGTACAAGGTCGGAAATGGCTCATAAGGCCACTGCGTCGATGAAGTACAGCGGATATAAATGTAATTACCTTTCTAATACGACAGAGAACACGAGGAAGTGTAATAAGAGCAGGTTAACTCAAAATTCTTTTAAATAAACAAAAAATTACTTAATTGCGTCTATCATTTTGTGGACCCCAAAAAAGTCTAAAAATGTCATATCTCAGTCAAGGCAAAATTTTGTTCCAAAATCGCTACGGGACATGAATTCTCGTTTAATTTGCCACATTTCATCTGTTGAACATTATTCGATATCATTTAGTACAAGGAAGATAATCGCTAAAAACAGGGTGCGTCTATCATTTCGTGGAGCAGTGTATGTGGCATATGCCCGAAGTGTGCACAAAATTTAAAGAAAATCTGCGCGCCGCACTTGGGGGTACTTCCGAGCAGCGTAGCTGGAGAATTGGTCGGAGCTACCTACCACCCCCCCCTTGTGAGATGCAGTTTTTTCCACATGATCGGGCTATATAACAAACCGGACTTACAATACTTTGTCATCCGTCGAGGCCTCCTTCGGTAAGTTCCTCCAACTCTCCCGTCTTTTCTCCCTTTCCATTAAGGCATCCGGACTTTGATTGCTCGAATAAAAAGGAGATCTCTGGCCATTGAACTCTCTTTTCAGAACACCAGGACTAGACCGATGGGCAAAAGGACTTCTGGTAAGTAAATCAGAGCTATCAATGTCATCGAATCCTCCTTCATCACCTCCGGGACCTTCATCATCGCTGAATCTGAGACTTCTCTCCAAGGGATCTCTTGTCCGTCCATTCATCCGCTTCTTGTTTTTGAGTTCCCTCTCCTTTTCTTTGGCTTCTCTTTCTTCCTAAAGATAATGCATGTAATATCACAAACATGAGTTCAAAACCATATCGCTTGAACTCTTACCTGTTCCTTCTTCTTTAATTTCTCCAACCTCTGCTGTTTTAGCGCTTCGTCTTGATTTTTCCTAGAACATATTTTGCAGTTGGCGTCGTATAAATGGGAGCCATGTTTTGAAGTCGTATCTCTCATAGCGTCGCCAAGGATGTCATCAAGAGCAGTCTAAATGATAATTTAAAAAACAAAAAACTATTGCAAAGTAATTTCATTTCGTTCAAAGACTCAAATTGCCTAAAATAATTTTTTTCATGCAAATTTAAACAGAACCTTCGAAACCTTGAGAAATTAAAAATTTTAGAATACTCGATTACTCGATGTTCCAAAGAGCTAGAATAAACGGGAAACTACATGTTTCTGAAATCCAACCTGTCGAAATTTCCGACCGAAGAAAAACGATTACTACTTTTTTTCATTTGCACACCTTTGTTTTACAATTAAAAAAATACCTTTGGAACGTTGTCGCAGGCGGCAAGCTCAACTTTAGGAATTCTGTCAAGGGGCTTAAATTTCTTCTTTAGCAGATCAAACTCGATTGGCTTCTTCGGTTTGGTAACTTCGACTGGAACAGTCGACGTGGATGGCTCTTCTGTGATGTCCAAAACACCTGCTTCTATTGTGTCAATCTTCTGGACTTCTTCTTCTAGCTGTTTCCCATGTAACTTGACTAATTCCGATAGTTTTAATGGATTTTCTATTAACACGTCGAGAAATGTCTAAAGGACAATGGATAAACATAAAATTACACTTACCTTGCCACAATTCTTCACACATCGAATAAATAATCTGAACCAACTTTTATAATTTTCATCTCTGACGTTCTTGTACTCATTGAAGAGGTCATATTCCACTTGAAATCCCAATTCCTTAGCTCGATGAGTGTTGTAAATGTCATGGAATTTGAAACGGTCCGTAAAAACTTTCTGGACAATCTCACGAATCTGTCGGCGAACAGCACCCATCGAGTCTCCGGCTTCCCGCTGGCGTTCTGAAAAAAATAAGATTAATTTGAAGATAAATAATGTAAAAAAAAATATATGATGCTGAAGTTACCTCTGATAACAGGTTCGAAAGAAGGATCCCTGAGTAAGAAGGCCTCCAGTTTCTTGAGAGGTGGGACCTCGCCCGCATATTTACGCCCTTTTCTATCCATCAAGAAAAGCTCATCGTTCTCAGTCATTGTTTTCATGAGGGATATAACTTTCTTGGTAATGCATTTGGTAGAACAATAAAACGTCCCACGATCTGGTAGGAACTCCCGATCTTTCATGGATTTTCCACAGACCTTACAACTTTCAGAGATCAACTTAATCTTCTTGGTTGGCGGCTTTAAAGACGACACTGAAGATGTAGTAGGCGTTGGCGTTTCTGTTTTGGACCGTTTTCTCTTCCTAGGCTCCACGGGTACCTCATCTAGGATACACAGTAACGAAATTCGTGGAAATCCCCTTACCTAATTTCTTCCGTTTTTTTTCTTTCTTCTGGACCTTAATTTTTTCCTCCTTTGGTTCTGATATTGGTAGTGATATTTTATTATCCTGTTGTATGTAGCAAAAAGGATTAAATCCAAACTTTTTCGCCAATTCAACTTCCCATTTAGGTACCTAAAATCAAGATAAAACCAATTCTCAAACTTCCTACCTTTAAAACAAGTCCATTAATCTCTCTGGTTTCATATTCACATTCTGGACCTTGTGCCCGATCTTGTACTTCTGCTTTTGGTTCTGGGGTCATTGGCGGGATCTTTTCATCAATTAGAGAACCATACGAAGTTGCCTCGATATTAGGTTCTTCGGCTTCGTCTTTATTATGCACCCTTTCAGATGAAGTTCCCTCCACATTGCACTCACTTGTTTCCATAACTTCTTCATTTCTCTCCACGACAGCATCTTCCATTTCCGCTGGGTCAACTTGATTATCGTCGAAACTTTCTTTTTGAGACGACAGTCCTTCCTCTATATGTTCAATCTTTTCCATGAAATTAGACTCATCCTCTTCCATAACTTCATCTTGGAGCTCCAATTCTTCCTCATCGACCTTCATAAAATCCAATTGAGGCTCCTCAAGTTGTTCTTTGGCGTCCAACAAACTGTTTTGATTGAGATCATCTCCATTATCTTCGTCGGCGATAATTAAATCATTTGGACCTGGAGTAATCAGTCTTGGATCCTCTAATAGTGGAGATTCCTCGTCGTCGGCCATGAAAGCCGGACCATAAATAATTAAATATTCCAAGCGACCTGAAAAAACAACAAAAATAAAGTGTACAGATAATCTCCAATAACGGCAGAAAAAATCTCTCGCGAACAGATATTTACAAACCTTGACGATTTCTCCACAGAGGCCAGTAATTTTCGCGACAAAATCTATCTTTTCTTCGTTGCGAAGTGCCACTGAATTCTTCGGAAAATAGCCGAAACGAAATGTCACACAATCTATCGGACTCTCAACGAAATGTCACACAAGAAAGTTGAATAATGGGAGAAGAGATGTATTGTATTAGATGGAAAACGAATAATTACTCGAATGATTCACGCTCGAGAAGTTGTATGTGGTTAACACTTTGATCAACTTTTTCTCGGATTACCTTTCTTATCATGTTTTATGTAATCTGATATTAAACGAGAGATACGTGAAAGTTTACGGTAGATTCTGTTTCCTAAGTAATGCTCGAAATAACTGTGCCATTCGTCAAGAATCTTGTAGTGTTGTTATCTTATTTTTGGTGTCAGGTCAGTGGAACCCCGGGGCGGGGAACAGCTGGGCCTTCCGGATGAGTCACTTGGCCACTCCTTCGAACAGGATCGAGACGAGGAAAGGAACGGATTTTTATTCTTGAGCGGAGGGGTTTCGAGATTCCTCTCCGATTGATCTCGTGTTTTCCCTTCCGAGATCTTGTCCATTGTCATCCGAAATTGTCGAGTTTTCATTTCAGGTCATGGCTAATCTCGATTCGCTTGCCAAACGTTTGGAAGATGTGACCACCAGGTTGGAAACCTTGGCCAACTTGAAGCCTGCGTTACCACCAAAGCCTGTGACTTCTTCTGGTTCTAACAGTGAGTGGTTTATGTTTTGTGACGTTTTGATTGTTTAGTTGTCGTCAGTTCTTCTGATGTCCCCCATACGATAAAACAATTCGATGATGAAGTTGGAGATGCTTTGAAAGGATTTTTGAGCGTCTCGAAAAACGTCGGTGGTGATGTTGGGACTATGGTGGGTTGTAGAAACATTGCCTATCGGGGTCTTATTTCCCTAATAATGGTTTAAAAAATATATTCTCTGTATTTCAGAGCGACAAGGTGAATGTTGTTTTTGAGCTCCTTAGAAATTACATTTGGTATGCCGCTGGTCGAAAACAAGCGAGCCAAGAAGAAGTGGCCCAGAAAATGAAGCCGATTATGAAGTTATTGGAAGAAATCGGAGAGCTGAAGGAGTCCAAGAGAAATACACCCACCTACAACCACCTCTGTGCTGTCGCCGATGGAATCCCGGCAGTTGGGTGGGTTACTGTGGTATGTTTTCCTGCCTTTTTATCCCATCGCTGTATTTTTTACAAATGTATAATTTAAGACACCAACTCCAGCACCGTACGTGAAGGAGATGATCGATGTATCCATGTTTTACGTTAACCGAGTCAGAAGTGAGAATAAGACCAATCAAACTCACACGGATTGGACCAAGGCGTGGTGTGACCTTCTGACAGCTCTCCAGAAATACGTCAAGTCCAGTCACACTACTGGCCTCACTTGGAATTCGTCACCCGTGAGTTGAATTTCATTCCTATTTATAACCAAAGCGATGGAGGATATCGTTTTTTTATAGGGCACAGGTCCTCCAGAAGTTCGTTTCTCAGCTGGGACAGTTCCAGCACCGCCTGCTGGGGGACCTCCACCACCCCCGCCTCCTCCACCAGCTGGTAAGTCTCGAAATTTCGACGTTTTTCTTTCGATCACGTAATTTTGGTGTTTCTGATGTGTAAAGTCTTATTAGAAAAGGTGATTCATGCTATGATTTTAGGCTTTTTTGATGAAAGCAAGCCTAAGGCCCCGTCCGGGGGCAACGACGCCCGGCAAGCTCTATTTGCTGAGCTCAACAAGGGAGAGGCGATTACTTCAGGTTTGAAGAAGGTCACTGATGACATGAAGACTCACAAAAACCCCAATCTTAGAGGGAATGTAGGTGTCTTCCTGATTGCAGAGTGGATTAGAGCCATAAAATAATACGCTATAATTTTAGACATCTATCCCCTCAAAGGTTGGTGGCTCACTTTCCAAGGTACCTGCCGCGGCAAAGCCAGTGGTCGAGAAACCTCCCAGGACAGAACTTCGGGATGGAAAATTCTGGGAAGTTGTAAGTTTTGAACCTTGTATATCATGTAATTGATCTTTTTACAGGAATACCACAAGAACAATAAGAATATTATAATCGAAGTGAAGGACATGAAACAAGTCGTCTACATCTTTAAATGCGAGGGATCTGTTGTACAGATCAAAGGGAAGTGTAATTCGGTGACAATTGACAACTGCAAGAAGACCAGTGTCGTTTTCGATAACCTGCTGGCTCAGGTGGAGATCATCAACAGTCAGAGTGTGGAAGTCCAATCAATGGGAACTCTTCCCACCATCTCTATTCAGAAGACGGATGGATGTCAAGTTTACTTGTCCAAGGATTCGATTAATGCCGAGATCGTTACTTCAAAGTCCTCGGAAATGAATGTCCTTGTACCTGTTGGAGATGACTTTGTAGGTTTTCCATATTGAATTGGGGTTACGTGTCAAATAGATAAAGGTTTCCACGCGGAATGTTACATGCCCTCCGATCTGGTCTTTGTTACGCAGTTATCACATGACAGTTTTTACTGTTTCATAGTTTTTGCGAGAAACCATTGGGTTTATTTAATCTCGTACCTTCAAAATGGGCGTAAAGAGAAGGGCAATTAGTGAAACAAATGGAGACTTTATACTCCATATTGAATGCAATGACTTTAATTATGGAGACAAGGAATGTCTATTCATACACATATTTTTTAGATCGAATTGCCAATCCCGGAACAGTTCAAGACAACCTTCAACCCTACAACCAAGAAGCTGGTCACGGGCGTCTCCGATATCGTTTAAAGCTCAAGTCTAATATAATCTCTGTGAAGTCACGTAATTATGGCCAGAGGGCTAATAAACTGATTAATACGTCTATTTGGAGGTTCGATTATTAAGGTCTGCTGGGTCACTATTCCAGAAGGTGATAATAAGCCCAATGGAAATGTATTTCCGCCCGCCCGGAGAGAGTTATCTCGAGATAAAATATTCGTAGATAATCCAAGATTAAATCCTCGGGCCAGACGTTTCAGAAAAAGACAGTTCAGATTACGCGCTCTGAGGGTATTAATTCATTTTTCATTATCTCAACATTTTTGGACGGTAATATAGCTTTAGATTCCAATCTCTTTAATATTCATTCTCTGTAAAGTGCATATCTAAAGGCATATGTATGTATGGATAGTAATTGTAATTTTACAACTTCGATTACTCTTATGCATGCAAGGGAATTCTCTGGGGTTTCATAAATTAATAAAGGCGTCTATTTTTGGTTTAGTTACGTGCATGTCCGCACGGACCCAAAGCTTTTGCGTTATTCAATATATTGTAATGTGAGCCAATTTAATCCGATTTCGCTTGTGATATTCGTGTAGTCATAATGGTTGATACATAGCTAACCATGCATAGTCGGACTGTTTTAGGAATAGTTAAAACATACCGATGACATAGACATTCATAATAACATTGAAGTTGAACCCCAGCTGAACTTTCTGCATGACTTAAAACGACTACTTTATGCACTTTAGTCGGAAATACAACTCATCTCTTATAATTACATCTGATCCGCCAACTTTACGGCTCTGCACTTCCCTGCACTTTCAAAACATTTGCCCTTTTGGATATTCCCTTCTCTTTTATGGCCGTTCTTTACTCTCATTTTTGCATCTATATCGGTCTTGTGCCCCGAAGGCATGGCCGGGGAAGGGGGCAATGTTTCCAGACATTGTTTCACTTCTGTTTCTTTTTTTTGCGCATTTTTGCACTTTCCCGTGTCGGCCGCAGGCAGCTCGCGAGGCCGGACGAATGGAACGGCATCGGCCTCTTTCCATCTTCTTCTTCTTCCCCTCTGTTTTTTTTTGTTTGCTCCAAGTGCCTTGCTTGAAGTGCCCCGGGCCGAATTCGAGAACAAGCGGAGCAACTGTCCGCCGAAAAAACCGCCCACGTATGGGCAAGTATAAGGAAAAAAGAATCCTGGCCCGTTCTACAAGGCTACTGCTGTTTCTTACTCGATTGGACTGCCCAAAAGATTTTCCTTTTTTGGGCCTACGGGGTCAAAGTTGAACGCCCCGCCGCGAGGGAATACTTTTACGTTCTTTCTCACGATGCAATTACTGTCGAGGAAGTGGTAGCTTTTTTATGTCATCATGTCCTCTTTGTATCAGCATGACATTCGTCAAGTCCCGTAATCTTGGCGTCCTCTCTCATTCACTTTTCTGCATACATTTTGCAGTTATTATTATAATTACATTGTAGTTATTACATTTGACAATTTTTTCGTCCCTAAATATAAACGGAGAGAAACCTTTAATCGGATTGGGAAGCAAAGGAAGCCCTCAGGGTGTGAAGGAAATGAAAGTGCGAGAGGGCAAAGGTATGTGTACATACAAGGCCGAGCATGTGGGGCTGCAGACGCTTGGGATTAGCATTTTGGATATCTCTTTAGCCGGACCCTTCCAATAATCCGTCAAAGAATCGGAGGCCTTCTCTGGACGAGTTGCACTTTTAATACTTGGTGTTTTCTTTTAAAGTAACTGTTTTTATTTTCCCTTCCTTCATTTGCTTTTTGTTTCATTTCTCACGCCCCATTTCTCCAGTCTGCCCGTCGATAATCTGGCTTGGCGTCTCTTATCACTGCCGGGTTCCTTTCGTCTATAATCACGTGTAATTTATTGGGATTATTAATTGGGAAAGTCACAAGAATCCGTCTGTAAGATCTTTTTGGTCTGACAGACATTTTATGTGCTTGGGACTCAAAAAATTTTCATGATCTATGGTCTCTATTTATTACAATATCAGCTTGGGCATTATTCATAGCCACGCCATCGTAATCTCAATTTATAGCAAGTTTAAAATCGCAGACGACCATTAATGACGCTGTGATAACTTTTAAACTCTTACCCACAACGTTCTTTGTTGAATTAACAACAAAATCCGAGTTTATATTTTCTGAAAATTGTCGCAGGACCGGCATCTAGAAGGTTTCCTCTCCGTGTTACATCATCGGAACGACATGCTGAGATCATTCTCTTTTCGTTGTTCTACTTTCCGTTTCTCCCAGACAGAACGATCGTATTCTCTTGTTTCTTTTTTCATGTTTGTAAACGTTCCCCAAATTCCTCTCGGCTGTTATAATGGCGGTACTACAAAGCTGGTTTGGTATAACTTGATGCCGGTTCCTGGTTTGTTTGCGCTTTTTCGGCATTGAAAGATTATTGTCATACATTTAAAAGTTTGTTTTTGGCTCGTTTGACTCTGGGGAAGCAGCATAACAGCAGCATTGAAACAACACTCTCGGAACCCCTCTAAACAAGCTTGGCGGGGCGAAAAGAACGAACAGGAAAACAGAGAGAACGTGGGTAAATACGAGAGAGCGGACGTCGGAGGAATCGACCGAATGGTCTGATAGGTCTGAAAGTGCAGACAGGGGCGGAGCCTGGGGTTTTTTGTTCGCGGCGCAGTTGGTGGAGAGGTCGAGAGATGGAAGAGTGCAGACAACATCTTGTCAAAACTTTTTGAGCCCTTTCTCCCTAAAAAAAGTTTCCGGGAGCTAGATGCACTCACGGGCAGGACAGCGCCTTCCAAAACGTCTACTGTAATCCGTCGGCACCTGGGAGACCTGATTGTGAGAGAAGCGCGGCAAGTGCATTCGGCCGCAGGGTCCAGCGCGGAATAAAGCGGCTTAGCAGAAAAGACGGGCCAACTAGACCCAGCAAAAGGATGCCAGCGGGGTTTTTTGAAAGTACTTTGTCTATATTTACTGCCCTTTCTGTCCGTCTCTGAATTCCCGCACCATCTCGCCCCGAAAACAAAATAAATGTTATTTTTTGTTTCGGGCGGAATTTCAGTATTTCGAATGGAAATAAGTATTTCGGCGATGAAATTTCCCAAAACGTCAAGTGCATTTTGTGCAAAAATTTGTTGGGTATCGTAATTGTAGGCGTGGTGAATGTAATAGGGCAACTCTTATTGGAGTCTGCATTTAATGTACATTACAATTACTTTTCCTTATCAAGACTTTTCTTTTTTTTCAAAAGTTCACGTGACTTTTAGTCTTGACTGTTCACTTTTCTTCCTTATGTCATCTCGGGATGACTCATCACCTTATGACAAGAAATCGCTGACATTACCGTACTTTTTGATTGGTTATCCGTTTATTTTTTTGTCTGCCAACTATCTTTCGTCAACTGGCTTCCGCTTTCTTTTTTATCCATGTTTTTGTTTGATCAAATTGTTTCAAAAGTCTTCCCAAGTTTTGTCACATTTCCCTGACGAACAACTTGTTGTTATTTTTATCCTTCCCTTTGATACGTTGTTTATAATGCTTGCATCCGCAGCGTTTCGAAAAGTAATTGTTTATTCCTAAAATATTTATTTATCGTCTACTTATCCTGTCTTCTCGCTTTGTACTTCGCATAGCTGTTCCCTGCCCCCTCCCTCCCTCGATCCCTTTTTGTGACCCCAAAACGAACGCAGTCTGCATTTCTGAGCGAATTTAGTTTAGAAGGTAAATCAAGGTATGATACGAAACGCGGTCAGCGGGATCTACACCCATTAAAACATTAATTGATTGTGGGTTGGCCCCTTAGGAGACGGAGTTATTTCTTAATGAACACATATTAGGATGATATCAGACTTCGGCATTGGTTAGTTCTGAAACAGTATACATTTGACTTGACCTTCTTAAACAAGTAACAGGACTAGCAATGTCATCGGACAACCCCAACGATTTCGTCGTTTTGATGATTAAAAACCATCCCCCAGAGCGCAGAAAACGATCAAAATAAACGTTCGACCAGCTCGAACTCGTTTGGCGCCGAGAGTGCGGTGCACCGACCGACAAAAGGAATTCCAGTGTTTACCCAACCAGCATACATGCACATAGATGCAACAGAGCGCGCCGTCTTATATTTTCCGTCTTCTTGTCTCTGCTTCCACACGTTTTGTCGCGTGCACTTAATTGTTTCACATTTCAAAAGGTCCCTTTTTTCTCTCCTCGGCAGTGTCTAAAACAAGCGCAGCGGGGCCGGCTGGCAGCCCGGACTGAAGGGCTGACTGGCTGTGGGGCGACAACGCTATCTTCACCCCTATCGCACCGCCGTCGACGTCGCCTCGCCCCTTGTGTGTATTTATTTTTGAAACGCGACTGCTCTCTTTCCCTGTTTATGTTGTTCCCACATGTTTAATGTTAAAAGAGTGTTTTTGCACTTTATTTCTTTAAAATGGTATTTACGCGCAAAACATCGAGCCTTGTGACATGAATTAGATTTGCATAGGAGGTTCCTCCCAGACTAACGCCCTCTTATTTATATGCGCTATTGTTTCTTGTTGTTTTGCAGCAACATAAACAACAACATTACGTTTTCCTCTTCCTCTTGGCAGGAAAAACCGTGTGATAATGCAATAACAAGCTGTCGTATCCCTTATTTATCTGACTAAATTAAAGGGAAAAGCTCCAGCCTTTAGCAATGTCATCGGAGGAGCTATTATCCAACCTCAACTGCTCACCAACGTCATCATCGGTGGAGCCCTCCAAGGTAGACCAGGAAATGAGTTCCAGTCCAATGGAGCCCAGCCAAAGTCCACCTGGAACAGGCTCAAGTTCATTGGATGAGTTTCTCTCGGCACGATTGGCCACTCTGCCCGATGAGAAAGAAGAGCGACCATCGCTTTCGTACAAGGATCTCATCATTGAGGCGATCGAGAGCAGTCCAGAGAAAAGACTCAAACTCAGTGAGATTTACCAGGTAAATTCCTTTGTCATCACAACGTGACAATTCTAATTCATTCCCCCTAGTGTCGGAACGAGGGAACGTGTGGATCTTTTGGAGAAATATTCCAATAGAATCCGTATTATTTTATGCAAATTAATACTTCTTCCGGATAAGAAGGATCCAATAATCAATGACCAGGATTTTAGTATGGGTCACGAAAGTCTAAATTTGACGTACTTATATTAGTTCCAAGAAACCGTGGATTATCAAATTTTCCCGTGTTTCTCGACTTTTATCTTTTTATATTCGTTTGCGACTTATCATTAGCAATTACCGTCAGACAGATACTAACGATGCCCCCCCCCCCATCTCCTAATCTTCTTTGTTCGATTTTCTACCCTCATTTAAAGCTAACATTTGCGATCTTTAAGGTAATTCGTTATCTGCATCCGTATTACCGTAAACGAGCCGACCAATGGGGCTGGCAGAATTCGATACGTCACAACCTCAGTTTGCACGATTGCTTTGTGAAACTGCCGTTGAAACAAACATCTGCAAGTGGAGTAGTGGGTAAGGAAAACGAATAATCTCTGACGATTATCCTTTTAAGGTCATTTTTGGACCGTAGTCAGAGACAATGAAGACAAGCAGGGATCATCCAGAAGGAGAAATCGCAACGGAACTAAGCTCACACGATGTTCAAGCGGGAAATTGGGAGGGATCAACAATAACAAGAAAGGAAGATTAAGTGTGAACATCGAAAATGGAGTCATGAGTGATGAAAGTCAGTCAAATTCGCCGACAGTCATGCTTCTGGATGTTGCACGGAAAGAAAGCGGTCTGCTGAACAGTGTGTCGTCAGCTCCTCAACTCCACAGACCAATCCCGTCTTATCTACCCGAGGTCAACGAGGGTCAAGTCAATCAGCCCAATCTTCTTGCCGCAGTTGCACTCAGTCAATTAGCCAATCCATCCCCATCTACACCCACTACTAACAATGTGGAAACATCGCCGGATCCACGGATTCCCACACCCAATCAATCACAGTCGCTGCTCTCACGACTTGCATTATCTGCCCTTCTAGAAGAACAGAACGCCGTCACATCGACCGCTTCCTCTTCCACTTCAACCAACCCTTTACTTAACCAACTTGTGCCTAATGTCAGCGACCAATTACAGCGACTTCAACTTCTTAACTTATACTTGTACCAGCAAGGGCTAATACAGCAATTGGTGGATAACATCGCCCTAAATCAGCAACCTCAAACACCGTCCATTGCCACCAATGTCTTGACTCAGCTTCTTCTAAACAGAGTTCAGCAAAATAAGTCTCCAATTACCCCAATGTCACTGGCATCCACAACCGTTCCGACCACCCCAGAAGTTGCCATATCTCAACCAACAACCATGATGACAAGTCATCAACCGGAAGAATTGAACCAATTGCAACAACAACTACTCAACTTGGTTGGGCAACTTCAGAATGGTCAGTTAAATGGAGTTCCGGTTACTCCTCCCATCAATGGCTCCATCTCAGCGTCGGTATCCGACAGTCCGAACAAGGACAATTTGGTCGCCATCTGAACGATAATACCTTTTAAAGGATGTGGATGTTGTTGTTCATAATTCAAAGGACAAGTGGTTATTGTGATCGCGTGTCTATCAGCCATACTGTAGCTGTTGTTGCGTTACGTCTGGCTTGGATCTTATACATGACTTTGCTGCCTCCGATAAGGATATCCCAAGTTTCCTTTAATCACCTGTCGGATCTCTTCCCCCTACGTCCAGTCGGTCCACTGAGGTCGATGCTGGAGTCAGTCGTCTGCCCTCCAGACAAGCAGTCGAGTCTGACCCCTGATCGGCAGAGATCACACCGGTGAGAGGACCGTCTCACATCCCAGTACGTGTAATAACCCCTGTTACGAGAATATATACCGGTTACTATTCCATCTAATCAATCCAATCCCAGTTTCTTTCTCCGTACTTGATCTCATCGGGATCAATCTTTATTTTTAACTTTACATCGACCTTCCCCTTCCGGTTCCTTCCTTGATATGATAAGTTTTATATTGTTGTTTCCCACAAATTCTATGCCATCTGGACTCGAGACTTTTATGATTTGGTCGGGATTTGTTATGAATAAATTAAATATTGGTTGACTTGATGTGCTGTTGACTACCAGAAGGATTGGACAAGAGCGCGCCATACCTTTTTGCTTTTATCTCTCCTGTTCTTACCTAAAAATACTGTGTAATTAGTGATTTACCTCATTTAATTAGACTCTGCCAATTAAATGCTTTTTTTGCAAATTTTGGATGAACCTAATCTTGGAATATCGGATAAGCCGTACCATGGCCCGAATGTTGTTGGAATAAGAGATTAACTAGGGTCTCAATAACGCCATCAATCTAATTTCCTTTCGTCGTTCCTTTTTTTATAGGCGATCCCATCTATCAAAATATTCTTGCACTTTTACCAAGACTTCTTATTCAGATGGTATTAGAGGATAAACGCATCTGATTAGGGACTTAACCACGTGTGGTCCAAGAGGATATCTCCAAAAAGTTTATCGCAACAGAATTCGTTTTTTCAAACCCCTCCCCCGTTTACGTACCTTTGCAGAAATCAGCTTTATTCGATGTATCAGCTTCCGAACAATCTTCATTAAGATCTTCTGAATCGACGTCTTCATGATATTCTACATCGCCCATCTCAAAAAACATGTGTTCTACCATCAAAAAAGATAAGTAAAGTATCTCCTCTTTCTCTCCAATTACTGTGGCCAATAATGCCAAACACTGGAGGAACGACAAATGGAGGAACTTTTTGTCATTATCGTAGAGGTTCTGAGTCCATCTTGATTCAAGAAAATGTGTTTCTCCATTGCTGACCGTTGTCATCTCTCGTCTACGAATGCGTTTATAAGTCAGGAACTTAGGGAAGAAAGCTCTCCAATCATTTAAAGAATTCTGAAATAAATAAATTAGCGTTTCAAAAACAGTTATTTACCTCCTCATCATCCGGTTCTAAACTTGGAAGTCTGTCCTTTGAAAAATCGAGAAAAAGGATTTGCCTCCGGTTCATGTCGAGATATGCAGACGACTCATCTACATCTTGTTGGTTCGACAGTGAACGATAAGGAGCTAAAAAGATATGTAGTACCACAAACAAGCCAAACTTACCGTATAAGGACCTCTGCGACGTCGAAGGTGCAGTCGAATGATCAAGCGGGAAACACTCCCTGAATATCTTCTCCTTGGATGACAAGAAAATCCTCTCTGGCAGACACGTCTGCACTTTCCTCTCCCTATTCCACTTGCCCAAATGGTACATTCTTTTCATTGTTATCGATGTTAGGTTAATATCATCATTATTCCTTCAAATTGGACAATCTTTAAAAATCACCTTACTTCGTGGATAACACTTGATCCACAGACTTTCCAGATCTTATCTGCGTTTTCATGGTGAGTTGTAAAAGCCAAGCACGGACATTAAACAGGTGTTTACCACTCTCTTCGTCCCCAACACTTACAAAGTCCTGCGAGAAAATCAAAGTTAAAGTGAACAACAGAACTGATAACATTCTCGTCTCGAATGAAAGTAGCCCGCTAAAATGAAACCGTCGGTCATATCAAAACAAAATAGCACACTAACTAAATCATAGATGTCCTGAAATCAAAAGTCATCAAACATCGAAGGAAAGCCTTGGGGCCAACCACGTCGGCCTCTTCCAGGAGTTCGTCAACATGTTTACTACTCATTGGGAAATGTTTTTTAATCCAAGACTGATCGAAAAACGGCTTGGGCTCCAATATAAACCCTTGGATCACTTTAATTCTATTGTATAACTCCAAAGGCAAATTGAGATCATAAAGAAATCTTTTGAGAATCTGAAAAAAAAACATTATAAATCTCAAGCAAAATATATATGCACATACCATTTCAGATGAGGGAGTAGGACAGACTTGCGGTATTTGGAGAACTGATAAGAACATGGACAGCAGAGAATATCCTTCGATGAGAGGCGTTACCTAAAACGCAAATAATACCACCGTTTGTGAAACAATGACATACCCCGCTGATCATTTGAGTAAAGAAAACCCGATTCGTCATCTTTTTTGCAGGATTTTCTTGGTCATGATCGGCAGCTTGGACCAGCGAGAGGATTTGCATTTTGGATATTTTAAACCGATCTTCCCTGTGCCATCTGAAGATATATATTTCTCATTTTATACCAGACGTCTACCTCAGCAGATCTGAGTATAAGATGTTCCTCTTCCCGAGTAAAATAAGGCTAGTATAAGTTATCGCCAAGAGTAAATCAATGCCAAGATAAACCCTGGCTGCCAAACGGATTGAAGGAATCGAAAGTTTTAAATTAACGTTCTCGATCAAATCGACGGCCAATGCTCTCTCGGGCTCCCGATCTTCCTGGAACATCTATCCAAATATACTTTATGACCTTACAACTTGAGTGACTTGTTCAAATACATTCATCTGTGATCTCCTCAATTCCTTTTCAGCCTTGTTTCTTTCCTTTTCCTTTATCTTCAGTTCCTTCATTTCTTTCTTTATCTCACTGAAAGCGACCAAAAAGGATTCGGCAAAACCTCGCCCCTAGTTTTTTCGTGAAACATACACGGCTTGAAACAGTGTAAAAAACTGAATGGATAATGGCCGCGAATCGCAAAATGACCGAAGAGTTCCATAATTACCGCGCTCAGCAATGACCGGAGTCAATAATGATCGCAGAATTCCTGACAAGAAAAGTAAATACTTTTATGGGGGCTCCTACTTTTCGACGAGACGTATGTCAAAAAATCCGAAAAATTGTGCTGATTAAGAATATGTAAAAATTAGCTGCCCAATTTTGGGTTTTAGGAGTGAAAAATCAATCTTAAGTTGACTTTGCCCTATATAAACCCCTGTTCGTTAAATCGTTCACATGTTTACAAATTTTATTTAAGGGGAATCGAACCCATGCGGCGTCAGCCCTCTTGATCTCAAGATTACGGCACAAGCCACTAGGCCACACCGCTCTCTTCCGGAGGAACAGACCGACCGCGTTTTTTACCCTTCAGGAAAAAATCTGACCCCTTCAAATGGTATTGTTACAAAAAAAACAAGGGGACTTGTTTTGTTGAGCCCTTGTAGGTCTATGTGTGTGAATGAAAAATGCTTTTCACAACTTATGTTTAGCAAAAATGATTTCTTTCGTAGAAAACTCATTTTTGCTGAAGAGAATTCCCTAGAAAGCATAATTTTCAGTAGATGTGGGTATATAATAGTATTGAAAATTGATTTGAAACAGTAATAACTAGTAAAGATTGTTAAGTTGCTATACCCGATCTACCGCAAATGAAGTCTGCCGAAGTTGCAAAAATGAAACTTTCTAGTGAAACACCATTCAAGTCTATCGAAAAAATAAGTTTCTATGAAGAAGCATTTTCATTCTAATTTTAAGCAAAGAAAATTTTAACAAACAACTGCACCGGAAATGGTAACAACTTACACGTTGGTTTTTTGCATTATCATCTTAAATTGTTTTTCTTCATCTGCATCCACTTCAGAGTCAACAAATGCAACATTAAATTTTATCAAATATTTTTGATACAAAGAAATTACAACGCCCTAAACGGAACAGTGAAACGTTGAATATAAAGTTAAACATACCTTTAATTCAGAGGAAACTTTCAACTCTTTCTCTAAAAACCTGCTGATCTTGACCAACAGAAGGGCCGCAGTGGTTAATCTCTTTCCAACAGTAGCCGAGAACCGCGGGTAATCTGAATAAGAAGTGACTGAATGAAGAACATCAGCCTCTTTCACAACCGCTTCTCTTGGTGGAGGAGCTCTCCTTTCCTTGTCTTTGGGTGTTCGTAGAATACTGGCATTCGTTAGACTAGGACCTAACGTATCATACCGATCAGCTTCTAATTCTAGTTCACGAAGAGTCTGAATAAAGAATCAGAATCAAAGTTGAATGAAAAAGGAAAATTGTGTAAAGACCTACCAAAATCTGTTGGCCACAATTTCGGCAGTAATATAACCCATCCAACACGGTAAACTGGGTATTTCCACATTGATTACAGATATTCATAGAAAACAAGTAACAACAACAAAAAAAACAAAAAGAATTACAAAAAATATTATTTTGCTATCCGATTTTGAATATTCGGTCGTATAAAATGACCAAGGGAGTCGGCTGCAGCTCGCGAATGTTTTTTGTTGCATAAATTGTTGATGTACGTACGTGTACATAATTTTGATAAAAGAGTGGTAATTCCTGTAAATAGAACTTGCAATGAGCGAAGCTGGCCCTTCTGAACATTACCGAGACGCCATCAACCAGCTGAAAGAGATATGTGCAATCACTGATGAGCTGGCCCTCAGCTTATTGAGGAATGCGAATTGGAATGTCGATGCTGCTGTTAGAAACTTCTTTGAGGTAAGCATTTCATTAATTTGGTAATGAAATTATTTAATGTTTAGGGAGGAAACGTACAAGACGAGGAAAGCGATTATTCAGAAGAGGATGCACCGGACGCCATTAATGACAACGATGCCCAAAACGATATTGTACAGAGCTCAAACAACCGACCTCAAAGCTTTTTTGGGTGGATAACCAGTCTGATCTCGATACCCATGAGGTTGATTTTGTGGTCTCTGCGAGATCTCATTGGTTTCTTTTGTAAGTGCTCCATTTTTATATATTTTACGTTTTAGATAATGTATTTGGCGGTCCACCATTGTCTGTGGCGGATCCGCGAGACGAAATCCAAAATTTTGTGACAGAATTCCAGCGAAAGTATGATCCCGATGGTACACTGCCATGGTTAAACATGCCTTACAGTAATGTGAGCGAACTTTTAAACACTGAGTGATTGTTGCTTTAGGCTGTTAGTGAAGCGCGTAGGCAGGTAAAGTATTTGGTTGTATACCTCCACAATCCGTCCAGTCCAAGTGCCGATATATTTGCCCGAGGTTATCTTCTTTCCCCAAGATTTATCGAGTTCATGGCCAGAAATGAATGCCTGATTTGGGGAGCGTCCATTCGCACATCTGAAGGTTACAAAGTTTCTTACTCTGTCAGAGACCACAACACACCGTTTATTTCTCTGTTCTGCTCTTATGATGGCCGCACCGCTTGCGTAAGTTTGTTCAAGATGTTTTTATCTGTGATAGTGGTTTTTGTGGGAGAATGTGTACGAGTCGTATTCGTTTTTATATCAGCCTTGTTTAGTTGATCCGACTCAGTGGTCAATTCTCATTGGACTCAATGCTGGAATCATTGGAAGCCTGTGCCAATCTTAACCGACATCATTTAGCTACTCAAGAGCGTGAAAAGTAAGAGATTTTTGCAGATTGGGTTCTGTAATTCTGATGAAATGGGATATTAATTGTTTTTAGACGTGAGCGTGAGTTCAACAACCAATTGAGAAGAGAACAGGAAGAAGAATATAAAAGATCCTTAGCCGCCGATCGAGCCAAAGTCCAGGAAAGAAAACGTCTAGAATCGGAGAGGATTGAAGCTGATAAGAGAGAGGAAGAGCTGAGATTACAGGAAGAAAGGAAAAGACAGTTGTTGATTGAGCGAAGACAACGAATCAGAGAAAGTTTACCCGAAGAACCATGTTCTGATGTTGATGTAGTCCGAGTTGCCGTTAAATTCCCTGAGGGCTCGAAGTTGGAAAGGCGGTTTCGTAAAGACGATAGCCTCGAGATGTTATTCAATGTCGTGTCTATCCATGACACTTGTCCGCACGACTTTTCTTTGATCAGCAGTTACCCCCGACAAGTTCTCAAATGTGCGCCATCTTGGTATCGAGAATATACAGAATGCTTTGAAGAGACGGATCGGATCCCCACATTCAGGGAAGCAGGCTTAGATGGCGGAGTTTTGGTCTTGGTCCGCGATAATGAAGCTTAGCTGAACTAATTGTCTGGTTCTTTAATACGAATAAAAATGATCAAAAATTTTGTTTTCATTCTCTTGTACGGGTTTTTAACACCTTGCGTTTTTTTAATTTTAACCCTGCTGTGAATTCTTCTCTTATCGTTAGATGCGGAAATTTATCTTAACCTCGGCGATTGCTGGTACATCCTTTATTTGTGGGACTCAGTTTGACTCTAGTTATATAACTGGATTATTCGCTCGAGATGGGCATGCAGCGACAGCCCTGGTGTCATCGCCGCCTTCTCTTGCAGTACCTAGTTCAACGACCGAATTAAAACAACAGGAAGCTTGGAAATTACCATCGAGATCCTCGGAGATTATGAAGTTTGGATATCCCGGGTATGATAATCTCAGAACATACGATGATTTTGTTTTGTCGTATGACAGGAAGACAAGGACCGCCCATTGGGTTCAAGAACACCTCACCCCGGATCGGCTGGAGTACGATCCATCGGTAGATCGTTCAAAGTGCACCTTCAAACCAGATGAGACGATCCATCCGTTTTTCAGATCGTTGAATGAGGATTACTTTGTATGAGAAAACACGTTTTAAAGACAGATCAAGTGCTGAAATTTATTTTTCATATAAGAGGGGTTCCGGGTAAATTCAAATTTTTTCGACCATGATGCTCGGCCACGCTTTCCGGCCATGGTAATTTTTTTCTTCTGCACTGTACAAGGCGCACAATAAGCAAAAACTACGCGAGATACGAATGTTTCTTTCCGTTGTACCGTTCGGGACACGTGTTATCCTGTCTTGAACTCTGTAAGTTGCGGGACATAAAAGTTGGTACGGCCGAAACGGGTGGCTGAGCATCATGTCCGAAAAAAATTTGAATTTACCCGGAACCTCTCTTATAACTATTCCTACGAACTGACTAATGACATCGTTTACAGAGGTCGGGCTATGATCGGGGACATCTGGCTCCTGCCGGAAATCATCGGAGAACCCAAGCAGCCATAGATCAGACATTCTTCTTGACCAACATGTCCCCACAGGTGGGCAAGGGTTTCAATCGAGATAAGTGGAATGATGTCGAAAAGCATGTAAGAAGGCAAGCAAGAAAGAACCCCAACGTCTATATTGTTACTGGGCCGTTATATTTGCCAAAACAGGAGGCAGATGGAAACCTTTATGTCAAATACAAGGTGAGTTTAGATGTTCACGATTGAATCACGGTAATTTGCGGAAATGTTCAGGTCATTGGGAAGAACCACGTTGCTGTTCCTACGCACTTCTTCAAGGTGGCGTTGATCGAGACCTCACCAGAGAAGTATGAATTGGAATGTTATTTGCTTCCGAATGAGGTATGGTTCACATAAAAAGTGATTCGGCTTTCCAGGCAATCCCAAACGAGAAACCCATCTCTGACTTCTTCGTCCCTCTAGATGCGATAGAAAGAGCTGCAGGAATACTAATCTTTGAAAGATTACCCAAGAATAAGATCATCAAAACTAATGGAAAGAAATCTGGATGGTTCTGATAAGAACCAGTTGACATATTAGGATGTTAATTGTTATTTTTCCAAATTTATCAACGGTTATTCTATGTTATATGTATTTCTCATCTGCTATGCGAACTGAAATATCAAGTACAAAAGCGGGAAGTTGCAGCGGTGCATGCGAAAAACGCACTGTGCATGTTCCACGGACTTTATGGCGCGATTAGTATCAACAAGCTATTTGTCAGTTTCATAAAAGTTGAGACATCTTTCCATTGCGTGGATCCATTGCTCATATTGTTGAAAAAGTTGTGTATTCGGTGATGGGTAAAAAATCTCTTCGACATTGACATAGTTCTCACATTCAGATAAATTCCATAATCCTGTAGAGATTAATTAATTTTTTGAGATTTGAAAATTACCAGCAGTAATCCCAGCCATGAGAGCGGCTCCTTTGGCCGAAGCGAATTCTGGCTCGGATACTCTCTCGACCCTAACCTTCACCAGATCGGCTATTTGTTGGCATATTATTGAATTCTTGGCCACACCACCGCACACCCTAAACTGATTCTTCTTGTCTTACATCTTAATAATTAATTCATAATGTCTAGCACCTACCGAAAAGCCTCGGGTTGAATCTCCCGTACCTCTTTCAAGATGGTATCCCAGATATGTTTGACCCTGAATGATATCGAATCGACAACTGATCGCAGAATCTGTCGCTTGTTTGTGGTAGGCTTTATCCCGAGTAACCCGCAGATTGCTTTGCCGTCGTCAACAGGTGTCTGGATCCCACTGAATGCGGGAATGAAATGGAGCCCGTGATCTTTTTCGTCAATTGTAAGAGAATCCAACTCCGATATCTCTTCAAAGAAGCCAGAAATCTTAGCCCATCGTATGCAAGTGGCAGTGTCATTTGACCGAGCTTCCGTTGTAAACTTAAATTGGTCTCCAATCTTCCAAGCCACTAGTGGGTATACACCTTTAAGTGGCGATGACTAAAGTTATAATATGACTTGCCGTTAAAAGTGGGATGCGCCTTTTCTGTGAGTACATTTACGAAGGTTCCCGTGCCTAGTGAGACTTTCACAAACCTGCTGTTTGTTACCCCTGCACCAAGAATCGCTGCTTGCGCATCTCCCATCTCGAAGAACGTTAAAATAAAGCATTTCAAAAATTACCGTGCTCCAAACTGGATATTCCTTTCCAAGCAAAGATGCGTTGCAAATACACAAGGGGTCCTTTGCGGTGTTGACAAGGCTGGGTAGAACGCTTAATGGGAATCCGATAATCTTAAGGATTGAGCGACCCCAGTCACGAATAAATGGATCATATAATCCCGTGGAAGACGCGCAGGACGGTTCTGTTATATGATATTTTCCTTTTGATAGTCTGTTCATCAGCCACGTGTCCAGCGTCCCCATAACTAAACGGTCCTCATTCAGGAGCTTTTGCATTTTTTCTTCCTGTAATGTCATTAAATATGTCATTTTCGAAGGTTTAGACACCCACAGATTGCAAAAGAACCATAAACCGATGTGACACCATCGCATTTAAGAATTTAAAACCACCGGCGGCTTTAAACCGTGCCGACCCTGTTACTTTCGACCCGATCCATCCACCGGCTCTGATTGCTCTGATAGTGCACGATTGATTCCATTCTTCGCACACTCGATTAGCCCGGCCATCCTTCCAAGTAATTAAGTTGTGGCATGGTTGCAGAGACTCTCTAAGATAATTTTGTACTTGATATCAGCTTACTTGTCCCAAGATATAAACGTATTACGCTGGGTGCAAAGTGCAATTCCCAAGTCTTGACCATTAAGATAAGCAACTAAAAAAGCTTGTCCGGCAATTCATTTTAGCGTTACCTCCATCCTTAATGAGTTCCAAAAAATCTTGCCATAGCCTTTCTGGTTCCATCTCCACAGATATCGACTTGTCTTCATTCTCAACGTATATTAGTTGTATCTGTGGATAATTACAATAGTTTAAATAAAAAAAAAACAAAATTTACAGTTTTCTCAAACGTCTTTATTAATTGACAAACGCTTGAATACAAACATGATCTCATCGTTGTTGTACCAACATCGACAGAAATAATGTACGCCATTTTGTGTCCGTTAAATCAGAGATGATCCCTGAGCGTTTGAAATCATCCACTACAATATTACAGACTGCGTAAATTTAGAGAGAAACATGCACCTGCGTGATGTAATTAATACCCACTTTTCCTTTTGGTCTTTATTTTCACTCGTTTTGACATTTCTGTATCACACATTTCTTGCCCTTTTTTTCATGAGTAAGCAGAGGTGGCAAACGTCTGTATAGGCCGCGAGCTGCCAAATTTCCGGTGATCTCACTGCTTCTTTGGTGCTAAAGTCTACCATGAACTATAATATACGTTCTAATTTTGGACCTTATATTATAGTATATATAAAAATGGTACTATAAAGTACTAAACTGTTGTAAAACATGAGTTACGACAAATAAAAACCCATCAAAAAGCAGATCTGTGGTGCTAAAATCACACAGCGGTAAGATCAGAAGAAACTTTTCAGCCCGCGCCCTAACCGGGCTTTATCACACACAGCCAATGCGCGAACTGAAAGTTGGCTGAAAACAATAGGGCGCAGCTCGCATCTCTGGGGCAGCTCGAAAACAAGCTGAAACTAGCTTCGGCGAGCTTCGAGGGCTTGTTTGCGGAGCATCATACCATTTTCAGCTAACTTTCAGCAAGCTTTCAGTTGTCGCATTGGTTGGGCCCAGCTGCAGCTGGGCCGCGCCTGAAATTTTGAACTAAGCGTGGAAGAAACATATGACCCGAAAATGAGTCAAGTCTTATTTTAATTTTCCTATTGCGTCAGTCAAGGAAATCTCGAATCGTTTTGGAATCCCGAACTCCATACAGGCGGATACAAAACGCTGTTTGGTTTAGTTGGAAATTATTGTGTGCGCCTTTACTTGGTTCGGCGTGCAACGCTAATATCAAGGAGAATATTTCGAGAAATGACAGCGGTTGCAGGAAACGAAAGCGTGGACACTACCGGGGAGCCATCGCTTGTGAAGAAAGTTGCAGCTATGGTAAGTTGCGTTGTGTTTTTTTAGGATTTACGCATTTAGAAAATATCGAGATGTCCGGAAGAGAAAAAAGATTGGCCGCCATTCATTCAAGAGAGAATCGAGTTCTTCGATAAATTAATGGAGGAACATAAAGCAGAAATAGCCAAGAAACCGCGAAATCCTATTAAGATTACTCTTCCTGACGGGAAAGTGGTTGAAGGAACTTCCTGGGAGACCACTCCCTTCTCGATTGCGTCCGGAATAGCCAAAAGCTTGGCCGAGGCTGTTGTTATTGCAAAAGTCAATGGAGAGGTGAGCAGGAAGAGTCTTAATAATATTTGGTTACCTCTATTGTTTTTTATTATGGTTTGTTATAGCTTTGGGACCTGGATCGTCCTTTCGAGAGCGATGCTACCTTGAGTCTTCTGAAATTTGACGACGATGAAGCCAAACAGGTTTTCTGGCACAGTTCGGCTCATATCTTAGGTGAAGCTTGTGAGAGATATTGTGGTGGGCATCTTTGTTACGGTCCCCCGATTTCTGAGGGCTTTTATTATGATATGTATTTGGAGAATCAGGTCATTTCTCAAGCCGACTTCCCCAAGTTGGACAAGGTGGCTCAATGTGCGGTGAAGGATAAACAACCATTTGAAAGACTCGAGGTGAAGAAAGAAGACTTACTGAAGATGTTTTCTTACAATAAATTCAAGGTCCGCATCTTGAACGAGAAGGTGAATACACCCACCACAACTGTTTATCGATGCGGCCCTTTGATCGATTTGTGCCGAGGACCTCATGTCAGAAACACGGGAAAGATTAAGGTAATATTAGTTATGTTAGGTTTGATTTTCGTTGTTTTAGGCCATGAAAGTCATCAAGTCTTCGGCTTCCTATTGGGAAGGGAATGCTGAGAAAGAGCATTTGCAGAGAGTCTACGGAATTTCTTTCCCAGATGCTAAGCAGTTAAAAGAGTGGGAGAAATTCCAGGCTGAAGCTGCTGAAAGAGATCACAGGAAGATCGGAAAGGACCAAAATCTGTTTTACTTCCATCCGATGAGCCCTGGTTGTGCTTTTTGGCTTCCAAAGGGTACTCTCATATACAACAAGCTCTGCGATCTCATAAAAGGAGAGTACAGAAAACGTGGCTTTCAAGAGGTGATCACGCCGAATATCTTTAATGCTAAATTATGGGAACAATCGGGTCATTGGCAACACTATGCGGAGAATATGTTCAGGTACATTGAATTTTCTTCTTAAAATTCGTTGATTTAGTTTTGAAGTGGAAAAGGAACAGTTTGCGTTGAAGCCGATGAATTGTCCAGGGCATTGTTTGATGTTTGACAGTCTTCATCACACATACAACCAGCTTCCCTTGAGATATGCTGACTTCGGCGTTCTCCATAGGTATGCCCTTCATTCCTTAAGCGACAGTATATGGATGTGCATAATTACATCATGAAATTTTTCAGGAATGAATATTCAGGAGCTCTTACCGGTCTGACGAGAGTTCGTCGTTTCCAACAAGACGATGCTCATATTTTCTGCCGAAAAGATCAGATTGTGCAAGAAATCGACGGTTGCATTCAGTTCTTGAAGAGGATCTACGTCGACATCTTTGGATTTACCTTCAAGTTGAACCTCTCCACAAGGCCCGAGAAAGATTATCTGGGCGATCTAGAGACGTGGAATAACGCTGAAGATCAACTCAGAAAAGCATTGGATAATTCAGGGTATCCGTGGGTCTTGAACCCTGGAGACGGCGCCTTCTACGGTCCAAAGATTGACATCACTATTCAAGATGCCCTCAGAAGATCGCGGCAATGTGCTACGATCCAGCTCGATTTCCAGTTGCCGGAAAGATTCAACCTTCATTACTTTACGTAAGAATATTTTATTCGATTAATTTTTTAGTGACAAGGGAGAGAAAGAACGCCCTGTTATCATTCATCGTGCTGTCCTTGGGTCGGTTGAGAGGATGACGGCCATTCTCATTGAGAGCTTCGGAGGAAAATGGCCTTTCTGGTTGTCCCCTCAACAAGCCAAGGTGATTACGGTGCACAAAAATCTGAATGAATATGCGGAAAAAGTACGCGATCAACTGTATTCCGAAGGATTCGAGGTTGACTTTGATCCCGAATGCCCAGACACGTTCAACAAACAAGTCAGAACGGCTGAATTGGCGCATTACAATTTCATTTTGGTGATCGGAAACCAAGAAGCTGGAAATGGAACGGTCAACGTCCGCACAAGAGGAGGAGCGGTAAGTTAATTTCGTGAAACACATTATTCTTTGCTACAGAAGCACGGGGAAGTCGCTATCCCTGAACTCATCAAGAAATTCCACCGATTCACGAGAGACTTCTCCAGGGACGCTGAAAGTGCTGAGGAATTCAATAAGGAATAACATGAAAATAATGTGCGAGCTTTGTTCCTTGTTTACCGTGCAGTAAATTTGTTATATACTACAAACGATGTTATTTGTAATCTCGTAATGGTTGCTTTTGATCCTACTTGATAAGATCGAGCAAACCTCCTCCGACTTGAACTCTTTTCTGTGGTTTCCCATTCAAAAGGTCTTCACTGATGGATCCCACGGGACCGGCAGCTTCAGATGAGATTGAATATTCGTCATCGATGGTAGTCATCGAGTTCACGTATTTTAGAGTCGCGTCGGAAATTTCGCTTTGATCTTCCGCTGGCTTTTCTTTCAAAGCTTTCTGAATCAAGAAATATAAGACGATTACTGATCTTACATCGACCACTTCCTCTGACACCGTCTGCGTCTTCTTCGACACCATCTTTGGAGTTTTCTCATTCTCTTCCAGCCATTCTTTAACTCTCTGACTTTTGTTAACCTCCGTTTTCGGAGGTTGCGGATTCTCTCGTTTTCGGTATCCCAATGTAGAAGCCACTACTGTGAAGCGAGTGTCGGTACCAGCAGAGCTTCGTTCGGTCGCCATTGAAGTTTTGGACGATTCTAAAAATTTTTGCATATCTCTTTGTTCAAATATCTTTCAATCGCCTACGACTTTTGGCACGAAACGTTAAAAATTATGTATTTTTTGGTAATTCTGGGCCATCTTGTTGCCTCAGCCGCTAAGAGAAAAATTTAAAACGCGTTTTACTAATACAAACCGTAGATTGGCCCGGACATTGTTGAGTCGATGTCGCAGAATTAAACCAAAAGTGGTCAACCGGATCACCAATCTGTATGGAGCAATCGCTTGATTTTTTCGCTTGATTTTTTTGTCCATAGTCGTTATATGGAGGATTACTGTAACTTTCTTTCTGAGAATTACTTGTCTTTTCGGCAAGCCATATTTTAGTCGAATCGATCCACCGCTGAGGTTCGGACGGGGTATATACTGGTATATAAGAGTGGTGCTTTATATTATTCCAAAAAGTTTCAAACTTACTTCATTTTTGGCCTACATGAAAATTTTCGTTTTTTTCAACCTAGGCCAAAAAATTATTTTTTTTGGCATAGGTGGTTTTTTTTCATGTATCAGTCTGTCGGGAAAATAACGGTGGATCGTCGCGCCTCGGAATCGCCCATCATCGCTTTGCGACGGCGGCCACAGCTGGAGATTTGGTGCGCGATTGCGGTGAGGCGAGTCGTTTTGATGCGACGACCCGCCGTTATTTTCCCGACAGACTGATATGCCAAAAAAAATTTTTTTTCGCCCACATGAAATTTTTTCACGTAGGCAGACGACATTTTGAAGTAGGCCACAAAATTTCATGTAGGCCAAAAATGAAGTAAGTTTGAAACTTTTTGGAATAATATAAAGCACCACTCTTATATATTGAAAGTCAGAAATTTTTACAAAGAGAGAAATTGCGCAACGTTGTGTAAAATTGCGCAAGTACTAGTTTTGTTTGTTGTAGTGGGGAAAATAAAGAATATAACTCCAAGCGTGATCCGACTTCATGTTGGTACTGTATTTTATAAATACCTGAACATACCAGAATTTCTCGAACCCTATACACCACTTCATATTTTCGAACACGTAGAACATTTTTGTAGTTACAGTAGCTGCCAAAAAACTGTAAACTTTTTTATTTTTTGTGTAACTATGCTCGACGTGGACGAATTTAAACGGAACAAATACCAGTCTGTAGAGAATTATTGCTGTTATCTAATGGTGTAGCGATTGGAGCGATTTTACATCTTAGTGTGTAACAACTGTCGATGTAAAATTTTTGGAAGGACAAAAAAAAACCAATTTTCCCAAACGTCATGCTTTGGGGTATCGAAATTGGGACCACCAAAAGGCCTATTAAATTAATTTTCTTGACTCCCTTTGATGATGAATAATGCGCAGTGGGACTTTATTTAAAAATCAGAATATATAAGCCCATGATTTGCCGCGAAGTATGCAAGCAGTAAATTTTTTTGGAAAAATGTAGTTTTTTGTCCTTCCAAAATATCGACAATTGGTACACAGTACGATGAAATAAAAAAATAAAATCCCTCCAATCGCTACACCATTAGATAACAGCAATAACTCTCTACAGAATGGTATTTGTTGCGTTTAAATCCGTTCACGTTGAGCAGAGTCAAAAAAAAAAAAATAAAAAATTGAGTTTTTTGGCAGCTACTGTATGACCAAAAAATCAAAATTGCATCTAAGCGATGTTTCACCTGCGGTAACATAACATTTTGGGCATAAAATAGATTACTGTAACCAGGGTTACTGTAACCCTTAAAACAAACTTCAACCTCCATCTAATAAATCATAGAAATTTCAAAAAAATGAAATATATGACTTTTGTGAAACAGATATTCAAGATCTCATGTACAAAGTCATCTGGGCTCCGAAAAAATCTGGCATGCTTGAGCTTTTTCCCTCTGAAACTCGCTGGATCTTCCGAAAAAGGGACAAGAGTTTATCGGAAGCTTTCAAGATCAGCGTCAAGCCAAAAAATCCAAGAATGCCGGATTTTTTGGGTCCAGATGATCTAAAAGTGTAGTAGAACGCGTTGTAAACTACGATTTTTGAGTATTGTCCACGGTTGCTTCAGACACTCAGAAATAGTATTTTAAAAGTACATATTATGTATATAGCTGTGCTGACGGAGCCGGTGAAGCACTTACTTTTATCAGTCACGGCCGAGTTCAACTCGACTTGATCAAGTTGAAATTCCACAATGGGAGGTCTGAAATAAAGCACAAATAATGGTTATTCAGCAACTGCATGCCTGTATATCACCATCGAATGTCTAATGGCTTCCGCATTGGCAAAGTCCACTTTGATCTTAAGCCTGGCTGAGGCTTGGCTGGCCCTCAAATAAATTCTCACGGCCTGGCTAACTGATCTTCTGACTTTTTTCTCATCCTCTGCAGAAAACTGTCTATCATACTCACTGTAAACTCCTGAAAGTCCAGATTCGCCGCTGCAGAGTGAAGAATTATTCGACATGCCGAGAAGTGTTGGACTACCAAATCGTGATTGAGTCAACAAAAAAATGAAAATTAATTAATCTAAGATCTGAATCAATTTACAAAATCATTTTATTTGCTTGCTATGAGTGGACCGGTTATAAGGCCAACTCTTGGAGCTTCCCAGAGACAGGATAGAAGTCCACTGGTTAATCCACCTAATCCAGTCCTGTCTAGCGTGTTCACAGCAAACTTTTATCACTCAGATCAAGAAGATAGGATGGGAGGTGGAGGGAGTCGGAACAGGTCTTCATCTGGCCACAGGTATCAATTATCTTGTTCATTACTGTAATTGCTAATGACTTCTAGTGAGCCGGAGTATGATGGAGACCGATCTAGCGACAGCCGAAGCTCTTCACAATCAGAAAACAGCAATAGAAGTTTGGAAAGGCGAGGCTTCGAGAATCTCGGGAATACCTGTTTCCTAAGCGCTCTGCTTGAGGCGCTTTCCTCTTTGCCGGAGTTCGTGAAGTGCTTGGATAAAGTAACCGATGAGATGCCGAGACATCATCAAGCTGAATATGTGGAAGATGTAGGTTACTCAATTCCGCTAGTAATCCATTTTCAGAAAACGTATTTTCAATTCTCCCTTCTTTATGAGTTAAGTCGTATGTTATGTGCAATCAGAAAAAGTGATGTTGCCCCATCTGCAAAAAAGTTTTACAAATATGTCGGGAAACTGGAACCATCTCTGGCCGGAAGACAACAACAGGACGCCCATGAATTGTATTTGATGATAATGGATGCATTCGAATGCATTTGCAAAGTATTGGATGAGGATGCCAAAAAGATTGGAAGGCAATCGACTGAAATAGAATTTTATCCTATTTTCAGATTCGCAAATCCACGTTTCGAATCGAATTGCTTTTACTTTTGGACTCAGCGAAGAATCAAGTGTTCTGAGTGTTCGAATGAAAGTTGTTCAAAGGAACCGTCAGTGAATGTGAGTGTGGATCTTCCCGAAGATGATGAGATTGATTGGAATCCCTGGAAGGCATGGGGCCGCAAGTTTGAATTTACTGGAAACAACAAGTACAAATGTGATAAGTGTAACAAGAAAGTTGACGCAACACAATTTACTGATCTCCTGAAACCTCCTCCAGTACTTGTTGTCCATTACCATGTTTTTCAAAGTGAGTAGTACTACTGATTAGTATGTCTTCAGTGGTCGACGTCGATGGAAACGTCCATCTCCAGAAGCGCTCAAAAGTTCCTTTCCCACCAGAGTCCATTCATTTGTCCGATTTCAACGTTGTTCCGGCTTCTCAAACAGATTTGAGGGATTACGTTCTCTGTTCCATGGTCATTCATATTGGCTCTAATATGCATTGTGGCCACTATGTTGCGGCAAAAAGAATTCAATCAGATGATTGGGTTGTATACGATGACGATGTTACTTTCGAGAGGAAAACTGTTGATCTAATGTAGGTTTATGCAATATATTATAGCTTTTTAGGTCAACCTCGAGTCGCCATACCCCTTATTTGATGTTTTATCGACGTAAAAATTATCGACCAAGGCAAAGAAATGCGGCTGGAGAGGATACTGTAGTCAGAAAAAACTGGAAAGAAAATAAAATGGACGAAGAAAAACATATATCTACGATTGGAACAGACGTCTCGGGCATGGATGATGGGCGACAGAAAAGTGAGAAACGGAAAATACCAACGAGAGAAGAACTAGGTAAGCCACTTTAATATCCAACGAAAACATAAATTTATTTTAATTTTTAGAAAGCTTAACCGGTAGATGGCAAAAGATGGCAACTTATTACCTCCAGGAATGGTTCAACTTTATCTTCAGCCTCAAGGCATCAAAATCCTTAGGATTTCTGAAGAAAGATGACCAGGATGGCCCCTTCAACGGCTTCGATGACATCATTTGAAACACTCCACGGACCCCCTCTTCTCTTTGTTTTTGTGGAATGAACTCGTTTCTAGTAAAGGATTTTTTATCTGCATTGCATTATTTAATTTACCTCGAACTTGTAACAACACTTTTTGAAAAATAAAATATGAAATGTTATCAAATATTACAGTAATTTGGATACTTCATGCAAATCTGCAATTTTGAAAAATGAGGAGACCCACAAACTTTGGTCGTATGAATTATGCAGATGAGACCCCAATTAATATTAAACATGAGAGCAAATTACCCGGATCCAGGTCATCTAGGCCCAAAAGTGCGACATGTCACTAAACTCTCCTTAATTTCCCTGGATTAGATGGAAATTCAAATTAATTAACCGCTTCCGCCCGTGTTTGACCAACACTTCTCTATGTTTTTGTGTTCTGGCGGCAGTAGATGAGCATTTTAAAGCACAAGTTGTATGTTCAGTTCAGTTTTCTTTTCCTGGATTTATTCCGAGAAGTCAATGTGTTGAGTATTATGCCTTTAAGGCTTCTTTCCGTTCTATATTTCGTATTCCTTCAAAGTTCCTTTTGCGTATTAATATGAAAAGAAATGGAGGCATAGCCTGATGTGATGACTTCAAGCATGCAATTAACAACCTATCTTTTTTATTGTCCTCTATGTTCCAACCAAGTCTCACCCTCACCTTCATCTTGTCCTCATCTTTTTCTGTCCTCTTCTTTTCTCCAATTTCCATGTTCTAACACTTAATTAAGGACGTTCTTTTGAGGCTTGGTATTCGTATCTTTGTGCTTGTTTGTCGTCCAACTTATTTTATGTCAAGAGTTTTGGGTGTTTACAGGGAGAGCACGTTGTGGTTGAACCTGTCAATCTTTGACCAGCGTCCCTTTTTGCCATTCTCCTACCATATTCCTAATATTTTATGGTCCTAATCCCTTCGAATTGCGGCCGTCCAATTGGCTGTGTTAAAACTTTCAACTTCATACCTCCCTTATTCGGTCCAGCTTTTGTTTTTAGCCATGGTGGAGAATTCGTCGTGGGTGCAACATTTATGGAATTACTTCTTTGGCTCTGTGTTTTGTATGTTTCCGATGGCGGGCATCGGTCTTAACGTCTATGTGCTGGTCAAGTTAAAAAAGATTGCACGGTGCGAAGGTTTTAGTAGTTTAAAATAGTCATTTATAGATTCTTTCTGATTAAGTCCAATTTATTGAAAAGGATCTAAACTACTTCCGATTATTACGTAATTACCGTATGAATAATTATAGTATGAATTCGTTTCGATTCGAGACCTCCTCAGCCTTGCCATTATGTGCCATGTCAATTTGTGATTCGATCTGTTTGTTGGCTCTGTTCTCCCAGGCCATGTTCCATGTTGGAATCCGAGCATTGGCCCGAGAGCATTCAAGCCTGGGGGCATCTTTATTCTGCAAAGTAAGTCATCTCTCTAAAATCAAATAAAAAAATAAATTGTTATAAGGAAACGGTTTCTTTTTATCAAAAATTAAATTGTGAAATCAAATATTCGTACATGTAACGGATGAGTTCTTTAGGTGGACATGTATCTTCTCCACACGACGTCATCCTTCTCAGTCTGGTGCTGGCTGATCCTCTCAGTTCTCAGGTATACAGCAGTCTTTCATCCTTTTAAATATCGTACCATCTGGAGACAACCAAGAGATGCTTTGGCAATCACAGCCATCGTGATTTCTCTCTATGAGACTTGGATATTGTACACAGTCGAGTATCAGGAGAAGACTCAAAGTTGCAGTGAGGAGAAACAAACAAGTGCTACTCAGGTGGAAATTATATCCAAATTTTATTTGGTCTTTTGCAGACTGCCCACATGATGGACATCTTTCTGTCTTATGTCATCCCCGCATTTATTCGAATAGTCTTCGATGGGATCGTTCTTTGCCATTGCTATCGTCCCGATATGGTTGAGGTTCCTATCCTTCAACGTCGGTGTGGAATATCTGCACCCTCTGGTATTCCACCTGCCCCTACTGACCCAAATCAACCAGTGAATATGAATCTGGCACTTAGCTTGTCCAAACAAAACTCTTACAAAAACCAATCACAACCAGTACAAAAGAAGGCGTCCATGATCAAGAGGTCGTTAATAATATCAGTTGTCAACTTATGTTGTAATCTTCCTTCTCATATCCTCAGAGGAATGCTCACCGTCGACGAGTCGCATAAAACAATTCCAGAGCGATGGATGATGCTTCTCGAAGGTAAATAAATACATCCAACAGAACATAATCGTATTTTCAGGAGTCAGTCAATTACTGTATTTCGGGCAGTTCACTTGTAATGCCTTTTATTTGAGTACTACAATATACGAGACATCAACAGTGCCGACCAGACCGTGTCATGTATTGACAAAACAACAATCAAATTCTTCGACAATCACTTCATCGACGAAAAACAACTTCTTTGCCGAATATGTTTAAGTGTAAACACTACAGGGTGTTTCAAGAAAATTGGAACAAACAATTTGCTTATATCTTTGTGTTCTTTGTAGCTTTCAACGAATTTCTTTTTGTTTCTAAAAATTGACGTCGTGCGTTTTTAGAATCTCTAAAAAAAATTTTTTTTTTCGTCGGTGGAGGGCCCACTTCTCGGCGGAGAAAATTAGGGCCTTTTTTAAAAATCACATCGTATTACGGGCGGAAACGCCGTTGCAGTGGCTGAAATCAAGTTTACGTTACACCTCCGTGGATTTTACGGTGTGCTTTTTTGCGTTTTCGATTTTACGCGCATCCGCGGAGGCGCGGCGGAGACCTCAGATTTTGGCGGACTTTGTTTTGAGCCTTCGGCTTTTGCAATTCACGTTGAAAAAGAGGTTGGGGCGATTTTTTGTTTTCGTCGGATGCACAGATGGCAAAAATTTCGTACTTTCTTTCCCAGGCGGAGGATTCGGCGGAGGCTTTATCAAAGGGTCAAAGCAGTCTTAGGAGTCCGGGAAAAATCTCAGCTACAAGAATCTATCAGAGCAACATTATCTTTCAAAGATTTTTGATTTTTTTGGTCCGGCGGACAAATCGGCGGAGTTTTGTTTTGACCCTTCGATAAAGCCTCCGCCGAATCCTCCGGCACCACGACATTTCCGGAATTTGGACACTTCCGGAATGGGGGAATAGTGACACTTCCGGAATGGCGGAATAGTGACACTTCCGGAACCGGGGAAAAATCAAATATGAGGCGTAGACCTGCCATCTGAACCATGTGATTGGATTTATTGTTATCAATCTCAAAAATTTTGTTATTTTTTTTCTGATTGTTACTTTTTTCTTAAGTACAGGGTGGGGCATCTTTGTGGCCCGATTTGAATTGACTATAACTTCTTCAGTTTTTGGCCAAATCTTAAAATTCTTTTTTTCCCTGAATCGTCAGCCAACCCCATTTTGTTTGATACCAAATATGTTATACATAGGTGAGTGTCATCTACAGTTATTGGATTTATTCTTGAAGTTCATTTTTTTGGTCGTTTTTTCGGCCTTTCCCGGTGTGTCCGAAAATGGAGTCCGGTGTGGAAGAAAAGGCTTGGTCTGTGGTTTGGTATAGAAAGTACGGTTCGGCGTTAAATTTTCAAATGGGGATACCGCATGAAATACGGACGTAATGCCTAACCTCCAGATCGCAAGACAATTCGACGTTCGTGGAATAAGTTTCTTGAGACTGGCAGCGTTAACAGGAAACAAAAAAAGCAGGAAAGATGGGTATGAACGGAATTGAAAATTGAAGAAGTTTTGTCAAAATTCCGAGAAAGTCCGCATATGAGTACACGAAGTTTGGCCAGAACCGAGGGAATGCCTTCACATTCGAAGAACTCTGGAGGTTGATCTTCACTTTTTGTTCTTATTCTCATCGTCGATTTTCGGGAGGGTAAATTCCACCGTATTTTTCTTCCGGACCGTACTCCATTTCTGGACACACCGGGAAAGACCGAAAAAACAACCGAAAAACGACCGAAAAAATGAACTCCAAGAATAAATCCAATAACTGTAGATATACACTTACTATGTATAACATATTTGGTATCAAACAAAATGGGGTTGGCTGACGATTCAGGGAAAAAAAGAATTTTAAAATTTGGCCAAAAACTAAAGAAGTTATAGCCAATTCAAATCGGGCCACAAAGATGCCCCACCCTGTAGTAGTGTTAAAAAGTAATTTTTTGAAATTTTTCTAAAAATACTCGATTTAGGGGTTTTCGAGGTTGCTGATTTCAAATATCGGGTTCATTTTTTCTGATTGTTACTTTTTTCTTAAGTAGTAGTGTTAAAAAGTAATTTTTCGAATTTTTTCTAAAAATACTCGATTTAGGGGGAATCAAGGGTGCTGAGTTCGAAAATGATATTCAATTTTTCTGATTTTGACTTTTTTTTCTTAAGTAGTAATGTTAAAAAGTAATTTTTGGAATTTTTTCTAAAAATACTCGATTTAGGGGTTTGGGCCCCCGGCCCGGCCCCCGAAAAGTTGGGCTCGGTACGGCCCTTTTCAAAATTTTCAAAGCCCGGCCGGCCCTGAAAGGTTTAAGGCTCGGCCCTTTTTTTCATTACTCTAAATTTTGCGTTTTAATTGGTATTTTTTAAGATGTTACCACGAAGTTGTCGGTGTCTTACTTGATATAAACGGCCAGTGGTTTCGATATAGGACCGATAATGACCAATAACTGGGGAATTTTTATCCAGATGTCACGGATAATATAATTTCCATCACAGTTAAGAAGGTCGTGAAAGTAGATTGAAAACATCCGACAGGCCATTTCATTGTCAAATCCATTACCAGACTCCAGGAAAAACCAATGCAAAACATTTGAGAAGGTAAATTATATTATCCATAACATCTGGATAAAAATTCCCCAGTTATTGGTCATTATCGGTCCTATATCGAAACCACTGGCCGTTTATATCAAGTAAGACACCGAAAACTTCGTGGTAACATCTTAAAAAATACCAATTAAAACGCAAAATTTAGAGTAATGAAAAAAAGGGCCGAGCCTTAAAACACGATTTTTGAGTCACTGCGTCAGCCAGTAGTGGGGCCCGGTCTTAGGAAAAAATCGATTTTGAGATTTTTGGCTTAAAATAGTCGGTAGCACTTGTGGAAGAAAAGCTAAAAATATTTTTGCCCAATTTTGCCCGAAAGGCATATTTTTTTACAAAATACGTTTTTACACTTCAAAGCCTCTGGAGGCCGATGTGATCCGACCACAGAGATCAAACCTGGCATACAGGGGTTTTTGACACCCAGGAATCTGAAAATCGTAGCATTTTTACCGTCAGATTACTGTAACATGGTCATACTGTAATCCGGTCGATAAAAATCGACGATAACTTCTTTAGATCAAAAATGCCACAGGATTTTATTGCAGATTCGGAATCAGCATAAAATTCTGCTTCGGATACATGTAAAAAATGTTCAAAATTCCGTGGCCCAACCTCTGTAGTATAGTGGTTGTGCGCCAGGATTATCAATCTGACGACCCAGGTTCGATTCCCGGTGGCTGCAAATGGCAGAAAATGGACTATAAAAGGGCGGAAACTTGTAAAAAAGGGAAAGTAAATTACAGAGAATTAATTTTATGCTACGTAGGACCAGTTTAAAAGTTTTTGCAAGAATTCCGCATAAATTACGGTTTTTATGGAAAACGCCTCACAGCATTCGTAAGATCGCCCCAAATGGCAACTAAAGAGTTGTGGTGAATCTAGATAACGCTTGCTATGCAATATTCTTCAAATCCGTCGAGGAATGTAATACAAAACAAAATAAAACAATTATTTGGTTTTCAGAAGGAAGCACGCATGTTACAGTCCCGTAATTTAGCCTCTGTTCCTTATCAACTGAGTCTTCATGTAGATTTATCATTAGAGCGTCCACGCGCTCCGTTTTTCGTGGGATACGCAAGACGGCCTAAGTTTTGCAAGCTGTGTGATCCCGGTGCTGTTAGGGAATCTTATATGACTTTTTGTGAATCTTATATGACTTTTTGGTCGAATATTGTTCCGTTCGATAAACCTCGGCCGCAGCTCGCCTTCTTAAAATCCCGAATTTGAAAGAAAATCCAGGCTATCCCAAAAATTTAACGAAATAAGCAGAAATGGACTTATTTTGTAGTAGGAAGCCTCAGTAACCTCTTCTGTAAATTTTAACCAGATTGCTCCACTTTCCGGCAAGCTATAAGGCGTTTTCCATAAAAACCGTAATTTATGCGGAATTCTTGCAAAAACTTTTAAACTGCTCCTAAGTAGCATAAAATTAATTTTCTGTAATTTATTTTCCCTTTTTTCCAAGTTTCCGCCCTTTTATAGCCCATTTTCTGCCATTTGCAGCCACAGGGAATCGAACCTGGGTCGCCAGATTGATAATCCTGGCGCACAACCACTATACTACAGAGGTTGGGCCACGGAATTTTGAACATATTTTACATGTATCCGAAGCAGAATTTTATGCTGATTCCGAATCTGCAATAAAATCCTGTGGCATTTTTGATCTAAAGAAGTTATCGTCGACTTTTATCGACCGGATTACAGTATGACCATGTTACAGTAATCTGACGGTAAAAATGCTACGATTTTCAGATTCCTGGGTGTCAAAAACCCCTGTATGCCAGGTTTGATCTCTGTGGTCGGATCACATCGGCCTCCAGAGGCTTTGAAGTGTAAAAACGTATTTTGTAAAAAAATATGCCTTCCGGGCAAAATTGGGCAAAAATATTTTTAGCTTTTCTTCCAAAAGTGCTACCGACTATTTTAAGCCAAAAATCTCAAAATCGATTTTTTCCTAAGACCACCGCTGGTGCCCTGACTCAAAAATCGTGTTTTAAACCTTTCAGGGCCGGCCGGGCTTTGAAAATTTTGAAAAGGGCCGTACCGAGCCCAACTTTTCGGGGGCCGGGCCGGGGGCCCAAACCCCTAAATCGAGTATTTTTAGAAAAAATTCCAAAAATTACTTTTTATTAGGTTGGACGGAAAGTTCGTACGATTTTTTACCCAAATTTCAATTTAATTTTTTTCGCGCCAAGACCGAGTGCCCACCGTAAATACCTAGCATATACAAGAGTACAGTGTGCTGATTTATGCTCTACGTGCCAATCGTTAGCTCCGCCAAAACGAGCTTAATTATAAGAGATTTTCCGCTTTGCGGCTATTTCGGGTGGGGTCCAGAACGTAAGCTCTAGTTTCCAGATCGCTTTTGATAAAGCTCTGAAACTTTGTACGCGGTGTCCAGTGGTCTTTCTGACTACGTTAAACACAATTAGAAATCATAAAAAAGTGTGTCGGATAAAATAATGGCAACACTTTCAACCAAATCTTCAGCAAAGGCCCTTCATGAAAACTTTTTCTTATTATTCCGCGTATTGCTTATGGTCTGTTTCTGTAATAGGGTCCAGTAAGGCAACTGGGTAGCCCTTTACGTGCTTCATGAGTGTCCCGGATAATAAACGCTTCGGGTTAGCCTTAAAGAGGCAAAATTGCCAAAAATATATAGCTCTACAGAAATGCATGTGATTTGCTGACAATTAACAATGGTTACCCATTGCTTCATAAAGTAGTAGAACGATATAGAGGCTCCATTTTCCACCCTAGAAAAGGAGGACTCGAAAACTGCTTTGAGCTGTTTTTTGAATTTTACGAATTACTCCGATAGTTCACCAGCGAGTTTTTGAAAAACAAGTCATTGAGTTCTGTCGTGTCACGCAGTAAAACAATTGGCTAAGGACGGGTAGCTTAGTGTAAGGCAGTGTCTTTAGTTTTGGCATATCATAGTTAGACCCATAGGAATGCATCGGCAAAGCGGCTATTGTAATCATATTCAAACTTGGTGGGTCCCGATAAAATCAAGTTTTCTGGCTATGTTTGGATTTAATCCCCGACTACTTCACGCACATTAGGAGCTTTAAAAGGAAGCTTTTTAGCAGTGCTAAAATAGTTTCCTATTAGGCCTTGTTAAACAAACCAGCCAAGAATCTCTACTTGTAGACCAAAGATGGGTAAATGTCTAAATTAAGTTCTCAGTTGGTACACGCTTAAGATGGCTGAGGGTTGTACTGTCAGATAAGGATGCCTGTCCTCTACCAACACCATATAATGTGTTTGTCTTTTTACATCGGCTCAAGAAAAAATAGCAGCAGTAAAATATCGTACGAACTTTCCGTCCAACCTAATAACATTACTACTTAAGAAAAATGTAACAATCAGAAAAAATGAACCCGATATTTGAAATCAGTAACCTCGAAAACCCCTAAATCGAGTATTTTTAGAAAAATTTCAAAAAATTACTTTTTAACACTACTACTTAAGAAAAAAGTAACAATCAGAAAAAATGAACCCGATATTCGAAATCAGCAACCTCGAAAATCCCTAAATCGAGTATTTTTAGAAAATTTTCAAAAAATTACTTTTTAACACTACTACTTAAGAAAAAAGTAACAATCAGAAAAAAAATAACAAAATTTTTGAGATTGATAACAATAAATCCAATCACATGGTTCAGATGGCAGGTCTACGCCTCATCTTTGATTTTTCCCCGGTTCCGGAAGTGTCACTATTCCGCCATTCCGGAAGTGTCACTATTCCCCCATTCCGGAAGTGTCCAAATTCCGGAAATGTCCTGATGCGGAATCCTCCGCCGGGGAAAGAAAGTACGAAAGTTTTGCCATTTGTGCATCGGATGGAAACAAAAAATCGCCCCAACGCAAAGAACACAAAGATATAAGCAAATTATTTGTTCCAAATTTCTTGAAACACCCTTAAACAGGGCGGTTCAGCCGAAGCTTCCAACAGTATTTCCCCGCCAATAATTTCTATAAAAATTTATATCAAATTGAAGCTGAGATACCCCATTTTTTGTGCGTCAAATATAACGGACCCAAGTTTACGTACTTCTCGGGCAATCTAGGCCTCAAAACTTGGTTGACTGCGATCAAAAAAATTAATGCCATTTTCGAAATCAACGCCATCGATTATCCTAATTTCGACATTTACACCGAAGAAAAATATTGTAATCTCCACAGGGACAGAGAGAGCAGAAATTTGCGCAATATTGAGCAATGTTACGCAATTTGAGTTGATGCGTATGTCACCATCCTTATATCACCAAAAACTAAAAATTACTAAACTATCTTATTCCTGAGGTAACATACCGTTTATGGCATAAAACCAGAAGCACTTTTAAATACGCTTAAAAGGTATTTGGGTATATGTATACCCCGTCCGAACCCTATCTTGAGCCACTCTGTGAAAAATTTTTGAAAAATATGTCATGATGACGGATTTATGTCAAATTTACCGAATACGGTTTACAACCAGGGGTGGTTAGTGCACTGCAGTGGGCCGGGCCGGTCGGGCTCAAAAACGGAAATTTTACAAACGTATTACAGCTCATAGCATTTTTTGGCACCTAAGTTGCGGTAAGATCAAAGAAAACAGTAATAGGACATTTTATACGATGAAATCAGGAGGTGAACTGATGGCCTTTGTACAGAACTAAATTAGTCGTCATGTACTTTGGAGGTGCCTTAAAAACCACAAAAAAGTTATATTAATCCTTTACCAGCCTGATCACGCCTTTTTTGCTTAACTCTAGTTCCAAAGCTTTGGCGAAGTTCGCAGAGTCCTCTATAAGGTCGGAGCTGAAAAAAGCCTAGACGCCGGGCTGGTCCTTAGACGGGCAGGGCCGCGGGCCGGAAATCGGAAAAAACGGCCCACTGACCTGTTTACAACGTCCATACTTTTCTTTCACCTGGTTTGCAAACATTTCATCGTATAAAACGTCGCTAATTTTTCTTTAGACGTTTTTTCTCGATTTGTATTCTAATTTTTTATCATGTTGAGGAGTTTAGTTTGTCTACGTCGAGTATTTAGTAATTCGCCGGGTGCATGTCGACCATATGCAACAGCTGTCCATGCTAATACTAAAGTTACACTTTCTCCGATTATTTCAAAAACACCAGAAACGAAAATCACAACATTGAACTCGGGATTGCGGGTTGCAAGTCAATCTACTCCCAATTCGACTGCTACAGTAAGTTCTGTTTTATCTTTGTTTTATATTTTAGGTTGGTGTATTTATTGATGCTGGCTCGAGGTACGAGAATGAAAAGAATAATGGTGTTGCCCACTTTCTCGAACATATGGCCTTTAAAGGAACGAGAAAGCGTTCTCAGATAGGGATCGAGCTAGAAGTTGAAAACATTGGGGCTCATTTGAATGCGTATACTTCAAGGGAACATACAATTTACTATGCGAAATGTCTTGAAAGTGATCTCGGTCAAGGTATGTTTACTATTTATATTAAGTAACTCGTTTCTTTAGCTGTAGAAATCTTGTCTGACATTCTTTTGCACAGCGTTTACGGCAAGGATGAAGTGAAGCGGGAGAAGGATGTTATTGTAAGGGAATCAGAGGAGATTGATCAGATTATGCAAGAAGTCGTCTTCGATAGACTACATCTAGATGCCTATCGTGGATGTTCTCTGGCCAGACCAATTCTGGGCTCTATTGAAAATATTCGGTCAGTTTTTCCAATTTTATATTTATTCCTTAGGTCTATGAAACGAGAAGATCTTGTGGAATATGTGAAGACATATTACAAGGGCCCAAAGATGGTACTGGCTGCAGCCGGAGGAGTTGATCATGACCACTTGGTTGGTTTGGCAAATAAATATTTTGGTGGAATTCAAAGAGGGTCAGAAGATGTTCTAAAGTATGAGAAAGGAGTATTCCATGAGTCTTATGTAAGTTGTTCTTCTTTGTAAAATTACTTATGTTTTTAGGATGTAATGGAGACGAATAATATGGATCTTTGTTATGGGGTATTGGCAGTGGAGAGCACGTCATGGACTCATCCATTGAGTTTGGCAGTTCAAGTCGCTTCAGGCGTAAGTCGATTCTTGATGAGTAATCTAGAGGGTTTAGTTGACCGGTCAGTTTAACCGAACGCAAGGAGCTGGCTTAACGATGCCTACAAGATTAGCCATGTTGATGGAACAGAACCAAAAAGTGGAGTCTTTCCTGTCATTTGTTACCAATTACAAAGACACCGGTCTTAGTGGAGTATACTTCGTAACAGAACCAGCAGGCCTTAGATCAATGATTAAAGCCATTTGTGACGAATGGACAGAATATTGCTATAATATCAACGAGAAAGACGTGACCAGTGCGAAGAATGTTCTCTATAACAACATGGTGATGATGTTGGATGGGACAACACCCATTTGTGAAGATATCGGACGCCAATTACTTTGCTATGGACGCCAGATCAGTATTCCAGAACTCAAAGCTCGGATTGACGTAAATAATTTGAATTACTATATTGGTCATGCATCCAACCTTTACTAAATATAAAATTCTAGGCAATCGACGCTAGAACGATCCAACAAGTGATGCACGAGTTCTATTTGAATAGACCGATCGCCCTGAATGTGATAGGCCCCACACAGGACTGTCCTAGCCTCAAAGAGATCAAGAAATGGCTCTCAGAATAGTGTTGTTGTTTGTTATTAAAAATCGATAGAATTAATTTACTCATAAGCTCATAGTTTTCCTTCCTTGGATCCGAACTGATTCAACATTATGCTTCCGGTTTTCCAACGCTTCTGTCTCTCTGGCCGAGTTCCTCCTCCCCCTCCGAAGAAGCCTCTATTCTTGGCTTTGAACGCATCAAAAGCACTCATCCGACGCATTCCAGAAGTACGACGATGACTAAAAGTTCGACTTATATGAGTTAAAGACGAACATGGTCATCAAATACGTAAACTTACCCCGTTATGGACGTTCTCCTCGAATTAGGTCCACTATCCATCGTATCGCGAGAGGAGTCTCGGGCATGCATGATTACGATCTCCGGCACCTTATCCTGAGCTTCCGACCCATAATCTGACTCAGCAGGAGTGGAACTGGAACTCTGTCGAGCAATCTCGGGGTTCTTAGGGAGTTCAGAAGCACGGATCTGGATCTGCGACTCTTGAGGGTTAATTCGAACACCCGGCCGAGGAACAGCATGGTATACATACACATTCTCGCCGCTCACACGGTGCTTCTCCATGTGGTCGAACCGATATTTTTGTTCTTCAATAATTTCCATGGTGCGTCTGAAGATAAAGCATTTACTCGATGTAAAAACAAGGGAAAGAGATACTTAACCGAAGACAAAGGTAAGGGAATATACACAACACAAAGGGGTGCAATATCTGAACGAAACGAGGAAGTGAAAACGAACTCAAGGGATTCACAACATTACAGTACCTCAGAGCCGCATTTTTACCCCCACTCGAGCCGGTGACCATCCAACCATCGCCGCTGTATATCGATTGCCCGGATCTAAACTAGTATTATGAGAACTAAGGGGAGGAGAGGGCTGAACTGACATTATTGTACTAGACCAGTAAGCCAGGAACAACATTAAAAGACCGGCGACAATGCCAATAGGAATAAGGGCGCGATTCATGAAGGTGGTGACGGGATCAAAGCGGGGGTACCTCTCGCGGCTAATTATGTGCCAACCAAGACGATTCGTTATTTCAGCTGATTGGGAACGCAGAATCTCTGAATGGAATTGTGCATAAGACCGTAGACTTCTCACCTGTCAATATCTTGGTAGACAACAATGGTTTTTCTATCTTCCTCCCAATCACTTTGGCCTCATGAGGAAGAACAACATAGAAGCGGAAGATCGCGATTCTGTTATCTCTCTTAGGGAACCCGTCCAATAATACCACCAAGTGCTTATTGAACACAACACTGGAACTTGGATTTCTGATACTTGATTACTTACGGCTTCTCCAGTCGACAGGCAGTGGCGTTCTTACAATAACGATTTGCCATCCTGACAATAGCATCCTTGAAGGGCTCAATTAATTCAATCAAAGGAGTCTCCTGACAATATGCCATACGAAATCCGGCTGACCAATCGATAAGATTTAACTCTAGATATTTCGCCGTCATAAGGTTGCTCTCCGTTACCTTGTAATGTTCGATCCATTGCTGAAAATTGGGATTGTACCATCCCGAGTGAACACAATAATACCAATAACAACATAATTGGCCGGGTCTAATAAAACTTAAATCCCCAGGCGTCTTGCGACTTTCCCAATGGATCAAAGTGGCACCTGCTCTTGAAGGCCGAGTTTTTAGCCGGCCACTCGCCGGCCGAAAATCATAAATCTTTCCGTTGCTCAAAAATTGGACACTCGTATCAATATAATTTATTTAAAGACAATCATTATCGCAATTTATAGAGTTAGTTAGATGACGTAGCCAATTCTTCCTTCAGTTCCTAAAATACGAAATCAATAACTGATTTTTAAATACCTTAACATCTTGGGTCAATTCTCGGACTTGGTTTCGAAGTTCATCTATAAAATCCTGATAAGCTTGATATCTCTGAGCATGGCAGTTATGAGCGGGGTCTGTACTAATTCTCCATGCTTTCTGCTTCAGGGCCTTTGCTTTTTCAATTTCTTTTCCGGCAGATGCAAACTAAATGTTATTACATAAAATCGTAACACTAAGAAACTCACGTCTGACTCGGCACTGTATTCTTCAAAAAAGATATTCATCTCTTTTTTAAAGGCGTCAATAATATTTGTCCTCACTTCGGTGCAATCCTTTTTTGTAACCTTCTGATTACACGTAGATTTGATGTATTCCTGTAGATTCTCAGGCATAAGAACTTGAGCACAGACGGCATCAGTGACACCAACGAATGTTCTCTTCATATCCCTCTCGTATCCTGTCATTTTGTCGTATTACCAGCACTCCAATCGATCGATCGAGAAAAAAGAAAAAACACTTTTCGAAAAGAATTTTCGAAAACTCGCATATTTGAATAATTTTTTACCGCCAAATGAAAGTGCAGGCTGCATAAAATTCCAGAAAACATGTCGCCTTTCTGTGATATATTGATAGAGTAAAACTTATTTCAATGGTGTGATCTATATTTTTCGATTTGGGCCAAGGGTATGTTGTTCTCGTTCTTTTCTTAGCAAGCAATAAATGTTAAAATATGTGTCGACAACGACGCATTTTTTGGAAGCAAAAAATAAAATATTTTTCTTTTTTTTTGGCTGGCTGGTCGTTGTTGTCTGTTGCCGACCGTTGTTGCTGTTTCGGATGGCTCGTCAGTGTATAAAGTGTCAGAAACCAGGCGAATATACCTCACTGGAGACCACAAAGGCTGTTTTCTGCTACGAATGTTACCTAGAAAGTATCAAACAGAAGTTCAGAGCTGCATTGAGCAAGACAAAGCTCTTCAAACAGTCGGAGCCGATTGATGTCCTTGTTGTTGCACAGAAGGATGTAAGATCTGAGGCTTTGATCAAGTTAATGAAGGAGTCATACGATGAAAGGAAGAAACTCAAATTGAATGCCAGAGTAAGACGAAATAAAAATTTTTTATGTCTTGTTTTAGATCTTCTATGTTAACTTTTCCGGCGAGAGTGATGATTGTAGTATTGACGAGACTGACGAGGATAAGCCAGATACTGTTGACATTTCTCTGGCTTTCTGTCGAAACCTCAACTCGGTTCATTTAATGACTGGGTCGTTTCAAATTCCGGTATTTTATGCGTAAAATTCATTTGTATTGTTTAGAAGTTTGACTATTTTTACGTAAGGAGGCTTCTTCCGGACAATGCAGCTTTGAAGGACGAATTCAAACGTCTTCTAATGGACTACTTTGTCTACCGACTGGCGGAACGTCTAGGAATTTCGACGGTCCTTACAGCCGAAAACGCTGAAACTTTGGCACAAAAAACATTGAATGCAACTTGCATGGGACGAGGTGAGCATTTCTTCTAATAGGAAGGGTAACTATAAGCAAATTTTTACCTTAATTTTGCAGCCGATTCAATTCCTCATGTAACAAATGTTTTGGATCAGCGACATCCGTCGGTCAACATCGTCCGCCCTCTGAGGAACATCACCAACACTGAGATCGCATTTTTGACCTCCAAGGCTCCCTCAACTACTTACGGGAATTCCGTTTCGTCTAAATTCTTGGAGAACGTTACAGCCAATGGTTACCCTGGAACAGTATCTACTGTGCTGAGTGTTGCTTCCAAGATTCAAGCAGTGGTTGACGAGGAGATTGGAAAATCATCGAGTCCACTTCGCTGTTGGTTATGTCAAATGCCATCGAAGGGTGGTCTTTGTCAAGGATGCACTAATTTCACTTCCCAGATCCCATTCAGACAAAGACAGGATTTTCTGGAAGCCTTTGATCGGGGTGAAGTGGTTGACGATTAAATTTTACTGCTTTTGTGTCGGTTTATTCGTTTGATACTCTAGTATAATATATTCATCTTTCACTTGGATCTTCTCACATCTTGATAGGATTTAGATGTGCGGATTTGTTCTCTACTTCCTCCAGCCTCGAGTTCTTCTTTAGATTTTTTTCTTCTTCCCAGTAACCCTCTTTTTTTGTCATCTTCTTTGCTTCCTCTGATCATTGAAGCTGCATTATCTGATACTTCCCCAGATTGATTGGTGGCATCTGCGCTGGTCGACTTGAGACTCTTTCGATGTTTTGTTTTCTGGGAATGCTTTGGTCTAAAACGGAAGGTTGAATGCGGCAAGCTCGGGTCCAATGAACCCCGTCCATAAATATCGGCTTCAAATGGCGTTTTTATACAAACCGCCTACCCGAATTCAATCATATCTTTGAAGGACGGGATGTCAGCCACAAATTTTCCGTTTTGCCGTTTCTTGTTAGCCGCGAACAACTCGTTGAAATAGGGATCAGTGAGTAAAGCAGCTCCATGGTGCCGTTGTTTTGGATTGTAAACGAGAATCTTGGCCAGGAATTCAATGTTCTCTCGTGGACAGTTGAGAAGCTGAGATGACTTGATTAATTAATAGTCGGGCTGAACTTACATGATTGAATCCCCGTGGCTGAACGATCCCTCCATCGAGTCTTGTACAAGATCTCATGGCCAATAATTCTCCAGCGTCAGGAGATCCGAGGGCTTCAATTACAAGACGAAGTTGATGCTTGGAATCACGACCAGGAAGTAAAACGTGACCTCTTAGCATTTCTCCAAAGACACAACCAGCTGACCAGACATCGACCAATGGAGAATAAAAGACGGCATCAAGGAGAAGTTCTGGAGGACGATAAAAACGAGTCACCTGGTAGGCGGTCGATTCTACATTCGGCTTCATGACTTTGGCCGAGCCAAAATCTCCAATCTTCAGAATCCCTTGATCTGGATCGATCAGAATATTTTGGGGTTTAATGTCACGATGACAGATTCGTTTCTTCATCAGATAGTACAAACCATTGAACAACTGCCAAGTATATATCTTGATGTCCACAATGTTCAGATGTGGGGGTCCGAGGGATTTGATTTGCGAATGGAGCGTTGCCGGCATAAAGTCGAAGATCATACTTTCGCAAATCTGAAGTTATTTACAATCATTTACTATGTGCGTGATGATAATATATTATGTAATATTGTGTAAGTACTGATATACAATACTTACGCGACCATCTGGGGCTTTTGTTTTGAAGGAAAATAGGACTTGGACAATGTTGAGATGCTTTTCCTTGGAGAGTTCGAGGAGCATGATCACTTCGTAGTTCTTGTGGCCATCTTGACCGGGATCCGGCCAAGTCTTTTTGACTGCAATCTCTCGTCGGGGAAGAGGTTCGACTAGGGTGCCACGGTAAACATTGCTGAATACTCCGGACGAATGTAGTCTCAACTTGCACATTTTGACCTGAACTAAAAATTTTTTATTTAAAAAAATACTTACCGTTACCTGGGTTTGGGCAGGTAATTCGACCGCACTATATTCATGAATGGTGGCAGCCATGACTTTGGACTCAACCACACCACTCAGAACGGCTTCGGAATGGTGAATTGAACGGTGACATTCTCAGAATATTACATTTTTAGTAAAGTTGTCTAAAACGTAAATTTCTGAAAAGAATTTTGTGTTTATGTAGATAAATTTAAAACATGAAACCGGTTTTAGAGTACTGTTTAACGCTCTTCCAAATATCACTATTGCTAACTGAACCAGTTAAGAATTTTTAACTTACAAAATATCCACTTGAAGCCGTAGAAGTTCAAGATAAAACTATACAAGCTAAAAAGTGTTTCCAGCTTTATGCCCTAAACCTGTTTTACGCCCTATTCCCGTTGTGTTCCAGAGGCCTGGCCAGAGAATCCTCAAATGGTGCTGTGTTTATTCGGCTCATAAGGTTCTAAAGAAGATTGGATCCTGCTCCCCAGGTCCACCAGCAATTGAAGCATCAACGTAAGAAGTGTTGTGCTGAAATGTCATGAAATGATTATATTGCGAAAAATTGTAGCGCATTTCCTGTCCACCAAATATGGCGCGTTTTTGTTCACGGAGAATACCGAACTGACATTGTCATTCCATATTTTGGAGTCCGGAACCAGCATGATTTTTAAATATCTCAACAAATACGTTAAAACGTATTTGTTGAGATATGCCCCGCTTAAATGTAGGAGCCCCAATAAAAGTGGTTTCATTGTAAGAAAAAACGGTAACCCTTTCTGTATTTTTTAGAAATTGGGGTCCTTGAAGGCACAAAGGGTTTCGCCTGGGACAGTAGCTCTTCATCGTAATGGATTTCAAGTTCATACTGTCAATGTTAGATCAATCCAAACCGAGGGAAAATTGAAGCAATTCAAGAAATCGTTGGAAACGGAAGTGATCAGCATGAATTCGACATCCCCCTATACACAACCGTTTGGGCGCTTCAGGATGAGATGGATCGACGATACTGGCAAGAATCATGGCCTCCGGTGGAGCGATCTTACACTGACCGGGCAATGGAAACCGTTATGATACACTCCATGATTTTTTGCATGTGATTAGTGTAAATAAATTGAATTGAAAATTGGGTCCGTGATCTTGCAAGTAGGTATCTTGATTAGCTAAACTGTTAAGCGCTTCCAGATGATTACGAGAAACGCCCTGTAATGGTAAGTATATAAACAGTGAGTCTGAAAACGGCTTACATGTTAACTACCGCTTTGTTTGTCTTGGGTTACAGGCCCTAATCCATCTTCTGTGAGCATCGACCTGAGTGTCTCAAGGGTAGAAAAAAGTGAATATTTTTTGCCCTAGGTTAAAGCGTTGAATGTCATCGTTGAGTATTTTTAAAACAAATTGTTCAACTCGCTAGCCTCTCAGAAACAAAGAGGCGCAAAATCCAATTGGGAATTTTTAAAAAGCGCTTGCTAACTAGGGCGTAGAGCAAAAGTAGCAGCTAAAAAAGGTGATCCGACCACTTTTTTATGTTCTTTTTTAAATTTTAAAATGGTATATGTTTACAAGAAAAACCATGATGCGGGGTTTTACCGAGCCCTTGTTAAGCCGTGTCGGTGGTCAGTGTGGTTGTCTGGCCTAACTCTGGCGTCAAAAACATCTGGATAAACTTGTAGAATCGTTTACAGAGTACTTTGGACTTACACCTTGCCCTAGGTCACGAACAAGTTTTCTAGGTTTTTCCACCTAGGACTCATCGTGTTGACAGAACTGTAAGGCTTTTAGAGGGGCATACTAAACTAACTTATGAGCGAGCTGACCCAACCAAGGTGACTCCCATTCCCTGGACAACTAGTTGGTCCCGTGTGCGTTCATAAGAAACCACAATTTACTTTAATCTGTAAAAAAATGCAAAAATCACATAAAATACACATTTTTTATAAAGAAATAAGGATGTTGAGGATATTTGGAAGAATTTCAGAAATCAGCCGGCATCTGCCAATTGTAGTTTCTATGGACCGTTGCCATTTTTTAACTGTTATATGAGATGACGGATTATGCAGATTTTCTGGGGAAGCCCGCGAAAATTAAAATTCAAAAATAATGAAAGCTGGGACCCTTTAAATAGTATTGCAATTTCTTTCGTTATTTTAGTGGCTTCGTTTGTCAAAAGATCGGTAAATGATAATCTTATCTGTTACACTCTCCCATTACTCCATGATGAGGGCTCTTTTCTATGAAGTGGCTGGTTAAAATCGGGTCAAAACGTTCCCAAAACGGCCGTTCTGCCTGCAAACAATCAGAGGGAACAGAAGTCATTTCTTTGCTCCCGGTCTTCTATTTTCCTCTAAAATTTTCAACTTTTGCCTAAATTTTTCAACAGAATTAATTAATGTTCTTATCAGTGTTATCAAATCGTAGTAATTGTCACGTATCTTCGATTTTTGTCAAAAATTCCGCTTTTAAGACCCGGTATAAGAAGATTATTGGCCGCTAAAAGCCATAAAAGGTGTTGTAATTGAACTTGTTATATCAGCGCACATTGTCCATTGACTTGTCCTTTTCAACTTGTAATCAATGTCTTCAGACGGGCGTACCCGTTACTCAACTATGGAATTACCAGTGGAAGAGAAGCCCCCTCCTTCAACGACCATGGGAAAAGTCTGGGCCGAAGTCCAGAGATGGCAGATCAGAATGGAACTGGTCATCTTGGCCATCTCGATTTGTGATACGGCCAGAGTTGTAATTACTCCGACCTTAATGTTGAAGAAGGTCAAAAGAGCCTACAACGCATCGGAATATGAGCCCGATCCAGATCTCTACGAAAAATGGTACAACAAACAGATGGTTGTGTGGGATCAGAACTACACTTATGTCAACATGCCCCTGGCTATCGCGGCCACCATCTTCTTTGGTAAGACCTTTAATATATACATGTTAGATTTACTTATCTTGATCACTTTGTCATTTAAATATTTAAGGAGCTTATAGTGACCGTCGTGGAAGAAAAGTACCCATGATTCTGGGGCTTCTGGGTATGTTGTTTGGGAATTTGTTTTACCTTTTGGTTTGGTGGCCGACTACAGATTGGGCACTTCAATGGATCTTCCTGGCAGGTGTTCTTAATGGAGTTACTGGCGGTTTCAGAATGGTGACTGGATCTGTTAATGCTTATTTATCCGATCAATTCAAGGTCAAGAAGACTGTAAGCATCTGATGAATATAACTTTTTTAGTCTTTGGCCAAATTCTAAGCTTCCTTTTTCCCTGAATCCTCAGAATCTCCCGTTTTGTTTAATACCAAACATGCTACACATATAGTTCTCGACAATTAAAAGTGAATTCTCGATTCAGAGCCCAATATTGCCTTAGGCAAAAGGTGTTCCCTCAGACCTCTTCGGTACCTAACGCCAATGCCAAATTTTCATACCTATGGACTTTAAATGCACTGTGAAACGGCTTTTAATTGTCGACTACTATACATGGATTTAGTCCATAGATATTGGTTTTATTTAGGGTTGTTTGACCGAATTTTTCAAAATGTCGTCAAATTGCTGTCATTTTGGCTGAACAGAAAATTCTGATATACGAATCTTCCAAAGGCGAGTTTCACGTAGACTGTGAAAGTTACCGCTAATTAGTCGTACATAGTTTTACTGCTTACTTTGTCGGTCGTCTTGACAAGATGGAGCAATGTACCCCTTAAAAAGAAAAGAAATTTGGCCGAATACTAAAATAAGTTAGCCACTTCAAATTCGTCCTGAAAGAGCACCCTGTATATACACATTTCCTATTATAACTCTGCTTTCTTTTTTCAGCTCTCCTTCCGTATGATAATCACCTATACTATCCTGAATGTAGGTGATTTAATTGGATCGCAGATGACCAAGTTTATCAGTCGGCAATGGAATGAGATCGTGGCCGCCTTTATAATGCAGGCAATTAATCTCATCGTGATATGTTATGTAATCTTCATCGTGAAGCCGGTCGGGGAAAGAGATGACAGTAAACAAAGTATAGTGACTATTGGCAAAGACGCCTTACGTTCTGTGTGGTTGTCTGCTAAAGTGGTAATCAGACCCCGAGAGAATGGCTGCAGAGCTCTATTACTGTTAACCTTCTTCTGCGCGTTGGTTAATCGAGTAGCCTTCAGTGAAGAAAAGGCCTTGATTGGGACGTATACCAAACTGAAACCCTTTGAATGGACCACTTCGGACTTTGCTCAATACAAATCCTACAGACCGTTTACTCGTAAGTTGAGATTCTTTTAATTGAAAATGCTTACAGAAATCCTCGGTTTAATATTTGGATTGGTGGTCTTGAAGAAACTGCTCAAACTTCGGGATACCACAATTTTGATTCTGGCGACGATATCTATGGGACTGGACAGTTTGTTGATTGGATTAGCCACCTCTTCCTTGCTGATTTACCTCTCAATGATTGCCGGATTCCTCCATGCCTTGACTAATCCTCTCCTTTATACCCTCTACAGTTGTTTGGTTGAACCGAATGAGGTTTGTTTTCCTATATTTCCAATTGGGGAAGAAGACAAAAGGGGAACAGAAATTTACTTTTTTCTTGCACACTAGGAAGGGGATATGGCATATCAGAACGTGGAGTTACGGCACTGTATGACTATAACTGTACGCAAGGAATGCCGTCAATTCTGATTTGAAATCAGCACCATCGGAACCCCCTGAATCGATTTTTTGTGAAAAAATTCAAAGAATTACTACTTTACAGTACGACTTAAAAAAGCTAGGAAAAGGTAACGATCAAAAAAATGAATGTCATTTTCGAAACCTGATGTTTTATCCATTTATGTGCAGGAAAAAAGTATTTTTCAGTTTCCTCAAGTGACGACTTTCAATAACTTCCTGATTATGTTCATCTCTTATAATTGCATTTAGACTGGTCGGGTGTATGCGATGGACTCCATCTTGCACAATATTGGCTATTTCATCAAGACAGCCGTCCTCCAGAACGTGTATATTCACACGGTTAACTGGTATCAAGTAAGTTAAAGCATGCAAAACAACATTTTTCCAGGGCTTTATCTGGTTGTTACTTTCCTCGATGGCTGTGGTATCGGCCTCCGTCCTAACAGTAATTCATTTTGTTTCTAAACGCCGCGGTGTCGGCGAAGATTAATCCCAGAATGACCTCAATACTTTTATTCTCTCAAAATATGCTTAAATATATGGCGTCAGCATTGAATATTTACCCGTGATGTTGTCATCTTCGTTTTAGAGTCTTGTTTTGAATAATCAAACATAAAATTATTTTCCAATCCATCCCACGACTTTGTTCCAGAGAGCTGTCTTGGCTCCAGAAATGAACTCATCTCGAGTGAATTGATCCAAAATGGACGGCTCGATGTTGGAGCGATCGATGAAGGGGAAAGTCCTCTTGATCAGCGTCGATTCTGGACACAAGGCAGACTCATTGTGGTGTCCTCTTCTTAACGAACACAACAATTCATCTCTACATTTGGCGTCACAAGGATAGTCATCTCGGCGGGCATAGTTCCTGTAAAACTTGTATAATTTTAAAGGCTCAACATACTTTAAGAACTTTTTGTACAAGACGTCATCCCCTCGGATTCTCTCGCCTAAGGTACTCCAACTGGAAGCCGACAGGTCGGGAAGATTGTATTCGGCCTGAAATCAGGGTTGACGGAATGACAACAGTCTTCTCCATAACTTACTTTGGCGGAATACAGTAACTCCCACTCTGGATTCGGATATGGTTGAGGTCTACTCAGATTCAAGAAGTAAGTTTTATAATCCAGAATTTCCTAAAATACAGATTCATACATTGAATACGACCTTACATAAGTGCTGTGTTCGTAATTCCCATCAACTTCGTATATCCGATACGCAGGATTTACAGATTCAAAAGTAGTTACACTTGGTGCTGAATAAAGAACATTGGTGGGACGAGAATGGAAGTTATTCATGTTCTCATAGAAGACCGTGAAGGAATCCGTGTGGACATGACCGAAAAACTGAGCGCGAATGGTATACTCGAATCGGTTGACAATTCTATAATAATTTCGAGCCCATCCTTCCAAACATTCCCCATCTCCAGGGGGAATGTGAGCCATAATATGAACAACAACTCCTTGTTCTTCGGCCTCTTTTAATTCTTCGATCAGCCATTGCAAAGCACTATCTGGATCTGTTTGATTCAGATAAAGGAAACTAAAAATAGTTTACAATACAGGGAACTCGGATTTACTTTTAAGTAAATATATTTACGTTTATTTACTTACATAAACACCAGTTAAATATAAATAAATAAACGCAAATACGTAAATTCGTGTGAAAAAGGAATGAAATCATTTTAATAAAAATCAATTTTAACATTAAGCTTTGGCGGGAATCTCAAAATTTGAATAAAAAACTTACAAATTAGTTGTCTCGCAGAAGTTGGTGTTCAAATTGATTAACTTCAGTTTGTCTGTCAATTTCACACTAAAAGATCCTCTGAAATTGGCCGAGGCGATCTGCTCTGGTGGAATCCATCTCTCTCCAGCATCTGTCAACGCTTTGTAAATCCAGTCCGGCCAGAAACGAGAAGGCATTGTGTGAGGAGCAAAGGAATTCACGGGGACTCCTTCATGATTTCCTACTCCCCAGAAGACTGGAGTGTCGGGAAAGTAAGTATTGATGAGCTGGGTGAGATTGGAGATGACGTAGAGATGGCTGTCCTTGTTGTATACCCAGTCATTGTGAGGCATGTAATCACCAGTCAACATAATGTAATCAATCTTCTTGTCTGAGTCTGTCTAAACGTAGATCCACTATATAAATTTTATTTGAGTCAAGTGTGAATTGTAATATAGGTTGTTACATACCATATGAGTCCCTGCAATATGTGCAAACATGCTCTCCACGGTCCTTAAAGGAATGTCACAAGCAGCCAGTGTCCCCCAATATCCCGCTGATTTCTTAGGGACTGGGACTGGAGCCCCTTGACAACAGACCGGCTTCCCACAATCGGCTTCTGTCCCATTCTCATATTCGAAATCAAAATGAAGATCGGAGACTTGTAATACTCGGAAGATGGGGCGATTCTCTTGGTCGGCTTGTTTCGCTGGTCGATCCTTGAAGATATCTGGTTTGGGAGGGAGGTTTAGAGTCCAATTTCCATCAAATGGATTGTTGGGGATTCCACATTCATCGAGCATTAGACCACAGAATTGTCTCGGAGATAAGACCATCTGCTCCAGGACGTAAAGGAATTGTTCCTGCAAAAGTCATGAAGGCAATAGGGACTGCACCCACTCTGAACTGGGATGTTAATCCTTTGCATATTTGGGTATTCTGGTTTGCAAATTCTTTACAAAAATATTCAGCGGCCCTTATGATCTTGTCTGAGGTGCTGTTTCGTTCAAATAGGAATCTGAAAGTACCGTATGAGCTTAGACTTTCAAAAATTTGCCCTTGAGAAAAACAAAAAAATATTTGGGATTTTTAATTTTAGGCACAAAGCATGTGTTTTGTAACGTCCCGACGACAATTCGAATTCTGCTTGGTTACGAAAAATATGAATTTATAAATTCAGAAATAAGCTTCTAAGTAAACGTCGGAATCATAGTTCGAAATGTCAATAAAAGGAGAGTTAAACCATCAGATTACCTGAGAACTTCGACGCCTCCTCGGCAAGCCATACACTTCCAGCTAAATCCCTTCTCTTTAGATTCATTTGACCTGTCTGGAGCACCTAAAATACATTTAAGTAGCTAAAATCTTTATTTCTCTCACTTACACTGGACATAAGAAGCGTGAAAAAGAAGAACGAAGAAGATAAACCTGATCATTGCGAGTTGGAGATCCTACTGATTAATCTCATAGTCTCGAAATCCCTCTTTGATTAATCCCCGTGATTAATTCGAGAGAGACTGATGATAAATGTGATTGGGAGAACCACGTTCAAGTTGGACCCCGAGAGTGTTTGAATTCGAATTCGGATCCTAGTTCCGGTTAGGGAATCCGCGAAATCCGTGGGAGTCCGCGAAAGGGGTCCCAGAATCCTTTTTCAGAAAACGTTCCGAATAAGAAGAACGCGTCTTTATTCGGGAAAAAACGTGTTTGGATCAATCTTCTTGACGTTGAGACGCTTTTTTTGAGGTGCGAGCTTCCCGAGGACATAGGATTTTTAACCCACTGGTTTTATTTTGCTATGCCATAGCAAATTACGTGCTCGTGCCGGGTTTGATTTTCTTTGGCTCGGGGTGCCCTAGTTTCAGCCTTATGCCCTGAGGTAAAAATTCCATATTCGAATTCTACAGGTTGTGTTAAGGTATGTTCAGGTATGATATGCAAAAAGTTTCTGGAAAACTCCGCTTTTGGGTGATGCCGCTAACTTTTGTGCCTCTTTGGTACGTGAAACAACCCCCACTAAGATATAGCTTTAAAATATGACAATATAGCTCGATTAAATATGAAAATAATAGTATTTATTTTATACATTTGCATCTTAGAATCTGAATACTCGTTCACTGGGGGTAATATGTAGGAATGGCTCGAGGGACCTTGCATTTAGAAATTAAAAAAATATTGGAATTACTTTCAAAGGCAAGGCTTAACAAAAGAAGTTACATATGTACATACTTAGTATTACAACTATCGATCAAGATAGATCTATTATTGTCAAATAATGCCCCGAGGACAGACTCGTTCTAATTGTCCCCACTAATCCTGTCGGAATTGGCCAAGAAGTCAATAATATCTGCATATGAAACTACTCCTAACAACCGATTGGCCCGACAAATAAGAACACATTGATGCTGAGAGGCCGTCAGACGAAGAATTGCAGAGAAGATGGACTCATTCGGCTCAATTAGCATATCCAAATTTGTGGGATCAATCAGATCCTGAAAGATACGATCACTATTTCAGTTGTAGACATTACACTGTAATGTGTTTTCAAGGGATCAAAGCCCATTCCCTACCTTTACTTTCATTTCGAGAATCTCGTCTATTCCATCTTCCCCTTTCTCGGCAACGGCTGCCAGAACATCGTATTTGCAGAAGACCCCACTGATCGTATCAGTTGAGTCTAACAAGGGAAGGCAGGCCACCTTCTTTTCCAGGATAATGTCGATGGCGTCCGAACATTTTGTGTCTTCCGGGATCTACAATCAATAACAATATTGATTATATTACACGATGATTCATCCACATACCGTGGCTAATCCACTCCATTTTCCCAATTTGACCTCATCCAGAGTGATTTTGGCGAGATTGGGAGAGAGACAGCACTTAGTCTGGACTAGTTTGATGATCTCCAAGAAGACGGGCCGCAGAGAGAGAAGACAGAAAAGTTCGTTCGTTCTCAGAATCCCTTTCACCTCCATTATGGGGATCCTGTGGACGTGATTGATTCGGAATTGCCGAGCCAAATCCCAGACTCTGTAATGGTGTAATGTAGTTTGTTTCTGGTCTTACGAGATCTCTGAACTGGCTGTCACCAGTCTTTTGTTAGATTGGATTGTTTCGGAGAACTTGGCCACCGTTTGGTCCCCCAGATCCGGATCGCTCTTTCTTTTTTGCAAACAAAACAAAAAGTCGGATATGGTGAAGATATTGTAACTCCCATCTGAAAGTAGTTTCTGTAATACTGGCTGCTTTAAACCGGTATGCAACAATCTTTTCTTTTTTGTGTAATAAGTAAGTGCAAATGGAGCGGACCTTGTTACGGTTAACGAGTAGTCTTGTTTGCAAAGATTACCTTGATTGCTGACCATTGCAGCCCGATGAGTGGTTGACTGAGCGCACATCGCATGAATTGTTTTCCTGATAGTTAACCCCGAGTCGATGGTAAATAAGATTCCATGGCTGGGTGTAATGTCATATGCAGTGAAGGATTGCAAGTAGTTCTTGTAGGCCGATCTCTGATGTTTTTCTGAAAGTATTTGTCTCAGAAAGCGGATATTCAATCAGTTGTCAATGATAAGCAGATGTTTTCGGGCATGGGGAATGTTGATAAAGGTCATATGTCTACAGATCGTAACGGGAAAGCAAAAAGTTAAACTCCATTTTTCAAAACGAATGTCTTCCGTTGACTGCCTTTATGGGACTGAACTTACTGAATGCTCCAACGATCTCGAACGATCTGTCCACGTTCTTACGCAAAATGGCGTAATTCTGAAGAACAAGGTGAAGATGAGGGGTGAAGGTCCGACTTACGGCTTTCCTGAGGGTTCTCTCATCCACGGACATTCGTCTTCCACTGATTCCACAAGTCTCGAAGTCATCGTCCGAGAAATGCTCGTCATCGAATTGGGAATCGGTACTTATTTTTCTCCAGGACAAGTCATCTGGTGTGGGCAGTGTCATCTTCATCATGGGTCTCGGTTTGGAAACTGGCATCTGCAGGAGACATAACATTAGAAAAGAGCAGCTCCGATGATTATAAACACAGAATACCCACTCTGGAATTAATTGTAGATCTCCTCGGTCGAATCTCGGCCTGGAATCCAGAAGAAGATCTTCTGGATTGTGGATCCCCGGTGCTCGAGACAGCCGAATCGGTGGTCGTAGCACTCGAAGAACTGAGATCTCGAAGCGGCTCGTTCTCAGGGACCCCACAAATACTCCGTTTGTGCCCGACTACCGTAATCTCGTCGAGGGGATCCATGCGGGCAGAGAGAGTCCCCATCATCCCTTCGATCACGTCCACACCGACCTCGGGCGGAGAACCTCCGAAGGTGGAGCGACTGGCTTCGGACGAATCTTCAGAAGGCTCGGTGCCGGAGGTGGCCCCGGAAGTGGGCCGTGATGTCGAGGGTTCGGGGCTGCAGGGCCGGGGATCGGACGAACGGCGACGGGGCCTCAGCCGCGACCAGAATGCCTTCAGCTTAGCGGCCGGCCGCGGAGAGTGCGAGGTATTGGCGGAGTCGGAGATGGCTAGCGACAACGTGATTGGATGCGATACTGGAAAGGAAAAGAAATAAAAGAACAGCAGGCACGTGCAACAAGAATTCTCTTGTTTTCGCTAGTTCCCCTGAAATTAATTTTCAAAGACTGAGAGAGTGATAAAAGATTGTAACCCATGACATTAGAGAAGAGTACCCGATTGCGGGAGATCAAAACAGAACGACGAAAACAAGAGAAAACACGATCTGCTACTGGGTTTTTGCAAGAAAGAAAGAAATTGCCAAAGGGGAATTTGGAGAACGCCTCGAGCTCGCAAAAACGAAAACATGTCCTTTAAAAGCTAAAAAAGAACCGGCTCGATGTGGTTGTTTATATCCAGACTGGCATTTCCAAACCGTGAAACCTTGAGAAGGGTCTCCGACGGCGTCCCCCGAACGGCTAGAAATCAGTGCTCCATGCTCCGGGATGTTTACAGATGATTGAGGCTATCAAAGTGCATTCTCTCCTCGTCCGGCTGGTGTTTTCTCTCCGTTCCGCCGAGGCCTCCACACGGAAAAACGTGACCCGAAGTCGAAAACAACCCCCTCCCCCCTTTCAGGCCTCCGAAATCGAAAGCCCCCAGAAGAATTTGTTTTTGCAGCAGAAATCAAAACATTAAAAAACCCCGAAACGGACTGACTTTCCTAAGCCAAGAACGGCTACCAGCACATTAAAATAAGATATTATATTTTAGAGACAAAGAAGGTCTTGGCCACGCAGAAATTCATGGACAGAAGGGCGGGTTTACGTTGACAAAAATAGAAGAAAAACAATTACCGAGAAAGAGAGAGTGTGTAGAAATGAGAGTGCAGAGAGAGAGAAAAAAGAGCGGAAATTAGAGAGTGTGGCAGGGAAAAAGAGAAAAACGAATTAAGAAATAAATAATAAAGGATTCATTTAAATTTTGAAGTTCAAGAACTGGAAAGAAAGAAGGAATACAAATGATATAAAGTTACGTCAGAGAATTCACGGGATACGGTAACTGGGGGGGGGGGTGTGGTGGCCTCATCACAAAGCTATAATGCTTCTACAGTAAGATCAAAATACGACTTATGTGGTGTCAAATAAATCTAAAAATTTGTCAACTTCCCCGCTGCTTTTGAGTCCCGAAGAAACGAAAAACAAAAAATGTCTGAGGGTCATGAAAACAAATCACCTTGATATTACATTGATACCACAAGAAAAGGCCTCAAAGGCTACTACAGCTGATAAGTAAAACATGTTTATTCCCTGACTCTGATGACGACGTCAAAAGTTTAGTTGAGTTTTCTGAATAAAAAGGGATAAAAAGCAATGGTAAAAAACAATTAAAACGCTGAGAATAATAAATTCAAAGTCGGCGGTGAGCAAATCTACTTGTTTACTTCGGAATCCTCAACACTTTCCTTATATTTATTTATTTTAGACATCCAACAAAGTGTTCGAGGGAGAAAAATATTGTGAACTCCGAAGAAATATGTAATTATCCGAAGATAGGCTGTCTCAGACATCAGAGTGTTCCATTTTTCTTCAAAATACATCGGCAAATATGTAAAGAAATGACGCTGTCAATGGAAATTGCTTTACTAAAAAATGATTTTAAAAATTAATTTTTTTTTGTTCAAAATCGAAATTGATAAGAAAAAGAAGAGCTCCAAAATAGTGTTTGAGAAAAAGATTATTAAAAAAGTAATCGAATAAAGAGAAAGCCAAGCAAAATCAGCGCTCATTACAATTTAATTATCCGTTGTAAATTAAAGTTGCAATGTCATTTTTTAATCCAATTATTTGGGTAAGTATAGTTCATGGCCTTTGAAGAAAAGGATTAACGTATTTTTTATTCCGTGAATAAATATATTGTGTAGCCTTTTGGAACTGCAAACTTTAGGTTTTTATTTACAAGGGAAGTACTTGAAGTGTGACGCTCAGATTTTGATGAAACTTGGCACAAATTTAGAATAATTTTTTCTAAGATATATGCGGGAATCCTAGCTCGCGCTTTGCAGAAACAACCGAGATTTTTAGATCGAAAGTCGGCGAAAATTTGGGACTTTTTGCCGAATTTCGGCACGAAAAGTTTCATGCCTATTTCAACCGTAAAGAATAATGTTTCTACAAAAAATCAAATTTTTCCGCACGAAACTGCCAAAGTTATGGCCAAAAAGCGGTTTTCTCTCTGACCGCTCTCCACGTTGAGCGTGCTCTCTCGGCGGCAAAAATCGTTCAATATCTCGGCGGCGCCCGCAAAGCGCGAGCTAAAACTTTCAGGAATTGATATTTAGTCCATACCCGATGTGTGTGCAAAATTTAAAGAAAATCTGAGCGTCACACTTGAAGTACTTCCCCTGTTAAAAGAGAGTTTTTTACAGATTGAAGCTTCTCATAACAAGGGCCGGACATTTCGAAAAAACGACCAACTCAGAATCTTTTGATATTTTGCATAGTTGTTGCACTGTGATAGCTGAACGTCAGCGTGAATTTTTAGTTTCTGAAACGACCGTATACGGGGGTTACGGTAGGTACAATTTTCACAAAGATTGGGTTCGTGTGTAAAAACCCCGAGGGGTAAAAGCACAAAACCTTGCTGTTTTACGTTTTTGACCATGGGGAACATTTTCATAATTGACAACTTTACCGTTGGATGTTGCCTTCGACTACTTTGAAAAATACCAAAGTACCGTATTGAATGTAACTTTTCGGCATTCTACTTGTCTCAACTTTTGAAACCTCTCAAAAATACTTTGACATGTGTGTAACAACATACCAAAAATGCGCGAAAATAAAGGGGTGGTTTTGGAGTTACGGTACTTTGAAGGCAGCCGGTACGGTATTTCAAAAAATCATTTTTTTCAAAACCGGTGTGGAAGACCCGCAAACCTTGCAAAAATACGTTTTCGACCATGACGAACATTTTTGTAATTGACACTTTTTTTGTAGGATGCGGCCTTCGACCGCTATGAGAAATGTCAAGATACCATGATCAATATAACTTTGCAGCATTCTACTTGTCTCAACTTTTGAAACCTCTCAAATATACCTTGACATGTATGCAACAACATATCAAAAATGCACGAAAATAAAAGGGGTGGTTTTGGAGTTTCGGTACTTTGAAGGCAGCCGGTACCGTATATCAAAATTTCATTTTTTCTATACGTTTTCGAACCTCGCGAACATTTTTGTAATTGACACTTTTTTCGTAGGATGCGGCCTTCGACCGCTATGAGAAATGTCAAGATACCATGATCAATATAACTTTCCGGCATTCAACTTGTCTCAACTTTTGAAACCTTTTAGAAACCCCTTGACATATGTGTAACAACATATCAAAAATTTAGGAAAATAAAAGGGGTGGTTTTGGAGTTATGGTACTTTTAATCTTGATCATACAGTACACCGAACTTTTGTTGTGATGCTGATGTCCGAATTTGGAAGATTTTACTCTCGTATGGCACACACGACTCTACACCGTGGTAATCAGTACAAAACATTTAACAAATCGCTGATCTTGCTGTTACAGTAACCAATTATCTGCGCACGATATGTTACAGTATGCTTACGCCAAAATTTTCTGAGTTTCCTGGTGAAAATAGTTTTTGAGGGTCGCACAACATACATAGAACATTACATTTTGTTTTTAAGACAATCTACGTAAAGTTGAGCCGAGTATAAATCGAGGTGTACTGTATGTCCAAAATTCAAAGTACCATAACTCCAAAACCACCCCTTTTATTTTCCTAAATTTTTGATATGTTGTTACACATATGTCAAGGAGTTTCTAAAAGGTTTCAAAAGTTGAGACAAGTTGAATGCCGGAAAGTTATATTGATCATGGTATCTTGACATTTCTCATAGCGGTCGAAGGCCGCATCCTACGAAAAAAGTGTCAATTACAAAAATGTTCGCGAGGTTCGAAAACGTATAGAAAAAATGAAATTTTGATATACGGTACCGGCTGCCTTCAAAGTACCGAAACTCCAAAACCACCCCTTTTATTTTCGTGCATTTTTGATATGTTGTTGCATACATGTCAAGGTATATTTGAGAGGTTTCAAAAGTTGAGACAAGTATAATGCCGCAAAGTTATATTGATCATGGTATCTTGACATTTCTCATAGCGGTCGAAGGCCGCATCCTACAAAAAAAGTGTCAATTACAAAAATGTTCGCCATGGTCGAAAACGTATTTTTGCAAGGTTTGCGGGTCTTCCACACCAGTTTTGAAAAAAATGATTTTTTGAAATACCGTACCGGCTGCCTTCAAAGTACCGTAACTCCAAAACCACCCCTTTTATTTTCGCGCATTTTTGGTATGTTGTTACACACATGTCAAAGTATTTTTGAGAGGTTTCAAAAGTTGAGACAAGTAGAATGCCGAAAAGTTACATTCAATACGGTACTTTGGTATTTTTCAAAGTAGTCGAAGGCAACATCCAACGGTAAAGTTGTCAATTATGAAAATGTTCCCCATGGTCAAAAACGTAAAACAGCAAGGTTTTGTGCTTTTACCCCTCGGGGTTTTTACACACGAACCCAATCTTTGTGAAAATTGTACCTACCGTAACCCCCGTATACGGTAGTTTCAGAAACTAAAAATTCACGCTGACGTTCAGCTATCACAGTACAACAATTACGCAAAATATCAAAAGATTCTAAGTTGGTCGTTTTTTCGAACTGTCCGGGCCATCCTTCGAGTTGTAAAAAACTCTCTTTTAAACAAAGTGGCTTTCAACTCTTTTACTGCTTTTTTTATTTTTGCAATGCTTCAAATTTTCCAAAAATGACAAAGTAAAGTGAAATCTGAGCCTCTTTATCTAAACTGCAGGTTCTAGTTCCAAAAAAAAATATAAATTCAATGTTTCTAAATCGCATTCAAAGAATTTTGAATATTGATGAAAGTCATCAGAAAGGTAATATAAAATAATTTTTTGAATATTCAAAGCCATATGTGCAAATAAGGAGATGGCCAATTGATTGAGATGATATGACCTTCATTCCGTTCCATCCTTTTAATTTAAATTACAATTAAATTTCAAGCTATCACCTTACAATTCATTAACTAGTACCAATTAATTATACGTCAAGTAATTCTCATAACTTTTTGGATTAGGTGCTTTGTCGTTGATTTATGAGAATATATGAGAAGATATCCAGCAATATAAAACGCTGTGTTCTGTTATTTTGATTTATTTTCTTTATAATCAGACCTCCTCATTAAGCCCGAGTCCCTTCGAGATTGATCATTTCGCACCCTAATATTTTGCCCTCCGGCATTTTTTGAGCTTCTATATTGAGCAGAATAAATGACTTGGAAAGATCTTTGATTTTCGGAGGGCCCAGGGAATGTCCACAGCTGTTATTTTGGAAAGAAGTCGCTTTTTGTGGATTGCCTGAGGGAATGTGTCTCAAAATCACTGATCCTGCTTTACTAAAATGAATGATTCGTGGTCAGACTGAGGCAAAATTACACTTGACCGCCTGATGTTACCTTACTTTATAATTGTGTTAACAGTAATTTTGACAAAAATTAGAAAGCATTGTTTTGTACTACGACTTCTTGAGCTTAGTTATGGCTTCGCGAATTTCTTTTCTCCAAGTCTCGCTGCTCCGTGGTTAATTGTAATCGTTTTATGATCTCCAAACACATTTTTCTTACGTTTTTTTGGATTAAAACCAGTTGGAACGTCATATTTTTTGTTTTATTTGTCCGTAACAGGGAAATAGCGGAATTGGGGGACTTCAGGGATTGTTGGGGCAACCGGAGGGGCCATTAATTTCACCAAGAAAACCCCCAAAAGCTTTTTCTTTTTGGAAGATAAGACGACGAACAGAGAAAGCCGTTCCTTCTCGGATTCTATCTTCCAGAAGTCGCTTCACGGGCTCTAGAGGGTAATTCCAGTGAGTAATCCCCCGAGACACTGCAGTTTCTCCTCTCCCGCGTTCGTTTTTGTTATAATTGTATATTTACTGAGTGTGAAGTAGAATCTCGAGCTCTTCAAATTCGAAGGCTTTGGGTCAAATGGAGGGGAATTGTCGCGCGGAAAGGGAACGTGGATTGTATAGGAACACACCTGGGTCAGCCGGAACAACCCTCCCGGATATGGCAAGGGAAAACGGACCAAACTCTCTCTTTTCGGCCGTTTTTTCCTTGGCATTCTGTCTCTGTTTACGCCTCTTGGCCGCAGGGTATAATTTTTGACTGGAGATACGCGTGTTTTTTCTTTTTTTTTTCTTTAAAAGAGCTCTTAATAAGTAATTGTTGCTTTAGGGAATGTGAATTCAGAGTCCGGGACTTGATGTCTGAGGATAATTTATATAAAGAGGAGCCGCGTAAGTTCAAACTAATTAAGTAAAAGAGTTCCAGAAATACAAAACGGGAATGGGAAAAATAAGACAGAGGACTTTGAGTCCCTGCAGTCCCCCTTTATTACCCCGGCCATCTCCAGAAGTCGGCCCAGTAGGATCCCCCAAAATATTCAACCAAAAAAGGGGATTCTGAAGAATCGGGTAAGAGAAAAAATAAACTTAATACTCTTACAGGACTATATTAACAATAAAAATTATACCGACATATCCCCCGTATCGGTTACAAATTCGACGGAAGTTGGGGCAATTAGAACCACGTTATGCTACACATTGCCCGAAAGAAGCCCCAATTCTATACGACCGACCGTCGGATTCTCGGAGAGAAACGCCGGTAAGTGGTCATAACGGAAATTATGATGACAATAATTACAGTAGCCATCATTGGAGATACCTCAGATGAGTACGAGAGTGATGCCAGGAACTCCTTGCCTTTAACAGTCCCTTCAATGCCTCCAATTCCAGAGACAACATTGGTTTTGGAACCTCAGAAAATGGTCAGGTAAACATTATACACCTCATATTAGTTATAAAAGTATGAAGTTTAAAAAGCAATCATGGAACATAACCCATAATTTTATAGTATTGAATCAGACAATCCGAATTATATGAATGGATTTATAATGACCGAAAGGAGTAATGAATCCACTCCAGAACGAAGTCAAGACGATTCTAAGATCACGGAAGGAAGAAGTACGGAAGATATGGCCTCGACCACTGAAGATGATCAGATCAGCATATCCTCTTCCACTTGCAGCTCTCACATTGCTGGGAAGTGGTGGAATGGAAAGGATACAAGGTAAGATTAGTCTACATTATAGTGTTAATAACTTTCAGATATATTCTTCATTGTGAAAAGAAAGGATGTAATCACAAGCACGGGGATCAGCCAAGGCCTGGGGAACAATATTTAACGCCGACTCAGCGGTTTAAACAAGAGATCTCGTTACTCAAAAAACAGAAAAAGTATGAAAGTATAATCTTGATGAGTATTTTTTAGGAAATTGGAAGAAGAAATAAAATTAAAAGATGGGGAGTTGCTGGAACATCGAGAGAGATTCAAACAGATCGATGAGAGTATTGTGTTACATCATGACAGCCAGTTGATGACATTATTGGACAAAAAAGAAAAGAAATTTGAAGCCGAGAAAGAACGGATGTACCATGACCATATTAGAGTAGTGGAAGAATTAGAGTCACAAATCTTCGAGTTAAAGTAAATTCTTTTTACTTTACTTTACATTAATTTAGACAAACATTGAACCAAAAGAATCTGGTGATTGAGAAAACGGAAGCCATAATTAATGTGCCGAAACAAGACGTTTCTACCTTGACTGAGCCTGCAGATGTGACCGATGAATCGCAACAAGTGCATCAAGTAGATGGTCAATTGGGAGGTCAGTCCACTCTCACAACTCCTAATGATCCGAATCCCAATGTCAATTTCCTCGCAGTTAACGCGACCTCAGCTCAGACCTCTCCCATGGGTCCGCCTCCTCCGATTGCAATCACCGAAGTGCCTTCAGGTGATCCCTTGACGGAGGCCTTCAGGATTGAAGCCTTGTTTTGGAGGGAGAAGGCGGCCCAATTGGAGATCATAGTGAAAGATCAGCTGATCAGAAACGATCTGGATACCCTACAATTGGTCAATGACTCCCTTCAAACAACTGTAGATCAATCGAATCCAGGGAGTGCTATGACCTCAGAGTCCAATATCAAGGGATTGGTCGACGATGCCACGGAAAAGAGAAGGAAATTCACAACTCAGAGGACGATGACCATGGCGAGAGACCCCTCCAATTACAGTATCCCTGCACTAATTGAGGCTCAGGAATGCCGGAATCTAAATTGTATTGAGCAGAAGAAACTTCTGAATGAAGAAAATGAAGATCTGATCCAGAAGGTGAGTTTACCCAAGAGATTTCTGCTCTTTATGGTTTTTCGTGTCCATCGCCGTACATCTGATGTCGCATGTCCCTTTGTTTACAGCTCAAAATTATTCAAACGTGTCACATTTTATGTTCGCACTTTTATTGTAAATTTTTTCAAAACTAAAAGTTATTTACTTATAACTTTATTCCAAAAGTTTATTTTCTGTGTAACTCTACTCTGGATATCCCTAATCTGCTCAAATTTTATGTTATCCCTATGTTTTCCGCTGCTGCCATATAATGAATAAAGTATTTATTGTCAGATGGACACTCAATTCGCCCGGAATGCAGAACTAGAAGCAGAGCTGAGCAGTCTGAAAGAATTACACGAGGAATTAGGGAAACAGCACTCGGAACTGAAGAAATCGTTCGAAGAATTGGCCGAACTGGCAGAAAATAGAATGGCCGAGATCAAGAGTGGCCAGATGGCCATGGAGAGGATGCAGGTAATTAATTTTAAATCAAATTTGAAGATAAAAATTTAAAATTCGGAATCAGCGGGAATGGGGCGAAATGTCACTTTGAAATTTAGTTGAAAATTTTTCTTTGTAATTTCTGTATTGTTTTTTTTTAAATATTTTATAATTATTAATTTTCTTCAGGACGAGAAAGAGAAGCTCCAGCAGGCGTTCAATTACCTTGAGGACAAAGCCGTGGCCTATCGAAACACAATCTTGGATAATAATCTTGTGGTAAAAGGAGAGAACACTTCGGAATGGCACCGGGGATTCACAGATCCTCAGTTCACTCTTCTCCATTCCATCAGAGTCCAGACTGATCTAACTACAGCCGAATTGACGTTCAACGAAAACGAATTCGCTCTTATCTCGGTACAATTGAGAGAAATCCAGAAAGAATATTCGGATCGGCAGATCGATCTGGATGCCCAATTTGAGGAGATCAACAAGGGATTAGCTCTCAAGTCCCAACTTGTAGAAAAATTAAGTCGACAGTTGGAGATGGCTGCAGCGGAATCTCAGATCTTCGAAAAAAATCGACAGGACGAGAGAGATTATTACAAGAAAAAGCTGGAAACAATCGGAAGAGAAGTTGAGAAGTTGCCGGGTTTGCAAATGGAATTAGAAAGAGCACAACAAGTAATACTTGTATATTATACGTACATTTGAATGTTTATCATTTCAGGAGAAAAGTATTTTGGAAATTCAATTGAAGGGGATAAGAGAACAATACGAAGATGGGCTGGAGAGTGCGTTAGAAGTGTCGCTGCAGAAATCTCAACAACAAGAAAAGTACTGGCAGGAGAAATTGATCTCTGTGGAAAGAGCCAAGAATCGGATTAAAGTAAGAGAATTGGTTTACTCGGTGTGCGTAAGACTAGTAATATTATTATGACTTTCAGAATAACTTGGAACAGTCGATGCTGGATTATGACAATTTGAAGATAAAAAGTCAAGTGGAGAAGACTGATTTGGAACAACGATTGGCATCCAGTATTCAGCATATTGCATTTTTAAATGCGAAGGTAAGTGCCCCTTTTTTCAGTAAGAACATTTTGATATTGTAGTTGAATCCTCCGGTCAGGGATGCTCAATGTGAAGCCAAACCTCGGACCGTCAACAAATACGTCGCCTGTCGTCCAAATCAGCGGCATAAGAATGTCGAAGTAGATAAGAGGGAGTTACAATTGAGCAAAAGTGATGAGGATATCCAAAAATTATTCAAATACAAGGAAGCTTTTACAAAGACAAGAATCGAGCTGTCTAAAATCCAGGAGAACCAGATCAAGAGCAACATCATCAAATCCAAACCTGTTGAGGTAAAGCAACCTGACCAAACGCATCCATTAATTATTCCACCACAACAAAGACCGCAATCTTACGCGGTTAAAAAGTCAGGGACAGTTCTTAGTCTAGATCAGGTGTTATTCGATAAGGACAAGGGAGTTCAGTTGCCCGAACTGCGGAGAGAGCAAAGTCTGAACGAGATTTCTACGGTATCCTCACCCATGATCTTGATCAGAGATGATTCCGCATCAACTTCTTATTCTCAGCATGAAGGAAGTAAAGAAACGGCCGTTCAGACTGTAGCCGAGAACCATGAAGACATTCAGTATGGTGGGATTCAAGATGACAAATCGAGTATGACCGATTTGATGGATGAGATATCATTATGTTCATTGGAGGAGATTAAGAATATGGAGAAACAAACAAGGCAGTTACAAGACGAGGTGCTACTGTTAAGGGCTAAAGCGGCGGAGTCTGATACCTGGATGGAAAAAATATCACGAATCCAGTTTATGTTGCCCCAGGCTGTGATGTTGGTGTAAGTGAGAATTGTTTTTATCGTATTCTTGTTTTACAAAAGAAGTAATCTATTCAATTTTAGTGATGATGAAGACACTCCAGCTTTTGGTTACACAGCGATTGGCCAAATTTTGGATTCTGCGATTGAATTCCTGGACCAGAAAACTAGGCAATCAAGGAGTCCTTTGAAACGGCAGTCTTCCGAACCCGATCTCAAACTCTCCGTTCATTCACTTGAAGCCTCCACTGACACTAAATTCAAACCTCTTCCCATTCCTGATAAATGGGATAATGAAAGACAGGAATTACTTCGTCAGAATGCTCATTACGCCGCACAATTACTTGCTTTGCAAGCAAAACTAAGTAGATTACAAGGAGAAGAAACGAAGGAACCAGAACAGAAGACCCAGCTGGATGAATTGGAAGGAGATCTCAAGGAATTGGCTAGACAATTGACTACTGTCCCCATTTATAACGCAGAACAATTGGCAAAGGCCAGGAAAGAAAGGGATACCCTCAGGATTGAAATTATTGATCTCAGGACGAAGCTCAGAGATGCCTTGAATGAACTCCAAATATTCAGAATTGAACCAACAGCTGATGCGCAGAAGCATTGGGATGATGTTAGACTTGGAAGAGGTCGGAGTGCGGAGAGATTGGACGACGGATTGGCTGGAGCAGAACTGAGGAGATGGAAGGAATCCGCTGGAGTCTCGTTTAGAGAAGTCAATCGCCTGAGGCTATATTTGAATAAATTGGAAGAGGAGACTTTGAACATGAGGACACAGACAGCTATATTGAGAGGAGAGATGGAACTGGCCAAGTGTCAAACAGAATTGGCTAATCAATGGGCCGTCAGAAGAAGGATAGAATTGAAGATTGAACCAGGAAGGAGAAGATCAATGTCTTCGTTGTATCTCAAGACTGTTAAGGATCATAAGAATAGGTAAACCCAGGCTTCTATTATATGTATTATGTTACAGTAATGGTTTTAGCATGAATACTCGTAGGTCCATGGATCGACTTAACAAGGCTGCTGATAACACAACAAACGAACTCCAGATAGTACAACAGGCGTTCCGAAAACAAGTTAATGGATTGAAACAAAAGAATAATGACCTGGAGGAGAAAGTCAAGTTATTAAACGACAAGATTGAGACTAATGTAGGTTGGACACTCGGACTGTTGATAAAAATGAAACGTTCTTTTAGAAGAAAGAGATGATTAAAATAACAGAACACGAGGAAGTAGTGGGTAAATTAAATAGCCAGGTGGTTTTATTGCAAAATGAAAATAATATGTATGAGATGAAAATACGAGACATTGAAGATGAGCGACAGCAAATGTACTTGTTGATGTTCCGGAAAGGACAACAAGCAGCTCATCATGAGATTTCAGAAGTAAGTAAACAAAACTAACATAAGATTTTGTGTTTAGGAGAAGGCTCTGGATGAGATGACTGAAGATAAAATGCTTCTTAAATTCCTTCACGATGCCTTTTATTATTATCTTCTGAACCGAGGGGACTCCCGAGAGCATCTACAGGCCATCATGACCATGTTAAACTTTACGAGTAAACAGAAGGATGAAGTGTACAGAAGAAGAGGAAAGTCTCAGTAGAACCCAACCTCAAATGTATGTACAAATTGTTGTAATAAAGAGTTTATACTTATTAGAACAACTACTTTATATATTTATTATGATCATTAGGACCCGTGTTTTGTCTAATTCACACTCGAGGGCCGGTTTCGCCTAACACTCAAACCGGCCTCGAGTGTCAAAGGAAAATCTCTTGGCTTTTTAAAGCTCGTGGCAGGAATATTTACAAGATAAGGCCGCTCTCTATCGACTGACCAATTGCATGATCTGGCGGAGATTCTGGTCCAACTCATTGATTGAATTCTGCTCTTCGACAATGCCGCTGGCACTTTGGCGAAGCATTCGGACCGAGATCTCTAGGCGGTTTAATAATTCACTGCAAATATTGGAACCATTAGCACCAGAAATATAATTTGAGGTGATTATTATGTACCAAACTTACCGATAGCGAAACTTGGAATGTGGAGAAATATTTTCGGCGTAGATAGCGCAGATTGAATGAAGCTGTTGTACAATGTCACTTAATTGAATCAACTTTGTGGGATTCCCATCTTTATCCAACCCTTTTTTGAGCTCGTTGATTTTAGCTAAAATGTATCGAGATATTGTTACAATTGGAAAAATAATAAACGGAAATAAATTGCTTCCGGTAAAATTGATCAGTATAACTTTCGGAAAGTCCTTTTAGAGAGCACCCGGAATGCGGAGAGTCGGAAAGACGGGAACGGGTTTTTATTATAAACGTTTTGTTTCTTTACAGAACCATGTCTTCACGCACACATGATTCAGCCTGGTATTTGCAGACCTACAATTGCAAACAATTGGGACTTTTTACAACTGTAGATCAAAAGATCTCAGCGCTTTCTAGCAATAAAACGAATTTAAGCGGACTCTTCGCCTGCAACACCAGGCCTGATTTACCGGGTCTGAGTTGAAGTCGAAAGAAGTGACCCATTTGCCACCCCTGATTTTATGGCCTCATGGAAATTGCAGTTTTAAATTGGGCTGCCAGAAGTTCTAGTCTATCCCAGCCCAATTTCCACGAACTGAATGCTATTGTTCGAAGCAAAAAACTTACATTCAACTTTGGAATGAAGTTCTTGGATGGACTCTTTGTTCACAAATGGCAATTCACCATCAACCATTGCCATGGGTAACGTGGACATCTCTTTCTGTCCGTTTTCTGAGATATCATGGCTATGATTGAGCGATGTAGATGGCTCCAGCAGGCTAAATCTTTTGTTGGCTCTAGGGTCTGTGACTTTGGTGGGTTTATGCTGGAATTTTTCGAATTTAGAGGTGAGATCTCTGAGGGACTGGGTTCTCGACATGTTATCTTCTTCTTGGATGATGGTCGATTTGCGACTTCGAAGGTCGGGCACTGTTGTTTTTTCGGAATCTTTATTCTTCGGTGACCTCTGGAGTGTAGAGAAGGGTTTTGGAATCGTTTGATATGCTAATGAACTCTCGGCTCTCTGCCTTTGCCTTTCGAATATCTGAGATCCCACGGATTTAGGGGGTTTGGCTGGAGAAGGGTCTTCTTGGGATGAGAGAGATCCACTGGGAGATCTCTGATTCTTGGAAGAGCTTGAAGTCTGAGAAGATAAGGACGGAGAAGATCCAAATTTTTCTGGATCTGCTTGCGTCGAGAATGGTCGATGGTGTTGAAGAGGGGCTACTTTTTGAGTAACCAGTTGCCGCACTCTGGCTATATTTACAGGTTTGTCGTCTTTGACTGGACTAGGTTCATTTCTAAAGATGGCGCTCAATTCCTCTGAGGTTGATGATGTTTTCCGCGGACTTGGTGGACTCTTCTTCTCCTCCGTTTCGACGTGTCTCAATTGTCGGATCCTCGCTTTCAATTCACATTCCTCATTTCCTTTCGCCTCGGGCTCATTAACTACAAAGATCAATGGATTAATTCATTCAGACGCTTACTTTTTGTTGGAACTGCAGAAGTGCTTCGAATCGAGGCGGTGGATGTATTGGTATTGTTTTTGCCGATACTTTTCTTCCTCCATCCGGTAGTCTTGGCGTCTGTTTGGGAGCCTCCGTCGACTTTCCGCGGCTTCGGTTCGGGTCGTTTTTCTTTTGTATTCTCTGAATCGGATCCGGTCTTCTTCAGTCGTTGTTTTAGCTGGTTGAGAAGTTCATTCTGAGGTTCTCCATTCTCCGTTCTCAAAATAAAAGTAATTGGTCAATAATTAATAATAAATTGCAAAAGAAGGATTAAAAGTAGCCCTTAAAATCAATTAATGTTTACCGTGATGTACTCGGAGCACTGACAGAAGTGTTTGGAAAAACGTCCAATGAATCATCTGAGGATGTATCATTCAGAACGCTGTCATCAACACTCTTTTCCTCCGGGTGTTTTCTCATCGATTCCAGGAAGGCCTCGATTCTTTGGCCCTTGGGCATTGTTCCAAACTGTCCCACTGTCTTTCTCAGATTTTTCTCGGCCAATGGAGGTGGAATGTCTGGAACATCTGAATCCATTGATGGAATTGGACGGAGTTTTGGCTTCAAAGATGCCGGTGGAACTGGCAATGGAAGATTTTTGATTTTTCTTTCATCCGAAGGAGAATTTCGGGAGGGCAAAGAATCATTCTCAGGACAGAAAGTGGACATCTGATTCCCGGTGGATGAAGAAGATACAGTTCGATGAGGTCGAGGGGGTGGAGGAGGGGGGAATTCGATATGAGGAGGGTCAGGGGGATGGAACGTGCTGTGAGTTGTTGCTGAGACCGATGAACTCAACCTAAATAAAGCAACTAATAATGGGAATAGTCTTACCTTCTATCAATGGCAGATGGATCGTACGTGAATTTCCCTGAATCCAGCGAGAGTCGAGGGCTAATGGCAAACGCCAAGCGACTATTGGCAGAGTTAGATCTAGTCGCTTTAGTGGTTCTGCTCTTCTCCAGTTGACTCTCTACTTCTGTTTCAATGTTGGCTGAGTTAAGTAATCCCTCCAGCGACTTGTATAGGTCGTTGAAACAAGGTCGATCAGATGGGCTCCAATTCCAACATTGAATCATCAACCGATAAACGGAGTCCGGACATCCAGTGGGTATATCCATTCGGAATCCCTTCTCCAGAAGGCTGTAGACGTCGCTTAATTCAACGCCTGGATATGGAGTCATTCCATAAGTAGCGATCTCCCAAAGTAAAACTCCAAATGCCCAGACATCGGATTTTGTGGAAAAAGTGTTGTAAGCAAGGCCTTCTGGGGCCGTCCATTTGATGGGGAATTTGGCTCCGGCATGTGCAGTGTAAGTATCTTCTCGCATAAAACGAGCCAGACCAAAGTCAGCGACTTTAACAACATGATCGTCAGACACCAAACAATTTCGGGCAGCCAAATCACTAAAAATATTTTATTTTTGCATAACTAATGCAAGTCACGCTATTCTCACCGGTGTATAAAGTTCCTGGACTCCAGATAAGCCATCCCGGCAGCAATTTGTGTAGCTATCTTCATCAATATTGTAGGCGGTAATGTTTTTCTATCAGTTTTCCGTAGATAATCCAAAAGATTTCCTCTGTTCATGTACTCAGTGATGATATAAAAGGGCGCTTCACTTGTACAAACCCCTAACAACTGTACTAGATTCTCATGTTGTAAATTTTTCATAATTGCAGCTTCAGCAAGAAAGTCTCCCATGGCCATTGCGTCCTCCTTAAGCGTTTTCACGGCTACGGTTCGATCGTATTTCTTCCAATACCCTTCATAAACATCTCCATATTGCCCTCCTCCCAATTTATTTCTCATTACAATCTCTGTTCGGTCGATTTCCCATTGATCGGCGGCTGTTGGCGATAATGAAAAAGAGGCCGGACCCTTATGTTTCTTAGGAGCTGGATATAACAAAGAACCTACAAATATAAAGCAAATGTAGAAAACGAAACGACTTACATATTAGACCTGACGAGGAATTGCTGTGATGATGAACAAGCTCGGATAATGTTTTGAATTTGGAATCTTGGGTTATATACAACTACAAAATCCATGAAATGCGCGAATTAACTTACTCTATCGTGAGTATCAACATTAATCCTGTAATGATACACTCGTCCTTCGTGTCTTACTGATATCGAATACTGACCAATGCTGGTTTCAGATTCCCTGACCAAAAAACTCCCATTAATCCCCGAACTGAGTAGAAATTCAGCTTCATTTCTGGACACTTTTCCATGATACCAGCTGTGCTTATCCAGAGTATTAATAGGACTAATGTAAAGTGAGGGTACCCATCCAACCAGAGGAGCTCCGGACATCTGAGGACGATGCTTTCCACTCACAAACTGGGCCTCACACCACTCTTTGGTCTTGTTGTAGGCCAAAACCTGGACTTGGTCGCCTCTTCTCAAAGATAACTGATCTTCTCCAGCAGCGTGGAAGTCATACAAAGCAATGAAAAGATGCTGGGAATAGGCAGACGAGGTTTCGGCATCTAATTCCCCGACTGGAGGAGGGAAGCTGGACTGCTGATGGTAGACCAGTTTACCGTTCAGGAGGTCATCTCTATAAAGAGATCGATTAGAAATGAGGCGTTTACCTCGAGAGGGAGGGAGAGCGCGGTAAACAGGACAGACCCGGGGTCAAACGGTAAGGGTAAACGCTGGTAAAAAGCGAAAATCCTTTATCTTTTCGTTAATTCCTTAATTCCTCCTCAAATAATGGAAGCAGAAGGTAGGGAGAGAAGTTATTTTTATTCCAGCTAACCCCATATCCCCTAAAGGGACGTTCCGAGCAATAAAAAGCAATTGATTTGGGAAAGGTAGCCGAAATAAAGCAATCAAAAGACTCCGATCCGGTTATAATATTTCTCTCCAATGTCATCCGCAAAATAAAGTAGGGATTTCGAAGTATGTATTTTAATTAATCCAAAGAGATCGTCATGCCCGCGGGCCGTCATTGTCCAAAGAGAGGCCGATTCATCAAAATTGTCTCAAAACCCTTAGGCTTTTAGCACCTTTCAGGAAGTGCAAAAGACAAAGGCGCTCAATTCGATAAATAATGACGCCTGCAAAAAAGAATGGCAGTGCGGTTTTTTTGGAATAAACAATCTCAAATGCAGTAGCCGGGTCATTAAGGATTCATTTAGTGACTTCTTTGGGTGGGTAGGAAAGGAAAAGGAAAGTAAAATACGAACCTGGAAGACCATCTGGAGGCATCTCTCTGCATATTATGACCATTCCCCAGGAAGGTCTCCACCGAGGAAGCGGGTCTGTTGTCCATGTCGATCTCCAGCTGATTGAAAGATGATATGGACGGAGATTGGCCTGCCCTCAAGGAATGGTTCAAAGGACGTTGTTGTTGACCCAATTGGAATCCTCGTAGACTGCTGGTGGCAGGGCTGGCACTTCTTCTTTGATGTTTCAGACAGAATGGATGATGTCGATGCTTTTGGCTTGCGTAGTTGGGGCCCGGGGATTCTGTGCGGGTGGAGCCCCCCGTGTAGAGACCCAGAGAAGAGCCGAACTGACCACAAGACGGCGTTACACCATTGAAGGCGGTGTTGTCGACGCCTGGAAACATTTGGTGGTTACACAGGAAGACGGAGAGTGATCGGGTTTGAGGGAGGGAAATAGCACTTCATCCAATAAGTGGCGGTCTAACACTCCTCAAGTAATCCCGCTCTCTGACGCCCGTTCGCTAACAAAACATTTAACACGCATTGTTTGGGAGTCACGCCCCGCCGATCGTTCCCGGAATCTCCCATGTCTAAAGTGCCTTAGGCCAAGTCGAACACTAATTTTAAAAAATTTTTCGATTTAATGTTTTAAATTTTATCTCCAAATAGCGAAACCCCCGACCCCTTAACTTCAATTTCCCCCTAAGAATCGATCCCGAAATGCAATTTGCATACGATTGACAGCTGTTCGAGAAGTAATATTTAAAGTCTTTTGAGCCGCTTCCTCTCGTTTTGTTGACCCCACTGTGTGTAAACAACCATTAATATTTTTATCCCCAAGGGTAAATTAACTGTAACAGACAAATTTTGAAATGCGCATAGCCATAGGCGACTTAATAAAGGAAAGATTTAGTTGCCACAATTTTTGCAGAGTTATTTGTAAAAAAGATTTATGGGAAAAGGAATGGCTAGCCGCCGTTCAATAAATCTTCAGGAAATGGAAAAAGCAAGATTAATCGAATTAAAGCAAAAAACTGATACTGTGACACGTCAAGAATTAAATTAAATGTTCACTACTTCAAGGGTGACAAAAATACTTTTGAAGCGCAAAAAATGTCAGTTCATATCCAAGAATGGTACTGTTATTCAGAATTCCCCAAAAGATTAAACAAAATTCGAGGGTCTCTTTTTTTGCCCAACCCTTTGGCCCAAAAAGTGCTGTCCATTGGGCCAAAAGATATTTCGTTTCAAAGGATTCGAGTCTATGTCCAATATAAAATTACCGAATCATTGAAAGGAAACCAAATGAGGAAACCCCTATGGCCTTTAAGACCTTAAGGCGGCTCTTTTCGGCCGAAAGAGCGGCCAATGGATTGGTCCAAACAAAAGTCCAGGCCTGCCTTTTTGGCACAAAAAATGACTAGAAAAAGGGGAGGCGTGCAGTGATAGTTGTGAAGAGACATCTTGTCAATCATCCACTATAACCAAGATGTTCCACACGCTTAGAAATCGTCAAAAAAGCTTTCAATTTACTTGGGACTGCGCGAATGCAAAAGAAGTTCGAAGACTAACGCTCAAGAGCCTTAAAAGTCTTGTTCTTGGCCTGTTGCCCCTAAATGTCCATCCTCCTCTTTTTGACGCGCCTTCTCGAAGAGGTCCGAATGGTCAGTGGCACAAGGAGTAGAGAAGGACGGAAGCGTGCTTCTCGTCTTTGGCATGGCGTAATAAATCAGCGCGCCAAGTGCCCGAGATAAGGACTTCATTTTGACATTCATCTTGACTTCACGAACGTCAGGGATTACACTCGGAAATTCAAATTTAATTAAAGTGGAGGCCTAAGTGATGGCTGACTCATTCGTCGCTCTTTCTTTCCCAGCTTATGTCGCCCATCTGTTAGGGGTGGGGCGTCTCATAATCTTAACTTACCAGTTGTCTCTATTTTTATATTCTTGATCCCAGCAAAATTTTTCATACTTACCCTCGTTGTCGCTGTGCCGACTCTGATGTTGCCCCATTTATCCCAAATTCATCTCTGAAAAGGCTTTGTTTAACAAAAGTTTCCGAACAAAAATGGCCGATGACCGCGTCGCTGTATTAAGATAAGAGAGACGTTCTCACACCCTCCGGGAATCGTCTAACCCCGACTGTTTTTTGAGGGAGATCGGGGGTCGAGCAGCGAAAGCGAATCGACTCAATGTAATGCATAATACCGGCGAGAGAAAGAGTCCATCAAACAGACAACAGAGACTCAAAGATCGGTCATTCTTCCACTACAAATATGGGTGGCATTAGGTAGTTTTTCAACCAAATTAATAGGCTGCTTTCATTCCGAAAATATGCGAATCAGGACTCAATATCAAATAAAGTAAAATGAACTTCCAGAGAATTGCTGGAAGGGACTTAGGAATAAAAATAAAAAAAGAGATTACCGGAAGGAAGGTACGTTCATTCTCGAATATACATAGAAAACCAATCAGAAAAGAACGGAAGAGATGGAATATGCAAATTTAACGGTATAAGGTCCGAAAGGGATGAATAAGCTCAGGTGGAACAAAAAGAGCATCCAAGCGGGAAGAAATGGAGTTATTGCCCGAAGGAGGGATTTTAAAAGCGAGGAAAGAATTGTCCTAACTAGTGAGGGAACACGTTTAGAGAGAGGGCACGGAAACCGAAAAAAGAAGGGTACCCCTGCGTTCAAAAAAATAAAAGGGGAAAGAGGTTGTTATAGGAGGGGAGAGAGCGCATCCACTGACTGCCGGCGCCGTTGAGATCAACCTTTCACCCCCTTTCTAGGCCGTAATATTCAGGGATGTAATGTTGGCACAGTCATCCTTTTAAGCTCAACGTAAAGCCCTTAAAACACTCACAATCCAGTCACTTGTGGATATAAATTCGTCAGACCTGGATTTCCCAAAGGAGAAACACTTAAGGACCATGTTTTTCTGGCCAAACTGGACCATTCCCACGACTCTGACTGCCCGTTATAGGACATAAAATGGAGAGTCGAAGGTTGTGACGGAACGGGGAGAGATTTTGCAGATGCTCAGACACATGTCCGAAGGATTTGTTCAAAGAAATTTCTCTTAACAGATTGTTCTGTCGAGAAATCACAAAATTACAGCGGGTTTAAGATGAAAAATATAATCCGTTCTTAAGACCAAAAGATCGTTTGATAATGATCCCGGAATTAAAATTTCAAAGAATCCGAGAATGGAATTCGAGACCAAGAAAAGAATCTGACTATTCAATGACGCAACAAGCTTTCAGAATCTTTTTCTGAATCCCAATTCCCTTTTCTGAAACTGAAAACAAGGATTTTTTGGAGGGATAATCAGCCAAAAAAGTGCTTATTATAACCCCGTTTCTATCCGATTCCCTCTTCCCTATTCAGAGAGAGCAAGTACAATGAATGAAACAAGGTGCGAGAGACATGACTTTGGAAGTAATGACCAGTTTTCGTCGGAAACGATTAGTTTGCTGCAATAAGAGAGACTCCACGTCCAACCGCTCCCTATTGGACACATGTCTTCATCGAATTCATGTGTCATTAAAGTACCCATACAAGTTTATGTACTTCCATTAAATACAATACAAATAATCCTCAGCAACAGACATTTTTGAAGGTATCTTTAAAGGATTGGCGTCCTCTTACGGTCTCTTCCGACTCTAATCTCCTGATATGATGATCTCGTTGGAAGATGGGCGCCACATAGAGTCCTTCTTTCTCGGCACACACAATCTGTCTGATTAAAAACTGCATCGCTTCCTCCACATTCTCTCCCGTTTTGGCTGAGATTTTGAATGCTCCACTGAATCCATATTGAAGTCCCAATTCGTGGAGTTCGGCAGTCGAAAGTTCGTTCTTCAGATCGCTCTGGAAAGAATAAATTAAATAAAAGAAGCAAAAAGCATTAAAATAAATAAATCTGATGAAAGATAATTTAAATTCAAGTTGGGTAGACCTTACCTTATTGGCCAAAAGAACTGCCGGAATAGGATCTCCGTTATCCAATCTCAATTTGTAGTCCAGATCCTTCTTCCATCTGAATGCCCCAGCTACCGTATCCTTCTTTGTGCAATCGCAGAGAACGACGGCACCGTGCGAGTCCCGATAATAAACACGCATCATGTTGGCGAAGCGATCATGGCCTGTAAGATTGATTATTTATTTTAATTGTATTCGAATTCCGGCCTCTCGAGCGATTGTTTGTTATTCCGAGTAAACAAAATCACAAAAATTTTTGTGCGCGAAAGGGGTTTAATTCGGCCCTAACAATAGGCTTCTTTCTTAACCCCCAACCCCAAGATCTCTCCCGAGACATGTACTTTTTTATATTTGTGGCTTCACGCAGTTTGTGAGGTATCTCAGAGGTGTCATTCTGCGGAAGAGAAAGTGTTTTATAATCACATTACGGGTATTGTATACCCAGTCAATATTTACACCACCTCAGGCTAAGGACGGGATGTATGACGTTTTCTCTCCTCATCATACCATTATTTTATATACAATTTATTGGATTCCGTTTACTATTATATTTATTTATGGTAATGGAGATCCGGGTCGCGGCTTCAGAATAAAAGTAACCGCTGTGAAAATAGGTTATGAAAGGATGAACATGATCACTCGAGGCGAACCTCTCGACTTCGCCTTTTGCGGTACTTGTAAGAGCGATTGCCTGGTCCCATTTATATTCTCTTTGTCGACTTGCAGGGCCCCGGATCTCGAGACGTTCAGATCCCGATATAAGATCTTGTTTTAGAGCCGCGCAAACACGCATCCCGAGTTTTACTCTCGAGAGTCGTATAATTCCATTCCGTTGCCTCAGGGCAAACGACACGTGAGACGAGGGAAACGGTTTGGGGTCGATCTGAGGTCTTGAACTCAAATGTATTATATTATATGTATTCTGATATAATTAGACTGGGGAGAAAGGGGGAGGTCGGGTTGGGGTCCGAAGATTATTTTCATGCATTATCAGACCGGAATATACAATTAACCCCATAAAAGGTAAAAACCGCGACTCTCCCTTCTCCAGGATGGCACCTTGTTCTCCATAGCCTCCGTCAAAAGCACTTGTTCTCCTTTTTCCGATCCTTCCATTTTCATTAAAATTATTTTTAACTTGGTTTAACCTTCAACCCCATCTTCTTCAGACGCCATATCCCCTATGACGAACAGATAGATAACCATGGTGTACACGTATCCGGACCGGTCCATCTACTCATGTCAGATGCAGGTGCGTTCAATCTCGAGTTGGTGATGTGTAATTTGAGTAGATAAACATAATAATCTTTTGTGATAGAATACTATAATCGTTTGTAGTCGGCTTGATTATTGAATAAATGATCAGATAGCCTGAGGTGATGTCCACCCCCTCCTCTCTGATCCGTCTTATAACCGTCCATCTGGTTTGAGTAACCCCTCTAATTGAGTAATTACTTTTCAGCTTCAGGGATGCAACCTGCTCCTTATACTGCTGGGGCTTCTCATGATTGGACTGGCCGGTTCCCAGTTCAGCCCAGTAGGGCTCGACAATTATCGACTGGTCGATCTTCGACTACTCAATTATTTTCATGCAGTAACTGGGGCTGTTAGTTTCTATTGTGTAGTCAAGAACCATGGCAGTATTGTTGTTAAAGGCTTGTATATGGTTTCCTTTGTCATCGGAACTTGTACAGCCATCTTTTACGGGTTTACAACTTACAGAGTGAGTAAAGTAATTGCATAAGTAAGCCTCTAGATTGTGGATTCCTATCAGAGTTTGATGCGTTTGGAGAATACGAACGGATTCCAACAAGAATTTGGAGAGTTCTCTGACAATTATGTTGGGAAGATAGTCATCTCGGCGGTTTCCATTGGAGTCTCAGCTGTAGCTGGTCTTGTAGCCCTGGTTGGATTGTTTCTTTTGGACCGATTAGTTGTAGTAGAACCAAATTGGCCTACGATATCTGTAAGTCATCATAAGTACGCTTATGCTATTTACAGCGAGAACAAGAGATTGAGCTCCGATACAACCGAGTCCAACTAAAATACGTTGCTTTGTTGAAACTTTTCCTTGGTCTGGGAACGCTAGGCCTTGCAGCTTTTCTCGAATACCTCCATGAGTCTCTTGGCCCTCGTCCAGATTACATAAAAATCTCGTTGGATCACATTGCTTCTTTCTTCGCGGCGGTTAGTGCATTAACAGATCTTTTTGCTGTCCATGGGAAGGCCAGATCTTTATTAAATCAGAAAGTCAGCCTTGGATTGGCTGTCGTGTCAGCTGTATGGACGTTGAAGGCAGTTGATAATGGAATGTTTCCCTTTTACAAAGATGATATCAAGGGATATCGAGCTTTGCAAGGTAATCCTTCCCTCGCGTAATTAAAGCTTTGTTCCAGCCACTCAAAGTGAGACTGCCGTTTTCAATTCCACGGAATATGTGGTGGTCATTGTCCATGGAGTATTGTTGGCATCCTTGTCCATCCTATCTTTTGTTTGTGCTTTTTCGGCCGTTCTTTCAGGATGCTGTCTCCAACGTGACAATTACAATACGATGAGACAGCTGACCAAAGAAGCTGTGATGCAAAGTAGATTCCTTGGATTCATCCATGTTTTCTGGGCCTGTTGTTTAATGGTTTTAGTAGTTCTTGGGTTGATTAGAACACCCTGGAATGGCGACTTTATTGGGGGAGATCTTCTATGGCTGGCCATGTTGTTCTTCATCACAGGAGTGCTGTCTTCGTCCAAAATGAATATCCTGGTCACTACCAAATTTATTCTCAACGTTATTTCCATTGGTATCTCCATAGAAAAGACTTGTGTCAGTGTCCATCTGATCTATCAATCGGCCACTTACTCTGATTATATCAATCCCCGGGTCGTCGATCAAGATACTTACATCGGGCAGATTGTTTTACATTCCTGTCAATGTTTAGTCTTGTTTGGAGAGTTCCTGACATCTTTGGTGGGTGCAGTGATCTTTGGCCGACATCTAATCCGGACTCCATTCATGCACAAAACCCATTCAACCCGTAAGGGATCAGTGTAATTTAAATACTTTCCTTTAGTTGTTCACATGTTATTCTCAGTTGGATCTTTGATGTATGGGGTTGTGATGACTGGATGTTATGTTGTATTTGAACTGGGCAAATGGAGATTCAACGAGGTCCCTTTAGAGGTCCCTTTCTACCGTCTTTCCAGTGGACCTATGGCTCTTTGTGTTTTTGTGGTTCAAGTAAGTAAAACCATTGATATTAAAATATGTGCAGGTTTTATGCGCAATCTACCAGCCATTATTGTTGTCCGCAACGATTCTGCAGATTGTAATCTCATCCCTGGCCCTGTTTGTCATCAATTCGGCCATCACCAACGTATATTACGTCGTAAGTTTTCCTACTTTTAGATTTATTTCTTCAGCAAATCCTTCTGGAGAATGAGGACTTCTTGAATTCCTCATCAGATCAACACAGCATCCTCATTGTGGCATTAGTTTTGGCAGCGACAGCCACTCTTTGTTGTACTTTATGTACTTTTTGTGGCGTAATCAGTATTCTAAGATCATCTTATATTATGCATAGAAGACATCCAGGGAGTGAATCGACAGCTGTCGCTCCTTTGGAGGATGTTCCTTATGCTCTGAACAGTACCATGACCTCTTCCCCATTGCCTTTCATGGTAAGATTTCCAAATTCTTACCCCTAATCTAATATTTCAGCCCACTGCCGTGCAACCCATGGAGGAACAGACCTTATATTGGTCAGCTGAAGAGAATCCCTATGTATATAAATCAACAAAGAGATATTACGGCCAGCCCTATTTCGTGGACACTGGTTACTACGGTAATTATCGCCGCTCGTCGATGGATGAAGCCCTCAATCGATCGATACGAATCGCTTCCTTGGCACCGGAGAGGCAGACTGCATCCACTCAGACCCTCCCCAACCGAAACTGATCTACTCATCAAATGACCGCTGCAATGTTGTCTGATGTAAAGCTATATTATTCCATACTTTTATGACCCGTTACTCTTTCAACGCTAATAAAGATTCCTCAGCCTTTCAATCTTGTCTCTAGTTTCAAAAAAACATGCCTGCTGTGTCCCAGAATTGTAATCTGACCAACGTATCCTCGTATCTGACCAATTTTGTGGCGAAATCAACTCCAATCTAAAATCAGCACAAAATAACAAAAAAGTTACCAGCAATGACATCATTTTATCCCTCCATACTTACCGTCGGCTTGTACTGTTGAGTTATGGCATTCCTTACAAATCTCTGGATCAACGAAGTTTTACCCGTACTCACGTCTCCAACCACAATTATCTTGAAAAGAAACTCCTTTCTCTGCGATGAAGACGAGGATACTGACTAAAGGATGGGATGTTAGAGAAAAGTAATTCAACCAGTAATCTTAACCAAAATACTCTTACCATCTTTGAGATCAAACGATAGATTAGAAATCAAAAGGAGGGAAGAATAACGTAACCGAATGGAGGGAACAGATGATAAGATGGTTGTGATTATGGAGATAAAAGAGGCACTTTGACATGACGAAACAGAGGATTTACACCGACAGTTTTACAAAACACAGACCAGATCAATTATGATTATTATTTTTATTTATTTATTTATTTTATTCGCAATTGAATCGTCATAAAATCGATTAATCTAATCATAACTTCATTCTTGTAACTCCTGATCAAAGAAGAATTCCCCGAATCCTTGGCCGGCTAGTTTGGCCCCGCTCTTGTGTTTGGCCAATTCCTCGATGTCAATCACTTGTTCGTGCATAAATCCATCGACGAAATCGGCGAATTGAGAGTCGTTGAATTCATCGGCCGTTTTGTTTAGTTGATGGAACAGGGAATTGATATCCTTCTCCAATTCAATGGAATGATCAAAACAATGTTTTATATGCTTGAAGTCCGTGACCTCGGGCTTTACGATCGTTTGGAACAGAACCCGACCACCTCGGGTGTTCAAGTAATGGAAGAGCTGAAACATTCAAATGCGTAACAATTACAAGACTCAGAAACGGAATCTTTTTAAGACTATCAACATTTTTCATACGACGATTTTACTTTACACGGCTACTGTAAATGTCGGACCTTGAATTTTTCAAGTTATGCGAATATTACAAAAGTTCCCGATCTGAATACGAATATCAAATATCTGGAGTCAAAAATATGAATATTCGAAAAAACATAATCCAAAAAACTTTTGTAATCTTGGGCCCATCCCGTATACAGTAAGACTTTCAAATCTAGTTCAAAAAATAGGAATATGAATACGAACAGTGCACAAATAGTCGTATTCGAATTCGTTAGAATACATTAATCCGCAGTACTAATTACGCCGAGAGAGCACGCAGAACGCGGAGGGTGGCCAGAGAGAAAAACACTTTCCGGCCGTATTTTTGCCAGTTTACAACGGAAAAATTTTTTTTGTGGAAAGATTACCCTCTACGATAGAAATCGGCATGAAACTTTTTATACTAATTCGCAAAAGACCATTACATTTTTGTTGACTTTCGATCAAGAAATTTTTGTCGTTTCTGCAAAACGCGAGTTAGGATTTTCGCATATTTCGTAGAGAAAATTATTCTAAATTTGTGCCAAGTTTCATCAAAATCTGACCGTCGCACTTGATGTACCTTCCTTGTAAATTGGGGATTTGAAGTTTTTAGGAGTCTTTGATACTCTAGAAAACGGTCCTTTCAAAATGCAAATGACTTACTTTATCCGCGTGTTCTCTTTTCTTGTCGCTCAATCTGAGAAAAAACTTGAATAAGTTGACCAAAGCCACATCATGACGGTCAAAGAAATACGCCACGTTCAGATAATGATAGGAAGCATCCAGCAGTTTCCCTCCAACCTCATTCAATGCCGATTCGGCATTCGCATGGAAGTTTTGACGAATCTGGCTCATTTTGGAAAAGTTTTGATTAACTGGGGGTTACTCCTATTTCGGACGCGAGAAAAAGAATCTTATCAACCCGACTTTTCTTTTATCAGTCTCATTTCCCCATCGCTAATTTCATCAAATTTGTTTACCCAGAAAGAAATGACAACGTTCGGATTGGAAGGGAAACTGGCACTTGTAACAGGTAAGCAGATCAATGATTACTTTGCTCGCTCAAATTTCAAAATGCTGTTTACCAGCAATTTTTAATCGAAAAACAAACAAATGACAAACAACATATGCTTCTTAGAGGGCTCATGGCGAAGTTGTATTTAGTTTATTTGTAAAATTAATAACTTTTTATAAAGGCGCGGCCAGAGGAATTGGAGCGGCCACAGCCCGCAAATTTGCTGAACATGGAGCTAATGTAATCCTGGTGGACCTGAGAAGGGAAGAGCTTACAGAGACCGCGGAGAAACTTAAAGATGGTAAATGTTATGCCAATTATTAAGCCTAAACACAACTTATAGGCTTTCCAAACTTGAACATTGAGCCCGAAATTTGTGATGTCAGCAAAAAAAGCGAAGTTGATGCCCTAGCCGAGAGATTGGACAAGAAATTCCCTCATACAATTGATATCCTAGTAAATAATGCAGCTATTCTGCTGGTAAAACAGTACCTGGATGTCACTGATTACGAATTTGAAAACGTCCTAAGTGTAAATTTGAAGTCAGTTCATTGGGTGGGTCGACGTTTCTACGAACTTCGTATCATGTTATCTCTAATTCACCAATAAATTCAGGTAACGCAAGAATTCGCCAAAAGAGCCGTCGCTCAGAAAAGACCCATGTCAGTGATCAATCTCTCCTCTATCACAACAAATGCTGGAATGTTGGAGTTATCTCCGTATGTCGCTGCCAAGGATGGAATCAACGGACTGACCAAGGTCTTGGCCAGAGAATTAGGCCAGTACAACATAAGAGTTAACGCCATTAAACCCGGCTTCGTGGACACACCGATGAATACACATTTGGATGAGAAATACAGAGCCGAGGTGGCCAAGAAGACGCCCTTAGGGCGATGGGCAAAGCCCGAGGAAATCGCGAATGTAATCGTTTTCTTCGCCTCGGACCTGGCTGGATTCTGCACGTGCAGTTTCGTCGATGTAAATGGAGGAATGTCGATATGAATAATCAACGATAAACAATATGATTGTTCAATGCGGTTTCTACCATTCCCTGATACTAGTCGCGGAAAAAAGTCCTTAGAATTTTTCGCGGCCCCCAAATCTCGTCGCACCCTGAAATGTTGATTTGTCGCGGGAATCGAGCGCGACAATAAGGCAAAATCAACAAAATTGCACAGTGCAAAATGTGTTTTCGGGTGAATGCACAGTGCGGAGTCGCAGAAAATTCTAAGGACTTTTTTCCGCGACTAGTACTAGCACTACTCGCTCTCAAAAGTTAATTTATCGCCAACGTCAAGCGCGAAAATTCGGGTTACGCGCGCAAAAATGCACGTCGCTAGTGCAAATCAGAGAAAACCGCACGAATCTTTGCCAGTTTCGTGCGTAAAATTTCTTATTTTTTGCGGAAACATTACGGCAGAAATAGGCATGGGACTTCTGTGACCACCTTTACATCTGTTCAACAAAGCAAATTGGCGTCGCTTATCTCACGGGCCGTTTTTCGGTTGATGATGAAGAGAATCAGCCAGTGGAAGAGCTGAAACTGATTGTAATGTATTACGTATTACACACGGTTCGGTCGCCTTTTGGAGAGAAAAGAGCAGTCTAAAAGTCAAATTAAGGTTCCGAAAGTCAATTTACGGAACAATAGCAACCAATAGATGGTTCCAGACTTGATTGTAATAAATCATTTAAATGCGCCTTAATTTCCTTTGACGTTTTTCATCATTAATTGTTGCATTTTGTTCTTGTAACTTCATCACTCTAGCATCAGATTACCGACAAAATCACTTCGCCAAGATCTGAAAGATCCGTAACAGAACAGCTTCTCACAAGTAACCTGCTTCTAAACCATAAATACTACTTCTTTTATCAGCCCGACTTACACCTTATCAGTGCTGATTTTTGGAGTGATTCCAGCCGGTTTATTTAGTTCCAGAGATGACAGCGTTCGGACTGGAGGGGAAATTGGCCTTGGTAACAGGTAAGGAAGACTCTTCCCATGTTGTATAAAAGGCTCGTTTGGCTACATTTGATTCGCTCTTTTCATGGCTTGGGAAACGAAGTGTCCAAAAATTTTTTCGTCTACCAAAACAACGGTAAAAAAGTTACGATTACATTCTACATGCTTACTAATAATTGTTGTTCTTTTTACAATTTTCCCGACTTTGTTTCTGCGACAGAATATAAATAAAAAATTTTTTTTGCCATTTCGTTTCCCAAGCCGTAAAAGGCGCAATTCAAATGTAGCCGTACTCTTTAAGGCTTTTTTCACGCTGACATCTTTTTTTGCCGCGGTTTCAAAATTTTTTATTTACTCTATTTTAGTATTTTGTCTGTCAGGAGTATTATTTTTACAATTTTGCTTACCAATTTACAAGGTACGGCAATTTTTCGGCCGGATTTGAATTGGATATTACGTTTTTAGATTTCGGTCAAATTAAAAAAAATTTTCCCTGAATCCTCAGACTCCTCCATTTTGATGCGTATGTCACCATCCTTATGTGTTTGTTGTTAATTTTTACTTCAGTTCAATAAATGGGTATAACATATTATACAGGGTGGGGCATCTTTGTGGCCCGATTTGAATTGACTATAACTTCTTTAGTTTTTGGCCAAATTTTAAAATTCTTTTTTTCCCTGAATCGTCAGCTAACCCCATTTTGTTTGATACCAAATATGTTATACATAGTAAGTGTATCTCTACAGTTATTGGATTTATTCTTGGAGTTCATTTTTTCGGTCGTTTTTCGGTTGTTTTTTCGGTCTTTCCCGGTGTGTCCAGAAATGGAGTACGGTCCGGAAGAAAAATACGGTGGAATTTACCCTCCCGAAAATCGACGATGAGAATAAGAACAAAAAGTGAAGATCAACCTCCAGAGTTCGTCGAATGGTCCATGGTGAATGCATTCCCTCGGTTCTGGCCAAACTTCGTGTACTCATATGCGGATTTTCTCGGAATTTTGACAAAACTTCTTCAATTTTCAATTCCGTTCATACCCATCTTTCCTGCTTTTTTTGTTTCCTGTTAACGCTGGCAGTCTCAAGAAACTTATTCCACGAACGTCGAATTGTCTTGCGATCTGGAGGTTAGGCATTACGTCCGTATTTCATGCGGTATCCCCATTTGAAAATTTAACGCCGAACCGTACTTTCTATACCAAACCACAGACCAAGCCTTTTCTTCCACACCGGACTCCATTTTCGGACACACCGGGAAAGGCCGAAAAAACAACCGAAAAACAACCAAAAAAATGACTTCAAGAATAAATCCAATAACTGTAGATGACGCTCACCTATGTATAACATATTTGGTATCAAACAAAATGGGGTTGGCTGACGATTCAGGGAAAAAAAGAATTTTAAAATTTGGCCAAAAACTAAAGAAGTTATAGTCAATTCAAATCGGGCCACAAAGATGCCCCACCCTGTATTTGGTATTAACAAAATGGAGGAGTCTGAGGATTCAGGGAAAAAAATTTAACATTTTGCCAAAGGCCAAAAAAGTCATACAATTCAAATCCGGCCGAAAAATTGCCGCACCCTGTTTTCGTTATAATTGCAGGCGCAGCACAAGGAATTGGGGCTGCAACGACACGGAAGTTCGCTGAACATGGCGCAAATGTGATTCTCGTTGACATAAAAGAAGATGTTTTGAAAAATACGGCACAAGAAATTCAGAAAGGTATATTTTTGACACTTACTAGTTAGTCAAAACTAGGGTTTGTACGTTCCGGGTATATATGGCTCGGGACTTCTAAATCTCTCAACAAGAGTCAATCCGAACCCAGCAAATTTAGTACAAAGTTAAAAGTTGCGCAATCTGACATAACATTACGCCTTTCTCCCATTGCTGCCTTTCAATTTCTGCCTTTCTCTGTCGCCTCCTCTTTTTTTGTCAACTTTTAACTTGGACTAAATTTGCAGGTTTCCGATGGATTTTTGCGGAGAGATTTAGAAGTCCCGAGCCTGGTCAAAACCTGTGAAAAATATCAAAATAATATTTTTTGTTTATTTTAGATTTCCCGAACTTGAAGATTATTGCGGAAGTCTGCGATGTTAGTCAGAAAAGGGAAGTAGATGCATTGGCGGAGAGAGTGGAGAAGATATTTCCCCAATCCATTGATGCTTTAGTCAATAATGCTGCAATCGTCAACATTAGCCCATATTTGGAACTAAAGGAAGAGGACTTTGACAAAGTGTTAGCAACTAATTTGAAATCTGTTCATGTGGTAGGCTATGTTTTAATTTTGTATAAATCTAATCGTAAGTATATTTTTTTACTTATTATTTCTGTTTGTTCAGGTAACCCAAGTCTTTGCCAAACAAGCGGTTGCCCAAAAGCGCCCGCTGGCAGTTGTAAATCTCTCATCGATCACCACTAATGCTGGAATGGCCCAGATTGCACCGTATGTTGTAGCCAAGGAAGGAATAAATGGTCTGACAAAGGTGCTGGCCAAGGAGTTGGGAAAGTACAATATCCGAGTGAACTCGATTAAGCCTGGCTTTGTGGATACACCCATGAACGCGCATCTAAACGACGCTTCTCGTGCTGATATTGCTCGTCAAACGCCCTTAGGGCGAATGGCGCCGCCCGAAGAGATAGCGAATGTAATTGTTTTTTTCGCTTCAGACCTGGCCAGTTTCTGTACTGGCAGTTTCGTTGATGTGAATGGCGGTATGACACTCTAAACTGGACCATTTGTATAGATTACTCCTTTATCAAGAGTCTGATGTGATTAACTTACTCCATTTTATCACTCGCATATCGCCAACCACAAGCCCGGTTATGATGATTAATAAACAAGTGCTTCATCCACTCTCATGAGTAATATTCAGCACACATTCATTTCTTTGTGGCACATTTCGCAGTCTGCGGGTGCTTCTAACAAAGTAAAAGACCATGGTAATCGTATTTGAATCGAACAAAAACGGAAATGTTTTTGTGCCTTTTTTGATTGCCACTGTCATAAGAGAATAATGGCCATGGGATGATCAAATTAGGGCCTCCCTCCCTCTTGGATGTGGAGTAACACTTGAGAGCCGAGTTTTTGTCTAATCTAATCCAATTGTTTCGTGCTGAAACTGAGTAGAATTTTTTGAAATTTATAGTGGGGAATTGCAATAACTTTTGTTACATGCATACTCTAATATGTGAAGCATATCTTTAATGGGAGTGGCTCTTTAGCCATGTATCTTCGTCCCTTTATGCCCATCCAGAGGTCGGTCGGGCATAGATAAGGTTAATTTCCCATGGCATAGGGCCCTTAGGGAGTAACTCCATTCGTGATGTCTAAAACCCCGTTCTTTAATTGCGTCCGCTTATTGCCTTGATAGTCGCTTATCATCGTGACATCACCTCAGCCCCGTCTCAACACCCTCAGGGCAAAAGTTTTGGTTAATGAAGAAAGAGAAATAAATCCAAGTAAAAGAAAAGCGCAATAGAGCCGGAGGCTACGAAGGAAGTGCTGGGCAGTAAGGACGTCGGTTCGCCTTTCTTTCGTCGCATCAAGACTTGAATTTTGTTGTTCTAGAAGAGGAACTCGTTCGCTTTTTTAAAACTTTTGTATGGCTAGATTCCAGGTGTTTGTGACCAAAATTTGGCCTTTCCCCCAATGCCCCGAAAGGGACGAACTCGTTTCCCAAAAGAAGGCGATCCAACGCTTAGAAATTTTATTCGGCAATATCTATCTCCGAGAAAAGCGCACCCAATTTGAAAATGGCCACAATAAGTGCGAGGAATTTGCGTTATTTCCGGTTATTGAGGCCCATCTGACTTGCGGCGTTCCGTGTTTTTCTCAACTTTGGCCCATTAATTTCAGGACAAAAAAGTGCCTTAGGGCCCAGTGCCAAGAGCCGTGTGATTAATCGGGGATCGGGCCCTCTGGCATTAGATGATGATCGGGGATGGGATGTCCCTGGTCACGTCCCGCATCGGCTTCTGAATCCAAAGCCGACGTCTATAGCGTCTCCAAGCAGGATCGGGCTTCATTGGTGGACGTTGATGATGGGGAGGGATCACCCGAGACCTCGCCCCAGAACGGCCACTCACATCTCAATCGACGCGACACACCGGCCAAAGGATTACTGAACCCAGATAGGTAAGAGTTTTCTTAAGAACATTCCTCATCACTTGTGTTTTCAGACGTAATACCTCTAAACAAAACACTCGGACGTCCCCAGCGTAGGTTATGAAACTATAACGTCATTTTGCAAATACTTTAGATTACTGACCAGCAACAGTCAACATGAGTTCTTTCGTATGTTGGAGGAAAAGATCGCTCAGGTATGTTCTTTCGATCTACCACCAGCATACGTGTTAAAAGTCTCCTTGTCCTTGACTAATATTCTCTTTCAGGGCCCCGGCGAATTGACGGACTCTGACGCAGAGCAGTGACACCGCCTCCATCCTCGTTTCCACGGGTATCGATCGAATAATAATATATGTAATACGTCTCGGCTTTCTTCGCTTTTCTCGAATTTTCCAGTACGATTAGACATTAAATGTACTCAAAACGTATACATGGACTTTATTTTTTGAAGAGAAAGGAAATTCTGAAACACGTTTAAGGGACAGGAATTATGCTTGATTAACAACGTGCTCGATTAATATGAGCCAGTTATATTTTGGGGGTTACGCCCTTAGGGCTTAGTCTTTGCTGTCAAAAAAGATGCAGGTAAGTCTGGTATTAACAATGAAGAAGCTTGGGTCTAAAGATTTAAGATCACTTTTCACGTAAAATTTATTTTACTTGACTCCAACACCTCATGCCGGAGTTTAAAAATGATGACGTTTAAAATTTTTGAATCTCTTCTAGGTTGCGACAAAAGAAGATTATGACGACCCAGCTGAAGTGTTGCGAGTGGCCAGATTGGCCGTTAAGGAGGCCAATAACAGGGCCATGCGTCTTCAAAATGCGACAACGCAACAACTGGTACAACGAGTAAAAGATCTGAAATACTGGTCAAGTGAAATTGATAGGTAAGATAAAAACAGAAGGAGCGAAAATCTTCAGGGAATTACAAGACTTGAAGGATGACAACGAAGATATCGTTAGATATTTCCGGAAACTTTCTTCTTGCCAAGTAGTTACTCAAGATGCCGTCAAATGTAATGAAGCTTGCTTCGCTGTGAGACGGAAGCGGATTCACGTAAGTCACGAATTAACGGCTGGCTTTATTTGAAATAAAACTTTCAGGTAGACAGCCATGATAGAGTAGATTCTGCCTTAGGAAAAGAAAAAGAAGTTATTCATGATTGTATCAAACAGATGAAGGAATTTAATGCAATTGTCGAGAAACAACTCGAGATCAACGACCGTAAGCTGTCATTATGCACTTATTGTTGTGTTCAGAATCAAAGAACCGCCTTCTAAGAGACTACACCCTAAAGCAAGAAGCCGTTAACTTGGATCATCGTGCCGCTGCCTTTGGAGCAGATCGTAAGTTAACCGCAGTTCCACGATTGGGAGGAAAAAGACAAGTGGGGAAACTGAGAAATACTTTTTTCCTGCATATGTATTAGTGTTAAAGGCAACGGAAATACGATGAACCTAACGTCCCTTGGTTGAGTTTGGCAGGTGGTGTACGTCACACTCCTTTTCGAACAGTCCCCTTCATTTTAAAAATATTAAAACAAGGGTGACATGTCGCGGTGGAATTTTCTTCAGAAATGAACAAATATGTAATATGTACGGTGTGATTTTGAAGAGATTTTTTAACGTAAATTAATGTATAACATGCCAACCCTTTTCTCACTTTCCAAAATAAGGGGACTGTTCGAAAAGAAGGAGAGCTGTGGGCTCAAACCACACAATACCGTAACTTCAAGTTCTGATGAGCCTTGGCCACTTTTACATACACAGGATAAAAATGTATTTTTCAGTTTACCGAATCGTCACTTCCCCCAATTAACGACGTTACTAACAAGGGAAAGGTCTGAATTTCCCCCAGTGTTTGACAAAATGACTAGTACAGGTGGATAGAGTAGGTCAACTTTGGTAAAAAGAGTCATTTCCCCAGCCGACGAGAAAAATCGACTGAAAGTTCCACAAAAATTTCCTTTTCTCATCACTCGGAAAAAAAGAGCATCCCGGTGGTTCGGTTGGTCGGGTGGATAAAGCGTCAGCTCGGTTTTCTGTTGGAGGTTGGTTCGATTCCGGGGCAGCGCAAAGGACCGTAATAAAAGTTTGATTGGACAAGATTAATTCCTACAAACTGCCATGTTTACACATTTTTTTAAACTTTCGGTCGATTTTTCTCGTCGGCTGGGAAAATGGCTCTTTTTACCAAAGTTGACCTGCTATATCCACCTGTATAGTACTAGTCATTTTCCCAAACGCTGGGGGAACTGCAGACCATTCCTTCGTAAGTTACCAAACTTATTATTTTTTTAATTTCCGACAAATTTTTACAAGTTTTTTAGCGCGGTATGTGGGAAAGCGAGCTCAGCCAGGTGAAGTGGACTACAGAGATACAGTCCCTCTTCAGAGGATGAGTGATTACCAGGAATGGATCGAGAACACAGCTGTCAATTTGAATAATAGCTCAAAGGCCAGAGCTAAATCAAGGAAAATTGTGCAGAAATTAATTAATTCGACTCGGGAGTTTGCGCAGGCAATGAGACAAGAGGCCATTAACGTCGAGAACACCCTCAAGGATTCGATTAGGAACTGGACCGAATGGAGAGATTCCCTCCAGGCTCAGGTAACTCATCCTTTAATTGTTGCGCAACATCATTTCTTTAGTTGAAAGACAAAGATAAAGAAGTAAAAGTAGCAGATGCAGCCATCAACGAAATCCAATATTCATTACAATTAAACGGATCTCCTCTTCAAGTAAGTCAAATCTAATTCCAGTCAGATTATTCATTTTATGTGGCGTTAATGCGTCAAAATCAACGTGGTTTGAGGCCGGGGATCGAGTTGTGTAACGACAAAGCCCAACACGCATTGCAAGCAGAACTGAACAACCTGAAGTCGAGCATGTTATCCCTCGAACATCAAATGGGTAAGCAAACCATGACCTTTTTCCTTGCCTCCCAACCAGCTGGTTGTGTCATTTCCTTCCAATTTTGGTTGGAACCCCGCGTTGATCGTTTTTCGCTTGCAGACAAGGCAAAAGAGAGTCGCCGCAAACTGGATGGGGAGCGTTATCGGCTGGAGAGGAAGCTGGAGATCTGCCAGCAGAACGTCGCCGTCGACTACGAAGTGTTGCGTCAGATTCGGAGCACTTATCCACAGGAGATTCAGCTAAGTGGCTTCTTGGTGGGGGAGTTGCCTAAGCCCATTATGAAGTAACAACATTAATGTCAACAACCTTTCCTTTAAAATTGGTACATAAAAAGTAATTAATTAGAGGCTCTAGTAAACCTTTATTACCAATAATCTTTTAAATTAAAATGTTTTTATAAGAGAATCCGAAGCCACAAGGGAAAGTGGAAGAAGTCAGGCGACGATAAGGATCGGTGACATTATTTAAGGCTTTAATATGTTCAGTGAAGATCTCCGTGGGGCAAACTAACAACACGATATGCCATTATAGAATCTATTACAAAAGACCGTAACTACCGCACAGTTTTAACAACAAAAGTACCGGTTAAAGGGGTCTCCGGTTAATCAGGGAAGAGAAAGAAAGCACATTCAGGAAGTGAAAATAATCACAGAATATTACAGAATGAAGAGGATATGTTGGGATACACAGTAAATGAATAGAGTCGAAATGAGGACTAGCGATTACGAAGAGACTAACGGCTGGCCTAGTCTGTGACTGCATTCAAAGCTCAGATTGAGCTAAGTTAAATGCTCCAAACCCAGACCTAGTACGACTAAATATATCACAATGACGGCTACTTTTAAACATCCATTTCTTTTCTTTACTCGGCACTGATCTCGGCGAACTGGCGCTTCCTTTGTTTGCAATTGCTGGTATTCTCGCAACAACAAACTCGTATCACTCTGCATCCACACTTGTCTCCCTTCCCGTTCTGACATTCCCCATGCTCTGTATGGGTGTCATCTTCTTCATTGGACTCATCGGCCAACTCGTCTTTCTCGCTGACTATGCTTGGACAACGCGTCTTTTCCGCTCCGTTTGTTTTCAGCGATTTCAAGGGAGTTGGGACAAGATCAAAGTCAGTTTGGGTTTCGATGGAACTGGTTGGGAGCCGAGGTCGAGAGCAGACTGACGCTTCCGAAGACGCGTCCGAGGCATTGGAACCGGGGAAGTCCGGGGATTTCCGGGCATTGGCCATTGCTTGTTTGGTAAGCCTGTAAAAGCAGAAGGAATAAATCTAAATCTATTGTAATGTGTTGTAAATTACTCCTTTGTTTACGTTGCTATTTCTTCAGAACTATTGACCTTATCGGGATATTTTCGTGACTCCCGAAAACAACAAAAAAGGAAGTCGATGAGATCGGATTCGCGATTCCTTCGACCCAAGTCGTGACCGATCTTCTTTTGTCCTTTTCTGAATAAGCCCCCAAACAAGTCCCGCAATGTTTACAAAAGAGCGAGTAATTGCAGTCAATGAGTTGATCTAATTACGGGCACTTACTTATTCAGAATGTCATTGGCACGAGCGGCCTTGCTACCCCGAATTGCTCGGTCGATCGCGGTCTTGGACTGCACGGATGCCTGAGGCAGATAAGTGAAATTGGATTGGGTGGATTGAGGAGTGGAGCGGGCTGATGGGGTATTTACATTTTGAATGTCATGTGAGTTGTGACCTCGTTGCGGGGACCAGTTGAGAAGGCCGCCTGAGGTCGAAAGAGAAATGCCGCTGTCATCGAGATCGGTGGAGGATTCGTCTAGCTTGGCGATCTTTGTCAACGGGGAGTTGCGATCGAAACTGTCCAGGATATCTTGATGATTATTACTGTTGTGGGCGTTGCCCATCAGCTGACTCAAAAAGTCCGAAGTCGAGGAGGAACCCTGCTGAAAAGAAACATTCAATTATTATATTATTTTGTGGTTGCGCAACCAAAGAGAGGAGAGAAGTCGGAAGTTTTCGCTTACGTCGTTAAGATCCAAATGATCGGCGTCGTTATTGTTCTCTTGTTTTTTGCTGCATTGTTGTGCCAGCATCAAGAGACTCATCATCGTCCCGTTTCCCGGGAACTTCAGTTCCGTCGGAAGTTTCACCTGAAGATTGTGAATTTAGAAATCATTTAGTCAGCTGACTACGAAAACAATAGGAAAAGCAGCTTACAGTAGTTGGCACAGAACTGGTATTCTGTGATGTGGGATTCCGACTCTTTGAAGATTCTGAATTTTTGTAGCATCTAATTCTAAATCCGCCGTTCTCCGCACTTCTTCTGGCCATAGTCAGGCTTTTCTTGAGGCTATCTCGACTGCCGAATGTGACTCCTTGAGTCATATAATGGGCCGCTTCATCAATAAGATCGTTCAAGGGAATGTTGGGGAAGTTGATAGCGGCCATGATTAGTTGGCTCTAAAAAAGTTCGGTAAAATACGAAAGGATGTCAAGGTCAACCAGGGAAAGTTGCGCGCATTTCACTTTCTCAAGAAAATAGAAATAATTTAAATTACCTTAAAGTATTCTAGTTCGGCTACATCGTGTTCGGCTGGATGGTTGTGTTCTCCTTTGGCGGTGCCCTGACTGTCATTGTCCCATGTTTCCGCACGTCCTTTGCACCAGGACCTTGAAGATGTCAGCTTTTTGGCACAAACACATCGCCACGTTTTAACACCTTTGGTGGGTACAATATGGTGAATATTGTACCGGTATCCCTGGAAGATGAGCTTCTGGTTCCCCTTAAAGCTCGTGACCATCTTGGGTCGGTCCGGGTTGTATGGCTCGAACTTCGTCTCCTGTTGCATTGTTCACCACAACACCAGAACTGGGATTGTGACATTAGATTACGAAATGATAGTCCAAAAAATATGTACGAAAACAAGCACCAACACGAACGACATAAATTCACAACTCGAGTAATACGAACCACCCAAAAACAAAGACCCAAACAACATCTTTACCGTGAAAACATGGGCGCCAATGGAATGCCTGAAGCACCATTTGGCAGTTTTCTGTCGCTTTCCTGAACAAAACAGGCTGGGAGACGGCGCCGTCGCCCAATCGGGCCCAACCGATCGACAAAAAGGGGCACATCACTCCCCTTTCTCTATTCCCCCCTCCCCACAGACCCCATCACGTTCCCCACGTTCTTCTGCTGGTGTCTTTTTTGGCGTCTGTCGCTCACATCACATTCATTTTGCCTTCGCCGCCAGCCGGCCTGCCACGATTTCAATAGCCTGAAGGAGAATATTTAACAGAAGAGAGCGGGCAGCCAATTATGGCCTCGGGAAAACGGTAGTGCCGCGGGGAGAAAAGCGGGTTGAGCTGACGGCATCCCTTCCCCGAAAGCCTCGAATGAATTCACCTGATCGGGCTGAAGGCGGATATTGCCTCGGGGGACCAAACCCCACCTCGCGACATGATGTGCGCTCACCTCTTGCTCCGAGATGTTCATCATCATCATTGTGTAAGCCGAAAGGAAGAACTCTTCCCAATCGCCGCCACTTGAATGAATCCCTCGCCCCCTCCCTCGATGAATCCCTCTTCGCCCACCTCGCAGACGGCGGCCATGGCAATTAGTGCATCGCCCGACTTCGAAGGAAGAGATGAGAAAAAAGCAGTCACAGTTACCGCATAATAGGGCTTACCATATCCCTCGGAATGTTTTCCTCGAACCCGACCACGAAAACTGGCACGGGTCGAGGAGGGGGGTGGGGACATGTGGGAGTGGCACCTCACACGGCCCCGTGTCCAAGTGCGCCGATTAATTCCGATTGAAATAAATCCGCCGCGATGTCCCTCAAAGCCATGGCCGAGTGAGTGATCGGCGAAATGTTTATGGTGTTGCGTGGAAGGGGTGGCCAAATCTACGGCTCCAAAAAATTTGAATATCCGTTTTCAAAATTGGATAAATAGCCGCCTAGGAAAATGAAGGAAAATATTAGTATTTAAAACTGCGGATATGAAGAAGCGTTGTAACCATTCACCCGATTAAGTAAATCTGGTTTTCTGGCATACAAAGGAAGAGTGCGAACGCATGAAGACGTAAAAAGCGGCGACGTCTGAGGAATCAAGGAGTACAAAAAAATAAAACACGCGGCATGAAAAACGATGAAACGCCGCCAGAAGCCGCCTCTACCGCGTTCGCGCATTGCGTAAAGGACGACGTAAAAAACTTTGTTGCTGCAATGACACAACATCCAAAACCCGAAAGTTAAAAAATAAAAAGGAGGGTAGAGAGGGCACGCAACTTCGGAGCCGGTCTGAATCAAGTGAGGTGAGAGAATGAGCAGCCCAAAGTCGCGCCTCGAGAGCCGCGCCATAACGGAATGGCCGGACTGTACGAATGAGAGATTCCACCTCTGGCCAGCACAATCGCTTTCGTCGCCCCACCCGGCTTTTGTTTGCCATTAAATGACGCACACGAGTTCTAAAGGGCTTTTCTCTCTCCGCGTCGCCTCTTTGCCCTTAAACACACCGAAACGCCCAGATCAGTCCTGATCGAGTGTGCCCTCTTGGCCTTTGCCCGAGCTGCGAGTGCCAGTTCGGAAGGGAAAGGGTGGCACCATTGGACGTTTGAATGTGGTGGCCAGAAACGCCCAAGGCAGTCAGATCATGTGGTGGCCTTTTTCCGGACCGTGCCGACCGCAAACTCCGGGTCTCTACCACGTTCCCTTCTTTCGCTTCACGCCTCAAAGGAATGCGGAGTCGGACTGATCGGGACGGCCGCTTTTGGAATCGGGCTCGGAAAGAAAGGAGAAAGGCGGCGCCGATTCGCCCGACCGCTTTTGTACAAAAATGCTTGCGGCATTTGTTTTCTGTCGGCGAGAAGGCAACTGGAAGACAGAAGCGGCCATATTTTGGCCAAAGGCTACCGAACTACAATTTAATCAAAGAAAGTGATGGGGAAAGGAAACGCCAAAGGCACGTCATTAGGAGCCTAAGGCAACTGGCGGTGGCGATCGAAATAGCCGAGCGACACGAGTGCAATGCGGGAAAGAGAGGGGACAACAAAAAGAGAAAAGGCCGCGGCCCTTGCCACCCCCCATTGTCGGGAACTGTACGGCAGGCAAAGCCAGCCAAACACACCCCTTGCATTTCCCCACTTGCGCCGCCAGCAACTCCCCATCTAACAGACCTCTAACAGCCAACCGGCTCGATTCGTGCCTCGGGTCTTTGGTCCGTTGCTTTGGCTTAGAAAAAACGCCGGCGGCGGCTTTCAAGAGCATGTTGAAAGGAAGGAGCGCGAGATCACGATCACAACCTGCCTGGCCCACCCGGTCTCTCTCATGTTTTCTCGCCAACCTTATTCAAGCCATTCCCTGAGGCAATTTCAGATTTGATTACTCAGGCACGTTCTCCATTCTCTCCAGCTACGGTAAGAAAAGAAAACAGAAACTGTTTTTGTCACTCTGAATGGCCACAGGTGTGGAAAGGAAAGAAGAAATCGCCTCCGGGAATTTACGATCTACAAAAAAGAACTGGACAAAAGGCCGAACTTGTTTGAGCAGAGACGGGATGAGTGAAGAAAAGGTGGTGGAGGAGGCCTGAAGGTGACCGCACGAATCATGGCGATGGGGTGGTGTACAGGAGCGTCCACCTCCCCGATCCCCACCCGTACAAATTCAAGCCGAGACGCGCACTGAGCGTCCGTCCATCGCGCCGCGGCCAGTCCCAAAAATCGCGACGGAGGAAAAATGGAGAAGAGAATTCTCGGCCAAAGGCAAATAAAAATCGCGACCACCACCACGGCGGGCCACGACTCCGTCCCTCCCCCATTCAAATACAACTCGAGACAACAACGGCCCGGTCAGATCGGCGGCTGATTTTCGCCGCCTTTCCGCCCTCAAGGCGCGACTCTCGAACCGGTCCCGCTCAAACAGAGCGACACAGAGAGAGCAGCGACGGAATGGAAAGCTGGCACCTGGCAGTTCTGTCCTCCGGGGCCACGCCGCCCTCTACAAAAGCCACAAAAACAGGCGAGAGGAAGAAAAAGAAAAGGAATGGAGGGAGCAACCGGTCGCCGCCGAAAAACGATCAGGCCAGAGCCAGAGGCAACCACAAGAAGACCTGGAAGAGGAATTGGGGGCTCAGGTGAGGTTGCCGAGGGAAAAGATTACATAACGGGAAAGGGTGGGGGCGGCGATATCAACAGTTGAAAATACGGCCAACGCCAAAACGAATTAAAACAGAAAGCCGATGGGAGATGGCACGACGTATTGTTGCGCAGGCCATTAAACACGGCCCGCGCGACATTGTCTCCGAAATGAGCGACATCACCGGAAAAAGACACTATTTGAAAAACGGTCCTTGTCCGCCAAATTCTGGCGCACAACGTCACCTCGCCCCTCAAACCCTGCCTTCCTCTCCCTCGCAACTTTGGCACCGAAAAAGAGGGAGGCCGAGGCCGACGGTCGATCTGAATGACCTTCGGAGACTTCGAATTCGCGCCTTTCTTTCCCACACCGACGGCACAAAGCGGGAAGGGAAACAGGACGGTGCCGCACTGTGCTCACATAACTCTCATTGATCGATGCGAAACAAAACCAACAAACAACACAAAGCCCCGAGGCGATTGCGCAACGCTAAATGACTAGGCGAGCGGAGGAAAAAATCAAGCAGGAACTCATTAGACGCCCACTGATCTGAAGGAAGCCTCTCTGGCATGAACAATATCGCTGCTTGCGGGCAATTAGACTTATGTCCTGAGGGGATTGCGCTTAAGACAAAGGTTGAATAACGTAGTAATTTCCTTGCGCATTGGCTATTCATTTGTCGGCAGGAAGAGGACGCCTGTTTTCATCATTGCGATGGAGCAAAACTTGAAAACTTTCTCAATGAAACGCATCCAGCGAATAAAGCGACTACAGAAAAACTGCCAAAAGGTGGGAAAGCCCGGAGACCGAGTACCGGACAATACTTTTCCGATTATGCCCTTTCAAAAGCCGAGCGATCACGTTTTTCTTTTTGTTTGCGAATTAGTGGCCATTTTGATGGGGCCACTCTCGCCCCTTCTCGCGCATTCAGATTCGCGCCATAAAAAATCGAAAAAGAGTTGAAATGTCAATAGACTCCGGCATCTAAGTGGACAAACAACCGTGACCCTATTTAGGATACTTACCCTCAGGCAATGTTTGTCTGATCTTATTCTTTCAAAAGTCGTGAAAGAAATTTCTGAGAAGTACACGATTAACGGTCATTAATTTTGCTTTGGTTTAATCAAAAATATTATAATCTTCCAAACCAATAATTTTCAGATCAATAAGGTAACCAATGCCACATTCCAAAGACAAACGCTAGGACTACATTTATCTCAAAAAAATTAATTTTCAATTAACTCGTGAAACCCTCCATGCTTGAAACGAGTTATGAAAACTTTGAAAAAAGAGGCTAGTGATGATGATCGATGCCTGTATTCGAAAAATGTCTCTCAAACAGTATTTCTGATATCATTGGGCCACTCCTTACTTTTGTGTTTTCGTTAAAGTTTTGTCCAGTTTAAACTAGGAAGAGTGACCTTCTCATCAGCTAGCCTCTTGAACCCCATCTTGAGAGGACGGGAACCAAATCCCGGTCACTCTGTTATCACTCCAAACAAATGTGGTTCTTGTTTCTGGTGTTGTTTCCGATCATCTCTTCTTCTTCCTATTATTTTACCAAACAGCCTCCAAAAAAGGCAATTCCTTTAGTCTCTCAGAGCCAGCCACCTTGTTGTGCTGACATGATTGGTACTTTGGCGTGCCGAAGATTGAGAAAAAACAATTTTATGTCATTCCAAAGAAGATGCCAAGACGATGCCGATTTTAGTCTCCTTCAATGTTGCTCTACTTGTGGTCAAACACAGGTTGGAAAACGGCATGAACAGTTCTTCAAAGATGTAAGACAACATTAGACGATTGTAAACTGATTCAGGGAGTTAATTCAAGAGATTGTTTTGATCGTCATGGCCGTCATTTCTGTGAAGCTTTCATCATGAAAAGAGACATCTGGTCCCCGGCGAATTGGACCTGCTCCCAGCCCGAGAATGCCCATCTCGGATTTCGAGTTTGCCGCAAGAGTTGTGGGTACTGCAGGAGAGATTTATACGCCGATGATCAACAGCCTGTCCCTAAATCTCCTTTGCCATTGATGTGCGAAAAGCGGATAAATCGTTGGAAATAAAACCTTTAATGTTTTGTGTCCTCAGCAGTTTAAAGTGGTTACAGCGGAATCCAAAAGGCTACTGCGAAAAGCTCTCAAAACAGTCAAAGTACTTATTGCGGGGGTTTTTATTGAAGAATGACATGTGCAGAGAGTTGTGGATGTTGTTCCTAATAGCTAATTGTTCGGGCTCAGCCTGGCTTTTGCCTGGAGCAGGCCAAACCCAGAAAATGCCTTGCTGCAAGGAGAGTATCGGAGTAAATGCTTGCCAGGAACTGAAAGTGCGACGTCCTTACGAATTTCAAACCCGTTGCAGGACGGACGCCGACTTCGCCTTTCTGCAGTGTTGTAAGACTTGTCGGACAAATGTCCCCGTAAGAGTGCAGGATGATAATTAAGATTAAACCTTTTTAAGGCCTTGGGACGGGAATTGTTTGCTCATGGGCCAAGTAGTCGGCATTGTTTTGACAGACATAATCATCGTTTCTGCACCCAGTTTGTGAGGAAAGTAAGTATAATAGTTTGAAGTTTTTGAAAAAGGATTGGGTTTTAGAGTGGAATGTGGGCCGGATCGAATAGTCATCATAGTGGATGCAATGGTGAGAGTTCTGCTCTTGCGTTTCGAGTTTGTCGACGGTCTTGTGGATTCTGCAGACCCGATTTATATAGGCAAGATTCAGAAGAAGAGCGACGATGTGTAATCATAAAATCGGAGAGGCCTGAATCAACTACAACTTTGGAACCAGCTTTCAGAATAATTGTAGAGCCGGACAAATAAATAAAAAGTTTATTAGTAATGTTACAGTTCTCTCTTTAATACTTATTCCAACGCCGCATTCGGTCGAAGATCCCTAATCCTGGTTGATCGTTTAGAAAAAGACGTTGTCCGGAGCTATCCATTGACCTCACCTTACTGACGGGCAGACGACATTGTACTGGACTAAAGAAACAGTTACGGCCGGAACTGGCCAAAGGCGTCGCCCGGACTGGTCTCTCATTAGGCAGGGAATTCTCGTCAGCAGGCTGGGATTTCAATCGGTAATACCTTAAAGTCAGCAAAATTGGTCCAGCCTTTACGGGAAAACACGACAAAAAGGAGTCGTGAAAAGTAAAAATAAAGCCTACCTCATAACTGGGTTCAATTGTGGCATTGAACGCAGCGCTGGGTTTGCAGAAATGAAATTTAATAAAAGAAGGATGACCAACATCTGCATCTGAAACATTCTGACGTGACCCAACTTTCTAAAACGACGTGATTTACAGTTTTCAAAGGAAAACTTAATGGCGCGAAACTTCGGTAAGCATAAAATAAATTTAAGTAATAGTTTTCTTGTAACTTCTGAAAGTTTTTTACATAACGGGGCAGATGGGGATAAACAAAAAAGGGCTTCCGACGTCACTCGAAGATCCTTTTACATTCGAAACTAATTAATCAGAAAACTGTTCGAAGAGCGGCCAATGTCGCCTATAAAAGTAAACGGGATTAGGAGCAAAAGATGCCATCCAGATGATCGTCAAGGCCATGGATTAACAGAAAAGGGGTGGATCTAATCAATGAGGGCGGTGTACCAACCATAGAATGGTGGACGATATATATTTACATCCATTGCGAAGAGATCTATTCACTTGAGAAGAGAAACAAAAGAGCATGACGATAAGAAATGTTATGTTATTCAGCACAACTTTACATTGTTTTGCTGACAAAGTCAGAATTAACAAGATCTTTGATAACCTTATGTTAGGGAGTCCGATGTGTAATGACTTACTTAGTTATTATAAATTACTTTTGTGGGAAGCAGAACTTTTTCCAAATATATGGTGTCATAAAAGTGGGAGTTAGAGCAGGAAAGTTTGTCTTCAAGTCTGCATCTTTAGGCCTTATAATACAAGTTAATATAATTATTCAAATTATATACAAATCCCTTTTTTAAAATGGGTTTTATTCAAAAAACCAAACACACTCCGTTTGTGAACGCACACCGACCGGTTGATTACAATTTTGAAAAAATCAGTCTCCAAGGGTTTGACCTAGGACTTCAGCCCTCTCAAGTCTCGATACATCCTGAACGTCGCCCATGTCACGCAAATATTTGAATTGCACCAGTTCTAAGAGCCTCGACAGGTCTGTTAATGGGTTAATTGAGGGGGAGAAAGCCCCAAGGGGAAAAGGGCGGGAGGGCATGACCTGTTCCTTCCAAAGAGAGCAACATGATGTGGGGAGGGAGGATAACGTCTTGATCTTGTTGATTAAACATCAAATGCGACCACAATTAAAATTAGATATTTATGTGATTTCAGTCTTGAAGATGAACTTATGGCCAATGCCCGGCCAGTGCGAGATATAAATGAGGATCAAAAGAGTGTAGCCTGGCATGATGCTATTCATCTGCTTCCTCCCATCATCAGCAATCGTCTCAAACAGGTGGAGAATGCTGCAATCAAGGATTTTAAAATCAGTGGAAGACCATCCAGACAAGGACAATCGAAGTTGTATTGTATGACATTGAAATGGTTCGAAAATCTGCCCGAGGGAGGAAACACTGAACAAATGAGGCAATCAACAGCGTCTAAGCAAAGTTCATGTCCGAGTGAAATAAGTAGAATGGAGACGTGTGTAGAATTGGGTAAGTATGGGTTACTTTCAATAGAATGCGAAAACTAAAAATAACATGACACCCTTACAGACAACGATGTGAGTGTGGACAATGATCATACTGTATATCCAGATGGACATCGTTGTGAAGGTCCTTGTGGGAAGATGAGACCCATCTCCGAGTTGACTCTTTTCGGCCAATGCGAACACAGTATCTGCTCTTCCTGTATTAAAGAACTCTCTCCTTTGTTTGATGATCCCAGTAAGTCAAAGATAAAGTTTTTCATCTATTCGCCAGACAATCCGGTTTGTTGTAATGTGTCGTGCATCTCCTCCCATCTAGTAGATACATTGGAAACTCTGAAGGAACGTCGGAATGCCTATCAGAAACTGATAAATGAAGAATGTTATGAAAAAATTCTGGAGAAGTACGACCCAAAAGGATACAAACTTTACAGTAATCTGGCCAAGGGAGTCACGCAGAAATTCAAGCAGCCGGGTTCGTTGCTTCATCAAATTGTTAATGCCACTCCTTATTTAGAGTCAAATCAATCCGAGGAAGTCAAGGCATCGTGTGAGAATTTCTCATCTGACATCAACCCAACAACTTTCAACTCGAGTATCGTCAATAAGACTTCTGAATCTAATCGATACAAGACCCCATCCGACTTAGAATCAGAAGAGTTTGTGACGCTGAGTATTCTGCTTTTGGACGGCAGTGATCGTCGTGTTGAGACCAATTACAACGCCGAATCCACCCTCAAATCCTGTGTAGATAATCTGGCTGCTTCTTATTGGTAAGACTACTTTCAGTCTCTCGGGAAAAGAATTCAAAAAATTTCACAGCGGCGCAGTTGAAAAAATGAACTACGTCACGGCGGTTTTCGAATTGCAAAAGTTGACATGCAAAAAGCGAAATGCTTAGCGACGAAAGGTTCACTCAAACCACTCATTATTATGATTTCTGATGGTTCAGAAGAGGGTATTTGCTTATTTTTATGTTTATCAAACGTTCGGCGAAGTTATGGTGGACGTTTTCCATATCGGCGAAGGACATAACACAGTTTCGGCTAAGAAATGAGCCGACGCAATGCTTATGCGCTGGCCAGCATTCCCTGCTGATTCCGTATTCCTTTCAAAATTTCGTCGCCACGCCAACCTTCGTTGCAAACGAACTGTCCCCCTTTTTTGAATTTCACCAAAAAATCCGAACTCTCCCCTTCTTTGAACACTCCCCCATTTTGAAAATTGGGAAAAATTAGGTGTGACATGTTATACGATGAAATTTTTTTTCAAATTGAGAAAATATGTCAATTTTTCAAATTGACATATTATACGATGGAAAAATTCTTCAAATAAAATTTTTTTGCGCACTTTCGTTTGATTTCTTTCGGGGTAGATTGGCTATGGGGCCAATATTTGTATTCAATGTTGCAAAATTGGTTGACCAGCTAACCAAGGTGGTTACCCTGCGTTCACACCGGAAGATAGGTCGATCCACCTAATTTTTCTCAATTTGAAAAAATTTTCCATCGTATAACATGTCACACCTCATTTTTTCAATTTGAAAAAAAAAACTTTCATAGTATAACATGTCATACCTCATTTTTTCAATTTTCAAAATGAGGTGGAGTGTTCAAAAACGGGAGGGTTCATTCAAGGGGGAGTGTTCAAAAAGAGGGCGAGTTCGGAAGGGGGAGAATTAGCGGTATCTCTCAATCGAGGAGAGACCGTGCAGTCGTTAAATGCGACAACGCTGTTGGCGGCCTTCCGATCCATTGTGCAGAAATTTTTAAGACTTTCCGGTAGTTGCAGCATCATAATACAGCGTTTAAGATTGGTGTGATGACCAAAAAAAGCTATCAAAAGTCTCCACTGAATACATTAATCTCTGCGTGGGCGGAGAAAAAATTTTCTTTAGACAAAAAACCGTCCCTTTCTACTGCAAAAAAAAATTTTTTTACATACATATCTTGGCTGAGCACCATGAAATCGACATGAACTTTCCACGGATTTTTTTTGGATATCCTGTACATGGGGTTTTTTTATTTGTCCCATTTATTTGTAAATCAGTCTTGAAAATACATTTTTAGCCCAAACAAGAAAGTACGAGTTTTCTATGAAGAAGGGGAAATCTTCAAGAGAGGACGGGCTTACTTCATTGACATGGACAAGTACGGACACTTCCCTCTCAGCTACCTCCCGTCCAAACAAAACATCGTCTCTTTGATCTTTGATGTTACTAATTTACTCCAAAACGTCAAAAATCGGTACATCCAATGTTAGAGTAAACGTATTTTATGTGCGAACTTGGAATTTACCAGCTCTTGTAACGTACTTGACTCCCTTAAACGGTTTATACTTCTCTCCATACATATCTAGACGGTTAACCTTGAGTCCAGACACTGCAAATTGGTTTATTCTGAAACGGACATCGATTGGAGGGCTCTCCAGTTGCACCCCACCAGTGGCGGACACCTAAATACAAACGAATAGTTAAAATCACTCGGAGTTGGACGATTGGGGAAAAGTACGATTGGGGAAACCGAAAAGTATTATTTTTCTTCCATGCAAATGTCGAAGTTAGGATAATCGAGGGTGCTTATTTCGGAAATGACATTCATTTTTTTGATTCTTACTTTTTTCCTTAAGAAGTACTGTATAGTAGTAATTTCTGATTTTTTTTCATAAATACTCGATTCAGGGGTTTTCGAGGGTGCTGATTTCGAAAATCATGTTAACTTTTCCTCTAGTACTAATTAGTACTATCTGACACTAGTAGTACCAGCACCTTTGAAAACCCCTAAATCTAGTATTTTTGGAAAATTTTCAAAAAATTACAACTTAACAGTACTACATAAGAAAAAAGCGACAACTAGAAAAAATGAACATGATTTTCGAAATCAGCACCCTCGAAAACCCCTATATCCAATATTTTTAGAAAAATTTCAAAAAGTTACTTTTTAACACTACTACTTAAGGAAAACTGGTAAAGTTCAGAAAAAATGAACTTTTACCTTTTAAGTACTACTTAAGAAAAAAAGTAAGAACCAAAAAAAATTAATGTCATTTCCGAAATAAGCACCCTCGATTATCCTAACTTCGACATTTGCATGGAAGAAAAATAATACTTTTCGGTTTCCCCAATCGTCTTTTTCCCCAATCGTCCCAGTTCCAAAACCACTTCTCGTATACTTACAGTTCCTTTCAAAGTCGGTGGCCTTCCCGGTTCCACCTTTCCAACAACCCATTGGAGAAGTTTTGAGGTTGGATCAAACGTATATTTCCCGTGGGAAGCGACTAGGTTGCAATTCTGTACAGCTTTAGGCATGCTCATTTCGAGGGTAACCTCCTCCAACATCTTTCCCATCTGTTTTGGACCCACTGTCAACTCCAATCGACCTCCACTTTTCAAACAAATAAAGTGCCGTACATACAATGGAATGGTGACCAGACTACAAAGGAGTACTATATTTAATTAAAGACTTACCTTTGAGATCCGATATGATATGAAATTAACCTAAAGTTTCCGTCTGGAGGGACGAAAGACAACACTCTCTCGTTCTCCCATCGTTTAAACCTAACACAGGGATGAAACGAGACATCATCCAGAATACGAGGGTTCATCAACGTCATCGTCAAATCGGGCATTCCAGTCATTTTACAACAACAATTAATCTAGAAAGGGCGATTACAAACGTTAAACTAACATACGTATCCTTGAATCTCCGCAGAGACAGTCTGCCCTTGTTTATCAATAATGGCGTCGATCTCCTCAATCACATCGAAATAAGCTTCATTATTCGTATACTTCACACCAGCTCTTCTCCAAGGGACATTGGATAAGGTTCCAGTGGGAAGATTCTCGGAAACATTGGTCTTCCCCGTCACTTGGTTAGTAATGGATCTTATAAAATTGGGAGGCTTGATAAGATCTTGTAACACGTTCAACTCGGTCGTTAGTGGGTAGCCATTGTCTAAGATCTCGTCTAATAATTCGAATACCGTTACAATATTCTCCTTGATGGTTGTATCCGAGAATTCATCAAAGTATTCAGCAAACACATTCACCATATGGTGAAGGATTTCAAATATGAGCAAGGGAGGAGCTAGAATTTAGAGATTAGGTACCTAAAAAAAAGCACGACCACTTACTTTCAGAAATAGTTACAGCAATTAAATACAAGTTGTTATGGTATACATTAAATAAATAGTGGTGTGGCGTGGCTATGACCGGTGAAACATCTTCACAACGTTCAGTTTTCTTCTGTGAGTCAAAAAAATAATCGCAGATCGACCGGTGAATTACAGACTTGTAGTGCTTCTCAAGGATAATATCGCCGGACACGTTGACGATAAAAAGTGAATTAATCATCTGTTTTCTACACCCAACTAATTTTTGAACATCTCGGGGATGCGAAAAAAATTATCAATATTTTTATTTTAGTCCCACAACGAAAACATTTGAAGAAAAGCGCGCTCATTCTTTGAAAAAAAAAATAATAATATTTGTTAAAAAAGCTCGAGCCGTCTTTCTTTATGGCGATCCGGAAAAAGGCTAGGCACAGGTCTGGCTCTGTAGAAAACCCGCAGTCTGAGGACGTTGACCATGAAGAACAGCCTGAAACATTGGCTGAGAGGTTGGGCGAAGGGCAGTTTGACGACAATGAGGATCTTCTCAACATGGAGATACCAGAAAGACCATTGGAAACTGTTTCCCACGACCCAAACGAAGCCAGATTGGTGATCTCCAGAATTGAAGTTGAGAACTTTAAGAGTTATTTTGGAAGAAAAGTCTTGGGTCCTTTACATAAGGTAAGGAGGGGTTTTTTTTGTCGGATTTGTTTTTTAGAATTATACATCTATTTTGGGGCCGAATGGAAGTGGAAAGAGCAATGTTATCGACTCCATTTTATTTGTTTTCGGATTCAGAGCCAATAAAATCAGATCCAAGAAGCTTTCCGTTTTGATTCACAAAAGTGCCGCGCATCCAAATGTCTCTTCGGCCGAAGTAACGGTGTTCTTCGAACGGATATGGGACCGCGTAAGTACAATTATAGTAGATTTCCAATTATTTTTATTGTTTCAGGGTCCCAATGACTACGAGGTGAAACCAAATTCCCACTTTTCAGTTACAAGAACAGTTAATTCGGACGGCAGCAGTCGGTATTATTTCAACAAGAAGGCGATTAAACCTGACGAACTAAGGAAACGGCTGAAAGAAAATGGAATTGATCTGGATCACAATCGATTTCTGATTCTACAAGGAGAAGTCGAACAAATCTCGTTGATGAAACCCAAAGGAGATGATAAAGGAGAAGAAGGAATGTTAGAATATCTCGAAGACATTATTGGTAGCAACAGACTGAAGACTCCTATCGAGAAATTAGCGAGAAGAACGGAGAGGTTGGACGAACAGTTGAAGACTGTCGCTAATAGGTAAATTAGGACTATCAAACTGAGAGATTTGCTTAGACGTTCCTTGGCTGCTAAAGAGCACACAGATCTTATTGAGCCCTTGACTCAACTCTTTAAAATCCTGCGGTTAGAAAACGCAATCACGAAGTGCAATAATCAGTTGTATCACATTGAGAAGTAAGTTATTCAAACCGGTTTTGATTAGTGATTTTAGGAAGAGGGTGATGGACGAATCGAAAAAAATCCAAGATGGTTATAACAAGATGAAAAAAGAACATGACGCAGATCTGGAAGAGAAAGAAAAATTGGTGAAAGAAATGGCCATCGCAAGGAGAGAGGTCGTGGAACTTCAGAAGAAGGAAAACGAACTCAAGGAAGAAAAGGAGTCGAAGGAAGAAGAAGAGCGAAAGTACACACACTCCATTCAGATGATCGAAAGTGATGTTCAGCGACATGAAGAGAAGGTTCAGAAGTTGGAAAAAACATTAGAAAAAGAGAAGAAGAGGGTAGGATAATAAGGTGAATGTTAGACGTTGCTTTTAGTTGGTTGAATTGGAATCTGGCCCTGAAAAGGCCCAGAAAATAATTAATGATTTGGAGGGAGAAGTCGAAGGATTGAAGGAAGAATCACAAGAAAAGGAGGCTGAATATCAGGTGAAGAAGAGAGAAGCGAACGATGCCAATGATGGATTCAGAAAGGCCCTTCAAGAGCTGATGCCTGAGATCAGCGAATTCAAAGACTCTGAAAATAAGATCCAAAGAAAGTTAACTCTTGCTGAAGATAAGGTAGCCAAGCTGAAATACGAATTGGAGAATCCGCAAAGAGAATTAGAAAAGGCCCAAGAAGATCTGGAGCAAGCCAAAACCGAACTGGAGAATTTTAACCGGTGTGTTTTTAGAGATTATTTGTTGTATTTTATTTTTAGGGATGTTGAGAACAAGATTCACAGAAGGCCGGAGCTGGAGCGGGAGATTTCCCAGTTGAAGGAGCAATTCGGAAGTAAGAAGGGTATGGAAGCCAAATTAACCGATGAAATACGAAAGTTGTCTCATGAGCTGATGCAATGTAATCAACAAAACGAAGGACGAAACAATCCGACATTATCAGCGTTGCTGACAGAAAAGGCTAAAGGAAACTTCACTGGTGTTTATGGAAGGCTGGTATGGAAAATGTATGAAGGGTTTCAATATTTGCTTTAGGGAGATTTGGGTGGAATCGATGAAAAATACGATGTGGCGATCTCCACTGGTTGTGGTCCCTTAGACAATATTGTTGTGGATTCGGTGGAAACGGGTCAGCAGTGTCTTGAATTCATGAAGAGGAATCGTCTTCCAAATGCAACTTTTATTGCTCTTGATAAACAGCAGAACTTCTGGAGTAAAATCAATGCTAAACCGACAACGTGAGATGATATCTTTGAGTTTCGAGCAATATGTTTTCCTTACAGACCTGAAGGAGTCAGTCGGTTATTCGATTTGGTCCAGATAAGTGATGAAGATGTGAAACCGGCCTTCTACTACGCGTTGAGGGAAACTCTTGTGGCCGAAAATGTCGATCAGGCTGCCAGAATCTCCAACTTCAACGGCAGGAGATACCGTGTTGTTACATTGGGCGGAGATCTCATCGAAACCACAGGTACTCTTTCTGGAGGTGGAAAAACTCAAAGAAGGTTGGTTTAAATGCCATTCATATTGTTTATTATTACAGGGGACGAATGGGGAAGCAAGCCAAAGTTGACGCTGCTAGACGGCAGTCTTTTAATGTCAGGAGTTTGGAACAAAATCTGAGAACTAAGGAAATGGAACTAAATCAACTGAGGAATGCATTGCGACTTGTAAGGTATTTTATAGTAAACATTTATGCTTCAGATGGATGAAGGCATTAGAACCAAGACTGATGAGATTGATAGGATGGGAAGAACGGTCGAACAAGACCAAAATACAAGGGTAAACATGAAAAGAAAGATCCAGAAACTAACAGAGAAGGTCCAAAATTCTGAGAGGGAACTCTCAAGGAACGATGACAAATCACAAGAAGTTCAGGAATGGGAGGCTGAGGTTGATAAATATACTGAAGAAAAGGCTAGGATCATTCAAGAGGGAGAAGAATTGCTGAAGAGAAAAAATGCTCTTGAGGAAAAGATTAGGGAAACCGAGAACAGAATTGTCGGCAAGGCCAAAAAAGAATACGAAAAGGCCAAGAAGGAATTTGATAAGGCGCAGAATGATATAAAACAAGCCCGACTAACCATCAGTAACTCTAATTCACTGATCCTGAAGGCCAGAAGAGGGATTGAAAGTATTGAAAAAGAAATCAAGGATTTTGAATATCAAACAGAGAGGGCAACCCACAGAAAAGAAAAAGCACAGGAGAAGATCGCGTTGTCGAAAACTCGGATTGAGGAATTGGGATTGAAACTGTCAGAGGTTGCTGGAAAGATCACTGAAGGCTTAAACAATACCTCCATCTTCACAGAGAAGGAAGAAGAATTGGCCAAGAGGCTCGATGAGAGAACCAGGGAAATGGCCACACTCGAGGAAGAATTGTGTCATTACAATCGGAAGATGGAGGCCATCGATGAAAAGGTTTGAGTTTGAACTAGCTGAATCAAAACCACTCCAGAAGTTTAATATATTTTTTCCTTGTTTAGATTGGCAAACTACAGACATTTAATGTTCGTCAAAATTTACAACATATCACAACTGATCGACCCCAATTCCAACTAGATGATACTCAAGCAACTGAATCCAGGAATGATACTGTTACAACTCCGAGCGTAAAAGATGATCCTGATGCAACTTTGACTGAAAGCGATCGAACTTTGACCGATAACAACCAGGAAAGACCTCAAGCCACAAGCCCAGATTCAGAGGTCGAGGTCTTCCAAAGACCTTCAACTAGTCGTGCCCCAAGTAGAGTCAGGGCAAGGAAGAATCAGGTAAAGGACGAACCTAGAAGTCCAGAAGCTCTGAACGACTCCACTCTAAGTACAGCATCGAGAAAAAGGAGAAGCAGAAAGACGGAGACAAGTGAAACCATGAACGAAAGTCGGATGGTCGAACAAGAAGAAGAAGCCGAGGATCTGCCCAATACAACCACTATCACCTCCACTGATGGCAACACGACTCATGATCCGGCTTATGATTTTGGACATCTACCCACTTATTCTCCTGCGGATATCAACGCTTTTGATGAAGCTCATATCAGGAATGAGTTGAAGAGAAAACAACGACGCAGAGAAAGATATCCAAAGGAATTCAATCTTGATCTCATCCAAGAGTATGCTGATAAAGTAAGACAATTTACCCGAGGAAGTAGTTTTTTTTAGTTAGAAAAATTGAATTCTGTAGATGCCCAGTACAACAATCTGAAGGAGTCATTTGACGCCCATCGAAAAATGTTTGACACTTTGAAGAAGATGCGAGTAACCGAATTCCAGGAAGGGTTCCAGAGGATTTGTGTGGCCACGGAAGATACGTATAAGATGTTAACTATGGGAGGGGAAGCTGCTTTGGAGCTGGTCGACTCTATGGATCCCTTTACGTCCGGAGTATCTTATCAGTAAGTAAATATAACAGCCAGAGATTGCCACGGTTAAAATTTCGGCTCCGGCTCTTAGCTCCCAGAGCCGGAGCCGAGGCCAAATTTGCAGCTCCGGATTCCGGCTCCCGTGCAAAAAATTTAAAAAAATATTTTTCCAAAAATAAAAGTTATTAGTGCCAGAGATCATACACCCAACGTTTTTGCAGCCAAGTCGTATGCAACACATTCTTCCCAGTATTTTTCAATCAAGGTGGTGTAACAAGATCATGGAATTTTTACTTTTCTGAACGCTGAGATGCCTGGCTCCGACTTTGGGCTCGGGAGCCGGAGCCGCACCCCAAATTTCCGGCTCGGAGCCGGAGCCAAGAGCCGGCTCCGGAGCCGTGGCAATCTCTGATAACAGCTATTGGTGATTCTATAGAAAATTGATGTTTGATTTCAATATTGTTTTAGAGTCAGACCGCCGAAGAAAACTTGGAAACAGATTACAAATCTGAGTGGTGGAGAGAAGACGTTGGCTTCATTGGCCCTTGTGTTCGGATTACATTCATACAGGCCAACCCCGTTTTATGTGATGGATGAGATCGATGCTGCTCTAGATTACAGAAATGTTTCCATTATCTCCACATTTGTCAAGGAGAGAACAAAGAATGCCCAATTTGTTATTATATCTCTGAGGAATAATATGTTCGAGAACGGAGACCGTCTTCTTGGTATCTACAAGGTCAATGATTGCACCAACAATGTCATTTATGATCCTGATGCTGACGAGAACGAACCACCGGCTGTACGTTTTTTGTGAATTGCATTTTGGGATAGTGAACTGGATTCAAAAAACTTTTTAGGTTTCCACAAATGTCTCACATCATTCTGGGGTAGCCGAGCTTACGGAATCGACCGAGCAGCTGCATGTAGAAGAAGGTCCCCCATCCAAAAGAAGACGAGGTGTGAAACATGAGCAATCTTAACTTAACTATACAAATAAGGTTGTTCAATAAATTAACGTCAAGAAATTTGTTTTAAAACAAGGTTCAAGGGAGAAAACCCCTTCGCACTTTTTTGCTAAGTTGGTCCTACAAGGCTCAAATTTCACATACAATGACAAAAGAAATTTTTGGCGCTTTTTTAGAGATTCGGCTTGGGCGTACTGTACTTTTATCGGAAATTTTGTGTCCCAAAAACTAGACGTCCCACGGAGTCGGGAGTGGTCGGATGGATTCGTATTGTCATTCTAAGCAAATTACTTATTTACAAGTTTTTTCTAAAGCGTTGCATAAGGCCAGCAAAGATTGTTTTTAGGTCCAAAGCTACAGTAATCCAGATTTCTTAAAAAAATTCATTCTTCGGCAAATTTTGACACCTTTATTTAGAAGTGCTTTCTATTACCGTTAGACGCACACACCTGTAGAATGTCTCCTAGGGCAGAACCAGCCGTCTTAAGTTTGCTTTACAGAAAATGTGTCATTCTGACATGGTGTATGTTTTGTTGACCCGAATATGTTATAGCAGTAAATGGAGGCCGATGATCCTGTAGATGTAATACGACTGCATATGCACCGGTTTACATGGTGCATGTCGCGATGACAAATTTTTTGGAAGCCACCTTTAGATCTTCGTATCTCGGCGAAGCGACCCTGCAGAGGCATACATGGTTATAGACTTTCTGCAACCACAATAAACAGCAGTTTTTTTGGATCAAACAAGAGCTTTTTTTGTCGTGTAAAATTTTGGGAAAACTAAGTTACTGTAAAAAATGTCCTAAAAGAATTTTTTCAAACTCACAGGGATTTTTAAGTTGCTTTTTGCATCAGATGTGCTCAGTATGAAGTCAAGAATCCTATAAAACAAGTCTCAACGCATACATAAAGCTGCGTTACAGAATTTGCGCTAAAATTACAGTAAGCCGAATCTCGAAAAAATGAGTGCTAAAAATTTTTATTTTGTTAGTGAAAATTTTTCAGAAATGTGGATTACTGTAACTTTGGACCTAAAAAATCAATCTTTTCTGGCCTTATGCAATGCTTTAGAAAAAACTTGTAAACAAGTAATTTGCTTAGAATGACACCTTTGTGGGTTTTTATTTAGACTTCCTACTGCACTTCGCGGTGTGGCTTCGATACATACGGGAAAGATCCGCCGCGGTCTAAATAGCCCAAAAACCCAAGTTGCTGGCAGTTATCATGTGTGTTTATGCTATACAAAAGTCCTCGTGTTGTGGGCTTGCAGAAACGTTTCCAGCATTTATCACATCGGTTGTTGAATCAAGAAGAGACAGTTGACACAGCAAGAGAGAAAAACTTGACACGTACAGGTTTGTGTAAAAAGCCGCAAATATTTTTGCAAAGCATTTCTGGATTTCTTGCTTTAATCCGCGGATATTTGTATTGGTGCAGAATTTACACTTCCATTTATCGCGATTATTTGCACATGTTTTATATATTTCGATTTTACAGATGTCCTCGAAAAGGATGGGCCGTAAACAAAGTGAATATGAAGAAGATAATCAGAAACCGGAGTCCTCGAGACGCAAAAAGGAACCTCGTCCTTCGACCAGCCGTGATTCCGTTGAGGAGGATGATGAACCTGGATGGGAATGTTCAGTTTGTACCTACAGAAACAAGACTGAATCCTTCAAATGCGAGATGTGCGAATCAAGGTAAGTAATTTATATTTCTTACATTTAACCTGCACCTTTTGTATTGAGCAATATTCTTTAGAAAAGGAACATCAACCCGGAAGCCTCGGCTGAATCCTTCTGTTGTTCAACAACAGACTTTAGTGCAGAACCTTGCAGTCCAAGGTCCGATAATGAAGTAAGTGTCCTTGCTTTTCATTGTTTATATTTAGAAGGACGAGGTTTTCGGACGGAAGAAGCAGATTTTCGCCTGAAAGTACTGGCTCTGGGACCAACAGTCGGGGATTATCTACGGGATCTTCCCCCGTTCCCATTCGGCCGGCAAAGAAACGACAAAATCGGAGAGTTGTTAAGTTATTGATCCCCTTCGCAGATGATCTGGTCGACCGGGATGTTTTCACCCAAAGGTCTATTACTACGGGAGGTGTTACATGCCAAATTATTGAGTTCAAAGTGAAGGAAAAACTTACAAAAAAGAAGAGAAGGGAGAAAAAGAAGGCAAAGAAAGAGGAAAGAGAAGTCATGGACGACTAAAATGTAATAAATGGACAAAAAATGTACACAAAAAAAATCTGAAATCCCTTATAGTGTAGACGTTTTATTTTGCGCGCTGAATACATTAAACTAAGGTAGAAGAGAAGATGTCTTTCATGATTTGTGGTAACTCGGCTGTATTCTGTATGATGAAGGCTTTGCCTTGAGGTAAGTTGTTCTTAAGTCTTTCAGCTTGAGGTCCCAATGATCCTATGAGGATTAGGAAGCAATGAACATTCTCTTCCATCTCCAGAGCCCGGGCGAGATGCTCGGGTTTGATTCCATACCTGTCTAGATTTGCATCCGAAAGGGCGATTACAAATCTTTCATCCACTTCCATTTCTTTCGACAATTTTTTAGCGGCTATTTCTATGGCTTCTAATGTGTAATCACCGCTGAAGCAGAACTATAAATGATGGCTAGTATGGCTAAACTATCCATACCTGGGAATGAGCTAACATTTTCTTCAGCACATCCATTCTCGACTTTTCATTCTCTGGAGGTTTATCCGGTTGAGTAAAAACAACTTCGGGAGAATCGCCGGAATGGCCAACTATGTCATATTTTACTTTGTCTTTATGGTCTTTTAAGGCTTCCATTACCAGCAACGTTGCTTCCAGAGATCTTCTAAGCCGCTGATCGTGTCCGTTAAAACGATACATCGATCCTGAGACGTCGACTAGCAGTTGCAGACGCTTTGGTTTCGTCTGGACGGTTCCGGGTTCACGTATTTGTTCCACTCTTCGACTAAATCGAGACATTTACAGTGTGAAGAACTTTACCGATAAATGTTCTTTTCACCAGCAATCCCTTCAATCAACTTGCCGTCGTCGAGATCACCAGCCGTCTGGTTCTTGGACCATTGTCTTTCTTTTTCTCTTGCTTCCAATGACTCGATTACATTCCGAAGAGAATTCACTTGTTTGGAGATCTTGGAGTGAATTTTCTGATACTCCTCAGCATCATGCTCACTCATCTCGATGTCCTTCAGACGTTTTTGATATTCCTTCTTTGCAATCTGCCGGGCTTTTTGTTTAATTTCCTCTGGTACCTGGCTCTTTGCGACATCACTCATTTGTTTGATATCATGGCCGGCATCCAGTCTAAACGGACCTCCAACTCCTCCTAATCCAGCCGTGTTATATCCCCCAGTTCCTCCTGCCCAGGTGTTTCCTCCAGCATGGGGGGTATTCTTGGGGTCGACTTTTCCAAACTTTGGTTCATCCAATTTTGAAAGATCAAAGTCGTCGTCACCCCGAGTGATTTCTAATCTCTCGTCAGACCGATCCAGCCCAAGACTTCTTCTCCAATTTCTATATGACTCTAATAAAGAAGTCTGATCGACTTCCCATTGTCTGATTCCACCTCCGAGATCACAAGTATAAAGAGAATTCCCGTCTGATCCCTTAGACATTACGAAAGGTACGGCGGATAAAGACTGGGCCCATGAGTTGTAATACGTGGGTTGTTCCGGAGAGGGCATTGGGAAGTGATAGCGGCAATCATTATGGATATCCACCACTTCTAAAAATCCACAAATTTGACCAGTCTGAGCATCATCGGGCCACGATTGGGCAGGGGTTCGCCAGAGGGGAAGAGCTCTTACAATTAATCCATTTGAGAAGACAATTGAGTTATTAGAAGGATGTATAAGTAACGCTGTCTCCGGGTTATAATAATAGGGAGGCTGTTTTTGAACACTCCCTTCATCTTCTCGTTTGACGGCAAAAACTTGGCCAGAATTCTAAACCAAAATCACCTTTCCTTTCGGTAACTCACATATGTCTGTGGAAACATTGAAGACTTTATGTAGTAGAAGTCTTCATTTGTAAGCAAGAAATTCGGCGTATTAAATTCGACACCATCTTCCGATTTGACTCCCTGTTTACTGTCTAATACTGAGCCACTTTCGAACTTTAGTGGTATCTTTGGATCAACATCCAGGTCCCTTAGAAAGCATCTTTTGCCTTCGATTGTCAGCAAGAAAGTTCTAAAAATCATATAGAAAATAAAAATCCATTACTTTTCATTCTCCAAAACAAGGAAACTATTCTCATCGATTGGAATTATATGATCCACAGCCAAGTCCTGAGGCAGCGCAAAGGAAGTAGTTGCATTAATCTTTGCATCCAACTTGATTAATCCATTGTTTCCTCGATGGAAAAGAAGGGATACTGTATTGTCAACTTCAACCAAACGCCAGTGTTTCGTGCCAGAGGATACTGTAATTTGAAATAAATTTGCAATGTTTACATACTTTTATTACCCAGCAGTTTCATGAATCGATTCTGATCATCTGTTTCAACTCTTTCCATAAACCGATGCATAAAGTTGAATTTGAGTAGAGTATTACTCTAAAGAAGTAATTTACTGTAATTTTTGCTTACCATTTCCTCATGGATGAGAATCTCGTCCTCCCCAAAAGCTGCCATCCTAATCCGCGGTCTGTAATTCCCAAACAACCGGGGTAGAAGAGATGAGATCGAGACTTTCCAAGCCACTGATTGCTTAAGATTTGGAATCACAAAAATAGTGGGACTGTTGACCACAGCGACGACCATTCTTTGACCTTGATTCAGGATACTGGACACCATCGCTCCTTCTGGCAGGTCCAATTGCCATCCCAATGATTGTTCAGTAAATCCGTAGGCACGACTGAACCGAGTGGAGACTTCAGTTTGTACTTCATTCCATTCCGTTCGGTCCTATATCATAAATAATTTTAAAAATAATTCCCTTACATTTCCAGCAAGTTTTGAGTTAGTAATCTTCACTTTAATTGGAACCACATTGTCTTTTACTCCCCAATTCCCAAGGGTTTCCTTGGATGGCAGAGAGTGCCTCTTGGCTAGTTGTACTGGAAGTTCTCGATCGACGAGGCCTGAAGATATCCAAACAGTAATATTTTATGTTTTATTTTCTAAAAAATGGACAACAATATGTATAACTAAAACGGCATTATTTCGTACCTAACGGGACACCATAAGATCGGAAGACGTTCTCGATTGTGGAGACGGCGTCTTTTGAATAGGCGTCGAAATCAAACACATTTCTGACAACTTCGGTGAGCGGATCGTCAGGAAATTTGTCTATGTGCTTTACAATATTTACAAGTTCTCGGGTCGAATACGGATAAGACAGCAGGCCCTCATCAGAGAGACGACGAAGCTCATCGAAGATCGAGACCAAAAGTTCAACAGTTTCTGGGGGAACGCCTAAAGTAATGTTATTTTAGCCTCTATTTTCAAGTATACGGTAACACTTCTAAAATCATACTTGGTCCATATTTTTTTAGCATTGATATTTCCGAAAGACGATCAGGGTTGTCCACAATATGTACGGCGAAGAGATCTCCCAACACGTTGAACAGATCGTTTCCCAAGAAAGGAAAGCCAGGACGATTAGCCAGCATAATCATCCTGAAGTCTGGATGAATGGGAACCGACTTTCCATCAGGTAAAAGGCTCGCCCCCTGAGGCTGGATTCTCCGTCCGTCTGCCAAATACAAATATCCAGAGTCCAATAAAGACTTTAGAACCGCGATAACATGCAGCGGAGCTTTATCTGCCTCATCCACCACTAACACAAGACCTTCCTTCACCGCCTTTACTAACGGAGAGTCCTCAAATTTTAATTTCCCATCGGATACCGTAGACTGGACTGTAAGACTTTGCACTGTTGTATCCCTGGAAGATAGAAATAAAAAGTAGAGAGTGTTACCTGTGTAACTGCATGTATTGTCTTGGTCGTTCAATGTGTTGAAGGAACCTGTCAGTGATCTTATTCTTCCCCACTCCTTGATTTCCAATCAATAAGATATGTTCCCCAAGGGAGAAGTCGACAGCCATATCTTGCATGATTTGGAGATGCTAAGAAGAGCAAAAATCGTTATAATTCAAGCAGAAAGACAGCCTACCTGAATATTATCGTAGAAAACAACATCAGGAATCCTTGTATCGTACTTCGAAGATGATTGGGTTGACAATTTCAAGTCCTCTTTCCAACTCCGGTCATCAATATTTGACTTCCCATTCTCTTTAATATCAAATTTAACAAGAGCCTTTTGGAATGCTTGTTTTGTAATTTTAGGCAAGAATTTTGACAAGACTGATCTATTTAGAGATTCATAGATTCCCTCGTCCGGATTCTGGGTAACTCTTTTCATAATCGATATCATCCTCCTCAATGAGAGAGACAATCCAACATGCCTCAACTAAAAAAAATCTTTTAATATATGCTTACTTACATTGCTATCGCTTGTTGACTTCAGATAATCCGCCAATTGCAGCAACTTCTCGGCAATCACTGTGTCAACATTAGGAATCAACATAAAAATGAGATCTTTCTGTTCTTTGAGAGTCATCCGATGCAACGTTTTGTAAAGGAACAGACACAAGACTTGATCGTTCAACCATTTGCATGTGTTTCCGGAGGCATCAGCGCTTTCTGAATCTCCCAAAGCCACCAAACGAAAACTCGGAGATATTTTATAGACCCCTCTAAAATACAAGTCAATACATTTAAAAAAAAACCCCTACTTTTCGTTGAGTTGATTGTCATTCCATTCATTCTCTTTCTTCAATATTTCAAATGCTTCTGGGCTGACCAATCTCCCGCCGTCAGGTAGATCAATAAACCGATGATGGACCAAAGACGACAGAACTTCTGCAGTGCTCCAATGAACTTTCTCCAACCCATCTAAAACACATAAATGCCCTTCCTTGGCAGCTTTGATCAACTGAGAGTCCTCCCAAACAGTATCTCCATTAGGTAACATTCGTCTCTGCTGGATTAATTCTCGACTGTTCATGTCTTGGAAGAGAGTAATCGTCTCCAAATGATAATTTAGCCTCCTCCCAAACTCCTCGATCAGTGCCGTCTTGCCCGATCCTTTGGCTCCGAGGACACAAAAGTCTGTCTGTGAATGTAAAATGGATAAATCAGCGAGCAAATCTTCATGAGACGGCGTGGCTACAAAGCGGAAACGCTTCACATCTTCTTTTGCAACTCCAGTGGGCACAGTAAACGTGATATCTTCAGTTGTAGGGCTCTTCAAGGTTACTGTGTTATCATCAACTCTAATCGATGAAAATGATTTCTTCGTTGAACGTTTAATTGAAAACTCATGTATGAATTGATTTAAGATTGGGAGTTCAGTTTCTCTCTTCAGAATTGTCTCTTTGGGGTAAAACAAGTCCAAGACTTCATTTTCGGACAAATGGGGATTTAAATTCTGAAATTGTGATCTGTAATTTTTGGAAAAGGAGACAACTCCTCTCGCAAAATGGCGGGCAATCACTTTGCGGGCAGCTCAAAAAAAACATAGAGATTCTACGGTTGCCCGCAAGACTTGCGACGTCCGTAAAATCAGCTGTTAAAATGTTGGCAGATACATTGAAAGCACTGCTATTACAGCGCTTTCTATATCTCTCCGTTTACTTTCGGTCCAAATGATGATTTTGATTTCATGTGGACAAAAACCAAACCCCGAAAGAAATCGAAGTCTGCCCTTACAAAGAATAATGTATAAGGCGCCGTTATAAAACAAACATCACCTACAGTGATGTCACAAAGAGCAATCGGAAAAGGAGTAAGGATATCAATTTTTACAGCAGTCTATTTCTGATTTCAGAAGGAAAATATGCAGAGCCACAGATAAGTGACGATTGAAATTCTTGAATAAATTTAACCTACCCACACTCCAATAGCTTTGATCATATTATCAATGGGGACTCGAGGCATAGACAAGCTCGCGGCAGTTTGCTGGACATTTAACCCAAAACACAGCGCAATCAAATTGCTTCTTTTGACTGGATCCACTTTCGGAGATAACACAGCACATACTTTTTGTACAATATTAAAAGGGAGGTCTGCCAAATTCAAACATTGGAATCGACTTCTAAGTGGAGGATCGAGGGAATGGCCTTTGAATCGCGGGACTGGAAGGCCTAGGGCAATCACATGGAAATCCTCGGATACTCTCTCCAATTTCATCTCATTCAATTCTTTTTCTGAGTATTTCTAAAAGCAAAATAAACTAATAAAATACGAAGCTAACCTCCAAAAGTTTGTCAAATTTCGTAGGAGCCATCAAGAATCGGCCATCGTCTAACTGCATCTCTCTGTTTTCGAGAAGGTTATTAAGGATCGGCAACACATTCCTCTCGGCTTTCTCCACTCCATCAATTACCAATACTCTTCCATTCAAAGCAGCTCTGACTGCACACTAAAAGTGAAAACATTTTTATCACATTAATCCTTATAAAAACCGATTTTCTTACCAAGTCTGTGTAAGTCGCCGTCCCTCCTCTAATCTCCCTCCGTTGTTTTATGTCGGCTTCAGTGGTGTCCCGAGTTAACGAGAGGTACTCGAATTCGCGATTGCATAATTCAAGATAATTTAGGATCAAATCTGAGCGAAGAGATCCAGGAACTCCGATCAAAAATACATCTTGATTGAGGGTATCCTTCCTCAACAACCACTTCAATCCTTCCAGCTTCCACTCCGCTTTGTCCGCATCAACTATATGCATAATCAAATATTGCTTATACTTACAGTAACCCTTTGGCACAAATTCCGGCGATTTTGCCTTTCGAACAGGAACTTTGGCACTTCCAATTTTAATATAGGTCCCTTTCGAGGAATCTGAATTTGAGATCATACCACAAATTTAAAATTAATTTAAATGTTTTATTTTATCAAGAAACCGTTTTCGTATCAGTTCTTTAAGACTCCTAATGGCAATATCTTTAAAATTATACCATGAACAAATCTCTTGGGCACAATCAGGAAAGTGACGGGACATCTTAGAATCATCATCCGGCTAAAATAAGTGAATATAACACGAAATCAATTCTTTCCAAAAATTGTCTGAGAAACAGGGAATCAAAGTACATTCGACTCTTAACGGACACTCAAAATTTGACAAAAGAGCACTCAAAGGCAGCAGATTTATGAGATCAAACCAAGAAGACCGTTACGAAATATGACCTACATTAAAATCACAATCACTATATAGTATTTACAGCACCCGTTGGCAGTTTCATTTTCATTTCTTCCCAATCAAAAAGGCCAGGATGATAAATCCGCCGGTCACAAATGTCCAAAGCCCGTATTCTCTGATGGCCCGTCGTTGATTCTCGTCTTCTAGTTCCAATACTCTTGTAGCTAATCGACCAAGATGCCGGCGGACATTCTTCAGCTCTCTTAATGGGTCCAAATCCACTGCCAATGAGTTGTTTAGATTGGTGATAGACTGAAAATATACGGTTAAAAGATAAGAGAAACGTTCCATGTTGTAAAAAAATCTTTATTACAACGAATGATTTGCAAAGAAACTTACTTCAGCAGCATTTAGACTTTCTTGAGATTCAAATAAAACAGGATGGACACGTTTCTTAGCCTTTTTGGGTTCAGGAATATATTCATTTGCAGTGAGATGGGCAGGCATGGGTGAAACTCGTTCCTGCAAAGAAATTTAGGTATAATATAAGAAAAATATGGCAAATTTTCATAAAACAAACTTACAGTGCCATCAATCATAACTAGTTTATCCCGAACAACTTCTAATGGCTCCTTGGGATGTGGAATAAGCCGTCCACCTTCTCCAACCACAATTTTGTCAGGCACAAACATGTCTTGAGCTGAGCTGATCGATTGCGTTCGTTGTCCCCTTCTTCCAGCGAGATATAGATGATTGGGAACTTCCATAAACTCCTCCACTGAATTCAGCGTCTCATTCATAACACGCAAAAGAGAGACCCCAATTACTTTATCATAAACTGTTTGTAAAAATAACGAGAAAATTCAGTGAGCTTTTTCATAAATCGGAGCAGTTTTGCGCTGTGGGACCGAGAAAATGCATCGCAAAAATAAATTTTTGCAATATATTTTTATAAAATTTTGGATTCTTTTTCTTGTTCCTGCTACACATCAGGATGTTACAAGTTTCTAAGCGACCAGCTGATGCCGACGACTTCTGTAAGACTTGCCGTTTTGTTTTCTTTAAGTCGGTAAGAATTATTTTGTTTCTTCTTTCAGATGGCAAACGGCAACGTTTGGATGTCGCATTACAGGGCGAAGATGCCTCGACGAAACCCAGAACTTCTTCATTATTGGCGCCTATTATGCTTTTAACGGGACATGAAGGGGAAATCTTTGCTTCTAGATTCTCAAAGAATGGAAAATATTTAGCCTCAGCTGGATTCGATCAGAAGATTCGTAAGTTATTACCTATTTTTTATTTAGTATTTAGTGTTGTGGAACGTTCATGGGCAATGTGAAAATTTTGCAACATTGAAAGGGCACACTGGGGCTATTTTGGACGTTCACTTTAGTACTGATTCCAAGTAAGTTAATACATGGCGTCAAAAAAAATGGAAACTTATTTTTATCGCTATATTTTATTTTAACAAACAAAAGTAATAATCAATATAAGTAACATAGACCATTGTTGGTGCCATATTCGGCCTGTTTCAAAGTGGCTGCTCTTGGCGGCGATGTAGCTCCAAAACGTGACTTTGAAGCTACATCGCCGAATTTTGGGCGAAGGGCAGCTTTTTTTGGCGAAACCGGTCCCGTTCCTGTCCAGCGATTACTTATCGACTGCAAACTTTTATGGCGTATAGTAGAGGTGCTGGTCTCCAATCGAAAAATTATAGCCAGCGGATTCAAATCTGGCGAGAAGGCGGGCGCACACTGCGGGCAGCTGAAATATTTGCGGGCAGCCGACACTTGAGGGTTACTTGGTGGAGGTGGAAAAATTACTGCGGTATTTTGGAAATTTGCCGACATTTGCGGGTTACCGTCGTTGTGATTCTCCTTGTATCGTGTGATTACTTTCGACACAACGTGCTTTCTATACCGAGAAAGTCAACAATCCGAACAGCTCAAAAATCGCAGTCCCTTTGTTTGACATTTAAACACGGAGAATTCAATGGTAAAAAGAATCATTTGGCTACATCAAATATTTTTGCGTCAGGACCTATGAAAAAAGTTTCCATTTTTTTGAAACACCCTGTAAATAAAAGCTCTTGAAATCGTTCAGTTTTGTATTTTCTTGCGGTACCGACAAGACTGTAAGGATATTCGATATGGAGGACGGTCGATGTGTAAGACGATTCAGAGGGCATTCCGAGATCGTGAATAGCTGTCATCCAGCGAGAAGAGGGCCGACGATCGTAGCCTCGGCATCTGATGACGGAACTGTTTTGGCAAGTCTTTTTTTTGGCGTTGTTTCGGATCTCCTTTTATGTTTAATATGGATTTGTTTTAGATAAACGATGTTCGAGCGAAACACCCGACTTTGAAGATAAATTCTCTTCACAATTATCAAGTCACATCGGTTACGTTTAATGATAATGCACAAGAAATAATTTGCGGAGGAATAGACAACACTCTAAAGGTTTGTAATCTTTAACAACACTCATGTTTTTAGCAATGGGATCTCAGAAGAGGACTTTTGAATACTTTCGAAGGACACGATGACTCCATTACGGGGCTTTCTCTCAGCCCTGATGGTCGCTTTGTCCTCTCAAACTCCATGGATTGCACTGCCAGAATTTGGGATATTCAGCCATTCGCACCTAGTGAAAGATGTGTTCGCGTATTCCATGGACATCAACATAATTTCGAGAAGAATCTCCTCAAAACAGCATGGTCTCCCGATTCGAAACGAATCTCCGTCGGTTCTTCAGATAGGTTTACCTATGTTTATGATGTGGCCAAGGCCAGTGTTGAATACAAACTTCCTGGACATCAAGGTTCAGTGAATGCCGTCGACTTTCATCCAGAAGAATTGATTCTTTTGTCGGCAGCGAGCGATAAGAAAATTTATCTGGGAGAACTGGAACCTTGTACTTCTCCCAATACTTTATAAAAACACTATTTATTAACAATAAAGCAGTTAACTGTTACGAACAGAGTCATCTACAGCACGTACAACTTCCACAATGTTGTCATTGGTCAGTGCACATACATTGATGCGGCCCGAGGGAGCAATGAAAACATTGTGTTTTCTGAATAGGTAGTTTCTTTGAGGCTCTGACAGTCCTAAAAGACAGAAGAGACCAGACGATTGGATGATGTGATCCCACGTTCCGGGGGTTTTGTTATCCATCAAGGCTTTGTAGAAATCATTCCTGGACTTTTGAGTTCTCATGAACATCATCTGAAATTAGTGTTTCATATGGTTAAAACTCGCAAATCCTTACTCTAACTTGATTCAGCCATTGCTCCCGCATGTATTGAGTTTTCAATATATGTCCCACAATTCTCGCACCGTGCAGGGGAGCGCTGCTCCACAATCCTCTTGACAATTGGACCAGATATTCTTTGATTTCTCTTGTTTTGGAAGGGTCTTTACTCACTACAAGCAGGTTTCCCACGCGCTCACCTATAGTATTAGGTTTATCAAATCGACAACTATTTGACTTACTGTAAAGTCCAAAGTTCTTGGAGAAAGATTGGGCCACAAAGAATTCGACGCCCAATTCGGCGAATAATCGAATTGGAGAGGCGTCTTCCTGTGGATCTCCACTGAAGAGGCCGATGTTGGTGACATCGAAAAAGGGGACGAGGTCTTTGTCTTTGACAATCTCGGCCAATCTCCGCCATTGAGATGGATCGGGGTCCACTCCAGTTGGATTGTGTCCACATTGGAGGATGATGATCGATCTAGAAAAAGCATTTTCTCGCAAGTTTAGGTCTACCCTGGCTCCGCGTATTTTAAAGTTTTTGCCATTGACTCAAACGCTAACTTCTTCTGTTCATAGTCCCAATAAGGATATTCTCTGATTCGGTTGATACCGGCATTTTGTAGAATAATCCCGTAATCAGTCCACGATGGATTTGCAAGATGGGCTTCGTTCAATCCGAGAACTTTAACAGCAAACTCAAGACCCAATCTCAATGCTCCAGTGGCCGAAACCGTTTGTAGAGCGACTACCTAGGAGAGGTCCATTATTCAATTCATCGTTTACATTATCCTTCAACACGTTTCCAAGGTGCTGTCCTAAAAGTAAATGGGTAGAGTATTCGATGAACGGTTTATGTCCAATTTGAGGATCAACATAGTCATGATCCAGATCTTCATCAAGAGCCAGTTGTTTCTCAACTTCCCTTACAACGGGCAGCGACCAGGGTTGGCCATTCTCATTTCGATAAGCTGAACAAATTGTATGGATAACAATCGACTTACTGTCGATACTTAGATTCACTACTGCCTTGGGAACATCCAGAGAAGTTGTGGGTTCATTGGTGGGCCTGATCAACTCAAATAAGGACGGTTTCCTAGGACTTGACTGAATTTGTAAGTGTTTTTAGTCTTTGAATAACTTACCACCACAAATCTGGCTTTGACCTGAGATCGAATAAGACTGGTAGAAAACGTGCGAATCATCTGTTATGGAGGGCGTTGGACTGAAGAGGAGAGAAAGGGGACCTTTCCGCCTTTTCGTGGGGAGAGCGGACCATTCCGCCGATCGCCCCTTCTCTCTGTTCTCTGTGCTCCATTCCATGATCCCTCGTTATCAAGAGCTGACCTCTAAAACGAAATATCGCGCCCGTTTTTGTATTCTTTGCTTCTGCTGTAAACAATGGCTTTAGCTGGGGTCCGAGATCTGTGGTCGTTCTTCGAGTCGAAAACAACAGGAATCGAACGCTCCAGAGTCGTTTACAGCGTGAGTCGACAAAAATATTTTTGGGAAGGAAAAAACCCCCAGGGTTTCAAAACATGTCTTTATTCAAAGATAATCTAATTGGCATAAGCTTCTCTAATAAGAGGACGCTTTTAATCCGGGGTAATGTCAACCAGAGTGTCAACATAAAAGTGAAGTTTTATCAGGATCTTCTTCAACTTCAAGACAAATTCCATCAGATTTTCGTAAGGAAATAACTCGGTCTTGGATTGGATTGAGCGTATTCCAAACCTCTCCAGAATATCGACAGACTTCTGCAAGGAATCAAGAAGTCGAGTGTAGCCTGAGGTGATCTCGCTAACTCCATAAAGCATACGATTCTCTTCTTCATTCACTTCATCTTTTCCTTGATTCTTGTCCAATTGTAAACTGATCTCCAGAAACTGAGATCGCAGATCGTATATCTGAAAGACAGCAACGTTACTTCGAAATATGTATTATGTTTTTGGCATTATACGCAGATGCCATTAGGGACGATTTCTGAAACCCTTGCAAATATCCTCAGCACCCCTGTGCCTTTGTAAAAATTCTGTATTTACGTATTCCTTTCTTTTTTTAATGTTAACAAAACTTTAAAAAAATTTTCTGAAAATACTCGATTTGGGTGTTTTCGTGTTCATTTTTCTGGCTTTTACTTTTGTCTTTAAGTAATGAATTTTTTCCGCCGATTTCTCCGCCGAATTGCGCCGAATCACAAAAATTTGACAAGGAAAGTACTTTTATGGGGGCTCCTACTTTTTGACGGGACATATCTCAAAAAATCAGAAAAAATGTGCTGATCAAGGATGTATAAATCCTAGCTGCCCATTTTAGGTTTTTAGGGGTGAAAACTCGATCGGAAGTTGACTTAAAGTCCTATATGAACCCCTTTTCGCTTAATGTTTCACAGGTTTACAATTTTTATTTTGGCTTAAAATGATGTTTATTGAGTTTCTAAGGCATAATAAATCAGTCTTGGCACAAAAATTTATTTTTCCAACCTTCATCTTCAAAAAAAGTTGATTCAGCCCAAAAGGGAAATCGAACCCATGCGGCGTTCCCCTCTTGATTCCCAAACTACGGCACTAGCCACTCGGCCACATCGCTCTCTTCCGAAGGAAGAGACGGACTGCGCTTTTCATCGTTTTGAATGCCTGCGCCTTTTGTAGGGAAATTAAGCCAGTTTTTGGGCATTTTCGCCCCTAAAAACCTAAAATGGGCAGCTAAGATTTATATATCCTTGATCAGCACATTTTTTCTAATTTTTTGAGATATGTCCCGTCAAAAAGTAGGAGCCCCCATAAAAGTACTTTCCTTGTGAAATAAATGTCTTTTGTACTCTCTGAATCCTTTCCCGCCCATTTTCTTTACACATACAACGACTTACAGCCTCATTTGTGAAAAAAACACTCCGCCGAATTCAAGGCGGATTACCGAAGTCTCCGTCGATAAAAGGAAAATTTTTTTTGATGCTAAAAATTCAAAGGTTTTTTCTATAAAACGCAAAAAAAAAATTTGGATTGGACCACCGAGCACAAAGTTGTTAATGGGTATAATAGTTTTTTTCCATCATTCTTGAAACACCCTGTATAGAAAAAATTGTGTTAATTTTTCTGATTTTTACTTTTTTGCTTACAGTGGCGGTCAAAAAAAAACGGCCACCCCAAGATGATGCGCTCTAACGCAGAAGAGAGTGGTCGTACGAAGATAAATATGGTATCATTGTAAAGCTTATGGAATACTAAGACGTGTGACTATACGCTTGTGGCACTGTAGTGCTGGCCTAGCACGTACTGGGGCAAGATGTTCTTTTGGCCTGGTCAAAAAAAATGGCCACCCATAATTATTGTGCTTTAAATGCGGTTTATGTTAGAAATTGCCGCCATATGCGACTGGACTAGGATAGCTATATCAATACACACCAATCCCAGTATTTCTTATTTTGTACATATGCCCTCAGGCATCAATCAAGGTTGATGACCTTGTTTATGGTTAAGGCCCGGCCAAAAATTTTTTTGGGTTTGTGCCGTTGTTTTGATAATCCGAAGCAATACTGTAGACGGTAATGATCGTATTCGTGTGTAAGACTGCCCACATTTGTTAAAATTGTGCCCCTTCTGATAAGAAAACTCAAAAAATGGAATTTTTTGACCTAATTTTCTCCAAAAATCCGTTTTGGAGGCCGCTAAACAATGAATGTAGAACCTTAAACAGGTTTTATTTGTACAAGAACATCATGGACATTTGTTTTAACACGGCACCGATTAAAGGAAACGACCGCCCGAAACGACAGATACCGTTTTGTTACAGTTTTCGACTTCATGAAGTAATCATGAATTTTGTCCTGTTCCGAAACCTCTTTGAATAGAAATTATAATATAGTATCGCATTTGTGGCGTATTGAGATACCACTTAATCATTTAAAGATAAATATGGGCCCCTAAAGTGAAAATTCGGGTTGCAGACCTTGAGAAAGTTTATGAATAATTTCTGAAGTCCAAAACTGTAACAAAACGGTATCTGTCGTTTCGGGCGGTCGTTTCCTTTAATCGGTGCCGTGTTAAAACAAATGTCCATGATGTTCTTGTACAAATAAAACCTGTTTAAGGTTCTACATTCATTGTTTAGCGGCCTCCAAAACGGATTTTTGGAGAAAATTAGGTCAAAAAATTCCATTTTTTGAGTTTTCTTATCAGAAGGGGCACAATTTTAACAAATGTGGGCAGTCTTACACACGAATACGATCATTACCGTCTACAGTATTGCTTCGGATTATCAAAACAACGGCACAAACCCAAAAAAAAATTTGGCCGGGCCTTAACCATGAACAAGGTCATCAACCTTGATTGATGCCTGGGGGCATATGTACAAAATAAGAAATACTGGGATTGGTGTGTATTGATATAGCTATCCTAGTCCAGTCGCATATGGCGGCAATTTCTAACATAAACCGCATTTAAAGCACAATAATTATGGGTGGCCATTTTTTTTGACCAGGCCAAAAGAATATCTTGCCCCAGTACGTGCTAGGCCAGCACTACAGTGCCACAAGCGTATAGTCACACGTCTTAGTATTCCATAAGCTTTACAATGATACCATATTTATCTTCGTACGACCACTCTCTTCTGCGTTAGAGCGCATCATCTTGGGGTGGCCGTTTTTTTTGACCGCCACTGTATGTAAAAAATAGGAGATTGACTTTTCGGTCATTGTGTTTTTCGGGTGGGGACTTTTCGGGTGATGAGTAAAAAATTGTAAAATCAGATACTACTGATGACTCAACATAGTAAATAATTTAAAAAAACTTTTACATCCGTTTTTGGGGGTTTTGACAATGGAGAATTAACACTAATGACAAAGAATTTTCAAAAATTTTTTCACTAAAAAAGTTGAAGATTCCACCAAGCCGTTTCCTTGGTGGAATCGTTCAGAACATTCGCTAGTAATCTTATCGGTTGCTGCTATTTTTTGGGGTTTCTTTTGTAATTCGCTGTTCAATAATTATTAATAATTAATTTTTCAAATACTAACATTGGCTATACATATTGGGCCAATACCCGATCTGCCCCGAATTATGGGTAGTTAATAAGTGATGCGTCTGCTCACCTTGAATCTGACGTCTTGAATTCGCTTTGCGTTTGAAGCTTCTGTAGACTCCTTAAAGCAACATTTGACTTACGATTGAAGAATATTCTACCTTTTTTCTGGGAATATTGCTGAATGCTTTTACTTCCAAGGAGTCCATCATATTCTCGATCTTAATATTTATTAGATGATTCAGAGTAAAAACAGAAAGGTGAATAGTTACCCTTTGGATCTTGAAGTCTTCCTGATTGAGTTTTTCCTCGATATCAAGTCGGAGAATCATCTGTCTTCTGTTGCCAGTGCCCAAATGCAGAGTTTTTATCAAGAGTTCAATTATCTGACGACACTTCTCGAGATCTGCATCTTCCACTGGCTCTCCAGTCGCGCACCGAATCGAATCCATTGTCCTCAATTAACAGATTAACAGACCGAAAAATCTGTCGAGATAAAAATGAAGTTTTATTTTTTTTGTACTTCACATAATTATACAATATGCAAATTTTTTAATTTGATGAATAGAAAAAATTAAACAAGCCTTTAAAGAAATAATAATTTGTATCTATAAAAAATTATGCGAAGGGGGATCAAAGCCAGGTCGTTGTAATGGGGTCAACATTGTCCGGGGAAGAAGTAGGGATTTGTATACGGAGACATATTCTGAGAGTTCTGCATCACCGAGTAGGTCTGCCCTTCTTCAAGGACAGTGCTGGATGCTGGAGTCACCAATGGGTATCCGGAATATCCAAGAGAAGCATCGAATCCAACATTACCATAATAACCCATTCCTTGATAAGAAAGATACGGATTTAGAGAGTTTTGGGAGTAGATAGGGGTGGTCGATCCAAGCCCAAAAGAGGCAGCCAAAGAGGTATTATCAGCACCCCAAGCCATGTCAGTTAGTTCGGTTGGACGGGAAGCTTGTCCCAGCAAAACACTGGCATCAGGCAGGGATTTGTTGTAGTCCATCAAGGAGACGCCCAGACTGGCTGAACCCATTCCAGCACCCACCAATGCACTTGTCGAATCTGTCTTCAAAAGATTCAGCTGATTTAAATCTGCTTGACTAATTTGAGGGATGTCAACTGTTGATTCAATTGGAGTCAATGTATTCTTTGCTTCGGGCAAAAAAAGTTGGGAATCAGACCGGGAAAGATTCGGGGCTGAATGATCTTGGTCGACAGAAGTTTGCCCTGCTTCTGCAGACATATTAGGGCTTGTTAGGGCTCTGGAAGAAGGGGTTATAACAATTACAGATTTTTCTATAAGCCGTCATAAACACTCACTCAAAACTTGATTTGTTGTGCTGAGTATCCATCTCATGGCCATTCTTAGCTTCGAATGAAGACGATTGTCCCACAGAATCCGAAGCTCCTTGGAGTGGGGATGACGTCTCGCTTGAATGATTGGAGTCTTTATTTATGTCGAAACTGTTGTTGTTGCTTCCATTAGCAGCAGCTGCTGCCGCAGCGGCGGCTGCTGCTCGTTTAGCAGCTTCTTGTTTCATGGAAGCCACTGTCGGGGGCTTCGGCTTCTGCTTATCTTGCTGTCGTTGTTTGGCTCGGCGATTCTTGAACCAGACCTGCAAAGATGTGAACCTCAATTACTGTAACCTGCTTGAATTCGGGATTCTTGAAGATGGATTTGCTCGGCGATCTTTTCCCTGGTGAAGACATCGGGATAAGGGGTTGAGTTAAACAGATTCTCCAGAACTTCCAGTTGATGTCTGTTGAAGGTCGTCCTTTCCCTTCTGTTTTTACGTGGTGGTAATCCTAACATATTTATAGGTTACAGATCTGTAATAATAAATTAGCTTACCGTTATGTCCACCGATGTTAGAAAACATTGCCACGGGCATCAAGGGATTAGACAACGGCTGATATTGCCCGAAGGGAGTACCACTTGGAGTACCAGGTGTTGAATTGGAGCTGGTGGACGCCGCTGGAAGATGGTATGAAGCAGCAGCGAAATTACTGTAGACCATACTGTATTGTAGATGGTTCCAGAGATTGTTTGGCCTAGAAATGATAAGCGGATAAGCCTGACAAAGCTGATTAACGGGGTTTAAGGAGAACAAAAGCTGATTAGAACGTGTTAGGGAAATGGGACTAATCGCTTGACAACGCCAGCATAAAAGTTCTGACTGAATCCAGTCTCTTCACAGTCACTACCAGAGGCGATCGATGGCCGATTCATCGAGGATTTGCATAATCAGCCCGGGGTTTTCGCAATAGAGACTCTCGAATGCTCTCAAGTCTCTTCGGGATGAAGTTATCAGTCCCCTTTCCTCTCCTCTATTTGCCCCTTTCCTAAATTCGTTGTTTAAATTGGTTACTGTATATAGAGAGACAAGTAAACTGATATTGGCTGACGCTTTCTCTCGTCATCCAAGGTCACTATTGTGCCTAATTAAGGCGCTTCTGACCCGATCATCCTTCATAATCTTCTTAAGCGATACTGTCTATCCTTGTAACCCCTTCCCTTAAAGTTTCAGCGCTTAAAAACAGTCAAAAGGAGAATCCGATTAAGGTATTTTAGTATAAAGATTATACGGAATAAGGTGGCTTTAATGCGGATAATGAAAAGCCAATAAAGCCCTGGGGACTTTGCGTGTGAGAGCCCTGATCGCGTGGATTAGAGACCGAACTAATTCCTTCATGGAATGCTAGGCCAGATTAGCGACCAATTACCTGATAAGGCCAGGTAAGAGGGCCAAGTGGCTCGAAGCCGCGGGCTCTTGTTTTGGGCTTCGCGGTCCTCCGGAAAGGGATTTAGGATCGGGGCGTGCTGTAAAAGTGATGGGTACGGTGCTTGTTTCAATAGTCTGGCTTGTTGCCTGGACAACTCGCCCCACTCCGGAAACGATGGCTTCTTCGGCCGGGCCCTGAGGCGATATCGCCCGTCTTGGCTCTTAATCCGACGCCCATTCGCTTCCCCCATTTTGAGACCAATTCCCATTTATTAATTTACCGTAGAGAGGAAAACAATTAATTTTTGACTAGGGTCTTATCAATTCCCTCTTTTTCCCAACTTACCCAATTAATTGCATCGCGGGTTACGGTAGGATTCTGAGTCTGATGACAACTGGTCTCGATCAAATTGTTCGATTGTTCTGCCGCGCAAATCCGGTTCCTTCTGTTCGAGTACTGTGGCACAAGGCCCGCCTCGAACGTCCTTTTTACTCAGGGTACCCACACTTTGCCTAAGATAAGATTGGAAGGGGCTCATCCAGGCCATGATTGTGTCATCGTTTGACCGGGGGTTGTTTGGTTTTCGGGGGCTATGAACAAAACAAGAAATCATGTAAATTGATGGACATGCATGAAATTACGCAATCAGGAAATAAAAAAACATTTTTCTAGGTAGATTTACTAAAAAAAAATATAATCATCAGTAATATTTGCAACGGAGAGGAAATTAATTCAATACCACTGCTCCGTTCGACTTCGGTTAAAGACGATTGTAGGTTGAGGGTGAAGAAGACGCCATTATCACCTAGAATGTAAATGTAAACAGAGACCAAGAACAAGGGAAATCCTTTGAACAAATAACCTACGATCATGATAAGTGTTATCGCCGAGTGCTGATTGACTTCTTTTCATGAAAATTCCAACCATCTGAGGCCCGAACGAGTGATCTAGACCCTGCTCGAGACCTGTCAAGGGTTGCGTAATCTAGGGTAAGATCTCCTGAAACATGATAGGCCTACTTTTGATCGGTTTCCGGAACATAATCACCATCCGACCGGCCACTTTCCAACCGAAAGCCGCCGAAAAGGAGCTATTACCGCCAACCTGAGTATCCCACAGAGGAGTGTGATTACTGTAGACAAACCCATCTCGTACATTTATGTGCCCGTCAAAGGTTATTGAAGCCGTTAGGATATCCAGGCAAGAAGCAATGTCGAGAAGATAATTCCGCCCAATCTCAGCTAGGTTTGAAGGTGCATTAAACAAACGTTTTCTTACTGTAATTTATAATATCGGCGCCTAGAAATTCTTCAGGCCAATCCCTGCATTCAATTCCGAAGAAGCTTGGCCTCAATCCAAGAGTAATTTCTCCGCAAATTTCTGTGTCTATAATAAATTCAATTTGACCAGAAATAACTCGTGAATATAAAAAATCATTCGAAGAGAGTATAGTCTGAGTATAACATCCATCGTTGAAGATCCCATAACTGATGTAATTCCAAGAGTTCGTTGAGTTGGGCCCATCCTTATTGAAGCAGGCATCGTATTTATTCATTATTGAGACTGTAAGGAATCATAGAGTTATTTATGGATCATACCCATCTCACAATTATCTCCAAACATTCCATTTTGGCAAACACAAATCTTGGAGATTGCTTCCTTCTCCTGGATAATACATTTCCCTCCATTTAGACAATCACGGTCATCATGACAATCAACGAAAATAAGATGACATTATTAAATGTTTTATTGATAACAAATGCAAAATTATAAGATTGTATGCCCATTCCCAACACCCGTTTACCTTTCAATTGGCAATAATCTCCCTCAAATTGCGTTTCCTTGCACAATTCACCGGTAACATTGCTTGCGGTAACTTCCTTATCACGAATATCAATATCCGCGCAACTAAAGTAAGTGGGGCCACTGGTCGTGGACTCCTCAATTTGCATAAAACAATCATCGCATGGGTGTTTAAAAGAGATTGTGACAGAGTTGATGTTACTGTTAAAGGATTGTTCTTGTGATTTGGAAGACGGATGGATTTGGATAGAGTGGTTTGAAGAATCGTAAAGATTTATTCTGTAACCTTTCTAAAAACCCAGTTTAGCAGTCATGTATTTAATACCTCACATTATGATTTCCTGTCGTTTTCCATCGCAAAACATAAGGCCGATGTAGAACAAAGGTGTATTTGTGACCTGAAAGAAGCTCCTTTGACTCCGCTCTTTGCCTACTCTTATTGTTTTTGTTTATTCCACAGGGATAATGATAATCCCTCGAGTTAATTCCATCCAAAGACGGCCATCTTGGGAAAGGAAAAATCCAGGAGATATTGGAATTAAGGGAAGGGAAGAACAGAAACAGACAGAGGAGCCATATCATCGCGCTTCATGTGATCATCATGGCATCAGAAGCGGGGAAAACAAACTAAAAGCAAGTAAAACACATGGATGGGTGGTTCGGAAAGCGGGAGTCTGACTCGAATCGACCTCATTTTGGAGGATTAAACAGGAGCGACCACACTTTGCAACACTCCGATATTAAAATTTAGTTCACACACCTCGAGTCACTTTATTGTTTCGAACATAACAAGTTTATGAATAATAAAGGGATTACTTATTCTTTTTCGATCTGACTTCTTTATCCCAGCTGATGAACGGTTCTGTAGTGAAGAAACCTTCAGTTGATTTGAAAAAGTCATCCAACGAGATATTGTACTTTTGCTCGTAACTCAGGGCTTGTGCTACCATATCGAATTTGTCCAATTGTTTAACCGCAATGGCTTCCTTTGTACTCGCATTCTCATATTCCATCCAAAGTTGATACCATTCGTCTTTTGCCATTGGAACATATGAAGAAATTGTATTCACTGCCTAGATTAATTAAGATGTTAGACATAAAACTAAAGATGCTTTACTTTCTCTTCCAACTTGAATTTCTCTGAGGCTGACACACCACATCTGGGGGTAATATCCCCGACAATTGATTCGCCAATATCATGCACCAACGCCATCTTAACGCACTTGTTTATATCCAATTCTTTGGGGTCTAAGGTCATGGCCAAGACCGCCATTCGATACATATGGCTAGCCACAGTCTCCGGTTCGGGAACTTTGTGGTGGACCCACCCGGTTCTTTTCAAATGCTTCAAGTTGTCCAGACATTCCAACAACGGGAATATTTCGATTGAGGACATCTATACGTAAGCGTATGGAAGGTTTTTGTCCCCACAACGGTTTTGTCCCAGGACGTTTTTTCCCCAATGTTTTGGGCCTTTTAGTCCCCAGACTGGGTTTGCCCCCAAGCCTGGGCGCGTTGTCTTCACATCAGAGTTGGTTATTGTACAAACTACAAAGTAATTGAGGTACTAATAGCACGTGATACTATATAGTACGAGGCATAAATTAGGTCAAAAGGTGTTAGTGTTGTTGGTTTGATAACCGGTACTGCGCGAAAACATGTTTTAGGACTTTGTACTATCTAGTACGAATTTATTTTTGACAGAAACTTTTTGAACAGCTCCGGGTATCAAAACAACAGCATTAATAAATTATGGCCTAATTTATATATCGTGCTAAATAGTACCACCAAGGACCAAACACAAAAAATTCTAAAACATATTTTTGCGTAGTACTGGTTATCAAACCAACAGCACTAACACCTTTTGACCTAATTTTTGGGGTCGAGAAATTCGGGTGGCGCATATGCGGGTGCTGGATTTTTGGGGTGGGTGAATTGTCGGATGATGAAGAAAATATTGTATTGATGGTTAATAAATATACTGTAACATTATTTAAATTTTTTTCTAATTTTATTCTTTAATGGGGGTTTCGACCATCTGGTCTGCGGGTAAAAAAATGGGGACGAAAATGTCTTGGGGACAAAACCGTCCTGGGAGCAAAACCGGGGTGGGGAATAAAACGGGCCCAATCCTGTACAAGATTGGTTACGTTAAACGCGAAGATTCTTTCAAAATTTCCCAAGGCCCCAAAAGCCCGGCCCTGGGGCACTAAAAGCCCCACTCGTTCCTGAATATTTTTTTATTTTGCGCGAAAATATTTTACTCATAAGTAAAACTGTATATGACAAACAATAGCTCAGAAATCTAAGTCAAGAAACGAACAGTTTATCAATAATAAATAGTAACATACATTATAAACTTGAACAGAAATTAGCCACCGAGTTCTGAAGCCGCATCTTGCAGTTTTCTCCTCAAATCAGCAGTTTTACAGTAATCCAAGGGCGTCTTTTCTTCTCTGTTTTGTCTGTTGATATCTGCTCCTTTCTTAGCTAACAAGATAGCCGTACTGTCGTTCTGATCTTCCACCGCCATTTGAAGAGCAGTGTTACCTTCTCTATCGGCCAGATCAACTCTTGCTCCCTTCTGGGACATCAATAACATAACCATATCCACATGGCCTTTGGCCGCAGCACGATGGATCGGAGCACTACCATAATTATCTTGAACGTTCACCTCTGCTCCATTTTCAAGCAACATTCTTGCAATGGATATCAGATTCTTTGAAGCCGCATAATGGAGAGATGACTGGCCGTTTGAATTTCTATTCAATAAATTTAAAAAGACTAAGATAACTAAATATAAACAATAAAAGGAACGCATACCTGTGGTTGACATCACAGTCGCAAGAACTCAGGAGATACTTGACTACATCGAAATGTCCAGCAGAAGAAGCAATCATCAACACACTCCATCCAGAATCGTCAGTAGCCAAAGCCATCTCAGGATTGTCCCGAAGGACCAGTTCTATAAAAGGTAAACATCCTCCAGAAGCTGCCCAATGAATGGCTATGCGACCACTGTCATCTTTAAAGTTTAATAAACTCTTATCCTCTTGCACAATCTTCTTCGCTCCTTCGGGCAAATTGGACCGCAAGAATTCGACAAGTTCACTGTACTTGTTACTCTTCTCGGTTGTTCCCTTCAACATTATAAGCCGTCAGAATGACAGGAACAACGACAAACTAACTGTACGAAATTTTGTCACTGTTTTTTAGTTAAGCGGAATGCCAACACTTTTCTATAAACAGCAAACACCCGGGAGATTTTAAGATTCTAAAAAAGATGTCATAGTTAGTCAATCAGGCTGTCAAAGCATGAAGAACAAGACCTTTATTTGTACGTATAATTATATCAGACATGTCAATAACATACTGCGTCAAGTTTAAGAAGTTAGTCTTATGTAGCTGCCGTCACGATGACTGGTTTTATGTTTATGGTCATCAAGAAAAATTCGAAAAAAGATTTGCCAAATTTCTTTGGGTGTATATTTTCCTCCCAGAATAAAAAAATATTTTTCCCACACAGGGAACTCAAAATCACTTATAAAAACCTCAAGTTTTTATAAGTAATTAAAAGTTATCATTTTCTTTTCTGTGGAAAATATTTTTTTATTCTGGGCGAAAATATTTTCCCCGATTTCTTTCGTAGGGTGAAATAAAAGTAAAGTGAACGTCTCCGGAATGAAGTAATGTCAAGGGTTGTGGATCCGAACAGCGCAGTTTTTTGTGCTATCAGAGATGGGTCCATCTTGAACAAGGCCAAGAACTTCAAGAAAGAAGAGTTGAAACCATTCCTTCCAGTTTTAATGTACAGAACCTTCTCGTCTTACGCTACAGCTACATGTTTCAGTCAAGAATCGGATCGTTTGGTAAGTATATTATCAAGTTTTTAATTTCGTTTTTAGGATTACTTGAGAGCTTGTTTGATCGAATGCCGTGAAGGGAACGACATCTTGTTGTTCTTGAGGAATAACTATGAAGTTTTGGAACAACGATTTTTGGAGACGAAGAAAGGGAAACAGCAGTCTAATCTCAACCCAGGAAACTACTCGATGCTCTCTCTAAATGATAAACTTTTTTTGATCGGGTCGCACATTTTGAATAAAAGTAAGGTACCAAAACATACCCATTACTTTTTTAGTGACTGTTGACGCTCCTACCATTGAATCATTTGAGCCGTTTGATGCAGAATCCTATCAAGAAGAGGTGATTTGGATCATCTCCTTCTTGTGTTTCTACATCCCCTCTTTTTTTAATGTTGCCGAGTTTGCTCCATTACTCCTAAGATATTCTTATGGAAAACAACTTATTATGGGAGTAAGCTAATCGTTGTTAAGCAATTGTGGTTGTTTTCTAAATTTATTCTACAGTAATGGTGATTTTTGAACATCATTTATATTTTAGGTAATAATGAACCATCCTCAGCGAATTGAGAAAACTCTGATCAAACTTTTGTTTGCAAAAAATACTGATGAGGGGATTTGTATGCGCAGAAAGAACGATACGATATTTGGATTACTAAGGATTGATCCGAATCAAGCTGAAGATTTTCTTGGGAAAGTTTTGGAAGCTGGTGGAAGGTACAGGCTGGCTGTCACCTTACTTTGCAGTCGGTTGATCCACGACAAGGTCTTTGTGAACACCTTGATATACCACTTGTTACAAAAAAATAACCAGTTTTCGGCATTCCTGATCAAACATGCCAATAAAGAAACGGCCGAGAAGATTCGAAAAAGATTTAATGAGATTCTTCAGTTGTATGTTTTTTTGTTTTATGAATTTTGGTTTAGAAGAAAACATCCGGAATCAAAAGAGCGAAGCATTATTTTACTCTGTGTTCTTTCTACGTATAATATAATCAGAGTCAATTCGAATGAGCCGAATCACATTTGGATCAAAGTTTTGACAGATACGAGTGTTACCAACGTACGATTACTCAAGATTATGTTGGCCACAATCCTTGCGTGCCCTAATCTCCTCTCACAGAATCTCTACTCTGATTCTTCCGATTTCCATGAGATCTCCGAATTCTTTGCATATCTGAGAGAATTGACCAGAGAAGGAAATGCTTCTACCTTTGCTCCTTTGAATCAATTTATGCTATTAATAGCGATCCATTTGAAGGCCGATAATCAAGCCGAATTATCGAAACTCCTCTCATCAGAATTATCTCTTTCGGTAAGTCTATCTTTTCTTTGTAATTGTGTTTCAGATTGGCGATGTTTTGAGGAGGCAAGTTCAACTGAAGACATTATTCCTTCAAAAAGCAATGCTGGAAGAAGATCTTGCTCAGAAAGCGGCCAATCTAGGGGTCACCAAAGGGCTGGATAACAACATGAGTGGATATCTTCCTGTGCATTGTATAAATCAGCTATTGGTCTCTCGAATATTCTCAAAGAATCAGATCAATATTCAAGACTGGATAAAGAAACAACTCTTGGAGAGTCAACTACCAGTCCATCATGTCATGGTACAAATGTTGGAGAGCTTTGCGGCTTCCTGTTTTCCATCAGGCGATGACTACAATTATAATACCAAGATAGATGAACTCTTCTTCTGGGTAAGTGGCTGGAGTTTGGTTTCGTGAAGGGTTTCTTCAGGATGTATTCAAAACTGAACTGTTTTCCAATGATAACGTTCTGGCTACCCGCATATTATCTTTGTTCTACCTGTTGGCTTATACACGCAGAGTGGACACTACAGTAATTCAGTCGAATAAAGGTCGTCTGGTTCCCACTGGATACTCGGACGATCTCTGGGCCGAAATTCCTATCAGATACATCCTCTCCGTGATGGATGCTCGACACAAAGACTTTGAATTGATCCGCCCTTCCCTTCTTCATTATGTTGGGTCCAGTATCCCACATATGCTACCCACTTTGGACGCCAGTTTGGACAAGACCGAAGATGAACTTGCTCAGAAAAGTCGTCCTTTCCAACGATCAGTCGACCCAAAGAAGTTTGCTGAAGCTGTTGATAACATTAAGAACGATATAGTCACATTCACAAGACTTCTCAGAGTTATCGAATCAGCCCCAATTCATGAACAATATAATCATTACGATAGTATTATCAAGGCCGTTGCTGTGACGTTAGATGGAGAATTGTGTCCATTGGTGTTGGCCAGAAAATTGGCCAAGATTTGGAAAAGATTGGAGAATTTAATACCCAGGAAATTATACGAGAAGACGTTGGACTTGTGGCTAAACAGCTCTAGATCGGCTGGAAAAGGGCCAATTCAAGTGACAAACAGTCTTCTTCTCAAGGAGACTCCTCTCATCATGTTCAGGGTCGACGATCGCATCTTCAGAAGCCCCCCGCACTTTGAACTTCTCCTCAGAATGCTATCATTTTACCTGGATTCCGTGAAAAATACGAATTTGGTAAGGTTAACTAAGGCTGTCACAATGTCCGAAACCAGAGCGTAAGTTGGAAAGACGCAAATGATAAAGTTTTAGGGAAATTGATGAGAGACACCAACTCTTCAAGGGATTCACGGGAACCCAACATCTGGCTGTAGTCCAAGTTCTTCTAGAAATCTGCGATGGGGACGATAAAGAAGAGCCTACTCTAAACGAGATAAGAGACCTTGCCTGTGCCCAAATCCATCAGATGTTCGTCGCAGATCCAGCTCTTCCTAAATTGGTACACTTCAATGTAAGTAACAGATATAAGAGTTAGAGCTCCCTAGATGTATCCAGTCCGATTGATCCCCATGGTTGTTGATAAAGTGCCGTCCGCCCACGTTTTATTGGCTGAATTGCATGAATTAGTGCATCAATCACATATTCAGAGAAGAATATTTGCTGTTAATCTTATCGCAGAACTGGCGAGGAAGGTAAAGTTTATAAAAGGATAAAATTAATGGTTACAGTATACTATCCCAATGTCTCTGGCCGGCCTAGAGTTTATGGAGGACGTCCTGACAACTCTGATTAATTCGAAGATAGACGAATCGGTGATAATCCTGTTCTCCAACATCGTCCCCGCTCTCAAAACCTTCATTAATCTCTCACCGATGCATTCAGAATCCGTTAAAAGTATGCTAAGCAGAATCCGAACTGTAGCCAAATCACGATTTTCTTTGTACAGAACCAATTATACATCGGATAAGTGTCCGGAACGAGTTTTGATCAAAAATATCGATGCGGTTATTAGTTCCTAACCCTTTATTTAATTGCGATGAAAGGTACGATATGGACCAGGTGATTTTATTAATAAATCTGGATTTTAAGTGAATAAGTTTATGTACAAAAAGTGATTATTCTTTTATGGCGATCAAGTGTTTTTCTCATCCTTATGGCCTCATTTTTTCGTATCGATACTTTTTTTCGTGTTTGTTCTCAATTTCTCTGTCAAACGTGGCGTCAAACTCGCTGACAGCAAACTCGTAGAATTCCTTTTCCATAATAAACACAGAGTTCTTGGAGATCTTCTCCAATGTTTCTCTTTTCGGTTCAATTTTTTTTGTCGTACTCCTCATATGTGATCGATTTCCTAGAGAGAAATTATTTCTTGAATGTAGTTACATTACCGTCAAGTTGATCAAAATGATTGAGCGCGCCGGAGAAGAACGTAGGAAGAACCTTCTCCAGCACCAAGATCATCTCCCGGATCTTATCCGTATATCCCACCAACAAATAATGATTTATGAGATTGCTTCTCGCTGTTTCAAAAGCCAGTCGGTTCCCTGGTTTTCTAAAAGAACATCATCGTTGAGTCATTAACATACTTGCAGAAGCTGTAGTGTCCACAAAAGTAAGGGATCTGAACCCATAACTTGTCAAGATCACAGTCCCGCCCTTTTCTCTGAATACATTCGTCAAACGTCTCATTATTCCCCGATCTACTTCTCTTAAGTCCCACCCGATAGTTATCTCCATATCTGAGGAAGTAATAGTACGAAACGAACCTTTCCAAAGGTTCTCTCAGAATATTAATGTAGATGGGGTTTCTTCGCCCAAAGCGATTAAAATTAAGAAAAGCCATGTGACCATGATATAGTGCAGGTTTCCTGGCATTCCAATCAGACACATTTCTCACAAAATCAGCTTGGTCTGCAGCGCTTAACGTGTTCATGTTCTTGGTAATATTGACATGGATAACATTAAAGCCATTCTTCTTGAACAAATCATAACCAATTGCATTTGTAAAGGTAGTTGAGCCAGTCTTTGGTATCTAAACACAACTGGAAAGATATTTAAGAGCTTACCCTGTTGTAAACAACAATATTTGCTTGCAATGAAGGAGGGGAAGAAATTGGCTGAGAAGTAGAAGAGATGTCAGGGGATTTGAAGCAATAAAATACAATAAACACAAGGTTCACAACAGTTAGTATATTAACGATCGTGGTTTTGTTCATTTTACGATCATGGCGTTAGGGTTCCAACGAACTCTATAAATTTATAAATATAACAATCAGGGGTGGCAAACGGGCCTCTTTTTTCGAATTCAAGCCGGGCCCGGAAATCAGGCCTCACAGGGTCGGCCCGCTGGCCACCCATGGTTATAATTGTATCATACAGGGTGGTCAGAGAAATTCCGCGGAAAGTTTTTGTCAATATTTCGTTCAGACAAGATATCCAAAAAATTCTTTTTGTAGTAGAAAGAAGATGGGCGGTTTTTTGCATAAAATTTTTTTTATCAACAACGCGGAAAGTAGTGTATTCGGCGGAGGCTCTTGTTCGCGTTTCTGGTCGTCACACACTTTTTTATGATGCTGAAACTACCGGAAAGACTTAAAATTTTTTGCATAATGAATCAGAAGGCCGGCGACAGCGCTATGCGATCGCATTTAGCGAATGCAGGGTGCATTTTAGCCGCTGCAACACCGACAAAGTCTGAGCGAACAGTGCGGAGGCTTGGGAAGCAGGGCAAAGAGACGCAGCATATTTTGTTTTTTTCTGGTCCATCAAGCCGGTCGCCGATAGCTAAACTTATGCCAAGGCTTGGCGACGAAATTTTGGAGGGCATATGGAATGATAGGAGCATAAGATTTTTGTCAGGCCATTTCTTATCCAAAGCCGAGTTATAGCCTTCGCCGATACGGCAGGCGTCCGCCATACCTTTGCCGAACGGTTGATAAACATAAAAATAAGCAAAAATCATAATCAAGCGTTTAAGATTGGTGTGTGATGACCAAAAAAGCACATTGGCGGAGAAAAAATGCTTAGGAATAAACGCCCATCTTCTGCTTTCTACTACAAAAACAATCTTTGAATATCTTGGCTGATTGCCAAGAGATCAACAAAAATTATCCGCTGAATTTCTCTAGCCACCCTCTATTTTGGCTAGACATAAAACAGGCTTTTATAGAAAAATATTTTACCCTTCCATAATTTTTCCCGACCACGAAAACATCGGTCTGGCATTTCGTATTTCTTGTGGTTTTCACGGTTTGCAGATTTTTGTTGTCGATCTCAAGGTGTTTAGTAATGTCACATGAATCAATTGTACAGTTTAAAGAGTTTACAGGTAATAAAATGTGTTATTATTAATATTGACTTTACATTAATTGTTTGATTTACGAGATTTTAGGTGTTACGGATGATACAATAGCGACGCAAATGCTAGAATGTTGCGAAGGAGACGTGAGTCGTGCCGTCGAGCTTTATTTTGCCCGACAAGCTGTGGTTGAAGATGGCCACGACGTTCAAGTTATGGATGATGTGCAGGTGATTAAACAAGACGACGACGATGTGATGATCGAAGAATCATCCAAGGTCCAAAATACTCCGATAGTCGATGAGGATGGAGTTAGAGCTCCAATGCAGAGAGTTCAAGGCCGGCTAGTTGAAGGATCGTTTAGGGACCAATATGGCACAAGGAGAAGAAGAGCGGCTCATCCAATCTTCGAGCAGAATCATGAAGAAGCGGGTATGTTTGTTCCACTCTTGAAACGTTATGATTTGTATAAAGGTTCTTCTGGTATGTACAGTTACAATGGGGAAGAAGACATTGCTGGGCCTGCAAATAAACGACAGAAGAGTCTCATGGAGATCTTTAGGCCACCTATAGACATTATCAGCCGACACAAATGGGACCCTCTTCTGATGCTTGCCCAGAAGAAGTCTATGTGGATTCTCGTGAATCTTCAAGATTCGACAGAATTTGCATCTCAGGTTTTAAACCGAGATGTTTGGTCGAATGTGACGCTGAAAGAACTGATCAAGGTCAATTTCCTGTTCTGGCAGATGTATCGTGATAGTGCTGAGGGTCACAGAATTGCAAGTTACTACTCGGTAACTGAGTTCCCAGCTGTTTTTATTGTTGATCCTCGGACTGGGGAAATGGTCCAATCAATTTCGTCTATCGATCCAGATGCCATGTTGCATGTGTGTAAGGCTTACAATACTCTTTCCTAAATTTTTTAGTGTCTGATTTTACCGAAAAGTACCCTACATTCCAAGCGCGTGATTCCTTCATTAAAGAAGAGCTGGTCCAGAATAAGATGAACTACGTAGATTCAAAGCTTAGGACTCCTGGTGTTCCCGGAAGCTCGAAAAGTCGTGCCGATGGGCCTGTAAGTGTCCTGTCCATAACTTTTAAAAAAATACTGGATGTTACGCTGGATAAATTTACATATTTAGACTCCGAAACTTTCTTCGATGTCTCAAGATATGGCCAGCATTCAGGCCAAAAGAATGAAAAGAATTGTCGTCATTGATAGCGATGGTAGGTTATAACAGGAATCGTCTAAACTTTGTTTAGATGATGAAGACTCGGAATCCCCTAAGCCTTTAACTCCGCCTTCGTCCAATTCCTCAAACTACGCGATATCATTTCAACCTTGGAGATCCTACGTCCCCTCAGATGTTGATCCGTCCAACAAGGTCTCAATTGTGTTGAGGATGCCCGATAACAGCCGAGAATCTTTGGATATTCCGCTTGAATCCCCCATCGAAACTTTGTTTGCTTTTATTTCGGAAAAGGACTTGGATGCCAGTCAATATAACTTCGTCCTGACTTTTCCACGAAGAGTTTTCAAAATCGAGAATGCCAAGGAGACACTCCAACAGTTGGGCTTCCACAAACAAGAACTAATCCATGTGGAACGTGTTTGATATCGGGTGATGCAATTTAAATCTCTTTAATTTATTGTATTAACTAACAACAATAAACTATATTTGAAGAATTTATGTTAGCCAGTTACGTTGTTTTCAAATTTCATTTACAGCACAATTTATTAAATAAAAAATACCCGTAACAAAATGCCCGTTTGCTTTGATTACACTGTTTCATCCCATTCCCCCTTGGCATGGGATGAAAATTTCTCTCTATTCCGTTGTCTCTTTGATCGATATTCTTTTTCGACACTGTAGAGCGTAGCCAAGCTGGGACTCCGATAGATAAGATCCGCCATTTCTCTAAATTGTTCATGGATGTGAGCAATATCCGTTTGATGCCTCAGATTCTTGGGTACCGTAATTTCATCGTAAGGTTCTTCGAGGAAGAAACTAGAAGTTGCACCCTTCGGATAAGCATCCCCATAAGCACTAAAAAAACGGTAAAGTCCTTTCATAAGCTTACTTCATGTCAACTGCTTCTCCTGTCTTCACTCGGATTCCCCAGCCTTTCATATCAAAGTGAGAATAATATCTAAGGAATCCGATTAACAGTTCCCCGACATTCATGTGATTCCGCTCTAACTTCAGATATTGCGGATCCAATCCTTCCAAAGAAGTTGACAAATCTCTTGGTTCGAGAGTGCCGTCGAATCTTGAGGGAAAAATTTTCATAAGATTGGGTAGAACGGGGGGATACACACCACATTGAAGGTAATGGACGATGAGCAGAACCAATGCGTAACTAAGAAAATAACATATAGTTAAGTGACTGTCTACCTGTTGAATCTCTTTTCATCCACAATCTTCACCTTCTTTCCCCATTCCTTAAGAACCACAGAAAGGATTGCCAGACGTCGATCAAAGCTTTAAATAAACGGTCGCGTGCCTTAATTAACTCACTTTACCAAGCCACCCAGAAGATATGAATTGTAAACACCGGCGACGCAATTACAATTAATGTCAACCTCCATCAACTTCTTTTGATCAGTGAGTCCAACTTCCTGTAAATTAATCACCATTTTCGCAATTGGGACAGTGGCAGCCACAAGTTTCAAGTGATAGATTCCCGGGATACCATTCAAGACTTCGGCGATTCTATTCAGCATGAAATGATTCACCTACGATAACGTGTTAGGTGTTACAGTATCCTAGGTACTCGACATACCCTTCTCTCCTTGTACCTCTCGATAGGAAGTTCGGACGGATCATATGACTCTTGGGTTTTGATGACATAACAAAGATCAATATCTGCGAGTACGGTGCCACAAGAACTGACAGTAGACCCTCCACAAGTCAGATATCCTCCGGGATAGACAGGTTTTAGTTGTTCATTCAGCCACTCAATTAGCTTCTCACGAGTTTTTCTTTCTTCTACCGTCTAAATAATACAACATCACTATTCATTCTTAAAAGACCATTTCTGAGTCAGTGAATCAGCCGAGGACATAGGAAAAAATCGAATTCGAGTTTTTTGCATTAAAATGACTGTTGGTAGGTGCTAAACAAAAGCAAATAATATGCTTCGAAGTAAGAAAGACTTGGTTGGTGTAGAAATATTTTTATATGCCCGTCGATTTGAAACACCTGAGTAATCGCACGCAGTTTCACCAATTCATATTAATAATAACACCAACTCACGTTGGAGGCAGGGGAAATTTTTTTTGTGCATCGAGAGTGAATTTTTCTTTGATCTTTAAAAGATCTAACCAAAAGCTCAAAATTTTGTGCAAGAATTCTGAAGAAAACTGTGTTTAGAAGAACAAGTTTAAAGCTAGCCCAGAGTATTCCCGGCTGTTTAATCAACGTTATTGAAGCCTCGGGTAACGTAGAAATTAGGCTAATAAACCGAGTTCGTAAGTGCGGTTAAGAAAACATACAAAATTTGGGTCTTTTCTACTTTTTTCCAAATTGTGGAAATTTTTGACTCAAGATTTGTATTACACCAATGCAATGTGACACATTTCTACTGACAACCAAAAAAGTAACAGCAATTTTTAAAGTGCGGTTATAATTTTGTCCAGCACAGTACACAATCGCTTTGAGCCGTTTCTAAAACTTATTTTTCGAGTGATATTTGATTACTGTAAAATCAATACTATTGTAAAAACGGAAAGCTAAGGGGAGAATAAGGCAAGAATGTTACAGTAAAACGCTAGTAAAACGCTTCCGGCCATATTAAAACAAAAATCTTAAAACCGATTTTTGAATGCCCACGCCCAACTGGCGGCCGATTCAGTGACCAGAAATTGTGTTTTAACTTGTAAGATTATCGCTTACAATACTGTTTTTGTTGAACATTTCTTCCATCTCTTCTGTTAATGTTTCAAAGTTACTAGAGTCAATTTTTTGATACTTGAAATGTACATTGTTGGTTTTGCTGACATGAGGAAGGTTGTGGGTGACTCCCCAGATCTCATATTCACCTTCCATCTGAAAGGAAAATAAGAGAATAATTTAATAAACAAAAGTATTTAGGAAAATCAATCCAGTTTGAATTCTCTCGGTAACGTAATAACTGATTTATTTCTGATCAAAATATTGAGGTCGAGATCATTAATGACGTTGTTAAATAAAAATCTTCAGATACCAAACATTGAACTAAAATCCTTGGCCATACGGGGTTCCAAGAGCCAATGGAACTTCTCCACTGCATTTACAACATCCTTCAATGAAATTTCTTTCTTCGTACTACAAATATAGAAGTTGATCACCTTTTCCCTTACCGTATCGGATCCAAATAAGAAAATCCAAAACTGTTTGTCTGTACATCTGAATCCACTAGCCTTGCATATTTGATTATCTCGGATACAGTACACCTGGCATCCTCCTTATTAAAAATTACTCCAGAAAGGCCTACAGAAATCAGATGATAATAAATTTGATCAAAAATCTCTTCGGCTAGACTTTTCTTCCGTTTTCTTGTTCGCTTGAAGCATTCGTCAAGTGACATCTAAACGTACAACTCATTTAAAAATGAACTTACATCCATGAAGTCAGCAATATTGAGAATAAATCTCGAGTGGAGATCGATTGGAATCAAGCCCTTGGCCTTCTTCTCAAATATGGCCAGACTTATCTTCTTAGTCGCGAACTTTCTCGCCAACTTCAAGTATTCTTCTGATACATAAGGCCCCGCCTTTTCATCTAATTCTTTCTGAAGTTGACGGATAACATCATTGCTGTTCTGAGCCATCCGAAAATTTGACTTGGTTCGAATGAACATTATCGCCGGATGCAAGTATTAATCCTGGAGAATACCAAAAGATCTACCATCTGACGTAAAATAGAGGTTTTATCAAACAAAAATTTATATACATGATTATGTTTTAGTAAGACAATATAAAAAAGAGCACCAGAAGAGAGCCGAAAGAAGAATTAAAGATAAAGAAATAAAATCCCAACAAAGTCCATCAGACTATCCACAAGACAGCACTATAAGTCAATGCTTATTACACAGTTGTTTCAAGAATTCCACAGCTGATACAAACTGAGTCCACCAATACGCTTCCTCGCCTTCAATCCGTGACCCATAGAAACTAGAAATGTATTGGATATTGGAAAGAAGAGCGGGTGGATTGGCCTGAAGGAGAACATAGACGAGGACGGGAGTGATATCATCCGCCGAGGCCACATTCCGTCCAGAAGCTAGACGGATCAGGCTTTCAATCGTTTGACAGCATCTCATCACACAAGCCAACTTGTCTCGAGGAGCTTTATAAGCATTTATTATGGCCACTTCGGCTTGGGCAGAGGGCCAAGGACATTCTCCATGATATTTTTTTGGGATTCCGAGTTCTGGATGATCTGGTGTAATGGAATGAGAGATCGTTTTGAGGGATTTGAAAAAGACACTGAATTACAATTACAATCCGAAAAGAATCCACTTACTCATCTCTGTAAATGTCCGCATCCGTATTTGGGTACAAGGCCGCTCCATATATCTGCCCCATCAGATTTCGATCCATATTCTTCTTGATGGCATTGATCATATCGGGGCTGAAATCTCTCCAGATTTGTTCTGAGCAAATCTGCTCGAACAGACTATCCAGTGTTCTCTCCACCGCGTACATTCTTTCGTCCTACAACAATTTTTAACGGATTAATTTTATACATACCTGAACCTTCAGCCTCCTAAAGTCAGTGATAAATTTTTTGATAAACTTTTCTTTTCGCTCCAGATAATATCGAACCAGAAGATCCACCAAGCAATCGCCCATCACCTTCTTCTCCTTCTCGATCCTCATCAAAAGTTTTTTCAAATAAGAATTGAGTTGAAGGAGAGAGAGCCGAGATTGTTGAAGGTACATTAGATAACTAGTTCGTCTTCGGTGTTCATCTCTCAAAGTTCTGAACAACTTTCTGATCCCCCGACTATCGAACACAGAGAGGCATCTTCGAACTTCTCGAATCTGGGCAGTGAGGGTTCTGTTTTGGTTGTTGATAGATTCAGCCAACAAAAAGCGGAGGAATTCGTCCAATCTGGTTACACTGCAAAAATAAAGCTTGTAACATCGGAATCACCTGGAGTCATTATCATTGTTAACGACATTTAAATTGGTGTTAATGGTGGAATACTTAGAAGTAACGTTGGTCGGAATGTTCTCAGCGGAACTGAGAACAAGGCGGATCTTCCTCTTGGCATCTGCAAACGCCTTGCACTTTGTGATATTGCTGGAATCAAAGTAAGGCATGGAAGGTTCATCGGCATCCTGAAATATTATCTTCAAAAGTCAAACTAAGAAGACAGGTTAAAAAAATTTTCAATGTGTACATGTCTGATCTCCGCTGGTCGAAAAAGAGGTCCTGAAGAAGAACTAGGAGTAACAGGAGATCGGTACTTGTTCAAGATGTCATCGGCAATCCTCTCACGATCACTTAAACTCAAGGAAACCGGAGCTGGCAACGGGGGCAATGGGGCAAACCCACTTGGACCAGGCTGATTTACATTGTTATCCCCAATGTCGATGATCTGTCCTGTTGATTGACTCTCGTGTAAACGAGGTGGAATAGGCGGAGGCAAAGGTCCCAGAGATTGTTCTTGCTTTTGATCGTTTAATCCTTCATTGTCCGAGGCCACAACATCCGTAGACCAGCTGTCACTGACCAGTGAATAGGTTTCATCTCCTGAACTCGAATATTCGAAGAAAGCTAACCACTTACGATTTCGACCCACATCGTGAGCGGGCAGTCCGAATTTTCCAAACTTTTCCTCAAGCCCTTCCGCATTTTGTTTTCTGACGGTTACCGGAAGCCTCGGTAGGCTTCTGCTGCTGTTCGCGTTGACATCATTGACTGTCATAGAGGTTACCGACTGATCTGGTGGAGGGGCACCGCCGCCCATTGAGAAAGGAGTCTCTCTTCCCCCACTCAGACTTGGAGAACCTCTTCCGGAGACATTGGCACTAATCGGGACCATGTCACTGAAGTTGTCGGGGAGGGTGCTGACTTCTTCCGGATCATCATCCTCATCATCTTCTTCATCAGCCATATTGTCGTTCATCGAAGAACACAACGATCCACCACCTTCGGCCTCGTCAATTTCCTCATCGTCACTCGGGGCATCCGTAGTCCCAGTATGATCAGACACGACACTTTCAGTTGTTTTGAACCTCGTTTTCTTCTCTATCAAGCTTTCCGAACTATTAAATTTTTTCTCGGCCTTTGTCTTTGCGTTGTTCATGATCTTTTCCTCAGGCTCCATCCCGATAGGAACAAATCCATTGCTAAATTCAAACACCAGAACCTCCAGGACTTCTTCTACAATATTTTCCATTTTCTCTTCATTTATTCCATTGCTTCCGGGGAGGTTAGTAAGTAACTTTTGATGCTGAGTCTTGGCCACAGTTTGGACTTTATCAGCAAAAATACGAAGCCGACCAGAGGAACTTCGAGGTAACGGAGCCTTGGGAGTTCCAAAATCTTCCCTGGATGCTTTACAAGAAGCGAGATCATCAGGTAATCTTTTCGCAAGTTGTTTTAATTTATTTCTGGTAGTTTCATCAGAAATTGCATCGACATTCCCTTTTAGACAATCGGCCTAAACAATGAAACATAAAATAAATTAATACTTACCATAAGCTGAATCTCCTCGATCGTTCCGAGGAAATTACGACGATTATATAATTCTTGTCCTTCATCATTCTTCACAACCACCGGAAACATAAGACCTAAGCTCATGACATCGTATTTTAAGATATTCTTGACGAACTCCGGCATTGGATTATCAGAAAACATCTGGAGAATTCCATTCATATAAGCAGGTTGTTCCTCATATGGGCACAAGGCCAAAGATTGGATGATCTGGCCAACTTGCATCAGATTGAAACGAGCGACATGACCAATGGGCGTATCAGATATGATGCCATGAGGTTCTGGGTTTATCATCGCCGGGCAAATAAAGTTGGTAAATATTAGATCCGTGCAGATTAACTCAGCCTAAGGAGATACGCAAAAATATATGTAAGGATGGTTACATACACATCAAATCGGGTGTCGTGGCCAGAAACCTTGCCTCAAATTGCGTAACATTGCGCAAATTTCTGCTCTCTCTCCGTGAAGATTTTTTTCTTTTTTCTCTGCTCACAGGGGAAGTACTCCAAATGCGACGCTCAGATTTTCTTTAAATTTTGCACACACGTCGGGTATGGACTAAATATCAATTCCTGAAAGTTTTAGCTCGCGCTTTGCGGGCGCCGCCGAGATATCGAACGATTTTTGCCGCCGAGAGAGCATGCTAAACGTGGAGAACGGTCAGAGAGAAAAGCGCTTTTTGGCCATAAATTTGGCAGTTTCGTGCGGAAAAATTTGATTTTTTGTAGAAACATTATCCTTTACGGTTGAAATAGGCATGAAACCTTTCGTGCCAAAATTCGGCAAAAAGTCCTAAATTTTCGCCGACTTTCGATCTAAAAGGTTGTTTCTGCAAAGCGCGAGCTAGGATTCTCGCATATATCTTAGAAAAAATTATTCTAAATTTGTGCCAAGTGTCATCAAAATCTGACCGTCGCACTTGGAGTACTTCCCCTGTCAGACAAGAATCGCGCATTTCTTGTCTAGAGGCCTAACAGACAAGAGATCGCAGTTTCTGGCCACGACACAAGATTTGATGTGTACGTCACCATCCTTATATAAAAGACTTACTTCTTCTTTATTCACTCGCTTTCGATCCAATAAACTAGCTTTTAGTTGACGAACCAACCATATTAGACTTGCAGGAAAGCAACAAACCGCTTGTTGTATACCTAAAAATCCGATTTCACATAGAATATTGACGTAACAAATCCTTGAAAAGCGGTAAAACATACTTTTCACAAACTGAAGACTTATTCTAAACAGTTTCTCGACAATTGATCGCCGATAAGAAGCTTGCTTTTCCTTATATTGTGCTGAATTTTCATCAAGTCCAAATCTCCTTTTTCTTTCCTCTGGAGTTAACCTGATCGGACTTTTCGAAGGATCTACATCAAGAAAAGTCTCATCTTGACTTAGTAATGTCATTATTGGCTCATGAAGTGCAGCTGTCAAGAATACCTAAAAAGATAAATAATATCCATTAGCACATACCTTAGCAGAGAAAAGTTGCTCCGAAAATAAACTGTACATTTTACAAAAGACACTGGCTCCTTTCCTAAGGTATCTTCTCGGATCCGATTTGGATGTCAATTGAAGTGAGATCAGGTTGGCAAGAACTTCCAACAGAGTCTTCTCATCCATTGGAAGTATCGACGCTCCAAAAATCACATTGAAGACACAACGACAAACATCATCTACGGATACCGCAACCATGTTTTTATTTACCGAAACTTCCACAGAATTTAGACATTCAGCGAGAGCTCTTGGATGTTGATAATAAGTTCTCAATATCTCTGTTATCAACGAGGCATTATGGTTGAGGACTCTATGGCCAAGAATAAATTTAGTGGCTTGTAGCGACTTTAAAAGGCGGCCGACATTCTCCGGATGCACGGAAGGGTCTGAATATTTGAACCGCTTCCAGATACCCTAGATTTAAATGCTTCAAACTGATTGTAGGTACCTTTTCTTGCTGCGTAATCCATATTTGCTCTTCTAGATGCGCCAGATTGTCTGCGAAAACTTTGTTCATGTCTCTGAGAATCTCTATTTCATTACTAACCATTAACTTTTCGGACCTCAGTCTTTCATATAGACTCAAGACCACATCGGGAGTCCCGGTATCCATCTGTAAAAGTGAAGCCAGCAAAGTTGGCCTCTGAAGATTGTAACATCGATAGTTTGTGATTAAAACACATAATTAACGTTTTTAATGAAACAGCAATAATAATGCATGTTTAATTGAGAGGTAAAGTAGTATAAAATAAGTTATGCACGACGTTTAGATGAATTCAAAAATGCCCAATCGGCGGTCAAAGTCTTCTCCACAAATTCAGATCCATCCAACCCTTCGATAGCTGCCTGGGCTTCTTCTTTGGTTTCGTATTGTGCAACACAATATCCTTTTAGGTATCCTGTACGCCGATCCAGATTCAAATGCATGTTGAGGACCTTGCCGTATTCCTGTAGTCTCTCCATCATGTCGTCTTCGATCACCTCTTCATTGATTCCGGTAATGAAGATAGTCCAGCCCTGAAAACAAAAGCATAAACTGAGAGATCAAAAATTAACAACAATAGTAAAGTGTTTAATCCTTACATCAATTGACCGCTGTGGACCGGCACCATCTCCCTTCAGAGTATCATAGGCGCCACCCGTTTCGGAACTCTGCTGTTTGTCGTTGAATCCCCGGCCACGTCTTCTGGTGGCCTGTTGTCTAAGTTCGTCGACTAAATTCATATAAGAAGGAAGGCATTTCACTTACGATCTTCGCCAGTTTCCATTGAGATCTCGTTATCTGACATTTTTACAAGGTTTCCGTACAACGCAGGGAAGCAAGAATAAATAAAAAATATTTTTTTGGGAAAAGCGGAACAGAAATATTGAACAGAATGCCATTATTTTAAATTGTCAATGCATCGTGGTGGGATTCACTTCTAATGTACCTGAATTGTTTCAGAGGGACGAGTCTTGACATCAATGTAAATAAATACAGATTCCCTGACATTTCGATGTTTGAATATTAATATTTTGCTCAAACATTTTATTGTTTTCGATCTCGATGTGGACTAAATTGTATTGTTTAACAGTGAAAACTGCTTTTAGAGTTTATGCGGTGTCTCTAATAATATCAAGGTCTTTCCGGACCTCTCAGAACTGGTCAAAATGGTGGAGACGGGTAGAAAATCTGATCTTCTGGAGTTATTTTCTTCGCTCAGTTTCCAAGATTCCAGTCCAAAAAAATCTCAGCAGAACTACCACCCTCAGCCATGGTGCGGCAAACATGTTAATGAGGAAGTTTCGAGTCCTAAAAATGTTTATAATTATGCCGCAAACGTTGTCAGTGAAAAAACACCAATGTGTCAAATTGCAGAACTTGCAAGACATCACAAGGTAAGCATAACGATTTTAACTCCAATTTCACCAGTTAAAACACGAGTATGTATTACTGGATGAGAGTGGGCCCGCACACAAAAAGAAGTTTTCCGTGAAGTTGGTCCTAAAAGTTGGCGAAGAATATGAAGGAAGTGGTCCCTCAATTAAGAAAGCCCAACAATCGGCCGCTGAAAATGCTCTAGAGAACTCGAAACTGGAAAAGCCTCCAAAAAGAAATCACAAAAACAAGAATGGTAGGAACGTTATGTTAAACAAGGTTATTATTAAGATAACAACCCTGTATGGCTTTTATTTAATGTGGCCAATCAATTGGGCATTGATGTTAAATTCGATCACACCCAGGTATATCCGAAGAACACAGGTGGTGTGACTAACTATGCTCCAAATACGTTCAACAAACAACTGCCTTACTTCAATGGCCCTCCAGGCATGAACGGCTGGAATTCGATGATGAATCCACCTCCTAGCAACGTCGCTTATCCTCCTGTTGGTGTCTATCCTCGGATGTTTTGGCGGTCACCAATGTTCATGCCTCCGTCTCAACCAATGGTCAACAATACAGTGAGGAATTATTTAAATTATTATTTTTGTTTTAGGCCCCGCAGCGGAATGGGAAAGCAAAGAACGAGGTCTACCATAGATGCAGTTTTATTTTATCTGATGGAACATTTCACAAGGGAGCCGGGAAAACTCTAGGATTTGCAAAGACGGAAGCTGCAACTAAGGTAGAGATTTTAATGAAGCGATTGTAAATCATTTTTAGGCATTGTTCCACTTGAGACCTCTTTTAGCTGAGCAAGAGGCTAAACTGCGTAAAGAAGATGGTGATGGAATTGACGAAGAACGACGTAAAACTGATTCCTCAAGTGGTGAAAGCGACAATGAACTTAACAACAACAACGATAACAAGGAGAATAACTTGGTCTTACGGAAGAAGAAAAAGAAGAAATCTGTGGTTTCTGAAATCCATGAAGCTGCGTTTCGACTGAAAATGAATGTGGAACTGGAGTTGTTGACACAAGCTGGTGAACCGCACAGTAGAACCTATACCATGCGATGTAGATTGACATCTCCAAAGAACAGCCAAGTGCTTGAAGCGGAAGGCATTGGTACTAGTAAGAAGAGCGCTAAGCAAAACGCCTGCAAGAATTTGTTGGAGAAGATTGCTACATTGGAGAACGATCCGGTTTATCTAGCTTCTTTAATTGTGAAATCAGCAGTTAACAAAAAAGGAGTGAACAAAGAGTCAAAGAGAAAAACAATCGTCAAAGATATGAAGATGGATCCCCAATACGGTCATCACATTAATCCCATCAGTCGTCTAATCCAAGTGACTCAAGCCAGGAAAGAACAGGATCCCGTCTTCAAATTGATAGGTGAACATGGCCAAAATAGGTACCGCGAGTTTGTTGTGGAAGTCAAGTGCATGGATCAAGTCCAAACCGGGATGGGGCAGAATAAAAAGCTGGCAAAGAGAGCAGCCGCTGAAGCCATGCTTTCAGCCATTGGCTACGTTAAGCCGATGCCTCAACCAGGGAAGAGTTTGTTGAAGAAAAAGAGTTGTGGTAAGTTGGCAAACCATGATAACCTTTGTCTTTCAGATGATATAAAACCAGTTATGAACGAAATTGGTGTCTTCGATGCCTCCGAATTGGGAAACCAATCACCGGTTGATATTGCGGGAAAGGAAAAGCTCGCTTCTCCTGTCATGGAAACATTTGAAGATGTCGAGACATCTCTTACCAAGGGACCTCCGACAGATGTTGGAGATGATTTCCCTGTCATCCACCGGGTCCGAGCGGATAGTGAGAAATTGTAAGTTCGTCTACTGTCTACAAATATTTTTTTTTAAAATTCAGGCCATCTGAGATGGCTCCGATTCCATCCGAGAGACGCCGAGTTACGTTCAGCACCAAGGTGGCGGAATGCCCGCCTCCAGAAGACAGTAATTATCCAGCGTCGAGTGTCACATTACTCAAGTCTGAGGTCGTTGTGGCTCCGAAATTGAAGAAAAGGGGCCGTGATTCGAAGAAAGCCTTAAGCAGCGCAGAGAAGGCCTCCGTGGCTGCCATCTGCCGGCTATTTCTCAGCTACCCTCAGGCTGAAAATACTCGTTCTGGGTTTGTCCAAGCAGATAATCCCATCTTTAATATCAGTGTTCCTGTGAATAAGGACAAATCTCATCTTTTGGTTAAGTCCAGCTTTATTGACATCAATTTGTTTGCGACTCCGTTGAGTCCTCTTCCCATTGTCTCATCTGATACCATCACTTTTCCGTCTCAACCTCCCGTCATTCCCATCTGCGATAATTATGAAACGAATGGTTTTGTGGTTAAGGATGCCAAGTGGCTACTTGAAGTGTTGGCCAAGATTTTCAAATTTACTGTCTCGTATTCTGATTTCCCAAAGGCTACAGACTCGGAGAATTTCTTTTCTATTGTCACTGTAGGCTTGGATAAACCGATCCTTCTTCCTGGTACCGGACCCGACGAAGACGGCGCTCATTTGGATGCCGCTTATCACGGCATTGAGGCATTAGGCCAACTTGATAAGGGTAATTGATATAAATCGTGACCGGTATGTCACAGTGTCTTACCAGCAAGTCTTTTACTGACCTCAAATAGCGATCCCGATCGAAATTGCTACATCTAGTCAGCGCATTACGGTGTCTATGTTAATTTAAGCTATTCTTCCAGTCAACCGCTCACATAAGTTTTATCACAATTACATATTCTCGCATAATTCCAGCGCCAGAGTTTGCTTAAGTGACCCCTCAAATGCTCAGTGGCATTCATCCTCTTTGCATTTTGCCTTTACAAAATGTGGTAGTTTGCCTATTCTTCGTGTCGTTATATTTCCAGCATTTGTCCTGGGCTTTAACTTTTATTCTCACTTTAATATCTCGCGTGCTCGTTTGGTCCTCTTGCATGGCCATCTCTGCATGGTATTAAACTCCTCTTAAGGTCATATCTCCAAAATTATGTCACTCTTGCGATCTAGCCGCGAGTCCTTGCCTTAGGCTTTTAGCTAATCCTAGATTCAATAAAATAAAGATTAAAAAAATATGTTGTTTATTTCGGAAAGAGCTTGTGATTGTTTATGATGCCACTGATCCAGCTGTACGCAAGTCACGGCTCTCGACTTCCGGGACATTTGTTTTGCCATCTAGAGGTATCGTTACTACTTTCGAGGGATACTTACCATTGGCAAACACAGTAGAGTCCATAAGTTCGGTGACTGTACTAAACAAACGATCCACTGGGCCATCGCCTTCAACCTAAAGTAATTTTTATCATCTTTTCTTAATGCAGAGGGAGTTTCAAGAAAAAGAAAAATTGTTCCCTTTGCAGCTATCCAAGAAGTTTAAGCTGTATTTAAAATTCGAAGTCGTGCGTTTTTAGAATGTGTAAAAGATTTTTTCTCGCCTCGGAGGAGAAATCACATTTTGGCCGAAACATCTGATGCCTTTTTTGAATATGACGTCTCGTTACAAAGCCCAGACTTCTGTAATACGGATGAAATTAAGTTTGTCACATCTGGTAGGATATACTATGTCAGTCACAGTTTTTAGGTCCGATTGACGTCACTTGCTCTGACTAGAGCAAACAGTGCAGGATACTAGTCGCCGCAAAAAGTCTTTGGAATTTAGTATACCAAAGACGTTTATCTAGAAAATTTTGCAAAAACCAAGCCCCCAAAACGGCCTCCGCCGATAAAGAAGTCCCCGCCGAGTCTTCGCCAATGTGTGAAACATCCGCCAAGCTCCCGAGAATACCAGGTTACATCCTACCAGATGTGGCAAACCTAATTTCATTCGCCGTACAGAGGCCTGGACTTTGTAATAAGGGGGATTTAAAAACAATTTAAACTTCTTGCAAAGCGGAAATGGGTACAAAGATATTCGAAAAACGTTTTTCCGATATTTCTTGAAACACCCTATAGCATTTATCTCTCGGGTCTTGATTTTACTTACCACTCTCAACTTCTTCTTTTCGTCCAGATGTTTGAGCATTGGCAATGTGTTTTGCTTGAACAACGCGAGTTTCTGTTTGAGTGATTGTTCGTCATCATCTAAAATGGGTAGAATGAAAGTATAAAAAGCATGGCAAAATTTCTTACCAAGTCGAGCGTTTCCGGTTTCTTTGGCCTCCTCGAATCGCTTGTTGATATTATCTTTGCAGAATTGCTCTGTGCAATCCAACAATATAGCGACATCTAATCGGCCCAGTTGGCTCTCGATATCCTCAGCTTGTGCCAGTGTTCGTGGATAGCCTTCGATTACATATCCCCAGGATCGGTTTCCCATTTCGTGAACCGTCGAATATAAAATTTCTCGACATATTTTCTGCAAAGACGCATTCAGTATGGTACTTAAATATTACCATAGGGATCTGTTCTCCGGCTTCCATCTTCTTTCCCACCCTGATCCAGAGTTCGTCTTCGGGATTATCGTTAACTTTTTTCCTGAGCAAATCCCCCATGCTAATATGAACAAATCCTTCATATTTCTTGGCGACTTTTTCTGCCATTTCTTTTTTATTCGACCCTGGGGCACCTAAGTTTGATTTAATTTCTTTTAGTATAAGCATACCCAATATTAAAATCACGGGTGCATTGTTTGGCAGGCCTTTCGGGAATCGATCAGCTGCACTGGGAAGGCGGCTTACTGTGCTCGCGGACAATAGACGTACATTTGCTTCCGCGGTTGGATCGACTACATTCTCTTTAATTATTTACAGATTGTTTATAAAATCTAAAATTACCTTCAGGCAATTTTTCCATTTCGACTGCCGTCGTTGGAGGTCTAATTGTGTCGTTCTCTTCTGCCGCTGGCGTTTTTGGAACTGACGGAGGACGTGAATTCGCAGACGTGGATTTCTTCGAAGCACTGGTTGCAGGTCGAGATCCGGTTCGGGTTGGTGGTTTGGAGGCAGGATTCTGCCTTATAACCCCATCAGTCCCCGTTCCTGGTCTACTTTCTTTCGATTTGCTGGTGGACGGCCGAGATTGGCTCTGCGAGAGATTTGCTTTCGAGACCTCTCTAGTAATCCGCCGATTAGTATTTTCTCCGTTCTGGGTATTATTCTCAAAACTGTTCTGTTCTGCTTCTCCGGGAGTTGTAGTTGTGTGAATGGATTCGTTTGTGGCTACCCTTGACAGCGATTTATTCTTAGAAACCCCAGGAGTCGCAGGGGTTTGCGGTTTTGATCGAGCTGTTGTATCCGTAGTAGTGGGCCGGGCTGTATCCTTGTCTCTTTCTGAAATTACAACCGGTTTAAAAAAAGAGGATTAAAACCTTGGTATAAATAAATCATCCAAACAAGAAATACCTGTGTTAAGTTCGGTTTCTGATCCTTTGGAAGTTGAAGATTCGAGAACTTCTACACCCTGAGGGTTTGGGTTCTCGTCTGTGGTAGCACGAGACTTGACCTTTCGCTTGGCAGAGGGAAGGCTGGGGGAAGGTTCCCGACTCGAAGTAGTGGAGTCGCCCTGAAACAGGAAGCATGCCCAACTGAGTCCATCCTTACTTGGCCTTTTGACGTTGCAGCTGGATGCTTCGCCACCATCGAAACGCCGCTCTCCATTGCACGCTTGACCAACTTCTTCATTCTATCCAGTATTACATTATCATCTTTTTCGCCTGGGATCTGAAAAGAAAATTGTAATTAAACTTAGTTATTATAGACACGTCACAATGCAAAATTGCATACCAAGTACAAAAGTCGGTGGTCATCAAAGTATTTAGCACTTGGGAGGGTTTTATTTCTGAATTCGTTGATCCGTCGGTCTATGACTTCTCGATCCAAGCCCCTGTTCATCATATGAGTCCGAAGTGTCTCCTCATCATAGTCCAATATCATCGCCAGATTTACATTCCTCACCTGGAATTATTAAGACATCATTCGGTTCACCTACATTCTTCTCAAAATCTTCGACTTGTTTGGCCTCTCGAGGAAATCCTTCCAGGAAGTAAGCATTTGCGTTTGGATACCGTCCCATTTCAGCCTTTACCAGCATTTGAATCAGATCGTTTGATATTAATTCACCTACACGATTGTTAAGCATATTACATAATGAACGAAGATAGAAAACATACCCCGATCGTACTTTCGGGAAGCTTCTTTCCACTCAGGATAGACGGTCTTATACCGCTTAATGGCATCTTTTATGAGATCTGGTACACAAATATGGACCAGTCCTTTGTTCTCCAGGGCGTCTCGCACTTTCGCTGCATATTTCGTCTTGCCTCCACCTGGTCCGCCAATAAATAAGATGATTGGAGCAGTTGGGTTTACATAGGCATGCTGCGCTGCCTTGGCCACAGACGGACGCCGTTGATGCCCCATCTCTTGGCTTGCACTACGAGAAACAGACTTCTTACCGCTGCAAACAGATTAATGGAAAAGAATGACTAAAGACCAATGCCATGGGTATCACAATTCTGCGTGGTTTGCGGAAAGTTTGAATTAATGTCGGAAACAAACAAAGCAAAAAGTTTTAAGCAATGGGACGTGTGATAGATCTAATTGACTTACACTGGAGAACAGGGTTACGACACGCAATTCCTCGGAAATGTAGATCAGTAGTAGCAAAGAACACGTATAGGAAAGCATTTACTCAGCCAAAAATTATTCAGAAAACGGAAAGTGGAAAGGAAAGGTGGAGTTATTTACGGAAGTGTTAGCCACAAATAGTGATAGAGGTTAGGCAACTGGACTGGACTAGTCTTCCGACACGGCTTCGGAACCGTCGGAAGCCCCAGAATCACTGTGCGGTTCCGAATGCGGCACTTCCGGCGGCGCCTCAGACCCATCGGAAACGGTTTCGGTATCCTTGGCAACCTTTTTTCGTTTCTTCTTCCCCTTTTTGGTCGTCTTGGATGACTTTGGGGACTTCGATGATCTTCTTGATGATGGTGGTTTCAATGAAGGAACTAGACTACGACGTCTATCCTCACTTGTGTTAGTGGAAATATTCAACTTGGAAGCGTGACCGTACCTTGAGATTGACTTCTTTCTGGGCTTTTCGACCTCTTCATCTCCAGGGGACTCTTCTGCCGTCGCTTCCACTTCTTTTTTCTTCTTTGGTCTCTTTTCTAAAATCACGTTAAATTTATAAATTATCTAACTAGTAAGAGTGCAAAAAAATACATTACGGAAAATTGTTTTTAGCTTACTGTTACTCATCCTAGCCGGATTGGCCGCTAAGCAATGCCCTACACTTCCCCGTCTTGCGTAATCGATTACAGTCGATCTCCGGGGCATTTTATAAGATCCTAAGAATGTCTAAGGTGTTTCGAGATGTAAAAAAGGAATGTTTCAAAACTAGAAAACCGGAACATGCCCCCAAGCCTGATTGTTGTATTATATAAAGAACCATGTTTCCCTTATTTTGCCCACCTTCTTCTCCTTCTTCTTCTATTTGAGTCTCAGTATGAGGCGTTTTGGTCGGCAGATTGGCTGAGTCCACGAATGTATCCCACCTTACGGTCATATGAGGATTGTTTTTGATCTTGGCCAGGGCATTTTCCAGAAAATCCACGGGTCTTTCTGGTTTATTGTAAATTAAACCGGTCATTAGTCCCTGAAAATAAAAGGTCAATTTATAGCCAGGGATTAATTAATTAACTTATTTCCTCACCTCGAAGAGTTGAGGGATCAGATGATCCTTTAGATATTTCTCGGCCTCAGCCCCCATCCCACACGGAAATGGCTTCTACCCCGGACTATTATCAGGTTAATGCGTCCGGAACAAGACCCTTTCGTTGGCGGTTGACCACTCCGGAAGTCTGCACGAATCCCCTTCCAAACGGCGGATTCACAACATTCTTGACTATATACTCTACTGCGTCTCCATGTGTTACTCAGTTATTCTGTAAACGACATAGATGGTTGCCATGACTCCGGGAATAATCTCGTCCTTCTCGGCCGCCCGGAGCACATTTGATAAAAAGGGAAAGTTCCGCAGATTGCTCACCACGCCTAAAAAATGAAAATTCTATTTGAGCTTCCCCGAAAAATTAGAAGACCGTGCGCTTTGCGCACGGTAAATAGAACCCTAATCTAAGCTTAGGCTAGGGTGACAAGGAAAGAACCCCAACTAAGAGGGGTTCCGGATAAATTCAAATTTTTTTTAGGACATGATGCTCGGCCACGCGTTTCGGTCATATGGAATTTTATGTCCAAGACAGGATACGACGTGTCCTGAACGGTACAATGGAAAAAACCATTCGTCTCGCGTAGTTTTTGCTCATTGTGATGAAAAAAATTGCTATGGCCGAAAATCATTGCCGAAAAAATTTGAATTTACCTGGAACCCGCGACGCTCCGATTTTCTTTAAATTTTGCACACACGTCAGGCACAGGCCTACAAAGTCCTGAAAGTTTTAGCTCGCGATTGCAGGTGCAGCCGAGATATTCTACAATCTTGCAAACGAGAGAAGCGAAACGCAGTCAACGGGTTTTTTCCAACTTCGTTTCTGCAATGCGCGAGTTACTTCGGAACATAAAGTTTGCACAGTGCATTTTTTCGCAATCGCCGCTGCGACTTCCCGTTTTTGCACTAGCGACATATCAGTCTCGCAAACAAAATATCTAAATTCGTGCCAAGTTTTATCAAAATCTGAGCGTCGCACTTGGGATACTTCTCCGGTAAGTTTAACATTGCCTGAGCCTAGTCAACTTTTCACTGTATTTACAAAATGCATTTTGCAAAAATGTCGTCCACAGGTTAAAGCCCCTTTCATGGCGCTACGGCGTTTCGGGTCAGGGACAGCTCGGTTCGCGACAGTTCGGGTCAACGATACCGTTTAATGTTTTCGCTTCGGGACTAGGAAAAAGGAATTTTTGTGGAGAATCGATCTGAATGAGCAAATAATAAATTCGTATACATTATTTATGCCTATAACTGAAAGCACCGGATTTAAACGCAGACAGTACCAGAGGTTTGAGTAAGAAGGGTGATTGTATGCAAACAACAAGTAAATCACTCCATTTCTTGTTTTTGGACATGGGTTTATCAAATTCCACGGCTGAATGTTAGGATAAGACGTATCGTACACGTAAACGTGAAAATTTTGCTCAAATTCTCCAAAAAAATCTTTTTCCTAGTCCCGAAGCGAAAACATTTCAAAATTTCGTTCGATTTTCACAAAAATTCTTTTTTCCAGTCCCGAAGCGAAAAAATTTTAACGAGACCGTTTAAAAACGGTCTCGTTGTCCCGAACTGTCCCTGGCCCGAAAAGTCAGGACGCGCCTTTCATTTCCCCAAGGCTTGATTATTTTAAGGGTAGTGGCCAATTAAAAAAAACGGAGGATTCGATCTTGTTTATGTATACATGCATAAAATGGTGAGTGGATAATTCAACTTTGGATATGTTAAACATAATAACATGGTTATGTACAATATAAATGATTACGCGCGACCTCTCTTATTCTTCTTGGACTTGACGGCGTCACCCACTTCGTTGACGAATTGAGATTCTTTTCCAACTCCACCATGGAAGGTGTGATTTCCAGCATCTACATCAGTGTCAGCCACAATTCCCTCTTTCTTGTCCACAGAGTAAGTTGAATTGGCTCCATAGGCGGTGTTGTTAGCGAGGATTGCTGCTTGGGCTGAAAGTTGGAGACGAATTAACATAGATAATTACACATTAAAACACTAACGTAAAGCCAAATCGTCTTATTACAACCAATGTGAACTAGGGTTCGGAAAATTCGGGTATTTATAAAATTAGCCTAAATTAGTCCAATATAGTACCAATATGAAGTCGTTAATGAATAAGTGGCAAGTTATTCATTAACCTAATCATGTTTGGAGTGATATTCTCTATTTTCCCAACTACTACAAACAAAACTAGTACTTTAACAATCAAAAAGTTTAGCAATCCAATATTTGGCAGTCAGATTTTCAATTTTTCCCCGTTTATTTTCCGACTCCGGCCAAGTAAATTTCAACCTTACAACTAGGGTTCGGACGGGGTATATACCCGGGGTATATTCCCGGGTATATACCCAAATACCCGAAAGGCCGGAAATTTTCGGGTATTTATGGGTATATTCAAATTACTTTTGCATTCAAAAAATGTAAAAAAAAGTCAATTTTTGTCATAAAAAATCAATAAATGTTGACGTTTTGTCATAATTTGTTCTTTGCTGCTCAAAACTTGGTTCTAAGGTTAAAACTTACTTGGCCGGAGTCGGAAAATGAACGGGAAAAAATTCTAAACCAGGCTGCCAAATATTGGATTGCTAAACTTCTTCATTGTTAAAGTACTAGTTTCGTTTGTTGTAGTTGGGAAAATAAAAAATATCACTCCAAACATGATTAGGTTAATGAATAAGTTGCCACTTATTCATTAACGACTTTATATTGGTACTATATTGGACTAATTTAGGCTAATTTTATAAATACCCGAATATACCCGAGATTTCGGGTATATACCCGGGTATATAGCCGCGTGGTGAATATACCCGAATTTTCTGAACCCTACTTACGACCAAGTTTTGAGAGGCAAAAAACAAATTACGACAAAATGTCAACATTTATTGATTTTTTATGACAAAACTCGACTTTTTCTAAAAATTTTTTGAATGCAAAAGTAATTTGAATATACCCATAAATATCCGAAAATTTCCGGCCTCTCGGGTATTTGGGTATATACCCCGTCCGAACCCTAATGTGAACTGTAAAACCACTATTTTCAAGCTAATTAAAGTAATATCACTCACGTTTTAAAGCCAAGCTGCCATTCTTCGAAGTCACTTCAAGACCGGAACTTCCACCGTATCCAAGAATATTTATATTCGAGTTGACACCAGCATTCACCGTCCCGTCTTCTTCTTTGTCGACGTTTATCTGGCCAAATGGAAGGGGAATTTTGAATGCATCTGCAATCGAAAAAAACTAACATTGCTCTAATCGTAAATGGGAAAACGTGAATCTCTGATCTCGCAAAACAGTAAAGCCCCTAAAAACCACTTACATGTGATTGCAACGCCGACAACGGCAAAGAGGAACACCTTGGAGTACATCTTTGATAAAAACTTACGGATGAAAAGGCATCAGACGGCGAAAAAATGATACCGATCTTCTCATCGAAAAACTGTAGTTTGCCTATGGCAAAACTGTTTGTTTTGCACCCTGCAGCAAGCACACGATGCATCGTCTCTTTTGATATTTAGGGTTCGCCTCTCCACGACGAAATATTTCATTGCCAAAAAGCATTGGCATTTTGCAAAAATTGCAATAAAAATAATGTGAACGGTTTCCATAGCATGTTATGCTACACGGTATATGGTCAAACTGATTTCTTTTGTTATGCATACCTAATTTCCAATTTATATCCAGGGTTCCCCTTTCTGTTTCTATCCTCTTAGTCAACGTTGCGCCAAAAAAGTCGGCACAAGCGGCCTTCAGAAAATCTTGAATCTGGCCCCGTATAACAACATAACGGGAACAATGCTTGTGTGTGTTAGCGTTGCCGACACGATCCAACAACCTCATGTTTAATTTAGTGATCTTGGTGTCCTTGTCCCCTTCGATAACCACTGTTGTCGTATTGGAGGCGCCAAATTGTTTGAACTTGTTTTCCTTCTACAAGGAGATTAAGTCAATTTTCATATAATTAATCATTTGCAAGCCACAAAAGAATAGCTCACAATCAGATCCTTTATTTGTATCTTCAGCACCTCTATGGCACTCAACTTGGAGCGAACTACCATAAACTGTTTAGGTCCGTCGGATGTGATAGCTGTCTTTTCCTTGATCTCGACCGGGTATTTAATGGAAATGGCGTTTGCAGCTTCCCGCAATTCCGGTACAGAAGAGAAGATTGACTTCAGAGGGCCACTGCGCATTACTTTCTGCTACTTTGCGTAAGCAATACCGAGGAAGTGGCGGATCGCCAGACATTCATAGCCATGAATCTTTGACGGCCGGAGATCCACTGATGATACAACTTCTTTTTGCAACTGTTGTATTCCTGCTTCACTGCCACCCAAGAAAGTAACATTGTTTAAGAGGTTGTTGAGCCTGTAATCAGTTATTATGGTTGCGCAATGAGAGTATATTCAGGCTCCAATTTTAAAGTTTACCGGAGTCGTTTTGCCCATCTTGATATATGGTTTAATGTTCTGACCAGCGCTCTTCTTAAATCCTTTATATCCCCGGAGCTGATGGCTTTTGCGAGCCAGTTCCCCCACTTAATTTTGAAGCTTTTTGTAAGCTTTGATGGTATAATCGAGTCATTTTATCCAAGCTTCGATCATACACATTTAATTTGTCTTGGAGGTCCTTATTATGCAATTCGAGTGTCGCCTTGTCAGCTGCGAGTGAACGCAATTGTTCGTTTTGATCGGTGGAGTTATTTGCAACTTAAATTGAAGGTAAAAAGAACCGTTAAATATCAACATATCTCTTCCAACTTGTTCAACTGCTTTAATAGCACCGCTTTCTCCCCAGTTAAAACTCGGTATTTAGTTTCCAGTGCGTAAAGACGTTGAAAGACAACCAAATGACAAATATGAGTCCCATCTGGGTTCATATTTCCACAAATACTCATTTTATTGGTAGAATATGACAAATATGACAATCTTTTTTATAATTATTTTATTTATTTATTTGCAGAATGCCAAGGTTTTTTTCATTTTGGCAAAAAACCCGGGAAACTGGTTTTGTTCTACGGATAGATGATGTATAACTCTAAAACAAGTAGGAACCGGTCTTTGTTTTTTGCTTGTTTATTGATAGTGGCATGATACTTCTCATGGGCCTAGTTCTGTATTTTCCTGAACTAAAACTTTTATGTTAGGCCACTGCAAAGGATTGTAATATTTGCCTTCTTTGAAGACCTGTATCTCAAAATAGAATCCGGCTAGAAGCACGACTATACTCTTGGAAGACAGACAAGCGTCCATTCTTTCTTATACACTCTTCACCGAATTCCTAGATTGTTGCTGATTGCATGAAACCATCGCATCTTTATGAACATCCATTTTGTAACGAAATGTCGCAAAAATTCAACTGAAAGCTCGAGGTTCTCGCAAAACCTGTTTTAAAATTATGTTGTCCATGGCTTCTGATAAAAAATTTCTTCTCGATTGGCTGACGAGATAATACTTGAGTATAACATGGAGGCTGGCCTTGAAAAAAGTAACGATCATAAAAATGGGGGTTATTTTTCTGTAAATTACAATGGTGTAACCTAATGGTGTAACCTTTTTTTCACGTCATGTTGTGGGGTATCGAAATTGGTGACACCAAGAGATCTATTAAATTAAATTTCTTGTTTCCTTTTATGGTCAATTGTGTGTAGTGGGTGATACTTGATTTAATAATCAGGCTATATAAGATTCGTCGGGGCTTTTGCAAGCGGGTTTTTTGAAAAAGTTGACGGTTTTTTGTCCTTCCAAAAATTTTACATCGACAGTTGTTACACGCTAAGACATAAAAGCGCTCCGGTGGTTACACCATTAGATAATAGCAATAATTCTCTACAAAATGGTATTTGACTCGGTACGAATTCGAGATCGCAATCAGAAGCAAGCCTTATTGTAAATATTTATTCTATGGACTAGACAAAGATTAATTCGAGCAGTAAGAAATATATGGACAGCTATTTACACCTCCCCGAAAATCCCCGGTGCAACCTTTCGTGCGCCGATTTTTAGTTTGACTTTTGGCTTTTTTTGGCCAAACACCGGTATTCTTTATACAATCTGTTGAGGTCATCTGAAAGACAGAACTGTGAATAACAATATTAAAGAGGAAACACATGAAATTCTTAAAGGAGAGGAATTGTTGCGGATGTATGGACTTGCTTCGGAGACCGAAATCGAGAGCTCGTAATCCTTTGTTTTAAGATTTTCTGAAAGTAAATTGATGAAGAAGGATCAACAAGATAGTCTGCTTTTAAAGACATCGAGAGAAGTTGAATCAGCTGGCAACAGTGGTGTGCGGTAGAATTTTGCTATACCATTTTTTGAGTTAAAATAATACAGTGAACCATGTTGAGCCACTCTATGAAATAGTTTTGAAAAGTATGTAATGCTGACGCATTTATCACAAATTTACTGATTTGGCGGAAACGGTTTACAACGTTCATACTTTTGCAATCAGGACGCTGAAATCATCTGAAAATATGTTCTGAACAATGCTCGTCGTTTTTCTTGTAGACAAGATTTGGTCAGGATTACTGTAACGTGATGATTTTGGAACTATGTACATCAAAAATTACAAAAAATAGTAATTTTCTCCCCGATTTCACGCGATTTCATGAAATATAGCTAATATTAAACTGCGTTTTGTGAACTGGTTCCGGTTTAGGATTACTGTAACATCGATTTTTTATCGAAAATTCAGAAATAATTGATGTTTCCGAACGTTTCATGGAATACTTTTACACAGCCATGGCTAGGATAAACGGCTGCACCGCACTGATACGAATTCCAGCTCCACGGGTACCATATGTATAAGGTGCCATCTTTTAGTTTTATTAGAATCTTTTATCTGTTCTAACTTTTGAGGGTGAAATCAACAAATAACTCCAATATAGACACAAAATACCGACATAACTAAACTTCCCAGCTTTCATAATAGCAGAATGTAAAAAAATATACCATGAAATCGCGGACTCCCTGTTCGGAGACATCGATTTTTCCCGAATTTGCAAAGAAATAAAAATCGATTCTGCAGTAACCCTGACTCTGATCAAGTTCATAAAACGTGGCTTAATGTTATTTATACATGATACTAAAATCCTCTTTACCGCGTTCTGTAGCTCCAAGCGGCCGTTATGATATACTAAGGGTAGGGGTGTTATGCAAAAATATGCAAATTTCACTGGAAAGACGACGCCGTAATACAATGTGCGGTAGCTGTCCGATGCGGAATTCAATCCTGATTCCGAATATGGAAAGAAGTTTCATAAAATCGCATGAAATCGGTGTCAAAATGACGATTTTTTTGTAATTTTTGATGTGCATAGTTCCAAAATCATCACGTTACAGTAATCTTGATCAAATTGTATCAACAAGAGAAATTACGAGCATCGCTCAAAACATAATATGTTTTGAAGGTTTCAGCCTCTTCGTTTCAAAAGTATGGACGTTGTTTAATTTGTCATAAATCCGTCATCATGATATATTTTTCACAAGGAAAGTACTTCTATCGGGTATGGAGTTACAGGTCGAGATATATATCAAAAAATTCGCAAAAATTTTCTGATTCAGAATATATAAAAATTAGCTGCCTAATTTTGGTCTATCAGCGAGTTTTATCAATAAACGTTTTTCTCGAGGAAAAAAATCTGCGGCAACAAAACCGCGCTCGGTCTATTCCTTCAGAAGAGAGCGGTGTGGCCGAGTGGATAGAGCACTGGGTTGGAAATCCGAGGGAAACGGGTTCGGTTCCTTTTGCCACACTAGAACCCATTTTTTACATTGGAACTACCTTTAAGGTGTAGTTGTAATCCAATTTGATATTTTAAGGCTTGTCAAGGCCTCAGAATTTAGTTTAGCACAAAACAAAATTTTTTTATTGGTAAAAACACGGTCAAAAAGACACTTGCATGGTGTCGCGAGAAAACTTCTGAGGACAAAAACATGTCATTAGACCAAAATTAGGCAGCTAATTTATATATATTCTGAATCACAAAATTTTTGCGAATTTTTTGATATATATCTCGACCGGTAATTCCACACCCCATAGAAGTACTTTCCTTGTGAGGACAAAAACATGTCATCAGACCAAAATTAGGCAGCTAATTTTTATATATTCTGAATCAGAAAATTTTTGCGAATTTTTTGATATATATCTCGACCTGTAACTCCACACTCCATAGAAGTACTTTCCTTGTCAAAAATGTTTTACAGAGTGGTTCAAGATGACTCACTGTATTATTTTAACTCAAAAAATGGTATATATTAAAATTCTACCGTCACTGCCGACTCAAGTTCTCGCGAATCATTTTTTAAACTATTGCTTACTAAAGAAACATCGGGATATTGACAATCCAGAGATCTGTCTTCCCATGGCTGTAAATCCAGAGACCAGGGGCTCCTCGAGGAAACAGAGCCGACCATAATCTCGGTCTTGTTTTAGAAATGGAAACACAACCTCGACCTCACTTGGTTGATTCAATTGGAATACCTGAGCCGGGGGAGATGGCATCTCTCCTCCTTGCAAAGATGCTGTCAGTCTGCAATTAATGCGATTTGATATTATATTTAAAGCAATTGCCCGAATTTTAATCACCAAAATATTTACCTTAAAGGGAAATCGGCGGAACTTTGGACCTTAAAAACAAACATCTGAGCCGAGATATCTGCAGCTCCAATGTCTTCCAACGTTGAATCTGCAGCTTTTCCGAACCTGTCCAGTGTCCTATGTATCCTACAATCAGTCCCCGTTGTCTCATTGTGGCGATTAAAGTTCTCCCATTCTATACAAACATAGTACCACGTTCTCTCATTCAGTCCGTCTACTGTAACTTGTTTGTCGTCATTCAGATTATCTGGATAGAAGATCTTATTTACAGTATCATCATCTTGCTTCAGTGGGATAGCACTGATATACAGAGTGGGAAGGAGGGTCGGGGAGAGATGTTCTTTCAGGAATTCGTCCTTTAAAAGGATCCGGAATCCATTCTTTGTGGGATCTATCAATTGGACAGCTCTGGAAGGACAAAACTTTTTTAGATTTAAAAGTTTGGGCTTCGGAGTGACTATAAAATACTCACTTAACTGCCAGAAAAGTGCGCTGGTTGTATTTGATTGACGCGCGAACTAGAGGCAGAGCGTAAACCCATAAAATGAGGATCATTTTCACATTTCGAGGGGCCATTTTGTGTAGTTTCTGGAGTCTGAAAGAGTTCATTTTTAAACGAAAAAAACGCTACGATGACCTTAGCTAGACATGAAGTCAGTGTATGCAAGCACGGCACATTTAAACACGCTCGAAGCCCCCGATTGTCCATTTGGAGCATAACTTATGGAGAAAACATTAATCCCCCCGTATGTTCGAGTATTATGTCATGTCAATTCAGGATGCCCGGAGGCATTTAAATCATTGGCGAACTACTCGAAACGAGTAACGATAACCCCGGCCTGACCGGGCCCGGATTACGGCCATAAAGCGGCGAACAAAAAAAAAAATTTTATTATTTTTTATAAGTGTTGTAAATAAGATTGCGTAATGTTTTTATGGCATTACACAATGGAGGACTGTCACCCTGTCATTGGTCGATGACAGTTTTAGGCTGACCAAGAAGGGGCAGAAGTAAAGGCTACTGAATCGGGAGAAACAGCCGGAACTACCTAAAATGGGCTTCGAATGTCCATTCCAAACATCAAAAGCCCGGGGGCAATGTGTAAATACGGTCACTTCTAACGCAATTAAGTGGCCTTAATATCCCGTGGAGAACCCCGACCACCAAAACGGCGGAAGCGGTCGATTTTTAGGGTGGGGTGAGGGCGGATCAAACTGGGGCATTAATTAAACCGGCCAACTTGACGTTTGAAGTGACATTTCCGCCATTTAGTGAACTCGAAGGGGCGGAACTGAAAGCGGGAGGTCCATAACCGGGAACAGCTCCTTCTCGGCCCTCAGGCTAAACAAACCGACTTCAAAAAAGGTCTAAACAAATTCGTGGACTCAGATCTATTTACCCCCAATGAGTCCGCGCGTTTTTTTGGAAGGTCATTTTAGACAAATGCCTCAGGCCAAACGGGAATCTAGAGGTCGGGAAAACTTCATGAAAAAGGAGATTCTTTTATGTATATGAGAATACATTATTATAAGATACAAATAAGTTTACTTTCTTATTTATTTTGGTTGGTCTCGATAAGAATGAGGTCTTCGCGGAAGGAGACATTATAATATACATATTTGATGGGATTACACTCTCTGAAGACATTAAAAATGAATGCGGCAGAACGCAACATGTAAGACCCCGGACCGGGCATCTGGCACTTCATTTCCAAAACATGAAACCAGGTGTCAAGTTCGCATTCGCAAAGCGTTTCGATGTAAGGAAGTTAGTCATGACGGGGACCGTTGGGCTTGCAGGAGAAATGACCTAGGAAAGACGATACAAATTTGAACACTTAATTTTTGTGTGCGATGTAAAAGTTTATTCGTCATCATAAAGAAAGGCGGAAAGAAAATCCGGAACTAAACAAAAACAGGACCTCATCAACCGACCGTAACCGTGTGGGAGACAATGAGATCTAGAAGAGTCAAATGGCCGTAAAGATCGAAGCCGATCATCCAATTCGACGCCATAAAGCCCCCCTTCCCTTTTTTACCGCACTTCCAATTCTTTCCACTTGGCCTTGGCGCACTTTTGAGCCCGCCCTCTCTTAAAGCGACAGATTGGCTTCGTCAAAGAAATGCACGATGCCTTCCTTCACGTCGACGATCTAATCGGGAGAAATTGGGTGAAAAGAAAATATTTTAATGGGCTCGATCTGAGAAATAATTAAAAAACGAGATCTCTGCGAACAAGAGTCCCTACTTTTTGAAAGTTGTATTACTCCGAGAGAAGTTAAGTTGGGAGAGGCGAGGATTGAATGTCTGAATTTGCATACTAAAGAGTTTTTTGTTTCCCCGCAACCCGGATATTGGATACGGATTTGAAATGAGGATGCCGCCGTTTTTACTCATTCAATTATATTCACATCAGGAAAACTTATGTTTCTTCTCTCAAGTAAAAATAAACATGAATTAAACTGTGTCAGAAAAAATGTAAGAATTTATGAAATGTCATCAATCAAAGATAAATTCTCTGCGTTTCCAAATCTGACATTCCAAATGCGACCCTTTTCCTACTGTAATTTGCGCGAAATGATTCAAAAATGAGTTTAGAAATTGGGCGCGATCGAAATCAGATCCATCAAGTCGATTGTTTATTTGAAATGCGTAAAGTTTTGACTTTTCGGGAATGTCCGAGAGCCCTGTCCTCTTTCTCTTCACCTTTCGGCATCTGGAAAACACTTGAGCGAGCGATGAGAGAGAGACTTCTCCATAATAATTAAAACCCGCAAAAACTTTGAAATCCGACACTGAGAGTCAGGAAAAGTAAAGTAAGGGAATTGCATTGTAAGACTAGCCGAGCAGTAATTAACCCTCAGGCTCAAAAAAATGGAGCTTTAAAAAATTTAAAAGCAGGACAGGCGTAATGTAAACTGGTTGCGCATTACTTACCAAATTAGGTGATTCACAGTCTATAAAATTTACATAAACATATGGCCACACACAAAAGCAAACAGTTTTAACTCTTGAAGAAGAGACATTTATCCCCCGAACATCTGCTTTAGTGACCATGTTGTTTTGTAGGAAATCCGAGCTCCGATCCCAATTATAAGGTCCCTTTTCTCGTCGGATCACTGACCGAAACAGACGATTGTCTTTCAACTTAAACCCATAATTATCCGGTTAAAGTCATGTTTATTTAGTCGAAAAATTACTCAGCCGAAGAATCGCAAAAAAACAGTGGAAAAGTGGACATTTGCTGATTTGCAGAAGTTGTCATCATCACCTAAAAACTGTAAAAATCCAACTGAACCACTGGACGCTCCTCTTCTTTTCCGAGGGAAGAAAAGGAAACTTTTTTCTGAACTTTCGGTTGATTTCTCTAGTCGGCCGTGCTTATTTCGCAACCGGAAAATGCCTTTTTTTTACCATTGTCGACCTGCTCTATCCACCTGTACTAGTAATTTTCCCGAACGCTGGGGGAAGTTCAGACCAAAACTTCGTTAGAAGAGAAGATGGACACTAATGTGGTAAAAACGGCTTATGGCATCATGTAGAGCAGGTCAAGTCGAGAAAAAAAATTTCCGACTTCGCTCTCCAAGGGTACCACCCCTTCATGCCTATTTTGGTGATTTATTCGGTTGATCTTCCTAGAAATTTGAAAATGAAAAGTTGTGTTCCGCGGGTGACACGAAAAAAATCTAAAAATTACTAATTTACAGTACTTTGTAGAAAAGTACAGTCAGCGAGGTGCTGGGCTAGTCATTTGGACCAGTTAGCTATCAGCCGTGATGCTTGGCTTGCGATTTTCTGTTGAAAAAAACGAATTTTTGCGGCTTTCGTTCATAACCGTCCTCGGGTCATCTACATTCCAAAAAAAATCGATGTCTTCTCGGTTTGCCAATGTTTAGACAGAAGTTCTTAGCATTTATTATTTTTCTGATATGTCGAATTGCAGTGCAAAAATAGGCTGACAGAGTCGATTTTGCAAAACGGCTGTCGCAGTGATGGAAACGGTAGAAAGGGATAAATTATCAAATCTGAAAAACGCTATCTCTACCGGCCTCTGAGAGCCGAGATAATAGACCGACAAGTTTGACCAATCCTCCGAATAGTTCTTCCTTCCGACAGCAGAAGGAAAGCAAACCAATTAAACTGGCTGATGTTTGAATGACATATGTTGAAATTGTTAATAAAACACATTTTTCTGAAGTTTGCAAGTTTATTGACACTTCTTTTTCAAAATCACTGTCAACCCTTTTTTGCACTAAAATTCGGCAAGAATAAAAGCCGAGAACTTCTGTGAATGCACATGTACGTATTTGCTAACAATAGTAAATCTCTGTTCGGCTGACTCCCAATTATTTTTTTCAATTACTTTTTGGCAAATATAAAATTCGTTTTTGGATTCTTCTCGGTCGATTATCTAAAAAAAATCCTTTTTTGGTCGAAACCCCCTAAAACAAATGAGACAGTTTTTTTAATTATTTGTCATGTGGCGACATCAATAGTATTTAATTTTATCAGTCTGTCGAGAAAATCATATCTTTGCGACGGCTAGCTGCGGCTGATAATTTGGTGCGCGACTGCACCCTTTTTTCAGCGAGGCGAGACATTTTGCTACGACGACCCACCGTTATTTTCCCGACGGACTGATAAAATTTTTTACGCATTACCCGAAGAACCTGAGGCCCGAAAAAGCGCCACCCGAAAGGGCGGGCTCAACAAAGCAGTCGTTGTCCATTATTTGAAGCATTGTATGCAGGTAGTATGTGTATCAGAATGTTTTATCTTCTCCAATACATATTGACAAATCAATCAAAGAAAAAGATTATGGATTCTCACACTTCTGCTACTACATAAATACGGAATTATGTATGCAAACAAGCTGATTCCGGTCTCTCCTTGAGTAAATCCTCGAGATCGCGTCGACCTCATTCCACCGACCCAGAATCCCCTTCTTTTGTGCCGGGGTTTCGGGGAAAGTGAGTGAAAGTAAAAGCAATTACTATAAAAAAGGGACTTGAACTTTAATATTTCCGATCTTCTGTTTCCTTCGGTTATTTCCCCTTCAGTTATGTTACAGTATATCTTTTTGTTTCAGGATGTTCAAGTCCAATTACATCCGTCATTTGCTTGGGATCACTCTCTTATCTCTGGTGATGAGGAAAATCTTTCTGGGACACGAAGCCATGGTTACTGTGACAGAATGTAAAAATCAGATATCAACGGAGGCCATGGTAAGTGCTTCTATGTATTGTATTTACAATGAATTTTAAGGTTAATAATACAATATTTGCATCGAAAGTAATGTCCCTATCTGAAGCAGAGCCGACTCTTGTCTTAATTCTAAATCAGCATGCTCTCAATATGACATTGAACTGGCTCTGCAATACAGTGGACATGCCCTCAGTCCATAAAAGGGCTTTAATAGTAACATTGGACGAGGAAAGTGACAATAAATTGGCCCAATTGTGGCCAGATGTAAAGCGCTTACTGTGGCCAGTGGCCTGTCTTTCAGAGCCCTTCAATTATGGCGATGGGAAATATCAATTATTCTACCTATTCAGGTCAAATCTGGCCGGGGCCTTTCTCCATTTCGGAAAATCCTTTTGGATGATACAACAAGTGAGTAAAAATGGCAACTTAGTGTATTTTAGGATACTTTTTGGCGTCAAAGTCTGTTAGAATTGCCCTCTGATTTCACTAACTCATCTTACGACATCATCTTTGATCGAGCCGCCGAAACTAAAGGGTCTTTAATTGCCGGAGGCTATTATTTAGCCAATCCAACACCTGGAACGAGAAAGTTTTTCAAAAAATTGTCGACTGATTTGGAATGGTGGTATGTCCCCGATAACACGTACATGACGTCACTGTGTTCGATGGAAAACCTGGCCAAATGTGGCCAATTGCCTTTCAGGTATCCTTGAGGTTAGTTCACTTTATACTTTAGTACCGTAACCAATTGGATCTGGCTTCACGAACCCTCCAGATTCAAAGGAATCGAGGTCCCCTGGTTGGTTCAGTTTGATGGGGACACTAAATTGGGAGGGAAATTGGCCAAGATGAGGTCTCTCGGATTTTATTTCTTGAAGGAAGATGGGATTACCTGTAACCCTTACTCAGTAATTGTAAGTCTACATCTTTATTCTGTATGGTTTAGAGAGCTCAGCGTCGAGTAATCAAATGGTCTGGAGTGAGTGGATCGCTGGATGCAAACGGTCTCAGGTCTTATTCCCACTGGCAATTCGGCTTGTATCAGGCCATCATCGATGTCTTCTACCAATTCAGCTGGACTGAAAAACTTCTTCATCATGTTATCTTCCCTTATGCACACTACTTTATGATTACTTTGTAATTATTTACGGGTCTTAGTTATTTAATTACTAAATATTTTATGAAGGCTTTCCCTCCGAAATTGTACTGGAACAAGTGTTCGTCCGATTGTGAGTCGGCGAAAGTCTACTTTTTCTCTGGAAATGTCGTGGGTTGTTACTCGAGTTTAATTGGGGGGTCTCCCCTTGCCCTCAATTTATGATTAGTTATGGCAAATAAATTATTTTCTCTGGGAATGAATCCGCGGCCCGGAAATTCATCGGGCACACAATAAACCCTCGGAAGATGTAAATTGTCGCGGAACAGCCGCGGAACAATACAAGGGAACTTGGCCCTTCTTTCGGCCATCCCTTCCCAGGATCCGATACAAATTTTATTTATTCAGACAAGATTTGCTCGTCTCTTCTTCTCGTCTTGGTTGTCGTGTAATTAAAAGTCTTTTGATATCTGATTGTATTCTTCTTTTATTATTTATATTATCCATAAGAGTGTAAAGGCGGTGTCCTCCAGTTTTATTCGTATCTAGTTTCATTTCCCATTTCTTATGCAGTATTCTAAGAGGGGAGGCGCTTTCTACTGAGTGAGGACGCAATAAAAAGAATTCTTTAAAATTTTTGCTATTCAAATTAATCTCCATCTTCTCCATGAATAGTGGATGTGGTGGAGCGGGAATATTAAGATTACTTTTTCTTCATTTGTTTATAGTTCGAGAATCCGACGACGTTTTGCGACATTTAATTGTTACGGATTACTGTAATCCACCTGGCTTTAAGATGTCTTTACCCATGTCGCGCGATAATCTTTCTGTTTCCACGTTCCCTTTCCCAGCATCTTCTGCTTGGGACCCTTGTACATGTTTTATACAACGAGTCTCATATAATTCTCTCGTTTTCTGCACCGTATTTCCCTTATCCCCGCCCAATTATTTGCCTCAGGCGTTTTTCAGGCATTTCTTTTCGAGTTCTGCCCTCAGGGTGAAGTGGTCCGTGCCCACGGAATTTTTGCCAGGGGGCCTAAATTTGGTGGGGCGGGAATCAGGGGCATCAATGGCCGGATGATAAGGCGTCTGATCCCTTTCTTCTTGGCCATATTCCAACCGAGCGGGTCCATATTACGGAATGAGATACGACAATGGGCGGAGGATGTGTTCTTGGAGTAAGTCTTATCTACTTGTCCGAGTGGAAGCAAAGGGTCCCGGATTAAAGCTTGTTGCTCGGTTTCAGTTGCATTTTTTGCATGGATTACGATGACTACAAGCAGATGAGTATCTTCGGGTGTAACCTCAGACAGCCTCCCACCTGCAAGGGCAACGTTTGTTACATGCGTAAGACAATTAATTGGTTGCAACTTCCCACAATTTATTTCTTTTTATTCTGGCTCAATTCTGAGAATTTTTATCTTGTTACTCTGCAGAAATGACGTCATCTTTATTCAGGTCAACATAAGCAAGGAAATTATTTTTTGTACACATCCGGGTGTCTGAATCTAACGAAGCATCAATTCGAGAACATCCACTTAATGATTGACTCTCCCGAAATCCAGCCAGATCGTGAATCCAAGAGTGCTACCCAACTGTGTGAAGTAAGATAACTTCGACTTTTACAGTACCCTTTGCAGAATACTGATAAATCATTCCGGATTCCAGGTGACAGCTTCGATTAACACCTGCCTGTGTACAAACAAACTGCTATGTAACAACGTATCGTCAGTGGAGCCCTTCACGGAATACACGATTCCCATCTTCACCGAGGTCAACTTCGACGAGGTTGCCCATTTTCGCTACTTTCTTCCAGACGATCCGATTCTGGAGTCGCTTCAGAAGGCGGGTCCGCGCGATGAATATTTCCTGATCAAGAGTGTAAATCATGTCTCGGGAACTCGCGTAAAATACGCCTCGGGATTTGTGTCCCTTCTTCTCTTCGGGGTCTTGGTATTTTAGTGATAATATTACTGCAACAAATACTTCTACTATTTATCATTAAAGATTGTGTTGTGGAAGTCGTGGAAAGAGTGTTCGAACTATATACCCTTCTCTTGGAATTTGTCTTCAAAAACAGTCATCACTTTCGTTTTGGAAGTTTACGCAATTTACGTAAAAGACTCGAGCGGCCCTTTCCCCGTCTCCTCTGCAAAAAAAAACTCGAATGAATTCTATACAGCCTCGAGCATTCAATAAATTCTACGTTTTACTGTCAATTACCGGTTATTAGAGAATATTTAAATCTTTGAGTTCTTCCAGTGATGGATATGATGCCTGAGGGCCTGGTCGGCTGACTGAGATAGCGGCGATGTGGACGGCTTTTTTGGCTGCTTCAACGATGCCCAGCTCGGGTCTGTTGGTCAACAAATAGGCCAGGGATCCGCAGAAACAATCACCCGCGCCCTGATTGATAGTACCACTTAATCACCCAACACTTACCGTTGTATCCACGGCATTTACTTTAGGGGCGTCCACTTTGTTTAGTTCGATCTCTCCGTCTTCTTTCTTTTCAGCAATCAAAGCACCCTGAGGGCCTAAAGTGACAATGGCGATGGAAGGCCCCAATTCTTTGACAATGAAAATGGCAGCTTGTTTGAACTCATCAAGTGTCTTCAGGGTAAGCTGAGTGATGAATTCGGCTTCGTTTTCATTGACACAGATAATATCAGTCAATGGGAGAATGGATCGGTCCAGATCGGAGAGACCGGGAGCTGGGTTCAGGAAAGTTTTCACTGAAAAAAAAACGTTTAGGACAACTTCTATCTTTAATACAAGTTTTTGAGCAGTATAATATTTTACCTCCGTGTTTTTTGGCGACCTTGAATGCTTCGACATTCGCTTCTTGAGGGATTTCATTTTGAGCGATGATCATAAAGGCCTTCTTTATATGCTCTTCGATTTCCCATGCTCGATCCTTCCTCATTTCCATATTGGCCCCCAAAGTAACCACAATACAATTCTCTCCGGTATCATTGACGGTCACAGCTCCAGTTCCTGTAGCAATTCCTTCGGATTTAGTGAAGAGATCTGTCCGAACTCCAACTTTCTTCAGTCCCTCGATGTTGGCTTCGCCGAAGATGTCATCGCCCACCTGTTAAAAGAGATGACCAACCTAAAACCACTCACATTCCCCACCATGGCCACCTTTCCGCCCAGTTTGGCAATAATAAAAGCTTGATTGGCCCCCTTTCCTCCATTAAAAAGTTCAAATTTCTTTCCTCTGATCGCTTCACCCGGCTTTGGGTATCTTTCGACGAAACTGAAATAATATTCACTTTATTTATAACCACATAATGTAATTTCAAAAAGGATCGAACAACTCACCTGACCAGATCCTGGACGACACTCCCGAAGACGATTATCTCCTTATCTGACATCCTGAATCAATATCCTTTAACCCTAAAAAATTTAAATTAAACTTAAAGAATGTAATAAAACTTTATCACAGGCAACCCGATCTTATTTTAGCGATGGGAAAAGGTCTTTTGATGGGAAGATGGGGTTCTTATCGACGAATGATCCGCCTTTCTTTTATTTTACTATATTTGGACCTCCATCCATCAAATTCAGTCACCCAGATTTTTGTATTTCAACCGTTTTGTAGGACACAGCATGTGGATGTGCAAAAAATATAGCAACACACCAGGGTCACCCATGGACAGGTCACCCTGAGGATAGGTCACACTTGCACAACCTTGAGCACTTAATTGCAACTTTACACTACTATTTAAGGAGAGTGTAAAGATAAAAAAAACGTCATGACTTTAGAAATGGGCATCTTCCATTACCTACAAGCCCATTTTTTATGAAAAACTTTAACAAAATTAGTACTTTCTTTACTTCACTACTTAAGAAAAAAGTTAAGATCACAAAAAATGAACAAAAAAGAAATCTGCATCACCTACCTATAAAAAAAATATCAGCTGAAAAAATGCAAAAAGGTAACAACTTTACTATATATCTTTAAAGAAACGTCAAAGAAAGTCTGAGGCTATGACTTCCGACGGAGGTGGCGCAAAGAATTCGTTTTTGGAATATGTATTTCTAACCGAAATTAACTTTTGTTTATGAAATAACAAGATTTTAAAGTGCAAACCGAGGTCGCTACCACCTCTTCAAGTAGGGCCCTTTTACCCCGAAAACCAGTATTTTTCGGTTGAAAATGATCGAAAATGTCGAGGGGATGGGGGGTTCAGTCAGAGGGGTTCGATCTTGGGGGGTTCAGTCTCCTAACGAATTTTTACATATTCTGAATCAGAAAAGTTTTGCGAATTTTTTGATGTATGTCTTGACCTGTAACTCCATACCCCATAGCTATGGCCATAGAAGTACTTTCCTTGTGAGACAGAAACGGCCTGGGGACAAAACTGGTCGGGGACAAAGAAAATAAAAAAAAGTGGGGACAAAACCGGTCTGGGGATAGAACGGCCTAAAAAAAGTGGGGGACAAAAACCCCCGGGGGTAAAAATTGGGGTGGGGACAAGACCGTCCATTACGCGGGCGGGCTCAACCCTTTTCCGCTGGGTGACCTATTCTCGGGGTCACCCTTTATGACAAGTAAATAAAAGTTCCAAATTTTTTAACTTGCTTTCTAATTGTAAGTATGTAAAAGAATTTACAGAAAAAAGAAAAGGAATAAATACCCTCGAAAAACTGGAGGGAAAACGTGGCCGCTCTTTTTTCCCTTATGTTCTCACTAACGGAACAAAATTTTTCCCATTTTGTCGTGGGGAACTCAACGCTCCCCTTCTCTCCGCGGAAACCACCGATTTTCCTAAAATTTAGATTTTTCTGAATCTCGAACTCGAGAATGTTTGCTGGATTCGCTACCAATTTCAAAAAGTAGCGGAAACCTCAAATTGCAACCGCCGAAAAAGGCGTCGGAAGCAAATCGGCCATTTTGCGACGGCGCAAAATTGGGAGGTAGCAAATCGGCCATTTTGCGACGGCGCAAAATTGGGAGGTAGCAAATCCATGGATTTGCGACGTCCCAAAATAAGCCCCGCCCCCTCAGTTTTTCAGCCATCACGTTTTGGCTTTTTTTACGAAAAAACACCGTTTAGGGTGAAAAATTTAGCTTATAAATCGTACATTTACGATACTGTGAAAGAAAAGAGGTCCCTCGACTCGTTAAAACATTTATTGTAAAATGACGTACATTTTATGGAGAATATATTTTATTTTTTCCACAAGTTTGTCCAAATATGGCCGGAGAGTCAATGGATGGGGCTGAAGAACATTTGTTTTTCCACAATATTATTGTCCAGATATGGCCCAAGAGTCAATGACTGGGGTTGCAGAACATGGCCAGATATGGATCTTCCTGGAAATCAAAAGCAATATAACATTTCCTTCTCATTTTTAGAAAAAAAGACCTTCATACTTACCTCATAGTGCATGTGTCTTCCGAGCATCGAAATGGAGATAGTCTTGTACAGAAATACGGCCGACGGGAGTGAAATTGATTCCAGGTAACAATTTCAATCTCTAAATTACCTAAAAACAAGGTAATAATACTTAAATCAAATCTTACTTCCTTTGGCAACTACCACACGACTTTTCCTTTGTCCGATTTCAATGTTTCTGCCTCCTGAAAAAGATTTATTAGACTCTTGCCATGAATAATGTAGAAAAAATTAGAAATTTCGTCCAAAATCAAAAAAATAATAAAAAAACAGCTTACCATGGAGTCAAAAAGCATTGTTTGCCCGCCAATTTCGTCCCCGATGTTTATGGTGATCACCTTGAGCTGGTTTGTCTTCTAATTCAGCTTCTCTGCATCTATTTGGCCAATTTCAACAAAAGGAAACAAAAAAAGGAAAAAGAATTTGCGAATGTTTTCGCGGCCCGTGAAAACGAAATGCCACGCAGGCCGAGAACGGATTTTAGGTCCAATTTTCGTGGGATTTCTGTTCATTCGATCCGAATTGAAGGCAACCGAGGGCCGAATTCCTGGTTGGACAATTACGTAAGCTTTATTCTAGGTATGTTATTGCTTTAGTTGAATAACAAATATTTCCTCGGTCTTATCAAAAGAGTCTGCCGTCTTTTGGAACCTTTTGAAAGAGCTGTTGAAACCGATTGCTCCGAAGGCCGAATTTCAATGTTTGGACGTAGTTTATGTAAGCCTTGCTCTTTGTTATTATTTTTTTGTAATAACGACAAGGATCAGGATGTTTTGGTTTTATCAATAAGATATGGTCCGAGCGGGATGTGTCAAATTGGAGACGTGTCTTGGTCAAACTTGAAAAGAATGGAGTGTGGGAAGATCGATGCATCGACGAGTCGTTTGGAAAAGTCGTTGAAGGCAGAATGGGTCTACATCGTGGGTCTACAAGATAGTAAGAAACATTTGGGGCTTCGGTAGTTGAGCCCCCCACGAAAGGTAGTTCAAACCCCCACTGTTTTGCCCGTTTCACACCCCACATAATGAACAAATTAGAATAATACAAAAAATGTAAGCGGGGGTTTGATCTACTACGTTGGGGGTTTGATCTAAAACGTAGGGGGCTTGAACTAAAACGTAGGGGGCTTTTTCTAAGACGTAGGGGGCTTGATCTAAAACGTAGGGGGCTTCATCTAAAACGTAGGGGGCTTGTGCTGGACCATACAACTTGGATTAATTCTTTGAAATAAATTTTGGGGTTCAGAATGGACGAGGGGGGTTGTACTGGGTCATGGGGGGGCTGAACTGGACTGGGGGGTTGTACTACCTTAGCCCCAAACATTTTTATTTTATTTTGTTGCTTTAGGAGAAGAATGGCTGTCCCCATCAAACGCCGCGGCTACATCTGTCTTAGCCGTTCAACCCCGCACAGCAGGTCCCAGGAACTCCCCAGCAGATCCAGGACCTCCCCGGCAGCTTAGCAAGAATTATTTTATACCGATTTAAACGTAAAATATCTCTGTTTCCTCTCTTACGCCTTGTTATTTTTTGGATTATTTGTTTTAATAAATTGTTATTGTCAAGAAAAATGTATGGGAGTTGTGAATAGTGCTATATGCACTCGAAATATATTCAAAACGGCAGACCGGAGCGCTAGAAAAAAAAATTTCCGCCGGAGTGGGCGGGGTCAATTTGGGAGGTCGCAAATCCACGGATTTGCTACCTCCCAATTCCGCGCCGTCGCAAAAACGCCGTTTTGCTACCTTCTCTCTCGCGGAGGAAGCGAAAACGCCGATTCGCGGCCGATTTTTTTCGGAGGCCGCGAAAAGAAGGATTCGCTACCGAGACCACGTCGCAAATAGATCATTGCGCTACTTTTTGAAATTGGTAGCGAATCCAGCAAACATTCTCGAGCTCGAGAAAAAATTCTTATTCCTTCGCTCTTACTTGGACAATTTTTGGAATGACTTTCAAGTGACTTTCTCGGACTTGGGACATTTTCTCCACATTGGCTGGGAACGTTGAGGCTTGGAGCCCTTCCCGATTGAAATTAAACCATGTTCACGATCTACAAATGGAGCTGTTCGTGATTCTCAAAGTCCCTGCAAGCTTTTGTTCCAAGAGGAGGTGGGCATTTCGAATTCAGATAGAAATGTTAATAGCAAATTGTAGAATAAAATTGTTTTGACAACAATATTTTATGGTTCATGGGATGAAACGAAGAAAATTTCACCCTAAAACTAGAAAAATTTTTCTTCTGGTCATTTTTGAAAAAACGGCTGAGTATTCGAAATCACTTCAAAAATTTTCTGACATAATTTTTAGCGGTTCGGCTCGAAACTGATTCTTCAAGGCATATAAAGGTCAATTCAGAATATTTTTTATTCAAATTCAATCGGTTGAAAATGGCGGCGCTACGACATTTCGGCTCAGGGACAACTCGGGTCGCGACAACTCGGGTCAACGACACTTCGGGTCAACGACACCTCGGGTCAACGACATTTCGGGTCAACGATGCCGTTTAATATTTTCGCTTCGGGACTGGGAAAAAAGAATTTTTTTTTGGTGAATTCGGAAAATCTTTGAAATGTTTTCGCTTCGGGACTTGGAAAAAAGAATTTTTTGAAGAATTTGAACAAAGTTTTTAAATCTTTTCTTTCCCCAGCCCCGAAGCGAAAACATTTCAAAAGTTTGTTCAAACTCTCCAAAAAATTCTTTTTTCCAAGTCCCGAAGCGAAAACATTTCAAAAATTTCTCAAATTCACCAAAAAATTCTTTTTTCCCAGTCCCGAAGCGAAAATATTGAACGGCATCGTTGACCCGAGGTGTCGTTGACCCGAGTTGTCGCGACCCGAGTTGTCCCTGACCCGAAATGTCGGGACGCGAAAATGGCGGGTCTCGGCTCCATAACAATTTTTGAATTTTAGAAAAATCGACGGAGCCTCCGCGGAGAAATTCAAGGAAGAAAGTTGTTAGTTTCAAGTAACCCACCCTTTATAGTGCCAAGTCTTTAAAACGTGTTTTTGAGGAGTACTAGTCACCAAAACAACACGATTGACGCCTAAAGGCCAAATATTCACCTCCTACTGTATAGTGTCACGTAGTACTATATAGTACCGTAAAGAGAAAAAATGAACGTGATTTTTGAAATCAGCACCTTCGAAAACCTTGCCTTCAAAAAAATTCAAAAAACAACTGCTTTACAGTACTGCATTTAAGAAACAAGGAACAATCACCGAGATGGCTGGGACCCTTTTTACTCCACGATTTCAACAAAAAAGTCGAAAATTTTCCAAGTCCGAGAAAGCCAATTCAAAAATCATTCCAAATATTACTTCAAATTAGGTAAATCATTAAAATTATTCCCACCGTTTTAACAATAAGCAGTCGGGATTTTATTTAGTGTTACCGAAACGTCCGGTCGGATCATGTTTGGATTTCCTTTTCGTGTAACGAAATTTTATTTTTTGATTGATCGACTGTATTTTTTAACTTCAGAAGGCCCTCCAAATCCGCTACGTTTCTCTGTTCAAAAACTTCCGGGACTTGCCAGTTTACGAGCAATTTCGTATCCAAGAGAAGCGAGATGTTACAGTACACGAATTCAGAAGTCACATTCTCAAGGTGGTCCTTCAAGAGATTGTGCCCGCAGGGGAAAAGGGATTCAAGTCTGAGATCTCCAGACCCAGATCCATGGGGGAAAGTTATTGTCGTCTCAGAATTCCCTTGGACGAACGGGGATATCAACTACGGTATCTGAGTTCAAATCGTGCTGGGATCAGATTGGGAAGACTCATTGAGGTAAATTATCTAGTTGTCTTTATTGAAGATACGAATAATTTACTTATCGACTGGTTTAATACGAATCTGATTAAAGGATCTGGACATGTTCTCAGTTTGGCTGTCGTATCTTCATTCTCAGGGCCGCGAGAACTGGGGAAAGCATACCGTGAACCCCTGTATGTTTGTGACTGCCTGTTGTGATCAAGTGAACATTGCCATGTAAGCCTAATGTAATGCAATCATAGTGTTTTAGGCAAGATATCTCCCCGAATACTGATCTTTTTCTCGAAGGCCATGTTAGTTGGGCTGGTGGCTCTTCGGTGGAGACGACGATGAGAGTCGTTCAAGATGACAAGGAACTTCTCGACACAAAATTCATAATGGTTAACATGAATCCCCCCAATCTCGACAAGAAATTACCTGTCCCTCAATTACTTCATAATGGACCGGTTGAGGATGAATTATTCAAAAAAGGCGAAGAAAACAACAAGCGACGACGAAGTCAGGTGTGTCATTCCCTATAATCACAAATGTCCCCTCTCTCTGCGTCAGTAATAGGTGTTTAATTAGAATATTCAATTTGAATCAAAAGGTTGCTTTCAGAAAGAATTGTCCTTTCTCAAAAGACCACCAAATCAGGAGCAGATCCAGGAATTACACGAAATTTACATGAAACAATTCGGGAAAGATCTCTCCTATCTCAACAAGAGGATCCCCGAAGGTGCATGCTGGATGCAGGACACTTCTCGTCGGACCACCATCAATTGCTTCCCGGAGGATCAGAATTTCTACGGAAAGATGTTTGGAGGATTTCTGATGCGTGAGGCCTTCGAATTGGCGGCCATAAATTCGAAACTTTTCGCCCGAACTCGGACTGAGTGCATTGCAATGGATGATCTTATGTTCACGGAACCCGTAGAGATCGGGGATGTCCTCGAATTGTGGGCTCGGGTCACTTATACTCAAGATCAATTTATCCAGGTACCCTTTCCCGGTCTGACAACAAATGAAATCATTTCAGATTCGCGTCTTCGCTCGCAGAATCAGTGTGGATCCGGAGACCAGAACCAAACGTTACAGGACTTCCAACACTTTCCATTTTTCTTTTGTCACCCTGGATGGCTCTAAAGTCAGAACTGTGGTTCCCAAGGAGTACTCTGAGGGATTACTGTATCTGATTGGAAAGAAACATCTTTTGGAATGTCGTTCCCGCACTGGTCTTTAGATTTACTGAGTAAAAACAGAGAATTTCAGTAGCCGAAGATAACGTACGATCCATCTGGGAGTTGGCCGATCATGGGTCCGGGGTCCGAGGAAAACTTTTTGCTCTTGACGCCACTGGCTTTGGGGATGTACTGGTAAAGCCCGTAGATGCTCTTCTTTTCCTAAAAAACGACTTTTCATTTCATCCTTGGCTTACCATTTCTGGGAGAGAATCGATTGGAGCACAATGCACCATTATCACTGCAGCCATAAACAAGGCTGCAAATTGAAAATATATATAAAAAAATTCAAATAGCAGAGTTTGAGTTATATAACTCGCGATTTTTATCCATAAATTTCCTAAAATACGAATACTTACCAAACAGAAGAGCGAGAGAACGGCTCATTGTGTATTTAGTGGTATAAAGACAACTTGCCGACCTCCTAAATTCTTTTTTATACTCAAAGTATAGTAGTGCCGTCAGTCTCCGCCCCTTTTCGGTGAAATGCCCTCAAGAAAACAAGAACCGCCATCAGAATTGGCCGTGCATCTTCAGCAATCCGTCAATCAGCCACCCGCACCCTCGCACAGTGCCTTGATGACGTTGTCCGCGATCTCTTGGGAATATTTATTATTTTCGAGTGTTAATGAATTTCCTGGTTCAAATTATGGTTCTTGTGTTGTGTTGAGTATTAAGCGGAACATTGTAAGCTTAGAAGGCATGTTCTGAAATACATTTATGCAAGCGTATGTTTGCGTTTTGAAACAGACTTGTCAATTAGCTCGTCAGACGTCATCCCATCCCCTTCTTGGCCATTCCTCGGCCAAAAGTCCTCTAACGTCCAAAACAATTAATTTCTGCGCTTCAAGAAAATTCTCAGACTTATTAGCCACAATTCCCGACCATCATAGAGCAACAACATACTGATTGTTAATCCGGATAAATTTGCTCATTACAAAGGTTATAACTTCAGGGCGCACTTCGCGCCTACAAATATTTTTTTACTTCGAAAGAAAATTTATCCAATTGGCCAAGAGGAGACGAATATGAAAATGCAATGCTCAGTTTGGGTCTGGGGTAGGAACACATGTATTCCGTGCTTTAGAAAGTACAGCAGCAATGTAACAAGCAGAGGAACAAACATTATTAAGGTATGATATAATTAATTTATTATTATCTTTCAGTTGAATGAAAAGTCGGCGAAGAAAGATGAGAAAATAGCGAAGAAATTAAAACCCTCCTCGCTGGGTTTACTGGCTATTCCAGTTGCCGCATTTGGACTGGGAGTCTGGCAAACAAAAAGATTAAAGTGGAAGGAAGGTCTGATTGCTCATTTGAAAGATCAGGTTCTCCAAGAGGCCATTCCATTCCCTTCCAGGTTTGTCACTCACCTTCAGGTTTAAAAATTTTTTTTGTTTGGGTATTTATATTTGATACCTTCCAGGATGGAAGACGTCACACATCTGGAATATCGTCGAGTTAAAATACGAGGACGGTTTTTATATGACAAGGAATTTGTCATTGCTCCACGAGGTAGATTCGATGAGGGTTTCAAGGATCAAGGACAAGGTTTAATAGGAAATAGCCAGTCGTCTTCACATGGCGGTCATTTCATTACTCCTTTTCTGATAGAAGGAACAAAGTAGGTAGCTTTTTTATGATAATTACCTGTTTAGTCAGATAATAATGGTAAACCGAGGATGGCTGCCAACTGAGAAGTTCAATTACGAGAAATCAAAAAAGAGGAATTATAAAATCGTGGAAATAGAGGCGATTGTTAGGAAAACGGAAAAGGTAAGGATAACATGAAAATTTTATTCTGCTGTTCTATCCTTTAGCGCCCGCAATTTGTGAGCCAAAATCAACCAGAGAGGAATATGTGGTTCTACAAAGATCTCGACCAGATGGGGAAACATTGTGGCGCATTACCAGTTCTTGTAGACCTTGTTTATGGTAAGTGTTTAGGATATAGCGAAGTATAAAAACGAAAAAACCTAGTGATATCTTTCATTTAGACCCACGAAAAGTGGATGAGCCGATTGGGGGGCAAACCAATATAAATTTGCGAAACGATCATCTTTCCTATCTAATTACATGGTACTCCTTATCTGGCATAACATTGTTCATGTGGTACTCCAAATTTTTGCGCTGAGTTGCAATAAAATAGGTTATTGTTACTTGTTATGGAATAAAAACAGCTTGTATGACGATTTTATTTATATCAACTGTTTTAAAATGACGTCTTTCATGTCATTGAGTTCATTCTTCCCCAGCAGCAGCGATTCGTTGTCCTAAAACAAGATAAGTTTTGAAAAAAGTGGTAGCGAACCTCTTCTGTAAGACGGTTAGTCTCTTGAAGATTTTTCTCAACCTCCGTTAACTGTTGTTGCATAGTCTGTATGTCAGCTGAATTGGACTTCATTTTAGGCAGAGAAGGCTGTGTTTCAGCTCCTTGGGCCAACTAAACGAAACTAAATCATTAACAAACCCACTTACAAGTTTCTGTAATTCCTGTCGAAGGGTAGTAAAGACTTTAATGTTTGCTACTTCTTTGATTCGATCTACATCAGCTCGGTAGTCATAAAAAGAATTCACCATCAAATTTCCATTTTCGACCGTCTCTCGGAGACTTTTCTCTACTACAACCGAAGTTTCAACGTTTAATTTAACTTACGCTCTTGTCGTTGGTCCATGTGGTCCGAAATACCCCACCAATTTCTGGGTAGATTCTGCGAAAAATGTACGGTTTGCTCACATAGAACAAAAAACGCCCGAGCCCTTCGCAGTTCGCGCCCGAACCGTGAGAGGTTCCGGAATTATACAAGGTGGGCCGTGAATCAGACAAGCTTATTAAATCGTCTTCATCAACGTTCATCGGTTCTTGTCTGAACTCAACTCGTATTGTAATGACTGTTACAAAATATTCATTTTATAACGAAAAGTAATTATCCCGATTTTTCTCATCTATTCAGTATTCGAAATTTTTTAAGCACAGGTGGACTGATACGGAAAGGTTGTCGCCCGCTGAAAAGGGTTTGGCCTTAGCCCACGTAATGTAAGAAGTTTACCTGTATGGTTTATCCTGCTTTTATTTTTTGTTACTATGTTGTGAGTAGGCTATATATAAAATTTGGTCCGAATTGGTACGCTTTGGACCGAGTTAGAAGGTGGGTCAAAACCTTTTACGCGGAGGATATATAAACTAAGCGTATCAATCAGAATCCTCGGTGACGCCTAGAATGCTTTGCAGGACGAATAACCCAGTTATTAAGCCGAAAGCTTTGATCGTATAAAATGGTTTTCGCAACAAACAAAAAAAAGTTTTTCTGGCGTTTTTTTGTCGTTTTGTGCAAGCCGTGTAGATTTTTCCAAAAATTATCTCAAACAAAAAATTTGGCGGGAATGTTTTCGTTGCAAGAACCAACAAATGGACTAATCTGGTACCAAATGTCGCTGTTTTTAATTTTTTTATCAAAGAATAATTGTTCTGCAGAATTCTGCAGTAAAAAAGTCAGTTCGTTGACGTACTTCGTTTAATAACCATTGGGCCGTGGCGTGCTCCTTTGATGTTTCCTTGTTCGGAAACATCAATTTTCTCTCAATTTCCGGTAAATAAATAAAAATCGATTCTACAGTAATCCTGAACCGGACCCAGTTCTCAAAATGTGGTTTAATATTAATTATACGTAATACTAAACGCGGTGGGATCTTTTTCACCGCGTTCTCCATGCGGCCGTTATGTTATACTTACAAGGGCTCGGCAAAACCTCATCCCCTGGTTTTATCTTGAAACATATACCATTCGAAAGAGCGTAAAAAAATGATCTAGGATCACCTTGAATTAGCTGCTATTATCCACTTACGGGCTGGCTAGCGGGCATTTTTTAAAATTTCCAAATTGGATTTTGGAACTCTTCTGAGACGTGAACGAGATCGAAGAATCACTTTTCATATAAATATTAGTCATTTATGAGGTTGAACGCTTCAACCTATGTCAAAAAATACAAAAGGTTTTCTGAGTTTGAGACATTCAGGTTGATGTACTCAATGAGTGATTGCGCGATGTTTTAGGTCCTGTAACTCAAGACAAACGAAGATGTTCCAAACATGTAAAACATTTTCAGACTCAATTTTTACGTACTTTCCGTTAGCGGGCATTCCTAGTAAAAATATGAAAGCCTTCGAAAGTTTCAACCACCCAGGATGTCCCACTACAAGGTCAAAGAGGCCAAAATAAAAAAAAACGAAAAAGTTGTAGTTTTTTCTTTTAAAATGGACCTGAGTATACGCAAAAGTCTAGTCAAAAATTAAACATAACTTTCTGACTCTATTTGTTCCATACTAGCCAGAAAAATAAAAAAATTCAAAAGAGGATTCGAACCTGCTTCGCAGGTCCTTGAGCAGCGCCTTTCCCCACTAGGCCACCGAAGCACTGCTTCGGTTTGCTTTTGAAACCGATCGCGTTTGTTTTCTCCAAAGAAGGGTGATACTAGCCTAGAACTAAAAAATTCTCGCTAGCCAGCGCGTAAGTGGATAATAACCAATTTTTTACGCTCTTTCAAATGGTATATGTTTCAAGGAAAAACCAGGGGACGAGGTTTTGCCGAGCCCTTGTTAGGTACGAAAAATATGATCGTGATAATTGAATTTGCCCCATACCTGTTGGACACCAGCTGTAGTTATGAAATAAATGTAGGATGTCTAATTTAGAAACGTTGAGATGGAGGAGCACGGCTTAAGCGCATGCTGTCTACCGAAATGTAACCAAGAATGTGAAGAATGCTTTCTGTCCTGCCAATGAGAACTTATTTTTTCATGACTAGTCTTTGTCTGCTTTGATTTTTTGTCCCTGATAATATCCACGATAAAAATAAATAATATATTTATTAAGAGGCGACTTTTGTAAAACAATTCCCGTAACAAACGTCGGACATAGGATTTCAAGCCCCCTGGTATGGTAAGTCTACGTGTTCACTGTGTGGGCTTAGCTTGTCTGACCTTGCAATGGACATTTATCCGGATCATGTCGGCCACGTTCGGGAGATATGTCCTTAGGCACAGATTTTGACGCGTCTCTTCCTCAGATCCCTGAAAGAGCAGAACGCATAAATGACAACGCATCTGTAGGTTATCTACCGTGCTGAGTATTTTTGTATCTGAAAGTTTTTTTATCGCAGTGCTGTAAAGTACCATAGTGATAAGGTATGAAATTTCGCGACCTTTAATGTACAAGGGATCGGCAAAACTTGTCCGTTCGTCAAGTCGTTGGAGTGGTATGCACTCTGAGAAAACAAAAGTTCACATTGCACCGTGCAATAGGCTTTTTCGGGCTGTCGCTCACACCCTGACTTTTCTTGCACAGTTCACGTCGCCGAAATCACTCTAGCGGCTTCGCGAACGGACTAGTACTTGCGCCCTGGTTTCATAACCAGGTCGTTTTGGCCGCAATTGACCCCCGTTTTATAAAAGGATCTATGCCCTATGGCAAATTGGGTAGCTAATTTTCTTGCGATGTAAACTATGTTTAAAAGACGATTTTTGGCTCGCTGCGTCAGCGGTGGACATAGGAAAAAATCGATTTTGAGTTTTTTGCATAAAAATGACCGTCGACATGTGCTAAGGAAAAGCGAACAACAGTTTTTCTTAATTCTGCCCGGAAGGCATAAATTTGCTTAAATTTGTCTTTTTTGGAATTTTCGACCTGGTGAAGTCATAGAAAGAGCAAATCACCCAAAATTTTGCTTGTGTACGTTTTCGACCTTTAGGAATTCATTTTTTTGAAAATTAAGTCTCTCAGATTACTGTAACATAGGCATATTGTAATCCGGTCGATAAAAATCGACCGTAACTCCTTCGTATCAAAAATCCCACAGGATTTTATTTCAGATTCGGAATCAGCATAAAATTCTGCATATTATACACATAATGTGAGGTCATAACTCCAGGGGGGAGATCGCGTAGTATATTGGATTTTGGCAAAAAGTACGTTTGAAAGGTCGCGGGTTCGATCCCCGCTTGGTGCAAATATTGAAAACACGGAGGAAATCGCGTTTAATGGACACCTAGGGGTTATATGAGATACACTAAGCAATTTTAAACATTAATACATATCTAATTGCGATTAAAACTGATTTTATATAATCTTTGGAGACTGAATATGCAAAAAATGAAATTGCTTCAAACCGCTTGAAATTGGCAACACTTATTCTAGGGTCCATTGTAAGAAACTTTTGTGTTAACTTTTTTTGGCAGATCACCGTACCATGGATTACTGTAGCATTAAACGTGTCCTGATTAACAGCAATTTTCTTCAGAATTCTTGCATAAAATATTAAATCGTTTTAATTAGTCGTTTTAGACAGCGAAAAGATCCACTTTCTATATATGAAAGAAAATTCGACCTTAATTGCAACGGGTCTTGATGTCATAATCAATTGGTGAAAGTGCGTCAAATAACTCGGCCATTCCAAACGGTACAGCCATAAAAATTTTTTTGTACACAAGAAAACCCTTTCTTAACCATTCTGAGCACAATGATGACAATCCGACTTCTATGCGCCATGTGGTACACGAAAAACCAAATAAGGTTTAATGTTGCAGTAATCCATGGTACGGTGATCTGCCAAAAAAAGTTAACACAAAAGTTTCTTACAATGGACCCTAGAATAAGTGTTGCCAATTTCAAGCGGTTTGAAGCAATTTCATTTTTTGCATATTCAGTCTCCAAAAATTATATAAAATCAGTTTTAATCGCAATTAGATATGCATTAATGTTTAAAATTGCTTAGTGTATCTCATATAACCCCTAGGTGTCCATTAAACGCGATTTCCTCCGTGTTTTCAATATTTGCACCAAGCGGGGATCGAACCCGCGACCTTTCAAACGTACTTTTTGCCAAAATCCAATATACTACGCGATCTCCCCCCTGGAGTTATGACCTCACATTATGTGTATAATATGCAGAATTTTATGCTGATTCCGAATCTGAAATAAAATCCTGTGGGATTTTTGATACGAAGGAGTTACGGTCGATTTTTATCGACCGGATTACAATATGCCTATGTTACAGTAATCTGAGAGACTTAATTTTCAAAAAAATGAATTCCTAAAGGTCGAAAACGTACACAAGCAAAATTTTGGGTGATTTGCTCTTTCTATGACTTCACCAGGTCGAAAATTCCAAAAAAGACAAATTTAAGCAAATCTATGCCTTCCGGGCAGAATTGGGAAAAACTGTTGTTCGCTTTTCCTTAGCACATGTCGACGGTTATTTTTATGCAAAAAACTCAAAATAGATTTTTTCCTATGTCCCGGGTCCATTACGGGCTGACGCAGCGAGCCAAAAATCGTCTTTAATGCTCTTTCAAATGATATATCTTTTGTCATGAAACCAGGTGGCAAGTATTTGCCGATCCCTTGTAAACGAAAGGTTGCGAAATTTATACCTTATCACTATGGTACTTTACAGCGCTCCGATCAAAAAACTTTCAACTACAAAAATACTCAGCACGGTCGATAACCTACAAATGCGTTGTCATTTATTCGTTCTAGCTCTTTCAGGGATCTGAGAATGAGACACGTCGAAATCTGTGCCTAAGGGCATATCTCCCGAACGTGGCCGACATGATCCGAATAAATGTCCATTGAAGGTCAGACAGGCCATAGGCACACAGTAGTCATGTAGCCTGGCGATTCCGAAGGAGGTCCAAAATACAGTGCGGGTCATAATAATAACCGCAATTTGAAATGATTGTAACTTTTGTTGTTGTTCACAGAAATGTGTCATATTTGGCACTTATATGCATCAGTGTACTAGAAATGATGCGCCAAAAAAATTATTTTGAAAAGATTCCGTATTTTGGAAAAAAGCTGCAAAAACCAAAATTTTGGTACTTTCTTTGTCGCAAAATTAAATATAACCGCACTTTGAGGTATTAGCCTAATGAAAACACAGAATATGAATAGCTAATGTTTAGTTATGCTTGCTGAAGCCTTAATAACGTCCATAACACGACTGGGAACCCCATGGACAAACTTTTTTAGGCGTATCCTGACCAATATTGTTCCTGAATCGGAAAACGGCAGACTTTCGCTCAGATACGTCAGAATACTGCTTGTTGTGGCGGTATGATTAACGAGCCAAGAGGCCCCACAAGTTTTCTGTCGGTTTTAAATTCAAGGAATATGCGAGCTGTTAAGGGAACTGGTTGTCGACCTGCTATGGTGGACGTGGGCATTCTAAAACTGAAAGTGTAGCCTGGTTGCCAGTACGGTACCGAATGTTTTCCTAAGACTTCTTGGTACTCAAGACTATTCTTTTGAATTGCTGTGGCCGCCGACGGAGGAGCCCTTGCTTCTTTGAAGGCGCCTCAAATCATCAACGAGCCACCTCTATAATCACGGCATGAGAAGTAACGCGATTCGCTTTTAATGTCATTCCATTGATATGTAAAACCATCAGTTCTTTCGCACGATTACGCAATCTACAAGGAGTATGGTACTGCAACGGTCAAACGTCGGTTTCAGCGACCTTTGACTAATCAACCTGTCTTTCTTTTCCAAAATACGGAAACTTTTCAAAATAATTTTTGACCCGTCATTTCTAGTACATTGGTGCATATTGGTGCCAAATATGCCACATTTCTATTGACAACTACAAAAGTTACAACCATTTTTAAAGAACGGTTATAATTATGACTCACACTGTACTGTTCCCGACGAAGCGCCCACCTTGCAAAAATCGTCTCTTAAAGATGCAAGTACCCGTACAGTATGAGTTTTCAGGAAATGTTTGGCTGATGTGGATCTACAATACGATATTGAGAATTAAAAAACAAAAGGCTTTTCAGAAGGGGAATCGCAGTAATCCGTGGTGTCGGTTCGACCTGTAAAAATAGAGAACCGGGATAACATAGTTCTGGTCCGGGAATGGATCGGCGAATCGAGGCCGTACGAGTCCAAACTGGAATTCCCAATCGAATCCAATTGGCGAAGGCAAGGCTTCTGATCAGCTTTGAAGACCGAAGGGACCGGATTTCTCCTTGGTCCGAAGGCCAAGGCCGAGCTGGCCAAAGCGGTAGTGCAAGCTGCTGCTGTTCCCATTCTGCCTGGTTGGCATGCTCTATTCTAAAAAATATTGTTTAGACTTTTTGGACTAATACTATACTTATTTTTGCACAACTTACCTGTTGCGTTGAGTCCACCACCGCACAGAGAGCGCCGCTTTTCATCTCACGCAAGGCAAAGTTAAATACTTTGACCATTGTTTTCTGAATATTGGATGAGCTTATTTGCTGGAAGTTAGCGCCCGGCCATCTGAAATATAGAAATAATTGATTAATTATCCGTAATTATGAATGACTAAGAGATGTTTGTTGCTTCGTCGAAGTGACGTGTTAATCCCTGCATTCCTAGATGGGTCTAACGAGTTTTCGAAAGTCCTATTTGAGATTGGGGAATATTTTTTTGGCGGTTTCCTTTTTTCATTATGGTTCTTACTTGTTAACGGCGTAATTGTTGATGGATGACATTAAGGTGTCCCTAACCAACTTCCATTGTTCCGCCCCACAATAATTGTTCACTTCGAAATGATTATATCCAATCTGGCGACACAAATCCTTCCATTCGACCACCGAGAAGTTCTTGGACGTCAGTGCGAAGAGGACCTCCTCTGCAATAATAATTGCCATGATTAAGAATAATACTGTACTTGTTTACAAAACGAAGGTATTTAAAAACAGACTTGCGGTAATCTTATCGTTTAGATTTAAGGACCTACCTATGGCGTTTGCTAAAAGGACACCATGACGCTGTAGTCGGGCTTGTTGGAGCTGATGCTTCTCAAGGCCTTCCTTCCCTTTCAAAGTCTTGTTTTCATTCAGATCAGAACCAATCAAAGCATTTGCAATCTGGGGATTCTCTCGGCATAACTGAAATGCAAAATATTATTTAATCTTTTTAAATAATTGTTATTGTATAAACTCACAACAGTCAGTAATTCTGTGCTGATTTTATATTTGTGAGCAGAGAATCTTGACAACAACAATTCCGCGATCTCCTGATCTATGGCCACAGTCTTACTGCTGTTACCCAAGGTCGTGATTGTAATGTTCGAGTATTTTTTATGCTGTAATTAAATTACATTTATTGTCTCTTAAAAAGTCGAAACAAGAAAGAATGTAAACCTACTCCCATGATTCGTGGCCAATGATAAAAGATGAGCCAATTGGTGGCGGAATGGAGGGCCAGCAGCATGTTGGAGAGGTCGGTCAGATAAAGCGACCGGATGTACTGCTCGATGTCGATCTCCGTTTGTTGACTGCTCGTCTTCCCACCATAACCCATGACTTCCATAAGCACTGTGTTCACCATGTAGAGGGTATTACACATGATGAATTTAATATTCAACAAGGTTAACATATAATGAATATTCCTACGAGCATGGATGGTTTGAGACCCAACAGTCCTTCGGGAAAAAATCTGGAGCGTTCTGATGGTTAAACAAGCGATGGCGATGATGGGAAGAGGGGCTCGGAAGATGATATCCGGAATCAGATGGACTACTGTAAGGAAATTGGGATTACACAAAAGAGTGGGAGTAGAAAGCTGGAAGATTACTTACAAATCGCGTAATACTGGTTATTGACGACAGGGAGAGTGGAGATCATCGTCCTGACCTCGAAGCCCGAGGGCGTGAACTCGTAACAATCTTTCAATTCCCTCTCGAAAGGGACCACCACCATATTTAAAAGAAATGCCCCCAGGGCAATTCCGGCACAAATTGCGCGAACGGAGAACTGAGCATTGCGGGTCCGCTGTTCCAACGGCTTGCTGACAGCTGTATAGCGTTCGATTGTAATCGCCAGTACTTGCCATATTGTTCCAGTCACGCAGAAACTGGCAAAAGGTTGAAAGAAGTACAAAAGATATGCAATTATCCCGACAAACGGCATGATCCCGTGATACAATGATATGATCCCGTAGGTCGACAAACAGCACAACAATAGGGCCATGTCCCACATACACAGCATGGTCAAGTGACAGGCCAATCGACGAGAGAAATATCTGGACTTGTGGATCTGGAATTAGAGTGACATTAAACATGTTTGCGGATTTATGCTCATCCAGAAATGTAATCCAAGATTGTAAGTAGCTTATGTCTGGTTTTACTTACTTGATAAACGAACATCGAGTTCCCAAGAAGGCCAAATGTGGCCAACAAACAGGTTATTATTCCATTTACAACAAAACTGAACTTGGCGTAACTGAAATTGGAGTCATAAACAGTTGAATTTTACTAAAATTACGTTAAAAATGGATCCAAGTGGCATCTTAATGATTTAAATTTAAAACAAAATTAAAAGAAAACTTACTTCTCGAGTTGCAACAACACATTTCTTGCTTGTTCATCGTCTTCGGCGGTTGTTTTGTAGAACATAATCAGGTCGAAACACCAGGATTCTGCTGGTGGGGGCTCCAAGAACAGGTCATCTGGGACCGGGTTGGAGCCTGACTCATTTGACCCGAGCTCGGCCATGTCCCCGACCCCCAATCTTCTGAAACCCGAGGTTATGAGTCTTCAAGAAACGCGTCGTTTCCTCGTTCTCACGCCCTTTCCCATTTGAAGGACTTACTGCCCTTAGGGGGTAGATCGGCCCGCCTTTTCGAATAATCACTGGGAAACAGGAATTATCATTTCTCGGGGATTAAGGGATATCCAGACAAGAATGGAGAATTTCTACAGTGTTTCGGCAGACGGGGGAATGTGGTGATGATGTTAGACCCTTATTGTTTGATAAAAGTTGCATTAAGAAGGTGTTAGTAATGTTTACCGCATTTGAAGAATCGTATAATCGACGAGATGTCTGAATGGAACAAGCCAATGACAAGTTTTTCAATCCGATCCGTAAACAACGCCCCCTCAACTGGCCATCAAACTCGATTATTGGGGCATAGACGAAATCCCGGAAAACATCCCGGAACTGCGCGAACCTGCAACACTTGTGTCGAAAAAGTGGATTATGAGCCGGGCAAAAGCCCGCCGTTCTCTTGAACGGCCCTCAGGGCACAAATTTTATTTTTAGTCACGCCCAAAAAGAAAAACTTTCAATTATGCAAATGAACGCGCGAAACCCGAGGCTGGCCGGCCCTTCTGAACATGAAATCCAGAAAGACGGGCTCTTTGCCTGGATCAGCCGTCAACGCTCCTCAATACTAATTAAGGCCAGGCCCGACAGTTCTCGACAAGTGCAAAGAAGAAGAGACATCAATGCAAGATGCCCTGAGGGCAGGATACGGAAAGACAAATTGTTACCAAACACAACAATACTTATCTAAATGAGTTCCAAGTGTACCCCCACCCATCCTTTAAGGTGCTATGTGTATCTTGTTTGAATTTGTAGACATTAAAGGATTTCCCCATCTTTTATCTTGTCCCATAAAATATTCAAAGTAAAAATACAGTAATAACCGTATCTAAAAATAAACTTTTAACACTTTTAAGGAATGCAACGCTCACAGTTGATGGCAAAAATATTTTTTTAGTTAAAAGTCATTGGAAAAATGTTAGACTGAAGAGATTCTCGCAAGATCTTTATCAGATATTACAAATAACAAGTGTCAAAAGTAATCATTATGAAACTTTCACGAGGGAAGTCGTTCTAATCGCAAGTGGGCTTAAGCACGAGACGGGTATATCTGATGCCGAATGCTCAAAACTGTGTAAGGTGAAACTCATTTTTTGGAATGACCGCGGATTTCGCAAAAATCGGCCAATAAGTTTGACCGAAAAAGCGCACTGAGTAGTCTGAAAAACCCTTCGAACAAAGGTTACCTCCAATCGCTTCCCATACTATACCAATTGGATTCCATACTGTACGAAGCAGATAAAAATGCAGGTTAAAAAGTGTCGAATTGATGTTTTATGACTACTCTTGCGACCTAGGGCGTGACCAGTCCTGTTGGTCGTTCGAAATCCTCTTGAGAAAAAAAGGGCAGGGATATTATACTAGCAGACATCCAGAAGCATAAGGACTGAACTTTATATTTCACCTTTGTCATTAATTTGCCGCAATGAAGATATCAAAAAAGGACAATGCAAGTCTAAGGCAGTAGTCCCTATATTTCTGAGAATATAAAAATATAGATTTATCTTCACCATCAAACCTTGTTCATTAAAGTTTATTCATAAAATTGACGGTCTCAGATGGAAAAAGGTAAAAGCATTTAGAAATTTGTATCCCAAGGCCATATAAATATCCATTCTTACTACTACAATTACTCAAAACGAACTTGTAGATGCATAAAACCATTGTACAAAAAATATTAGTATTCAGAAAAAAAAAAATAATTCAAGTCCTGGAAATTAATCTCAAAGTAAGGCTTTTCAGATTCTTTCCAGTTAAATCGATGAATGAAGTAATCAGAGGAGCACACAAAGACTTTAAAAGCCCCTCAAATGACGACTTATTACACTGAGATTTCTCTGGCAAGGGCTTGCCGTGAAAGTTTAACGCAGTTCTGGTCTTACAGGGAAATGTTGTTTCAGGTATTGACATCATTGGCAATAACTATTCACTTCTACCGCACTTTTCACATACACTTTGAGGAAGTTTGACTGGAGTAATTGGCCACAAAAAGAGTACCGACAATTACTGCAAACAAAGCCAATCACCAGTTTTTCTAATGCGAAGTCAGGCTTCAGAAGGGAGAATCCGTTGTAATTCGTGGTTCGAATGACAATCAGATTCCGGAGAAGGAAGGAAGGGCGTGGGCCAGAGCCACTTCTCTATAGGTATCATTGCCTCAAGTCTCTGTAATTCTTACGCATAATCAAATTCAAAGCATTCGCTAAAGATTTACGTAAGAAGATACGCAAAGGTCTGCGGGATTGTAACAAAACGGCCAAAATTACTGCAGAAAGAGTTAGTTTGGACATTAAAAGATGACAATGGCCTTGTTGAGAGTCGACGAGATAAACGTATTCTATTGTTACGAGTAATCGAGAGATTAGATAAAAAATGTCACCCTCAGGGATTGCACGCACATCAGGGGTCCTATTCGAATACATATTTAAGGAATATTCAACAAGATAAAGTTATTTCGGACTAATCCCCTCCTGTCTCAACATCAAGACTTACTCTATTTACGACATCTTTTTATAACATAATCGTAAGAAAAGGTTGTGGTAAATATATTTGAAAAATGTGAAAAAATCTTCACAAAAAACATTTAAACAGGAAGACGGAGACAGTGCTAGTCATTACTGGCTGTTAAGGACTGAGTCCGGATTAAATGTAAGGGCTGCCCATTTCGAATCCTAAAACCCTTCAAAAAGAGATTTAAACAAATTTATAAATATTCAAACAGAGCCAAAAAAGTTTGGACATAAGGCCAAATGAGATTCTTGTTCTAGGAATTTGGATATTAATTTAAATTGAAGGCCAGTAATGTAAGATCGTTGAAAAAATACCGTAAACAAATTCCTCCACTTTATTGTCTTGGGCTGGAAAAAAAAAGAATAAAAATGTCTTCAATTTTCAACAAATATGACCTGAATGTATAGGATGTGTTCCTGACTCAAACACGCGATGGTTACAATTAATTAAACATAAAGAGAGCCAAATGTAAAACTTGCTCTACAACTCTCGAAATAACCCTAGTCCAAAAACAAAATTGTTTGAATTGTCATCACGCAGCCATACTGTAAACAAAAGACCGGTTTAATGTGGCCAGACTCCTAGCCATGCCCAAACATGTCCTTGATGACGGTTCAATATTTCCTTCAAGAATTGCTGCTATTCTCTCTGAGATTTTATTTTTTATTTGCCTTTTCCAGTGCTGGCTGTGGATAAATAATCTTCCGAATCCTTTCAATTCTGATACGACTCTCCTATTCGGGTGACAAAGAACAATAACAAATGGTAGGTATTCCGTTTATTTTAATGTAACTAGTGTAAACTAAGGACGGAGATGACAAAGAACAACAGGAAACACAGGCAGACTCAGAAAAGGACTCCAGAATTCAAGGGGTTTCTCTCATTTCAAGAGGATCCAAAGAAAAAACTCTGCATGATGGCTCCAAAATATCAGAACATGATGAAAAAAACGAAAAGAAGACGAATGAAGGAAGAAAAAAATACAAAGAAGAGGGAAATCAGGAGAAAAAAGAAGGAGAGAGAGAGAAAAGGAGGGAAAGCAGAGACGATCCTGATGATAAGCTCAATGAACCGACGAAATGTAACCTCAAGAAACGCGAGGGAAATGCAAAAGTAAGTAAAATTGGTCGTTTTAAAAGTCACATACTTTAATCTCGAATAACATTATTCGTGAGATCTTTGTCTCTTGATCATTATCAGATTAATTTATAATTTTTTTTATTTATGATGACGCTAAGAATGTAATTACTCGTCCTTCAAAACCAAAAAAAGAACCTAGAAAATGTCAAGGATCAATTCGAAGTAAGGTTTCATCAGCAACAAGTAAAGTGAAGGAAGATGATGACAAAAGAGGCAAAGGAAAAGAATCCAAGGAAGCGAGTGTGGAGAAGGAAGGGGAAGAGGGCCCTGCGTTGGTATCCACCCACAAGGTGCCTTTTTTGGACAAATTAATTGACAAGGATGCGGATGCGCGTGATCTATACCAACAGATTCCGAGGGATCGGGTACCCATTGACATTTGCGTCAAGAAAGAATTCACTTTGACATTCCCTCCGGCTAATCCGGTAGGTCAAAAAAGTGAAAATATTATAAGTCTTGATTGTTAGAGAGAGATCGTTTTATACAAAACGATGCAAGTGATAGACATCCCTCCAAGTCATCATGGGGCCATCCATGAACAAGAAGATGTGGACTCTCTAGATCTGGGCGACTGGATTTGTTGTATTAACGATCAAGCTGTCACTGATAAGAATCATTACAATACAATTGTAAAGAAACTTTCGAAACAAGAAACTCCTTATACAGTAAGTTCTCGAAATAAAATTAAACTTTTGTAGGTAAAGTATACGGTCCTAAGAACGGTCAGAAAAAAGGAAATATCTCAAGAACAGGTGTCTCTGATGGTCTCCAGGGCTTTCGAGTTTACTCCCGGCTACATTTATCTGGTCGGATTCTTGTGTTTATATCCAGGAAGTTCGCTGGGGATTAATGTCAAGTCATATTACAACAAAGTTTATGTATCCGGAACTGATAATGGATTCCAATCATTGGGAAAGAGAACCTTTTTGGTGGGCGATGTCATTCTCAGCATCGATAACATTGATACCACTACTGTGAAAGAAGTCAAGGAGCTGCTGAAAACAAGGCTTAACAGCAGGACCCCGTTTGTAAGTCCTTTAGTCATAATTTGTAAAAACCGTTATTTTCTGTTACAGTGTATGGTGGCCATAGAACGCCCGTGCAGTCCGTTGGCTCTGAATCGAGCAAAGATGGCCTTAATGGCCGAAAAGAAGCTAGAAAAGGATCCCAGGATGATGGATGACGTCATCGCCATCTGCAACCTTGAAAAGGAACTCCTGAGTAAACAAGAATCACAAATTCCTCCATCAATTTACCGTCCAAAGGAGCTTCGGGACCAATCAAAAAGTGTTAATGTACATCCAGAAGCCCGGGAAATCCCCATTCAGTGCGATTCTATCAACCCTAAGCTCCTCCAACGTTGCCCTCCACCTCCCGGTCCTAACCTTAGAAGGGTAAAATGATATAAAAACAAATGGAATGCTTGAAAAAGCCGTTACTTTGTATGTAGAATAATAATAGCCCCTCCCACCCTTTCGGGAAGAGATAAACGGCAAGAAAAGTTAATGGTCAAGTCGTATTCAGCGTTGAAACTGACACTTTTTTGTGACACGAATGTTAAGTAATGTAAGAGCGTAAAGAACAGCCAATTGGAGAAAAGATCGACTTTTAATTAGAGCGAAACCAAGCAGCAAGTGTGAAGTAAATAAATATTTTTCCTCGTTTTATTTTATGTTTCTATAAATCCATTCACATTTAATAAATGTTTACAAAGAACTCTGTTAGTGAAAGTATTGTACATCGCTTGGATCATCTCCATTCAGAATTCGAACATGGGCCAATTGAGAATACACCTTGCCTTTGAATAACCTCTGATCTGGATGATGAGCCCGTTCTTTTACCAATTTCCTTAAGCAATAAAACGCCGCTGGCTGATAGTCTGCATATAATTTATGAGCAACAAGCTCGGGTCTAGCCAGGAGAGTCGGGATATCCTTAATTCCATAGACGCAAGAAGTATGGACATGTTTTCCTAAACAAATCGAGTGGACTTATCGTTACGTAACTTTTATACAACTTACCGTGGCATCTTCGTCTAGATCCAGCCCAAACTTGATATCTCGGAATATAATAAGACACCAAATTAAAGGGCTCCTCCTTTGCGTCATTCAACTTTACGATTGGTTCTTTCATCTTCATACCCTTAATCGATTTGAACAAAGCGTCTCTCATTGAGGGAAGATCGAAGGAACCGGGTGCTGGGAATACTGCAATCATATCGTATCTCTTCATTAGCCTTACACTTCTTGTTTCCAAATAAAGTTCCCCATAAGACTTCATCCGGACAAGTAGGTAAGCGGGCCTTACTTATTTCTTTAAACAGGACCTTAACTCTCGCATTAGTTACTGCATAATTCGCGGCTTCTCTGCTGATCACCGCTGACATTGATGACTTGTATAGTGGGAGTTCAAATCTTTTCTGTGAAATAAAACGAATGATACTAGAACTTACCTCTTCTATTTTATTTCTCCTTGTCACCTCGGTAATTATAGCTCCGTTTAGGGCTTTGAATAACTGAACCATCTCAAAGTTCGTCTTCAAAGGAAGATCGTGGTTGGAAATGTATTGATAATATTGCCAAGGATGGGAGGCCTTTGTGAGATATTCAAAACATCCATATAACGCTTTTAATGTTCCGATTGTGCACCATTTAACTTTTGGGAACTCCTAAATGGGGTCAATAATTAGCACAGCAACACTTACAATTACTGTAATATTTGGAAGACACTTTTCAAGTAACTTGACCTGATTTTTGAAGATTTTTGGACTCTTTCCATCAACTCCAATGCAATAAAAATTTTGCGGATGATAGAAGGCACTGAGGACTGACAATACTTGATAAATATTTTTATAAACGTGAAAGCCGTAAGACAATGGGAAAATGGATTCAGACTCGCTGAGCGGATGTCGGGGAAAATCAAAGAGATTGTGGAGAGCCTGGCAATCTATTCGGTCAGCGTTTGGATAAACTGAGGACACACTCTCCTTATTCGGAATCCAGAGTTCAGCCTCATTTATCCATTTCTCATCAACTCCTTGGGCCAATCTATCACAATCAATGTCATCATGCGAACTGTTAGTTTCACGTGTTCCTCTAGCTTCACTTCGTCCAAAATTATCTTGCTGGCTCCAAGAAACATGGAAAACAAAAAGTAAAAAATAAGTCACAAGAAGCAGAACTAGTAGCCATCGTGTCTTCCATCTGTGAATTATCCTGTACGGCCACATTGATCGAACTGCACACTCCCATTTATCAAGCCTTTTTATAAAATATTTTCATCCCGTTAATTCCAGCTCCTCAAGAGAACATCTTTGCACACATTGAGCTGTAAAGAAATGCTTATATGATTTATTTACTCTCCCCAAATAAAACTGAGTGGATATGAATATAAATGTTTGGTTGTCTAGCAATGTCTTGGTATCCCAGAGAGGTCATCCTTGTTTGGAGACCGTCGCTCTTTGTTTGAAGTTGGCCATACAAGTAGGAGCCGAGGGCCCGGGTTCTGGATATACGGTCCCGATGAAGTCTTTCCCATTCTGACTTAGATCATAACTTTGCACATTGACAGGACATCCATCAATAAGTGTCTGAAATGTTATTGTGGTAAACAAACCACAACCTACTTCACATTTCTTATTGCCCCTCCTGGCCAAGAAACACATTGAAAGAAGCGAGAAATCAAAGGCCGGCGATGTTCCCATCAAGAAACTGCCAGTCTTCTTAACCAAACTTCCCCATTTAAAGTTTGCTGATGCAATTATATCCTGCACAATTACGTAATCATTGCGTACACACAACTTACAGCCCTTTTGATGATGAATCCCCTGTAGTTGAGTGTATTCTTTGGATCATTTTCAAAGTTATTGATCACCACCCAATTATGCATCCCCGAAACCTCTCCATTCTTGGCCTAAATCAAGACTCTTTACAATAATTTTCAGCTCACCTCGCCGATGAAAACATGCTCGAAAGCCGAGGAATCCAACTTTCCCTTGGCTCTGGAGAACATTCCAAACCAGAGATCATACATGGATTGCTTGAGGACATCGGGAGTCTTGGCAAAAGGATGATTCTTTTTCCTAAGGACATCGATCAATTGTTTAAAGGGGCCACTGTTAAAGACGGCCATAATGAACGCCTTCTCCTTCTTTTGCTTGTCCGGACTGTTGTCTTCGGCTATTCCAGTCTGGGGATTAAACAAGGGTACCAGATCCAAAAGGGCTTTAAAACTGGGCTGGTTCAAGACGGAAGGTCGGATCCATTTGAATAAACTGTAAGGGTTGCATTAATCACCATCATGAACCCACGATTTTTCGGCATAATCCGACTCTCCACCGTCAAAGTGCCCCTGATAATCTACATAAAATTCGCAGAACTTGGGTTTCTCATCGTCGGCATCTCTCATTTTCTGGGCCAATTCCTTGATCTCGACATCTGTAAGGTCCAAGGCGGGGATAGCAGCATTGCCATGATAATAAAAAAATGAGAGAACAAGAATACACAGCCACATGGACGGGTTGTCCAACACAATGACTTCCACGACCTTAAACTCGTTATCTCTTGTACAAAACCTTGTTTGATCACATGTTCAGTAAACAGTAGGAGCAACACAGAAAAAAGCAGGACACCCATTGAGGTCATGGCATACGTAGTTGCAAGGCGTGTAAATAGACCGGCCTGTGTCATCAGTCGTGCAAATGGATCGTCATTCCGGGCAGAAAAGCATAATTTGGCAATCTAAGAACCCTATTTACAAGTCACAAAACATTACAAGCATAATATAGAGGACCGCCGCGGAAGAATGTCGCTTCCATTTACAATAAATTCAACAAAAGTAACCATGAATATCAGTAAGATGGAGCTTTATTAATAACACGTTCAGGCAGTTTCAATATGTTGTTTTCAATATATAGCTTCCTTTGGCGCCCAGACAGAGCTGTTCCTCTGCAGAGGTTCAAACGTGGCCTTCGGTTCTGAGCGATGATCCGCAACGTTTTTTGGAGATCGGTCCCCTTCCTAACGCACAATTTCTTGGCGATTCTAAACTTTTGTGGCGCATAACACAGGTCCTGAATGCTCCTTGTATCGTGTCGTGTTTTTCGATGCGATTCCCTTTCTATATCGATCAAATTGAAAAAATTTTCTAGGTCAAATCAGCCCAAAAATCGTAGTCCCTTAGTTTGAGAAACAGTCAGTTTCTATGGCAAAAAAATGGGAGAATAGCAACCTATGGCAAAAATGTTGTGCATTCTACGCATTGCACGAAAGCTAGAGGTGGGCTAGAAGGATAAAAAGCGCACCACATTATGTAACTGATCATATACAGGGTGTCCAGAGAAATGTGCCGGAAAGTTTTTGTCGATTTCTTGGCGCTCAATCAAGATATCCGAAAGATTCTTTTTGCAGGATAAAGAAGAATATGGGCGGTTTTTTGTGCAAAGGAATCATTTTCTCCGCCAGCGCGGAAGGCAGTGTATTCGGCGGAGACTTTTGATAGCTTTTTTGATCATCACACCAACCTTAAACGCTTTATTATGAACTTTGATGGTTGAAACAAAGATATTTGCATATTTTCATGTTTACCAAGTGTTCGGCGAAGGTATGGCGGACGCTCGCCGAATCGGCGGAGGCCATAACTCAGCTGCGGACAAGACATGGTCCAACACAATTTTTATGGCCTGGCTAGAACACCCTGCTGGCTTCGTATGCCTTCGAAAATTTTTTTCACCAAGCTTTGGAAGAAGCTAAGCCATCGGAAAACCACTGGGCGCACCAGAAAACAACAAAATATTTTTTGTTCAAATTTCCTTTTGCCTTGCTGTTTCAAACCTCCGCACGGTGCACTCGGACTTTATCGGTGTTGCAGCGACAGGCTGCGCCGTGCAGTCGCTACATGGGATCGCATTGCGATGTCGCTGTCTGTGTGATTTATTGCGTCAAAAATTTGAAGACTTTCCGGAAGTTTCAGCATCATAATAATGCGTTTAAAATTGGTGTGATGGCCAAAAAAGCGATCAAAAGTCTCCGCCGAATACACTGCCTTCCGCGCTGGCGGAAAAAATGATCCTTTCGGACAAAAAACCGCCCAAATTCTTCTTTATCCTGCAAAAAGAATTTTTCGGATATCTTTATTGAGCGCCAAGAAATCGACAAAAACTTTCCGGCACATTTCTCTGGACACCCTGTATAGTCAATATCCGTCAATCACAAAGAGAGATGTCAGGCGTTTCACCAAGCATGTGTAAATCATTACAAGTACCAACATGTCGGACTTTAGCGGCTTGTAACTTTTTCAGAATCGGTCAAACCTGGCTAGAATTAAGCCTGTTTTTGACGGAGGAAACTTGAGTTATTTTGGGTGGTCAGAAAGTTTCGTCCACCAATTTTTGGAAAATTTGCATATTGCCTAAGAACAGATACATGAAAACCGCTTTTACGTGGCAGATTCTGTCATGACTAGTTATAAATGAATTTTGGCTGCTAAACTTTTTCTAAAAATAGTGGATTTATGGGTATTCAATGGCGTTGATTATGCGAAGCATTTTTTTTTTTTTTTTTGATTTTTACAATTTTACAGTACATGAACTCGCACCACCAAACTCATAAACCGAGAAGAAATTCAAAAGATTACTACTTTACACCTTCAGAAAAAAACTACCTAAGCGTAAGAAAAAATAACGGTACGGAACGATTACTCAAGAAAAAATAGCGGTACAGAACGCCGTGCCCTGAGATCTATAAACGGCAATGCAAAAAAAGAGAATTTATTCTCTCCCGCCATCGTATAAAAAATAATAATATCAACAACAAAAAATTAAACAAAAACGTTACAACAATCAAGAACATTCACCAAGTAACAAATAATTGGACCTTACACTCCACTAAATTAAATTCGATTTCTCTTGGGACAATGGCGCTGAGTGTGCGCCGAATCCCCAGAGGCTCCACAGATGGGACACTGGAACATTCGGAGACATGGACATTCCACCCGACCCTCCTGATCTCGAAGATTGTGTTGAGACCAGCGGCCTGGACCAGAAGTATCAATCCCCTAAAAAGTCGAAAGGATAAAACGTACAATATTTTATCAATGTCTTAAAAAATGGAGAACTCACATTAGCCTTGGCATTGTTGAAACAGAAGCCACAGAACATATGACTTCCCTTGCGACGAGGTTCGGTTGGCGAAACTAAAGGAGAAGTTCCGAAACCTTCAATGTTCAAACTCTTCAGATTGAAATCAAAAACATTCTTGGAGCCAGTCGATGAAGCCGAGTTAGGAGTCGCCAAATTGGAGAAGTGGGCACTTCGAGGCGGCGGAGGTAATCCAGGAGACAACGCAGCCACCGAAATAGGTAACAACTGAAACAATCAAACAATGAGGTCAAACAAGGTCAAACGTACCATATAACCATCGAGATAAGCGTGTCTTGCGTCAAAACAGTTTCCCAATTCGGTTTGTGTGCCCATGTCCTTCTTTGAAGTTGTTGGAGTCAATTGAGGAAGCATGAATCTAGTATCCTTCGGCCATGAAGAAGTTATACTTGGTTCTTCCACCTTGGGTAACCAAGCACAGCCGTGAAAATCTTGGTCTTTCTTTTCAACCTGCATTGACCAAACAGAAAACAAAATTACGATCGTAAATTCCGAAAATACGAATTCGTGGCCAATTATGTGACATTTCGTTCAAAAATTTGACGAGACCAGTTCCGAATTAAAATATTGATTCGACAAGGGACCTTCACAGGGAACTCGGATTTACTTATACGTACGCCTTTTTTACTTATATGAACTTGATAGGGGTTTAGGTACACAGGGAACTCAAAATCACTTATAAAAACTTTTATTTACTTATAAAAACTTCAAGTTTTTATAAGTAAATAAAAGTTCTTATAAGTGATTTTCAAATCACTTATAGGTAATTTTTATTTTCGGTGCCCGGGAAATTCACTTATAGGTAATTATAAATACTTATAGGTAACAGAAAATTATGCACAGTGCAGGATAGATAAAAATTTATTCAAACAAAGTAAAAAACAACTTGACTCTGATATATTACCGGTTACACATGTGGTTAGCGCATCTTCTGTGTCCTGACGGGGCTAATTTGCTTCTGTGCGGATTTTCTATGGGCACTCCTGCGGCTAGATGCACTGAAAATAGTCAAAGATAAAGAAAAAGTAAATAAAATTTTCGGAGATAGTTTATTATGAGGTCTCATTGAACTCATTTTTTGTGCTTTTCCATCCCAAAAATTAGTTTGAGGTTCAGAAATTTAGCAATGAGATTTCGAGACATCAAGTTTTTCATGTTGTACTAGGTCCAGGTGAATATTATCAACATACCTGAGGCATCCGAGGGTCATTTTTTCCAGACACTGTGTGCACGTTGCCCATTTACTTCCTCCACGAACATTTTGTGATTATCTGAAATAGTGGGTTCACCTGGACCTAGTACAACATAAGAAAACTATGTCTTGAAAAGTTTCTGGCCTTCTGATATGTGGAAGCAGTTTAAAAAACCTACCAAAATCGAGGAAAGAGTTCTTCATCCAAATTCTTGATTGATCATGCTTGTTTCTAGATCTTCCCAGGCTGTCTGCTCTTCCATTTTGACATGTTTCCTAATCGGGAAGTTTCTTATGTTCCGGATTTTTCATCTACCCACTTTTTACAGTCCTGTAAAAGAAAAAAACTCACTAGAAACCCCTTACCTTGTTCCATCCAACGTTTAAATACCCTCTTTGACCAGTACTGCTACGAAAAACTTAGAATTTCTAAGTCTCGCCCATGCGTTCAAAAAGCCAAAAGCGTCTTTGGCGCTCAACTGTTTTCTTTTCGGAGTCCTTATTGGTAATTATAAGTAAATAAAAGTTCTTATAAGTAAATAAAATTTCTTATAAGTAAATCAAAATAGGCTCCGCCTTTTTTTAACTTATAAGTGAATTTTTGGGAAATATTTTTACCTATAAGTAAATAAAAGTTTTTATAAGTAAAAACGAATCCCCTGTGTAGGACGTTAAGTCAAAGTGCGATTGATTTTAAAACCCGAAAAACCAAAATTGGGCAGCTAATTTATACATATTCTTAATCAGCATGACTTAACGTATTTTTTGACAAGGAAAGTACTTCTATGGGGTATGGAGTTTGAAAATTAAAAGACACTTCGCGAGTTGCTGAAGCAGGCTCAAATGGGGGTCTGCCCTAGAATTTGACCCCCACTTTTTTCTGTCTCAACTGATGACATATAGGCTGTTAAACAACTTGGTTAATTTTTTTCGAAAAATTCGTCATCATGACCGATATATGACACATTTATTGAATTTCGTTTAATGTGATATATTGTGCTAATTTATCGCTGAAACATTGCAGAACTGAGTACACATACGTTATAGGCCACGCTGAACAACTTTGTAATTGATCCCAAGTTTGTCAGGTTACTGTAACATACCGTAACGCCCATGCTTGATCAATAAATCTCGATTTTCTCGATTTTTTTCAATAATTTTCTCGGAATTTTCTTGCATTTTTGGAATCAGCATCAAATTCTGCATCGGATAGACTATATGCGCATCTCCAGATAGGTGTACAAAAATGTCGTGGCGCAACCGGTAGTGGGTCGGACTACCATTCAAAAGGTCCCGGGTTCGAGTCCGGGTGGAAGCAAAAATGCTCAAACGCGCTGGAAATTGTACCAAAACAGTTTTAATCTATTGGAACGGTGGTAAAAATAAATAATAATTAACATTATTCCCTAAAAAGGCTAAATTTTGGATCTTACGAAATTTTTGAAAATCATGATTTTTGTGGGCCCAAATCTGCCGAAGAAATGAAAATTTTTTGTAAGCGATTTTTTTGTTTAGAAACAACGCATGGCACATAGAAAGACTATTCCTCAAAGGATTTCGTTCAGTTTTGCCCAAAACACCAAAAAAATTTCGTATTTTGGCATTTGACAAAAAAATTGAAATAATGACTTTCAGGAGTCCTTACGTGGAATCGTTTCCAATTTTATAGGGCAGTATTTTGCGCTGCTCTCAAATATCTTTCTAATAGCCGCGAAAATTTTCCACAAAAAATTTTACATTTGAAAATTTGTAGATATTCACATATTTCATGATGTTACAGTATTCAATCTTGTAAAATTTGCTAAGAATTTGACTCCCCATAGTGGAAAACATGTGTATCCACGTTTGAATGACGTCACTTCGGCTTACTGGGTTCTGGCGGTGCTCTCCGATTAAAACGAAAAAGTTCAACTTTTTGGTGTTTTGGGCAAAACTGAACGAAATCCTTGGAGGAATAGTCTTTCTATGTGCCATGCGTTGTTTCTAAACAAAAAATCGCTTACAAAAAATTTTCATTTCTTCGGCAGATTTGGGCCCACAAAAATCATGATTTTCAAAAATTTCGTAAGATCCAAAATTTAGCCTTTTTAGGGAATAATGTTAATTATTATTTATTTTTACCACCGTTCCAATAGATTAAAACTGTTTTGGTACAATTTCCAGCGCGTTTGAGCATTTTTGCTTCCACCCGGACTCGAACCCGGGACCTTTTGAATGGTAGTCCGACCCACTACCGGTTGCGCCACGACATTTTTGTACACCTATCTGGAGATGCGCATATAGTCTATCCGATGCAGAATTTGATGCTGATTCCAAAAATGCAAAAAAATTCCGAGAAAATTATTGAAAAAAATCGAGAAAATCTAGTTTTTTTGATCAAGCATGGGCGTTACGGTATGTTACAGTAACCTGACAAACTTGGGATCAATTACAAAGTTGTTCAGCGTGGCCTATAACGTATGTGTACTCAGTTCTGCAATGTTTCAGCGATAAATTAGCACAATATATCACATTAAACGAAATTCAATAAATGTGTCATATCTCGGTCATGATGACGAATTTTTCGAAAAAATTCACCAAGTTGTTTAACAGCCTATATGTCATCAGTTGAGACAGAAAAAAGTGGGGGTCAAATTCTAAGGCAGACCCTCTTTCCACAACTGGCGAAGCCTCTTTTAATATCAGAGATCTAAAACGAAAGAAACAAAACTAACATTTTCACAAAGGCGGTGATGCGACAGAGTTTCCATTATTTTCCCGACAGACGGATATGTCTTGGAAAAGATTAAATCCGTGCCAAGTTTCATCAAAATCCGAACGTTACACTTTGAGTACTTCCTCTGTGAATCAATCTTTTTGTTTTATTTTGCATGAGAACTGCACGATAATTCGTGAAAACTGGAAGGCACATGATTGTGGAAAGTGATATTCTGTTATATACCTGACAATTTTTGAGCTCTAATATTCAGAAAATTTGTTAGAAAAGAAAGACGAAAAAATAACAAAAAAATCCGGGATCAGAGATGTATTAACTGCAAGATGTAAATAGTAAATTAAACCGAGAACAGTCCGATAAATATAGACAGGAATGAATATTAATACCCTTGATTTTAGGAGACCATCGGCGATATTGTAGTAGGCTCGGGATCCTCCAACCTGACTTCTTTCTCCTTCTTACGGATGTACGGAACTGCATACATTATGGCCCCACTCACAAAGAGACAGACACCACAGAAGAAGAAGGTCCAGTCATATCTCTTGGTAAGATCATACATACTTCCAGCGATCGGTGGTCCTACAACTGTGGCCACACCTTGGACCAACAACAACAATCCGAAGGCGTTTGTCAATCGATCCACACCCACCAAATCGACCAGTACAACGGAAGTGAGACACACATACGATGAGATGGTGAATCCGAAGAAGAAACAGTACGAAACGAATGAGTAGAAGTCGTCCATCAAGAAAACAAAACACGAAGCGATTCCGCAGAAGATAAGGGTAAGGTTGTAGATCCAGAGACGATTCCTGGCAGTGTCTTTGCCGTACTTGAATGGTAGTTTTCGATCACAAATCATTCCAAACACCATACGCCCCATAATATTAGCTATTCCATACGCTGTTACAGTTGTTGCAGCGTCCACTTTGTTTAGTTTGAGGACGTTCTCAGCATTCATAGGCATATACATGGATGGGGCATTGAAGCCGATACTGGTCAAGAAGTTGGAGATTGCAAACAGAACATAGGCGGGATCGGTGAACAACGACAAGTCCAACATTTTTTGGAGAACCCTGAAGCGGACATGAACAAACAACAGTGGCTTTTCTTACCTCCACATCTCAATGGCCCTGCTTGCACTAGTGGCTGAACTGTCTTCATTCTCATCTTCCTCAGGCAATTCCTTGAGAATATCCACGTTCGAATGATGAGTTTCTTTCCTTCTGAGTAATGATTCTTTATGATCCAAAGGCAATGAGGTTACAGATCTTATCTTTTCATTGTAGTCCTTCAATTCGCTGACCGACCTTCCATAGAAAACATCCTTTACATTTAGATATCCGAGTGAAGATACAGATGTCTGGGATGTCTTATGCAAATGTCCGCCCAAAGATCTGACTCTTTGAAGATTATTTTCTTTGGGATCTTCATTAATTCCTGTATGGGAGACTGCTGATCTGATGGGTCCAGTTGTGAGGGTGTTATTCTCACTCGGTAGTGGAATCTTTCCGTTTGTTTTCTGATCGTTCTTTTGTTTCTGTTCCTCATCCTCCCCCTCCTTCTCCTCGTCATCATCATAAATAGCTTCAAAGGCGATGGGCCGATACAAGGCGCCGCAGGGAATGCAGAGTAAAACAACACCTGAAGACAAACACAATTATATTATTCATGATTTCTGCAAGGACATCTTAAATATGGAGAGGACTAACAACCCCTCTTGTTTGCTCAAGGGGTTTTTTGTTAAAATATAAATGTGCGTAACACTTAAAGATTTACCTGCGTAGATTAAGAACACGGTCCTCCAGTTAAAACGAACAATCAAAAAGCTGATGATTTTGGAGAACACGGCTGTTCCAACTCCAGCTCCGCAGACTGTAACCCCTGTGGCCAAAGAACGGTACTTTTCAAAATACATCGTAACAACAATAATGGCCGGACAATACATCAGACCGAAGCCAAATCCCATTACAATTCCCACAGTAAAGAGCAGAAAGTTCATAGAATCTGCAAAATAAGAAGCAGCACATCCAACTGAGGCAATGGAAGCCCCAATAATGGTGGTCCATCGACAGCCAATCCGATTACAGACAGCTGACGCAATGGGACCGGCAGCTAACATCAATCCCGTGAGCAAGGAGAGGATGACTGAAGTCTCAGCATTTGAAGCGTTGAATTCCTAAAAATATCAATCTGCCGCGGAGATTTTCTACATGATGGTACCCCCTCCCTTCTCCCGAATTTTTAGTCAGCTATGCCTTGTCGGCGAAGTAATAGAAAATTTTTCTGCGACACGATGCGTTTTTCACTACAGCGACGCGATTTTCAATGCGACGACATTGTGCTCGTTGTTTTCCCGACATATTGATAAATTGCCAGTAGTCTCATTACAATTATGGATGCACTTTAATCCCCGACTTTATAACATTAAATTTAAATTTGCGATCTGTGTGCAGAAGGCTTGAAAGGGACTTGCAGTTGGCCAATCCGCCTGTTAAGAGAAAAAGCGGGTGACTAATTAAGAAAGTTAAAACCATTTGTTTATCCCCGAGAAGTGGCCCAAAACAAGATCATCTGGCCAAATCGAAAGGGCATAATCTCTGAGTCTGTGCACGTAAATAAACCCCGTTCTCAAACTGTCCGTTCAAGACGTTTATCGCATAATTTTTAATGTCTAGCCTTGAATGGATTCATTACCAAATACGTAGTATAACGCTCAAAAGAGTCTGCTTCTAGATAAAAGGCACCTACCTGCACTAAGCTCTCGGCGATAACACCGAAAGAATAAACGAAACCATCAGCGAAGACATGGATCATGAAGGATCCGAAGACCACCACCCAGCCGTAGCCTCCATCCAAGGCTTTGGGCTTCCATCCGATCGGCTCTCGGCCCTCTGAATCCTTGAAGTCTTTCTTTTTGGAGGCCGTCATTAGGAAGTAACCTAAACATCAACTTAGACTTCCATTAAACCCATTAATCAACGCATGAAGTGTGCGGGTTCATCTCGAAAAGTGTGAAATGGTTGCAGACGACGACCGAGCCATCCATTAAAAGCAAAATTTTGAAATCGGGGTGGGAACAGAGACATCATGCTGGCTATAAAGCAGGCGAGACCACGACATTTCACATAAAAACACCGGGAATAATATGGGCCGCTCCTCACCCTTCAAACACCCCAAGTCCAAAAATTGAAGGAATTCCGGCCAAATTTGCGAAACAAAATTCGAAACCAATGAAAAAGATGGGCAGGATTGGAGATTGTAATGGGAAGAGCCAAGTAATAGACCCTTAAACTCTCAGCGAACTTTTCTGTCTGGGACATGGGAAGAGAAGAGCCATCTTCTTCCATTCTTTTAAGGTTTCCCACTTCCTTTCCTCGTCTCTTCTCATCCAGAAAACCCCCTTATTCAGGACATTTCCCGCCTTTTTGAGTGACCGACTGGCGCGCGGGGTTTACCATGGTGGAATATGAAATCGGGAGTCATGCGGGAATAGTGACATTAGCCCGAATTTGTCTGCAAACATTTGTTTACCTTGTTCCTCTGCTTTCGCGGTGTTGAAAATTAATATAAGAGAAACGAAAGAAACAAAACTAACATTTTCACAAAATAATTGAATTGCAAATCTCCAATAAAATTATAGCTTCCCATTCTTCTTATGGAGCCGCATCCCCCACTTGTTTTATTTGCTCAGCAAAACCAAAATTCAAATATCTCTGAATTAAATTCTTTACACAAAAAAGGGGCCAGAAGAAGGGATGGCCAGGATCAGACTGATTCAATTCGATTCCAAATTCTTTGTCCGAACAAAGTATTCTTATCAGCTAGTGCATGTACACCTAGAACCGTCACTTTCCCGCTTATCAATGGGAATGGCGCCGAGAGTTTTCTTAGACCACTCCCCGAGTGCCTGCGGGCATTTCTCAAATAATTCGTAATTAAGATTTGAATTAGGGTCAGCTGTTGGAAGAACGGGATTTAAACACGTGCACTCAGATCAGCTGAATGAGATCAGAAACAGGTCAGAGGAGGTCAGAGAGTGACATCAGCAGCTCGAGGTCAAGTATAGTATAATTACATATAGAATCGTTTAATATGTGGAAGGAAAGGATGAGGGAGATCCGCTGAGAACCAAAATACTTGTTTGAGGGCATGTTTTCCCTTACAATAAGTAAGTATTCATGACGCAGAAGGATTTTCTCATGCAGTGCTCTGAAGAAATGGAGAAAAATAATATTATTTTATCAAGACTTCAAAAATGTTTAATCGAATGGAGGACCTGTGATCGTGGAGGTCCAAACAGATTCTCTAATGTGTGTTGCCAGTGCTTTATTACTCTTTTGTAATAATTAAATTGTGAAAATAATATTGGAAACCTCCCAAATATATCGAAAATAACCGGTTCTCAAGATGTCCATGCGGCCTGGTAATTAACTTTACACGCAATACTGGTTATTTTAATCTGGCCAAGTACTCTCTTCCATTTTTTTCACCACCTTCTTCTTCATTTTTGTTCACTGCTGATACAGTTTAACATCATTCCTCTCTTCGACAACCGAAACAATTTCCCTTCGGCAAAACTGGTAAAGAAAATAATTAAAAAATTAAAATTCAAAGCAAATTTGGGTTGACGTCCAGAGTAATTGAAATGCTTTGATAGGTGTGACAATTATTATGTGGATGACATCAGATGTCCAATTAAGTGGATTTATTATTTAATCGTCCCCCTCTTATTGTCCTTTCTTCCAGATTCCCGAACCTTGTGGAGGACACGCCCTCACTCCGGGATTACTGTAACTGAGGGTTTCCCGCAATTTGTACCGAATATCCTCAGACTCCGCCCCTTTCTTCCTTTTTTGGCTTCAGAATCCTGCTTCAGTCGAGTTCAGTGCTGTCCTGAGTAGCGTCATGTTGAGTCGATATCTATGTCATCTCAGTGTTCTCCTGTCCATCTTGTTGGTGGTGATCAGTGGTAAGTGATGGGGCACGGTTATTGCTCGATTTGACATCATTTTCACGTTTTAAAATGCATTTGGACCACTCACACGGCCTTAGTTTCAATATCTTCTTCCAATTTCATTAACATAGAGGTATCAAATGAAATTACTTCAATATCAACTTTATTCTAACCCATTGAAATTCTTCGCACGCTTGCTGCAGTCATGTTGTGATTAGACCAGACGCGGCAGTTCTACGTTGTTTCCTTCCTTTATAATCTTTATAACATCAATGTAAGGCCATTTAGAATATTGACTTTTGGAATTTCCGCCATCTTAAGCCGATCGCCCCCAGGGCATAAACTGACAGTCTCCATAAATCTCATAATTTGTGGCCTTGAGGGCTTTAAGGCCGTCGTTGCATCACGAGAACTCCATTATCATGACTTTACAACTTTTTGAGACATTTTTTACTACATTTTTTCCTTTCATAAGATCCTTGTTCAGGATTGCAGATTCAAGTCTGAAGATTTGAAAAGTAGAGTCCGCGCCAGAAATTTATAAATGAGTCCAAAAAACAAATTGGAAATGGAAATATTTACCATGCGATGTTTGATAGATATCTGAAATATAATACGTAGCCATTACTCCGGTTTGAAGAACGGTCTAATTACTCGATAGAGAATAAAGAGAATGCTGGACCTTGTCCGGAAATAACACTATAAAGTAATCTTGAGATTGTTGTGGGAATCTTATTTTAATTAATGGCCTTTGAGATTTTCTTGGGAATTACTCACGATGCCCATTCTTTCAGCTTCCGTTGAATCTGACGAGCCAGAAGAATACTTCTACATCCCCAATCCCTACCCTTCATGGGGAGTCCAATACCCTTCAGTAAGTTTATTTCATGGGCCCTGGGAAGAGATTATAATTACTTTTGACTATAATATAGAAATAAACAGTAGGTAATAGGCATAGTTAAGTAGGGCTAGGCATAGCTAAGAGGTCAATTAATGATGTGATTCCAGCACGCCGAAGAGCCTCATCGAATGAAGAAATGGGCGTCCTCACTCCGATTTGGCAAGAGGGGTCCAGGGTGGGCTAGCCAGGTGCGGTTTGGCTGAGGTGGGAGTAAGGAGTACAGTCAAGAGTCCGTCGTTCCCTTCCGTTTTCCTTTTTTTATTTATTTACAAAGAGATTGTGACCTTAAATTACACTTAAGGTTGTAGATATTGTTCCAATAAACCTTAATTTCTACATAAGTATTTATTTCTGTTATTGCGTAATCAACTAATTATCATATTTTACTATGTAATCATGTCAGACTTTTTATGTTTTTGCAAGCAGGGGCATTGTTGAAGTTATTTTTTATTTAATGATGCCCCTTGGAATTGAATTAATTACACATAAACCCCTGAAGGCGATTAATTTGTTGCCTCAAGGCTGTTGAGTTTTAACCTTTAAATTAATGAAAAAAATACTTTCAGCCCAAGCTAGAGAAAACCAGGCTGCAATATTTTACGTATGTATAATAACACACAAGGGAAGTGACCAGGCGTTTCCAACCCAGAGGTCACTGCCACTGTCAAACGGAAGTCTCTGCCTTTTTTCAGCCATTTTTGATGTCAGATTTCCAAGTTCAACCGACCGTTTTACGGTCTTACATCCGGCTGCCTTCGGACATTTCGTTTTTGGTCAGGATTAGAGGTTTCTTTTGAGCCCTCAGGCGACATCTGGGAAGTTTAAGGGCTTCGTTGAATGCGGTACGGTAAGATTTATTACTACGATAGATTTGGAAACAAAGTCGACGATCAGGAGCCTATTATTAAAAGTGAGTGGGCATTGTCGCCATGGTGTTATCAGCCAATGCAATGCCGTTTGATGACTTAATTTTTAGGCGAAGTCCGTCATTTTGCCGTCAATTCCCCAAAATTGGACAGAGCAGCTGTCAGCGTTCCCTTTGACGAAAACAGAATCTTCGATCTCCCGAAATCAGATTCCATGGATGGACTGAATATGCAGGAGTTGATATCCTTCGACCGTCCTGCCTTTCCCGTCGATCTCGATGATATCCAATTCCCTCGCACTGATGTCGATTCCTCTTATCCGGCTGATCCGAAGCCCGTTTTCTCCCCATTAAATGATCTCAAAAGTCCGGATGATGAAAGAAAACAATTCGCCAAGGAATTAGACCATCTAAGCGAGAATTTAAGCAAACTTAAGAGTGCCAATGAATTGGCCCAACAATTCAAACAAAGCGAGATAGAGAAGGAATTTGGAGCTGAAGATCTCTGCGAGGACTGCATTAGATCTTTGACCAGACATGGACAGAGACCACATCAACATGGAGGGGCCTCACGGATGGATGGAGAGAGTGTAAGCATCAGCATCACAGTCCTTTCGTATTCTTTAAGCGATAAGAAATTTTTATACATGTATGTATTGTTTTAGGAAATAGATTGGCAGCGTCGTCTACGAGACCATGTGGACAAGGTCAACGACGAGCTCTTCCACAACAAGGGCCGTAGGGAGTTATTGCCAGTAAGTCATCAGTTTGTGGACATCCATCTTCCAGATGAACGTCCTCCCTCCATTTGCATACCGGCCAGACGAAGACACCGAGATGATTAGAAAACAAAAAGAACAATATAGGGTAGAACTGGAGAAAGACATCGAGAAAAGAGCAAGGGCCAAGGTAGATGATTACGAGAGGGGCCAGAATGTTAGCAATCTCCTCAACACAGCTGATGCCCAAGCTTATTATGATGACAAAAGAAACACGAAACAAATCCAGGAATCTAATGAAAGATATGACGCCGAATTCAATAGACGACAAGTAAGTAAATCTTAAACAACAACGAAAGAATTAGGCTGAGATGAGAGCAAAGCGAGAAAAGTACGAAGCAGAACAGGGGGAATGGTGGGAGGACAGACAGAAGGAAGGGGAACTCAAGTTGGAACGGGATAAACAGCATTACTTGAATCAGCTCAAGAGAAACGAATTCTTAAAGTAATCAATTTGTTTTAATTTATAGCATACTCTTATACGACCTCGAAATTAATTTAATGCCCAAAGGGCTAATTTTCAGACAAAACATTTACAATCTCCAAGAATTCGAGGACCAATTCAGGGATCAGAAAGAAGCCCAAAGAGCCATGAGATATCCTCATCAAGCAGACGTGAGGGCCAAAGTAAGAGATCCCATTAATGGAGTAATTAAGATTTAGGTGGAGATTCAGTCGGAATTGACTCGACCAGAAGCTGCCCGGAGGGCACGAGAGAATCTCGAATCGGTGTGGGACCAATGGGAAGAAGCTCATCGACGGAACGAGCGAAAGAAACGGGTCTTACAGGAGAACGGGAGGAGGGGCGGGGGTGGAGATAACAGAGTCATCTTCGACACGGCCGGGCCTTCACATTCCCAGGGTCATCATCACGCAGCTCACGTCAAATGTTGTCGGAGATGTCGTCGACCTCTTGGTATTGTCAACTAATTTCTTTTTAATTAATTTCTTCAATATCTCTTCTCCAATTCCCACAATTAATGTTCTCTGATCTTCTACACCTTTCTGTTCTGTTCTCTGCATTTTTGGACCTTTATTGTTCTTTAGACAGGAATCAATTTCGTTTTCATTAAAACTTTTTATTACAAAAAATAACGTATAAAATTAACATAAATATTTCTAAGTAAGTTTACAACTCGTTCTTCTTTTCCTCCTTCTTTTCTTCCTTCTTTTGTTTCTTTGGTGGTTCAGGACCATCAGTTTTCTTGGCCGGTTTCTTAGGCTTCAATCCATCGGGTTTTTTAAGATCAGGGACATCGATCTCGAAATGTCTGAGGACATCTTTCATGGTGTTGATAATATCGGCGGGAGATGAATAGTAATAAGAATAGTTCTTGTACTCGGCTTTCTTGTTCTTGAATTGTTCCAGGTGGTCTCCATTCTTGTCTAGGAACAAAAGACGAGGGATATATTTTCCGTCAGGTCTATATTCTTCTTCATAAGGCTCCTCGTCATCGACAGTGTTGACCATCACAAAGTACTCCGAAAGACGCTTGAAGGCTTTGCGAGCATTAGATTGTTGCATGGTCTTTTTGAGAGCTGAACTCGGAGTATTAATATCAATAATTTAATAGTCATCCTTACGTAATTGTTACTCATGTCAATGATTATTATAATTAAAACGCTTACATTTGCAAGCATGACACCAGGTCTTGTGAATCAGGAGGAAGATAGGTTTGTTTACTTCCAAAGATTTCTCGATGGCATCTTCCCACTTGACCCATTCGATGTCATCTCCGAATCCATTAGCCAAGGGATTCTCGATGGCCTCGGTAAACTTTTTAAGAGGATCTTTCTGAGCCTGAATGGCCACTGCCAAAACCAAACAAGCGAGGATCGCTCGGTCCATCCTGAAGTAACAAGGAGATTATAAAAATGGCCGAAAATGGTCCCATTCACAGTGAGTATGCACCCGAGCAAAGTATTATTTTAAAGTTTAATTCAAAACGAAGCAAATTGGAGGTGAGCCCGTTGAATTTGGATTCGGTGGGCAGACACGACAACAAGAAAACGCTGACCTTGACCGAAAAACTCTCGAAATTGGGTTTCTCAGAGAGGATTTAAGATTTCAAACGTTTGTTGAGACCTCTTACACCAAAATAAGCCTCAGCAATTGTAAAGGTAAGGAAGCAAGGACCGAAGAAGAACGTCCACTTATAACAAAATAAGAGATTCCACGCTTTCGCGCACTGCTTGACACGTCAGCTTAGGAAGTCAGCGACCGATCGGTGGAAGAAAAGGTTTTGGGAAACAATCCCCGCCTTTCGCTCATTTAGAGGATCCGAAGAAGATAATGGAGACATCCCGAACGTTCTTTATAGCATACGATTATCTGCCTCCTCTGTTATCAACTTTTGTGATGACAGATATCGCTTAAGATACCATGAAAAATAAATTTGTTTTGATTTGATTGAAACCCTGCGATTATGACAAACCGTTTTAAATAATTTGCTAATTATTTTAAAAAAAATAATTAGCAATTAGGGCCATAACCGTTCGACAAAGAGTTTCTGGGAAAAAAGCTTGCTAACCTAAAAAAGTTGGATTAGTAAAAAAATCACCCAACTAGCTAACCAAATGGTTCGATTGGCAACCAAATCTTCAAAAAATGGTAATACAGCGTTCTGGCTAGCCATTTGGACTATTGGCTATGAATCCAACTTTCTGGCTAGCCGGACAACTCTGTTCTAGATCTATAGGCAAATTAATCCCTGTGGCTAGCGATTATAGCCCTTGAATTAACCGATTATTTATAACAGTGGATAATCCCTGGTCAACCAAACTCGCCGGTGGGTCATAACCGATTTCATTTATTCTATTAATTTATTCATAGGGAAAACAAAATTATTATTTAATATTATTTAACGGAGATAAGAGAATTGATTCTGACCTGGGTTTTGGCCGAAGAATCCTTGACCCTGGACTTGACGAGAGACTGCACGAGATGGAGAGAAACCGAGGAGTTTCTGAAGATTCTGCCGGATACTCATGGTGCACAATATGTAGAGAAAGATAAAGGAACAATCTGTATAATCTTCTCCGACCAGATTTCTGTGCGAAAGACCTTGGACCCAAGAGATTGGTTCAAATGGAAGCTTGGCCACAACTCGGCCCTCAAACATGGACGAGAAAGCAGAGAGAAGAGCGGTGAAAACCAAACCAATAGCCATCATGGACTTCATTCTGAACATAGACAAGTCCCGGTTGGTAGTCTTCAATCGCTCCTCTTCCCTCTCGATCTTCTTCTTGACTGTTCTACTGGCTGCTGATTCCGTTATTTCCTTCTTCTTCTCCAACCTCTTGGTCTTCCTCTCCATTAACAACTAAAAACGTATTTTTTGCTAGAATTACCTCTTACCTTCAGTCGTTTGTACTCTTCAGATCTGTATACCATCAGATAAGTCAGCCCTTCACCAAGAAGAGCCGTAAAAGTGGCGATACAAACGATGAAAACCGCATCAGCATACATTTCACTGACCTAAAACAGGAAAATAACAGTCTAACAGATCGCACAGGTATTTAAAAGTAAAGCTATACTTTCACCACTGAGATGGAAACTAACAAAGCTTTTAATTTAATAAACAACAAAACAAAAAATCAACTCCAAATCTAGACAAAGGGTTCAATATTTATCTCCAAGGAACAGCACGGCATATTCAAGTTGAAATTGGTCAACACTTCTGGATGAAGGATACCGAAGACACCCAGTTCAACAAGCTTCCCATCTACTGTCCTGTAGATTACTTCGGCTGATCGACCAGGGAAATAAGTCGGATCTAAATGGGAAAACATAAACATAAATAAAAACCTATACCTTCCTTCTCCTTGATAAAATAACCAACTCCTCCTGATTTACTGAGAGGGACATCCAGAACTTCGAAGATCCTATCCAAAAGTCCATGTATTACTTCGAAACTACCAGTCTTACTGTAATAGACAGCAGCTGCATTCCTTTGATTTCTCGAGTTTGTATCTAAAAATAAATATTAACAATAATAGGTATTATTTGCCTCTTGAAGTGTCTCTGAAGACAACATCTTGAACTTCGAACAATTTTATAGGCAGGGGCATCTCCTTGTTGTTGGATAACGTTTTCAACAGTCCCGGGAGAAGAGAGTTTCTGGCGACTTGGAATTCAAGAGTCTTTGGATTGGCGATCTTGACACCGTTGATGTCAACTCTCTTCAGTTTGGTGGTAATATCATCTTCCGAGCACAGAGCAAAGTTCATGACCTCAGTCCAGCCAGCCAAAGCGAATTCGTTTCTCAGCTGGTCCGACAGTTTGTTTAGAGCGAAGGGCTGAGCGACAGTATGGGCTTGGGGCAATCGAGTGGGAAGATTATTGTAGCCATAAGCCAAGGCAAGGTCTTCCGCAACATCACATTCATGGAGGACATCATGGCGAGTTGGAGGAACGGTGACCTTAAAAATTGTCGTCACTTTTGAGAACATACCAAAATCTTTCCGTTCTTTACTTTCTTGGCCGATAATGACATTTTGGATAATAAATCTACTGCCTTATCTGCATCGACGTCAATTCCGATCTTCACATTCATCTGACTAAGATTCACTTCTTGCTCACGGTATGGCAGAACCTAAGGCTCGAATAAAAACCATCAAAAATGAAACTTGCTGGATATACGGTATCCGGAACTTTCTTGCTTTCATATACCACTTTCACTGGTTCAACAGTGAACTTCTGCTTGCAATACTGACTGAACATAGTCACGATGGTATCCAATACAATGTTGGCCTTGTTGAGATCGACCGCCGTTGCTTCAATGAAAACATTTTTGGTTTTCAATGTAATCTTGGAATGATCGCTGTTGATAATTGGAGGCAATGAACAGACAACGCCACTTGAGTCAAAGACAACCGGATACAAAGGCTTGGTTTTGATTATAGGCACGAATTCGCGAAGATGAAGTTCGTTCTTCTAAAGGTCGGAATTGAGAGAGTCCACTACAAAACTCACCTCATAATCTTCCAACAAATCCTTGGAATTGTATTCTTTTGTCTTATTTAACGGAACAAACTTGATATCTTGCGGTTTCAAAGCTCGATAATAAAAAGGGCCTTTAACCGTGTCCAAATCGTGAGTTCCAACAGAGACCAGAGTCCTCTTCCTGCAGATATTCTGATGCAATTTATCTTGAAGATCGATGAAACTGTTGTAAGTATCCTCGTCAAACACAACATCTCTCAAGATTGCGGACACAATGTATGGTCGAATCGTTTCCACGGACTTCTCCACATTCAGAACAACTTGTTCCTTCGGTTTACTAATTTCATATCTGGGAGGCTTCTCGCTAAAAAAGATTGTAGAATACATTATAAAAGCCTACACTCCCTCAAAGACTCTCAACGCTCTTGCCAGGCCTTCAACACACAACAAATCGTATCTGTTAGCTGGAACTTCGATCTTGAAGGTAGATACTTCCTTTCCATCGGCTGTTTTCTCGACTACCTATACGAGCAAATGTTTCAAAAATAAATAAAAAAACCTACAACGTCATCCAATTCAAGCCCATAATTAAAAAAGACTTCGTCCAATTCTTGTTCAGAATACTCTCTTCCGAGGTATTTGTCCAAAATATTCTTCTTGATTCCAATCGTAGGCATCTAAAAAGAAAACGAATCGAGAATTGGAGCGAACGATCCAAAAATGATAGAAAACCGGATAAAACCGTAACGTTCTATTATAATCAAAACTCGCAATAATTTATCGCACTCAATAAATAGTAATTACAAAACAGTTTCCAAAAGTTTCTGTGTGAAGGCCTCAAAAGAAAAGTTATCTTGAACCCGAACTCGTCCGGCTTCCCCCATCCTCTTCTTCAGTTCTGGATCCCTGACAGCCTTTAAAAACACATCAGCAAACTGTTTTAGATCAGCATCTGGTTCTATCAAGTACCCTGTCTTCTGATTGTCTATGGTTTCAATGGGGCCTCCACTTCTGAGGGCTAAGACTGGAGTTCTCAGCCACATTGATTCCAAGGGAACAATTCCAAAGTGTTCTCCTTTTGGGGTGTAAAACAACAACTGAGCCCTTCTCAGTAAAGATACCTTCACAGCGTCGCCTAAAAGAGATATTGTTTTTCATCTTACAACTTACTTGGACTTTTGTAAAACTTAACGTTATCGGAAAGACCAAAACGCTCGGTTTCTTGTACCAATTCGTTATAAATCGTTTTGTTTTCAGAATTCAAGGGATCATACCCTCCGGCAAATACCAATAAGCACTTTGCAAAAGTTTTCTGATCCACCAAATCTTTGAAACTATCTAAAAAGATGAAGAAAATATAATAATACTTACTAAACACTCGTAATGCCAAGATATGATCTTTCTTCCCTTCGTATCGGTTTAAGCTTACAAAAACAAATTCAAAATCGTCTGGAATGTCTAACTGAACATCTTCAGTCTCGTCAAGAACACTGGTGTTTAGACTCGGATGTAAAATATCAAATCTGGAGGAATCGATAGTAGGGAAGGTCTCGGAACAAACGTTCTTTGTGAATAAAGAGTTGACGTAGATCTTGTCTGCCAATCCCAATGTTTTATTCTCTAATCCATCAATGAAATATCTGTAGAACTTCTTCAATTCGCTTTCACGTGTCGTGAGTTTCTGATCAGGAAAATGACAGTAGAAGATCAACTTAGGGTGGAAAAAAGGTCGAGCCAACCTAAAGAAGACCAAGGGCAGTGATATCTAAAGAAATCAATAATAATTCAACGGATATTACCTGATCCAAAAAAACAACATCCGCAGTTTTGTCCCATATAACGTACAAAGAAGCGATGCAGAGTCGAATGTAGGCCAACAATGCATAAAACTTCCCAAAAATGGTGCGGGGAATCCACTTTGCCGCTACAACAATGTCTAAAACAAACAATTATACATTTTCATCCACTTACTGTCTTTAAATTTCAGGGCCTCCGTAAAGCAATGTACCTCGCTAAACTGATTGGTAACAATTTCAACTTGGTGCCCATTGTTGTCAAAGGCAATAGCTGCATCCAAAATTAGTCTTTCAGCTCCGCCAACTCCAAAATCAGGATGCAAAAAAGTTACTTTCATCGTTTACACATAATCGACTATATACAGAGAGCTGCAAGATTTATTTGTACGTCCAGAGAAAATTACCTCAATAGAAACACTGCACTTCGTGACACTTCGTGACACTTCGTTTCAATGCAAGCGTAACGAAATGCAAAATATTTTTTATATTTTTTCATGCATGGTTTTCGCCTGATCAAGCGTTTGAGTCTGTCTGTAATAACATGTTGAATATTCCGAAAGAATTGTCTCCTATTTCTCCGTTTATTAAAATTGCTCATGAACATAAAACGAGGGATGTTACTGTTTATTACTGGAGTAAGTTGCAATCCTTTTTTTTATTGTATTTTGTAGCTCTTATGCATGCTACAAAGCTGGCCATGGATATGAGAAAAGACTCGGTTGAATCAAAAACTTATTTATTGTTGCTACTGGATGAAATGGAAGATGTATGTTTCATATTTAAAAATTTTTCATTAAAAAATAGGTTAAGAAACAGAACCCAGAGAATGAGTCACTTAAAGTAGACGTCATTGCACAAGCGTATATAGAAGAGCAAGCCAGGAAGTTCTTTGCTTTTGCTGATGGGAAAGATAGGAATGGGGAATTTAACAAGAACGTGGTCAAGGCTTTTTACACTGCTGGGTACCTATTTGATGTTCTTGCCGAATTTGGAGAGTTGGATGAGGCGATTGTGGTAAGATTACTTATTTTTATAAACCCTCCTTGTCTTTAGAATAACCGTAAATACGCAAAATGGAAGTCTACTTATATTCACAATTGTCTAAAGAATGGAGAAACTCCCGTGCCTGGACCGCCACCCCGAGACGAAGGTGAAGAATTGGCTAATGAATTTGCTAATATTGAATTTAAACCACAACCTCCACCTCGAACTTCTCCACCTGCTAGTGGAGTTCCTCAACATCCAGATTCACAGGGATTTGGTTGGAATCATCTAAACTCGGCTGGTGGAAATCCTGCCAGTAATCAGAACAACTTTTCCCAACCACGGAATCAGTTTGATAATAACCAGTTTTATGCGCCATCCGGTCAGGCTAATTCTTCATCAATTGGGCAGCCCTTTGTTCCTCCTGCTAATCCCTCTTACCAGTACAATCATGACAAACCTTCTTACCCTCCAGCGGTCCCCCCTCCTTCATACGTACCGTCTTCTTTTCCTTATCCTCCAACTCAATCGTTCTCTTCTGGGGTTGATTCCCCCTCCGGTCAAAGTAATGGAAGCAAAGGTAACTAAAATAATATCAGCAATTATATGCATTATTTAAAATCGTGTCTTTCAGTAAGTCTCGAGGATTACATTGAAGCACGTCGTCTTTGCAAAATGGCCTGCTCAGCCTTGGATTACGAAGATGGAAAAACGGCGATTGATTTTATGGAAAAGGCCCTGAAGGTATTGAAGAAGTGATCGTAATTTAATGAGCATATTTCGTATGTAAATTAACAATTATAAATATCTGCAGAGATTAGACAAGTATATACAACAAAGCAATTGTGATATGAAAACATAAAAGAGAAGCGAAGTGGAGATGCATCAGATCGGGGTCACCGGTAGAGGAATGAGGGACGTATTTTAAGAAGACGGACTACTTTTCGGGCTCTGCTCCTCCACTCATGTCCATGGTCAGGGCCTGTACTATCCAGGGATCGTTTTTACTGCCTTGTTTGAATTCTTCTCGGGTCAACTTTCCATCGAAATTCTGAGAACATAAAATAAAGTAAATTCAGAGAATTGAAAACAATGAAAAAACCATTTTCTGTCGACTTTTTATACAGATCTGTGTTCTAGAATACATATTTCGAGCAGCTTACCAAATCCATATTTGAGAATATCTTCTCTACCCTTTTCTGTGGTGTATCTTCATCTTTTGGCAATTCCAACATGTTTCCGATCATTGAATAAATAGCATCTACAATATTTGCCATCTCTTCTTTGGTAATGAACCCATCCTTATCCACGTCATACAACGAGAACGCCCCTATAATTGGCTGAATATTTTTGTTTTTCTTCCTTACAATCAAGTTTTTCATCCAAGGTTCCCCTTGATGTTATTGAGAGGGCGGCAATGAATTCTTTGAAAGAAATGTGACCATCCTGAAAGGGAAATATTAGTTATTTCGCCGGGAATGGGTCTGACATTTGTTCCATTAATGCATAAACAGCCCTAACCAGTCTAGATAACGTACTCTGTTGTCATCAAACACATTAAAAACAAAAGCTGCGAATTTAGAGGGATCGCCGTTCGGGAAGAACTGTTTGTAGATGTTCTGGAACTCTTCCAACTTGAGTTCTCCACTCGGACAATCCCGGACAAAGTCCTTATACCACTTTCTGAGCTCTTTTTTACTAACTGCAAAAAGGGGAATGATTAACAAGAAAATTGATACTTTGGTTAAACTTACAATAAGTCTTGGTCTCCAATTCCTCTATGTCTTCCAAACTCAACTTTTTATTCGCCTTTTTGGGTTTGCTGGTACAATTAGCATTCCCATTTATGTCATTGGATCTGGCCGACTTGCTCTTGTGTTGGCCCATTTTGAGGATATAACCACCGCCTGGAATTGCAAAAAGTTGGTTTAATAAAATAAAACCATCACGCAATGAGAAACTTATAAGATGTTTACAAGATTAAGCGGAAACTACAAACATGGTGAGTTATGAAGAGCGAGCCTCCGTCCCGCCTTATCATTACAAACATTCGCCCAAGAGCCTATCAATCACGCCTCTTCAGGGCTCTGCGCACGCTGAAGCAATCCAGATCAAAGTAAAATTTGGTTTAGACAGCTGACCGACGGCCATTTAACCCGAGCCCAAGCTTTGAGTGAGAGGGGGTCAACACGTCCAATAGTCTCTTATCTTGGCGCTCACATCAAAATGGAAGACATCACATTTATGCCTTGTCATAATGATGGGACGGATCTATTACAGAAAGAGCGCATTCTGGCAGTTCCTAACAAAGAAAGGTCATTAATTACATTTTCACTTAAATAGAGTTATAGACAGTGGCCCAACCGCCCTCCCCTTTCTCCGATTGTAGTATGACCACAAAGACAAGGCCCCTTAACTTTGGGGCTTCGAAAACGACTTCCTCGGGCCGGGATTACATCTGAAAGTGGGATAAATCCGAACGAATTATTGCATCTGGGGGTATTAAGAGACTTCTTACCTACGGGTTTCCTAAATGGGGACGGCATGACAATGATGGAAACCAGGGAGTCTTGGCTTTGCCATGGATCTACCCGGATATCCTTTGTGCTGACCTCAATGGAAAGCCGATTGGCCTTAAAGTCTTGAAACGAGCGCTAATCACCAAAAATTAAAGAAGGCGGACTGACGTGGATGTGAATCAAAGAAAATCAGAAGCCTTCACATCACTTTGCGACCCGAAGGTTTGGCACCAGACTTCCGAGTATCTGAACGACAAGTGCTCAGTTCGTGGACAAGACAAAAGCCCAATGATATGGATATGGTTGCTTTCCCACCGTTTGCGGAAACAATAAGCGTCGAGGGGTAGATTGAGCAAGCTCCAGTTGTCTTTTTTAGATGCCAGAAGAAGGTCCCGTTTATTTAAGTCGACTGGATAACACGAAAGAAGGCGTTTAGTGCAAGAGACAACATGTTACTGCCCAGGAAAGTATTGCGTCGGATTAAAGGCCGCAATTGTAAGTGGGAAAGGGGGAAAAATGGAGAGTTCGTGACATGCATCCTCATTTGGGTGTTTAAATGGGACGAATTCAGTTGAGGTGTCTCTCTTCGTGTCTCCTCCACAATTAATCCGACGTTTCGGCCGCCTTTGTCCTCTTTTATCCGGAGGACATCCCCCCTCCCATTACGAGTCGAGCAAATCAGTTTAATTTAAACACGTATACATGAAATGTAAATTAGGATCAATCATCGTCCGAGTCCGCGCCCACCGTCTCGGGGTTCTGGGACACATTTCCGACGGCCTTCATCCTCTCGTCGCATTCATTATGGATCCGACTGAATGTCGGGATTCTCTCCTGAAACAATTTTTTCTTAGGAAATTTTTAAAACAACAATGAAGAGGCACTCCCAAAAAATCAAATAACTTAAAGATATGTAACAAAGGCCATATTCGTTCGCAAAAGAGTGCTTTGACAAAAATCTTATCAAGGGCTAACCAAAATTGGATTAGTAAAAAAATCATTTAACTAGCTAACCAAATGATTCGATTGGCAATCAAATCTTCAAAATCGTTCAAGCAATGCTAACACAACGTTCTAGCTGGCCATTTGGACCTCTTGGCTCCAGCTTTCTGGCTGGCCGGACAACTCTCTCCTAGATCTAAAGGCAATTTAATGCCTTTGAGTAGTCATTATAACTTAAAAATTAAAAACAGTGGGTCATAATCGCTTTTATTCCTACTCTCTGCAGGGTTTGTCGTTCCTCAATGGGCATGGGCCGTGTTTGTAGCTCCACTAAACTGATGATGTCATCTACTTTTGTCATCAATTTGTCAGCCAGCATAGCATTCTCGACATTCGGGTTCCAAGTGTCCACCTGACATAATCTGTGTACGTAATCTCTGAATATGTCTTTCATCTTCCCTAAAAAAAACTTCTTAATATTGTTTTGGTGGTCCTACCCATTTTGTTCAGGCCATACATTAAAGCCGCCAGAGCAATGTGAGTGGGTGTGTATAATAACATGACATCGCTAAGGAGACATTGCTGCAAGCAATGAGATCATACCGCAAGCTATGCAACATTTACCTTAAAAAAGAGATCAGAATGTTCTCGAATTCCTTCCAAGTCAAATCCAAGCATTCCATGAGTCTTCATCTCCATCAAGTGCCCTTCGAAAGGTCGGAAGGGGCAATGGATAGTCAAATGATAGTCCAACTTGAACATTATAATGGGTTCCCAGATTAGTATAGATTCTGCATTCTGTTCGGGAGTCCCTGATTGCAAATTGGAGATAAAATCATGCACAGAAATATTGAATTCATCGACCTTTGTAGCCAAATAATAAGAAGCCATCATGATGTTCTTGGGAGAGTATTCCATGGCCGAATGTCTCAAGTAAAACCTCTTGAAGTAAGCAAACGCTGTCCATCGGACTGCAGGCCACATCTTTGGAACAAATTCATCGCCAAATCGAACACCCGTTTCCTGGACAATCTTCAGCAATTTATTCTCATCGTCCACATTTAGAAGGCGCTCTTCGTCCTCTGAATTCTGGAGGAATGGTCTCAGTTTGTTCTTATAAGCAGCATTAGCTTCTTGTCTTAGATTCGAAATCTCATCTGGGTTTGCAAAAGTCCAATGCGACTTCTGAGTACTTGTTGGATACATGGACTATAAAAAATAACTGGCTTCCATCAATTGCAAGTACACAACAGAAATAACTGATTCGCACATCAAGTTTATATTCGTTAAATTTATCTACTACAGTTTCTAGCCAACAAACGATAACAAAATAAGTACGTTACAGTAAAAAATGGTTAACAATGGTGATGAGAAGTCATAATAATCGCCTGAGTAAACTAACTGAAAGATAAAAATTAAAAAATGACGGTTACGTTGGCCGGATCGGCGTATTCCTCCCCAGTCTTAAAGTCATGGGGATTTCATTGGTCGGAAATGTCGCAATAGCCAGCGACATTGATTTAGAATCAGCAGAATAGGTCGTCTGTCTAGGTGAAGACGGATGAATCTCAACAGCCGACATATTGCTCGAAGTCACTCCTGAAGTGGATGGATGTCTTGATTCTTGCGAAGACTTGTGAGGATTCATTTTGCGAACGATGGATATCTTCTTGGCGGACAGTGGCCTCATCGTCGGTTTCACACTCCCCAGAAGAATATTCTCGATCTTGGGATCGGGGAAATATGGAATCGGTGATTCGCTTGTGATAATCTGGAAAGAATTGGTTAAATTATTCATAATTATTATCTCTTACCTTCCCCGAAGTGTAAACTGCCCTGCCCGGGTTGCTTGGATCGGCGATCTTGATAAGTTTGTCCGCCTAGAAATGTATTACATAGTATGGGCCACTCGAAGCTGGCGTCCTCTTTCTTTGGATTTCTTCGCGTAGACCCCGCCGATTTTCCTAAAATTTAGATTCTTCCGAAGCTGAGATTTGCAATTTTCAACAGATTAAATTTGCAAAAAATGTTTTGATTGATCCCTCTGTGCCTTCCCAAAGTTTTATTTTAAATAATTATGTTAGTAAACTTTAATTTTTTAAAAAAATTTAATCGGTTGAAAATGGCAAACCTCAGCCCCAGAAAAATCTAAATTTTAGGAAAATCCGCGGAGTCTCCGCGGAGAAATCCAAAGAAATAGGACGTCAGCCTCAAGTGGACACCCTTTAATATTTTTCAAAGACTCAACTTACAGTTTGGGCATTCATACAAGGAGTACCTGATTGGACCATTTCTCTCGGGGCTAGATGGATGTTCTCGCAATATCTATACATAAGATGCTTTCGTATATCCGCACAAAAGAAGGCCCCGACATCACACAAGGAGCATTTGAGACGAATCGCCCTTATATGCCCGATCATGTGTTTCTGCCCCTCCTGAAATTCATAACGATTTCACAAAGCGACAAGAATCAAACTCTTCATGTATGCACCCTTACAGCTAAATTCCGACAAGTCTGACCACATTCAGCACATTGATGGAGCCCATCTCTTCCTTGTTTCGCCTCTTTTTCACTAAACAATGGCTTTAATGGACCAAAGAACATTTTCCGCTGATTCTGGGATAACATCACTGGAAGGCTGAGAAGATCATCTGGCCTACAAGGATTCTCTCCAGGGACTTGAATCAACTAAACGAATCGAAGGTATACTATGCATGTTAAGTTACCTTGACATCATCTCCTGCCCCTTCATCTCTAATTGCAGCATAGTTCTGCTTCCTTCTCGAGGCGGCCTCTCCTCTGGTATCTTTGGTAGCCGATGGGACACCTTCCCCCTGGTTCTTGGTAGGTGTATTCAAAATGTCTGTTTCCTGTCTTTCCCCAACCAAAGCCGAAGGGAAAAATGTTTTGAGAGGGGAATTATTGGCTGATCCCAAATTCGACCTCGGTTTCCCAGTAAACGGATCATTTCGACCAAACTCAACTTCCATAGTCTTCTGATGTCGGTGAGTAGGCACGCCAGCATTTGCTTCCGAGGATGTAGTAGGCAAAATAAATTCGCTAAGAGCCACTGGGCTGGCTGGATCGGACACTGGCTCCTCTTTCATCAGGGTTGCAAGATCCGGAAGATCACTGGCAGGATTTGATTGGGCCCGGGGTATTTTCTTCGGCTTAGCTCTACTCTTCTTGGAAAGCGACTAAAACGCATTCTACAGAGTTAAAAACTACGTACGGATTCTCTTGAGTTCTGAAGGCTCTGATAACTCTCATCTTCATCCATATTCACAGGCTTAAACTTCTTTGGCAACACATAATCTTGAACAAATCTGCGGTTCACCAATCGAGCTCTGGGTTCCCTACCGGCGATCAGAGTGACTGGGACGTCATTACTGTCATCATTCTCCATAGACGGCTGTCTCTTTGTTGCCTCGGAAGAATCGAAAAAGGCCGAACGGAAAGTTTTCGGGGCCGTTTTCTTTTTCTAAAATTTTAATCACAAACTTGACATCAAATTTACCATACCATTAGCCTGTCGAGAAAATAATGTGGATCCGCCGCGCCTTGAAATCGCTCATCATAACTTTGCGATGGCTATCCTCGGCTGGAGGTTTATTAAGATTTCGGCGAAATTTTTCTGCGACAAATCCACATAATTTTCCTTGAAGACTGATAACAAAAAAATACAACAAACCCAAATCAAAATAACCATACCTTGCTAGAAATGTTAAGTTGACTGTCAATCTCATCTTCCTCGATATTTTCTTGTTGAGATCGGCTAACCGCGTTAGCTACAATAACAGAAATCTGTTCGTCGAGCGATTCGATAACTTTTTTTGTTGGACTCTTAACAATTTTCTTCTTCGGGGTCAACTTCTTCGTTAATTTCGGCTTAACAGGAGATGAGTTAGTTGAGGTTTCAGGGGTAACTTCCTCGGACATTGAATCCAGAATAGCATTTAGCTTCTCATTTGTATCTGATATCGCGAGACTTTCAGGACTAATGCTTGATCGTTCGGCCCTCTACAACAAAATGACATAAACCAGTTACAGGATGCAACCACGTAAAGTAAATGTATATCACCTTTTTGTTTCTCTGTGGGGCCCGACTTCGATTATCGTAGTGCCGTATTCGGATCTGCCCATGATAAGTCTTCAAATGATTCTTGAGTCGAGTGAAACTAAAAAAATATTTCGTCGCCAAATCCATGTTTACCTTGTAAACTTCTTCTCGCAAAAGTAACACAACGGCGTTGTTTCCAAATTCCGTGGCTGATGAGATAAACATAAATGATAAGTCAAAATCTCAAAATCGTCGAAAGATCTCATTCCTTTGCACCTAACACTTTTACAGGATAAGGAATTAACATCAGCAAAAGCCAAAATCTCCTCCGGAATCTTTTTCAAAAGATCAACCTAAACAGAAATGATGAAAAGAGACGGCATACCTGTTCTGGATACAACTCGGCGTACCTCTCATCAACCCTTCGCTTTCGCAACCTCATCTCACCATACGAACTGGAGCTATCTTGTGGAATCACTACCACAACTTTGTCTGAAGTACTGGAATGCTCAATCTTCTGGTATCCGGACTGGATGGTGGACAAAGGGATCGACTTGGAAGGATATCCAAAAGTCCCCGTACCCAAATATTCCCGACGTTCAGCTAATACTGCTAACAAGTTTGTACGTCCCTGCCGGCAAAAGCTCGATATTTCTAAACAAAAATTTCTTTAAGTTCCATTAAAATTACCGAACTTTCCATCCCGTGACTTTTTAAGTTCTGCTTGCAATTTATTCAGGAATTCGTTTTTCTCGATTAATTCCTCATTGTTAAAGGCGTCCTTGCATACTGTTCGTTTGTGGGATACAAGTGAAATGATCGTCCGGAAAACTTTTTGACAAACCCTAAAAGAAAAGATCCCAGTAAAATGATGATAATAATTACTAGCTATATAAATGAAATCCCGTTATATCTCAATATACTCACCGGCATTCATATAAAACATTACACTCGTTTTCTAATAACAGTTTCACTTCGGGGTTTCCATCTTCATAGAACTTTAAGACGTCTAGAAGACCATTTTGTCCATCCGGATCAACCGGCATCGTGAATATATATCTGAAATTGACGAATATATTTCTTTAATCAGGTATTCCCCGTTTAGACCACCTTATGTACCATTATAGACTAGAAACTCATGTTTTTTCTATAAAAACCAATTCACGAGAAGCTGAAAACGGTGTTCGAAAAAATCCGCAATATTCTGCGGGTTTTGACGCGACAACTGTATTGGCATTGTGCACCAACATAAAATATTATTGAAACTTACGAGGGCGAGGTTTCCTCGCGAGGGAACGACGGTGCGCATAGGGTTGTTAGCTTGGCAGAATTTTTCAAAATGACGTCAAATTGCGCCACATTTCCGTTATTTTGGCCAAATTTAAAATTCTGATATATAAGACTTGTGCGTTAGTAATTCGCGCGACCAATCGTAAAAAACCGCCGAATTCTGACTGTAAGAAAAGATAACAAAAAAGAAGAGGCGACAGAGAAAGGCACAATTTTTTTACAACGAGAGAAATGGTGCAACGTTACGCAACGACTTCTTTGTGATTGGTCGCGCGAATTACCAACGCACACGCCTTATATGAAGCCAACTCAAGCTTATGTTAGCATAGATTATGGTGAATAGCCTTAATATTAGTCATAACAAGTTTCACTTTTTATTTAATGGGACGTTTTGACAAGAAGGAGCAATTGAGTTCCTGAAAATTTTTAATTCCTACGATTCTTTGGCAAAATCTACAAAAAATTTCCAAAAAAAAACTCAATTTGACAACCTCAATTTGACATGACGAAAACGGCGCCAGTTTGAGAACGTGCAAATTGTGCAACGATTATGAGTAAATTTGTAAATTTACTGGATCGTCAATTTGATCGGAAAGTGGCCAATTGTAAGAGACACAAATAAAAATTCACATATTAGAATCTATCAGTCTGTCGGAAAAATAACGGCGGATCGTCGCAGCAAAATGTCTCGCCTCGACGCTACGGCGCACCAAATCCCAAGCCGCGGCTTGCAGTCGCAAAGCGATGACGAGCGACTCCGAGGCGCGACGATCCGCCGTTTTTTTCCCGACAGACCGATAAGAAGTGCAAAACTTCTAACCTCAAAATGTGCGTCTTCCACGCATTTTTGCCTGTGGAGGATTCAAAATTTAATATTTTTATAATTGTTTACGACAAAGAGGGAACCTAACTTAGAGACCAGATTTGTCTGTGCAGCGCGTTATTCTCCTCTAAAATCGAAATAGATCAACAGCAAAATATAATTACTATTTTATTGATTTACAAGATATAACAACGGGAGATGTTCAAAGTTTGTTTTCTCTGTCAACCTCGAGTCATTCGTAGAGCCATGGCTGAGTAGCGAGCTTGTAGTTGACCAATTCATCGGGCTTGAACCAGTGGGCGATCTCACGGTTGGCAGATTCAACGGAGTCGGATCCGTGGCATATGTTGCGGCCGGTCTGGATGCAGTAGTCTCCGCGGATGGTTCCTGGGGCGGACTGAAGGGGGTTGGTGGCTCCAAGAATGGCACGACCTTGCTTGACAACATCCAGACCTTCCCAGACAGTGGCAACAACTGGTCCAGAGCTCATGTAGGCGATAAGTCCGGGGAAGAAAGGCTTTTCCTTGAGATCACGGTAGTGCTCTTCAAGATGTTCCTTGGAGGCAACAAGGGTCTTGATCCCGACCAGTTTGTAGCCGCGCTCTTCGAAGCGAGCCAAGATCTTGGAGACGAGACCTCTCTGGACACCATCGGGCTTGACGGCGATGAAGGTGCGCTCTGTGGTAGACATGACTAAATGCTGGAAATATTCGTTATAGAGGTCTCGGTACATTCAAATACATCGGAGATTGGCAATTAAACGCAAAAAATAGGTAATCTCGGGCGGGAATGGAGGAATCCGGATGAATCTAAAACAAGTTCCCCCGGCAACCACTAAATAAGCCGATTTACCCCCTAAACACTTACGCGACGGACTGTGTCACCTTCTTCGTGCCCACTTTTGGTTTCGGTCTCAAAAAGTTTTATCCCAATGTCAGACTCTTGCCTGAATTTTGCCTGAGTCCTTGACCGAAATTGGCGTTCTGTAAATAAAATAAACTTTTCTGCTTTTTGCAAAAAAGTCCATGGACAGAAAAATACGTTTACTCTTTTACATTCTGATCAGTAAATTTTCGTTGTCGACTAGGTTTTGGTGTTGTAAGATACCTATAATTCAGATTTCTCTTATCATGAATAAGAAGAGGAAAATCACTCAACAAGTTAATAAGGAAGAACCTGTGATAAAGAAATTGGACACCAAATATCCGGATTTCTTTGTTAATCGGTTCCAGCACGATGTTTCCGACGCATTGATTTCTCAGCTAAAGGACGATACGGTTTCAAAGAAGACCATATCATCTAAAACTGCATTCCCAGGTTCGACCCTTCACATTTCCTTAAACCCCAGTTTCCACGGGGTAAGTGGTGATTGTGTTGTTTCTATTGTTGCTTGTAGATATTGGAAAACATTGAAGATCTTCCACTGGTCCCGTCAAAAGAATTCGTTGATAAAAGGTTGCTGAACGATAACATTATAACTGAGATTGAGCAAACAAAAATGTTGGGAATAATGGGTAGATACCTCGACCTTTGTTATGCGTCAAAGACTCGCGAGTATTTAGTAAGTTCTAATAGAAATTTTAGTTTTTGTTTTAGGAGCCATGTTGTTATCATATTTTAAACCATTTACTCCGTTCCAAGAATCTTATTATAAGCAATCAGAAGCGTTTGGAGAATGCAAAGGTAACTTTGGTTTTGTTTTGATTGCTGAAACGATCTTTAGAATAATCTAAGTGATGAGTTAATAGAAGACTGCCGGGATCAAGGGCTTAATCGACCAAAAGTTTTAATTCTGGCTCCATTTAAAAAAGATGCATATGAGATTGTTAAAACGATAACGAAAATTCTGCTTGATGGCGACAGAACTCAAATTCTTAATCTGGCAAAGTTTGAAGAGGAATATGGGCCAACGAACACTGGAATGCACGATAAATGGAGGGCACCCCAGGAGTTCAAGGTTGTTCAATTCACGTTGTATTGAAATTGATTTTTAGGATCTTTTGTCCGGAAATGTGGATGATTCTTTCCGGATGGGGATTTCCCTCGGAAAGAAAGCAATCAAACTGTTTACATCTTTCGAAAACTCGGATGTTATTCTATGTTCTCCTCTTGGCCTTAGGATGATTATAGGAGATGAGGAGGAAGAAAAACGAGAAACTGATTTTCTGTCGTCGATCGAGCTTGTTGTTTTGGAAAGGGTATACTTTTGCATTTGATCATTATGTTTTTAGACAAATGTGATGTATATGCAGAACTGGGAACATCTACTTACTATTCTCGCAGCATTAAATCAAATTCCTCAGGAGGTTCAAACAGACATTTCGAGGGTCAGACATTGGGTGTTGAAGGGACACGGTCCAAACTACAGGCAACTTATTGCATTCTCCGAGATAAACTTTGCCGAACTTCATTCACTCTTTGCCGAAGAAAAAAATATAACAGGACAAGCAAAGCTCACTCAAAATCCTTCGGTTATGTTGGAAAACGTAATGTTTCAAAAATGATTGCGTTAGAGAAAGTATGTCCTACCAAGACGTTTTCTTTTTAGATTGAAGTGCCCATTTTGCAAGAACTTCATCGTTTTGATTGTGAAGATCCCTCGCAACAATCGGACTTGAGATTCGCGTATTTTGTTAGGAATGTATTACCCAAATTAAAACAAGGAACAATGGTCTTTATCCCATCTTATTTCGATTACATCCGGATCAGAAATTATTTGAAGAATGATGAGGAAAGCTTCTCCCAAATTCACGAATACGCATCTGATGGGAAGATCCGCAAAAGTCGAAAGGCCTTCGCCAGCGGCGAAAAGAAACTACTTTTAATTACAGAAAGGTAATCAGAGAATCAAATACAGGGTCTTTCAAGAAACGTGAAGGAAAGTAGGAGGCTATAACTTTCGGCGGAGGCGGCGCAGAGAACTCGTTTTTGGAATATATATTTTTAAGCGACATTATTTTTTGCCTACGAAATAACAAGCTTTTAGAGTGCAAACTGAGGTCGCTACGACCTTCTGAAGTAGAGGCCTCTCTACCCCGAAAACCAAGTTTTTTCGGTTGAAAATAATCGTGAAATTTCGGTCTTTTTCGGTTGAAAATCACCAAGAAATGTCGGATTTTTTCAGGGGTTTCGATAGAGTTGACGTTGAAAAAAGGGAAGGATGTTGCCAACACGTTGGCAACATTATTTGCTTAATTTCCACTTCAGAAGGTCGTAGCGACCTCAGTTTGCACTCTAAAAGCTTGTTATTTCGTAGGCAAAAAATAATGTCGCTTAAAAATACATATTCCAAAAACGAGTTCTCTGCGCCGCCTCCGCCGAAAGTTATAGCCTCCTACTTTCCTTCACGTTTCTTGAAAGACCCTGTAGTATACAGTTTTGTTACAGATGTCAATTCTACCGACATTTTGTTGTAAGCGGAGTCAAATACATTGTTTTCTACCAAATGCCCATCATTCCCAGGTTTTATTATGACATGATTAATATGAGCAAAGCTGAAGGAACTTTACATACTACTCTTATTTTTTGTAAATACGATGTTCTAAGGGTTCAAAATGTATTCGGGGTAACACAAGCGAAACAACTAATGTTGTCTCAGAAAAAGTTCCACGCGTTATTGAGTGAGTGAAGAGTCACAGGACTTCGCTGCTAACTTTGTTGTTGTTGATTTTATTGTTAAATAAAATGATTACGTGTACTCAATCATAAATACAGTTCACAGTGGGGTGACCCCTTTACCCGTCTTCTCCAGGGCTGTCTGAATCTCTTCTTTGGTTGTTGTTGTTGTAACTGACACAGTCTTGGCCCCAACATCGATTTTAATGTCTTGCACCTTATCTGAAATTCAAAAATACCGAATGCGAAGTGCTTCTTACCTCCAAGTTTGCCTAGGACACGCCGAGCGGCATTGGCACACCCTTCGCAAGTCATTTCAACCTTGAAATTGTATGTCTAAAGTAAAATTAGACGCTTTAAATGCATAAAACTCACCTGAGACATGTTCTTATCTTCCCAGAGGGTTGACGATCATACAACCCTGCTTCGATTCATTCGCCGAAAGAAAAAAAATATTGTTGACACTTTGTTACAAAAAGAACGCCGATAAACGAAATGTCACAATAAAAGATTTACGAAGTACGCAACGAACTTTTCTCGGTTTACCAAAAATATTTGGCTGTATAGAAACTGGGCTGGTTTCTTGTATCTCTCTTTTGCTCTGTCATGCGCACACGCACGGGTATCCTTCCTTGAATTCAGCCCAATTTTCACACCTCGCCCAATTTGATAAAAGTTCCTTATTATGGCCACAACTTATAACCTTGCGATAGTTCGTTGTTAGCAACGCCCACCAGTAGACTTAGTTGGTGAGGTATCTTCTATTTTGCGTACCTTAAAAACGCATGCTGCGACCCTACGAATTTTTCCGAGGTGCCTTAAAAACCTCAGAACCAATCTAACTGGTACCCCCACAGTACCAGTTAGATCGATGCCCTTTTCCTAACTTTAGTTCCCGAGCTTGGATGCGGTTCGCAGAGTACCTTTTTAGTGCCGAAAATAAACAACCTTTTCTAATTACCATTATTCAGATGTCGATCGCAAATCCCGAAGATGTTGCACGTGCTGTTGCTGCATTGGCCGCGAATCCAGCCTTGGCCAATGCCGTCGCCCAAGCTCAGTCAATGTCTTCAGCCTCAGCTCAGAACGCTTCCCTGCCGCAGTATTCAGTGCCTGGTCCAGTGATTGCCGGCACTTCCAAGTACACTCAATTGTTGGCCTTGATCGAAGAACTTGGAAAGGATGTCCGGCCCACTTACACTGGAAATCGAAACTGCTCGGAAAGACTGAAGAGAGGACTAGTTCATGCTCGGATCTTGGTCAAGGAATGCATCTCCGAGATTGAAAGAAGTGCTCGTAATCAGAATCAGTAACGAATTCAACGATAATGTAAATTTATTTATTCTTCTCTTAATTTAAGGGAGTAGCTTTCAAAAATTCGGGATCAACCCCCATTACTTTAGTAACGTAGAATGAATGCATTGTATATACGATACAAAGAACTTCGTCGCTGATTATGTCCTGAAATAAATTGAATGAGAAGTAATTTCTTTCCGTGCTGGGCTTACCTTGATATCAACTGTAACTCCGGGTTCTGGAGATGTCAAAATCAGTTGAAGATTCATTTTCCCATCGTCCGACGAGGATTGTAGCGCTTCGAATCCATATTGCCAGATATATTTCTTTATGGGAGGTTCAATCTTTATCGGTTATCTTACTTTAGTCGGGATGTCATACAAGCTGAGGCCTTGTTTTATATCCAACACAAATCCAGCGGGCCTTCCTTCATAGCTACATGAAAACGTTCGGGTCTGAAGACAGCTTAGAATGTAAGATTCAATTACCTGCATTGCGGTTACAGATTTATAAAGACTATTATAGAAGCCGGATTCCAGTTGCTGAAGTTGACGGGGACTGTGTAGAGATAAGTAATGCTGAGTACCGTTATGAGACTCCAGAATGAATACATTTTCTCGCCTATCTACATGTTTGATGGCCGTCTTAAGAGCTGTCTCATATATCTTGTACAAGCATACACATTTGTCCAGTTCTTCTGAGTTTAGCTGAATTTATATAATATAAGAAATTATTTTTGTCTTTATGCTAACCGGAGGGGTTTCGAAAACGCATAGATCGGTTCCCTTTAGGATCAGGAAACGTTGAGCCCACTTCAATTTTGGATCATCAAAATATCCGGCCTCCATCCTCTCTTCAATCCATCCAATGTAGGTAATCTAAACCAATATAATGCTTAAAAAGTGTTTTTACATGTTCTGAAGGGTGTAAATACTTGTTGCTCATCTTGACGGACTTCTTGTTGAGGGTCTCAATGTGATTTTCGATGTTTTTGATCCATTGTTGGAGAGCCTTTCGGTCTTCGCAATGAATAATCCCAGAAGATTTCCCATCCACCGTCCTCAGTTCAAATGCATTGTTCCTCAATTTGTCGGTTCCCCAGAGATATCGAGAAACAATAGCCATGGGGAGAGGTAATCTTTGTATATTCTTCCAGCCAGCTTGATCCTCCCCTTCCTTCAGATTGTTCTGGCTACGGTCATTTGCACTTTTGAGTGCACTTTGGATCTTGTACATGTTCACATCGACCATGGAATCACCTGGTCCAACGCTAAGCCGTTTGGATGGAGATCTTAAGTATACAGTAATGTCATTGTCGGATCTACCTGAGTAAAGGAGCCAGTTGTTCATTATGCTTTAAACTTAGGGTAATATGAGGCCCTGGGGCATCGCGCAGAATCTGAACAACTTCTTCATGGGTCTTGTTCTCAACATTGATCCCGTTTATTTCGATTATGGTGTCTCCCACGAATACTTGACCAGTTTGAGCAGCTGCAAAGATAATTGATCTTTAATTTTTTTATACCTGGGAGGTTTGGAAGAACCTTCGAAATTGTAATCGGAACGCTGTTCTTTTCATTTGAACCTCCCTGAAAGATCGATGAGTGATAACTACAGTGGATATTGTACTGACCGGGTAACTGAATATTTGGGAAAACTCGGGAAAGCCCATTTTGGGTGATCGCTTATTCGGGCGATGCATTTTCGGGTGGCGCATGTTCGGGTGATGGATTTGGGGGCGCGGGGGGATATCTCGGGTGATGAAGTAAATATTGCACCTATGGCTACTGAATACGACATAACAAAAAAGGATTACTCTCAAAATATACAGTGACGCGCAAAACAGATTTCATTTTTGGATTCCTGATATATGGGAGGTGCTTTATAAATTTCAGCGCGCTAGTCCGTCCGAACCCTGCGGATTTAGTCCAAAGTTAAAAGTAGCGCAATCTTACACAACGTTGCGCAATTTCTCTCTTTGTAAAAATTTCTGCCTTTCTCTGTCGGCTCCTCCTCCCCTCCCCCTATTTCGTGAACTTTTAACTTTGGACTAAATCCGCGGGGTTGGGATGGACTAGCGCGCTGAAATTTATAAAGCACCTCCCATATATAACCAAGGTGATTTATATCTGGCGGCAAGGTCGGTATGCCGATGATTTTTTACGCCTACTTGGCCAAAAAAAATTCCAAGTTTCAGCGATTTCGGCCCGAAAATCATTCTTGAAGACTTTGGGAAGACATAGAAAGGTCAATTCAAGGTTTTGTTTGAAATTCAGTCGGTTGAAAATAGCGGGTCTCAGCTCCAGAAAAAATTATTTTTGCTAAGTAGGCGTAAAAATTCATCGGCATACTGAGCTTGCCGGCAGATATAAATCACCTTGGTTATATAAAGCGGGAGATAAAAGATTTTCTGAAAAATTTTTGAAATTTTTCTGTTTTCACTTTTTTTTTAAAAAAAAAAGTAAATTTTGAAAAATTTCCGGAAATTTTCGATTTCGGAAAGTCAAAAAACATTCTTACTCCGAACGACAAATTTTTGGAAAGTTGGATCAAAAATGGCTCGCCAAAAGTTCGATCCGGAAAGTTGAAACAAAAATGGCTCGCCCATTTTGGCTGGTGAGTAAGACGCCGTTTTTACTCACCAATTTATTTTCTTCAAAACTATTTTTGTGAGCTGCGCCCTTGATCACCCGGGAATTCCCAGATGTGTCAAATTTCTCCCCCGTAAGAAAATTATTTTTCCCCTCTTTTCGATATAGCCTGTTTCTACATGAAGATGGCATGAATACTAGACAAGTAAGTTGTTATTAGTAAGAGCAGGTGTTCTTCTTTCAATTGACACCAAATATTTTCCTTTTATTTTACAGAATTTCTCCAATTCGGGAGTTTTTCACGACCATGGATAATGTAAGTGCGCTTATCTCGTTTTTGTTCCGTTATTGGAGTAAACAGTTCTAGGCTGGGGGGTTCTGGAGGACACCGCACTCTTTAGTTTTGTTATATTCTCCATCTATCAAACGCCATCAATTTCGATTTCTAGGTGTCATGTACAATATCGAAATCCGCTCAGATCTGCCGGATTTTTGCCGCGAAGGCGTTCTAAACTGAGGTCATAACGTAATAAGGCTCAAATAACGTTGTTACAATAACTTAGTATTTGAAATTTTTACGTCGTTATTCCTCAAAATTGATGGGGTTTCATACATGGAGAATATACATGAGAGTGGGGTCTCCTCTAAACGTTTCCCGACTTAGAATCTTGACGTCGTAGCAAAAAACGAGATAATCTCACTTACATTATCCATGGTCATGAAGCTTTACGAATTGGAAAAATTTTGTACCTTTCTCTGAAATAACAGGGAAATTTTTGGTGTCAAATGAAAAACGTACATCTCCTCTTGCTAATGCTAACTTACTTGATCACTTTTCAGCCCATCTTCGTAGAGAACATAGCTTCACAACATCGCACAAACATAAAAATAATTTTTTCGGAAGAGAAAAACTTGACACATCAGGGAAAGACTTGGCGTCAACCTTGCAACCTGCAGTGCGGGGCCAAAAAGAGGAAGAAAGTAAAAACAAGCTCTGACTTTCCTCGACTCCGAGCGGGGAGTAAGATCCGGTCCTACTCCCGACCTTGAAGTCGGAAAGCCAAACAAAAAATTGACTTTTTTTTGCATTTTCCGGAAAGTAAACTGAAAATTTACTTTTTTTTTAAAAAAAAAAGTAAAAACAGAAAAATTTCAAAAATTTTTCAGAAAATCTTTTATCTCCCGCTTTATATGAACAAAAATTGCAAAAAATATAAAAAAATTTTACAGTGCCATATTTATGTAGTAGTCAGAATTCATTCCCCCAAAAATCCATCTCCCGAATATGCGCGACCCGAATACGCATCACCCGAAGAAGCGATCACCCAAAAGGCTTACCCGAGTTTCACCACGCGGGTGTGCACCACCCGAAGATTTTCGACCCTGTACTGACCTTAATGGAGAGCCCCAGTCCTTCATTTGTTTTTGGGACATTAACAGTTCTTGTCAACTTGGTTAACGTCGCTTCTGGCGTTTCAATCGACGTGATACCACTTACAGAAGAATTATCATCCGCTACTCCCACATTTGATTGTATAAGTAATTGTTCTAAAATGAATAGCGGGAAGCAGATCTCATTCTACCTTTAGTCAGCACTAGACGAACCGGCTTTCCTCGGCCTTTCTCATCACTGAGGATGGCCATACCGCTGTGAATCTGCATAAAGTTATCTAAATTGACAGCGAATTTAAAACTTACGACATCAAGATTCTTGGAGCGGTTCTTCATTTTACTTGTAACTCTCAGCTCTGAAGAAAAATGAAAAAGAAACCTCCAGTGACCAAGAACAGGTGGCCCGAGGTTTGATGGCCAAGGAATTGCCTGCTAATTCAAAGACCTGGGGCTCGTTTTAAAATTGAAGAGAGAAACAGAATTGTGCTGTTCCAACGCATGTATGAATTTACAGTAACATAGGATTTTACACTTGTCATGACACTTGCGAATGATGATTAATGATCGATTTCGTAACATCCGTAGACTTCCGAGAAGTTTTTGTTTCGATCCCCTTGACGGGCATGCCCAAAACAATCGAAGCCGGTTTGTCGGAGGCGTTCAGGATTGCTCAATTCGTCGGATCCTCGCTTGCATAATTGGTTTAATGTTTCAGTTTTTATGCTCGGGAAATGAGTCTTCTTCTCCGCCGGCTTAAAGAGTTTCCTTTTTATGGCGCGTTTCAAACGCCGTCCGTCGATTGAGTCCGTTCATTGTATGCGATTTAATTAGAGAATTCCGAAGCTGTTTAACGCGTCGCCGACGACTCCAACAGGGTCACTACCGAGGAGGGAGGCGTGGCTCCCGCGAAATATAAATAATCTGTAGCCAGGGGTCTCCGGCTAGTCTGGGATCGCAACATGTCTGTGCCTGTGCTGGTTTCGGTTATTCTCCTTCTTTGCTTTGTAGAGATTGCTGAAGCAGAAGATACCTATCAAAGTTCTGGCAGTCTTCCTAAGGCCTCCAAACCTATCATATTCGATAAGAGAAGTAGTGAAAAGGTAAAATCATATCCTCTTTTATAATTTAGCTTTACGAAACTCTTTAAGTAGCAATGTTATAGATCCAGACTCGTCAACGACGTCAAGGTTATGTAGTAAGTCCAACTAACACAATTATCATCCTAACAGATTCTTGAGCAGAACGATCTGGACGCTTACCAGGACGATAACCCCGGCTTAGGCGAACTAATTCCCCCTTCCCCCGCTTTCCGATTCCATCCTCCCAAGGAATCTCTCCAAGATTTGCCTCGAGATATAATCGAAGATTTGAATGAACTAATCAGAGAAATCCCCTCCAAAACCCAAAATTCATCGCTTAATATGACCTTAACTAATGCTTCTAACAACGATTTGATCAAGCTTACTAATGACACGATGCCAGGTTGCGAGAATACGGTAATTCCTTCAGAGGCCGCCGGATTCCTTTAATCGGAATGTCTATCCCCAAGCCCCCCAGAATGCACAGTCCCAGTCCTTCGGGAGATCACAGCAACTGCCTCATCCGCCCTCACCAGGCCCATTTCCCTTCCCTTCCCCCAATTCTGCACCTCTTCATCCAAAACCTTATCCACGACAGCCACCTTTTATTGTAAGACTCACTTTTTTGTTTGAATGTTATGTTTAATCACCCTTTCACAATGCCAATCACTATGCAACACAGCTTACAAGTCTTTTACAGACACAGCCGGTCCAACAACGCCAGTTTAATATGAGAACACGGCCACTGAATTGGGTAACTTGCGCGAGTTCCTTTCACAAATCTAACAACCTTTTCAGCCCGCCTACAAAACGTCGAACGTGCAGAACAACTCGGCAAGTCGGACCTATGTCGGCGATGCAAATAAAGCTGGTGTCATTGGCGGGGTAACCACGGCGCCGTAATTGCACCCTCAGCTTTCACTTAACGCTTCTGACTGGTTGAACGAACATGATTTTAGGTACCTCCGGAAGGCGCGCAAAGACCCGCACCTCCTCCAGAAAGTGAAGCCCATCCTTATTACTTCCCTCCAAGAATGCAGCTTCCTCTTCCCAGCTGTTTCCACAATCCCACTGGGTACGCCTGTTGTAAGTTTTAAAAAAGTTTTTGAGCAAAATAATCAGATTTTATTAGTCGCGCCATAAAGTCCTGACACATTTTGTCGCGGGTGTCGCGCGAGAAAATTGGCGAGCGCGCGCGAAAATGCATGTTGCTAGTGCAAAAACAGGGAATTGCCGCGACGAGTTCGAAAGGAAAACAAAAACGCACTGTGCAAATGTGTCAGGACTTTATGTCGCGACATGTTAAAATTCTACCGCACACCACTGTTGCGGGCTGATTCAACTTCTCGCGGAGTCTTTTTTAAAATTATAATTTGCTAAACTGGTATAGGTAATGCCCAGCTCAATGATCTGATGGTGGAAACTTACACCGAATTGGAAGCTAAACCCAAATTCCATATTTGCAATATCAATGCAATTGCCAACCAGATCCAGAAGAAAGCCGAAGAAAAGTAAGAATCATCCAAAAATGGTTATCGGATTTTAGATTCAACACAACTTTTGAAACAATCGCATCTTTTGAAGACTTTGCTCAAAAGATCCATTTTCATACTGATCTCGTGTGCAAGGTTGAATTGGGAGGAAAGTGAGTAAAAGCGATAGGATTACATCGATTTACAGATTCATGCTGGCATATGGAACCGTAAAGAATGTGGCTGATAAACTGCCCCCGGCAACAGAGCCAGCAAATGTTGTAAAAAGGGCAGTCTTTGGCCCAGAACCCGAACTCGAGATCCCTCCTCGCCCGATTTATCATTCAATTCTGATATAATTACACTTGCAATACTTATTATTATTTATTCTGGGAATCAAAACGCCCCTCCATGATAAGATAAGATTAAGTTCATGGTCAAACCATATCGTTTAATACATATTATATTAGTCAGGGGTGTCAAGTCGATTAATTTATGAATAAAAATAAGATGTAACGGTCGTATGCAATGTTACGTAGTGGACTTACTGACTACAGTTCGAAGTGGAAAGGGAGAGGCCCTTCTGTTCTTATCAATCCTTCCTTTCATAAGCCGGAATTTGAGTAAAAAGACGCTTGATTTGTTTGTCCAATGACTCCCCGGGTTACTGTAGCCGAATCATTTCGGAATTCTTCGATCTTAATTAATTTTTACTCCTTTCCCGACGATTGCAATATATTGAGGGGAAAGTTTTGAAAGCACATGAAGTAAGCCAATACCTGCAACAAAAAAATGTTTTTTATTCAATATGTTGAAACAATATTCGAATAAAAGACTGAATGTAGCAAAAGCTTAGGCAGTCGTTGAAACCGAAACTAAATGAGAGTTGTAAATTTACTTATTGGCTACAGTAGTCCAAGCTGTCACCGATGACATCATCGAATGTTTTTTTAATCCTTTAATGGGACCGGAAAGACTCTTGATGCTCTAAAGTAACTTAATTCGGAACTTATTAGGAATAACATTGCTAAAGACGGCCCCTTTTTCCCGATTGGCCAGTCCTTGGAGGGACTGATAAGAGCCTCGAAGACCAACTCAACGCCATTCCCTCAACTGAAAGTCCTCTTTCAGCAATCGATTGCTTTTAAATGGGTTGATTAGATAGTACTATCTATTTGAGTGTAGATTAGTGGTTATCTAGCGCGGTTTTATGCCATCGGCGCTGTTATCAAAAGCAAGGCGGCATCTGTTATGATAAGGTTATCAGTGCACGTTTCAGATGGAGCCCAGTGCTTCCGATCCGACCAGTGCCGGATATGTTGACATGGGCGGGCTGAAGGCCCAGCTTCCGTTGATGCATTCGTTGGAGAGCAAGAACAACAACCAGCTGGATTGTGGCCTGGATGTGCCGAGCATTACCCAATCAGCATTGGCAGAGTCCGGATTGGCTCAGATGGAGAGAACTCAAGTCCTGGACATGCCCATCGCTTACGAACATTATCAGCAATTGCCAGTGATGCAATTAGGGCCAGGTAATTTGAGATTACCATTCAATTAACGCCAAAATTTAAAGCCTCTTTACAAAATCAGTCGTATGTCCAACACTCCATATACAGCCCCTCCAACTACGGCAGCATCAACAACACCCAGTCTTACTACACTTTTAACACGGCGTTGGTGTCTCCTGATCTCACTTATCTTCAAGCCAGTAACGAGTAAGCCCATGTTGTTATTGCGATTGATTCGAGCCGGATTTTAGTCATCATTACCTTCAATTTCCACAACCAAATCAGTTCACTCCCGGTTTATTTCGTGCTGATGATGGGAATTATAATTTGAATGCCTATCAAAACATCCAATTGGCGGATAAAGAATGCACTTCTTGTGGCCAATCTTATAATTATATTCTAAAAAAGGACGAAAGGGGATGCAGTATCTGCATGTCTTGCTTGAACACATCGGAAACGCCTCAGGAAATAGAAACAAACGTGCAATTGGAGGACGAGAGAAACGTCGCTTTCAAGCTGTATGCTCAAGCCGCCGAAAGTAGAAAGCCTACAGTAACCTCGAGCAGTCAATCGTCCCTTTCAAATATCCAAAAACCGAAGCAAAAAAAGCCCCCGGTAAGTACAATAATCAAATCAAGCGCGGTTTAACACATGTCCAAATAAAAACTGATTTTTGATGATAAACAATATTTCAGCAAGTCTCCCAACGGCGCCAAGGATTGGTTTGCACCAATTGTAAGGGATCCTCGACGACCTTGTGGAGAAGAAATCATAAAGGAGAACCGGTGTGCAAGTAAGGAAAGTGCATCATCCCTTATCAAAAAATCGTTTCAGTGCTTGTGGTCTCTACTATAAATTACACCAAGTCGATCGTCCGTTATCGATGAAAAAAGAAGGAGTTCAGACAAGAAAAAGGAAACCCCGGAATCAAGAAGGAACCAGTAGAAGAAGTCGGGGACATAACAGCCATAGTAATGCCCAGTCCGCATCCACTTCTGTTGCCCACATCGTCTCTGCTCCCTCTGACTTCGGAGAACCGTATGGAGCTGTGTATGTTGGGAATAATCTGGCATTGGATCAAAGCTCGGTGCTCCAACAGCAGGCCCTGGTAGATCAATCCTTTGTGAACAACCAACTGTTGCACGAGAACTCCCAGATGATCTCCATGTCCTATCAGAATATGGCTCATCCTCAAGCCATGAGTATGACACAACAGAACGCCTCTCTACCATTGATAAATACATTTTGTAAGTCAAATTATCATCAACTATTTGTGTTTAGTCCCCAAAGTGGAAACTCGATTACCCTCGACCAATGCTCTGACTAAAGAACTTGGCAAATCAGAGTCCGCTGATCAGAATTTGAATGTATAATTTATTCCAAACTTTTCAGAGAATAAAGAAAGTATTCAAATTTTTATTCAGTGGAAGACATCCTGCCTGAGTTGTCCCTTCCCTTTTCCAACTCCGTAATCTGAAAACATTAATGTATAAGTTGTCGGACGTTAAGCTGGACGATAGTAGAGTAGTCACTGACCTGACTTGTACTGGGCTACGTTGTCGTTATTTTCGTTGAGAACAGATCCGTTGTTGAAACGAGCAATAAGGGCGTTGATCTTGCCCCTTCCCTGATTTTTTCTCGCCCAATCATTCTCATCTTTTTCCAATGATTTCACTGAGTCAGCCATCGGGGCGGAAGTGATCTCCCGTTGAGCCAATGGCTTCGGAATAGGCTACAAGTATCTGTTAAAGAATAATCTATGTTTCTTACCCTGGTATCGGTGTTCCTTTGAATTGGAGCAGCTGGTTTACGGTCTTCTTTGGACTCTGTCACTTCGATTTTGACTTCCTTTATTATTTCGATTACCTGTTCTTCTTCCTCCTCATCTTCAACCGTTTCATCCGATTTTTGAAGCGGTTCTTCCTTGAGCTCTTGATGATGCAACTCTGCTTCTTGGGGCTCCTCGCCTTGATTCTGTTGTTGGTATCCGCGAGAATCCTGATGTTCGACTTCAGAGTTTTGCCCTGAAGAACTCGTGGAGGTGTTTCGAGATCGGTAGGCCTGTTGTTGCTCATCTTCCACCGATTTATCATCATTCACTTCTTCGGCCACGGTGTATCCGACCTCCTTATACTCGGTCCGGGGACTGGAATGGACAAGTTCGTGGGGTTCTCGGCTGAGGACTTGCTCGTTATAGGATTGGACCAACTCGGCGGACATTCTACAACGATTAATATAAATAAGAGAGAAATCAGAGAGAAGGAGAAGGAGACTGTCGGCGGACAGATTTCAATCAACACGTCAAAAAAGGAGGAGGACGGAGCGAAATCGGAGGAGAGAGAGGTGCCGCGATCATCTTCGGAATCCGCGAGCTAAAGTCGGAGAAACGGACTGAAGGTGCGGGAGGGGCTGAAAAGAAACTCCGTTCCGATTCCAACAAGTTCCATATACCTGGAGCCAGTTTATTCGAAGGAATGCGATTCAGATCAGAGCTTCTGACCTTCAAATCCCCGCAAGGTCTCTCAAAGATCTTTGGACAACTTTGAAAGCGCTCCTTTGTAACATAGAACACCTCAAGACTATTCCTATTCCAATACCCGCGTGACTATTTATTATACATGGTCTTTCTGATGGCCCGTTTGGTACCAAAGCTTTTAACAGAAATATTTAAAAACATCGAGTCTATAGATGGAAATCATTGACTGAGTCATCCGCTTACTTTTTTACTGGTCATTAGTCTCTCTTATAAATTCCGGGTCAATTCTCACCTTGATTTACTTATATACATATAATGTCGCTTAAGAAAACAAAAACGACATGACTTTGTTAAATTATTATGTCCCTTAAGTTTACGCTCGTCTTGTAGTAGGACGAAATTCTTAACCTGAATATGGGATATACATTGCCCATGGAAACGGAGATACTAAACGAAGATTCCCATCTCTAAACCCGTCCATATGCAAATCTGCCATTCATTTGAGCGGAAAAGGAGATTGAGGTCGGCCTATCATGCCCGTTTTATAAGGATCAGAAAAGGCCAACCCCAGAGAGCAGCAAGGACAGCCGGACTGAGAGACTCTCGCCTTTTAGGGTGAATCAGCCTCTTCTGCCCTCCAAAGGCGTTTTTGTCCCCAAATTCTGTGCTTTTTATCCAACTTTTAAACAAACAATAATCGTTTATTACACTTTGAGAAGGCGTTGTGATAAAGTTGAGCCGAATATATAAATAATAGCAAAGATAGTTCTGAGTAAGCCCGTAAGACCAGCGGATGCAGACAAAATATTATTGGTAGACTTTTGAAAACAGGTCGCGCACTTGTAGATTATATATACAAATAATTTTTTAAAATTATCAAAAATGGAATACCCGCGATGAAAATAAATGAACTGGAGTCTAATCAGGTAATGTCAGCTCATTCGAACCGTTGGGTGGCGCGTCGTTTAGCTGCGTCTGGAATGGAAATAATGGTTAACAACCAACTAGCAACAAGTTGTAAACCATAAAACAAAACTCTCACCTCTCCATCCTCCACTTTCAGCACCTTATTCATCCGGAATGAATTCTCTGGTCGATGAGAGATCAACACAACTGTGAAGTCCCCAAAAGTATCACTGATGATCTTCTGAAGCAACACATCAGTTTTCACATCCAAATTGGAGGTGGCTTCGTCCAGAATCACAAGTTTAGAATTTCTAAACAGTTGTTATTTGTGCCGTCATTTACACCTACCGTAGAAGGGCTCTAGCCAGGCAGACCAGCTGTCTCTGCCCAGAGGAGAGATTCTTTCCGCCATCTTCTACCTTCAATTCTAATTTTTCGGATGTGCTGCTTACCTACAATAGAAAATTATGTTGTCAAAAAGTAAAAAAAATTACAAAATCTTTGAGTCCGACTTTATCCAAGGACTCCCAAACATTATCATCAGAATATTTGCCCTTAGGGTCCAGATTGAAACGTAAGGATCCGCTAAACAGGCCACCATCTTGGGGAATAACCGTAATCGAGTCCCTCAGAGATTGCAAGGGGACCTTGGAGATGTTGAAAGAATCGTATTCCACAGTCCCAGACTCGATTTCGTATAATCTGAGTACAACATTCACAATGCTTGACTTTCCAGAACCTGTCCTTCCAACTACCAGCACCTTATCCTTGTCCTCCAGTTTAAAGGATACTTTATTCAAGGCGGCAGCAGCTCCTTCTCGATATCTCAATCTAAAAAGCCCTATTTTCAAATAATAATTCTTACGTCACATCCTTGAACTCAAGAGATCCACTGCTGGGCCACCTTTCGTCAATTTCTTCTCCTTGAATCCACTTCTCTTGTTCAATATTCTAAACCAATGTTTAAACTTTTAATAATTACCAACCTTGTAATAATAAGAGACCCTCTCGACGGCAGTTAATTTAGCCTCCAATTCAGTCTGTGATCGAACTGCAAATTGGAATATCCCACTCATCTGAAGAGCGAAGGCCAAGGCCATTCCCGCATCCGAAGGTTCTATTGATCCGGTGAGAAAAACGATCAGACAGGAGACCAGGAAGGAGATGGCCACCACCAGAAGATCCAACCAAACTGCTTGCCATCTCATAGCCGCATTAAACATGAACATGATGCTTGAATTATCATCCAATTTCATTTTAAAGTTGTCGATAAATCGCTGATGTTGGGCATATGAATGGACCGTGGAAAGCCCTTCAAGACTCGACGAAACATGGTCAAAAACGGGAGATCGGGTGATATTTTCGGTTCGTTTGAGACTAAAAAATAAGCATTAAGTACAGGGTGTTCAGAGAATTATGGAAAAAACTATTCATTAATAACTTTGCGCTCGGTGGTCGAATCCGAAAAATTTTTTTTGCATTTTACAGAAAAACCTTGGAGTTTTTAGAATCAAAAAAATTTTTTTCTTTTATCGGCGGAGACTACCGTAATCCGCGTTGAATCCGGTGGAGGTTTTTTCACAAAATACGGCTGTAAATCGTTGTATTTGTAAAGAAAATGGGCGGAAAAGGATAAAAAAGATAAAATACGACATTTCTTTCAAATTTCTGTGCTTCGGCGGAGACATTTTTTATCCTCGGCGGACGATTTTTCTTCGACTCCGGATAGTCAAAATTGGCTAAAATCAAAGCGTATGGTATTCCTAGTGGCATGGCGCCTAAAAACGACTTATTACGTCTTCAGGAGGCTGGCAGATCAAAAAAAGGCGAGTCGGCGGAGAAATCGGCGAAGAGAAAATGAACGTATTTCTGAAATTATGCAAATTTATCCGCCGAGCATCCGCTAATAAGAAGAGTCATATTTTTGGTTGATCAGGGCCGTATAAGACTTACAATTTTAGTTTTCTCATCATAATTTCTTAAATGGGTTAACTTTTTTCTCCGCCGATTTCTCCGCCTAATTGCTTTTTTTTCATCTGCCAGCCTCCTGAAGACGTAATAAGTCGTTTTTAGGCGCCATGCCACTAGGAATACCATACGCTTTGGTTTCAGCCAATTTTGACTATCCGGAGTCGAAGAAAAATCGTCCGCCGAGGATAAAAAATGTCTCCGCCGAAGCACAGAAATTTGAAAGAAATGTCGTATTTTATCTTTTGTATCCTTTTCCGCCCATGTTCTTTACAAATACAACGATTTACAGCCTTATTTTGTGAAAAAACACACCACCGAATTCAACGCGGATTACGGAAGTCTCCGCCGATAAAAAAAAAAAAAAATTTTTAGATTCTAAAAACTCCAAGGTTTTTTCTGTAAAATGCAAAAAAAATTTTTCGGATTGGACCACCGAGCGCAAAGTTATTAATGAATAGTTTTTTCCATAATTCTCTGAACACCCTGTATTATAAAAACAAAAAAGTCATGACTCATTACTCCGTAATTACCTTCTAATTCCGGCTCTGAAACACAAAAAGAACAACACAAAAATAACGGAGAGCGGAAAAAAGGCGATCAGAAGAAGAGGGAACACCCAGACGATAGTCAACAGTAATCCGGCACAAGTAATCACATATTGGAGAAGAGCCTCTGCCGAGAAAGGGAGCTTCACATCAACTAAAATATAAGTTACATATTAGGGTGGTTCAAGAAATTTTTAAAAAAACTTTTTGCGAATATATTTGTGCTCTTTGCAGATATCCCCGAAGTTTAAGTTTTATTTAAAATTCGAAGTCGTGCGATCTTAGAATATGCAAAAAAAATTTTTCTTGCATCAGCAAAGAGACCATTTCCCGCGGAGACATTTGATGTCTTTTTTGAAAATTACACCTCCTTATAAAGCCTATGCTTCTGTACAACGGATGAAATTAGGGTTTTTACACCTGTTAGGATGTCATCTGCTAGTCCCGATGGTTTGACGGCTGTTTCAAACATTGGCGAAGGCTCAGCCGAGACTTGGGAATCTGACAAAAGGAGTGCCAAGCTCAGTCTTTCATCAAAACGGACAGACTTTATAGGCCCGATTGACTTCCCTTGCTCCGACTGGAGCAATCTGCGCAAGATAAACCCAAAAAATTAAAAAAAAAGTCTCCGCCGAGCCTTCGCTAGTGTGTGAAACATCCGCCAAGCTACCGATATTAACAGACTACATAGTAAGAGATGTGACAAATCCAGTTTCATCCGTAGTACAGAATTCAGGGCTTTACAACGAGACGTAATTTTCAAAAAAGGTATAAAATGTCTCCGCCGAGAAATGGTCTCCCCGCCGAGGCGAGAAAAATTTCTTTCCATATTCTAAAAACGCACAAATTCGAATTTTAAATACGACTTCAAGTTCTTAGATAGCTGCAAGGAGCACAGAGATATTCGCAAAAAGTTTTTTTTTTTATTTCTTGAAACACCCTGTACACTGGCGGGCAAACCCGGGTGGGGCCAGACTTCCACCTGGCCGGGTCAAAGAAAATCAGAAATGGACCGAGAGCCAAATAGGACTTACTCTCGTCGAGATCCTTTGAAAATCTGTTTAAAACTTGTCCAGTTGGAGTTACATCAAAGAATTTGACTACACCGTGGAGCACGCTCTTCAACATTCGGAGATGAAGATTCGAAGAAGCTTTTATGGACAGCTAGATACGTGATAAAAAAAAATAAAAAACCCTACCTTAACAAACACCATGGCCTTAATTAATCCTGATACAAAAAGGACCGCAATCGAAACGACGTAAACGGTGGCATAGTAATTAAGACTGGAATCGTCGGCAAGACTGGTGTGGTTCCCGGTTTGAGAAGTTCCATGGACATCCTTCATCCACTTGGATAGCCAGAATGTTCCGAAAATATTGGCTCCGACATTGACGACGAAGACGACCAATAACAAGGAAAAGACTACAAAGCCTCCGGCAGCTTCTATGTACTCTCTATAAGGCAATGATTAATTCGTATGATGCCACTTACAAATATATATCTTTGGATATATTCTTCATTCCGAGATCTTCCTCTTCTTCTCTGGACAAATCTTCTAAATTTACTAATAACTCAATGCAAAATTTTTTTGGGAAATGATTTTCGCTTACAAGAGAAGTCACTTAAATCACGGATCGATTTTGTAAAACGGCTGTTTTAAAATACGATATCTTTGCACCTTTAGTGCAGGACAGGGGTATATACCCAAATTCCTACGACATGGGAATTTTTCGGGTTTTATTGTAATTTTCAAAATGAGGAATTGGCCTAACGAGGGAATGGTCTGAACTTCCCCTAGCGTTTGGGAAAACGACTAGTACATGTGGATAGAGCAGGCCGACTTTGGTAGAAAAAGGCATTTTCCAGCTGCAAAACAAGAACGGCCGATGAGAAAAATCGACCGAAAGTTCCAAAATAATTTCCTCTTTCTCTTCCTTCGGAAGAAAAGAGCGGCATGCCCGCGGCATCTAATGGTTCGGTTGGCCGAGTGGATAAAGCGTCCGCTCGCAATTCTTTTGGGGGTTGGTTCGATTCCGGGGCAGCGCGAGTGGCTATGAATAAGGCTTTGGTGACCAAGATGAACTCTTGTGAACAAAAAAAATATTTTGCCATTCTAAGACCTTCTAGAGATCATAAAACACATAATAATAAAGGATTTTCATGTAAATTCGAGTGACTTTTTTCTGGAAGATTCCAGAAAGTTCCCAGACGTACTCCAATGGCACATATTACACAAATTAGTGCTCTTGTATATACATACTAGGTATCTACGGTGGACAGTCGGTCTTGGCGCAAAAAGAAGTAATTTCAAAGTTGGATAAAAGAGGGGAAAGACTTTCTGACCAACCTAATAAAAAAAAAACGTTTTTTTTTCAAATAGAAAAAATCATTTTCTAAAAATAAGTTTTCTATGAAGAAGAATTTTTCATTCTAAGCGAAAAACATTTTTTTCCTCACCTTTGTCATCATTATTATTTTCTTTCGAGGCCTCCTCATCACTTGATTCTTCTTCGGCATTCACTGCAACCTGATTCTTAAAGAATGCAGCGTATTCTTCATGGTTTTCCATCAGCTCGGAATGGGTCCCGTTCCCATGAATTGTGCCATTTTTGAAGAAAATAACGCTGTCACACTCAGACAAGAACTAAAAAAGTAATTAAAAAACAGTGTCACTTACTCGGGAGTCCGAAGTGACCACGAAAACAGTCTTATTCCCCAGAAAATCTTTGATTCCCTGCTCGAATATCCTCTGACCGACTTCCTTATTGATGGAACTGAAGATGTCATCCAACAAATAGATGTCCCTATTTGCATATAATGCTCTGGCCAAAGCGAGACGACATTTCTGTCCTCCGGAAAGCTTGGATCCTCTCTCCCCGACCTCACTCTTCTCATTATAAGGTAATTTCTCCAAGTCCTTGGTCAGATTGGCTGCATTTATGACTTTGGAATACCTCTGGGAGTTCAAAGGAAGCCCGAATAAGATGTTATCTCTAACAGTTCCATTCAAAATACATGGAGTTTGTGGGACGTAAGCTACAGTTCCTCCAATTGAAACCTGTCCTTTCTCGTTGGACATCTGAAAATAATATTTACATTATAGGGTGTTCCAAGAAATTCAGCGGAAAGTTTTTTGTCGATTTCTTGAAACACCTTGTATTTATTTGTTGTATTTAGGGATGTCAAAATTCAAGCAATTTTAAAATCATTCCCGAATTTTGGGAATACTCCGGAATTTAGATTGGGCTTCGGGAATTTTCGTCAAAACTTGTGTCAAAATGTAGTACAAAAATGTGCAAGAAGTAAATATAACGAGACAGATTGAAAATAAGACTCACGAGCACCGACAAATAGCATTCAAACGAATGGTATTACAATTATTAGCCATCTTTGAGTAAACATGAAACTATGTTCAACTCAAATCCGAACTAATTCATAGATCGTCGACGATTTACATCTCAAACGTGCCCTTTTAAAAAAATCTCATTTGAAAATTCCAGAAACTAAAATATCTCGGAATCTATTTTGCCGACAGTCCTAGTTATATTTCACTTACACATCCCAGAAGCGCTTGTAAGAATGAGGATTTGCCACTTCCAACGGGACCACAAACTCCAATTTTCGCCTTCCTGTTTACTGTAACACTGATGTCGTGCAAACAGAATTTTGGTTCTTCGTTCAACTTTTCCGTTTCATTGGTCGAGGCAGCTTTTTCTGCTTCTAGAAACGAAAACAATAAAATGCGTTGAAAAAAGTCGACGACAACACAATTCTTACCGTCGAATGTAAAAGTGGCTTCCTTCAGAGCGATTGCATGGTGAGATTGAGCTTCTGCAGCCAAATTTTGCTGATATTTTGAGAATAAAAGAAGTGATTGAATTTTTGTTATGGCCACACGAGCTTCGGCCAAGTAACGCGCGCCATAAGGAATCATCCGAATTCCAAATAGCATCACAAAGAAGACCGTAATAGCCGAGAAGATCTAAACAAAAAAAAAAATAAAAAGAAGAAAACACTTACATCGCTGGCCAGAAGATCATGCCCGGCAAACACAACTGCGCAAACTGTTACTACTGTCGCCACAACTGGGACAATAGTGCCCGAGGCTATTGCCAAACTTTGAGCGTATCCAGCCTTCTGAAGATTCTGCTTTTCCTCCTTTCGGACATCTAAAAAATAACGCAATTTACAGGAAAAACATTTTTACCTGACACTTTCTGCAAAAATACATCTTCCCATCCATTCATCTTGATAAGTCTGATGTTTTTGAGGATCTCACCCATTAAATTCATCTAAACAGAAAAATAATTACAAAAAATAACATGACCCCACTCTCTTCTCCGTTTTTTGAATTGCTTGGTTTCTGCATCTGACAAGAGTGATACCAAGGAACACTTGGATAACATCAAAAATGAGGAAAACCGAGAGGCCGATCAAGGAAAGCACTCCGATAACCTTAATCAAGTACACAATCCCTCCAATAATCACAAATGGGCCCATCAAGACCAGTGGAGCGAAAGTAACAGCATCAAAAATACGTTGTCCGTCGTTTGCAAACACATTAACAACCTAAAAACGTCAAACTTGTTTTCTCCTTCCTACCTCAGCTGGAGTTTTATCCCGGAGAGTCTTGGAATTGAGCAAATTCTTGTATAACAAGGTAAGAACAGCTCCTCGTACTCGAATTCCAGTCCTGTAACTAATCGCCCAGGTAGCGCCATACATCAGGACTCGAGAAATTTCAACCTAAATACAAGGTATACCTAAAAACAAAAATACCCACAATTAGGATTGCAACCGCCAAATATAGTCCAGTACCATAAAGAATCTCTCCTCGAGTTCTGGGGGGGTTCTCCGTAAAGGAAACAAGACCCCTGACAAGACATGTAGGTCCAATGAAACCAAAAACCAAGCAGAATAAGAAGATCAAGCAAGAAATGAACAGACGATATCGCATAAATCTTAAGATCACCTTAAACAAAGATGGAGAGTTAGGATTAACTTTCAATTCTTCATTCCATAAATGTTCCAACCTAAAACAACGTTCACAACATTTATCGCGATCGTGATGCCTACCTTGTGCAATTTAAACTGGCAGAATCAAAAATACTGATAGGCCAATTGGTTTTCTCGTCCAATCTTCCTTTATATGCGTCCCATAAATAAGAAAATATCCATGCAAAAGAAATGTATGATAAGATGCCGACTTCATCCACTCTGGCGGTTACCTTAGGTCTAAAACGATAGACAAAAACAAATGTAAACTCACTTATCCAACCCTTCATGGTCGGTCAACAAATTATTATCCTCGGGAGTGTCCTTTAATTTGACCATTTCTGCAAATAAACAGAATCAGACAGAACCGAGAATTAAAAGAGCAACTGATAGTGATATGACGCGAAATGATGGGAACCTTAGAAGAAATGACCCTCCGAGAAATCATGTCCTTATCATAACAGGTCTTTCGAAACTTCATTAACTCATGTGCGTAAAAGTACCATATGAACGTGGAGTGCCCACCAACTAGCTGTATACAGCTAGCTAGCTGTAACGGAGAAGATTAAAAAAAGAAACAAACGCGGAATTAACGAATACATCCCGAAACGAAAGTTGATATGGCCTTCTGCAAAATTTGAAAAATCTTTTTTAATCGCTTGTTGCAATATTTCTGTTTTTTATGGATGTCTGACTTTTAGGATGATAAACTGGTCATATTATACTTTATCCGGTCTGTATGTACATAGACAAGGCAAGAAGCACTGGACATGGTCACAAATTGGTGTTTTATGGTTTTTGGCGGCATTGGACTGTTCTATCTTTCTGGGACTGACAATTTCATGCTATATCTTTATTGGATGGAAGTACTTCGAGCCTCCACATACTCCTTTCAACTGTTCGGATCTCAGCATTCAGCATGAACTGTTTAACAACACTGTGCCTACAGTTCCCCTTTTAGTAACGACGTTATTTCTTCCTTCTTTTTCTTTAGTTATTGGCTTATTTATTGCTCATCAAAGGTTTGATATCCCCACCGTGGTATCCATAACAACATTCTCTGTTTATACTTTCCTCGATTATGCTACGTGTTATTGGTCGATGACGTTGGTGTTGGAAGTGATCAAATGTTCCGTCGGAAGGCTTCGTCCCAATTTTATTGCTATGTGTAAACCAGATGTGATGGCATTGTGCGACGCTGACAAATCGAAGGTGATCTCAAATTATGCTTGTCTGAATGACTATAAATATGGAAGGAACTCACGATCGTCGTTTCCCTCAGGACATTCCGGGGCAGCTGTGTTCGCATTAGTGTTTATTTTGATAATATACAACCACAAGTTGTTCGTCTCCCGTCTTTCAACCAACTCTTATCTAGGTGTATATCGTGTTATTGTAATGCTCGGTTTCTTCGTCTTCGCTGTGATTTGTTGTGTTTCCAGGATTACTGATTATTGGCATTGGCCGACAGATGTTGTTGCCGGCGTCTTAATCGGAGGTCTGTTGTCTTATTTATCGTTTGTGATCGTTAGAAAGCCGAAATCGACTATTTAAATGCATAAAAATAATTGTATAGCAATATCGGGCAGCATGATTCGCTTGTATTATTCAGAATTATATCAAATATAGATTTTATGTGGGTTAATTGATAGATGGATCTCGAGGAAGCGAAACGAAGATGCCTGGAGGTCCTCACAAGTATAAAACCCGACCAAGTATCAGCATTAGTAGACTATTTGAGTGAGACTGTCAGGGATGTAAAGCCAGTAGATAATCAAAGAATAGCAGCAGTCAAAAAGTTACAAAATATCAGCAGAAAATTACGCCACAAGGTTGGTTAGACAGGACAATGTTTAATATTAATATCTTCAGACTGATATCAGTGGAAATCTGCCAGGAGAGAAAATATTTTGGCCTGTTTCGGGATCCTTTAGTGACTGTGCTATTGATTTGACGGAACAAGTGGATGCGTTTTTGTACGATGAAGTACAATTAGCTGCCTTGAGGGAGAAAAGAGTGTTAAAAGCCGAGAGATATTGCGCTGTCTGTAAATCGGAAGACATTGTGGAAAGCAATATCATCTCACATTCCTTGAGCATCAGTGAAGTAAGGATCTGAATGTCTTCTGAGACCATCTTTTAGTTGGAATATCTGTTTTGCGACCTCCTACCTCGATTTGTGGAAATGAAAGGAAAGAGTCTGACAGACGTTGGCTCTAGACTCGGGGCCATTGTATACGGAGCATTAGTGTTTTGGTGGGTTATCTGTCGGTATTACGTACATCCTTTTATTTCAGTCCTGAACTCAAGGAAATTAAAGGAATTGAGATCAGCGAAGGCCATTGCCAACTTCAAATGGAGATTCTGAATGGTGTAGACTTTGAAAAGAAAACAAAAATATTGAAAGGAGACTTCCGATTATTTGAAGATGATCTCAAAAATTCAAACATCATTACAATGAACAATGTTTTCTCATTCTTTCTCGATCCAAATGAGCAGGTCAAATGTTGGAATGAGTTAAAGAGAATACTCCCATCTGGGGCAATACTCGTTCACAACCATTCCATAGACTATGTAACCAATCATTTGAACCTTGGATTTGAGATAGAGGATTGGGTGGATGTGGTAAGTTTTGAGTCCAAAGCTGTAGTAATAATCTGTAGGTGTTCCCGGACCACCATGTTTACGCTTATATGGATGATGAAGATGACTCCGAACATAAATTCTTCGTCTATCAAATAAAATGAGGGGTCGTGTTGTTTTTGTTTGTTTTTAGTTGAATAAATTTGTTATTAGTGATTAGGATCCGGAAAATTCGGGCATATTCACCATATGGGTATATACCCGAAATCTCGGGTATATTGGTAGGTGCTTTTATAGGTAAAATGATGATAAGTGCTTTTATAGGTAAAATGATGATAAGTGCTTTAATAGGTAAAATACTGCATTAGAGTACAATTTAAGAAAGGTAAAAATCAGCATCGGTTACCCTAAACCCGTCTAGATGTCACTGGGGTAAAAAAAAAAATTTTACGGGCCTGTTTGCCAGCGGCAGGGGTGGTAAACAAGCCTCTTTTTTAGATTTCAGGATCGGAAAAAATCAGTCCGAGCCCGGCCCGAACAAACAAGGTTAGGACACAAAGTACCAAATTTCTTTTGCCCTTGCCGCTTATGTGGTGCTAAAAATAAAGGTACTATAAAGTAGTAAACTGTTTTAGAACTTGAGCTACTACAGTCTACAAATACAAACCCACCAAAAATTTTCCCGGCGCGAAAACATTGAATGCCAACGCCATGTGTGGGCGCAAGCTGCGCCGGGAAAATAAATAATTTTTTATTAGCTTTATTGTATAATATTATATTTATTAATTCGTCAAATTGACGCGTCAGTAACGTTGTCAAATTACCGTCATTTTCGTCATATCAAATTGTTCATTGTCGTATGCGATTCCTGTAAATAACCAAAATGAAACGAACCCAGCAGACCTCGAGTAGAAGTGTAACAACCAAGAAGTTGATAGTCAGTGATTATCGGAGGAGCTTGAAAAACAATATCAGATCTCTGAGTGATAACCTTACTCATATTCTTCATGCATCAAAGGTAAGTCATTTTTCTTTTTGATTGTATTTTAGGTCCCTTTGGAAGAATCGGCATCTAAGCCATCCAGTTCAGGGCTGATGGCTGACCATTTTACCCTGGGAAATGAAGTAGTGAGTCGAACAGCATTGATGGCGAGAGCAGCAGATGAACTTCTGAAGCTCACAAACAGTATTCGAGAGTTTTTAATTCTCAGAGATTTTAATTTTATTAGTCAGGCCACTGAAACGTATGTTATATACCTAAATGTATGTAATTTTTGTTATTCAGGACTCAAGAAAATGCCAAAACTGAGCTTGATGCAATGTTCGAGGATTATGACAAGTTCAGATTGGAGCTCGCTAATGTCTCAGCTGATATTGACGCTGAATTAAGCGATAATTTCGGATTGAAGGGATAATAAATTAAAATCGAATACTTTTAAATTTTTTCACCGCCATTGATTGTGGCCCTTTACGAGTACCTTTGATGAAGAATGTTTTTATTTACTAATTGTAGAATGGAGAATTATTGTGATGGCTGGGATGAATTCCGCAGAGCCCTGACGATTACTCGGAAGAGTTTTTTGAAGAAATTGAATCCACGAAATGGTCTGCCTATCCTCAAAGAACTCTCCGTAAAGATGATAGATCAGAGTCAATTTGAATTGGCTTCGTTATGTTACATGGAGATGTCTGTCATCTACAATGATCTTGGTGATATTCTCCATGAGAAAGAAGCTTTGTTTGAGGCTTCTCGCTTAATTTCTTTGGGATATTCGAATTCAAATCAAGGATTCATAAGGATTGAACCATTTCTCTTACATCGATTAGAAGAAGTATACGTAAAAATAGCAGAGTTATCGCTGAGGGCAAAATTTATTCAGACAATTGGAGTAATTTTATTGGAATTGGCCTGCAAATTCATGGACATCGATTGTTATGATATTTCCTTTGAATATCTTATCAGAGGTGAATCTTTTCGTGTGTGTGCAATCAAAGCTAATTTTATTTCAGTTTTGAAGTACTTGAAATCAGATTTTTATTACCGGAAGTTGATTTTCGATAAGGTTATTATTTGTTTGGACAATTCCAAATCTTTGGCCTCGGATCTCTCTGATTTCTCTTCCATATTTTTATCTTACATTAAAACCGAGAACTTGTAAGTATAACACTCATTGCTATTTTTTATTTTTAGAAATGGTATCCTCAAAGAAAAGATGGTGGAAATCGAATTAAAGTTGGTTCTTCTTCATCTAAAGCAATATTCCGAGGATTGGGAGATGAGATCACGTTCTGTTTTGAGTAATTATCTTAACTCCGAAGGGCATAAAACCCTTATGAACAAAGCAGATCTTATACTTGTCACATCACTTATTAACAGTTATCAGAAAAGAGATTTTGTTAAACTTATTTTTATATTCCATTCACAATTTTGGCATAAATTAGATGATTATGGAAGAAGATTGATGGCAAACGTAATCGAAAGGACAAGGCCGTCGGCAGGAGTGTTACAGTATGTTGTTTTGATTATTCTAATTACGTATAATCTCAGCGAAGAACTCGAAGTGGTTTTGAAATCTGATATGACTGGACTGGAAAGGAGGAAAAAGATGATCGAGTGGTACAAAACAGTGAAAGTTAAGAATATTACTACTTATCAGACTCTGTGATGTAAATAAAATGGTTTATTGATGTCGAATGACTTGAGTATTCGGTTAATTCCAATCGTTCTACCTCGGGATATTACCTTGTTCACTTATTATTTTTAACCAGGGAATGAATGGTCTGAAATTCCCCCAGCGTTTTTTAGAAAATGACTAGATTCAGTGGTTCGGTTGGCCGAGTGGATAAAGCGTGCGCTCGATATTATTTTGGAGGTTGGTTCGATTCCGGGGTCAAATCCTTATAAAACAAAAAATTATTTTTCCATTTTAATACGTTTTATTGGTTATACAAAAAGTTTTAAACAATACAAATTGGGGTACAGTTCGTTTCGAAAAAAGCTACCCTTGTACTAGCCCTTCCGGAAAGCCGCCGGACTTAAACGGCGACACGCACCGTGAGAAAACAAATTTTTTGTTTGCACTGTGCAGTTTCTTGCTTTATGCACGGTGCAATAGGCTTTTTGGGCTGTCGCTTGCACCCCGACTTTTTTCGCACAGTACAAGCACCAAAAATCTGTCCGGCGGCTTTCCGGGAGGACTAGTATATAACCAAATGAGTATAACTTCGACGTTCCATCGCTTTAGGTTCGGAAACATCCAAAATTCGTTTTTTCACGATTATTTGTGTTTCAGGTATAGTGTCCCCTATAAAACGTATAAAATGACAAAATAATTTTTTTGTTTTATAAAGGTTTGGTGTTGCTCATAATCAAAGTCTTATGACGGTCGCGCTGCCCCGGAATCGAACCAATCTCAAAAATATTTTAGCGGACACTCTATCCACTCGGCCAACCGAACCACTCGACACCGCGGTGCACCGCCCTTCTTTTCCGAGGGAAAGAGAGAAATTTTTGTGGAACTGTCGGTCGATTTTTCTCGTCGGCCGCGCTTATTCCGCAGCTGGAAAATGACTCTTTTTACCAAAGTTGACCTGTTCTATCTACCTGTACTTGTCATTTTAGCGAACGCTGGGTGAAGTTCAGTTCACAATTCCCTTGTAAGATGAGAAATTACCTTTTTGGACTGTTAATTTTGGTTTTTAATGATGTGAATGCATGTCAGACTATTAAATTGGATTTGTCATCTAAAGTAAGTTGATTTAAAAATGTAAAAACTACGTATTGTAGTTGACAGGTGATGGGTTTCATCGAACAATTTATGTAAGCGCGGAGGTTTCGAGTATGAAACGTTTAACGGAATGCAATCTTGCCTATTTCTTCCAAATCCCTAAGGGTATTTTTGTTCAAACGGAGTCCCTGAACGGGACCCTGTTCAATCATTGTTATCTTACTTCTCAATGGAATCTGGAAGATCTCTCGGATTCTGTGGCCGTCACGGATTTAAAGCCATTGATTTTTTATTCCACCAAAGAGCCAAGGAAGGTATTCGTGTTCAAGGACGAGTTCAAATTCAATGTTCATTTCCGATACAATCCCGCCAAATTGCCTGAGGGTATGCGTTATTAAAGAATTGCAAAAATTATTGTTGTAGAGGAGCTCCCGATTGTGGAGATTGGTCCCCCGAGAGTTTATCTAAGATGCAAGGAGAACGAGACCTTATTGGAGGACAAGTCTTGCTTTAAGAATAGGGAAAATGTAGGTTTGGTATTCTGAAGGGTTTTCGGTTAACTACCTAGGGAAGTCGTTCAAATTGCAAATGAGATGAGCTGTGGGACCGATATATTCTGATTCTCCAAATTCGAAGACGGTGAGAGCTAAAAGGTTTTTGCGTCTTGGCCCTGATTTTCGAGAAAATCGGCCGTAAATTTTTATCGGAAACCCCGCTAAATAGTCCTTGCTCCGAACGAAAGACTTTGCAAAAAGAGCTAAATGGCGGAGGGTGAGCGAAAACGCTTTCAAAATCCATTTGTCCGTGATGCCGGGGAGGTTCTAGACCCGCTAGGCGCAAACACTGATGTAGAAATTTATAGTGTTTGCAAAGCAAAAAATATTTTACTTTCTACACATTTTGGGGAAAATATTGAAATGCGGAGTTGGACGATTGGGGAAAAAGACGATTGGGGAAAGGGACGATTGGGGAAAAAGACGATTGGGGAAAAGTACGATTGGGGAAACCGAAAAGTATTATTTTTCTTCCATGCAAATGTCGAAGTTAGGATAATAGAGGGTGCTCATTTCGAAAATGACATTCATTTTTTTGATTCTTACTTTTTTCCTTAAGTAGTACTGTAAAGTAGTAATTTTTGATTTTTTTTCATAAATACTCGATTTGGGGGTTTTCGAGGGTGCTGATTTCGAAAATCATGTTCATTTTTCCTCTAGTACTATATAGTACTATCCTGATACTATATAGTACGAGGTCAAAATATGGCTTTTGACGTTAATGGTGTTGTTTTGATGCTTAGTACTCTTCAAAAACACGTTTTAAAGACTTGGTGCTATATAGTACTGTCTGATACTATGTAGTACGAAGTAAAAATAGGCGTAGTAAGCACCAGAACAACACCACGAACGCCTAAAGGCCAACTTTACACCTCGTACTACATAGTATCAGGTAGTACTATATAGCACCAAGTCTTTAAAACGTGTTTTTTGAAGAGTACTAAGCATCAAAACAACACCATTAACGTCAAAAGCCATATTTTGACCTCGTACTATATAGTATCAGAATAGTACTATATAGTACTAGAGGAAAAATGAACATGATTTTCGAAATCAGCACCCTCGAAAACCCCTAAATCGAGTATTTATGAAAAAAATCAAAAATTACTACTTTACAGTACTACTTAAGGAAAAAAGTAAGAATCGAAAAAATGAATGTCATTTTCGAAATGAGCACCCTCTATTATCCTAACTTCGACATTTGCATGGAAGAAAAATAATACTTTTCGGTTTCCCCAATCGTACTTTTCCCCAATCGTCTTTTTCCCCAATCGTCCCTTTCCCCAATCGTCTTTTTCCCCAATCGTCCCAGTTCCTTGAAATGCATGCCGAATAGGCATATATTTTTGCGCTGCGCTGGACTGAAAATGAATTGTTTATTCTTGAAAAACTACTGGTCTGAAATTATCGGGGTACCCTTTACCACAAAAATTTTTAAAAATTTTGTTTTTGTCCCGTTCAATATCAAAGCTCTGTGAACATGGGTTTGCGCCTAGCGGGACTCGAACCTTCCCCGGCATTGCGGGCAAAAGGATTTTGAGAGCGTCTTCACTCACACTCCGCCATTTGGCTCTTGTTGCAGTCGATTTTCTCGAAAACCAGGGCCCAGACGCAAAAATTGTTTTAGCTCTTACCGTTTTCGAATATGGAGAATCAGAATATACCGGTCCCATAGCTCAACTTATTTGCGATTTGAACGACTTCCCACGTAAATCACTTTAAGCTGGCTTGTGGCTGCCAAGCAACGCCCAAATGTAGTTTTATTCGATTGACTCCATCCAATTCAACTCCCAAACAGAAGGCAACTGTGCCCGCAGGCGATAAATCTGAAGCGAAATGGGTGGTCACATTAACACTGGTGTCCTTATTTATTTGTCTTCTTATTATATCCATGTCAAAGCCACATGTCGTGAAGGAAAAGGATGATTGATCTCAGTTGTAATGGTCAGAAGTATATTTTCGGACCTCACGAATCTTCGTCAGATCATCTAGGGTCACTTCCTGTAAATATTATAGTAATAAACATTTTGTTTCTTTCATGCAATATATTTATTGTTTCTGATAAGTATTCTTTCAGACTTGTTATGTCATTTTTACATGGTATGGATACGTTCGGACCTCTGTAGCCGTGTGTTGGGGTATAGGAACCGGACCTCCGGGTTGCGCGGCAGTCAAGTAATTGGCCAAATGAGTGGCCGCAGACTCCAAAACTGGTAATAAAACAGCTGAAAATTATGGATTGGATTCTCTGATTACTGAAGCCCTACCTTTATTCAATTCACTTGTTTCGGAAATCGGGGCTGGCTCTTGGCTAGTCCTGGACCAATCTTTTTGGATCAGCGCTTCCTTCGGCAGGCTTATGACACTAGGCTGGATTCCCTCCATTTGTTCTAATTCCGGTTCTCTGAATCGGATAGTTTGGCTGAGCACATTCCCTTCTGAGAATTTGTCATTCTGGATTGGCTGTCCAGGCAGGAATTGGGGGAGCTGGGAAGAGATTGGAGGCAGTTGACCGAGGGGATATTGGGAAGGCTCAACAATGGAAGTTTGGCTAGATGGTATTTGAGGGATTTGGCCGGGGATTTGAGTAGGGACCAATGGATTTGGAGCGGACTTGGAGCGAATCTGCCCCGAGGGCACTCCTGCAGAGCATCCAACCCGACTTCTCATCTCTTGGGTGACTCTTTAAATTAAATAGGCAATTGATTTTCTATTTGTTGGGACTTACTTGAATATTCGAGAGTGACCGGGAACGATGACGTCGCAGGTGCAGAGCACTCTTTTCCGGTTCTCCAAGCCCAGCGCCGCGTTCCAAGCGTCGCGACTCCAGTCTTCGCCACTAGATAAAGCATCCAATTCAGAGTAAAAGAGGTCCCCTAAAAGAATTCATGTTTCGTTGTATCGAATCTCATTATAATAATATGCTTACCGACAACTCCGACGACTCCCAAGGACGGGACCTCCCTCACAATTACACTCACATCTTGGTTCGTGTGACCAGGAGTATTCCAAACCTCCACATTTGTCGTTAATCTCATCTCATTCTTCTGTAAAACATACATCTTTATACTAGTCGCGACATAAAGTCCTGACACATTTGCACTGTGCGTTTTGTTTTCCTTTCGCACTCGTCGCGGCAATTCCCCGTTTTTGCACAAGCGACATGCACTTTCGCGCGAGTTCGCCACTTTTCTCGCGCGACACCCGCGACAAAATGTGTCAGGACTTTATGTCGCGACTAGTATCGCAAACGTACAGTAAACAGTTCATTTCGGTTAAAAACACTGGAAATATAATCATATGGGCCGAATAAATGGCGGGCATTCGAGAATAAATTCTGCTGCCCAAAATGATCTGGATGCCCATGAGTGGTGAGGGCAACGTGGACTTGAGAGGGAGAAATCCCGAGGTTGGAAAGGGCTGCAATACACAGTGATATTATTAGATGATCATCACAATTAATAGTCTTGTTTGCAAGTAAATCACCTTTTAGCATTAATTCCGTGGTCTGTTTATCCGAGGCCGAGGGCGAATCAACAACAATTGCATAGCCTTGATCCAAGACAAGTGTCACCGAGGATACCATCACATAACCCTAAAGGATTATTTTTTTGTGAATTAAAGTTACTTTTTCTGTCGGATACATCATTCCCTCAATCAATGGAATGACCCTGGTCGAACTCTCTTCAGTTATTGTTTGAGGAGTGCCTGAGGCAACGGCAGATGGAAGAGGTTGGGAAAGAACAATCTTGATCTTCTCATTGGTCAGAATCCAGGCAGTCAAAAGCAACGGAATCAGTCGAAGAGTGGACATGATGGGCCGCGGGAAATCAAATGAAAACATGCGCAATTCGAAGAGAACTTGAAGAGATTGGGGCTGATCAAGTGACCAATTCTCTTCCCAACAGCCCATTCAAATCGCCTCCGATCACTTTTTTCTTGTGGCCACTTCCGTTCCGAACTGTAGGCCCGATTCCCCGGTAATTCGGGGTTCCGGAGTTGCCGTTCGACCAAAGAAACATGTTATTTTGTATTTGAGATCACACCTTTCTCTCTTATGACAAGAAATTATGTATAAAAAATGTGACTGTAGTTTCAAAACTACAGTTCCTCTCAGATCTTTTAAATCACGTTTATTATCAGCAACGTTTGATGAGGTCACAAAACAGACGCAAGTAAAACATAAATAACTTTAAGAACATCTGAATGATGGATAACTTTTAGCCCTTTTACAAAATTTGTTTTGCCTCAGGCCAATAATAGATGGTTATTTGTTTCAAACAATAAGTTTTGATGTTATTTCTGAAAGAATGTTGCAGCATCCTAGGACTGGATACAAGCATTCTTAAAACATCTCCAAGAAGAGTATTTTCACATGAATACACTGTTATATTTGGTGGGAACCAAGCAATTTTGACGTATTATAATAAGGCCCTTGAATGTTCGCCCAACCGAATTTAAGGGTTCTTTTCCTGTTCAAAAACTATTTGACCACTACTTTTTGTGACGTAACTACTTGCTTTAAAGTGTTTGAATCAATTTGTAATAAAAAGTTGTGTTCCCCAATTTCTTCTAGAAGTTTCCGTATAACAAATAAAATAATTACCCGAAGAGGTTACTTGTATACGAAGAAGGGGCTTTGTCACGCTCTCACAGCTCATCTCACCTCTTCCTCATGTTGTCATAATCAAAAATAAATATGATTACGGTGATGACTGTTCAAAGTGATGGTATTTTGTTGTTTTAAAATTATCAAACGAGACGTTAAACTGTGAACTGTCATCTTTTATTTTGACCTTTGAAGGTTTTACATCAATCCCGCCAAAATATTGCTTTAGGTGTTTTAAAATTGATGTGGAAATAATTAGTTTAAATTAAGTCCAGGTTCCGATGAAGAGGAAGAACCAAGTTTTGGAGCAAACGTGACCCAATAACTGTCAAAGCACTGGCTGTTTTGGTAGTTTGAGAGTGGTCAGAAGTCGAAAAAGAATCCCTTCCCCCTCCAGTCTTGGAGTATTTAATAGCGGTTCGATCGACGCCTCGAGGGTTTGGAAGGCGAGGAAGGGAGGATTCGTGGGGAGGGGCGGAGGGGGCGAGGTGCGCGAGACGAGATCCTCTCCAGCCATCGGACGCCGATCGGCACAATGCCTTCTACTCTTGTCTTCATTCGCAAACCTTTGACCCCCAAATGTTTTCATCTGATTCTGAATTCCCACTTTTCAGAAGTTTCTCGACGAAGTTTGAAGCGAGCTCTCAAAACACAAACCGGCTCGGTCTTATATGACTGCAAGATGTTTGCGGTGCTGGAAGCCGGGCGATTCCTCTACGGTGACGTTCTTGTCGATCTCATCACCTCGGTGGTGTACCCCGAGGCCGACCTTAGACTGAAAGTGAGTCCCATCAGCTAGTTGTCAAGGTTATTCCCTTATTATTCGTCTCCGCCAATCCCCTCTTATCAAAACAAGAGTTGTATAGTCGATTATACTCTCCACGAAATGCAATTCATTTCAAAACTCACTTGTTCTGTATTCTGATAAGACCTTCTGATAAACGAATACTTGCAGGGTGGCCTGAAAAGAGATACAAATGGCCTGGGGAGTTGGCTGGGGGTGGCGGGGAGTATGAGTGTCGCGAGTTTCCTGCTGTTGACCTTCGTGATTCTCTTGGTTGTCGCCATTTTGCACATCCCCCTTCCCTACGAGATTTGCGATCGCCATAAAGTCCAGTTCTTCGAGTTTTTGCTGAGAGTTTCCAATGAATATGTGGTAGGTTTTGAAACCCTGTATTACCCTCCCCTTCGCTGTGACGTCATTAAATTGTTCAGGGGAATGTGATCGAGCTCTTATTCGGAGTCAGATTGAGGAATTATTTTACCCGATTTGTGGCGGGGATACCATATTTCTTCCAAAGTAAACCCCCAAAATGGTGTAAAATCAGAGTGGAGAAGATCGCCGGCGTCAATTGCAGAGTGTATATTCCGGAAAAGTCGAAAAGAACGAGTGACAGTTTACTCATCTTCATCCATGGTGGAGGCTGGTGCATAATGAAACCGAGTAAGTTCTCTCTAGGCAGCGGTCATCCATGCAGTCTCATGTGTAATGATCAGTGAAGTGCTTGCAACGGAGCTCCATTTTTTTCTAAAACACCGACTTCTTGTTGGAAAAGCAAAGAAACTCGGTCATTGAATTCATTTCACGTGCCTTTCAGGATATTATGATGGTCCTTTACTGTCGTTGATCCGCCGAACTGGAACCCCGATCGTCTCCATCGACTACGACCTCTCTCCGGAGAAACAATTCCCTCACGCCATATTACAATGCGAGGGAGTCATTAAAGAGTTATACGAAAAGAAGTAAGAATCTCACACTTAATCATCTTCTATCTTCAGATTCGCGGATTACAAGGTGAACAAAGAGAAGATGGTGCTCATGGGAGACAGTGCCGGAGGCAATCTAACCGCAGTCACTTGTCAGAGATTGAAAAGACAGGGAAAAGGACATTACATTAAGGTACGCTGCTTAATTATATATATGAAATTATATTGAAAAAAATATCAAAAAGAACTCTTACAGTCTCAAATCCTCGTCTACCCTGTAATACACATGTTCGACTTCCTCTCGCCCTCGTATCAACTATATTATTATCGATACAAAGGAACTGCCCTTCTGAATCCATATTCCCTGGCCAGATGGTACCTGATGTATGTGGGGATCGAGCCGAGTATGAAGAATATAAAATTGATGATAAAGAATCAGCATTTGCACAAGTAAGGGTTCCCCCTTGTAGGTACAACAATCAATCATCCGTTTCCGTAGAAAATAATTTTTTTCAGAGAGGTTGTTGAACATCTTGAGAATACGGGGTTAGTCCACCATCACAGACTGCCTCTGGCATGGACCGACAAATCCACTTATCAGAAACCAATTCAGACTTCGAATTCCGATCCTCAAGTAAGTTTTTAAAATTTTTTTTATTTTGACGAAACGTATAATAAAAATTGATTTCATGATTACTAAATGTCACACGGTAGATGATTACGTTTTTGTTTTCAGCTGGCCGAAAAATTCCGTCAAATCCTGACAAATCCGGACATCTGCCCAATAATCGAAAAGGATTTAGCGAATCTGCCTCCGGCGTTGATTATGACAGCTGGGATCGATGTTCTCAGAGATGAAGGGGTCCATTATGCAGCTCGGCTCAAGGAGAATGGGGTTAGAACAAGGTGGAATCATTACGAATCAGCCTTCCATGGAGTTATGAATATGCCAAAGAGTAAACAAAGAAAGCAGATGCTGGACGACATCCACACGCATCTTCTGGAGCTAAAACTACTATAGTTGAATGTGAATCTCGTCGCTTCGGTGTGTGCAGTTGTGATATTTTAGCCTTGAATCTCTCACTCTATACTAGTCAATCCTTGTATTGTTTATACCTGGTATTTTTGTAACTTTTCTAATATTGTAAAAACTGGTGATAGTATCAAATACCTTATCAAATGTGATATAAAAGTTTAATTTTAAATTCTCAAGAATCAATTCAAAAATTTCCAAAATTTGCATGTTTCATTAAAAATAAATCTAATTTGGGAGAGAGCTGACGAGTTTCGTTCATTCTTCGGCTGGGACTGTGGAAGGCGGTTGACTTCACGAACTAACTCGATGGAAGTCCAATTCTGGAGTGCTTGGCTGTGGCTAGTCACCTTGCCCTTATCCTCAGCTCTGCTAGCCCAGTCTCTCGCTCTATGTGGAGGAAAGGTACGTTGATTTAGGAGGTTAAGCCACCTGGCTTCAGAAAAAGAAGAAGGCCAAGACCGATAATGAAACGGAGGATGAGCCGGCCGAAAAGTCCAAAACTGCCGCTGCCCCGGGCAAACCTGGAGCTCCAGGTGCTGCCACTGGAGGTGGAAATCCGAATGGTCCTCGGCCTCCAACTCAAGGTGGAATGGCGGGAACTCACGACCCCAACTATCAGGTGAGTTATGTCTGGTTACTGCATTTACCCTCTTCAGACGCTCAACGTCGTCGGCGGAGAAGTGTTCGGCGCCGACAAGGCCGGTGGTGCAGCTGGTGCCGCTGCTGCCCCTGCTGGCGGTGCTGGTCCTCGAGCTCCAGCCCAAGGCGGGATCGCCGGGACGCATGATCCGAATTATCAGGTATTGCGGTGCTTGCAATGCAAATTTTGTTTAGACTCTGGCTGGTGTTGGAGGAGAAGTATTCGGGGCGGATAAGGCCGGTGGAGCTGCTGGTGGGGCTGCTGGTGGGGCTGCTGGTGGAGCTGCTGGTGGAGGAGGTGCTGCGGATGCACCAAAGCCTCCAGCTCAAGGTGGAGTCGCAGGAACCCATGATCCCAACTATCAGGTAATCGTAATCAGCTCTAATTATTCTTGTTTAGACACTGGCTGGCGTTGGCGGAGATTGTTTCGAGAAAAAGGGAGGCGGCGGAGCAGCTGCAGGAGGTGCTGCTGGACCCAAGGCTCCAGCTCAAGGTGGAGTCGCAGGAACCCATGATCCCAACTATCAGACGCTGGCTGGTGTGGGTGGTGATGTTTTCAACAAGAAATAGATCTCCAATTAGAGTAAACTGCTTCCATTTGAGGTCAATATTTATTTTAACAAGACTTAAGGCAGTCGATTAGAGATTGTTGGTATGGCAGTGATAATATTATTATTTAAAACTATTTCTGACCCTCCTGTTCGAGGCTGACCGTATTTAAACATCTTGTTGGCAGTGATTCAAATACATTCCGTAGTTTTTCGAGTTGTTTGGAGAGGTTGTCTACTTCCCGTTTAAGCAGAACCTTATCTTGTTCAGCCTTCTTGTTCAGCTCCTCCTTTACCAACTTGTCTAGCGACGCTTCTGCGTATTGTTTCTCCGCTTCATCTAGCAATCTTTCTAATTCCTCCAATTGTTCATCATTCACGTTTTCCAGAGAATCTAAAGGAATAAAAAAATAATGTTTTGAAACGGATACGTTGTAGAATAAGGTTGTAAGCACTTACTAAGCAAGGAAAGAGCATTATTAAGTTGTACTTCTGATTTGTTAAAATTCGATTGAAGGTTTTTAGCAGCGGTTTCGGCAACAATCGCATTTCTTAGAATCTCGGTAGACTTCTCGCTGTCACTTTGGGCTTGATTTTCGAATTCTCCTGTAGTGGATTCCAACTTCTGAATATTGGCCAGGGTCTCTTCCAGAATCTTTTTCTTTTCTTCTGCTTTAGTTTTGGTGGCTGTGGTATCCGCTCGCAATTTCTCGGCTTCCTAAAAAATCAATATTTTTTGACATTAAGTCTCAGATTGGCAAAATGTCAATCAAGAAAATTATTGCGCATTGTTACCTCTGCGAGGATTTTTGCGTCTTCCCGAGCTTTTTGCGCCAGCTGGAGTGACTCATTGGCGTCTGAATTGGCGTTTCCAATGTCTTGCTCAGTATTCGCGGTGATCTGTTCGGCATCTTTGATTTGGTCTTGGATCTTTGAGAGTTGTTCCAGTTGTCTGAGGGCCTCCGCCTTTGAGGCATCGATGTTTTGGCTGAAGTCGCTGAGAGAGTTGAAGGACTGTTCGGCTTCGTTCCAAGTTTTTGTGGCTTCATCGAACGCATCCTTGGCGTCGTCTCGGCTTTTCTCAACTTCAGCAAGGATCCGATCAGTCTCCTAGAAATTCACAAATAATTATAATAATAGGTGCCTATAATATATGTAGTTATTTGTTTTTTACAAGACAACTTGCCTCTTGTTGAATTTTAGCTTCTCTCAGTTTATCCGCAGCTTCGGCTAATGTCCTTTGAGCGTCTTGTAGGGTTTCTTTTTGCTCCTCGATCTTCTCATTGGCATCAGTCAAAGAGAGTTGTGATTCTTCTTTCTGAAGTCCAGCATTCTCCTTGATTTCATCCGGGATGATATCAGGGAGCTTTGTTCCCTCAACTACACTCAATGTTTGTGCCGCTTCATTATAAATGGCGTCGGCTTCTCTAATTTGTTCTTCGGCCAGTTCCTTGGTGTTATTCAACTTCTCGGATGTTACTTCCAGTTGTTTTTGGAGGGTTGCGATTTGTTGACTGGTGGCTGATGCTCCATAGATAGCTTCATGGGCCTCGTTCAGGGCTTGTTTCGACTTGCTTGACGCGTCTTCAGCCAATTTCTCGATGTTATCCTTCTTTTCGGTCTGGTCTTTGACCAATTTCTTTGATTCCTTTGCCAATTCCGAGAGTTTCTGAGATTTGTCGCCGAACCTGTCAGCGGCTTCTCTGGCCTTTCCAAGCTGAACATCTCCTTCTCTCTCCACATAGCTGATCGCATTGTCTAATTCTCTCTCAATTGCCTCGTTCTCGAGAGCTAGTCGTTGTCTTTCAAGTTCAACATACGCTGCTTTATTGTCTATGTCGTCAAGATTGTGTCTGATGTTGGAAACAGCCTCAGAAGCTTCTGCTAGGTTCCGTTTGACGACATCTACTTGACCCAACAGTTTGACGTCATTTCCATCTATAAGAGAATGAAATTTTAAGAAGTGACACCTACCGAGCTTGGACTTGGCCTTCGAATTCAGCTCTTCCACTTCTCCCTTGACTTCGCTGACCCGGGCATCGAATTCAGAATCCTCAACCTTGACTGGATTGTTCTGAATCTCGTCTAAATTCTCTCTCAAGGTAGTAATACTTCCATTGAGAGTATTCTTTCGCTTCTGAATGAGAGTGTAACAGTCGTCACAAGATGGGCATCCACTGCGAAGGTCGTACTTGTTCTCAGAACACTGGTCACATCTTCTTCCTTCCACATTATTTTTGCAGAGACATTGACCAGTGTTGACGTCACATTCTCTGGATTCTGATCCCAACTGGTCGCAGTCACATGGTTTACATCCTTCGGAGCCGAATCCAAAGTGATAAGGAGCGCATTGGTCACATTTCCTTCCAGTGACTCCAGCTTTGCATTGGCAACCTCCAGTAACCATGTCACAAGTCGTGTTCAGGCTGCCAATGGGGTCGCAGTCACAGCTTTCACAACCATTTCCAGATGTAAGGTTGAAGAATCCTTCCTGAAAAAGAAGTCTTCATAAAGAACATCCATATTTACTTGACATTTTTCACAGTACTGGCCGATGACATTGGGTTGACAGTCACATTTACCGTCTTCCTGATTACATTCAAGGAGATTGTAGTCAATAGTGGGTCTCTTGGTTCCAGGAGTGTAACAATTACAAGGTTTACAGTCCCCCTTTGGTTCGGCCAGAGCATCTCCCCAATAGCCGGGGGCACATTTCTCGCAATTGAATCCAGTGGTATGGTGGATACACTTTTTGCATTCTCCAGTAATTCTAAATACATATGTTATAAAGATGTTTAGCTTACGTGTCGCAAATTCCGACGGCATTAGTGTCCACATTATCATTGCATTCACACTTCTTGCAAACCCCTCCATCGTCTGGATTTCCGTAGTATTCATCAGCACATTCATCACACTTCTTTCCTTGATATCCCTCAGGGCATTCAGTGCAAGTTGTAGTACCATCTGGCAGCAACATGCAAGGTCCTCCCTCGGGGCAATCGCATTGTTTGCAATCATCGGGAGTCCCGTTGAGAGCATCTCCATAGTATCCTCGAGAACAACGTTCGCAATTGTCTCCGTCAGTGTTGTGATTACAAATACAGACTCCGGATTCGGCATCGCAGGAATCCGAATGCTCGTTGCATTCACATTTGATACACTTGGCGGTTGGACCTCCGAATTTGATAATTCGTTTGTAGCCGGCTTCACAAGATTCACAGAATTGGCCAACGAATCCTTCTCCACATTTGCAACTCTCTACCCACTTCGCTTCTTTACTCTCCACATTCTCTGGAACGATCAATCCAGCTGATCCGATGTAGAAATTGGACAAAAAGCCAACATCATTTCGACCATAGGTACCGCGGATCTTGATGGCAGTCAGATTTGCCAAAACACTGATAAAGTCAACCTCTCGAAGAGACGGACTCCATTGATAGATTTGGTTGGCATGAAGTTTAAATCGGTAGTTGACCTCATTGATATTCGGTAGGGAGTTGTTTTGAGAGAAGATCGGGAGGGAGAGTTCTCGACCATTGGCTCCAACCAGAACAATATCCTTGACTGTTGGCTGAGGCTGTCCTTGTTGAACTCTCAGGGTAAAGCCAATATCTTGATTGTAAGCAAACCTCTGATCTCCCAAAAACTTCTCTGGAACGTAGAAATAGACTGGACTTTCATCGTATTGAGTCACAGCGACCGCTTTGTCGAGCTGGGCCCATTGAACATCCACTGGATGATGTTCGGAGACTCCGCCTTTCCATTGCTCGATTCCCTCTTCGAATCGAGAGCTCTCGTTGAATGCATAATAGCCATCACTTTGCTGGCAAACAGAGGAATGGCCATAACAGAAACAAGGCGAACATCCGAAGACATTCTCGAGGTCCAGGTTAAAGTATCCAGGCTTACATTTGTCACATCGTTGTCCTTCCACATTAGCTTTACACGCACAACGACCATCGGAAGCAGAGCAGCGAGGAGTATTATGATCTGAACCAGCTAGTTCACAGTGGCAGTCTCTAAAATAATATAAATTTATAAGAAAGATACTAGCTCTTCCGGAAAGTCGCCGGACTGAATTTAAGCGTTTGTGCTGTGCGAAAAAATTTAGGGCGCAAGCGACAGCCCAAAAAGCCTATTGAACGGTGCAAAAAGCAAGAAATTGCACAATGCAAACAAAAATTTTGTTTTCGCACAGTGCATGTCGCCGATTTCAGTCCGGCGACTTTCCAGAAAGACTAGTATATGTCCACTTACTTGCATCCAGAAGCACTGAAATCGTAGAATCCATTCATACATTGGTCACAATGCTGACCGGTGACTCCAGGCTTACACCTACATTGCCCATTATCATCACACTGTTCGCTTTCTGATCCTAAAGGATTACAGTTACAAGCCGTGCAGCCGCGATCCCCAGGACGACGGTAGTTATTTGGAACACATTCTTCACAATGAGGACCCTAAAGACTAATGTAACCAACATGAATACGATGGCTTACCTGAGTATTTTGAACACAATCAATGCAATGACCTCCATGTCCCGTTTCATTGTAAAGTTTCTCGTCGAAGAAGCATCGATTGGCCATACCATTACAATTACATTCTAAAGAATTACAATTTTTCGGTAATGTCACATCATCACTTACCGACACATTCATTGGCATCAGTTGAAGTAGCGGGTCTCCAAGGGCGATCTACGTGGAATGGAGAACATTTCTCGCAATCCACACCAGCTGTGTTGTGTTTACAATTACAAACCAACTGGTTGGTTGTTTCTCCAGTAGATCTGACACATTCACTTGCATGCCCGTTACATTTACATCGTCCACCAACGGCAAAGTCAGAGATGGCATAATAATAAGAACGCAGGACTCGGGGATCTCTGAAGATCTCATCTCCATACGAATTAATCCTGGTCAAAGTAATCCTAATCTCAGTGGCTGTAACCCATTCTTGAAGGACTTCTGATTCTTCAAAGTTCTCGGCTGAGGGGCGTCCATCGAGGGTTGAAAAGGCGATTGTAGCTCCAGTAATTGGAGAGATGTCAGAGAACTCCCGAGTACAAATGGCCTGGGCTTCGTTGTTTGGGAGAATGGGAGAACGATCGGGCAATTTGTACGTGGCCAGGCAAGAACCAGAGTAATATTGCCAGGGCTCCCATTCAGAGTCGGAATGTGTTTTCTTGTAAATGGCAAAACTTTCGGGTCTTGGACTGACGAACTTGATTCTTGTATAAGTGATGTCATAGGCCTTGTTCAGCTTCAATGTTAAGTTGATTGAAGTTGGATATTGCATTCCTTCAAGCATGGTGTCAGATTGCCACCACGTTTCATTGTCCGGATTGTTGAAGTCAGTCAGATAAGTAGTTGGATGCGATAGATGGGGAACTCGGGCATCACACACTTCACAGACCTTTTTCAGACCCATATGTCCTGTTTGGACACAATAAGTTGTGGGCGCTCTTTCACCACAAGTATTCGTCGCTTCAACATGAAGATTGAAGGCTGCATTGATAAAGTCTGGGACACAACGTTGGGGCTGATTAGCCTCGTCATAACAAGGGTTCAGGGCTAAAGTTACATTCATTTAGAAGTCAAAACCATTTAGAAAGTTAAGCTCTTATTCAAATGACTCACCTGGCTGGTAATGATGAGGATCAATGCTGGGTGTTTTCTCAGCCGGCTGTCCGATTGCCAGTGGCAGCAATAGAAGAACAAGTACCGGCCCTGAAGGCATTGGTACCGTTCTCATTTTGCTGACCCAAGGGATCTGAAGCGACAAAAACGATTAGGGGGTATTAAAAACGACTGGCCTATTCTTTTGTTTAAAGCCGAAACTTTTTTGGCCAAATAGCGAAAGAAGCGATACTAAAAGTGATAATGGATAAAATTAGACACACAAAATGCATAACCGCCAAGCCGCGTCGTATCTTGGAGGTCATTTATGTAATTAGGGCGTCAAAATGGAATTTTTGTGCATTGATGGCGGGCTCAGGGGGGGGCTGGCAGTCTCTTAAGAGCGACTTTTGGCTGATCTGATCGGGAGACAGTGGAAAAAAGGATCCGGCAGATCGCCCTTTAACCCGCGTTCGTTGGCCTTTCTCCAGCTCTCTATAATGAACGAAAGATGCTTAAGAGCAGAGTTTTGGTAGGCACAAGGTCACCCAAGAGGTTAGGTTACGAGGTCCGAACTATTCCAAAGATAGACGTCCATTTATTCCCGCGCTTTCCCCAAGACAAAGAATGATTGGCCCCCTGAATGTTTCTTTCCCCTGCATCGGCTACCTAACCGCCCAAAACTATCCGAACTGATAAGAAAGAAGGGCGAAACCTGAAAAAGGAGCGGGACCTGAGAATATTTGCTTTGAGACAGGAAGGAAAGCCAAACAGAGAAAGAAAGGTGCAGTTATATAAAGGACACTGACCTCGGCTTGGCCTCTCACCCATCTGGTTGGCTCGATCCGGGCCTGATCGTCCATCGGAAATGTCAAACATTATTTGAATATTCAGAATGTTAAGTCATTCCTTTGCCGCATTCACTGTGATCGGTGGTATTGTTCAGAATATGGTGCTCTCCCCATTTCTCCTTTTCCTTTCGTTCTTATTGGCCCAGGTGTGTCCTTAAATAAAATTTTATTTTATGCTTTGAGATGGTGGGGGCCAGTGAAGAGACTTGTGAGGCCATGGATCGGATCAGTCAGCCAATGTTTGCTATTGCTGGGATTACTCTTATCACCGTTTTAACTATCAGTCTACTCATCGTGAGCATCATCAAGTTCAAAACTGTAAGATTAAAAGATAATGAAATTGGGCCTACGACTTTTCGGGTCAGCGACATTTCGGGTCAACGATAGTATGGATTGCATGATGGGGGGTAAGAAGGCTTAGTAATTAGAAATAATAAGATTGATCGGGTCTAACATATTTTAACACCTATTTAGAGGTATTTTAGATGTAGTCACGTCAAAATTAACTGAATAAAAGCTACGTATTCTCGTTTTTTCCGCAAGTTTCAGTTTTTTATACATACGTTACAATAACTCAGGTAAAGAAAACTAACGTTAGTAAAAGCTACAATTAGAAAAAGTGGACATATTGAAAGTTTTCGCCAAGTCTCCGCCGAGCGTCCGCCGAACATCCAACGGCTTTACCAGGATTCGTAAGCCCTTCCGACAACCCTTTTTGAATATCCACCTGCCCTAAGCCCCGTATCGATCGATTTTGTGTTGACCCGAAAAGTCGAGACGCGAAACATTATTATAAAAACACAAGTAAAAATGCACTAGTGTTCTTTACCACTTAATTTTTAAAACGAATTGTAAATTTTAGGAACAAAAAAGTAATAAACCGCTGTCAATACAGTATATGTATTATACTTTAGGACAAGGTAATCGAAGTGGAAGCTCGCCTTTTCTCGGTTATGGATTCAGTTCTCCAACATACGATTCCGATCCTTCTGACAGAAGAAATGTTATTCAGAAGTCACGCCACCCAACTCCAACAGAATGCCTACCACGAATCCTTGAAATAATTTATCTCCGTGATCTCCTATTACCTACCTCAAATAAAATGAAATACTTTCGAGTTGGTTGGCTTCCTCTAATTTTACTTCTAATTTCTCGAGTTTTTTACGACAGATTAGCTTACAGTACTGAATCTCTGAGGTTCTTGAACGAAGCGAGCCAGGACTTTGGTTATCAAGACTTCGAAACCGCTGTTTATCTGCATGAGGTTCGTTTAGCTCTACAAAAATATTAGTTTAGGTCTTGGAAAGAGTTCAGAGTCCTGCAGTGGTCTTACTAAACAAGGTAAATTAAATTAAATCGTAATAACTTGTTTGTCAAGCATGCGCTCAATGTGACCCTCAACTTCTTATGTAATCTCCGTCAATTCCACGTTACCAGTAGAGTTCTCGTGTTTGCATTTGATTTCCATTCTTACACCGTAATTAAATCATCTTTTCCTGCAGCACATGTAATCCATTGGAAGATGTTGGCATTAGTGAGTGAACATGGTAAAAAAATAAATTATTCTTAGCAAGATCCATTTACTGCCGGAGATGGGCGATACCAATTATTCCAGTACTTCAGAGCACGGCTTTCTTCGTATTTGACTACAAAAACTTCAGATTTCTGGATGATCCAAGCTGATACGATCTGGAAAAAGAATTTGTTCGAAAGCGTGGGTGAGTCTTTTTTAATTTAATTAATTGTAATAAAAATGGCAACTTTAGAATACAATAAGACAGATCTTCTATTCGATCAAGAAGGCGAATCCGGCCTATTATCTGATATGATTGCCGGAGGCTATTTCCATGTAAAGTCAAACGAGAAAACCTTTAAATTCTTCAAAAACATTGGAGATACTCTACTTGATTACTATGTAACGGACAACAATTTGATGACCAGGCAATGTTACCTCCGTAAATTTGGAGTAAAATGTGATTTTATTCCATATAAGTAAGTTAAAATACCTAAAGCAATCCTTTTCAGTGTAATAGCAAACTGGAGATATGATCCCTCGGATGAACTCGAAGAACCCGCTTTTATTCAATTTGATGGCGGGGAAGGGGCCGAGGAAAAATTCATAAAAATGAAGAAGACAGGCGCCCTTTTCGTGGATTCTGAATCCCTCTCCGCCGATCCCCGGCTAGCCAGATGCCTCGCTTCTCCTGATGTAGACCCCAAAAAGAAAATCAAAGACAAAAAGGCCATAAACAAGGCCAATATCGTAATCAGAAGTGCGCATCAGACCACCGAATTGCTCTGTCTTCTTATTCCCCAACTGAGAACTTTCTTTTTAGGATATCTTTTCCCGTTTTATGCTTACTTTTTGGCAATTTAATAAATCCCAATACTGCGTAATAATTAAAATGAAAAACATAAATGGGTTTTTGATGTTATATAGTATTACGCAATAGCGTTAGGAAAAGAAAAACTTTTTTCTATCCAGCGGATACTGTAATCGACCCTACTAGCATGCCCGAAAAGATTACCCAGGTGTCTGGAAGATCCGGAAAGTTTGCGGACTTGATGTTTTTTCTTTTGGTACGGTTGAGGAGCGCAGAGAATGGGCAGGCACGGTTAATCATTTTATGCAAATTCCTTTTCGCAGCCCGACCAACGTTACAACGACCCTTTCGATTGTTCCAAAAACCGTTTTAATAAAGATTGGAACGAGTAGACCATTCTTTGGGAGTTCAATTGTAATCTTTTCAGGATGGACTGGCCCATTTTTATTTTGTTTATATCTTCGATCATATCAGCAGATCCCCATGTTAATTGTGAGGATCAGAACTGTCTGGAATGTAAGTGAGGACATTTAATCAACATTCTCTCAGCAAATGCACCTTGCTACGATGATAGGAATCTCCCTCAGAGATGTCTTCCTGACTTCCATAATATTGCTCATGCCAAGAAACCAGCTGTTACAAACACTTGTAACAATCTCCCCTTTTGTATGCAAACACGAAATCCATCTGTTTTCTTGCCTCGGCGATGCGAGATTTGTGATCAATATCAGCATGCGGCCCAGTATATGACAGACTTTAATCAACCGGATCATCAAACTTGGTGGCAATCTGACACAATGCTCGAGGGAATACAGTATCCCAACTCTGTCAATATCACCTTCCAGTTAGGTAATATTTTTTTGATCGACACTTATATAATATAAGAGCGTTGCAACGGCACCAAAAATAGAATTTCAGGTAAAACTTACCATATTACGTATATTGCCGTTATCTTCTTCAACTCCCGCCCGGAGAGTTACGCCATATACAGGAAGAAGCATCCCGCCAATGAATGGACTCCTTGGCATTACTTCAGTGGGTCATGTCGTTCCACTTTTAAACTCCCGGACCGAGCCCCAGTCCTCCCCGGAAAAGAAGCGATCCCTCTTTGCACAAGCGAGTTCTCAGACATCTCCCCAACTTCAAATAACCGTGTTGTCTTCCAACCCCTGGATTCCCGGCCTTCCGGAGAAAATCTAGAGGAATCAGAAGAACTCCAGGAATGGGTGACAGCCTCTGAAGTCATGATCAGTTTGACCCGTCTTAACACTTATGGAGACGAGATCTTCGGGGATTCAGATGTCAAAAGATCGTACTACTATTCCATCTCAGACATTGCTATTGGCGGTAGATGTCAATGTAATGGGCATGCTCGAGAATGCGTCCCGTCCACTGGTCCAGGAATTAACAAAATGGTCTGTAAATGTGAACATAATACAGCTGGAGTTGATTGTGAGGAATGCGCTCCCTTATTCCATGATAGACCATGGAGAGCGGCTACTGGAAATGATGCAAATGAATGTCTCCGTACGTTGATTGGTCTATAATTAGTGTGTTGTTTTAGCTTGTGAGTGCAATGGTCTGGCCTCCAGCTGTTTCTTTGATGAAAAACTTTACAACGAAACGCAGCATGGTGGTCATTGTATTGACTGTCGAGGCTTTACTACCGGTCCTAATTGTGAACTTTGTTTGCCTGGTCACCATCGCATTCCTGGAAGGAAACACTGCTCTCCCTGTAATTGTGATGAGAACGGATCTTTGGATTCAGAGTGTAATGCAAATGGAGAATGCAAATGTAAAGATGGGGTTACTGGATTGAAATGTAATGAATGTAAACCGGGTTATGAGGACTTCAGTCCTCTCGGATGTAAAGACTGTCAATGTTCAAACGCTGGGTCATTTCGTAATACTCCACGATGTCAGCAAGGCCAATGTATCTGCAAGACTAATGTGGAAGGACAGAGATGTGATCGGTGTAAACCTGGTTTCTTCAATTTGGATGCGAATAATACCGCTGGATGTAGCCCTTGCTTCTGTCACGGTCACTCTTCTGATTGTGTTTCAGCTCCAGGATTCTATCGCAGTATCTTCTGGATTGAATTGGCCGAAGGTTCGTTTAAAAACATATTCGGTATTATATATTTCAGACAATGGCTGGAAAGTAAACAATGGAATCCCGCACCAAGATCCTGAAAGTTCTATAGAGTTTGTGGAATATCAGAATGGACATGATCCCATTTACTTTGACGTTCCTAAAGAGATTCTTAAAAATATTAAACCTTATCCCGGCCAAAAGATAACTTTCAAATTTAGAAAAGATTCGGAACATGTTCCACTTTCCCGGAGGTAAGAGAAGATCTATAGTTCAATAAGACTGCAGAGACGTCATTATCACCGGAAATGGTTTCGTCTTCTCCGTTCCCCTTACTGCACAAAATAATCCGCTCCCCAAGATGTTCGACCAACAATATGAATACAAATTGGAGGCCACCTATTGGAATCCACGAGTGCCTGACATCCAATTCCTCTCAGCTCTCACAAATCTGTCATCGATTAAGATTCGAATGACATATGCCCCAAGAGGTAATATATTATGTCGCTTTATAAACATTCCTCTTAGATCGCGCATACCTCTCTGCATTTACATTAATCACAGCTTCATCGGTGCCATCGGAACCCATTCTTCCTACTAATGTAGTTGAACAATGTAGATGTCCTTTAGAATACACAGGGATGTTTTGTGAATCTTGCGCTTCTGGTTATACTAAGGAAAAGAATAGTGAAAATGCAGTCCTTAGGAAGTGCATAAAGTGTGAATGTAATGGTCATTCGGAGTCTTGCGATGCCGAAACAGGTAATCAAATTATCTCTTTAAATCACTCTTGCGTGTTGTGTAGGAAAGTGTTTCTGTCAACATAATACAATTGGTGACAATTGTAATCAATGCGCACGTGGATTCTATGGGGATCCCGTTTCTGGCGCTTCAGATTCTTGTAAATCGTGCGAGTGTCCAGATGGAGGACCATGTGTAATCATAGGAGGCCAAGTATACTGTACCGAATGTCGGGAAGGACATACAGGGCAAAGGTAAGTCTGCAGGGAGCGGCGAACCTGCTCCGATTTCCAGGTGTGATTATTGTGCTGAAGATTACTTTGGAAATCCGAAGAAAGGAATTCCATGCAAAAAATGCGTTTGTAATGATAACATCGACCCAAATTACATCCAACAATGCGACAGGTCGGTACATTCGAATATTTATAAAGCAATAAAAACTTATACGAATATTTATTTAGAACAGGCAAATGTCTGAATTGTTATTACAATACCACAGGCTTTGATTGTGAAAAATGTGCTCCAGGATTTTGGGGAGATGCCACAAAGGATTTAAAAGGCGACTGCCAACTTTGTAATTGTTACACTCCTGGAACGAGACGACCAACAACTGAATATAAACTCCTTGAATGTGACCAAAATGATGGTCAATGTAATTGTCAACCAAATGTAGTCGGATTACATTGTGATCGATGTGAAGTAAGCATTCTAACACTTATTAATATTCATTTTAGGATGGCTACTTCAATCTGACTTCTGGAAATGGATGTGAGCAGTGTGACTGTGAACTAATCGGAAGTGTAAATCAAACCTGTGACGTCATCACCGGATTATGTCACTGCAAACCGGGAGTTTCTGGTCGTAGATGTGATCAATGCTCCCCCTATCATTTTGGACTTAATTCTGATGGATGCAAATCTTGTGATTGTGATGCTTTTGGATCTACATCCCGACAATGCAACATCCATACTGGCCAGTGCAATTGTAAAGAAAATGTGACAGGAAGACGATGCGATCAATGTTCTGAGAACAGATACAATCTCCAACAAGGATGTCTTCTTTGCGATGACTGTTATGTTCTCATCCAGAAAAGAAAAGACTTCCTCAACGATAGTATCCTGGCTCTGGAGGACAGCGTAAATTATATTCAAATGACTCCAGTAAAGATGGATGATGCTGAGTTTGATGAGGCCATTAAAAATACCGAGAAAGAACTGCTGGAACTCAGATTTGATCTGGGCCAACATACCCGTAGGACTCATTCATTTTGTTACAGTATCGATTGATTTTAGAAAACTCGTTCAGAAAAGACTTGGAGAGCGTTGAAGAGGAGATAAGAGAAGCAGAAGGAAAAGTTAAACAGGTCCTATTTGCTGCCGAAAACGATCAAGTTAGTCATGATTCAATCAAGAGGTTTAACATTGAGAAAGGTAATATTAAGACCTATCCGTCTTACTTTGCGTACTTACAGAGGATGCTGACAATCTCTTAATGGTGGGAACAGATCTAATCAGTCAACTTCGGGGAGTACTGAGTTCTGCAAGAGAAAATAAGAACATGAACAAAAATGTAAGAAGTATCTGTTTTCGCAATACAGTTTTATAGGACAGACTGCAAAAAAAAGCTCAAGAAGTAGTCCATCTAAATAAGGAAATGGACCATAAGAACCAGGAGATTACAGCACTGGCCGAGAAGTTTGTTACCACCGGAATAAACATATCAAAACACGTCCATCAAACAGTTTTCGGGAACAACGCCAGCCAAGAAATTCATGACTTGGAGGAGACTTTGGAAAGAACAAAGGATACAATGGCCAGTTTGAAGGGGATCTCTGAATTTACCCTGGAGGAAACAGAGCAGATCTTAACGGAGAGCGCTCTAATCTTGTCCAAGGTGGAATCAGCGAAGATTCCTGATGTTACGGACCTTCTGGACGTAAGAAAAAGACAGAGGTTATACTATTATTTTAGGACCCCGCTTCATTTTACGAACTCAACTATGATGATAATGTAAAAAATGCCATGAAAACACTTGAAGATGTGAAAATAGAGAGCCAGTCCACAAATTATACGTTCTTTAAGGCCAAAAAACAGCATAAGAAGATCAAGAAAACTCTAAAAACAATTGAGAAGGAGAGAGATAAGGCCCTAAATGCGAGAGATTCGGCTCTTCAAATTCAGAAAACACTCGAGGAAACGCTTCAAATTCTTCAAGGTGAGGACTTCATTTTAATGATAAATTTATCAGATCCCGAAGGTCTAATTCCGAAACAAGATTACTTCCACGAAATTGAAAAGGCAGACGGCATTAAGGAACAGCTAATTCATTTTGAAAATACAGCGTCGACGTTGGAAACCCAGCTCAAGAAGATGGAATTCGAGATGATCCAGATTCAGAATCTCCACAAGAAAGTTGGATACGAAACTAGAGACCGGATAAATGTACTTTCGAACTCTCATTTTTTCCTATCAGTCTGTCGGGAAAATAACGGCGGGTCGTCGCACCTTGGAATCGCTCATCATCGCTTTGCGACGGCAAGCCGCGGCTGGGGTTTTGGTGCGCGTCTGCGACTAGGCGAGACATTTTGCTGCGACGACCCGCCGTTATTTTCCCGACAGACTGATATGACGCCGATTTTTTAGTGTTCTCTGTTTTTTTCAGAGGACAGACCAATTGAGTAAAAATCTCGACAAGTTTCATGTCTTACTGAGCGAAAGGAAAAAAGTATTAGAAGATCTGGAGAATGAGTTGAAAGATCACGAACAATCAGTACAACAACAGACAGAGCAAGCGGCCGAGGAGTTAAAAAAGTCCAGAAAACTTTTAAGGAAAGCCGTCAAAGCCGATAAACATATCAAATCGGTTGATGATTCCGTTGAGAAAGGCATCAAAAAAATGGATTCGTTAATCAGACTAATCAGTAAGTACTATGATAATACTTCTATCACAGCACGTAATCAAATTATAATTAAAGCCAGCTTCGAAGTTACGGATGAAGCTAGTTTGGATGAACTGGAAAGAGCATTGGTCGAGGCCGAAAATCAAGTAGAAGCTTTGAATATAAACAATATATTCAAGGCTGAACAAAACAAAATATTGGAAAAACAGCGACAAAACCTTAGGGCGGACATAGAGAGATTAACACGTGATCTGAGCCATCTTCGTATCATCCAGGACACCCTCCCTTTCAAGTGCTTTAATCATGTGAAAATCGAACAGCAATGATCCCAAAGAGCATTAGTGAACAGATTCTTAAACATTGTGTTTTCTGCTCCGTATATTTTTTGAATAAATTATTTTACATTTTTGTTCGAAGTTGTAGAGTTTCCTTTTTCAGTTGCCCGTGGAGACGGAGCCAAGCTATTCTTTGGCCCATTCTATCCGCGGCACTTAATCGAATGGGTTTCGGAGTTCAGACTGACCCACGTTCCTTTTAACTCTTTCATTGTGGACTGGTCATTCCCCCTAAGGCGGTCGGTCTAGTGCACTTCCGGTGGGCTATTCGCAACCCTAGGGACCTCTTTTATGCCCCAACTCCTTTCAACCTGAAGGCATTTGTCTTTGTGACCATGAATGAATGGGTTGTCAACAGTCAGCGTGCCAAATAAAGCCAGGCGATGTCTATGACGAGAAGTCCATTGGTGCTCTTCCCCAATCCAGCCCACTAGAAGTGGAAATCGAGTCCGAGAAAAGTAAAAGTGAGGCGTTGAACATCAAAAGACCTGAGAGGTTCGAGATCCCGGCCGGAAGAAAACTCTTCCGTCCGGCAACTTCTGATTCTGCGTATTCGGAGACCAGTGTGGACTCCGGAATGGGGTGAGTTGGATTGGACTTCATGAACTTGTAGTTTCAGGAGCGCAGATACGAGTCTTCTTTTCAAGCCATTACCAACCAGCAATGAAGAGTTCTCTATTGACACATCCCTTGCCAAAAGTAATACTCAGGTGGTATCCATGTGTGCCAAAAAATTGAACATAAAAGAAGTAAGATTTTTCATAATCAAAAACACCTTCATTTTACAGTATCCGGAAGGAAGGCCTGACGGAAAACCTTGTTCGATGTATTGGCACAGTCAAGTCCACAATGATATGAAAAGTTTTATTAAGAGTTCAGACTCCAAAGTAAACAAATTCCCAGGTAGGAAGATATTGTTATCATTAATGACTAATAACGCTAATTTCAATTTTCTTCAGGAATGACAGACTTGGCCAGGAAAATAGCCCTGACGCAAGCGATCCGAAGTATGAGAGAGTTGTTTCCACAAGAATACAACTTCTATCCCCAGAGTTGGATTCTCCCTTCCCAGTATAACAATTTCCGAAACTACAGTAGCCGGAATCCAAATAAATGGTTTATTGTTAAACCAGACGAAGGTATGAAATTTGTATGTTGAAACGGCTCTATTCCTTTCAGTTTTCCTTTGCTGTTTCAAAACCATTCGCACAAACTATAACATTTTCTCTTAGCATAAGATTACAAAAAAAACTCTGACTCGCATAGTATTGTACATTTTAGGAGCTCAAGGTATAGGGATATATTTGATCAATCACCCAGAACAACTGCACAGTATCAAAGAGCGTCTCCTCGTCCAAGAATACCTAGACGAGCCCTATCTTTTACCAGATAAACTCAAATTTGATTTCCGAGTTTATGCAGTAATCAAGAGTATAAATCCCCTTTCCATTTACGTCGCTCGCGAAGGAATGGCAAGATTCTGCACAGAAAAGTATCAGAAACCAACACAAGGAAACTTTACGCATCTCTACTCTCATCTCACAAATTACTCCTTGAACAAAAGTAACAATGCTTACATTCACAGCAGTAATCTGAAAGATCAACTTACTGGTAAGTAGTCCGAATGGTTGTAATAACACTTACCCAAGGGAGTAAAAGGCTCTTATCCACCGTCTTTCATCAGATGGAATCCAATGGTCTTCGAACAAGGAAACTGTGGCATGATGTGAAGTTGATCATAGTGAAGACCGTGCTGGCCATGGTCCCCGAGATTATGTTGAACTATGAGCATTACTTCAGCGATGTTACAGGACCTCAATGCTTCCAGGTATTGCCCCAGAACACTGTATAACTCCCTCAGATAACAGTGAAGAAATAAGAGTCGTTTTTGGATTTTAAAAAAGCAGCTTGATTCACATTAATTTTTCGTCGAAAGAGACCGAATAGATCCACTTTCTCCCATGGAAGTAGCCTGGACTTCGGTTGAAGGCAATTTGAATGTTGAACTACTAGAAAATGGATCAAATGTTCAGCCGATGGAGGAACAATTGATCCCGGAAAGAGTCTCAGCTCAGACTCTTTCCACCTTGGAGAGTGGATTCAGGAGGGCTCGGCAAAACCTCGTCCCCTGATTTTTTCTTGAAACATACACCATTTAAAAGAGCGTACTTCGGTAGCCAAGTGTGGTGAGGCGCTTCTCGAGGGGAACCTTAAAGTCCTATATAAATCGCTTAATTTTTCACAGAAATTCCTACAAAGAGAGAAATTGCGCAATGTTATGTCGGATTGCGCAGCAACTTTGTACTAGATTTGCAGGGTTCGGATGGACTCTTGCGGAGAGATTTATGTTAGAAGTCCCTTGTTTTTTTACATAGGTTTAAACGTTCAATCTCATAGGTGACTAATATTTATATTAAAAGTGATTATTCGATCCCGTTCACCTCTTACAGTTAGAAGCAAACAATGTTCCAAAATTCAATTTGGAAATTTTAAAAAACGCCCGCTAGCCAGCACGTAATTGAATAATAGCAGCTAATTCAAGGTGATTCTGTTTTTTACGCTCTTTCGAATGGTATATGTTTCAAGATAAAACCAGGGGACAAGGTTTTGCCGAGCCCTTGTCAGACTCTTTCTCCCAAATAAGTGAGTCAGTACTTTTTTAAAATCCAAAAAACCACTCTTATTAACGCTTAGATTATGGGATTTGATATTATTGTGGATAAGAATGGTGATCCTTTACTACTGGAAGTAAACTCAGCTCCTTCATTGGTCATTGATCATCACTTATCTGACGAAACAACTCCTGTCAGATCTATTGTCGACGAAGTGAGTTGTAACTTACCATAAAAAACATCTTGTTAGATGATCAAAGTTCCTTTAGTACGGGACACAATATTATTGGTGTTAAACCAACTAAATGTGACCGAGAAGGAAAGTAATTTAGATAAATTAAACAATAATTGTGAAGACGACATCAATGTACAAAAGAAGAGAAGGAAGCCCCATCTTTCCGAGGTCAGTTCTCAAAAAATCTCCGTGATTTTACAAGGAAGATACTTTTATGGGGTCCAACTTTTAGAGAGACATATCTCAAAGAATCCGACAAATTGAAAATTTTATATCACGTCTTGGAAACTCAGTAGACGGAAAGGGGTTTATGTAGAGGTTTAAGTCAACTTGTGATTGATTTTTCACACCTAAACGAAATTGGGCAGATAATTTTTACATATTCTTATCAGCATGATTTTACGTATTTTTTGGAGGTACGTCCCGTCTAAAAGTAGGAACCCCCATAAAAGTATGACACTTCCAAATTAAAATATATTTTACAAGGAAAGTACTTTTATGGGGGCTCCTACTTTTTGACGGGACATATCTCAAAAAATCAGAAAAAATGCGCTGAACAAGGATATATAAATCTTAGCTGCCCATTTTAGGTTTTTAGGGGTGAAAATGCCCAAAAACTGGCTTAATTTCCCTACAAAAGGCGCAGGCATTCGAAACGATAAAAAGCGCAGTCGGTCTCTTCCTTCGGAAGAGAGCGGTGTGGCCGAGTGGTTAGTGCCGTAGTCTAGGAATCAAGAGGGGGGACGCCGCACAGGTTCGATTTCCCTTTTGGGCCGAATTAACTTTTTTTGAAGTTGAAGGTCGGAAAAATAAATTTTTGGGCCAAGACTGTCTTATTACGTCTTAGAAACTCAATAAACACCATTTTAAGCCAAAATAAAAATTGTAAACCCGTGAAAAATTAGGCGAAAAGGGGTTCATATAGGACTTTAAGTCAACTTCCGATTGAGTTTTCACCCCTAAAAACCTAAAATGGGCAGCTAAGATTTATATATCCTTGATCAGCACATTTTTGCTGATTTTTTGAGATATGTCCCGTCAAAAAGTAGGAGCCCCCATAAAAGTACTTTCCTTGTTAATTTTTTCTGTAAAATCGATAGTGACGTTATGTTATATTTTATAAAATCGGCAAAATGTCAAAAAATGATGGTAAGACTTAGATTTTCAGATATTTCCTGCCAGATATGGGTCCAATAGCAAGCACTTTCTGATCCTGGACCGAGCAGTTTATTTATTTATGCAATTCACAAATATCAAACAGAATCTCTCAATATCGTTCTTATCTATGAGAGCATTTATGAAGTAAGTCAAATTGTAATTAGCTATCGAGTATTCAGAAAGTGCAATTTAACGGATGTTGTCGATAACACCATTCTGGAGAAACATTACTGTCATGTAAATTACTACTTTACTGGTCGAGAAAATGATCTGACCACGGGTCTTCCCTTCCACGGCTTTCTTCAACTCTTATTTCGGATCTCACGGATAAAGTTCAGTTTTTGTGATACCCAATTGAATGCCTTGCAACGTTTCTTTGCCTATTGTGACTCTGCTTTACGGAATTATGGAGTTAGATCGACCAGACTCAGAAGGACTGAAATAGAAACAGATGTGAACGCAAAGTATGTTAAGAACTGCACTCTAAAATTACATTTAGAAACCCAAATTTAATTGTGGGGTAAATATAATTGACAGAAAGAAATAGTCGGAGAAGTAGTAGACTGTAACGTTTACTTATTCGTTACTAATTTTATATTGAGAATTCTGGGAAGGCGGGGGAAACCGTGTTATCATAGGTGCTTTGTTGTGATTTCTTTTGTGTTAGGTCGCGGATGGAAGAGATTTTTCTGAAGAGGTTTTTTTCTTGTAATCGAGTAGTCAGGAAAGATAATATTTATTACTTTCGGGGAATATGAAAACCCTGTCATGCTGACATCCTTTTAAGAATTAATTTTTAGTGGTATGGTTGAGATCTACTTGTTGCCAAATCGAATGAAAAGGTCGAGATCGAAGTTGAATCAGAACCCTCTGAATAATAAAAACAAGACGAGATCGAGGTCAATGCAACAACGAACGGGTTTTCATTAGAATGAGTCGAATGACCTCCTTTCGGCGCTCCCCCGGATCTTTCTTGTTGTGATGCCATCGCTATTTCTTTGCTAATAAAACGTTTTCACCGGAAGTCGTGCGATCATCCATTTTCCTTCCCTTGATTCCCCTTTCACTTTCTTCAGGTATTGCTTTTGTCCCCTGTGGCCCCTTATCGTCGATTTCCCCAATGGATCACGGAAAAAACATCAGTAAGGTCCGACTTTTTAGATCTAAAATATTTTTTTTCTAGAAGTTCTGGTGACGGGTGCGTCTGGTTATGTGGCTACTCATTGTGTGAAACAACTCCTCGAGCAGACATATTCGGTCCGAGGAACTGTCCGATCTCTGAAGAACGAGAAGAAAATCAAGCCGATAAGGGATATTGCTAATCAAAGCACTTTACTGGAACTAGTCGAAGCCGACCTCGAGCAACCAACAGGATGGGATGAGTAAAATTCTTAACTTATTTGCTAAAAATGATCAATTGATGTTATTTTAGGGTTGTCGAAGGATGTGACTATGTTCTTCATGTGGCAAGCCCATTCCCGTTAGAAGATGACAAGAGTGTAATCGAAACGGCTGTAAATGGCACATTGAATGTGCTGAGGGCTTGTGCCAACAGTTCTTCCGTCAAGAAGGTAGTGCTGACTAGTTCTTGCGCAGCTGTAAATGAAGGTCATGAAGATGAAGATCGGGTGTTCGATGAGAACGATTGGACCATAACAACCAGCAACAAGGTCCAATCATATGCCATCTCCAAGACAGAAGCTGAGTTAGCCGCATGGGACTTTGTGAAGAAGAACAGTAAGTAATAACGTTTTAGCCAATCAATGGAGGTATTACAGACAAAAATCAGTTCAAATTGACTGTAATGAACCCGACATTCGTAGTGGGACCCGTTTTGATGGATACTGCTGGGTCCAGTATTACTGTAAGTTTGTAGTCTGTTAAGTAATACGGTGTCCAGACAATCAAAAAGTTTCTCAACAACGAAGTCCCGGCAATCCCACCTCTTGAAATGGGGATGGTTGATGTCCGGGATGTGGCCCAGGGACATATTTTGGCCATGCAGAAGCCAGAAACAGATGGGCAAAGAATTCTGATTACCTCTCAACCTAGTACCACCTTTGGTCAGATGGTCAAGTACATTCACAAGGAATTTAGAAGTCAAGGCTACAGAACTCCATGCCTTCCCGCTCCTTATATACTCGTGTGGCTATGGTCTTTCATCGACAAGGAAGCCGCTGCGTCCCTTCCTCGGCTAAACAGGAAGGTTCAGTTCGACAACTCCAAGGTAAAAGATATTTTGTTTGCAAGAATTTGTGATTGCTAACATTAATCCGGCGTAATTTAAATGTCTAAACGGGTTAGGAAACGCGCTAGACTAACGTGTATTACTCTACTATATCATCACCCTTTTTAGTCTCGAAAACTGCTTGGATTGGAATATCGTAATATTGAAACTGCGATCGTGGAAATGTGCTACAGTTTAATCGAACGAGGAATTGTTGGAAAAAGAAGCGGATACAGACCACAAAGTTGTGATAATAAATAATTTACTTCTATCCTGTTGGTCTGATTATTTTTTGTCGGGTGGGGGGAGAGTGTGGCCACGACAATTTTCAGTCTCGTTCTCATCTTGTTCCCAAGTCGAAGGATCATCCCAGATTCTTGGTTTCACATAAACACAGCAGCAGTTGCTCTTCAGTCTTCCCATATTCTCATTGTCAACAGTATCAGCAGTCCAAGTCACATGAGGACGATTTTCTGAAGAAGAGCCCTGGAGACGCAGTATTGGAGTTGGTGGACCCGCAGGGAGCTCTTCGATTTGAACTTGAGATGCCATTGGAACACCTGCAAAGAGGGAAAGAGCAGTGCCAAGACCCGGTCTTACAAGGCTCGGCAAAACCCCACATTCTGGGTTTTTGTTGAGACATACAGCATTTGAAAGTTCGTCAAAAAATAGGATTACCTTTTAGTAGCTCCTATTTTTGCTCTACGCCTTAGCTAGCGAGTACTCTTTCGTTCTAGGCATCCCAACCTTTTTCCGAGGAAACAAATGATACAGATTCCCAGCAGTGCTTACGTGGCCTAGTGAGGTAAGGCTGCGCAAGGTGAACCTGCGAACCAGCTTTGAATCTCTTTTGACTTTTTTTTTATGTTTTGTCGTTATTGTGCACCGAATAAGGTCTGGAAGTAGTGTTTAAGTTTCAAATAGATATTGGTGGTTAGCTAAGGCGTAGAGCAAAAATAACAGCTAATAAAAGTTGATCCTAGACCAGTTTTCTACGCTCTTAAATGGCTCAAGAAAAAGCCAGGATGCGCGGTTTCGCCGATCCCTTGTCAATACATCAACATAGCAGCTTCTTTCCCCTGACACGAAAACTTGAAACGAAACGAATCTCGGAAATTTGGCAAATTATTTTCTTTTTAGATTTTTTGATGGATTTTTTTAGCTAAAATTTTAGCAAAGTTTGAGCAGGTAAGGGATGAATGATTTTATTTATCTATACGATCTAAGTAATCAGCGATAACTTACTGGGCGCTGACATTCTGACCGTCGCTGGAGCTGTCGACCGATTATAATGACTTTTTTTCAGTGCCACAGATCTTCAATTTTGCATAAACGGCGGTGTTGATGCCCTTTCATGGACTTTATTCACTGCAACATCTGCTTTGAAGTCCCCAAAAATGGAGGAAGGACCTTTTTCTTGACTTCTTGCGGCCATATTGTTTGTGCTAAATGCGTAAAAAAGAGTAAGTGTTGCCTAAAATAATGGTTACGTTTTTGCAGATAAACATACGACAACACCTTCTCGATCAGAGGTATGCCGGACGTGCAAGAGTACCTGTGATTATTCTGAGATAAATCGAAATTTGGATGGGAATTCAAAAATGTTCTTCCAAAGTCCCAAAGATTTGGCCGCACAGTATATGATAAACCTGAAGAAAGTTTTGGAGTTTCAGAGTTATCACAGGAGCCGGTTTTTTAAGTATCAGACGGAAAAGGTAAGTGATGGGATTTAGAAAGTCTTATATATTGTTTAGATGAATTATTTGAATAAATATGCAAAGGCTGCCCAGACTGAAATTAAGAAAAGGCAGGAGAATGAGAAGAAGATATTAACAGAAAAAGAAAAGTTGAGGAATTATTGCAAGGAAAGGGCTCAACAATGTCAAGAATTGGAGGAACAGTAAGCTATATCAACCATTCCATTGTATCCTCAATTTATTTATGCATTTCTTTTCAGATTATCGAGGTGTAAAGAAGAGTTGATCTTGTTGTCAAATAAGTATAAAGAAGAGAACAATCACAGAAAGTCAAGTCGTGAGAGAGAAAGATCGGCTACTCCAAAGAGAAGTACGTTCCTATGTTAATATAATGTTGCGTTTAGGTCAGAACAATCAATTTCCTCAATTATATGGGGACACTCCAATCACAACCCTGTCGATGGGTTGCACAACTAGCACACCAAATGATGTAAGTTTCATGCGATACGTTTTTATGTTGTTTTAGCCGTGTTTTTTGAATGCGAATCCCAATGCCATCAGTCCGATGTTTCAAGAAAGTCCTGTGGTCGCCTGTGGTGGGGATTATTTGACGACGCCAGCTCTTCTCGGCCTTCCAAAGACATCTCAAAGGTAAGGGTCCAGTGTATCTTAAGTCCCCTCTTAGACGATCTCTGGGAAACCGTGCAGAGATGCCAACGCCCTCCTTCTTTCATCTTTAGTTTGATATAGCGACTTTTAAATATATTGTTTCTGTTGTAGCTCACAAAAAGTAATCAGTTTTTTATATCCGTTCGTTTATTGTTGATTTATTGTTATCCACAAAATATTGTTTCCTATTTTAACTGATTATTTTTTCGCAATATCTTCCGTAATATCCTGATGGGCAGCTGCAGACTGTTAGATCGGGGATTCCTCCGTGTTGGCATCTTGGGTATTGACATTCATCTCCGTAGTGGTTATCGTCGCAGATACAGGATCCATGGTCTGTTTGGCCTTTGCTGTTTTGGCAATCTTAAGACAATTTATGGTATTCTTTTGTGTTTGAACTTACTCAGCTTCTCCGGGAAGTAGGATTTGATCCTTTGGAAGTTGTTCCCATTCTCATCTTTCCCAGATATTTTAATTAAGAACGGTGATTTTGTGAGATCATAATTTCCCTGAAGAGTTTTGTTTGTTCTTTGTCTAATTCTTACCTCAGCAACAGTGATAAGTGGGGTAATAAATTGATTGGCGCATCTGTAGGGGTCCCTCAGAATAATGTTGGTCTCTGCCAAAACGGTATCCACAGCTTCCTTCAGATTCCGAGAAGACAGAGTAAGCTGGGTCGGCGTGACTTTATGGTTTTTGTAAAGAGCACTTCCAATCTTGAGAGTAACCAGGGTACTTTGGTTCTTAACTCCCAGGAAACTTGGTCTTTCATTGGGGAAATCATCATGGGGATCAATGGTAAAACCAAAATCGGTGTGAAGTTCAGAGGCAGAACGAACTTGTACTGAACATCTTCCCGAACTTGTTTTTATCTTAATTGTCTTTTGACCTGGCTGGAAGTTCCCTGAAAATAACAGGTTGGAACTAGATAATAGTAACAGGAGAAGTGCTCCAAGTTCGATGCTCAAATTTTGGTTAAATTGTCCGAAATTTTTATATCAAAAGTCGAAAAAATGTGACAATTTTTTGCCAACTTTGGTATGAAAACTTGCATACCTGTTTCTACAGTATACTGTGGAAACATTGACCGGGCAATGTTTTTTGAGGCAATAAAAAAGTTTCTTTGCCAGACAAATTCGCCCGACTAGTAAAAAAGCAACATCTGAAAAAATCTTGGCTCTACCTCTAAAACTGAAAAAAGCTATTTGCCGATGAGACGATACAGTTATTGAGACACCCTGCCGATAAGTCTCTCTCCGTCTGTCGTTTTCCCTTACCGATTAAAGCAATGAAAGTGTTCGAGTCTTCAACCAATTTAAATCTTTTTATGTCGTTCTTGGTAGTTCCATCCCAGAGTTCAATGTTTTCACTAGCGTTGGCTCCACTAACTACAACACTATACCATTTGTTTCTAGCTTCAACTGGGAATTCCACGGACAGTTGAGTAGTGCAATCGTGGAATTTCTTATCCTCGATGAGAGCGTTTTCATAGACAGTTTTGTGGAGGTAGTTACTGAGCAATCCCTTCACACTTGTACCTTCCAATTTGATGAATCTTCCACCAGTGGCGTAACTAATATGGGTCAAATAATGGAGATTAGAGAACTGGTCGGCGTTTCCATCTTTGTCAACCAGGATTACATTAACCTGAACTCCTCCTTCTGAGAGGATTTCAAAGGTTTCTGGAGCATTCTGAACAGCAGCATTCTTACTGGTTATCAGGTATATGATGGATGGCTTATATAAGGTTGTCTGCGCGGCTAACTTAACCCCAAGGAGAGCTTGGTTCACCTTGGAATTGTCTTCGTCTGGTTTCTGGGAAAGCTCTTTTTTGAATACTTCAAGGAATCTCCGGGTGCTGACGGTGTTAATGACATTTGTGGCTGTTTTGTTGTTAAATGTTACTAGATTGTAATGTTTGAAGGTCTTTGTTTGACCAAGATTCTGTACGAATTTGTCGATTTCATCCATCAAAACCGTATTATATTCTTCTTGATTGTCTTGGACAACAAAACTGATTGTTTTATGCTCAAAGTTTTGTACATCATGTGTTTCGAGGAAGTTCCATTTTGAACAGAGAGCTGAAAGTTACTTTCATGGGGTAGTTATTCTTACTGAATTCACAAAATTCTCCTTTGTATCCTGGGGGGCATTGGCATAAGGTATCGGATGATCTTCCTCCGTTTTCACAAACCGGATTTTCACAGTATTCTCCGTTGTATTTCTCCGTACACGTACACGTCCCATCTTAATAGTCGTATTATTTGTATGGCTTCGCTTACTGTTCTCTACTCCATTATGAAGACATTTTGATTCTGGGGGGTTACAGTAGGCCAGAATACTTCTTTCAATTGTCACATTATCCGAAGTCGTGATCTCAATGTTGGCCTCGAAGTTCTTTTCGAATTCGGAACAACTGAATGGGCTACCGAAGTAGTAATCAAAGGTGCATCCCTCTTCTCTGAGCGCTCCGATATCATCATATCCGTTTGCTGTGGGGACAGAGAAGCGGACATTAAGATCCGATTGAAGTTGGCTGGATACGAAGACGACGGGATGGAGAGGGAAACCTGAAGGTTTTATAAACAAGGTTGCGACTTACCGAATCTTGCAGTTAAGTTTGTGGCATCCAAGCTGGGATTGGCACTGTATCCCAAAAGAACCTCGAAGTCGCTTTCTTGTCCAACCTTCAATTGGCATCCCCCACTCTTAGAACTGGCCACAATTACATTATATTTGGTCTGACTTAATTGGGAAACCTTAAAGATGGTCACTTTTCCCAGTTTTGTGATTTTTTGGACCTTGTGGCCAGATGATGCATCTTCGGCTGTCAATGTGACCTCTACATCATCGGCATTTTCTGAGTCAACGATAACAATTCTTTCGGTAGTTCCATCAGACACTGTGAATTGAATCTGCTCTTTGACGCAGTCAGCAGCCGACTTTCTGTTTGTGATCTGGAGTTGTCGAGAGGCAACGACAAATTCCTCCAAGAAGTTCTGGATGATATTGGCAGGACCGTCACATTGCTGAATATAGAATCCTCCAGTTGATGAAGCGATCTCCTTGTAGTTTTTCTGGTCATCTTCTCCTAGACATTCATCTCCATTACCGTATTCGGAAGTGGAGATGATGTGCAATTCGGTGAACCTATTCAATGCTGTTGCTTTTAGCTCGTTGACAATAGATTTATCATCTTTTGAAGGAGAGTCAGTGAAGAGAAGCACCAGATGGTTACTAGAGCTGGAGGTCTCGGTATCAAGGGAAGCCTTGAGGGCCGCCAAACTTCCTTGATCCCCATCATTTGACATCAGGTATTCGATTTTCTTGGCGTCAAGATTATCTGCGAATTCAGTTGAGTCGTTGAAATAACTAGTCCGAATGACTTGCTGGCCATCTTTCAGGGTGTTGGCGTAAGTCCCAAGAACAAATTCTGTGAAATTGGGCGCTTTTTTAAGGGCATTTTTAATTCCATCTCTTATGTAAGGGTTGAGAAAGGCTTGAGTGAAAGTCCGTTGGATAATCACAATAAGAGCACGCTCTCCGGTCTCGGGTAATGGGGCCTGATCGGAACATTTCACTAAATTGGCGAAATCAATATAGTTGTTTTTTCATTTGCTCAGAAGGCGCAGATAAATTGCTTACTGTGTTCACAGAATTCACCATCGAATCCAGGTTCGCAAAGACATTGAGGTTGGCCATTTCCTGGGAAGTGATTTTGCTGTCCTCTGTTAGCACATTGAACTTCGTCACAATATTTTCCTCCATAGAACTATAAAGACTTGGCTCAGATACAATTATACTACTTTCCGGAGTACAATCAGAGGCTAATTTACCTTTTTGCACACACATTGTTGGTTTGTTTTGTCATAGTAGCCGTTGTTACAGTTAGGGTCAGTGTTTCCGGAATGACGGACAGGCTCGTAGCAAAAGCTGGGTACCAGTGATACAAAGTTTTTGCCCGACTTGGCCTTAATGTCTACTTTAACCAGCAAAGGCCCGGGATTACATTGGATTGAACCTTTAGCCAAATAAGGAAAGTTACTATCGATAATTCTCCTGTGATAGCCAGTGTCTCCAACGATTTGAGAATTGGAATCACTGGCATCCACTATCTGGGTGTTGACTTTCTCAGTGTCACAATTCAAGGGATTGATTACGACCAGATTGGGGATCCCTTTCACCGCGTAATTCGCCGTGGCTTCGGAATATTCTTCCGATGTAAAAGCAAGAGAGACGTCGACATCTGTCTGGACGATGGCACGATACCCCCAGGGCTTGTTGTTGGGCGATGTGAACTTCACTTCCGAGTGTTCGGAGTCTACTTTGTACAACTGCAAAAAAACTTTTAACTGGGTTTTACTCTTACCGCAAGATTCTCCGTTGATGATACTGGGTCTAGATTCACGGTTCCTGCTGCTAGAGTAACGCCTGAATGAAAATAAAAGTTACATGTTCCTTTGTTGTCTCTTACTTCCATAGACGACTACATAAGCAAAAGAATTGTCATTAATGGGCAGTTTAACATTGGCAGTGGCGATGGTTCTCTCCCGAGCCACACTGACTAGAGTTGCTTTATGCTGGGACTCAATGAGGATGGAGAGAGCGGTAGAGACCGCGTTCTTCACTAAAGAGGTATACACAAAGTCCCCATTAGACCTATGGGCGGTTCTCTTTAAGGAACTCAGCGCATTGCCGGGATCTTGAGGATGTGGACTGTGTTTGGTTTTGTCAGAGAAGATGACATGGATCTGGAAAGGACATGACATCATCAACGAAGACTCACAGAGTGCTGCCAGTGTAAAGTCGACTTCAAAAGTTTGTTTTCTGCAGTCGTGCTCTCTTCGTTATTGCTGAAAGCCACTCCATCACTTGCGAGAGAGTCGGTGACAATGATGACATTGGACTTTGGCAGAATTGAACCCTCGCTGGAAATAAATACATGGAAGGTCCACTTTACTTACTGTGACAGTGCCTTTACAGTCTGTGTCAGGATTGGTTGTCTGGCGTCAGAGTTGATTACACTAATCCCATTAAAGGCGGAGATTAATCCATCGATTGTCAAGGCTCGGTGAATTGTCTCGATGACACTATTTCCATCCTTGGCGAATGTGAAGAGGACGAAGTCCTTGTAGTAACTCAGTAAGTCTTTCTTCTCTTTCATTTGATACAAGTATTTGGCGACATCATTGATCTTTGAAGCCATGGAAATTCCATTGTCAACGATAAGAACAAGACTTCTTTGGCTGAAGTCAAAAGAACTTCTGGAAGCGGGCAAAACGGGTACTGCAATTATCAAGACTATCCAATTAGACGAAGTTCTTACGTGTTTCACAGTGCTTTCCAATGTATCCAGGAGGGCAATAACAATCTCCACTTGGAGTGGGGATGCCTTGATGATCACAAATTATCCGAGAACAATCAGATCCTGAGAAATAGGGCCGACAAACACAAGTAGCATTGGGAAGAAGAACTCCTCCATTCTTGCATTCGGTGGCTGCAGATGAAAGTGATGCCAATCGATTGAAAAAGACGGACTTTGATGTTGGGGAGTCTTAATTCAATATTGAGTAGTCAGATATTGGAATTACCGATAGATTTGATGAAAGGAAGAACCAGATTCTTGGATGACAACACCTTCTGGACAATCTCACCGCGTTCCAAATCTCCTTTTAAACTCAGCTCGGCATGGAAGATTACTGTAGGCAAAGAGAGTTCAGTTCCTGCGATTCTACAACATAAATATTGTAATTGAAACCTCAACATTATTTTACCTGAAGTCGTAGATATTGATCGAGCTATCATTTGCTCCCAAAATCTTGTTGAACTGAAATAATTTTATATTAATTGTTCTCTTTTTTACCTCAGAGGTCAGAATCTTCTGGAAATAATTATGAGTTCCGACAAAATTGGATGAATTGAGATCATCTTGGCTAACCGATTTGAGATGGACACGGACATCAAAGTGAATCTCTGCCGATACCAGGGCTGAAATACGTTATTTTAATAGAGGTTTATTATCCTTTTCTTACCTGATATCAAGGCCAACAGACAAAGGCCGAATGCCCTGAGGCGCATTTTTAATATGCGATCGGGACATTCCGGCCGTCCTTAAATACTGTTCGTACTGATAAAAACTAAAGCCTTTAATTGAGAGGCTCATAAAAAGAGGGTTGCATCAGGTCTTTTAACACTTTTATTACAATCTTCACACAATTCGAGTGATAACAGTTACATAACTTGACTTAATAGCAACTCTGGAATCCATGGGACCAGGTCGTAAAACGCACAACAAAAGAGTAAAGGAACTTTAGCAAATAAAATCGTGGCATTTAGGTGATAAGAAGTGTCAAAGGAGGAAGATCAGTCGCTGTTCACAGCAATCGGACCGGGAGAGGAGCGCAGTTTCTGATGCTCATCACTACTCAGTTGAGATCCGCTGTATGACGAACTTGATTGATCCAGAGATCCACTCTTGCTGTCAATGTCCACATCTCCAATCATGGCCTAAAATATATTTTATTTCATATCGAATACGATTACCTTGAGTCCCAGGATTTCGCCTTTGACAACCAGTAGTTGGGGCAGCCCGTGAAAATCTTGAAAGACATCATAGTTTCTACATCCATGAACGATAAGCTTCTTGAGGTTTTTGTGTTTTGATAAGATGGCCACTGTCGCCCGGTTTACCTTCTCCAAGTCCAATTCCCTCAAATAAACAAACTAATACAATATAGATGTTTAGAACGCACTCCTACCTGAAGATTACTTAATTTTGTACACATAAAAGTAAAGAAACTGTCGGGAATGAAAGGATAATCGACCGGTCGATCTACTAGGCATACTCGTTCCACCCTTGGCGCCGAATTTTCCAAAATTTGTCTCAACTTTGGCTGAAAATGAATCTTTATTTAGATTTTACTGACATGAATTTCATTTTTTTATTTATTGATCTTATTGTCTATGGCTGAATGATGAATTGTCGAATTTAATTTTTTATAGACCATGACAAAAAACAAAGTCTGACATGGCATTTCGATTCCGGGAGCCGATTTTCTGGTTTCTTTTTGGTGCATAAATCTTTACCCAGAGATCCCCAAGGAGCCCAGAAGTCCCGGATTTCCTAATAAACATGAGCCGGTTGTGTGTTCTAAACATTAAATATGCATAAACAATGTGCTCGCCCCATTTTTGTTTATTCATGATTTCTGCTTTCCTGAAGTGCAGTTTCTATTATCTTAAGATAAGTCCCAATATTCGAATACTCACCTCATGTTTGTCGAAATGGCATGAACAACAGAAAACGTAGATTACCCGTCTGTTCCAGAAGACGGGGCCGTCGCCGCTCTCGTTCACATTGATCTTGTCGTGTCCGCTGCTCGGGTTTCTCCGGAAGATTACGTAAACCCATACTGGCACCGGTTTGTCGGACATGGCCTAAGGCTGTAAATGGAAATCCAATAAATGGATATGGCTTTATTGGGACAAGAACAGAGAAACGGAAACGTTTGAAGGGCCGTTCTCGAATTGAACTCATACCCGGGGAGCAGCCCGCCCTCAGGGCCGCGGAAGACTCGCCCGCAGGGGATAAACCGTTTCCAAATCCAATTACCGGTAACACAAATACAGTAGAGCTCGGAGTAATGCTCCGACAACAAGGAAGGGGCATAACCGGAGCCTTATTCCCGGCCTTTTTTATATAAAACGCCCCAGGGAATCGGCCGAAAACAGTGAGACTAGATATTTTTGAGATAATATACAGCTCTAGTGTATAAAAACATGGAAGCGGACAAAGAGTACCCGGCACAGAGAGAGGGAGTAACAACCGACAATTACAAAACAAATCCCCTTTGAAGTTATTGCTTCCCTAAAGCAAGCCGTCATGTTAATGTACTGGTGGTTAAAGGCCCATTCAAGATGTCCTCCTTAGTCCTAGGGACTCAGAAATATGAAAACTTTAAACTTCCGGAAATACAAAAAACGTTTTGCTCAAAAATTGGTCCTTTATGATCAAATTTATTTTGAATTTAATAGAGCTCATAATAATTAGAGTAAATTCGAGCAATGGGGATTGTAAACTGACGCAAAAAAGATATTTTCCCATTATTCGGCCTTCATTAATCGTGTCTCAGGAAGAGAAAAACATAAAAGTGTGTTCTCTCTTTGTCAATTGCATGGTTCCCAGGCATTACCAGTCTTTGCCCCAAGCTAAAAACAATTTATTTTCAAAATTGTTTTCCCAAAAAAATCAAAAACAGAGATCTCTTGGAATTGCCATAACTTTTAGACCGAATCGAAGTGGCGAAGCGATATTTGACAAACAAGTCCCACCTCTGAAGATTGAAAAAACAATCGGCTAGGTGATGCAACGAAAGGCCGATGGCCAAAAGCCAAAAAAAGCCAAGACCGGAATGGACACCGAAAAAATGTATGCCGAAAACGCCTGCATGGCCAAAAAGTTGTGGCCAGGCGGAGTTTCTTTTGCATTTTTTGCTTTTTTTGACTCTACTTCCACCCGGCCCGGACTCGGACAGACACCAAATCAAATGGAGAATGCCTCAGGGCATAGCGCTCTGTCATCGGATCTAATAACCCAAATTGAAACATCAAGTTTTATGACTTATTAAAGACAAGAATCGAGGATTAGGGGCGTAATAATAAAGTAAGGGGATTGCTTCCCTATGTTCTCCAGTATCGAAATATAAAAATACAGTAAGCCATCAATCTTTGCAGCTTACGTAATTGTGGAGAGACCTCTTACTCTCGGTAGTTCCTTTTTTATTTCCGTTTGGGAACAGAGAGTAGCATTCAAATAGACTGGGAAAATTACACCTTGCACTGGAACGGCCGAAATGCCCTCACGGGTCGTAAAACTCCACTTAAATCCATGTTTCAATGTCTTCATAAAATCGGATAGAAATGACAAAATAAAAAAATTGACGAAGAAGCACAATGAAAACAAAAAGGAATAAAAAATGAAAAGGAAAAATACGAAAAGATGAAAACAACAGCTTCTGCATCCGAAAAAAGACTGCTCAAAAATTCGGACATTGGAGAACGACTGAGTGATCGCCTTTAGGGTCCATTCAACCGTGTCATTGGCCATTGCAGCGAGTTTTGTTAAGTCCCATTAAGTATGGCCAAACCATGCCCGAATCTCGAGGAATCCTCCGCCAATTTGATTTTCCCCGAATTTTATTCCGACTTCAAGATTAGTGGCTATTTGACTGACGTGCTGACATAAAAGAGGCCATCCTCCACTCAACCGTTTACTTTACTCTTGCGCATCTCTTTACTTGCATGTTAAACTCAAATGGATCTGGATCCCCATATTCTACAGGTCGAACCGCCCGAGGAAGTCCACAAATTATTCGGATGTTGTGTGGAATGGCCGGTTACGGTAATTTATAAAAACATACTGTTAGATTACCTAAAATTTTAAGAAAAGCGCGAGACTGGTAGCTTATATTTCTCTGATCTCAGCCATTTGTAACTTGGTTATCATGATCCTCGCTCAGAACGAGGCCTCTTTCAGCATTGCAATTGATGTTTTCTTCCTAATCATCGAGTTCTCATGCGTTCTTTCTTTATTTTATGGAATAAACAGAAAGAAAGCTGGACCTCTGAAGCCTTTTATCATTTGCGGTGTAAGTTACAGTAATCTATTGTCGAAATTCCCGTGTCCTTCCATTATATGAACCATTACGGGCGATGCCATAAAGGCCAGACCATTATTGGCAAATTCTTAAAATCTTCGCAAAATGTCCTCAACACAGTCTTTATCTTCATGGAAAGGTTTATGTTCTGATTTTTACTTCTTTTCTTACAAGGAAAGTACTTTTATGGGGGCTCCTACTTTTTGACGGCACATATCTCAAAAAATCAGAAAAAATGTGCTGATCAAGGATATATAAATCTTAGCTGCCCATTTTAGGCTTTTATGGGTGAAAATGCCCAAAAACTGGCTTAATTTCCCTGCAAAAGGCGCGGGCATTCGAAACGATAAAAAGCGCAGTCGGTCTCTTCCTTCGGAAGAGAGCGGTGTGGCCGAGTGGTTAGTGCCGTAGCTTGGGAATCAAGAGGGAGGACGCCGCACGGGTTCGATTTCTCTTTTGGGCTGAATCAACAATTTTTGAAGTTGAAGGTCGGAAAAATAAATTTTTGGGCTAAGACTGATTTATTACGTCTTAGAAACTCAATAAACATCATTTTAAGCCAGAATAAAAATTGTAAACCTGTGAAAAATTAAGCGAAAAGGGATTTATATAGGACTTTAAGTCAACTTCCGATTGAGTTTTCACCCCTAAAATCCTAAAATGGGCAGCTAAGATTTATATATTCTTGATCAGCACATTTTTTCTGATTTTTTGGGATATGTCCCGTCAAAAAGTAGGAGCCCCCATAAAAGTACTTTCCTTGTTAAAAGCAGCACTATTAAAAAGTAATTTTAGGATTATTTTCTAAAAAATGGGGATTTTCGATGGTGATGATTGCGGAAATGACAAACATTTTTTGATTGCACGTTTTTTCTTAATTACGTTTTTACATTATTCTGCAACACAAAATGTAAAATTCAGACAAACTGAATGTTATTTTCGAAATCAGCACCATCGAAAGACCCATAAGTCGAGCATTCTTATTGTTAGAAAAAATTACAAAAATAAGTTTTTAACAGCACTGTTTAAGAAAAAAGTAAAAATCAGAAAATACATATTTCCTACAAACACAAAGCAGCGTTGAGGATATTTGCAAGGATTTCAGAAATCTGCCCATAATGGACCGTTTCCGAAATTTCAGGTGATTTGGAATGCATTTTTGGTTCTTCTCCTGCTATTTTGTGTAATCCAACTATTCGATCAAGACAGATTTACCTCAGAAGTTCTACTTAATCTTTCGGAATTGCTCAACTTTTCTCCATCCAACGAATCCTCAGGTCAGGAAATAAGTTATTACCAATAGAGCATTAATTTTAGTCGGTTTCTGGATGTCCCTACTCTTGGTCATTTCATTGGCCTTAACGGCAGCCATGGGCATCTGGTTTCTTCACATTATCCTGACTACATACTACTATTTCGTCGACCGAAAAGAAGAAATCTGGAGGGAACAACCCGAAACTCGCCGTCTTCTTCAACCCGAATTCAATAATTTAATCATCCCGAATAGAAAGGAAAACATCCACAGCAAACAATTCAGATTATAGGTCCTTTCCGAGGATAATAAGATTGTCCTTGACTGAGGGGTCGAGATCAGGTCCATTGACCCATTCCTTGATATTAACCACCTCCCCGATCTTATCAAACATCAACAGAAGAACCTCGATGTATTTCTCCTTGGCATCTTCTTTAGAAAGCCCTTCTCTCGCCTTCCACGCATCCCTGAATATTTTATAATCAACATGTAAGGCGTGTGCGTTAGTAATTCGCGCGACGAATCGCAAAAAAATCACCGAATCCTGACTGCTAGCAGTTGTTGCACAATATTACGTAACGTTGCGCAATTTCTCTCTTTCTAAAAGTTTGACTTTCTCTGTCGCCTCAAAAAACTTGTTATCTTTTCCCACAATCAAGATTCGGCGCTTTTTCTACGATTGGTCTCGCGAATTACTAACGCACAAGTATTATATTCCGATTAGCGAACACCCAGAATTAGAACAACAAACTATAATTCTTGAAAATAAACAAATAATTCCTACCATTTGGCCTTCTCGACCAAGCTGAAGAAGCCCGGCCGTTCCGTGTTCACATCCCCAATGGTCGCCTGCTTGAACAAAGAATAAAACTCGAGCTTTTGATCGTTGGTGGTGGAGACGGGCCCGTTCTTTGGCAAGTTTTGAACGATCTTTACGGCCGCCTCAAAGCGCTCATCCAGAGAAGCCATGGTCAAAGAGCTAAGACCTATAAAAAAATTACTTTTGAGCGATGAAAACCGAAAAGAAAACACGTCATTCAGTCAGTCAGATAAAAGCCGCAATCGGCGAAGCAAGTCTGTCCGAAAACAACGGCAAGGTCAACTGAGTCGGGAGGAAAGTTAGTCGGTTTACGCAGAAGACCAAGATTGTCAAAAAATCAAAGGAAATCGATAATATTTGACATAAAAGTTACTAGAATGTAAAAAAAATAATGAATGTAAAAGTCGTGAAGTTATTACACAATGACCAATCTGATCATCGAAACCGAGGAGCAAATACCAACAATCCTTTAAAAAGACAACGTTACAGTGACGCATACTTCCTCATTCTAAAAGAGCGGTCAACTAAACGTTAATTTATTACCCAAAAAAACAAAAACAACAAAAAATACAAAGAACCGGTAAGTAGTAAAAGGAAAGGCAAAGGGTCATCTAGAAGTGTTTGGACATCTCGTTGTAAAGGGCTAGGACAAGGGCTGCCCCCACCCCTCGGATAGCATTGACAAAGGCCCCATTATAGAAGGACCGCCAACCTTCAGCCCGATAGATTTTCTACAATCAACCATCTACATCAATATAATTCCCTACCTTTGCACAATCGAGAGTCCCGTTGTAAGCATGTACCTTCTTGCCGGCCTGCATCATCAGCCGTCGTCGGACTGTGTCCAGGGGATATGAGAGCATGGCTGCCATGATGGCGGTGTACTGAAAGCTGTTTCATTTGGTGTATTCTTTTATTTTGGAGCATTTCAGATGCCCAATAATCTCTTAACCCAGTAATCCCACTCTCTTCCAATCAATGCATTAAATTTGTTTTCGCTTTTGCAGAAATATAAAAAGAATAAATCTTCGGCTCTTCCGACGTGTTTGTTTTTGCCCTTTTCCCACAGAAATACGTATAGACTGTTTTGGGTAGCCTCCCTGCAAGCTCATAACCTTGCTATCTGCCCTTCAATCAACGTTTGACCACGTGGATTGGTGTAAACACTCGATAACAAACTTATATAAACATGAATATCAAAAATACGTACTTGAGCGATTGCAAACGCCAGGGAAAAACTGAGATCATTGTGTTTGGCAAGACCGGCATCGACAGCGACTACCTTAAGCGTATCAAAAAGCCCGTAATATGTAGCACGATATAGAAAAATGTACTGAAGGGAAGGAAGGAAGCCTCGATAGAGGCCAAAGAACCCGTCGTGCTTTCCAATCTTCATAAGGCAGTCCATTAAACCGTTGAATTCTCTGGACGAAGCATCTAAACATCAAAAATGATTGTTATAGTCAAAAACAGTACAAACAAAAATCTTACCTTTACCCATGTCAATGGCCAGCCTCGTCCGTGAGAAATCTAAGGGATAAATAAAACAAAACGTGGCACATCCAGACAATCCTCCGGCCATAAAGTTGCCTAAATCCGCATATTCGACTTAAAAGAATACTTACCGGCAACAAATTTTGTATAATCACTGTCCTTGGTTACCAAATACTTCTTGAATATTTCTTTAAATGCCATTCCCAGACTTTCCTAAAACGCATTAATTACAATAGCATAACTCACCTACCTGACTTGATGCTCTAAGAATATTGGACCAGTTTCCCCTCCAAAACGAGAGAAATCCCTGTTCTCTGGGTACCCTAACAAAACAATCAACCATTCCTCGGTATCTCTTCGATACTTCGATAGTAGACTGTGCATTCTGGAGTTGTAAAATCAGTTTCACACGCTCCACAGGAGCGATTATGGTCTTGGCTACAACAGCGGCCCAACCGCCGGCAGTGAAGTCCTTTGCAAACTTAACCATCTGATCCGTCCGAGGCAAATTGACCGGTCGTAAAGACTGGTCTACCGGGGTCATTATAGACGTCATAGCAGGGCAAATTTGGAGAAACACAGAGTGAAGTTGGCTCTCAAGTCGACTCTTGGAGCATTGGAAGCGATTTGATGGGAGGAATTGAAGTCACGAGGCGGAATCAAGAAATTTAACGACCAAAGAACAACAACAACGAAAGTAAGGGAACAGGAAAACCCCTTTGAAGCAGTACTTTTATCTTTTCTTTTGTTGATCGAACAAAAAAATCTCATACAAATATGGACGCAGCTTGCCCGAATGCACAAAAAATTTGAAGAAAAATCCGTAAGGGACATGTTATACGTTCCGCACTTTTTTGAAATGAATCGGGCACCGATTTACTCGATTTTTTTCATGGTCGATATTACGCGGTTCTAGCGAATGCATCCTATAAGATTGACGCGTGAAGTTTACAGTGCTTATACAGTAAAGACTACTTTTAACAATTTTTATACAGAACTGAATTTGCAATAGTAAGACATTGGATGTCTTGAGGAATATCTGGCCTGGTTTTTGAGCCCTGATCCGCGGTTGACCCGCGCTCCCCTTCCGTGATCCGGGCGCTAATTTTGGCCGGTTATTTTTGGCCCTCATTTTGGCCCTACAAACTACAGGAGTCAAAAAGGACACCGATGCCTCACACCTGGTGAGTCACCTGCGAGGAGGCCTGAGGGCAGAACTTTCAGGAGGGTTCTGGAAGCTCCATAATTTTCCATAATTAGCGGCCACTGCAAACTACGATGGGCGCAGCACAGAGCACATGGGAATGGCCTCAAGATCACCAGTTGCCCCGCCCAGGATCAAGCACTATATAAGACGGCATCAGCGCCTCTGCCAGGACGTCCACCCAGAGGATAACCTCTAGGGTATTGTTTTGTAGTACTACTGTGTTTTGTTTTATTGTGTGTTTGTTAGCCGAGCTCGAGATAAAATATTGGCCATATATTGTGGGTTTTCCTTGTCCCTCCACTGCACTACGCCGTGTAGGCTCTGATACTTCAGAGCAAGATCCGCCGCGGTCTACTGAGACCGGAAACCCACCCCGCGTTTTAACTGGTAGCAGCGAGTGGTTGTCTATTATACCTCCAAGAGGTTTTTAGACAGTTAATCCGTACTCTTCGGAGTACTCGAGGTATCATCGCTTTCGACAGCGGTGATAAGAGTATCATCTATAATTGTATTGTATTTTTAGATTCGTCATGGAATCCGTCCCGACAGAGCAGCCGATGGGGCCAGGCCAGCCTGAACAGCCCGCCGCCGGGTCCGACCCCGTTCTCAAGCTGTTCGACCGGACCTGCGATTCCATACTCATGGGACGTCCGAGTCCCGACGACGTCAGGAAGCTGCTGGTCATCATGGTCGAGGATTGCCGAAAGCTCGCCACTTATCTAGCCCGGGAGCAGCGGGCTCGCGCTCTTTCGGAAACCCGAACTGCGACGATGACAGGAAAAGCTGAAAAAGGATTGGTTAATGTTTGCAAATCCCTCAACGACATTGACACGATGGATCTGGGACTGGGGATGTGGTCCTCAGTCGTAAACAAGGACCTCCGAGATCTGAAAGATCAAGTTGGTGGCATCAAATCGCTTGGGAACGCGGTTGAAGCCAATAAGAAGGTTCTCAGATCAGTTCGAGACAAACTTGATCAAGTCGCCTGCCAGAAGGGCAACGATGTGGCCAGGTTCGAGAAGTTGGAAGAAAACATCGCTGGAATCAGAGGACTGTACGCTGAGCAAGGTAGGGTTCTTCGCGAACTTCGGGCTACAGTTGAAACTTTAGCTGGGGGCGCCGCGCCAGCTCAATCAGAAGCTGTTGGTCCTCAAGAGCAACTGGATGATGCGACTCGTCCAAGTTATTCCTGGGATGATGTGCCAATCGAGTTGGCTGGTGAATCAGGCGACCAACAAACCCATAATCCAGCGAATGCTCCAGAGGAAGAGCCACCGATCATAGCAAGTCTGGAGTGCAACTCCCTGCTCCAGCCGTTCAACCCAAATGGATCGATGACTTTTCAAGAATGGCTGGAGAAATTCGAGGATTTCCGAGATCAGCAAGCGACGCCCTGGACCAATGATGTAGCCGTCAAGAAGCTCCGAATGTTTTTGAATGGCGAGCCTCGGGAGAGGCTGATCAAAATTGCTCCAGCGACCGCGCCAGCTGAAGGTGGGAATCAGTTTAAAAATTTTGAAGAAATTAAGAGGGAATTGTTAGAATCCTTCAATAAGGATGGAGGACAAGCAATTGCGAGAGCCGAATTGACTGTCTTGAGACAGCAACATGACGAGTCAGTTAATGCCTTTCTTCAGCGGCTCAAACGACTGGTTGCCCGACTTGACCCCGATATACCAGCTCCGATTCGGGAGAAGAGAGTGTTCGAGGAATTTATGTCACGTGTCCGTGATGACATTGCTAACCCGCTTCGACTGGCCGTGCCTGAAAACCTCGAGCAAGCCCGAGCTAAGGCCTTGGCCATCGAATCCGTCAATGCATCCAGCCGACTGCTTTCGAGGGACTCTATGGCGAATGGCTTCGCCACTATGGTGCAAGCTCTTGCTGGTGTCAATGCCAATGGTAATAACAACAGCCCGAAAAAGGGCGCATGTTTCTATTGTGGGATAGAAGGGCACTTTTCTAGAGAATGCCGACAGAGGGCCCGAGAAGTTCAACAGGGTCAGGCCGCTTTTTACCGCCCCAGCGGCGGTCAGCATCGAGCAGGTGGCTTTCGGAGGCCGCCGAACCGTGAACGAGCATCGTCTTGGTGGAATGATGAAGAAGACCGAAGTCCCAGGGAGTCGGTGACCTGTTGACGGTTCAAGAAGCTCCCGAGAAGGAAGATCAGGTGGTGGAAAAGACCGAGAGGGAGAAGTCCCTTGAGTTGATGAGACAAAAGCATGCCAACCTTCTGAAGCTTCATTCCTCCTCATCGATTCAATCTCTACACCCGGTGAATGCCCTTGCATCGGTGATGTTTTTGGTCACCTGTCTAACTGTGGTCTCTCCTTCAGTAGGAGCGATCCAACCGATGATATGTCAGCATCAATTTGGCAGAAGACTCGTTGGATTGCCCGAGCCTCCAGAATGCCCACAAGTCAATGTCAAGCCAAAAGTTCGTCCGGCAACGCTTCTACTGGATATTTTTCGAGAGAATGAGCAAGTAAGTGAAACGCCAGCTGAAGTATGTCAAGTGGTTCGGAGCCAAATTCGCTACTTCACGACGCTTTCAGGGGTTTATGTGGAGCAGCCAGCCAAGCCCATTAAGGAACTGGTCACGCCTGCGCAGTGTCGAGACATCCTGAGATCCAGGAGGTGTATTCATGGATCTCTGACTCCACAGAAGGACGGCTGGGCCACGTCCAACGTCTTCAAGAAGGACAGACCCTGGCCTTTCTTCGGAAGTTTTGGTTGGAAGTCCCAAACACTCAGGAATTGTATCACTTTTGGGGCTCATGTTCAGTACAACTCGAACTCGCACGTATTGACGGCAACGGCCGGTGATCTTCAAGCATGCAACTACACTTCTGGAGAATGCAACCTCCAAGATGGATCAGCCATTCTCTGGAAGCCGAATCCTGCCCTGGATTGCCCTTTCATCAAGGTTGGTACGTTCTTGGGTCGTTTGTTAGGAAATGTTTGGCTCTCTGACAGCCGACAATTTGCATTAACTATCAGCAATGACTCTGTGCCGTTTAAGTCATGCAACAAGACGCTGGTCAAGACTCCCCAAGGTTTCGCTATCCCGCTGAGCGCAGCCCGCGCAAAAAGGGGAACTAAGGTGGTCGCTAGCAACACATTGTCTGCCGAGCTACAAGGGCTGGAAGAAAGCATGATCCAGATCATTCAGCATAATTTCGAGAATGTTATGCACCACATTTGCTTCGCCCACCAGAGCGCAGCCGCGCAATGGAAACTTTTGGCCGAGACGAACCCTACAGCTGTATTTCGTAAGTTATTACGAGATGATTATATTCATGCCACGATGCTCACTGAAAGCATAGCTGAGATCTACCCTTGTAGACCGATCGGAAAAGAGTCTATTCGACCAAGACCCGGTCCAAAAACCGGATGCACCCGCTATATTCCCATAGACCTCACTGACCCCACCGACTCCTCGAAGTCGAAAGGGGCATTTTTGGACCCGATGACTGCCATTATCACTGAGAAGGCGGCTCAAAACCAGACGACGAGGGTTTCTTTGTTGAAACTCGAAGCCCAACCTTGTTGAATTTGTTGCTGCCGGATTGGACTGTCTCCCAAATATGGCTTTATGCATGTGCTGTTCTGGTCACCTGTGACGTCATTGGAAGGGTACTGGGCACCTATTTTATTGCGAAATGGAACGCCGTGCGCCACTATGCCCGCCTGAGGCGAGAGCGCCGCAGGGAACGACGTGATCAGGAGATCATTCGGTCGTTTCGAGAGCTCGACGAGGGCCCGGTGTATCGAGATGTGGTCTCAGCCGTCAACAGAATTGGGAAGGACTAACGCGTTTTCTTTTCGCGCACTGTACATTTACTATGCATTACGCTAAAAAGGGAATAATGTCATTCTTTTTCAGAAACGATGACTTTTCGCAAACCCTGGCTGGTTTAGAAACCGCCCCCGGAAAAACGCCCAATCCGGTGGTTTTTTCTTATTGATCCAGATCAAGACGATGTCCGCGCTGGTGATTACGTTCAGCTCTCCGACTTATGGCACCTCGAGAACCAAGAAGATCAAACAGCAGCCAAACCTTTTTCAAATGTCCCGAGGCCTACCTATCTTCTCCGAACTCGCGCAGGAGCACAAGACGGTCAAAACGGTCAGAAGACTCCGGAAATAATGGCACTCGTAATCAGGCGACCAACGAAAATCTCTGACAATATGCTCGTTATGGGACCAAAAATTTCCGACCCCGTCCAAGTGCCTGCGATTTTTTGGCCATATCCGCTGCCAAAGGCAACCGACTCTCTCTGGTGGATTTTAGCTGCAGCGAATTTAGAATATTGGACTCCAGAGCTCGCTCTTGAGTGCCAATTCTCATCCATAGACTCTGAAATTCGATTTAGCCCAATCTTTCAGATTTACAGAACGTCTGGTTTTGGCCATGGGTCATGCTTGTTATAATGACAATCCACTGAGCGCTGGAGATCGACCCGAACTCAAGAATTTTTCCAAGTTCCCGCGCTGTTCAATGGCAGCCCCAATTGCTTTTCATGAATGCTCAACGATGGAATCTCGCGTTCAGAAGTCCTTCACGAACCATGGTCAAGTCCATCAAGCTGTTGAACTACTGGAACAGCTGGCTGCGTTGTGTCCTGAAGTCGAGTCTGGAGAAGCCTCTGTCGTTGTACTCTCTCCATATGCAGCAGCCGTCACTGAGGTACGTTCCATGCTGCCTGAAGTCCTCCAGAAATTTCCGGCAATGCGAGTTCGCGTAGCAACCGTTGATCAGTATCAAGGACAGGAAGCCGAGGTCGCTTTCTTCATAACTACTCGAACCGCGACGCAAAGTAAGAACGATTTTGCTTCATACTCCCCACGCACCACGGTGGCCCTCACAAGGGCGCGTCAAGCCTTAGTGATCCTTGGACGTCGCTCGTACATCAATCATCACGCCAGCATCGAGCTGCAAAAACTCCTGGAATACGCTCGCATTTCATTTTCTGTTTCATTTTTGTTTTCGAGTGCTTATTATTCCTATATCTTGCCTTTATACAGTCCCTTTATTATTGTCATGTCTGCATATTACCCTTCACACCATTTGATGTCAACGTCTCAAATGTTCCTCTCGATCGGCAATATTTTACATTTGCATATCTCGTTGCTCTGGCAATTCACAGTAATCACTTTTGTTCTACTTTCAGATCACCGCAAAACACCTTCATCAGTACACCACTTCATCCCCGCGCTGGTCCTAAAATAAAAGGGTGGAGGAGTAAGACATTGGATGTCTTGAGGAATATCTGGCCTGGTTTTTGAGCCCTGATCCGCGGTTGACCCGCGCTCCCCTTCCGTGATCCGGGCGCTAATTTTGGCCGGTTATTTTTGGCCCTCATTTTGGCCCTACAAACTACAGGAGTCAAAAAGGACACCGATGCCTCACACCTGGTGAGTCACCTGCGAGGAGGCCTGAGGGCAGAACTTTCAGGAGGGTTCTGGAAGCTCCATAATTTTCCATAATTAGCGGCCACTGCAAACTACGATGGGCGCAGCACAGAGCACATGGGAATGGCCTCAAGATCACCAGTTGCCCCGCCCAGGATCAAGCACTATATAAGACGGCATCAGCGCCTCTGCCAGGACGTCCACCCAGAGGATAACCTCTAGGGTATTGTTTTGTAGTACTACTGTGTTTTGTTTTATTGTGTGTTTGTTAGCCGAGCTCGAGATAAAATATTGGCCATATATTGTGGGTTTTCCTTGTCCCTCCACTGCACTACGCCGTGTAGGCTCTGATACTTCAGAGCAAGATCCGCCGCGGTCTACTGAGACCGGAAACCCACCCCGCGTTTTAACTCAATCAACGCTGAAAAATGACCGACGTTGGATTTTCGGCGCCAAAAGGCGCCCTTAGGCGGATCTTATGGAACAAGCGATACATACCGTCTTCTGTGGAATTTAATTCTCTACAGCATATCCAAGAATGAAAAACGTCACTGCTTTTCCGTCGACTTATACGTCAAAAAATGCAATTTTTACATTAACTTTGCCATATTTTTCAAATATTTACATTTTAAGAGCATTATTACAAAAATAAATTGGTACGCATTGGAGCTTGCATGCTGACTGACTTTTTGCCCAGTTATCTTTCTCCATCTTCAAGAATTACGGAGCTGTTTGGTCCTTGCACCCAGCATAAAAATGCCGTAAGGGCGAATTTCAAAAAGGCGATAGTGCCACTGAACGTACTGTGCGCTGTCGGATTTAACCTTTTTTGTACACACGCAACTTATGAGCGCTTCGTGTACTGTTTGATTATGAGCCAAAATCATGCCGAAGCACTAACTAATGGGACTGTTAAGTCGGCAGCTTGACGTGTCAGTCACGCTGTCAAATTGGCGTAATTTTACCGCGTCCCGACATTTCTAGTCAGGGACAACTCGGGTCGCGACACTTAGGGTCAACGATACTGTTTAATATTTTCGCTTCGGGACTAGGAAAAAAGATTTTTTTTGGTGAATTTGAAAAATTTTTGAAATGTTTTCGCATCGGGACTTGGAAGAAGGATTTTTTGGAGAATTGAGTTTTATTTTTTTATTTTTTTAGAAAAGTAGTGTTTATAAGCGACGAGCAAATAAGAAAATCTTATCCATTGTTTATGTTTTTAACTGGATGCACGGGATTCTTAAAAATCAAATCGTACAAAAATTCCTTTTCCCAAGTCCCGAGGCGAATACATTTCAAAAATTTGTTCAAATTCTCCAAAAAATTGTTTTTTCCCAGTCCCGAAGCGAAAATATTAAACGGTATTGTTGACCCGAAATGTCGTTGACCCGAGGTGTCCCTTACCCGAAATGTCGTAGCGCCAATTTTACTATGCCAACTTGAGTTTGTTATTAATCTTTTAAAAAAAATCCATGCTGAACTCACAAACAAGGCTATAGAATTCGATGACATTTCGGTTAACATAACATTATTACATCATGAGTTGTATGGCTTCAGGGTAACCAGTTGCTAAGAGATCGAGGGCATTGACAACATGTTTAGAAGAGCGAAAAGAACAAGAACGGAGGAAGATTAGGGAAATCCAAGCTCACGAACCAGTTCCATCCTGCCAATCCTTGGATTTAGGGTGTTCCCTGATACAAAAGCTAGCTAAAGCAGACTGTGTGTAGCATCCAGTTCAACCCCTGTTTCCTTGCCAATGGCTTTTAAACTTTCCTTCCTAGTGATTTGAAAGTAATGCGAAGGAGAGTTAAATGTATTCAGAGAAGGCGCATTGTTATTATCACGTCCTTATCAGCCTAGACTGAAAAACCAGGACTTTTTGGAGTTCTTTCCCCATTACTCTTATTTTGTGTGCGTTTTACCTGAGTCCCAGCCTCTCGCTGTCCTCGTGTGAACCGAAATGTTTGCCAAAGGTAAGAGAAGACAAATTCTCGACAAAGCGCATATTTTTAGTCCTAAGAAACCGGAAAGCGGGCTCGTTCTTCGGGAATTGCGCGGAATACCTGATAAGGAGCTTCACTTGCTCTGCTCGACCTTATTTTGTATTCAGAATACCGGGACATTTCTCTAGAATAAATTCTGATATTTACAATACAACAAACGGGGATTTGCATATCACAAGAGAAAAGGGGCTCTAAACATCAAACAATTTCAATTCAAAAATACATTTATGTTGTTTGTTCTGCATAATCATCACCTTTGTCGTGTCTGTAATATATTTTAATGTAACTTTTTCATCACGTTACAATTTTTATAAGAGTAATAAAAGGCAGACATCATTCCTACCCGGTCTTCTTGCTTTCCTCGATTTTATGTTTTCGATCCAGAAAGAATGGAATAATCCTGTTTATTCGACCTTATACCGCCTTACTCCATTCTCTACTTTTTCCAAAATCAAAACTTTTATCGTTGAAATTTATATTTAGGCTTACTACTTTAGGAAAGGTCAAGTCCCTTTTCCTCGTCATTTCCATGATTCATAACATTCCCTCAAATCTTTTGGGAACACCTCTGATAAGTTTGTTCCGATCGTGAGGGAGTGTTCAGTCGGGTCTTGAATTCGAATTCACTTAACGCGCATAACGTGTCATTCTCGCGCCTATAAGAGGGTTAAATAATATTGTTTCCAGTGCCTTTCTCTTTTCGTCGTCCCATGGAAACCAAAAACACGTTGGAGCGGCGAATTCTTCTAATTGGAAGCCATAAAAGGCTATTGGTAAGCAGTTACGTGGATTCACTTACCTCTTTTTTCAGTTTGATCGACTTTGTGCAGCTGCCGAAAGATATGAAAAGCATGTCCAATATCACGATGTGTATTATCTTTACTATACCCTCAACGAGGAACCTTTTATCGTTGAATTAACTTTGGCCGGAATAGTGAGTTAATATTCATTGTGATTATTCGGCTTGTAGGAACATACCGGGGCTAGGGAAATGGCTATAAGGACTGCTGATGGAGTCATCATTTCTTATGCTGCCAATTATCCGGCGTCTTTTAACGACTTGACATCTCTCTTGGAAGACTTTAAAATGAGGAAAAACAAAAATGTAAGTCCTTAAACTCATGTGCTAGAATCCTCTGATAACATTGCTCACATGTTTGTCCAAAAAAAATAAGCGTTTTTTTGGACTAGTGGGCTCGGTTTTCTCTTTGGCGCGATGACGTGATCTTTTTCTCTAGCGATTTATAAGCGTCTTACGTTAATCATAGTGTTACGTTTGCAATTCAAAATATATGACGAAATCAAGCAGCGTTTCAACCCATTTCCAAAAAGATCAACCATTGATTTTTTCTCGCCTCGGCGATGAGACCATTTTTCGGCGGAGGGGTTTGACGTCTTTCTTGAAAATTACATCTTGTCTTGTTACAAAACCCAGACAGCTTAACTAACTACGTATGAATTAGGTTTGTCACATCTGGCAGGATTAAATCTGCTAGTCTTGGTAGCTCGGCAATTGTTCCACGCATTGGCGAAGGCTCGGCGAAGACTTTCTTACCGACGGAGGCCGTTTTGGAAGCTTGGCTTGTGCGGATCGGACTGGAAAAAAGCTGACAATGAGGTTTTTTACTAATCACTTCAATTACCGTATTGGTTTTTATTTCAAAGGCTGGCGAAGAATTCGGCGAAGTGTTTTGACGAGTGTCAAAAATACGGGAATGGGACAAACCGATTGGAGCAATCAGTGTAAGATATACCAAAGAAGTGTATCTGGCAAGAGAAAAGTTTTCAATTCGATTCGCAAAAGCCAAGCTTCCAGAGCGGCTTCCGCCGGTAAGAAATTCTTCGCCGGTGTATGAAACACCCGTCAATCTGCCGAGGCCAACAGATTTCATACCAGATGTATCAAACCTAGTTTCATCCGTAGTTAAGCTGTCCGGGCTTTGTAACAAGATGTAATTTTCAAAAAAGACGTCAAACGTCTAAATTGATTGGTCTCTCCGCGGAGACCAAACAAGGAGCTCCGCCGAGGCGAGAAAAAAATCTCTTACACATTCTAAAAACGAACCTCTTAGGATTTTAAATACGTCTTAAACTTCTTAAATCGCTGCAAACAGCACAAAGACATGGGCAAACAGTTTTTCAAAAATTTTTTGAAACACCCTGTTTATGTCATTTAAGACCGTTCCTTAAACTTTAACGGTTTTTTAGGCGCCGATCTTAGTAGTGAGAAATGAAGATGAGCATGTCGACTTAGATCCGACGGAAAGCTCGTCCTCTTACACTGAATCTTCAGAAGATCAGGAATCAGGAAAGACAGAGATCAAAGTAAATGTGGACGACAACACATCTGCTATCTCCGTGGAACAGGTATGGCAAACGTCTAATGGTTGACACGAATTTAGGGAGCACAGTTAGCAAAAGAATTCGGTCCAATATGCGAACAGACATCTCTGAAACTCTCGGAAACCACTTCCACCCTCGATCTCATACTCGATTTTCTCAAAAAAGTATTGGAAACTGATCGAAGGCAACGAAGAAGGTCGACTATTTTGGATGGCTTGAAACAACTCAACGCAATGACTATAAACAAACTAAAACGGCATGACAAGGATGGGTCGTCGAGTCATTCCAGTACCTCGGACATCAGTCCAGCTGGAGATCAGGAGAATGTTGAAGAGAAGACCAAGGAGAACAAGGAGATCGATACAAAATCAGAACCGGCCACTCCCGTTCATTCTCGAAGTTTTATGAAGACTTTCAGAAGGAATCAGACTGCGCCATCGAATCAGAAACATAATAATAGTCATAATCAAGAGGTGGAGGCCGAATCCGGCCAATCCAAGGTCTGTGTAATAATGTAATGAATGAATATACGTCTCTTGGCGTCGCTGAAGCGGGTCTAATTGGGTGTGCCGATGGCATTAGTAGCCAGATGGAGAGGGGCGGTTCGAACAGCCAGAGGCTGTTTCTTCGAGAATGCATGCCAAGACGCCATCCGATCCGGGCGCACTTCCGGGCCGCGGTATTTGTTCTGCTGGGCCAAATAAACACTTGGGAGCGGGACTAATTCAACTTCCGACGGGCAGCGAATCCGGTTCTGATAAAACGAGGATGAAAAGGAAAGAACTCTCCGTCCAGGACATTGCCCGATTCAAACTAGGTTATGAGATCTAATCCGGAGGGGTTTCTGCATACGTTTTCCCGCTTCTGCTTTAAGCCAGTACCATTCACAATGTTTTTGAAGGACAAACGAGAGATTCCGTTGGTCCTGAAGAAAGTAATATCATCGCCAGATCTCCACCCCGTGGACGTCAGCGGGTTGGGTGTGGAAAAGTGTCTCCAGATCCGCGGTCTCGTAATAATAGCCCCGGGGGAGGGTTTGTCAAGTTTTTGTTCCTTTTCGGGCTTATGGAATCCGTGTCAAGTCCGAGCCGACCCCGCCTTGATTGATGGAGTGTCCAAGGTTTGCGCTTTCCTCACTCTGTCCCAAGGCTGAATCTTGTCTCACTCGATTTCCACTTCCGGTTAGAAATGCTGTTGTCCAAAAACGGCTATAAATTTAATTTTCTTTCCTTTGTCCCTCGCGCAGATTTGGTTAATCCTTGTCCTCAGTCCTTAAGAGCTCTGGACGATGTCATCAAAAGTCCAATTTGTTTTGTTACCCAATTAAAGATTTATTTATTTTCGCCGTCCTCAGTCGTCGTGTTAAAAATTCAGTTTCTATGGAACTGTAATTAGAAATAAAAACGTTTATAAGCTTCCCAAATCTTTTAAACGTCAGGAAATGAAAATGGGAGTCTAATTAGCCAAAACAAGTGGCCAACGGGCTCGTTTTAACCACATGGAAAATCCATTGAAATTCCTGTTGACCTGACAAGTCTTCAATCAGATGCCCCGCTTTTCCTACCCTCAGGGCTCGGATATTCGGTCCAGTGATTTTTCATTTTTTAATTCCTTTGCCCTTGGGAAATGCCAAATTTGCACCTGCCAAGACGGCCGAAATTCGCTTTAATCAGTATTCGGCCACTTGGACGGTGGGAATGGCCAAGAATTCTCCCTTAATCCTCTAATGAAGTCCAACTTCAGATGCCCCCTTTGGACGAGATCTCGGTTCAGACCTTCAACGATATCATCAGTGCTGGAGTCTCGTCGAAACTTGTCTATGGTGCGTCGCATTTTAACCGTTTCTCATTCCCACTTTCAGAAGGTTCTGTTTGTGATGCATATCCTTGTTGGAATGATGGCGTTTGTGTGGAGTCCAACCTAACAGACACAGGCTACTTCTGTATGTGCAACAAGTTCTTTTCGGGCGATCATTGTGATGTTCAGGTGAGCGCGGTCGTTGTTCCCGCAATCTTATATTGCAGGTATTCAACAATTGCAGCAATATCGTATGTCCCCCGCGTGCTGTTTGTTTCTCTTCTACCTCATTATGTGCTCCAATCCGGGCTGCAAGTAAGGAAAAACATTTTTCGGTTGGTCAGTTCATAGACTGGACCTCGTTTCATGTCAAAAACATCCAAAACACACCCCATTTCAGAGACGTTCCCTCGATGCATCTTCGAGCCCTGCAGAAATGGCGGATCTTGTGTGATGTTCGAGAATGAGAGTCCTTATTGTATATGCCCGCCCAATTTCCATGGATTATTATGCGAATGTAAGTCGCCCGACCCAAAACAATGAAATGCGCTTACAGATTCGCATCGTGCCTCTTCTGAAGTCCCCATGAATTGGAATGTTCTCCAGCTTTTGATTCTATTCGGAGTCATGTTCTTATTGGCTTCCGCGTTCCTAACATTATGTTACAACGGGAATTATAGTTGTTATTTGAATTGGAAACGACGCTACAAATATGATAAATGGAGTATTGAGTCGGATTTCCAATGGTATGAATCAGATGAAGAAGAAGATCAAGATCTCATCAATGGAGGGAGTATCTATCATCCAGGTCATAATCTCAGTGCAACAGACACGTCGAAAAACTGCTTTGAACTAAAGTAAGTATCACTCTGTCGGGAAAATAATGTGTATTCGTCGCATTGGAATCCCCCATCATCGCTTCGCGTCGGCTAGCCGGGACTGGAGATTCGGATATTTTGAAAATCTTTTATTTTTTTTGTCGAGATCCCGTTCATTCTCAAGCCAAAAAGTCTTGACATGTCTGCACAGTACGCCGTCGTTCGAACAACTTGTCGCGCGGCGACAAGCAAAATTCACGGTGCGCTACGACCCCGCACCGTGCAAAAAGATTGTTTTGAAAAGGGTAAACACTGCACAAAGCCCGCCTAGTATGTACAAATTATTAAATCCGCGTCCCGACATATCGGGTCAGGGACCACTCGAGTCGCGACAACTCGGGTTAGGGTTCGAAAAATTCGGGTATATTCACCACGCGGGTATATACCCGGGTATATACCCGAAATCTCGGGTATATTCGGGTATTTATAAAATTAGCCTAAATTAGTCCAATATAGTACCAATATGAAGTCGTTAATGAATAAGTGGCAAGTTATTCATTAACCTAATCATGTTTGGAATGATTCTTTATTTTCCCAACTACAGGGTGTTCCTAGAATTATGGAAACAACTATTCATTAATAACTTTGTGCTCGGTGGTCCAATCCAAAAAATTTTTTTTGCATCTTACAGGGAAACCTTTGAGTTTTTAGAATCAAGAAAAATTTTTCCTTTGATCGGCGGAGACTCCGGTAATCCTCCTTGAATTCGGCGGAGTGCTTTTTTCACAAACGAGACTGCAAATTGTTGTATGTGTGAAGTAAATGGGCGGGAGAGGATTCAATAGATACAATATGACATTTGTTTCAAATTTTTTTCATTCGGCGGAGACATTTTTTAACCTCGGCGGACGATTTTTCTTCGACTTTTGAGAGTCAAAATTGGCTAAAACCAAAACGTAGGTATTCCTGGTGGCATGGCGCCTAAATACGACTTATTACGTCTTCGGCCTACTGAGAGAAGAAAAAAAGGCAATTCGGCGGAGAAATCGGCGGAGAAAAAAATGAACCCATTTTACAGCCTCGTTTGTGAAAAAAGCACTCCGCCGAATTCAAGGCGGATTACGGAAGTCTCCGCCGATAAAACGAAACAATCTTTTTTGATTCTAAAAACTCCAAGGGTTTATTCAAAATGCAAAAAAAAATTTCGGATTGGACCACCGAGCACAAAGTTACATTAACGAATAGTTTTTTTCCATAATTCTTGGAACACCCTGTACAACAAACAAAACTAGTACTTTAACAATCAAAAAGTTTAGCAATCCAATATTTGGCAGTCAGATTTTGAATTTTTTTCCGTTTATTTTCCTACTCCGGCCAAGTAAATTTCAACCTTACTAGGGAAGTGTACAAACGAACCCTCACCAAATGGCAAGTGATATACACCATTTGAAAGCCCTTGAAAAATGGTGCAAGACACCATTTTCATTTTTTTGCAGAATGCCTTTCCGCGACGACACACTGTAAATTATATTATTTTTAGGTCATTTCGCAACAAAAATCTTTCATTCTCTTCAGCGGATAAAAATCTTCGGAGGGGGTTGCTTCAATAGTGTAGTGGTTGCTGAGCAGGCTGATAAGCCAAAGCAAGCCGGGTTCAGTTCCCAGCTTGGGAAAAATCATTTTTGCGTTCTTACAGTTAGGAAAATACTTCCGTTAAACTTTTACAAACGCTTTAATTTTACTGGAAGACGGTCGGTTACGGTTAAAATAATCAAACTTACATGTTTTTCAACATCAAAAAAAGTGAAAAGTGGTTTTTCACATTATGGGTACTTAAAACCAGTAAATATCATAGGTAAAATGGTCTTACTAGCAAGCGCTAAACTTCATAATGATCCTTATGCTAACATAGTTGCATTCCGTACCATTTAGCGTTTTGAAATAACATTTATTATGCCCCACAGCAGATATTGTAACTTTAAGGGACAAATCAACCGTTTATAATTTGTTGCCCTGAGGCATTCTGCAAAAAATGAAAATGGTGTCTTGCACCATTTTTTAAGGGCTTTCCAATGGTGTATAACACTTGCCATTTGGTGAGGGTTCGTTTGTACACTTCCCTAGTTAGAACCAAGTTTTGAGAGGCAAAAAATAAATTATGACAAAATGTCAACATTTATTGATTTTTTATGACAAAACTCGACTTTTTTTACATTTTTTGAATACCCGAAAATTCCCGGCCTCTCGGGTATTTGGGTGTATACCCGGGAATATACCCCGGGTATATACCCCGTCCGAACCCTAACTCGGGCCAACGACAGTTCGGGTCAACGATACGTTTAATATTTTCGCTTCGGGACTGGGAAAAAAGAATTTTTTGGTGAATTTGATAAGAAAAAAATTGAAATGTTTTCGCTTTATTTGCATACAATCATTACGACTATCTTCTTACTCCACTCTCTGGCATTGTCTGTGTTTAAATCCCGTGCTTCCAGTTAAAAACATAAACAATAGAGACGATTTTCTTATTTGCTCGTCGCTTATGAACACTATTTTCCTAAAAAATTAAAAAATAATCCTCAATTCTCCAAAAAATCCTTTTTCCCAACTGCCGAACCGAAAATATTAAACGGTATTGTTGACCCGAAATGTCGTTGACCCGACCTGTCGCGACCCGAGTTGGCCCTGACCCGAAACGCCGTAGCGCCGTTTAGCGTACTCTCTCGGCGGCAAAGATCGTTCAATATCTCGGGGGTTTCTGCAAAGCGCGAGCTAAAACTTTCAGGAATTGATACTTAGTCCATGCCCGACGTGTGTGCAAAATTTAAAGCAATTTTGAGTGTCGCTCCCTTGTCAGTGAAAAATTTTAAATTCTTACGATTGTTTAGCAAAAATCTACAAAAATTTGCCAAAAAAATCTAACTTGACATCAAAATGAGAACAATTTGACTTGACGGAAATAACGGCAATTTGACAACATGACTGACGCGTCAAGTTGACGACTTACCAACGCTGTTACAAACTATAATATTAATTTTTTGTGCAGTTTATATTTTGATTTCTTTCCAGAAATAAACCGATGAGGGTCTCAACAACAGCAGAATCCTTCGTAACATATAGCGGGAGCAGTGGCGCGAATTCAGATTCTAATCACAGTGCCAATCCCGTTGATCTGAGCCAGTAGGAAAGTCCGGAATACAAATATCACTGTCATTATCCTTATGTTTTTTTAAAATTTTTTCTGCGGATGTCTTCTATCTCTAAAGTTTCTTTTCTTCATTAGTCAACGGGTATTTCATTTTTGTACATAAACTAATGCTACTAAACCGACGTTAAAAGGTGCGAATAATACCAATGAAGACAATTAGTGTCGCTTATCAACAGTCTGGGTCCCTTGGAGCAACCGATAACAGATTCCAGCCATTCCAAACAAGACTTATATCGCTGTGACTTACTTTTTCCATGCCCAAATTAGCATTTCTCAATCCAGAAGATACGAGGGTAACTAGGAAGCCTTCTAAATCCTCGCTTCGGCCGACCTCTGCATTGTCGCAGCAGACTGATGGTAAGTGAATAATACATATATGAGCGATAGAAGACCATCTCTCATTGGTCAGAAATTGTTTTCTGGGGCTCTTAATTAAATAAAAATGGTTTGATTATTTTATTTTTCCAATAGTTGAAGATATTGCTTGCCAGAGGCGTGTTGTCTTTATTGAGCCTCACGAAGAGCCAAAACAGACTACCAAAGACGATGCAACGTCAGATCCATCCAATTCCGAAAGTTGCGACCACAACTGGCAACCTTGCCATGCAAATATTTCACTATCTACTTGTTCCCAAAGCGGACGGATCAAGTCGATGAAGGTAACTTCAGTTTCGAATATTCCGTTCGTGGTGAATATAAAGATCCGCTTATGTAAATCGTGAATGTCCTTCACGCAGAAGATGGCAAAGAAAGGCTGTCGATGTAGATTTCACTACACTCCTTGACAAAAAACTGAAATTCTCAAAAAATGAGAATTATTTTCAGCACTGTCGATTACATCGATATATATAATATTTTGAGTATTTCCGCAAAAAGTTACTACAGATACTATTTTACATTACTACTCGCAATTAGTTGATTTTACTAGTAAATTTACGTATTCACAAATTTTATTACGTCCGGGCCTTATTTTTACAAAAATATTCTTTCTGGGGAAAAATATTTTTTATTATGGGAGAAAAGTATAGACCCCAATATTAATACGATGACTTTAGTGTAGTTGATCGATGAATCCTTGGCCGAGCATGTATTTCATATAGATCCTGGTAAAGCGGGATTATTCCCGTTAATCCAATTGGATAAGAAGACAAATCATCGGAATATATTGTACCAGCAGAAACCTACAGTATTCCAACACATGGCCAAGTATTTTTTTTATTTTTTTATTTAACTCGCTGAATATGGATGCATTTGAAAGAAACAAATACCATTTTGTAGAGAATTATTACTGTTATCTAATATGTAGTGTAGCCATTGTTCAAATCCATCCGCATTGAACGAGTTACACAAAAAACAAAAAAATTGACAGTTTTTTTGGCAGCTACTGTATGTAGATGTTCAGGTTTCATCATAAAATGGGGATTCGACATCTTCTTCTGGTCCTCATTCTGGTATTATATTCAGTTATTGGTGGAGTCCTATTTTTCTTGATTGAAAAAGATGCGGAATATGTAATTGTGAAGGATAATATCAAGAAATTGAATGCTTTGACTGAGAAGATGACTTTCACTTTATATCGGATACTCCAGATCGAAAATACGAATGAAAGTGTCAGAGAAAGTGTAAAGTTTTGCATACGGTAGGTTACTTTTCCTTTATTGTGAATTCCTTAGAGATTACTACCAAAGAATGCTGAAAGTTGAGGGGATATTGATTGGTTCCGCATTCCAATACGATAATTTGGAAGAGAAATTGAGCTGGAATTACGGGAGTGCCATCTTCTACTCGATCACCCTCTTTACTTCCATCGGTTATGGCACGATGGCTTGTCGCACTGAAGTTGGAAAGGCCTTCACAATCGCTTATTCGGTTCTGGGAATCCCCTTAATGTTAATGGTACTCAGCGATGTGGGTCAGGTCATCTTGAGATGGCTGACATTTGCTTATAATGGGACTAGAAGACTTTATTTGTAAGTAATCTCTCCAGTTAGCTACTCAAAATACAGAAAATACTGGCAAGAAGAAGATCGCCTCCCTTATCACGGCAACGAGTCCCTCCAAAGCTGGGATTCTGATGAATCTTTTGAACAGAAATCCTTCCCAATGCAGCTGGCCATTCCAATCATCTTCATTTATATGGCTTTATGTGCTCTGATCATCAGTATTTTCGATGTGAATGATGGCGACGCACCCGGGATCTCGTTCTGGAATGCTTTTTATTACACTTTTATCTCGATCAGCACCATCGGATTGGGAGACGTGGTCCCGAATAACATCCAGTACTCTCCTTTCATCGCCCTGATGTTCCTCTTTGGCCTCGCTCTTCTCAGTGTTGTTAATAGTACTGTTTATACAAGACTTCAGAAGCGATTCCTTATCTCGATGACCATGTTGGAGAGTTGGTTGGAGAGTTTAAATTATCATCGGCACGGCAGAGAAGGTTACATGGTTTTCAAGGCATTGGGACCCAATATTCAAGTATCTGAATACCCTTTTATTTTCAGATGACTTTTTTACATTAGTTTGAATCATAACTCCTGTGTTTTAGCTACTGGCGTTGGCCTTACCTCTGTTTGATAACGAGAATGAGGACAAAATAGAGAAAATGTTGGAGCCAGAGAACACAAACCTTGGGAAGAAGTTATTTGGACGATCGGAGAGACCAAGCAGATCCCGGTCTCTCCTGGAAGAAAACATTAATCGATTTAAACCCACCTTGGGGGTCTTTAATATGAATCCTACGAAGCCACGCAGAGATAGATCGTATACTGTAGCAGGGAATGTAAACCCAAGTTTTGAAAGATCCCGTTTAGAGTCTCATCTAAAATACGAACAAAGAGAACGGAGGAGTAACAGTGAACGGGGCAGAGATGACTTCACACTTAAACAACTCAAACCAAGGACAAAAAGCGACTTTATAGTTGGATAATAAACTCGTTAAGGTTTGTCAGTGAGATCAGTGGCGTCTTTTTTGGATGGGAATGGGTTCGGATTGGGCGGGGTAACGGCTGAGGGGGTGTCGCGGGATGGGGGAAGGTCGGTCCTCTCCAGTTTCGGGGGCTCCCTTTCTTTTCCCATCTCTTCCTCAGTCGATTTGCTTTCTTGTCTGGCCAGTAATTCTTTCATGGAAGCTCCAGAACTCTTTCTTCGAGCTGCAAAATAATCATAGCCTCACTAGTACAACCTAACCCTTACCAAATGACAAGCGACATACACCACTGAAGAGACTTTGAAAGGTGATACAAGACACCATTCCCATTATTGCAGAATACCTCTCCGCGGCGCTATACCTCTCTTTTGCAAAAAATCTTTCTTCCTCTTGGGCAGAAAACACCCCCGGAGATCTCCGGCCGGAGATGTTGCTTCAATAGTGCAGTGGTTGCTGAGCTGGCTGATAAGCCAAAACAAGTCGGGTTCAGTTCAACTTGGGCAAAAACGTTTTACTGTTAGGAAAATATTTTCGTTAAACATTTACAAAAGTTTTAATTTTGATGGAAAACGATCCATTACGGTTACGACCAGAGATTGCCACGGCTCCGGAGCCGGCTCTTGGCTCCGGCTCGGAGCGGCTCCGGCTCCGAGCCGGGAGCCAGAGCTGGAGCCGGAAATTTTGGGGTCGGCTCCGGCTCCCGAGCCCAAAGTCGGAGCCAGGCTTCCCAGCGGTCAGAAAAGTAAAAATTTCGTGATCTTGTTAAACCAAATTGCTTGAAAAACACTGCGGAGGATGTGACTTGACTGCAGAAACGTTGGCTGTATGATATCTGGCACTAATAACTTTTATTTTTGGAAAAATATTTTTAAAAAAACATTTTGCATAGGAGCCGGGATTCGGAGCCGGAGGCCTTTTTAAATTTTGCACGGAGCCAAGAGCCGGAGCCGGCGCTTCAAATTTGGCCTCGGCTCCGGCTCTGGGAGCTAAGAGCCGGAGCCGACATTTTGACCGTGGCAATCTCTGGTTACGACCATCAAACTTACATGTCTTTCTAGATTAAAAAATTAAGTATTTTTTCACTTCATACAGAACCGATATTTCTATTCTGCCCCATATGAAATTTTGTAACCACTAAAGGTACAGAAATTTTTCGCCCTGAGGAATTCTGCAAAAATTGAAAGCACTTTCTAAAACTACTTTTCAAGGACTTTCGAACGGTATATAACACTTGTTACTTGGTAAAGGTCAGTTTGCACACTTCCCTAGCCAGAAAAAATAAAACAAAGATAAGAACGATGAGAAAACGCTTCAACTTACCCCTTCGTCTCCTATTGGTTGGTGTGAAACTGGGAATCGCCTTCGTTTCGACGGTTTCAGGGTCACACTAAACTGACAAAAATAGAATTCAGCTTGCTTACTGTAGTCTCCAATTTTTTGGGCTCTTCTTTTTTGGACAAAAGCTTCGACGCCGATGATTCTAAAGTAATTTAGAGTCTTCGTTCCATCATACAAATTCCTACCAGACATTCCTACAGCCCCAGATGAGCCTTCCGTACTCTGCGATGCCCCACCAAACAGCCATGCCGTAATCGATGACGCCCAAACCAGGAAAATTAGAAAAAGAAAAAACATGCCCTGCCCCAACGACCGATCGCAGGAAATATTCAAAATCCGAATTTGAAAGCATTCGGCAATGATTTGCAAAGGCGAGGTCCCCTAATTTATTATGCATACAGTGCCCGATAAGTCTCGATCTTCAGCCCGATATGTGCCTCAGGGCAATAAGCAGATGTTCCCGGCCGAGATGTTTGGCTAGCCATTTGAACCCCTTCGCTTCGGGGATGACTTGAAAATTCCCAAAATTTAATTTTTATTACATATGGGAGGTGCTTTATAAATTTCAGCGCTCTAGTCCATCCGAATCCTGCGGATTTAGTCCAAAGTTAAAAGTAGCGCAATCTTACACAACGTTGCGCAATTTCTCTCTTTGTAAAAATTTCTGCGTTTCTGTGTCGGCTCCTCCTCCCCTCCCCTTTTTCGTGAACTTTTAACTTTGGACTAAATCCGCGGGGTTGGGATGGACTAGCGCGCTGAAATTTATAAAGCGCCTCCCATATATGTAATGAAAATTAAATTTTGGGAATTTTCAAGTCATTCGCGAAACGAAGGGGTTCAAATGGCTAGCCAAACACCTCACCTCCCATATATAAAAAAAAATTAAAAGTTTTATTCAAATAAATAAATCGTAGTTAGTTTCACCGTAAAAAAACGTATGCACACAATACCACATTGCGCTCTCCCAGATATCACAATTATTGCTCGACCCAAAAAATGTGAAGTAATTACTCAACGTGTGTTGCCTCATTGTCCATTCCTTCTTGTGACAAACTTAATCGCTCCGATATGGAGAAAGCAATACACGCAACAATGGAAGTGACGGTTAACAAAATTAGATGATAATCCAAGGGAATTGTTGTACCACAGAAAAAGGCGACTGCTGCCATCAATGACTGGAAGAATTTGAATATCGAGAAAGCCTGTGCAGATTGCTTCGAATATCTGCCGATCAAAGTAGCGAACACTTGAGTATTCCATGTTGCATCTCCAAAACCGAGAAGAAATCCACAAGCCAAGGCCAAGTAAATGTTTGGACTAATGTGGCCAGGAGCCGCAGTCTTCCCCAAAGACGCGTCGTTAGGGAAGTTGATATAAACAGCAACAAATGATACGACGTTAATCGCTGTGGCAATACACACCACCTTTGTCCGTGAAATGTTGAACTTCTTGGAACCAAGAATTCCGAAGATGAAACCGCCTAAATGAAAACAAATTTTGATTTGATTTTACTCGAATTATCGGTCATGCTTGACTATCTGGTTTTCCTAGTAATCTCCTCGCTTGTCCCTACTATATTACTATGTCTACATCGACGTGCTTGGTACCGAGATTTCGCTGAAGGACGGATGATGCCAGGAATGATACCTAGCTCAAAGATCCCAAATCTAGACCCAAGAAACAGAGAACACAAACATCTTCTAACCAATGCCGAAAAGAACATCAAGTTGAAGGTTCTGGAGCTCGGAGAACCCCTGGAAGCTTCCGTGGAGGCTAATATGAGACACGACATGAGACAATTCTATCCAGTACTGAAGCTGCGCCCTGAGAGTATTACAAATCATAACTATGCGACCGTTAAAGAGCGATTCCCCGACAGTTTCAAACCTCATCCAAAGAAGGAACCCGAATTCAAAGAAGAAAATCTCTGTACTAATGTGTAAGTTTTGATTTTACTATTTACATGTATTCAGGATCACATGGGATAAAGACTGTGATGTTTATGTGGTCTATGCCATCGACTCCTGCCGCGGTGAGCTGGAGAAAGACGAGAATACTATGGATGAAGGAGGCAATAACAGTAACAACGCCAGTTCCTCATCATCCGCAAAGAGCGGATGACTTCATTACTTTATAGGGATGACTTTGATCTAATAAAAAATTATAATCATTACCTGAAGCTTGCCCCAATCCCTCAGCCATCGCATTCAAGGCAATCAGACGTTTTGTGTTCTCTCCCAATAAGATTGTGAATCCGATGCAAGTCGGATAGATACTTCCCCAGAAACTCAGTGAGATACCGGTGTAAATAAACACCAGAATCAACATCAACATCTGTTTCTGACGACACAACACAAACATGGACTCTGAATAGGTACTAGAATTTGAATATTCGCTCACGAAACAGCTGTGGCAATGTGAGATGGGGTTCCGGGCTAGGATCCGGGACCTCTGACATTAGAGGAGAGTGGACAGTTTGGCCTTTGGAATGACGCAACAACATAATTAGGATCATCCCAAGTACCGTAACACTTGTAAAGACGCCATACAGTACCATGATTGTTTGATCCGATATTTTATCGCTATCCGAATTAAAAACAATGTACATGAAGACACCGCCACATGACAAACTAAAAAATGTGTAAAATAAGACAAAACAGACCAAAGTAAGCATGCTTACCATGCCTGGGAGATCGCCCAGAAAATTCCCGCATGCCTCTCAGCGGTATCCTCCGTCGAATTCATGGATAAATATTTCCCCTGAGCAGTCCAGATGACTGAAAATCACAAGCCTGACGACATCCCTCTTACCTGCGGCCCCCAGACCCAAAAGAGCCGAGCTAAAATAGAGGAACTTGTCATTAATGTAGAGGAAACCCGCTTGAAACAAGGCATAAGTTGCTCCGGCAAGGAACATTGACGTCTTCACACCGAGTGTATGGACGACAGATGCGGCGAAGAAATTGAATATTGTAAAAGATCCATAAATAATAGCCAGGCTGCAATCATTTACTTCTTACTTATTGACCGTTCATTGTGTGCTGAAATGATGATACCTGTTATATCCAGCATGTTTCGTTATCCTCCCATCTTCAGCAAAACTGTCGATGACCACTTCCTCTACGAATGAGGCCGAGTTGAAGGCGAAGAAAATAAGGAAAAAGCCAATGCCCAGCTGCACAACATTTTGAGTCTGACTGTTCATAACCAACAGTCTTCTGAAAAGAGAAATAAACCAATTCGGGAGTTTGTTTATACCTGCGGAAGGTCCATGGTAGAAGATGGGCGAGACTAATCCCTAACATATTCAATTTGATCTAGTTTTAAGTGCATCAAATGCTTCGAGACAGCAAGTAGCCAATTTTTATTTTGCAAAAAAATAATAAAAATCTTCGCAGTCTGCGCCCTGCCTTCCAACAAATTTCTTCGTGTGCACAAAAATCGATTTTGATCGTCCAGAGAAAAACACGGTAAAATTTTAAAGGTATTTGAGAACGATGAAAAAGCAGTACTATCAAGATGCATCTGCATTTCTTCCTGTTTTTACAATTGATTTTGAAAAATTTGAATTTCTGAATGGGGATTACTCATTACAATTTAAAGGAGGGAGGTGAAAATAGAAATTTGAATAAGCATTTTTTCTGAATTCTGGAGCTGTCACAATTTCGCCGAAATCCGAAGCCGTCACTTTTCCGGAGTTCGGCAGTTGGTCAAGTCCCGCAAATCCCGTGACAGGGGGGAATCTGCCTAGGACGCGCGAACTGATGAGTTTTCGAAAGCATGTGTGATTCAACACAGGTGGTATACACAACATATCTCACGATTTTTTGTACACGAAACTTACAGTGTTGATTTTTCCTCCATCTCGACCTTCACGGCCATTCCGCCTTTTATATTATACAATTAGTGAGAAATATGAAAACAGAGACTACGATCATACTTTTGTGGTCTCAAAGAGAGCGTGATTAAAAAAGACAAAAATTGATAAGGTTTTATTGTTAAAATAATCTTGTAATTCGTTTGGAAGTGTCAGTGGGAGTGACAGAAAGGGGATGGCGACGGAATAATAAATCATTTGAGAAATATTCCTCGGAACTTTAAACGCAGAATGGCAGGCGGTCGCACACTCTCGGGCAGCCACTTTGCGGGCAGCCGACATTTGCGGCCAGCACCGGCATTTGCGGGCAGGGTCGACATTTTCCTGGAAAATTTGCGGGCAACCGACATCTGAGGGTAACAGGTGGAGGTGGAAAAATTACTACGACATTTTGGAAATTTGCCGATATTTGCGGGCAACCGGCACTTAAAGATAACAAGGTGGAGGTGGAAAAATTACTGCGATATTGTGGAAGTTTTCCGACATTTGCGGGCAGCCGATACTTGCGGAAAGCCGACATTTGCGGGCAATAGTTCCAAAAGTTCCAATACAATCTGCGTGCTTGTTTTTTCCTATTACCCGCAAATGTCGGCTGCCCTCAAATGTCGGCAAATTTCCAAAATATCGCAGTAATATTTCCACCTTCACCCTGTTACCCTCAGGTGCCGGTTGCCCGCAAATGTTCCAGGCTGCCCGCAAATGTCTCAGCTGCCCGCAAATGTGACCCCCCAAATTTTGCCCGCAAAAAATTTGCCCGCAAAGTGGTTGCCCGCAAGTGTCGCGACGCGAAAATAAATAACAAAAAAACTATTTGAAAGCTTTTTCCGAAGCTGAGTTATGGCCTCCGCCGATTCCTCCGCCAGGCTGAAAAAAGGCTTTGATTTCCGTACGGACTGTGCAGGGAAAGCCAAGGTGCACACGGATCGTTTTGAGCCATTTTCCAGCTCTTTTTTTTTCCGAAGCCGAGTTATGGTCTCCGCCGCTATGGCAAACGTCCGCCATACCTCCGCCGGATGCTTGAAAAAAAACATAAAAATAAACAAACATCCTCTTCCCAACCATCAAAATTCATAAAAACACTTTTAAGATTGGTGTGATGACCAAAAAAGCTATCAAAAGGCTCCGCCGAATACACCGCTCTCCGCGTCGGCGGAGAAAATTATCTTTTTGGAGAAAAACCGCCCGTATACTCCTTTCTCCCGAAAAAATTTTTTTTTTGATGTCTTGATTGACAAGGGATCGGCAAATATTTGCACCCTGCTTTCTTAACGAAACCTATATCATTTAAAAGAGCATTAAAAATAGTGCACAGCGCAAAAAAAATTAGCTGCCCAATATATGTTTGGGCAAAGTCATGGCTAAAATACGTATTTTAGCTTTTAGCCTAATTTCCGCGGCAATTTATAAGCTCTTGGAACGACGGTAGAGCTGTGTCTAGTTGGCCGAGTGGTAGTGACCCCACTTCCGGCGAAACAGGTTCTGGTTTCGAATCCGGGCTCTGCAATGTTTTTTGCATTTCGTCTCTCATATGCCACAAAACCATGGTATGTTGATATTTTTAAATAATTTTTGTTCCTTCGCAGTCAAAATACATTTTTACTGGATTTTTTCGAGTTTTCGGTTTTTTTTGCAATCACCACAAATTTGATGGTGATGAGAGTGGGGATGCCTATCGTATAATTACAAGGGTGTCATGCCTTTAGCCTGATTGATTATGATTACTGGACGATAATTCAATTTACAAGGGCCTATAAATATAATTTTTTCCAAAAAAATACGAAGATAAAATTACAAAAGCGGCTAAAACACTATTGCTGACACAGTGGCCTAACCGTCGGTAAGGCTAGGACATAAGAAATTTTTGATTTTGAGATTTTTGTTTGTAAATGGCCACGACGATCATACAAATGTATTTCCAAAGTTTTTTGCTCCAGTTTTCCCATTAACCTAGTTTTATTTACAATTTTTTGTAAATGGCAGTAATGCGACATTATAATGTCTAATAACTCATAGCCAACGATTGATAAAGCCATGAAACGACCGTGATAGACGTTTCGGGATACTAGTAAGACAATGGAGACAATTGCAATCCGTCAGGATTACTCTAATATGAGAAACCGGCGTTTTGGCCGCATATAACCCCTATCATAAAACGGCCATAACTTTGCCCAAACATATATTGGGTAGCTAATTTTTCTTGTGTTGTACACTATTTTTAATGCTCTTTCAAACGGTATATGTTTCGTTAAGAAAGCAGGGTGCAACTATTTGCCGATCCCTTGTGAGCGCAAAGAAATCGACAAATACTTTCCGGCACATTTCTCGGTACACCCTGTATATCTTCTGGATCTTTTTCCGTCCATTTCTTTTAGACATACAGCGGCCTTATAATTACAACCTTATATTCTAGAGTTGCGTGAAAGAAAAAATTACCTACATATAAGTGATTTCAAAATCATTTGTAACAACTTTTATTTACTATAAAAAACTTTGTTTTGAGCTAAAATAAAGAAACTCTGTAGATTCCAATCGGAGTTCCAATCTAGCAGGTGGTTTTGCAGCCCAATATGAGTTGGCAATAACTTCTTTATTTCCCTGCCAAATGTTATCGGTTACCTTCTCCTCCCTAGCCCCTATTTTTAAAGGACCTTTTCGGCCGAAATTTCGTGCAACGGGGACTAGTCGACTACCAGTCTGTCGGGAAAACAACGGAGGGTCGTCGCAGCAAAATGCGACGAACCTCGCCGCTATCGGGCACCAAATCCCCAGCCGCAGCTTGCAGTCGCAAAGCGATAATATGCGATTCCAAGGCGCGACGACCCGCCGCGGCGCGCCGTTATTTTCCCGACATTACGTCTTATTCCGCGTCCCGCGACGAAAACAAACCACGGCCAGCTATTTCAAAAGGAATACGGTGGTTTTGTGTTAGGTTTTTGGAAAAATATTTTACTTTTTGGATTTTTTAACGTTTTTAGTGCGTTTTTTGTATATCTTTGTATACTTTGTGGTATTTCAGGTTAAAATGGGTTTCTCTACCAAACCTCTGATTATTGACGCTAAGGATCATATCCTCGGTCGTCTTGCCTCCACAGTGGCGAAGCAGCTTTTGCTCGGCCAGAAGATTATTGTTGTGCGATGTGAAGAGATCAACATTGCCGGAAACTTCCACCGTTGCAAGCTGAAGTATCTTTCCTTCCTCAGAAAGCACTGTAATGTGAAGCCATCCCGAGGACCCTTCCACAAGAGAGCCCCATGCAAGATCTTCTACCGCACCGTTCGCGGCATGATTCCTCACAAAACCCCTCGAGGTATGGCTGCCTTGAAGAACCTGAAAACCTTCGACGGAATTCCACAGCCTTATGACACCAAGCAGAGAGTGGTTCTCCCTTCAGCTGTCCGACACATCGCCTTGAAGCCTCGTCGCAAATTCAGCACCGGTAAGTCGTTCTTATCTTTGATTTTAGTATTTAGATGCTTTGATATTTGGAATACATCTCATAGTCAGGGGTGGTCAGCGGACCCTATTTTTCCGATTTTCGGCCCGCGGCCCGGCCCGTCTAGTCTTTTTCCAGGCCCTGCCCGTGACGGGCCTGGCCCGGCCCGGCCCGTGCAGGCCCGTCTATAGAGGGTTCTGCGAACTGCGCCCAGGCTCGGGATCTAAACTGAGGCAAAAAAGGCGTTGATCTAGCTAGTAAAGGATCAATGTGATAGTTTTGTGGTTCTATAATGGAACTATAGACTTGTAAACGTTTTAGAACTTGAGAAACAGCAACTATAACAACATAAATTAATTTTCCCGGCGCGAAAACAATGAATGCCAACAGTTTGGCATTGTATTTTAGACGGGCCGGGCCGGAAAAAAACCCAGGCCCGCGGCCCGGCCCGTTTGTCAATCTCCATTTTTGAGGCCGGCCGGCCCGTTTGGGCCGGCCCGGCCCGCTGACCACCCCTGCTCATAGTAACTCTTAAAAAACATTATGTTAACCATTTTTTGGAGCAGGAAAATACTGGGCAGAACTTGAGCAAACTGGCCCACTCTTAAAAAAAGACTAGAAGCTTGCGCCCGAACAATCCCGGTGCAAGAAATGTTACGATCAAGCTTGGGGTTAATTAGGTTAGCGCTTAGCAGGGGTGGTCAGTGGGCATTTTTCGGATTTCCGGCTCGTTAAAAGACCGGCCCGTCTTTTCTTTTCTAGGCTTGGCCAGTTTTGGGCGCGAGGTGTCGGATTTTATTGGAAAAAGTTGCTTTATAGAGGTACTTTGCGAACTGCTCCCCAATCCTAGGTAATATAGGCGTTGATCTTGCTGGTACGCGATTAGTATACTAGTTTTGTGGTTTTTAAGGTACGTCTGAAGTATCTGGCGACTCATAAAGTTTTATACGGGGGCAATCAGTTGACAGGTTTCACCGTAGAAAATTGCTTTTACTGTTTTCTTTTTTGGTCTTGCTGCCTCTAAAGTGTCAAAAAAAGTTATGAACTATAATACCTTATTTCAGATTTCTGTTTTTTGAAGAAATTTCAAATAGTGCTACATAGGGATATTTCTCAACCTTAAACGTCTTGCATTCTGTCGAATTTCACTCTGTACAATTTAGGTGAATTTTTGAGTAGGCCAGTTAGCGGTATTTTCCAAATACTAAAATATCGAGAAAGTTTGTTTCGTCTTTTCTTAGCCCGATTTTTTCCAGTGTTACTGCGTCAATGTTCGGTACAATATTTTTTTCTTTTTTGCGTTATATGGATTATAAGTGCTTATTTTTTCAGTTGGCCGATTGTCCCATGAGGTTGGATGGCAATACCAGGGAGTTATCGCCAAGCTTGAGGAGAAGAGAAAAGTCCGAAGTGCTGCTTTCTATGAGCAGAAGAAAGCCGAACTGAAATTGAGAGAGAAGGCTTCAGGAAATGTCGCCAAGAAGGTCGCCAAATACGACGAAATCTTGAAGCAGTACGGTCATGCCTAAATTTTGATTGTTTTTTGTTATAAAAGTTATAAAATGTTGTTTTGAATATTTGTTACGTGCCTCAGGGATTTTGGATCGAGTTCGGGCTTCAGGTTAAATCCATGTTATTGGTATAGGTGATTCGAGCTATAAAAGTGTTCAGATGATTCGTAGAAGTCGTTACCTTGAACATATTGGTGGTCTGGTGTCTATAAGAACCACTCCTGCTCTCAGTCCTTACTTTATTCTAGGAGAGATGGCGGATTTAGCCCTCAAAGAAAGGACGGTTGTGTTCTTTGCCAGTTATTCTATTTCTAAAGAGTCGTTCAGGTAAAAATTCAGTTTTTGTGTGTTTAAGTACAATATACACAGAGTAGCGTGTAACAAAGCTTCAATGCCGGCGAACCCAGAGAACCTTCGTTTTATCAACCCAGCGTCTTTCGACTTCAGTTCTTCTCTCTCCGAGACTATGATAAAGGTATTATAAATAGATTGTTCGAGAGCTTGAAAATTTTAGGGGTTAGAAAATGAAATTAAGCGGTTGAATGGTGAGAAATGTCTCGTCATTTTGGATAATATGATGGTCATTTGTGGACCGAACAGGAAAGACCAGATCATGTTTGTCCATAAGGTTCTTTCAATGATTACAAATGATTCTACGTTACTTTACACGCAGTGTTCCACTAGTGATTTACCCTTTGACCATGATAGTTGCATCTCCCTTAAACCTGTGGGATCGACATTCGGGAAGAAAGTCACGGGCATTGTAAGTGAGCTCTCCATGAAGTCTTACCTTTTAGTTGGAGGTAAAAGTGCTGGCTCCAATATTGGCTAAATCGAATATACTTAGGTGGCATTATTGCGTGGGCGAGAGATCTGTTCAGTTTTTCCACCCAGGAAACGCTGACATAATGTAAATATGTGTAAAGTTGTTTTATTCATTTTTTATTTATCCTTTTCTCAATAAATGTAAGGTGTGTACATTTTTTTTACTTTCTTATGCGTATTGTTGTTCTCAAGCAATCTACTGTTTCATTTATATAGAGACTAATTTGCAGTTTAGTTACAACAATGGCCAAAGTTCCCGAGTCGTTTTTTGGGACCTTCAAGCTGGAGAAGAGTGAAAACTTTGATGAGTATCTCGCGTCACGTGGAGTTAACTGGTTCATCAGAAAGATGATTCAAATGTCATCGATTACAAAAATTATTGCACCGGGACCTGAAGGAACCTACAACTTTTACAATAAGAGTAGTAAGACTGATCTAAAATACGAGAATGTAAAATTGGGTCAAGAGTTCGAAGACAAGGGATTTGATGGCGTTCAGCACAAGGTACCTTTTCTTGTCTTGGGTTTCGGCTGGGGGAGGTTTTCTTTCATTGGGCCCAATTTCCTTAATCAAATTTTTGGTTGAATAATTCGACTGTCAAGGTCAAGCTGTATTAAGTTTGCTTAAAAACACGAAGTCTTGGTAATTTCGATTTTTCATAGTTGTGAAAATTCGAATTTCCCACGTAAATTCAAATTTTTACCTTCGAAGTCCAATTTTCCGCATTCGATTAGGGACTTTGGCCCAGCATGACAAAAAAAAACGAGCAAGTGAATTTTCTGACATGCTTCCGGACGACCTGTTCGGACTTATTTTCTTCACTTTTGTATAATTAATGATTCTTCATTCAGATCACATTCGACATGGACGGGCCCGACGTTTTAACCGAAAAACACATCAGATTGGACCGCCCCGGAGAGCCAGGCGAAACATACCGATACACTTTGGAGGGAAACTATCTTATCCTGGTACGTGTAAGGAACATTAAAGTATGACTTTTAGGGACTGTCCAACGGCGATATTCTGGCCAAGCGATTCTTCAAAAAGACCGACTAAATTTGTTTGTTTTTGCGAATAAATAAAATATTTCACGGATGAGTGCCCCGATTTCTTAGCTTGTGATTGGAATGACCCTAGATCGGGTCCTGATCGATGGCCTTTCCCCTTACTTTATCTCTGCCATGCTCGTATAAACATAACGCTGGCCCCTCCCCGCCAACGGACACAGAGATTCGATCACCAGGCTTTATTTCCAGTTTTGCTCTTCTGACTGACAGCGGGATGAAGATAGCTTGTCTTGTTCTTCTGTTGGCTACTTTGGCCTATGCCAATAAAGAGTTTCCAGCTAAGTTTCTCGGATCCTGGACTGTTGCCCATGATGAGAATTTCGACGAGTATTTAACTGCTAAAGGTGAGCCTGGTATTTAACTGCTAAATGTTTCCTGTAGATAGCGGAAACAAGTATAATGATTACATTCAGAAATTTTTGTTTTGTCTTCGTCAATAAAGTTTTATTTTAGGATATGGATGGTTCATGAGAAAACTTGTTCGAATGGCCAGCATAACCAAAATCTTCGAGAAAGCAGCCGATCCAGGGAAGTACAACTGCAAGATCCGGACCACCAAGAAGAATGTGGACTGGCTGGGTTTTGAGATGGAAAAAACTTTTGTTGGGGAATATCTAGACGACGCTATGCACAACGTATGCCAAAACACTAACTTAGAAAATATAATATTCAAATTAAATAACTCTGTCTTTTCCAGATCACCTTCACCTATGACCAAGCAAAGGACACACTTTTCGAGAAGCACACTGATGCAACCAGTGAGAAGCCCACCATTTACGAGTATCAGATCGTGAAAGACGAACTCAAAATGAAAATGCAGCATGAAAATGTTATCTGTTACAGATACTACACTAAAAATAAGCCGGAATAAGGTCTTCGTTTGTTCGTTAAATAAACAATTTATCAATTTTACCACGATTATTAAATTTAGAATGATTATTTTGTGTAGTAAGAACATCAATGTTCATTAAAAAGACGCTGCAAACTTTCACTAAAACTCACCGTTGTTCATAGTGCATTTACGCCACAGATAATCTTTCTTTTTGTCAGCGTTAATATTACTGTATTTAAAAGAAATCTTGACACATGAGTCAAGTCTCCAACTATATTTTCCCTGCTAAAAAATACTTGAAAAGAAATTTGTGCAAGTATTTATTCGTGGTAACATAAAGATGGAAGTTCCGTTAGAATCAAGTAGGGCTAAGGACGAAAATTCTCCGCTTCATAATGTAAGGCTGCCTTTTCTTGACATCTATGTGTTTAGGACATAATTTGGGGACGAGAAGGTGTTGATTTTTCGCTGCCAAAGGAATCGACTTCTCAGTTATTTAAGAATGAGGAAACTTCACCTCAAGCAGAGAGTGCCATTCAGCAATGTGATGAACCCGGGGAGGAATCAGAAGGAGTTGTAAGTGACTAAAAGTTTGGGTTTGTTACTTACGTTTAGGCTGAAGAGTATGATCTTCGAACTGTTCTATTCTCGCAAGAGGTTGAGGCTGCTTTCTTCCAATCGCGACGGAAGATTTGTGGAGTTTCCGGGATTTTCAACATGGGGAATACCTGTTACATGAACTCAGCAGTGCAGGCATTAGCCCATTGTCCTCCATTGAGGGATTTCTTCTGTGTTTTGAGTGGAGGACCGAAGTTATCTGGAAGTTGTCCTCCAACCGATGCTATTGTCTCAGTGGCGTTTAGAGATTTGATGAATCGGTTATGGTCACCGACTAATTCGAATGCCATTCGCCCAACCGTTTTCTTATTTGTAGGACATACACCAACCTTTGTTGTGTTACCTTCCACTGGTATGAATTTTACTTTCAGAGGATTAGAGAAAAATGCGCTCAGTTTCGAGGCTTTTCTCAACAAGATGCTCAAGAATTCATTCGGTGTTTCTTGGATGTGCTGCATCAAGAACTCAAGTATGAAATGCCAAGGATTGAGAAAGATCCAACAAGACCCGGACATTCTCATTCATCTCTGAGTCATTCCAGCACAGAAGAGGAAAATATGGACAGTGGAATGAGTACTGAGAATGTATGGTTTTACAACTTAATGTGTATACTGTGGCTTAATGTGTATACTTAATGTGTATACTGTGGCTTTTATTGCAAATTATATTTTTAGGAATCCGTTTCCTCTGCAAATCAAGATTCCAAGGATAATCTAGTAGAAAAAGAAGGTGGGGTTTCTATGATGTGTCATGTTTCTGATTTAGAATTGAAAACGAAACCGCTTTATGAAAGCGTCGTCAATGTTGTATTCGACGGGCAGCTGGTTAGCACAGTAAAGTGCCTAACCTGTCAACACTTAAGTGAAACCAACGAAACCTTTCAAGTGAGTCTTATGGTAATTTTTATTTGATGTTTTAGGATATATCGTTGAGTATTCCTTCAACAGAGCAATTGGAGAAGATGAGGGAAGCTTTTGATGAACACAACAATGATGTCGGAAAGAGTAGGACGGGTGGAAATGAAGTTAGTTATGCCTACGTGAGTATAATTCGGCAAAATGGACAGATTGTTTGTTTTTTCAGTGGATATATGACTTGACTGCGCGGTGGTTAATCTGGCCGTGGTTCTCATGGATAAATTCATTTTATCGATATTTATTTACGGAATGTGTCTCTCTTGAGGATTGTCTCCGAGGATTCTTCGCGGCAGACTACCTTCGAGGAGAGGATATGTATAAATGTGAGAAGTGCAACAAGTAGGTCAATTTCTTTAATTTATATGGTTATTTTAAGCGCAAAGAATGTAAGCCTAAAAATTTTTGATAAGGAAGTTTCAATTCATAAATAACTAGGGTTGTTAAGTCGTCAACTTGGCACATTGGTCACGTTGTCAAATTGGCGTCATTTTCGTCATGTCAAATTTTTCTGTCATTTTGATGCCAAGTTGAATTTTCTTGGAAATTTTTTTACATTTTTGTAAAAAAATAGTGAGAATTAATTTTAAAACAACATAAATCATAATTTGGTTTTTTGTTTGTTTTTTATTTTTACTGTCGTCTAATAAAAAGTATGAGATAAAACGACAGATTCTGGGGATTAAGGCGAAAAAAGAATCTTAACGTCCAAAAATAATTCGGGCCAAAAAATGGCGCGTCCTTTGGTGGATTCTGAACCAGAATCTTATGCTGATTACAAGTATGAAATAAAATTGTTGCATTCGAGATTAAAAAAAGTACGATCGATTTTATTTACCATGTGATTTGGTATGTTACGACTATCCTAACGCTTTAATTTTTTGCAATTTTGAATTCTGCAGCCTCTATAACCTTTGTATACAGGATCTCAATTAGTTTACTCCACTTCTGAAGTCACTAAAGCCATTATAAAGTCCAAAAAACGAGTATGTGAATGTGTGCCTTAAGGGCGCATTTGACAAAAATATTTTGGGGATGTGTTTTCGAGGGTTCTACCATCAAAGTCATATCCAAAAATTTAAAAAAAATTTTATAGTGCCAGTTAACCAAGGATCGTCTTTTTATAGCTGTGTATATTTATATATTTGGTATTTTTAGACTTCGCAACGGAGTCAAATTCTGCAAAATAAATGCCTTCCCGAATGTTTTATGCATACATCTGAAGAGGTTCCGGCACGACAGTTTATATAATAGTAAAATAAACACAAGGATTACATTCCCGCTGGTGGATCTTGATCTAACTTCATTTATGGATCCAGATGCCGACGATCAAAAGAAATATGTCTACGATTTGCTATCGGTTGTTTCGCATCGTGGAAGTTCAGTCGATTGTAAGTTTTCTTCTTTATATACAGGGTGATTCAAAAAAAGGACATATCCCTTCTTCGATTTTCCTTGGATTGGAACCAGAGATTGCCACGGCCAAAAACGTGCAATCTCTGGCGGCTCCGGAAACTTAACTGTTTCGGTTTTTTTGACTATATAAATGTGTGTTATTGAGCTTTCGTGGTTTTGTTAGAAAACAATGACACGATTTGAAAATAACCAATAACATTACGAACGTTTTTGAGCCAAGTCGTACGCAACACATTCTCCTCAGTATTTTGAAAGCAATTGGTTTAACAAGATCACGAAATTTTTACTTTTCCGAACGCTGAGAAGCCCGGCTCCGACTTTGGGCTCCGGAGCCGTTGCAACCTCTGATTGCCGACATACGTTGCTTTAAAAGAGTTTTTTACAATTTGAAGATGCCCCGGGCATTTCCAAAAAACGGCTGTCTGAGAATCTTTTGATGTTTTGCATGGTTGTTGTACTAAACATTAGCCCGAATTTTCATTTACGGAAATTGCGGCGATTACGACAGATGAAATTGATTTGGTACGTAAGGTTTAGCCAGGATTAAAAAAACTGGGACCGCGTTGGCAATAAACCTTTCAAATTTTTCGACTTGCCTCTAGCTTATTAGAAAATTTCACAGTTGTTTGTGGAGAAACCTTTCCCCCAACCTTGCAGATTTTCAAAAAAACCCTCCGGGTTTCAATGCTTAGAAGTGGAGTTTTTTTTTAAGTTTTCTTGGTTTTAAACGATTCTACGCAAAATTCTTATGTCTGGACCTGTAACTCTGTACCAAATTCAAGTGCTTTCCTTATGAAATGCCGGGTCAACGCATCCATTACCGCGGGGAAATGTGCGTATGCTTTCTGGGAGAAATGCGCCATTTGGCACCAATGTACACTAATGTACTATTTGTGCCAAAAAATTATTTTGGGAAATTTCCCCAATTTGGAAAAAAGTTGAAAAAACCCAAAAATTTTTAAAGTTTTTTGCGACAAAATTACAACCCCACTTACGAATTTGATTAATTAGCTTAATTAAGACACTGATTGCCAATAAATAATGTTTAGTTACGTTGCCTGGGGCTTCAATAACGTCGGTTAAGTAGCCGGGAATACTCTGGGGAGCTTTTTTAACGTCTTCTGGCTAATATTGTTCCAGAATCGGAAAACTACAGTTTTCGGCTCAGATAGACCGTTCAGACAGAGTTGCGAGGAATTATTTATCTGACTAACTCAGAAGCCTGTAACACATCTAAACGTTCTACCAAAAAAAGTAAACCCAGGCCCGCGGCCCATTTGTCAAATTTCCGTTTTTGGCCAGTCAAAGTAGCAAGAATATGGGCTGGCCTTGAAATGACTGCGGGGTTATTTTGGTGGGATCGACGGACTCCAAAATTTGTCCGGTTTTTTTTTTGAATCACCCTGTAATATGCCTTTAGTTGGTCACTATGTGGCATATTGTCTGAACGATGTGGATGGGAACTGGTATGAATACGACGATTCATTCGTCCGCCAGATATCCGAGGATGAGGTCCTCAACTGTGAAGCATACGTTCTCTTCTACCAAAAACGGGAATGGTCGGACGAAGGAGGTCTGGAGATGGACCAGTAATAATGACAGACCCATCCAGTCAAGTCCATATCGATTATATCGTGATACATTGTATCATCAGAAGTGCCTAATAAATTGTAATGTAAATGTTTATTGGACTGGAATTAGACCTCCACAGAAGGTTGTTCAGTGCCTCGGACATTTGAATAAGTGTTGTATTACATCAGAATATTTATAGATATTTAGATTTGAAAGCCCGTTGTTATTTGTTTGATCACTCAAGAGGATATAATATGCAAGACGAACAATAAAAATCTGTCTGAGATGATTTCTGGGGAAATTTATATACATCGGACAAGAAAAGAGGTACGTTGTATGTCAGACAATCGATGGCCTGACAAACGTTCTGCCTAATATAGGCGATTAATGCACGTTGATATCCATACTTTGATTTGGTTCGTATAATTCCTTGTAGAGTAGAGGCTCCACGACCTCATCACTCCAAGAACAAACGGAAATGTTCCCATTCGCTGTGCTGGCTTGTGAAAGAGACACGTCGTTCAGACATTTGAGGATAGAAATATTTTTGTTGATCCCATTGAACTCGGCTTTACATTGCTCTCTATTGCTTCCACAGACGGTAAAGAGTATTCTGAAAAATTAATAGTTCTTAACTTGCTTCTAAGATTACCTCCTTAGAGCTCTGGTGCATTTAGAATTCTGAAGTTGTACTAGAGCGCGGTTTTCGAGTTCAGGGGTGTCCGGATCGAACATGACAATCACACTTAACAACAACATAATGCTCTCATTAGTCCTCCATTCCTCCCTCAGTGAATTGTAGAATTGGATAACTGTATTTGAAATCAGAGTATTCTGTTGTAAAGAGTTGTCATTCATTGTCATCGCTGATCTTATAGCAAAATGAGATGTACATCCATGTTTGAGGATAACCGTCTGATCACTTTTACTCAGACGTCTGAAGGTTTGTAATCCTCCCATCATACGAATCAGCCTTCTCAAGGCTACATCCGTGGCAGTTCCGGACTCCATAGAGTGGTCGGATGCCCAGAATAGATTGGACTGGAGGATCTCATTCAGGACCGCCCGATCTTCTTCATCCAAATTATTGTACTCAATTTCATCACGGTTCGAATTGCCGGTTTCCATGAGTTCATCCGATTTGGATTCGACTGAACTGCTTTCGAGAAGGTCTGCCATCACTTTGTCGACTATTAAAATGTCGTTTGGATACCGTCCACATTGACATCGACAGTTGCACTTTAGTGGCGGATTACCACTGGCTTGATTAACTTCGATATTCTTCTCAACTAACTTGATTAATAAGTTTTTAGGAACCGCAATCAACTCCTGAAAAAATAAATTTGATAATGTACTCAAGCAATTGCGTAGAATCTTACATTTGAAGTTGTGACTGGAGGGGAAACTACAGCTTCGTTGATAGTTGGGAGAGAGGGTGGTGTCCCATTCATTTGATTCACCAACGGTGGGTGGGGGATCGGGAGGATTGTGGACTGGTTGTTCAAAACAGACGGTGTATTTAAAACAGCGCTGTTGTTGATGACTGCATTGTTCATAACGGAGCCGTTGTTAAGAACGGATGGAGTCAACTGAGTCTGTGGCGCCGTGGCTGCTGCTTGCAATACGGCCACGGCTTGTTGTTGAACAAGATCAGCCGCCGTTTGAGGATTCATGACTGAACCCGGATTCCCTGCACCCATGGCGGTTGCAGCTGCCGCGACCGCCGCTGCTAATTGGACTTGTTGTTGTTGCTGTTGATGGGCCACTATTTGCTGCGCTGCTTGATGTGCAGCTGCTTGTTGTTGGTGTGCCACCATCTGATTAACTGCTTGCTGTTGCATATGTTCAATTTGAACCTGTTGTTGTAAAGCCTGAACAGCTTGAGCAGCTTGTTGGACTTGAGCGATCTGATTCTGATGGGCTTGGACGATTTGTTGTGGTGTGGAGTTGTAATTAGTTTGGTTTACCGCATTCGTCATCGGCTCCGACATGTTGTTGGAGACCAGTAAGGATGGTGGTCGCGTTGCGGCGACAGCGGCAGCAATCTGTTGGTTTACATCCGCTTGGGCTGAGGCTGCAGCTGCTGCGAGAATTTGAGCACTGGAATGGATGTATTGCTTGTTTGTCAATGAATAAAATAAATGATCTTATCAGTAATTCGACTTACTTTTGAACCTGCTGAGCATGCAAAACCGTCTGTGCGAGGCTCGGTTGGGTCAATTGTTCCGGGGCAGCTGGCACAGGGGGTAAAACCATGACCTGTGGTGGTAATATAGCGGATGGAAGCACGTTGGAAGGCAGATTACCAAGTGCCATTGGAGCCGGAACAACATTGTTGAGCTCAGCTCTTTCGTCCTGAGACTTCTCGGCCATCCTTCTCTCCCGATTGTCCTGAATCCTCTGCTTTTTCTCTAACCGCGCTTCGTCACTCATAATCCATTCTTTCTTCATTCCCACCTTAAAACACTTTTGTAGACGACATCTCTGACAAAACCTTCTTGATACGATATTTATGTCACAATTCTCGTTAAAAGGGCATCGGATTTCCTGGAAGAATTAATTAACGAATTACATTCTGAAATGCCGTCAGTTCTCACCTTTTCTTTGTTCGCATTTCTTCGGAAGAAAGCCTTGCAACTTTCGCAGGTGATAACATTAAAGTTGTAACTGTAGGCCTTATCCCCACAAACTCTGCAGATCTTGGTTGCTGTTCTTTTCTCCCCATTTCCTTGTTGGAGTGTACCGGCGTTGGAGAATGTCCGTTTTCTAGTCGACGGATCCAACGATCCATCGTTGGCTTCTCTTTTTCGGTTTGCGGCATTATTCAAGAAGCATTGGTTGGGTACGCTTGAAGATACCATACCTGAAATTATCCAATAGTTATTTTTAATCATTGGTCAGACGATTGCAACAGGTAAATCTTACGGGAATCTTGGGAGTCTTCCGTTCCATCAAGCCGTATTGATGAGAACTCAGAAAGCGAATCTCTGGATACTTCGTCATCGTCGTCAATACCTTAATTTTGAGTTGTTAGAAGTCATAACGAAGGTCATATAACAAGGAAACGTAACAAACTGACTTCGGGGACTATTCTGACTAGAAGGCGATCTCGAGCCTTCGTCGCTGGATCCAAGGCTTTCGTGACTGTCACGTCGCTGCGATTGGGAAGGACCGATTTCTTTCATGAATACGGTTGAGGAGGACGGCCGAGAATTATGGATCGAGTACGACAAGGGCGACCGAATATTACGCGAACACTCTTGTATGGATTCAGGTGTTCAGGCCCAATGGCGAAGATACGGACTGAGCGTTTTGTTTGATTTCGCGCACCGAAATCCTCGCGGTGCATCCAAAAAACGGTTCCAAACTGAAACCTCTACATTAACAACTGAGGCTATTCAGGTTATTGTGGATCGACACGCGTCTAGTGACCTCAGAACGACCTCAGCTCAAGTTGTACCGAAGATGATTTGGAAAGGACGGGTTTGTGGAAAAGTCGTTGCACTCTATGTTCTCAATACGTTGGCGACAAAAAAGGCACCGGCTAATTTTGTCACTCTCACTGCCAGCCTCTTCATCAGCCGATACTCTCTCTTCACGCACTCTCTTGATTGATAAAAAGGGAGCGACCCCTTGCGGATGAGAGAATTTTTATCGCATCGGTTATGAAGCGATGTTGACGAGAGAGAGCGATGAAAGAACAGAAACGAGAAGACGATCACTCTTTAAGGGGTAGGGCATATAAATAGATCATTGATTGGATATAAAATGACACTCCACAACCTGGGCAGTGCGTGTTTTCCGAAACGGAAAGCAGAAATTATTGTGACACGACTCCAGAACAGACGTCCTCGTGACTAGAAAGGAAACGAAAATAATTAAAATGATGCTCGCAATATGTTTTAAGCATGTAAAGACAAAAGCGGTTGACAAAAAAACAGTTTAAAAGTAATAATGCCAGTTTCGGAGGGCTCTGTTTTCCCCGACATCCTTAAGGTGCAAAAATCCCCGGCTCCGGTGTCACATGCACCGTACGGGTTTCCGCGGGAAAAAGGTGCATCCCTCCTTGCCTCAGGGCGCTCTCTTCCCGACCCCAAATCACGCGGCCTTCTGTTGTGCTCCTGATCGCACTCTACGCACTCTTTTTTCGGCTGACTTGCACCAGACTCTAGAGAGAAGGTTGGAGAAAAACGGAGTGGGAGGGTCACGTTGTTTTCTATTTGTCTCGAGCGATTTCTGCGTCTTAGAATTCTCCAGGTGAAGGATAACACCGAAGGATAAAATCCAGAACCTATTTGCTTCTACTTGGAACAAAAAAGTCTGCGGGATGGATGCCAGCCAACCAAAAACCTACAAACATTTTTATGGCTTTTATCCTCCCAAATTGTTTGAAGGACGTGGTGTAAGATGGGTCCCCCTCGCATGCAAATAGAGCTGTCCCACCTGCCGTCGAAACCCCCCGTTTCGTAGTTATTTTTTGCTGGCGAATGCACTTAAAAAACCCCATCGCTCTAACCCCGTCTTTTTATGCGCCGTCCGTCTTGGTCGCCAGACACGTGCCCTCAAGCGTTTTAAGTGCAAATGACGAGAGTGTGTGGGGAAGGGAGAGATGCGTAAACAGGAACGTTGTGTCTACGTCCAACCAAACATCATTTTGGCCATTGCCGTCTGGCCTACTGGGCGCGTGCACACACCGACACTGGGTGCAGCCGTCCGTATTTTGTTCTTACATTGGGTGGGAAAGGAATGCGCACTCATTCCAATGCGATCTAACTTCGGAATGACTCGTTGATCAATCCCGCCACTTTTTTTAGAGAAAAAACATATGATCGGAAAGCAGGTTTAATCAGTGAAAATAATCGAATTAAGAGTTCGTGGACTTGAAGCCAGGAACTCCCATCTTGGCCAGCGTTTCATTCAAAGTGTAGGCCATATTGTAATGATGACGAGCAGAGACTTCGAACCACTAGAAAAAGATGACTTTGAAGGCAGACAACTTGCACTTACATCAAGGATTTCTCTCTCATGGACTAACCGATCAGTCCCAAGATTATCGCAGGACAAGGCCAGTTTCCCGGCCAGCTCGTCAAATTCATGAACGGCTTGTTCATAGATTCTCCCTCGCTGTTCCACCTGTTCCGTTGTCCGGGCTTGTTTCACCTGCAAATATGAATTGAGAAGAACTGTCAGCCAATAATGTATGTTTAGCTGGAAACGGTACTATTACCATCCCCTTGCAGTCAAACAGTGCGGGTCGTAATTATAACTGCACTTTAAAAACGATCGTAACGTTTGTGGTTGTCAATAGAAATGTGTCATATTTGGCACTAATATGCATCAGTGTACTAGAAATGATGTGCCAAAAGATCATTTTGAAAAGTTTCCGTATTTTGGAAAAAGCTGTAAAAACAAAATTTTGGTACTTTTCTTTGTCGCGAAATTATAACCGCACTCGCGAATTTGGGGTATTAGCCTAATGAAAACACGGGATATCAATCACTGATGTATAGTTACGCTTCCTGAGGCTCAACAACGCCCATCACACGACTGGGAACCCCCTGGGAAAACTTTCTAAACGTATCCTGACCAATCTTGTCCCTAAGTCGGAAAACGGCTTTTCTTAATTCGGTTACGGTAGAACATTGCTTGAGGTATAATTCACGAAACAGGGCGCCCCACAAGTTTTTCATCGGATTTTATCCAGAGAACAATCGAACGAGCATATGGCAGCACTGCCTTGCTGTTAAAAGAACTGTTTTGTCGACCTGCCATGGTTGACATGAGCATTCTCGAGCATGAAAGTGTAGCCAGTTTGCCAGTACGGTACCAGATGTTTGCATAAGTCTTCTTGGAACTTAAGGATATTCATTTGAGTTGCTGCGGCCGTCAATTCTAATGTCATGCCAGTAGTATGTAAAACCGTCATGACGCGGCAGAACCATCTCACAACCATGCAATCTGCAAGGAATGTGGCACTGCAACGGCCAAATGTCGGTTTCACCGACCCTTGCAGAATCAACCTGTTTTGTCAGTGTCTTCTTACATGGGAATGCACTTTAGGTGTAAATCGCTTTTTGAACCGGATGTCGTGCAAATTGATCGGTTAAGACTTATATATCATCCCCAAAGGGGAAATCTCTGCGCGACCCCTGAGGGATAGATATGTACCCACGAAGCGGGGTATTTTCGGATATTTATGGCAATCTTCAAAGTGCTTTTGCAGTCAAAAAGTTTAAAAAAATATGGAATTTGGTCATAAAAAAATCAATGAATGTTGACATTTTGTCATAATTTGTTTTTTCCGTTCGAAACTTTGTTTTGAGGTCGAAACCTAGTTAGCCAGTTGCCGGAGTCGGAAGATGAAAGGGAAAAATCCAAATCTGACTGCGAAGTATTGGATTACTATACTTTTTCGTTGTTAAAGTACTAGTTTTGTTTGTTGTAGCTGGGAAAATAAATAATATCACTCCAAACGTGATTAAGTTAATGAATGAGGCACAAACGACTTCATTTTGGTACTAGTCGCGCCATAAAGTCCTGACACATTTTGTCGCGGGTGTCGCGCGAGAAAATTAGAGTGGCTCGCGCGAAAGTGCATGTCGCTAGTGCAAAAACGGGGAATTGCCGCGACGGGTCCGAAAGAAAAACAAAAATGCACTGTGCAAATTTCTCAGGACTTTATGTCGCGGCTAGTACAATATCGGGCTAATTTTTTAAATACCCCAATATACCCTAGATTTCGGGTGTATACCGGGAATATACCCGGGTATATACCCGCGTGGTGAATATACCCGAATTTTCCGAACCCTACTCAAAAATATGAAAAAATTTTGTTTTATCCTGATTTAAAAAATTAAAATCCAACAATGGCAAAAAATCACCGCAAGTCTGCTTTCATCTATACCACTTCAAACCTCGACAAATTTGAAACCGTTTTGAACGTGTGTAAAGTTAAGCCAAGATTAAATCGAGGTGTATTGTATTCCCAACATTCAAGGGTCGAAGGCTACATCCTAGAACAAAAGTGTCAATTAAAAAAGTGTTCAACTTTAGAAACAATGAAATTTTGATTATGAGTACTATCGTAACCCCCTATACGGTAATTTACGAAATAAAAATTCGTGTCGACATCCAGCCATTATAGTAGTACAGTAGTTGCCAAAAAACTGTCAATTTTTTTGTTCTTCGTGTAACTCTGCTCACCGTGGATGGATTTAAACGAAACAAATTCTCTCCAAAAATTTTACATCGACAGTTGTTACACACTAAGATGTAAAATCGCTCCAGTCGCTACACCATTACGTAACAGCTTAATTCTCTACAGAATGTTACTTGTTTCGTTAAAATCCATTCACGGTGAGCAGAGTTACACAAAGAACAAAAAAATTGACAGTGTTTTGGCAGTTACTGTATGTACAACAACTATGCTAAATATCAAAAGATTCTGAGTTGGTCGTTTTTTCGAAATGTCTGGGCCGTCCTTCGAGGTGTAAAAAAACTCTCTTTTAAAGGTTTCTGGGTTGGCCAGTTCGGCGACTTAGGATGAACTAGACTTGGCTCTCGGGCCGGCCCGGCCCGTTTCAATTTTTCTTCGGCCCGGCCCGGCCCAGCCCGCGGCCCGGCCCGAAAATTGAGAAGAAGTAAAATACCTTAATTCGCTATTAGATATGACATATTTTTCTTTACTATAGCTATAGCAACTAACAGTACATTTTTAAAGCAAAAAATTACTTACCAACGCATTGCCTTTTTAAAATTAATCAAAAAATTCCCGAGATCCGTTTTCAGACTATTAAAAATTGCCCCAAGACCAATTTTACAGATTCAGCAAGGGTGGAACCACGTTTAACAAGGTTTTCAACTTCAAGATGATAGTGTTGCTTCACACGACTTCTTAATTGTTTTTTTAAGGATGTCGGTTACGTTTATTTTGAGTTTTTGTTCAAAAAAATTACTACAAACACTAGTATACATTAGTACTTAATAGATTTTACTAGTAAAATTACTTATTATTAGCCATTTTTCAGTACTTCCGTGCTTTATTTTTATAAAATTACGCTTACTGTGAGAAAAATATACACAGGGGACTCGGATTTACTTATAAGTAAAATTTTTTACTTATATTTACCAATAACTTACATATAAGTTAAAAAAGGCGGGGCTTATTTATTTTTACTTATATTTACGTTTATTTACTTATATTTACAAATAGCGGTACTTATATGTAAAAAACGGCGGAGCTCGTTCATTTTTACTTATATGTACATATATGAGCCTCGAAAAGAAAACTTTTGAACGTCAAAGACGCTTTTTGGTTTCTGCACGCGTTGGCCGGACTTAGAAAAATTCTAAGTTTTTGGAGCGTCAAAGACGTATCTCAACCTTGGATCGAATAAAGTAAGTTGCTTGTAGTCAGTTTTTTTTTTTACAGGGTAACAGAGTGCTCGGATCAAAAGTTGCGAACGCGAGAACCTTCCCGAGCATGGAGCATGTCAACGTCAAACTTCACGCAGTTCCCAAAAATCTATGAACAAGCACTATGAGGAAAGAATTTGGATGAACACTGTGTGCTCAAACTTGGTAGGTGTTTTTTAACTGTTTTCACATTTCATAAAACCAAAGATTTTTCCAGACATAGTTCTGCTATGTTGTACTAGGTCCAGGTGAAGCCTCTAGGTTTCAGATTATCGAAAAATTGGTCGTGTAGGGTAGTAAATGGACAATGTACACACGATCCCGGAAAAATGGCACTCGGATGATTCAGGTATGTTGAGAATATTCACCTGGACCTAGTGCAACATGACAAACTTGGTGAACCTAAAACTAATTTTTTTTCGGGGTGGAGAAGCACAAACAATTGAGAAGGGCTTATAGTAAATATCGTCGAACGACCTTATCTTCTTTATTTTTTACTATTTTCAGTGGATCCAGACGCAGAAATCCCCATAGAAGGTCCCACAAATGATACCTCACAAGGACAAAAACAGATGAGAAACCTATCCGGAGCACACAAGATGCGTTATCCACATGTATTTGTTGTTTCTGAGAATCGAAATAAACGTTTATAATATAATCTGCACTGTGCGTAATTCTGGGTTACAAATAAGTAAAACATCCTTATTGGTAAATATAAGTAAAAAATCCTTATTTGTAAATATAAGTAAATTTGGAGCGCGTCGAAAATAAAGTTTACATATAAGTAATTTCAGAATTACTTATATGTACGATTATTTACTTATATGTACGTTTATTTACTTATATAAACTTCAATTTCATATAAGTAAAAAAGACGTACATACACGGTGCGCCAAAAATATTGGGACAAAAATCAATTCCGTGTAGCTTTTTTCGGCTGGCCTTGGAATCAAAACTTTTGACCGTTTTAGCAAGGGTAACAGTCTTGCTATACGGCAACGGTAATGCCAGGGTTGGGGCCTATTGCAAACTTGAAAAAATAGTCAAAAGCTTTTGGGGGACCAAAATTTTCTTTTCAAGTGGATGACCGGGAAATCAATTTGGCCATTATTTCCGCTAAGGGAAAGTAAGATCCTTCAAATTTATTGTGTTTAAAGCACATGCTATTCACTTTGTAACAACGTATGTAATCATGGTTGACACCGATATGGCGGCGCTGGTCGAAAAAACAAAAAAAAATCCCGAAAGTTTGGATTTTTATGTTTTTAGCGATCTCAATACCACAGTATCGCCCGTGTTGCTCTAAAATTTTGTGGTTATAGAGTGTGTACATAAGGAATTGTCATACTCTAAAATAAAATCTACACCTACAAGGGGACAGTTTCTGTATGGAAAAAACTTTATGGTGCGGATTGGAGGCACGGTCCTTCGAAGCTTGATATATTTTGGCAGTTTACTACAAGTTGAAAAGTACTTGAGCGTAAAAATCGACGTAACGCTATACTCGGGATACATGCTGACACAACTGAATTACTTTTAGCGATCTTCAGTCCAAGCTCACTTGACGAGCAACCTTAGAGTAAATTCTACCGCTATAGTCACTATTTCATCCCCCAGAGGCAGAAGATAAAAAAATAATTTTTCAAAGACGACTAGTCAGACTCTCGTTGTCCTTATAAAAGTATCTCTGATGTCTAATACGCTGGGAACCTTACATGGAAACTTCTACATAAAAATCTTTGATCTTACGGAAGTTTTCTGGAAAACGGCGCGTTTTTAGGCCGACTTTGACGGGCTGTAAAAGATGTAATCGTCGTTATTCGGAAAGATCATTTTTAGTGTATAAAAAGCGACCGCTACTCTGTCATATAAAGTGAATTTCTGCCATAGCATGCAACGGTAAAACTAGTGTTTCCAATTTTTATCCATTTTGGGGTCCGTGTCTCAGGGGCCTTAGTTGTGAGCACTTATAATGGCAGAACAGGTGTCGTATACGACTACTCTGTCTGAAACTTTGAAGATAGATTCTTGGGAGCATTGCACGTTTGCACAAGCGACCACTTTGCTCTTGTACCATTACAGCCCGCAGGGCAAGTAAAAATATGAGTCCCAATATTTTTGGCGCACCCTGTATAAGTAAATCCGAGTTCCCTGTGTAAACCCCCTTCTTGGCTTTGCGTTTTAATTTTATTGGCAACCCAACTTTTCGCTTTGAAATTCAGAATTTTAATTTTGCCGGGCCGGCCCGGGCCGAAAGTTGCGGCCCGGCCCGCGGGCCGGAACAGGTCGGCCCGGCCCGGCCCGTTTCAATTTTGCTTTGGCCCGGCCCGGCCTGGCCCAAACACCGGCCCGGCCCGGGCACATCGTTCTTTCGTAATTGGAAAATGTTTTTTTAACGGGGCGGCGCTATTATTGATTGAAAAAAAGAGAGAAGAAGCGCCGAAAATTCTAATTTACCACAACCTAATTTACGCAAAAACCATCGGCACACATACTCATTGAATGATATTTTCTGAAATTTCGATGGACTAAGCTCCTTTAAGAATCAACATGACATCTGTTATCATCTTAGCCTTTCCATATTCATCTAAAACATCATGGGTGTTTCTGTTAAAGATTCGGTTATATCTCGCAGTTCCAACGAAACATGGGTATACCCGATATGCCAGTTGATGCAGAAGAATTCAGAGAAAATATGTGTTCAGTTTCAGAATTTTCTGTACGCGAATTTTTTTTCAATCCCCGGATTATGTTATACTAAGAGGTGGTATCGCCGAATATCAAATTAATAAGATTATTAGTATTGTTGACGCTTCTTAAATATATATTCATGTATTTTTTGTTAAATATGACGCTATTTATGCTGTTACACATCACTTTATGCATGTGGCCACAACAAAAGGAAAATTATAGAAAATGCACAATGCCACATTTTTTTGGCAAAAAATGTTTTTGTGGTGCAACCGACAAAAATTTTTAGCTTCGCAAGCCAAAAAAATTTTTAAGGCATTACGCCAAAAGCTTGTTTTTCGTCGCGATACAAACCATAATTAGCAGAAAAAAACGACGTGCCGGGCCGGCCTAGCCCGGCAGCCAAGTCTAGGATGAACGGTCTTCCTGAGCGGTTTCCGATTTATGGGCAAGATTGGGTAGGATGCGTTAAAAAAAACTTGACCAAGATGTTCCCGGTCGTTTGGTCGAGGCTATTGAAGCCTCAGGGAACGTAACTAAACATTACTTGTTGTTATTCTGTGTTTTAGGCTAATGAACTAAGTGGGGACCCGAAGGGACCCTCTATTTTATGATTGTACTTGTTATTGCAATATGCCAAAGATTAATATAGGAATCTTCTTGGGCTTTTATGCGTCTTCCTTACTTCATGTCTGGCTGCATCCATGACATCTCTCGCATTGATCAGCTGTTCATGGTTGGCTATGAATTCCTTGTATTCGGTGGCCACAAAACGGCGAAGACGACGGATCGATCGTCGGCCTTTCACTTGGCCATCTCGATGAAGAATTGCCATTCGCTTCAGGATGGCCTCCACATTCATTGTTTGTTGCTGTAAACTGGAATTCGTTGAAAGGGAGTGTACTATAAGTACGCCTCTAATCAGCTTAACCCAACTATTTATAAATATATAAGAGCTGTAAGAGGATACTGTCAGATAACTTTTAGGCGTACGAGCACGTGCTTTTTGATAAACGCAAGAGATTTTGTAGATAAACGCGGAAATTGTTGGGTACAAAAAGGTCAAAAAGGTCCGCCAATTAGGATGGTCAACGCTTGCTCGGCGAACTTTTTCGGCACGAGCAGAAACAGTACTCACCAGTCGCTCTCTGGGGACATGGTCTCTCATATGTTTGACTGCCTTTCCGAACAGTTCGATGGGGTCTTTCTTATGCTCACACTCAATCTTCTGAGTTTGCAAAATCTCGGGATTCATTTGTAGTACACCTAAAAGGCGTGGTCATTACTCACATCAGTTCAAATTCATTAAACACGGCTTTGATTAGCTATACTTCACCTTCTAATCCTTCAACCACATTGTCAGCGACATCTTGATATTTACTGTACTTTTCAAGTTCAGTTATGAATTCCGGAGCCAATCTGGTCTGTTCGACAATCCCGACCTTCTCTCCGACCTTCAAGAACAACCCACCCACCAGTCCTCGCTTCTTCTTCTTCTCAGCCAAGGCCCGGGCGGCTGTCTCAGCTGGATCACCTGTATCTTGGGGGGAGTTTGATTCCTTCATCGGTAAAAAACACGACCGAATGAACGCCGGATACACAATGAAATGAAGCTGCCGAAAACAATAATAAACTTTATAAATGAAACGATTATTATTTTACACACATGAAACAAGGATCTCCAGACTCAGGGTTCTAGTATGATATAAGTGAATACATTAGGGACGTCAGCGGGAGATTACTTCCCCACATCACCAAGCCGATCCAAGGTCCCGAAGTTCTTTAGAATGTGGTTGACGACCTCAGCGTTGTTGCGCTTAGCCATAGGCCGAAGGGCCAGGCGTTCTTCTCCGTCGTCCATGTCTTCTTGCTAGAGAAAAAAAACTGGTTACAAGCTATGATAACATGGATATACCTGTACGTCATACCGTCGGACCATTGGATGAAAAAGAACTGCAGGCTGATAACGATCAAGGAATTGCCTGATCAGTTGGGTGTCTTGGATGACCAAAGAAGTGTGAGGGGGGAAAGGAAGGGCGTCTGATTTGGATGTCATTACCGTCACTGTGATAGTCATCAACACAACAAAGCTTGAGACCAGAGACTGCATTTTGCCGAGGAGAGAAGGCACTGCTCTGAAGTAATCACTACAAATAAGCCTTCAGGATAAATAGAGCATCATTAGCACACGTAATTTGATTCTGGCCTTGGAAACCGATCCGTCAGATGCCGAACCCTCCCTCTTCCCGCCAGTGCTGGGGCGTAGTATGGTAATCGCTTGCTAAGCCAATTATAAGAAGGTATGACCCACCCACGATTAAATCCCTATATTAAAATACATGATTGCATGCATCCCTAATCTCGACTGAGTAAAACCACGCAAAATTAAGACGTCTTTATGAGCATAAGAACACCCCCGACCGAATATCTTTCCTAATCCTTAATATTAAAATTAACAAATACATTTACGAAACACTACGGTAATTTATTACAGGCATCGCTCATGAGAGACACACCCGCTGAATGGTCGAGTCTTTGGTTTCCGGCATTTAATTAAGACTGAGCTTGCAAGGCCAGTCGATGCCTGAAGCCGGATCCATTTACAAGCCAGATTGCCTCCAAATGAGGGTTGATGACTCTTTTCCGGTCAATTCTTGACGTCTGCAGAAATGACGTAAACTAAAAACATCAGAAACTGGGAATTTTTATCATGATATGACTTGGCACTCCAATTAATTCCGAAATACATTCTGTTTATTTTATTGAGACACATCTTGCTTAAAAAATTTACATTTCTTTAGGTTACGTTGAGAAGTTGTTGCCTCAATGCTTGAACTTTGATTCGCTCCTCCTCGTCCAAACAGGCGATGTCCTCGGGTGACAACTGCATTACACGGATAAGCAACTGTGCTTGTTGTTCATCGTCATTGATTGCAGCGTTGGATGCGGCAGCCGATGTGACCACAGGACCAGGGATAGGCGATACTTGAACCGGAGGTCCTCCATACCGATGAGGAGCAGAAGAACTTGGAGGGCCTCCAAAGGGAATGTTACGAGGCGGTGGCATTGGTGGATTGTACGGCACAGGAGGAGGTCCCACGTACACATTTGAACCTAAAACGCTACAATTTATCACGAATGGAGAAAGGTCATACCTCCATTGTTGATACCCGGCATTTTGTGGAACGGCTGTTGAGTTACTGGGGTCTCTCTGTGCAACATCGTGTAAGCCACTTTAGGATCCACTACTCTCATCACAACTTGAGCCTAAACCTGACCATATCAAAAAGCTTCTCAACAAACTGACCTGAAGTAAAGCATATGCCAGCTGTGGATTCTCTGATAAAAATTGTCGAAGCTGAGATGGATTTGAGGTTACTGTGTGCTTCATCTGTTTCATCAATTCAAACATTTGTTCGGGAGGAAGAGAAGCTACTGTCTTTGCAATGGCTTCAGGCGCTTTGCCATGCTCAGTCTCCTTTCCGTAGATGTTTTCCTCCACGCGAGTGAATTGCTCCTTGGCGGCTTGAACGGCAGCCTGCATTTGTTGAGTCTAAAATAAAATCGTTATTAGAAATATCAACAAAAAGAACATTCCCTTCAACGCGTAAGCTTACTTCTTCGACGTTTCTATCACTCGCGGATGCTGAATCTACTCTTAGAGCTCTCCCATGTAGTTCATAACCCTGGAAGTGCCTGATTGCGGCATCCGCCATCGGAGGTTCTGTGAATTCACAGAATCCAAAACCTTTTGGCCTTCCGGTATCTCTGTCGTGGACTAATCGAAAGTGCACAATATTTCCGACACGCGAGAAGAGTTGCTTGATTTCTTCTTCAGTTACGTCGTAGGAGATGTTTCCAACTAAAATAAAACAAATAATGACGAAAAAACTTACCAAACACTGATCGGGCATTATGTTCGAGCTTAGAGTTGAGTTTCTGCTGAAACTGTGACATCTTTCCGTACTCTTGATATTCATCCATGATGCACAACTTATACCAAAAAAAGAACCATCAAATTTAGGGCGCAGCTTGCCAGATTTAAAATTCGCGCGTAGTTTTCTACGTGCTAATTATGGTTGGCTCCACCACGAAAAGCAAGTTTTTGGCTTAGTGCTTCACAGTATTTTCTTGGCTTCCGAAGCTCACAATTTTTTCCGGTTCCACACACGAAAACACTTTTTGCCGAAAATGTGGCTTTGTGCATTTTTTTATAATTTTTCCATAACAGCATAAATAACGTCATATTTGACAAATTTCATATTCGGCGGTACCTTTTCTTACAAGGGAAGTACTTGAAGTGTGACGCTCAGATTTTGATGAAACTTGGCACAAATTTAGAATAATTTTTTCTAAGATATATGCGGGAATCCTAGCTCGCGCTTTGCAGAAACAACCAAGATTTTTAGATCGAAAGTCGGCGAAAATTTGGGACTTTTTGCCGAATTTCGGCACGAAAAGTTTCATGCCTATTTCAACCGTAAAGAATAATGTTTCTACAAAAAATCAAATTTTTCCGCACGAAACTGCCAAAGTTATGGCCAAAAAGCGGTTTTCTCTCTGACCGCTCTCCACGTTGAGCGTGCTCTCTCGGCGGCAAAAATCGTTCAATATCTCGGCGGCGCCCGCAAAGCGCGAGCTAAAACTTTCAGGAATTGATATTTAGTCCATACCCGATGTGTGTGCAAAATTTAAAGAAAATCTGAGCGTCACACTTGAAGTACTTCCCCTGTTAGTATAATTTTTTGCCGGCTCCACCAAAGTATTTTTACAAGGGATCGGAAATACTGCCATCAGGGTTCTTAGCGAATCACTTGCGGCCGAAGCGCCAGTTTCTTACGTCACAGTAAAAGTTATCGTCCAGTGATTATAATTGGTCAGGACGCTGGCACGGCACCCGCGTGATTATACATGAATGGATATTATTTTTATTCCATTTTAAGCTTTTTTGCTCAGAATTTCAAGATAGTTCAGCAACAACATTTGGATCTTTTCAATGCTATTGAGCACTTCACAGTGAATGATAATAAAGTGTACATACGAGCAGAAATTATCCAACCAGGTAACAAAAACAGATAAATAATATATAAGACTTCATTTTTTCGCTAAAAGTGAAAACGTTCTGTAGGTTTTTAGTCGATACCGAAGAACTTTTATTGTAAGTCACCTGGATAAAACAAGAGGTTCAAATGAAAATTAGGTTGAGCGAATAACGAAAAGAAAGTGTAATTCCAACAACAAAGAAACACTCATCTTTATAGTTACAACTTTAGATTAAATCTACATTATTCAACAATAAATCAAAAAGTTTGACGATAGTAGACAATGTTGCGGTGTCTTGGTGCTTGCTACAAAATTTATTAAGTCCGCACGACGCTTCGAAGAAAACGGAGATCGAACAGCAGCATCTGGAAATAAATGAATAAGTCATTTGTTCGAATGTGGCATCAAATAAAAATTAAGACTTACAGTACCGGAGGCCGCTGACGCTGCCAACTTTTCGCCGGTGCGATTCCAATCGACCTCAAAGAAACCTCCACTCATCTCGCATCCAGTATAAGTCATAACAACCCGCCCAGTCTAAACATTAGTGTTACGTGTACCGATACTTCTCCTACCGAGAGATCCCAAATATTAATCGTCCTGTCAAAGGATCCAGAAGCCAACAATCGGCCCTCAGGGTGAAAGGCGACAGTGTACACACTCTCCGTATGCTTTTGTAACTGCCGTGCACACACTTTATTCTGCAAGTCCCAGATCTTGACAGAACAATCGAATGAGGCCGAAGCCAGAATATTTCCAATAGGGGACCATCTGATAGTATAGATTTCTTTGTCGTGAGCAGTCACATCAAATATTGGACTATCCTCATCCATATTCCATATCTGAATATAAATATTAGTCTTCTTCAAGTTGGTTACCTTCAAAGTTCTATCGTCGGAACAAGAGGCCAGTAATCTAGAGATACGGTCGTATTTGACTGCGTTTACTTCATTACCATGACCCTAAAAGTAGACCTTATTTAGAAAGAAAAACATACCTTGAACGTTTTTAATGGAATATCGCTCTGACAATGACAAATGTGAATCAAAGAATCAACGGAGCAAGAAGCGAAGGTCTCGTCATTTATCCAATCCACATCCAAAGCAGACTGAGTGTGGAATTTGAAGGGGCGGGCCACATTTTTCTGTGGATCCCATACAACGGTACACTAAAAATCAATATTCAATATACAAGAGAGATATTACGTTATCAACTCCAGCACTCAGAACTTTGGTTCCACCGTAGTTCCATTTAAGAGCAAATATGGGCCCAGCATGAGCATTGGTACTCATTACCAGTTCTCCCTTACGATTCCAGATTCTCGCAACTCCATCATAACATCCTGTGGCCAGATATTCTCCATTAGACTAAACAAATAAATAATAAATTACACGAGGACTTACACTCCAATTAAGAGAAGTGACATCCTTGTTCTTATTCCCCTGCTCCCGTTGCATTTCATGCATCAAAACAATCGATTGCACAGAGTTCTGAATGTCTTGGCCGGGGAACCAAAGACGGGCAGTGCTATCGCCAGATCTGAGGGCTTTCATAAGTTTTTTTAAAAACATACCCGGAGGCAAAACACTCATGTTTTGGATTCCAAGAGCAAATGAAAACGTCTGCATTGTGTCCAGTAAGGGCTTGCATTTTGTTCCTATCTAATTCGAGATCCGGATCAATATTCACCTGGTCACTGTTGGGAAGCATCTTTCCATTCGCGTATTGGACGATGTTACTGTTATTAACCCCAGTAGCGCTGTAAGCAAATCATGTTATGGAGCAAAAAATAAATTGATAATAGTTTTATGATTATAAGAAATGTATTGTTCAAGGAAAAGAGTCGATGGAGTGAAATCGGCGAAATGCACTCTGAGATAACAAAATTTTACCTTTCCCTGTGCAATTTTTTGCTTTATAACGTTTTCTTGACTGTAATCCGCTCGAACATAAAATGTAAAGCATACGTTATTTTACGTATCACCATAAGAAAAAACCAACCTTGGCCGGGAATTGTGAGCAGCGGCTGCAGCAGCTTTCTTTCCACTATGTCCGGCAACACTAAAGTTTCCATTCTGAAGTCGGTTTGGAGAATAAGCCGGTCCAGGATGTTGAAAATTTGGATTCAAACCCTGACTCTGAAAGACCAATATAATTTCGCGTGTTCGTTTAAAAACTTACTTCATTGGAAGGTTGAAGTTGTTCTTCTGTGTGATCTCTTCTTTCCAAATCATCCTCTAAAACATGATGATCCCCTTCCGAAGATGCCCGACTGCTTGGAGCAGAATTGGTGGAATGCGGCCGTTCCGGTTCAGTTATCCGAATATTTAATGGTTTCACTACAGCCTCTTCACCAACTTCTTCAATAATTTTTTCCTCCAATCTCTTTAGTCTTTCCGCGTCCGGTAATACTAATAAATCAGATAAAACGAATAATAACTTACCGGCCTCAAACAAACAAATCGATCCCAGAGCCCTTTCGTATCTCCACGCTTCGTATTTCTCATTAGAACTAGAAGCCAATGTAGAAAAAAATTCGGCTTCAGTAAAGTGGAGGCCTTTCTGGACAATTGAGATCAGCGCTCCTCGGGGTACAATGGCCCCATCAACATTTGAGTTGGAGAGATTCGATTCACTAGCGAAAGTAAATGCACTATGTTGATAACCTAAAATCAATGAAACATGGCAATAGCAATAATAACGTACCATTTTCCATCATATATCGATAAATCAGGTAATTAAGTTCATCGGATGTGAAAACAGCCCCATCCATTGTCTTAAGACCAATATAGTAATATATGTTCTGAAAGCTCGGCAAGCATCAAAAACCATACATCAAGAAAAGCGTTTCCCCTCAATATTGCAACGGGCTGACACGTTTATCAGCCGCAAAAATTTAGCCCGCTCGAAAAAGGTCCGTGGAAATTTTACGTCGATGAAATCGCGGAAAAAAGGGACGCGAAAAAAGTCGCGTTCCTTCGCTTTGTCCGTCTACGACTTGTGCAAACGGAGAAAAAACGTCCAAAGGAAAATTGAATACATCTTATACGATGAAAATTTTTCTTACCTTTAGATTACTGAATGTAATATTATCTTACTAGTCCTTCCGGAGAGTCGCCGCACGGCATTCTGTACTTTTGGGACACAACCGGTCTTCATGATTTTTTTCTATTTTTTCAAAGTAGACCTCCTTCTTTAATACATTGCTCGCTAGCCGTTGAAGCTAGAGACTTGCAAATTGGCATGGGTATAGAGTAAATGTTCCGCTTCCAGAATATATAATATTGTAATGAACCCCGCGCTGTAAGCTCCACAATAAGTTGCGAAAATATTTCATTCTTAAAACTTCTTGCACCTAAAATGTCATTATGCAAGATCGAAATGACAAATTTTAAAATGCTGATGTGTGCAGAATTTTTTTCTCTATCAGATACTTAAATTTCGTGGAGTTGTATACGAAAATGGCTGTGCTACGTACGAAAAACTGAGTTTCATAGTGTGTTTTTTTGAAATTTTTGGAATATCTCTGCCCTCAGGGCACGGCTAAATGAAGTTCCGACTCACGTTTGTTGCCGATGATGACATATGTAGCCTTGCCAAATTACAATGTTGTATCTCCAAAATCACGGGAGCTATTCGCTTTTCAACTTTTTTTATCAAAAATGGGCTTCAGCCCATCTTTGTGGGGGGATAGTGAAGGTAGCGACCTGAAACTTGGCACTATGGTAGTTTATTTTGTTCCCAATAGCACCCGTATGATCAATTTGCTCAGTTCCGCTTGTTGCCCTGAGGGCGATTTTTTTCGCACGGTGCACCGAAAATCGACCGAAATTTCCGGCCGCCCTGGCGGCCGTAATTTTAAAGATACGAAGAAGATGTAAGCGGGTAATTTGTAGAGCTCTTCGAGGCCTACAATCCATAGGTGGACATTCTTGACATCGTTGTTGTACATCAGTGAGAAAAAAAGTTGAAAAGCAAATAGCTCCCTTGATTTTGAAGATATAACATTATAATTTGGCAAGGCTGCATATGTCATCATCGGCAACAAACGTGAGTCGGAACTTCATTTATCTGTGCCCTGAGGGCAGAGATATTCCAAAAATTTCAAAAAACACACTATGAAACTCAGTTTTTCGTACGTAGCACAGCCATTTTCGCATACAACTCCACAAAATTTAAGTATCTGATAGAAAAAAAAATTCTGCACACATCAGCATTTTAAAATTTGTCATTTCGATCTTGCATAATGACCTTTTAGGTGCAAGAAGTTTTAAGAATGAAATATTTTCGCATCTTATTGTGGAGCTTACAGCGCGGGGTTCATTACAATATTTATATATTCTGGAAGCGGAACATTTACTCTATACCCATGCCAATTTGCAAGTCTCTAGCTTCAACGGCTAGCGAGCAATGTATTAAAGAAGGAGGTCTACTTTGAAAAAATAGAAAAAAATCATGGAGACCGGTTGTGTCCCAAAAGTACAGAATGCCGTGCGCCGGAATGAAATCGGCGACGATTTCATTTGTGAGAAACAAGTTTTCTTTGCACTGCGCAATTTCTTTCTTGTTTTTTGCGTGTCGCTAGGCATGGCTCCGGGCCGGGCTTCGCAAAATTTTCCGGCCCGGGCCGGGCCGACTAATTTCTCGGCTCGACCCCGGGGCTTCGATTTTTAGGCCCGGCCCGGCCCGGGCCGGCCCGGTTTTTTTGAAATCTGAGTTTTGCCCGGAAAAAAGGAAAAAATAAGCTTTTTCGATAGAATTTTTCAGTTTTTCGAACACAATGCTGATAGCGAACTTAAAATTACCCTATTTACCACTCGCCCAAATAAGAAAATTATTTTCAAGTCAATCTGAAAAAATTTTTTCGACCTCAAAAATTCGCTGACAACAAAAGAAACCGAAAAAAAAATTTTCAAGAATACGCAATAGCATATTTTTTTCCGATCCGATGAAAGATGTATGATAAAAATATTTTTGCTAAAATTTGGGTGACTATACACAAAAGTTTATGATTTTTTGTAACCATATGGTAAAAAAAGTTATGGCGACTTAGTAATTTATATAAATAGTCAAGCGGCAATAGCAATATGTACAGGTCTTGCTTAATTTTTCTTTACATTTTGCGAAAATTTGCCATAATTTTCCTTTCATTTCCCGCTTTCTTTCTTTTCAACCTAGTATAGAAATTTTCCGGGCCGAACCGGGCCGGGCTTTCCAAATTTTCAAAGCCCGGGCCGGGCTTGGAGATTTAGGCCCGGGCCTGCGGCCCGGGCCGGGCCGGGCTGGCCCGGTTTGCAGCCATGCCTAGGTGTCGCCCGCACCCTGAAGAGGCGGTTAGTGGCTCGACAATGGAGATTTGGCAAACGGGCCAGGTCCGTCTATGTTATAATGCCGGGGCTTTGAAAGTCATGATCAGCTCGAATTGCTGATCGTGAACATGGTTTAAGTTCAATCGAGCCTCAATTTGCCAAGGCCGGGCACGTAGCCAATGATGTGGACTTTTTCAATCTTGTTGATTTTTTTGAATGTTCATGCATGCACTCACGGTAATACAGACAACACTCTTTTTGCTTTTAACTTGCTTTAAACAAGTTTAGAGAGAGCGTACGCAACTTTTTACTCCACGAGTAAAAAAAGCCAGAAATTTTTCAGTCCAAGAAAGCCAATTGAAAATCAGGAGGAAGGGAGTGAGTGAACCGAATGGAATCTCAGCTCAAGAAACATCTAAATTTCGAGTACCAAAGCGAAAACATCTTAGGTTTTAAAAATTCTCCACAAAAAAACCACCTTTTTTCGAGGTGCACTGTTCGCCCAGGTGCCTTTTTCGTCAGGTGCACTGTTCGGATTTTGCGAACATTTTCTCACAATTTTTATAATCGTATAAAATTGTCCTCCCGGCTCTCGGGCAAGCTGCGCCCTTTCGTAGCCCAAAGATTGTTTTTTCAAAGAGAAGAGTAATTTATCCGGAGACTATTTGATTACTCTAACTCAACGATGAGGTCATTCATTTCAACCTTCGCTCCAACTGGCAAATAGATCTTCTTGACAACGCCTCCTTTCACCGCTTCTACATTCATCTCCATCTTCATTCCACAAAGGACGAACAAGGTCTGTTTTGGCTTGACCGTATCTCCTTCTTTGATTTTAATTTCTAAAATCTCGCCGACCATGGGAGATCCAATGCTCAGAGGATTTCCTGGGGTTGCCTTTGGATGAGATTTGACGTCCTTGGCCGCCTCTGCATCGATGACTTTGACAGTCCGGGATTGGCCATTCAATTCGAAGAAAACGTCTCGAATAGCTCCTTCCTTCAGCTTACTCTTCGCCAACAATTTCAGAATCACAACTTTTCCGGTGTCTAGTTCAACCTGGAATGAAGGCATTTTCGTCAAAATAACAAAACGTGAACTTACATCATTGTCTTCAGCCACATCCAATCCAACAAAGAAAGCGCGGGTATTGAGTCTGTCGACAGGTCCATATTCTGCTCGGAATTTTTCGAATGAATCAAATTCCCTTGGGAACATGGCTGAAGACATTACATCTACATCCCGAAGAGGTCGGCCATGTTTTTCTTCAAGTTCCTTCTTCTTGGCATCAAAGTCCATAGGTGGAAGGCTTTCTCCAGGTCTTCCAGTAAGTCCTTCTCTTCCTCTAAGGACCCGGGATCTCAATGGTTCGGGGAATCCATAAGGGGGCTGACCGATTTGACCTTCGAAGAAGTCTACCACCGACTTGGGGAAGGAAAGTTGTTCTGCCCGTTCTACCAGGGTCTCCTTATTCAAATTGTTCTGCACCATGAATTGGGCCAAGTCTCCCACAACTTTACTGGAGGGGGTTACTTTGATGATGTCTCCAAGGGCTTCGTTGGCTTGCGCATACATTCCGGTAACCTCCTGGAAACGATCACCAAGACCAAGAGAATGTGCCTGAAAGATAGGTTTTTATTCAACTACGCGAGGACCTACTTGGAAGTGGAGATTGGTATATTGGCCACCCGGAATTTGATGTCTAAAAACATCTGCATTTCCACTCTTCATGGTGACAGTGCATTCGAACGGTGCGTAGAGTTGCCTAACGCTTTCCCAATAAGTGCTGTATGCAGTAACGTCGCTTAATTTGAGACCTGAAGTGATTCATTACATACTTCTATCCCTTACCAGTATCGAATTTAGTTCCTTCTAAGGATACGACCACGGCTCCCATACTTGGTTGACTGGTCATTCCGCTCATTGAATCGACAGCACAATCGACAACATCAGCTCCAGCATAAGCACATTCCAGCATGGCAGCGACTCCCGTGCCGGCCGTGTCATGGGTATGAACATGGATGGGGATCTCCGGATGTTTGTCTCGAATGGCTCCAATCAGCACCTTTGCAGCGGCTGGTTTCAAGACTCCGGCCATATCTTTGATAGCCAGAACATGAGCTCCCGCCCTTACCAGTTGATCCGCAAATTCAACGTAATATTTGAGGTCATACTTAGTGCGACTCTTGTCCGTGATATCCCCAGTGTAAGAAATGGCGGCTTCGATAACTCCCCCAGCTTTTCCCACAGCATCCATTCCAACATGCATATTAGGCAGGTAATTCAAAGAGTCGAAGACTCTGAATACGTCCATTCCACTTTTCACAGCGAGATCGCAGAACTTGTAAACAACGTTGTCAGGGAAGGAAGAATATCCAACAGCATTCGCTCCACGGAGAAGCATTTGGAAGGGTACGTTTGGGATCAGCGCTCTAAGCCTTTCGAGCCTTTCCCAGGGGCATTCGTGCAGAAATTGCATGGCCACATCAAAGGTAGCTCCTGTAATATTTTATAAATCTTTGGTCAGATTACTTGCCTCCCCAATTCTCAATTGAATACAAGTTATTGAACTTTTGGGCCAAGAATGGAGCGATCTTTACCATATCAAAGGTCCTCACTCTGGTGGCCAGAAGACTTTGATGTGCATCTCTGAGGGTGGTGTCCGTCAACAAGAATCCACTCTTGCGCACCGCTTTCGCAAAGCCTTCAGGACCTTCTTCTTTCAGAATCTGTTTTAGACCTTTTGGTGGAGTTGACTCTGCAATTGGATTACTTGATAGAATCTGTATACTTAACCTACGTGGGTCGAATTGGGGAACAAGAGGAGTGACTTTTTTTGGCTTCTGATCAGTTGCCAGAGGGGTTTGCGGCCCGTTTACCTTGACTTCTCCGAGATAACGGATTAATTTCTGAGCCCGATTTTTTGATGGAGCATATTTGAAAAGCTCCGGATGGGTATCAATGAAACTGGTGTCCACTGGGCCATTCTTGAAGTCCGGTTGCTCCAAGACATTCACAAGGAAAGGGATGTTTGTCTTAAATACGTATGCTTGATAATTTTCACTCCCTTTACCTTTACACCCCTAATTCTGATTTCTCTCAAAGCGCGGAGCATCTTGACGGAAGCTGAAGCATGATCGGGTCCTTTGGAGATTACTTTCAATAGCAAAGAGTCATAATGTGGAGAGATAATGGATCCAGTGTATGCCGAAGCGGTGTCCAGACGAATTCCAATACCTTCTCCTGGAGTATAAAACTCGATGCGGCCAGAGTCGGGCTGGAAATTCTTAGCTGGATCCTCGGTGGTTAAACGGCATTGAATGGAAGCTCCGTTCACATGGATTTTGTCTTGGCTCAGGCCAATATCTTTTAGCGATTTCCCCTCCGCAATCTTGATCTGAGATTGGACCAGATCGACTCCAGTGATCTCCTCGGTTACGGTATGCTCGACTTGAAGGCGGGCGTTTACTTCCATAAAGTAATGTTTGCCGGCCCCGTCCAATAAGAACTCAACCGTACCTATAAGAATCGTCGATAATTGTATCATAATCAATAAACTCACCGACGTTTGAGTATCCAACATGTTTCATCAACTTGAGCGCATCTTGTAACATGCGTTGACGAGCTCCCTCGTCCAAAAATGGAGCTGGGGCAACCTCGACAACCTTCTGGTTTCTTCTTTGGACTGAGCAATCTCTTTCAAACAAATGAAGAAGACCTCCTTGCTGATCCCCAATCATCTGCACTTCAATATGACGGGGTTTCTCCACAAATTTCTCCACGAACAAACTTCCATCACCGAATGCGGCCTTGGCTTCTGAGAATGCCCGGTTGAAGGCATCTTCCACATCCTCAGGACGGTCGATTCTTCTCATTCCTCGGCCTCCACCTCCATAAGCTGCCTTAACCATGACTGGGCATCCATATGTATTGACAAACTCCTTCACTTCCTCGGCTGTACTCACTGGTTCATCTGTGCCTGGTACCACCGGAACTCCGGCTTCTTTTGCAGCTACACGAGCAGCTACTTTGTCCCCCATTCTGGCCATTACTTTGTAATGGGGACCGATGAAAACAATCCCAGCTTCAGTGCAGGCCTTCGCAAAGTCGGATCTTTCAGAGAGAAAACCATATCCGGGATGAATGGCGTCGATGTCATGGTCTTTGGCCACTTTGATAATCTGTTCGATGTTCAAATAGGCGGCAACCGGGGCCAATCCTTTTCCGACGAGATAAGATTCATTCGCTTTCTGACGATGCATCGAGGTTTTGTCCTGTAAAGATACGGTATAAATGTGCATTAAGAGTATGATGACTATACCCCGGGCATCTCACCTGTTCGGAGTATATAGCCACAGACTTTTTGTCGAGCTCGGCCAAGGCTCTGAAGACTCGGATCGCGATTTCTCCACGGTTGGCGACCATGACTCTCTTAAAGTCGGTACTCGCATATCGAATACCTCCAACAACGCGATGGGAAGCCATAGCCATGGACATTGGGACCGTCTTGACGATCTTGTAATTCCGTCTACACAACATACTCGCTCAGCACTTGATTTTTTCTGGTGTTCACCACCGAAAGAGGGACGATGAATGGAAAAAGAAAAGCGATTCCTGAACTTCGGAGTTCGGCGGACATTCAGAACGTAAACTTTCAAAAGGCACGTTTTTCGGAATATGTAAATTCTGAGAAGATCTCGATTTCCAAAATTAAGAATAAATATTTTATAACTTTTAAAATCTGTTTATTTTTTGTGCAATTTTGTAAATAAATAGGCGCTTAAAACGGCCCCGTATTTTAGTAATTGGTCTTCTTGAAGTAGTCGGCCAGGTCCCCTGATACTTTGCTGCACTGTTCTGGACGCACGTTGGCATCGTATAGGGCAATGATGAAAGCTAAAATACGATTCTGAGTGGCCAGTCGTAAAATCGGTAGTCAGAAATAAGTATTCCAGTACTCTCATAAAGCAGATGACCATAAAAAATGACAATGGTTGTGAGTCATAAATGAATTTTAAAAAACGAAATTTTGGCCAAATCTCTACAGTGCTTAACCTACCAGTCAGGGTTTTGTACAAGAAGAATCCATCGGCGGCCTTCTTCCCAATAACCCTCTCATCATCGGCTTGAAGAACGAAGAACTTCTGACCTTCAAACCTCAATCCATTGGCCAGAGCCGCTCCAGGGTCAGAGAAGGCTTTGGCGGCGGTCGCAGCCTCCGCTCCGTCCAACTTAAGTAATTTAATAGCAATTCAGAAAAATTGAATTAAAAGTGACAACAAGAATTTTCTTTTATACACTGCGTGAAAAGAGAATGACGTCATAATGACTCTAGCAATCTTACATTGAAATTGGCCGATTTTGCCCATATAGAGCCATCCAATCCACAAATGGCAGCCTTGGCCACATTACCAGTGCCCACCAAGTTATTATCGACCAGATCTTGCCAGGACATACTCGATAGAGCTCGGATCAGAGGAACTGGTCAGAAAAGCGGACCGGATTGAAGAAGAGGAGGGGAAGGAGGGACGGGGACGAGGAGGTGGACTCGGCCCAGCAGCTGTCCTATCTCCTTGATCTGATGGGATCACTCGAAGAACATCTCTCTCTCTCTTTCTTCGCCTTTGTTTCTCGCCTCCGGGCTCTTCTGTGGCATCGAACGGAGTTGCTGTGAGGGCGGCTGATTCACCCAAATTTTAAAAAACAATACATAAGCGTTTATTTTCTGGCAATTTAACAAATATTATAAATGTGCCGTAGAAGTATCGCTGGTAAACTGCACAGAGGTATGCAGAAATTGCGAAAAAAGGAAGGTGATGATATTTTGAGCAGGAATTTGAAAGCCATCGAAAGAGACCCTCAACCGGGAAAATGAAGGTGGTAAGGTAGCCAATTGCGAGGATGTCGAAAATGACATCCATTTTTTCTGTATTTGCTTTTTTTCTTTGGTACTGTTAAGTAGTAATTTTTTAATTTTTCTCTAGAAATACTAGATTTAGGGGGTTTCGAGTGTTGGTTTCAAAAATCATGTTAATTTTTTCTGATTTTTACTTTTTTCTTAAGTAGTACTGTTAAATTAAAAACGATTTTTTGGTTTCCTAAAAAATTTGTAGGCTACGTGACTGATCAGTGGTTCAGCATAGAAAAAAAGTAAATTTAACAAGGAAAGTACTTTTATGGGGGCTCCTACTTTTTGACGGCACATATCTCAAAAAATCAGAAAAAATGTGCTGATCAAGGATATATTATATAAATCTTAGCTGCCCATTTTAGGCTTTTATGGGTGAAAATGCCCAAAAACTGGCTTAATTTCCCTGCAAAAGGCGCGGGCATTCGAAACGATAAAAAGCGCAGTCGGTCTCTTCCTTCGGAAGAGAGCGGTGTGGCCGAGTGGTTAGTGCCGTAGCTTGGGAATCAAGAGGGAGGACGCCGCACGGGTTCGATTTCTCTTTTGGGCTGAATCAACAATTTTTGAAGTTGAAGGTCGGAAAAATAAATTTTTGGGCTAAGACTGATTTATTACGTCTTAGAAACTCAATAAATATCATTTTAAGCCAGAATAAAAATTGTAAACCTGTGAAAAATTAAGCGAAAAGGGATTTATATAGGACTTTAAGTCAGACATGGCAATCGGGCCGGGCTTTTTGCCCCCCGGGGCCCGAAGCCCGGCCCGGTAAAATGTAGGCCCGGCCCGGCCCGTTTTCAGGATTTTTGAAGCCCGGCCCGGCCCGGCCCGTTTTGAAAAAAAATTTTCGAGGCCCGGCCCGGCCCGGCCCGGTGAGGTTTCGAGGCCCGGCCCGGCCCGGCCCGGTAATTTTTCAAAATTAAAAAAAAAGTTTCCCGCCGTTTTGGCATCAGCTTGGCATTGTGTTTTTTTACCGTATTCAAGCTAGCGAGGCAAAAAACAACCTCATGCCGTTGCTAGCAGTACTTTTGTGAGCCTAAATACGTTTTAAAAATTAAAAATCTTAAGGATTCCATCTGATTGTCATGGATAACATAATTTCTCCTCTCAACTTTATTCCTTTGATTTCTCCGGGATTCCAACGACTGATTCTGCAATCAAATAGCATACCTGGAGGTTCTCATTTATTATTACGACGCTCATGCCGGTGGTTCAATTTTTGATCTTCCAAAAAATCAAATAATCATCAAAAATCACAAAAATGGTTAACAATGATGACTATTATTTTTAAATCGTGAATCTTTTTGTGTTCTTAGATTCCCATTGTATTTTCAACGTGACAAGACCTTTTACCCCGCCCAATTTGCCCTAGCTCGGAAGAAATCATCATGAATAATATCGGGAAAAAGTCAGAAAATCGTCAAAAAATCATTATCACACTTCAGTATTACTTCTAATTCACACATATTCTCATTCCCCAAGGGCTGATGGACATTCTCCACTAAAAATATAATAAAAAATTTTATTTTTCTACCGTAATCCACCTACTACGGTAATTCACAGTAAGATGGACGGAGAGATTTGAAAATTTGCACAGAGAATCCGCATGTCGTGAAACATAATTCCGCCAAGTTTCAGTCAAATCCACCGACCGGTTCCAGAGTTATAGCAGATTATTTTTTCCCAAAACTCCTTTTTTGAACCTCCAAAATCGCTTTTTCAACCCTATAGTAACTGCTGGGCATTTTTTGGATGCCATATCTCAAGTCTAAATTGACCGATTTTTGATTTTTAAAAAGTATTTTGACTAATTCGAGTACTGCGAGCAACCTTATGACGTTAGTTTTTGGCCTCGTGGGTCACATATGGCCGAAAACACAATGCCAAAATATTGCCAAAATGGCGGGAAACGGTGTTTTTTATCGAATTTGAACGGATTTTTGTGTGTTGTGGCTTTAGTATATACTCAAGATGTTATGCTTTAAAAATTATATTTTTCATGGCATGTTGAGGGTGTTTCACGCCAAAAGTTTTAATCTCATATTTATTATCAGAAAGTGGAACATCTGACCACAGTAATGCGTGAAAAATAAAAAAACAACGCAATATTGCTGCACAGGCACTTCTCAAACTATTCTAATCATGGAACCGTCACGATCCGTTCAAAAAACAACTTTCCCGCCATTTTGGCAATATTTTGGCATTGTGTTTTCGGCCACATGTGACTCACTAGGCCAAAAACTAACGTCATAAGGTTGCTCGCAGTACTCGAATTAGTCAAAATACTTTTTAAAAATCAAAAATCGGTCAACTTAGACTTGAAATATGGCATCCAAAAAATGCCCAGCAGTTACTATAGGGTTGAAAAAGCGATTTTGGAGGTTCAAAAAAGGAGTTTTGGGAAAAAATAATCTGCTATAACTCTGGAACCGGTCGATGAATTTGAATGAAACTTAACAGAATCTTTTGTCAGGATGGAAGAATACACCATGCAAAATTTGAAGCATTTTCAACCCTAATGAAATATTTTACTGTAGTAAGTGGATTACGGTAGAAAAATTGTAATTCCAATTTTTAGTGTAAGATGTATGGAATTCCTCAAGGAGATAGAATATGTGCGATTCAGAACATATATTCAAGTGTAAAATGGAAATTTTGACGTTTTTTAGATTTTCGTTCGATATTATCCATGATGATTTTATCTTAACTAGGACAAATTCGGGATCGTAGAGACCGTTGAGGTATTGGAAACATATTATTACAATGAAAGAAGTATAAGCATTGAAGATTCGGATCTCGTAATCGTAATTTTCAAACATTTTCATGATTTTTGATAAAAACATGACTTTTTTGAAGGTCGAAAATTGAACCATAGGTATACCTGTCAGGAGTATAACCTAAAAACGTCGTCTGGGTCATTTAATTGTTAAATCCATCGTCGTAATTCAGGAGAAACCAAAGAAGAAAAGTTTAGAGGAGAAATTATATTATCCATGACAATCAGATGAAATCCTTGAATTAATCGGGGTTGAGGGTCCTATTTGGGGGCTCCTGAACACCTACGGCAAAGAACCAAGCGCTACAGTCATGATCAATCATGATTAGACTATTAGAAACATGTATATTTAATATTAAAAAATAGTTTAGGTAAAATTAGTGTTGAAAATTGTGTAAAATTAGCCAAACTGGACGAAAATTAAAGTTTTAAAAGTTTTTTCAGGTTATTTTATTGTTTCTAGCAAAGTTTTTAACAATAAAAAACGTTTATCACCTTCTCAGAGCTAAAAACTCAACTTGTAACACGATGCCAAAATACGAAATTGGCATCCCAATTTTTCGTTTCAAGACAAAAAAAAAATTTTTTTCAACCGGGCCTCGGGCTTTTTTTGGCACCCTTGGGCCCGAAGCCTGGGCCCGAAAAAAAACGTCGAGCCCGGAGCCCGGCCCGATGAAATGTAGGCCCGGCCCGGCCCGTTTTCAAAATTTCCAAAGCCCGGCCCGGCCCGGCCCGAACGGGCCAGGCCGGGCCGGGCCGGGCCGGGCCGGCCCGGCCCGGTTGCCATGTCTGCTTTAAGTCAACTTCCGATTGAGTTTTCACCCCTTAAATCCTAAAATGGGCAGCTAAGATTTATATATCCTTGATCAGCACATTTTTTCTGATTTTTTGGGATATGTCCCGTCAAAAAGTAGGAGCCCCCATAAAAGTACTTTCCTTGTAAGACAATTGAAATCAGCACCCTTGAGAACCCCTAAATCGAATATTTTTAGGAAAAATTCCAAAAATTACTTTCGACACTACTGATCAAGAAAAAAGTCAAATTAGAAAAAAATAAAAATGATTTTTGATATCTACGCCATCGATTACCCTCTTTTTTACATTTTCGAGCAAAGGTAGGAAACCCAGGAACTTTCGGCGCTACGCCGTTTCGGGTCAGGGACAACTCGGGTCGCGACAGGTCGGGTCAACGACATTTCGGGTCAACGATACCGTTTAATACTTTCGTTTCGGGACTGGGAAAAAAGAATTTTTTGGTTAATTTGAAAAAATTTTTGAAACGTTTTCGCTTTGGGACTGGGGAAAGGATTCTTTGGAGAATTGAGGTTTATTTTTACATTTTTTAGGAAAATAGTGTTCATAAGCAAAGAGCAAATAAGAAAATCGTATCCATTGTTTATGTTTTTAACTGGAAGCGCGGGATTTAAACACAGACAGTGCCAGAGAGTGGAGTAAGAAGGTAGTCGTAAATCGTATGCAAATAAAAGCGAGCTCATTTTAAAAATTTGTTCAAATTCTTCAAAAAATTCTTCTCCCAAGTCCCGAAGCGAAAATGTTAAACGGTATGGTTGACCCGAAATGTCATTGACCCGAGCTGTCGCGACCCGAGCTGTCCCTGACCCGAAATGTCGGGACGCGGAATTTTCTTGTATTCACAAAAAGTTTATTTTCCCATCATCAAACCCCAAGAAGAGAAGGCCTCCCCCCCCCCGGGGCGTCTCGAAAAGTCAATCGTAATAAAAAAGATTCTTTCCGATGTCTTCTTCCATCGACGAACCGACCACTTTGTGGATTCGATCTTTGGTAAACCAAGATCGATTCGAATGGGATCGTCGGCCCATCAAAGATCTCATCTACCGGCTTTTGGATGACGTCACTTCTTATGATTTCCAATTAATTTTTATGGCCATATTGGTTTACGATAGAGCTCAAGTGTTTCAAATATTCTTGGAGTAAGTCTCAAACACAGAATAAAATAATATTATTCGTACAATTAGTTGTGGTTTACTAAAACAGATAGAGGCCGATGAAGAGCCAGTGTTGTATAAAGTAATCCAAAACAAAGCTCACAAATGTCTGAAGGCTCTGATACGGCATCTAGAGCCGGAGAATTCAATCTCGGCGATTCTCCAGCTCTATCAGAATACAACGGCAGTGCATTTGGCTGCTCATATTGGAGCTCCGAAGATATTAAAGGTAAGGTATTAGGTGCCCTTTAAGACGATTAGGTTCTCTTCGAGACTGTGAAGGATGAGATCAATGACCTGATGTCGGATCTGTATCAAAGAAGTCCTCTTCATTATGCTGCCATCTCGGGTTCTTGTCACTGTGTTGAGGAATGCTTGGATTTTGGGTTCGCCGTTGACAAGAAAGATAAATTCCATCAAACTCCCCTTATGTTCGCCATATTTCGGGCGGAACGTAATACCGTTATTTTATTATGCAGATTTGAAATTTAGCTGAGATTATCAGACTTTTGGTTCGAAAGAAGCCGGCTTCGGTCTCGGTTCGAAACAAATTCAATGGCATGTCTGTTCTCCACTTGGCTGTCTTGGCCAACAACATTGAGGGACTTAAGATTATATTGGAGGTTGCACCAAAGCAATTGCTCGATGTAAGAAGTGTAACGTAACATGTCATCTGTTCAGCAATTGGATGAAAGCACAAGAACTCCTCTTCATTATGCTGCCTTATACGACCGAAAGGAATGCGTAGAATTGCTGCTCAAGAATGGAGCCAACAAAAACGTGACCGACAAAAACTATGCTTATCCTGCACATTATGCGGCCCAACATAGCTTGGGGAGTCTGAAACTGTTGACACAAGGAGTTAAAGAGGTAATCAAGTCGTTTGACAATAGTTTTCTTCAGGATTTAAGTGATGACAAAGGTCGAACTACATTCATGTGGGCTGTTTTGGCCAAGAATGATGAAATAGTAAAGGCCTACCTTAATCGAGAGATAGGTATAAACGTGGATCCAAACTCGGCTGACATCTACAAAAAGACCGCATTGCATCTGGCAGCACACAAAGGGTCCTTCCAGATATGCAAACAACTCATTAATGCTGACAGACCTTGGAGTATTACGGTAGACCATCAATAATAAAGTAATCTTCGTTTAGCAAGAGGACTGTAAACTGGCTACTCCAGTCCATTTGGCGGCAGGAGGCGGGCACAATCATATATTGGACTTGTTTCGATTATCGGCGGATATTGACATTCAGAACAGTGAGAAAACGTGAGTAATCGTTCAAAACGACAAGTTCTTGCAGAACCCCATTATTTTATGCCTGTTTGGGGGGAATGTCACATACCGTCCAAGTTTTGGTAGAGACTTACAAGGCCAATGTGAATCACAAGAATTACATCGACCAAACCCCTCTCCACTGTGCGGTCTTTTCTGGATCTCTGCCATGTGTAAAGACTCTACTTGACCTTAACGCTGACATCCATGCCAGAAATATCAAACAGAAGACCCCTGTAGATCTTGCCGAAGAACTCAACCAAAAACTCATAATCGAACATTTCGCGGCCCGGATTAAATATGAGATGCAAATATAATCTAATCTTTCTTATCGTTCTTATCAACCACTCTGTCATTTTCTTTTCAAATTCATTTATATTACCCTAGCCAGTATAAATGAGAGAGGTGCCACAAGTCGTGAACGGTAACTGTGAAGTCGTTCATTGCTCGTGGTTCCCCTCTTATACATACATAATAAGTTAAGGTTCATTACTACTACCCGCTTGTGGTTCCTGAGATTTCTTTGCGTTGGATCGGATGATTGAAGCCACTTTTCCTAGAAATAGTGCTCGAATAAAATGATTACACCTACTTCGTTCCGTCTCGTCCAACAGCATGAGATCCTTGAGGGTTAACTTATTTACATCTTCAGCCTTCATCATATTTACATCAAAGAGAGCGTTGCTGGTTCTAGCCCATCTAGGAGTGTAAGACCGGGCCACTGAAGGAGCAGCCCGGATGGTCATCGACTCTCCCAAAATAACATGACCAAGGGTTCCAGGCTGAGTTTTGAAGTTCTTTCTCCGAGCTTTCACCGCCTTCCTTGGACTTTCGAGAACATCTTTCCTTGAAAGTTTTGGGTTAAAATAATCCGGACAAGGTCTTCCGTGGTTTAATTCCTTGAGTAAACCATCATTGGGGTCTTTATCAAACAATCCTGGATCTGGGTCCACAGTACCCCATTGGTCTGCAACTATTTAAACCACCCTTTCTTCACTTACAAGCTCGCTCCTTTACCGAGAGCCCTTTGCTTTCCATATTCTTGATCAACTGTGTCCTTCTTTTTGCGTTCATCGCCCTCAGTTTTTCTCTTAACTCAATTGATTCTCCATTTTCCAAAGACTTCTTCAAAATCATTGGCCATACAAATAACTTAAAAATCCGTGACTAAATACAGGTATCTCTTAATTAAATTCAATTATTCACTCACCTTTAAGACAAGATATTCCCGCGAACTTGCTATCTGTTCAGAAAGTTTTATGTCAAGAATACCATCACTTAAAGTGTCACTTGCAATATTACCCTGATCCGGAGCCCTTGTGAATAAACGTGATGCATCCGCCATCAAAGATCTTCTTACTTGTTCCTGAACGAATACCGTAATAGGATTGTCTTCCAAGGGAATGGTGCGCACGGTCCGTAAGCTTTCAACATGAGACTCCCAAGATGACAGATGTCAATCTACCGGTATGTTAAACATGTTTCTGGACCATTCCAAAAGGTTGTCTAGGATCTTGCACATTTTTTCGGGTTTTCAGAAAAGGATGCTAAATTTTCATCTTTTCTTAAAATTCTGCAAGAAAAGTTGAAAAGACTATTTTTGGATCCCTGCGTCAGGGTATATTTACGACAAAGTCGATTTTGAATTTATTGGTTCAAAATGACTGTAGACACGTGTTTAACAAATGCCCAGAATATTTTCCCCAAATTCTGACCTGAAGGTATAAATTTTCATAAATTTGCCCTTTTTCGAATTTTATGTCTCACGGCATCTTAAAAAAAAAGACAATGACCTCAAATCCTTGACATATCTTGGTGATTGGGCATTCAATTTTTTGAAAACCAAATTCTTAGAATTACTGTAACATAAGTATATCATAACCGATAAAAACAGACCGTCCCGAGACCATCCGGCAGGTAGAAAAATAGATGCTTACTAAATTTTACGTGCTCTTTTCAGAATTTGTGGGTCTCATATTGGAAGCTCACGAACAGTTCACACCATTCCTTTGTTAGTTACCTTGTAATACAGTAAACAATTTAAAGTAGGTGCAGCCGGAGGGAGAACTGAGGAAAATAAATTCTTCATGTCCAATGTGTACTTTGCTGGATTCTCAGAAGAATTCGAGATCGCCAAAGAACATCTCTCAACACTCAACTCCTAAAAAAATACAAAGTGTTTCAAGCAACATTCCGGGTTTTTTTTGCAAATATCTTTGTGCTCTTTTCCCGATAGCTTCAAGGAGTTCAAAGAGATTCACAAAAACTTTCTGGAAATTGAAGCACCCCGTATGTAACTAAAAGATTGATTACCTTTTGTAAGTAATCCACAACCCGGGTTGACGGAATCTCCCTCGGTATTTTGGCGAAGGCTCTCTTTGTCTGAGTGTCCATTTCTCTGGCCACACAATCGGCCATTTGATTCAGAATAAATCCGCGGCGTTCACACTAGAAGATCATGTTACAGTATGACCCAAGAACATACCTTCGGCAGTTTATTTACATTATAACAAAACTCATCAGCCATTCTGTCAGACACCGAGTACCTTGTGGGGGCCAAATCTGATATATACATCCCAAAATCAGACCGGACGGCATTCCTCTTGCTTGTTCTCCGTCTCTTCTTTGCTGATTTTAATGCCTTATTTACACTGGCTCTTTTTTTGGTCGTAAGTTTTCTACTCAATGTATTTTTGTGGAACCATTCGATATCCCTAAACCAATCTTGAATAAATGTCTCGACATACTTCTCATCGACTTCCAAGTTATCAGCCATTAATTGGGAGACTCTGGCCATCACAGCTTCCTCTTCCTCCTCATCAATCTCCGCATTCTCAAGTCTTCCTTCTCTGTCGTCTCTCTCTTCCAAGAATCTCTCTAACTAAAAGTAGACGCTACAAATTACTGTAAAAGGCAACTTACAATCCTCTTCTTATCATCTGGCAAACGTTTTATTTCTTCCATTAACTCATTACTTCCATATTCATTTGGATTCTTGGCCAATCTGCACCATCTTCCTTTTCGGGCAATGTAATGATACCCAAACTTATTGCACATTTCAACCTTCATTTGGCCTAAAACAAAAATAATCTCAAAGAAAGACATACTGTAATCCACATCACATTCTCCATCCTCGCTGACCACGAATGTACCGTATCCCATCCGTTTGTGCAACATAATCCCCCTTTTGTTCATATTATTTGACAATCGGGCGATCTCTCCGAACTTCTTTATTCGGGCACTGTCATTTCTTTTGGGAACAGACAAACTTTGCCGATTTCCTTGACATTCCAAGAGAGCCTTAAAAGAATGACGACGACGTTGTTAAACTACTTTCTTCTTACCACAATCTTCCATCTGAGCAATGTCCTCACTCGGTTCTTGATATCATAGCTGTTCCTTCCCGGCAATAATTTGGATATTTTTGAAAACTGATCTGGAAGTTGTAATAATCTTAGTCTTCCCATCATATCTTACTTCTCCCAAAGACTTTCACTCCAATCAGAACAGCTTCATCTTCGTCCACACTCCAGGGTGCATTTCTTTTTTTGTAATCCAAACAATTTATCCACCTGGCTCTGCATTGTAGAGAAGAACGACCAGGGACTTGACTGGCAATCCGATCCCAATCTTGAGGTCCATACTTGTTTACTGCACTGGTAAGTAACTAAAAACATAGATGGAAGAGAAAAAGACCCACCAGATCTTCGGCTTCGCCCCAGCGGCCCCTTTTCAAAGTCCGATCCAGAGATCTAGTATACCGTATTTTACATTGCATATTATTTCGACCGGGCATATGGGCAGCAACTAAAAACTCAAGAAACAAAACTATTTATAAAAAATACCTCGATTCCAGTTTATTGTTTCACCGAACTTAAAAGTCTGGATCAAAGACAACAATTTCTCGTCCTCTGAAGTAGTCCAGGGTCTCTTCTCGCGATTCTGTTTTTGTATCTCCATGAACTTTTCGAAACATTGGAAGGGCGATCTTTTCGATTTCAATTTTTCACTAACGAAATCCCAATTAATCCATGGGGATTGTGTAATACTTTTAAGACTTTCGATCTCTTCTTCTGTCCAAGGATCCTTATTCCATCTGGGACTTTGATCATTCATCCACTTCATTTTCAACTGCATAATTGTCCGAGTGCCCCCAAACTGCTGACATAATTAAAGACACGTTTATAACTTACATCTTTAACTGAAATTCGAGCCCAATCTAACTCCTCAAACTTTGCATTTTCGAGTAATTCATCTATTGGAAGGCTTCTGAATATGTAAACATAATACAAAATAAGGAACACATACTTAAGGTAATCTAGCCTCTTCTGCACGGCTTCAAACTCGACCTTCCATTTCCTTAACTGCTCAATTCCATCTTCCGCATGATAATTTTTAATCTTGTATCGCAGAGTTTGTTTCCTAAAATTTAAATAAAGCATACCAATCAACTTACTTTGCTTCTACTTCTTCGGTTTTCTTCTCAATGACTTGGCACGAAACAGCATCTCGCAATGTTACTAATTCTTCATTTGACCCTAAAATAATAAAAAGCATCCAAGAAAATTCCTGACTTACAAGGAGCTGGTTCTCGCATCAAGACGTCTAAAGGAGACTCATTTGTAATTGCCACGCTCTCGACATTGGCAACGGGTACCTAAAAAACTTCAATACACACATGTTTCCTCACCATTCCAAACACATCATGGAAGTATGGAGGATTAAATTCACTCCTCAGAACTCGAGAAGTCGATAATCCTTGCACTACTCCATTGTTGATCACCTGCTTGAGTTTCCTCTAAAAGCTGTACATTCTGGACGCATGAGTTACCTGCTGATCACGATTGTTCTGCAATAACTGCCCGACTTTCTTAGTCAATTTAATGATAAGGACCTGGTAAGCCTCATTATGTGCAATCAATGAAGCCACGCTCTTCACAGAGTCTTGAACATTGTTGGCGATTGTTTCATCATCGTCTCCCTCTAGATCTGTTTCACTATTATCTTCATATTCCTCGTCTGACGTCTCATCAGAATCTTCTTCATCATAATCAATTTCCAACTCATGAATATCTGAAATAAAAATAAAGGCAACAAAAACTTACTTTCTTCTGACATTTTCAACGAAAAATACCGTGAAATTTCGAAGATTTTCGGAATTTTAATTTCCTTTTTGTTGCTCTGGCATTGTGCTTCAATCGTCCTTGTTTACCCTACAGGACGCGGGTAGCCTATCCGTGGTCGGCCAGTTCGAATCGACCGTGGAGAATCAGCTTCAAAGTTTGTTGCCATTGGCACTTTTCGCGTCACCTTTCATTCTATCGTGTCGATTAGAATATTTTTTTTGATTCATTTTAAAATGGTCGAAGTTATTACTTTTATGTCAAGAATGTCACAAGAAGCAGCTATCTCTGAACCTGAACACGTATTGGATGAGAATCAGCTGGCGGTGATCCGGAAGATACAATCCAATACTGATTCTACCGGAAATGCCAAAAAGGTGGGACTTTTACGTTATTGATAACATCAAGGGTTTATGTTGCAAATGCTTTGTGAGATATTTTGAGGAAATCATGCTGTATTACGGTTTTTTAGGAGAAACGTGCAAAACGCATAAATGTGGAGGAGTTGTTGGAATCATCAAATGAACAAAATAAATCTCAGAATTGGCTAGACCGGCAGATGCGAATCCGAGCCCATCATCAACATCTTTTGGAAGCTGCCGCGCAACCTGAACTACAGACTGTAAATGCGCCAGGATTCCCAAAAGCAGCACACTCTGCGAATCCAACATCCACGTTTGTGAAGCCCGATATGATGATTGGTGCATTTACTGCTGGTTTGACTACTCAGCAAGCAATAACAGAAATGCCACTTCCTGGTACTGTTTGTGTTTTTTATAGGTTAAAACTTTTTTATTAGATTTCATCACGTTTCATGGATAGTATAGTAGTCAAACAGATTTCCTTCCTTTCGTCTTGGCTTTATGTTCTAACTAAAATTTATTTTCAGGTTTTCCGAAAGGTCTTTTTGGAAATTCTGTGAAGAGCGCGAAGGACTTATCGTCGAGCGCTGAGTCGAATCCCGTTTTGGACGTTCTTTTTGGATTGGATAAAGAAAACAAAAATTCGGGAGCAAATCTGATAAACAGTCTGACTAGATCCCCTGGTCACAGCTTGGATCTCTCCTCAACTGTTGCCGCATTGTTGAATCCGCTGAAAGCCTCGTCGAATACTGCCGTCTATCCAAATACCAGTGTGGTACTGCAAGATCGTGGAAATTCTCAGAATCAGAAGATGAGAAAGCCTTACTTCTTACCTTACATGAACGCTGAGAATGTTGAGAGAGGACTCAGGAATGGCGATCTTATAAGAGTAATTTCTTTTTCTTTTTTCTATTTTTTTAGGGAATCCTCCGCATCAACCAGAGGAACTTTGAAGAAGCGTACATTGATAACCCGGAAGGTGATGAAATGCAGGACATTATGATCCTTGGAGTCCATGACAGAAACCGTGCTCTTCATGGGGATGAAGTTATTGTCCGTCTGAAGGACAGGAACCATTGGATCATTCGTGATAGTCTCTACGAAGCATGGAGGACCGGGCATATGAAGATTACTTGTGATGAAGATGGGACTCCTCTCACTGTTCCTCCTGTAAAGTCCGAGGATAAGGATGTCACCGAGAAGGAACAATTCGCCCAAGCCATAGAATTCCTACCCGCCGCTCATCAAATGAAATTGGATAAAGACAAGTTGAAGGAGCCCGTTCCTCATCCAAAAAACAAGAGATATTCTCAGGAAATGGTTCTTAAGATCGCGGCTCAAGTAAGACTTATTCCCAATATTAATTGCTATTTTTCAGATGGAAATGCAAAGAGTTCAGCAGGAGAATCGTATTCTTCAAACAGGGAAGAAGGCCGAAACTTCTGGAGAACGTCGCGCACCACCAGTTGAGTTGGATACAAAGTCCATGAATCAAATCTCCAGGTTGAATTTGACCAGGAACAACAAATTAACACCTGGCCAGAATGATTCTTCGCAGAACGGAACGTTCAGTGGTGGCAAAAGGAGCGGTCAAAGCACCAATACCCTCCAAAGACGTCTAAATTATCGTGTGCTGGGTGACATGCCCGATGATGATTGGGGAATTCCCGACGTGTGTCTTCAGAAGACAGCAGAAGTTGTATATATCTACTCAATGAAGAACTGTAGAACAACCGTAGGCCAGTTGAAGGTGATGGCGGACGGAAATCGGAACTGGGGATTGTTTTCTCCGAATGACTCCCGCTTTCCTCGAATGTTTATTGCTGCCAATGAATTGCCTCAGGGCTTCTTCGAACGTCCTCACGACTTCGCGAAGTATATCTATATTGCGAAGATTGCGGAATGGCAAGCCACAGCTCAATTTGCCCGAGGAACCTTGTACAAAAGTCTGGGAACTGTTGGAGACATTGATGCAGAGACCGAAGGGCTTTTGATGTCGAACGATGTGGACACCCGCGAGTTCTCCGCTTCCTCTTTGACTTCTCTACCTCTTGTTGAAGGGCAGACTTGGTCGATTGATGAGGTGGGATTTGTTTTTTAAACTTTATTTTAATTTTAGGCCGAATTAAAATATAGAAAGGACTTCCGAAACGAATGTCTTTTTACGATTGATCCCTTGACTGCCCGAGATCTCGATGATGCTTTGCATATAAAACCCATTGATGATTGCGATGGAAAGGGAAATAAGGGATGGGAAGTTGGAGTACATATTGCCGATGTTTCCTACTTTGTGAAACCGAACACGGAGTTGGACAAATGGGCCGAACACCGGGCTACATCAGTTTACCTGGTCCATAAAGTAAATTTTGCTAGAACTGCTGTTATTATTTTTTAGGTAATTCCCATGCTCCCACGAGTCCTATGTGAAGACCTCTGTTCTTTGAACCCAGGTGTTGATCGCTTAACCTTTTCGGTGGTCTGGAAAATGGATGAAGAAGGCAACGTCAAAAGTGAATGGTTTGGGCGGTCCGTGATCCATTCGTGTGTTAAGTTGGCCTACGAACATGCCCAAGCGATGATTGAAAATCCAGAAGAAGACGTGAAAGAAGAAGCGATTCCGAAAATCTTTAACGAGAAAAAGGCTAGCCAAGTTAAGGAATGTGTTCTTAATTTGAATAGTTTGGCACAGAAAATCAAAAAAAGAAGGATGGACGGAGGATCTTTGAGGTTGGATGGAGAGAAGTTGAAGTTTGCTTTGGATCAGGATAAGGGATTGCCAATTGGAATTGCGGCGGAAGAGGTAAGGAAGAAGATGACGACTGACTCTTATTTCAGCGTAAAGAGGCAAACTTTTTGGTTGAAGAATTCATGTTATTGGCCAATCAATCAGTTGCCATGAAAATCGAGAGTCATTTCCCTGAGACTGCTCTGCTCCGAAGACATCCGCCTCCAAAGCAAAAGGTCCTCAGAGAGACTGCAGAGAAGCTCGAATTGTTACAATTCCCCATCAACATTGAGAGTAGCCACTCCATTGCACAGTCCTTGAGTGACTATTATGAGGATCCTGAACTTCGCTACACGGTGTTCCCAGTTCTGGTCCAGTTTATGATGAAATGTATGCAGCTTGCCGTGTATTTTTGTGCAGGAACCAGAAAAGACTTTCACCATTATGCCCTCAATATGGACCAGTAAGTGGTTTTTGTGACAAGTAAATTCTTTCCAGCTATACCCATTTCACGTCTCCGATTAGAAGATATCCTGATATAATTGTTCACCGATTGTTGGCTGCTGCTCTCGAGTACACAACTCCACCAGAACATACCGTAGAAGAGTTGGAGAAGATCTGTGTTCATTGTAATGAGAAGAAGGTGAATGCCAAGGCAGTTAGCGATCAGTCAGCTGAGATGTTCTTTGCTCTTTTCATCAAGGGAATCGGATCTCTGGAAGCTTTGGGCGTTGTCACCGGTGTCCTGGATTCAGCTGTGGACGTTCTCTTGCCCAAATATGGACTCATTAAACGAGTTTACACAAATGTAAGACACGAGAGTATTTTTAGCTAATCATATTTGCAGAGGCTCAAGCTGACCAGAGACTGTAGATTCATCGAGGGTACCCCTGGCGCCTTGATTCTCTACTGGGATCCAAATTATGTGGCCCAAGTTCGTAATCTAAAGAAGTCTGAGTTGAAAGAAGTGAAGGAAGATGACATATCGGAAGAACAAGTTACCTTTGAATACGACAGCGATGAAGAAGAAAAGGCCCAGAAGAGTGCAGACGTGGAAAGTGATGGCGAGAAGGAGACAAAAGAGACTTACTGCCATGCCAGTGATTACGAACAAAGTCTGACAGTGTTCTCCTTGATCAAGCTGGTCTTGAGTCCTTGTCCCGAACCTGTCAAGTTTGTGGCCACCATTCTCCCGACCCCGGATAAATACAAAATGCGGCCCAAAGAGATCAAAAAGTTGTTGTCATAGGTGATCTCGTTCAGAACAGCTCGTGTATTGTTGTTTTTATTTTGTTTTGTTTTATCTAATTAGTTGTTATTTGCGCTATTTATTTTGTCAAGAAGCCAATAAAATAAAATTGGTTATACTACATTAATGGGGAAGCTGGGGTCTGGGTCCTTGGTGTTTTCCCTCACCTCAGTATCCATGTATTCGTCCATTTCGGTTGCTGCGAGATGTTGAGTTATCATGTCGGTGTCGAGTATCTTGCTGCAGAATGCATCCAAATGATCCCGATATATACAAGGCTTGTTCGTACAGCACCAATAAATGAGAACTTTGATAGCATGGGTCCAGCTGTGCCTATATTCAGGCTCGACGATTTCTGTGCTCAGTTCATAAGTAGTATTGCCGGTCTGATTGTCCACTCCAGGATGATGTTGAACGAATGGAGTGTTTACAAAAGGCCTCTTCGGCCGTTTTCGAACCAGTCTCCGGGGAAAGTTGCGTGATCCGACAATCCAGTTGGATCTTGTGGATGGCATACCTTTTCCCAGTTCTTTCTGAGGTCTCAACTTCCGTCGCCTGAGGGCATGACCGTTGTTCCATTGCTGTCCGTAGTTATAATTATTCCAATTATTATTTCGGCCCCATCCACTATTCCAATTCTGGTTTCCCCAATTTCTGTTAGCCCAGTTTGTGCCCCAATTGTTGTAATTGCTATTCCAATTACCCCAATTATTGTAGTTGTTGTTATTGTTGTAGGGCCAGTTCATGTTATTCTGTACGGGTCTTGGGTCCGGTGTCCATGGAGTGTCCACGGGTCGAGGAGGAGGAGGGACCCACGGTCCCTTCGTGGTTGTTTTCTCCCCATAGAATTCTTCTTCTTCTTCAACCATCTCATTTTCTTCGGTTTTCGGTTTTGGTTTGGGTTTAGAACAACAAATGTATTTCCCCCTCCCATAAGATGCAAAGACACAGCGATAGTTGGCAGTGCAAGGCCGGTGCATACATTCCACCACATTCCCCGTCTCCTTGTCTCTCTGAGGCTCCGAATTGGGGAGCGGACAAGTAACTTTTGTCTCTAAAAAAGTCTCAATCATCATAACGTAGATTTAAAAAACTAAAGGTTATAATCACACAAAACCCACCCATAGACCGATCACAACACAGGTAATCCTTTTGCTGGGCAATATAATTGCAGGAAGGAAAGGACCGAGGACATTTGTTGCTGATACAAGAAATGGCGACACATCCAGCACCTTCTGAGATTAAAATAACTTGAATAAATTAACGATAAAACTACCGTAATCCACACAAGACTCTTCAAGGAATACTTGATTGAAATCACACGGGCCTCTGCATTTGCCTTTGATACAAACAGAACCAGTCAGACATTGGATTGGATGTATACAAGGCCCTCCAGTGACAGAATAAGGAAGACATTCAGCGCCCATGGCAACATATCCAGGGGGGCATTCTAAGAACATTATTAACCCTGACGTGCTTTACCTGGAGCTTCTTGGCAAATATTGGCAATGCAATAATATTGGACGTCGCCGATATTCATGCATTGCTCAGAGAAATCACAGGTTTCACCAGGCTTTTTCCTGACATAACACTTTCCATTCTTCTCCACTTCTAAGCTAGAACATTCTGGTTTCTCAGTAGTTGCAATTTCTAAAAGAATACTCTCCTTTTTTTTAGTTACCTTCTCCACTCCCAGCATATTGCTCATCCTGATTCTCGTCGTCAAAAGAAACGCACTGAGCCCCATTCCAAGACCCGATGGCACATTCACAAAGACCCTTTTGTGAACAAATTACGTCACCCGACAAAGAGCATTGAGCGTCCAGAAGACAAGAATCACCTGGCTCGGCCGCTAGCCGACCAACTATTCGGATTGAATCAAGAAAATGAGATACGACTAAAGAGAGGGGTTATACTGGTAGTCTAGGCTTACCAGTACTCGGCATTAAGGCTGAGGAATGGAGTGGGGGAATGAGGAGAGAGAGGAGATAGAGCGACAACCACAGCCGTCGTCTCCGATTCCCACCGAGAAGCATCAATGCAGGACAGCGGGGGTCTGATCACAGTTCAAGAAGGCCACGCCACTGATCGAGCATGCCGCGGCAAAACAGAGAGCGATCGGAGAAATCAACACGACCAACTCTTTATTCCAACACGATTACTACGACCGCCACTCCCGGATTCGAAGATTTTACTTTTTCTCGAGGGTCTTCGAGTACCGCCCGATTACTTATTACTATTATTATTCTTCCGTCGCTTCGCACTTGACTTGCCCACCATGGAATTGAGATCGGAGAGTATCGTGACTCGACCCTGGACACTTCTGGAGCCCCAGACGATGTAGCTGATCACAGAATAGGGGGTGAAATGGAACTCCTCCTTCAGATATCCCTCCAGAAGAAGCGTGCCCACGATCTTCTCCAGAAAGTCCCGAGAATCTTCCAACTTCTTGTAAAGTAGTTCGAGAAGTTTGTTCCCGGTTATTCTGTCTTTACCCAGCTGCTTATCCTACAATAATATGACAGCTCATAGACCTATTTTACCTGTAATATTTCCATGACCAACCTCGCTTGAGTTGTGATGTCAATTTCTTCTACATTTACATTATCCCTTTCACAAAAGTCGCATCCTTTTTCACACCAATTCTTCTCGTATGTTTCTCCAAAATATTCAGACATCGCTACACGTCGACATTCGTAGTTCTGGAATGATTGGATCCCTTCGAACTGAATCAGTTACCTGGATACAGTACTTCATCATCCCGTAGAGATGCGAGACGGAATCTGTGTAATTCATGGTGCTTTGTCTGAAGACATCGGCCATTCGGAAGAGGACAATGCATTTAGATGGATTGTCATCTCGACCAGCTCGTCCACTTTCCTGCAATCGATCAATAAAACATTGAATATTTCCTTACCTGATAATAATTTTCCATAGATTTGGCGATGGAATGATGGATCACAAATCTGACGTTGGCCTTGTCAATTCCCATTCCGAAAGCCAGAGTGGCTATTATCACTTGATATTGCCCCGAATTCCATCTCTCATGAACTCTGACTCGGGCTCCACTCTCGAGATCACCATGATAAAACGCACAATTTACTCCTTCTTTTCTAAAAAGATTTTGTAAAAAAATAAAACATCTACTTGAGATCTTGCGTCAGTTCTTCGCAATCTTTCCGGCTCAAACAGTAAATGATGCCGCTCTGATGTTTGAAATCCCCTTTCAACAGAGCAGATATTAATTTATTGGTTGCATCATTTGAATCTGGCTTCTGAATCACCTGATAATACAAATTCTTTCGATTGAATGCTGTTTTCAATGTCACACAACCTAAATAAAATAAAATGAAGGCACTCAGTCTTTACTGACCTCTGACATCCAAAATTTTCTTTACATCTGTTATCACATCCAAAGTCGCTGTCGCGGTCAGTCCCATTAATGGAGTCTTTGGGAACTGTCTCTTCAATATCCCCAGAAACTTGTAATCAGGGCGGAAATCATGGCCCCATTGAGAGCAACAATGAACTTCGTCAATCGCAATCAACTGAAATAATCCACCACCGTGAAAATATTTCCTTATGAATATTACCTTCAAAAGCCCCATCTCATAGCATTTCTCCAGCTTATTCATAAATCTTTTACTCTTGGCTAACTTCTCAGGTGTCACGTACAACATACGTAGAGCCGACTTCCGTTCACAGATACTTTTCAGAATATTTGAGGCCTAAAAAATAATATAAAAAATGAAAAACTTACATCTTCCTTCGAAGTAGCAGCATTAAACGCCATGGCATTAATGTGCAAAGTCTGCAGATGCATTAATTGATCATTAACCAAAGAAATAAGAGGCGAAATTACCAAGGTAATCCCATCTAAAATTAAAATAAATATTACCTAAATTAAAAATTAAAATAAATATTACCTAAATTAAAGCTACCTTCATTTACTACTGCCGGAAGTTGGTAACACAAACTCTTCCCGGCACCCGTACTCATAATTATAAGAGAATCTTCGCCAGATAAAGCGAGATTGATAGCCGCCCTTTGTAATGGTCGGAACGAAGTAAGACCGAAAACTTTTTTCAAAGATCCGTCTACTTTACTGTCCCAAGGAAAACTGTTGTCGTTCCAAGTGCTGTGTTCATCATCATTATTCCAACGGGCTTCTAATTCATTGGCTTTGGCTGTCAACTAAAATAAAGATCAACAAAAAATCAAATTACACTTACGACGTGGAGCTTTTCTTTTAACTCAGATCTCTCTTTTTCGATTACCGACAGTCTGTTGTTCACATCTTTGATTTCAGAGTAAACGGAAAGCAGAGCATTATTACTACCCATAATCTTGAATTCCCGATAAAAAAGTTTTTTTTTTTTTGATGAGGACTAAATTGGGCGCGAATGAACTGCAACTTGCAGGAACCATGTTATATGATCGATTTTGTTTTGCGGAATCGAACCAGTGTTTTCGTGGACCGGTCAGTAGGGTTCGGACGGGGTATATACCCGGGTATATACATAATACCCACGAAGCCGGGTATTTTGGGGTATTTATGGGAATTTTCAAAACACTTTTGCATTCAAGAAATGTAAAAAAAACTGAAATTTGGTCATAAGAAATCAATGAATGTTGACATTTTTTCATAATTTGTTTTTTTTTTCTGTTCAAAAATTGGTTTAGAGGTCGAAAACAAGTTGGCCAGTTGCCGGAGTCGGAAGATGAAAGGGGAAAAAATCCAAATCTGACTGCGAAATATTGGATTGCTATACTTTTTCATTGTTAATACTAGTTTTGTTTGTTCTAGTTGGGAAAATAAAGACTGTCACTTCAAACACGATTAAGTTAATGAATATGTTACAAACGACTTCATGTTGGTACTATCTTGGGCTAATTTTATAAATACCCCAATATACCTGAGATTTAGGGTATATTCCCGGGAATACACCCGGCTATATACCCACGTGGTGAATATGTCTGAATTTTCCGGACCCTACTGGTCAGACGATTTAAAACTGTTCCACTATTTTGATATTATTTTGGCATTGTGTGAATATAAAATTTTATATGATTACTTTACTGTGTAAAAAAGTCAAAATCAGTAAAAATGAATGGATTTCGAAATTAGATGTGAGTCATAACGGTATAAAATTTGTTGTTTTTCTCTGACATGAGTCCCGTCAAAGTGTTTTGGGAAATGGCCCGAGGGTCGAAGTAAAGGCCCGGCCTTTTCCATTCTGTTTTCCTTCGAATGTTCCTCCGAGATGGATAATTCTCGGCCATGCGGCAAAACGGCCGCGAATGGCCGTTCTATCGTTCAGTGCCTCGATTTAAACACGATGAGGAGAAAGCTTTAATTCGAAAGCCCAGGTTCTCCTGTGTTTATGATAGTAATTAATGTTTTTGTTTACAGCTTTTTGGAGCGCCGCAACGAACGGGTCGGGTCTTTATTTTTTCACAAGGGCGGACGGAGAGATCGCGGTCTCGCTTTAAACATTGGAAAGTTCTTTTTTTTCAGTCTCCCGACAAATAACAACATAAAAAAACAACCATCTACTGGGGCATCGTCTTCAGAAATGGTAGTCGAGGACGAGTTCAAAAAGGTGAGTCATCTTTGCTATAATTCCTGTAGTAAGGGAAGTAGTAGAGTCTGCGGATTTCTATATGGCTCAGTTGTTTTGTCTGGGTCTTGTTTGTCCAGACCTTATCCATCACTTCCCTTTGTGTTTGATTCCTTAGGAAACATACAATTAATAGAAAATATAAAATTGTTTAATTTCAATTAAGTGGATTTAAGTATTAATTTACTTTTGGTTTTCGGAAACAACATGATGATAAATGGTTTCAGGTAGAAGTGCAGCCAGACGAATTCAATGGTTTAATTGGGAGCTTGGCCGGCAATTTCATCAGAGATAAAGTCGGCGGCGGAGCTGGAGATCTTCTTGGTGGTCTAGCCGGCAATTTTCTGAGTGGAAATGGAGGCCGCGGCGGCGGATTCGGAGGTCCTGGTGGGGGAGGTGGTGGTGGAGATCTTGGGAATATTCTGGGAGACCTCTTAGGAGGAGGCGGAGGAGGCCGACGTCCTCAGCAGGACTTTGGTGGTGGGGGTTTCGGAGGCGGCGGAGGAAGCCGTGGTGGAGGATTTGATATGGGAGATCTGGCTGGAGTCATCGGTGGACTGGCCGGAGGTGGTGGCCGTGGAGGCGGTGGCGGAGGAAATGATATCGGCAGTCTACTTGGAGGTATGTATATAGATAGCAAATCTAATGTAAATGCAGGTCTGATTGGTGGAGGTGGTGATCGTGGTCGATATGCTGGCGGTGGAAGCAATGTGAACGACCATTTCTTATCCGGTGGAGTTTGTGATATGATCGGGAACCTGATTGGAGAAGCGGCTCACCGATTCCTGGGTGTTAATCCTCAAACTGGCCGTATTATTGGTGCTGTGGCCGGGAATGTCATTTTTCAATTGGGCGGAAAAGATAACAAACTGAGCAATGTTGGAAAAGTCATCTTAGATAACATAATTTCGGGAAAATTCCAAAGAGATGTAAGCATTTCTTTCATAGATGGAATACATTTTTTATTTACAGGTGGATCCCTTCATTAAACCCGAGCCAGTTCCCACTCCTGGTCCCCCAGTTAGACGAGGGGAAGCGGTCGATTTCTACGCTGAACGAGAACGATGTCTTCAGGAGAAGAGACTTTTCGAAGATCCCGACTTCCCTGCTGACGACAGTTCCCTCTATTACAGTAGACGAGCTCCCAAAAGAGTCAGCTGGCTTCGTCCTGGAGTATGTTTTTGTCGTGGTACGCAATTGTCGCCATTTTGTATTAAAAAGATGCAATTTGCAGGAGATTGTCCGTGAACCTCAGCTTATTTCCGAGGGGCACACTCGCTTTGATGCCATCCAAGGAGAACTCGGTGACTGTTGGTTGATGGCTGCAGCTGCCAATCTGACCTTAAGAGATGAACTCTTCTACCGTGTGGTTCCTCCAGATCAGAGTTTTACCGAGAACTATGCCGGTATCTTCCACTTCCAGTTCTGGCAATATGGTCGATGGATTGATGTTGTCATCGACGACAGACTTCCATGCGATGATGAAGGAAAGTTGTTGTACATGCATTCTCGCGAGAACAACGAGTTCTGGAGTGCTCTTCTCGAGAAGGCATACGCCAAATTGTATGGTTCCTACGAGGCCCTTAAAGGAGGTACCACCTCGGAAGCGTTGGAGGATATGACTGGAGGACTTACCGAGTTCTACGACTTGGCCAATCCTCCAGAGAACCTTCTGCAACTGATTGTAAGAGGGTTTGAGATGGGTTCTTTGTTCGGATGCTCGCTGGAAGCTGATCCCAACCAGTGGGAAGCTAGGTTGCCAAATGGTCTTATTAAGGTAAAATAAATTCTTGCTGCTACTCGCCTATACTTGCGACTTAAAGTCCAGACAATTTGCACAGTGCGTCTTTCGCAAATTTTTTGCGTTTGTTGCCGCAACTTACCGTTTTTGCACTAGCGACATGCGCTTATGCACGAGCTCACTCCACGTGCGGCGACAAAATTGTCGGGACTTTATGGCGCGTGATAAGTATTTTTTTAAAATGATTTTCTAATTTCCAGGGTCATGCTTACAGTATTACTGCTGTTAGAATTGTGGACACACCCAGAGGAAAGGTCCCCCTTCTTCGCATCAGAAACCCCTGGGGCAATGAACACGTAGGTTCTTGATACTTTACTTTTTAACGATTTGAATAATGTTTTAGGAATGGAATGGCGCATGGTCAGACAATTCCTCTGAATGGAATTCGATCTCTGAAGACGTGAAATGTGACATGGGACTGACTTTTGCACACGATGGAGAGTTTTGGATGTCTTTTAAAGATTTTGTACAGAATTTCGAAAAGATGGAGGTCTGCAATCTGGGTCCTGAGGTGATGGAAGAGATCTTTGAGATGACTGGAGTCAAGGCTAACAAAGATGTCTGGGCCACAAACTCCCATGATGGATCTTGGAGACAGGGATCTACAGCTGGTGGTTGTCGCAACTACCTTAAGTCCTTCGCTCGCAATCCACAATACCGGATTAAATTGACAGATAAGGACCCCAACGACGACGATGACTTATGCACCATCATCGTTGCGGTTATGCAGAAATACCGTCGTGAACTCAAGAACGCCGGCCAAGAGAATCTTGCCATCGGATTTGCTATTTATGATGCGAATGGATACAGCGGTCGTTTGGATACCGAGTATTTTGCCAATAATAAGAGTTGTGGCCGCAGTCCTGCCTTCATCAATCTCCGTGAAGTCTCTGGTCGTTTCCGTGTCCCTCCAGGAGAATATGTAATCGTTCCGTCCACATACGAACCCAATGAAGAGGGAGACTTTATGCTCCGAGTATACACTAGTGGGCTCATCGAGTCAGAGTAAGTTCTTCCCCATCAAACACGTGTCAAGGACCCTTAAAATTAATTAATCCTTTATTTGTTTCAGAGAACTTTAAGCCTTCAACTGTAATTAAAACGCATGAAACTCCATGATGACAACAGAACGTATAACATTATATTAAACCGGCGCTTATCCATTTCGCATTTCATAATAAAGAGTATAAATTGGTATCCTCGAATCGAACGAGCACATGCCTTACCGGCCGAGAGAAGAAATTTCTCTCGGATCTGAGTGGGCGCCATATGATCTTGTCTCTGAGAAGAAAAAACAACGAAGTCAGTGCCATCACGTCTGTTCCAGTCATTCTCTCACCTATCGACCTTTTAGTTTTTACCCTTTTTGCCGTTTCAGATGTCGTATCGCAATTCTGCGCGACCATCGGGACTTAACTCGTCATCTCGAGCATCCAGTTCTACAGGAGCATCCAGTTATCTGAGAGGAGGCTCCAATTATGCTGGGACGTCCGCTAGAACATCAGATTATCGCTCCGATAATACGGGAAGAGCCTCGTCATCCCTAGGATCCGAACGAAGAACTGCAGGGACCAGTTCCAGTCGTTATTCCGATTATTCGAGAACATCAGCCGACAAGTATGGGTCTGCCTCGCTCTCTACACGCGATTATGGCGCCACAGAACGACGAAGCAGCAGAGCATCGGCTGATAGATACTCAACCTTGAAGAACGAAGGAAAAGATGACTATAGATCCAGTATAAGTCGGGACGTGAGCACAGAGAGAAGGTTCAGTTCAAAGGATTACAAAGACGCGTCTTCTGCATATCGCTCTGGGCGGCGATCAAGCACAACAGGCGAATTAACTGGTGACCGAAAATCAGGTCGTAACACAGATTACACAGGATCATCAAGAAGGTCCAGGGACACCAGTGTTGATATAAGAACTCGTCGAGATTCAGCCACAGATTTTCTCAGTAACCGAGATCTTGATTCCACCACGAAGCGGACTAGAGACACGTCGGTCGACTACCTTTCGTCAGACCGAAAACAGCGTGAAAGGAGTTCAAGTAGAGCCCATGATTATCTGGGGACAGACTCGACCAGAGGTTCTACTTCCAGGTCGGGGCGTGACTCTGCTACAGATTTCCTGCAAGCCACTGATTTTACATCAAACAGAGGAACAAGTAATGTAATTAGAGACCAAACACCCAGCAAAGACGCCAAAAAGAAGTCCATGTTCAGCGATTTGACAGATGCATTGGCCAAACATGAACAAAACCTTGGTCAAAATGCCGTCAAACTGAAGACAAAATCAAAAGATTTGATTAGAAAACGCAGAAACAGAGAATCTGCAAAAGAGCTCACGGCTGCGGCAGAAGAAAGAAAACGAAAAACTAGAGAAGCTAGTTCTGAAGCCAAAGATTCAAGCAGTGACTATCTCAAAAAGCGGACCGAACAACTTCTGGCCGAGGTACAAGCATCTCGCGAACCCCAAAAAGACAAAAAGTCGACGTTCGCTGATTTAACAGATGCCTTGGCGAAGACTGAAAGGAGTCTTGCGCAAGACATCGAATCACTAAAGTCAAAGTCCAAGGATCTCACTGACAAAAGGAACAGCAGGACGTCAAAGGAATTATCAGAGAGTAGAAGGATGCCAAAAGATCTATACCACGATCGAAAATCGAGTACAAGAGAAGTCAGAGAAAGCCGATCCGGAAGGGACACGCCCACAGATTACAGTAAAATAAGATCTAGAGGTCTCAGTGTCGATGCAAGATCAGCAGCAGAGCCATCTTCTGACTATCTTAAAGTCAGGTCAAGGGACATTAGTATGGACAGGAGAACAAGCCGTGATGTGTCAGTGGATCTGCTAAATTCGGGAAGAACATCCAGAAATTATGGTTCGGATTTTTCAGCATTGGAACCGTCCTTTGCAGGGAAAAGTGGGAGATCCTCATCGGTGTCCGGGAAAGGAATTGCAGATACAATTCGATCGGTGAGTTTCTAAACCTAAATGAATTCATGTTTAGGGCATACCAAAATCCGTATTCGACCAAGATGATGAGAGTGAGTATTCGTATTACGAAGATGAGGATGAATGGGATTCTGATGATGAAGTCGTCGAACAAAAACAAGATGACCAAGACCATCAACGCCAGCAGGAACAAGAGAAACGGCGGAAAGAAGCTGAAGAATCGATGAAACAGAGGAAGGAAGACGAAGAAAAACAACGCAAGGAGCAGCGGGAGGCAGATGAGAAAAAGAGAATTGAAGAAAGGGAGAAAAGAGAGGCTGAAAAAAAGAAGAAACAAGAATACGAAAAGAAATTGGAAGAAGAACACAAAAAGGCGCAAGAGAAAAGAGTCGCCGAAATTCTCAAGTCCGGGGTAAGAAAGCACAAAAATCATTCCACCAAAAACATTTCATTTGGGGCAGCTCGGGTATCGGGCCAATATTTATAGCCAAAATTGTTTGACTTGGGTTGTAAAGTCATCAACTTGACGCGTAAGTCACGTTGTCAAATTTCCGTCATTTTCGGTATGTCAAATCGTTCGTTCTGCCATTTTCATTGTCAAATTGAACTTTTTTGGAGAATTTCTGTAGAATTTCACTAAAAAATCGTAGTAATTAAAAATTTGTAGGAACTAAATTGCTCCTTGTCAAAAAGATCGATGAAATAAGCAGTAAACCTAGTTACGACTAATATAAACGGTACTAGATCATAGTCTATTTTAAAATTGCGTTGGAAAGCGTCGTATATCAGAATTTCCAACTTACAGGGGAAGTACCCCAAGTCAGATTTTGATGAAACTTGGCACAATTTTAGAACATTTTTTTTTTCTAACAAGGAAAGTACTTTTATGGGGGCTCCTACTTTTTGACGGGACATATCTCAAAAAATCAGAAAAAATGTGCTGATCAAGAATATATAGATCTTAGCTGCCCATTTTAGGTTTTTAGGGGTGAAAACTCAGTCGGAAGTTGACTTAAAGTCCTATATGAACCCCTTTTCGCTTAATTTTTCCAAAGGTTTACAATTTTTATTTTGGCTTAAAATGGTGTTTATTGAGTTTCTAAGACGTAATAAGACAGTCTTGGCCCAAAAATTTATTTTTCCGACCTTCAACTTCAAAAAAGTTGATTCAGCCCAAAAGGGAAATCGAACCTGTGCGGCGTCCCCCCTCTTGATTCCCAGACTACGGCACTAACCACTCGGCCACACCGCTCTCTTCCGAAGGAAGAGATCGAGTGCTCTTTTTATCGTTTCGAATGTCTGCCTTTTGTAGGGAAATTAAACCAGTTTTTGGGCATTTTCACCCTTAAAAGACGATTTTTGGCTCGCTGCGTCAGCCCGTAATGGACCCGGGACATAGGAAAAAATCGATTTTGAGTTTTTTGCTTAAAAATGACCGTCGACATGTGCTAAGGAAAAGCGAACAACAGTTTTTCCCAATTCTGCCCGGAAGGCATAAATTTGCTTAAATTTGTCGTTTTTGGAATTTTAGACCTGGTGACGTCATAGAAAAAGCAAATCACCCAAAATTTTGCTTGTGTACGTTTTCGACCTTTGGGAATTCATTTTTTTGAACATTGAGGCTCTCAGATTACTGTAACATAGGCATATTGTAATCCGGTAGATAAAAATCGACCGTAACTCCTTCGTATCAAAAATCCCACAGGATTTTATTTCAGATTCGGAATCAGCATAAAATTCTGCATATTATACACATAATGTGAGGTCATAACTCCAGGGGGGGAGATCGCGTAGTATATTGGATTTTGGCAAAAAGTACGTTTGAAAGGTCGCGGGTTCGATCCCCGCTTGGTGCAAATATTGAAAACACGGCGGAAATCGCGTTTAATGGACACCTAAGGGTTATAAGAGATACGCTAAGCAATTTTAAACATTAATGCATATCTAATTGTGATCAAAACTGATTTTATATAATTTTTGGAGACTGAATATGCAAAAAATGAAATTGCTTCAAACCGCTTGAAATTGGCAACACTTATTCTAGGGTCAATTGTAAGAAACTTTTGTGTTAACTTTTTTTGGCAGAGCACCGTACCATGGATTACTGTAGCATTAAACGTGTCCTGATTAACTGCAATTTTCTTTAAAATTCTTGCATAAAATATTAAATCGTTTTAATTAGTCGTTTTAGACAGCGAAAAGATCCACTTTCTATATATGAAAGAAACTTCGACCTTAATTGCAACGCGTCTTGATGTCATAATCAATTGGTGAAAGTGCGTCAAATAACTCGGCCATTTCAAACGGTACAGCCATAAAAATTTTTTTGTACACAAGAAAACCCTTTCTTAACCATTCTGAGCACAATGATGACATTCCGACTTCTATGCGCCATGTGGTACACGAAAAACCAAATCAGGTTTAATGTTGCAGTAATCCATGGTACGGTGATCTACCAAAGAAAGTTAACGAAAAAGTTTCTTACAATTGACCCTAGAATAAGTGCTGCCAATTTCAAGCGGTTTGAAGCAGTTTCATTTTTTGCATATTCAGTCTCCAAAAATTATATAAAATCAGTTTTAATCGCAATTAGATATGCATTAATGTTTAAAATTGCTTAGTACATCTCATATAACCCTTAGGTGTCCATTAAACGCGATTTCCGCCGTGTTTTCAATATTTGCACCAAGCGGGGATCGAACCCGCGACCTTTCAAACGTACTTTTTGCCAAAATCCAATATACTACGCGATCTCCCCCCTGGAGTTATGACCTCACATTATGTGTATAATATGCAGAATTTTATGCTGATTCCGAATCTGAAATAAAATCCTGTGGGATTTTTGATACGAAGGAGTTACGGTCGATTTTTATCGACCGGATTACAATATGCCTATGTTACAGTAATCTGAGAGCCTCAATTTTCAAAAAAATGAATTCCCAATGGTCGAAAACGTATACAAGCAAAATTTTGGGTGATTTGCTCTTTCTACGACGTCGCCAGGTCGAAAATTCCAAAAAAGACAAATTTAAGCAAATTTATGCCTTCCGGGCAGAATTAAGAAAAACTGTTGTTCGCTTTTCCTTAGCACATGTCGACGGTCATTTTTATGCAAAAAACTCAAAATCGATTTTTTCCTATGTCCACCGCTGACGCAGCGAGCCAAAAATCGTCTTTTAAAAACATAAAATGGGCAGCTAAGATTTATATATCCTTGATCAGCGCATTTTTTCTGATTTTTTGAGATATGTCCCGTCAAAAAGTAGGAGCCCCCATAAAAGTACTTTCCTTGTAAAATATATGCGAAAATTCTAGACCGCGCTTTGCAGAAGCAACCGAGATTTTTAGATCGAACGTCGGCGAAAATTTGAGACTTTGCCAAGTTTCGGCACGAAAAGTTTCGTACCTATTTCTACCGTAAAGGGTTCCATAAAAAATCAATTTTTTCCGCACGAAACTAGCAAAGTTATGGCCAAAAAGTATTTCTCTCTTTGACCGCTCTCCGTGTTTAGTGTACTCTCTCGGCGGCAAGGATCGTTCAATATCTCGGCGGCGCCTGCAAAGCGCGAGCTTAGACTTTCAGGAATTGATACTTCAGAGAAACTGCTTAGGCTATGCCCGACGTGTGTGCAAAATTTAAAGAAAATCGGAGCATCGCACTTGGGGTGTTAGCCAAAATGACGAAAATAATGCCAATTTGACGTCAAGTGGACGTCAGATGAAAAACTCCGTCAAATTAACAACCCTACTAGCTAGCCAATGAGTTGGCATGACAAAAAAAATTCTATAACAATAAAAAAATTGAAATTGGTGTCAAAGAGTAGGAGTGACGGCCGATCCCAAAAAATGGCTATTCGGAAGTCAAAAGTCGAAATTTTTTGATCATCATTCCAATTAGTACCACTGGTGACCGTACGAACGAGTCCTTCCCGCCGGTGGTCCTTTTTGAACGAGGGCCCTTTTCGATGGCATTCTTTCTGGGACCCAGAAAAGTCTTTATTTGATCTTTTTTCCTAACTATGGATTTTTTAGGGGATTCCAAAATCGATCTTCGATTGTTCCGACGACGACTATTCATACTACGAGGACGAAGATGAATACGAGGATGAAGACGATTATCAGTTGCAGAAACAACTAACTGAGCAAAGAAAGCCACGGGAAGAAGAACAGAAGGAAGAAAAAGAAATGAAAAATAAAGAAAAGGAGGAAGAAAAGACCAAAGGAGTCGTCGAAAATAAATCCAATGCTAGGAATGAGACCAGTGATAAACAAAAGGAAGAAGAAGAGAGGAAGCTGGAACGGCGAAGAGTTTCAGAAATTTTAACGTCTGGGGTAAGTCTAGCATCTCTTATTATTTTTTTAATTCTGCTTTTAGGAGGTATTGAAGTCAGTATTCGACCGGGATGACGACAGTGAATATTCGTATGAAGACGATGAAAGTTGGGACTCCAAGCTAGACGCGGAATTAACTATCAATTTGGACAAACCAGATCATGAGAATGACAAAAAGACAGATAAGGTGGCATATGAACGGAAGGCGGAGCTGAAACAAGAAAAAGGCATGCAGGACGAACCAATTACACAAGTGCATGAGATTAAAGGAGAAAATGAAGTGGATCATGCTGTTTTTAAATTGCCAGAGCGGAAAGCTATTGGAGAAGATGATGAAGATAATGCATCCCTGACGAAGAAACAGTCCGATAAAACACGAGGGGAATCGGGTTCCAAAGCAGGAAAATCTACCAAAGACAGTGTGACTGTCAAACCTAGTACAAAGGATGTTGATGATGACGAAGAAGAGGATGGGGATTATGGACAAATTCAACGAAGGAAAAGTGGAAGCAAAATTAAAGGAATTAATGCTGAAGCTAATAAACGGAAACAAATGGGTGAAATCAAGACCAAGTTGACGGATAAAGGAAAGATTATTGATCCATTACATCAGGAGTACGATGCAAAACACGATCCTGATGTAAGGGGTTCAGCATACTTCCAAAAACCATCGAAAAAGTATGACGACGAGAGCGATGAAGAACTTGAAGCCGAGGTGATTGAGGGATTTGGTGAATCGGTGAAGCCCATGCATGAAATTAAAATTGTTCCAAAATCTGAAAAGGAAGCCGGAAGAGAGAATAAGAAGTCGGCAAAGCCGACAGAGGACCAGAAATCTGTGTATCACCAGCCGACTGAGTCAGATAAATCTGATTCTGCAAAATCGCGAGGTCCAAAACCCTTAGATGTCAAAGGCAATGTAAAAATGACACAGAAACCAAAAGAAAGACTGAGTGACCCAACTGTGAACGCCGAGGGAGAAAACTATGAGCCTGATGAATCCTATTATCCAGATACTGACAAGACAAGACGGAATAAAACGACGACAGGTCGCGATAAACCGTCAGAAAAGTCAACTGCGTCCACTCAAGTTCCCTTAGGTGTCTTAAAACCCGGAGACGTGGAGGTAGAAAGTGGTGGCGATGACATGGAACAAGACTTCACATTTGATTTTCCTAAAAATGTTCAAAAGGCTAGCACCCAACCACTCGGAAAAGCTGATCCCCGTAGATCCGACCCGACAGAACTGAGTTCTTCAAAAGACCATGGAGATCCAATAAAGGCATCAAGACCAAGGAGTGACAAGAAAAGCCCAAAGGAATCGTCTACTCTTGATGAAGAGAAACCACATAAATCGCTCTCTTCGAAGTCGGGAGGAGCTCCAAAGACGGCTAAAGATAGTGGCCCTAAGAGTAAAAGTGACAAGGATTCCAAACACCCAATTGTTAAGGAAAAGTCAGAGTCACTGAAGCCTGATGGTAAAACAAAAACACACTCAAAGGATCCGAAGAAAGAGCTAATTAAAACGCCAAGTAAGTCATCGTCAAGTCTTGCTGGCAAAGAAACGTCAGGAGATCTGCCAAGTCGAAAAGAGGACCTCCCAAAGTCATCATCTCAAAATATTCCGAAACTGACAGGCGCTATAAAAACGAGCCAGAAGCCTGCTCATCGATTGACCGACCATCACGAAGACGTTGAGGGCGGTGATTACGAGCCTGACGAAGCTTATTATCCAGACAAGATCCGACCCCGACAAGAACGAGGGCCTTCCAAATTGGATGATTCAAAAGTCGACAAGTCTGGAAACCCCGTAATAGGAGTGGATGACACAACGGGAAGAGACACTCGACCAGGCGTCCTGCGGCCTGGATTTGTCGATATCAGTGACAGAGACAACGAGAGTGACTTTGTTTTTGATCCGCGGGATAAAATACAGAAAAGCAGCGTTGGGCCTTCAAAGAAAAGCGCAGTTTCTAAACCACTGAAAAGAACGCCAACTCGAGAAGAAGAATTGGAACCTGTAGAAGTTGGTTCCACTCCAGGCCATAAACATGATATAAGAATAAAACCAAATGAAAGCCCACCAAGAATGAAGACGGATGATAAGAAACCAACCCTGAAGCCTGGGGATGTTGTTGTAAGTGATGATAATTCTGAAGCCGACTTTACCTTTGGTCCGCCAAAACCTTTTAAACAACCAGAAAAGAAAGATGCCCATGGGAGACTCCCCAGCTCAGCAAAGTCAGAGCCAAAAACAGATTCAAAGTCGAAAGATAAAGAAAATGCAACACCACATCGTATTACACCTGGTAGTGTAGATTACGACGACACACCGGACACCGACTACACATTTGGCTCTCCCGCCGATAAGAAGACACCTTCAAGCAAACATCCAGCAAGAGATGATGAGGAATTAGAGCCAGAAGAGATCGGGCACCATCCTACCTCAAAACACGACGTTAAGATTAAAACAAAGGATGACGATAAAAGGAAAAAACCAGAGCCATCAACAAAGAATAGACCAGAAGACGACAATGCTGGAAGTTTAAAGTCAGGCGATATTCGTATAGATGAAGAGCCGGATGATTTTAATGTGGCATTGCCATTGAATAATAAAGCCCCAAGTAAATCGGCGCAGAACTTATCCACTAAGCCCACGCCAGGACATGAAACAAAAGATGTCAAAGATACCAAAAAACGAGAACCTGCAACGTCTTCTCGGCCCAAGAAAGATAAGGGAGTAGAACTTGAACCTGAGGAAATTGGTACTCCGAAAGGCAAAGTGCATGGTGTAAAATTGAAACCAAAATCGGAGAAAGACCCAGATAAAGATAAAGAGCAGTCGGCCACCAAAAAACCAAGTAAAATTACACCAGGTAACGTGGGTCATGACGATGAACCGGATACGGTTTATACATTTGGGTTGCCCTCGAAGGATGAAAAACCAAGTCATCCTAAGATTGACAAACCAAACGGTAAAACATCTGCTTCACAACCTGCGAAAAATGCTAATTCGCCAAAGGGTCTAAAACAAGGTGATGTTGATTATGATTCAACTCCTGATGCTGATTATACGCTTCCTATAAAAAAAGGAACGGAGAAACCCCCTTTGAAGACCGCAAAGCAATCTGGGGAGGACGAGGAGCTAGAATCCGATGAAATCGAACGCCCTCAGCCACCAAATCATGATGTAAAACTGAAACCTAAAGATAAGCCGACTGATAAATCCGATCCATCGAAGTCTAAGCCATCGGAAAAGACGCCGCAAAATAAAGAAAAACCTGGTGATAGCAAACCCAAAGGAACACGTGATGGCACAGATGCCGACATGCCGTCGACTAAGGATCAAGCTAAGAAATCATCTCCCGGTTCGTCAGACAAACCAAGGTTGAAATCTGGAAAACCAGAACACGGAGAAACAAAACCATCAAATCGACGCCCTATTAATTCCGACGAAGAAGAAATAGAGCCAGATGAATTGGACATTCCTAAACCAAACAAACATGACATTAAAATAAAGCCCAAATATGACAAAGAACCCTCGAAACAGAAGCCATCAACTAAAACTGGTGATAACGTCAACGAGAAAGTACCAACCTTAAAGCCTGGAGATGCCGACGAGGATGAGAGTACGGACTTTACGTTCGGCCCCCGAAAGAACGAAGCACCAAAGAAGCCTTCAAAGAAAGCAGCACCGACTACAGACGACGAAGAATTAGAACCTGATGAAATTGGAAAACCAATCAAACCAAAACATGACGTAAAGTTGAAGCCTAAAGGGGATACCCAAAGTGACGCATTTAAAACAGCTCAATCAGAACCAAAGAAACCGGAAGAAAAGACGAAAAATCCCGCTTTATCAACAACTGAGTCTCCGGATACCGATTATACTTTCGGATTACCCTCGAAGAAAGCCCAGCCAAAAATTCCATCAACAAAAGAAAAACCCCAAAATATTGAAGATGAGGACTTCGAACCTGACGAAATTGGTGGACCAATAAAACCGAAGCATGATGTAAAATTAAAACCAAAAGCTGATAAAATGGATGACAAGAAGACACCTTCAAAGGACCAGCCGGAGTCGAAGAAGCCGAGAGACAAAGAGAACGATGCTAAAAAGCCCGGAGAAAATAAGCAAGCCAAACTAAAGAAAGCACCAGACGTTGTTAAGAAGCCCACTGAGAAGCCGGCCGTTAAACCCACGGGTTTGAAACCTGGGGATGTAGAAAATGATGACAGCCCAGAAGTTGACTACACTTTTGGATCACCGCTAAAGCCAACGTCAATCCCTATCAAACCATCTGATAAACATCAACCAAAGAGTGATGAAGAATTGGGTCCAGATGAATTAACAGGGCCGTCGAAACCAAACCACGACGTCAGGTTAAAACCAAAAGCATCTCCATCGGCGTCTGATGACATCCCAAAGAAACCGACGACGGAATCGAAGCCAGCAGGAACCGGAAAAGAACCAGCTAAAATAACTCGAAAAGACGGCGATGCTGCCCCAGATGCAGATTATATTGGAAGACTGCCAAAGCCTACTGATAGAAAGAAACCCGATTCTAAGACACCAGATGATGAAGAATATGAACCGGAAGAATTGGAGGGATCTTCCCCGCCTTCTCATGATATAAAATTGAAACCTAAAACGGAGAAGCCAAACGATAATAAAGAGAAGCCGACAGGAAAGGAAACAGAAACAAAACCAAGCAAACCAAAAGAAAAGCTGAAAGGTTTGAAACCGACATGGGCGGGTGATGATTATACTCCCGATGCCGATTTTACATTTGGAGCTCCGACGAAAAGTTCAGATCCCAGGAAACAAGAGCCGAAGGAGTTTGATCCTGAACTTATTAGTTCGCCTAAACGTCCAAAACATGATGTTAAATTAAAACTGAAACCTTCGGATGCTAAAAAACCGGTTAGCAGCACCCCTGGAACACTTGTCCCAGGAGATGTTGATACCATTGACGATGATGTTGAGCTGGTTACAGTAGGGCTGCCGAAGGATAAACCGCGAGACGCGGCTAAGCCGTTAGGCAAATCTCCCCCAAAATCTGAAGGCAAGCCGGAAAGAGGAGAAAAACCATCAAGTGAAGGCAAGAAACCAAAGACTTCTAAACCGTTGATACCAGAAGTGGATGATGATATGGATGCAAAGTTCACTATGCCTGTTTTGAAGCCTAGCCCAAAGGAGAAGGCATCCACTGAAAGGCCTAAGGATTCCACTAAGCCAGAGAAAAAGATTGAATCACCAAGGGATAAACCTGCGGTGGCCAGTAATCCAAAGGAAGACAAGAAGGAAACACCAAAAGATAAACCTAAACAACCAAAAGATGGAACTACTTCCTCGAAGCCAAACGACCCAAAAGAGCCTTTAAAATCCGAGGATAAACCGAAAGAACTTTCAAAGTCCCCGTCAAAACCAAAGGAAATCAAACCAGGAACTGGCGATCCAAGCTTTCCATCCAATGACTCCTTAAAGCCTGTAGAAAAACCAAAGGAAAGATCTAAGTCGCCTTCCGCCAAGCCCGACGAAAGACCAAGATTGTCGAAGCCAAAATCCGATGAGAAGAAAAGCAGCGATAAGCCCGAACCGGACAAAAAGGTTTCATTGAAACCAGTCGATAAGTCCAAAGACAAGCCAGAGCCTTCGTCATCAAAGTCGAAAAACCCGAAAGATGCTCTGAAGCCAGTTCCAAAAGATTCCATGCCATCATCGAAACCGTCGGCAGATATCCCGCAGGTCGCAGGTAAGCCCAAAGATTCTCTGAAGCCGGTCGAAAAACCAAAAGACCGTTCGAAATCTCCATCCAGCACAAAAGAGAAACAAACTGATGAAGGTAAGGATCCTGTTCCAAAATTGGCTTCATCAAAACCAAAAGACGATAAAAAGGATTTGACCAAACCAGATGTAAAGCCGAAAGATCAATCAAAGTCCCCATCAACAAAGCCAAAAGCCGATTCTACGAAAGCCAAGCCCGAAGAAACCTCAAAAGAAAAGAAACCTGCTTCAAACAAATCAAAAGATGAAGAAAAGCCAAAGGATTCACTCAACCCGACTGAAAAGCCCAGAGACCGTTCGAAATCCCTAGCCAAGAAGCCCGAAGAGAAACCGAAGGTGGCCGACAAGCCAGGTGGAAAGGCACAGGAATCATTGAAACCTGGAGAGACTCCTAAAGAGCGCTCAAAGTCACCGGCCAAAAAGCCAGAAGATAAGGTAAAGCTCGCAAAAGAAACTCCAAAAGATTCTCTGAAGCCTGCTGATAAACCAAAGGAACGCTCTAAATCTCCCTCTGCAAAACCAGAGGATAAAGCGAAGGCGGCTTCGACGCCAAAGAAGGAAGCAAAAGATCATGATGAGAAACCCAAATCAAGTTCCTCCAAAACCAATTTGGAGAAGCCTAAGGATTCATTAAAGCCAGATGAAAAGCCTAGAGGTCGGTCAAAATCTCCATCCAAAAAGCCTGATGAGAGACCAAAACAGTCGTCATCAAAACCAACAGACGAGAAGCCTAAGACCAGCTCAAGTAAACCAAAAGAAGGGGAGAAGCCAAAGGAGTCGTTAAAAACAGAAACGAAACCAAAAGAAACATCGAAGCCCCCGTCCAAAAAACCCGATGATAAAGCACCCAAAGCCGAACGGAAACCAACGGACTCCTTGAAACCAGATGACAAACCAAGAGACCGGTCAAAGTCACCGTCCAAGAAACCCGAAAGTAAGCCGAAGTCAAGCAGTTCGAAATCTAAAGAAGATGACAAGCCAAAGGAATCCCTCAAACCAGGCGACAACCCAAAAGAGAGATCTAAATCACCAGCAAAGAAACCCGATGAAAACCCAAAATCCACTTCGGAAGGCGAGAAGCCAAAAGATTCCTTGAAACCAGGAGAGAAGCCTAAAGAACGATCGAAGTCACCGTCGAAAAAACCTGCTGACAAAGGAAAACCATCAGAGAATGATGATAAACCAAAGGAATCTGTGAAGCCCAAGGATAAAACAAAGGAGTCCGCAAAAGCCCCTTCAGAGAAACCAAAGAAAGATGGCGATAAGGATAAAGACGAGCCTGAGGATAATCCCAAGACCAAGAAAGCTCCTACGAAAGAAGGTGATGACGAGAAGAAAAGGCCAAAAGAGAAAAAGAACCCGAAAGTGGGAGAAGAAGACGATGATTCAGAGCCCGTCAACAATGATTCAGAGCCCGTCAAAAAGAAGAAGACGAAGAAAAGCCCGAAGAAACCAAAGAAAAAGGATCCTGATGCTGAAGATGACGATGCAGGAGAAATAAGTGGTGATTCGTCTGAACCTGATGATAAACCAAAACTAAAGAGACGACGAAGAATAAAGCCGAAAGATGACGAAAATGATGACGAAGCGGAACCTAAGAAAAAAGGTAGGCGAAAGAATTCCATAGATTGTGACACCGCATCGATTGCGACTGGGGATGGGGTAAAGCGAACCCGCGGTCTCAAAACTCAAAGAAGTTGTTGGTATAAGAGCTGTGATGCAGGTAGGGAGACTGAACCCCCAAATCACCAAACCACTATACATTTGGACGCTGCATAACACAACGGAGCTTAAGCTTACTAGTATTGCGCCCCTTGCAATAAGTCAGTAAAGTCTAGTGGTGAAAGATTAGTCCAACAAGTTTATACACAGTAGTTTATTTGAATAGAACGAGCGTATACAATTCCAGAGTAGAGGAATATATCTTACTTCAGTTTTCGTAGGCGACTCTTGTCTAGATGGCTCGGGCCGGGTTTATATACTGGTGGGGTTAGTGTGATGTAAACATTATTTCATAACAATTTCGAAATTTAGACAAATATGTCGTGACATAATTCGTTTCTAGAATGCGATAGATTTGTTTCGCAATAATTTCTGCGTTATAAAAAAGCGAAGAGAGTTATTTTCGCGTTTCGCGAAAAGAAGAGAAAAATGAAGAGACTTTTTAGTAAACAATTGCGAGAGAAACGGAGAGTAAAGAACGCTCACAAATTTTTTCCCTTTACAAACAAGAGGAAAGATAAAAATAATATAGTTGCAAAAACTTTTTACAATTCTTTGCGAGTCGAGTCGCAACACTAGTAGTTAGCTCACAAAACTTTGTCACGCTTACAAGGGAATGCACTTTAGGTGTAAATCGCTTTTTAAACCGGAGGTAGTGTAAATTGATCGGTTAGGACTCAGGAGCCGTTTCACCCGAGGAACACCGCGGGATAATTCTGGACTCTACGAATTTTTTTTGTTTATTCCTATATAGGAATAAAGAATTTGCACCACCTCCGGTTTAAAAAGCGATTTACACCTAAAGTGCAAAACATTTTTTAAGGTGATTTTTGAAAATTTCGCCTGGATGAAAAAAACCATTCAACCCACCATAAAACCGTCGTATCTATGCCCAGTGAGCAGCTTTTTTGCGCTGAGCACTATTTTTAAAGATGTTTCAAATTATATAGGTTTCGTTAAGAAACCAGGTGGCAACTATTTGCCGCTCCCTTGCATGTAGTACCAATATGAAGTGGACAGCGTGACTGACGCGTCAAGTTTACGACTTAACGACCCTAAAAACTACTGTAACAATGAAAAATTTTTAATATTCCAGTTTCTTTCACGTTCTGCAGTGGCTCCGGGTAATGAGTTGGATTATAGACCAAATTTTTCGATTTTGCCATATCTGAACAATTTTAATGTTTATACCACGGCGTCGCATTACCCATTCTGGGTCACAACTGAAAGCTTCCTAGGTGAAATACGGGTGTCTAATAAATAATAATAGGAAGAAGGGGTCGAAGCCGATCAAAGAAGCCTACTAAACGTCCAAAGGAGCCGGAACCAGAAGAAGAACCTCCGAAACCAAAATGGGTGCCTCCCCCACGACCCCCACCGGATGTCTACGAAATGCCCCCTCAGGAGAAACCACTAGTGGAAAGGTTAAGAGAGGAGAAGATCGATCCCAGGAAGTTCTACTCGAAGAAGACACATGTGTAAGTATTTAGCCATGATGTCATCAGACTATTATCTAATTAGAGAGACCAATATTCCGTTCGTTATTCCATGGGAACAGGCCCCAGCTCTTATCACTCAAGAGGGCATGGGAGCCTTTGGGGCACAACGAAGCGCTAAGGCGCATGTTAACGATGGCCACTTAAAGCTAACTCAGGTAAATTAATTTGTATTCTTTTAATCTTCCTATAGGGAGAACTGAAGTCAGAGAACACTCTGACCTTATTCGAAGAAGGCGCCAAGTCTGTGGCCTCTCAGAAAGGAGAGAGGTCGTTTGGTGCTCGTCGCCTGAATGTAGACAAGGTTGTGGACAGTCATAAGTATGAAAGTGATCCCAAGGTATGTTTAATAAAACAGATGTTATTATTATAGCTAAAATTGTGTGAAACTGTGATTCCACAAGTTAATAGAGGTCTGCTTACAAGTCAGACAGGAATGGAATTCGGAAATCTCAGACATCAGGTGGGATATTCTTGCGAATTAGGAGCTAATAATCTCGTTTCTATAGACAACCAAAGTAAAATATGCAAAGGGAATGACGCCTGGGTTTGATAAAGAAGGAAACAAATACCTGAGTCGACAATTCAAACCGAATTCCACAGAAGTTGCAGGAAGTAATCTGATCGACACTCGCCGTGCTATCGTTCAAAATGTAAATGTAAGAAAAGTATAATATATTCACACCAAATTAAGGGCGTGGAATTGAGGATGTGTCCTGAATCAGACGGCATTATCCCCAAACTATTCTCCACTCAAGACATTGAGCTTAAATCTGGAGCCGACTTCGGATCCTTCAGACCCCTTCACACGGAATCAGAAGGCGGCTACAGAATGACCTACGATGAGGAAGTCAAATGCAAAATGGCTATACCTTTCCAAGTAATTAATGATATAACCTGTCCTATTCCTATTTTCACTATTTTCAGACCGCACCTTCGCTTCTCTACTTCACAAACCAGTAGTAATTATATGTCTGACATTGTTGTATATTTTGGTTTATGATATAATAAATTTGAAACAATTACTTTTCGATTGGATGATAGCTCAGTAATTTCTCGATAAGATCGACGTGTGAGAGCAACATTCGACGACAACAGTATCTTCGGAGATTCAAAGAGTCGAGGGCATCTCCTTCTGGATTATCGGATTGAAGAAGGCCAAGATATGTGTCCCATTTGTTTCCAATTACCTTTCCACAAGTAAAACAACGAACTGGGATAATCATCTTCTAAAAATTAAAAAAGGTTATACCTGGAGAAAAACAATAAACATAAAAAAGCCATAAAACAGGAGCCCATAATACCCCACAACCCAAAAATAACCATTTTTATTAAAAAATTGCAACACACTTACCTTTTCATAGGTTACTGCAACGAAACTAAAATCCCAAACTTTTTATTTCGTAAAACAAAAAATTATTTTTCTTTCCAAGCTGCGCCCATAACTCCTCGAATCTGTACTTCCGCACTTCGCGCCCAGGGCTGGTCTTCGCAGTACTTTTATATCGAAGAAAGAGAAGAATTTGATTGAATCTTTTTTGTTCGGTCCGGAAAGACAAAATTTATTTATTTTGGTTATAGATCGATGAGATTTTGACACTGGAAGAGAAGGAAGGGCGAGTCAGAAGTCGAATTACTCTTTACTGGACGACTCTTTTTCATTGCAATGAAGACTCATAAAAGGGAACAAAGCGAATCTCACGTTCCTTTACGGCAAACCTCGTTCGAAAGTAAATCTCAGCAGATAGAATGCCAGGTATCCAATGGATCAGTTGGAGGGCAAGGCAATTCCGTCCAAAGAGAAGCTATGTCGTTTAGTCCAGATCCAGAAACCAACAGTTCTACTGAAAGACGACCAAACAAGGTAAGTTTATCTTGTTTCTTGTTGGCACTTAGGTACATGGGTTTTCCATAAATTTTACTTTTTCCACCGAATCGTGGTAGCTGATCAGCATAAATTATACACGCTTTGATTATTTATTTATTGCCTGCAGTCTGGTGCATTAGAAGCGAATAAGATATTAGGCTCTATAAAAAATTGCGGTCTCTTTTGTTTTTGTTGTTTGCAAGTATGAATTTACCTGCTAATGAAATTGGAATTAAGAGATGGCGAAATGAATTGATAAAGACGGTTATCGCTTTCTACTGTTTAATGTTGGCCGCTTTTCTCAACTTTTTTCTACTGACGGTAATCCACGACATCGTCCCTCTAAAAACCACTAAGAGACTTCCTGACCTCGTCTTTTTTATGGTGAATCAACAACGATGGGCCTGGGCTGTTGGAGATGTTCTTTCAACTGTGAAGTAAGCTGACTTCTTTTTTGTTTTATTTTCATTTGACGCATTAACATGATATTTTCAGCGCCGTTGTTGGATTTATTGTTGTTCTTCTCCACAAAGAAAGGGTTGTAGTAATCAGACGGGTATTTTTGATCGGCGCCATAATGTACGGATTGAGAGCGGTGGTCTTAAGTGTCACCTTCCTCCCCCCGGCGTTTGATTATCATGAGGAAATTTGTATGCCCCAGTCTAATCGGACCGGAATGTATGCATCAGAAATTACAGCAAGGTAGGAGGAAATGAGTAATCCTGATTCCGGGCTTAGATTTGTCACTTATGTGGTCACACTGGGTCTGACTTCTGGTCAAGATAAGATTTTATGCGGAGATTTGATGTTCAGCGGCCATACGGTTGTTCTAACGATCATGTACTTTACCCAATTACAATATACTCCAAGAGGGTTGGTTGCGTTAAGGTAAGAAAACGTAATACGTTTTTATCCTGGAATTGATTTAGGTACATTGCTACCCCAATTACTTTTCTTGGCATTGCTGCGTTGGTGGTGTCCGGGGGGCATTATACGATGGATGTTTTCATTGCTTACTGGTTGACTTCGCATGTGTTCTGGAGTTATCATCAGATGTTTGAACTCCCTCATGAGCATCGAGCTCAGGCTCCTTTGTCCCGTCTTTGGTGGTTTTGGCTTTGTTATTGGTTCGAGAAGGATGTTGCCTCCGGGCGAATGAAAAATGAATGGAGTTGGCCATTGCCCGGGCCACAGTTCATGCACACTCTTATTCGGTCTATCAACACTAAACTACAGTAATCTTTCAATCATTCAACATGGATAAAGGAGGCCGAATCTCCTTTTATGACCCGGTTCTTTTACAACATACCATTGGGTTGTAGAATGTCATAGTCACATGGAATTGTGAGCTGTGTCTTTTCCCAGATTATCATGACTTTGAAAGTAGCGATACTATCAAGGAGAATTGCATTATTATATTTCACATACCTACTAGATATAGTCATCTGCAGAATCCTAAGAGGTTTTTAAGCGAATCTCAGATTTCTTGGTCTCATTCCACTGGTTTCACTTTTGCAGAATAGTTTTGGCATCATGACACCTTCAGTTTTGTCTCATTTATGTTATATATTGCGTTGGGTGTTCTCTCATTTTCTATTTAAATTGCTCAATTATCAAGAAAGCATAATTATTTTAATAAAAGGAATGTACAAGACCATGTTAGACTTGAACTTCCTCGAGAGTGGGGGCGGTGTTGTTGTTGAAATGGTTTCCATGGGGGGTAACTACCATCGAAGTTCCAACCGAGTTCGCCCTGCTTTGGGAGACCATCATTTGAGCTGCTTTTCCGTGTCTGGGACAAGTGGGGGATATCCCTGGTCTGACTAAGGCCGGGGTCGAACTCTTGGAACTCCCGGCTAACAGAGGCTCCTGAACGAAGAAAATAAGTAAACTAAGAATTGTTGGTACTTTGAAGCCATAAAAAGTAATGATTAGAGCAAAAACAGCCTTGTTAGAGTGTTAATATTTACACACCTGTTCTTGAATACTGAACTTCTGCTGGATGTTATCTGAAAGTAGGCAATCCTTCTTAATATTACCCTGTAAACCCACTTGGTCCTTCATGATAACCGCCTGAGGGTAAATGCTGATGTCGGATAGAATTGGCGGAGGAATCGTAAGCAAAACTAGATGCCCTCGAGGTCTCGTCTCGCGAGGGATTTCGAGAAGGCATTGGAGGTAAATCGGGGCCTGTTAGAGCTGTCTGTGAGGGAGGTAATAACTGCAAAATCACGGCAATGTTGAACATGGTTAACGGGGTGAGGGGTTACCTGTTGACTGAAGGGAGTGTTGGGGATGTAAGTCACTTCCGAGGGGTTCCCATGGGCACTTGTATACGGGGAGTAGGGCATTCGCTTCTTTCCATCGTCTTTCTTATTCCGGCACTGAAAAGTCGTCTCAATTGATCGATTCACTTACCACTTTGTACACGGCTATATAAACACAGGTATTGAGGACTAAGAAAGTGAATCCAATTGCGATAACCAACGCAATGTAATTGTAATTACTCTCTTTCAACGCAGTAGGTGTTGTTGTTGAGGTTGCAGAAGACATTGGAGCGGCACCTGTAATTTGATTGCCCGTATAAGGTTATACAGTGGCGGACCTGATCCAGTGGCAAAAAATGTACCATTTTGCATCCAGCAAGTATAAAAAATGTGGCAAAATGCTTCCCTCTCCAAGTGAAAAAACACAGATTTCAAAAGCGCGCCCTCTCTTTTTGTGAGGAAAAAGAGCGCGCCCTTCAAAACGAAGTTTTTTCATTTGGAGAGGGAAGCATTTTGCCACATTTTTTGATACTTCCCGGATGCAAAATAGCACGTTTTTTGCCACTGGATCAGGTCCGTCAGTGTATTTGTACTTACTTGTACTAAGTTTCTTGAGATCTTTGGGTAACGGAGTTGGAGGCATTGGGGGAGGAGGGAAGGGCTCGTTGTGAAAGTTCGAATAAGGTCGCACAACGCCATAAAAGGACTGTCGATTGAAATGATCGGGTAAGAAATGATGTTCTTCATCCAATTCTCGGCTCTTGGACTTCTTTCCTTTGTTTAATCTCGGGATATAACTACTCCAGAAGCCAGCGTAGGAGTTGCGATAGAAGTTCTTTATCCGAGGCCGATCAGCTGAAGCAATTTAGATTGAATATAGGGCACAGAAAGAAGGTCCTTACATATTTCCAGGTATGATTCTCGAGTGGATTGGCTGAATTGGGGCCAAGGTAAGCTGTGAAACCGGTCTTCGATAGTAGTTTGCGTGGAAAAAGACACTGGTTTTGACGGATCGCTGCATGTGAAAAAAAATAAATAAGTAAATATTTAATTTCACCCACCCAGACTTTACAAAATTGGACAGGTGAGTCATCATGACTTTGGAAATGTCCTTGTCCTTCTCAGAAAACCCATAGAAGATCTAAATGGTGACATAAAAATATGTCAGAAAAGTAAAATGAGTGAAAGGTACTCAATTTTTTGTAACAATCTTACATTTCTTTCATTTGTTTCGATCAAAGGGTACCCCAGCATGTAAGGTACATGATCGTCCGAGATGGCCCCTCGGATTCCATTCTGCTCGTTCTCGGTTTTGGTTTCATGTGAGAACACGAAACTAAATCCGAATTCTATAATTGTAAGGTAAAACTTGCAAGAATGTATTGGCAACTTTTGGGGCTTCATCTGTGGAATGCATTCTCAAGGTCTCAATTAATGGAGAAACGAATAAAACATCGCCCAGAAGATGAAGAAGGGAGTCTCGGGTTGTTCGAGAGTGATTCTAAATATATGGTTGCATCTATTATAACATACCGAGGGTTCATCCCAATTTGTATATTCGTTTATGATGGCATCAAACACTTGGGATCGATGATAATCATACAGATTTCTGACCAAGGTTCTAGAAGAATAGTATAAATTTATGTCACGAACCTGATGACCTTATCTCTCTTTTCAACCGACACTCCGTAACTTAGATCTTCACTGGAGAGAAGATGATGGGCTGGATTTGTTACAGTTCCAACCAAGAGATCAATATCTCTGAATAAGCTCCCAAATTTGGGACTAAAGCTGAATCGAGGATGATTTGGAACCACCTAAACCATGAATAAGGAAAAATTATATCACCCACCTGCCCATCGACGATCGGGGCAAAGCCAGATGTGAAAGTAGGGGCCTTGATCTTCTGGGCCGCCGTTGTTAGATTGATCTGCCCATGTTCCTGGATACATCTGAGAATTTTTGCAGTTTCTTTGTTGAATGAATCCCCGGCACTGTTTGGTTTATTCTCCGCACACTGAATAAATTTTTAACGTTGGCCTTGCATCACATTACCTCTAATTCAACTGCCAATCTCATGAAATATTGCTGCGGGTAATCACTTAGCGCCCATGGTGCTAATGCCGTTCCGTCCAAAATAACAGCACGTCGGAAGAGTCTATTATTTGGCTGTGTGATGGGGGATGCCATCAGCAACGAGATCAAGGCCCCTCCGGATCCCCATCCCATCAAAGTCACTGCCTGAGGGTCCCCGCCGAACGAAGGAAGGATCTTACTCAACATCTTTAGGGCCGCCACCAGATCTGTTAATCCAGCATTTCCAGTGCAACTGGAGGATTCACATTTACTCAGAAATCCTAAAAAAAAACCTTAAGGAGAAGAAATCACTCACCGTAAACATCCAATCGGTAGTTTAAAGTAACAACTATTATTTGGCCAGAAGCCGCTAACATGGACCCGTTAATCACATTCCCAGTCCCCCAGCCATACTCTCCACCGTGAATTACAACAAGAACTGCGAGTTGAGATGAGTCGCCTGCAATTAATGATAACTAAATTGGACTTTTTAACGTACCTAAGCGCTCTGGGACGTATATATTCTGATATAGACAGTCTTCTGATTGTGGTTTGAGATATGGTAATACCCGGTGAACGTAATCAAAGCGTTGAGCGGAAGTTTTCTTCAAAGCTCTAAAAATGAAATTATTTTATTTTTAATACCGCCAAGTTACTCTGTCTCGGACATGTGTTTGAACCCTGATTGAACACAAACTGGGGCCATTTTTGTAGCATCTTTTGGCTGGTGGGTCCATTTGGCCGCTGATATCGCCATATTAAAACGATACTGTAATTAGATGACTTGAAAGACGTCATCGTTGTTTACCTGACCGGTAGGGGAGACTCCATAAGGGACCCCCAGATACTGCGTGACGGCCGGAAGATCCCCTCCCACATCTACAGTCCTTCCATTAAGAACTCCAAATGGAGTGGTCACCGATCTGACCACCAATGAAACGATGAGATCAACGGAAATGAGGATGAACAACCAGCTATTAGTCATTTCGAGAAGGAGTCAACGGCCCGATCTCCGGCCGACGCTCCAGTCTGGCATTCCCCCGAAAGGCTGGCGTTTTCCTTCTTCTTTTCTTTCTGATACGCCGTATTTCCCTGGTGGATCTGATTTTGCCGGCTGGATGGCTTCGAAAAAACACGAGAGATGAAAAGAAAAATGGCCGCTGACAGTAAATCCACAAGTTATTTGGGAGTTTCGACGGGGTTTTCGTCCCACAACTCCGACAATAACATTAGCGTCAATTCGTTATGCAAATCAGTAGACGAAAACGAAGTGGAAAAGAAGGCCGAGAAGGGATGCGCTCTCTCCTCTCGGCTTCAAACTCCCCTTCCGGGGCCGTGCTCGGAAATAAAACTTTATTTGATTTGCGATTGAGAGAGCGGATCAGACAAGTCAAGCGTAACTGATTCATTTTTGCTTCATCCTGATATTATACTAGACATTGTTCAAGTGGAGATCATATCCCGTTCCCTAATATTATATCCGGTTTGGAACCCATGACCCAAAAACCTGGCCTTCTTTTTCATAACTCACCACAATTCTTAATCCCCGGGTTTATTTATTGTTCATGGGAACTTTAAACCCGCTTAATATAACTGGGGGAACTAATCGCACACTTTAGACCGGTTCTTCTCGAGCTTTTAAGTGGGCTTTCCCTTGATAAAAGGCCCGACCAACTCGTTACTGTGAAGACAATGTCCTCCAACTTTGAATCATCTCTACCCCCATTAATTGGACATAAACATTGGACATCTGAAAGTCAAAAGAAAACAAATCCTTTGTTTCTTGAGACGAATGACGATATGGATAGCTACAAGTATAATTATCTAATAAAGGTATATGCAAAGACATATCACAATAGCTAATAAAAATACTGAATCTTATTGAATGACGTAACTTTACATAGTGATGACAAATTAAAAATAAATCAAAACTCAAATTGACACATCGGAAAAGAAGTTTATTGTGGCCGGGAGTAAAAAGAAAACAAAGTGAGGCCAAGACAAGACCCCGGTCTTAGATTCAATCAGTTTTTACTATACCCGCCCTCAGGGTTTCCCTTCTTCGGCCTTTCGGCGGCTTAAAAAACTTGTCCAATGGGGTTTTGGAGAGTCGACCACGGACTTGAAAACCTTTTCTTACCAACTTCTCCTGATAACTTTCCCTTCTCTTAATAAATCCGCCGTGGGAATATCTCTTCAAAGTTTTTGGAGGCATTTTCTGTGGTTGTGATAGGCCCGGAGGGGGATTCGGGCCTTGGATCTGGCCAAAACAGTTGTCCCCTCATGAGCCCGCTCCCAGATTCAACTTGTCATGTTTTTATGTCTTTTGGAGGTGATATTATGTCTTTCTGCAGGTTGTTTGTAAACATTGTATTCGTGGTTTCTTCCCGGATGTCAATTATAATAATATCATATCCAAAATGGACAAATAGAGGGATAAAGAGTTGACAAAATATTGAAAAGTATCCAATTACACATCTTGGACGTCCACCTGGCATGGCTGCAGACACCCGGATCAAAAGAAAAAACGTGGAACTACTACACTCTTAGAAGTAAACCAACGTCGAAACCCATGGCCTGAGACAGTAGCCATAAATCGCATTGCACTATAACCAGAGACGGAAGGATTTTTCATTGACTGGACAATAGAAACCATGCTGACTCACTCCATGATTTTTACATGTGATTAGTGAAATAAATTGAATTGAATTTAATTGAATCCTCTTGAAGACCAGACCTACTACAACACGACTTAAAATTTGGCGTGGATGAAACAATTAAATAAGTGTTCATTCTAAGGCATTCCTACTTTAAACAATGGCCGGCCATTCCAATGGCCCTAAAAGTAATTCAAATTTTTTGAATAATCAGTTTGGGTTCTGCACGGAAAATCTGTCGTCTCAAAAAAAATTGAAATCGCAACTTTTATTACATAAAAAATAAAGTAAAGAATACATAAAACCCACGTTTTTTACAAAGATATAGGGGTGTTGAGGATGTTTGCAAGGATTTCAGAAATTTGCCCATAATGGTCTCTGTTGGGTTGCTAATTTGACAGAATTTTTTAAAACTACGTCAAATTGCCGTCATTTTCGCCATTTTGGCTAACAGGGGCCAATGCGACTCTCAGATTTTTATGAAACTTGGCACAAATTTAGAATGTTTTTTTTTTCTAAAGCTCGCGCTTTGCAGAAACAACCAAGATTTTTAGATCGAAAGTCGGCGAAAATTTAAGACTTTTCGCCGAATTTCGGCACTAAAAGTTATACCTATTTCTACCGTAATGGGTAATGTTTATGCAAAAAATAATTTTTTCCGCACGAAGCTGGCAAAGTTATGGCCAAAAAGCGTTTTTCTCTCTGACCGCTCTCCGCTTTTAGCATACTCTCTCCGCGGCAAATATCTTTGCACATCTCGGGTGTTTCTGCAAAGCGCGAGCTAAAATTTGCAGAAAGTGGTACTTAGTTCATGGCCGACATATCCGATTTAAAGAAAATCTGAGCGTCGCACTTGGGGTACTTCCCTTCTAAATTGTTAATTTGTTGTGTCCCGAAATCAAGACATTTCCGGAATTTGGACACTTCAGAAATGGCGGAACAGTGACACTTCCGGAACCGGGGAAAAATCAAAGATGAGGCTTAGACCTGCCATCTGAACCATCTGACTGAATTTATTGTTATTAATCTCAAAAATTTTATTATTTTTTTTCTGATTGTTACTTTTTTCTTAAGTAGTAGTGTTAAAAAGTAATTTTTCGATTTTTTTTTAAAATACTCGATTTGGGGGTTTTCGAGGTTGCTGATTTCGAATATCGGGTTCATTTTTTTCTGAACTTTACTAGCCCAAAAATACATAAAATCATGCTGATTAAAAATATGTAAATCGTATTCGTTATTTATGCTTTTAACTATAAGCACCGGATTTAAATACAGACAGAGACATAGGGAGTAAGAGGATAGTCGTAATGATTGCATGCAAATAACAAGTAAATCGCTCCATTTCGCGTTCTTGGACATGGGTTCATCCAATTCTACTGCCGACGGTTAGGACAGGACGTATGAATATGTAGACGTGAACAGCGAATATAGCGCAGAAATCTGTTTATTGTCCTGACGCAAAAACATCAAAATTTTGTCAATTCTCCACAGGTCTTTTTTTCTATCCCAAAACGAAAACATTTGAAACACTACTACTTAAAAAGCAAGTAACAATCAGGTAAAATGAATGTCATTTTCGAAATCTGGAAGGTCATCTTTTATCAGCGACCTTGACTAGCCATAAATCCGCTATTCTTAGAGAAAATTTTAAAAATTAAAAAATGACATTTTTACTTTACTCTGTAAAAAAATTTAAAAAAACAATTTTTTTTAAATATAAGTGTTGCGGATATTTGCAAGAATTTCGGAAACCTGTCCGTTGTGGTTTCTGCCCATTATGGACGGACACGCAAATTTAAGTTAAAATTAGGTAGAATGGCCAGGTGATATGGGGGGCAGTAACTTTTGCCAAAGAAAGTGTTTTCCATAGCGTCTTCGTTGTATAAAAGCCAAGAAAAAAGCCTTGTCCTAATCGATAAGCACGTTTGAGTTCTCCAGACGCCGCTTTCTTTTCAAGAGCTACGGGGAAGTCCAGGCGACTGACTAGCTCTTGTTTTTCCCTCTGAATTTAGAACTTTCTCGGCGTCCTTCTTTTATAAAGCTCCTGGATATGTGCCGGTTATGTAATTTGATGCAATAACGCGCTGTAACGGAGCCCTATCTTGATATTCCCCACCAAAACTTGAGGAGAGTTCCTTGTTTTATGATGCTTTTTATAAATTCAAAAGAACTTTTGGTTTATGGCCAGATGGGGATTCCGGCAGAAAAAAGTTGAATGATATCCGTCTTTTTAACGTCTCCATCGTCATCAACTCCGATCTCGTTTCAGGGCATGACTTATTGGGTGATTTTCCTTTTTCTGGAGGGGATTTTAAGTCAGAGTGAAGGTAAGTGACGTCATAATATTGTAAACGGGTTAGATTCTGTGGTTAGTTGGAAACAATCATATGAGAATCGACAGAAGGGTCAGAAAGAGCCCTCCCTTAACTTCCTAGATTCTATTCTCACACTCAAAGATGTAAATATTCAATTAGGAGCAGTGGGTCCGAGGGAAAACAGATCTGGAAATGCTCTCCATATCTATGCTCAGGACAAAATATGGCCATCAGCGGCCATAAATAAGCCAACCGATATCTCCTTGGCTCAGATCGAGAATGCCCTGAGGCTAAGTCAGTATGCTATTGTAGTACTTTTAATGGTAACTTATATTTTTAGAATCCCAGGCCGTAAATACTGAGGAGTTGCTGTATAAAACGCTGCTCGACCCCCAATATTATGAACAAAACGTTCGTCCCACGCCATCCCATAGATTAACAACCAACATTACATTTGGCTTTCTCCTCAATCAGATTGTGGAAATGGTGAAACAAACATTGCTTCATAAAATAATGCGTATTTCAGGATGAACGGAATCAAAAATTAACAACCAGGTGTTGGCTGAATGTTAATTGGCTGGATAAAAGATTGTCATGGAATGCCACTCTCTGGGATGGGATCAAACAGATCTATATCCCCTACTACAAAGTCTGGAAACCTGATATAATCCTTGTAAATAATGCTGTCAGAGAGTACTTCGAATCAATTATGAGTACTGATGTGATGGTCACACACGAAGGGAATGTGACCTGGCTCTTCTCCGCCTTATTCAAGTCCAATTGCGCCATCAAAGTCAGATATTATCCATTTGATGAGCAAGTAAGTTGAGAAAAAATGGCGTCATTCTTAAGGAATGCGATCTGAAATTTGCTTCCTGGTCTCATGATATGAGCGAGATTGATGTGGGTATAACCACGGACAAAGGAGATCTCTCCAGCTACATGAATAACAGCGAGTTTGATCTGGTGGACATGAAGGCCATCCGAACGGTAGCTCGATTCCCGACTGATAAGGAGGCCAAATGGCCAATGATTGTGATTAGAATACGGATGAATAGGAGGCCTTTGTTTTACGTCTTCAATCATGTGAGTTCTCCTTGATTTGATTACTTAGTAAGTTTAGATTTTGCCCTGTGTTCTGATCTCCTCCATGGCTCTTCTTGGTTTCTTTATGCCTCCTGAGACCGGAGAAAAGATTAATATGTGTAAGTATATACCCCCAACATCATGCTCTCTTTAGTGACCACTGTTCTGATTACTGTCTGCACTGTCAGCGAGAGTATAACCGAGTCAATTCCACCAAGTTCGGAGGCCGTCCCTCTGATCGGCATGTATTATGTGGCCTCTTTATTCATAGTATGTCTGGCTACAACTGTAAATGTTGTAACACTGAATGTTCATCGATATGGGAAGAGTAATCAAGGCAGAAGGGTCCCCTATTGGTTGGAGAAGATAGTGCTTGGGTACATGGCCAGTATGTTGTTCATGACGATCCATGAACCCGACTCCATTACGCTTTTGAAAACGTCACAAGTAAGTTTTCGGCCAAAGGAGGTGGTTATTTGTCTTCAGTCACGGTTGTCAACTCTGAGAAGATCAAGCTTAATGAGAGATCTGAAGAAGTCCAAAAACCTGGAATACAGGAAATCGAGGGGAAGAGAGGATCTCTGTGAATGCATCAGCAGTAATACGGTAGGTTGCTTGTCATAGAAGGACTGTTTTAAAGGCAGCTATACGGATGTCACAATATGCGGATATGGAGATACCCAAAGAGAAAATGGCTCATAGAGCAGGAGAAACAGCCTTTCTGGGAAGGGTTGTCAAGGATCAGGTAACAGCAGTAGTAGTAGATAATGCTTTCAGTTAATTCCGAGGATCGCAGCCACTCCGAAGCCGGCTCCAATGATAGCCGAATTCGAAGAAAGGTTCAAAAAGATTCTTAAGAGAATCTACAGAAGCCTCCAACAACACGAAATACGAGAGGAGGTAAGAACAACTTTTATACATACGTATTAATCTTCCCTTGCAGATCCTGGATGACCGAAAACGGATAATGTGGCAATGGCAAGCCTTGGCCAGCGTGATGGACAGACTGCTGCTGGTCCTCTTCCTGGTGGCCACATTGCTCACCATCTTTGCATTTATGATCATGCCTTTAGAAACCATATTGTGACCGTCGTCATTATTCTTCCGTCACTTTCAATTTAAAAACGAGGTATTAACATTAAACTTTTACTTTCCCATTACTGTAAGAGTCACTGAGTGACATACTCAATTGGAGGAATTATTTTCTCGGAGCATTTCTGACAGTAGGCCTTATGCTGGATCTCCTTGAAATTGGCCCGAGTAAGATGCTTTCGGCAATTGGAACACTGGAAATGTTCGGGATGGAAATGCTTGCCTAAGGCAATAACACATCGTCCATGAATAGGGAGATTACATTGACTACAAATAGACCCTCTTCTCAAATGATAATCTTTTTCGCAGAGGGGGATACCATTCCATTCGAAGAAATTTCCATTCCGGAAGGGTTGATGGCAATCCTAGATTTTACGGTGCTGGCAAACATTTTAGATCCATCCATCAAAACTTTTAATCACTTACTTGACAAACAAAACATTCTGGATCCCAAGTGTACCCTAAGGCGGAAATAAATCGACTTTGGACTGACCCATTGCACCCATGACATTTCGGGCCGAATAATCGAAGGAAGTCGGATCTACAGTAGGCCACTCCATCTTTCTCATAGTACCCATCAATGCCAAATCCAGATCCACATTCTACACATGTAAAGTGATCTGCGTGAAATACTTTCCCCAAGGCGTGGACACATTTCTGCAATAAATGTAAGAAGACAACAATCATCTTACATCTTTGATTGCACCATCACAATAAGCACATCTCGGAAGGAAAAGTTCGTTGTAATCTCTTTCACAATATGGCTTCCCGCCTCTTTCGAAATACGGTATGTTCCCCAATTCTTGGCCACACTGACAGCACACGTAATGTTCTGGATGCCAGTTCTTTCCCATGGCGATCACGATCTGATGGATACTAATATGAATATCTAAAATGACGTTACCTGCCCCACAATCTGATGGCCGCAGGCGGCGCATTCCCCCTTAGGAATGGTATGAACACCATGTCGATCCGAGACGTAACTCATGGCCACGGAAATGAAGTGTTGAAGTCGGATAAAAAAATATCCTTGGGCCGCGCACTCGGAGATTTTGTTTGTTTATTCTTTTCATTCGCTCCTTTGATCCAGAAGAGACCCAGATTATTCCAGGGAGAGTCATTTCCATGTTCCACAAAACAACAACAATATAACACATAAATAATATAAAACAATCAAACAAAAGTGATTGGATCTAACTTTTTTACCAATGTTCTTCCCATGACGATCTGCTGTTCTTATTTCGTTACTATCGAAGTTCGGTTTCTGAAGATTCGGGTATACTCATCACATGGAAATATACCCGAAACCTCGGGTATATTGGGGTATTATTAGCCCAATATAGCACCAATATGAAGTCGTTTGTAACTTATTCATTACGTTTGGGGTGATATTCTTGATTTTCCCGACTACAACGAACAAAACAAGTACTTTAACGATGAAAAAGTTTGACAATCCAATATTTCGCAGTTAGATTTGGATTTTTCCCCTTTCATCTTCTGACTCCGGCAACTGGGCCAACTAGTTTTCGACCTCAAAACCAATTTTTGAACAGAAAAAACAAACAAATTATGACAAAATGTCAACATTCATTGATTTTTTATGACCAAATTCCGCTTTTTTTACATTTTTAAACGTAAAAGCACTTTGAAAATTCCTTTAAATACCCGGCTTCGCGGGTATTTGGGTATATCAGCCTCTCGGGAAAATAACGGCGGATCGTCGCAGCAAAATGTCTCGCCTCGCCGCTATCGCGCACCAAATCCCAAGTCGCGGCTTGCAGTCGCAAAGCGATGATGGACGATTCCGAGGCGCGACGACCCACCGTCATTTTCCCGACAGACTGACATACCCGGATATATACCCCGTCCGAACCCTACTTGCAAGAGGCCGCTTGTTTCGACCGATTGAAAAACAATTATCAATAAAGAGTAGACGTAATGTCACAAAAATTTTAAAAAAAGTTGTGGGTATCACAGGATTAAAGTTTTCCAATTTCCTTTCATAGGAAAGGGCAAGGACGTATGATTTTTTAAGTTGACGTTGTATTTAATCAAGAAACAACAAACATCATAGAAAATCAGTCTAACGAAAATTTTTTGGTTTGTCCCACTTATATAGGAATGAATAATTTTTCGAGCCCTTCGGGTAATTCTCTTCTGAACGTGATAAGCGAAAGGTTTTAATATTATTCTTGGGTATTTTCAGATATCTGATGTCGGGCGGCGATCTAAAGTTATTTCGAGCTGCTGAGGTCGCCCAACACAACTCTGCAGAAAGTTGCTGGATCATCTTGGATGAAAAGATCTATGATGTCTCCAAGTTTGTCCTCGAACATCCTGGTGGAGAGGAAGTTATATTAAACTTGGCTGGGCAGGACTGTACGAACGAATTCAATGATGTTGGTCATTCATCTGATGCCCGAGCGATGGCTGAGGATTACCTGATTGGAAAATTGCATCCAGAAGACTCTAACAACTCCAAGGAACCTGTAGCAACGTTGAATGAAAAGAAAGAGAGCCTTAGACAAATCCTTTCCAGTCCAACATGGACCAACTTCCTGATTCCTTTGGCCATTTCTGTGGTCGTTTACACAACATTCAAAGTGTCTCAACGAGTATTCTCCAACTATTAATTTACTTCTAAATGAATAAGATAAATTTATTTCTTTCCTTCGACCATGATAACATGATATCCGAACTTTGTCTTGACCGGAGGGTCCGTGTAGATGGGTTTGTCAGTCGTACTCTTGACCAAGGCGAAAGCGGCATCTTGGAATGGGCCAACCATGGACCCTCTTGTCATCCAACCGAGATCACCCTAAATATGTAAGTATAAAGAGACGGGAAACTTACTCCGGACCGGGCTTTATCTTCGCTGTATTGAGCTGCCACTTCATTGAATTTCATTCCACTCTTTAACTTTTCGATTGCTTCTAGTGCTTTAGCCTATAACAACATAACAGTAACTCTTATCAAGCGCTCAACTTTTCGGGTTTCGTATGTAAGACTTACTTGTTTCTCACATAGGATGTGCCTGACCTTCACCGACGTCCCTCCCTTGACTTCTTTTGCTCCTCCAGAATCATCCCCTTTAGCGACGGGCTTCTTCTTCGGTGGCATCTATATAAATAACACATTATTCACGACAAAAAGATAGATATAAACAAGTAATAAACTGCTAGAGTGGTTGAACGAATATTTATAGCAAAAATTAGTATTATTTTATTTTTTATTTCTAAATCACTGCACATATTTTGAAGCGTCTTCATAAGCCACCTCCACCATTCTACCGTTGCGTATTCCTTGTTTAATCCTCAATTTAACCGAATATTGTTTCTCCAGAATCTCTTCTAACACCGCGATCTCCCCTCGATAAGCTCCATTGACAATTAGCATGTCTCTTCCGACCTTGGGAATCACAGTCTCCAGATGTTTCTGATCTAAGACAATCACGTCTCCACTGTCCAATTCCACTTCAGCGCCATATTTATCCAAAACTTTGTTAACGACTCCTTTGCAGTTGTAGTACTTCGACCCGAGCTGTTTAGTAACAACTTTTACAACGATATCCTTATGGATCCAATGATCTTTTCGGTTTCTTTTCTCCTTAAATCTTTCTTCTTCCATTTTCAATTGATTCAACGCAGATCTTTTGGTACCTAAAACAATCTTTTGTTACGAAAATGACAGCTTACTCTGACTTCTGTTGTTTGATGACGTGCTCGGTTTCTCTCGTCTGCTGTGATCTTCGTTTCTGTTTTCTTTTAGTTTCTGTTCCTTGATATCATCGTTCACACCTTCTCTTTTAACTTCAGTCTTGACATCTATAATCGGCTTTGTAAAATTAAAAACAATAGGCTTTGAGCCTTCATCTCTGACCAATTCCTCAGGTTCCAATTGTTTTAACAACTCCTGGGTGGCCTTCTCCATATCTCTAAACTCAGAAGAATTAACTTCAAGTAATATAAATCTTACCTCTCCATCTGCCGTTGCAGGAGTTCCTCCATCCGTTCATCGTCAGTCTTCTCCTGTTTTGCCCGATTTTGGAGTTTCTGCTTTCTAAGTTCCTCTTCTTGATCTATTAGTTGAATAAACCAACCTATAACATAATATAATAAATTTCTCGGATAATCCCAATTTCAGTCCAGGTAAAACATACCCTTTTCAGTTTCATCAATTTTACACTTCCCAGATTCTTGTAAATGATGAATGAATCCGGTTAACGTGTGCCAAACGGTCGAATTCATGTGGACATGCCCCTTATCCTTGATCAACTCCTGATAAACATCGTTCGCGCGGATTCTCTTCCCGCCAAATGTATTTTTTAGAATCTAAACTAATATTAACGAACAGTCGTGGACAACTTACTGTCAAGAAATTTGATTCAAACTCTCGACTAAACTGTCTGAGATAAGATCCTTGATTCTCGGCAAACAATAGTAACTGCCTTTGATGGGATTCACTTGTCAAGTGACATTTAAACCCATTCTGGTCTCGGCATTGCTTTTGACACATTTGACAAAACCTATTCGCATAAAACATTAGACATAAAGAGTCTACTTACCATTTTAGCTTCTGCAATCCCTTGGACTTCGTTTTATTGGCCAATGCTTTTGCTGATCCTTTTTCGGCCCGACCCATAATGAAAAAATACCAGAAAAGGTAACTCGATCAAATCGATCTCCTTATGGCACAAAACTTTTAGAAGTAAGAAAACTCACCGAACAAAAATATTACGAAAAGATATTATTTTAGTCCCGACGCGACATACAGATGTAGCGGCTTGGCATTCCGCAATAGCAGCAGCAATTATTTTTGAAAAGTGTGGGAAATTGTTGAAAAGTAAGGTTGTTAATTCGTCAACTTGACGCGTCATTCACATTGTCAAATTGCCGTCATATCAAATTGTTCTGTCATTTTGATTGACAAATTGAAATTTTTTGGAAGATTTTTGTAGGTTTTTTCACAACCCATACTTAAAACCATAAGAATTTAAAATTTTTAGGAACTAAATTGCCCCTTCTTGTCAAAACGATCGATGAAATAAACAGTAGTTGTTGCTAGTTACAACTAATATTAACGGTATAAATTAGTCTGTGTTAAACACGAGTTTGAAATCGTCGTATATAAATTTACAATTAGCCAAAACGACGCTACAGGGTGACCCAAAATAACGGAGACAAATTTTTGAACGTCCCATCGCGAAAACCGGGGGTTAGAGAAACATAAGCGACAACGGGTAATATTCTATAACACCTCCTCTATAATCCACGAAAATTTGGTGGAATCATCGTGACGCAGAAAAAAGTCACAGCTTAGCAAAGATGCCTTGCGCCGTTTTTTGGCCTTCAAGTTTGGTTCCCGTGTTTTGCGTAGAGCTTGGCTGTACTACAGTTGCAGAAATGGCAAGTTCATTTGTTTTGTTAGACTACTATGTCCCTAAGAAAGCAGCTGCGTAGGTTTTTGGGTTACGGTTTTTGTTTCTACGGTGGTACCAATCGCAACATTCAAGATTGCCATTTTTTCCAAGTTTTTTCTATAAAAAATTCAGTTTTTTTCGAATAAAGCTAAAAACGCTAGTACGTGTTTTATTCATTAATACAATGATTCTGAAAAAAGCTGATATTGCTTGCTGGCTGCAACAGCTTTTCCTTAACAAGTTTCTCGCCCAGAACCTCCCCATGGCACGCGGCTTTGAGAAAGATGGGTTATCGATAACAGAATGACATGATAGATAAAAATGGCGCATTATGCTCCTGCACACTTATGAATACGACTCTTGAGAATCAGCCTAGGGCACTTTCGGTCTTTATGTATCACCGGCTTGACCGGTATTTCGCCTAAGGCAAAAATAAGGTAGAATTCTAGTGATTACCAAATGGAATTCCGTGGCAGTTACAAAATGTTTCTCTTTTGCTTTTATGGTGTTCCTTTAATCATGTTCTAGTAACTCATATTTCATTTTGCCTTATCAAACACTCAAACTCCTTCTTACGCTTACATTTTCAAAAAAGGCCGATTTTTGCACTTCAACTGCCTGAAAATACTCGGCTGTAACTTTTGAACCATCGATAGTTAAGCTGAGTACGATAGCTCATTTTAAAGGCCTTATTATGGTAATTAATCACAGCAAATCTCAACCTCTTCCGAGTATTCTTTTTTGAGTAAGGCAGCTTTATTGTAAAAAGACCCCACGGGCAGAAGAGTCCGAGTCAACCGGATATATTGATGTCGTTCAAGGCAGAAGAGCGTCGTACAACAAAACTTCTGGTATATAAAACTACCCTAACGTGGTACTGTAGTATAAATAAGGAGTCACTCATGAATCTTAATAAGTCGCAGAAAAAACGAGAAATCTTTTGTCTCCGTTATTTTGGGTCACCCTGTAATTCGACGCAATCTGACGTCAGGTTGAAAAAATCAGTCAACTTAACAACCCTATTAATAACATGGGAATTGGGAGAAATTGGATTTTTTTATTTATAAATTTTCAAATCAAGCGTCTGACACTGAGCAATCATCATTGAGTAGTTAATATATCCTTATTAGAAGAGAAGTTCGCGAAGGTTTTTGTAATCTTTCTCCTGCTGAAAAAAAATCATCGTAAATACTGGGAATAGTCGCCTACCTTTGCCCACATCTTCTCGTCCCATGCGGGGAATAACTTCTTGAATCCAGGGTTCTCTTTCCCCTGGTATAGTATATCAATATCGGCAGTTTTATGTCTCGGGACGTTGTCGGTTTCCAGATACTTCTTCGCTGTCTCGTTTGCTGCCTCTTTCTCAACTTTATTGGCTCCATCACCAATCCAAACATAGATTGTGTTGAGTGCATCGAGGATCATGACGTCATCGGTATCCAGATCTTCCTGATAGAAGTCGGCAATCTCCTCAACCACGAGTTTCCCTGTTTCATTTGACACATTGAAAAACTTTGGTTTGAATTTGGACGTTTTCTTAGCATCCGACCAGTTGGAGAACCATTGAGTGAAGATCTGGGGCTCCGCTCCTTCCAGAACTTTCACCACCTGAGTGTATTTATTCCGTTTCTAAAGTTTGCATTATAATATAAAATTTTTATTACTCTCACATGTTGCTCCAGATATTCCTGGCCCCACTTTTGAGCCTTTGATCTTTCTTGCTGAGTGCATCCTTTTCCAATCCACACAAAAAGACCTCCTTGATCAGCATCGAGGATAAAGGCGTCCTGTAAGGTGCAATTACACCCTACATTAGCTATGAATACTTACATTGCTATTCAAATCCTTCATTTCCTGATTTCCTTGTTTGATTTTGGTGATTTGTAGAGTTCCACTGGCATCAGAGACCTTCCACAAAGTGACGGCTTCTCCCTTTTCCCTCCAATAATTTTCATCAGCCCCTCCGGCACGAGGTGTTTTGACCCAAGAAGCCCATTGATTTCCTCCAAATGGTTTCCAGAAATCATGGTTGGTGTTCCATTCCTGATCTACTACATGAATCTTGGGACGACCAGCTCTCTCTTGATCCCTGATACTCTTGGCCTGGTTGACTCCCTTCATTCTCTCCAATCTCCCGGACTCGGGAGGCATCCAGACATAAATATCAAGTCCAGAATCGAGAATGAAGACATCCCCGAGGTTAAGAGACTCCTTGATACAATCCACTTGGGTACAACGGACATTCCTCTTGCCTTTGCATTGGAAAAGTTTTGGTTTGTAACCATCATAAGGATCAACAACATGATTGAATCCTGTGGCATGACCTCCTTGCAAGTATCTTAAATTACTGTTTATCCGACGTCAGAATCCTCACTTGATTCCATCTCTGAAATACGAGAGGAAGAGTGCGCTTTCATGATCTTGAACTTCTCGATATTGCACTGGAATACCTCCCAAAGAATCATCTAATTCCACCGTCTTAATGGCCGCAGTCCCCGCCTCGTCCTGGGTTGTGTTGCGACCCAGCCAGAAATGAACATACCAATTGTCATTGTTCTTTGTCTGAGCGACTAAATTTGATGAGTTTTGACTTACATTCAGAATTATATAAGAATCCCCCGAGTAAAAGTTCCCAAATTGCTCTTTGGGGACAACTTCGAGATCAAATTTCTACAAGAGCTGAAGAATTACGTTGAGATTACAAACCTTGATTCTCCATACTTCTAGGCCAATCTTTTTACCAGCATTCAGAAATTTGGGATCGACCATCCTTGACGCTAGTTTTATTATTTACTTCAAACCACCTGCCTAACTTCTCTTGACAGCTGACCAGCGGCCCTTTAAATACATTTCTGAAACAAAACAGTGGGCGTAGTCGGCCTGGGCTGTTGACCCGCAAAACATCTCTCTGATTTACTTCTTGTACAAACGCTGCTTCAACAATTTAAAGGAAAAATAAGCTTATTTGAAATGTTCCTCTTCAAATGCAAGCAGTAAATCTAGTTGCGACTAATATGAACAGTATTCATTAACCTATGCTAAACTTGCGTTTGAGAGCTTCGTATATCAGAATTTTCAACTTTCGAGGGAAATGTACAAACTGACCCTCGCCAAATGAGAACTGACATACATCATTGAAGAGACCTTGAAAATGATAAAGAGGTTGTTTCAATAGTGCAGTGGTTGCTACGTACCATTTAGCGTTTTGAAACAACATTGATTTTGCCCCATATCAGATTTTTTAACTATTAAAGTTACAAATCAACCGCTCGTAATTTTTCGCCCTGAGGCGTTCTGCAAAAAACCGAAAGTATTTTCTAACACTGCTTTTCAAGGGCTTTCGAACGGTATGTAACACTTGCTATTTGGTGAGGGTCAGTTTGTACACTTCTCTATTTAGCCAAAATGACGAAGATTGATAAATTCTGTCAAATTAACAACCCTATTATTTATCTTGAAAATAAATTGGCGTGTGTGTTTTCCAAATAAAAATTGGTTCAGCAGAAGTAAAGATAGCTAGTAAATCTGCATTTTCACAGGATTTTGGAATCCCATGGAAAAATTAGAAAAAGTTACAAGGCTCAATATAATTTGTACTACTAGGGGTCTGCACGCTGCGAGCAACGCAGAAGCCATAGCATAAAACTGAAATCTAATAGAAGAAGCTTCTGATTGTGATACTTCGGTAACGATATCAGCACTGTTTTTGGTATGTCACCTAGGATCCAAAAGGTCTCACAGCGATAACAATTTTTGCCAAATTTGTGGTGTTCTGCCCTTTCGACACTTCGACTGCAGACGGATGTGGTTTACCTTGTAATGCGTTAAATGAAGAAGGTCTTCTATAATCTGGTGGAAAACTTACGGAAAGGTGTGATCAAGGCGAATCTGTTCAAGGATAATATGGCCGATAATAAGCTTCTTGGGTTTTTGGGCAGTATGCAGGATGGGGCGGTCGAACACAAAAAAGACGTCACTAAACCGAAGAAACCAAAAAAGGTGATGCATGCTATGTTGATGTCCTACCAAGGGAAAAGTTACTTTGGGATGCAGGTAAGCTTAAAATTCTGTTACAATATTTTCTGTTTAGAAACAAAAGGTCGAAGCGACCATTGAATCTCATATTCTTGATGCAATGAAGGCCATAGGAGTAATCTCAGAAGAAGAATGTTCGAAGCCTAATTTATTTTGGTTCCAAAGAGCAGCTCGCACAGATCGAGCCGTATCTGCCGTTGGCCAAATCTGCTCGATGCAACTTCCCTTGGATCAAGATTTCATTGACAATGGTCATCTGAAGTTAAATGAGCATTTACCAAAGGACATACGAGTCATGTCGATTAAGAGAACGACCCCGTCATTCCACGCGCAGAAGACCTGTGATGCTCGGACTTACTCTTACACCTTACCCACGTTTGCTTTTGCTGAAATGGATAAGCTCACTACATGGGATTATCGGATATCCGAAAACAGGATTGATGAAATAAATGACGTCTTAGCCTCTTATCTTGGGACCCATAACTTTTTTAATTACACCTCAAAGAAGTAGGTTAATTTAATTCTTAACAGTTAATCAAAAAATTTCCAGAGAACATGACGACCGAAGTTGTTATCGTTACATCAAGTCATTCGAGTGTACGAAGCCGTTTTTATATCACGATTCATTCAGAAATAAAGATGTGGAATTCATTACCGTTTATGTGAAGGGACAAAGCTTTATTCTGCATCAAATACGAAAAATGATGGGTAAGTTGAAAGTTACTCCACTAACAGTGGAAGTCCAAGTGCGGCGCTCACGTTTCGATGAAACAAATGCCTAATTCTCTGTAAGACGCATGCGAGATTTCTAGCTCGAGCTTTGTACAAAACACCGGGGTTTTTAGGTTGAAAGTTGGGAAAAACGTGACACTTTTTATCGAGCTATGAAAACTTTCATACCTATTTTTCCTGTAGAGAGTAATGTCCAAACAAAATATTTTAAAGAAAACCTGAGCGTCGGACTTGAAACACTTCCCTTGTATAATAAGTTGTTTAGGTATGGTGATCAGTGTCGTCAGAGGGTTGGCGTATAAGTCAGACATCTTGAAAACCTTTGAAAGCAAACGAGTAAGGGTTCATGTCATCGTATTAAATTTTAATCGTATAGATGGATGTCCCCAGAGCGCCTGGACTAGGATTACTTTTGGAAAAGCTTCATTACGATGTCTACTCTGAACGCCACGGACTAAGTCATTCTTCCCTGAACGATTGGGGAGAGGAGGTCGAGAAAAGAGTCCAAAGTTTTAGGGATGAATATATCGTCAGCGAAATTCTGAGCAGTGAATGTCAATCACAACAGTAAGTTGTAGTGAAGAAATGTTGTAAACTTTAAGGATGATGCAATGGTTGTCCTCGTTGATTCACCACAGATTTGCATGTGATCCACGGGATGAAAATGGAGAAAGCCAGTCGGCGATGAGGGACGCCTCCCGTATGGCTACTTCTGAGGCGCATGTATCGGATGTACCTCCAACAGCAACGGAGGTAGAATCTAATGAAGTTGGTACCGATGCCGTGGCATCACTTCCCGAAGCCTCAGAGTCCGCTGAAGATGTCATTGATGAAGAGGAGCCCGAAGAAAAAAAGGCCAGAGTCGCATCTTAAGCAATCCAAGTTACTTGTTATTTCTTTGTTGATCAATTAAAACAGAAAACCTAAACATGTTTATTCACGATCTCCTTTCCAATTCCTATATTCAGCCAGTTTCCGAGCTTCGATAGTTTTCCCTGTCCTTCTGGCTTCCGCCCTTTCATCCAGGTAAGCCTCTGTCATCTTGTGTCTGAATTCTGGGTCATGGAATCTGGAATAGTTAGTTATTATTTATGCAGATCTTAAAATGCAAGACTGCTCCGGTACGCCGTCCCGTCGAATTTCAGTCTGACTTTTTTCGTCGCTAGGCTCCCTAAACCTTCCGCTGGGCCTTATTTTAATTTGTCTCAGCCCTTACTTCGCGCTTGAAGACGGCATTTGACGATTGCACCAGGTCGCCGAAAATGTGGGACGGCTTACGGAAAACGAACTAAATTCAATAATATCAAGTACTCACTTTTTCTTTTTACACTCGTTCAATAAATCCCGAGGTAATTCGCATCTTTTTAAACCCCAAGCACCTCCTTGCTTCCTCATACAATCCACCAATTCCTCAAGTTCCGCGCGGCATTCAACTTTCTCAATATTTTTGTTCATTATATTCGGGATCAGGACATCGGCTTCGATCTTTCTCAACGACCGATCATTGGGATCGCCAATTCCATGGGGGCCCGACAATGCCTCATGAGGAAGAACACTCTTCCTGGCCCGGTACTTCTTTCCGTCAGGTCCAATCACAATATCACCCTCCTTCAGTTTCCTCAACTCTTCTTTAGCAAAACTTGTGAGTTGTGGAGGTTCTTCTGCCATTACAAATTAAAAATTTCCATAAAATGAAACAAACTAAAAAAGAAACAAAAATTATTTTAGAAAATAATTATAACTATCGATTTATTCGGCCGAAATGTCACAGGTAAGAAATCAACTTCATTCACAGGCATCTCGAAAATACTTATACCAATTTATTCCCTTCTACAAAAAGTTTTTTTTAAGTCGTCAACTTGAAGCGTCAGTGGCGTTGTCAAATTGTTCTGTCATTTCGATTGTCAAATTGAACTTTTTTGAAAATTTTTTACGATTTTTTTTTAACAGGGGAAGTACCCCAAGTGTGACGCTCAGATTTTGATGAAACTTGGCACAAATTTAGAATAATTTTTTCTAAGATATATGCGAGAATCCTAGCTCGCGCTTTGCAGAAACAACCGAGATTTTTAGATCGAAAGTCGGTGAAAAATTAGGACTTTTTGCCGAATTTCAGCACGAAAAGTTTCATGCCTATTTCTACCGTAAAGGATAATGTTTCTACAAAAAATCAAATTTTTCCGCACGAAACTGCCAAAGTTATGGCCAAAAAAGCGTTTTTCTCTCTGACCGCTCTCCACGTTTAGCGTGCTCTCTCGGCAGCATAAATCGTCCGATATCTCGGCGGCGCCTGCAAAGCGCGAGCTAAAACTTTCAGGAATTGGTATTTAGTCTATTCCCGACGCGTGTGCAAAATTTAAAGAAAATCTGAGCGTCGCACTTGGGGTACTTCCCCTGTAAAAAAGGATTTAGCCGGCAAAAATTTTACTGCGGCAAATTTCGAGTTTTCCAAAAAATTTTCAAGCCGACGTGCACCAGACTTCCCCAAAACATGAAAATAAAAATATGACGGTTACTTGAGCAAGAAATATCATCAGATAACAGTAAAAAATTCCGATATACACTTTAAAATTTTATTGAAAGAATATACAAATCACTATCATACAGAATTAGAGTCGGCTCTTCCCAATTTGAATACTTGTTCAATTTGCTAAAATTTAATTTATTAATTAATACTTTCAACACGGGTATGCCACACGTCAAAGAAGAAGAGCGAAAACGTTTTAACGAGCTTTTTTGTAAGGGTCGAGCTAGCTGTGCACATGAAACAGGATGTCACAGTAGAGCCATGAAACACTAACCATACGTTACCCTTACCGCGAGTACTAAATTTCAGAAAAAATTTTTTTGATTATTGGCCTACTGTAGGTGTACTGTAGCTTTCCCGCATTTCCAGGATCTCAGCCACGAGAGGTTGGATTCTCTCCGAACCTTCTCTGTGTTATAGAATGGACAATTCCAAGCAACTTTCGTATTGACACCTTTTTCCTAGGACTTCTGGAAGTATGTGAAAAATTTGCATATTTGGCAAAAAATTTATATTTCTTAAATTTTCCAAAAAAATTTGCATATCGGGACGTCCTTTTTATTGCTCTAAATGACGCTCCATGAAGCGACAATTCAAACGGTATATAGGTCATCGCAAGGCGTTCTGCCTATGTTGCAAACGAGGCTTCTAAAGGTCGGGTCATCACGGATTTTTTTTGGGCTAAAATTTTTTATGCGAGATATTGGGACAAAATTTAGTCTTATTATAATCTATGCAAAATTCTAAGACTTTTGGACCCCACTTTTATGAGTCTCACAAGGAAAGTACTTTTATGGGGGCTCCTACTTTTTGACGGGACATACCTCAAAAAATCAGAAAAAATGTGCTGATCAAGGATATATAAATCTTAGCTGCCCATTTTGGGCTTTTAAGGGTGAAAATGCCCAAAAACTGGCTCAATTTCCCTACAAAAGGCGCATGCATTCGAAACGATAAAAAGCGCAGTCGGTCTCTTCCTTCGGAAGAGAGCGGTGTGGCCGAGTGGTTAGTGTCGTAGTCTGGGAATCAAGAGGGGGAACGCCGCACGGGTTCGATTTCCCTTTTGGGCTGGATCAACTTTTTTCGATGATGAAGGTTGGAAAAATAAATTTTTGTGCCAAGACTGATTTATAACGTCTTACAAAATCAATAAACATCATTTTAAGCCAAAATAAAAATTGTAAACCCGTGAAAAATTAGGCGAAAAGGGGTTCATATAGGACTTTTAGTCAACTTCCGATTGAGTTTTCAGCCCTAAAAACCTAAAATGGGCAGCTAAGATTTATATATCCTTGATCAGCACATTTTTTCTGATTTTTTGAGATATGTCCCGTCAAAAAGTAGGAGCCCCCATAAAAGTACTTTCCTTGTCAGACCGACCGGTCGAAAGATACGGCCGATTTTTGAGACTTTTCCGGTATTTTTCAATTTTTACCCGGAAGGTGACGGAATTTCGGGGTTTCTTTGATTGCGTTTAATTCAGCAACCCTGGATAACCCAAAGTTTGTCGCTTTTCGTACATTGGCTATTCAAGATTTTTTGAAAAGTTGGTTGTCGCTTCTAGGAATATTCTGAGGTACATCTGTATTTTTTTTGGAGTCTAACAACATGCCGCAAGTTAGCTTCTAATAGAAAAAATCGACAAAATTACCTTTTTTAGTTGCCGCATTTCGGGATTATTCTATAGGCCGAATCGATCATTCCGTTTATTTTCAGTTCAAAAAAAAATCATGCAAATTTTTTGGGGTTTTCTTCAAAGAAATTTTAATATCTAAAATACGAAACGCTAATGTGATGAATAAAGCACGTATCTAGGTCAAATTATATGTTCGGATTCAATTGTGCCATCAGAATGCTGAATTTCAGTCATCAAAATGGAGTTTTGTTAGATATTGCGCAAAAATTTTTAGACAAAAATTTCTTTTTTTCGCGAACATCCGTATCGGTATGCGGGATCGATGTACGTAGGCAACTCCATACGTGCTACATCGAATACTACCATCAGAATCCTAGAAATCCCGAAATTCCGTCACCTTCCGGGTAAAAATTGAAAAATACCGGAAAGTCTCAAAACTCGGTCGTATCTTTCGACCGGTCGGTCTGAGACTCATAAAAGTGGGGTCCAAAAGTCTTAGAATTTTGCGTAGATTATAATAAGACCAAATTTGTCCCAATGTCTCGCATATAAAATTTTAGCCCGAGAAAAATCCGTGATGACCCGACCTTTAGAAGCCTCGTTTGCAACATAGGCAGAACGCCTTGCGATGACCTATATACTGTTTGAATTGTCGCTTCATGGAGCGTCATTTAGAGCAATAAAAAGGACGTCCCGATATGCAAATTTTTTTAGAAAATTTAAGAAATATAAATTTTTTGCCAAATATGCAAATTTTTCACATACTTCCAGAAGTCCTAGGAAAAAGGTGTCAATACGAAAGTTGCTTGGAATTGTCCATTCTATAACACGGAGAAGGTCCGGAGAGAATCCAACCTCTCGTGGCTGAGATCCTGGAAATGCGGGAAAGCTACAGTACGCCTACAGTAGGCCAATAATCAAAAAAATTTTTTCTGAAATTTAGTACTCGCGGTGAGGGTAACATGTGGTTAGTGTTTCATGGCTCTACTGTGACATCCTGTTTAATGTGCACAAGGCAAATTTGAAAGCTCGAGTCTCTCGCAAAACTTGTTTTAAGTTCCGTAACATTGATCTTTCGCGAAATATCGCCGAATTATGGAGTCACAAAAGAAAATTTTAAAACATTGTTCCGAAGGGGAAGTATTTTTTCTGACTCGATAATTCTGGGACACTTGGCAAAAAATCAATGTGACGGAACTTCACGTTTTTACTTTTTTTGGCTGGCACATTTATCAGCCGAAAACTTATTGCGCGGCTTTTTTTGATTTGTTCCGAACCGGCCCGCTAGAAGGCCAGAAATCGGCCCCGGATAATTAAAACTCTGACAGGCTGCACACGAAACACACGACCTTGTCATGTTTTTGGGCCGACCCGCCGCGTTTGAACTCACGCATCGCTGCGCAAGGTTAAGCCTAATACAGGAAACATAAGCAGCGAGCCTTAGCGACTAAGCAAACTAGGCCTAAAACTAAGCCTGGTAGTCCCTCGTGAAGCGATAGGTGTAGAACCGTGAAATACTTACTACCCGCGCTCAAAAAAGTCCCGACATTTTTTACACCGTGCGAAAGTTCAGGGTTTCGACGTCGCGAGCGCAAATTTAGGTTTGTCGCGGGCGAAAGTGCACGTCGGTAGTGCAAAAACGGGAAATCGCGGCGACAAATGCGAAAAATCGGAGAAAGATGCACAGTGCGAAAATTGTCGGGACTTTTGAGCGCGGTTAGTATGACTCAGATGACGTATGACGGCGATTACTCATATCAACCACAAAAAAGTTTTAAATTGGGAAAACTTCTGAAACACTTTTTTAGGATGCCCAAGGGTAGTTCAAATTAAAAATTTGGAACAAACCGGACTGGCCGAAAAATAGTAGATTCAAAACCTTATTTTAGTCTTTTGCTGCTAAATCGTTTCGTAACGACGCAATTGCCTAGATTCTTTTGATCTAAAAAGACAGCAAGAGCATAATTAGTATTTGGCTGCAAAAAAATTTTTTGACGTGTGCGTGTCAAAAAATTTAAATATATGTATATAAAAATGTATATATACAAACTCACTCGTTTAAAGACATCGAAATTGTGATCGATAAGACCTTGCTTCTCATAATTCTCCTCCTTAATTACACAAACCAAAGCCAGATACAGATTGATCTGCCGCAGGAAGATGACTTGTTTTGTTTTGAGAGTAATAACCGCAGAAGAATTTGGGTCGAAGCCATCAGCGCGATTCGAATTCCTAATTGAAAAATCTTTTACATTCACATGCCGTTCTAACTTACCCATAGATGGAAGATATATCTGTGGCCACATCAATCATGTCACAGCATAGCTCGTATGTCGCCATGTCAACGGGTGAGGTATCAGTAGCAATGTAAATCTTACTAGCAACATCAAACAAAAATGATTTCTCGACATTCGATCCCTAAAATGATCAAACCCTTTGCATATTGACATACCTGATTAAAGATGTCCAATAATGATTCTAAAGCCAATAACTGTTTGATTAGTTTTTGAATGACTTTGCTGAAAGCTTCAAAGATGGAATGGTCGTATATACTGGTCATGTGATAATTTATGCGGATCTTCTCCATTCCCTGGTCCGCGAGGTCATCTTGGACCGTCTGAAAGATTTTCCGGTGTGTTTCCATCTTTGTTTCTTCACTCAGACCATCTACTTTGTGTACAAATACTTCAAATTTAATGTTTTTGTTGATCTGATAGGATCTGACAATAGATGGGACCATCTTCTTCAAAGCTTCGTCGTAATCAGCTTGCGCATCGATAACAAACAAAAGCGCTCCGCATCGAGAAAAGATGGCATTCGGATCAAAGCTTGCTTCAAACGGATCGACTTGGCCAGGAAATTCGATTGTTTCGAAGTTAATAAAGGAATCAGAGACCGCTAAAGTGTAACTTAAGTAATACAATAGGGAACTTACATTCATTAGTCACTCTAGCTGTACTTTCCACGAAAAGAGTTTCATTCGGCGACATTTTTTGGAAAACGACCTTCCTAATCGACGTCTTTCCACTTCGCTTCAAGCCCATGATCACAATTGTTGGTCTATTGCCCACGGAAGATTCCGAGTCCGAGTCCTCGTCCCGGAGGCCATAGTCAAATTCCGAGGTCTCATATGCTTTCCCATCCGACATCTATGCCCTAAAGATAATTTAATGAAGACTACTATTGATAAACAAAACGAAAAATTGATATGAATTGAAATGGCGTCAAAATTTTTTGGAGCCCTTGATAATATTGGATCGATATTTGCACTCCCATGTTTGGCATTTCGCCTTTGAGTTTCGGAAACGAACGGGATCTATAATTGAAAATCTTGACTGAATTCTAGAATCCTAGCAATGAAAATGTTGCTCTCGAGGAGCATAAGATTATTACGGACTTGGCCGAAAATTCCGATGCCAGTCAATAATGCAAAATATTTTTGTTCCGAGCCCACTCAGCAATCAGAACCCGAATTTTCCGACCTTATAGACGAGATTGTAACCAATTCAACCGAAAGAGTAGGTATATTTTTATTTATTTCATGGTTTAAGGAGACGAATTTTGCTAAGATCTTCAAGAACTCCAAATTTGTCCAACTTGGTGACTTTGATGGTCGATTGGTTGTTGGAAAAATTGTGCATCGCGTGGGGAATGATCTCTACATTGATTTTGGAAGTAAATTCAACACTGTCTGCAAATCTCCGGCGGATAAAGAGTAACTCTAGTCTTAAAAGACGATTTTTGGCTCGCTGCGTCACCCTCTGTTTAGGGGTCGGACATAGGAAAAAATGTTTTTTGAGTTCTTTGACCTAACAAAGGTAATCACTTAAGACACGGAACGATTTTGTAAAACGATTGTTACAGTGATGTAAGATGTGGGACAGGGATATTGAATCTGAAAACCGCTACTGGTTTCTGAGAGCCGAGATAATCGACCGACAACTTTCTCTAAATTTCCCCGAATAGTTCCAAAAGCAGAAGAAAAACTGTGGGAAGTCACATGTAAAAATTTTGTAAAACCTTACCTGTAATTTATAACTCGAATTCCAACGAGTTTAATTTTCTGGTATGTCAATAAACGAGCTGATGGATTGTAATGTTGAAATTTAGTGGATTACAGCAAACAGTTTTATAAATTCTTTACAAGTTTGGATGCATGCGGATTCGAACCTGAAAAGGACAAAGGCCGGAAACGCGCTTCCGAATCACCGGACCATTCGGTTCGCTTTATTAATTTATACGTAGTATACCCCCTATCAATTTCAACCGGTTTGGAATTGTTTCATTTTTCACAAATTCAGAGTTCAAAAGAATATAAAACCCGTAGTAACGTCAAATTTAGATACCATTTATCCCTTATAATCAGGGTTACCTCAAAGGTCATTTCCATCCTTTTTTTGATATTTGTCTCCAGCGGGGATGGAACCAGGGTCGTCAGATTAGTTGCTTTGGGCAAATCCACTGTGCCGTGAAGCCTCTGCCAAGAAATCAAATAAATGTGATGTTTTTAGATCAGAATTTTACACTGATATTTACGTAATCTTACTAATTTGAAATTGTCATTTTTGAACTCGCCGTCTCCAAAGCCTACGGACAGTCGGTTTTGTTAAGTTTTCTCTATTGCAACGGCAACAGCAGAGCGCAGAAGGACGGTAACGCCGTATGCAAATTTCCACTTTCCGTAAATAATTTGGCGAAAAAATTTGGGAACCTATTTTAATGACCTATACCAACGTCTTAGGCCAAAAAACTCAAAAAAAAGTCTTGAATGTCCTCGGCTCATGCAGCGGGCCAAAATCGTCTTTTAATGTTTATAAACTTTATTTAAGAGGCTATCTCGTTGGGGCCAGTGTTTTGTTGAGGTTGCACGATCCAGAACTTTCTGAACGGTTTCTTGGTTCTCGGTATGACCTTACCCTCCTTGAAGCCGATGCGACGCTCCTTGGATTGTATGGAAAGAGAAGAACAGGTGAGTTTGACGGAACTTGGCGGGAACCTTAAAACACGATTTCTGATTGAGTGAAGCAGCCATGGACATGGAAAAATTTCGATTTTGAGGTTTTTGCGTTAATGTGACTTTATTCGTTCTATACCCATTGACAAAACTTTTTTGTCCACTTTGGCGTTCACGTAGTTATTTGTACAAGAGAGTATTTTCTGTTATCTAAGCTTAACTGTAGATGGTTCAAACGTTACAGCCGATTATTCTGAAGCATCTGACGTCATGACGTACAAAAATCGGCCTTTTTTGAAAAAAAGTTTTTTCGATTTCTTGGTGCTCAGTCAGGATATCCAAAAAATTCTTTCTGCATGGTAAAGAAGAAGATGGGCGGTTTTTTGCCTATGAAAATCATTTTCTCCGCCCTCGCGGAAAACAGTGTATTCGACCTTTGGGCACTTTTTTAGTCATCACACCCATCTTAAACGCTTTTTTGTGGTTTCTGATGGTTAAAATGAGGAGTTTTGTTAATTTTTATGTTTATCAAGCGTTCGGCGAAGGTACGTCAGCCGCTCGCCGTATGTTAAGTCAGCTGCGGATAAGAAATGGCCCAACACAATTCTTATGATCTTTCAAGCATTCTCTGCAGGTGTCGTGTACCCTCCAAAATTTTGTCGTCAAGCTTTGGCAGAGGTTAAGCCATCGAGAAACCACTTTGTGCACTTGAAAACAACAAAATATTTTTTGTTTAAATTTCTCTGCCCTGCTGTTTCAAACATCCGCACGGTGCGCTCCGATTTTATCGGTGTTGCAGCGACTGCTTTGCACCGTGCGGTCGCTAAATCGGATCGCATAGCGTTGTAGCCGGCCTTCTGATCCGTTGTGCAGAAAATTTGAAGACTTTCCGGATGCTAGAGTGTCACAATAAAGCGTTAAAAATTCGTGTGATGACCAAAAAAGTGCCCGAAAGTGTCCGCCGAATACACTGCTTTCCGCGCTGGCGGAGAAAATGATTTTCATAACTTTGCAAGCGCCACCGAGATATTGAACCATTTTTTCCGCGGAGAGTGCGCCTAACGCGGAGAGCGGTCAGAGAGAAAAACGCTTTTTGGCCATAACTTTAGCAGTTTCATGCGGAAAAAAATTATTTTTTGTGGAAACATTACCCTTTACGGTAGAAATAGGTATGCAACCTTTCGTGCCGAAATTCGGCAAAAAGTCCCAAATTTTCGCCGACTTTCGATCTGAAAATCTCGGCTGTTTCTGCAAAGCGCGAGCTAGCATTCCCCCCTGTAAGCCAAAAAAACGTGGATTTGAACAATACTGTCAAATTAACAACCCTAATTAGTCTGCGAACGAAACTTCTAAACGGTTTATTAAATGCGCTGGATTGACGTTGTTGCTTCACTGTGTCTGAAATCGTGTTTTTCATCCCAGTGGAAGCAGAGAAGACAAAAGAATAGGAACCCCGTTTATGTAATGTTTATTGTTACAAGTCGAATAAAATGTTGTGAGATTGGTTAAGAGATCGGAATATTTGATTAAATTAGTTGACGAGAGTATAGCGAAGCCGTTTGTTCTGGTCTTCAAAGAGAACTCCGGAGTTGGTCCAGGTATCCAGACCCTGGTGGACAATCTCTTCGTCGATTCCCTTGGCCACACATTTTCTGATGATATCTCTTTTGGTGATATTGGAATTTCCAGAAACAAGGAAATCGCGAATCGCATCGAAGGCTTCATCCAGTGGACTCTTCCTCCTAAACCATCTCATTACACAGAATTCCCATCAAAAATATACAATCCTTATAAAAAAGCATTACCTTCTAATGTCCTGCATTTTGGGAGCTAATGAAGCCTTGGCCGAATCCATCAACCGAATAGCTTCATCCACGTTTTCAGGGGTAACTTCATCGCTCAAATGGAGTCGAGCCAAAGCTGTACTCAGACGGATTATACCTAGGAGTACACGAGGAGATGTATAAGTGGAGTTAACGTCCTCTTCGGCATCGTTTCTGATCTGAACGTACTTCTCAACAAGTCGCTGGGTTAAGGATGTAGGGAATTTCGGCTGCTTTTTCTTGCAGATCGTGATGTATTTCCTACAAAAGTATTTAAACAATTAATCAATTACAAAACCGAGATCAAGGCAAGAAATTGACTCATACCTGACCAAATCCATAGGTAATGGTTCCATCGCTGCTTTAGGCTGATGCCCTTCTCGGTGGACAAAAGTTACATGCTCAGCCAGACGACGATCACCATCACGATCAGGACGATCTTGAATAAGCCACAATAAATCGAAGCGAGACAGCAGAGCCGCTGGCAATTGGATATTCTCTTCAATAGATCTCTTCGGGTTGTATCGGCCAAAAGCAGGGTTAGCGGCAGCAACAATCGCAACACGAGCATTCAAAGAAGTCAAAATACCAGCCTTGGCGATAGAAATGGTCTGTTGTTCCATGACTTCATGGATGGCGGTTCTGTCCGATTCCATCATTTTATCAAACTCATCAATACAACATATTCCCTTATCAGCCAGTACCAGTGCTCCTCCTTCCAGAGTCATCTCGCCGGTTACAGAATCCTTGACAACAGCTGCTGTCAGACCAACCCCAGAAGATCCTCGTCCAGTTGTGTATTGACTTCGAACGGCCAATCGGTCCACATAAGATAGAAGCTGAGACTTGGCCACTCCAGGATCACCAACCAGAAGGACATTTATGGCTCCTGAAATTTTATTTTTTTTTACGAAATTCATTGGGAAGAAATAATCTACCTCTGATCTTCATTCCAGATTCCTGTGCATCAGTTCCTCCAACCAAGCAGAGCAGGAGAGATTTCTTCACATCTGAAAGTCCGTAGATTTCGGGTGCTATGCTGTAGGCAAGGAGATCATAAATATTCTCTTGCGAAACAATGTCAATCTCCTCTTCCGTCATTTCGGCATCCGCAAAATCTTCAGTATCATTCCGATTATTTTTGATATGATGAACATCAAGAACAACATCTGTGATCAGACCTCCTCCCATTTGTTTGAATCCACTGGAAAGTGTAGGGGTCAATACACCAGACACAAATATCTGATCTCCTGGCTGAACTTGGCGCGTGTTCTCTCCATAACAAAAGGCAGTCATGGCCCGGGGGATACTTCCAACCGGAACTTGGTCGCTCTACAATAAAAACAAACATTAATATTAACATATAATACACTCACCAGTTCTTGGATTCTGATCTCCTGGAATTTTGGCATCTTGGAACCTCGATGTTGAAGTTGAAGACGACCACCAGCCTTCGAAGAAACACAATCCTTGCTCTGACAGTTGATCAGAGGTTGGAAGGCTCTTGTTGTAACAGTCTGATACAGCTCGGAACCACAAGTGTCACAGCTGTATGTTATTACACTAACCGATGGCTTAACGTCGGAGACCCGAATAACAACTCCCTTCATGACGACGAGCTTACCTACCCACTGAGCTCTGATATCCCTTACGGCAAGCTGGGATTCAGTAGGTTCATGAACGAAATAGACTTCACTAAACTTGGAAAATGACATCATAATATGGCAACGGAAATAAACATATCATCAACTCACAATCTTCGCATCAGTTCCTCGGGATAATGATTTTTCGGATCTTCTGGTTGTTGGTTTTCCTGGCTTTTCTCCTGCTCCTTTTTGACCACATATTTTCTTTGGAAAACGAAAGCATCTAAAGCATCCACAACTGGAGCCTCACTAGTACTCAGAATTTGGGCAATGTATTCGTCAATCGATTGGGAAAACAGTTTCTGATACCTCCTGGTGTTGTTCTGAATCTCTGTCTTCAAGTCAGGATCGTGTTGATTAACATCAGCCAGGTGAATGTAGAGAGCTACCAATTTTCGATGAGCCAGTTCCGTAATCTTATCGGCATAAACAAAGTTTTTCATTCCCCCATCGTCCGATTTGAAGTAGTTGCGAAGAAAGTCGTCGATTCGTTGCTTGGCCTCGCCGTAGTTCTTAATCACGCCCATACTTCCAAGAGAACCTAAAAGAAAATAAAGGTTAATATCCATAACTTAAACAACGTCTATCATGCATCAACAAGGCCGTCAAATAATATGCCGTTGAATGAATAAACAACTCTTGCAAAGCTTATACATTTTTCTTTTCCAAAAACGTTCGTTTTATTTTTTCGCGCCTTACCTTCTTCGCGGCAGGACCAAGACCTTGACGCGCTTGACGATGTTTACAAATTCTAGAAGTGGTTATTCGTTGCATGCAACGTTGCAACTTGCAAGTTTTTTTCTGAATTCATCTTCTTGTAAGAATTCATGAATTCATTTTATGGAAGATCTGTTTTCAGTTTTATTTTAACGCGAAAATTTTCTTGAGCTTTTTTAATTTTATGTTTAGATACTAATGGCACACCGCAGCGATGTGGAAGTCGACAATTCTTCCGAAGTAAAGGCCATATTCAAAAATTACAAAGAGATAGAAGAGGTTGGTGAAGGAACCTATGGTCGTGTTTATAGAGCCCGTGACAGTAAAATGAATCGAATGATTGCTTTAAAAAGAATGAGGTTAAACCAGTAAGTGGATTTCAACATTTCGGCATCTACTTTAGGGAAGAAGAAGGCGTTCCTAGCGTTTGTATTCGAGAGATCAGTATTTTGAAGGGCCTGAAGCATGCTCACATTATCCAACTTTACGATGTTGTGCTCAGGCGTAAGTCATGTTTTAAAATATCCAATGATATTTTGTGACTTTTTAGATGGAAAAGAAATATACCTAATTTTCGAATATATGGATACCGATCTTTCAATGGTTTTAAAGCGATCAAAAGGAAAACCATTGGCTTCGAATGTTGTTAAGGTAAGAAACAGAGAAATTTTATTATTATTTTTCCTAGAGTATCATGAGACAACTTCTAAGCGCCCTGAATTACTGCCATTCGAGGCGCGTTATCCATCGTGATCTGAAACCCGCAAATATTCTCGTTTTAAAGAATGGGACCGTGAAATTGGCTGATTTTGGATTAGCCAGGTATGAGTAGTCTTATCAGATAAAATCCCCTTCCATAAAGTCAGGTCTAGCCATCGGTTCGGGCCTGATTTTTGCCAAGTCTAAGCCCGGGCAGATTTTGGCCATAACTTTCGAAATTTTTTGGCGTTTTTTGGTACTCGGTGACAGAAATGGCAACCGGACCGGGCTTCGAAAATTTTGGAAACGGGTCGGGCCTGCTTTTCATCGAGGCGGGCTTCGTGCTCAAGCTTTTTGATCAGGCCCGAGGCAAGTTGAATTTTTACTTTGTTTTGCGGCGAAAAATTTGGATACCAATTTTGGTTTTTTTTTTGACATTGTGTTACAAGCCGAATTTCAAGCTCTAAGAGGATGATAATCTTAACGCCTTTTAATGTTAAGAACCACGATACAGAATTAAAAAAAAATTAAAACTTCAATTTTAGCTCAGTTTGCCCAATTTTACACAACTTTCCCACTAAAATATTGTTTAATATCAAATGTACTTCTTTTCGTCTTTAGTGGCATTTTTAACTTTATAGTAACCACTGGGAGTTTTTTGGATGCGTGATCTCGGGTGTGAGTTTTTTTTACTTTTTTTAACAGTTTTAGAGTATTTCGAGTATTGCAAACCACCCGATACTGTTCGTTTTTACTTTGATAGCTCGCATATGGCCAAAAAAACGCAATGCCATACTATTGCCAAAAATGGCATGGTAACTTTTTTTAGAGTTTTAAAAATTTACTGGGCCGGGCTTAAAGGTCGCCGAAATCTGCCAATTATGATTTCTTATGGGTCGTTGGCAAAATATACTGTCTGGTGTGTCTATATACTGCGCGTCAAAAGTTTGGAACAGGCCAGATCTTCTTTGCGGCTTGAGGTGGTAGTTTCGTTTCTTTTTTATTAGAAGCTCCATATATTAAGAACCTCAATGAATACATAGCCACTGAAATCAGAAAGCTCGTTGGAATTTTTAAAAAAATTTTAAAAAATAAGTGCGTCAAAAGTTTGGAACAGCTTTTGGAAGGTGTATATAAATTATAAACTTCGGAATGGAGGCAGGTATCCTCGCATTTAGTATTTTTGGATGATGCAAGGAATCGGAATGCCAATGGCATACTGATTTTCATCGATAAACCCAAAATGAAAAAATGCTTATTGAACCAAAAACTACGGTCAAATTTGCGAAAAATGAATTTTTTGGTTTGGGTTCTCTATGTTATCGGTGTGTGAGCGTTCCAAAATATTTAATGTGGTCGCACAATTGTACAAGGGCATTCAGATCTTTGCATATGGACCATATCCGCACAGCATAATTTATGAAAACTTTGAATTTTGCTATAAATTTTTATTTAATGTATTTTATATTTTTTATAGAGCGGCTTGGAGGCTGATTGGCTTTAGGACAGTTATCGTGGAATAAAAAGGTGTCTTCAAGAAACAAAAACCCACGCTATTTGCAACATCCAAGGCCACATCTTTCGGATATTAAAAAAAATTTTAGTCCCCAAAGTCAATATTCATATCTGACCCGGATTTGTGGCGTGATAAATCGGAAAGTTGGTTTATGTCACTGTATCGGTGTAATAACTATAAAGGCACTTAGTTTTGAGCCATGCAGCGGCTTCAAATCCAAGATAAAAAATATGGGAATATTAACATTTCATATACCCGCTATTTTTAAAGATGTGGCCTTCGTGTTGCAAATAGTGGCCAGGTTCTGCATCTTGAAGACACCTTTTTATTCCACGATAACTGTCCTAAAGCCAATCAGCCTCCAAGCCGCTCTATAAAAAATATAAAATACATTAAATAAAAATTTATAGCAAAATTCAAAGTTTTCATAAATTATGCTGTGCGGATATGGTCCCTATGCGAAGATCTGAGTGCCATTGTACAATTGTGCGACCACATTAAATATTTTGGAACGCTTACACACCGATAACATAGAGAACCCAAAATAAAAAATTCATTTTTTCGCAAATTTGACCGTAGTTTTTGGTTCAATAAGCATTTTTTCATTTTGGGTTTATCGATGAAAATCAGTATGCCATTGGCATTCCGATTCCTTGCATCATCCAAAAATACTAAATGCGAGGATACCTGCCTCCATTCCGAAGTTTATAATCACCTTCCAAAAGCTGTTCCAAACTTTTGACGCACTTATTTTTTAAAATTTTTTTAAAAATTCCAACGAGCTTTCTGATTTCAGTGGCTATGTATTCATTGAGGTTCTTAATACATGGAGCTTCTAATAAAAAAGAAACGAAACTACCACCTCAAGCCGCAAAGAAGATCTGGCCTGTTCCAAACTTTTGACGCGCAGTATAATTTCTCAATTTTAGAGCTGTGTCGATACCCAGTAGATGTTATACGCACGAAGTGGTGACGATGTGGTATAGACCACCTGAATTATTCCTCGGTTCTCAATTTTACAGCTCAGCCTTGGATATTTGGAGTATGGGATGTATCTTCGCTGAGATGTGCCGAGGGCAGCCTCTATTTGAAGGACTTTCTGAGATTCAGATGTTGTTTAGGATCTTTGAAAAACTCGGGACTCCGAATCCTCAGGTAAATATCTCTTTTATTCAGGAGTGTCGTATCTTTTTAGGTATGGCCGGGAGTAGAGAAGCTTAGAGATTACAATCCCCAGTTTCCGAAATTCCGAAAGAAACCGTTTAATCAGTTCTTGCCAGGTCTGGAGCCATATGCCATTAATCTACTCGAAGTCAGTGGGAATTTTATTTGTCTTATAATATGGTCTTTATTTGTATGAAGTGTCAAATTTTTAGCAAATGTTGGTATATTCTCCACCAAGTCGGATCACCGCTCGGTCTGCAATGTGCCATGCATACATTACAGACTTCACTGACGCCTTTCCAAACCTCGAAGAATATTTCTGATTTGATTACTGTAATGGAAATGGTTTATTTCATGAAGCCTTTCTCCCAAAGTAATGGGATTAAAAGCGATGGAAGCGTTTTTTGGGCAGCCTCCATAAAAGACGGACTGTAGAAATGCGTGTGTGTATATATTTGTGTACTTTATTATCATCCCTCTGAATTATTCATTAAATTGAAGCTTGATCACAAAAAAATGTCTCAGCCTTTTGGTTCTTCTAATTGACCCGTATATTGAAGGTCATAGTCGTGAGGGAAGAGGCTCGATTCCGAGCGGGAAGGCGGCGACAAACATGTCGCATGAGAATCCTTCTTGGTTTATTTGTTCGGATACCCTTTCTTTTGTATGAATGCCTATAAACGAGCCCTCTTTTGACATTGGTGACACTCGAGACGCGACCTTGCCATTGGTTGGTCACTAAGGTCAGTCGGCCTCCACAGAACGGAAACCCGTCATTTCTTCGAGGAGGTCGGGTAGTCATCTGGATGCCTCCGCAAGGTCGATGGATGACAGTCGTACCCCGATCATCTGATTATAATGATTTCGGGAGGATTACGGGGAGCTCTGTTTGCCCTTGAATCACTCGCAACGATAACGACGACTGCCTCGCATCAAGAACCGATGAGCCTGGGAGGGAAAAGAGTCGGCGTCATAATCGCAGCCTATATGGGAGATTATAGTAGCGAGAGTGAGGCACATTTACCATGGGTCCGCTCTCGTATACAGTCTAGCCCTTGGTCGCCGGAGGCGATCCCAGTCTCTGCCGTTTTCGATTTCTCTTTTTCAAACATTCCTTCGACATGCCCCCTCTCCCTGCCTTGCCGTCGCCGGCTTTCGAAACGTTACCTCCCGTTTTTGGTGGTTGCGCTTTTCAGGTACATACGACGACACAAAGACAACCCATTGAAGAGACGATGGGGGAATGTGCGCAACTCTCTTCAACGACCCTTTTATTCTTTCCCTCCCCCCACTTCTCGCGGGTCGTTCGGTCGCGTAAGTCAGGGTTCTGGAAGAGGTAAACCCGTACCCGGTGTCATCCATCACTGTTCTTGTTCTTTTGCCGTGATCTAATGACCGTGATTCGAGGGTTTCTTTGTTGTCCCTGTTAATCTCGCTTTTTGAGGGACAGGACCAGACCGGCAGGATGATCGGGGCTCTGGCACCCTATCTCGGCCGGATCCGCCGTTCCTATCAGTCCAATGATATAATTGACAGACTCAATTATCAGTATACGGCGGTCATGATAATGCTGGCAGCCTTCACTCTGACAGCTACTCAATATGTTGGTAAGCCCATTCAATGCTGGGTCCCTCCAGAATTTACAGGAGCATGGGAAAAGTAAGGATTTATGATGCAATCGAGGTTCGGGATGACAATTCTTTTGGATTTCTTTCAAAAACTCTTTCCTTTCACGTTGGAATTTGTCTGTGGCGAAAGTCCTTCCATGAAAATTTCATGTTATTAACCTCCTTTCACACTTCTGCATATAATTTTCATCACTTTTTGCTTAGAAAAAGTAAAATTTTAATTTCAGATATGCCGAAACTTATTGTTTTGCCAAAGGGACATACTTTTTACCCATCCATGAGAGTATCGACACAGTAGCCGACAAAGAGAAGCATGTTATAGGATATTACCAGTGGGTACCCCTTATCCTGGGACTTCAGGCTTTCCTTTTCTACTTTCCTTCGTTTGTTTGGAAAGCACTAAATTTTAATACAGGTAATAGAACGGAACCTTTGAAGCGAGTTATCGCTCTTCAAATCAATGACTGATGGATGACCTTGCAGGTATTAATGTAAAGAGTGTTTTGAACAGTGCTGCATTAGTCAAAAAGAAGTTCGATAAGGGCACTAGGAATGTGCAAGTTCAGAAAGCTACACTGCACTTAATTGAAGCCATTGAAATGCAGAGAGATCTGAAGACATGTAAGAATTACTTCTTTAAACTTGCAGTATAACAAATTACAGCTACCTTTTTCCTGTCCGTTTTCGGAAAAAGGAATGGATTATATCTCTCCACGCTGTATTTGGCCACCAAGTTGTTATATGTAATCAATATTGTGGCCCAACTGTTAATGTTAAATCAATTCTTAGGACCGTCTTACACTTTTTGGGGATGGGGTGTGCTCAGAGATGTGATTAATGGAAGAGAATGGAGCGAATCCGGGCATTTTCCCAGAGTCACTTTATGTGATTTCAATGTAAGCCCCCGTTTATACATTTATCATCACCTCCTGTTCAGGTACGAATCTTGGGGAATATTCATCGATGGACCGTGCAGTGTGTTCTGATGATAAACATGTTCAACGAAAAGATCTTTGTTTTCATGTGGTTCTGGTTTATCTTCGTAGGAGTTCTATCGGTTCTCAGTTTTATTTATTGGTTCTTTGCCATCAGTCTTCGAAGTCAGAGACGTTCTTTCGTTACCAAATACCTCCGATGCACCAATGCTATTGGTCAATATCCCTCTCGTACTGAACTCAGTCTAGTCAACGATCTGACCATTAAATTTCTGAGATCCGACGGAGTCTTTTTGCTTAGACTTATACAGGTAAGAGGATCAAAATGAATACTCACCTTTCTGTTTAGACCAATGGCGGTGACCTTCTGACAGGAGAGATTGTCTCCGCTCTTTATCAGCACTATCAGGACAAGCAGACGACTAAGGCTAGTCCCAGTCCCGATTCGCCGCAGATTTGATTCAATCTTAATCAACGACGATCACACTGCCAATTTAGATATCTGGTATTACATTGTTCTAGGATAACAAGATGCTCTCGATTCAGGAAAATTTTTATTCGCGAACGTGCCTGCTGACCGGTGAAAGGCGCCGAGATCTTTAAACAAAATATAAAAGTAGGATCTGTAGCCTCGATCCCATCAATTAGTCCTTCATAATAACTGTGGTAATAATTTAAGATTACTTTTACTGTTTTCGCATCTCACAGACTTCAAGGCCAATAAATAAATATATTAAATTCTTTATGATACAGATTGACTACAGATTTTTAAGGATTTAAATCACCTCTGATTCTCTGCTGGACTCATCTTTAGGCTCTTCTGTTTTCTCGTTGGACCTTGGGGTTTTCTTGCCATTTTCAACTTCTTCGTCCGATTCCTAAACAACGAAATTGTTAATAAATTCGGTTCTTCAAAGGAGATAAGAATACCTTTCTCTTTTTGGCAACGGGCTCGTCCAATTCATCGACGCTGACAATAAAACTGTTCTCCACATGAACAATAGGTTCTTCTTCCTCGTCACTATCCTCAGTGCTCTTTGCTAACCGATCACCAAATGGATTTACGCATGTAACAACATTTACAGTCTTTTCCACAGCCCTAAGAAATTTTCCAATCGCGTTGTAATGGCGTGTCGGCTCTATTAACAACTCAGCTAGCCTTAAAACATACTTTACAACCATAATTTATCGCAATAGAAAAAAACACAAGTTCCAACCTCTGAATCGTGAATGGAGCAGCCTCGAAGCCCTCTGCTTTGGCCATAATCTCGTCCCGAACTCTGTTGTAATATTCGCTGTTGTTCATTGGCTTAACAGGTTCATTTTCATCGTTTTCTTTCTCAAATTCCCTATTTATCATATCCTCAATAACCGTCTTGACATTAGTAATAAGAATGAGAGTGCTTACCTTGAGTTTCCAAACAAAAGCATTACGACATATCGACCAGTCATACAATGTCTGTCCCCTATGAGCTACAAAAGTAAAATACTCCTCCAACAAGCTATTTGCGTGTTCTCGGATTCCTTTGGCATTCTTTGTAACTTCATCCTAAAACCAATAAAATAATAAATAAATATTACGTACCTTAGTTGGCTCTTTGAACTCTTTGAGCATGAATTCATAATCAGCAGGATCATGAAAAACAATTTCTTGGAGTTTACGTTCAACCATTTTAACCTTTTGGCCCTGAAACGGCATAACAAACTACGCACATCAAAATATAAATGATATTCGCAGAATTTCATTACATTAAACACAACCAAGACTAAAAAAAACTGTTTTTTTTATTAGAAAAGTATTCGGAATTTGATTGCATGTAGATGCTAGCAACAGAAATAGCATGCTAGCAACAGAATTCTAAAAAAGGGCTTCATGGAAATTGCAAAGCGTGAAATTGGACAGATTTTTTCACTGCAAAAAATAGTGACATTTCGTACGATCGCAGCCACTACTGTGTACTAATGTCCAATTTCCTAAAAAAGGTAAGCATTCTGCGCGGAATTCTGCGGGTTTCCAGTCCGCGAGCTGCGTCCATATTAAAGAAAACGTAGTTCTTCGAAGATTTTTTCTGTAATGTTGTACGGTTTCCATTAACATATTTTTTCTCTCTAATTTATCAGCTTGGTGCTATCGTGTGAAAGCTGATATTTTTGATTGGAATGAGGAACCCGTTGTTATTTATCCTCTTTATATCAGTATTTAACGTTGTATACTCCGAAAAAAGTGTTATAGTGTCGCTTCAAAGTCAATGGAACCACACGTCTTTTATCGCAGAAGTTAGGTATGGGGTTTCTATTGTTTTCTGTATGGGTTTCGATTTAGTGAGTTCTTGGCTTCTGAAGACGAGAAATTATTCTGGAGGTACCTAGATCAGTTGGCACAAGCAAAACCGTTGCCTAGCGACAGTAAGTCCAATTACCTTGCGATCATCTTTGTGTAGGGACTCATGAACAGGAGTATGAGACGGCATACAAAAATGCCGTTGCAATTGCTGGAGAGACGAGGTCAGATCTGATAAAGTTGGCTTTGGCATTGAGAATTTATTCTCCCAGGGTTTCTGTTTTCCGTCAGATCGGGTCTGATGAGCAATCTGGTTGTGGTACTTTTGTAGTGATTGAAGGGAAGGCAACATGCGATTTAAAGAGCTTGGATCAAATTGTGAGTGGTTCAAAGAGGTAAGCCTATATTGAATTAAGTAACTTTTCAGAGAATGGTTCCGACCTTATACATTTGACCATGTACATCCACGATCCAATAATGATGCTCCGTTTGTGATATTATATTCTGACATTGGAACCGAGTCTTTTGCTGCATTTCATAATAGGTTGGTATCGTTGGCAAAGGCTGGTAACGTGCAATATGTGTTTCGGCATTTTGCAAAGGTTAGTTCATTTATGGGATGTTTAAGTTTAGTTGATTTATGCAATGAGTTTAGACTTCCGTCCTGTCTCCTGTCGGATTATCTGGATACGGCGCAGAATTGGCAATAAAGAACACAGAATACAAAGCGGTTGATGATTCTGACCAAAACATGGGTGACTTCGACGAGGAAGGAGATCAGGATGTTCATGGACTTTACTTCAATGTCCTCAGAAAGAATCTTCCGGACAGTGAGGAGTCCTTGAAACAACTCAAAAGACATCTTTCGGAGTTGGAAGAGTTAACTCCTTTAAAACAATGGGAAGTCTCCGATCTCTCATATCAAGCAGCTTACAAGGTAGTCAGTGAACCATCTGAAACTGCTCTTAGCGAGTTGGTAGACATATCTCAGAACTTCCCTATACGCGCCAGGAATCTTGTGAGTATCCGGCTGCCACAGGATTTTCGCCAAGAGGTTATCGCCAATCAGAAAGTCTTGAGGGAAGGAAGCGGGATTTCGGAAGGCGATAATGCGTTTTTCGTCAACGGAATTAGCGTCGATGTTGATCAACTCGACGTTTTCCAATTGTTCGACACAATCCGAGCCGAGGAGAGACTGGCCTCTGTTTTTTATAATATGGGATTTCGGGTAATTCGATTTGTTTTACTTCTTTATCCATTTTTAGCGTGAATATTTATCCTTGCTATATCAGCAACGATTCCTTGAGGAGAAGACCAACTTTGCGATCGACTACCGAGAAGCGCATCCAATTTATTTGAATAATCTTGATAAGGATAAGCAATACAAAGACTGGGGGAATAGCGTCAAGGCTCTTCTTCAGCCAACTTACATGGGAATGCTCCGTCCCATTGCCAGGAACTTCTTTACTCTTATTTTTGTCATTGACCCAGCATCCCCTGAGGCCAAGAATCTCCTCTCCGTCGGTCATTCGCTCTACATTCACCGAGTTCCCATCAGGATTGGATTTGTCTTTGTAGTAAATGATGACAAATCCGTTTCTGGGCTGACTGATTCTGGGGTCGCACTTCTAAATTTGTATAATTTTGCCAAGAACGACCGAGATTCCGCCGCCAAGGCAATCGATTTGGTGTCAAAGGTAAGCCTATGCCTCTTTAAACGACTCTTTAAGGCTCTTGAAAATATCGGTGCCGACTTGACCCCGGAGGCGGTTCACAATTTCTTCAAGGCGAAGTTCCCTGGAGAAGAAATCAATGATGTCTTCCAAGCTGACAGTGATTATGACACTGGCCGGACTGCAGGGGCAGCTTTTCTTCGAAGGAGTTTGTTGGGGAAGGTCCCAAAAGTCATGTTAAATGGAATCGTCTTGGATGACTCGTCGATTACTCCGGATAGAATTGAAGAAGCGATTCTAATGCAAATAATGAGACAGACTAATTACCTACAAAGATCTGTGATGATGGGTAAATTGACGGATCGGGAAAATGTTCAAGATTGGATTATGAAACAGCCCGAAGTCCTTCCTCGATTGAATCAGAGACTTTTGGGCACTCCGCATTCTGTTGTTATTCATGATAATGTTTATCGTAGGTTGCCTTGTAGATTGAGGTTATAGTTAACTTTTAGCTTGCGGGGCAAAGAAGTCAACGGAGATCCGGGAATTGGGAGAGTCAGAGTTGAATCAGTGTGTTTTGGAGAGTGTTAAACATTTTACGAGAGAAGGTGAGGTATAAGAAACCATAGTGGGGAGGCTTCGGTAACTTGTTTTTACGTCTTAGTACTGCATAGGGGCTCCTACTCTTCTACGGGACATATCTCAAAAAATCCGAAAAATCGTGCTGGTTAAGAATATATTATCCCAAGCTGCCCAATTTTGGGTTTTAGGGGTGAAACATCAATTGCAAGTTGACTTAAAGCCCTATATAAACCCCTTTTCGCTTAATTTTTCACAAGTTTACAAATTTTATGTGTAAAATGATGTTTCTTGAGTTTCTAAGACGTAATAAATAAGTCTTGGCACAAAAATTTATTTTTCAGACCTTCAACTTCAAGACCTTCAAGTTTTATATACTCTTGATCTGCACAAGTTTTCGGATTTTTTAATATATGTCCCGTCGAAAAGTAGGAGCCCCCATAAAAGTACTTTCCTTTAAGATCTTTGAGGAAAAGTTGGAAAACAGTGTAAATTTTTCAAAAAAGTCTGACTTTTTTGAAAGAAGTATTAGTATGTGGTTTCAGACAGTTAGAAATGAGATTTTATTGGCAAACATATTGTAAGTATTGTGGTTTCTTCCCGTTATGGACGGACATGATGAGTTTATGTAATAGTGAAATTATTCCAGTCGCTGAGAAGACAAGATGGCTAACCCTTTGGGTTGTGGTCGATTTTGAATCGAAAAGTGGTCGCTGGATTGCCTTGAATGCTCTGAAGGCATTAAAAAAGTCAAAAACAACTCGCGTTGGATTTATTCAATCTGGTGATGTCAACTCCCCATTAAACAAATTCATTCATGGAATCATCAGGATTCTTCCTATGGAGGTGGCTAAAGAAGTATTGACTAAGAAGTTAAGCGATGAGAAGTGGTTACGAGATGCCGTTCAGAATCCTCTTCTCCTGGAAGAATTGAAAGTCAAAGTAAGCATGGCATCATAGACTTGGCATTTGTAGGATTTGGATGTTGCTGCGTTCAAAAAAGAACATTCGAATTTGGATTATTTCGATTTGAAACTGGAGAATGAGTTTTCCCGAAGAGTAGTTGGAGAAGGCAAACAAGCTGTTATCACCAACGGCGAAGTCTTTGGCCCTTTTGAAGCGTCTGAAACTCTCGAATCTGAAGACATTTCTCTCCTTGAACATCTTGCCAAACAGCGAGGAGCGATTGAACTGGCAGAATCTATTGAGAAAATGGACGTTCCTCTAACGAATGACAAGTCTAGCGATGTTTTCTTAAGAGTTTCAACAGCGTTTTCAAAGTACGCAGTGAAGAAGGAACGGCGGCAACTGAGCCTGGCTTCGGATACTGAAAGTGTTGTTTATCTGCTGGCTGGAGATCAGAAAAGAGGAGTGCTCGATCTTACTCTGGTGGTGGACCCATTGAGTAAAGGAGCACAGAAGTTGTCAGCAGTTGTTACTGGATTGGCTAGAGTAATCAACTGTGATATCAAAATAGTCATGAACCCTAAGGCTAAACTCAGTGAATTACCCTTGAAAAGGTTTTTCCGATTCTCACTCTACGAGGAATTGCTTTTCGATCCAAATGGAAAAGTGGTCAACCCTGTGGTCACTTTTTCCGAACTCCCTAACAAGCAGTTATTAACTTTAAACATTATCCCTCCGGACGCATGGATGGTTCAGCCAATATTTGCTAAATATGATTTGGATAATATTAAAATGGATTCCGTAAGTCTTCTGATTAACTGCTTAACTTCTTAGGTTGGACAAGATGATGTCATTGCTGTTTACGAATTGGTTCACATTCTCTTGGAAGGTCACTGTTTTGACGTTGAGAGCGGATCCCCACCCAGAGGGTTACAGTTCATTCTGGGAACGCCGAAAACTCCTGCTATCTTTGACACTATCGTAATGGCTAATTTGGTAAGCGCGAGATGCTTGTCTGAACTCTTCTAGGGTTACTTCCAATTGAAAGCTTCTCCTGGCGCCTGGGTACTGCAACTTCGAGAGGGACGGTCACGAGACATATATGATATTCATAACCATACCAACACCGAGAGTCAGCAAGGTGTCCAGAATATCAGAGTTGTCATTGACAGCTTCTTGGGCCGGGTTATTCGAGTTCGCGTCGGGAAGAAGCCTGGAAAAGAGAACGAGGGACTTCTGTCGGATACCGGCAGTAAAGATGAAGTCCCGATGTTCCCAGAAGAAGAGGAAGAATCGATTTGGTCTTCATTATCGAATAAATTAGTTGGTGGAGAGAAGCACGATCAAATCAACATATTCTCTTTGGCTTCGGGTCATCTGTACGAAAGGTTTATTAGAATTATGATGGTATCAGTAGTCAAGAACACAAAGCATCCTGTTAAATTCTGGCTCCTGAACAATTACTTGTCTCCGCAGTTCAGAGTAAGTGTTCGCATTGGAGGACAGTTTATTTTTAGGAATCTTTACCTAAAATGGCCAAGTTTTACGGGTTTGACTTCGAATTGGTAGAATATAAATGGCCTAGATGGCTTCATCAACAATCAGAAAAACAGCGGATTATGTGGGGATACAAGATCCTTTTCCTCGACGTCCTCTTCCCCCTTAACATAAAGAAAATCATCTTTGTTGATGCTGATCAAGTTGTTCGTACTGATATGATGGAACTCATGAATTACGACTTGGGTGGGGCTCCATATGGCTACACTCCCTTCTGTGACAGTCGATCTACCATGGAAGGATTTAGATTCTGGAAGAAGGGCTACTGGGCGAATCATTTGGCTGGCCGCAAGTATCATATCAGTGCGTTATACGTAGTAGATCTGGCCAAGTTCCGACAAATCGCCGCGGGTGATAGACTTCGAGGACAATACCAGGGACTCAGTGCCGACCCAAATAGTCTTTCCAATTTGGATCAGGATCTCCCCAATAATATGATCCATCAAGTCAGGATCAAGAGCTTGCCTCAAGAATGGCTGTGGTGTGAGACATGGTGTTCCGATGAAACCAAGCAACAAGCGAAGACAATAGACTTGGTAAGCACAAAAATAAAATGTTTATTCTTTTAGTGCAATAATCCGGAGACCAAAGAACCAAAGTTGGATTCAGCCATGAGAATTATTCCTGAATGGACGGACTACGATAACGAAATCAAGAGAGTTCTGAACGGGGAATTGAAGCCAGAGGAAAAGGATAGTCATTCTGAATTGTAATGCCGGGTTTTAGCTTCCCTAACACAATTTTTTTTGCAGCAATAGTTTTCTGCTTACAAAATTTGTTTAACAGGGGAAGTGCTTCAAGTGCGACGCTCAGTTTCATAAAATTTGGCCCAATTTTATAATATTTTTTCAATGAATCCGAGACTCCAAAGTCCCTGCTTTGCAGAAACGATTGAGATTTTTCGAATTTTAGGTAAAAAGTTTCATGCCTATGTCTGCTGTAGAGGGTAATGTTTCCACAAAAAAAATAAAATTTTTCCGCACGAAAGTGGCAAATTTATGACCAAAAAGTTTTTTTTTCTCTGACCGCTCTCGGCGTTTCGCGTTCTCTATCGGTGGCAAATATCTTTGCATATCTCGGGTGCTCCTGCAAAGCGCGAGCTAAAGTTTTCAGGAATTGTGTGCAAATTTTTTTTTTAAATCTAGGCGTCGCACTTGAAAACTTTCCTTGTAAGTGGGGTTTTTAGCTTGTATTTCCTTTTTTCACATTTTCTTAATTGCCTTATTTATTTGTTAAACTGTTAAAATAATGAACGATTACATCACACTTGCAATGATACGGTATGATTTCTTCCTAAACATGTTCTATCGTATAATTTTGCCCCGCGATTTGCGTGCGTTTGAAATTGGACAGACTTTTTTCGCTGCAATCGTTGTCACTATTGAATAATCAAAAATCTGTCCATTTTCGCGCTCCGTCCAACGGTAAAAGTTCCTTATTTTGGCCACAACTTATAACTTTGCGGAAACTGGTCGGAATTAGCCCAAATTTAGCGTGCACGCTCAATTCATCGTTGTGAATGCCCGGACAGTGGATTTAGTTAGTGAGGTACCTTCTTTTTTACGTACCACCTTACCCTTGAAAAACCGCTGCAGCCTGTGATTTTACACTTTATACGATGAAACATGTCCGGAACTAAACTTATTGCCTCCGTATGGAACTAAATGAGTCGTCACAGCCTTCGTAGGTACCCTTAAAACTATAGAGCTATTATAGTAATTCAGTGCCAGCTAGATCGAAGCGTTTTTTCCTAACTTTAGTGCCCAAGCTTGGGCGCAGTTCGCGGGGTACCTTTGTTGTGGCCAAAATAAGGAACTTTTTCCCGTCCAACTTCTGCCTAATTTCACTCTGTCCATTTTCCACGAAGCCCTTTTGAAACCGCCTTGTGGTGTGAAAATAAATTACGATGTCGTCGAGGATCGCGAGATTATGGCAGCCAGGAAACCCTCAGATTCGATGTTTTTTGCCGGATTTCTGGATGAGGTTTAACGAAACATACGATGTGGGATATCAAAGACTTCCTCAAAATGCAGCGGAGTTTGAGGTGGATCCTCAAATGACCAAATTTGATATTAGACAGTACTTGGAAAAGATCTACAATCTTCCAGTAAGGGAAGTTCGCACCAGAGTAAGTTATTTTTCTTCATTATTTTTGTTACTTCTCAGAATGTCATGGGAAAGATGAAGTATGACAACCCCTTCAGTCACCGCTACAGAAGAGCGTATTTCAAGGAACCTGATCAAAAATACGCCATTGTGTTTTTCGTAAGTTATGGGTGTAGATAACGCATTTTTATGAATTTAGAAGAAAGGAACAGTAATCGAACACGAGGTATTCGAAGATCCTAAAGTCATAAACTCCTTGAAGAAACAGTTCGCAACCATGGAGAAACAGGCCGATGCACAGACTCACAATGAGAAGTTTGCAAATCGAAATCGTGGGAGGGTCGGCCGTTTATTAGACTAATCCAAATTGTTTTTGTTGTTGTAGGTTTTATTGTTCATAAATCTTAGAAATATAAATTACATCACATTATGTATTGTTGCGTAGTTGTCGCAGTATCGTATCATACAGTTTCTTTCGATCTTGGGCACGTCCGATGCCAAAGAACCCGCTACTTTTCTTTTCGAATTCGATTATTCTGGAGGATTGAGTGATCATTACCGACAAACTTACTTTTCTAACAATGTAGAAGCGCTTTGGGTGGTAACCCGGACATATTTGCTGTTTCGCTGGCTCCGTTCAGCAAGATAGGTTGACCAATCTTCGTTCATCACCAAGTCCAATAATTGTCGTATATGCGCAAAAGTCATCGGTAGGGTGGAATCATCAAACCCGTCAACTGGCCGGCTTGAAGCGAAGAGCTCGCATTGCATCAAGTCCAGGTTAAATTGATCCAGGGCTCCTCGACTTATGCATTTAAAGTCCGGTGACAATAACGTCGAATAGAGCCGGTCGGCCAAAAATTTGCAGGCCTAGAGGTACCGAAAATGCGATTTCCATTAACACTTACTTGTAGACAGACATGACGTGCTAAAACCGTCGGGAGGTTTGTAAATGATCTGAAAGTTGTGCCTAAGAAGTTGATCAGATCGCTGATGTAATCACTAGAAACTCCATTCGATTGAGACAATTCCCAGTCATAAGTTGCTGAAGTTCCGTAATGATATACGACTCGTGGTTACTTACCGAGCTCGAAGAACTGTGAAATCCTGTCCTTGAGAGATTCCTCGATTAATTGTTCCACTTCAGAACGCGAATCATGAAAGACCTGACTTTTCAGAGGCTCCAAATGACTCGACGAGGTTGACGAACCATCCCCTTTACTCGTAATCTTCGTGATATACCGCTCTAAGCTCTCGCAAGACTTTTCCAGGTATCCCATATTGATAGTTATTTGAACTAACTAAAAAATACTTATAAATATAGGGTTGGGCTCACCTGAATCAGAGATCGTTTCTTTGATCTGACGAATGCCTTTAGAGAGACAGCCCATCTTTCGAGTAATAAGTTAGCAGACTTCCTTATCGTATCCTCCACCTCGTTTTGACTCAACCCTAGACTTTCCATAAAGCCAAGGCATCCCTTCAGATACTGTTTAGACTGTTGAAAAACCCGTGGGACAAATGCTGAGAAGGGTAACGTACGCGGGAATGACTCCTAAAAGAAATCCATTGCGTTGTTAATTTGGCAGAATTTTTCAAAATGCGTAAAATTGCCGTCATTTTGGCCAACAAGGGAAGTGCCCCAAGTGCGACGCTCAGATTTTGACAAAACTTTGCAACATTCGCCAGGCACCGACCACATATCAAAACTCGCGCTTTGCACGGGCAGCCGAACATTGAACGATCCTTGCCGCCGAGAGAGTACGCGGAGAGCGGTCAGATAGGAAAACTGTTTTAGGCCATATCTTTACCAATTTCGTGCGGAAAAGACTATTTTTTTGGAAACGTTACTCTATAGTAGAAAGGCGCATAAAAGTTTTATGATAAAATTCGCAAAAAAATGTCACATTTTTACCAGCTTTCGATCTAAAAATCTCAGTCGCTTCTGCAAAGGGCTAACTAGGAGTCTCGTATCTCTTCGAAAAAATTAGTCTAAATTTGTGCCAAGTTTTATAAAAATCTGAGCATCACACTTGGGGAGAATTTAAAATTCTGATATATGAAGCTTTCACACGCGAGTTTAACATGGGCTATGATTAATACTGCGAATATTAGTCGCAACTAGTATTACTACTTATTTCATTGGTCTTTTTGACAAAAAGGAGAAATTTAGTTCCTAAAAATTTTAAATTCATAAGGTTTTTTAGGAGAAATTTACAAAAATTTGAAAATCAAAACGACAGAGCAATTTGACGTGACGAAAACGATGGCAGTTTGACAATGTGACTAACCGTCAAGTTGACGACTTAACAACAATAGTTTTTTATGAATTGGAACTTCCTCAACAAAAATTTTTAAGCTTACATTTTCTTGCACTCTTTTATAAAGCGGGAAATCATCCATAATGGCTTTTAAGTCCTCCTCGTTATTTACAACAATGGGAGTGTAATTGTCCTTTTCCAACGCGATCTCAAATTCTTTACAGTACTCTTTCATGAATATTTCGTTATACTGATCCCTAAATATAATGTGAGAAATTAAATAAAAAACATGCCTGAAGGTTTGTAATAGATTATAGACGGCCTCCACTTTGTAATCATAATGTTTCATAGTGACAATGAACATCAAGATCATCTTCTTCATCTTCAACATTGTGGCAACATCGAAGCAGTTGCCCTTAAATATCAGATTCCCCAAATGAAATAAACTTACAAAGTGTAAATCCATCACGGAAGTTACTTTCTGGAGAGCGATCTCCCAGAGATGGTCTTTATGGGCCTCGGTGACCAAGGAGGGTTCATACTTCATTATCGTATCTTCCACAATAAAGAACCCCATCACTTCATTCAGATATTTCATATAAGTTGCAGGATTAGGACCCTAAAGATCAGATAATCAACAGAGATTGCAAACATACTCCTTTGAGACCGGTCGCGCAAACCTCGATCTGTTCCCGGCGTTGTTCTCGATAATATTTTTCGAAGATCTCCTTCTCGCCGAGCACATTAAACACCTGACAACAGCTATGAATGGGGCCGTAATCAATCCTATCCTGGGCATTAAACTCCTCTTCCTCCTCTTTTCTGGACGACATTCTTATAACTTCGCTCCTCTTCTTTATTATGGAGCCATCAGCTTCCACAGAATATCCTCCGGTCTCATTTCTTTTGGCAATGTCATCTCTTTTGTTTATATTGAATATGTTCTCTCGATTAGACGTCTAAAGTAAGCTTCCATCATTATACGACCAAAAGGTTAGTTCCCGTACCTTTTTACAAGCATCTTCTCCAATTCGACCACAAACTTTCTGGACACTCTCCAAGAAATCCTTCAGTTCAGAATAAGAATTGTCCCTAATTTGTTGTCGGATTGGAATTACCGACTTCGAAAGGGAATTAGTGAACCTATACTTGTTGACATGAGGAATATAATTGTGCTCCAATTCTTCGACAACTTTCAAAGCAGGCAAATATCTAAAACAAGACATGAAACTCCCAAAAATCCTACTTTTTTTGCTCCATTAATTGTTTTAATTTTGTATAACTTTCAAGAACAGGAAGACACATAGAAATCTGGTCAATCGCTATATTTGCATTCTTCTGCAGCTTTCTGTATCGACTAACTTCCAAACTTATTCTATTCAACTCCGCGCCATCAGCCTTAACAGCGTTACTAATCTCCGTGACAGTGTTCTAAACAAGTCTAAATTATACATCAAGTAATTACTACCTTAATAACACTGCTTTTATCTCCCAACGATGATAGATCACCCACTGAGTCCAAAAAACCCTGATAATGATAAGTGCAGACCTTGAGGATGTTTTTATCATAATGGGCGATCCTTCTGGATAACGCCCGCGAAAATTTATGAACATCGCCAGAATCATATATGGCTCGCAATACCAGGCCTATTGATCCAGAATCCGTGGTTTCAAGTTCATACAGAAAGAACTCTTGCTCTGCGGTCATCTCAGGATCTAAAATTTATCTATAATATTCTACTATAACATACATGCATGGTATGAAGTGGAACCTGTCTCACTGCTGTTTGTGACACCATCCTTCGTCGAATTGGTAGATAAGGTCCCCATGGACAACAGCTAATTTATGCACAACACGGCGGTTTCACACAACAGAAAAGCGGGAACTTCGTTTTGTCCTTTTTTGAAGCGGGGGCGCAGCTCGCGGAGGCAAAAAATGACGTTTTTTTACTGTAACTTTTGAACTAACAGTCGAATCGAAAATCGACCAGGGATTTAGAAAATAGAAGTTGTCTTTTATCTAATGACGTATTAAACACATTGCAGAAGTGGAAACGGAGACCAATTGTCTGTGGCGCTAAATTTGCCTATGTTGAGGATACCGTATCAAAACCAAAAGTCAAAATGGGAACTTGATATGAAGAAGTGGATATGTAAATACACGATTCCGAGTCGATAGACACCGAAAACGTCGAAAAAGGTTGACTGAGCGAGAAGTTATGACACCCAAAAAACATGCTGATTTTTGGCAATTTCGAAAAACTACAGTATCCTTCGAACAAACAGTCGGATCAAAAATCGACCAGGGATTTAGAAACTACTTTGTCTTAGCTATATTTTGGTATACAGCATGGCTAAGTAGGTGATCAAATGAAGAGACTTCTCTGTGGCCGAAAGTACATTGGTCATGTTGTAGTAGGTGAAAGTTGATCGTGAGACAAATGCAAAGGTGGTTATGAGGAGTTAGGGTGCTACTACAACTCAGTAAGCAATAATCGTTTAGAATCAGCGTCGATTTTGCATTAGCGAGGACTTGTGGTATAGTAGGCACCATCACCGTATCCACTTCAACTATCAAGGCTTAAGCCAATAAAAGACCATATATTACGCTTAGACTGTGCTCCTCCATCTTTATGTTTATAAATTAAACATTTAACAATTATTTTAGCCTCATATAACCACAGCTGGTGTTGATCGGGTATGCCACTATATGTACAATATTGCCGGTAAGCAGCGTTTAAAAAAAGTTTCGGTTTTTGTTGGTCCCATAGGTTCTAATGCTTCCTTTACATCTTTGAACGGGTTTGCTTCCTCTATTTAATTAAAATACGGCCTGATTGCTGTTTTAATATTCATTTAAGTAAGCATGTTAACCGTCACTTCATTTGATGATTTTAGAAATCTTAATGTGAATTCTGAATTAATTATTGGTCTGAAAAGATCAAGAAAATTTTTTTTTATCCTTTTAGTATCAATTACATCACACTTCTGATGAAACTGTACGATTTCTTACTAAACATGTTTCATCGTATACCTTCCTCTGCAAGCTGCGCGTTTTTTATTTTTTTCCCACCACGAAAGATACCTTTGAAACCGCCGTGACAAATAAATTTGATTTCATAGAAGAATCATTAATTTCCAAACTGCGCCCCATAAATAAAACTGCAGTTACAAAGTTGTACGAACAAACCTTTATTTCAAAGACAGAAAAAGATTCGTAGACATATATTATTGAGCCTTCTGCTGAATGATTTTCAATTGATATTTCTTCTTCAGTCGGAAGGGAAAGTACTGGACTTGGCAGGGAAAGATTCGATTAGGACCAAGAGCTTCAATACAACACTTAAAAAGAACTTGTTATTACACTAACCAAACTTAAATCAACCACGGACCTGCACAGACACCTCTTTGTATAGCTCATTTACTTCCTTCTTCTCTGGAATCGCTTTAAACTCAAGACTTGTGAAAGTCGGATGGCATTCTAATTTGATGCAAAGCGCATGGACTGAATTCTTGGTTATACGAACAACATCTTCCAAATTCTTAGTTGCCGAACTAAACTTGCTCCAGTCAACTTTTAAAGGAACCGCGTCCTCTCCAACCGTCTTCTGCATTTTCACAATGAAAACCGACAAAGACGATCAAAACTACTTTTTCAAAAATATTATGTATAATTATTTATTTTACAAGGAAAGTACTTCTATGGGGTGTGGAATTACCGGTCGAGATATATATCAAAAAATTCGCAAAAATTTTCTGATTCAGAATATATAAAAATTAGCTGCCTAATTTTGGTCTATCAGCGAGTTTTTTCAATAAATGTTTTTCTCGAGGAAAAAAATCTGCGGCAACAAAAGCGCGCTCGGCAGGGGTGGCCACCGGGCCGGCCCGGCCCGGCGAAGCCCGGCCCGATCGGGCCTAAACGGGCCGGGCCTGGCAAATTTTGAAACGGGCCGGGCCGGGCCTGCTTTTTACCGGGCCGGGCCGCGGGCCTGAGCCATTTTCAGGCCCGGCCCGGCCCGGTTTTGTCGAAATGCCAAGCGTTTGGCATTCAATGTTTTCGCGCCGGAAAAATTTTTGGATAGGTTTGTATTTTTAGTATATCAAGTTCTACAATAGTTTATTACTTTATAGTACTTTTTTGCATATATGTTATAATATAAGGTCCAAATTAGAACATATAATACATATACGATAGTTCTTAGCAGATTTTAGCACACTACAGAGGCGGTAAGATCAAAGGAAAATTTCCAGCTCGCGCCCTAACCGGGCTTTTACAGGGCCGGGCCGGGCCGGGCCTGATTTCTACCGGGCCGGGCCGGGCCTGCAAAATTTTGAACCGGGCCGGGCCGGGCCTGGGATTTTGCCGGGCCGGGCACATCGTTGGCGCGTAATTGAAAAGTGATTTTTTAGCTTGACGGCTCCATTATTGAGTGAAAAAATCGGAACGAAACGCCACAAACTTTGATTTACCACGACCGGTTTTACGCCAACACGGTTGATCGATATATCGAAATAATTGTGTTTACGCAAATTTGACGTGTTGCGGCTGCCACTTGCGCTAAATCTGTATTGTAAAATCGTTTCTTGAGCTCAGAATTTCACGCTAAAGTTGACCTATAATAACAAAAGATTGACCGGTAACTTGACCCTCGATCCCAATCTTGGGGTTCTCGATAGCTCATGAGCTGCATGAAGATATGACGAAGCTGAACACAAAAAATCAGACCAGGTTTCAGAGCTACTTTTCGAGAAAATTCAACTTCATATTATACTAGACATCCGATTTCAATGGATTCCTAAAAATCAAACAAAAAGTGAAAATAGCGACTTACGTTCCTATACCACTAATTTTCGAAATGTTTTCTTTGCTCTCCGATTAGCACTGGTCGATTTTAGTTTCTGCGGAAAATAAAAAGTGAACTTTCCGATTTTTGCACAACGCCAAAACTTTTTGGCACTGATAAATTTAGTCGTGGTGGGACAAACCATAATTAGCAGAAAAAAACGACGTGCCGGGCCCCGGGCCTGAAATTTGGAAAAAGAGGCCCGTTTGCCACCCCTGGCGCTCGGTCTCTTCCTTCGGAAGAGAGCGGTGTGGCCGAGTGGTTAGAGCGCTAGATTGGAAATCCGAGGGGAACGGGTTCGATTCTTTTTGCCTCACTAGAACCCATCTTTTACATTGGAACTACTTTTAAGGTGTAGTTGTAATCCAATTTGATATTTTAAGGCTTGTCAAGGCCTCAGAATTTAGTTGAGCACAAAACAAAATTTTTTTATTGGTAAAAACACGGTCAAAAAGACACTTGCATGGTGTCGCGAGAAAACTTCTGAGGACAAAAACATGTCATTAGACCAAAATTAGGCAGCTAATTTATATATATTCTGAATCAGAAAATTTTGCGAATTTTTTGATATATATCTCGACCGGTAATTCCACACCCCATAGAAGTACTTTCCTTGTTAAACTTGCGTCTTTTCACTTACAGACAATAATATCGCAGTCACCGAGTCCAAAAGCAATAAAAGGAATACATAAATATAATTACAACTATACACCCGACGATGAAGATCGTCATGTCTTCCGAAACTCGTCGTTCGATCAACCCGATGGTTGTATTTGATAGACCCAGGGTCTGTCCTATGGAATGAACCGCTTTTCTGACTCCTTTTAGATTAAAATGCTGACTTTTCAATGTGGCCAAGACACTTTCGGCGTTACCAATTAAATCGTCGACTCCTCGATGGGCACCTTTCATCCGATCGTTAAGGAGTAATTCCTGGTCTTCAAAGTTAAGAGTAGTCTCATTCGGACGAAACCTAAACTCAAGATATGAGAACTGATGATAAACAGCCGAACCTTTGTGTAAGTAATTCGTTCCTTTCATGGGCATGCCTCCATTTGTTAGCCAACCTCATTTGAATTGCGTTGAACGATGATTCCAGCCCTCGATTGTCGTATTTTAGTTGGTCTACTTTAATTTTCAATTGCCGTCGTTTGTTGACAGGCTCCCTACTAACTTGATGTTCTAATCGGGCACACATGTCATTCAATTGTCTGAAAAATAAATAATAAGGGAATATTTGATACTGGAATCCAAGATTTGAGAGACTTACACAATCTGGCCTTGAATTTCTTGAAATATAGGTTGAGCCTCGCTTTCATTGACAGAAGTTTCTAGTCTGCCCATATTGAACTGCACCTTTTGGGTCAAATTACTGGTTTGATGAAATAAATCCATTTTAATTGTTGTATTTACAGAAATAAGCCAACGAGATATGCACAAACAAGCGACCAAGAACAAAAATAGAGATTCTGAAATGCTTCCACTTGTCTGTATTTCGCTGACGTATTTTTTAGAAACACGGGCGCAGCTCGCCAATCTTTTGTAGTCGCCTAGTTTGAGTTCAAGAAAATACAAGTATAATATATTTATTTTTATTTATTAATTGTACGCACACTACTCTATGCCTAATAACGTATTAAAATTATATTGCTAAACATGACGAGAGACCGAAGCAGAAGTCGAAGCCCTTTCAAGGATCCTCATGAAAAGCGGAAAGAAGATGAATATTGGGAACAGTAAGCGGGTTTAGCTTAGGAACCTTACAATTAACCTTTATTCTTGTATTTTTTTTAACAATGTCGTTTTAGACGTCGCAAATCTCGAGCCAAAATTGCAGAAGAAGGAGTCCGAAGAGTATGGGGAATATCACCCACAAGGGATGCATTGCAAGAAATTTATGAAGAGTAGGTTTAAAGCAGAATCATTGTTACTTGTTTAGGTTGGACGAGATCAAAAGACAAGCAGACAAAGAAGAAAAGGAAGCCGAGAAAATACAGAAACAAAAGCTAAAATCAGAAAAGAAATCCAAGAAACACAAAAGAAAACATGATTCTTCAGACGATTTAGAAGGAAAGAAAAAGAAGAAATGGAAAAAGGAGAAGAAGTCGAAGAAAAGCAGGAAGGAAAAGAAACGTAACAAGTCACCGGCCCCTTCGACATCTTCTGAGAGTGAAGAAATTCAAAAAGAAGAAGATGAATGGGTTGAAATGACAAAAGAGATTAGAGAAGAGGTGGAACAGCAACAGAAGACGGAGGAGATAGGGCCTCAGATCCCGGAACACCTACTAAGGAAGAACGAAATCAAGTACTTTGAATTGGATGCAATGTAAGTAACTGTTTCATATATTTTGATGTTAGTTCAGTGATCGTAAGAATATACCTCGAGGAGAAGCCGCAGCTATGGCGGCATATGCCGCCCAAGGAAAAAGAATACCGAGACGAGGAGAGATTGGCCTTTCCTCTGATGAGATTGCTACGTTCGAAGATGTTGGTTATGTGATGAGCGGAACAAGGCACAAAAGTATGGAGGCGACTCGGCTCAGGAAGGAAAATCAGGTAGGTTGACAAAGTCTGGGCAAAAGCAACTCTTCTTTTTCAGATTATGACCGCCGAAGAGAAACGATTGTTAAGTGGATTCACACAAGAACAACGGAAGGAGAAGGAAGAGGCAGTTATGAATCAGTTTAAGAGTTTAGTGTCTTCGAAACGGCAATAAATTGTAGATAATATACCTGTTATTCTGATTTGGTCGGTTACCTTTACTATTATATGTTTTTTTGTTGTTATTATAGTTATTATTGGATTAGACAGATGCTTTACGATTCTACAATTGGGAATGAAGATGTGAAGAACATGGTATTTGAGAGAAATGGTGAGTATAAAAGATACGATATTTATTTATTCAGCCCAAGTAGTGGAGTATAATTTTTTGGAAGCTCTCGGAGGGGCATGTGTTTTTACATCACAACTGGATATGGTCATTATTTACTTCACTTTGTTCGAATTTATCGAAGCCAAATCCTTGAACACTCCAGTGGTGATCTTGATGGTGGTGTCTTTTGTTTTAATAAATCAAGCCATATCTTTCCTTATAACTGGGACGTTTAAATTCAAAGAGAAGGTCAAGTCCGTGCTCACCTTCCTTCTGTTTGGTTATGGATTTACGCCCATGATACGGACATTTACCACATCGGTGTGCACGGATACCATCTATGCGGTCTCTTGGGTGGCATTTGTGTTAAGCTTAGTCTTTCAGGATTATGGTTTGAAAGGCCCAACGTAAGTATATAATGTTCTTGAATTATATACATGCGTCCATTTCAGAGTCAGTCATGTTCTTTCTGTGAATTTGGGGATCTCGGCTTCTGTGTTCCTCATCTCCAGAATGGGCGACGACTTCGATGCCTTCTGGCTTCTGACCACGGCCATCTGTTTTTTTGTTTATTGGCCTCAGGTTAGAAATAGAATCAATTCCAAGGTTTCGGTGTTTCCTTTTGTTTATGAGTTCTTTTGTCTTGCCGTTGTCTTCTCCACGGTATCCTCAATATCTGAAAATTATCTTTATGTGGTTATCATGGTTCATGTTGTGTTATTATTGCTATTTCCTTTAGCGTTGATGGCGTTTCAGCCTATGAAGAATACGATAACCGGGCCGTGGGATATTCTTGCGTCCTGATTATGATCTCATTTTTTTATAAACCCGATAAATTTATGAAAATTTAAAGACTCGTGTTTTAGCTATTGAAAGAAGGACTATGTAAATAAAGGTGCTATTTTTCGAGCTAGAAAACGAAACTTTGTAGGATCGTACTTACGAGCACGCGCCAATTTATTTTCTAAATTTATGCGAAGTCTCATCAAAATATAAGCGTCGTACTTGGGGTACCTTCCCTTTTAATAAGAAAAAATCAATAGTGACATTTCGTATGATTGCAGTGAAAAAAAATCTGTCGAATTTAACAGTGTCCAATTTCCCCCTGTGATATTTCCATGAAGCCATAGATAGGTAAGGGCTTAATAAAATGAAACATAGAAGAAAGGAAAGAAAAGAAATAATTTCTGTCATTATAACTATCGAATTTTTATAATTAAATCAAAGTAGGCTCCGCCTTTTTTAACTTATAGGTGTAAATTCGAGTTCCCTGGAAATAATTTGGAGTGTTCATAATTCCATTGTCAGAACAAGGTTAGGATATGATTGAATCTAAAAGATATCGTCGAGATGAAGATCCGACCCATCCGAGTCCCTCTGTTGTAGTTCATGTTAGAAATCTCGGACCTTTGGTTACTGAAGCTGATTTGGTGGATTCGTTAACTCCAATTGGTCCAGTGGCATACACAACCTGCATGCCAAATAAAGGAATGGCCCTTGTAAGTTTGAGCTCAATAAACTATTGCTCCTAGGTGGAATTCGAAAGTTTGGAAGATGCCAGAAGATGTGTTTCAATGTCGCAGACGTCGCCCATCGATGTAGCTGGAGCCCCAGCTCTTTTTAATTATTCAACTTCTCAAATTATCCAACGGACAGCTCTTGAATCGGAGAAACCAAACAAAATATTATGCCTTACAATAACTAATTTAAAATACCCGATTAATGTCCGGGTTATTTATAAGGTATCGTTATCTTCACTACTGTTACAGTTATCTTAGATCGCTAATCAGTTTGGAACAGTTGAGAAGATCTCAATACTCCGAAGAAATTCAGTTCATGCGCTCGTAGAATTTGAAACAATCGATATGAGCAAAGCCGCAAAATACGGACTGAACGGAGCTGAGATCTACAAAGATTGTAACGTGGTAAAGGCCGAATTCGCAAGGGTAAGCCCAAATACGAATGTTTATGTGTTGTGATTTTAGACAGAGTACATTAATGTAGCTCGACAGGATTTTGAACAATGGGATTACACGATTGACCGTAAGAAAATGTTTTAACTTCACAAAAGGTTGTTTCTGTTTCAGCAGATGGTCCTGATCCAACATTCCGTCCTTCCGATCCAATCCCCGCATCCCCAACAGCAGTTATTGACCAAGCGGTGTATAGTAAGATTAAATAAATGCATGACGGGTGTGTTTACAGATAATCATTCTTTGGCGCAAGCTCAGCAACAGGCTCTGAAGGATATGGGTGGACGAATAAGTGATCATTACGGAAAAGAGTCTAGGAATTCAAGTTACGATTATCCCGATCGATCCAGACAAAGCAGATTCCAGACAACTCCAGATGATTATGGGTCAGAGAAAAGACATGGAACGGAGACAAGTGTTCTAATGGTGTATGGAGTCAACCATGAACAGTTTGATTGCGATAGAATATTCAACCTGTTCTGTTGTTATGGGAATGTGATTAAGGTGAGTAGAAGATATGTTTACGGTTATAATTTTTAGGTTAAATTTATGCATTCTAAACCAGATACGTGTATGGTGCAAATGGGGACATCTCATGAGGCCACAAACGTCCTCAAATACCTACAAGGAGCTGCTGTATTTAACACAACATTGGCCATTCGTCCTTCGAAACAGAATGTGTTACGAGATTTGGCCGGTGAACCGTTTCAATTGGGGGATGGGCTTCCTTCATTCACGGATTACACTCAAAGCCGACTTCAGCGATTTTCAATCCCTGCGTTGGCTGCGCGCAACCGGATTGTATATCCAACAAATCAATTGCATTTCTTCTGCGCTCCGATGGATGTTACTGAGTCATTTATTATCGACGTAAGAACGTCCGGCCTTTCTATCTAGATTTTAGATATTTAAAAGTCGTCATGGACCTCATCCTCAGAACGCACTTATCTTCAACACGAGATCTGATCGATTCTCATCAGGGCTGGTGACCTTTGACAGCCCAGAAAGTGCGACTGAAGCTCTTATGGCCTACAATCACATGACCGTAGAGTCCAAAAACTTTGAAACATTTGTTTTGAAGTTGGCTTTTGCTGGTAGTAAAGATCGAGAATACCGACAACATTAATCCGCAAAAAGTTTAATTTATTGTTCCTTTATCAATTGTAATAAAGACAGACCCGTATCGACAGTAACCTCCTCTTTCTCAAGTTTGTTTCAATCCTCATTGTATACTTGTAATCTGGCACCGAAGATGCCCACTCCATCCCAAGGGCCTGGCAGGGCGATTAGACGGTGGACCTTTATCTTCCTCAATACCGTAATATGGAGCTCTTTCTAAAACGTTGTAATCGTATCGATATCTTACCCCAACAAGTCCCGTCACGACTTCACTGATTTGACGGAGGCCTTCGAAATTTAGAGCATGGATTTTGTCAAATTGAACGACTTTATCGCCTTCCGCAAGTCCCTTAAATAAGCGAACCTAATAATATTTTAACTTTGAACTACCGCATGATAGGCAGGAGAATTGTAGACGACGTTCTCAACAAGAAGGAATGCCCTGTTTGTTGGGCGTCTAACTGCAGGCTCTGTAGGTTTGGCAGTTCCTGACAGTCCGGGTGTTTTTTGATGCAGCTCCCCCAACGCCTTTTCGATTTCATCGGTTAAGGCTTTTCGATCGTTCGTCAAGGCTAAACAACAATAAACATCTTAAAAAAACACATACCAATAATATTCTTTCGAGTCAGTCTAATTGCTGGGAGATCTAGATCACTTCTGGGAAAGCCCTCGGCATCCACCAAAGGGGTTTCCATGTCCACATCAAGCTATAAAGATAATACATTCTAATTTTCGCCGCTTACTGTCTTTAGGGTATGATGAAGATGGCCCAGTTCCTTATCAATATTGTCTCTTTCCAAGATTAATTGTTTTACATCGTATTTGTTAACTCCGGCCATTGTAACCTGCAGTTAGATAGTTTTAACAAACTATAGTTTATAACCCTTCTTCGACTTTGGCGCGATGATTTTTTTATTTTGCAGGACGTCAGAATAAATCGTTCGTGTTGGGACCCGCATGTCAAATTATGGCCATCTTATTGGTGGATTGGCTGGTGGTGTAGCAAGCACATTAGTATGTCATCCCCTCGACTTTTTGCGAATCCGATATTCAGGTAGACTAATCTTTAAAGAAAATTGATTCATTTTCTTGCAGCCGATGAAGGAAGCAATTCAAGGCCAAGATACCGTAATTACTGGCATGCAGCAAGAGTCATCATCAGGGCGGAAGGGGTGCGGGGGTTGTATCAAGGTCTTAGTCCGAGCATAATTGCTTCCCCATTATCATGGGGTTTATATTTCCATATGTAAGTCCTCTTTTGTCGTTCGTAGTATCGGACTTGTACATTGTAGTCCCTTTTCAGATACCATGAGATTCATGACTTTTGTGGGTTAGACCACAAAACCCCAAGCCACTCGATAAACCTCGGCCTGGGCTGTGTATCGGGAGCCCTTGTTATGGCAGTCACCAATCCACTATGGGTGGTTAAGACAAGACTTTGTCTTCAATATGAGCACCAAATCAGAAAATACCGCGGATTTGGACATTGCTTGCTGACGATATGGAAAGAAGAAGGCTTGGCTGGTTATTACAAAGTATGTTGAGACAAGACCGAATTTATTTTCTGTAGGGATTTGTCCCCGGATTGTTGGGAACTGTAAATGGATCCATTCAATTTGCCATTTATAACTTCCTGAAGCATCAGAGAACAAGTTATCTTCAAATATCGAATGATACTCCGTTGGTGAGCTTTTCTTTTGCCAAAGAGTACACTTTGCTTAGGGTGCTGTTTGGTATCTCCTCTTCTCGTCGATATCAAAAGCTTTGGCAACTGTATTAACGTTCCCTTATCAGGTTGTTCGAACCCGTCTTCAGGTAAAGCAATAAGAGCCCCTTTACTTTATTTTCAGGATCATAATGCCCACTATAAGGGCCTTGTCCATTGTTGTCGGTCCACCTATCGTCTTGAAGGAGTCCGGGGATTCTATAAGGGAATGTGGATGGCCACTCTCAAGCAATTGCCGACGGCGGTCATCACTTACACTGTCTATGAGTACGCTCGACACTTGACATAAATCAATAGGGGAATTTAATCTTGTTTTCTCTGTTAAATTTGATCTCATCTGGTAAAGCTTTTGTCCAGAAAGTGTACTGTTTTTCCATTACCCCCAAATAGTAAGTGACTCCGGTATCATTGTTACAACTGCTGTGTTTGCAACATTTGGCACATGTGACCTGATGTTGGCCATATCCATCTGAATCACACAGTTCCGGACATTGGACAGCACATCCCCGAGTGATGGAGGTAAAAGAATTGAGAGTTGTGGTTACGGTAGTCTGGGAAAATAATTTTGGAAACGGCGTTACTCACAATGCATTCCTTCTCCCAGGGTGCACAAGGTCTGATAACCTGGTTTTTGGGCTTCTCTAGAAGAGTATCATTGGCACACCATCCATCTTCACTGTCATAGACATCGTTGAAGTTAAATGTACAGGAATAACAACTAATCCCATGCACTGGATAGACAATCCCAAGTGCTACGATGAAAATTTTCATGGCAAAATAGAGTATTTGTTAGCCCAGGTATGCTTTAAATGCCCTCCGGGTATTAGACATAGCCCATTTGAGCTTGGAGTGCCCATTTCCGGGTTATTTCCTTGCTTCTGAAGGAAAGCCAGAAAAATGAGAGAGGATACCGTAATTGAGGGATGAGTTCTTTTTATGGGTGAGAAAGATCTCGATTATTATTGGGACCTAAACAATGGACCGCTTTCATTGAAAAAGAAAAGGAGTCAGAAAATAAAAACAAATGGAGAAAAAGAAAAACGGGTGGCCGTGGGGGTATAGCTCAGGGGTAGAGCGCTCGCTTAGCATGCGAGAGGGCTGGGGTTCAATTCCCCATACCTCCATTACACTTTTTGGTTTATTTTCCTTTTGAAAATTATATATACATATTAGTAGTCCGTCCGGAAAGTCGCCGGACTGAAATCGGCGACGCGGACTCTGCGACAACGAAAGTTCACTTTGCACTGTGCAATTTTTGGCTTTTTGCACCGTGCAATAGGCCTTTTGGGGCTGTTGCTCGCACCCTGAGTTTTCTTGCACAGTGCACGTCGCTGAAATCATTCCAGCGACTTTACGAACGGACTGATACATAAACAGTTATTCGCGGGTTACTTACGATCACGCTCATATGGATCTGCAATTGCATTTTAGGGGCTTTGATGACTAGCCAAACACATGGATTGGTATTTTGTTGGCCCATAAGCCAGCGAAAAATATGGGGTTGCACTTTAAAGGTTTAGGTGGCTAGAACGATGTAAGGCTTTAAAAATCCAATCTAACTTTTTGACTAGCCATCTATGACTTCCTAACATTTTTGAATAAATAGTTTTTTTCGAAAATGTAGGGGGCCTGATCGGAGGAGGCGGTAATTCGCGTATCCGTATTTTTATTGAATACGGATACGTCAAAAATCGGCAATGGATGCAAGAAAGATTTTACAAAATTCGTGTATTTGGATACAGAAAAATCATACCAGCTGATTTGTCGTCGGATATCGATTTTTGGAGGGAAAAAATATCAGTATGAGTATCCATGTCCGAAAAAGCGTGAATCACGGCACGTAAAAGGTTTCAAACACTTCAGGGAATTCGCTGGAGTTTGTATGTGTATACTAATGTTTTAATAAAACATGATTTGATGGCTTTGCTGGCTCGAATGAATAACATAGCTGGTTCCTTCCATCCGGAAAATCAGGAAGGCCAAATAATAATACTATTCTCCCCATCCGACTTTGTTTTGCTTGTTTTGTAATTTATTAATATTACAACAAGTTCTTGAAAATAGGACTACAGGTGATATATCTCGTTCGTCGTTGGGCGGGTCGTGACTGCATTTATTCTTACTGTGCACGCCACTTACTTAACTATTAATGAAACGAAACTTTGCCTTCCTTCTCTTTCAGAATCCTCACAAATAAAACCCTGAGATTCGAGGCTGGGAATCTTGACTTCATTGAGTCCAACCTTGAAGGCGGAGTCATTTTTTTTGATATATAAAGTTGGATTCATTTCCTCCAATTATCCACATTCATCATGATGCGGTCTCTGATTCTGTTCTTGTTCGGCCTCCTGATGCCAGTTTTATTGGCCAAGTCGGAACCGTAAGTGACGTAGCTACCGTAACCTCAATTAAAAAATAATGTTTTAAGGTCAGCCGGGGGTGTCTACGAATTCAATCCAAGTATGTTTTCATCTTATTTTAGATCAAATTTAGATGAATAATGCGCAATAAATAGGGTTTTTTAGGGGATTGGAAAGCCGACATGAGTCCCCATAACTTCTACAGATTCAGGTGGGTAAACGTGATCAAATTATATTAATATACAGACGCTACAATGTGTTCTCCAACGACAAGAGATCCGAGATGGAATTCGACGACCCACGGTGAGTACAGTACCCCTTCTAAACACCTATTTCAGATACTTTTCGACCGCGTTTGGAAAGAGAGCCAGCAGTTTCTTGTAATTTTGTATCTCCATTTAATGCCAATCCAACCCTTGAGCACCAATAAATGTTGTTTTTATTTATAAATCCATTAATTTGGAATTCTTTTTGGATTCTTTTCGTTCAGTGGGGTAGATGAAGAACATTGCCAGAAGGGATCCGTCCATGCAGCAGAAAACTCCATTGGCTAGCTAAAGGAATTAGTTGTTACAGTAACCTCGAAAATGCAATTGCAAGTCTTACCAACAGATAGAAATCATTGATCCCGATGGAATAAACGATCGCATGCAGCTCCATGATCCAGGTAAAGGCAACTGGGGCCAGTGGAACGAAGTCTATTACTTTGGTCTTGACAGCACGATACTAGATAAATAAAGTCTCGATAAAAAATACGTACCACCAAATAAGGGCAAACAAAAGAACCAGCGATTTGAGCGCCTGAGGCACATATCCCTATTAATTGTTTCCCTTCTTCGTGTGTAATTGAGGACGCATACATGAACAAGAGCATCATAACCAGGGAAATCACCAGAATACCTCGAGTTAACCGCATCTAAAATTGTATTCTGTTGTATACAGCATGATGTCATTAAAACTTATAATTTGTACCTTCTTGGTTCGATAATGTATTAGAAGCCCAACGAATGCAATCTGCATAAGAACAGCGTATGTTTGAAGGAGAATCAGCTTCAGATCTCCAATGAAAACAGAGTACCGTAACCACAAGGTCGACCTTAAGAAATAAATATAAATTTCACGATCGTTGAGATGCAATTCATACCCAACGACCGCACAGATATACGGTAGTGCAGTGTCTCCATCACTGCTTTTCCGACGATACCATTTATGGACTGCTTGTCTAAAATAGGAACAGTTCTCATTAACAACAGAACTTTAGAAGTGAAAAGTCAAATTTATTACACTGGACTGGCAATTAGAACAATAGCATGAAGAGCTGTGGAGGTTAGGAAGAGACTCCAGACAAGATTCTGAGTGTAATCTTGGTACAACTGGGACAAAGAAAGAGTCTCCCAATCGGCAGACATTACTCCAAAACAAATAATTGCATTCACGGATTCAGCCAACGGCTTATCGCTGGAATCTCATGAGGAAGAAACGCCCGCCTGCTACGTCACCATGTCGTCACAGCAAGGCTACCTGATCCTTCATTTATTTTTATTGCCTTAGGACGTTTTCTTTTATACATTTTTAAGATTTATCGTAGGAAAGCCAAATTTAGAGGTTTTTGGTTCGAATTCTCTGTCCTGTAGCCATCTCTCCAACTGTTTTATCTCCCGCTGACTTAACGACATTCTTTTTGATGTCCAACTTTGAAAGGAGTCTTTCTTGACAGGATTCTGTGGTGCAAAGCATTTTCCTTACACTAAGAACCAGATTAAAATTATTTTTTACAGCGACCTTGTTTAGCATTGACCCGTTTTTGTAATCTCGACTAATCCTTTCCAAGTGTCGGCCGCAGCTCGCGGGCTAGAATTATATGCAATATTCTTGCTTGTTTTGTACGTCCGATTGCAGTTGATTCGGTCAAAAAATGATGGAGTAGAAGTACGGCCATGGTTTGGTTCCAGCAATGTATGTGCTTCAGAAAGGAAGATAAAGAGTAAGACTTTATTTTACACTACTAACATTGGTGTAATTAGTAGCAACATCTACTACACTGCCTCAAGACCAACAAGACGACAAAATGAGGCTGACGGAACACCAGGTTCCCAATCTTCTAATAAAAATGTGGTAAATTTTTGTACCGTTTTGTCAAATTTAGATTTTTGAATAAGCGAATATGTGGCGAATTTCTGCATGAATAAATTTTAGCAAAAGTCCAGACGAAAGTTGTTCTTTGCGTTGAAAAGGAAACCACCACCTGCTTCCAATCCTCCAGTTCCTCAACAAGAACGCCAACATTTTAATCCTGATGACATCCCCAACATCGACGATCCCATTCCAACGTACGAGTCCGTTGACGCCACGGATTCTGATATTGCGTACTCGGTGAACGGAAGACCGAGAAGATACGATTATCCAACATTCAAATCTAGGACAAATGAGGAAGCAGTTTATGCAAGTGCATCACAGATATATTCTGGAGGAAGTGAGGATCCTTATAGTTCCATAGTAAGCGATATAGAAGGGAGTCGGCAACGCGGGGATGACACTAGTGTGGGGTATGCCAGAGTGGCAGAAGATGCTATGAAACCATCTACATCTCGACCCATACCTGCACGGAATGTGGAGAGTTTATATGCAAAAATAAACAGAAACGCGGTGAACAAGAAGATTAACGAAGCCAGCACTTCTTTGCATCCTCCCGGCCTTCAATTATTGCCTCAGGCAGTTAGCTATTCGATCCCTTCTACATCGATTCAAGTGCAACCGACACCCGCAATAGTTCCAAGTAATACGCCCGTGTTTGATCCAAATTATCAATACGACGAGAGTGGATCTGGAAGTATAACATCAAATGGGAGCAGAAACCCCTCTTACAAGTACTTAACTGTACGAGAAACATTAGGAGCCATTCGAGAACGGATTCGAGCAAGGGAAGAGGGGTAAGAATAAGTCGAAATTACCATATTCAGGGGCGTAGCTAGGGGTTGGTGTGGGGTGGGGGACGGTACCCACCCCCTCCACGGAATTTTTGATCAGCTGCTTCCCCGGCCATATTCGCAGTTTTAGTATATTGGAGACTCCGAGAGTAGGCCGAGAACACTACTATTCCACAATAAACAATGATTATGAGACAGTAAAAGACTTGCGACCTCTGAATGTCGTGACGGACACAAAGACGAACCCCCGACCCCCCACTTCGCCTGTTCCCAATCATATTCCGACAATGGTAAGGAGTTTTCCATGTTATCAAGAACCGGCGATCCATCTAATCCAATCTCACTACTCCCAACCGAAACCCATAATCATCTCGTTGGCCGGTTTAGCCCGACTAGGGGGTAGTGCACCGGGTAGGCCTCGACGTTGTGTGGAGGATCTAATGTGGTGAAGATTATATACAGTACACTCCGAGGTAATATATTAACTTTCAGACATAAATCGACCTAAGAAACGGTCTCGAATCCCCATTCCAATACATCGGATTCATCATCAAGTACCTCACACAAAATCTCTTCCTCCAAAAAGTAATTTGAATGCTCGAAGACGAATTCTTGGTCTAGATCTCAAGTCGGATTCCACTATTTTCTCGCCGAAAGGTCATGATTATGTTAGTTTAATCGACTTTGGGCCTGAAAAAGGGTGGCCTTTCAATCGCACTTAAGGAGATGAACGCTGTGATTATGATGTACAAAAATATTGTAAATAAAATTGTTAAACCTGAACTCGTTATATTAGATAATTGAGCCGAAACGCATTTTAGAACTACTTATTTATTAGCAGTTTAGTATAATACGATGATATGACAATGTCTAGATCACAACAATGTACAGCAACAGGGGCGTGTCATGATGGTAGTTAATGGTTCTTCGCCGAACTCCTTCCCCCTTCCTCTAGTCTGATACGGTGAATTCGAACTTGGTCCTTTCTAGTCACAACATTTCTTTGTCGGCTGTTCTCCCGTTTTCTCTTCTGACGGCATCGTCGGAGATTACAAAATGTTCAAAAGATCATCAACATCTCGCGTCAAGAAACGTCTCGCCACGACAACAAAACATTTCAACAAATTTGCGCCAAATTTTCGACGAAATTGGGTGCGTTGAATTCGAATTCTGAATTTTAATTCAGAGATCTCTGCGCGCGACACATATGCGTGACTTTTCTCGAAAATATTTCCATGTAATCCGAAGTGCAAGTTTTGAAAAATGTTGAAAAGACGGTCCACAGTTGTTATCAGCGAGCCCAGCAGTAGGTTTTGCTGCTGAGTTTTAAACTTTTTAATCATAAATGTTCAGCAAGCAAAAAAGTGAAGTTGGATAACAAGAAAGCTTTGACTGAGACCCAATATCTTCGAGAAAAGGTAAAGCGACTGGAGTTACAGCTACGGCAGAAGGATGTTTATCTCGAAAACCAAGCGAAATTAAAAGTATCAGCAATTCAATATAAAGCTCGGAGAGACCGAGAGATTGAGGTAAGCGAGTATTATTGGATTTACGAAGTTTAGGCTCTAAAAAAAGAGAAAGAAAGATGGAAGGTGGCAACGGATTATCGTAAAGATGTTCAACAGTATAACAGAACCCTCGATCCTTGCCGGAGTGTTTGTGGATGGTCAATTCCATCTCTTGATGTGCTCAAGAAGAAGATGAAAGAGGCAAAACAGTTCTGCAAAGAATCTCCTGAATGGGATTTCAATATTCTTCCAAATGCTCCGGCGAGTCGTTCTGAAATCTATGTCCCTAAACTTTTGCCGGGAGATCATGAAGGTCGGTTGTTCCATTGGGGGATGAAGGATGTGTTTGCCATAAATATCTATGGAAAAAAGACCCAAGACACCGTATATCGATGTACTCCGTTGCCCAAACGATACTTGAGACTTCGTCCAAGGATGGTGACTTACGGACATTATTCGATGAATGAGAACGACGCCTTATCCATGAGAATACCGAGGAGGAGACGAAATTGGTTCAGTCGAGCTTATCTTGCCTGAGGAATTTGTGTGATAATGTTTATTTATAAACATATTTTTGTCGACATTAGCGCTCTTTTAGTTGTCGTTTCCATCGACGGTTATTAAGAGGTTGTAAAAATTTTTACAATTGTCGTGAGATGGATGAGGGAGTTGAAAACGCTGCCCCAAGAAGGTCTATCAGACGAAAGACAATCAAAAGACCCAGTCCGATAAAAGGTTTAGATGGGGAAGATGAAGAAATGAAGAAACCCAGGAGAAGAAAAGTTTCCTCTTTACACTTGGAAGAATTAAATGAGCCCTTGGTGTGTTAACAAATAATGGAGTAATACATCCTTAGGAAAGCACAAGCGGATCTGATTACGAAGAAAAGAAAACGACCAGAAAAAGTAAAGCTAGAGGAGCCCTACGGAGTAAAAGGGATGGAAACCCAAGTTCAAAGACAGAAGGGGGAAAAGGAAAAGCAAGAAAGAGAACGAAGGAGACGAATACTAAGGCATTCAAAGACACCAAAGTGAGTTTTGTTAAATTTGCATTACTTATGGTTTAGGAAGAAATCGGCTTTAAGATTCAGTCCAAAAGTTCCGGATCCCAGGAAGATCATAAAGAACCAGAAGACGATGACAACTCGGAAGTGAGTCAAAAACTTTAGAATAAGTTAAGTATCAGCACGAATTCGAAGACATGGAGCCCGAATTACCTGAATTGGAAGCTCCTAGAATGTGGACAGAGATTTTGGCTCAAGAACCTGGCTCTTCTAAGCAAGAAGACGTCATGGACGACAGTGGGACTGACGATGAGTCTGACGATGACAAATGGCATGATATAGAAAACACCAAACTACCTGCCCCAACGGTTGAAGTGAAGTTGAAGAAAGAGGATTTGGAGAGAAAGGAGGATAGGATAATTAGAGCTGAGATTGAGAAGATTCTTCGGGAAAGAACTGAGGACATTTCTAAGGTCGGTTTTACAGCTGTTTTTATTGGTTATTATGGATTTAGGTGGTATTTGTCTCAATGATTGGACATGGAAGATATCTAATGAAGGTTATGCTCTCTGTATTGGACGATAAAACATGGAATCCTGAATGGTCAGAAAAGTTGGAAGATAAAATAAAATATGGAGTTTTGGACGAGGAAATTTTGGGCGAATTTAAAGAACAGTTGCAGAACATCTCGGAAAATGTAAAGATCTCAGACCAGGCAGAAAGATTCAAGGATTTATACAGTCAGAGAAGTTATTACGACCAGCGCGATCTGGGTACTGTAAGTGTATGGACTTGCACAATATGGTCCTAGGTATTGGCCTTGTTCTTAATGAGATCTGAGGTGGATATTAGAATTGGTATCGCATTTGATGTTCCGGTGATTCCTCCATTGAAAAATGCGAAGAAAAAAGAGAATTTGTCTTATAAAGGACCATATTATTTTATTGAATATTGGTGCGAAACCGGAAAAAAACACATTTGTAAGTTATTTTAAGGTTACAAGCACTGCCTAAATTTTATTCATGCCTTTTCTTAGACTCAGGGGTTCCTGCACAAGACCGGTACACGAAAAAAGAAATTGCTTCAGATGATCTGAAATCTTCCCATTAATTGTTTTTGAAACCTTGCAGTACCTCTTGCGTAGTATTATGCTCTAACATGACCCTAACTTTTAAATCTCGGAGGCCTGACTGCATAGAGCCGTTCGGTCTTTACCATTGCATCTCACATAGTCAATACGGCAATGTTTACTCTTCAGCGGAACCATTAGAAAAATTGAAGTACAGGGTGGTTCAGCTAAGTTCGCGGATGTAAAATGCTTATAACTTTTTATAGGATTGTTCAATTTTTATGACCAATACCTCATTTTATTCCTTAGTAGTTACCATTTTGTTTAAAAAAAATATCATTAAAAATAATCAGTCCTACGTCGAGTTATGATCCTTCAAAGTCAAACATGCTTTTTCACGTAAATTTTTAAGAAATTTATGGATTTTTTCGGATTTTCAGATTTTTTTGATTCCATCGTATTCTACGCAAAATTCTATGACTTCTGAAGCCCACTTACAATTTACAATTATCGACCGGTCGAAAGTTATAAGCGATTTTCGAGATTTTTCGGAAATTTTCAGATTGAAGCGTGAAAAGGCAAGTTTGACTTTGAAGGGTCATAACTCGACGTAGGATTGATCATTTTTAATCATCTTTTTTTTATACAAAATGGTAACTACTAAGGAATAAAATGAGCTATTGCTCATAAAAATTGAGCCATCCTATAAAAAGTTATAAGCATTTTACATCCGCGAACTTACGAGGGAATGGTCTGAACTTCCCCCAACGTTTAGGAAAATGACTAGTACAGGTGGATAAAGCAGGTCAACTTTGGTGAAAAGAGCCATTTTCCAGCTGCGAAATAAGCCTAGCCGACGAGAAAAATCGACCGAAAGTTGCTCAAAAATTTGCTCTTTCTCTTCCCTCGGAAAAGAAGAGCGGTGTCCAGTGGTTCGGTTAGCCGAGTGGATAGAGCATCCGCTCGATATTCTTTTGGGGGTTGGTTCGATTCCGGGGTCTCGCGAAGGACGGTGATAAGGCTTTGATGAGCAAGATCAAACTCTAACAACCCAAAAAAATATTTTGCCATTTTTATACGTTTTATAGAGGCATTATAACAAAACAATAGTCGTCAACAAATGAATTTTTGGGTGCTTCCGGACCTTCAAAGCAATGGAACGTCGAATTTATACTCGTTTGGTGATAGACTTGACTTTGAAAAAGACAAAATATTTTTTTTTGGGTTGTTAGAGTTTGATCTTGCTCATCAAAGCCTTATCACCGCACGTCAAACTGAGATAAGCTAAAACAGTCCGGTGAATGGATTGGCAATTTGCGAAAAAAAGACTCGAAAAAACGTTTTGTCGAGGAAGAAATGGGGAATTTTTGGGGCGAGAGAGTACGCTTTTGCGTGTCTTTTTTCTCTCTTTCTCTGCGAAATCAAGACGAAGTGTAAAAAACCAATAGCGAAAGGTCTATTCCGGTCACCGGACTCCTCAGTTTGACGTGCACCGTCCTTCGCGAGACCCCGGAATCGAACCAACCCCCAAAAGAATATCGAGCGGATGCTCTATCCACTCGGCTAACCGAACCACTGGACACCGCTCTTCTTTTCCGAGGGAAGAGAAAGAGCAAATTTTTGAGCAACTTTCGGTCGATTTTTCTCGTCGGCTAGGCTTATTTCGCAGCTGGAAAATGGCTCTTTTTACCAAAGTTGACCTGCTCTATCCACCTGTACTAGTCATTTCTCTAAACGTTGGGGGAAGTTCAGACCATTCCCTCGTTAGCTGAACCACCCTGTATTGTTGCGCAATTACAGTAATAAAAAATGACCAAGTTGATGCGGTTTTTATTACAGATTCTAGGTCTAGAGGTTTTTTTGTTGGATTTTCGAGATATTTCAATTGGGGCATTGTGTTCGCGAACCTCGCACATTAAATACGTTTTTGACTATGTTCACGAATGCAATCGTAAACATATGGCTCTGCGCCATCAGGTTTCCGAGGTATAAAAACTTGTGTTTAATTTCAGGCCATTTGAAGCAATTCTGCGTGTGTGTTTTCATTTTCCGTGTAGTTAGGGCTCTCTAGTCTAATTGTAAGAAACAACGTGGTTTAATTGTTTTAGGCATTAATTTGGAAACAATGAAGATGGGAGACGCAGAAGGGCTTGAGAAGTCATGGAAACGAGAGTGCCACTATGTTTTCACCTTCGATAAAGATAAGGATAAATTTACGGAATCTAAACTCGTGTTTTAGATATGAAAGTTAAGGATCTAAGTGGAATTTATTGTCAAGATTATCTAAAGTTGGCGTTCAGAAAAGGTCGGCACACTCAAGGTTTTCTTCAGGAAGTTTTGTCATCTTCCGTGAGTTGAATTAGGATCTAATTTTACATAAACAGCTCCTTAAACCGGATTCCCAGATAGATTTGGAGGAAGATGAACAAATAAAGAAGCACTTGCTCTCCCAGCCGATGCCAAAGTCCTTAAATGAATTTAAAAATCATCCATTGCAAGTTTATTTGGATTGGCAAGGTATAATACTATTATAGATATGTCCTCGAAAAAGATCTTTTGAAGTTCGAGGCTATATATCCCAAGGATATTAAGTCGTTTGGCGAAGTCAGAGGTCATAAAATTTACCCCCGAGAAGCGGTTCATGTCCTCCAAGGGGAACTTAACTGGATTCGAATGGCCAGATCTGTAAAAGTAAGTGAATATTACAGTTATTTATGTCGAAATTACAATCAGGAAGGCGAGGAACCTTTCAAAGTCGTCAAAGCAAGACCGAAGCTGAGTATTCCAGTGGAAGAGAGAGTCCCTTTGTTTTTGAATACCTTCGGATATTGGCAGACTGAACCTTATGTACCACAAAAAGTTGTAAATGTAAGTGGTGAAATGATGTGTAAAATATTTTGATTTAGGGAAAAATACCAAGGAATGAATACGGTAATGTGTATATGTATCAGCCAGACATGGTGCCCGAGGGATGTGTTCATCTGAAGCTGAATGGAATTCAGAACATCAGCCGCCAATTGGGAGTGGATGCGGTCCCTGCTGTAGTCGGATGGGAGTTTAGTGGAGGAAGGAATCATCCTTTGTAAGTTCGGGAATATTGATCATTTATTTTAAGATTGGAGGGTTGTGTGGTTTTAAAAGAACATGAACAAGCATTAAGAGATGCCTGGAGTGAATGGAACGAGATAAGAGAACAGAAAAAAATACAGAAAACTGAAGACAGGATGGTCACCTTGTGGAAGCGGTTTGTAAGAGGAAAAATCCTGCTCGAGAAGATGAAGAAAAAGTATAAAATCTAATGACGAATATGTCTTCTAACATGAATAACGTGTAAAACAGCTTTGACCGGTTACTTGTTTGTTATTACCTTATGGTGAATTGTTGAATAATATATATTGATGTAACTCTTGTATTGGGAAAGGAAGTTGTTCACAAAATGCTGTTATGTTCCAGAAGTGGTAACATTTTTCCTCGGAAAAGATAATTACAAAGAATGCTATTTTCTCCCAGAAAGCATAGTTTGATAAAAATAAGGCACGGAAGTAGCCAAAAACTATTGAAAGAAGAATAACGTTGTCATTTTTCGAGCTAGAAGAACGAAACTTGGTAGGATCATACTTACGAGCGTAATGAATAATTCGGCTGGCGGATTTGGTTTGTAGATGCCCTAAGGGCGAAATATCCTTAAAATACCAAAAAAACGCACTGTGATTGTAATCATAACTCAGCTTAACGAATAAGATGAAATTTGACCATCTTGAGAATCGAATTTGACGCACATAGACAAGAAGAAATTTGTCAATACGATCATGTAACCTGCACTTCTGGGTTGCAGAAGTTTTAAAAATGAGATTTTTTCAATTGTCATCGGGAAGTTTATACTGCGGGGTTCCTTACAATATTTATATGTTCTGAAAGCAAGCTTTTTACTCTACTGTCGTACCAAATTTCAGCCTTGTAGCGCAAACGGCTAGCGAGATATTGAGAGAAAAATCAAACGCATTCCGAAAAAAATTGAAAAAGTCGCGGAGATCGGTTGTGTCCCAAAAGTACAGAATGCCGTGCCTAGTGCTCGCCTTCAACTTGTTTAAAGCAAGTTGAAAGCCACAAGAGGGTTGTTTGTATTACCATTAGGGCACGAACTTTCAAAAAGAAGATTTCAAAAATATTGAAAAATTCGGCGTAGTGAAGATACATCAAGCCTCGCAATAACGCATCAGCTGGAGATTTAGTGCGCGAATGCACCCTTTTTTCGACGAGGCGAAACATTTTGCTGCGACGACCCGCCGTTATTTTCTCGACAGACTAAATTTCTGTAACACTTGTGTGGAGTTTAAAAAAATAAAAGAAGCTACGATGCTCGCAATCGAATAAGAAAATTCTAATCCCCATCTATGCCAACTTTTATAAAAATCTGAGCGTCGCACTTGTTATAGTGGGAAAAGACTACACCGAAAATCGAAAAAAAACGGCCCGCTGACCACCCCTAGTCCCCACAACGAAAACTACATGAAAAATTTGTTGGCATTCTGTCTTTTTTGATGAGATCACAAAAAAAAATTGGAAGATTGCTGTGTTGTTGGTGTTTTATCCTTTGTTTGCGGTATGAAATGCAGGGTGGTCCAGTCCATTTTTGTGGCCCGATTTGAATTGGCTATAATAACTTCTTTATTTTTCGGCCGAATCTTAAGTTACTTTTTTCCTTAATATTCAGAATCTCCACAAAAAACTATAAATTCTTAGTTCACCTTTTCGGTTGTTAGAATCGTCTCTCCGAAAATGAAATACATGGACCACCCTGAAGATTCGCGTTATTCTTGTATTCCTTGCTTTATGTTTATTCAGTTTAGGTGAAAAATGAGTGTTTTGTTTGCCAATACGCGTGCTAGTCATGGTTCCAGCTCTGGGAATCTGTTGGAATTCAAGGTAATTATGACAGTTTCCTTGATTTTAATTGTGTTTTTAGGCTGGAAGAACCATTTTGGAAACAGGGTCTTCCCCAGAAAAAAGAAAAGTTGTGTCCGATAAAACCAAGGGCCTTGTCTTCATCAAGCAAACTCCCGACCAATTGGTTCATTTCTGCTGGAAGAATCGGGAGAAGAATACTACAGATCTTGTAAGTGCCGTGACTTTTATTCTGATTTGTTTAGGACTTGATTATTTTTCCGGGTGACACCGAATTCATCAAGATCAAGGAGTGCGCTGATGGAAGAATGTATATGCTGAAGTTCAAGAGCTGTGAAGACCATAAACTGTTCTGGCTTCAAGACAGTAACACCGACAAGGACGAAAAGGTGTGCAAGAAGGTGGGTATATTAATAACACTTTGTTATGATTTTGGGTACCTATTTTACGATAATATTTCAGGTAAACGATCTTTTAAACAATCCTCCTTCTAATCGTGCTTCTGCTCGTGGAGGAAGTTCAGAGCGTAATTCTCATGCTCTTTCGGCTCTGACTTCAGCCATGGGAGGCGATGAAATGGGGGCTTTGGGTAACATGGATCAGAATCAGATAATGCAGCTATTCTCTTTGATGAATGGAGGCAACCCTGATATGCTCCCTCAGCTTCCTCTAACCACTAGAGGGCCTTCTCCGGCAACTTCTTCGGCTCCTGCTCCACTTGAAACTCCAAAAATTAGAAAGCAAGGATCGGGAGAGAACGTGGAAATAGATGCCGCCACTCTAAATGATATCTTCTCCAATCTCCCCAGAAAGGACAAGCCGTATGTTGAGTTGGCAAAGGTTCTGAACGGCCCCAACCTCAAGGACACCATTGATAAGAACTCGGCGGATCTTCTTTCCCATCTCCCGACAACTTCTGAGAAGCCGGAAAAAGAATTAGAAAAGTCCCTGACCTCGCCTCAATTCCAACAAACCGCTCATTGGTTTGGATCGGCCCTCCATTCCGGCCAATTGGGGGAAGTTATGAGACAGTTTGACCTTCCAGATAGTGCTGTCAAGGCTGCTCATTCAGGAGGTAAGATGGCATACGGTAATTTTATTCTTCCAGACATTGTTCATTTTGGAAAGGAATTGACTATCGCTTTGAACAAAGAGGCGGATAAAGCCATCAACGAAGCTGCTGCCAAGGAAGAGAACACTGAATCCAAGAAGGACGATCCCTCGGATGAACAAATGGATCTGGATTAACCAGAGTATATATTTGTGAATACATTAAACTAATTGTCTGTGAAGGGTTTTGATTGATCATAGGTGATGTAGTCCTGGCGAAGGGTTCACGACCTGTCGAATTAATTGGCCATTCCTTTGGCGGCAGTCATTGTTGTGACAACAAAAGGAAAGTCAGCCTTTATTAGATGAAATACGAATAAAAAGTAAAGGCGAGTTGAGGGCGACTTAATTGTTGCTTTCGATCGGGCCAAGAAGGTGTCGCATTAGCTGGACTCGTTCTTATTTTCAAAATCGCCTTCGTTTTTTACTCAATATTCGAATGGGTTGTCCGCCGACCCCCTGCGGTGCGCACTCTCGACACATTCCGAGACGCATTTTCGAATACTGTAAAAAAACCGATTTGCATATTATAATTGGAAGTCGACTGGCGTTATATTTGTTTAGGGGCGAGAAACGGGGCCCAATCTTCCATTTAATCCAATTCATCAGTGGAATCCCAGGAGAATCTGCTTTTCTCATCACACCTCACAGTAATCATAACCCGACTGAATCCAATTTCACTCCGACCACATCTATATTTGGCTACCGGGCCACAGGAGATGCGCAACCCTTAATCCCCGGCGAACTTTTGTTTGGTTTAATTTGCGGATGGTGTCGTCCCGGCTAATCCTAGTGTTAATAGGTTTTGGCCTGACTATCCACCAGAAACACGATGAAAGCTTATCGAAGCCCCTGGGGGCACAAGTGGGCGGGCTCAATTCCCCCAAAACAACCAATCAACGCCGACGGAGATTCAAAAAAGGGGCGGTGCCTAGGACCCACTGGCCTCCAAATGCCGTTACGTCCGGGATTTTGAGACTTGGACTTTGCGCATTGCTTAGCAAGTCTCCCTGATTTTCATGTCTCCCAGCTACAGCATTCAAAGCCTGTTGAAAGATGAGATCAAGCCAGAGGTCAAGAGTCCCAAGCCAGAATCTGGACGTCCGACTCTAAGCAAAACCCTGAATTCGGCCTTCCCCAACCCCGGTAAGGATAAGATTGTTTGGCTTTGGTGGGAAAGCCTGACTCTGGCCAGGTGCCCGAGGCTCCGTCAAGAGCGGCCTGCTTATGTTTCGGCCATTCACGCGTTTATGAAATCCGAGATCTCTTCACTCGGCTTCCATTGATTTCCAAAAAAGGTTTTTGATTCACTTTGTGTAATTCGGGGACTTGCAAATACCATTACATTTGAGCACCAATTTTACAGGCGACTGGGCATATTCGAATAACCCCGGCGCTACCGTAGGAATTTTGGGATTTCCGCAAAAAAGTGTGAAAAAAGGAGGCAGAGATTTGGAGGGAAAGGAATCCGGCCGAACCAAAACTGCGGCCAATAAGGCCCGGAGGCCCTCTTTCATTGGCTTTGATTTCAGCGCAATTGGCCCTCTTTTCGGCCATGCAGCGGCCAAATCCCTACACTTTCCTAAATCCCATGATGTTTGGCCCGGCGTTCTGGAATTCGAGCCAGCTGGAGCAATTCTTTGCTTCCTTCATCAGCAATTCGTCCACTCCTCACCTGAATCCCTTCTCAGGAGATTCTGAAAAAAATGGGAATCTCAAAAGTGACAACAGATTGAAGAATATCAAGTCAGTTACGGTAAGACTGGGAAGAAATTCTGTTAAAACCTCTTAATTTCAGCCCAAAAATTCGGAACGACAATTTGAATGCAAACAATGTGGAAAGAATTTCAAACGCTCCTCAACTTTGTCCACCCATCTTCTGATACATAGTGACACTCGACCTTATCCATGCGAATATTGCGGGAAGAGGTTCCATCAGAAGAGCGATATGAAGAAACACACCTACATTCACACAGGTAATCGATTGAGTTTATTATGCTGCAGAGCAAGTGAAGTTTTTATTCGGCCCAAATCTCGGGATCTAATTTGTATGCGCGGCCGAAAAATAAAACCAGAATGCAGAGACTGACATTTAGATTAAAGATTCGCGCGACATGTCCAAGCTTCATTGAACTCATCAATCATGGTGCAGGTCGCAACAAGCACGCAATTTTCTGCGCTCTGATTGTAATAAATATAAAATTTTAGGCGAAAAACCGCATAAATGCGCGGTATGTGGGAAAGCCTTCTCACAATCCTCAAATCTGATCACTCACACCAGAAAACACACGGGATACAAACCGTTTGCTTGTGAAATCTGTGGAAGAACATTCCAGCGGAAAGTGGATCGTCGACGACACACGGAGACTCATCATCCTCAAGATCTGTTCCCAAATCAGTCGCCCACCACCTCTAACGAGTTGATGACATCCATGAAGAAGTCGTTTAGTGTGATTGGTAAGGGATATTGCAACTTATTCAATGATTTATCAGAGCCCGACGATGAAAAAGAAGAATCTCCGATGGATGTTTTATCTCGGTTCGGGTTGAGTCTGGACTTGACCACCAAGTTGTTCTCCTTCGCCGAGGATTCACCCGAAGATGAAAAGTCCCCCAGTCCATCCACCTCCGACTTTACATGCTCGGAAGACCCCAAGATATCATAAACGTTTTTCGGTGCTTTTCTAAACTTGCTTGTCAATAAATGTAATTTTATGTGTAAATCTGTCGTTTCTCAGTGGGACGGGTTACTGTATTCGGGGCCAGAGTTTCGGGTAATTATGGATTTCGTAGGAGTAAGGTGCAATTGTGCAGAACCGCACTTTTGGCCCTATTCAACTTTATGGGATCGTGTTTGGAAGACACCGACCATGACGGCCGAGGGAAGGGATGTCGAGATATAGTCGAAAGAACATCCTCAGATATGTATTTGTGTCTTGATGAGTGTCTGATTAGGATGGGGACCTGCCGAGCCGGGGATTTCGTGTCCGCGCATTCATTTGCGATGAGAAAGGGATCGCGTGAGGTGGGCTGTGGCCAAATAGAACGGCCCAACTCTTAAGAGCCATAAGTCGGGCATGTTAATGAATACCCATTCATTCCCAATCTACTGTTTCCCCCCAACAGTCCGGAATCCCGCCGACGGACAAAAACACGGCTCCGAGATTAATTAAAACAATCCTGAGAAGCGACGACCCAAAACTTTCCCCTTTGCCTTCGGGCTTTTGCCTCAATCAGGGGACGGAGTCAGGAGCCGACTGCAGTACCACGCCCGAGTAGGCAATGAAAAAGAGATGACTGAATGCAGAAAAGTCGGAAAAAAGGTTTCGAATCGAGGACGAAAACAGAGAAATTGCCTGAGGGCATCAGGTCGGGATTGGTTCTTCAAATCCCCCGACGCACAGACCGAATCTGGGGGACGTCGAGAATCTGCTCGGAAATTAGTGGAACGGGATTGGCCCGAAAACAGAGTCTTATTGTTGGACGTGTAATTAGCGCCGACTCCCTGAGGGCAAAGAGAAGAACAAGGGTCCGGGGCCGCGGACTGATTAGAAATCTGAGGAGGACTGGGGTCCAAAAAATCTTGAGACGTGAGCAGAATTAAACTCAATGAGAAGGTTTAAAAAGGAAATAATCTGGGGAAAAAGAGTCTGAATTATTCATGGAAAGAATATGGGAACCCCAAGATCATGGAAAAGAGGTCATACGAATCAGCAGCATATGTTCGGACGGAAAGAAAAGGCAAAATAATAGTAAAGTTGCGGATAAATCGAGAGCGCGACACGACCTTGGCGCCTCCGCAGTGCCCGCTAATACGCTGATATGACCTGCGGGAAGAAGGCTTGATTCCTTCCACGTCCGTTCTACCTTCGACTTGACGACATGGTTCTACTCACCGTGGTAAGTCAAGTTGTGATGTGACCTCGGGAAGAGATTCCCCTCGAGAAACTGTTTTTTATTTCGTAATCAAAAATAAATCATCATGAGATCTCAATCTCATAATTCGGCGCCAAAAATAAATCTACTAGATAACAAGGAGGTAAAAAACGATTACTTAGGGAGACCATGTGTGGATACCAAGTGAATCCGATTCTCCAATATCTACACCTATTGGAGCCGAAGTCATCGATGTGAGTAATCCTGATGGAATTCAAGTGGTTGACGATGAGGACAGAGTGAGTGCCCAAATATCACCAAACACTTTGTTTTAGAGACTTTTTTTAACCTCAGACGTCCACATCCGTCTGATGCATCCCAAATCAATTATCGGAGTCGAAGATTTGGCCGAGCTTGAAGATATCCATGAAGCTAGTGTTCTCAGGAATCTATTCACCAGATATAATCAAGATAAGATCTACTCTTTCTGTGGAGATTATCTCATTTCTCTGAACCCTCATAAAAATCTAGATATCTACAACCACAGCTTCCGTAGATGTTACCGTAATCGCCAATTGGGTGAATTAGAGCCCCATGTCTTCGCAATCGCTGAGACGGCCTTTTGTGGCCTTTTAGAATCTAAAAATAACCAGTCGATCATCATTGGTGGAGAATCTGGATCCGGGAAAAGCGAGACTTTAAAAAGAATTCTCGAGTATCTGAGTGATGGAGGTAGAAGTTGGGATCAAATAAGGGCCTCGAGTCACTTGATTGAAGGTAGGTCATCCTAAAGATCAACCAATATGTGTTGTTTTCTTCAGCCTTTGGAAATGCAAAAACATCGGCAAACCAAAACTCCTCCAGATTCGCCAAGTACATTGACATCTATTACAACTCAACGGGATCCCTCGAAGGAGCTGAGATAACGCAATATTTAATGGAAACCCAACGTGTAGTATGTTCGACGGCAGAAAAAAGAAATTTCCACATTTTTTATATGATAGTGAATGGGCTGAGTGAGGAGAAGAAAAAGGAATTACATTTAGACAGGAAAGATTACTTTATACTCAACCAGGTAAAATTAAATAATAACAAAAAAAAACGATGTACTAAAGGGAGAGGAAACGGAAAGTGATGACAATTATAATGAACAGCTTTCACAAGTTTTGAGAGCATTTGAAATAATTGAGGAAAAAGAAGTGGACAGTACAATAAGATCACTCGCTGCAATTCTTAATCTGGGAGATCTGGAATATCAGAGTAAGTTTATTACACGTTAATGAGTTGATTGTTTTTAGCACGAGTCGCCAAGAATATGGAGACAACTCAAATCGGAGATCCCGGGCAAATAAATGCAATAGCAGAGCTACTTGAGGCAAGCTGAAGCATAACTAACTAAACTATTTCAGGTGGATCGAGATCTTTTATCAAAAGTGATGACATCATGTTCAATATCCGTCAGGGATGAGACGGTCTTCCGAAATCTGACAGCGCAAAAGGCCTTGGACATCCGCGATTCTCTTATGAGAAATATTTACTCGGGAATATTCAAATATATCGCGAAGAAAATCAATACAATCCTCCGACCAAAATCTGACTTGAAAGATTTCAAAAAACTCGGCATCCTTGATATCTTCGGATTCGAAAATTTGAAACAAAACAGATTCGAACAGTTATGCATTAATTACACAAACGAGGCGTTGGAACAACTTTTCATTCGGCATTTGTGCAAATTAGAACAATTGGAATACGAAACCCAGAAGATAATCTGGCATCCTTTTGAGTTCAAGGACAATGTAAAGACCTTAGACCTACTAGCCAATGGTCCCACGTCCATCATATCATTAATCAATGAGGAGTCCGTCTTCCCTGAGGTAACCCTAATTACATTTTTTAATGGTCTTCAGGGTTCGGATCAATCAATTCTTTTCAAAATGCATCATCATCACTCCCAGTCGGAGGTTTATCTTAAGCCAAAGTCTGACCTCAGCCAATGTTTTGCCATTAAACATTATGCTGGGACTGTCTTCTACAACACAAGAGGTAAAATAAGGTCATGCGGGGGCGTAGCTTCAGGCCGGGGTCGAAGGAGAATGGAAGGGGGAACCTAGGTTAAACTTTCGCGGTGCTTCGCCCGCGTGGAGCATTAGAGATATGCCCCTGAGCCCAGGGATTAAATGAGTAATATGTATACCCACCGGCCTATTGTCACGCAAAAAATAATTTGACCGTTCCAAACTCTTCCGGAAGCTTTATATCGTTCAGGTTGTAAAACGTGGATAGCTTCGCTGTAAAAAATGTTAGAGAGCATCAGTATTGCCTGTTATCAAGCAAAATGACAAATTTTCTGAAGTAACACCAACTTCTTATGGCCATGAATAACATAACTTGGCAGATGCGGAAACTGTCGCGCTCTAACGCCGCAACACGGCACAAGACTTTCTGCGGCATGCCTTACGGGAAGGGGAAATTACCTTGGCCCCTGACCCCTCTTCATTTCTTCGCCGACCCTCCTCGTTGGGACCTCAAAATATAATAGTTGACAATGAATTTTGGGGAGCTACGCCCCTGAGGCCTTCTAAAATACGAGACTACTATAGGCTTTATGGAGAAAAACAAAGATCAATTGCCACTGGATATTCGAACACTTTTATCCGAAAGTAAATCAACTTTTGTTCAGGGTCTGGTGAACCATTCTGAAGGAGAAGGCCGCGACAAAACGAGTGTCCTTCGGTCATTGAAAAAGTAATCAAAAAAAAATAAATAAAATGAAATCTGTTTAGGTCGTTGGATTCGCTGATGGTGCAACTAGACAACAGAAACCTCTATTTTATCCGATGCATAAATCCGAATGATAAACAACAGTCAGATGTGAGTATTGATTTAGTGTAGCAACCGTAAAATTTAAGCATTTCGACCGCGCCTGTGTGGTCAAACAGCTACGATACACGGGATTGTTGGACTTGGTAATCATGAGAAATGCAGGGTATCCAGTTCGAAAAAAATACTCCGAATTTGTGGACGCTTTCCGAGGATTGCTTCCCGGTATAAGTAAGCAATACCAGATGTCAACCATGATTATAGGGCCATCACGTTACGAAAATTGCATTGAAGCAACATCCAGAATTCTGACAGTAATCTTGGGAGAAGAGGCTGACTTCCAATTAGGGAAAACAAAAGTTTTTATGAAGAGAGGAGACTACATGTACATCGATAAGGTGGTTATGAAAACCATTTTTTAATTTCAACAAATTATTTTTCAGGAACGCCATAAAATGCAGAATTTCTTTGCGGCCTCTATTCAGAAGCATCTCAAAGGTTGGATTCAGAAGAGAAAATACGAAAAAATTCGAATGGCTTCTCTTGTCATTCAGAAATATTGGCGAGGATATACCCAAAGAAGGAACTACCAAACAGTGAGAAGTCAAGTGATTCAACTTACTCTTTCAGATTCTGAATGGAATCGTCAGATTACAAGCAATTCTCAGATCTCATCAACTGGTCGCGCGGTTTACTGCCTTAACTGAATATACAATCAGACTCCAAGTAAGTATCTATACGATAAACAATCCTCGTAGGCCTTATGTAGAGGATATTTGGCAAGGAAACTATTGAAAGAAAAGAAGAAAAAGAAATCCAAGAAAACTTCGGAAAGTATTCCTGAAGATCCGGTTACAAAAACAATCACAACTAAAACGATAGAGCCCAATTATCCAGAAGACAATTCTGATTACAGCTTTGAGAAGTATGCAGTAACCAACTTCCAAAGGGAAAATTCTTCTTATTTGAGAGGAATTATCTCCTCGACTTTATTACGTCATTCAAGCCCCATCAATAATATCTCGGCCAAAATTCTGTGGAAACAGATATGCCGATTTGCAGGAGATTTACCTGAGTCTCAAACGGACATGAACAAAGTAAGGTTTCCAGTGGTTTCTATATATTTGCAGAGCCAACAAAATATAATCGATATCATCTACCAAGTACTAAATTCGACAGAATTAATCGAAAACGAGGATTACTGTAAAGAGGCATACCCGAACTATTTCGAAAGACCATTCACTGGAATGGAATATGTTCAGACCATAATTTCGCATGGAACTTTGAGACCCGAATTACGGTAAGCCAGTAGATAACATAGTATACGGACATTTTAGGGACGAGATCTATTGCCAAATAATAAAACAAATCAACCGGAACTTTACCTCAACATCAAATCAATATTGGACCCTCCTGGCCTTGATCTCATCGTCATTTTCTCCATCAGAAGACCTTATTCCATACGTGAATCACTTCACTAAACAGTTTTCTTCCATCAATCCTGCTTATCCTACCGTCAGAAATCATTTAGATAAATGTTTCTCAAAAGGAAACCGATTACAACCTCCGTCCATCCTTGAATTCGAAGCCATCAAAAACTTTAAGCAGATCCTGTTACCCATTACATTCTCTGATGGAACAACTCATCAGTTTATTGTAGATAGTTATACTACCGCTTACGAATTGTGCGCCCAAGTCATGACAATGATCGGATTGAAGGACAAGTTTGGATTTTCTCTATATCTATCCTTAAATGAGACGGCCTCTTCTCTTGGAGCTGGGGCTGATTTTATTTTTGATGCCATCAGTGTCTGTGAGAGAGAGGGGATCAAGAAAGGACATCAGTTTGACAACATACCTTGGAGATTACTGTACCGAAAGGAGATCTTCAGTCCATGGCATTCCTCTTCTTTGGATACTGTAGCCTCAAATTTGATCTATGAACAAATTATTCGTGGATTCCATTACGGTGAATATGAATGCTCTGATGAAAACGAAGTCATTTTATTGGCAGTCCAACATTACTTCGTTTTAAATGATGGTGCTGAGATTGATGTTAATGGACTGGAGAACAACCTGAAAGTAATTTTGCCAATCTCAATAATAAAAGAAGATGGATTCCAACCAGAGATGTGGCTTCAGAAGATCATGAACATATACAGGAAGGTAATATCGCTATCTGTGACCAATGCTTTCAGACATATATGAGGGCCAATCTCTCGGCAGATGATGTCAAAGCTCAAGTCATTGATTTCGCAAAAGTAAAGTGGGCAACTGCTTTCTCGAGATTGTTTAACGCTCAACAACTCAATGGTTTGGGAATACCAGACGCCAATATTGTAATCGCAATCAACGCTGAAGGTGTAAATGTGATAGATAACAAGAACGAAGTCATCTGTGACGTCTCATATGATGAAATAGAAAACGTCGTAGTCAATAGGTAAGAAATATCGGAAGTTATTTTGAGATATTTTAGTTCGAATACGTTGAGTATACAAACGATTGGAGATGATGAATATAAATTCTTGGCTAAACATGCAGTAAATATGAAAGAACTCATAAACTTCTTCATCAATGGCATCAAAAAGAGATCGAAATACTTAATAGCCCTCGAAACAATAGGTAATCAGCCCCATTCCACGTCTTAAACTTGTTTCAGATAATAAGAAGTTCCTAAGTTGTGAAATGGGAGATGTTTTATACATGAATAAACCAGAAGAAAGAAGGAATGCGGTCATTGTGGAGTGTGTGAACACAAAAACAAATGAAAAAGGAATGGTCCCCGTCAACAAACTAGTGGTCTTGGCCACTTTAAAGGGCCCTAATCGGAAAGTTATCCAACTTTACCAACAACCGAACCAATTTAAAAACAAACCGGCTAATGAAATAGGAAATGAACAAACCATTATCATGTATGACAACTCTACATTGAAGTTAGTCCATCTAACGAAACAACATACTCTACAAGACTTTGCATCTGCTCATTTCTTCTCAAAATCAGAAGCCATGGTCAGATACGGAAACATTCCGTTGACTGAACCGTTGTTGAAAACGTCGAGAGCTAACGACGAATTGCGGGAAAAGGCCATCAAGATGTATATAGACGTTATGAGATTCATGGGAGATCTGCCATGGAGTCAGTCCATCCATTCTTTGGTCGATTCCATATTCAGTAGTCCTTTGGCCAATGTAAGTATGCTTACAAAACATATTCCGAAAATCTTTAAAGGAGCCTTTAAGAGACGAATTATATTGCCAAGTCACAAAACAATTGAATGGGAATCCAAACATTAGTAGCGAACAACGTGGATGGAAGTTGATGTGGCTGGCCTTAGGGCTCTTCCCACCCACAACGCCTTTATATAAAGAATTAGATCAAATATTCAGATCAAAGCAGAGCTTGAGAGGACGAGAATGTCTAGACAGGCTCGTCCGGATCATGGGGTAAGATAAAGTTATTTCTTTCCGTACTTATTCCCACCATTTTCAGAGTTTTAAAACCCCGAAAAACTCCACCTCATTATGTTGAGGTTGACTCGGTCCTAGCCAACAGGACCGAGATCTTCCATAAATTCCACCTACCAGATGGGTCTTCAGAAATTACTCGAATAGAAAGTACAGATTTATGTCATCATGTAGCTGAGAGAATTGCGAATACAAAGAAGATGAACAGCAAGGGCTGCTCCATCTTCATCAAGATAAACGAAAAAGTTATGAGTCTACCAGAAAACGAATATGTTTTCGATTACCTCAGACAAATCGCGGAATGTATGAAGCCTTCGGAACCCCGGGTATTGAGTTACAAGTTGTTATTGATGAAGAAGATTTGGACCGAAGTGAATCCAGGAGATGATTTACAAGGAGACATTGTGCTCCATTTCCCTCAGGTAACATAACCAACGACTTTATACAACTTACAGGAGCTCCCAAAATACCTACGAGGTTATTACAATATAAAAGAAGAAGAAGTAACACGATTGGCTGCATTAATTATGAGAGCGAAAACAAACGAGCACTCGGAAATCCCTATAAAACATATCCCTCAAGTATTGCCGGAGATTCTCCCCAATGATTACATCAAAAAACATAGTAATAATGAATGGAGAAAGGTAAGGTAAAAATAAGTCAAAGAAATCCCCTTAGGCCATCTCAAAGGAATGCCTCAAACTCCCCAAAATGTCAACCAGCGATTCCAAGGTAGCATTCCTCAAAGAACTGTATAAATTACCGACCTTTGGATCCGCCTTTTTTGAAGTACGTTCATAATAATTATTCATCACTCTTCATGGGGAAATTTCAGGTGAAACAAACGTCTGATCCGAGTATACCTGCAAAAATAAATTTAGCCATCAACAAACAAGGCGTCAGTGTGTTTAATCCGGAGACAAAACAAATTATTGTGCAATATCCTTACACGGGAATAGTAAATTGGACTGCTGGCAATACTTATTTCCACATGACTACTGGAAACATGATCAAAGGGGGAAGACTACTGGTTGAAACTACACTTGTAAGTTGACCAAAAAATTCTTTAAATATTTTAGGGGTACAAAATCGATGATTTGCTCTCTTCTTACATTCAAATTGTCTGCGAAACTTCAATTCGGAAGAGTCATACTGCATAGATTTTAACCGTATTTTGTGTGAATAAAAATTCTAAAGCAAACGGGGTACCAGCTGGAATAATGGGTCAGGATCTACATGCATTTAAAAAAGAAGAAGTCTCCAAGGCTTCCAGGAAATACCGGTATCGGTATAAGTACGTACCAAATTATCTTGAAAATTTACAAAAAGTCCAGCGAGTTTCGAACGGATTACTTTGGGAACAAAAATGTGGCATCATAAATGCCAAAAATTAGATCCGCCGACTTTCTATAGAAGTTGTTTTTGTTATCGGAAACGGATAGATGTCAGAGCAAGGAAAAAGGAAGTATAATATAAATAATGCTGGAAAGGCTCGGGCAAACCTTACAACTAGCACAGCCGCCAGTTGGAATATTGTGGCTCTGATCGAAGGAAGAGGATCTGAACGAGGGACCGTGGGAATGGCCGCGATCGATCTCAGATCTACGGAGGTTTCCCTGTATCAATTTGTTGATACTGCTGCTTATAGTCTTCTGAAGGTGTCCCTGAATTTATTGGATCCCGTGGAGATTATAATGCCTGATTATTCTCATGATAAGACCGGAACAGTGAAAGTTTTGTATGACGCCATTACTGACATGCTTCCCGAAACCGAAATTCAACTAGTTCAGCGAAAACATTTTGATGAAGAAAAGGGGATTCACATGGTCAAGAGGCATATTGTGGAAGAAGCCTCAAACGTGGATCTTCAAACTTATAAAAAGTAACTTAATTTTTAAAATTTTTTATTATTTAGATCCATGGCCATGGCTTCAGTGTTTGCTCTGCTTAAGTATGTAGAATTGATTCAAAACTTATCTTTCCTTACAAAATCTTTGAAGTTTCGTTATGAGACCGTTGAGGACTCGTGCTTAGTCGGTATGTTTTTATTTTATTACCTAAAATCTGTTTTTAGATGTTTGCAGCTGGGAGAACTTGGACCTTTTCCACCGACGAAGATCGCAGAAGAAGAAGAGTGAATGTCGCTCTTTATTTGACCGGATAAACTGTTGCGTCACAAATGGAGGAACTCGCACCCTGGGAACTTATCTTCTACAACCTTCGGTTGATGTAATGGAAATCTCAGAGAGGCTGGATGTTGTTGAAGAATTGATTTTGGAACCAGCGGTAAGTTGGTTTTGACGTTATGAATTTGTTAGGCTTTGGAAAAAATTAGAAGGTTGCTGAGGACAGTCCAGGATCTCCAACAAATCATCACTTTATGTGTTCATGCCGACAAATCAAGTGAGATGGATAACAAGCGGATGATGAGGCATAAGATCGTGCAGATCTTGTCTTTGAGGAACCTTCTTGACACTCTTAAGCCACTCCAAAGCGTTGTTACCAATATGAGGTCGGGATTGATATTAAAAAATGCATTTGTAAGTAAAGTGATTTAAACTTACAGCTGCCTTCAGAAGATCTCAGATCCTCGCCTTAAAGAGATTTTGGAAATCATTGACCAGAAGATAGATGCGGAAGTGTTATCCAATCACGCGAAGGGCTCCTTGGGAGTAAAAGACGCAGTATTGTATGCGGTTAAAGATGATCAACATGTCCAACTGGCCTTGGCGAGGAAAGTTTACAACGAACTTCTAATTCACGTTAACGGTAACTAGAAGCAACGTTCTTTTATTTTTTAGAATTGATCACACAGGAAGGTTTCCAGGCCATAGGAGCTTCCCTTTCTTACACTTATGGGAGGGGATATCACTATAATATTAAGAAAAAGGTTGTCAATTCGCTCCCACCTGAATGTCTGCAAGTTGTCTCCAACCGGCAGAATGTTACTTTTACAACACAGAACTTGATCAAATATAACGGTAAGGTTAGTCTGTCTTCTTTTCATTTATTTAGACCGTTTGGTCCAATTGGAAAGCGAGATCCTCCAGAAATCTGAACTAGTTGTAAATCAATGCTTGGCTGATGTAAAAGAACTTCTTCCCGCTCTGTATAATTGTGTTGAGTTCTTATCCCTTCTGGATTGCTTCTGCAGTTTTGCCACTTATTCTGCCAGTATCTCCACATCTTGTAAGTTAAGTTATCTGGCGTTTAATCCTTAGGTCGTCCACGTTTTGGGAATCAGATGGCAATTAAAGAGGGAAGGCATCCCATATTGGACAATGATAAAGTAGACTTTGTTCCGAATGACACATTCATCTCCACGGACACTCGGTTTGTTCTCATAACTGGACCAAATATGGTAGATTGATGTTAAGCATGATTACATATTGTTTTTAGACGGGGAAGAGCACATATCTGAAGCAGATATGCTTACTCCAAATTCTCGCCCAAGCTGGTTGCTTTGTCTCTGCGAGGGCCGCTTTTTTTATGATAAGAAAGAATATTTATTGTAGAATTGGGCATAATGATGATTTATCCGACAATCTTTCAAGTTTCGGAGTAGAGGTAAGCTTGTCTTTGAGCGAATATTGTTTCAGATGTCTGAGATGTCATCCATTCTCCATCATGTGGATGAAAATTCGTTGGTTGTAATAGATGAGTTGGCAAGAAGTAAGCCCATAAAGTAACACTGAGACGAGGCTCTCGGGCCGGGCCGGTGAATATTTTTACAACCATGTCAAAGCACTTTTGAATGGTTTCAAAAGTTGAGAAAAATTTTCTAGCAGGGAAAGTACTTCTATGGGGGCAAAGAGTGACAGGTCGAGCCATATATGGCTCGGGACTTCTAAATCTCTCCGCGAGAGTCCATCCGAACCCTGCAAATTTAGTCCAAAGTTAAAAGTTGTGAAAAAAGGAGGAGGCGACAGAGAAAGGCAGAAATTCTTACAAAGAGATAAATTGCGCAATGTTATGTCAGTTTGCGCAACTTTTAACTTTGTACTAAATTTGCAGGGTTCGGAATTTTTTGACTAAAGATGCTCGATTTAGGGGTTTTCGAGGGTGGTGATTTCGGAAGTCATGTTCATTTTTTTGCACTTTACCAGGTCGGCCGAGGTCAAGTGTATATCCAAAATATTCTTAAACATGGGCCGCGATTTTTGGCCGACAGCCATGTCTGGAAACGCGGCGTACTCTACTTTTAGGTACTGCTGTTGAAGAAGGAATTAGCATTTGTTTCGCGATCGGAGAAGAGTTAATAAAGAAGAGATGCGTCGTTTTGTTCGCCACTCACTATCTGGATTTATGTCTACTCGAAACTCAATTTACTTGTCTTAGAAAGTAAGGTTTTCTTATCTTTATTGTATGCGCTAGTAATCTTAAGTGAACAGTATATTTTGTTTAGTTTCCATTTTCCATCCGATACCGGGGTCGATGATCAAGGAAAAGAGTATCTGAAACCATCTCACGTTCTTCATGTGGGACCTTATAAAGGACCACTTTATGGTATGACCAAGTATAACGTAAGATTTATTTTAAGGATTGGAATTGGCCGAGATCAGTAGTTTGCCTGCCGAGATTATTTCCAATGCCAGAACCATCGCTGAGAAAATTAGATCGAGTGTCGAAAACAAAAGAAACGAAGGGAATGTGGAGATTGGAATGGAGAGGAAGAGACAATTCTGCATCCTGGCTCACAGGATATTACACCTGATTGAAAGACAGAACTTTTGTGCTGACGAAAAGAGCGGTGCTTATCTGGCCCAGTTACAAGAAAAGTTTAAGGCTTTGAAATAGTTTTTAGTGATGGCAGTTTTGTTATTTTGTTTTCTAACGTTTTTCTAATATTTGTTATTTATCTGCATAAAGATTTATATTAGATTCTGGATTCCGGTGCTACTACTCGATGTTCATGTTTCTTCTATCCATCCCGCTTCCATTTGGTGAGGGTTGTTATAAAAATAAGCGGCTTAATTATATTATGAATGAGTCGACCGCTTTCCTTTCTGAAGCCGGAGGCCCTTTTCTAGATCTCAAGACATTTTTTAATCAATTCCAATGTTTGGCACCCAAGGTCACACTCGGCATCCGTCTGTCATCTCGTCTGGATCCTTGGATCGAGTAGGAGTAAGTGCTTATTCTAAGGTAATATTACTCCTGATGACTTTAGAATCATTTCAACCCGACCTTCTTCCCCTACGCCAAGGCCTTTTATCGACTCCCAGCTGATGATGAACCGGGAACATGGATCAGGAGGTTGCAGGTAAGACGTTTATAAACGCATTTCCTTGAAATAATTTTATTTACAGGTGTTCTACGAGAAATCACGATTGCATTACTTGTTACCAATCATTGTGCTTGTAATCTACTCATTTCTTGGAGGTTTTATTTTTTATACAATCGAATCTCCAGAAGAACAAGAGATTTTGACCAGGAAAAAACAATATATTGAACAAGAAGAGCAACTCATTATGATGGAGATCAACAGAATTCAGCACCGAATGAAGTATTTCCTCCAGAAGAACCAGAGCCTCGAATTATATCTCCGAGAAGTGAGACAATACCGACACCTTGCCCTGAATCGGTTAAACAAGGTGATCGTCCTTTATTTATTTATTATATAACCTTAGGCCGTCTATTGGTATGTGCTACAAGTCTACTATCTAAACGATCAGGAGAGTTACAAGGCGTCTTTGTTACATCCCCACAATCCAGAGAGGCTCTGGAAACCTCATTTCCATTCAAATTTTGGTCGGATTTTGGCCTTGAAGAATTATACGGAACAGGTGATTTGGAGATGACTAATAAGGTGTCGGCAAAAGCTCGTCTTCAGGTTTAGCCGCGAGGCATATACCATTTGAAAGAGCAATCTTAGGGTATATGATAATGATTAGTTTCAAGTTCTGTAACTTTTAAGAACGCCAACGTGTAGAGAGACCTAGGTAGCAGCTGGAAAGCGTGTTTCTTGAGGCGAACCCTGAACCTTTTGCCGACCCATTGTAAGCAATTTGTTGTTATAACTGTGAAATATTCAGTTATCAAGCCGTTGTTGGGAGATTGGGGTTGATTTTGTGACTCCAGAAGAGGCCACTTTAAAGTTGAAGAAGAGTTTAAAAGAATTCAATAAGTTCACGGGCCTGGATCACATCCTGACCCCTACCTGGACCTTCTGGAACTCCATGTTTTTGGCAGGTAATTCCCTTTTAATAACTTCCTTAGTTTGACAAAACCTGCATCTTTAAGTCACAACATATTCCACGATTGGTTACGGTAATATTTCGCCCAAAAGTCGATTGGGAAAACTAGCGGCGATGGTTTACGCAGCCATCGGGATACCTTTGGTGTTAATGATACTCCACAAATTGGGAAGATTCTGCTTGAGAGGCCTCGAATATCTGTGGAATAACGCCGTTTGGTGAGTAAATGAATACAAATTATAAGCTGACAGGTTCATGGAGTCCCTAAGTTGTGTCAAGGATGCCGAGAAGTTGAAGGGAAACATGAAATACGAAGGCGGAATGCCTGTGCTTCTGGCCGTCGGAGTGGCCTTTGGATGGATGTTTCTATGTGCTGCCATATTCCTTCAATTCGAAGATGATTGGGATTATTTCAAAAGTTTTTATTTCTTCTTTTGTTCTCTAACCACCATTGGTTACGGTATGTTATCTACGTATTGTTTGATGACTTTAATCGCGTAACATGGCGCAACTTTCAGGTGATGTAACTCCCACCAATTCAGAAGATATGTTTTTAATTTTCGGATTTATTATCATCGGCCTTTCCCTGGTTTCTATGTGTGTAAATGTAATCCAATTGAAGTTAGAAGAACTATTTGAAGAACTTTTGATAGCCATGATGGAAGAGTATGGAGCACAAGAAGCTGGGCTGCCAGGCCCTGATCTGCAACCCAAGTTAACGGTAATGGACCTGTGGAAAGTTTGGAAAAGAAGGAGGAATCAGAATCGTCAGAAGCAAGAACAAAGTCAGAAGAATGGAAAAGAAGGTGAGGTTATTATACTCTCAATACTTATCGTTTAACTCTAGTGGTACATAAAGAGTCAGTTCAACGAAAATCTTTCTCAGAATTCAACTGGTGGAAGATCTTTCCATTCGCCAAGCGGAGAAGAGAGGTTCTTATCCATGAATTCAGGAATCGGCTTCAACAGGTTTGCTGTAAAATTACATTTCACATGAGATTGTTAGGCCCATAAAGAGACGCAGACTGAACCCTGGGTATTACATAATCTGAATTACGTATCCGAAATCGATGAAATGAGTTGGAACGAAACTTCCCCCGGAACCAGCAGTTCCCTCGCCCCTAGTGCAGAGTCCCAAAATGGCTATCACACCCCTCGTTCTCCAACTGTGCTGTCATCAGCCGGATCTTCAGCAAGACGAGTGAAGGTGGCAATCAGTGAGAACAGTTCATCAGTCAGTCTGAGATCTAGTTCAAGCTCTTCTTATGCCAAAAGATATCTTCCCAGCAGACATGACCGACGGCACACGACAGTGTCCGCGGGAACAGGGACCACTGTAGGATCTGTAAAGTCAGCTCCCATTGCCGGACCTTACATTGAACCGCGCATGTCGCCCAATTCAGCCAGCATCGTTGAACAATATGCCAGTCAGAGAAGATGGACTTTTTTTGAGATCGGTAAAACACCCCGAGGGGCTCCGAGAGGGCTTGTGATACCTTACATGTACATGAGAAGGAACGCTCTTACGGTAAACGTTTTTTATTATGTTTATATTATACGTAATTAATGTACTGTCTAAGTCCTAAAAGAAGTGGACAGTTACTCTGCTGTAAAGTTACAGGGAGTGACAAGACAAAGAACGCGCTTCTTTGTGATTATTACAATTTAAGATTACCCGTTTTCACATTTTTCTTTTAAGCACGAGACCACTGAGATTGCGCAACTGATAGCGGAGATCGATTCTCGGTTGGTGGACTGTAGATCCATCGTTTCGACGTCTCGGGCTGTCTCCAGGACGGACCCTCCCCCGGGGCCAAGTACCCAAGAATGAGTGGAGATGGACCTTATAACACAACACCAGAGTCGGTATTGTAACTGTCTTCGTCTAAGGTTATGTATGGAGTTGGATTGAAGGATGATAAGGGGATTATATTGGTGGGAATGGGGACGTCGGGGATCTCCTGAGAGTTCATCATGTGCACTCCCGAGTCATTGCTGATGTAGTTCTGTCTCTTTGTCACGTTGAAGGTCGTATTTTGTGTTGGATCTTGTACCTGCTCTTCCTCGGATGTCTGCAGATCCTCTTGTTTTTGGTCTGTCTGGTGGATCTCTTCTTCCGTGCTCATTTCCTTTGCTCCTTTTATGCACTCAGGTTCTTCGTTGGTGTTATTCTCGACCTCTTTGTATTTATCCTGAAACGAGCGATTCAAAAACAATTTTTTTCGATTACCTGAAGGTTCTGAATGATATTTTTGGGAGGATTGGTGTTGGTGATGGCCTTAACCAAGTAATTCAGATCTCTGGGGATGTCGTATACGATCTCGGCATGGCTGAATATCTTCTTGGAGCCGTTTCCCCAAGTGATGTGGATCTAAAAAAAGTCAACCAATTCACCCACCTTACCATTCTCTTATCACTGAAGTCGATCATCGAAAGTAAAGTGCAGAATACAGTATTCAGAAGATCAGGTGATGTCTGCTTGGCCCACAGCAACTGAGACATCCTATCGCTGTGGAAGAACATAATCTGAAAACCGCGGATTAGAGGGGAGATAGGGCTGATTATCACCTTATCAGCGTCCTGAACGGCCTTCAAACACCACAACTGCAGGTTGTTCTCAATCGCCTTTACATCGCGGGGGGCAAAGTAAACGTTGACGCCCTCATCTCTGAGGTAGTTTGACAAGAATAAGATATAAGAATTCTTTTCGCTTTCGGCATTCAAAATTAAAACTGTAGAAGGCTTGATCTCAATCAAAGGGACGTCCAGGTTGGGGTCGATGGATAATCCAGAAGGTTTCATAATTAGAAAAAGACCTCCTCTTTGATCCTTTCCTCGACAAATGATCAAGGCCAAGATAACGCTGACGATCCCCAGACTCGTTCCTAGGATCATGATGATGATCAGCATGTGATGGGAGTCTCTGCTATTATATATTCGATCATCCACAACTCGAACATTTAATATTTGGTTTGGATATGTATCAGTGATGTCTTTTGTGAATGAGGGGAAAACAAACTCAGCACTGTCCACGGCCACACAGGCACAATCCTTCAGATTCTTGCATACGCATTTGCTCTTGGAGTTAAAGGGAATGATCTAAAATGTTCTTAATTTGATTACTCGTGGAAAGGCCTTAAAAAGTTTTTTTGTCAGCATTCTTGAGTCTGTTCTCGAAGAGACTGTAGATCAGTTCTAAACTATTACCTCGGGAGTTCGTTGCCCTGAGGTCACGTGATTAATGAACACACATGTCGACTAGTAATGGCATAATGAATTTAGACCATAGCCGACACCTCAGGGAAGCCTCATATGAAAACGTTTGATGGATTAAAAAATAAAAAAATGTGACCTCACAAAAAATTAGAAACGAACTATAAAAAACGTGATTGACGACATAATATGCCATGATTTGTATATCAGACATCGGAACCCACCCTGAGATAATAGATCTTGTCCAGTTGGACATCTTTCAAGGTGACATTTCCCAGCATGACATCATTGAAGTCGATCATTTCTTCCTGAAAAATAAAATCGAGTAGCCAGGGACTTACTGCATTCACGATGTAAGATTCATTTGTGGTGGCATCTCCAATCACAACTTGAATTTCATAAGCGTCAATGCAATAACTTCTTGGAGCCCCATAGAACGTGATGTTGGCACCTTTATGCTTGGGGAAGTAGACCACTTCCTGGACTGAGGTCACCCAGCGAGATGCCTGCAGTTGCCGATCTTCCCTTTCCACGAACTCCGAGTCACAATCTGTTTTTGGAATTTCTAAAGTGTTACGAAATGTGTCGTCGCTATTGTAATGGTCTTACTGTAATCTGGAATGTCCATATGCATTTCATCCGAAGCTCCAGATGCCAAGGGAAGAACGGCGTACTGAAATAGAGAGATAAGATGACATCACAAGTGTTTATTCAGCTGGAAGAACCAACTGTTAACACCTACTCTTAACGTGTAATTGGTTGAATACTCGAGCTCGTTTTCCAAAATAAATAAAAAGGTAATCTGAAAAGAAAATGAATATCATGGGGATTAGGAATAGGCGGATAAGAAGTAATAATAGGGTGCCTCACAGTAAATATGGGATCAATCTCCTTTTTCTTGTTTAGTTTGGCTTCATAATTAAACCTCCTCTTTTTCTGATCATTTGGAACGATTTGTAAAAGTAATCCAGTAGCATTCACAAGTGCAGCCTGCCGAAGACCTATCCTTACCCTTGCGGAAACATGAAAGGACCCATCTAATGGGTCTATCTAAAACAAGGTGGTCACAATCAAAAGAGCCCTTGCCTTATTTAAGTATGCTCCATAAAAGTTTACAGGCTTCAGAAGTTTCCTGTTATTGGACTGAATGGATGTCAGATGGGTGATGTCGCTGTCAGATGACGCGATCTCTTTGAATAAATCGACCGAAGGGATCTCCGTCTTCTTCCCAATACAATCCCAAATCCGTCGATTCAAAGAGCAGGGGAAGAAAAGACCTTGATCTGCACGATCTGCTTGCACATCCTGGATCCAGAAAAAGGTGGATAAGAGCCCCAGGAACAACGTCTTATTTCTCATAACTCTCGAAGAAAAAGTTTTCGACAAGCGACGGAATTGGAGCGACAAGGACGCACTGATAGTGGAGTTAACAACCCGCCGAGGAGTCGAGGGGCTGGGGTTTCGTTCATTTCAACGTTCCCGTTTTATGACTCTTTCCTCACGCGGCCTCCCATTACTACAGTAATTTGGTGTCATAAACAAGAACTCATGCATAATGCCTGTCTATGATAACACCGGAAACCTTTCATTTGTCCCAAATCAATGTCAGTTGGCTGATTGCCCCAGGGAACGTGAAATCAAAAGTCAAAGAAATCATTTAACTCATAAAACAACTGCCTCGAACAAAGTACTCCTACTGTAGGGCTTAAAAAGAAAGCACAGACATGTGCAGGAGGCCGGTCTAGTTGCTCTTGTAGATGATTTCGGGATTTCCGAATTGATTTCAAGTTCAAAAATATTTTATTTCAGGTCAGATGAACAGTTTGATTTAATTTTTACTCTTAGTCCGTGATTTGTGGTAAAACAAGGATAGCGGAGATGTTCATGGCATGACGCAGACTGTTTACAAAACTTCTTTTTGTTTGTCCAACTCAATTTCTCTGCAATGAAAGACAATACTTCACCTTGAAAGCCGTCAAAAAATCAAAGTTTATCTCAATTTGCAACTTATTCCGAGTAAATATTATATGTACGCATAAACTTGTGCAATGTCTTTTTACTTTTACTTTATTGGAAATATAAAAGCGGCAAGTTGTAAGAAAACAAGCTTCTTGTGTATTGAGTTTGTATTTTTTCAGAATATTTTATTAGAATATTTCGCACATGTTATGTTTTTTATTTAATTTTCGAAACATGTGATGTGATGGAACGCACAGTGATTACAAGGTTGATCAATTCGGATTAAGCAAACAAAAGTACAGTAAGCTAAAGGAGGGTGTTATTTTTTGTTTGGTTAGTACTCCCCCCGGGGGGCTCCTCCTGGTGATGTATTTTTTTATCCAACGGAGCTGTCAGTCAGGAAATTCAAAGAGTTTCGAGATCAGCCCGATCGGCCGCCCCTGGCCCTCAATAAAAAAGTAGAAAAGGGCCAGACAATCGGGCTTTCTGTTTTTGTTGTGACCGAAAAACTATATAGTGGAGGGTCTCTTGGCTTCTCGCTCTTAATCCCACACTCATACAAGATGGCTGCCCTTCATATACTTGACTCCACCGATCTAATCGCGACCGACGACGAGACCGAGGGCAACTTCACTGCTACAAGTAGTTGCAGTATCTCCCTGAAGAGTAGCAGTACTACTGGCATCAGTTCCATGGACACATCCGAGATGAGATTTGTCAATTCGAATGGTACTTTGGACGATTTCTTTGGGGATCAAGATCAAGAAAATGATGACGAAGAGGAGGAGGAAGAGGAAGAAGAAGAAGAAGATGATGAAGATGAAGGTCATGGCTCTGGGAGTGAGAAAGACGATTTGGATCTACAAGTTACTATCACTTTGGATGGACAAAGGCAGTTCAAATTCAGTGAGAGGGCGGATGAAAAAGAAAATGTAAATGAATCCGAGCAGAAAAAAGATGAAGAATATCAACCAGATGGTCATAAAGCCCTTGAACAAGAGACCAAACTTACTCAGGAGGGGATGAAAGACCCGCAGCTCGAGCTTTCTGCTCCCATGAAATATTATTTGAGGCCTGTTTGTACCATCGGTAAGTTGCTTTTGCTTAGATTTCAATCGCGATTTGCAATCGTGATATTTTTGACATTAAATTAATAATTCAATTTCTATTATCGATTATTTTTATAGGAACAGGAACTTTTGGGAGAGTCTCGTTGACTCGGCATAACGTAACTGGTCATTATTATGCTCTGAAGGCTCTTTATATTCCCTCAATCATCGACCGGCGTCAAGTCCAACATGTTCACAATGAAAAAAGAATTCTCGAGAAATTGGAACACCCCTTCATCGTTAAGATGTAAGTAAGAAATGTTTTTAAAGTATTTTTTAGGTACGATACTGCCAAGGATTCGAGGAATCTCTATATGATCATGGAATTCCTTGCCGGAGGCGAGTTATTTGCATACTTGAGGGCCACCAAGGTATTCCCAAGCTCCATGGTTAAGTTCTACGCTTCTGAAGTGATATTGGCACTGGAATATCTACATGGATTACATATTGTAAGCCATTTACTATCGTTTGATTAGCCTGTTTTTCTTAAATCTTGGATTGTTTGTTTTTTTTTGCAGGCATATCGAGATTTGAAACCCGAGAATCTAATGATGACTCAGGAAGGCCATGTGAAATTAACGGATTTTGGGTTTGCCAAGGAAATCCATAACAAGTGAGCGGTTTTTATGACATTAGGACCTGAAAATACTTGTATTTTTGATACCCAGCTTTTTCACTTGATTTCAATTAATTCCTTCTCTAAATTTCCTGGGGGCAAGAGTCCTAGATTTGGCCGGAAGTGATTAAACCTTCCTAAAATACAGTAGTGATTGATTAATGCGGAGGTGAGAATCAGAACGTCATCCCCCGCTCGAGTCCGGTAACAGCTGGCCCTTTTCTGGACTGCCGGACAGTTGTTTTCGAGGCTCCTCAGGTTGTCAAAAAATAAGAAGAAAACAAAACTTCGAGTTTTCAAAAAATAAAAAGTAGTGCTGATGATTTGTAACATGACAAAGGTTAAACATTGTATAAAATAAATATTGGTTTAAGATCTTACACCTTATGTGGAACTGCCGAATATCTGGCCCCAGAGTTGGCCAACCGCTCGGGCCATAACCATTGCGTCGATTATTGGGCCCTGGGAGTTCTCATCTTCGAACTTATCTGCGGATATCCACCTTATTCTGGAAGTGATGCAGACGTCGTCCAAGATACGATAATCCAGCAAGGTGGAGTACCCGAATTCCCAAAGAAAACATTCAGTGCCAATGCCAAGTAGGAACACAACACTTGATTTTATATTATTTCAGAGACATTGTGACCCGATTATTGGCAGTAGAAATGACTGAAAGATTGGGGTACAAAGGTATCCATCAGATCAAAGAACATCCCTGGTTCGAGCAAATTGAATGGGAGAAGATGCTCCAGATGGCAATCAAGGTAGGGCAGGCTTTTTGTAGAGATCAGAAGTCTTCATGGATGAAAAAAAATTATTTTTTTCAGCCTCCTCTCAGCCCCACTGTATATCACGAAGGAGACACTGGCAACTTTGATACCTATGCTGAAGAGGAAACCCGAGCTGCAGCCAAGCAAAGAGATCTCGACTTGTTCGATGAATGGTAGTAGTCATGCTGATTAGATTACATGCATATTGGTCATGAATTAAATTATAATAGCCCTCCTCATCTCTTAGGTCCTTTGATCTCAGCTCTCCTTGACTTTGTAATGACGTCTGTGCGCTTCCAATGTTTGACCTTCTTTCACCTATGGTGCACTCTAAGGATCTGTTTGTCTTGCCCAAGGATACTTATCACACACTCTTAATTATTATTCATCCACTTGTTAATATTGGTCTTATCCTTTGCACGGACTGGATGGATTCGCTAATAATATTCAATGTACAATAAATATGATTAGATATTCAAAAAACATTGTGGCAAGCAAAATAAGCAAGCATGGAGATCCCCTCAGGAAAACGATGACTTCTGCATGACCTTGCTACAAAACCTGTGTAATTCCCAAAAACCTGCGTCGTCAAGAAATGGCTTGAGGCAAAACTACGTGTTGATTCCAAAACAGCATATTTAATTTTGCAATAACTGCCGCGGATAGCCGACAACACAAAAAAACGTAGACCCACTCTAAATTTTTTTACCTTTTTCGACACCGACCGGTGGCGGAAAAACTTCGAAATGCTGTGCGGCGGAGACTGCTGTAATGTAAATCGATGTATGCGTAGAGAAAATGGGCGGCAAAAGACCCGGAGGATACAATATAACATTTATTTCAAATTTTTGTGATTTGACGGAGACATTTCAAAATTCGGCGGACGATTTTCTTCGACTGCGCAGAGTCAAAATTGGCTAAAACCAAAACGTAAGGTTTCCCTGGTGGTATGGCGTTAAATAAGACTTATTACGTCTCCGGCCGACTGGCAGATGAAAACACGGCAACTCGGCGGGGAAAAAATGAACCCATTTTTAAGAAATTATGATGAGAAAACTAAAATTCTAGGTCCTATACGGCCCTGATCAACCAAAAAATATGATTCTTCTTATCGGCAGTTGCTCGGCGGATATTTTTCATAATTACATAATTGGGTTAATTTTTTTCTCCGCCGAATTGCCGTTTTTTTCATCTGCCAGTCGTCCGGAATACCATACGTTTTGGTTTTAACCAATTTTGACTCTCCAAAGTAGAAGAAAAATCGTCCGCCGAGGTTAAAAATGTCTCCGCCAAATGGCAAAAATTGGAAATAAACGTCGTATTGCATACTCTGGATCTTTTTCCGCTAATTTTCTTTACACATACATCGATTTACAGCCACATTTGTAAAAAAACACTCCGCCGAATTCAAGGCGGATTACGGAAGTCTCCGCCGATAAAAGAATTTTTTTTTGATTCTAAAAACTTCAAGGCTTTTCTGTACAATGTAAAAAAAATTTCGGATTGGACCACCGAGCGCAAAGTTATTAAAATGAATGGTTTTTCCAGAATTCTTAACACCCCGTAGTACCAGTGCGAAAACAATGAATGCCAACCGTTTTGAGATTGTAATATAGACGGGCCTTGCCGCAAAAACCCCCAGGCCCGCGGCCCGGCCCGTGACGCGTCATGACGGGCCGGTTTGTCAAATTTCTGTTTTTGAGCCCGGCCGACCCGGGCCACTGATCGCCCCTGACCATGACTGCAATTAGCATAGGTGAGACTTGACACGAAGAGAGAAACAATTGACCCCCGGAATCCACGCATAAAATAATTTTTTTAGTTTTGTCGATTGCCAATCCCATAAATGACTGAAGTGGTAAGTGTGGTATGACCTTTGAGAAAATTATGTTTAGGACGGGGAAACAATTGATTCAGCAAGAGAAACAAAAATCGACGGAGAACATGAGAACAAGAAGACCAATAAAGTAAGCAATCTCGGGGTTCCAGGATTTGTATTTTAAGCTCGACTCCTTGCCAAAGGAGTCATTGATAAATCTACTCAAAAAACAAGTAACCATCACCAAACAGCTAAAGCAGCAAGTGGCAGATACCAAGAAGGAGGTATGTGCAATAAAATTTTGTTAAAGTTCCTTAATTTTAGTTAGATGATTTGCGCACACAGGTCAAAAATACAGAAAATGTAAGAGAAGTCATCATTATCAAGCATAAAGTTTAGAGAGACAATACAGTCATCCAATTGGAGTTATCAGATTACAAAAAGAGTTTGGAACAGATTAAGAAGAAGCTGGAGGTGTCTGAAACATCATTGGCAAAGAAGGATGGACTGTTAAACGAGGTAGTGGAAAAGATGAAGACCCTCACCGAACAAAATATGGCATTAGAAGACGAAAAACAAAACTTGGAAAAGGAAATCGGTAGACTAACAGCTGAATCAAAAGGTAAAGTAATATAACTCGAGGGGTTAGTTATTTCAGTTTATGATTATGACCAAAATATTTCAGAAAAAGACCTCAAGCTCGAAGAAATCGATAGGAATGCTGGAGATTTGAAGAAAATGTCCGATGAAAAAGAAAAAAAGATTGTTAATCAACTTTCGGAATTCAAAGATACAATTGAACGGCAGGGAAAAGTACTGGAAGAAACCAGAACAGTACTACAACATACTAAGGAAGAAAATGTGAATCTTGTGAGGATTAACCAAAGAATCGAAGACAGTCTTGAGTCGGTACGAAACGAGTTTAAAAAATATAAAGATCGGGCCGAGTTTCTTTTAAGTAGTCAAAGTGACAATGCTAAGAGTAAGGTCAATGACGGGTTTGAATTGGAAGAAATGTCACGACAGTTAGCTCAGAGGAATAGTGAGCTCGCCGAATTGAAGTAAGCGGCCTTTATTCTGTTTATATTCATTTAGTGATAAAATCATCCACATTCAACATGAACTCAACTCTCAAAAAGAAAGGAATGCAGCATTGAAATCAGAATTAGAGGACTCCAGGATGTCAGTTACTCTGATCCAGAAGGATTTCAATGAACAGCGAAAACGAATTGTAAATGAATATGACGAAAGAATTAAAAGTCTGACCTCCGACAACGATAAATTGAGGTTGGAGTCGATCGATTGGAGAGAGCGGGCTTTGAAAAGTCAGGCTCAGACACCGGTGGCATCAAATATTGAGGAAATCAAAGAGTTAAATAAGCAAGTTTCCCTCCTTAAAGATGAAATACTGACGTACAAACAGAGGGAGATGTCTAACGTCGTCGAAACCCCGCGTATGATGGTAGGTGCCATCATATTCTGTTTATTATATTTCCAGAACTATGAATGCCATCACAAGAAAAGTGTTCCCAACCCTATCAACTTTAATATCGAGAGTTACTACCATGGGAACCCTCAAGATGGGTTTACAGAGCCTGTTCATAGGCCCGAAGGAGATCTGGTTAAAAGTCTGAAGAATGTTCTGGAGGCGCGCAACGATGACGAAACCGCGTCCACCCTGAATTTTGAGACGTATTCGTTGTCCGATTCCTTTATGCTTGAACCGGAGATCGCGGCTCAACAATTGGAACACATGAAGGAATTACTGCAAGATACAGAGGAGACGAATGCCAAGTTAGAAGATCAAGTTAGAGTGCTAAAAGAGGAGATCAGAAGAAGTGAGAGAGAAAAGGAGAGAGAAAAACATCTCGCTAAGAATACCGAGTACCTCAAAAATGTTGTCATCAAGTTCTTGGCCCCAGAGAAGGTTAATGATGGCCGGACTCAGCTCTTGCCAGTCCTCTGTACCCTTCTTAGTCTAACTCCTCAGGAGAAAGATAAGATCCAGGAGTATCTGAAGTCCCAGGGTGTCCAGGAGTCCACTCACCCGCCTTCCGAATGGTCTGGATACTTTGGGCCTTTGTCGGGGATCTTCTAATATATGCCCTGAACATTTTTTACAACAATGTTTCATTGGCGATGAATATGTACGTATGTGATATCGTGTTGTCAGAATAACTTCATGCATTCCTTCGGTTGTGATATCCAGCTAACTTATGATCCGAGTAAATATTATACCCTTTCGAGAGGCTTGCTGTTGTTTTACCACTATGTATATCTCCAAGAACCCGGTAGCCATGGATACGTAATAGAATAAATAATGACAGGAAATAAAGCTTATTCCGTTGCGAGTTTATTGCAATGACCTCCACCATGTCAAGTGCGATCTTAGAGGGTCTGAATTCGGATCCCTTCAATTTGAACATGACTCCTTTGTCGTTAGAATCGATGAGTAATCAGAAATTACTCCAGACATTGAGTGATGTCCTTGTTTGGATCCAGGGTACTGAGAGTGTGGATATCCGATCAGAATCCCCCGAAGAGACGGCTATAAGAATATTAAATGCTCTACGAATCCTGAAGTATCCCCCACCGAGAGACGTCGAGCAAATGTAGGTACCTCCCCGAGAAAGTAATCATCTTCTTCTAGGCAAGCATGGAGACTTGATATCCTGGAGGGCCACAAACAAGCCATATATCCAATATTAGAGTGGATATTTCATGACATTGACAGGCTTAAAGAGAGGGTTTACCTTGCCAATTATCTGACCCAGATTGATGTCCCAGTGGAAGAACAATCACCAGATGTTCAGCAATTAATGAATCGAGTTCAGCAAAAAATGGAAGAATTTAAAGTAAGCATGTTAGAGTGCTTCCTTATTTATTGCTTAGACGCTACACTCAAAAATTGTGGAGATCCGAACCGATTTCTCTCATGCCGAAGACATCAGAGCGGATCTGAAAGCCATGTACGAAGAGAAAGAACAACTTCTAAAGTCGATTGAAAGAAGCAAACAACGGATCTCCCATAGAAGTAATCTCCTCAACGAAATCTCACTGGCCAGTAGATTCCGACAAGTCACCGAAAGCTATAACGATCTAGTTTTCCAACAAGATGAGCAGAGAAATGCGGTAAGCAGAAGGTGTAACAGAATTTATTCTTAGCTTATCAACGCCGAACAACGAGCTCAGAGATTGAGAAGAGTTCTGAACGAAGCAATGAAGGAAAGAGAGATCATGGATCCCACCAAACTGACACAAAAGTTCAAGGTAACCACAGCTCGGGTCGCGACATATCGGGTCAATGATACCGTTTAATATTTTCGCTTCGGGACTGGGAAAAAAGAATTTTTGGTGAATTTGAAAAAATGTTTGAAATGTTTTCGCTTCGGGACTTGGGAAAAGGATTTTTTGAAGAATTTGAACAAATTTTTCAAAAGTTTCCGCTTTTATTTGCATACAATGATTACGACTATCTTCTTACTCCACTCTCTGGCACTTCTGTGTTTAAATCCCGTGCTTCCAGCTAAAAACATAAACAATGGAGAGGATTTTCTTATTTGCTCGTCGAATATAAAGCGACGAGCTTTATATTTTATATAAGCACTATTTTGCTAAAAAATTATACCTCAATTCTCAAAAAAATCTTTTTTCCGAAGTACCGAAGAGAAAACATTTCAAAAATTTTTTCAAATTCAGGCTGCCGTAATTACCCTTGACATTTTCATTCCAAATTTGTAAAAAAAGTAATGCCTTGAAGAATAACTATAATAACCGTCATTTTTTTCTGCCCTTATAAAAGTTTCGTATAGCCAAATACTTGATAATTTTTGGCGCTACGGCGTTTCGGGTCAGGGACAGCTCGGGTCGCGACAGTTCGGGTCAACGACATTTCGAGTCAACGATAGATGTTCGCTTCGGGATTGGGAAAAATAATTTTTGTGAAAATTGAACAAAATTTTAAAATGTTATCGCTTCGGGACAAGAAAAGAAATTTTTTTTGTGGAGAGTCGATCTGAATGTTACAATTTTATTTTATAGAGTAAGGTAAAAATCTAATTTTTGGAATTTTTTAGATAAATATTTGATTTAGGGGTAATTGAGATTTATTTTTTGCATTTTTTTATTTGTCACCCTGTAATCTCAAAATTTTGTTCATTTTTTGATTGTTACTTTTATCTGAAGTATTACTGTTAAAAGGTAATTTTTCGAAATTATTCCGCTATTCCGGAAGTGTCCGAATTCCGGAAATGTCGCGGCGCCATCTGCGGAACTTCTTCCCTCCTGCAGTAATCCTGATAAACTTTTTTAGCAAGAAATTGACGTGAATAGATATTTGGTCGATGAGAAACTCAAAACGGACAAAGAACATCTAAAACATGGCATCGAATTAGTAAATAAGATCCTCTCGACTGCCAATGTTAACCAGGACGACATAAAAAATATGACCAAGCAGGTATTTCTGAGCTGGGTATTTCATAAAATTATGCTAGATCGATGACTTAAATCAAGAAATCAAAGAATTGATGTTGGAACGAGACAAAAATGATCAGGATGAGGAGGATAAATTGAGTATTTATCGCCACCAAAGTGCTGGAGTTCTGAGGAAGAAAGCGGCAGTAGCTGATGAACTAAATTCATTACGGTAGGATTAAACATAACATACAGAAATTATGTATAATTAAGACAAGAACTGTCATACCTTGAGGATGCTGTTTCACAGAAGAAGACCGAGATAATGCAAAAAACTGGGAATGAAGAGTTTATTACGTCTGTTCAGGTAACCTGTATGAATAATATAAATGATCACATTTCAGTTCAAAAAATATGTAAACAAGATGAGAACGAAAAGCAACACTTACAAGAAAAAGAAATTGGAATTGGATACATTGACAAGCGAAATGAACATCTTAAGCAGAACAGTGGACATCTTGGATAAAAATTGGGAAGATCTTAAGGAGCAACTGGTATGTTATACTACTCCAGCGATATTAAGTTAAAGGTCTCTGCCGGGAGAGGGGTGATTGAGAATGAAGATGTTAGATTGGGGACCGCAGAAAGACCAAAGACGGCCAAGCCTCATAACACAAACTTGGTTGAACTGAAGAATATGGTTAAAGAATTAAGCGATGAGGTAGTCACCAAAAGAAATGAGATCGATCAGTTGGCCGGACAAGTCCAAGAGACCTCGCATAAAAGAAGAGTAAGCGGGAATACTAATAATTGTTTGTTATAACTATATACAGGGTGGGCTACTCGAAACTACCAACCTTATTTCGCAACCAGGTTTTTTAAAAAATTGCAATGATTTTCTATTGAGTTTCTCGGACTTGGAAAATATTCGGGTCTTGGCTAAACGAAGCTCTTATAAGTAGCAGAAAAAAGTGACGACAGTCAATGGAATAGTCGCGATTATCCCTCAGGGCATTGCTTTTGTTTTCTGGGGTAACAGGCTTAATTAACCGAAATCTTTAAAAATGCGAACAGATGGGCAAGACGGTCTACATGCATGAAGACATCCACCCCGAAGATACATTGCAAGTTTTTAGGCCCAGTTTGGTCGAGAAAACAGCTTTCTTTCTGATTCGTCCAACTTGGTACTTCGCTTAATTGAAATATGCCTTTAGCGCGCACTTGATACGGCCGTAAAGATTTTTTTTATTCTTTTTCATCGAGTTTGGCGACTTTTTTCTATCAGTTTGTCGGGAAAATAACGGCGGAACGTCGCGCCTTGGAATCGCCCATCATCGCTCTGCGACCGATAGCCGCGGCTGGGGATTTGGTGCGCGATAGCGGCGAGGCGAGACATTTGCTGCGACAATCCGCCGTTATTTTCCCGACAGACTGATAGATGGAAATCCAAAAATTTTCAATGTCCGAGAAACTCAATTGAAAATCATTGCAAAAATTTTCGAACAATAAGTTTCACCAGTTTTGGGCTCTAAAATTTGGAATGAAAATGTCAAAGGTCAGCACGGGTGCCTCCGTCAACGTAGACATATCCTACTTTGTGGACATAAATGGGGCATCTCAGCTTCAATTTGATAAAGACTTATAGAAATTGGTGCATTATTGGCCGAAAAAGACGTAAAGTAAGGTTGCTAGTTTCGAGTGGCCTACCCTGTACGATTTCAGAACGAAAATGAAAGCATTTTGGAAAAAAAGAAAAGGATAAAGGATTTCAAAGAAAATATTGAGAATCAGAAAAACGACTTAAATAAGGTGAGATTTAAAAGTTTGTAGTACTGTATATCAATTCAGGAGATTAGAGCCCTCAAAAAGAATTTAACAGAAATTGAATTAAAGAAGGACAGGTTGTCCAGAGACATTCAGAGATACACCTGGTTCCAAGGAATTGTCAACAAACCGAATGCAGAGAGAGAACTGATGAACACTTTCGACAAACAGAAGCATGAAGCATTGGTAGAAGTCGAAAGGATCAATACAAGTCTTAAGAATTTTGGATCACTTTCGGATCCAGCAGAACAAATCGTCATGTGGAAGTCACTCATACAGCTGTACACTTTGAAATTGGAATTACTGAAAAACAAGTAAGATGGTGTCACGCATCTTGGTCATCCCTTTACAGAAAGGGAAGCGAGTTACCCCTTGGAGATACACAACCGGAGCTACTGTAATTGCTCGGATCTATTTTTTACATCTTCAAACGAAATAATGAGAAAATAATCCTTGGCATTCTGCAATTTTTAAAATAAATTTTGTGTTTTCTATTTGGAATATGCTACCACAACAATTTATCCCTATTGAAAAGCGAGAATTTAGCTAATCCGCGCCATTATTTCTTGAATTTCTCTCTTTATGGAGTGAGATCAATTTTCTTCTTTGAGTCCCATCAGTTTGATGATGGACGATATGGCCGACTTTTCTCTTATTGTCCAACTTAGTAGGCGAGAATTAATCCATGTATTGGAGTCAATCCCGGGCCAGAAAGACCTTGTGGTGGAGTCAGGTCTAATGAGACCATTGGATAAGATAGCATCGATGAGTTTATTGATCGAACACGGAGTCCCTCGAGTACAACAACTCAAGGTAGATGGGACTATTTCCTGGGATCCCAATCTCCAAGAACGGGTGTTCGTTTGTCGCTCAACAATAGCAAACATGAGGAAAGTAGCGGAATATATTCGTGCCGACTCCTCTCGCACTTATCACATGGTTATGGTCGATAGGAACAGGAACATTTGTGGAATCGAGCTGGAGAAGTATGGAGTCTACGGGCAAATCTACTTCCACGAACTGAACTTGTATGTGGTCCCCCTGGAATCGGATATTTTCTCGCTGGAACTGCCAGAGCCTTCCATCAAATCAACGAATGATTCTTTTCCGGCGATGGCAAGGGCCCTTTGGCAATTACAATGTCTTTATGGGATTATCCCAGTCTCATATGACTTTGGAGAACAGGCGAAGAAACTGGAACACAATCTGAAGCAGATCTTCTTAGAACAGGGAGAACCCACAGCCTCAGCTGATCGCCCGATTAGTCACATGATTGTGTTTGACCGTAATCTAGATCTTCCATCTGTTTTGTTAACTGGATTAACATACGAATCTATGCTAAATGATTGTTTTCAGTACTCTTGTGGAAAAATTATTTTTGGAGAAGCGGTAGAAAACAAACTGAAGAATAAGAATAACAGCGGAAAGAGTAAAGCCTACAGTTTAAGTAATTCAGATGTCATCTTCTCAGCCATCAGAAACAAGCACATGACTTCCGTGTTCCCATTTCTCAGCACCAAAGCGAAGACTCTTCAATCTAGTTATGATAAAGCTAGTGGTGAGTCCTGTTGTCTTTAGGCATTTTTTTGATTTTAGCTATGAGCAAAGTGGATGAAGTTAAATCATTTGTTGCCAATGAATTAAAGAGCTTGAAGGAACAACATAAACTGCTCGAGGTTCATATCTGTGCTTGCGAAACGGTACTTGAGATGAACAAAGGCTGTACTGAGCGGTTGGCGGTCGAGCATTCGATAGTTAAAGGGCTCTTTGAACCTTCAGAAGTTATGAATTATATCGAGAACTTAGTGTGCAGGCAGCATACTCCTTGGCAAGTTCTCCTCTTAATGTGTCTGTGGTCTATATCCAGCAATGGAATTCCTTTCCGACATTTCTCGACCTTTCGAACCTTATTCCTGCATGCTTATGGGTACGAGCATCTGACCACACTCTTCCATCTTGGCTCTGCAGGCCTTCTTATAGAAGCGGCCAGTCCCAGTACGATGGGATTTGGACAAAGAACATTAAGAGCAGTCAACACAAATTTCAACCACATAGCCAAATCGTTGGAATTGATCCCAAGGACCGGGTCCAACTTTAAATCGGAAGCCAGCTATGTCTTTTCTGATGCCTACACTCCCGTTATAATCAGAATTCTGGAGTTGTTAGTGGATGAAGGATGGGAATCTGCTTCGTTAAGGAAGGCCTTTAAGGATGTCTACACCAGCTGTTCCAACCCGACCACTCCGAAGCCTGATAATCGCATTAGAAAGGCAATATTGGTCTGTTTCCCTGGCGGAGTTACATATTCGGAAATCGCCGCTCTACGTAAATTAGCTCAGGACAAAAACTTTCGCATAATTATCATCACCAGTCATATCATTTCACGGGAGCATTTCCTCATAAGCTATACTGAATAACAAATTGTTTGTTCTGATTGTAAAAAGAATATTTATTTTTTATGTACAAGTAAATCACTTCAAAGAATTGATGAATGAAAGGAGAGAGGAATCTGGAGTTAAGGGCCCCTTGCCGTCGTCAAATCCCGCTAACTTTCGCAGTTTATTCCCTCGGTTTTTAGATTTGTTTGTTCTTTTATCCATTGAAAGAAAAGGAGAAGGTTGAGCCGGTTTCTCGGAAGGCACGAAAGGAGAATTCTTATCAAGTGTGATCTTTTTTTGCTTCGAATCGTTCCCCGTCTTTCTCTTCAAACGAATGGAGTCCAGTTTTGATTTGCAAGCGTCACATTGGATTGTAACCCTAAACAAAAACGAAAGTGGTAGTTTCCATTGTGCTACTTTCCCCGGCCAGACAAGATAGCTCTCCCCTACCTTTTCTTCGAGAAGAGAAACTGAAACCTCCTCGCAGCGCACGACTTGCACAGATCTGACGGAATCTGTTGCTTGAGAGCCCTCAGGTTCACATTGACATCGCCTTCGATTCCGTTATTCACCCTCAACTTCGATAGCTTCGTAAGATACACCTTTCGCATTTTGTCCATTGGGTCATCCTCATCTACATCCATCTACAAGAAGACTCAACGATACAGTCTTCACAAGATGAAAAATACGAACTCAGACTAAACTAGCACCAACCGAAGGAAAAATCCAGAATTTAAATAGAAAAGTTTAACGAATAACAATAGTTTTAAGGAATAAATTCCACAAAACAAATAATTGAGGGAGGGAATAAGGCATCGTCTGCTTAAGCAGTTTGAGCGGTGCTCTTGCCCAACAGAGCCAAAGAAGCTTCATTGACACGTTCGTTGAGGATCTCAGTGTTCTCCAAACACATCAGAAGCTCAGAGTTCTCCATCTCCAACAACATGCCGGTTATCTTTCCGACCATTTCATCAGGAACCAGACTGGCAATTAACGGATACAACTGTTCGCCCAAGATTTGCTTTTGCTCCTAAAAAACAATTCAAGTAAGTTCATAACATTTACTGCATACCTGAGGGGCAGCAGCGGCCAATTTAGAAGTAAGTTCTTCTCTCTGTACAGTGGTGCTCGGGGCTCCCTGTGTATGCTGATGTTGTGGACGAACTTGTTGACTAACTCCATAATTGTACTGACCTTGACCTGGTTTCCCCTGTCCAAGTTGTTGTCTCATTTGTTGACCTCCTTGGATGTTACCGGCCGGTGCACGGTTTTGAGGTCTCGCTCCACCCTGGTATTGCTGACGCATGTTTCCTTGTTGACGAGGACCACGGTGGCCGGTTCCATATTGATTTTGCTGAACGAAGCTCTGCATTCCAAATCCTGAATTCATTCCATTCCAGCGGGTCATGTTTCCAGTACGAAGCTGGGCTGGTACTGCGTTGGCAACAAAAGGACGTTGGTTGGGGAGCGCAGATTGGATGTAGAAGCCGCCGCCAGCATTCGGAGCATACATAGCAGTAGGAATACCACCTCCTTGGATCCTCATGGTGGCCATACGCTGCATGTACTGGGAAGCTAGCTGGGCTTTGCGTTCCTCCTTGCGCTGAGCAAGGGCAACATATAAAGGCTTTCCGTTCAGCATCTTGTTGTTCATGTCAACGACCGCCTTGGTAGCATCATCGGGCTTCTCAAAACAGACGAAGCCGAATCCCTTGGAACGACCATTCTCGTCGGTCATCACCTACAATATAAAACATACAGTAATAATATTCAACATACCTTAGCAGAAGCGATAGTACCGTGCTTCTCAAAGTTTTTCTTTAATTCATCACTGGTTACAGTTTCATCCAGGTTCTTAACATACAAGTTGACTCCTTGATAGCGTTGCATGCGCTCAGCCTTCAGTTGCTCGTAAACACGAGATAATTCGGCTTCACGTTCGGCTTTCTTCTGAGCACGACAAACAGTTAATTTGACATCGGACTCGGGGATCTCTTGGTTGTTGAGTTCGTTGACCGCTTTCTCAGCGTCTTCTGGATTCTCGAAAGAGACAAAACCGAATCCCTTCGATTTTCCTTCATGATCCTTCATGACTACCGAGCTAGTGATTGGGCCATACTGTTCGAACAAAGCCTTGAGCTTTGCATCATCAATCTTATCACCAAAGTTCTTAACAAAAACATTGGTGAAACGATGAGCGGCCTCTCCCATCTCCCGAAGACGAGCAGCACGGGGTTGGAACTTGCCCACGTAGACTTGCTTGTTGTCCAGAAGCATGCCATTTACTTTCTCAATAGCCTTCTGTGCAGCTTCTTCTGTCTCGAAGTGGATGAAACCATAACCTTTACTCTTTCCTTCTTCGTCAGTAGCGATCTAAAAATACAAAAATTAAAACATTGTTTAAAAATCCGAATTCCATTAACCTTACCTTGCAACTGAGGATGTTTCCGAACATAGAGAAGGTATCATAGATGGACTTAGTGTCGATGTTGGGGTCCAAATTCTTGATGAAGACATTGCCTGCGCCGGAGCGACGAATAGTGGGGTCGCGTTGAGACCACATGATTCTGATTGGCTTGCCACTCAACGAATCAAAATTCATGGTGTCCAAGGCTCTCTCGGCTAAAAATTAAGAGGTCTAAATCAACACAAAAACATTTAAGAGGTCTAAATCAACACAAAAGACCATCGGTCAAAAATACTTACCATCAGCAGGTTGTTGGAAGTTGACATAAGCATATCCCAAAGAACGACGGGTAATGGCGTCACGACAGACACGGATCGACAACACTGGGCCAGCCTGGCTAAACTTATTGTAGAGAAGCGATTCGGTGACGGCGGGATGAAGATCACCGACGTACAACGAGGCCATCAAATAGTTACCGGCCGGGGCGGCGTTACCAGTAGCTGCAGCAGCAGGAGCTGCTGGGGCAGAAGTCAATGTCTGAGCAGCCATTTCCGAAAATTTTTGGAACAACTGAAAGAAATGTAAAAAGTTTTACAAAAACATAAAACAATGACAATTGTACAGGAAAAGATGAAATAAAGCTTACCTTATATCAATTAGACGAGCCAAAAAACAGGAAAATAACGATTTTTTTTGATTTTTTAGGTTTTAGCAAATTAAAATTTTTTTGTTTTTTATTTTTAATATTTTGGGGCAGGGGACCCGATAGAGAGCGAAGCAGAAGCACACTCACTCAAACGGGCAAAACAAGAATGGACGGGAATAGGAAGGGTTCCAACTCGTGATGAAAGCGCCAAGTCTTACGCACGGTGCGTCTCGCGGGTCCTGCCACGAAAGCAAAAGACCGCCCTTTTTAAAAAACGATTTCAAGAAAACCCTTCACGTTCGGTCCACGGTTGAGATGGCCTCCCGAGCTGCGCCCGCGATTTGAAATTCGCCGGCGACATCTTATACGAAATAATACCAAATTTTGTAATAATCGCCTCAGGGCTCTAACAAGGGCTCGGCAAAACCTCGTCCCCTGGTTTCTTCTTGAAACATATACCATTTGAAAGAGCGTAAAAAACTGGTCTAGGATCACCTCGAATTAGCTGCTATTATTCACTTACACGCTGGCTAGCGAGCATTTTTTAGTTCTAGGCTTGTCTCACCCTTCTTTTGGGGTAAGGCGCTTCACAAGGAGGACCTGCGGATCAGGTTCGAATCCCCTTTTGATTTTTTAAACTTTTTTAACTATGTTTCTCTTGGGTTACAGGACCTACAACATCGCGCAATCGCTCATTGAGTAAATCGACCCCGCGTAAATTGCGGGACCAAGTTTATAGTAGGTCAGTTTCATCCTTGAAATTCATTCAACCATATTTGATGAATTTGATTTTAAAATAATTTTAATTTTAAAAAAGAGAGTTTTTTCCAACTCGAAGTTAACACGACCTATGCATAGGCCTATGATGACGCGATTTGCATGCATTGAAAGAGCGTTTTTTACAACTCGGAGGATGGCCCGGACATTTCGAAAAAACGACCGACTCAGAATCTTTTGATATTTTGCATAGTTGTTGTACTATGATAGCTAAACGTCAGCATGAAGTTTTAGTTTTGAAAATTACCGTATACGGGGATTACGGTAGGTACAATTTTCGGAAAGATTGGGTCCGTGTGTAAAAACTCCAAGGAGTAAAAGGGCGAAACTTCGCTGTGTTACGTTTTCGACCATGGGAAACATTTTCATAATTGACACTTTTGCCGTAGGATGTAGCCTTCGACTACTTTGAAAAATACCAAGGTACCATATTGAACGTAACTTTTTTGCAGAGAACTTGTCTCAACTTTTGAAACCTCTCAAAAATACTTTGACATAAATGTAACAACATATCAAAAATGCACGAAAATAAAAGGGGTGGTTTTGGAGTTATGGCACTTTGGATGTAGCCGGTACCGTATATCAAAATTTTAATTTTTTCAAAATCGGTGTAGAACAGCCGAAAACCTTGTTCATGTACGTTTTCCACCATAAGGATTGACACTTTTTTTGTAGGATGCAGTCTTCAACCGGTATGAGAAATATCAAGATACCATGGTCAATATAACTTTTCGGCATTCTACTTGTCTCAACTTTCGAAACCTTTCAAAAACACCTTGACGTATGTGTAACAACATATCAAAAATTTAGGAAAATAAAAGGGGTGGTTTTGGAGTTATGGTACTTTTAATCTTGATCATACAGTACACCGAACTTTCGTTGTGATGCTGACATCCGAATTTGGAAGATTCCACTGTCGTATGGCACACACGACTCTAAACCGTGGTAATCGTTACAAAAAATTGAAGAAATCGCTGATCTTGCTGTTACAGTAACCAATTATCTGCGCACGATATGTTACAGTATGTTTAGGCCTAAATTTTCTGAATTTCCCAGTGAAAATACTTTTTGAGGGTCGTACAACATACATAAAAAATTACATTTTGTTTTTAAAATAATCTACATAAAGTTTGGCCGAGAATAAATCGAGGTGTACTGCATGTCCAACATTCAAAGTGCCATAACTCCAAAACCACCCCTTTTATTTTCGTGCATTTTTGATATGTTGTTACATTTATGTCAAAGTATTTTTGAGAGGTTTCTAAAGTTGAGGCAAGTTCTCTGCAAAAAAAGTTATATTCAATATGGTACCTTGGTATTTTTCAAAGTAGTCGAAGGCCCTACGGCGAAATGAAAATGTTCCCCACGGTCGAAAACGTAACACAGCGAAGTTTCGCCCTTTTACTCCTTGGAGTTTTTACACACGGACCCAATCTTTCCGAAAATTGTACCTACCGTAATCCCCGTATACGGTAATTTTCAAAACTAAAACTTCATGCTGACGTTCAGCTATCATAGTACAACAACTATGCAAAATATCAAAAGATTCTGAACTGGTCGTTTTTTCGAAATGTCCGGCCCTTGTTATGAGAAGCTTCAATCTGTAAAACACTCTCTTTTAAATGATCTCTTACAGCCTGACAAACACTTCTTAGTTTTGTATTTTTATTTGTAGGGCTTCGTATCATTTTGAAACAGGGTGAACTTCCAATTTATTAAAATCTCAAGGGATTAGATTACAAAACAGAGATCTCTTTCCATGATAAAAATTAATTACATCATTCTACAAGCTGCTGAACACAAACCACCGTTCGAAGAGAAGCTCTCAACGTCCTGAAAAGCAAAGATTTGTGGTTGATTATGAAGAGAGCGATTACAACTCGTACTTTTTCTTTTTTGCCATTGACGCCGTTTCGTTGATCGACATTCTGAGTGTGGAGTTCAAGATAGCCATCAAGCGACTGGTCGGTTGCCCTCTCTCGTTCACAAAGTTCCCAAACGCTCTTGCGTTCGTTCTTATCCAAGAAATACGTCATCACCGGTTCTTTACCCATCTTGAGATCGACCATTCCACGCTCAGAAAAGGCGAATCCGGAGTTTGTTTGCAGGGCCCGGGAACGACTACTTTCGCTGACATGAATACGGCAAGGCACTCCTTGAGACTCCATTCTGTTGGCGATATTTACAGTATCCCCAAAAAGACAATATCGGGGCATCTTGACTCCGACCACTCCAGCGACCACAGGGCCGCTGTGGACGCCGACTCTGATCCTGATGGACTGGTTCTTGTTGATCGGGCTGACCACCGATTTGGACTCCATCAGCATCCCAATGGAAACATCCAAGATCTTCTCGGCATGGTTAGGGCATTCTTTGGGGACTCCTCCCACAATCATATAAGCATCCCCAATAGTCTCGACTTTGTAGACATCATGCTGAAGTAATTGTTTTGTATTTTTACTTTTCTTAACCTACCAACCCAACCAACCGGTCAAATCTCAAATATAGATCGTTTAGAAGATTAACAACGTCATAAGGAGTACACATTGCACAAATGTTTGTGAAGGTGACAATATCAGTAAAGAGTATTGTCGAATCCAGGAACTCAGAGGCTTCAACGGTGGCGCCTTGTCTTAGGCTTTCAGCTACAGAAGGCGGCATTAATTCACACAACAGCTCCTCGGTCTTCTGTTTCTCGGCTTCCAATTCTGAAGCCATCTTTTTCAAGTTCCTGGTTGTTTCTTCAAGACGACGGCTATAAGAATACGCATGTAACTTCGTATGCTGTAATCCCATCTTACTTTAGCTCGACTTGAGACATCCTGGATTGATTAAGCATAATCAGATCCCGAGTTGAATCGTGTCTCTGGATATCCGATATGAACAAATTCCTGTCCATCAACTCTCTAATGGAGGTTACGTTCAGAGAGCACATAAAGACCAGATAATTGTTGTTATCTACACTGATCATAGCACCTTTCAAGGTAATCGGGAATTGACTGATGGCTAGATCTACGCCTGTGGGCTCGGCATTCGGATCTGCATTATCTTTCATTTGGAACACAAACATGCTGTTTCGGAAGGTCATAATCGAATCAAAATTGAGAGGGATCTCAGGATGGGTCAGGTGTAAGATGTCTGTCAGTTTGGTCTCCCCTTTTTTGATAAAAGGAAATGTTTTCTTCATATGGATTCCAACGTGTTCGATGACAAGATCACGATCAAAGCAGAAATGATGTGGAAATGCATTGCAGAAGTCAACCATTTTAATTGGGTATTGACCCGCACTCTGAATTAATGCGTCGACTTTTTTGAAAAGACTCCTTAATCGCATACTCAAGAACTTACATTCACAATTTCAGCCCCACCAGAGGCAGATTTACTGGCAATAGATCGTGTCGGCTGTCCGGAACTGTTCTCAATCTATAAGTGGTTATTACAGATAAACTTTATACTTCCGACATAAAGTTTGGACAATTTTCAATTCGCATTCGTTCATTTTTTGCTGCAATTTCCCGTTTTTACACTAGCGATATGTGTTCTTTCGCGAGGTGCCTCCAAGTTTTACGCGCGAGTCGGCACAAAAATTTTTGGAAGTTTATGTCCCAATCTCACCCGGGCCCGAGTGTTACATTACAAATACCTGAGTGATACTAAAGATGACATGTTCCGTGATCAGAGAGTCCCCATGTTCTTGTTTTCTCTCTTGCACTTTCATGATGACTTCAGTATCAAAAATTCGTCTAACGGCTTCTCTAATTACTCCCTTAACAATGGGATACAACCCTGATCGTCTTGAATAGTAATGTAATAAAAGCGACCCATCTTGTTGGACTTCACATCGAAATGAAGGTCCCTTCAGCTTAGTTCTGTATACGACATGGTCAATAAAGTAGTGCAAAGAATCCAATCCATCAAGAAAGCCCTCAAGGTCAGGCGACATGGCACGAAGCAGTTCATCCCAGCCAGTTTCCATTGTAAATTGTATAAGAAATCCCCCGTAAGCTTCCCATACCTCCTCAATAGGAATGCCTGAAGGGATAAGAGGCCATTTAATATTGTCTTAACCTACCAATCACAGAACCCATTGCGGCGACCAAACGGAACGTGTCTTCGTCTTTGTAATTCTTATTTATTTCCCGTTCAGTCCCATCTTCGAACTTTGCGATCTCACTGAAATACATTTCTCTACTTCCGTGAACCTACAGAATCTTCAACCAGGTGTCCCTTCCATACTTCCGAGTCACCAGTTGCCGATAACTCTCATGAATCCAGCCAAACTACAATAATACGATTAAAAAAATATATTAAACTTACCATATCTCAGGATTTTTACAAGTCCCGGTTGCAGAAGATGGACGAAAGGATGATTAAACAATTTGGAAGATGGGAGGAATCAAATCACGCAATGGGGGATGTATAATATTCTGGCACGCTATCAGACACACCTACTGTAATTAAAGATTCTCAAAATCCTTTACATTCTCGGCTTTAAAATCTTGTCTGTAAATGCATCTTTAAAAGCGAATAACATAAACCAGATACTGAATAGTGTAGAATAACAAGTTTTATTAATTTTTTAATCGACCACAATATATACAACCATGATGTAGATCTCTATGACAATCCAACCCGTCTGAAGTCAGTGACGGCTTCATCTTCCGAAATCTCTTCAAAAGATCCGTCAGCATTCAGCTCGTCCTTTACCGTAACCCGACTCAATTTGACAACATTCTCGAACAGTCCATTTTGTGTTAAACAAAAATAAAAGGTCATAACATTGCGCAAAACTTACGCCATCCCATCTTCTTCATCTCCTTCATCTTGTTGTGATAATTTCAGATAAGGATTTCGTTTCACCGGTTTAAAAGTATTACCAACGACAAAGAAGAAGACCAAAGTGACCGTCTCGGTAACAGCTTCGGCGACCCATTTCTCATTAAAAGGCAGGTCTTGCTATAATAAACAATATAAACAATCCATAAAACCCTCACCTCCAGAAAGAATGCACCCAATCTCGTTACATAAATATAACTGATAACGATGACATAAAATCGTCTGAATATAATCAACCTCTGGAGGTTAAAGGACGCTTTTCCATCAGTAGTTGCGCCATGCCGTAAATGATTGATAGACCACAAGATGGGGAACAAGACGGCAGCACAACAGACCAGATCCAAGAGAGTAAACAATTCAAACCAAAAAACGTAACGCTGTTCAGCTACTTCACTTTCATTCAGAATCACCATCGCTATGTTGTCTATGACTTGTAATGGCAGAACAACTATAAATAGATTCCTGTCCCGATCAGTAAGGAATGACTTGAAGAACGTGTACCCAGTACCAATCAAAATCAAAGTCCCAAATAACAGAGCCCCTTTCAATCTAAAAAATGAGTTCAAACAGTAAACCTTGGCTTACAAGTGAGTGATGTAGAACAGGATCGCCCATGCTTCTCTTTGATGCCCGTACAAAGATACGAAGTAAAAGTTCATCCCATGGCAAAACACCGACATCGTCTTCAAAACCACGAGGGCGGACATCAAATGATGAATTCTGTAAACAGTATCAGCCCTAAAAAATATTATTTAAAAAAATAAGGCAGAAGAAAAGTTAAAAAGTCATCAAAACTTACTCGGCTTTGCAAAGAACATTAATCCATAAAATTGAAAACAAAGCGGATACGAAGGAGATCATCAAATAAAATTTGGGCTTTGGAATGTCCCCGGCAGAGAGATGTGACCCTAGGTTCTTCTCTTCAATAAACATCGAATATTCAACTGCAACTTTGTCACTGAATCCATGATGACGGTACGAGAAGCAATTATGATAGATGAAATGGTATAGGCCGGCATTTTCCTTGTCAAATCGCAGGGCAAACTGTGTAGAATAATGTCCATTCACATGATTTAAGGGAATGAAATCTTTTAGCGCTTCACCTCTAGGTGCCTTCTTCCCCCAGATTATTTTGTCGAAGAACCCGACTGTTTCAGGTTCGGGAACCTAAAATCGTAATAAATGTAAATTTTCTCAGATTCTTACAGTTCGGTTATTAGGTTCAAAAAAACAGTCAGCCACCGTGGGACAAATGTCCATGCCCTTCAAAGTTCCTGACTTTATGATAGACAGTGCAGACGTTTCAAAGTCAAAGATTAAGAAGATGGCGTCTAGCTGCTGGTCTTTCTGATTCAACTGACAAAGATGTGGATTCTGGCGGGTACTTTCGGCTATCTGACTTCCCTTTGTGATGGTAAAACCCACAATTCCCTAAAGAGGAAACATTAAAACTACACTAGGTAAATTTTAAACATACAAATCGGTCTGCTTTCGTGTTTTCGTCATTTGAAATGACAGCATCGGGGACGGTGAAGTTGCGAAGTGCCACAAATAGTGTTCCATTCTCATTAAACCCAAACCTAGTTAATAAAATGTTCTTCCTTGCTTCATTCTGTAAAAATGTAAGAATATTAGAATTGAACATACCTTGAAAGAAATGTCGTGGTATTTTGCTGAACAATGAAATACTCCATACAATACAAAAAACAGCTTTATCATGCTGTTGAGATCTTATCCGGACTTTAGAAAAGTTTAATTTCACAGGGAACTCAAAATCACTTATAGGTAATTTTTATTTTCGGCGCCCGGGAAATTCACTTATAGGTAATTATAAATACTTATAGGTAACAGAAAATTATGCACAGTGCAGGATAGATAAAAATTTATTCAAACAAAGAAAAAACAACCTGACTCTGATATTTTACCGGTTACACATGTGGTTAGCGCATCTTCTGTGTCCTGACGAGGCAAGGATTGCTTCTGTGCGGATTTTCTATGGGTACTCCTGCGGCTAGATGCACTGAAAATAGTCAAAGATAAAGAAAAAGAAAATAAAATTTTCGGAGATAGTTTATTACGAGCTGTCCTTGAACTCATTTTTTGTGCTTTTCCATCCCAAAAATTAGTTTGAGGATCAGAAATTTGGCAATGACAGATTTCAAGACATCAAGTTTGTCATGTTGTACTAGGTCCAGGCGAATATTATCAACATACCTGAAGCGTACGGGAGCCATTTTTCCAGGCATCGTGTTCACGTTGCCGATTTACCTCCTCCGTGACAAGTTTTCTGAAAACTAGCGGTTCATCTGGACCTAGTACAACATAACAAAACCTTCTCCTAAAAAGTTTCTAGCCTTCTGAAATGTGGAAGCAGTTTAAAAAACCTATCAAACTTGATGAAAGGGTTCTTCATCTAAATTCTTGGTTGATCATGCTTGTTCCTAGATCTTCCGAGGCTGCCTGCTCTTCCATGTTGACGTGCTTTCAATTCGAGAAGTTTCTTATGTTCAGGATTTTTCATCTGTCCACTTTTTACAGTTCTGAAAGAAAAAACTCACTAAAAGTACCTTACCTTGTTCAATCCAATGTATAAATACCCTTATGCACCTTCATTGACCAGTACTGCTCCGAAAAACTTAGAATTTCTAAGTCTGGTCCATGCGTTCAAAAAGCCAAAAGCGTCTTTGGCGCTCAACTGTTTTCTTTTCGGAGTCCTTATTGGTAATTATAAGTAAATAAAATTTCTTATAAGTAAATCAAAATAGGCTCCGCCTTTTTTTCACTTATAAGTGAATTTTTGGGAAATATTTTTACCTATAAGTAAATAAAAGTTTTTATAAGTAAATCCGAGTTCCCTGTGTTCTCAAAGTTGAGTAATTCGATAGATTTTGAGACAAAAAGCCACAAAAATAAAAAAAAAAAACCGGCAAAAGGAGCTTTTTCGTGCCAAAAGAGGAATTCTTCTTTGAAGTATGTCCACACGGCTCCTGGGTCCAAGATGAGCGAAATATCGTTAAAACGAGCACGGAGTGAGGTTTTTTCGCTTTTATTTTATTTAATTTTAGACGATTCGCGGGGAAATCAAGCAGTGGAGACCAAAAAAAGACAAAGTATGTTTGTCTAATATTTTCATGGTTGCTGTCAATAACGTCGAACCATTCACGTAGTTTAGTTTAGATGTTGCTGGAGATATCATGAAAAGATTGGGATACGAAGAGGGGGGAGGACTAGGGCAGAATGGAGAAGGAAGGCTGGAGACTGTGGAAGATGCAATTCAGGTCGGCAGGTTGGAATTTGGCCACCAATTAAATAAGGTACACAGTTTACTTTCTTTTCATACCGTTTATTATTCAGAAAAAAGTGGCCAGCTGGGATCAGAGTGAAGAAAACAAATCCATCGAGGAGAGACCGGAGTATCTCGAGGCGTCAGAAGATGACCGTGAATTCTTTTCAACATCGTTTGACATCAATTGGATTGTGAAGGGGAAGGTATTGTGATCTGTCTTTGAAATTTTTTGTTGTTTAGCCATTAAAAACATTATTAGATGAAGAGGACTTTTGCGATAATCAAGTTATTCGTGATCTGTTAAAAGCAAAGTCCATCTTCGATTACATGGATATCCGTGACATCCAAAATGCCAGACAGCGCGCTAATCCTTATGAAACTATAATGGGGGCCATCTTTCAAAACAGGTTTGTAATCATCCTTACTCCGTACGTTGTTTTATTTTTAGGGCAGCAATGAAGATGGCCAATTTGGATAGAGTTTTCGATTGGAAATTAAGTAGAGAAGATAATCCAGACATTAGACGTCAGCATAACCCTCTATGTGGTTCTGATTGTGATTTTAATCTACAACGGAACAAGGATGTCTTTTACTTTGCTGATATTTGTGCTGGTCCTGGAGGTTTTAGTGAGTATATGATGTGGCGCAAAGCCTTTTATAACTCGAAAGGGATTGGATTTACTTTGAGAGGGAAGGATGACTTCAAATTATACAACTTCAAAGCTTCATCTCAAGCTTTCTTTGAGACTTACTATGGAACTAACGGAGATGGAGATATCTATAATCCAGATAACATAAAGTAAGGACTACTTTTCACAATGGGAGACTCGTTATATTACAGATCGTTGGAAGATTATGTGAGAAGGAGAACCGACGGCCGAATGTGTGATACTGTAATGTCTGATGGTGGATTTTCTGTCGAAGGGAAAGAGGAGATTCAGGAGATCTTATCCAAGAGGATCTATCTTTGCCAATTCCTTGTCGGATTGTCTCTCTGCAGAATTCGGAATTCAACAAAAAGTGGAGGAAACTTTATTTGTAAAATGTTTGATGTGTTCACCACCTTCAGTGCAGGATTACTGTACATTATGTACCTAGCATTCGAGAAGGTATCTATTCACAAACCGAATACAAGCCGTCCAGGAAATTCAGAAAGGTTGGTCATTTAGCGATTTTTCTTGTGTGTTTTTTTTTGTTTCGCATCTAGATTTTCAGGTATATTTTCTGTGAGAATCTGTCGGAGTTCGGTGCTACTGTTCTCAAAAACTACCTCATTTACATAAATGGTGAACTGGATAAGACCTCTGAGGGCGAAGATATCCTTGAAATTATCCCCCTAGATGTCCTAAAACATGATGTGAAGTTTGTGAATTACCTAAAGACCAGTAATGAGAAATGGGCCAGTAGACAGATACTGTACCTCCAAAAGTATGAGACGTATGCCTTGAATAAAAGCGTGTATGATGAGGACCAGCCCGAATTGAGAGAGAAGTGTCTCCAATACTGGGAGATCCCCAACAAAAGCCGTCCTGTTATCGAGAATCAGCCACCGACTATGGCTTTAAGGGTGATGGTGCCTGAACATGCGGTAGGGTCCATTAGGAGGTGCTTAAATGTTGCAGGAATACTCTTTCGACTTTGCAACCTCACTTACTACTAGTGCAATGTCATCCTTCGAATCCCTGGAAAGCCGGATGCTTTGTTTGCTACCAGAGAATAATCCCCCTATGTTACTTGTTTCGAATGGAAAGGTGGGCTTTAAAACACTTTATTACATTACATTACTAAATCTTCAGGGAGAATCGTTCCTCTTAGACAGCGAACATTCAAATATAAAACAACATGAACTCTTATTACCTCCAAAGACCCTGCTACTGGTACAAAAGACTTCAATTTACACTATTGTAAGTATTTCCATCCAAACAAAGTTTAAGACATTTCAGACTGACAAAGGGGCGCTCCTCCCAACTTCAGACTGGAGCAGTGTAATGTATGTAATTGATGCTGGATGGCTGGCAGGCGATGCCGTCTACGAATGCAATTTATCGGAAAGAAGAAGATGCATCAATAAGTTTTGCGAATCCATAAATAAATGTCCTGAGAGCTACCGGCAAAACTTTGAATATAGGTTGGAGAAAGTGTGGAGTATCAAGAGGAAGGGAAAGGGAAAACCAGTGATGAATTGTCAAATGAATTCGTATTACCTCATCCCATCGCCAACATTATCATTAGAAGACGGTACAAATCAACTTTCTGATCTGAAGATCGGATTCCTCGAAACAAACAACCGATGTGAGAAGATGGCCGTTCTTCAATTACCAGTGCCCAGGTCACTACTAGCAGAAAATGATGACAAAAATCGATACCTCTCTGTAAAAGCTGTCCGACTTTATCAAACAAAAGGCTAGTTAGATTTACAAAGCATTAATGTAATGTTTTAGACGAACAACAAAACCCCTATGGATTCTTCGATACTTATAACAAGAAATGTGTTTGGGATTGGATCTGGAAACCAGACTCGCGAGGAGAGAACGGGATCTACCAAATCCTTCATGAGGAAGTAGACAACTTTCTCACTGTTCCTACTTTTAACAAACTCGTACAAAAAATAAAGTAAAATTTATAATTCAGGGTGTGAAAATGTTAACTTAACAGAGAACCAAAGACATCTTTGCTCTTCTTTTTCTCCGGGGATTTTGTGAATTGCCCATGCCTCTTAAAAACAACGTTAATTTCTCTAAACACACGATCAACTATTTGTAATACAAAACTCTTACCTTGAATGGATTTAATGGGGTTGGGGCAGCTGAATCCTCAAAGATGTTCATGGAGGTCTCCGCAGACATACTGATCGAAGTATTGATGGATTCTTGCGTCTTGTTTACATCAGGAAGAAGAGTGGCTCTCCTTTTCAATTCTACTCGTCGATTTAACGTCCCGGGGGTACTGACTCGAGTCCCCTGGTTCTCTTGAAAAGCGTTCAAAGGTTGATTCTTCCCTATTTCAGACACCTAAGAGGATACAATCGATGGAACAATCCCTTACCTTGTCGCTTAGAACAGATCGGCCTTGTTTTGCCGCAAAGTTACAGAGAATTTGAATAGTTTGTAATTGCTTTGCAACAGCCGCCATCTCCAAGGCCTTCCCTTCATTGTTCGCTCTCAGAGCTTCTGAAAACAGCTTGATCATCAAAGCCGAATGCTCCTTCAGAAGTTTAGCAGAATCTGCATCGGCGTTTCTGGAGGTGTTGCTCAAGAAGTCATTCAGGAGTAACTCTGCCTCTAGCTCGGATTCTTTCTCATTTTCCGATGTTAGAATAGGGATTCGAAGAGGTGAAACCGAAGTAACCTCCGTTTTCTTCAGACTCGGGATGCTCCTATGACGGAGATAGAGATGTCTGAACTGGGGAGAGGGAGTCTCCGTCACATATATTGGCCAAATCGTGTCATCAGATTCATTGAGTTCTTCAGCGCCGTTAAAAACTGGAACCCAAAGATGAGTTTCGTTGAGGATTCGGACCATGAAAAGGTTGTCCATGGTGACCAAATGACCCTTGTTTGTAAATGATATCCACACCAGATCAGACTCGTAACTTAGAGCAAGAGGAACCTTGACTCGACGACTAATTACATTTGTCTTGAAAATGGATATGTCCATCAATTCCACCTCATACTAAAATTCAACCATTAACAAGTTTAATCAACCATACCTGAAATTCTTCCCTTTCTCCGTCCTCCAAAAAGGAGTTTACAGTGACCACAGCCAGCTGTTTAGACCCGGAAATAAGTGCATGGATGTTGTTAGGAACAGAGATTATTAGACGCTGTAATCCATTTAAAGAGTAGATCCGGAGGAATCTCATATCTGTGTAGACGGCCACGAAGTCTTGGCCAACCACAACTTCCTGAATAATTTCTTTCTCACGCATGACTTTCTTCCAAATTCTGCAGTCTCGATGCCATGCACCAACATTTCTGACATAAAGAACACTTTCATTAGCACTGCTCTTTCTTGAAGCTAGGGCCACAACATTTGCATTCATATCACCCAATTCAAAGTTTGAACTCAGATTATCTTCCACAAAGTCCTCAGACACTGAGGCGTCATTGAAGTTTACTTCGATGCAGTTGTCATCCTCGGTTTCGACGGCTACGATCTTTCCGTATCTGTTCCACACTAAGCATTTACATCCGTCTTTAGCATCGAATCGTCCAGGATGCAATAATTTTGGAAGTTTCCTTCTCTGTTTCTTCGGGATTTCTATCACAGCAGGTTCATCAGTCTCCATAACATGGCTCATATTGTACTGGGACTTTATTTTGGCAAGATCTCCCTCGTCGTCGTTTTCGTCTAAATACTTCATTTTTTAATGTACAATAAGACAAACCTTGAACACTCATGGTATTTTCCTCTCTGGGCCAGCTCACATTGTAAACGCTTCCCTAAATAAACAATAAAGTAACACTTATCTAAACCTACTCCATTGTTTGCAATCAAAAGATTATCATCGGGTCTGATGACCATAGATGTCACAAAGCGGTCTCCCGATACTTGTTCGATCATTTCATTAAAACAAATCGAGCCGTTCACTCGATTCCAGCAGATAACTTGGCCACTTGCCGAACAGGCAGCAACCGTTTCTTCATTTACAGATACCACGGAGAAAACGTTCTAAATTAAACTCTAAAGATTTCTTCTTTTAAATTACGTCAAATCCAGATCGGTATTCTATTCCTTCAATCCAAGTTCCCAACTTTAAAGTTTTCACACATCCTCTCGAGGGCAGAAACAGTAGATTCCCATACCAAGACATACTCAATTTGGGGCTGCCATCTCTAAACAAATTTTTTTATGCACCTTTATGAGCATACCTTCCAATTGTAAACTTGTCACACACTGTATAAGTTTTAAGGGCCTCTTCGCGGCTCTTTTCTGCAGTATCAAACACGAAAACATTTCCATTCGAAGTCGAAACCGCATAGTATTGTGAATCAAGCGAGATTGCAATTGAACAAATCTGTCCATCTAGCTCGGAGCTTCTCCATAAATCAAATCCACCCTCCAGTGTATAACATTTAAGATTGAAATCACTAGAAATACACATCAAGCAAACAAAAACTTACATTGTTCCAGCAATTAACAGTTTCCCATCACAATCAACATCCAAAGCCGTAATTTCCATACTGAATTGCGTTAGAAACTTAATCTTCTTCAGTTCAATATCGTAATAAGCAAGTACATTATTCGAACCTTCGTGCTTGCTTAAACCAATAAAGATCTTGTTTTTCTAAACACTTTCCATACGTAATATAACATTACCTACATGAAAAGCAATCGCGTTTTGTGTAGAGCCCGACAACTCAATATCGTCAACATTTAACTCATGATCTTCAAATTTCCAAAGCCCTAAGGCCTCGTTCTGGCCGCACGATACGACCTAAATAAAAGGCTAGATATAAAACAATATGAATTACGCTATCATTCTCTCCGGACTTGTCTTGGGCCAGAATAACGGTGCTGGAGTGAGTCCGGAGGCCTTCCACAACTTCCATCTTAATTTTTTTAAGTTAGTCGTAATTATCAATATTTTGAAGTCAACAGTAGTGATCCAAATCGAAAAAAAGCAAACAACTTATGCCGATTTTTATGTCGAAAAGTTCAAAAAGCAGTTTCCGCGGATTGCAGATTCTTTTTAATTTGGTCAGAAAACGAAAAGGTTTGTTTGGCATTCCGTTTTGATGATTTTCTTTTTTCAATTTTTTAAAATTACAAGTTTTCTTGAAAATATGTTCGAGTAAACTTACTTCTACTTCGTTGAGTATTTTCTTGTAATAATTCACTATTTCGTTTTTTATGACTTTTATAGGTGTTCGATTTTTTCCGTTATTGCCGTGCGAGTATTTTCCAACTGATTTAATGTTAGATTTTAGAAACTATGTCGCGTGGAAGTAGCGCTGGGTTTGATCGTCATATTACTATCTTTTCTCCAGAAGGCCGCGTTTACCAGGTCGAATATGCGTTCAAGGCTATAAACTCCACCAACTTAACTGCGGTGGCTGTGAAGGGATCTGAAACAGCAGTTATCGCCGTCCAAAAGAGAGTTCCAGTAAGATTCACCGTTATATTTTTTAAGACTTTTAGGATAAATTAATTCTGAGTGAGTCCGTGACAAGTGTTTACAAGTTGTCCCCGACTATTGGATGCGCTGCTATTGGCATGATTCGTAAGTTTCTGCACATTCCGTATAAATTTATTCTGTTCTTTCTATTCAGCTGACTGCAAGTTTCAAGTAAAGAGAGCCCAAGTTGAGGCCGGCGGATGGAAATATGAAAATGGCTACGACATGTCTATTGAGCAATTGGCTAGAAGAATGGCTGATCTGAACCAATATTACACTCAGAACGCTGAGATGAGATCTTTGGGGTCTGGTAAGTGCGCATCTTATTCTGTGGGTAAAATATTTTCAGCTCTCCTGATGATTTCTTACGATGAAGAAGAGGGAGTGCAAGTGTATCGCGTGGATCCGGCTGGATATTATCGTAGTATGAAGGCCGTATCCGTTGGGGTTAAGCAGCAGCCAGCTACCAGTTTTCTGGAGAAGAAATTCAAGAAGCAATCCGAATTGAATCACGACGAGACCATCCAAACAGCCCTGGAAGCTCTTCAGACAGCTCTAGGAAGTGATCTCAAGGCCCAAGAAGTGGAGGTTGTTGTGGTCTCAAAGACTAATCCATCGTTCCGCAAATTATCAAACGATGATGTTGACCACCATTTGAATGCTATTGCTGAGCGAGACTAATCTAAATAAACCTAATGGACACACTATTAGAATATCATTTATTGCGTTTATTAAAGTAAACCTTCGAAATTGAAAGGGACGAAACAAAACTTTAACAAGGTGATGATGAATCAGCAACGATTCAACAATAAATAAAACGGCGAAAATCTTTATGTCAAATGGAAGCTATAAATATACTGTAAAGCGACGTCAAATCGTTCCCTGAACGTGTCCATGCTTTCATAAGGAGGGATTTTCAGATAATTGTAGCAAGTCATGGCCGATGGAAGTTCTTGTTCCGTGTTTCCATAAGAAGCTGTCTTCTTGACAACAGTCAGAGGAGGATGAAGAGCTTTGAATCCGCCAACAGGGAGCCTGGGAGATCCTGTTACAAATTGAAGGAATTTACGACGCTGAAAATAAATAGAATACAAATGAAATTATTAGTTCATTTTCATTAAACCAAACTTACCTTTTCCCGATCGTAAGATTCGAGCATTTCCACCAACCAGATGATTTGTGGTGAGTCGTGAGTGTATCCATGATCAGGACGAATACATTGATGTAACAAAGATTTAGACCACATGGATTCACTCTCCTTGTCCGAGCTTCCACAGAACAGAGATTCCATTTCTTTGGCTTCAAAAATACTCAGATGTTCGACATTTATCACTTGTTGGAATCCTTTCCTGAGAGACTCCATGGGTAATCTGACTCCTTCAACCAAGCGCCAGTGACTCACAAGCTAAAACCAACAAGTAAGATACTGAACACTATCTACGACGTAACGGGAATAAATTGGAATACCTGAGAGAACAGTTGGAACGTTTCATACGTGACAGTTTTGTTTCCGGAATGCTTGAATAAATGGAAGTTATCTTGTCCGGGATAAGTGAAGGGGATCTCCAATTCTTTGATGCCGTCCTCATCCAATTTACTCATTTGTCTCAAGGAGTTGTAGATGGTTGGTTCCAAGTCTTCCAAATCCCATACACCTAGAGTATCTTGCTCCCCCAAAATCCATTTGAAAAGAGGAACGGCCAATGGAATATCAAGCTAAAACATATTAGGGCATTAAAATTTACTTACAATTCTGGAATCCAAGAGCGTTTGTCCCATCAATCGGCCCAAAAACTCAAACTTCTTGACGGAGTTTTTAGCGGGTGGAGTCATCAGATGTGCGGGATATAATCCATTCTCGCTGCTCATAAACTCTTCATCATTCCCATCAATCTTCAGCAAAGTTTTCGTTCCGGCCCAAAAATTATTGGAAGCTTTCTGAAGTTCTCGACTCAAAGTAGAATAGAATTCGAGAGTGGGGCCAAATCCAGTGCCGACTTCGTTGTCAAAACTGACCTCAAGAAGCGGCTTAGAACTTCCCAAATTCGTGAGATGTTCTTGAGCACTTTTCAGAAGACTGGAACGGTTGATCGTGATCTTACGACGTTCGAGTCGAGGAACGAGGCGGGAATTGGACTCGGATTCGTGATCATCTGGATTGGTCTCATTCACAAGATGCATTAAAGCCCGATCGCGGCCAAATGCTGTACAGTAGAGGAAGTTGCGACGAGTGATGAATGAAAATGCGAATGGACTGAAACTTTTAACACTCGTTAAAAACCGCAGGTTCAAAAAAATAAATGAAATTAAAAAATATTTACACGGATCTGACCACACTTTTCGTCCACTTTGGAATCTGTTGCGTGGCCACAGTCAAGAAATCGGATAACTGACGGGAGACTTTGGAGTTCAGCTTCTGGGAAATAAAACAGCTAAAAAGGATCAAAGCTGCCATTTTTTTCTTACTTTGCCGATAAAATCGGTAAAAACGAAGTAGGAAGGATACGCTCATCGACATAAATACACCACCAATACTTATTCAACCCATATAAGGTCCTTAGAAGAACAAGACCTTTCGTGCAAGGATCGTCCAGATCCTCGTCCAGCTTTCCATTTAGATACTTATCAAGAAGATATCTTCTCTTCGGAACAACTCCATCTAAACCGTGAAAAATATTCTTTTCAGCAAGTAACATACCCATAAGACTGACTCTTTCATCTTTCGGCTTGTGTTTCTTGTCCGTCTTTCGTTCCTTCACCTTCTTAGCAACAGATTTATGAAGTCTAGCGACCTTCCTCGATGGGGACATTGATGTTCTTGCTGGTGGTACACTGCCTGTATCATCCACAACCTGGCTCGTAGAAGGCACCGGTTCGTCAATGGGAGTCGGATCCACGACAGCTCTATAATACAAGGTGTGGCCAGCAACCCAAATGCTTGGAGGAATCGTTTCCTGATCGTCTTCTTCATGAGGCAAGGAGTACTGTCGAATGGCCTGCAGAATCGACATGTCTGAGGGGAGTTTATTGTCGCCAATCAAAATCTCAATTCGGCCTTTGAAGGACGCTAGATTGGCGTACGTAGACTCCTAAAAACAAAATGTAATGACAATCTTAGTTACTTACATCATCATTCTCACTAGATTCCTCGTCCTGGGAAGTAGTTCCGATGCCTCTGTCGACAAGATACCTTTCAATTGCAGAAATCGAAGTAAAAGGATCTACTTTTATGGAACCTCGACCTCTTCTCCACTCCCTCAAATGTTTGCATGACGGATGTCTTCTGAGATTACATCGTATTTGGTGAGATTGAAAGAAACGAAGAGCCTGGGCCCCTCTAAGATAAGCACTGGACCCGATTCCAGACAAAACATTAGAGGAATTTGACGATGTGTAAGAAGAATTTGATAAATGGGAAACATTCCCACTGAGATTTGTGACCCGCACATTGAACTGTTCGACCCGTTCTATTGCCAGTACAACTTTAGAAACCAATCGATTAAAGGCTGGGAAATGATCATCATCGCCCACTGGACGTAAATTGTCAGGCTAGAAAATTCAGTTATGGTATGAAGAAAACGCTTTACAAGCACGTCACTTCTCAACAGTGTGCTCCAGGAAATTTTGAAAAAACTTCAAGTCGTATTTAAAATCCGAAGTGGTGCGTTTTTAGAATATGCATAAGGATGTTTTCTCGTCTCGGCGAAGAACCTTTTTTCGTCGAAAAAATTGATGTTTTTTTTGAAAATTACACTTTGTCACAAAGCCCAGACTTTTGTACTAGGATGAAAACAGGTTTGTCATATCTTGAAGAATGTAACCTATTAATCTTGGTAACTTGCCGGATGTTTCGCACATTGGTGAAGGTTCGGTGGAGACTTTTTTACCGGCGGGCCCGTTTTGGAAGCTTGGCATAATCTAATTGAAAAATCTTCTTTCGTCAATGTATGAAACATCCTCTCACGCTACCGAGACTGGCAGATTACACCTTACCAGATGTAAAAATGAGCTGACTGGGCTGTGTAACGAGGTGTAATTTTCGAAAAAGACGTCAAATATCTCCGCCGATGCGAGAAAATTTTCTTATGCATATTCTAAAACGCACGGCTTCGAACTTTAAAAATAAAACTTAAACTTCTTGGATAGCTGAGAGCATAAAAATATTCGCAAGTTTTTTTCAAAATTTCTTGAAACACCCTATAGACCCTATAACTTACAGATAACAACATAAACACAGAAGCAAATCTCCTCAGTCGAGACAACCGGTCAGGCTCCCGTTTCGTGGTTTCGCATAAATACGCAGTAAGTGCTGGAATGATCCCGGAATGGTTGATATGGAAGGCGCTCATGTCCCGCTTTACAATGATATTGGCCAGATCCCTCAAGGGTTCAATTCCGCAGTTCTTGGTTGAATTTAGCCTTTCCGAAATTTCTCTTAACAGATCAACATCATCAGAGCCTTGAGAAGGTCCTTTGGCAGTCGCCTTATATCTTTTCACCAACTGTTCCGATTCAGATTTAATGAAGGATCCGAACTTCTCAATGGCTTCAGTCTTCAACGCGGTAGAAGACGAGGAAACGGTCGCCGAATGAGTTGTGTAGGTAGAAGTCACGTAGTCCATTGAATTGGCAATCGATGCATAGTTGAGGCCATACACAGAGTTTGAATACGCTGAACTGACGGCATTTTGAAGGCTCTGATATAATGTGGCCGTAGGATTCTGTAGAGGAACCGCTGAAAAGAAATGAGGCTGTAGCGCGGCCCTAGAAGCGTCGTTGTAGCGTAGATTGGGAGTATGAGATAAAGTAGATGCGTTCGTCACAACTAAATTCGAATGGACGCTTGGATCATACGGTTGGCTTAGCGTCATCGCAAAGGACGATATATTAGGCAAAGTTATTGCTGAAATCAGCAATTATACATCAAAAAGTCCAGACCAGTTCAAGCGAAAAAAACTCAAGTAATAGACAAGACGTAGTAAGAGCTACAGTTATATACAGGGTATCCCAAAAAAATGGGAACTTTTTTCAAGGATCCAGAGCGAAAATATTAAGATGTAGGCATATTTTTACCATTAAACTCCGTTTTTTTCTGTCCTTATCAGTTGAGTTACATTTTTTTAAAAACGTCAAAGAAAGGGACTGCGATTTTGGAACTGTTTTCGGACCTGTTTTAATCGTTGATTTGGACGGTATATAAAGCCACACGATAGCTTGACAACGACAGAAAGCGTACAGGAAGTGAAATAAAATGCACCTCCAGCGCTTCTGTCAACCGGGAGATCATCAGCAGCAAAATCTTCGATTATTAAGAAATTTCCCCATTTCACCCCGTTTGCGATCAATTGCAGGCCAACACCTGTACTATACGCCACAAAACTTATGAGTAGCAAAGTAATCGCTGCGCCAAGAACGGGACCGACTTCCTTGAAAAAAAGCTGCGGCCCCGAGCCCAAAATTTTAAGTCACGTTTGGAGCTTTATATCGCCACCAAAGGCAGTCACCGTGAAACAAGTTGAATATGTCATAAACAATGCCATACGTTATTGAGAATGACCGTTACTTTTGCCGAATTGTTAGAAAAAAGATGGCTATAAAAAAGTTTCTATTTTTTGGAACACCCTGTACAATGGAAACGATTTCTTACTTGGAAGTCCCAATTGCTGGTTTATGATGGAGGCTGATGGCTGGGTTTGTCTAGCAGCCAACAAACGTCCTAGAGCGGCTACTGCTGGAGTGCCTACTGCGGAATCCTCGGCTCTTTGTTCTTCGGCCACGCAAACTTCGGAAGGAGGAGTTAACGATTTCTTTTTGACGGTCAAATCCATTTCACTGCGTTTGGTCATTTCAAAGAAGACCCCTAAAGATCAAATATAATAAATACAAATCAAAAAAACTTACCCTCAGCTTCAAAGAGAGGAGTATACAAACCAGGCAACTTATCCAGAAGAACATGTGTCATCTGAATAGCCAGACAAACCAAGGCCAAGTTCTTGCTGGTAGAAAGAGTATTCGATATGTAGCTGGCCAAAGGCACTTCCTTCAGAAATGTAAGGAGCTGATCTTTCCCATCAACTGCGTACACCATTCTCAACATCACTCTCATGCTGTCATACCGAAGAGTGGAACAAGTAGAACTAGAGCCAATCTCCACGAGCAAAGGGAAAATGGAAACGGCACACTCCAAAAGAAGTTTGATTTGCTCGCCTTTCAAGCCATCTCTCTGATCTTCTAAAAAGACAAAGTTTCAACAAAAACCAAACTTCAAAAAAATAAAATTAAACACATACGTGTATCGTTGGTGACTTTTCTGGTGATAGGAGTGTGTATCCCGCTGCTGACAAATCTACAAACAGATGCCATCATGTCGATCTCAGCAATTTGCCCATTGATTTCTAGAGTGACCAAAGTCGCACCCAAAGATCGATTTCTTTCCAGGGTTAGCTGGTCATTCTGTGGAAACATGACCCATTGGCCATTCTGAGGACCTGATTCGACGCTTTTAAACATCCATGACGCGGTAGTATTCTGTGGTCGATTTCGAGTGTTCTGAATGTACATGCTCGAGTTGACATACTGCTCCATATAATTGTTGATCTCAAAGATTCCTGTGCTTGGTAGTTGAGGTAACAATTCCCCACAGAGATCAACGATCTCACGCAAATGCTGTGAAGGTCTCGATGTGATAGCATCGGCATATCCACAATCAGTAGAGTCCCCCTTCTCGTTTCCGATCAACAAAAATCTGATAACCTTGCTGATTTCCATAAAATACAGAGATACAGCCAGATCTCCACAGTTGGTGATCATGTACCGGAGAGATTTTATGATATTCATGAAGGTATTTGAGCTGATTTGCAGCGGTTGAGCAGATAACTAAATAACAAAAATTGAATTACAAAATTTCTACTTACCAAATTCAAAAAAATCTGTAGGAGCTCATGATTTTTACCAGCAATTTGTCTCAAACGATGAGGGAAATAACGAACATTCTCTATCAACCGGTTGAAGAATGTGCAGACAGACTCAACACATCGCTTGTCATCTATGTGAAGACGCTGGGTGAGGTCAGCCAAACAATCTTGGACCATGTGGAAGTCAGTAGGGCTTACATAACCAGCACAGTTTGCGGCTATTTGAAAAGCCAGGCGTTGAGTGCTCACAGAGAAAAAATCAACATGAGATGTGACAGCTTGCACTCCATGATTAGCTAGAATGTTCTTGGCATTTCTTCTGGATATCACTTCCAAAATAATCAGAGCCTGCTCAGCTACGTCAATGTATTCGATCTTCTTCAACTTTTGCAGAAGGACGGGAATGGCTTCGATCAAAACGGAATGAGATCTGGGCAATGCCTCCTGGAGATTGCTAATGCAACGCGATGCGCTCAACATCTGGAAAGCATACAATAAATTCGAAAGGAGTGGTAACTCACCAACTCAAAATTGTGATCCTTGTTTATCAAGTTGACCAAGCATAGAACCAATTCTCTGATAGGGAAGTTGGGAAGACTTTCTTCGTTCCCAAGAAGTAACATCTCTGATATCTCGTTGCATGCCTCCGACTGCTTAATTTCATTCTCACTTCTTAGTTCTTCCAGTAAGGATACAATACGCAGATCTTAACAAAAGAATGACATGAACCGGAGACAACTTACGAGGAACATAATCATTGGCCATAGCTTGACTGAAAGCAGCCCCACTAGACCCTCCCAAGAGATGCTGCATCCGGGGAACTAAGCTGCCGAGAAACGCTGAGGCTCTTTGGACGTGTTGAGATCTGAATAAAACCATAAATGCGAATGAAGAGCAAAAAATCTGTTAAAAAAGTTGCGCAACATACCGAGCCAATATTTGGGAAGCTTGTGTAACAGGCTGCCCTTCCCGATTGATATTGAGAGCGCCGAACCCTTGATTGGATGCATTTTCTTCAACGTTTTCGGTGTCTTGGGAACCCATGGAGGACATTATCACTGTACTCGTGCTCTCTTCCCCGCTCACAAACGTCGGTTCTTCTGATTCTGCACTTTCTCTTACTTCTATCTGCAACCGATGTCTAATTTACAAAATAAAATGCATATGAAATTTTTTTTGAGGATTAAAGCAATAACGTGTGACGGCAAACGTCAAATTGTCGTCAATTTTGGCTGAATTAAAAATTATGATACACAAAAATTCGCACGCTAGTTTAACACAGACTGTGACGAATACCGTTAATATTAATCGTATCTTGTTACCGCTCATTTCATAGATCGTTTTGACAAGAAAGAGCAACTTAGTTTCTAAAAATTTCCAATGACTTTTTGGCAAAAATCTACCAAAAAATTCAATTTGACAATCGAAATACAGTGCAATTTGACATGACGAAAATGACGGCAATTTGACAACGTGATCAAGTTGACGACTTAACAACCCTAGTTCATAAGCTTGGCCACCCCTGGTTTAGTCATTCCCAGCCTGCGAAGTTTTTCGATAAGAATGTTCAATAAGAACTTGTTATAAAGCTCTAGAAGGAATGTTACAAACTCTTACCGCCGAGACAAATGTATGACCCGTATCAGAAGTTGACACCGAGGTTACCGAGAATCCACTCACTTCGGACTCCGGAACGGTTAGATTCGATCTAGAACGAAGCTGAAGAGATTGTTTTTAACTTACAACTGCTGATCGTCCAATGACGGCGAGTTAGCCCTGTTTTCTTGAAGCGGCTTGTCTTTTCTGGATCGACTCTTCCTTCCACGAGACTTTGAAGTCGAAGGTCGAATATCCCCCACGTTTCTAGTCCGAGACCTCGTCAAAGGCCTGGACTGATCTTGCTCCGGGAAAAAATCTGTCAAAAAGCGTAACTCTGAACTCTTTTTGGTTGAAACTTCTGTCGAGGTACTCTGACTAGTGGAAGAACATGCCTGAGCTGTCCGGGTAACCTTTCTCACTTTCGAACTTGTTGGCTCTTCACCTGAAGTACGCAAGGTTACTCCAACGAGTTGAGATCTACCTGGGGTCTCATGGCCGGAATGTCGCTTTTTGGCAGTGGTGTCTTGATTTCGTTGTGGTAGGCCTCCAGCTGTATCACGACCACTATTGCTAGACATACGGACTAAAAAAGGCTAAAATAACTTTTTATTGATTAGCTTTCCTATTCACCTTGGCGCAGGGCGCAGAAGGATGGATTTGAAGATGAAAGCACGGTAGAGACTGTTGGCTAATTACAGAAGAAACCCCTGAAACGTCAAAATCAATACATTGACATAAGATCAGGGAGAAGGGGAATTTCGACTCGAAAATGGTTCCGACCATCAAACATGAGAGAGTGGGGAAAGGAAGAGTCGTCCCTGACCCATGGAAATTTGTGCCTTCAGAAACGCACTGTCCCATTGGGCATCAAGGGATTTAGCGATTCCAATCAGTTTTCAATATTAGAATATCAATTCGGTTGTATTCTGTTTGCCATCTCTGAAGTTCGAGCCCAAGCGAAGAAGCTACCTCAGGTCTGATATATCTGCATCGCGCAGTTCTCTCAGCCCCTATGTTATACTAGACAGAGCTTTCCGCTTATGCGTTCGTTCGAGGACGAATAGTAAAAGAAAAGAGAGCGGTTGGGTTGAGGACAGACATTTCCGTTTTTCGTCTATTCTATTCGATTTATTTCGCAAAGCCGTCTTTTTTCGTTTTGCTGGGGAAAGTTTTCGTGGTGGGATTCTGTCGTCGGCTAGTCTGTTTCCCCGTTTTTTTCTTGCTTTTGTCTGACCCCGACTACTCCCCTCCCCGCCAACTGCTAGTAAACTAAACGGGCATTTCTTGCATCTATCCATTAGGCCACAAAGAAATTCCCCTTTTGTAAACTATTGTTCCAAAAAGTTCTTATTTATGGAATTTCATTGGTTCAAACTTTGTCTTTTTTCTTTATTGTGATGTTACGTGTTTTATAATGCTTAATTTTGAAATTTCTTAAAATATTGCTTTTTTCCCCGTTTAGGTACAATTCCCGAACGGTTATACAAATTATGAGTCAAAATGATCAAGTTAACGGAGGCCAGAACAATGGTCAGCGTAGGTCTTTTTTTTTTATTGCGAGTGTTTCTCGATTTTAGCAAAACGTTATGTCCCTCCTGCTCTAAGAGGTCAAAACCCATCTCTGGCAGAAGTGCCAGAAGGTCGACCGTCTCAGCATTTCCAAGATCGTCGTGGCGGCGGTAGCAGCTACAACAACTCTGGTGGCATGCACAAAAGTCAGAGCTTTGCGGGTGTGAACCAGGAATTCGGCAATCAGCAGCGCAGTTATAACAACAGCGGCTATGGAGGCCGTAGGGGCGGGTACGAGCGAGGCGGCTTTGAAAGCAGAGGCGGACGGTTTGTATTGCACTTTTGATTTTCATATTTTTAGTGAGGAAGCTCCTTCTGGAGGATTTGGAGGCCGTCGTGGAGGGCGCCAAAACTACGGCGGCCGTTTTTCCTATGATCAACGAAATGTTCATGATGAAAGACAGTGGGAAGACCAGTCGTAAGTCAGTTTTATTAAAACCAGCCCAATGTTTTAGGCGACAAAACAACCGTATGAACCAGAGACCTCGTGAAGCCGAAGTCAATGAAAGAGCTTGGGAGAGCCAAGCTCCGCCAGACCAAGAGTTAGAGAACGAACTCTTCGCCGGCATGAACTCAGGAATCAACTTTGACAAATACGAAGAGATTCCGGTAGAGGCCACAGGAAAGGATTGTCCTTCTCCTATCTCTCATGTACGATTTATCCTGAATAGAGTTCTATTACTAGATTTACTAACAAATACGTCTTGTATTTTTAGTTTGCTGATCTGAATCTGCACCCGTGGATTGAAGAAAACATTAAGAAGAGTGGATACGATCGTCCAACTCCGGTTCAGGTAAGTTTTTTTTTGTTTTAAGCTTACCTGATTTCAGAAATATTCGATTCCAACTTTGAACGCCAGACGGGACTTGATGTCCTGCGCTCAGACTGGCTCTGGAAAAACGGCCGCTTTCCTGGTTCCGGTAATCAACAGAATTCTGATGGATGGACCTAGTCAAATGAAAACCCCGACCTTACATTTCGGTCGGAAGTGCCAGTTTCCATTGGCCTTAATCATTTCTCCGACTCGTGAGCTTTCACTCCAAATCTACAACGAGTCCCGAAAGTTTGCGTACAGAACCCCAATTACGTCGGCTTTGTTATACGGAGGTCGTGAAAACTACCGTGATCAAATTAACAAACTTAGAGTAAGAGATTATAGGTTGAATATATTTTATAATTATGGTTTTCACGTCTTTTTTCAGCTTGGGTGTCATATTTTAATTGCAACCCCCGGTCGTTTGATTGATGTGATCCAAAATGGATTAATCGGACTGGATGCTTGTCGTTATCTGGTTCTCGACGAGGCCGACAGAATGTTGGACATGGGTTTCGAGCCCCAGATTCGTCGTGTACGTCATTAGATTCATTTAATCGTTGTTGTTTAGATTGTGGATGAAACTAGCATGCCTCCACGTGGAGAAAGAGTGACAGCCATGTTCTCGGCTACATTCCCGAAGGAGATTCAATTGCTAGCCCAAGATTTTTTGCAAACAGATTACGTCTTCTTGGCTGTTGGTCGTGTCGGATCAACCTCTGAAAACATCGTCCAGAAAGTTATTTGGGTCGAAGAGAACGAAAAGCGCGCTGTTCTGATGGATCTGCTGGATGCCAGCGACCGCGAAGCCTTGACTTTAGTTTTTGTGGAGACCAAAAGAGGGGCTAGTGAGTTGGCTTATCTCTTGAACAATGAGGGATATGATGTTGTTGCCATTCATGGAGATCTCAAGCAGATGGACAGAGAGAGACATCTTGATGCCTTTAGGACTGGAGAGGCTCCTATTCTGGTTGCCACTGCTGTGGCTGCTCGTGGTTTAGACATTCCTAATGTGAAGCACGTCATAAATTATGACCTCCCCTCTGATGTCGATGAGTATGTTCACCGTATTGGTCGTACCGGTCGTGTAGGAAATGTTGGTAGGTCTTTGTAACTTTAATTACTGTTGTAATTCAACCATATCATTGCTGTTTCCAGGAATGTCGACATCTTTCTTCAACGATCGCAATAGAAACATTGCTCGTGAACTCACTGAATTGATTGTTGAGACTAACCAAGAATTGCCTGAATGGCTAGACCGTGTTGCTAATGAATCTCGTACCGGAGCCCGTGGAAACGGGAGAAGAGGCGGCGGTGGAGGAAGCAGATTTGGAGGTCGGGATCATCGTATCCAGCAAAATGGCTCCAGTGGAATGGGAAATGGCGGCGGCATGGGAGGCGGCAACCGCTTTGGAGGTGGGAGTGGCTTCCAGAATCAGCCATCATCCGGCGGATTCAGTCGGCCTTCCAACAACCAATCTCAAGCTTCGTCCAAAGCTGTAAGTTGCTTGTTGAGATCCTAGTGTAATGTAATATTTTCAGAACTGGTGGGACTAAGTCTAAGATACCGGATGATTGTACCACGTCGTTTGTTATTGCGCTAAATTAAAATATTTTTATCAGCACTTGTGTTTCTTTGTTCCTCTCATCTTTGATATATTATTCTTGCTCTCAACTGAGGAACCGGTTGTTGCAGTTCATACTTTCCCAAAGCAGTTCAATGTGGTCACGCGTTTGATCGTTCTTCTGATCGTTCTGCATCGTTTTCGTATTACCTATCTTGTCGTTCTTTACCGTTGCTCTTGTGAGTGAATGTCGCCGTTCCCGCTTTTCTTCCGTGCTTCTCGTTGTCGGCTTGGATTTGATGATGATCTTTGCGATTCCAGTTTTATGCTCTAATCTCACATTGAACGGGTCCCTTGTTCTCTCTAAGAAGCTGTAATAATTGAACGGAAGCCGTTTCTGTGTGAGGCATCTGCTTCTGTCGTCTCGTAATGGTCATTTTTTGTGCCGTCAAAGGGGCCGGGTCTCCGTCCCTATCGCTCCTGGTCTCTGGACCTCCAATTTTCCCTTCGTTTCTCTCAAAGTCTGCTCAGACCTCAAATTTCGACAATTGATTTGATGTTTGTTAAATTATTCTGATGTTACCGTTACCTCTGTTTTGGGATTCACAACTTACTTTGATTGTTACAACCTCTCTGATGACCAGTTGAGAACACTATTTGTCTCTGCTGGGGATAACAATCTTTTATCTCTTCAATAATTAATCATTATATGCAATGTCAAATGACGTATGGAATAAATTCTAAACCTGATATGCGTAACTGGACAGGGGCTGTAACGTCGGCCTACATTACTGAGTCTTAACTTATACAAACAATGTTTAATATCAGGTTAGCATTACTAAAGTGATGTCAAATGGGATCTGAGAAGGCGTTGCCGGTTTTCGTGCAACCTCCAGAACTTCATATAATTTTGTCGAGACCTGAATCCTTCCGCCAGCTTCTGACGGTTCTAAACCCATTCGACTTTGTTCTCCATTATAAAGGTCGGGACTCTCGTTCCATTTACTGTTAACTTAATTTTAGTTTTGAGTAATGCCCCTCACAAATTTAAAGTGCATGAATCGAGCGGATTTGTGAAACCAAAATGCTTTGTGGATGTTATGATACGTCACGTCTTACCGACAGAAAGTCATGAACAAGATGTACTGAGAGTCGAGATTTACAGAGAAGGCGAGACAAACGTATGTGAGGCTCTTTTGCCATGAAAAATCGTTATAGGCTTGTGGCCGTAAAGATGTTTCGGTTGTCGTATCTCAAACTGAAGTTGTAACACGGTCTTCAATGGAATTTCGGCATTTCAGCGATCAAACCCGCCCAGCTAGACATCGAACCGACCGATTCCGAGAAGACCGGGAACCCCAGAGTTTCATGTGGTTCCTGATCCTGACGTGTGCAGTTTCTGTGGTGACTGTGATGCTTCCTTCTTATTCACAAGGCTCTTCCAACTCCATTATCCCCACATATCTCCATCCAACTCAAAATCTTCAACTGGTAGCGGCCTATGTCCTTGGATTAGCCACCATGCACTTATTGGCTCGGCAGAATGTGTAATAGTCAAAAGAAAACCTCTAACATGACGTCTTTTAAAAATTATATTGTCATCTCATTTTTTATCGTTCTTAGTTACTGTTAGTTGTTACTACCCTGGATAGTCAGAAGGGATTTTTCGAAATTGTTTTAAATGTAGAATTTTACTTTTACTTTGAGGATTTTGTTGTACATACTGGTTAAATAAACGGGTTACAGATACTCGGACTTAATCATCCTTGTACACGAGTCGTCGCTTTGTGCTTCAGGGCTAACTGATCCAAGAGATCGATTATCCATTGGCGTACTACTTCCTGGACTGGCCGAATCTCTGATCGAGTTTGAGAAGTTGTCCTGAAAGGTGGTAGCGAAATCATTTGACATCCTATCCTTCCCTTGCTGACTTCGTCGATGCTTTGCTCGTGCATTTTGAAACCAGACCTGAAAAAAAGAACAGTTTTGTAGAAAGTGTAGACAAACCTGTAGAACTCTTTTGGTAAGCCCCGTTTTCTGAGCCAACTGTTTCAGATCTTTGGCATCTGGATTCTGATTGAGATTGAAATATGTCTTCATGGTCTTGAGTTGATGATGTTTAAAACTAGTCCGCATCCGTTTGGTTTTGCGAGTTCCGGAGAGAGCGGTATCTTTTTCCTCTAAAAGAAAGCATTCTTTGATTGTGCTAATTATTTTCCCCAGTGCCACTTCCTTTTTGCGCCCAAAACAAAGCCACCCAATTAGTAGGGGCCTACTGTAAAGTCCCTGGGGTCTCACCTGAATGGTCGTCACCTGTCCCTTCCATATAAGTCAACGTGGATTCGTTTTGAGATCTCCGATTGGCTTTTAGCCGTTGATAAGACCTGATTGGGCTAGTTTTCCCGGCTTCCGTCTCCGCGGGATCACTTTGGGGTATTAATTTATCAAGATAAATTGGTTCAGGGGGACCGAATGCACTTGAATGGGCTAAATAAAACCGATTGTGAATCGAGCAAGATGGTTAACTCACATTCACAATATGCAATTCCATTTCCGACCAGAACATATCTGTCTCCAACTCGGAATGGTCGATTACACACAAAACAAACAAAACATTCAGCGTGATATGCCGTATTTCGAACGTTTATAAAGTATTCTCCGTTGTTTATGAAGCTCAAACAACGGTTGCAACGAAGTCCATACTTTCTGCAAAATCATGTCTTTACTATTTTCATTACGACTTATTCTCGAAGTGCTGTAATTAAACGATGACTTACGCTAAGTAATCTCTTCGACACCATAGATGATTGTCCTTGAAGAAACAAGTTGCCTCGTTCATCAAAGACTCTTGGCAAGCTGCACATTTGGCGCAATCCTCATGATAACTGTCCCCACCAATCAACAGAAAGGTTTTGTCATAAATATTACTGGAACAACAACAACATGGCGCTGAAAACATACACATATACGGTATTCCTAACTTTTTTAGCTACGGTAGTTGAGGATGATTTACCAGGCGAAGAAAGGGCGATCGGATTCTGGAGTGGAGTAAGAAATTGGGAAGAAGATAGCTGAAGGCGGAAGGGATCTATCAGGCTCTGGGCCGTTGACGGAAGAGAACAAACGATGGGAAGCTCGATCAAGGGATCTGAACAATCCTCCAGCGCCCCGAAGAAGATCATGGCCTGAAAAAAGGGAAAGTTCTGATTTCAAACGAAAGCGACCGAGGGCGGGCGCGGGGCGGGATAATCCGTTACAACAACAGCTTTGCCTCTGAAACCAGCTCGCGTAACAGCTCGAATGACATTTGTCATGACCGGTCAAGAACTGCTCAGGTGCTGCCAAATCCGGGCCACTTGTGCCCCAGCAGGGTGTCAGAGCGCAAGCTGTAAATCGAAACCTTTGGCCTGGGCCTCAGCCGGCCACCGTAACCGGGACTCTTGAGTGCAAACCGAGAACCCAAAGCGGGGGATTAACCGTTCTCGGGTGAACCTTTTCACGCACAGCCAGCGTCGTTCCAACGCTGATTCTCCCCGATCACACTTTCCTTGGACAATCCCGGAAACTGCCAGTCTTGGCCACAAGTCAGAGCTCGGGAGGCGGGGTTTATTACTGTATTTCCACTCTTTTCAGAATTTGCCTTCAATCTGGCACCGGATCCTCAAGGGATTTCTTTCGTATTAATAATTTCATTCGCTTTCGGAATAACTCTTACCTTTTTTGGTAAACGGTAATCTCACTTTGGTGTTGTAGACAGATTAATGAAATTTTCTAACCAAAAAAATTATGCTTTTTTATATGACAACGGAGCAGTGAGAAATGCAATTTATGACGATGACTTAAAATTTCTGCAAAACTTTATATGATAACTCTGTCGAAGACTATTGGATGTGACCGATAATCTCCTTTGTCAGTAGAGAGCGTGTTTACCTTGACCTCAATCTTTGTTCAAACATGGATGTCTCGGATTCCACTTTTTCTTCCTTATACCGGTCATATATAACCTGTCCGTATTGAATTTACAGTACATTCAAAGCATTGTTGTCATAACAAAGATAGACTTTTGAAAACCGTATAAAAGATTAGGTTGTAGTTTGTTATTAGCCATATTTGTAATACTACAAACCCTTTTTTTGAAAGAACGGTGGGATTCGAAAACAAATACGGGGCCCGCGGGGCTTTGCTCTATCTCTCCGTTGGAACGGCGATTGAGTAACTGCGAACTGTTTATAGTCGCGCCATAAAGTCGCAACTTCGCATACTTCTACGCAACGGTAGCAGAAAAATTAAAATTGAAAATTAAAAGGCGCGTCTGTCAGCGCAAAAAGTCCTTGGAATTTTCTGCGATTCAGCACTGTGCATGAACTCGAAAAAACATTTTACACCGTGCATCCGGCTCAAACAGCACAGTGCAATTTTGTTTTTTTGCTCTACGTCGCGCGCGATTTCCGTTTTTCAGCGACAGGCCCAATTTTTGGGCAATTCTCACAAGTCAGGACTTTTTGCGCCGACGTATTGTGTCTCAGCGGATAATTGAAAATTTTTAATTTTTGTTTCTAACCATGAATTAACTATGCTAATGGAATATGTTTCACGAGCTTCCTTCTTCTTTCGCTTTTGCGTCACGTCCCAATAAGTTCGGCTGACATGTTGAATGAAAAGTTCGGCCTTCATCTTTGCCTCACCTTCTGCATTCACTTCAACTGTAAAACCTGTCGTTATTTCGTATGGTACCGTTTGGTGTTTCGTGTAGATCGCCTAAAATTTCCCAGGATGTCGAGAAACAGCGTTAATTTTTCAAATTTATAAAACGAAATCATTAACGGGTTGTAAAATAGATGCATCGCATCTGTGTGATGTAAAAGGAACACATGTAGATCATAAAATAAAGACACCAAGGAGATTAAATGGTAAAACACACCTCGTTTAGGGATATCAAAGGGTAGCGGAGAAATGGTGACATCCAGACCATAGAAGAAAGTTTAAAGCGCTGGGCTTGAGCTCCTTATCAGACTTCCGTCCAGTACACCCGAGTGATCAGACGGGACCAGAAGCTGATAAGCACCCGGACCCAGAGCATTGGTGGCCAACTTTTCGGACAAGACCGACGGAATTAAGCGAAGGCCCAGGGCGGCCGAGGTCTACGGCCAGCCGGTTGCACTTGTTTTCTCGTTGAATGTGCTAATTCGGCGCGCGGAGAAGAGGACGTCGAAGAAGGACTTGGCCATTTTGCCTCAGGAGCTGTCCTATTATGGGCTTGAATGGAAGGACTTTGGCCAAGTCTTCAACCTTTTCTACACTTCTTATTTCATTCTCGGCGCACTTTTTCCAAGCCTTTAGCCGTCCCAATCCTGCCCCCCCCCCCCCATTTCAACTTTCTTGCGCGGCCTTCTGACTCATCCTCCGCAAATGGCACGACTCTTAATGTAAAACAGCCCACTTAATTTCAACGAATTTACTTATAGACCCGTTTCCTTAAAAGGCTACAAAGAGAGGCATTAAAAAAAGCTGGAAATAGAAGCCCTGTGTGTTGGAAGGATTCCTGCAACCCTGGTGTTATTGAACCTTCAGGGCATGTTCAAACCATGGAAACAAGAAGAATTACATCATGTTTTGAAGCTATTGTTGAACTTGCTAAGGAAGGCACTGGTCATGCCGATACAACGAATCTCGTGTTGATTTGCAGAATTGTAGGAAACTGTGACTCTAGGAACATTTTAATCAAAACAAATAGAGATTTACCTCGAGAGGGAAGACTGGGCTGACCCGTGGAAACCTTGATCATCCGAATAAACGTGGAGCTCCCCAGACTCTTCAGTCGAATCGGGCAAAGGCTGCGATTCGCTGTATGGGAATACCTGTGGACAATGTTAATACATTTCGTATATCTTACTGTAAGAGAGGATTCTCTTTGATTCAGCGACAGTTTTAACTGTTGATTTGTCCATTTACTGGCATCTGTGTTCTGCCATTGTTCATCAGGCCCGGAGATTCTTGAGGACATTGAACTTGCATGAACCATTCGATCTGCCTCTCCGCAACAATCAAGGACACTTGTGCACCCTAAAGATCCGGTTATTTGTGATTGCTTTACCTGGAGCTGTGTGAATAACAGATGTCCCAATAACAGATTGACCCATTTCAGTCATCAGATTTGTCTCCAAAGAGTACTGTATTGCTTGAATCAGATAAGGGATTCCTCTGATGCTTTTCATTAAAGTTTCCGTAGCATCTTGATGAATTTGTTTGTCTTTTTCGCCTTTCTCCATTTTTGTTACATCCAATACCCCAATTAAAGCCAGTTGTCCTTTTCTGATATGAAATTTCCGTCTCTTGGACCAAAATCTGAACCATGTGGGGATCAGATTCAACCAGAAAAGCATAGCCAATAAGATCAGCCCCAATCCAATTGCGATGAATGCAAAGTCCAGGGAAGTTGGAAACATAATCTGGAGCAGGGCAAAGCACAGTCCTACCAAGAAAAATGCCATCCCAAGAAGACCAAACAGAAAGACGACCAACGCAGCTGACGACATCTACCAGAACAGTAGGAGAGAGAGATCGGTCCTAGAAGTAAGTTTGGATGAAAGAACATTAGAAATGTCAGAAAAGGTGACAATACGTCAACCAAATACTAGATGCAGAGAACGCGGAAGTTGGAAATAAATTTTGATCAAAGAGTGAAAAAAACAAAGTGTAATTTAAAAGAAAATAAGTAATTCAAATAAAGACATAAGCGTCTGCTTAGTCTTGAAGATCGTTTGAATCAAATCCTGGGGGAAAACAAAAAACTTGGAGGGTAAAATATCTAATCAAAACATAATCGCGCATTAAACAGTTTGACTGAGTGAGGTCCACAACAACCAAACCTCCAGGAATTAGCCGCACCAGTCCAGACTGCTGAAACCAGAGCCCAAACAGTTCCGGCGAGAGTGGGAAGCCGTGGAGGAAGAGTCCAGTCTACACGGCCAGGATAAAAAATTCCTCTGGTGGAACTCGAGCTGTCGTGCCGGGGATGAACTAACGTTAATTAAAATTGAGAGCGCGAAAAGCCGTGTAGGGCTCAGATATACGGTGACAAGAAGTCGGCAGAAAATGAAGAAATTGCCGGGGGCAAACACACATCAAGGTGAGCAAGCAACTTGCTGCTGCGTATTGGATTCCCAAACACGCAATCCAGATCCATTACTTCCCGACGGCCTCTCTTTTAGCCGGACTAACTTGATTAGTCTCTGCGGAACAAGCATTCTTACCCTTGAACAATACGATTAACAGACTACAACTCTCTTCCAAGTTACCGTAAGTTTAAATAAACATTGCGCTCAAACCCCAGCTTCGATAACTTCTACATACATTTACATATCTTGGAGAAACACAACTGAAAGTGGTAACATTTTTGTGGCTTTGATGACTTTGTTCTCTCCTCAGATTTGATTCCGCTTGAATAAACCGATCCATGCCTAATGATTTGTGTTATAATATCATACACATCCTGTAAGGAAGCAGACTCGGACGGGAAGCGGTAAATGAGGCGTCGAGGCCGGAAAGTAATTCAGAGTTTTGCGGCCTAAAAAGGAGGCCCTGAGGCGTTTCCCGCCACTCTCGGCTGATTTATTCCGAGACCATTCCCTGAGGCTGATTGATGACTTTTTGTGTAATGGCCTCGAGATAAAGGACTCTCGGATCGGCAGCCATTAAGGTCTCCCCATGCATTCCGTTTTTTGCCTCCTTCTTTTAATTATTTATTTTGTGAATTGGTCCCTTCCGGCTACTATTAAATGCTCCCAGCCGAGTCTAAATCCTCGGCCCAGACATTGCAGAAAGTCCTGTAAGAATGATGAGAACTGTAAGAGATCAAACAAGAGATGTCTTTGTGATGGGGAATGTGGATTGAGTTGTGTAAATCCAAGTGAGTAGGGGGGAATACAGAGTCGTTCATTCCATTTGTGGTTTCAGCGGCCACTTGTCATCCGCTTTTGGATATTCGCAATGGGTTTGTTAGAGTTCCCAGCGAATTCTTATTTGACTCCAATGCCGAGTATGGTTGCAACGAAGGGTTTGTTCTTGTTGGCCCATCACAACGAAGATGTCAAGGTAATCGAGAATGGAGTGGAGCTAAACCAACCTGTCGGCTTCAAAGTAAGTATCGCCTTACGTATTAAACCCACTTTTGATTACTTTTCCTACCAATATTCAGCTAAATGTGGACCCCCTCCGGAAATACCATATGCCAGACATTATGGAACGGCAATAAATGGACAGTACGAATTGAATGACCAAGTTCCATACAATTGTGTAAACGGATATGTACAGACCTCAACAGGATCAGGGGAACCAATAGCAAAGTGTTTACTCAATCGGAAGAACGTGGCCCAGTGGTACGGCCCCGACATTAAATGCAATGGTAATCTCTATACCAATTTATTCACGTGCCTAGCCCAGTCATGTCCCGATCCCGGAGTCCCATTGAATGGATTTCGAACAGGAGATCTTTTCCAGTACCCCCACAATATTGAATTCTCCTGCAGCGCCGGGTTTCGTCTGGTTGGCTCGGCTTATAGAACATGTACAAGTAAAGGGGAGTGGACAGGGCAAACAGCCATCTGCAAACGTAGGAATCAGTGAATTAAATTTTATGAATTCAGCCACGGAGTGTCAAAGACCGGCGGACCCATTGCATGGCACAGTCCTCGGCAGTTCCTTGACCTATCAATCGATGGTTACTTACTCTTGCAATGAAGGCTACCGATTAGTGGGTCAAGTTCAACGAATTTGCTTGGCCGAAGGTGTCTGGGCTGGTCAGGAGCCTCGGTGTGAAGGTAAAGACGATTGATTTGTTGATCTCGACCTTTAGAAATAAGATGCCCGCCACTTCCAGTTCTCCATAATGGATATATTGAAGGAGAAGAGACCAATTTTGGAGCAATCGTTGTTTTCAGATGTCTCGAAGCAATGAGTCATGTGGGTGCTCCTTATGCCAAATGTGAAGAGTCTGGCCAATGGAGCCACATGCCTCCTAAATGTCTGGCCGGATGTAAAATACCGGCCATCACCAGTGGTCGGATCAATAACCATGAAGAAGGAGAGCACATTTCCCATGGTTCGGAGCTTCTCATCCAATGTAATCCAAAGCACGAAACGAGATCTGGTGCTCAGATTGTGTGCAATAATGGGACCTGGTCTCATATTCCACAATGCATCCCCTGTAAGCAAAACAATTCTCTCTAAAGTCTTCTTTCAGTGAGATGCAGATCTTGGCCTCCTCGGGTGTCTAACAGTCATGTAATGTTTACCAAATCCAATCACGGCACCATTGCCAAGTATTATTGTAGACATGGCTACCGTCCCTCCACTCCCGGGAACCAAGTTAAATGTCTTTATGGCCAGTGGAACCGAGAAGGCCCCCCTTTCAGATGCTTAGCCAGTGAGTTTTCCTTTGACTGTTCTACATCTGACTTAGTGTCCTGTGAGCATCCAAGTAAAGTATACGGTAATCTGCAAGGAGGCCAGATAATGCTAGAGGGGCAGATGGGGGCTTATGACTTTGCTGATTATATTCATCGAGTGCCTGAGGGCAGAGCAATCAGCTTTTCTTGTCATAAAGGGAATCTTTTGATTGGTAGGTGATAGAAGAAGAAAAGCAACTCATAGGACCTCCAAAAGCATCTTGTGCCAATGGATTGTGGAGACCAACGATAAAACCAAAATGTGTATCGCAACGACATCCTGACATGGAGGGGACAATTATCTGGGCTAGGAAGAAAAGAAGTATTACTGAATGTCCGGCCATAAATTCTGATGATACCAGAGAAGTGACAATAAAAGGACAACATATACAAGTAAGCAAAGTAAAAAATAGGCATTATATTCACCTCTAGGTGAAATGCAACAAAGGATACAGGAATATGGTGATCACATCAAAGTGCATTAACAAGGAATGGAAACCTGAGATAAAAGAATGCGAAAGAAGTAAGATTTTATCCGATAAATAACTTTTGTCATCAAATCCTAATGAATTAATTCATGAAAAAATTAAAGAAAGATGTAAAGTCCCTTCGAGACTACATGCCTTTTTTGTAAGTCCAAAAGACGGGAAGATCCTGGGATCTGGAGAGACCTTTGAAGAGCCGTTGACCCTTATCTGTCTTCAAGGATTTCATCCCCAAGGATCGACGAAGATGACTTGTTCCGATGGGAAGATTATTAATCCCCCAGGCTTTTGTGTACCCAGTAAGTACTTAAGACATTACTTAATTTTATTATAGAGCCTTGTCCTCTTTTGCAAATTCCTTATGGAATCTATTTGAATGCGAGTGTTGAGAAGATTGATCATGATCAATCGGTTGTGCTTAGCTGTGGAGGGAATACGATGGAAATTGGATGCAAATACGGAGAGTTGGAGCCTCAGCCAGTCTGTGATGGTTTGTAAGACATGTTCCTTCATTCCTCAAATTGGTCTTTTGTTAATTCTTAGTTTACAAATACAGTTACAATACCTCTTATATAATCATAGACGAATTGCAGCTCCGAAGATGGTCAAAGTCTCACATTGTGACAGGCCAGAGGTTCAAACAAAGCCAGCAGAGATCTATTACTTGTCCGAGAATGATTCGAAGGATAAGGTCCATCTCAACTTTGATCGATCCATCTTCCCAAACGGTACTATTATGCATTTTGGATGCGATTCTACAGAAGAAGAGGCCGCTGCCATTAGATGTGAAAACGGAGAATGGATAAGTTTATTGGGAGAATGTGTGAAAACAAGCACTGTGGGGGTGGAGAAGATCGACTCTTCCTTGTGTATGACCCCCAAAATGGAGAACGGGAAGACTGTCAGCAATGTCCCCAACTGGGCCACGTTGAAACATCCCGTTTTCTTTCCACATGGATCATCTTTAATAGTAAGTAGATCAGAAAGTAATGAAAGAGCAGGTTTCGTGTTCCCAAACAGAAATATATGATAGATTTGAAGAATGGAAGTGTCGGAGGGGGAAGTGGCACAAAAAAGGATTCATAAATTGCCCGACAAGTAAGTCCAATCACTAGATTAATCACCATTTCAGCGAACATTTGTGAATTCAAGGTCGACACATCTTCCAAATTAAATGTCTTCTTCGATCAGGGACGAGATTATGTATATTTTAACAGTAAATTCCCAGGTGAGAAGCTCGAATTACTCTATTACAGTATTAATCAGAACGTTCCCGGCTCTTATTCAGCTGCAAAGATCACTTTATGTCCAAATTAAGAGGCCCAGTTTCTGCCGAATGTAAGGCCGGAGAATGGTCTCCGAGTATACCGTACTGTAACTCATTGGATGTTCTCAATCAGAAAGGTATGACACGAATCATCTTCTTAATTATATCACCTTCCTTTTAGGTGATTCCCCTGCAATTTATTTCCGTGTGGATAAAGGAAACTTCTTTATAACGCCTGTCGGGACATTGTTAGTAAACAGGTCCACAACTGTCCATTTGTATTGTTTTTATCCCAGATCTGGTTCCGAGAGCCCACAATGGGTAACAATTTTTAATCAAAGAAAAGATTTTATTTGCAGGAAAGTTCTTCCCCTTATCGCAGTTATCCCCAAAGATGGGTGAAGGGTGTTCATCCAGAATTTAAAGAGGCTGATGCTCTTGAAGTAAGTTGATCTTTAAAAGTCATCCCTCTTAGCTATTGATAACTGTCGCCCAGCCGGAGGACAACAGTATCTTCTACTGCATCCTCCCAAATCATCAACGTTCTGGAGTCAGATTGGAAGTGGCTGATCATACATGTCGTCCCATCTACAATACGTCTTCCCTGAGAGTTCATTCTTCAGTTAAATCTACCTTTCCTGGGGGCATTATTCATTTCTCTTGTGTCAATGGCTACGAACTTAAAGGGCCGAGAAGTGTGACCTGTCTGGAAGGGGGAAGTTGGTCGCATTTCCCTCCTAATTGTCAAGGTAAACTAAAACAACCGGAAAAATATTTTTTTTTACCAAACACTAGTGATTACAATCCCATTTACAGTCAAATTATGCCCTCCTTTGGTCATCGAAGATCCAAAATTGACATGTGCTGTGACATCTCACAAGTTTGGAGGGATCGCCCAGTGTAATTGTGCTGTAGGATTTGTTTTGAATGGATCAAATGCATTGCATTGTTCTGATACAAGTCAATGGAGTGATCCGGTTCCTAGCTGCAAGAGTAAGAAAAATAATTTAAAATTTCAACCTGCGGAAACAAAAAAATTTTACAAGGAAAGTATTTACTTTTATGGGTTATACTATGTCCCGTCTAAAAGTAGGATCCCCCATAAAAGTGCTTTGTTTTCAGAGATCTTGTGTCCGAAGCCACCAATCCCAGAGAATGGATTTGTCTTCGATGCCAGGAATGTTCCGCTCGAAGATTTAAAGTCGAATTACTCTGCGGGTACTGTAATTATATTCGGTTGTAAGCCCGGTTTCATGGTCTCAGGCACTGATTTCATCGTCTGTGAGAAGTCCGGAATTTGGTCTCATCTCCAAACTGAATGCAATGCCTATTGTAAATATCCTCAAACCACTCCAGAAGTAATGTCTACACAGCCCAGACGTGATTACTACTTAACTGGAGAGAAGATTGTCTTTATTTGTAAGAGTAATCAGCTCAGATTAAGGTCGGAGAATGTTCTGGAATGTCTGAACGATGGCCAATGGTCCAGATCTGCTCCAACTTGTGTCCAGAGAAGACGGAATGGGAATAACACTGACCTTTTCAAGTAGTTGTGATATAAAGAATACCGTAGTTGTTTTGAGTTATCTTTTGCATGGGAATGGCGTTTAATCCGGGTCAGTTCGCAAAATATTAGCCCAGTTTGAGCTTGCTTTGACTCGCCGAAACAGGTGTGCCGGTTTTCTGTGCGTAAAATGATTTTAATTAGGGTCACTCCCTCATTAAGACATCGCCGCAAAGGAATTAATAAACTCCCCTTGCGCAATCCCGAGAATTGTGTTTCAGATGACCGGTCGAATGCTTACGGAAATTATTCTTTGATTTAAATTCATCGATCAGAACACATGAAAAATTAGAGCAAATATCTGAAATTCTAGTATGTGTTATAGTAGTGTAAAACGATGCAAAGATATATGCATTTAAGATCTGAATCGAACTCCTCATTACTTTCAAACTCTTTTATGGCCCTTTCCTTTATAAAAACTCGGTCTCTTTGCTGATCATCACTTCCATCAAAGACGCCGCTCTTTTTTGTCGATTCCGAGAAGGAGATCAACAACTCCGGGGGTCTAATTAGCCGGTGTGAAAAAACCGCGTTTATGTTCTGATGTCCTGATAAGCCTGTTCCAGGTACTTGGTGACCTTGAGCAAGTCTATTCCATAGCCCATTAAAACAGAGTAAGTGAGATCGAGCAAGAAATCTGTTTATTCGACACGCTTCGATGGTAACCGGACAATTTTTTCTGTTCAGATATTATTTATGATCTTCATGGCTGCTGAAGGAGATAAGCCAATTGTTCGATATACGCTTGAGCCATTTGGAGAGTCTCGAACTTGGACAGACGACGACCTTGTTCTAGAGGTGGCAACACTTTTCGGAGCTATAAATAAACATAATCAAACGTCATCTTGTCTTGTTTTGAGAAAGCTGTTATCATCGATAAATTCAAATCACTCTAATTAAATTAAGTTCATGGCCAAAAACTTGATAACGATGGCATATGATGACAAATTTTTTCTCTTGTTATCATTTGTTTCCATTTAAATTACAGTAGTCTACAAAAAAATTAGTTGCAGTACCACGACCCAACTCTTTTTCGAAATTCAAAACTACAGTAACCCACCTCTTCGAAGGCATCATTCAGATGGTTCATTCGTCTTCTCTCTCGCGCATTCGCAGCTTCTCTCCGGCATCTCAGAAGTTGAGGAGACGGTGTTTTATATCTCCTGGCACCTCCTTTCTTGGCCTTTCGTTGGGTTGATGCATCACTTTCGGGAGACGAATGGGTTTTCAGACTAAAAAAATAAATTTGGCATATAGTACAAATTGAAGGATCAGGTTTAAAAGGAGTCGATTTGGAGTGGAGGGGACTTACCTGGATTGATTTGAATCTGAACTATTGAATGGGCGGAGGTTGTTAAACCTCTGATCGAACGAGTGACTATGGTAAACACTCATTTCGAATCCATTATACAACATTTGGGGAAAGGCGGGCGATGTCATCGGGGACATTGATGTAGAAGGCTGTGTTCCAGGTGGCCAATAAACATTGACATTCATAGTTGAAGTTACTGCGTGCAATAAACAGTTAGGAAAATATTAAATTGGAATGTAAGAGGACACGAATTTGAATATCTGGAATCCAGAGAGTCGATGGAAGTGTCGAGGAGAGTCGTTAAATCAAATGACTTCACTCTCTCCGTCCCCAGAGGCCCAGGCCCCGCCCAACAGGTGCCAGAAAAAGGGCGGGACCAAGGAAACGGTAGCCGTTATTTGATTGCGCGACCGAATGGCTGAGCGAAGAAAACGAGGATGGAATGCAAATCTTTTAATGAATAGGTTATGACATGCCACTTCGTATAATTACAAGGCGCAAACATATTTACATTTTTTTTCATGATCGTGAAAAAATGGCAGAAGTCAATAAAAAATCTGAAGTAAAAATAAATCATCATATTATTTATTAGCGTATACAATAACAGTTATTAATTGTGTAACCCTGTTACGCTGAAAATTTTAAAATTTACATTGAGTCGGCAGATCAGGAAGTCTGAATGACTAAAGTAAGGCACCCAGAGTAAGTAAAAAACAAAAAGATTACTCCCTGGACACTATTGATGCCCCATTTCGAAACGGAGAGGTCCGGGGAGATATTAAGTTATATTACTAGAGTAATATAAATTTAACGGGTTGAGGATAAACCACCCATCCCCTCGGAGATGAAAGTCTTTAACAGAATAGATCATAAAATTAAGCGGACAGATGCAGATCCCTTGCCGTACCGACATCAGACGCGTCTTTGCGATTTAAATGAAGCTGAGGGATCCCAGAGATCTCCTGGTCATACACAAGATCGGATCCACGGTTTCGAGATCGGGATGGCCAAGAAGACTAAGACCAGCAAGGCCAAATACGGTATGAAAAGGGTCTGGCTAAAAAGACAATTAATTATTTGTACAAAAAATGAAAGCAAAATCATTTACCATATCACCAGGCCGATCAGCAATTCCCCCGGTTTCATCATCTTGAGCTGCCAAAATAAATCGAGTCAGATCGGCCTAAAGAAAGTAAATTTTTTGGTGAATGCACACCTTGTCAATATAATGCAAACGCCCAAGGATAGCCAGTGATGCCACCACCCACCATGAATAACATACGTCGGGTAATTTCTCGGGTCGGCCTGTAAAAGAAGAGCATTACCGTAACCTTGATGATCTCTTTGCGTGGCGAAAAGGTGTCAGCTTGATTTATGGGATTCACAGAAACGAAAAAAAGGAATTCTTTTACAAATACGTTGTAATTCCCTTTAAAATAAAAAAGTCATAAGTTAAAAGAAACGCACCACATAATCCGCCTGAAGGGCATTGACGATCAGCCAGCCATTGAGCAGTCCTATCAATATTTATATACTCCAGACATCCTGTCAAGGCCAAGGTCCCCACACAGCAATAAACCTGGCCAGAATGACTCTCTGATCCAGGTCTCCTGCCAAACCCACCATCAAAGTTGTAACAACTGACAATAAAATGAACGGCTTTATTGACATCGACTTCAGCCAAACGGTCAATCAGATACAAACAAAGCAGGGCACAGAACGTAAAACGGGTGTCAATCTCTTCTGTAATATAATTACGTTATTTTGCGACACATTACGCAACAGATCCACAACAATTCCTTTGTCCGATTAAATCATCAACACCCGTAATAGGCGTAATTACATAACAAAACAAAGAAGAGACAGGTCAGATTATATAAACATTCACTTACTGCTTCTAATCTCTCCACGGAAACTGCCGTCTTCATTTTGAAGGTTCTTAATAAATTGGACAATGGAATCTTTATGAATAATGTCAGTTCGTTTGAGGATTGTGAGAACCTGGAGGGCACAAAGTGTATGCAGAACTTGACTATCGTGCCCCTTGGAAGCCCCATATCCTCCATCCAAATTCTTTGATTCAGTTATAATACTAATAATATTCTCCACGTGTTTTGGGTCCTGTTCATCCATTTTATTCGCTATATCTAACGAAGCCACACACCAATAGATCCCACTGACTCGCAGATATTCGGTAACAATGTATTCCTAAACTAGTTAAACAATTATGATCAGACTTACATAGCTTTCGGTGTTTTCTCCACTTTTTACTATAAACTGTACATGTTTATCAAGAAGAAGTTCTTTTGGAGAATTCAGAGGAACTTCCACATCCCTCCTGGCAATATTCCAAATACAAGAAAGACCTTGTGATCCCCGCCCATCGCCAAAAACCTCGAAAAGATCGTCCGTTGTCACCATTCCAAGAATAATTTTCGTACGAAAAGACTGTCGACAGATGGCGGAAGATGAGCAAGCGCAACGACAAGTTTATTACCTGAAACTCCTACAGACAAGACGTATTTCAAATATTAAATTATTATATTCATCAACTCGCAGATGATTCACGTGAAAAAAAATATGTTCTTTTGGTGCCTAGTACTCCTCAAAAACACGTTTTAAAGAGTTGGTACTATATGCACGTTCGTAGCATGTCTGGTACTACAAAGTAAGCGGTGAAAAGAGGAGTATAGATACCAAAACAACACCATTGACGCTTAAAGGCCAAATTTTCTCCGATCAAGTAGTACTATATATACCGTAAAGATAAAAAAAATCAACATGATTTTCGAATCCAGCACCTTCCAAAAACCCTAAATCAAGTATTTACTTCAAGAAAAAATTTTAAAAATTACTACTTTACAGTACTATTTAAGAAAAAAACAGCAGTCACCGAGGCGCTTTGACTAACAATATTCTGTTGCACAGGACGACTTTCTGCGACTTTGAGTCATAACCGTCCTTATGTCAATAATCGGCTACATTCGATTTTTCCTTAAACGTCATTTTGTGGGGTATCGAACTTGGTAGCGCTGTTAAGTCGTCAACTTGACGCGTCAGTCACGTTGTCAAATTGCCGTCTTTTTCGTCATGTCAAATTATTCTGTCATTTTCATTGTCAAATTGAACTGTTTTTGGAAAATTTTCGCAAAATTTTACTAAAAAAGCGTAGTAATTTAAAATTTTTGGGAACTCAAATTGCTTCTGCTTGTCAAAACGACCGATGAAAGCAGTAAAACTAGTTACATAAACATTAACGGTATTCATCATAGTCTATGCTAAACTCACGTTTGAAAGCTTCGTATATTAGAATCTTCAATTTAGCCAAAATGACCAAAATGACGCCAATTTGACGCCCAGTTGACCCCAGATTGTAAAAATTCGTCAAATTAACAACCCTAAAAAGCATAAGCGATTTTAACGCTCGGGAAAGCAAAAACTGCAAAAAAAAGCAGAATTCCAGCAAAAATTGCGCCATTATTGATTGAATTGTTGTGACACTTCGTACGAAAAAGGGGCTCACACGTTTTGAAGGAGGTTTTCGATGGCGCTGATTTCGAAAATCGTATCCATTTTTCTGAATTTTACAATTTTGCTTAAGCAGTAGTGTTAATTAGTAATAAAAAAAATTTTTTTTTGAGTAATGGATTTAGGGGTTTTCGATGGTGCTGATTTCGAAAATCGTATCCATTTCTTCTGGATCCTAAACTCGGTAACAGAAAAACGAGTACTGTTGCATTACCCGAGAGTCTGCCTAAGAACTTATCATATTATCGTGAATCAAAACAGAAGATTCGAATTAAGATTATGTACAATTTTTGAACGACGTATTTTCTTACAACTGTATCGGGCATGTTAAATAAGAAACGATTTACTAAACCACTATGTAGTTGTAACTTTCTTACCTTTCTTTCCAAAATTTTAAATATTGGAAATGAAGGTCCCAAATACAATATTTCTGCAATTTCAAGTCGATTTTGCCTCATTACGTCTTTCGGAAACCATTCCAATTAATACGTGTGGTTGTAGTAAGATATACGATATAGTAATCTACAGGCAGAAACATTTCATCGTATAAAATGTCTCTAATTTCCTTTGCACGTTTTTTTCTCCGCTTGCACGAGTCGCGACTACGACTCGCGTCGCGATGGAGAAAAGCGAAGGAACGCGACTTTTTTCGCACCTTTTGTTCGTAAAATTCCAGCGCACGGCAACCCGAAGTGTTTCCTGGCTCCTTTCGACACTTCGCCCATTTTGTGCAGGATTTCTGATTCTTGTGCTTTTATCTTGCCTGTGTTTTTATTTTCTCGAACACGAATTCGTCTTTCTTCCAGATTGACTTATAGTTTATGAAAAAATAAGTGAATGACATTTTGGACCGAGTATCACATAAAAATAATAGTAAAAGTAGGAATGTTAAACACTGCTGTGACAAGAAGTGATCGCTTTGAGTGGATTGTACTTATTGTGGAATGTATTTATACCACTTGAGATGGCGATAAAAGAATATTGTCGAGATAGCTCCAATGAACTAAAAAAAATTATATTTACTGGCACTGTTTTACACCTACCAATAGTAGTGCTGTAGCTGCTCCAGAGGCAACATAATATAGTATCATCTCGTCCATGGATGCTTGAACTTTGTCATGACATCCTTGGGAATTGACAGCGTCATTAAAGGCGGAAGTTCCGTAAGGGTATGTTATACATAAGGGATCAATAGGTCGGGAAGCCCAGGCTCTTCCATCTTGTGATTGTTTGCAACAAGAGGACGGAACAAAGCTTCTGGTCCCTCTCTCCACATTTGTCAGATACCAGAAAGAGTTGTGGTAATCCATAGCACCATGGATTCCACCACAACATTTATGCTAAACAAGTTGAATATGGATTCAGATTATTTTAATTTACATAGAATTGAATTGAATCCATCAATGGCATGGTCCATTTGTCACGGTAATAACGATTGTAACTGATATTTCCAAGATAAACAGCCATCCGAGTGCCCTCAAACTAAAAAAAAATTACAGGAACGGTACCCTAAGTGCGACGCTAAGATTTTGATGGAACTTGGCGCAAATTTAGGATTATTTTTCTAACAATAAGACAAATTCGGGACTTCTTGCTCGCGCTTAGACATGGCTCCCGGGCTGGGCCGGCCCGGGTCGGTGTTCGGGCCGACCTCTTCCGGCCCGCGGGCCGCGCAGAAAGCATAGTTTTATAAAAATAAAGCACGGAAGAAGTGAAAAATTGTTGATAAGTAATTTTACTAGTAAAATCTGCAAAGTAGTAATGTATAATAGTGTTGGCCCGGGAGCCATGTATACTCGCGCTTTGCAGAAACGACCGGGATTTTAAGTCGAAAATTGAAAAATCTGACGATTGTTTGTAAATTTTGACGCAAAAAGTTTCGTACCTATTTCTACCGTAAAGGGTAATGTTTCCACAAAAAATATTTTTTTCCGCTCGAAACTGGCAAAAATATAAGAGTGAAGAAATAAGATCGCACCGGTCGTTCCGAAGCAAAACGTTAAAAACACTCCTCACTTTTTTTGAAAAAATAGAATGGAAAAAATGAGACCGAGATGAGAAAAAAAGCTCGAGAAAGCAAATTGCGTCTTTTTCAAAATCCCAAAATCGGTCATGCAATATTTCTTCACTCTTATATGGCTGAAAAGATGTTTTCTCTGTGGCCGCGTTTCGCGTACTTTTTCGGCCTTACTGTGTTTTTTGTTAATAGTAATACTTACTTTTGTCCTGAATATTAATGGGAGGGTGATGATTGAAATAGCCGCGAAGAATAAAAGAACCACAAAAAGAAGATACTAAACTTGAAAGTTACGAATAGAACGACAATTTACCATTCCCATTATGAACTTCCCGGACATCACCGTCCCGAAACAGCCCACCAGCGCCACAAATAGTAGGCATATCCCTGTTATCAGGGCAATATAAGCCGTGAATTTTAATAAGGGATCATCTTCTGAGAAATCGACTAGATTCAGAAGATAATTCTTGGCCGGATCTAGCAAAAACCACAACGAGAGAGCCACCAATCCCAGTCCATTGATCTAAAATAAGATGCGAATACTCTCACCTAAACTTACAATTAAAAGAAATGTGTAAAACAACAGACACGACCGCGATTTAGACTGCATTTTCTCAACCGGGAAATGGAAGGGAACTGTGGTACAAGCCAGGTACGAGGCCGAAAGCGGGGTCAAACGAGAGGAGGGCAGTGAGTCAGAGAGAAGGGCGACCGCAAACAACCCGATAACATCTTCGGGTGGCTCACTTAATGCCGGTTATTCATACCCCCAGGAAGTGAACTAATGCGACGAGTACAGCACATATTACTTGTTTAAAAGTTGGATGATTAATGGAAGTAGATGATAAAATAAGACCGTAATGCGTTAAATTTAAAAAGGTGGATCTTAAAGCGGTAGATACTGTTTGCTCGGATGAGTTTCGTGAATTTCGGCTAATCTGTAAATAATCTCAGAGCCCGATTTCACTTTCAGAAACTCTCGAAGAAGCCGGCGGGACGGTTTACGAAAGAATGATCCATTACTTTCTGTTTACAAAATCTCGGCATGGATGGTATCGGGATGATTCTCAGAGGACCTTCGGGGATCTGATATGGAGCGGATTCAATTACCCATGAAAAGCGGCGAACTTGAAACGTGGGCCGTCCCCTTGAGTCACCATCTTCTCCTCATCTTCGTATTACGCGGCTGCTTCCCAAGAAGACGTATCCTAGACCTATTCAGAAACTTGTTCGGAGACATCCGGATCTGCTCTCCGCGGCCTGATTAATATCTGCAACCAGTCTGCAGGACGGCTGCCCTCAGGCGATCATTGACTAACCGCATTCGATTCCCTGATGTGGCTTCGACGTTATGTTGAAGGTCAGGTGGATAGGACACACAAGCTTCTGTCCCCCAGGTACCTTCTTCTGATCCAATTTGTGTGGGTGATTCCGTATTTATTGGTGAGTTCATAGAGAGGTCTTGCAAGGTGAGGCTAGCGGATGATTTACTTACTGATTGAGGCTTCTCATTATTGCGCGATGAGATTATTTCAATTATAGAAACTGCATTTAACCAATTTTTTTAGTGTTCTAACTATTTGGAGCGATCCCTTCTTCCCTTTCGTCTTGTGTGTTATACTGAACCACAGTTTTTGGAAGTCCAGAGGCCAGTCCGAGAAGATCGTCAAGAATGTATCAAGTATTTTTTCCCTGAAAGAATCGCTGATCCTGGTTGTAATTTCAATCTGAAAGTAGAGCATTTATTAAAGCCACCGAAGACAAAATTGGAAAACCTGGAGAGGGTGATGGTCATCAGGACGGCCCCCTCGGCTCATGCTTACCGCAATTATATCAGAGAGACTTGGAAACCACTGGTCGAACAGTGGATGCCCGTCATCTTTGTTAGTGGGACTGACAGAAATGACATGTCCTTGGAGCATGAACAACATGGAGATATTTTGCAGTTCAACTTTGTCGACTCTTATCAGAATCTGACTATGAAAATGATGTCCATCTACAGGTTCGTGCTGGAAGAGACTTCGGCCGAACAGATTGTTGTCATAAATGATGACACAATTGTGAATGCGACCTCTTTGATGACGGTTTGTGATGAGCAGATGTTCAATTCGGATTCAATCCAAGGATATATCCTAGGGAAAGTGTCTCGAGGGTACCCTCGACTCTTCTTCCCATGGTTGCCTTGGTATGTTTCTTCAGAGACATACCCACACAAGTGTTATCCCCCATTTGTTCAGGTGAGTTTGTCCATTTTATGTTATCGTTTGTCTTCAGGGTTCAAGTTTTGTGATCTCAAGGCCTGCTGCCGCCTCCATTCTCAATCATATTTGTGAATTCCCCTTCGTTCATCTTGATGACATCATGATGGGCATTGTTTCCAATTGTTTGAACATCAGGAACGTTCACCGGGACGGGTTCGACCAACATTACTTAGAACGATTTACAGTTTTCCATTATCAGTATTCCCGTTACAGTACTCAGGAAATGAGAGATTCATTCTCACGAATAAAACACGACTTGTATTCTGTGTGATTGATGTCTTCTAACAAACAAAATAGTTAATATCTCTGGGAGAAATGTAAGATTGGGATTGTAAACAAAAGATCCCAAGATATTTTTATTTAATTAAATGGTTCAACAAATCAATAAATAAAGTCGAAGAGATCCGACTATCTAATTTGGAGCCTATGTTAAATGAATTTGATTATTTAGGCGTTGTTGGCACGTCGCCTCAATTCTGGGGCTTTGGGGATTTTGGAAACTACAACGTCTGAACGGGCTTTGGTCAGGGCGGCCACCGGAATATATTCAGGGAACATCTTGGAAACGGCGTCATCGATTCGTCCTCCGAATCCCTGAGCGCTGAATTCTCTAACAAAACGTTCTCTCTAAAGTTGAGAATTAAAGTAATAATAGATATTCACATAATTGATTAAATAAATGTATCAAGTTCTTACCTGTTTGGCGTATTTTAGGTCATCATCCAAATGCTCCCACTCTCCTTTGTTCATGTGCATCATCATAGCTTCAGCCAAAAGAAGACCATCTGGCTCGGCAATCTTTGTCCCTGTGATCCCTTCAATCACCGTCTCTGAAGGTCCTCCACTGTCAATTACAATCACCGGTCTTCTCTGTTCCAATGCTTCAATCGGGACAATACCGAAATGTTCGTTGGGAGGTGTATATAGCGCGGAATCACATTCTCTGTAGAGTTTAAACTTCTCGGCTTCTGTGGGAGAGGGGACGAATTCTACCGTACCCTCCAGATGGTAACTCTCGACCATCTTCTGCAATTCCTCGTAATAAATTCTGGATTCGGGGATATGAGGCATAACAGATCCAGCCAATTGGACTTTGGGCTGAAAACCCCGGTCCCTAAGAATGGCTGCTGCCTCTACAATAATATCCAAGCGTTTCTCTGGCCAAAATCTGTTCATGGAGAGAAAGGTGAAATGAGAATTCTGAGCTCGGTTCCTCCGGCTGATGGCTTGCGTCATTCCACAAGAGGTCGAGTCGACGTCGCATGGTGGATACACCACCTCGATCTTATCTGCCGGCACCGATGGCATGACTTGTTTGAAGTTGGCGGCTAAAGAGAGATTTGTTATGAAATATGGAATTTTTGAGTTGAAATAGATTTGCAAAATACACTTACCGGTGAATTTACTATTGACCATAATAGTGTCTGCACTTTGAAACATCTTCTCTTCGATTAATCCGACTATGTTGGAATACCACCTGTACAAAAAGAACCTGTTCGGAGTAACCAGTTGTTGCGGGAAGTGACAATAAAACAATATTTTTGATTGAGGGAAGCGCCATTTGATCATGGGGACACAACTGGCACTGTGATCGACGATGACAAGATCAGGATTCAGATCCGAGAAGATCAGATTGAAGCCAAGGGCAATGTTTTGGCTAAACCAATCGCCAGGATGAAGCTTCAAAGGTACTTCGCGGATTTCTGAAAAAAAGTTAAATTTTAAGGTTACGATGATACTAACGGAAAAGTTATTCTTACCAACGCCCTCAAAGTCCTCGTTGGCCCAATACTCATCGATCATGGTTGTTAACCAGACGACACGATGATTTCCCTTCAGGAAGTGCCTGATCAGAGCGATCGTACAGCGATCGGAACCCCCATTCCACTGCTCTGGATGCACAATTACAACCAACATTTTACGCCTAAATAGTTGTGTAAATTAGAATTAAATTTGCGGGTCATAAGGGATCTTACGGTAGTTTTGAGTTGAGTGCCTCCGGCCACAGACTTTTCGTCAAAGAGATTCCGACGAACGAACCAGACGAACAAGGAGAGGGGGACGGCAACGATCAGACCCGTAATGTAAAGGACAATGAAGACGGGCTGCAGGGACAGAACTTTGCGCACTTGGCCACTCATTAACACCACATAAACCTAATTAGCGGTAATTGTTATTGTCTGCGTGCAAAAAGGACACCGACCGGCGTTTAGATCTTTTTGCTGGATAATAAGCGGAATGCCGGCGCTTTTCTTGGATGAGGGCGGAGGATCCGCCTGAGGGTATTCTTGAGGCGGAGTCAACCAGTTGCGCATATTCGGGCCTCGATTCCAGGCAGATAACCGACCGAATCCTCGAAGCCCTCCCTTCTTCCGACCTCCTTTTTTGCTATTACTTTTAAATTGTTTTACAATTTATGTCTTCAGATTTCTGGAATTTCAAAAATCTTCTGGAGTTTCAAGAGGTTTTGATTAGATCTTCGGCGTCATAATCTTGAAATGAAGTATAAATCAAGTTAAGCCATCAAAAATATCATACACACGATACAAAAGAAATGAATGGTAATATTATATAAATTAATATAAAAACGCTGCCTTTGCTGAAACGCCCCAATTCGATTAATTTAGAAATTTCAAACCGCAAAAATAACATTTCATGGGTTTGTGAACAGGCACAGAAAAGGCCTGACCTTATCTTATCGCTCTGTTATCTCCATTAACAAAACATCCCTGCCCCAGTCATCGATTATATTATGTTACCAACTGTACGGGCCTTTATCGTTGCGGGTTTTGTTAGTTTTGTTTCGAATTGGCAATTTGGATATCAAGTAATACACAGTTTTTCACCAGTTGTATACTGTAGAAAAAATAATACTGAACAAATTTGAAGATTACATACGTAAACACAGCCTCGGAAGACTTCTTCGACCTCTACAAACATGCCCTCGAGTTGAATGAGACAGTTACAGTAGTCACGGATTGGGCTCAGAAGTGGAGTTTGGTTGTTTCCTCTTTTTATCCGGGGACTTTCCTTGGATTTGTCGCTGTAAGTCTAACAAAATATTTGTTACAGTAACCTCATTTAGGTGCCTGTTCTTGTGAATAAAATTGGAGTCAAGAATGGGATGTTTTACTCGTCGTTCCCAGCCGTTATTGGCTGTTGCTTAATGATTTTTGTGCAGAATTTTGTCTTGATCTGTAAGTATTAGCATTTGATTTATTTCAAAATTTTACAGCACCAACTTGTTTTCTGGCCGTTTTAATGTTTGGTCGATTTTTAACAGGAATTCAAAGTGGATGTTCCTTATGTTTATTACCTCTATTCTACCACGAGACCAGTGATAAAGAGCATCGGGAGTTTTTAGTCGCATTACAAGTAAGGATTAGTTGTCATCATCAATACAAGCTTACTAATATATTCCAAAGTTTGTGACTAAATTTATTTTTTAAAGCAAGTATTTCAAGCGGTTGCAACGTTCGTTGGATTTCTTTGTGGCTCCAATTTGATTTTCTCGACAGGTATAGTGATATTATGGCATCATATCCATGTTTAGGTTACACAAAGGTCGTCTGGCTGCAGATAATAGGGCTATTTCCTTCTGCTCTCGGCTTAATATTCTTTTTTTGGTCTCCGAAAACCCCTAAAGTAATCATTGAGTCTAGTAAGTCAAAGTCCTACGATCCAGGTAAGGATTACTAATACGAAATGTGAAGAGTAATACTTTAGCCTTATACAAAAGCGCCCAGTTCTACCAAGGATCTGATGCTGATCTTTGTATATTCGGACTGGAAGCAGAAGTGGCATCAGAAAGACTAAAGATCAGTGATCAAAAATATGACAATAAGATTTTAAAATCGGATATTAAAGTAAGTATTATAGCTACAGTTGATAATTATAAGCGAAGCATGCTCAAAGAAACTGTTTTTTAGGGTGGCATCCTCGGCTTTATTGCTGGTATTAGCTTTGGGTTCACAGGAGACGACTTGGTGGACTCATATTCAACGGAAATTCTCTATGTGAGTACTTGTTGAAGTTGCTGATTACTGTTTTAGAACCATTCCCATGGTCCGGTCGCTGCTGTCACAGATATTGCCCTTTTAATGGGACTTATCTTGATTGGGTCAAGTGTGGTTGGAGCCTTCTTGGTATGTGAACTTTATATGGATTAATATGGTTCCAAATCCATGTTATAAATGCACTCATAATAATCCTTTAGTTGGATCATTATGGAAATAGAATCATGCTGATCTACGGACTGATTGGAACAGCCTTTGCCAATGTTCTCTCTTCAACCGGTTCTTTTTTGGGATCCTGGATGTTAACTGCCTCAGGCATGATTCTCACCAAATGTTTCATCGGACTAGGCGCAGGTGCTCCAGCTTGGTTTCTCAGTTCGGAGCTGGTCTCCCAGCGCAACGCTTCATTAGCTCAGACAATTTCAACGGGCTCTTTATTAGTAGTAGTGGGATTGTTGACTTCCTCCTTTTTGTCAGTGGATCTTCTGATCCCGAATTGGAGCCTGATGTTGATGACAAGTGTCCCGGCTTCTATTTGCGCCCTTATTTTGTATTTATTCTTGCCGGAAACAAAAGGAATCAGAGCGGATCAAGTAAATCCGCTTCTCAACGACAAGTTCTTCTCCGGCCTGAAGAGTCCCTTCGTCCGATCCTATGGATCTATCTCGACTTCTAGACTGTCCCAATAAATAAGATATTGAAAACCTTGGAGTTGAGGCTTATCTTCCTTCATCGCCAAAGTTTCTGGGTTTCGCCCGGTTTAGGAAGACTGGAATTAGTTGCGTTGACACTTCCGCAGTCAGCCCCAAAAAACACGCACCCAAGTCAGGAAGGTATACACAAAACATAAAGATCCCTTTGCGTAATTGTAATTGTTTTTGTACGTGATATTGGATGGATAAAAACAATTACAATTAACGAACTACAAGAGGGAAGGAGACCACTCCAAGCTACGATGAGCTATTACAGAAAAATTAATTGATTCTGGAGTATCCATTACTCGTTACGGTGTGCGCTCGTCCAGTGTTATTATAAACCTGACCCAATTCTAGATTATTATTCTTTTGGCGGCGCCATCTTTAATAATAACGCAATAATAAAATAAATTAAGTTTAGATCTCGGCGACTTTCGCCTACGGTCATTAACCGTTCGGAGCAATCGTAATTTTACTTTCTGTCGAGCTCCATGATCCGACTATCTTATGTATTAATTTTAATTGGCTTTGTGGCCGCAGGTAAGTGTCGTTTACAAATATTTTTAGTCTGAAGAGATCGGAGGGTCTTGATAATGTTTTATTAATTTTAATTAAAAATTACTTCCTCTTTTTCTGCAAAGAGCTGTTTTCAAAAGAAGGATGAGAAGGTATAAGAGTGCATAACGTAATCGGTTTGGCATAATCACGTAGATTTCTGATCAGGGCTGTCGGCGAGTGAGTAAAGCGCTTAGCGCTAACCATAAACCACAGCGACGAACGTTTCTTCATAGAACTAGTTCTTAGTTCTTTAATGGACACAAGACACAACTTTTACTTCCAATTGTCCTTTCCTGTTTTTTTCACAGAAATGTACTCAAACACGTTCTGGCGCCTTCTAACGATCACGTAACTAATGCCGTAATTCAGAAACCATTAACCAAAGATGTGATACCGATGCTGATTGCCCTGAGCCCCTTGTATGTCGACTACTCTGCAAGAACACATGTAATACGATGTGCATCGACCTGACATTTACCCGGTTAGTTATAATATCTACAACAAAAATAGAACCCCTTTTATAGTCGAAAACAACCTCTGAAGTTTGGCAGGAGGCCCTCGACAGGAAGAATTGGAGAACCAAGCCTCTTCAGGGACCCTCCGGCATTTGAACCAAATCCTCCAGCCCCAGAGCCGACCTCCGTTTCTGTCAATGCCCTGCCTCTAAGGAACGAGCCTGTTTCGTAGGTTTCTGGCTCTAATAAAGTCACCAATATTACAGGCTTAGACCCCCAATAGGGCCCCCCATATGGACTCCCAATCCCCGAATCTCAGAACATTTTTCTGTAAAAAGTAAGATAGCTTTCAAAGGATAAGTTTTATTTCAAGATTGTCCTCCGCCTGAGATCTGCAAACCCAATTGTGGTATTTATATCGATGAGTTTGGATGCCAAGGATGTCAATGTTTGTGGATTTCCCAAGGTAAGCCAGCTTCTGCTATTAAAAGCTTGTGTTTAAAAATCTTTAGCTTGCCATAATGACTACGAATGTGCAAATGAGGGGCAGTACTGTGATCTGGGGCGATGTGAATGCGGACGTGGATACCGACAGCATCCCAGACACTCCGGAGTGTGTCAGCGGGTCGGCGAAGGTAGCGGGAATGCACTCTTATCTCAGACACCACTTACAGGCATCTATCAAGACGAGATTCCCTCAGAAGATAAATACTTGAAGAGTTTACCCTTAATTCGGAGGAAGAAATCAATCCCCAAAAGGAAACGGGAGGAAAGGCTGCAATGGCCAGGTCAGCAGAGTCACCTCTTAACTAACAAACAACCAGAACACCTGAACCTTGATTAATTACAATGCACGGTGCAGGAAGGAATCGGAAACACAAATCATTCACATTCTGTTCATAACTTAACCCAATCTGCTCATATCACAAATGCACACACTTTTGTAGTATTCTGAATAAAAATATTGACAGGTCCTTGCGATAACGACTCCCAGTGCCCTTCAAACTTGTACTGCATCAACTTTGATTGCTGGCATATCCCGGAAAGACCCCTCAGGGCGTTCCAAAACGATGTAGAATTGAAGAAGACGGCAGAGGTATACAGAACTATGAAATTAATTAATATCGCACGTCTATCATATTATACAATTATTTGACAGGTTTCCACCACTAATGATGATGACAAAATACTGGCTAGCCAAGTTGTTATCCCGGAAGAGACCACTAAAACAAGAGAAATACTGATCGAAACATCATTGGACGAGAACATCAAAACTCCAGACATTGAGATAAGACCTCCATCCATAAGGCCCGAGGATATTCTGCCTGAATTTACAACTATAAAATCGGTGAGACCAGTTCTCTTCACAAGTTCCCCAATCGACCAAGAAGTCGAAGATGAAAAGGAGACTGCTAATACCAAAAAAGGTGACAAGTACATCGCGAAGGCAACTAGAAGTTACTTAAGAAATAAAGATGCAAAAAATGCTAAAATAGAAGAGTCCACACCACACCCTTCCAATAACGACGATGATGTTGTTGATACCCAAGTGGCAGAAAACAAGAACGCATCCGAAGTAAATGAAGAAGCAAGGTGAGGTGATTAATTTATTATACTAACTAGCAGTTAATTACAGCACTCTTCCTGCCATCCTAGACGTACCCGAAGAAATCTCGATGACCAAGATCGAGGATGCTGATCCATCGAGAATATTCATAAATTACTCGAAATCAAATCGGCATAAAAAACCCGTGAGAATCGAAATGAAAAACGCAAAAGATCTCATGAGAGATGAATGCACAACTTCCAGTGACTGCGGACAACGCTATATTTGTTGTGTGAAGCGATGGTGTGACCTCTCCAAGGAATGTGGAATCGGTCGCTTCTGTTTACCTGATTGCAAATTGACAAAAATGATGCATCCAAGAGGAGAGAAACATCAGGCTCAAATTGACCTCGTGTATGATTAATAAAACATGAACAACAAAATTCGCGATAAATTAAAACGCGAATTGACAAAATTTGAATTTTGATTCTCCACATGGGTGGCCACCGAGCCGGGCCTGACAGGCCGGGTTGATTTTTGCCGGGCCGGGTCCGGTCCTGATCCATTTCCAGACCCGGCTCGTTTTTGTTGAATATTTAAGCGTCGACACTTTTCTTTGTGGGTTTCTAATTGTAGTGTTTCAAGTTCTACAACAGTTTACTACTTTATAGCGGATTTTAGCACCACAAAAGCGGTAAGTTCAAAGGAAATTTGGCAATTCGTGCCCTAACCGGGCTTGTCCGGCCGGGCCTGCAAAATTTTAAAACGGACCGTGCCTGATTTTTGCCCGGCCGGGCCTGAAATCGGAAAAAAGAGGCCCGTTTGCCACTCCCGACTCTCCAACAGAATTTAAAATTTCCCTAATCCCGGCTGACTAGCAAATCTAAAAATAGTTGGCATTCTGTCGCAAATCGAAAATGATGCTCAGAAAATTAAATATTGTGACATGAGTGACATAGCTTTCGTGTGCGGCTTCTTAGTGGCTTTAAAATTATGTTTTCTTCGTTGTTATGTCTCCACCGACTTTGAGGTAAGTGATCTCACTGTGTATAACATAATTTCTCCTGCAGAGAAACGTGGATAATTTCAGGTGCACAGAAATTGGTTGGCGATCACATATAACCTTCCACTTTCCAAATGGTACTTTGAGGATACTTCGATATGGACTCTGGACTATCCGCCGTTCTTTGCCTACTTCGAATTGTTCCTTTCTTATTTAGCTTCTCTGTTTGATAAGGATATTTTAATAATTCAAAAGGATGCTTTGTTGACTCCAAACGTATTACTCTTCCAGCGATTGTCAGTTATTTTTTCGGACATTGTCTTTGTAGGTTTTCTCCTTTTTAATCAGGTTTTTAGTACATTGGGTGTTATTCATGTGCCAACGCCGTTGTTTCTTCGCTCAATATTGGGGCCAAGAAGAGCGTTACACTCCGAAATTGTTTGTTTATCCTGTTGGCTTTGAATCCGGCGCTGATCCTTCTGGACAATGTCCATTTTCAATATAATTCCATGTTATTTGGCATTTTTCTGCTGGGTATCAGATATTTTTTGAAGGAAGATTACGTCAAAGTGAGTTTAACTAATTTTCACGTCCGGACAATCGGGTCCTGCACAGCTGGGGTCCTGGACAGTCGGGGCCCGGTAAAGTTTTAGCAATTGTGTAAGCGTAGTATTATCCTACACTACGCGAAGATTCGAATGAGACACTGTGGGGAAACGTCTTATGTTTATACACTTGGTTAAGGTGTTTTGTCTAAGATTTTCGAAGCTTCCGTCTTCAATGTAAAATCCTTAAACTTAAACTGTATTTAAAAATTCGAAGTCATCCGTTTTTAGAATGCAAAAGAATTTTTTCTCAGGTCGGCGGAGAGACCAATTTTCGGCGATGAGATTTTGCGTATTTTGAGAAAATTACATTACAAAGCCCAGGCGTGTTTACTTTACAATGATCAAAATTTGGTTTATCACATCCGCTCGGACGTTGTCTGTTACTCTCGGCAGCCTGCCGGATGTTTCACACATCGGCGAAGGCTGGGCAGTTGGGTTGTCAAGTCGTCAACTTGACGTGTCAGTTTACTAAAAAGTCGTAGGAATGTAGAATTTTAGGAACAAAAGGCTGTAATGGGACGCGATTGTCCGTTTGTCCTGATTTTTAATATCACTTACGCTTTACAGGCAGCTCTCGTATTCTCCATCTTGCTCAACTGTAAACACATATTTCTTTATTATGTCTTTGCTTTTGTCCTGGGATTTGCATTCTGGTTTTTATTACCAGTTAATCGAAAGATAATGATAAGAGTTGTCAGCCTGGGAGCGGCCGTTGTTCTGCCAGTTGCCGTATCGTTTGGTCCTTTTTTATTTTCTGGTGGTCTGGCCCAATTTCATCAAATACTGAGCCGGTTATTTCCTTTTAAACGAGGCCTTACCCATTCTTATTGGGCTCCGAACTTCTGGGCCTTGTATAATACTCTCGATTTTATGTTGTTCAAGTTAAAGGGCCAATCTGGTGTGATTCCTCCGACTTACACAAATGGACTGGTGCAGGTAAGTCAAGAAAACTACGAACCTCGACGATGAACAATGTTTAGACATACGATCATTCTGTTCTCCCAAATATTGCGGTAGAATGCACGTTGGCCTTGGTGGCTATATTTTCAATTGTCTTATTCTTTGTCAGAGGGAAAAGTCGAGGGGAATCGTTCTTGGCCATGTTGATAATGAGTGCATTTTCTTTCTTCTTATTCTCTTGGCATGTGCACGAGAAGGCCGCTGTTCTTATCCAAATCCCGATTACAATATTGGCCTTTGTGGTAAGTAATGTTTTTTTATTTCTTTATGAGGATGTTCCATAAGTTTTGCAAATTTTTGGGGGTGAGGTGATGCGAGAAAAGTCCTAGGGTTTTTTTTCGCTCAGTGTGGGTAACAGGTGGACTTTATGTGTAGTGATATACGGTTTAGAAGCCTATATCTGGGCTTTAAATCCATATATCCAGCATACTCCGTTTCAAAGTTAGCAGGAATTCACACAAATTGACGACCCAAAAATTTTCAAGACTTGTGGGACACCCTAATATTAATGTTTTCAGTTACGTTTTTTATTTTAGAATCCTTGTTATGCCAGTATATGCTTATTTTGCACTCAAGCGTCGATCGTCGGGCTTTTTCCGCTGTTTTTTGATAAACCGATTGAAAATCTGATCAAATATGGACTCTATATCGGATACGTCTTCGTATTCAAGACCATATTCTCCTTGGCTTTTAATCTCCGAGATGTTTTTGATGTGAAGAACAAGGTTTTCTTTTTAGTCACAGCTTTATTAGAATTCTACAAAGGGTTTCTGCACAAAGTGGGTTTTTATTTCTTCAATGTGCGGCTCGGATAACTGTAGGTAATGCTATTTATTTAGTCGTTTCTTGGAAACCGGGCCGATTTCCTTCCATTAATGTCAACATCCCTAATATGTTCTTCTGTCCTGATCTACGTTTATTTGTATTTGTTAATGCACTTCACAAGACTCAATGTGATCTTTGCCAAGATTTGTTTGAGATTCAGAGAAGTATATTATAAGAAATACTCAAGTAGTTGTGTACCAAAACCTGTTACTCTTATCGGGGCTTTGGATATGACCCAGAATGTTAACATCCCTGCCCTCTCCACTGTCAGTTATTGCATATTTACATATCCGGATTTAAAGGTAATCACTCACCCTTTTATATGACCTTATTGTAGTTACACGCACATGAAGAGAAAACTGTAATTGTTAAATACGATTACATAACCAATTACTTGGCTTTGAGGGAATGCAATCCACTTGTTGATATTGTCAACCAAGTGAAGGAGAGACCTCATGTCCTATTCATTGACGGGAATGCCAGACTTCATGCCCGAGGTAATGCTTTGTCTTACATAATTTATATTAATTTTGTTTTTCAAGATTTTGGTTTGGGTTGTCATGTTGAAAGTTTAACCGGAATTCCGACCGTTGGAATAGCCAAGAAGTTGTCGGCATCGTTCGGAAGACTCTGTGATGACTCTCAATATTTCCAGGAGGTGTGTCTCTGTGAAAAGGTTTGTATTTTAGTGGCTCAAATCACGTGATTGGTCGAAGAGCAGAATCCTGGAAGTAGTCAAGGACAAAGTCAGGATCTTCAGGGTCATCAAACTCCACTCCAACTTGTATTTTATATCTGCTGGATTGAAAACGGAGCTTGGATGGGCTTCTGAAGTCTCGTGTCGTGGAATGTCTGGAGGAAATTTTCAACCCCTGAGAGTTGTAAGTATTTTTTATTAGTAAAGTGGTAATAGAGAACTCAAGAATACAAACAGAATACTTACTAATTGTTTCTTTCTGCTACAGTCTTGTTTCGACGGTAGATGAGAGTTCATTCGTTGAGAGGCTCTTCTCTTCCTTAAGATCACCTTATGAACCATCTAAGGAGACCGTCACTCACCTCCTTCCTCACTTTTCTTACCTTCTGCTTTTCAGAGCGACCTTTGTTCCCGCCATCTAAATCAAGATATGTTCACAGACGCTTCACTCCGTCTTTGAAGACGCCTCGACCTTCTGTTTTTCTTACGGATAATACTAATAATAAATACAGTATTCTGATGTTTGCTTAATCGTTAAAGTCGGCTATTTGACCACTGATTCTGTTTGGAACAGTAATCGAGAGATTAGTTACAATAGGATATTTAATACCGATAGACGGAGATCGCGTGAAATTAACTTCCTTTGGAATTTGTCTGATTTGAGAGCGCGTTTGTCGTGCTGACTGACGTGTTTTGAGACCGGGCCCGAGTGCGAAAGGGGAAAGGGCCAAGTCTCTGTCCCAGAGAGAAGGAATCGGTGAGCGCTCGAACTCTTCTCCCTTCTTTTTAGCTCCGCAGGCTGCGGATTCGTGGTCTCTTTCCTCGATGTCCCCTCCAGCAGCCCCCTCCTCCCTTGCCTCGGCCCCTTTCCTTCAGCTTTTTTCGGCAAAGTCTATTATTTATGTCCACAAAAAGTGGTTTCCTCCGGTTTCCGGCCCCCAGACAGATAATCTTATATATTTCTTATCAGTCCGATCGCCCCCCCCCCCCGTTGCCTCTGCAGTTGATGAGATTTTAATGTTTTTGGGGCTTTATTCATCTCCCATTCCAGGTACCCGGCCAACGCTGCACTTGGGCTTGGATTGGCTCCGAAATAAATGGTGAAAACGTCATGGACTGGCCGGATATACCGTATCTCTCTGTACGGCATTCTGGCATTGGCTTTGATTCTAGCCGTTGCTGCAGCGGTCACGGAAGAGTCAGATAAAACTCAGCAGCTCAAAGTACGTTTTGGTCGTTCTTTTTTATCTCATCTTCCAAAGGCTTTCGCAATATTATAGTAAATATAATGCAAAGTTTTCAGGACATTATTGTGACAAGTGCGTTGGATGCAGGGGGTTTTATTACAACAGAAAAAAAAGCTCATCTATCTGGTCTGAGGGTGGAAGTCGAAGAACCTGGAGATTCTGGATTCATCGGTTACACGTAAGTGACGCCCGACGTTACATCTTAATGTTTAGGGAGAAAGGGCTGAGTATTGTGCAACCGGACACTGCAGTTCGCATCGTTCTCTTTGGTTGGTGGTTGGATGAGGTAATTGTGGTCGGATTCACGCCTTCTGACAGCTGTGTGGACACGTTGTTTAATGTGACTCAGGTCGACTTTACAGTACACACGGAGAAAAGATTGGTGGTCGATTACTCATTCCCATCATCCGAGAAGACCGGAACTGTTTATAAGATTTGTCTCAAACAGAAAGCCCGAGAAACCAAAGATGGAAAAGTTTTGGACATGCCTTTCGTTATGGTGAGAATTCGTTATAATATAGTTTGTGCTTTGTATGTGAAGGTAATAATATTTTCGACAGATCGACGACCTTCGAACGTCAGTGTCCACCGATCTTCCTCCTCGCAAGTATTATTTTCCAATTGCAGTCCAGATCTGCATAATCGCTGTCCTTTTAACGTTGTCCGCTCTGTTCTCAGGTCTAAATCTAGGTCTCATGGCGCTAACGCCTCAGGAATTGATGCTCATATCCAAGTCCGGTAAGCCATCCTCGAATAAAATTCATTGTGTTAGGGTCCAAACGAGAACGAACTTACGCGGAAACGATTCTCCCTGTTCGGAAGTCAGGAAACCATCTCCTCTGCTCTCTCTTGATTGGGAATGTGTGCGTGAACTCGGCCATTTCCATCCTCTTCGATGACTTGACCTCAGGCTATGTGGCTTTAATCGTTTCTTCTGCTGGTATTGTAATCTTTGGAGAGATTTGTCCCCAGTCTTTGTGTGTGAAGAAAGGGTTAGAAGTGGGTGCAAGGACCATCTGGATCACGCGCTTCTTCATGGTGCTCACTTTCCCCTTGGCCTATCCTATCAGTAAGATCCTGGATTGTATTTTGGGAGATGAAGTCGTCTCATATGATCGAAAGAGGCTCATGGAATTGATCAAGATGTCCACTAGGAATGAGAAAGGATTGGCCGAGGAACTCAAGATCGCTGTGGGAGCCATGGAAATCTCGGACAAGACTGTAACTGATGTTATGACCAAGATCGATGTAAGTTTCGTACTGCTCAGTTAGTAAAACTATTGATTGTAATTGAGATTGAGGCCATTTAAACTGTCAGTTACAAGTTTTTCTGATCAACCTCCCTTATCAGAAAACGGGAGTGGGAAGGGTGGGGGTGACCGATCAAGGGTTAGATACGATAAGTGAGCGGTCATTTCGAGTCTGGGTCACTGTAATTTCGGAGAAAGAAGTTTTGGAGAAGAACTTCCTGAGAGCAATATTTGGGGGAGCGAGGTGTTAGGGAAAGGAAATTTGCGGGAAGCAATAATCCGGGGAAAGGATCGGTATTGCGAAATATGATTTGTCTAAAATCCACTACCGAGCTCAATACCATAATACTTCTAAGAAATACGATTTAAAGATGGATTCCAGGATGAATGACAATGAAATTTCCAGAAATAAGTTCAATTTGATTATAAATACTTATGATGTGGTGTTGCCCCTGAAAAGACGATTTTTGGCTCGCTGCTCAGCCTAGGGCATTAAAAAAATCGAGTTGTCTAGCCTGATATGTTGGTATGGGTCATGAAAACATGTTCCCAAAATTTTATCGCCAACTAATGCCCGGAAGGTGGAAATTAGCATACCGCAGCTATCGTCCACTGTGGCCGTTCCAAAAAAGCAAACTTTACAAAACCATCTGTGGAAGACGGAGACATCAGAAGTTACAATTTAAAATTGATACGATTACCTTTTCTGACCTTCGGTTGAAAAAAATCGACACATCTCCTTCAGGTCAAAACCGCACAGGATTTTTTTTGCAGATTCGGAGTCGGCTTAAAATTGTGGTCTAGGAACATGTAACTTGTAGTAAGTAAACCTGTGGGGCTCGGTCCGGCAGTATTAGGCTAATTTTATAAATACCCGAAATTTCGGGTATCGTGGATGCCCCAAGTTTCCTTTCCCCAGAAACCAAGTTCCCCGTCCAAAGGGTGGTAAATATACCACATCTAAATAATGATGATTAATCGTGTAATCTTGCAGGATGTGTTTATGTTACCCGACACAACAATTCTGAACACAAAAACCGTGGCCGAGATCCTTCGGATGGGATACACCAGAATCCCAGTCTACAATGGAGATCGGAACAACGTCGTGTCCTTATTGTTTGTAAAAGATCTCGCTCTTCTCGACCCCGATGACAATTTTACAGTGAAAACGGTTTGTGGATATCACGAACATGTTCTCCGATTTGTAATGGAAGACACTCCGTTAAGAGTTATGTTAGAAGAGTTCAAGAAGGGAGATTATCATCTGGCCATGGTTCAGAGAATCGTCGAATACGACAACCAGGACCCCATCTACGAACTTATTGGCATTGTGACTCTGGAGGATATTGTGGAAGAGATTCTCCAAGCAGAGATCGTTGACGAGACCGACGCCATCACAGACAATGTCCACAGAATCAGAAGGAGAAGAGCCATGGAACACGAGTTCACCCACTGCCTCGACAACGACGTATCGGCCTGCCATGTTTCAATGCAAATGCAATTAGTGACTATGCAATGGCTAGCCACCAACCATCCCGCCTTCCAAGAACAGTACATCGGATACAGTGTTCTGGAGAAGGTGATCCGCCAAAATGTTCACAAGGTATGTTATTCATCTAAGCGTAATCCATTCAATATTTACAGATTGAACTCAGCCATTTGGGAGATACTTCGGACCCTAAAATGGTGCTGCCTAGAAAGAGCAAACTCTATTCGAAGAAAGAACCATCGGATAAATTCATTTTGATCCTCGAGGGACGAGCCGTGGTAACCATTGGACAGGTAGGTGTGTTGTACAAAATCCAACGCGCTTTCTAGACTGATATGACCTTCGAAGCCGGTCCTTGGCACTGTTTTGGGAACGAATTACTAGACCGACTTCTCCAAGTGACCACCAATCTCAAAAGACCTCAAAGATCTCAAAGTCCAAGAAACTCGGAACCCACTTTAAATCCAGTTGGAACAAGTCCTTTCACTGATATCGACCTCAAAAAGGTCACCTTCATCCCGGATTATACGGCAGTTATCAAGGACGATTGCACGTATCTGGAGATCAGTGCCCAGACCTATCTTTTGGCTTTCAAGTCCACTTTGATCAATAGAAACAGAGCCGACGGTAATGACCCCAGGGATTCTATTACCGAATTGGACAAATCTCATGACTCGGGGACGATACCGGTGAATAAAATTACATCAGAGGGCCTAGTGGAGGAAGACGTCGCTTTGGTGAGGACTAATGGTTCGCTCAGACGAAAAGACGTGAGTTTTGTTGTATCATCGTACGTTGCATACCGTATGGGACAAGTCGTTTCTTGGTCCCTTTTAATTGACCAAAAATATTTGATCTGACTTTTAACGGGCTCAATGAAAAGATAGGCCGCCCTCTCCGCTCGAATACCTGAGTTTTTAGCGTTTTGAGTCGGAATGACCGATGCAATCTTATTTCTTCATTCCGTGTGTCGTTATGCTTCTTGTATCAAAAAATATCTCATTTTGCTTGCCAAGTTCCAGATATCTGAGATATTCAACAAAAAAACAAAAAATTGCTACTTAACATACAAACAAACGAAGTACCGTAATCTTTTGTCTTTCAGCTTGAACCTTCTCGGAAACGGGCCAACAGTGTGAGTAGTAATCGATTGGCGAATGCCGAGGAGACGATCCCTTTATTCGGCGATAAGGCCGACTTGGTCTGAGTTTCTGAACCCTCTTCTGAATCTCGTGCCATCCCTATCTCCTTGCTCTCCTAGGACTCATGGATCTCCATATTTATGTATATTTTCCATTCTCATTACCCCGAGTACTCCCAATTTATCTGTAGCCAGGTCATCCTTTAATTGACATGTTTAATATCTACGGTAGATTGCATTTATTAAGTTTTTGTTGCCTCAAACTGGTCATCAGGACATGTGTTGATTGCCTTCGTATAATGGATGAAAGACTTCTACTTCCAATAATTGTTGATTGCTCATACTACAGCCTTATTACTCCCACCTTTTACTTTTGTATTGCAATATGTTAGGAATATATTTTAATAAAGATAACTCGACCAACGAATCTAAAGGATACCTTCTTTCTCCTCCATAACTCAAAGGGATTTCGCGGAACGGTTCTTACATTGTAAGCCATGTCGAAATAGTAAAAAGTAGGGGAAAGTCTCCAATATGTCGCAAAAAGATGGAAGACGTGCTTTGAGCGATGAAATGAGGGATCTTTTAATTGACGAACCCTCAAAACTGGATCTAGACGATGGTGATGGTCAATAAAAAGGTGGAGAGAAACGCCGAATAAAAAAGAAATTCGCCAAACCTCTGAACTTATTATTCCTGGTGGACTATGAGGGTTCTTGTGGTAGGAGCTGGAGCTTCAGGCCTGCCCGCCTTGAAAACGGCTTTGGAGTATGGCTTCGAAGCCAAATGTTTCGAACGCTCAGATCAAATTGGAGGGCTCTGGAGATACAAAGAAAACCCACTAAACGGTAAGAATACAGTACTCCGATTCAATATTACCGTTCAGATGAGGGAACTGTGATGAAAAGTACCGTCATCAACACTTCCAAGGAGATGACAGCTTATAGCGACTTTCCTCCGCTCAACGATGCTCCAAATTATATGCACAACTCCGAGATGTACAAGTATCTACTCAGATATGCTGACCACTTCAATCTCAGACCCAAAATTTATTTCAAATATCAAGTATTAAATATCCAACGATCGAAGGGATTCTCGGAGAACGGACAATGGAAAGTCAAATACGAGATCATGGAGTAAGTTGGAGTACTGTAGCCAAAACAGCAGCCATTCCAGGACAGGTGAGATCCTTGAAGAAACCTTTGATGGAGTTATGATTTGCACTGGCCATCATTCCATCCCCTATTTCCCTCCTCCTTTTCCTGGTCAAGAGAACTTCAGAGGGGAAATTATACACAGTAAAAGTTACAGAACTTGTAAAAGATTTGAGGACAAAGTAGTTGTAATTGTTGGGATAGGAAATTCGGGAGGAGACATTGCTGTCGAGTTGAGTAAAGTGGCCAAGAAAGTAGGTTTTGATTGCAATTACAGTAATCTTTAGGTCTACTTGTCTACTCGTAGTGGATCATGGATTATGAACAGGGTATGGGATTACGGAGAGCCCTCAGATCTCGCTCTTCTTAACAGATTCACCTTCTGGGTCAAAGGATTATCTCCATTGTGGCTTCAGAATCTGTAAGTTGTTGTCCCTTTATAAGGCTGCTCTAGTGTAATGGAAAATAAGATTAATCGACGGTTTGATCATGGTCGATTCGGAGTGAAGCCAAGTCATCGATTTTTGGAAGCACATGTCACGGTAAACGATGAGTTGCCCAACCGATTAATCAGTGGGACTGTTGTTGTAGGTGATTCCAATCGTATTTATTTCATTTAGATCAAACCAAACATTTCCAAATTCACAGAACGTGGAATTATTTTTGATGATGACACGGTAATCGAAGAGGTGGATATTGTGGTTTTTGCCACCGGCTATTCGTTTAACACTGATTTGGTAGAAGGTGGGAGTCTTATCAAAGTGGAGAACAACCGCGTCCTCCTCTACAAGTTCATGTTTCCCCCTCAACTCGCTCCAAAGAATTCTTTGGCCATTATTGGACTAATTCAGCCCACTGGCAGCATTATGCCGATCTCTGAGATGCAATGCCGAGTGTTCTGTGCTCAGTTAGCTGGGGATGTGACCCTTCCATCACAATTTAAAATGACTCAGGATGCCTTAAAAACAAATGTCGACAACAGCAGAAGATTCATTGACAGACGACGGCACACTCTTCAAGTGTTTTACGTGAATTATATGGACAGTTTGGCCAACTTGATTAAAGTAAAGCCAAAGATCTTTAGGACAGTGCTGACTGATCCTGCGCTGGCCAAACATCTCATCTTCCATGGTCTAGTCCCTTATCAATACAGACTCCATGGAAAGTATTCGTGGTCGGAAGCAAGAAAGAATATAATCGAATTCGATAAACGAGTTTTTGAATGCACGCGGACCAGGATAACTAAGGAAACCGCCCAGGCCAAACCCAAGGGCCGATGGGATCTCTTCAGATTGGTCTTCTGAAGCCTTCGGTTTCTTTGTATCCACAATTTTTATTATTGTCTCGTTAAAATATTGTACATAAATGAGCAGGGTGACGCCTGGCACGTCGTGGAACAGCAAGTTATCGTATCTCAATCTCCGTTCTAATTGAGAAAAGCCTCCAAAAGTAAACGTTTTTATTATTACTACTTAATATTAGGTCATGGAATGTCTGTGGATCGAATGAACATTAAAAGGCGCTTAGAAATTGACTGCTTCTGCGTTATTTCGCCTTAAAATCATAAGGATTACTTCAAAGAAAAAAATTAAACCTACCATCTCAACATGAGAACAATTACCCCCAGGGCAAACGAGACGGCAGCTAGAATAGTTAAGACAAACGCAAAAAGCAGGGACTCCAAACAATTGGCCCGCCCATCCTTCCCAGGTTGCATTAACTCGACAGAGTTTTCTTTAGTTGCAGATGTTGGTGAAGCCGGCAAGATATCATCAGCCCCATTGGTCATTGTCAGACTCTGAAGAACACTCATGTTGTTGTCCACATGTCTCTTGAAGATATGGCGTTTCTTTACGCGGCCACAAGACGGTGGAGTTAGCCCTCGACATTCCCCTGAACTGATTTTACATAATTCAATGACACATTGGTAGTTGAGGACGGCTGTGTCACTAAACTTGTAGCCGAAAGTCTCAACACTAGCTCGTTTCCCGTTCAAGTCGTACACAACATCTGGCTGGATGATTGGATCGATCGCACAACCATCAATGTCAAGCTGAATTTAAATTAAATAACCATCTCTGCCATACCAAATCAAACCGAAGACCTCTTCCATCATCGACTGTGCAAGAGTGAACAAGAAAGTTGTGAATCGGAGAGTTACACGACCAAACGTGGAAAATTCTATCACCAACATGTCCAAGTCTATATAAGGCAGCATTACCGTTCGTCTTAGTAGGTACTTACGACATCGGAGGGCCATCGGGAGAACCAGATCTAATGGAATATTCACATTCTGGACTGGGAACTGTGTTCATGAGTTCAGTAGTCGGGACTGAATCAATATCGATGACATTAGAGAGCCTCTTAACGCTCTTGAAGAAACACATGCATCTGTAAGCTCGGTCGGCTTTGGTCACAAATGTCCCGTGGAATGAGACAACAATGGTCAGTGAAACCATCATGCCCTGGAGGATAAACCTTTTCTACTTCGGCCTTACCTCAATGGAGCCCGACACCCTTTGCCGCGACATCGTGCAGTCTCCGTTTTGTATCATAACGGATACCGTAGATTGGTCCGCATTCCTTGCAAAATTTCGTGAACATTTCTCATCTTCAGCCTGTCCTTGTACATACACCCTGCCAGTAAACGGCTTTTTGGTTTTGAATGTCAAGGAGACCATTCCTTCTTCACATTCGACCTCAGGTTCTCCCGTGAGCTCATTATCGATGGCAAAGTGGGCGAATGTCCCCAGAAATAAAAAATAGACTACGCCACAACTAAACCCCCTCATTCCAACCTCCAGGAATCACTAAGACGGAATCCGAATTACCTTCACCTCAACCCCGGATGATTCTTATCTACAAAACCGACTTCACACGAAAAACTAGGTCAAATTCCCAAAAAAAAACAATGGCGACCTCAGGCCACCCCCCTCCCCTTACGCATTCCTCGCGGAATCTCTCCGACAAATCAGCCATAATAACAAAAAGTTTTATCAACAACGCATATAACAATTTACGATTTGTGGATGAGTTCTCGCTGACGGGCCTTTTCGATCTTGTTAGCACGAGCTTGAGAGCGCTGAGACATGATACCGCCACCCCAGTTCTTGCGGAGTTCATCCCCTCGTTCATTGAAGTTGGCAGTCGCAACCTCGGTAACGTTCTTCAGCAGGGTTCTGTGCTCACTAAAAATACAAAAGATTAAAATGATTTACAGATTGTTTTGTCATAATCCCAAAAAACTTACGGAAGCACATCGGTAAGGGCGATGGCAGCGCAGTTCTTGCGGTGGACAACTTGACCAAGACGAGCCTTCCCCTTAACAATAACGTACGGGACATCAAAACGGCGGCACAAAGCGGGGAGGAACAAAACAATCTCCAGAGGATCAACATCATGAGCAATAACGACTAAGGAAGCCTTCTTGTTTTCGATGAGCTTAGTAACATTGTTGATGCCAAATCTGACTCCACCGGGTCTCTTGGTGACAGTCTCAGGCTTGCCAGCCTTTCTCTCCTCAGCTCGCTTTCGAAGTCGTTCCTTCTTCGCCTCATCGGTCTCTGGTCGGTACTTGTCCAAGAGTTCGAACACCTTACGAGCTAAAAATCGAAAAGATAGAATAACAATAGTAACCTACCGTTGTTCTTCTCAAGAGCCAAGCGGAACTGGTTGATCGGTGGGGGAATCTTCAGACGCTTTTGAAGAACGGCCTTCTGGCGTTGAAGACGGATGTATTTCGGCCACTTCACAAACCGGGTAAGATCGCGCTTGTGCTGGATATCCTGACCTAAGAATATAATAATAAAACCCGTATACATACAGAAGAATAATTACACAAAATTTGTCGAGTCTTGTAAGAACAAAGGAAACTACGCTTTCAATCCTCGCAAAGTGTAAAACTCGTATATTTTTTGGTGCAAGTCACCAGAAAAGCAAAAATATTCGATTCCAATGTGAATTACACCATAATCTAACAATTGACACTCAAGATCAGCTAAACATACCAATTCCAAAGCTTCGTGTGCGCTTTTCGAACAGTGAGGTCTTCTCCTCCTTCTTGGCATCAGTCTTTCTCAACTGTGCCGGTGGTGGGGCGACTTTTTTCGTCTTCCTGACGGTTTTCTTCACCTAGAAGCAACAAATTTGAATAAAATCAACTAACATCCATCACATACCATTTTTGTACGATGAGGATCACCTCTCAAATGAGCCAAAAGAATTTCTCTTTTACACCCTACGTTTTCCGTGCAAGTACCGTATTTTTTTACCGCGAATTTGAAATTGTTGTTGCGAAATGTCAGTATTGACTCCAAAAAACTCGTTGCAAAAAAATAAAATAAAGATATGGGAATGTTTTTGTCAAAGTTATCCTTCAGCTCCCAAAAAGTACTACGGTTACTGACGTCGGATCATTGCAGCTTATGTTTTCATTTTAAGGATGATCTAGATCGATATTTAAAGAAGAACAACTTAAATGTAAAGGTTGATTATGTGGATATAAGATCCGATAACACATTGTTTGAAGTAAGTTGTACAGGTGAATTGATGTTTGCCTTTAGAAATACAAGTACGAAGTCCCTGTTTTATTAATCAACGAGAGGTTTGTCCTTAAACATCGGTTTAATCGAGTTCAATTCGAAGAAGTTCTAAGACAACTGCAAGGCCAAACCGAAGAATAGGTATACAGGGGGTTCCGATAATTATCAACGTACAGTTAATTTATCTGAGGAAGTTCTCTATGTATGTTTTAAACTCGTTGTCTGAATAAATTACTATTTCAACATTTATTATATAAGATGTTTAGATTCAGTGCATTATGATTGCTGTCCATTGTGGTGTCGGGAATCATCTGGAAAATACTGACAAACTGTGTGCTCAATCTATCAAAGAGAGTGGTAATGAGTGTGTTAATGCAGTAATGGTAAATTCGTTAAGGTAAATTATTGTATTTTTAGTTCCTAGAGAAGGATCCTCGGACAAACTGCGGAATTGGATCAAGTTTGACGAAAAATGGAAATGTGGAATGTGAAGGGGCTTATATGAAGTCAGATGGTCTCCTTTTTGGAGCTGTTGGTGCATTATCCAACTGCTTCCATCCGAGTTTGTTATCAAAGAATCTTGTTTTATCATCCCATAATGGCAACCTAATATGGCCAATGGTAGTTGTGGGTAAAGGAGCGGATTCCCTGGCTGTTGAAATGAATGTTCCCACTTGCACTCAACAAGATTTGATTTGTAAAACTTCTGAATTGGCAGCTAAACGAGCCCGCTTACAACTGGAATCATTTGATACTGTTGGAAGTATAAGTATCTCGGTAAGTACCGTCTGCCTTGTAAGATTTTCCGCAGGAATCTGGAGAGTGTGAAGCGAGCATATCATCTGGAGGTGTCCTTATGAAAAAAGACGGGAGATTGGGACATTGTACTGCATTTGGATCTGGAATTTGGGCCGAGCACAGGGAGGAAGCAAAAATGTCTGTTGCAATTACACTTTCTGGATGTGGGGAATGTATAGTAAGAACAAGACTGGCAGAGAAGATAGCCGCAGGATTGTTCAACAAGTAGGGTAGCATCCCCGTTTGAATAAATTTTTTAGCCCCAATGACATCCCACTACAAGTAGTCGAATCATCAGTTCGGAAATATTTCGTTGACTCATCTGTACTCACACCTTATAGCTCATCGCAACGAAAAGTAGGCGGTCTCATTGGAGTCCAAATGGACGGAGCTTTCGAATTAATTGCTTTTCACAACACCAGGAATCTCCCTTTGGCTTATTCATCTGGCCACAAGATTAGAAGGCGAAATCTGATAGGATCAGATACGGAGTTTATTTATGAGGCTTTTCACGTCAATCCAAAATAGAAGAAAAAATTTCCCGCCCCTTTTTTGGTGATTCGTTCAAAATCCGATAAAACGCATTTTCTTATCTTTCTTCTTCCTTTTCGAGAAAAAAACAATTATTTCGGGCGAGAAAAAGTGCCGATAATTTCGCGACATTTCGTCTCTCTTTTAAACCAATGAAAACGGTACGAAGTTTCGAAACGGTTCAGGAAATGCGCTGGATTGACGTGCTTTTACAATAAATAATTGAGATACTTCTTAGTTTCCTGTAGGGATTTGAACCGAAAAGAGACTAGTTGGAGGTTACGCCATCAGTTATTCTAACGTTGTGTTCTGCGGGCAGATGGTAGAAGAGATGCCGAAGTCAATTCAAATAAACGTTGCCAAGAATCAGTTGTCAAGGCGGGTCTATTCAGAGATGGGGCCATGGGGGATTGGCGCTCCTTTCCTACTTATCCCTTCGACTGGCCGACAGTTGCCCTTTTTATGCCTTATTCGATAAAAAGGACGGCATTCTCTTTTTTTCGTCTATTGAGTGCGCCGGAAATCGGGGTGGATGTGTTGGTCAGAGGGGTGTTGTTATCACCAAGTAGCCGGAGTCCCCTTACTGCATTCTTCTGGAGAATGCCTCACTGGTGGCTATTTTGTTTGTTTTGTCCCGTAATCTCCACCACTAATCCTTATCTCAGCAATGATGAGGTGAGTTCGAAACTTACAGTAATGGTAAAAGTTAGTACGAAGATAAAATTACGTTGTAGGATTTGATAAAATCATACGAGAACAAGAAATGGGTTAAAAATTACGATGACATCCGACTTTTGGTTGCCAAATTCTGGGAACCATCATCCTCCGCCATCAACAAACATCACGATTACTATGAGACCACAAATTTTCTGAAGGTAACTATTTTTTTGTTATCGTACTTTAATTTTAGAACCTTTCTCTCCGCTTTCCTCATATCTGTACCTTGAATTCAATAGGCCGGAGTATTGAAGGACGAGAATTATGGGTCTTAACACTGGGGAAGATGCCCAAATATCATTTACCAGGCAGGCCAGAGTTCAAATATGTTGGAAATATGCATGGGAATGAAGTCTTGGGTAAAGAATTGTTACTACATTTGGCATCAGTATTACTCAACAACTACGGAAAGAACAAATACATGACGAAAATGATGGATTCCATTAGAATTCATATACTCCCTTCCATGAATCCAGATGGATATGCTAAAGCCCAAGAAGGAGATGAAACGGGAACAAGGGTAAGTGTCGAAAGTAATCATATAAAATAATTTCGTCAGGGAAGAGAGAATGCAAATGGAGTTGATCTCAACAGGAATTTCCCTTCTCAAGATGCTTATCGAGCTCATTATCACCGGAGTACGACCGAAATTCAGAAAGAGACCCAACTTATAATGCAATGGTCAAGAAGCATTCCTTTCGTTTTGTCAGCTAATCTACATTCAGGTAAATTTTGAGCTTCTAAAGATAACTTTTCAGGGACGGCCTTAGTAAATTATCCATTCGATGATGGGGTTGGGGAACGATCCAGGACCAAGGACAATGACCTCTTCGTCATGATTGCATATTCTTACGCAAGGGCTCATAAACGGATGTTCAAGAAGGTAATTCATATTTAAAATAGAGTAATATTATTAGGCGTAGAAGTATGATCGTGCCGTTTTCCGGCCCATAATTTCAATCAAAACAAAAAATTTTTACACTAAACCTTATCCAATTTTATATTCTATTATTAATTCCGAGGGGTTTGCACAATTTGGCCAACTTTCAAGTCCATCAAAGAAAATTTTTGGCTTTTTTGAAGCCATCTAAATATCAACCCAATTTTCGGCATCGTTGTATTCAACGAAGCGCTGCTGCCACAGATCGTGTTACATCGGTCGAAACCAGTGATAATCTGAAAGTGCTGCGTCCGGAGAGTGTCGCGGGTGGGGTAAAACGTCCGAACTCGGCGGTTCTGGGGTGGCCTTGACCAGTTTTTCAACATTGGGTTTGGCGTCATCATGCAGCAAAATAAAAATTGGTCATACCGACCGCTTTTACCATATCTCTTGGTGGAGTTGCATCAAGTCTTGTTGACAACGGATGCCAGTAACCGTTTTGTCGGGTTTCAAGACCTCATAGAAAAGAAGATCTTGTTTTTGTCATCATATACAGAGCAACACTTCCTTCCCGGTAATGTTGGACTGTGCGGTCGCTTGTGTTTCGGGTTGTCAAAATCGATCCATTGTTCTTCTCTGGTCACTAGACAATGCAAAAATGACTTCCTTTCTGTCTGTCCATCAAAATTTTGTATGTTATCCATGTTGAGTTAGGTCAATCCATATGACACCCAACTCCCTTCTCTCTAGATCCTTCCCAATTGTTCCAAACTGAGTGAAGCTCCTTTATGCAAGACGTGTAACATCACAGCTAGCTTTTCTTGCGCACCGGCATCGTGTTGTTTGCAATAATCTCCATATTCAAATTTCTTACATGGGTTGGAAAATCACGGGATTTGAAACGATGAACCCTTTTCCGACGGAATTTTTTTACAGAGCACAACCACAGTAAGCTTCTGTAAGCGTTCCATGCGTCGACGGCGCTTTTGCTCACATTACATGTATAGAGGAAAATTCCCCGCAAATGGCATTTTTCTGGGACGAAAGTTGGTCATCTTTGAAGCTTCATAAAACCCGCTATTCTAAACCTAACCACACGAAGCATATATCGATAGACAGCGTTTTCAACGTTCTTTCAGGCGATATCAACAAGTTTTTACCAAAACTTTAACTCCACCTGTAAAAAAGGCGCAACTAAAAAAACGGCACGGTCATACTTCTACGCCTAATATTATAATAATATTATTACATATTATGCGATGAATTAAAATGATCACAATATTTTTAGGGTGCCCGATGTCTAATAGAACATCTGAATGACCCCCTGGACCCTGATTTGGGTATAGTTAATGGGGCCAGCTGGTATGAAGTAACCGGCGGAATGCAGGACTGGAATTATGTGTTCGGGCACTGTTTTGAAGTAACGGTCGAAATGAATTGTGTCAAATTTCCGAAGGCGAAAGAGTTGTACGGATTCTGGGAAGATCACAAGTTCGCCCTGATACATTACATTTCCCTTACACATCAAGGTATCCATGGCTTTATTTTCGATGAACAGACCGGAAGAGGGGTACTCAATGTCACCATATCCGTCGGAAACGGGCCTCTAGTCGTCTACTCCTACAAGTATGGGGACTATTGGAGAATACTGCTGCCTGGGACCTATAATGTAACTGCTTTTGTTATTTTTATACTTCTTTTCCGGTTCGAAAAATATAACAAAACATATTCAGGTGACGTTTGCCTGCGACAACTATTATCCACAACAACATACGGTAATAATCCCCGAACAAGGCCGAACTCTTTCGTTTAATATCACCATGAGACCTCACTCTTATCAAGTAGAGCATCGCAAAATGCATAAAGCCTCGAACGTTGCCAACATTATTGGTTTATCTTCCTCACTGATCATCGCCTCAGGGCTTACACAAGGTGTTTTGAAACGGGTATTCTAGAGGGTTTGCTCAGAATAAAGTTTTATGAGTTAATCCCAGCCCATCAAACAGTCTTTGACTTGCCGTTACCGCGAGTAAATCCTCGCAGGAACAACATTGAGAAGGGTTATTACAATTAAGCATTTATATGTTGGCGATGCGGCAATTAAGCGCGTCTGAATGCGTGACTGACGCCTTCGTTCACAATGAAGAAGATGGAGATGAGGGGGCGCGGAGAAGAAGAGCCGTCCCCCACCTTATTCTTTCCGCCTGTACTGCCACCGGTTTCCAAAAAAAAAGATCTCTAGCCGCGCCTCTACTACAAGTGCTCGGAAATTGGTGGATTCATATTTCCCTTGCGATCCGAATCCTTATTTTCTTCTCCATTTCTCGTCACTGCAGGAATCTCCTTGTCCTCATGATAATATTATGCCGGTCAGTCGTAACGAATTGGTCAAGCAGTTGCTAAACCAGCAGATTCTCGGCGAATCTTTGGTCGATTCCGAGGTCTCGAGACGAAAAGTGTGGAATGATCTGTCCAGTTTTGTGGAAGTAGGTGTTTACTTTGTTATGTGTAAACATATCTGGAATTAAAAGATTCAACAAAGATTTAGGAAAATCTGAATGAAGTTCATCACAAGCTGGACAAGGTTGAGGCCGAGATCTGGGGGAAATTGATCGTAATGGAAAAAAATATCCGCGTGGCCAAGGCCTATCTCAGGGCATCAACGATTACTGTGGATGGTAGCAAAAGCTATTTTGACGGATCCCGGTGGGCTAGCTGTTACGCCTTCTAAATTTTTTTAGATTAGGACTTTCTTATTTCTCGAATAGCCGCAGAGAACCAGAAACTGAAACAGAATTAAGAACTTTGGGGAAAGTAAGTCGAGACGTGCCCTTTGATTTCATATCCAGGGCGTCACGGTTCAATTGGACAGGATGGGGAATGTTTGGATGAAGAATCAGACGGCCAGGACTGTTTGTGTCCAATGTGCCCAGTATCCCGAGCCAATTTATCTGGATGATAGTTACAAAAAAGTAAGGATACCCCATCAAACCGCAGCACAACTTTTAGATTATGGATATGCGGTTCTTTCGGGATTCAATTCTCCACAAACTCGAGTTAAACTCATCACTGGATGCTCCGAAATTGTTTAAAAAAGTCATCATATTTGTAAAGGTGAGCAATAGATGACAGTATCATATTATTAATTGATTACATGTAGTTGAGTGATCCATCGCCTGACTTGAATCCACTTGATTGTTCCTTGTGGTTTGCCTTGATCCATCTGGTCAGTGTAGACCTTATCCATCTGATTCTATCTGGCCAAACTCCCATTCCCTCCGCCGAATTGTCACCTCAATCTTCTGCAAGTTCAAATTGTTCCGAGATGGACAGAAGATTACATAGAGATCGGGAATCTAATGAAGATTCGTCTGCTAGCACGTCTTCGTACAATCCAGATTCGTACAGACAAAACGGAAGTCGGTAAGGGAACATTTTAATTCCAAATTATTTTTTTGCAGAACAAGTACTGGAGTGGCAAGAAAGATTTTTAATCAGCAACAACAACAGAATCCAAGACGCTACAATACGAACAAATCTACCATCCAGAGAAGATCTGCCAGTCGGGAACGAACGATTCAGCGTAAACCTCCTCTTAATGAGTATTCGATACCCTTTTCGAATACTTTGGAACAAATGAAAACGGAACGGGGAAGGGTAAGATCGATTTCGAGGCAATGGTCTGCAATTGGCAGACCGTAATGAGCTGTCAAGATTTTTTTGAAACATTGGGGCTAAGGTAGTACATCATTATGGGCATTCCCGTACGTTCAGTCGCCCATAACTTCGACAACTCAGCAACCCAAAAAAGAGGAATTTATGTAAGAACCTCCTAGATATAAAGACAACGCGTGGTTGTAAAATTGCCAGTGTAAAAAAATAAAAAAGAAAAAAATGTAATCTCGAAAAATTGTAAATTCCGGTTTGCTTTATAAGATGTCACGAAGGCTACTGTAAGCGTAAAAATGGATACGATTTTTTTCAAGATTACATTTTTAAAGAAGTTGCACTTTCATTTACATTTTTACACTTAGAGCGTGTTTGGTTGCATCCCTAACATATCAAGGTTTACATTTTTCCAAAATTAATTCTTTTAAAGCAACTTACCATTACACTTACTTTGTATATTTTTGCGAGCACGTTTGTTATGAAGATGGCTTCATCACTATAATATAGCTCGGGACTTCTAAATCTCTCCGCAAGAGTCCAACCCTGCAAATTTAGTACAAAGTTAAAAGTTGCGCAATCTGACATACCATTGCGCAATTTCTCTCTTTGTAAGAATTTCTGCCTTTCTCTGTCGCCTCCTCCTTTTTTGACAACTTTTAGCTTTGGACTAAATTTGCAGGGTTCGGATGGACTCTTGCGGAGAGATTTAGAAGTCTCGAGCCATATTATAATAACATTTTGTAAGATTTTGCTTTAGTATTTTGTAAAGTTTTTGTTTTTTTCAATAATTTATTTATTGAACGAACCGATTGATTGGAATTAAGAGAGATGTCTAATGACGAATTTCTGCCATTATGATTTGCAATCCTTATTCTTATCCAATTCTTCCGGTCTTTCTGATCTTGTTGACCCTTTCGTGTTCACAAAGTTCCTGATGGGATTTATTTTCAGGAGAAACATTCAAGCCAATCCAAATTGACGTCAAGTGGATGGAGTCTTTTGAATCTGACAGACATCGACAAAATGCAGAAACCTTTTTATTTTGCATCGGCAGAAGAAGCGGAAAGAGGAAGGAGAACGAAAAGAGGGGGCTCTGGGCATCGATTCAGCAGTCAATGTAATATGAAGACCATCTCCAAGGAAGAGGACAGTCCTTATCTCGTTCCCAACAGCCTCAAAAGTCTCGGAAGATATAGCAGTCGGTGGAAGAGTGAGACCAACATGAACAGCGACTAGATCGAGTCGTTAACATCATGCCCGAAAGAAGTGATCTCAGCAACAAGGTTTATCAATGTCACAATTGTTATTTATTTTTACTGTTACAAAGTGAAAAATATAATCGGCAGAAATAAAAAGAAATAGAATCTAACCGAATTAAGTGAGGCGAAAATCGGATACAGGTAATACCAAAGAAGATCATTCCTTCTTCATTCTGGTGGTAGTCATACGGTAGATGATGGAGTCACGACCGGGATCCATGGTCAAAAGCCCAACGACGATGAAGATGATTCCGATGGTCAAGATAATACTTATTCCGGCCACGATGGCAAACGCCGCCGGGTAATCAGGGGTCACGAACTAAACTCCTTTTTTGATTATGGATCGTGGTGACATAACACTTATTCAAAAACACTTACTGAGTAGACTCCAAATTGATTCCGCTTTTGGACTACTGGGTTGGCAGTTTCATCGCAATGCACTAAAAACTTGTCATACTGCATTCAAAAATTACCTAGAGAAACGAGACTCGCAGCAGCCAAGAGGGAACCAACCACTTTCTTGTACATCTTGGAAGTCTAACAATAGAAACGTAATAACTTCGTAAAAAAATATCGTTCAGCGTAAAAACTGATAGTATAAGTAGCAAGTTGCAAACATAACAACTTTATTTGAGAAAACGATTCCTAAAGAGATCAATCACCACATTCCTCTCTGGACACCCGAGAGCTGGGAATGGTCGGCCAGACGTCTGAAGATGTGTCGATTTACTCTGAACGGCTTGATCTTTCCTCTTCTGCGTCCTGTAAATTGACACATATTCAAGATAAGAGAAGGGTGGGAGTATCTGGGGACCCCATTCGTCAACCGCTCTGCACATTCATCCCTTAACGCCTGAGGCAAGATGGAGTTGTACTTGAGGGCCTTCAGCCTCATTCTTTCTGGACCATATTCAGCGAGTGTTTCTCTTCTGATCACGTCCTTCTTCTGTCTCCATTCGGCCCAGAATGTCATCCGTTTTCCATGTTTCCACCATTCTCGTTCCACATAAAAAGGATATTCGTCCAATCTAAAAACAACACGTAAAGCATGAACACCATTACTTACTTCAGAGATTTCAAGGAGTACTGGCTGTATGGCAATCTCAGCTTCTTTGTTCCCTCCTCTCCCGTCTCTTCCTGTTCTGTCGCTGCCAAAGGATCAGTCTCAGCTTCAGTTTGTAACTCTTTAATCGGGCTCTCGGGAGTTGTCGTAACTGTTCTGATCTGCGATGAAATAATACTGCTCAAAGCAGACCCCAACCGTCGAATTGGAATCATCTAAACTCATTATAAATAACAACCCACTTCCGAAGATATCAAAACGAAAAAAGCGTAGATGTAATCATACCAAGTGTAGCCGTTATTATATATTTACCCTTATAAAAACTGTAAATATACCCGTATACAATAAGTAAAGGCAATAAATAATTAAGTTATAATAATTTAAGTAGAAAAGGTGTATGCAAAAGATTAAGCTCGTTATGATAGATAAGAAATATGACGGGGATTGGCTAGGACCTTGATAGATCCATTTAAATCAGCTGTCACTATCACATCACCCATTGAATCAAGATTCTTGGCCTTAGCTTCCGATGTATTGGATTTATTTCCCCTGAGTTCGTTCAAAACTCGCGATGCCTGAGCTGAAGCTGACGCCAAAAAGGATGAAGGGATCGAGATCTCCGACGATTTGTTCGATTGAGATGCCGAACTCGAACTAAACTCACAATTATATTAAAAATATCAATTTACCTCTTTGTGTTTGAGCCGGCTGACGTCTTCACGGGACTTAAAATACCCTTACTATCGCTATCGCCCAGTAATTGAAATATTAAACCAGGCTTTGGAGCGAAAACAGCAGCCGTAACTACGGAATTGTGAATTCTAATCCTCTCCCACAAATTGTTATGTACAGAGTAAGAGGCTGAGACATCCGCCACCCTCCAAATGTACGCGAAACAATCTTCCGAACCTAAACAACATAAAAAAGCACTCGCTACCCACCACATATAACATGCTTCCCATCAGGAGAAAAGGTTCCACGAATCTGACTTCTCTCAATCTGAGCACCTTTAAACTTGGAAATAAGCTCTATGTTGTCAATGCTATACATTCTGATTCGGGAATCGTTCGAGGTTACAAGAAGATGATTTCCATGAACAGCGAGAGACGTGATCTTGTGCCCTCGCGCGTTTTTTCCTCTTGAAGACCGAACATTTATCACCGTATGATATTTTAGCTGCTGAAATACATTTTATTTGTATACTATGTTAAGCATACGTCAGTCGTGTAGAAGAAGCATCTCCCATCATATGTCCCCACAACTACAAATCGGCTCCTTATAAAAGTTATAGCAGTTATAAATTTGACTTGATCCACTTCATTCCACAGAGCAACTTTTTTCTCAGGAACATGCCACAATCTTATTTTACCATCCATGGATCCAGAAATGAAATATCGATCATCCTAAAAGTTGCCAAAAATTTAGATTTGGCTATACCTTCGGCATAAACGCAATGCAAGTCACAAAGTCGGTATGTTGAAAACAGCAGAGACATTCTGATCTAGTCAAATGCCATAATTTTACAGTATTATCCATGCTTGACGAGAGCAGAAAGTAATTTCTGGGAGACCATGCCAAATCCAGGATATCAGCCGTATGTCCGCGATAAGTACAAAAAGGTTTGGGGGCAAAGACAGGAGTTCCTGAGGACTGAGAGTTGGCCTGGGTGGACACGGATTTGGCCGAGGCCGCCGAATCCAACGGAGATTTCCTGGAGCTGAGAGAGCTGTCATCGTCATCCAGTTGAGAGAAATTCTTCTGAAAAGGGAAATATTTAAATAAAAATCATATTTTTGCGTTCGCTCCCGATTTCCGGTTTTAAAAACCAAAACCAAAGACCGACCCGCGCTCTTCGAAAAAATATTCACTTTTATTTTATTTTTTTAACTCTGCTCACCTTTTCCATTTGCAGGTGGATCTTCTCGAAGTCACTGTCTATATTCCCTTGGTTGTATTTCTCCCTCATCCGGGTAAAATACGATAAGTGTTTGCTCAAAACCCAGATACGAACCATATTATCCCTTCCGGCAGTGGCCAACAACCTCCCACACATACTGTAAAACACATCGATCAACATTTAACGTATGACTTGCCTAAATTTCAACGACCAAACAGCTCCTGTGTGTTCGTTATTAAGTTCTTGGACAACTCGGAGTTGAGAAAAGTCAAAAGGTCCTTTTTTCAAATTCCTTGGCCTACAAATCACGGGAGGTCCATCAGTTCTATTTCCCAATTTTACATTGTTTTCACTTGTACTCATAGAGACAGAAGAACTGGCGGCATCGCTTTCCGAGGCCTCGTCTTCTTCTCTTTCCACAACTGTACATCTTGGACTAGAAAATGAAAAATTTTAATGAAAGGAAGACTACTTACCGAGGAGTCACCATGTTTCGCACTTTCTGATAGGCCCCGCGGATCATTACCTGGGCAGTGTTGCCATAAGACTTCACAAGACTTTTGGCGTATCCAACCCCCGAATGAATCGACACCAAACTCTCTTCTTTTGAGCCTTCCCCACTACTGAAACGTCTTACCTTAATTAAAAAGAAAATCTTACCCTGAGGAAGACATCGTTGAATGATGGTCTTTCATCGACATTCTCCTTTCCACATCCCTAGTTATGGGATCAATCGAAGCCATGTGTGTTAACTCCCTCTTCTCATCCCGATGTAACTCTGACACAGATCTGCACTCTTTGAACGTGTTCCCTGCAACGGGCCTTGAAGTATCAACTATGCATGATGAATATCTTTTATGACTATTGGACGCTTGAAGACGACTGTCATTGGATTCAAATGTATCGTTGAGAGCCTTTGAAGAATTGGGACTGAGAGATGACGCCAAGGACTTCTCTTCCACGACCGAAAAAGAATTGTTTTTACTTCTTTCATAAAGACCTGATGTAGAAGGCTCTGGAATTGTTTCCAGTATCTCTTTATATGAGTGGTGGACAGATCCATTCGACTAAACAAAAATAAACCTTAATAATTTATTACACCTACAGTGTTGTTGTTATTATTGCCCGTAATCGAATCCTTAGATGAAGACAGCACAGACAATGTTAGCTGATGGATTACTCCTTGGGCATTGTTTATCCGTTGTTCTTCTTCGCAAATGCCATTTACAATTTTACCCGAGACTCCTCGATTCAAAGAAGTGGATTTAATCGATACTGGAATAGTTATTTTATCTCCAACACTCATTCCCCTGTCCAGAGATTTGCTTTTGGAATGTCCACGCTGTAAATTATCTGCGACTCTGAAAAATATTATTACGTGAATATAATTGAAATATTACATAGAAGTCGGATCTGATGAGGTTAATGGGACCGAATCCATTTTGAGAGGAGAAGGTCGGGGAGGTACAGGAGGTGGAAGGGGTCTGTTCTGATGACTGTTGAAAGGAACACTTGGTGGTGGCGGAGGTGGATGAGACGGAGGAGGTACGGATTGATATTGTTCAATTATCTGGGGTGCCCGTGTACTAATAGAATCTATAGGTTCCACGGACACTGGAGATGTAGCAGAGGTTTCGTTTAACAACTTCCGACCCCATGAAGCAATTGAAGTGCAATCCGACTGAGAAATGTCATCGAAAGAAGTCTGGCTGCCACCAAAATTTGACGAAGCCAAACCAAACTCAGATCTCATCCTAGTTCTAAGATTTGCCAGCCGATTTCGTCGATTTACACTATTTACTGGCTCCACCTAAACACCATAAAAAACGAAGCGTATTGCTTACATTGAAGGAAGAATTGCCAGGGAAAACATCCAGACTCTCCACTGCATCTTCAAATTCAGCATCGCTCTCTGAGCATCTCATAATCACATTTCTATAATAAAAATAAACAAACATTCAACACGAGCAAAAATAATCAAAGCGATCAAACGCATATAAGGACGGAAAGTATTCATAAAAACGTGTTTACTTTGTCTAAAGCCTATGATTCCTATTACAATCTGAAGTTGTCAATGACGGCATATGTAAAATCTTTCGTAGTTGCGTATCCTCCAAGATCTCTGGTTCTCACTCTTCCGTCTTTAATGGTCTTCTCTACAGCTTGCGTTAACGCCCTGCCATACTCATCAAGATGAAGATGCTTTAAAAGGTTTGCGCAACAGAGGATCATGGCAGTTGGATTGGCGATTTGTCTAGAATAAAAGAAAACGAAGTAATTGCTTACCTTCCAGAAGCTCCTTTAAATGAATGTCTTGATCCGGGTTCGAAGATGACATAATCAGATCCAATTGACTGACCGGGAACAACTCCAGCACCGCCAACTAAACCAGCAGCTAGGTTGTCAATGATGTTTCCGTATAACTAAAAAAGCTTGAAACACAATAACGAAAGCTTACGTTTGGCATTACCATCACATCAAATTGTTCAGGGCGAGCCACCAGTTGCATGCAACAATTGTCAATGATCATATTTTCAAACTCAATTTTTGGATACAATTTGGACATCTAAAACAAAAAGAGACAAACGCATACTCAAAAAAAGAAACAAACAAACCTCCTTGCAGATATTCAGAAAGAGTCCATCTCCCAATTTCATGATATTGGCCTTGTGGACGGCAGTAACCTTCTTTCTGTTGTTTTTAGTCGCATAATCAAACGCAAATTTGGCAATTCTTTCACATTTTGGACGAGTCATTATCTTCAGACATTCAATTACGCCAGGAACACTTTCATGTTCCAAACTGGAATATTCTCCTTCTGTTTGTTCTCGAACAATGACAAAGTCCAATTTCTTCTCATGTCTGGTTTTGATGCCTTCCAAACTCTAAAAAACAAAAAAAATCCTTTCTAAATATAGAAAAAGAATAATTACCTTGATATGAACCACGTTCGCAAACAGATCCAATCGCCGTCTAAGCTGAGTATTGATTCCACCATTTTCGTCATAATCATTTCGAACACTCTCTTGGATTACACCCTTCAGGGCAACGTGATTATTCAACGAAATTGACTTGACAACGTCATCGATGGACGCAGATCTGGTATAATGGACCTCGCTGAGGAAGACTTCATCAAACTCAAGTGGGATTCCAGTATTTTTGATCACGTCTTGGACAGCGTAAACCAATTCTGGACCAACTCCATCGCCGGGAATCAAAGTACACTTGAGTTTTTCGGCCAGCTCTGGCACACCATTTGCCTAATGTCAGAAATAAAGTATTTTAGAGAGAGTTATAGATATTAGATACCAAATTACAAAAACAAAACAAAACTAATAAAAAGCAAACTTACAGTAGTGGCCACACTTCTTGTAATTGGAACGGCCTTAGAAAAAGACTGAACGAAGCTACGGGCTAGCATTACGTCCGACCAAAAACAACTGGCTGCCTGAAAAAAAGACAACAAAAAAATTGTTCGATTTTCCGTCTGACACTTCGCAAATGGTACGGAATGTCACTATTGAATTTTTTCTTATCAGGAAATAAAAAAATTTTTCGAGTGTTGCTACATTGAACCATGAATCAATGGGCATTTGTTGTTAATCTTGGATATTCTGTATTTTACATTTACACTTTGTGGTTTGATTATCAGCTTAATCTGGTCCATCCATTTCTACCTATTCCGGGTGTTTACCTCTCCAAATTGGTATGGCTGACAATGGTTACATTTGTAAGCGTTTTTAGTTGTTATAACCGTAGTTTCAGTTTTCACTCACTGTATATCATTCTGTTGGGGCAGTTTTGGCATTATCGACACCCAAGAAAAATAGTAAATTCATGAGATATTTTGATTTTGTGGCCACCAGTCTTCTGTTCCCTTTGGCTACGGTAAGAGAGCTTTTAGAAGAGCTGATACATTATTGTAGTCGGTGGTTGTCTTGTTCTGGAGCTTATTTTTGTACGATCAGAACACTTTAATTGATGAGAAGGCTGAGTTCCTCTTAGAACATGAATGGTTTAATCATGCATTGGTAAGGAAATTACGGTATTCAGAATCAGTATTTGCCAGATTGAAAAAACTATTTGATGGAATTTCAGCACACTACCCCTTTGATCGGCATGACTTTAGACGCCATTGCATGGAGACATCCCCGTCCCCACAAAAAGAGCGCGTTGAAGGCCATTTTCATTTTTACCGTGGTTTATTTGATCGAGTGAGTCAGAATTAGAGAAGGCGAAATTTGCAGTATTCATTTGGTGTGGTTCGTGTCCGGATTTTGGGCTTACCCGATCCTGGGGCAGTTGAATAATCTGGAAAGATTAGCCTTCATCTTGGTCTGCTGTACTGTCATCTTTGCCGCGTTTCTGATTTCCGATGCATTCAACGCGATGTTGCAACCAAAGAAAAAGAAAAACTAGCTTTGTTAATTTTAGGTGATAAATGACAGTTAGCCTTTTGTTCTCGGCGTTTTGCTGTATCACTTACTTGGGAGCTATTTATTATGATATTTATTACATGCCAAGACTTGGAACCGAATGGTGGATTGCTAAGTTGGTCATGTTGACCAATATAGACTTGGTAACTTGATGAATAGTGTGACAGAATTATTTTTATAGGTGATTCAAGCGTACTATTCGTTTTTACTATTGCTCTCCCATTGTGGAAATCCCAAGTTAAAACGGTTCAAAGATTTTACATTCTTCACAACCGCTTTCCCGTGTGGAATGGCAACTTGTCTCTTGTTCTGGATATTGTATTTATTTGATCCGGAATCAATTATGCCAAAATGGATCCGAGATCTAATTCCTTTCTGGATGAATCATGTAAGTGAATGGCGAAAGTCATAGATAATGATAAATACCATAGATTTATTTTAAACTTCATTTCAGGTCACCCACACCTTTCCATTAATAGCACTTACAGTAGATCTCTTTTTTGCCAAACATGTTGCTGTTAACTTTAGCAGGGGAAGTTTGATGGTTCTCCTTTTATTCTGGGTCTATTTCTTGCTGTAAGTTAATTTTGGACATCAAGGAGACCTGGATTTTAGAGTCGTCTACATACGCTTCAGTTGGGGATACTGGCTCTACCCGATATTTGACATGATAGGTCCCTTGCCAAGTATAATCTTTATTCTGGCAGCTGGATTTATTTTCTGGGGTTTGTTTTATATTGGTTACAAAGCCCATTACTTGACAAAGAACTCATGGAATCATTTGAAACTGCAGTAAATTGATGAAAAACGTAGACTTTTTATTTTAAACGTGAGTGGATCCAGTCGGCAATCTATTTTTTATTCGCTTCATTGATGATAGTCTGCACCTTGGAGATGGGCATGTTCTTATGCTCCTCTGAGGTTGGTAAACCGGCAATGTCGCTGATGCCAGTGCCTTCTTTGGGTGGGGCTGTGTTAACTCCTACTGGATCCGAGGCAAAGAATTCGTCGGAGTTCTCATATTCGGGAGGACACGATCTTTTGGCCAACTGTAAGATGTTATAAAGTAGTAGTTGTGCTTACAAGTTCCCTTCCGAGGGTCTTTTTCTTTTCGTCAGCCGCTTCCCAATCATATGGAGTGGCGTAAGAGACCTTAAGACGAGCGCATAACTTCTTGAAGCAATCTGCGATCATTGAATAATCAGGACGATTATAGCAATCCAGTTTGGTCAGATGAGGAATAATGGGATGAAGTTCCGCTGGAAAAAATGACACCAAGTTGAATGCAAGCCTTACGGGGAAGTTTGCTGTTGAGGAGTTCAGTCTTTCCAAGTTTTTCCTTCTCGAGAACGTCCTTATCCTTGGTGGTTTGCCATGGCAGACCACAATGTAATTCGACGACCACGTACATAAATGAATATAAATCGTCGTGTCGGCCTTGTTCTTGTTTGTAGTGCACATTGGGGGAGCAGTATCTCATGGTTCCACGGAATTCAACATTGCTTCTGGCTCGGCGGGCAACGAACACCTTGCCTCTAAGGAGAGCGTAACTTCTAAAAGTTTTGATTAATGCCACAGAGAGACAAGCCAAGATCCAGCTGGATTACCTGGCAAGTCCAAAGTCAAGAATGTGAACCAGTCTGGCGCGATTGATGTCATCATTTCTGCCCATCATAAAGTTTGCCGGTTTGATGTCACGATGAATAAAGCCGACATCATGAACGAGTTTGATGCTGTACAGACATTGCAGTGCGATCCTAGACCATGTCTCCATGCTAAGGGTCTCGTTTCCTTTCTTCCAGGTCTTCAGAGTCCGCAGATTCTCCCCAAGTAATGTTACAATCATATAACAAAACTTCTTGCGTTTGGCACCATGAAAAAGAAAAGGAACGTGGGGAGATTCCTTCCCATCCTTGTTCAACATTCCAAGAACAGACATCTGAATTATGGCAAAGTTTACTAATGTAATCTTAACTGACTTCCAATTTGATGGCGGATCCTCCCTCGACTTCATTTGATTCTGCCTTAAGGGCAGCTACTTTTTTGACGCCGTCTTTATCCTCTTTGGTGACTTTGAAAACTTGGCCAAAGCCTCCTTCGTCCAGTTTCTGTTCGACTTTCCAGCCTGAATACTTCTTCTGGGGATCGATGAGTTGCTTCTTGGCATCGTCACCCATCTCAAACAGTCTTCGTCTCGACTTTTACGCTTTTGGTTGGCTCTTGGCACTCGAGATGACCAACTGAATTGGAATTGGGGAGTTCCAATGACTTTAAAACATTTATAAACTTAAATTTGCATAAAATTAATCGAGGTTTTCAAACCCCAACTTTATTTTAGCATCTTGAGATGTTTCGGGCGCTTGTCACTTCCCTTTTTACTGTATGTTCGTTCAGAGCTTACAAGTAGTAAGTTTTGTTTGGGAATTAATTACTTTAGTTACACTCTGAATGAAGAGATTGCGGGAGTGAGAATATACGATGGCTCGTATATAAAAGTCCATCCAAAAGAACCATTCATTCTTACCGTATTCGGAAGAAATCTTTCAAACGGGGTTATCAAAGCAGCCTGGTTAACATCTGCCGATCGATGTGGCGTAAGTGAAGAGAAAATTGACTTAAGAGCACAACAAAAATCGGTGTCGTTGCAGCCGACTCACTGTAATTTTTAGGATTCAGATACGTTGAGGAAATCGAAGACCCAACTGAAGATCCTTCCAGGATCATCGACTGATAATATGCTTCGCCTGAGTACATCTACTGGTCTCGAACTCAATTCGGAGGAGGTTTATTCTCTGTGCACTGACCCTGACTTCACTTTTGGAAATACTTCACATACAGTAAGTAGCCGTTTTGGTAATTATGTTGAGGACATGCAAATGAAAGTGACTGATTTCAACGGGACTTCTCATTTACCATGGTATCTCATGTTTCCAACATATGTATTCTTCATGGGACTCAATGCTCTGTTTTCTGGGATGAATATGGCCTTCTTTTGTATCCCTCATAATGACATAATTCTCTTACAACGTTACAATGATGCAGAACAAAATAAACAAGCGGATGCCATACTTAAAATACGTAAGAATTCTAATTGGCTGGTCTGCACCTTGGTTTTGGGGAACACAATTGTGAATACAATCAGTACCTTATTGGTCGAAGATGCTTCTAGCGTTGTGAGTTCATTAATTACCATTTCTAACAGGTTCTTTTACTGCAGTTAGATCAAGAGACGAAGATGATAGTTGTAAACACGGTGCCGGTTATTCTAAACATGTTCTTTGGAGAGATCATTCCTCAGGCGTTTGTTAAAAACAGAGGACTTAAGATAGCTAGAAGAACTTTGTGGATTGCCAAATTCTTTATGTACTTCTTTGGAGCGGTTACGTATCCAATGTCTTTACTTTTGGATTATCTAATCGGAAGCCAAGGCGTAGAAGTTATGGATGCCAAGCAGTTCGAAGGCATGATCAAACTGCAGATGACCAACAATCTTCCGAAGGGTATGAATTTCGTTTGGGAGTTTACTTGCAGACATTCTGGAAAGGGCATTTCGATTCAAGGATGTTACTGTGGGTAGTGTGATGACTTCAATGAATGACGCGTTCCTCCTATCTTCCGAAGATATCTTAGATTTAAATGTATGTTTGGATGCCTTAAAGTCACATTTTTAGTGCCTTGTATCTGTCATGCAAATGGGATATACTCGGATTCCGGTTTACTTGGGATCTAACAGAGGGCTGATCTTTGCCTTGATGAATATTAAGGAGTTAATTTTTTTAGACCCAAACGAAAAAACGAAGGTCATAGAGACGTCCTCATACTTGATTATGGTAAGTCTGTCACATTCTTACAATATATTTTAGGCGCAATACGTGTTTGTCGAAATGCCTGCAAGTAAGTTGATGGCCGAGATGATCTCCGGTCATGTTCATCTTTGCATTGTCGTTAAATACCAATTTGGATGTCATATAGTTGTTGGATTGATCACATTGGAGGATATAATCGAAGAATTAATTGGGGAAATCTATGTAGGTGAAAAATGTGAATACGTAAGGCACTTAGGATGACACTGACATCTCGGCCAAGAGGTTAAAACCAGGAACCCATGATGACAAGGCCACCCTAAGATGGTTGAAAGATCAGTCCAAAGAAATAAGGATCAGCCCTATCGACCAGATGCGAGTAATGCAAGAACTTTGCACCAGAAGCAGCGCATTTACAATGCTTAATCTGACTGTTAAAGAAATGATAAAACTGGTCAGTCTCTGTCCAGTTAGCAAGGCTAAGGAAGACGAAGTTGTCTTCAGAAAGGGAAAGATAGTAAAGTAAGTTCCACAAGGACATATTCTATCACGACTATTACTTATTTTAGTATTGTTTATGTCGTCATAAGAGGCACGGTCCTCAAAGACGATAAGCTCATCCCAGTGGAATTTGCCTTTCATGGCCTGTGTCTTCTCAGAAAAATGACTAGGATATTCTCAAAGGAAGGCTTTGACGCTGATGTTAGCAACATCAGTTATATCAGTCAGAAGGATTTGACTATTGGAGATGGAACTCTTTATTTGATGGTAAGTTAGTGTCCTCGAGGTTTGATTTTAGATTGAATTGAATACCATTTCTTCGTTGTTACAAGCAATTCACAACGAGCATTTGCATAAGTGCGTGTCTTCGAAGTATGATTATTATGTTAATGATCTTCTTCACTCGAGCCAAGCTTCAAAACCTGCGAAGAAGAGAAAACAAAGGGTTCAAGACACTAGTAGAGCTCAGCGACTGGTTACCACGCTGAGACTCAACTCTTTCTTGAATCTCCAAAATATAAAAAAATAAAGTTATTCTGCCATGATGTTAAAAAAAATATGGGTTTGAATGGGTGTCAAAGAGTAGAAATGACAGCCAAATTTTATTTTGGCTAGGGTTTTTGACGCTGCACATTCCATAAAGCTTTAATCGGTTGAAAATGGCGAATATCAGCTACAGAAGAATCTAAATCAGATCTAGATATCCGTAATTGAATTTTTAAATTCCAAATATTGCAGGGTTTTTGCATTTTAAATTTTTTCTGGCATTTTGTTTCACCCAAAAATGTCAACCGAATTTTCCGGGAAGGAAGGCTAGAGTTCTATTCGTAACGTTGTACAGTTGTATTTATTATTGTTTTATTGTCTGTATATGGATTATTTAAATAAATTTAAGTCTACGGTCAGTTCAGTTGCTGCTCAAGTGACGCAGGCCTTGCCAGGGAATCCCATATTTAGAGAATATGACGTGCAAGGTCAGATCGCGACGGCTGGGCCAGGACTTTCTTGGAAAATTTTTTCTGGCACGAAACATACTACAAAGCAGGTAATTGTTATAGTTATTAATAATAGTTTTTTTAGGCAGTAGCTATTTGGCTGTTTGAGAAGAAAACTTTGGACAAATGGCCGAAGGTGGATAAGGAAGCCTTTGGTGAACTTCTCAAGAGAGGGGTTAGTCAAATCACACGATTGAGACATCCGAGATTATTGGTGGTTGAGAGAGTGTTAGAAGAGAGCAGGGATAACTTCGCCTTTTGTACTGAACCCATCTTCGCTTCACTGGCTAATATTTTTGGGGATACGGAGAACCTGAGTGACCGACCTTCCCATTTGGACGATTTCCAATTTGAAAACATTGAGTTGGAACATGGCCTCTTTCAAGTATGTTTGTATTCAATGTTTTTTATAGTTATTTTTTTAGTTATCCGAAGCGCTCAACTTTCTTCACAACGATGCAAAAATCTTGCATAAAAACGTTTGTCCTAATTCCATAATAATAAATGCGAAAGGAGCTTGGAAGCTGGCGGGCTTTGACTTTTGTTCTACTGGAGTCTCAGATGGGCAAGGGAGAATATTATGCGAGCCCTTCGAATGGAATCGAAGCCTTAATTCGGCCTTTTTACCGCACCTTGACTTCGCTTCTCCGGAGATGGTTGACGGCCAGAAGTGTGACCAGACCTCTGATATTTTCTCATTTGGTCTTTTGGCTGCCTCTGTTTACAATAAAAATAAGGTGGTTATAAAGTCCAGAGGGAATGTCGACAATTACAAAAAAGAGATTGGTAAAGTAAGTTTTCGAATTATAGCAGAGGGTTGTTTGAGCGCCTAAAGTCGTTTAATATGTTTCAGCTTAGTGATAATTCTTACTGGTTTTCGAACGTTCCTGATCTATATAAAGATGACCTGAAGGCATGTTTGAACATAAATCAACAGTTGAGACCCGACACATTCCAACTGACAAAAGTAAGTTAACATTATTTATTAATCTAAGAGTGTCCGGAGGAGTGTGCCGGAAAGTTTTGGTCGATTTCTTGGCGCTCAGTCAAGATATGAAAGAAATTATATTTAGAAAGAAGATGGGCGGTTTTTTCTCTGATTTTTTTCCGACAACGCGGAAGATGTGTTACAGTAACTCTGGATAAAGAAAAGTAACGTTAGTAATAGCTAAAATTAGCAAAACTGGAGATGTTGCAAGTCTTCGCCAAGTCTCCGCCGAGTGTCCGCCGACCATCCAACGGCTTTGCCAGGCCTCGTAGGAACTTCCTACAATCTTTTTTGGGCATTCACCTGTCACCTGTATCGATCGTTTTTGTGTTGACCCGAACTGTCGTCGACCCCAAAAGTCGGGACGCGTAATAAGACGTGATGACCAAAATAGCATACAAAAGTTTAAAAGTTTTTGCCAAATACATTCGTTTCCGCGTTGCAGGGGAAGAGTTTTTTTTAGCACCAAGAAGTCGACGAACACTTTCCGACACATTTCTCTGGACACCCTATAATTGTAAATTTTAGTCTCGTTTGTTTGAACATGCAAGTTTAAAAACGTTGAACTACCTGGAATCCCTGATGCAGATGGATAATGCCCAGAAGATGACTTTCTTCAAAGGACTTCCTAATGTCTTAATTAATTTCCCTAAAAGACCTCTAGTCCAGAAGGTTTTGCCTTGTCTTTCCGAGCAATTTACAACTGCTGAACTAGTTCCCTTTATATTGCCAAGTATATTCTACATTAGTCAACAGGTGTCCAATAAAGAGTTTTCTGATGTAATATTGCCATCGCTGATCCCAGTGTTCCAGATGCAACATCCATATCAGGCAGGTGACACGCGTTGTTTTCATTCTTCCATTCTTTAGATTGTTTTGTTACTGCTACAACAGATGCCTTTGCTTCTCGCAAAAACTCCAGAAGCCGAATTAAAGAGGCATGTGCTACCTATGATATACAACTCTCTTTCCAATGACAATCCTCGAATTCAAGTAAGTGAAGTTTCTTAATTTTAAATTAATTCTTAGGAGTTATGTTTATCTATTGTGCCTACAATTGGGAAACTAGTGGATCGCGATGCCATGAGAGCCAATCTCTTGCCGAAACTTTTAAAACTTATTTTGGATGGACACGTATTATCGGTACGTTGACTGCTTATCTATTTATTTTTCTGTCTGAACTCGAAAGTGCTTAGCAAAACGGTCTGTGAAGCGGCGGAAGACTGAAACGTCAAGGTTATTAGAGGTTAATTATTTGAAGTACCTTTGGTAAGGTTGACAGTCTTATAAGCGAGGCCATGACTGGGATTATAGCATTTGAGGGGATCTGAGGCGACGTTGTGATCATACATTGCCATTAGTTTGCGGTCATGGCTTGCATTACAGTAACCACACGATTTTCTGCACACTCTAAAAGCGAACGGGACATTTCCGCAGTGATATTGCCGATACTGGGGATTGTTCCAAAATCCAATCCTAAAAAAATCAAAAGAGCTGGGGTTATCTACCTTTGCACCAACGATTTACACCATTTTTCTGGCCGTCTGTCCAGACAAAACTTTTCGGATGTCATTAATTCATTTTCGACATTCTGACTGTAGTCTAAGACATATCCGGAGTCCATGTGATTATCGAAACTGGAATATTTTAATTATGAGGAACCTACGGTTGAATAAAAACAAAAACTGTTTTTTGGGATTGATTTGTTATAATTACCATGTTTTACAGCACTGTATTAAAGCGAAGTCCGGATTATTTAGGCATTTGTTAAGGAAATTGGCTTTGTTCTTGAGTTTTATTTTGGTACACACCCTTTCACTAATCCGGTCAAAGCAACACGGAGTTTGGCCGATGATTGGACCCTTTCCGGTGTAAAAATTAGACTCTGAAAACAATAAGTACCGGTTATTAATTTTGTTTATTTTTTTTTTTTTGATAATTGGATACGTTAGAAAGTGTTAGAATAGTGTTTAAAACACCGTTTTTGTAAGGTTGGAGAGCAGTGTGGACGTTAACTAGTTAAGATCAAACTAAGTTTTCAATATTTATGCCTAGCACCCAGTAAGTAATTTTCTGTAAAAAAATCGGTAAAGTTACCGTAACCGGGAGTATATGAAATCCGTAAAATTTTTTCGGCGACGCAGTGGGGTGCGCTTACGAAAAAGTATACGTCAGTAATGCGAAAACGGGAAGTCGCTGCGGCGCGTGTGAAAAAAGAAAGAAACGCACTGTGCAAAATTCTACGGACTTTGTGGCGCGAGTAGTATTATATATTGCAAAACCTCGTTTGGACGAAACGGAAAAGTGGGCGGGAGACATTTTTGTTTTGGGTTGCCGTCCTTTACTTTGTTAGAAAAATTATATATCGGTTATATAATGAAGAAATCGTTAAGGGCGCTTTTAAATGCCTTTACCTGAGTTAACAAACAAAAAGAAGACAAACAGAAATGCAGCGAGCATAATGAAGCAAATTAATTAACCTTTAAACCGTCTCGATTACCATAGCTTTGCTTTGTTTGAGCACGCTCTTGCACTCGACATCATCTTTTATTGCAGATTCGGGTACTCACTTTAATATGTTTGTCCAAGTTACTCCCCACTTTGGAGCCATGGATGGTCAGCGATCAAATTTTGCCAGCTCTCCCAAAGATCAACAGCAAGGAACCCGGCATTCTGATGGCTGTCCTTGGTATCTACAAGTTGGCGTTCGAAAGTGAGAAGTTTGGAATTAACAAGGATCTGTGTGCTAAGAGTGTCCTCCCTTTCCTGATATCTACCATGGTCGAGAACACTTTGAATTTGAATCAATTCGAACAATTCGTGGCTTTGATAAAGGTGATGATGACTCGCGTTGAAGGAGAACAGCGGTCTCGACTTCAACAATTGAGTGCCGGACAGGAGGAACAAAGGTAAGGCAGCAGCGAATAAATAGCTATCCATATTCAAGGATATGGGTAGCTAATCATGAAAGGTTTAATCTCATTTCCCTAATATTATTTTTTTTAGAAATATCGGCGATTTCAACGACATTTTCAATAAGGGAGAGACGAACAAGTGCCCAAACATGGATGATCTAGGGATGACTGTGGGCAGCGGAAATACAGTAAGCCGGTCGAATGCTAATCCGTCGCCAATTTCAACGTTCGCCAACACAACACAGACAGCTAGCCCTTCACTCGACATGGATGTTTTCGGGGGTTCATTCTCTTCGTCTTCTGTTCAGCCGATGAGTAATGTAAATGCTAAAAAATCAAGTAACGGTGTAAGTACCATATTGTCTGCTCTGGATGACTTCGATCCTTTCAAATCGAAATCCCCAGCCCCCCTGAGCACCTTCTCCTCTTCATCTACCTTCGCTAACAACTCCGTCTTCTCTGGAGGTGTGATGCCCCCTCCTCCGACTTCTTCCAACCCCATCCAACGTTCCAATAATTTATTCGCTGCTGATTCTGGATCTTCTTCAAGTTCAAAGTCGGATCCTTTTGCTAATTTACTTTCTTCAAATCTTAATGGATTGGCTTCCCAGAGAAAAAATAACCTGCCAATCAACAATTCGATTCCAAATATGATGGGTAATATGCAAAAAATGACAGTGCCAAGCACACAAAACTCCCAAGCAGACAATTTGCTGGACTTTCTGAATTAACTGAAACGTATGGTTATTTTTTCACTTACCGATGATTCATAAACGAAATAAATAAACGTTTAGAAGGATTATTTTGATGTAATTATTCACGGAAATTGGAGATTAACTCTCTCGGCATTTCTCAGGGTCAATCCGGTTGTTTTCTATGGATAAAGAGGAGATGTTGGACAATTTCCTTAAACTTCAATACCAACAAAAGTCTTTGACATCATTACAGTAACTGCTTATATTACCGTATATTTAGTCGATGGGGACATTTATGTGGGGCATGCACGCCAGCTCAAAACGCAATGATTAAGCGTCGTTTAGTTTACTATAGGTTTTCCCAGACGGTATACGCAATAGTTTAAATAGTTTTCTAGGGTAAGAAGAGGCTTCCGCGCTGATTGAATGGATAAGAAAGATGTCAATTATCTCAAACTGAAGTATAGTTTAATTGTAGGGTGCAGTAACAGAGAGTATGCCCTTTCGGAGAGTGCATGACTTCTAGCGCCTTTAGATGACGCTGCAATGGCATTCCTAAAAACTTTATCATAATTAGGTATCCAAATTTAAACTAATTACGACGAAAATGCGTTATTAGAAATGGCCATAAACCTTTGCAATTTTTGGAAAATATTCGATTACCGTCCTGAGAACAATTTTCTTGTTTTAGGATAGCTGTTGCCGTGATCGCCGTCGTATTCGTGTTGACTGTACCCGGAATTCCAATCACTCTTTGTGTAGTATCTTGTATCAAACGCAACAAGTATAATAAATAATTTTATTTCAATGATTATGATAGCCAACCTTTTGTAACAATAAATAAAATCATTTCTTCTTTCCGAACTTGATTCCCAGTTCGTATGGATCCATTTGATAGATGTCTTCAACGTCTCGCTTCTGAAGGAATTCTGAATTACGACGATACTGGCTGAAGAATGGGTTCATTGAAAGCGAATCAAAGTTCATGGAGGGGATTACAGGCGATTTCGAATTGCTAGGATGGGGCAGAACAGTTGAGAAGGACGTAGAGAGGACCAGCACAACGATTAGGACGCGACACACGGCCATCTTGGCCATAACAATTAGATGAAACTGAAAAGAGACGGGACGATTTAATACGAGGTTTGATGACGGGGCGGGCATTAGGATAAGTGTAAAGAAAAAGTTAGAATGTAAAGGAAAGATTGACCTCCAGTAATCCCCGTCATTCGTCTGTTAGGGTTGTAATGAAACTCTACAGAAGCCCCGCCTTTTTACGTCACATCAACACGATAACTCCCATCGCCATTTAAAGGGATAAAAGTAAAAATAGGGGGGTCACTGAATATCTTTAATGTTACAAGATATTATTATAAATCTAACCTTCAGCGGGTTGAGTGAATATTATTCCTTTCTCCCGGATTATTAATCGTAAGTTTTTTCTCTAAACTTTGGTGTCTATTACTGGCAAAGCCATAGTAATAATGCAATAAATGACATCTGGAAGTTTTAATTCAACAATTTATTAAAAGAAAGAGCTACATAAGTAAAAAACTATTGGGAGTCGAACAGTTCATCCAGCTTGTCCTGGCGGTTATGTTGTACAGAGAAAGGTTGCCACGTGAGTTGAGGGTCATTCAAAACTGAGTGGGGGATGACGGATTTTTCTTGGAGAGATATACCAGCTTGTTCCAAAGCCGCGAAGAATGCTTTTTTCTATAAATAATTAAGAAAAACTAATTACGCACGGCTTACCCGTGAACTTCGCTCCAATTCTTCCGCTTCGACACCCATCACACAGCTTTTAATCCCCGAATCCAACAACTTCTGCGCCAATGCACAGCCAATGTTGTATGCAGCACAAGTGTCAACATTACTGTATAATTGATTGCTGATTCCCGGGTCACGTGTGGATACTGAGAGGACTACTCCATTATCGTAATGGATTACAGAACCGGATGTATGTTGTGCCGTAGAATTCAAAATGACCCTAAAAAAACAACCACGAAAAAGACTGTCATGAAACACCGCGATACACCGTTCATAGCTATGCTTACCAAAAAACTTACTTATATGTGAAACTTTTCAACGCCAGGTTCCTTTCCAATCCCCAACCACCATCCCTAGGCTTGAGATTCAGGAACTCGAGATTCCGTGGATTTCTATTAACAAAAAACTTCGGGATTTTGTTCATTACAGAAGCTAAAATCACAAAAAATCGGTGGAAATTACAATAAAATTATTGGAACAAGACCAAGTAAAACACTACCACCATAAAATGAAATACATTATTCAGTTCAAATAAAACGAATTCAAAAACTACAGCAAAAAATGTACACTCATGTCAATCCGAATCAGAGTCTAGTACCATAACATCAGCTGGATCAGGCGTTGGCAGTCGAGCTCTCGGATCTCGGAAACCCGGATAGATAAAGACAGGATCAAATTCTGACGGCAGCACTTGTATCTAAAATGTACATCAGTTACACATTACGGACAAAAGCGCAGGGAGTAAACTTGAAAGGCAACTACCTCAGAATTCCGACCTCGGTCATTCGTTTCTTCCGTCCCATTTCTTCTCTTTAACATATCTCTAAATTGCATTCGAATTTGATTCGGCACATAAGCCAATGGGGAAACATCGGGAATACCGGATGAGGAAGCTTGAGAAGTCGGAAAAGGATGTCTGGTTCTCCTGGAAGAAGACGGAAGCTCATCGACTATCATCACATCGTTATCATCGGAAGACGGTTGGGCTGGTAACAACATGAGATCGTCTTGACCATTAACTTCATCTTCGACAAAGTTGTTACTTAACGTTATCCTTCGTCTGAAAGAATCGAAATTAAAAACAAAGATCTTGACTTACACATATCTAGAATTCGAATCATAAAGTTTTAAACTCTGATTAGCAGACACGAATGACAACACGGTGTTATACACAGTCAGTGGATGCCTAACACCCATAGATTTGAGCGTGGCTTGAAGTTGGTTCTTATATATTGTCATGTTCTTCATGCAACACAAGAACAGCTCTACTAGATTGTCGATGCTGAAAACCGAGACAGACGTGATTGCGCGCAACTCTCTTATCACGAACGGAACAATCTTCATTCTCAGTTTATCATAGTTTTTCTCTACATATTCGGGAGTTACATCAACATCAGTGCTCGTTTTGATCAGCGTGGTTCGATCCGCATTGGTTGAGTATGCTACGAATCGAAATATCGGATCGGAGACAAAACGACGTCTGAAATAAGGCTTTATCGTCAAATCTCCTCTTATATACATTTTCTCTTACCTTGACAACCTTCCACTTCGTCTAGCCAAGTCTGCAATAGCAATGATTTTCTCGGCGGCATCGCTTCTCTCTTCTAATGTCGACCTAAGCACTTTTTTAAAATTAAAGTCACATACGTCAATTTGTACTTTTCCACGTTGAGATCGTTCATGACCTCTCTCATCAACTGTATTTCGTCGGTGAACGGCCTTTCTTTATTCCGTATTTCTTTAAACTCACTCTCTTCAATCTTTTCCTCAGCATCAAGCCTAAACCATGCATAAAACTAAATTGTAAAAACTTACTCATCTCCGCGAACGAAGTATCCATCCGTTTCTTCCCATTTCTGAGGAAGATTATGTTTCATAAGTTTAACTGGGACTTTACACAAAGGACAATTGGCCTTCTGTGTAATCCAACGAACAATGCAAGAGTAGCAAAAGGCATGCGTGCACGTACTAAGTAAAGTGAGATCTTCGGCCACATTCAAGCATATCGGGCATTTTACATCTTGGTCCACTTTCGTTCTCTTTGGCTTTTTATAGTCCTGTTGCAATTTCATATGCCGTTTTGTCGGCGACATACTGAAAAAATCCACGAATAAAATAAACGAAGAGTGCAAATCGGTGTAAAATTATTTTTTAGAAAACGAAAGCAGACTTTGAGACTGAATCAAGCTCAAGGAATTTAATAATGCGTTAATAAATAAAATAAGGACAAACAACGACAAACCCTTAAGACAATGTATATTATACCGTTCAGAAAGAAAGCAAGGATCTTACGCGTGAAATATTTCACGATATCGCGATTTCTTGGTAATAAAAAATAATTTTTATTTTCTGGTCCCGAAACGAAAACATTTCAATAAATTTTTGATTTTTGTTCGGAGAAAAACCGAAAAATATTGAAAGTTTTCTGCTAGCAAATAAACAATGGAGGAATAGTATATGGGAGGTGATTTATGAATTTTGTTTCCTCAATCCAACCCAAAGCGGCAAACTCAATAAGTTTGGACTAAATTCGGACTAAGTCTTGTTCAATGTAAGAAGCATACCATTGCACTCAAAAAATGCCGAATTTAGTTCATAGTTTGAACGCGCGGACTTTAATCCAAGGTTAACTTTGCACTGGAAGTGCGGCTTTGGGCTAGTTTGTAAATCACCTCCGATATATAGATTTGTGTGTACGAAGGTTTTACATTGTGTACAAAATTAATTTCTTTTTCATTATAGATGACTCAGGAGAGCACTCCAGATGTATCTCATTCTATCGCTCAGGTGGACATGATCAATGCTACCAGTAAGTTGCAGATTGAGGCGGCTGAGGTGAGAAGTGCGGCCAATAAACCAAACTGGAGCAGTTATTTGAGGAGTCAACTTATCCCTCAAGAAGAATATAACTTTATTACTGCTTACGAGAACTGTAAGAGCAAACATGAAAGGGATGAGTTGCTTGCCAATGACTCTCAAACCGCAGCGAAGTGTTTCGTTACCCTGATTACTGATGTAGCGAAAGATCAACTCATAAGATATGTCTTAACAATGCTCGATGATCTGCTCCAAGAAGATCGCTCTCGTGCAGACATCTTCCATTCTTATGCCAAGAAACAAAGAAGAACTATCTGGTCTTGGTTCCAAGGACTTCTCACTCGGCAAGACAGTTTTATTGCTAATCAGGTAGTATTTTTTATTTTTGTTTCGACATGTATAAAATAACGAAGGCGATGGAAATTACAGACGGCTTCTGTCTTTGCGAAATTTGCTTGTTTTGGAGAAGAACGAATGGAAGGAAAGGAATTGTCATACTACTTTAGTATATTGAAAGAGGGTGTCAGAAATCAGGTATGCTATTATGATGAGATTGCCATACACAAAAATGGAATATACAGTTTAATTTTTAGAGCAATGAATACATTAACACCAGTGTCCGATGTCTCCAAATGCTGTTGCGTATTGACGAATACAGAAAGGAGTTCGTAAAGACCGACGGAGTTTCGTACATAATGTCTGCGTTGAGCGGAAAGACCAACTTTCAGCTGCAATATCAGCTCGTATTCTGTGTATGGTGTCTGACCTTCAACCCAGAAATCGCTTATCATGTTCAGAGCAGCGGAATCATCCAAGTTTTGGGTGATATCCTGTCTGAATGTTCCAAAGAAAAAGTTATTCGGATTATTCTGGCCACATTCAGAAATCTTCTTGAGAAGATCGACGATCGTGAATTGGTCAGAGAATCCGCCCTTCAGATGGTACAATGCAAGACATTGAAGACTTTGGAGTTGATGGATGCCAAGAAGTTTGATGATCCTGATCTTCAGGAAGATATCGAATTCTTGATGGAACGTCTTCATACAAGTGTCCAAGACTTGAGTTCCTTTGATGAATACTGCACAGAACTTAAATCTGGTCGTCTTCAATGGAGTCCAGTTCACAAATCAGAAAAGTTCTGGAGAGAAAATGCACAGAGGTTCAACGAAAAGAATTTTGAATTGATAAAGTGAGCTCTCAAGTTGGTTAACATTCTATAAATTTGTTTTAGAAATCTTATCGGAATCTTGGAGAGAAGCAACGATGCGTTGGTCCTCTGTGTTGCCGCCCATGATGTCGGAGAATACGTTAGACATTACCCTCGGGGCAAAAAGTAAGTTACACGGTTATAATTATATCGTTTGATGTTTAGTGTAATTGAACAAAACCATGGCAAGCAGGCGGTAATGAAGTTGTTAAGTGCAGAAGATCCTAACGTTCGGTATCATGCTCTTCTCGCTGTTCAGAAACTCATGGTACACAACTGGGAATACCTGGGAAAGCAATTAGATGTGGAGAAGGAAAAAACTCCAGTCTCTGCCAACTAAGGATCACTTAAAATTCCCCGATAATTCCACTTTCATAGCCTAGTGTGATATATGAATCTAATCGTAAAGAATAATATACTGTAAATGCTTACAATAAATTTTTTGTTATTAAATATTTTTTTCTAATTGTTTAATTTTTGGGCTCTATCAGTCTGTCGGGAAAATAATGAGCGCAATGTCGCTGAGATGAAAAGCAATTGAGCGTATTGTCTGCAACAAGTGCATCATAAAATGCCAAAAAGATCGGACAAAAAGGCAAAATTAAATCCAATAACCTCTATCAAATTTTCTGTGGGAAGATATGGTAATGTATCACACAAACGAAAAGCTTAGCGAAAAATAAACCCTGCGGGCCGTAGCGCGTCAAATGGGTTGGTGGGTCCCACAACGAAAACAAAGAATGCCCGCAATACTGTATCAAAATTACGAAGAGGTACTTGCAATGGAATAAAATCTTTTTTTACAAATTATTGCCAAAGCGTGGGTTTCGATGTGTATTTTGACAGTTTACTTTATGCGAAAATTTTAGTAAAATTCTGCGCGTTGAAATCATTTCCTTGCCTAATGTTCTTTTTTAAGGGTTAAATTTTCAGGGAAAATGGCTGACGACAAGAAAGCCGAGGTCAAGGAGAAGAAGCTGGCCAACCCCATGAGAGAGTTGAAGATCCAGAAGCTTTGCCTGAACATCTGTGTGGGTGAATCTGGTGACAGACTGACTCGTGCTGCTAAGGTAAATATTTTTTGAGACTTATTATTTTTGAATTTAGGTATTGGAGCAACTCACCGGGCAAACTCCCGTTTTCTCCAAAGCCCGATACACCGTTCGTTCTTTTGGTATCAGACGTAATGAAAAGATCGCTGTTCACTGCACCGTACGTGGCCCAAAGGCTGAAGAAATTATCGACCGGGGTCTGAAGGTAAGCTTAATCTTACCTTTATAGAGATGTTTGTTTTCTTTGCACTTTACAGTTCATTTTATTTTCAGGTCAAGGAATACGAGTTGTACCGTGAGAATTTCTCTAACACTGGTAGTTTCGGATTCGGTATTCAAGAACACATCGACTTGGGTCTTAAGTACGATCCCAGCATTGGTATCTACGGAATGGACTTCTACGTTGTGCTGGATCGTGCCGGAAGGCGTGTTGCCAAGCGCAGACGTGCTAAGGGAACAGTAGGACCCTCTCACCGTGTGCAGAGAGAGGAATCAATCAAATGGTTCCAACAGAAGGTGCGTTGTTTGTTGGTCTATATTTTTTTTAGTTTGACGGTGTTATCCTCCCACCCAAGCCTAAGGAAGCCCGCAGAAACCAATACCGCCGCAGAAAGTAAAAAGTGGATCTATTACTTGTTTTGTTATAAAATAAACTTTTGTTGTCATACATTGTCGGGTCTGTCTTTCGTAGAATGAAAGTAAATCGGAATCAATGTCCAAAAAAATGGTAAAGCAGATTTCGAGCACTTGCGCTCAGTATAACCGTCATGGCTTACTGCCTTGAGCGTTGTGGCATTACGCGCGATAATCGTAATTTTTTGTTGAGTTTGTGGCGCAATTTCGTTTTCAGTCAGTTGTTAGTATAATCGGTGTTGCATCCACCATGAGCCTTGATGTTATGAAAGACGTCTCCATTCTACAAGACAAATACTTCTTCCATGTTCCCCATGCTCATTTGATAGCGGATTACGTATGGCCTGGTCTGATCATGTCCCCACAGCGAGTGATTGATTTGCGGAAGGAGGAATTCACCGAGGACGATGTCCTAATAGCTTCGTATCCAAAATCAGGTGAATATTTTTTGGTTATCTCAAATGATTATTTTTTACTTATAGGAACAACATGGATGACTGAGATTGTTTCGGCATTACATTATGGAGGGGACACCGACGCGTTGAAGAAAGTCCGACAAGATGAAAGAGTCCCTTGGCTTGAACTCGAACACAGCTACTGGTGGGTGAAGATGTTCTATGAGTACCACAAGCACGAAGCCGAACAATGCAAAGCCCGACCTAGACGAGTAGCCTTTACTCATCTTCCGTTGGAAATGTTGCCTGATTCTGTTTTATTTGGCAAATGCAAGGTTGTGTATGTGGCCCGGAACCCAAAGGACAATGCTGTCAGCTTCTACCACTTCCATCGCATGGCCCGATTCCTTGGACTACAAAAGAATCTAAACTGGAATGATTTCTTTGCACTCTATGTCTCAGGAAGCAGTAAGTTTATCTTATTGATACTGATTTTCTGTTAGTATACTGTGGCTCTTGGTTCGAACATGTTTTGGGATATTGGAAGTTCTCTCAGAAGTTGAAGGACAGAGTTCTGTTTTGCAAATACGAAGACTTGAAGAGAGACATGAAAGGGGAGATCGACAAGATCGCTGACTTTATCGACATGAAGGTGAGTCCCGAGAAGATGCAAAAGGTCTACGATCACTGCACGTTTGACTCTATGAAGAAGAACCCAATGGCCAACAGAAATAGCCGGATGTTGCTCGATCAGACTGTCGTGAAGTTTATGAGGAAAGGGCAAGTTGGAGATTGGAAGAATTACTTCACCTTCGCCCAGAGTGAACTCTTCGACGAGCTTTACAAATTGAAAATGGAAGGGACTGGATTAACATTCGAATTCGAACAGTAAATATCAGAATACTAAATATACTATACCTCGCTAACTGTGAAATAAATCATGTTCATTCGCGGTAGTCAGCGACACGTTTTTTCGGGTTTTCGGTACGGCCTTCGGCACATCGTTCTTTCGTAATTGCAGGAGTGGCCACCCGGCCCGACAAATTTTAACTTGTAAAACGGATCGCCTGGGCCATTTCCAGGGACGGCCCGGATTGCAGCCATGATTTACTATAATGGTCTTGTGGTATTTAAAGTGCCTCCAAAGTATATGACGGCCCATTTAGTTCTATACAGAGGCAATCGGTTTACTTCCGGACAGATTTTATCGTTTAAAATTTACTTTGACTGTTTTCGAAGATCTTACCACCTGTCAAGAATGCTATGAACTGTAACATCTTACTAAATTTTCAAGAGGCCCGTTTGCAACTAGGGTTTGGACGGGGTATATATCCGGGTATATTCCCGCGTGGTGCATAATACCCGAATTTTCCAAATCCTATTTGCCACTCCTGGTAAGAATTGCGGCTTCGTGGAAATGGACAGAAATAAATTGGACAGAGTGCACTCTGCAGAGTGTGGAAATTGGACAGGGGGAAATTTGACAGAGTGAAATTGGACAGATTTTTTTCGTTGCAATCGTACGAAATGTCACTATTGAATCATCAAATAATAATTTTTTGCAGTGAAAAAAATCTGTCGAGTTTCACTGGCTGACGCGTTTGCGAGCCGCAAGAATTTTGCGCCGCTCGTTTTTTTTGTTCGGAGGGATTTTGCGCCGCTCGAAAAAAGGTCCGCAGAATTTTGCGCCGCTCTAAAATCGCGAAAAAAGACGCGAAACGCGCGAATAAAGCGAAAGACGTAACTGATAAATCAAATTTCGGTTTAGGTTGGCTAAAGTTTCTTAAATTTTTTACGATTTCTTCTTTATGCCAAAACTGTTTCGAGATTGACAAACAATAACTGATATATCCATGATTAGTAACCGTCACATAGCCCTTACAATACCAATTCTGAACGATGACTTCAGCAGGCATATCAAAGGAGTTAGTCTTAAAAGACCTTTTGGATGTTCAGATATATTAAAGTTTCTGCCCTGAAGACAGTGCGCCGGATTATGGGACTGGTGTCTGTTACACTCGTCAATGCTAAAGCTGTGAAACTGTCGGGGAAGTGGATCCTATTCGAAATGTTTGGCAACTGTTTACTAACATCTTTGTGTCGCCTGGCTTGACGCGTCGTCCCGGTATCCCAAATGGTGGTTTTCGTTTTGCCCGCTGCCGGCTACTGGCCAAAGTATGCACTATTTAGTTGGGCTATAGAATCGACGGCCTCATTAAGAGCTGTATAAGATGCCACCTCAAAATATGATCTTTTCAACATGCCGTTATAAGACCTTAGAAAAGGCTGTGACCTGGTTGCCTCTCTACTTAACAGTACTCAAGCTCTACTGCAAGTTACATATTGCTGTCCTTGCTTTGTTTCGCGTCTTTTTCTTGGTATTGTAAGGGCTATGTGACGGTTACTAATCATGGATATATCAGTTATTGTTTGTCAATCTCGAAACAGTTTTGGCATAAAGAAGAAATCGTAAAAAAGTTAAGAAACTTTAGCCAACCTAAACCGAAATTTGATTTATCAGTTACGTCTTTCGCTTTATTCGCGCGTTTCGCGTCTTTTTTTCGCGATTTTAGAGAAAAAATCTGTCCAATTTCCGCACTCCATTTATTTATTTCTGTCCAGTTTCACTCGAGAGTACTCTGTCCATTTTCCACGAAGCCAGATTCTTTGGCATTTCGTTTCAACAATTCTTTATTTTTCGTGTGTAAGAAATTGGATTCATTATTTTCGGTGTTTCATCCTCGTTCTAGGATGCCCATTTTTGGTGATATATCTTCGCCCTACGATGAAGCTGTGGAGAAAGTCACGGCCGAAACACTGACCACCGAAAATTGGGCTCTAATGATGGATGTCTCGGATCGAGTGGCTTCACAAGGTCAGAAAGGAGCAAAACAAGCCCTGTACTCCATCAAGAAGCGCCTGAATCATCGAGATCCACATGTTGTTCTACTGGCACTGTCACTGTTGGATTGTATCTGGAATAATGCTGGACAGGTATTCAGAAGAGAGGTGTCATCCAACGACTTTATCAATGAACTGAGTTATAGAGCAACCAGCGTAGGTTTCTTTAAACCTCGTGGTGTAAGGTATTCAACGGTCCAGTTATTTTTAATACTAATAAATTTATTTTTGCAGAGTAATCGATTAATCGGCGAGAAGACGCGCGGCATTATCAAGAAGTGGATAGACAACGAATGCAAAAAAGATGCTTCGCTTTCACTTATTGAATCTCTCTACCGCGATCTCCGAGAGGAAGGTTATAGTTTCGAGGCATCTGAACCGGCGAAGAAGTCAAAGGTTATGTTTAGTAATGACCCAAATGTTGTATCTACAGAACAAGAGGAAGCGGATATTGCGAAAGGTAAGAAGTTTATAGGGCTATCTTTATCTAAAAGTTTTAAGCCATTGCTCTCTCATTGTCGGAAGTTGATAAGAAAAACAAGTTCGCCTCACCAATGCCAGTTATGAACCAGGTAAAATCTACGCCAAAGTAAGAAAAAGTTTTTTTTTTAAAAATATTTTTAGGGATGTTACGATCAGACAAGTTAAGGCACTTTATGATTTCGAAGCGGCCGAAGACAATGAACTGTCATTTAAAACTGGAGACTTAATCAACGTTTTTGACGAGAGTGATGTCAACTGGTGGAGAGGCCAACTAGTGAAGGGAGGAACTCCTGGACTTTTTCCAGCTAGTTTCGTGACATCCGACCTTCAGGAAAAACCCGAAGAAATTGTTCCAACGCAACCAGAGGTGGTGGAAGAAGAAGCCAAAATTGACGAAGAAGTCCTCAAGAAATGTTTGGATCTCCTAAGACAATGTGATCCCACCGGAGTAGTCCCCGACGATCCGGACCTGTCTTACTTCGAACAGATGAGTATGGCTCAGGTTCCACTTGTTAATCAGAAGCTGGCGCAGATCGACAAGCAACATAACATGCTGGCCAAGGTTGATGTTGCAATAAGAGACGTATTGGCGCAATATGATCAAGCAGTTCAACAAGCTTCTTTTCAATGCCCTTCCCAGCCATCTCAAAAACAATATCCTGGTCCGGCTCCAGCGGAATTGCGGCACGCTGTTCCCCACCCATATGACCCGTCGCAATATCAACCTCGTCAAGGAGAGTGTTACCCTGACTCCAATTACATTCAACAGGGTCCCCACCATCCCCCGCCCCCTCAAGGTAACTACCCTCAATAAAGTATGTATAAAACCGGCTGTAAAATCTATTTGTGATACGTAATTTATTTGAATTTCCGTATAATTTTATTGTTTCGGCTGTACTTGCTTGTTGATCCATTCAAGATACGGTTCGTGCCCTTGTTCGATCTAATAAAGATAAAATTTTTATAAAATGATAAATGTTTTATAATACAACATACCGGCATTGCAATGATCTCAGGAATGGCATAGGGGTGTTGTCTCAAAACGGATTCCTTAAGTTGATTTAACGATTCCGTCTTGGTTTTGATGATAAGCATCGCTTCTTCGTCCTCTTGGACATTCCCATCCCATTCATATCTAAATTTGTCATTCTAATTTAATTTTGAACACACATTGAAGTGACTTGAGGAACAATGTTAACACAAGCAGCCACTTTGGAATTTACGAGCTCTCTGGAAAACGTTGGTTTCTGATTACAGTGTTACCTTGCAATCGACTTTCCCACCTCCTTAGAGGGTACTGTCACATAAACAACCGAAAACAATGACGCCATCTTCGCATATGCCTGCATCCTTTGCTTCGGGTTATGCAAGAAAATTCTGTAATACAAAAGTATTACACCGACACAAACATATTTTTGATAAATCCGTTTGATTTTAAAATTTAATTATAATAACAGAAACAAACAACAATTAAAATTAAAGGGATAGTTTCAATTCTCCATGCCATTCTCCCGCCGTTCTTTCTCACGAATGTCTCTGTTCCGTGCCTGCAGGATCTTTTTGGCCTTCTTCTTGGAAATCCTTCTGGCAGAGACAACTCCAGTCTCCTTCAATTCCTTCTGATTTCCCTTTGCTCTTCTTTTGTCCTTAGCATTAACAACAATGGGTAGATCCGCTTTCTTGATTCTTTTCGCATTCACCTTAGGCTTTGCCTTTTCCGCTTCAGCATTTGGTTGTTCTAATTCCACGTCCATATTGTCTGGATTTTTGGCCTTTGTTTTTTGGATCTTCTTCTTCAAAAATGCCCTCATCTCTTCCTTTTTGGATTGTCGCAGAACCCTCTTCTTCGTGGTTTTGTCCGTTTTCGGTCGTGTTGTAGATGACTTATGGATATCCTAATCACAAATTTAAATAACAGCTGATTAATTCTTACAATTTCCATCTGCTCCGCATATTCCTCTACCATGCCAATACCAACATTCGGCTTCTTGTTATTAAGCCGTTTTTTGAAATGAACCGCCTTCTTTTTGGACATTTTGAAACCTGTGGCCTTAATGATCTAACCGAATAAACTATTAGCGGAGAAAAATGTCATAATCCTACCTGTTCTCCCTTCTTGGCTAAAGGCATTTGGACGTGGAATCTAAAGATTGGTCCCATTATTACAACACGAATGGATAAAAGTATACAAGAACAATACTTGTGTCGAAGATGACTTTAAATTCAATTTCCTTTTATAACATATTACCACTTAAAAAATAACAAACAAAAATATTAACCCGGTTATGGTTGCTCGAAAGCCCGAACTTGATCTTCAATTTCCTTAAGGACTTCATTTCGGTAATCATCAAAGTCACCAAGAATCTCATCGATGTTTTGATTCTCGACTATGTGAAGACGGCAATTCGTGGCTCGAATCAGTCGCTCGTCGTGCGTAACCATACAAACGCCGCCATCGTATTCTTCAATAGCTTCAGCTAACGCCTGAATGCTTTCAATGTCCAGATTATTAGTGGGTTCATCGAGTAAAAGAATATCCGGTTCACCAAGTGCAAGCTCGGCTAAAGCAACGCGAGACTTTTGACCTCCAGACAAGTCCTTAATCTTGACCGTGTGAGCGTGGCCGGCTAATCCACAACGCCCGAGGTTCTTTCTGGCTTCCTGAAGGTTTTTAAAAGGGTATATTTTCGCCCGGAATTAAAAATACTTCTCCCTGGAAAAAATATTGATATCAGTCGGTCGGGAAAATAACGGCGGGTCGTCGCGCCTTGGAATCGCAAATCATCGCTTTGCGACGACTAGTCGCGGCTGGGGATTTATACGTGACCTTTTTCTCGACGAGGCGGAACATTTTGCTGCGACGACCCGTCGTTATTTTCCCGACGGACTGATAGAAAAATGGATTTTTCTCCCAGAAAGCATAACTTTATAAAAATAAGGCAAGGAAGTATTCAAAAATTAAACTTTGATATTAAAAGTTTCATGCCTATTTTTAGCGTAAAATTTTTTTCACAAAACAATATTTGTTCTCACGAAAGTGGCAAAAATATGGGCAAAAAGTGTTTTCTATCTCACCACTCTCCGCGTTTTGCGTATTCTCTCAGCCGATCGTTGAATATCATGGTTTTCCATGGCTCGAGCTAAAATTTTTAAGAATTGATGTGGCCTATGCAAGACGCGTATGCAAAATTTAAAGAAAACCTGAGCGTGGCACTCGGGATACTTCCCTTGCAAGTAGATTTTACCAGTCGGATCACGTATTAATCATTTTGACTACTTCCAATCCATGCCGTATTTTTATAAAATTATTGCTTTCTTGGAGAAAGTCTTCTTTCTGGGTGAAAATCCACTTCTTCTATAAATCTTTTTTTCTGGGGTAAAGTATTTTTAATTCTGGGTGAACATATTTTTCTTTTTTAAAAATCCTCGTAGACTTACCTGATAATCGATTTGGAATTTCGCGGACAAGTATTCGATAGGCGAAGCTTCACCGTTTAAGGCCTCGTTAGCATGCTGATCAAACCATCCAACCTTCAGTTGACGATGACGACGGCATTCTCCTTCTGTCTAAAAAACAGATATAAAATTTGATTCTAAATTACTCACTGGTTGTAACTTTCCATACAATAACTTCATAAGCGTAGATTTTCCCACTCCATTGGGACCCACAATTGTAATGCGAGAGTCCATGTCCACACTGAAGTCAAGGTCTTTGAACAGAATTTGATCGCCGAACCCAAATGTAACATCTGAATAGAAAAGCTGAAATGTATCCCCACGTTGTTTACTTACTGTATAACCCCAGCAAAGGAGGTTGCATCTTCGTAGTCGGTGGAAACACGAACTTGACACTGTACTCCTTGGCTTTCTGGAGCAATTGGGGCGCTTTATCGTCTTCTTAAAACAAAATAAACAAATGAGTATAGACATACCATCGTCATCATGCCCCTTTTTGCCTCCTTTCTTTCCTTGCTTATTCTTGATCTTTCCCTTAACTTCTTCAACTGCTTGTTTTCCACTCTTGCCACCTTTCTTCAAAGCAGTTAGCTGTTTTTGTTGTTGATCAAAGGCCTTGTTGTGCTCTCTCAATTTCTGTTCATACATGGCCTTGAATTTGGCTAAACAAGAAATAAAAAAAGAAGAGAACAACTTACTGTAATTTCCTTTATAGTAAAACAGTTTCTGCTCATCTAAATGAATAATGTCGGTACAGATATTATCTAAGAAGGACTGGTCGTGAGACACTACCAACAGAGTCTTCTTCCAATTTTGAAGATAACTAAAACATTTTAGGTATCAGGGACGTGTTTCGGCAGGAAGCATGGGCAAACAACTACAATACTACTTACTTATCCAACCAAATAACAGCATTCAGATCTAAATGATTTGTAGGTTCATCAAGTAACAACAAAGTGGGCTCAAGAAAGAGGGCTCTTGCCAAAGAAATTCTCATTCTCCATCCTCCAGAGAAATCACATACTCTCTTTTCTTGCATTTCTTTACTAAATCCCAATCCTGCCAGAATCCGACGAGCTTTACTTTCAACAGAATAAGCGCCAATGTTTCTGAGTTCATCATGCACCAGCTGAAGTCTCTCGTTGACTTCTTCTCCGTTTTCCAACTTCTTGGTTAGGTCGGCTTCTTCTTCCAATAACTTTAGTCGAACTTTGTCAGATTTTATAACAGTGTCCACAGCGGACGTTTCATCGACAGCAATTTCTAAAAACAGAACTAAAACTACTTAAGTTAGCTTACCCTGTTCACAATAAAGAATGTCTATTGTCGGGGGAATATTCAGTTTCCTGGCACCAATGTGCTTCAATAGGGTTGTTTTGCCCATTCCATTGGGTCCAACCAGGCCATACCTTCTTCCAAAAGCAATTGTAAGCTCAGCGTTAGAAAACAGTTGCCGCCCACTGGCAGCGATGTCAAACTTCTCTACCTTAATATCTACTGCGTTCTCCAGTAACGCGGTTTGGGCATCAGTCTTATCTTGCTGAGAGACCGTAAACTGATCTCCCAAATCTAAACCAGCACCAATTCCAGCGCCGTCTATAAAGAATAGATGAAATATATGCCTTCTAAGCAGAAAACTTACGGGCAAACTCTTCATCTGCGTTTAATTCCCTTTCGAAAGCCTTTGAGCCCATAGACTTTAACTCATTCTCATACTCTTTTTGTTTTTGTAATTTTTTTAACTCCTTTCTCGTCATCTTCTTTCCTAAACATTTGATCCAGCAAGAACTTGTAAAACTTACCATTGATGTTCAAATCTTGAACTTGATCTTCCAAGTCCGACATATCCTAAAGAACAAATATATTCTGAGCAAGTAAAATACTTTACTATGAAAATTTCATATTATTGAAAGAAAAAAACGAGTCTGCAAAATCCGCATCTTTCCAGCGAAATCCTAATTTCTTTTTTTCAATCTGACATTTCGTCAAAAGAATCAATAATAGCAAAGTAATACCGAGAGAGCATTCTGCGACGCAAAGAAAAAAAAAGACAGTGAGGTACTGCATTTCTCTACACATCTGCTCATGTTTCTTCCCCATTTCTAAGCTGAGGGTGTATATGGGGCGTCGTATAAAAGGGAGAAGCATAGAACACTAGTCGGCGGGCACTTTGAGAGCCTAGGTCTCCTAAAAGACGGAATCCGGCGCCGGATCTTCGGATCTGCTGCGACGTTGAGTCCGCAACAATGTTTCCAAAAGATTCTCCAAAAAATAAGGACGAGTTAAAAATCGAGTCTGCCGGGTGAGGTCGCTTCCAAGCGACTAATGTTTTTTGTCTTTCAATTCTAATTTTTTTCTTACTCATAGACTCAGTTAAACCTTTAATATTGATTTTCATATAACTGTTTTGAGCGTAAATCTATATTTGTTTTTTTTCAAATCCACCATTTGTAAATATTGCTACATTTTTCGCCCAGAGTAAAAAATATTTTCTAGAAAAGAGAATTTCAGAAAAGACGCATTTTTTCCCAATAAAAGAAAGGGCATTTTCGCGAGGAAGAAATTGATTTTTGGTCTACCTCTCGATTCTAGAGAGTAAATCTTGGAATTATATTTATTATTTACACACACATTTTCATTAGTAGACTTAAAATTTTTCACAAGGAAAGTACTTCTATGGGGTGTGGAGTTACAGGTCGAGATATATATCAAAAAATTCGCAAAAATTTTCTGATTCAGAATATATAAAAATTAGCTGCCTAATTTTGGTCTATCAGCGATTTTTATCAATAAATGTATTTCTCGAGGAAAAAAATCTGCGGCAACAAAAGCGCGCTCGGCCTCTTCCTTCGGAAGAGAGCGGTGTGGCCGAGTGGTTAGAGCGCTAGATTGGGAATCCGAAGGGAACGGGTTGGATTCGTTTTGCCACACTAGAACCCATTTTTTACATTGGAACTACTTCTAAGGTGTAGTTGTAATCTAATTTGATATTTTAAGGCTTGTCAAGGCCTCATAATTTATTTTAGCACAAAACAAAAATTTTTTATTGGTAAAAACACGGTCAAAAAGACACTTGCATGGTGTCGCGAGAAAACTTCTGAGGACAAAAACATGTCATCAGACCAAAATTAGGCAGCTAATTTTTATATATTCTGAATCAGAAAATTTTTGCGAATTTTTTGATATATATCTCGACCTGTAACTCCACACCCCATAGAAGTACTTTCCTTGTCAATAAAAATTTGGCTACCCTTCATTTGGGCAGATCGGGGATCGGGCCAATATTTATATCTAGTGTTGCAAAATTGGTTGACTAACTAGCCAAGGGGATTACTCCGTGTTCACAACGGGGGACAGGTTGCTCATAACCATTCATTCAGTTAGGTCAGGTCACAACCACACTGCTTATGTTCACGACCTAGGTCGTGAGGTTGGTGACGACCTGACCTAAAGAAAGTGGCCCGATACCCGATCTGCCCCAAATGAAAGGTTGCGGAAAATTTTGATGGTATAATATGTGACATCATCAATTTTTATTTTATTTCGAAAAAAGGGACCCTTCGCCTTGGTCCCAAGGCCTTGAGGGGATTACCCCGCGGAGCTTTCCCCTGCAACAGATTGAGACCGACAAGGCGAATATTTTGTAGGGTGTTTTGCTTATCTCAAAATCTCATGACGTTCGTTACCAAAAAGTAATCCTGTTACTGAGAGTTGCTTCCGGTTTTTGTAAACACAATGTGATGATACCTTGAGTTATTCCCGAGATTTCTGGTGCTTTTCAACGTCGCATTCCCTCAGAATGGGCGTCGAAACTAATCCCTCGGTACATTTGATTTCAAGAATCGGGAGGAATTTCATAAGGGCTGTCAACGGGAGGATAGTTTCGTTCCTGAATCGAACCAGGACTTTAAGGCAATCGCTGCTTTACGGGCTCTTAATTCTCGTGATTCGGGTGTTTAATGTATGCAGATCGTTTGATTCTGTCCTATATAAGATTGGAGTTGTTCCCTACTCTTCAGAGTCTATTGACTGTACATTCCAGAGTAACTTCTACTCACAACGCTCATCTTATTTTGATTGTTCCTTGGACCGTCCAATTTGAAGCGGTCCGTTAATTCTACGAGGTTGGCTAACCTTCGATTACTGCGTCGGTTGATTTCCTGCAATCTAGACGAGAACGGCTAGTACCGCCGTTCTGATCGTATCTCGGAGATACTAAATTCGACGCTTTGATTGCCTTCAAAGAAATCGTTTTCCATTTTCTAATCAACCGAATGAGAGAGTAAATCGACTGTCCCCTTCGGCTCCGCACCGAGAAACTACCAAACTCTAGTCCAAAGTCAAGTTAAGAGGAGCCTTCGTCAGAAATATCTGCCTATCTTTCTTCCACCGAGTCATCAACCATCCACGTGAACCAACAAACACAGTAAATTAATCATGGTTTTCCCATTGGTCAAAGTTTTCGAACGTCGTTTGGAGCACAACATGAGCCGTCATCGTCTCGATGCTTCTTTGGTTGCAAGTAAGTTGATCTTTCAGGAAGTCACCTAGCTTTTTTCCAGAGAGGCCTCAGCCATGTTGCAAACCCAAGATTTTCAAGGAGATCCCTCAGAAGACCGAGGAACCTCTGAAGGTGGCCGCTGACCAAGAATTGATGTCCCGATTCATCGATCAAGTCGCCATCCAAGAGCCAGAGATCAAACAAGGCCAAGAATCTGTTCCTGAAGTCTTCAAACCCATGCCTTCCATTCAAGAGGAATACAAGGACAAGATGTACAACAAGGACAAGGATTACTTCCATACCAAGAACTTCCATCGTGTGGGTTCTGTCGAGTCCAACTTCTACACAGAATCTGAGTCCGACTGTTCTTATTACAACTCGGCTTGATCAGGGAGCCCCTCTTCAACTGCTTTCGTGTGTGTGAGCCGAAAAAATGCGCGAACGATGCTATCAATAGTAATTGAATAGTAATGGAAATCGATTAAATGCTTAAATTTGCTTTATTTACCTTAATAAACTACTTTAGCTTCATTGAGGTTGAGGCTGGTCGGGATTATTGCCTTTAGTGACAGGCGGGATGAACAGGGATCCAGATGGGTTTGCCTGAAACAAAAATGCTAGCGAGGTTACTGTATTCTTTCATTTATGACGAAACGTAACTTTTTGTAAAAATTAATAGACTTAGGCAGTGACCGGGGTCAAGGAGGTTGCCAAAAATTACCCGAATATGGTCTCAATGCTTGACTATGATGGTCAAGACACTTTCTTTAGGTCAGCTCGCGACCTAGGTCGCGATACCGTTTAATATTTTCGCTTCGGGACTGGGAAAAAAGAATTTTTTGGTGAATTTGGACAAAATTTTGAAATGTTTTCGCTTCGGGACTGGGAAAAAAGTGTGCCTGACTGAATATGAACTGACTGAATATAAACTGTGATGTCGTCAGCACTAAAATTTTGTCTAAAACCGATAGTACCACCTGGTACTATATAGTACCAAGTGTTAAAACCGTGTTTTTGGGCTCTACTAAGCACCAAACCAACACCATTACCGCCTTACGGCCAAATTTTAACCTCGTACTAAATAGTACCAGGTAGTACAATTTAGTACCTAGTGTTAAAATCTGTTTTTGAAAGCAGTACTAGGCACCAAAACAAAACCATTAACGTCTAAAAGAAGTCGAAAAGATTTCAATTTCAAAAATCCTTTTTCCCAAGTCCCGAAGCGAAAACATTTCAAAATTTTTTCAAATACACCAAAAAAATTCTGTTTTCCCAGTCCCGAAGCGAAAATATTAAACGGTATCGTTGACCCGAAATGTCGTTGACCCGAGGTGTCGTTGACACGAAGTGTCGCGACCCGAGTTGTCCCTGACCCGAAATGTCGGGACGCGAAATTTTCAACGCGAAAAAACTCCTTTGGCGTATTCTAACTTCAAGTTTTAAAATCAATTTAAACTTCTTGTAAGCTGCAAAAAGCGCAAAGATATCCTCAAAAACTTTCTGCAACATTTCTCGAAACACCCTGTACATGGCACTTTGGGGCTCTACAAGACGCCAAAATTGAAATCAGCACCATCGAAAACACTCAAATCGAGTATTTTTAGAAAAAAAACCAAAAATTTCTTTTTAACAGTACGAATACATAAAATGCACATCTTTACAAACAGATAAAGGTTCTGAGGCTATTTGCCAGGATTTCAGAAATCTTCTTATAATGATTTCTGCGCATAATGACCGGACGCGAAATATTTTTTTGTGGCGTGACACGACAAGAAGCTCACCGTCAAATCGTTCTCCCTTTCATTTTCTTCGTTCTCTTCTTGATTTTCTCCCCCTTCATCGTTCTGGTTGGGATCAGGTTGTTCATCATCATCTCCATTTTCTGGTTCTGCGGAAGATTCTGCTTTATCTTTCTTTTCTTTTTTCTTCTCCTTTTTCACCTTCTCTTTCTTTGGTTTCTCAACTTTTCCTTCGGATTCCTTTTCGGATTCTGAACTGGATTCAGATGAACTTGAGTCGCTGTCTTCCTCCACGTTCCCATCGTTTCCATTTTTTGGTTTCTTGTTTTTGGATTTCTTGGCCTTTTTTTCTTTTTTGGCCTTTGAAGCTTTCCCATCCTTAGTCTTCTTGCCTTTACTCTTCTTGGCTCCAAGTTTCTTACTGTAATTTTAAAAAAAGTTTTAATTTCATTATTTGTGATAAGAGCTTACGAATTGGATGGTTTCTTCCTGTTTTTGTTGGTGATCTTTCCCTTTTTGCTGCCCTTCGGCTTAGTAGATTTCTTGGGGTTTGTGGTTTTTTTCTTTGGGGATTTTGAAATTTTGGACTTGACCGGCTTCTTGGTAGGGGATTTGGAAACCTTCCCAGGCATAGTGACCGATTTCTCGTGGAATAATCTTTTATAATGTTTACCCAAATTAAGATTCTTAATTACAATTCCCAACAAATTATTGTTAGTAAGTACAGTACATTTGAATACCGAGGAAAGAAATGGTGAAAGTAGAGATCTTGAACATAAGTTAGGCGCTTCTTCTTGGGGATTGTGATCCTTCAAGGAATTGTGAGGAATTTATGGAGTCAAACAGGAGAAGAGTCTGTCGGAGGCATTCTGGAGGTTGTTTGGATTCTGCTGGGAACATTGGGCCAAGAGAAGAAGAACCTGGGCTCGGATGATGTTATGCATCGGTGGAGGCAGTTTGTCCAATTCATTGGCCACAAGACGACCGAACAGGGCATTGGGGGAATCGTCCGGTGGTTGCTGGAGATAGGCAGCGGCAGCTGCCGCCATCGCCGAATTGAGATCTTCCTGAGGCGATGGAAAAAGGGAATTGAGGACATCCTTAGAACTGGAGCTGGATGTCGAAGTGTTCGAAGCCGAGATATTAGACTTCTTGAGTTGAGGAGATGCCCTGGACCCGGTTTGGTTGGAAGGAGATCGAGGAGGAGATTCTGGTTGATCCAGGAAATTGTTCTTGAACATGAAGGACGACGTGTCAAACTTCATTCGTTTCTGATTTATCAGCATGTCCAGAGCGCTTGGTGCACTGCAAAAGAACCAAATTTTAGTAAAAGGAGGCTGACTCAAATATTGTTTGTTTGTAAATTTACCTGTACGGTTCATCATCTTGTGGTGGATACCGGTCGTCATCGCTTTCGTCCTCTTCGATGTTCATGCCTGTATATTCTTCAGCTTTTCTCTTGTTTGCCGTTTTACACCTGTCATTACTAGGTGTTTTAAAACTTCATTCACTTACATTTTGTAGACTTCGCAGTAAGGGATTAAGAATTTGAGGGATTCGAAATAGGGGAATGAACAAGATGCTTCCCGGGTGTCTTCGCTCTTTGGTTTGAAGTATTCGACCCGGAATTTTCTTTTTAGCGATATCCATTTCTTGTAGGTCCCTTGAACTGAAATTATATGCCCAAGATTATTTTTTGCAATTACTATTAACCCGGCGTTATTTTTTTATGTTTTTACCTTGATTTTCGCTGCACCCAGCAGCTCTCATCACATTTTGAACCTCCTTGAACGCTTCTCCCTTCTTATTTTTGTTTTTGTAATCGAGTAGATGAACATTATAAAGCACCGGTCTCTTTTCCACAGCCGCAATAAGATGTTGGATATAGGCATCTTCGCTTAATCCTATATTATTATTGATGTTCAGCTCCTTGGAGTCTGGGATAACCATCGATGGAGAGTTTGAGAACATAAGACTGTGGTTGGTCATCACTGAAAAATGTAGATTAATGTTTATGCAGAAACAAATTTAAATTAAAGAAAGAGGACAATATTGGAAAAAAGTCATAAGAAGTATTTTGAGGTAAAAGTAAAATTAAGTGGACGATAATATTTTGACAGATCTCGATAGGAAAAGTCGAGAATGTCTCGAAAAAGAAAGTGAATTCAGATCGAGGGACGGATGATTGAGGCCACTTGGTTTCGGTGGTTCGGAATGTAATTAGGGGTTCGGAACTGGTTATGTTATAGTGAGTATCGCTTTACTCTCTTCTTCAAGTTGTTGACACAATAGCAATGAGGTAACCGGGTCAGATAAAAACACTTGAGAAAATTACGGTTACAAAAGCGGTGGCTTTTTACAGTACTCGTAATCAAAAGAGATATTCGAATGCGCGAAATATTACCTCACTCGCGTTACCGTAAGCTGACATCTCGTAAAGTGGTAATAAGATCGAAATGGTTCCGGAGGCAACGCCATCAGACCGCCTCCGATTTCACGGCGAAGGCGGTAAACTCGGAATCAAAGCCCCGATCAGATATACCTGATGCAATCAGCTCTTTGATGGCACGACAATCGACTCGGAATAAGGGTCGGGAGTCATTCCCGAGGCTCGAGCCGCGAGAGCGCCGAAAAGGATTGGTTAGCCTCGATGGGGGCGACCTGAACGGAGATCCGACAACCGATACGGGAGGGGAATCTGGAGACGAAAGGAGGACCGTTGCCACGTCTGAACGATAGTGCCTCGTCGTGCCGCCTCGTCTCTTCGCGATTGATTACAAGTCTTGACAAGATGATCTCGAGGTAAACACGGAATGGAATGAGGGAGAGAGGCAATCAATTGACAATCATTCGGGAATTAGGTCAATCAGACGACATCAAGAATGGCACCGGTCTCTTCAAGAACGTCGTCAGAATAAACCCTGACCGTACTCGTAACCATCCTCCTCACAAACACCGCCTCTCGTGCTCAAACAGGAGAAGAGACGGCCTCCTTATTGCCTCCGGAAACGGTACCAGAAGAATGCGGATGGACTCAATAATTGGGATGGCATTGTTTGGTTTGGGTGTTTCTCATTAGAAGGGCCTCGGCGGGTGTCAACGCTGACCTTTGGGGACATCTTTTCGTATGCAGAGCACGTTAGATCGTGTTTTGAGAAGAGAATATACTTGGCTTCTCTTCACACCATCGAATAATTAACGGGAAAGTGCGCACAGGCGAAGTGCCTCAGGGTATGAACCATCCGGTGAATAGAATAAAGGAACGCAAGTTCGAACAACTAATTCCTGAGACATTAAAATCACATGTGTAAAGGGATAGAGAGACTGTCGACAAAAGTATCCGAACTGTTGGGAACCGATAGGCCAACGGCCCGCGGCGCGAATTCAATTAGAAACGATGGTCGGATATAAGAACCTGGCAGAAGATGGACGTCTCCTGTCGTTTCAACGTCCGGAATTAAGCCCGTCACTGCGGCCGAAGGGACTGACATTTCTTTTATTAAAAAAGGAGATCTGCTAACGCGCGAATGACAGGGGTTCGTGCCCTCAGGGGCAGGCCTAATTAGCCGTTGGGACAGGTGTTTCTGAGGGTTTCTGCATTCTCAATCGGCCGCCTAACACGTTTACCGTAGAGGGAAGGATTTGCGACACAGACGAGGAAGAATGCGCGAAATGACCGGGGAAAGGGAAAATTAACCGAAATTTGATAGCAGAATTGACATGGCGATCCTCATTCGCAAAATATTAAATACAATATATATCGTTTAAACATAAGATTGGATGACGCTAACGTGCATAAATAATGTGTTTTAGCCTCAGGCAACCTTTCTTTTATGTTCTTATTCGCTTCCAATCAGAGTTTCGAATGGGTTTCTTCTGGTTGAATGGCATTTTCTCATCAAAACATGGACATATTATAGTTTAGTTGCTTTATCATAAAATTTAAATTAAACCGGGCCGGGTTCCATGTGACTGGGCTCATTTTTTCTGAGGGATCGTTGCTAATCTTTAGAGGAGTTGCTTTGATTTTTTGAGCGGGTTATCCTGCCCTCTTCCATATCATATAATTTGGGACTAGAAGAAGAATTGGATGGAAGGAAGGTAGAAATGGATGGGGATGATGTCTGAGGGAGCTTCGAACATATCTCTTGACATCGTTCCTGCATCGCTTTGTTGCATTTCAGAGTTCCCTCTAAGCTGTGAAAACTGAGGGCGTCAGATTTCTCATCGAAGCCTCCATCGATCGTTCGCCCGAGGGTTTCTTGCTGATGTTGGATTGGATTTTCCGGCCAAATTCTTTTTATGAGGAATCCAAAAATTAGAATGCTCGTCAGAGGGACAATTGCTGTCTAAAAACCTCGTCTATTTAGTTTTTAACGCAACGGTTTACCTGACATTCGTACCACAGAGCCTTCGTCGAATAATTAAATTCATTTTCGTGGGTATCACTCTTCACCATGGAGATTATTATGGACAAAAAGTGTCCATCAAGCACAACATTGGCCACGTACAGGCTCACAATCATACAAATTAATGGGAATGTGACGTCATTGAAGATAAACTGTTCGTAAAGTTTTTTGTTTACAGTCTCCAATCGCTTCATGACCTTAAAAAAATGGTTAGTCATCATCAAAAAACGTACCTTTTTCTTGCTGAAATAAATGTAAGAAACTGTATAGATGATGAGGGCAAATATATGCAGAGATAATAGGATGAAAAAGATGCCATTGAATTGAGTTGGAGTGGGGATCAGAGTAGAGCAATGGGGCTGATGCAGTTTGGACTGGGCGGTCTTATCAAAAAATAAATTCACATCAAACCCAATAATGGTTGAGCAGAGCCATTGAACGGATATAAGGAACAAACTGAGGTATTTGGAAGTTGAATTCTTCAATTTAAAACTCCAGGAGATCAAAGATTCCACGGCAAAAATGGTGGAAGATGTATAAATCCCGACAACAGAGATGTTGAACAAAAGACGGATCACTAAAACAGTTAAGGCAATAAGATAATCACCTACCATGACAATCGTTGTAAGTATAACTGAACCAGTAACATCTGGTATCATTTGCCCGGAATAAAATAACTTGAAGTTGATATACACTAGAAAGGAGGACACCTAAATTAAAAAGGTGGCAATTTCAAACAATGATGATAAATTCTTACCAATATCAGCAAACACTAATGCCACCAGAAAAGAAAGAATCAGCAATCGAATATGGACGGAAAAACATCGCCAGATGTTAATTAATAACCCGAGAATAATCAAGCAGATCAGAGAAAAACTGGCAAAGAAAAACTGAACCAAAAACAAGAACTTGAGAGGCCAGTTATGCTCGTAGACATGGGCAATCAAGCCACACAACTCCTGAGGGTACATAACTGGAGAAAGTGAAGTCAATTATCAGATACGGCGGTGAGAAAAAAGAAGTGGAACAACATCCGGATTAAGTGAAAACTCTTCTTAACGGAGAGAAAAGTTGGAGAAAGGTCGGGAGAGAGAAAACGAGGTGAATCGAGAGTTTGGAACGGTCATCTTCCTTAAAGTCAAGAGATCTCTCCGCGCTCCAGAAATCCCCCTTTTGAACCCCTTTTATGGAGCGTTTATTCTTCAGTGCAAACTGAGCGTGATGACAGTCAAGAAGAGACTAAACATGATCAGAAGGGATTGGAAGTAGCCGATTCCCGAATGAGTACATCTTTCGCGGCAAATGAACAGTTCGGAAACCTATAAAATAAATATGTAACGTCAATCCAGCGTAGTTGCAGCTATTTCCTGACCAGAGAGCGTTTTTTACAGATTGGAGCCTCCCACAACAAAGGGGCATGTCTAAAAATACTTTGACATGGATAAGGTATTTCACTAGAAGATTGTTTGGACGAATTGTCTATACTGGTCAGGAGATGCGCTGGATTGAGGTGTATGACGACAACTTTGTTAGTGAAAGTGAAGGTAAGAGCAAGCGAACTCACATCTTGCGCGGCCATTATCTCAGCAACAGAGCATCCCATGGATATTCTGGCTTCCTCAAATAAAATTTCGATGATTAAATAAACGATGACACACCTTGACAAAGTTCTTCCAAGTTTGACCGTCGATGTAATCAAACAAAGCGTCCTCCTTCGGAGCTGGACTACACGAAGAATTGTTCGCATTCCCAACGGATAAACAAGCAATTGGCCAGGCGTCAGAGTGGTTGTTGAAGAGGAACCCAGCATCATTGATATCCCAGCACAACTCATCCCGAGCATCCAGAACTTCCAATTCATCTCTTATATATTTATTATGCAGGATGTTTCGAGAAATATGACAAAAACTTTTTGCGAATATAAGAGTGAAGATATAAGAACGCAAGAGCCATTTTCAAAAAGGCTCTTGCGTTCTTATATCTTCACTCTTATATCTTCGTTCCAGGGTCAAAAAGATCCGCAAAAAAGGCACATCGCTTTCATAGCCCGAGACCAAAATTAACCGAATCATGGATTCTGCATGGGTCTTTGGCAACAAAAAAATCACATCACACTTTTTTCCAACTTGAAATGAATTACCCAAAGACTCAAAACGACGTGCGCCGAAATCTGAGGTCTCCGCCGCGCCTCCGCGGATGTGCGTAAAATCGAAAAAGCAAAAGAACACACCGTAAAATCCACGGAGGTGTAACGTAAACATAATTTTGGCCGTTGTAACAGATTCCACCATGTAATACGATGTAATTTTTAAAAAAGGCCCGAATGTCTCCGCCGAGAACTGGCCTAAAATGTCTTCGCCGATTCCCCCGCCGATTCGTTTGCCGAGCCGTTTCCACGAATGTCTCCGCCGACGGAAAATTTTTTTTGCTGGATACAAAATCGCCCAACTTCAATCTTTATAGAAACAAAAAGAATTTCAGCGATAACTCCCAAGAGCTCAAAGATATTCGCAAAAAGTCTTTGTCATATTCCTTGAAACACCCTGTATATTGCTCCCTCGTATCTTACTTGTTCACAAAACCTCCAATCCTACTGATATCTATCAATTCTTTGATTTTCTTGGCCTTTTCTCTCTTCTGAAGCCAAATCGAACGATCGACTTCAGAACAAAGATGCGTGGAGTTACAGGCAACACGAGAACTGGAGGTGAGGGCGTCATGACCATCACAAATGGAGAACAGAACAGACCAAAACACAAAACGAAGCATCTCTTCGGAAACGACCGACGGATTTGTTGGTTTGGTTTACAATTTTTATTTATATTATATTTTCACAATCAAAAAATTTTGTTACAGGGTGCGGTAAGAAAGCGGCAACTCACGTTTTAACTATGTTTTATTGAACAAACATAATTGAACGAAAGTAACAACAATATAAGTAATGTAGAGCTTCATAATAATATGTATAATATTTTGGCGCTGCGACGTTTCGGGTCAGGGACAACTCGGGTCGCGACACTTAGGGTCAACGATACCGTTTAATATTTTCGCTTCGGGACTGGGAAAAAATAATTTTTTGGTGAATTTGAAAACTTTTTGAAATGTTTTCGTTTCGGGACTTGGAAAAAAGGATTTTTTGGAGAGTTTGAACAAAATTTTGAAATTTTTTCGCTTCGAGAATTGGAAAAAAGAATTTTTTGGAGGGTTGTTCTGAATGTTACAATTTTATTTTACATAAGGTACGAATGTCATTTTTGGAATTTTTTAGATAAATAGTTATTTTAGGGGTAATTGAGGTTTATTTTAATTTTTTTTGGGAAAATTGTGTTTATAAGCAACGAGCAAATAAAAAAATCGTTATGTGCATACAGTCATTGTATCTTCTTACTCCATTCTCTGGCACTGTCTGTGTTTAAATCCTGTGCTTCCAGTTAAAAACATAAACAATGGATACGATTTTCTTATTTGCTTGTCGCTTATACACTATTTTCTTAAAAAAATTAAGAAATAAACCTCAAGATTTGTCCGCCGGACCAAAAAATAAGAAAGATGATGTTGCTCTGATGGATTCTTGTAGCTGAGATTTTTCCCGCACTCCTAAGACTGTTCTGACCCATTGATAAAGCCTCCGCCGAATCCTCCGCCGGGAAAAGAAAGTACGAAATTTTTGCCATCTGTGCATCGGATGGTAACAAAAAATCGTCCCAACCATTTTTCAACATGAACTTGCAAAAGCCGAAGGCCCAAAACAAAGCCCGCCGAAATCTGAGGACTCCGCCGCGCCTCCGCAGATGTGCGTAAAATCGAAAAGCAAAAGAGGACACCGTAAAATCCACGGAGGTGTAACGTAAACTTGATTTCAGCCGTTGCAACAGCGTTCCGCCACGTAATGTGATGTGATTTTTAAAAAGGCCATAATTGTCTCCGCCGAGAAATGGTCCCTCCGCAGACGGGAATTTTTTTTAGAGATTCTAAAAACCCACGATGTCAATTTTTGGAACCAAAAAGAAATTCGTTGATAGCTGCAAAGAATACAAAGATATATAATATTTCTTGAAACACCCTGTATACAAATGTAATTCTTGGATTTTTTTGATTGATTTAGGGGTGATTGAGATTTATTTTTTCATTTTTTTTAACAACGAAAATAGTGTTTATAAGCAACGGGCAAATAAGAATTGTATCCATTATTAATGCTTTTAACTATAAGTACCGGATTTAAATACAGGAAGTGCCATAGGGAGATTATACGGTACCTATCAGGCAGAGTAGAAGTTCTTGCGAGTTCACCAGTAGCTAAATAACGGAAATCGGGTGCGAGTTATTGAACGAAGGCGTTCAAGTTTGCTGGGCAGGTGTTGTATTTTTGCACAATTATTCGAATAATGAAAACTTCGCGAGTATTTGGAACTCCAAAAAAATCGCTGTAGATTCGGTTTTCCAAGTTTTGCGAAGTTCCAAGTTATTTGAAACTTCTAGTAGCCAGGCGGGCTCGACCCTTTTTGTTAGAGAAATTTTGTTTTAACACCATACAAATAGAAAAGATTACATGTTTACTAACAAATTTGCATTCAAAATCGGAGGATTAAATCCCCTCTGGCAATGATGTGTCATTCAATAATTCAGATTTTCAATATTCGAACTCTTTCCTTCCATTAGCCAAGGATCGGTCTGTACTGAAGTTACAGTAATCCTGGACCGTTGTTTTGCATGATTCGCCAATTGTTTTCGGTTATTATCTCCCATCACGTGATAAAGAAGCCGATTTTTGAGAGGCATCCGTTTGACCACTTCATCCAGGGATCGATCCTTTTTCTTGTTCTCTGTAATAATTAATGTAATTATTGTCAGATCTCCTCTTACTCTTCTTCTTTCCTTTCTTGTCCCCTTTCTCAGCATCTCCACCATTACTCATCGCTTCATCTTCTGCATCCAATTGTTCCGAAGCTTGTTCCAGAGCGGCCAGATACTCTTTATCTATAGAATCCTTCATATTGGTGGCCACGGCTTCGATTTGCTTCTGAATAATGGTCAAGACAGTCGAGACCAGGGCCAGTCCGATCAAAATCAGACACCCAACAGGGATAATGTACTTGGATTTGGACACAATCACATCGCCGAATCCAATGGTTGTGAAGGAGATGAGGACAAAGTAGAGGGAAGTACCGTAATCCCAGGTATCCTCCCACAAAAGGAAGATGTAAGCACAGAAGAATATCCATAGAATTGTTAGGAGAATGAGGAAAGTGACAGGGAAATTGAGGAGTTCTTCTTGGTCATCATCAGTCTCGGACTTGGTATCATCGGGACCAAGTTTCTTCATCTAAAATGTAAATAAATATGTTGTCTAAAGTAAGCACAAAGTTTCACTCAAAAAATTTCGAACTCAGTGTAAACCGTGGCCGAGACGCCGAAGTTTAGTCCAGGTTTAACTTTGGAGTGAACTTTTATCTTTGGCTGGATTAAAAAGCAAAATGTATAAATCGCTTCCCATATATCAATATCAAAACGCAGAAAGAAACTTACTTTTTTTTCCAGGTCCTTAGACACGCACCCGAATGTCCTGATCAAGAAATTCCAGAGTACCATGCAGACTTTGGCGAAGAGAGAGCCCAGGGCGATCAAGGAAATCAAAGCCAGAGGGATCCCGATGAAGGCGTATATGATTGTCAAAACCCTCCCCGTGGTCGTGGCTGGCGTTATGTTACCGTAACCGATGGTCGTGTAGATGGTCATGGCATAGTAGATGGATCCCCAGATGTTCCATTTGGTCTCATTCAGATGCACTTCCCCCACCCCCAACTTGTTTCTGTAGGTCACCAGAGTGTCAATAGTGTGGTTGTAGGCCTGTATAGGGTTCATATTCTTGATCGTATTGAGTCGGAAAGCGGTGTCCTGTAAGACCAGAGTTGGAAATAATTTTTGATTACCTCCAGGAGTTTTTCTCTTTCCTTTTTGAGTTGTTCCAGCTGATATTTCTCATTGGGACCTTCAACGGACAAGAACATGAAGGCTCCAACGATCGTAAAAACAAGGAGAATAACCACAGGGAGCACCGATCTGACTCCCTGTTTCAGATTCCCCATCAGATTGGCAATATGTTGCGCAATCATGATGCAAGGAGAGGGAGGCTCCGGGAAATGCCTGGAAATAAAAGATTTGTGCAAATGTGCAGCCCAATCTCAACGAATAACCTTTTTTTAAACAGTTGGTTGGTCGAGAACAACTGTCACAAACAAAATCAAACGTTCCGAAAGATTAAGACTGCCAACAAGCATGTGGAAGGTGTTGGAATTATGAAAATTGCAAATAAAGTCAAATGAATTACTCTAATTACTCTCTTGAGTACATTCTTCTTGTATGCTTTTGTCTTGTAATAAAATAATTAGTAAAGAAATCAATCCAGAACTCACCCTTAAAGTCTTTCGTTTTGATTTATAGAGCCGGCATTTGTTTTAAAAATTGGGAGGAGGAGCAAAAGATAATCATTAAGAGGTCAGACATCCACATTAAAACAGTTTATATCTATCGGAAAAGAATACATAACATAGAATTCGTCGTTCGTTCGGGAGAGGGAAGAGGTTTCTTTAAAAGTTTGAGGGAGATTGGCTTCTGGATTGGGAATAAACCGTCTTAAATATAACAGGTAAAAAATATGTTTGCGTGGTTGGCGAAAGCATCAGCCTAAAGTAAAAGAATTACTACAACTTTATGTGGTTGCAACTAATTTGACATCTCCCATTATGACTAATACGAGTATTCAAACCCAACCATAACAATAACATGACTCGGATGCAGGTCCCCCAGAGCACCGAGATCCTCGCTTCCGGTCAGTATTTCGTGCTCCAGTGCTTCCAGGGACTTGTAAAAGGATTATAAAACATTTTATTAAGACACATGTTAAACGGGACATTTCGTGAGGAAGGACCTTAAACTCGGGAGGGAGAGCCGAGGAGGTGGGGATGGTGATGAATCTCCTTCAATATTTCCCCTCACACTTTGGCACAATGCCTTTGAGTGATGGCTCGTAACCATCTGACAGACTCGGTCTTGAACACAGCCAGCGTCACACGGCCCCAGATCTCGACGGTAAACGTTTCTGGAAGTATTGTAATTCATTTATTCTTTTAATTATTCTTCTTTGTTTTTTTATTCTTACTTTTCGAATCTCCGCATAAATTGGTGATCATTGGGCATTTTGTGGACTAATTTCATCCATTCTTCTGGCTCCAATGAAGCCATATTGTACTCTTTTTTGACCGATGTGTACAAGGCTTTCCAAGGGGCCATGTCTTTGTAGGAATAATTGGCATTTGCTTCGATCAGGTCCAAATAATAATCAGCAAAATCGATTATTTTCTGAAATCAGATGTTAAATTAATTTAAATAACTGCTCACATAGGTCGAGTTGTTTCTGACCCCATCAATTGTGTATATACGATATCCTGGATTAACACCATCGTACGGGGTAGCACTGGGTCCACTGTAAGAGACCGAGGTGGGTCTGGAAGTGGCATCCTCGGGGTCCTCGAAAGTTAGATAGACCTGGGACTTGTGAGTATGGCCAACAAATTGGCCCACAATCGTATCTTCAAACCGATTTACCAGTCGGTAATAATTGATGGCCCATTGCTCGAACATTTCTCCTGCGCCTGCGGGCAAATGCGCCAAGATCTGAACCTTTTCCCCCCTTTTCTCGGCCTGGAGAAGTTCACTGGCAAACCAAGTCATCGTCCCATCCGGATCGGTTTGGTTCAGGTACAAGAAACTGCAATATATATTGCATAGATAATCCTGGATTTTAGTTACAGTAGATCTTGTGATAAGACTACAATTTTGTGGAAATCAATTTTCATTGACAAGCAGAGATAAGGCTTTGATGGAGGAAATAAACATTATTAATACAAATTAAACGCCAAGACAAATTTATCAGTCTCGTAGAAAAAAAAATTAAATTATTAGTAACTAATGACTTACAAGTTCATGTTATCTCCCAAAATCGAATTCAGAGAGATCAGCCGTAACTTGGGAGCGATTAAAGTGGAGAAGCAGGCGTTACTGCAATATATTTAAATACACAGTAAAATTGCAGTGACTTACTATCTAAAACTGTTCTGATCCTTGACCGTCAGCCATCGCCCAAAATGCTTGAGCATCGCATCGTATAACCAGGTCATCTGGAATTTCTCTGGCACCGAATGCGGGGCCACACTAGAAGAATGTTACAGTAAGAAATAATGATGAGTTTTGTTGTCAAATACACAAAACCTACTTATCCACAGGGTATCCTTCATGATTTCCTAATGAAAAATACAAAGGAGTTCTTGGGAAATACTTGTTGAACAGGGGGAACAAGATATTTATGGTCTCCAGATGCCCCTCCTTGCTGTATTCCCAATCAGCGTGGCTCTCCAAATCCCCGGCAACTACTATATAATCGATCTACAACAACACAGGAATCATTTCTGGTAAACTCATTTTACCCTTCCTTGCTTCGTAGATGCATGCTTTAACATGTTCTCAACTGTCCACAAAGGTGAGTCGCAATTCCCAACACTTCCCCAATATCCAGCCGGAGATTTGAGTGGTTTCTGAAAAGATGACGTCATTCTAAACCACCAACCATTGATCGTTCTTTTGGCCATCTACAACACATCGGTTCTCCACAATCAACCTCTGTTCCGACTGCGTATTCCAGATCAATGTGGAGGTCCGTGATGTGCAAGACCCGCAGAGTTGGACCGATTGTATCCTTAAATTCATTTAATTATCACTCTAACGGGGGCCTTGCCTTGGGCGGTTTTCTATCATTTTTCTGGGGTTTATTTCCGGGAATGGGAATAGTCCAATTACTGTATAAAGGGTTGTCTTCATGATCACAGTCCTTTAAGAGGAGACCGCAGACATGTTGGGGTTTGGAGATGAGCTCCTTGATCACATAAAGGAACTCCTCTTTGAATGTGGAAGTGATTCCTTTGCAGATATTGTGGGTCTGGATGTGGAACCGTTCACAGAGAAAGGAGATCAAAGGCTGGATGCATTCCTTTACCAGGTCCTTTTCGAATATTTTTTCCAATTCGGACACCACAAACTTGCAACTCTTACACGCAAGATCTTCGGAGTTGATCAATTGAACGGAGAGCAGCAGAATCAGCAGAGAGGCTCGCATTGTGGGCTGAGGCTAGAGCTTCCCGATAAGTAACTTATATACTCCTGATAAGCCCGATAAGAGAGAGGGCAACGAATTATATTTACTTGACACACGTGGAGACAGCTACTTTAGGGAACATATTTATTTGTACATGACAATCAATAATTAAAGAATCGACGGATTCTGGCTTCGGCCTTGAGGGATGTCGCCGAAACCACCGACTCCCGAGAATCCGAAGAGAAGTTTGAATCTAAAGAATTCTTGCGATTCAATCTAGCGGCTTCTTCTGGACTTGCAATCGGAGCTGGATGACGGCCAAATTGCTGAAGAAATTTATGCTGGAACTGAATCTGTTGCTCCGCATCAACATTATCGTAAAATGAGGTGGCCAAATCGAGAGGAGACTTCAGTTTGGGCTTGGACTGGGCTGGTCTGGTCATTCCAACTGGTTTTGGCATCGGAGGAAGATGGGTGGGTCGACGGACCGGAGAGGAATTCGTCGATGGACTGTTGATTGCATTGATGGACAAAGGGGAACTTCTTTGCTCGTGACCCGAGCCAATGGGGTCCTTTGAGTTTGGCAAACTCCTTGTCGGTGAATTTAACGAGTTATACCTTCCAGTTGGGCTGACGGACAGACTAGAAGGTGACGTTGTTGTCCGATTCACTGGATCGTTACTGGAATCTATCGACTGGTAAGAATGGGAATTCAAAGTGTTGATGTTGGATGAGTTTGTTGAATTTTTAAGTAAGTTCTGCGACGTTGATGGCCCTTCAGAATGAGGATAAACCAACATATTCTGATTAGTTCCAAGATAGCGGGTCTGCCGCGTATTGGATAAGAAGGCTGAATCTTGTGTTTCCAGTCGATTCAATGAACCAGGCATTTGTCGAGATAGTGGTTGCTGATGAACTTCTCTTGTGGGTGATGACGGAGAAGATCTTGAGGCACTAAAGGCACGATTGGCAGGAGAAAAGGCCCTTGATGCAAATATTTTGGATGAAGGTGGTGTAACTGATGAGTTTGTTGATGGAGACCTCGGCAAAGATGGGGCGGAAGGCTTTGTAAGTGTCGACTTGAGTGAAGACATTTGGGGAGATCTTAGAGGAGAAGATGAACTCCTGAGTGGGGGTTGGGGGAGTTGTTGGGCGCAGGAAAGGGCATCATTTTCTGAATTCGAATTCTGAACACCGACTTTCGAAAATCCCAACGGAGATCGAGAAGTTTGAGGAGACATCGGGGACCTTCTGAAAAATAAGGCGGATTTCTACGCATTTTATTGATTTTTTATGTTCAAAAAGAAAAATGGATATTCTGGCTTCGGGGAAATTGGACAGAGTGAAATTGGACAGAAACAAATTGGACGAAGTGTAGAAATTGGACGGATTTCTTTCACTGCAATCGTACGAAATGTCACTATTTTTATTTATTTCTTTTCTGTCCAATTTCACTCTGTCCATTTTCCACGGCGTCGCGACACTTGCGGGCAACCAGTTTGCGGGCAACCACTTTGCGGGCAAAAAAAGGGGGGTCACATTTGCGGGCAGCCTGGGACATTTGCGGGCAACCGACACTTGCGGGCAGCCGACATTTGCGGGCAACAGGAAAAAACAATATCCCAGGCTGCCCGCAATGCCGGTGCTGGCCGCAAATGTCGGCTGCCCGCAAAGTGGCTGCCCGCAAAAAATTTGCCCGCAAAGTGGTTGGCCCTATCTCTATCCTTAGGCGAGTTATGAAAATTTTCGAAAAATTGATGGGCAGAACTTTCTGATCACCTAAAATAACTAAAGTTTTCCCGGTCACTTTGAGCAAGCGGCATGGTTCAGTTATTTTAAAACACTATTACGGACCACAAGGACGTTATACTTTTTACCATCTACACAAGACTTTACTACCATGCGATGTGGAGTATGCCAGTAATGCCTTTAAAAAATCACTTGGGAATAGTCTCTAAACAATTGGGCGCTACGACATTTCGGGTCAGGGACAACTCGGGTCAACGACACTTCGGGTCAACGATGCCGTTTAATATTTTCGCTTTGGAACTTGGGAAAAAGAATTTTTTGGAGAATTGAGGTTTATTTTTTAAATTTTTTAGGGAAATAGTGTATAAGCGACGAGCAAATAAGAAAATCGTATCCATTGTCTATGTTTTTAACTGGAAGCACGGGATTTAAACGCAGACAGTGCCAGAGAGTGGAGTAAGAAGATAGTCGTAATGATTGTATGCACATAACGATTTTTTTATTTGCTCGTCGCTTATAAACACCATTTTCCCAAAAAATTTTAAAATAACCTCAGTTACCCCTAAAATAACTATTTATCTAAAAAATTAAAGAAATAACATTCGTACCTTATAAAAAATAAAATTGTAACATTCAGAACAAAAAAATCCTTTTCCCACGTCCGGAAGCGAAAACATTTCAAAAATTTGTTCAAACTCTCCAAAAAATTCTTTTTTCCAAGTCCCGAAGCGAAAATATTAAACGGCATCGTTGACCCGAAGTGTCGTTGACCCGAGGTGTCGTTGACCCGAGTTGTCGTTGACCCGAATTGTCGCGACCCGAGTTGTCCCTGACCCGAAATGTCGGGACGCGAACAATTGATCATAACCGCGGCCGTCTTTATAAAATGAGGCTAAAAATTGCAGTACTCCCTGCAGTACTATACTTATGAAAATTCCATACAGTACGCTTTGCTGCATACTGACGAACATAGGATAAAATTCTCCGGATATTTTTGCTTTTTGTGCGTGCACTAACGCAAAAATCCGAAAAAACGGAACTATTCCGATTTTCTATAGCTTCCAAAAAATCCTCAAATTTTGGTTTTCCTGTAGTTTCACCTCGAGAAGCTTTTAAAGGCGAGATCATGATGAATACCGTTAATATTAATCGTAACTAGTTTTTTTTCATCGGTCATTTTGACAAGAAGGAGCAATTTAGTTCCTAAAGTTTTTTATAATAGCAAAAATCTGCAAAAAACTTCCAAAAAAGTTCAATTTGACAAACGAAATGACAGAACAATTTGACATGACGGAAATGACGGCAGTTTGACAACGTGACTGAGTTGGCAACTTAACAACCCTAGTACCTAGCCAGTAGGTGCCCTTGCTTTTATATTATGAATTTATATGAATAACTTACTGTGAAATTGTTGGATTCGAAAAAGCCAAGGAGACTGGAAGCGAGTCCAAGTTCAATATCTGGTTGGCTGGAGGCTTTGCTTGAATTTCTCGATCTTCAAAACACTTCCTTTCCTCATTCACAAGTCGTCCTCCAGACGAATTGTTTGCCGGATCCAAATCAACTTGGTCTTCCTCGACTTTCAATGGAATCGGAATAAATGTGGATGGATCAGGTAAAGGCGGGGGACTGGGCGCTGCTAATTCATCGGCAACTTCTTGTTTCGGATAATCCTCAACAGTTGGTAGTCGAAGTGGAGGAGAGGGATCTTTGGAGGTCTCTCTGCTCGGCACATACATCGATTGGAGCATCATCCACTCCTCGTCACTCATCCAGTCCGGTCTTTCTCTTGTTTCATCGTAGACTAGATCCAGATTTAGCGATGGAGAACTTCGGAGCCCTTCTCTGATTGGTTGCAGGAGGTTTCTCATTGGGTTGAGGCTCTCGTTGTTTTTCTCCGTTTGCATTTTCCCGCCGTTGTTGAGAAGGGTTTCGTTGATGAATTCGAAATGAGGGTTGATGGAGTCCATTCCCTCATCGTCGTACTTTCTTTCGATTTCATTTATTTCCACCTGAATCATTGTTTTATTCTGATAATGCTTACTTTGTCATTGAATGTCACACTTTTCGGAACATTGGAGCCTCGACTGCTGTCACTTTGAGAAGAATCTCTTCGTTCGAGGATTGAGGAGATTGGAACAGCACTCTCTGATGTTGTTCTAGATACCCGTGATAGGTTGTAAGAGATGGCAGATGGAGGGGGAAGTCTACTTTCCCGCTGTGGGGTTGTGATCTGGCGTCGGTTACCCTGTAATTTTAACTTAAGATAGTTTGAATTATTAAAGCGCATCTCCGCTTCTGCTGCGCTCGAATGGTTGTTACCTGCAAAAATCCATTGGGTTGTTGGGATCTCAAGTAAGTCTCCACGCCATTGAAGGATCTGTCTTTTAATTGTTGATCTGATTGTGGAAGCCTGGGTTGAATGCGATTAGCAAGCGCAGTTTTGAGCAAATTTGAGGAAGCGCGGGTCTCGGATTTAATTCCTCGCCCACTCAGAGGGATATCTGAAATAATTCACGCGTTTTTCAGTTAGTTAGTTCTCGTTACTTACAATAAACAAACACTCACTTACTCGAGGAGGAATCATCGAAACCAGAAGCGGATTGTTGATAAGAGGAGTCCCTCATACTGAAATGGAATCGTTTTAAGAGGCGTAAAACAATAGAAACATGTGATAAACCACCGACCAGTCCAACTCGTCCTTGGAGAGGGGGATCTGGAGTGAATGTTTGCGTATACAGGCCATGGAAGGACACCGTTGCGGCATCAGATGCCTGAAGTGATAAGCGACCTCTGCCTCTTCTCTATGCCCTCAGGGGATATAAAAACGGCTCGGCCGATCGGGAAGCGGGTGAAGGGGGGGGCTGTCATTCACTTAGATCCGTGATGACATAATCCGTCATAGTTCGAATGAAAATATGTCACGAAGCCGATATTATTCCACTGATAACATTTAATGGCATGCTCGATTATAGGACTAATCAGAGGCCCGCTTATCACTTCATTTATCCCGAAAAACAACTGTTAAAAATGGAATGCCCTCAGGGGCTTTGTAGCTTTTGCACTGCAAATTCCCTGTCCATCCGACTCATTTATACATTTAGACTTTTTTCTCCGGACGGATAAAAGATAAATTTCTACTCAAATTACCTTTCAACAGACCCTGAGGACAAACGAAGACGATAAATTACTTTCTAGGTTACTAGTAACGTCAAAAATTTTAAAATAATGACCTGTAAATGTGATTGAGAGTGACAATAAGATTGATACGAATGACGGATGACATTGTCAGCCACGTTCTGCAAGAGTTGCGTTGTGGAAAAGGTATTTTAAGATGTCTGACATAGAATTAAAAGAATCTGGAGGTAATATCACCTCGACTGACGTCAACGAAACAATGCGATTCTGGATCTCTAGGACCCTGATTGATAATTTACGAAAGAAGAAAAGCCCCGTTTAAACAGTAGATCTCCCTCTCGCGGACATTGTAAGCTCTCTCTAAACCGCCCCAAGGAGATGACCCACCCTCACACTTCGTTTAGTCTGACCTCTTTTGTTCGCGCACTGAAGAGCTGCTTGTGGCCATGTTCTGGACCCAATCCGGGTACTTATGCACACAACACGACCGGATTCGACGGGCGCTTGTGGGGGTTTCTGGCCTTGAATGGAGGAAACACAGTAAAGTAAATAAATTTATGGGTTTATTCGAATACATTATAGAACAATTCGACGATCTCTGGTATTCCGATGAAAAATGTTAGTCGACCGTCCACAAAATCAAGCAACGTGCGTTTTACCATCACTAGAACCACGCAAATGAAAGCGACATTACAATATTTAGTTATGACTTATATGATGACAACAGCATTATAGAGCCGTTTAGTCTACTACTAAGCGGGCCAAAGAGTCTTGGCATGTCTGCACAGTGCATCGACGCACAAAAACCTTGTCGCGACTTTTCGATCAGCGACAAGTAAAATTCAGAGTGCACTCCGGCCCACACAATGCGAAATGGAGTTCGCTGGGAAGGGAGAAAGCAACTTATGTCGCGCGAATCAAACTGCACTGTACCTTTTACAACTATTTTTTTTTTTTTTTTGGAAACGTCTAGCAGTGTACTTTTCTCTCACTTCACGCAGTAGGAAGGCACTCTGGATAGAAAATCTGATTATATTGTACATGATATCGGTGATTCATAAAGCAAAGACATGTATTAGTCTGTCGGGAAAATAACGGCGGGTCGTCGCAGCAAAATGTCTCACCTCGTCGGAAAAAGGTGCAGACGCGCACCAAACTCTAGCTTCGGCAGCCGTCGCAAAGTGATGATGAGCGATTTCGTGGCGCGACGACCCGCCGTATTTTCCCGACAGACTGATACATCTTTTATACATTTGTTCTTTTAGGAAACAGGCCCTTTCGGGTTCAAGGCAAATACTGGGGTCCCCCGGTCCTGGAGCATAAACAATTATATAAGGATGGTGACATACAAATCAAATCGGGTTTCGTGGCCAGAAACCGTCATTTCTTGTCTGTTAGGCTTCTAGACAAGAAATGCGCAATTCTTGTCTGAGCAGAGAAAAAAAGAAAAAAATCTCCACGGGGAGAGAGCAGAAATTTGCGCAATGTTACGCAATTTCAGACAAGAATTACGCATTTCTTGTCTAGAGCCCTAACAGACAAGAAATCGCGGTTTCTGGCCACGAAAACCGATTTGATTTGTATGTCACCATCCTTATATTAACTACTGATTAATTTTATGACGTAATCTCGTAAAATTTTTGAAAAAAATAGTTATGGTTGAAAAATGTAGATTCTGAGGTAGTTCGGCACATTTAATCCGAAAATCACAATCATTTTTTCTTACATTTTTTATTCTGATTATTGAATATTCAAAATATTTTTTAGAGCTTTGGAAACAGACTGACTCGTGGGGTTTCGAAAATCACATTCATTTTTTGGGTTTTTTTTCAAAATTAAAGAGACAGGAATTTTTAAAACGAATTTGTTTTATCATTTTTTCAAAAATTTTACAAGATTACGTCATAAAATTAATCAGTAGTTTAAAAAAAAATAATTATTTATGCCCGGGACCCAAAAACACCAGTATTTGCCTTGACACCGAAAGGGCCCACCCCGAAAGGGCAGTAACCCGTTTTTCTAGTATATGAGAGGAGTGCTTGTTTCTTTAAACATCGCAACTTTTTTCATTTGGACAGTGAGGTGTTTTTATCTTGTTTTTGCACCGTGCTGACTTTTCGTTGCGCGCCGCCACGTCGCAATGCCGCCGCATAAGCCTGCACATTGCGAAAAATGTCAAGACCCTTGGCCCGCCTAATAAAAGCGTTTAGGGAACTCACGTCTTCGGGGCTGGACGATGGAGGAAAGAGCTGAGCAGATCGATTGGCAGTGGAAATATGATTGTCGAGTTTTTCTCCGCACTAAAATACAGTAATCCTCAAGATCAATATACCTGATTGAGTTCAAGGTCTGGAGGTATCTGAGTTGTAACGCAGAAGGGGACTCCGCTATCACTTCAGCGGCTTCTTTCAACGCTTTAGATGCCTTCTGTTCTCCTTCGGCTACTATTACCTGTAAATTTTAAAGTCAGTAAAAGGATTTAATGCGTAATATCAATGAGAATAAGGGGCTTGCCTTTGCTCTGGCTTCTCTGGCCGCTTCGGCTTCAGCTGCCATTGCCCGTTGTAACTGGACTGGCAGTCTGATATCCTTAACCTCCACTCTTTCCACCTTCACTCCCCAAGGTTCAGTGGCATCATCGAGAGTTGCCTGGATCTGAAGAGAGATCGCTTCCCGATCCGATAACATCTCTGCTAACGTCTTCGTACCCAGTATATTTCTTAGCGTGGTTTGAGCCAGTAGTTTCGTGGATCGGCTAGCGTCCTCGACATTTGTCACGGATATAGTGGCATTTGAGATACGGAAGTATACAACGGCGTCTACTGCTACTGTCACTGAGTCTTTTGATAAAATCTAAACAGTCAGGGAGAATATCATTGCAGTTGGAAATGTGGCTTTTAAGAGCGGAGTTGGACGATTGGGGAAAAAGACGATTGGGGAAAAGTACGATTGGGGAAACCGAAAAGTATTATTTTTCTTCGATGCAAATGTCGAAATTAGGATAATCGAGGGTGCTCATTTCGAAAATGACATTCTTTTTTTTGATTCTTACTTTTTTTCTTAAGTAGTACTGTAAAGTGAAGTAGTAATTTTTGATTTTTTTTCATAAATACTCGATATAAGGGTTTTCGAGGGTGCTGATTTCGAATATCGGGTTTATTTTTCCTCTAGTACTACATAGTACTGTTCTGATACTATATAGTACGAAGTGAAAATATGGCTTTTGACGTTAATGGTGTTGTTTTGATGCTTAGTACTCTTCAAAAACACGTTTTAAAGACTTGGTGCTATATAGTACTGTTCTGATACTATATAGTACGAAGTGAAAATATGGCTTTTGACGTTAATGGTGTTGTTTTGATGCTTAGTACTCTTCAAAAACACGTTTTAAAAACTTGGTGCTATATAGTACTGTCTGATACTATGTAGTACGAAGTAAAAATAGGCGTACTAAGCACCAGAACAACACCACGAACGCCTAAAGGCCAACTTTACACCTCGTACTACATAGTATCAGGTAGTACTATATAGCACCAAGTCTTTAAAACGTGTTTTTGAAGAGTACTAAGCATCAAAACGACACCATTAACGTCAAAAGCCATATTTTGACCTCGTACTATATAGTATCAGAATAGTACTATATAGTACTAGAGGAAAAATGAACATGATTTTCGAAACCAGCACCTTCGAAATCCCCTAAATCCAGTATTTTTCGAAAATTTTTAAAAAATTAGTACTTAACAGTACTACTTAAGGAACACTAGTAATGTTCAGAAAAAATAAACCCGATATTCGAAATCAGCACCCTCGAAAACCCTTAAATCGAGTATTTATGAAAAAAAATCAAAAATTACTACTTTACAGTACTACTTAAGAAAAAAGTAAGAATCAAAAAAAAAAGAATGTCATTTTCGAAATGAGCACCCTCGATTATCCTAATTTCGACATTTGCATCGAAGAAAAATAATACTTTTCGGTTTCCCCAATCGTACTTTTCCCCAATCGTCTTTTTCCCCAATCGTCCCTTTCCCCAATCGTCTTTTTCCCCAATCGTCCCAGTTCCTTTTAAAAGACGATTTTTGGCTCGCTGCGTCAGCCCGTAATGGACCCGGGACATAGGAAAAAATCGATTTTGAGTTTTTTGCATAAAAATGACCATTGACATGTGCTGAAGAAAAGCAAACAACAGTTTTTCTCAATTCTGCCCGGAAGGCATAAATTTGCTTAAATTTGTCTTTTTTGGAATTTTCGACCTGGTGACGTCATAGAAAGAGCAAATCACCCAAAATTTTGCTTAGATACGTTTTCGACCTTTGGGAATTCATTTCTTTGAAAATTAATTCTCTCAGATTACTGTAACATAGGCATATTGTAATCCGGTCGATAAAAATCGACCGTAACTCCTTCGTATCAAAAATCCCACAGGATTTTATTTCAGATTCGGAATCAGCATAAAATTCTGCATATTATACACATAATGTGAGGTCATAACTCCAGGGGAGATCGCGTAGTATATTGGATTTTGGCAAAAATTACGTTTGAAAGGTCGCGGGTTCGATCCCCGCTTGGTGCAAATATTGAAAACACGGCGGAAATCGCGTTTAATGAACACCTAAGGGTCATGTGAGATACACTAAGCATTTTAAACATTAATGCATGTCTAATTGCGATTAAAACTGATTTTATATAATTTTTGGAGACTGAATATGCAAGAAATGAAACTGCTTCAAACCGCTTGAAATTGACAACACTTATTCTAGGGTCAATTCGAAGAAACTTTTCCGTTAACTTTTTTTGGTAGATCACCGTACCGTGGATTACTGTAACATTAAACCTGATTTGGTTTTTCGTATACCACATGGCGCATAGAAGTCGGATTGTCGTCATTGTGTTCAGGATGGTTAAGAAAGAGTTTTCTTGTGCACAAAAAAATTTTTATGGCTGTACCGTTTGGAACGGCCGAGTTATTTGACGCACTTTCACCAATTTATTATGACATCAAGACGCGTTGCAATTAAGGGCGAATTTTCTTTCATACATAGAAAGTGGATCCTTTCGCTGTCTAAAGCCACTAATTAAAATGATTTAATATTTTATGCAAGAATTTTTTAGAAAATTGCTGTTAATCAGGACACGTTTAACGCTACAGTAATCCATGGTACGGTAATCTACCATAAAAAGTTAACGGAAAAGTTTCTTAGAATTGACCCTAGAATAAGTGTTGTCAATTTCAACCGGTTTGAAGCAGTTTGATTTTTTGCATATTCAGTCTCCAAAAATTATATAAAATCAGTTTTAATCGCAATTAGATATGCATTAATGTTTAAAATTGCTTAGTGTATCTCACATGACCCTTAGGTGTTCATTAAACGCGATTTCCGCCGTGTTTTCAATATTTGCACCAAGCGGGGATCGAACCCGCGACCTTTCAAACGTAATTTTTGCCAAAATCCAATATACTACGCGATCTCCCCTGGAGTTATGACCTCACATTATGTGTATAATATGCAGAATTTTATGCTGATTCCGAATCTGAAATAAAATCCTGTGGGATTTTTGATACGAAGGAGTTACGGTCGATTTTTATCGACCGGATTACAATATGCCTATGTTACAGTAATCTGAGAGAATTAATTTTCAAAGAAATGAATTCCCAAAGGTCGAAAACGTATCCAAGCAAAATTTTGGGTGATTTGCTCTTTCTATGACGTCACCAGGTCGAAAATTCCAAAAAAGACAAATTTAAGCAAATTTATGCCTTCCGGGCAGAATTGAGAAAAACTGTTGTTCGCTTTTCTTTAGCACATGTCAATGGTCATTTTTATGCATAAAACTCAAAATCGATTTTTTCCTATGTCCACCGCTGACGCAGCGAGCCAAAAATCGTCTTTTAACCCTTTCCGGACGAGTCGGCACGTATATATTAAAATGAAAGAGGGTACCCTACTGAGTAACGGCATAATAGTGGTTCAGCCCATCGAAGCGTTATTTGGGACTTATGACAAAAAATGTCCTTAAAAGTACCCCCACTTGACATATCACTTTTAAAATTTTTGCGACAAGCTGTAAATCGGAAACTACCCCTAAATTAAAGTCGAGGAGTCCTAGTATTGTTACATCCAAGAACTGTCCAAATCGGAGCACTATAGGATTTGTTATCGATTTTTGGAAATTGAATTTTTAATTTTGGTCAATTTTGGGCCTAAAATCAAGTATATCTTCCGCCGGTATCAACCATTTCGGTCCAAACGTGGTTTTTCCGAATCTATTGTGATCCTACCTTCTTACTAGAACATTTCCACAAAAAACCTATGAGGCATATTTCTGTAAAACGCGGAAATGTTGAAAGTGTAAAGGTTTGATCGTATAAAATGTCGCCGCGAGCCGCGAAGGGACGGGCGCAGCTCGAAACGAGAAAATAATAATTTTTTCTTCAAGAAATATTATTTTGGTGTCGAAAAGCTGATTTCAACACGAAATACAGGCAGAAATAGCACGCAAACATTACCTAAATGCCATTTTTATATTTTTACTCTGTTTTCAGGCAATTTCAATCGAGTTTAATTTGGTTTCACGCTAAAATCAAACTTCTGGAAAAATTTTAAAATATTTTCTCGTTTCGAGCTGCGCCCGTCCCTCCGCGGCTCGCGGCGACATTTTATACGATCAAACCTTTACACTTTCAACATTTCCGCGTTTTACAGAAATATGCCTCATAGGTTTTTTGTGGAAATGTTCTAGTAAGAAGGTAGGATCACAATAGATTCGGAAAAACCACGTTTGGACCGAAATGGTTGATTCCGGCGGAAGATATACTTGATTTTAGGTCCAAAATTGACCAAAATTAAAAATTCAATTTCCAAAAATCGATAACAAATCCTATGGTGCTCCGATTTGGACAGTTCTTGGATGTAACAATACTAAGACTCCTCGACTTTAATTTATGAGTAGTTTCCGTTTTACAGCTTGTCGCAAAAATTTTAAAAGTGATATGTCAAGTAGGGGTACTTTTTAGGACATTTTTTGTCATAAGTCCCAAATAACGCTTCGATGGGCTGAACCACTATTATGCCGTTACTCAGTAGGGTACCCTCTTTCATTTTAATATATACGTGCCGACTCGTCCGGAAAGGGTTAAGAGGCACTTACTTCTTGAGGCGGAACTTCGAACGATAGAACCCTTAGATCAACCTTGCGATATGTGTCAATACATGGAACAATAAAGAAAATGCCTGAAAAAGTTATTTTATTATTTGTCACTGATATGAAAGATTTTTTTAAATCTACCTGGTCCTTTAGCGCCTCCGGGCATTAATCGACCAAGCCGAAAAATGACTGCCCTCTCGTATTCCTGGACCACTTTTATACACATACATAACGAAATAGGCATGGTAAAAAATATCAAAATATAGGATAGCCCAGTCAAAATCCATCCACATATTCCAAACTCGTTCTGGATGTTCGCTGCAAAAAATACTTATCAGTAATTTGAAAAAAATGAAATCGCAGCCTGCAGGATTCGAACCTGCGCGGGCAGAGCCCATCAGATTTCGAGTCTGACTCCTTAACCACTCGGACAAAGCTGCACAGGGCGCGTTTGCTTTTAGGAGGCCTTCTCTCCTTTCGGCTCAAATAATAGCAAATAAATACCGTTTTCCGTTTTATTCTCTGTTTTCACTTCGGATTTCTCATCAATCTTTCCCGTCTTGCCTGGGGAAATTAGAAAATCAGGTTGCACAACACGTCCAGAGCCGCTAGATTCCCCCATTCGCTAAATAAGACCGTCAAAATATGATCTGTTACACTCACAACCTCAGGAAAGTGAGCGAGAGTCTTCATGGCCATCCTCTCGACCTCATCGCTCGAATCAGAAAGCCCATCATCATCTTTGGAGCTCAAGGAAGGCAATGTCATTATTCCCTCATCCTCAACTAATTTGGTCTCAACTTGGGGAAAGGACGGATCCTCTGCGGTCTGAGAGATCAACGAGACAACCGAATGCCGAGCACTCATCTAGACTAAACTAAGCGATTAACTGATGGAATGCATGACTAAACTTGTCTTTGCAAGAATCAGGTATTCAAATATGCATGTCTTTTTAAGGAAGTCATCTATTTTTTGAATTTATGGACACGAAACTCAAGGAGCATGCGGATCATTCCCGCAAAAAATTTCATTGCCCGAGGAGTTAGAATGTTCTTGGCTTATTAAACGAAACATACGGAGCGACACAGCTTAAGACACAGGGGGCAAAAATCTCACCTGCCATCAAGTCAATTCTGGCGGATCTAGTGTGTTTGGGTATGATGGGGACCTGGCGACGTCTCTGCGCGGCTAGCGCTTCCAACTCACTCATACATGACCTCATCGACCTCTTCCTCGACATCATCGGTGTGTGGCTGTCGAGGCTGACGAAGGTGGATTTGCGTCGATTCATGACTCCCAGGTTCATACTGGAATCCAAGAGTGAGAGAGACCCTTGTTTCTCGTCGAAGGTCGAGAACGGGACAGATTGTTGAATACTTGAGGAGGGGGGACGGATGCTTGACGTTGAGGTGCCCGGAGAGACGAGGGCCGCCTGTTCCTCCATCCAGCATCCATGTTCGGCCGAATGCGCACCTGGATGACTTGTTTCGGTGGGAGAGTCGGGTCGTGTAGCTGTTAAGCCGTCCGGGGTCGAGAGTAGAATTAGGTCGGGTATTTGCGGTTCCATGTTGGTGATGACGGCGTTCACATATTGCAACGAATCGCTTATCTGGGGACTCGTGGAGAGAGGTAATTAGACGCAACGAAAGCCAGGACTTCTTGACTCCGTCCACCGCGAGGAGAATGAATTTAAATTAAAACAAGACTCGCTCGACCAGAAGTTCTTAACTCCTTCTCAAGTATTATTCTTGGCAATACGTGTGTATTGTCCGGGTAATAGAATGCACAACAAATTAGAAGGCGGAATATAAGTTAGAAAAGAATTGGCCAATTCTTTTCAAAAGCTTTGCCACAAATTTATTCCCTTTCTTGCGCCTATGTATTAGAACGCTGTTGGAGGGCCAACACTTTTCTCCACACAATCAAACAAACTAAAGATTCCAGAGGTTTGAGTCTGATCCACCTGTCTCTTTGTTTCCTGAAACGCTCAAAAAAAATCGGCTAATGGCAGGCGTTATTAACGGGTAATTGGTCATATCGGAAGACCAATAGTTCTTGTTCGAGGCCATGAATCAGAAACGTACGATAACAGAGAAAAATGTCCGACGCTTTCTCCTTGCGGGAACATCAGGGGCGATGTTAAATAATCAAAAAAATCTAACAAATGGGCAATTCGAAGGCACTACGACACGCCGTTACTTATTTTCCCGACAGACTGATAGTCACGTCATAAAGTCCCGGCATTTTTGCACCGTGCATTTTTCTTTTCTTACGCGCCCGTCGCGGCAATTCCCGTTTTTTGCACTAGCGACATGCACTTTCGCACGAGCTTGCTCCAATTTTCTCGCGCGACAAATGTGTCAGGACTTTATGGCGCAACTAGTACTTACTACCTTACTTAAGCAAAATAGTAACGATCAAAAAAATTAATGTCATTTTCGAAATCAATGCCATCGAGTACCCTAATTTAGACAGTTACGAAGAAAAATAATATTTTTTTCAGTTTCCGCGCTTGTCTTTTTTTCAAGTCGTCGCTCTCCGGAAATGCATAGTGCGGAAATTGTCCAAACTTTTGAGCGCGGGTAGTACTAGTCCGTCCGTAAAGTCGCTGGAATGTTTTCGGCGACGCGCACTGTGCAAGAAAACTCAGGGTGCGAGCGACGTCCCAAAAAAGCTCATTGCACTGTGCAAAAAGCCAAAAATTGCACAGTGCAAAGTGAACTTTCGGTTTCGCGGGGTGCATGTCGCCGAAAACATTCCAGCGACTTTACGGACGGACTAATATCAGCACTTGATTTATGCCACAAGAAATTGTTTTTGTACCTCCCAAAAATTTCAAAAGTTCTATTGTCCCAGAATTCGTTGTTTGATATCCGGTTAAGTAAAAACACGCAATCCTAATCCACACATAATCCACAGTGTTATGAGTGCAAATGAGGTTACAATCGCTTTCCCCACGCCCATTAGCACCTCCGACCGAATCCAGACGAGATAAATAACACTCCAACCCAACCCCATAGCCTCACCCCATCCCACAATCAGCTATAAAAAGAATCGTGTAAAACAAACCTTCGTCATACTCCTGATACACATTGTAATATTTGGTGGGATAATGGCGAAACTTTTCGACGCGAATGGCAGGCTCCTGAATGTGCATGTGGAGTTGCGCGGCCGAAGCCGAGGGATCCGCAAACGCCTCGGGCTGATCCCGGCCCTCCTCTCCGATTTCAGTCCCCGGATCAGATTGCGGTTTCAGAGCATATGTGCTCGTACAAATCGTTTCAAACTCCGACTTTAATGTCCTTTCTGTGGCCAGAAGAGCTTTCCAAATCGAATATCCCAGACGTTTTTCGGGGCATGCCCTCAGGTCCCCACAATTTCTTGATTTCCGGTATGTAAATCGGGAACAAATAAGGTTCGCAGAACGCTAACGTAACCCACGCAAACTCATTTAATAGATACTTTTGAAGTACATACATATTATATCACTTAAAGACTTACCGCCAAACACTTCTATTCCGTTTTTGATGGTATAAGATCGGGCTGTGTATTTATTGAGATCTCCCCCTTTGAACTCGCTAAACTTGCTGTCAGCCGTCCGCTTTTTGGTCATGAAAACCTAAAAACAGAGAGTCAGCAAAAAACTCAACGATTTCTTAACAAATTACACATAATTCCAACAGTTGAAGTCAGAAGATAAGTAACTGTTTACATTACAAACAACAGAAAGGAACATGACAAAAATAAAGCCGACGGTTTCCTACAAAAAGAGGCAGCCTACAGGTTCAAACCCATATTGTTCTTGAAACATTCTAATCCTGAAGCTCTCATGGGCCATCTTGAACTTGCTCTTGGGTTTCTCGAAAGGACCAGAAGAGGTACCAGCCTCACGAAGAGATCCCCTGGATGCCTTAGGAGTCAATGGTCCTGCAGGAGTACCTGATGTCGGACTAGCACATGGACCCACAGGAGTCCCGGCACCTGCGGGCACAGGACTCATGGTATGGAGATTGGTGTCGTCCATCAACGGCGCAGTGTATTTCTTTTGCTTATGGCTCCCCGTGCTTGCTGTCCTGTTTATCCTTGGCTTGAAAATGGAATCAGAGTCAAAGCCGAGCTTGGTGGGAGTGTGGGGAGGGGTCCCTTTCTTCTTCTTACTTAAATGGGGCATGTTATTGTAAAAGAAATTATACAATGGCTGGAAAGGCTTCTGAAGGATGCAATGGAAGATTAAATAACGGAGTATGTAAAGATCCGGTCATTGTCCCAGGCTATTGCACGCGAAAAGCTGCCCAAGTTAATCCTTTTTCTGGCTAATTCTTATACAGAAAATCAAAGACGGTATCCGAAATTCTCGTCTTTATCAGGACTTAAATGGGATGGCACATAATGGACCATAACCATGCTTACTAGAGTTTCGAACCCTCGTTACATTATCCTGCGGCAAACACCCACCTTCCCCCACTGAGGACCTTGCTCAAGTCCAACGTCGGTGGTGGCTCCTTCGAACTGCCAGCGGCTGGTGAGGTCGGATCTGATTTGGGAGTGTGATGAAACTGGAATTTGCGCAGCTTCTTGTCCTTGTCCTTCATGACGGCAGAGTAAATTGAGAGACCGACAGTTACGAGACGAGGCCGCTTTCAATTGTATCACCACCACGAGCCGAAGCCAAACTCGGCATCGGATTTGGGATTAAGGCCAGGATTATGGGAGAAAAGGTGGCCAAGGAAAGAGGAAAGCTTGCCCATTACACATTGACACCGAAATTACATCTACAGTCCCAACTTAACACTTGACATGACACCAGAAATTTGAATAAATCTGATAAAACTTACTGGTTCTGAAATGGGAGCATGTTGTTCTTGAAGCATACGAAGTCTGAAGCTAGCATGGGCAGCTCTGAAACGGCCAGGCTTCAGATTTGGCGCTGAACTCATCTTCTTCACCTTAAAGGATAAATAAAGTCGGCTACAAGGTCCGATCAGCGTATAAGAATCGAGCCAATGAGGACACTACTCTCTCTTATCTTCTTCTCTTTTCCTCTGGCAAAATAATTTTAGACTCCTCTAAGGGAATGAGACCAAAGCCGATGACCGGATTAACCGTCCCACCAGGACGGACTGCCTGGGCAATTCTATTCGTGGCCACGTCTTCTACAAACATGAACGATGCAAGAAAATTTCAATTTATTTAGTTACAGAAAAAATCAGCTTCAAGTTACAGTAGTCTCGTAGTCGAGTCAGCTCTTTTCCCAATCGTATGGATCCTCGATATTCGCTTGGCATGCCGCACTTGCCTAAAAACAGTCCATTAATGACATATCACGTACCAATTTCATATGGTCATAGATGAATCCGTAATCCACATGATCGGTATATGTTAGTTTATCGACGTAATCGACGACTCTGCCAAGGATACTGTCACACTTCATGTTTCCGAAAAGGACCTTATTCCGTCTCTCGGGCTTTCGGGATTCCATTTTGCACAGAAGAACGTCTTCTTTGTCGCTAAACTTTTTCCATGGAAGTCCGCCAACCACCAGGAAATCAAGAAGAAGGTAGATCCAACTCTCGACGTCATCTTTCGGAGAAAGTTCTTTATGACGATGGCAGTTTATAGCTGCAAATCGAACTGTTCCTTTAAAGGGGACCTTGTTTCTGGGTGTTTTTAGGTCTCCATTCTCATTTGTAAATTTTCTAGCGATGCCAAAGTCAAGAAGAAATATCTGAAACACGGCCAGGCCTGGAGTTTAGAAAAAGTTTCAAGTCAAATATTACGATTCTTCTCTCCAATTCCAGGCCTCGAGCATAATTGGCTGGTTTGATGTCTCGATGAATATATTGTTGTCGATGCAACTGTTCGATGGCCTCTAGACATTGAATGCCTGCTCCAAATGCTGTTCCTGGAGTAAAGACTTTGTTCGGCCGCTCTTTTTTCATATCCTCCAGACTTGGACCCACTAATGTCATCACCACAAATTGGAATCCCTCGGCTTTTCCCCGATCGACGATTCTGGTGAAATGGTATGATTTCCTGGCCATAGAATCGAATGCTCTCAGGATGGCGATCTCCATCTTCAATTTGCTCTGTTTCCGGGACTTGTATTCCACTTTCATTGCGTACTCTCTCTTGGTTTCTCGGTTTTCGACTCGATAAACAGCGCCGAATCCTCCTTCGCCCAGTAGTCTCATCACCACATAATTCCCATGACTGGCTTCTACAACCTCACCCTAAAACAATCAATAATAGTTTCAATAGATTACTGTAAGATACCTTTTTGAGACGCGCGTTTGACTTTTCGCTCTCGGATTCTGACATTTGGAGCAACCGCACTTGCCGAGAACTTGTAGAATAAAAGAATGGCTTGCCTTTTCTGTAATATTGTGTCATCATTGGAAAAAATGCAAATTTCTTGAGTAAAAGATAAGTTGAAAAAAACCCATTCATTTCGTATTTTTCAAAAAAATGATTGGGGAAAACACTCAAAACCAAGAGATTACACAACTGAAATCTCGATTGACTGATGTGGAAGGACGATTGGCCTGTTATATTCTGGAGGCACTTCAGAAACAAGCCCGTTGTGATATCAAATTCATGAATCGAGTAGCGGATGACCAAGTTCCACATTCCTTTTACAGCCTTGTCTCAGTAGCGGTGTTTATTAGTTCGCATGGCGTTGCGTAAGTTGGATCATCTGTATGATTACAGTAAGTTTTACAGTATCTCGTTCCTTTTGTATCAACTTCTGCGACTATGGTATTTCTATTTGGTTCCCATTTCCAATGTGATGAATGTCCTTTTCAAGGACAATTTTGTCCTCGAACCTTTCTTGATTATCCTTTTATTTAATGTGCTGAGAATCATAATGACGGTATTGACTGGATTTATATGCATCATGTATTTGATTGGCTTTTTCGTACTCTGGCAGGGGAATGCCCGGAGGTATTCGATCGTGTTCGGAATCAGTCGGATTCTGAATTCTCTCTTTTTGATGACTTTGGGAAGCCTGGGTAAGGGACGCAATCATTTGCATAACATTTTAGTTGTCTTACTTCAAATAAAAGACGGTGCTGCAAGGTCTTTAATAGGTCACATTGCCTTACATGGGATTGATGATAATCGTATCAATTCATATGACGTCATCCAATACGAACTTGGATGTTGCGGATTTTATACTTATAATGATTGGCATTACAATCGACTCTTCAATTGGTCTGATCCAGTATGATTTATGTAATATATTATATATACTACAACCCTCAAAATTAGGGTTGTTATGTAGTTAAAAGCCGTAAGAATTTAAAATTTTTAGGAACTAAATGGCCCTTCTTGTCAAAACAACCGATGAAATAAGCAGTACAAATAGTTACGAGTAATGTTAACGGTACTCATCATAGCCCATGTTAAACTCCCGTTTGAAACCTCCATATATCAGAAATTTCAATTTAGCCAAAGTTACGGGAATGACGCTAATTTGACGCAAGTTCAAGTTAACGTCAAACTGAAAAAATGAACAACCCTACTCAAAATAGTTTTGAAAAATAATATTTTTGATTTCAGATGAGTGGAGACAGGTTTGAAGTGATTAATCGTCATGAATATCGGATCCGATGCACCCAACAAAACATTGATTGTAGTGTTCCTGAGAGTTGCTGTCTTTCATACAATCCCTCCACTCTCTCGTCATCTCCATTGACATGTCATCATCCGAATCAAAAAGATCTTCATAAATATGGTTGCGTCCATGTCCTTGACAGTGCTCTCTTCAACTTGTGGATCACCTCTCTTTTTACTCTCATTTATTCCCTGATTGTGATGATGATAACAGCTTTTTTGAGCTCTGGCATTATATGTGAAACAGATGGATTGGGTGTGGTGGATCCCATATCCGAGTTGGTAATCGTTTTTTTGCCGTAATCCGTTGGTCTTTCTAGCCCGTTTCCAAGTTGAAGGGCGTCAAATTAATCGCAGGACTTGATTCCCCCGCTTCGAAACACTCCATATTTTCGATGAAGCCCATCAAAAAGTAAAGATTTATTTAAATATCGTCTTTTATTTACATAATATTTCATAATTATTTTTGTTTAGTAAAAACAGTCAAGATGAAATCCTCCAAGATGCTCTCCAAGGGAAAAGAAACCATCACCTGGACCCCGAGGACTCGACTGACAGTGATCCTGACGTGGATAAGGACGCCAGCTACATGTCCCTGGGGTTATGAGTGTATTACGTCATGACCTGTTATATATTCAACCCCTTGTTCCAACGGTTTTCTATATCCATTAAGTTCTGGACGATCCTTGAGTTGATGACATATACCCTTGTGCGTTTTCCAATCTAACTTTTGACAATCCGTTGAACAATAGATTACCTAGAAATAAACTTGGTGACAATACAACTTTGGACAAGTCTTTTTTGTATAATATTAAAAACGTCTTAAACTGGACTCACCGTGCATTTCGAACATTCGAATTCTGATTTTGGCTTCCCGCACAAACTGCAGAATCCTGAGGTGACCACGAATCGTTGTCCAAATAATACACTGCATATTACAGTGAACACATTGGGGAAACGGCCTGGCTTCACTTCTTTTAAGGCTCGACCCAACGCTTTGAAGATCAAAGAATGCTGATAAGGAAATCCCAGTGAAGTGGAGAACAAGAATCGTTCCAAAAACGATCGTCGAATAACATTATCCACCTCTTTCCAAGCCGATAAAGCTCTAATATAGCCCCTCATCAGATTTCTTAAGTCTTTTTCTTGTTGTTTTACTTTAACGAATTCCTCAATCTTCCTTAACCCCGTCAAAACAAACCATAATTTCATGGCCAATATCTGTAACAGATTGAATGATTAGATAGCCTTACCTCATTCGGCTCTTTTGTCCGCATCTGTCTCTCAAAGAGCATATCCACCACGTAAATCATCTTCTTCCGGTAGTCAATGCATTCTGGTCTCTTATACAACTCTATGGCAATCAAAATAGGATGGATCAGATGCCTTCTAGTGAGAAGATGGAGTAAATCCACCAAACTCTCGGGATAAATCTCCGAGCTCTGTTTGCCCTGAGGGTGCAAAATGACATCGACTTCTTCTCGACTAATGTAACTGTTTATTATAGATACACATTCGTGGTTGTTGACGAGTGCTGCCATCTCTGTGGCAGTTTTATTCATTTTAGTGACAGCATGAGCTCTAGCACCATGAGTTAATAAAAGATCACAAAGATGAGGATTTCCTGAAAATTATTTCATTAGACGTGATATTTCAAGTACCTCTTAGAGCAGCAAACATGAGACATGTAAACCCGTCATTCTGGGCTTTGTTATCCACATTAGCGCCTCTCTCGATCAGTTGTTGAACAAAGTTTACGTCTCCTTTATGAGATGCCTGATCCAATAAATTCATTCCAGTACTATCCAGACAGTTCACTCTGACCTTTGAGCTATCGATCAATCGTATGACTTCGTCATATTTTCCTTGAAAACAACTTTGTCAATCATCAAATCCACCCACCTTCATTGACAAGTCTGAAGGCATCTTCTTCATCTGGAGTCAGATTCTTCAGTTCCGTCGTAGATGCCATTTCCACTTAAGTTCCCTCATTCAGAATGGACATGGATCGTGAGGTGGTTACTATAACAACGTATCTGTGGACAGTTTAATCCTCTCTGTACTTATGACACGCAAAATAGTGATAGGAGAAGATGTAAATAATTTATACCCAAGATCGATGTTGAATTACGTAATGAAAAATCGGTAGTAAGCCAGATTAAAGCGGAACGATGAGGTGAAAAAAAAATTGGCGTATCATTTATTTATTATGTAATGAGGTAATCATGGGAACCATTTTTCTTCAGACAAAATATTTAAAAATGTGTCCGATTTTATGTTACGAAAAGCAATCAACCTTCACGTTCTGTGTCACGACATGACATGAATCAACGAATCACAATACATATTTTTTATGGCCCGAAACCCGCTGTCAAGTGTTCCGCTCCCTCTTGGGTCAAGTGTTTCTCGGTTAACGCGCTTTTGTTTTTCTGTTTTTCGTGACGATTTTTGGTATTTTGTGCAAAAACAAGTATAAAAATCTGGTGTTGTAGTACTTTTCGTTTTTATCAGCCGAGCTTATATTAATGTTACACAGATACTTATGAGTTGGCGCCAGATTGACTCAATAATTAAATAAATACCGATGTTGGCAGAAACTCCTCTTTATATGGATAACCTGGGTGAGTTTGCATTTGAGGATAATAAAGGTTTGTATATCTTTTAATGTTCATTGATGTTTCCAGCGATGTCGATGGATTCGAAAACCAACAATTCTTTTTCCAATTCGCCAGTTTCCGAAGAATCCAACTCTCAATCCAGACCTAATATATCGCCAGAATTGGAGCACCCCGCCGCGGATGAGAAGTCTGTCACTTCTCCACGTCCGGCGCCGTGTGATTCTTTAGAAGTGGTACAAGTGCAGCCCACAAGGAAAAAGTCCCAGAAAAGATCGATCGTTTGCGAATTCGAGGAAGAAGGAAAACCTCAGGTACTTTATTTTTGTTATTGGTAAATTCGGCGTTTTTAGTGTAAACAACGTGCAATATTGTCATATCGGTTTTGTATCAGACATATTCTCAACGACCTCGATGCTCCTTATAAACGATGCGAATTTATGATTAGAAACAAAAGTAGGGATTTCAGGATATGTTTTCCTCGTTTAATTAGTCAATACGTTTACTATTTTTTTTAGTACAATGCACGAACGCTATCAAGAAGGATCTGAATAGTATATACTGTAGTACACATTTGATTAAGAGAGGAGAAAAGGAGGCGAAGCGTAGAAAGAAGCCAGAGGCAGCTGTCACAAATGATAGTCAAAACTCTATGGGATCTGATGTTACATCTCCAAGTTTACACGGTAAGAATTTCTCAATAATATATCTTGTTTTTAGAAGATGGTTTGAACTCGTCATTTGATTCCGTGGATCAGATAAAATCATCGGAACCTGTTCATTTTGTGCCCCAATCACGGCCGATTATTCGACGTGTGGATAATGGGTTTCATTCGGATCAATATCCACAAACATCTCGAGCATTTGTAACAGAAACAAGAGTAGTGGAAGCCGAGCCTCATGCTGGACCTTATCTTGGCAATGACCTGAGAAGACCGTATGAACCAGGGTTTGTGGTCCACAAGTATATCCCTGAAAATGGGTCTAATCTTCCGAGAGTTCGTAATTTGCAATCTCGAAAATGTCCGGTGAAGTTAATGAACTGCAAAGTGGCGCCCGTGTGTTATGATTCATCTATATTAAATGTGGGCGAAAATATGGATGAGGTCGAGAAGTTGAAACGAGATTACCTGAATGAAAATGGAAATCAGAAGACGAAGCGACAGAAGAAGGAGATACAATTAGCACACAAATGCAGGAACATAAGGATAAAGGGACCTTTCCGATCTATAGGTCTGATAGACACGATGTGTAATCAAGTGGAGGGAATGGATTTCGATAATTCGGACCTTTTCCCTCTAGGTATGTTGAATTGTCCAATTATTCCACGTATTTTAGGGTTTGAGCCGTCGGACAGCGAGAGCAGTTCGGATGAATCGAGTGTCGACAACTGTTCGGCTGTTAATCTAAATCCAAGGGACTTCAGACAATGCCGCCTAGAACTGTATCTTTTGAAGAAGAGGCTAAAAAGGGAGTCCGAGAAGCTTCAATGGAATGCCCGACTCTCCGTGAATGTGATCGCGGCTGCCCGATCATATCCAGATCAAGTTGGGTCTGCATTCAAGACTCGAGAAGTTACTCGGAAGCGGTACAACAACATTAATTCCCTCAGGCATCGCTGTTTTTACTTTTACCAAAATACACAGACCAAATGTGACAATATCGCGGTTCCACGGTCGTCTCTTTGTATGGAGCACATTGGGTACAGTGTAGATCAGAAGGCGTTTGTCTTCTGCTCCACGCCATGTTGCGGAAAGCCCGTACTCAAGATGAATGCCATGATGTTTGGAGGAAAGTGTGAAGAACATCATTTTCTTGGTCTTCAATCTCAAGAGGTGTCTGTCCATAATGGAATCAGAAAATTTCACAATAATGGACATGATATTCCAAAGACGAACGGGCATCATACCGCAACTCTTCATGTCCAGAACAACAATTGCAATGAATCCGGCAGATTGACTGACGAGCACGACACCAGTGCGGATAATCAACTCATAAATTCTATTACAATGGACGACTTTAACGTCACTGATGGTGAGTTATTACTTATCGTAGCAAGTAATTGTTTGTGTTACATTTTACTGATTCTTTTATTTAGTAGTTGATGGAGATGTGTCGCTTTCCTCAGTGGCCAACGATCTCTTTGATAACCATGAACTCAATGATATGTTATCCCAATTCCCGTCTGTCGACGATCCTCCTTCCGAGAATGGAGGCGATCTGGATGGCAATGATGAGCTTCTGAATGTTTTTACAAGTAAGTTGGTCTTCCACGATTCTAAATTTATCACTTTAGATCCTGTTGACGACAGCGAAGAAGGGATGGCCCATTCCTGGGCAGATATCCACGAGTTCCTGAGGTCTGAGGGATATCAGGCTGGCTCTCCCTCTCACCCGGCAGGTAACTAGAAGCACAAGAATAGAACGGTAATCTCGTATCTTCCCATTTTTACAACCAAACCAAATTATCATTTTATATAGTCTAACGTCGCATATTAGCGAGAAAATGATCTCTTTTATTTAATACACTGTAATAATAAAAGTCCTTGACAAACATGAGATCTCTGGTTCTCCTCCTATATCGCCCCATTTTTTTGTGGTTGGAAGCTAATTTTTGAAGTATCGATAAAAAATGAGCACAATGTCGCTATGCCGATCGCGTTGTTGAAGTGAAAAGCAATTTGATTTTGCCACGACACAATTCAATTTCTCGCCGGCGAGATACGAAAATATGCTCATTATTTTCCCGACAGGTTGATATTGCATAAACATAAACTGTAAGTAATCAATGACAAGCGTCAGATGCAAAGGCGTCTTGTTTCTCGGCCAATGATGGCTGGATTTGCAGCAAAGCGAACATCCAATGCCCAAATCCAGCACCAAGAATCACTACTGACGTCAGATATATGTTGTATGTCATGGCGATCAACATCAACCAGTAGGCAAGAGTTAGTTGAATGCAGTATAAAGTGGTTTGGAGGATACGATAGGGGGACAACAAGGATGGATTGTTCACGTCGATATGCTTTAATATGCGCTCAATTCCCCTAAAAACATGATCATCTTATATCACCTTACTTGGCTTTGGACCCAGCTTCCCGGGTCACCGTACTCCTGTAGACGTCATCCGACTTCAAAGTCGCCGCATTCTCCGTACACTTCTCTATCAACGCGTCATTATTTCCAGCACGATCCGTCACCAATCTAATATGTTTACACTTCCGTTTACTGCTAGCATATGTTTGGAGATAAACTCGGACCCATTTGACGCCTTCGTATAACGCCGCCATTACAAAAACCACAATACATGAGAATAACATTCCTAAACATATAACCTATAATAAGAGAGAATCCACTTACCAAAAAATGATTCCGTTCTCCACCAATCGAATAAAATAACTTCTTCTACTCCGCAGTGAAAGTACATCTTCATGTAATGCATACCATGCCCTTCCTGGGTTTGCATATTGTGTGCGGAATGGTCATGAGCGGCACTTGAAGCAGGAACCGGCCCATGATGATGCTGAGAGTGATCATGATGGGAATGATTCATCCCTGAAATTTATTAGTTTTTATGTAGAAGGACAAGTAACAACAGAAAACGCGATCACAGTTTAGAATTAAATAGTATCAATAAATAATATTGGAAGATTGTGAATATGCAGAGAAGTGAGTGTCGGAAGTACACGTTCAACAACAGATTATGCATGCATAATAACAGGAGCTGTCACAACCCGTAAAAAATATACGAAGGATCGGGTGAATCAAGCGAACTCAAGTCCTTCAAATTTATAAGCGCCCTCGAGGCGGCTCTCTTTCATCAGAAGGCTCCGATCGGAGATTCGGAATACGGAAATGTAAGACGCGATCGGGCGACCATCTCTTTCTTCTGACTTCAGCGCGACGATCACATCGTCGCCTGTGTTGGGTACGAACTGGAATGCACTGAAGCCGCGAACACCATCCCCTTTCTCTCCTATTTCTATCGCCTTGACATTAGAAAAGTTTTCAGAGGCCATCAGAACAATGTTAGACCCCTTATATTCATCTTGATTCTCGTCGTAGGCTTCATGAGACACTCGCCTAAACAAAACTAAAGTATGAATTCGTGAATACCTGGGCAAGAAAAACCATTTCTGTTGAGAGTTCGACCAGTGGCAGCTTTCATGGATGATATAACCGGGAAATTCGATGCCCAATAGCTTCCTTAACATCTTATAATTGGTACTCCAATCAAGATGAACGACCTCGCCATTTATGGATACTCGCTTGACCCACATCGGATACTCGTTTACAAACTGCCCCGAGCCCGTCGTCCATTCCTTGCCAAGTCCTCCCACATAAAGAAACTCATCTTTGACAGTCATCCATTCAGCTTTGAAGGCCTTGGTCGTATTTCCCGGACCGTCGTTCAAGAAGACCCACGGCACGATCTGGTTGTCAATTATCTTGTAGATCAAGCCAGTCCTATCATCCACACTCAAGAGATTACCATCAAAAACTACGAGGTCCGACAATTCCATTGCTCTTCCCTTGGCTGCCATATCCGATTTCAGTACAACATTAGGTCGACTCCACTCCACCCAAGCATGATCCAACGCGGCATTCAAGCCCAAAACACCTCTCTCCAGATAGGCATGCCAGTGACTACCCGTTTTGCTGTTGTGGTCTAAATCGGTAACAACAATAATATCATACTTGACATCTCCGTTGGGTTCTTTTTTTGATTTCAGCAGAAGGGTGTTATTATATACAGAACGGTGATGCACATCTCTACTTGGTAAATAATAGACCAGAAGGAGAAAAGACACGACGACCATGGACAGATTGAAGTAAATAAACCAAGATTTAGCCAGAATCCCGTCCCGAAGACAAGGTGAACAGGCCTGGCCTGCCATCTGAAAATTTATAACATCAAAATAAACCACAGAAAAAGCTTATGTCATCTACACTTGTCCATTTGTTAAAAAATCCTTCAGAAAATAATTACGTGATAAAAAAAGAGAAAGAAATAAATCCTTTTGGGACCCTGCCTTGGCAAAATGTGCAACGAGCAGGGGGTAACCTAGACATGGCTCGTCGGCCGGCCCGGGCCGAAAATCTCGGGCCGGCCCGTCGGCCTGAAGGGTTCCGGCCGGCCCGGCCCGTTTCAAATTTTCCTTCAGCCCGGCCCGGCCCGTTTTAAATTTGCTTCGGCCCGGCCCGGGCCGGCCCATTGAAACGAAAGTCTCCCCAAGTCTAACTCCTTATGACCAAATTTTTTTATATCATCATGTAAATGAATAAATACTGTGTTCCATAGCTATCTAAAAAAAGAACCTTTAAAAAAACCAATTGTGTCTTGACATTGCGTTTATTTTTATTATCAAACCCGATTTTCACTTCGAGATCCTCGATTTTAAATATTCCGGGCCGGGCCGGGCCGAAACGTCGGCCCGGCCGACGGGCCGGAAATGGTCCGGCCGGCCCGGCCGATCTGAAATCGGACCGACGGGCCGAAATTTCGGCCCGGCCCACGGCCCGGCCCAGGCCGGCCCGGCCCGGGAGCCATGTCTAGGGTAACCTCGTTGTCCGAAAAGGTCCGCTAAACCAAAAGGTCCGGCTGTCAGAAAAGGTCCGCTGCCGTAAGGGGGGTGGGGGGAGGACGGCGGGAAGGGTGAGAGTTATCGATGGCAACTGTATACAGGGTGCACCAATAAAATTTGGACAAATATTTTTACTTGCCCTACGGGCTGTCACGGTACAAGACCTAAGTGGGCAATTGTACAAACGTGTAAGACGTCCAAGTCTCTATCTTTAAAGCTTCAGGCAAAGTAATCGTCTACGACAATTGCTTTGCAAATGGGTTAAAAAATGGCTGCGCCAAGAAACGGCCGTGCCTTGAAAATTTGCATCCCCCGAAATTCCGATAACCCGAACCTGCACCACCCGACTCTGCGCTACCCATAGCCCCGAATTCCCCTCTTACATAGTTGCCCAGAAACAGTCCCCTTGTATGTGCAGATTTTCTTTTATACTATGACAATTGGGTTTGTGTACGCTCTGTAATCACGGAATTTTGGAGCAACACGAGCGATACTCTGGCGTTAAGATCGTTAAAAGCACCCAAATCCGAATCTTTGGGTCCTTTTTTGTTTCCGCGACCAGCGCCGCCAAATCGGCCGCCAACCATGATTCCGTAGGCTGTTACAAAGTAAACAGCACGGACTTTATATGCAATAAATGTGCAGAACGTTAGTGCCCCTTAGCAGAAATAATGGGCGAATTAATATCCCGGTCATTCTTTGGAAAAGATTTTTTCTGCACCTCCAAAAACTTGATCGTTTTTTTTTCAGTCTTGCAATTGGAACCAACCTGAGCATTACCGTTGCTGTCTATCACGGCTATTACCCTTGCTAAAACTGCTAAAAGTTTCCATTCTTAGGCCATCCGAAAAAAGGAATTGATTTTTGTCCAGGTTTTATTGGCTAACCCTTTATAATACAATAATATAGAAGCCCCATTTTTCGACGTAGAATATCTGAAACGTAATGGGGCTTGTTCCGTCCTGTCCCCCAGGACGGAACAGGAACAAGAAGAAGATGGGCGGTTTTTTGCCTATAAAAATATTTTTCTCCGCCGACGCGGATGGTAGTGTATTCGGCGGAAACTTTTAATCGCTTTTTTGGTCATCACACCAATCTTAAATGCTTTATTATGAGGCTGAAACTACCCGAAAGTCTTCAAATTTGTACACAATCTATCATAAGGCCGGCGATAGCGCTATGCGATCGCATTTACCGAGTACACGGGGCAGAGCAGTCGCTGCAACACTGGTGAAGTCCGAGCGGAGGGTTGAAATAACAGGGCAAAGATTAATTTAAACGAAAAATTTTTTGTTGGTTTGTGGTACACCAAGTGGTTCACCGATGGCTAAACTTCCGCCAAGGCTTGGCGACGAAATTTTGGTACCATCAGGGAATGCTTGCCAGACTATAAGAATTGTGTCAAGCCATTTCTTATCCGAAACTGAGTTATGGTCTTCTTCGCCGATGGGGCAAGCATCCGCCAGAACTTCGCCATTGATAAGCATAAAAATATGCAATTATCCTCTTTTCAACCATCAGAAATCATAATAAAGCGTTTAAGATTTCAGATTTAACTCGTTGTGACTTCTTATATTATTTTATTTTTAATTTAAAATCACAGCAAGTCTTACAAATAAAAGTTTTAGAAGAAGTTATTGTCTACGTGTACAAGATGAGCTTTGGCACGTCAAAGACCATTTGGCGACCGGAGTATACATAAAAGTACAGGTTAGTGAAGATTGGCAGCTTTGTCTGTTGTTTTCCATATTATTCATCCTTCTTCATAAAAGCTCCGAACATCTCGACTGGCACCGGGAACACAATCGTCGAGTTGTGTTCAGCTCTGAAACGATTATTTATACGTTGCTTCTCATAAAACGCTTTAGGCCATTTATTTGGATAAGAACGGCATCTAGCCCGAGGCTTTATTTGAATGGGAATATAAAACCAAAGAGAAATAAACTTACGCGATGCTGTTGAGGGCTTGAAGATGACGTAGTTGGAGGGCGACGGGATTGGCCTGAAACAATTGAGTTAGTAAACAAACGATGAATGGGAATGACAGTTTGCTTGCCAATTATAAGAGACCTTAGTATTCAAAGACATGATAAAAAAAACTGACTTGGATAACATCAGCGGCTTCCTTCAAGGCCCTCGAAGCCTTTTGTTCTCCTTCGGCAGCCACGACCTTGGCTCTGGCTTCTCTCGCGGCCTCGGCTTCGGCCGCCATCGCGCGGGTTAACTGTTGGGGCAACCTGATATCCTTCACCTCGACCCTCTCCACTTTCACACCCCAATGCTCCGTTCCTTCATCGAGAATGGTCTCGCAAAGTTGGGCTATGGCTTCTCTTTCCGTTAACATCTCCGTTAAAGTCTTCATACCCAGGGCGTTACGCAAGGTAGTCTGAGCTAAGAGTTTGGTAGAATAGATGGCATCATCAACGTTATTGACGGACGCGATGGGGTCAGAGGTACGGAAATATACGACGGCGTCTACACTCACAGTTACCGAGTCTTTCGAAAGGATTTCTTGAGGTGGAACGGCATATGACACCACCCTTAAACAAGCGTTTTTGATAAGAGAAGTATTGTACCTGAGATCAATTTTCCTGTATGTATCCACACACGGAATGACGAAGATCATGCCTGGCCCTCGGGCACCGCCAAAGACAAGACGACCAATCCGGAAGATGACCACTCTCTCGTATTCCTTGATTACTTTCAAACAGAGGCACATCGAGAAGGGGAATGTAACTACTATTAACAACCAGGACAAGGCCAGCAACGCGTATCCGAAAAGAGTCCCAATGGTCTCATAGTCTGGAGGAACGTCCTGAAAAAAATTAGATTGGGGACCAGAAGGAGAGACGAAACGACTCTAATAGTACTTCAAAGCAACTGTCAGTGCTGAAAATTGTCGAAGAGTCTGTGAATTGGTTACACTGAAGGGAAATTCCCTGCATTTAATTTACTAAAACCACAACCTCTTGTGCCGAAAAGATGACCGAACAGTGCTACTGACAGAAACTGTACAAAACTAAGTAACTCAGAGAGAAATACCACGCACTTGTGCTTGTACCTGAGTCGATGAGGGTGCCACCCATTGGGGCTCGTTGCGCTCGTTGCCGGTCATTGCGACCTTAGAGTAAGCAGGCTGAATGATGAACTAGTGTTGGGCAAGTTTGATGGCCATGCTGAAAGTCAGAAGAGAGTGCTTGACAGTAAAAAAGGTACGCGTTTAGACGCCGTCGTCCGTTATCCCCCTGCACCCCCCCCTTTCCGGCTGACTCAATAATCGCAAATACGCACTTTACTTACCCCCTCGTCCCTTTTCCCCTTAGGCCGTCCCCTTGTCCTGACGGAAGCACCCCAATGTGGAATGTTATCGACTTAAAAGGAAGCTATTTGGGCTCCATTGTTCACGGATAACGTGTTCGTAACGAGAGATATAACATTCTAAAGGCTTTCCTTCGAAAAATTACGTTAATTTCTAAGGAACGAGTTTAATTTCGCCAAATAATGTAGGTTCCCCGGAGAGTACTTCTAGTCCGTTTGTAAAGTCGCTGGAGCTTTTTTGGCTACATGCACTAAAACTTCACTTTGCACTGTGCAATTTGTTACTTCTTTTGGGCTGTCGCTTGCACCTCCCCGTTTTTGTCACTGTGCAAAAGCCAGCAATCATTCCAGCGACTTTCCGGACGGACTAGCAGTAGGGTCGCCTTCGACAGTACCTAGACTTCGTTTTCATGACTTTATTTGGACCAGAAATTTGACAGTGAAATACCGAAATAAACAGGATCCGGTTGTCCCCAGTGCAAGGGTATAATGCCACCCGAAACCACTTGTTATTCGAATTCGAAATAAATGACACCTCGGGAAGAAAATTACGGGAAACCCGGCTCCGGATCATCCAAACGACTCCTTTTTGGCCGCAAGCCCGCCTATGACAAGCTTGAAAAGAAATTTGGCCGAGAGTAAAACTAAGACTTGGAGGAGGAAGGAAAGAAGAGCAGCACTCTTCGAACAAGAAAAGCAGACTTTTGGCCATTCAAAAGAACTGGACGCCGTGGGGACTGTGCCGCAGGGCATGAGAGAAGGCGTTAAGACAGGCGGAGGCCCGCCGAGGCCCTTTCCCGCGCTCCAAACAGCGCCTTTCCACTGCAGCAAGCCGGCTTGGAGAGACGGGATAATTGTTACATTAAGCCCTGACGGGCTCCATTTCATTATTGTCAGTCCGAGCACATTAGACTACACAATTCTGTCTCTGTTGACCCTTCGCAGTAATTAGAGCGCGGCCACAACAATCTCTGCCTGTTTTCTGCATATTTTCTGCCTAATGCATAGCCTCTTTTACATCTTTTACACAAATTTTCGCACCCAAGTTTAAAAATCTTTAGTTTTAAGGAACATGGAACAAGTGTCCTGTTATACAACAAATTAATAAAGCATTCGCACTTATGGCAAAGTAAATCAGATTTATTAATGTTATCAGTAAAGACGGGAGATTAGAGATAGGGCCGCAGATAATCCCGGCGAAAAGATGTCAAACGTTTCAAGGACAATGTAACAGCAGGCTATTCGTGGCCACAAAGCGACCCGGCCTTTGCTATGCCCGTATCCCAGAAATCTCTCCCGGCCCTAAGGCACAATGAGATTGGCTGTTCGACTTGACGCCCATGACGCCGGTTTCGCACTGCCGAAAGCGACGAAGATCCCGTTAGTAGAAAGGAGAAGAACGATGTATAATACGAACACGAGCTTCCATTCCTCAAAGGTGGAGTGGGGGGTGATGGCGGGGACGGTCAGGGAACTGATCAGGAAGCTCCCACATAACACGGCCTGTAATAATCATCATCAATTATGATTACGTAATAGGGTTGTTAATTTGACGAATTTTTCAATCTGGCGTCAACTTGACATCAAATTGCGTCATATTTCCGTCATTTTCGTAATTTTGGAAAAATTGAAAATTCTGATATACGAAGCTTTCAAACGCAAGCTCAACATAGAATAAGATGAATACCGTGTATATTAGTGGCAGCTAGTTTTATTATATTATTTCATTGGTTGTTTAGACCGCGTCCCGACATTTCGGGTCAAGGACAACTCGGGTCGCGACAACTCGGGTCAACGACATTTTGGGTCACCGATACCGTTTAATATTTTCGCTTCGGGACTAGGAAAAAAGAATTTCTTGGTGAATTTGAACAATTTTTTGAAATGTTTTGACTTCGGGACTGGAGAAAAGAAATTTTTGTGGAGAATCGTTCTGAATGTTACAACTTTATTTTACATAAGGTACAAATATAATTTTTAGAATTTTTTAGATAAATAGTTGATTTAGGGGTAGTCCCAAAGCGAAAACATTCCAAAATTTTGTACAAAAAATCCTTTTTTCCAAGTCCCGAAGCAAAAAAATTAATTAAGCGGTATCGGTGACCCGAAATGTCGTTGACCTGACCTGTCGCGACCCGAGTTGTCCCTGACCCGAAATGTCGGGACGCGATTCAGTTCCTAAAATTTTTTAATTTCTACGTTTTTTATTAAAAATCTTCAAAAATTTTCCAAAAAACGCTCAATCTGACATTTAAAACGACAGAGCAATTTGAAGTGATGAAAATGACGGCGTGACTGACGCGTCAAGTTGACGACATAACAACCCTATTATGTAATCACATAGGCCATACCTGAAACATCGCCATGACAGTGGGTGTGTGTTGGCCACTGATCAAAACGGCACTTCTCGGGAATCCACCGCCATTGGCACCCAACAAAACATAAGGTGCGGAGATGGCGATGATGGAAAGAAGATTATTCCAGGAAGGCGGAACGACAGTCGTAATCGAGAGGAAGAGGGCCGTCCCACAAAAGGCAATCGAATTGCACCATTTGATCTAAGAGTTTACAGAATACAATGGACAACATACCTTGGTCTCATCTTCGACTTTATCTAGCTTGTCGGTGACAACACCCGTTATGATCTTTACAAAGAATTGTAAAAGCAATACCAAAGTTACAATTAACGATGCATTTAGAGAAGAGAATCCAAATAAGTTATTCAGATATGTCGGAAAGAATGTATTTGCAAAATTAAATGTCATAAAGTTTCCGAAGACAGCGGCAAACACCGCCAGAACACTCGGCGTTCTGATGATCTCCCATATATTCACCTTTATTTTGACGATTAATCTAAATTTAATAAACTTACAGGGTCTGGAGGAGGCGAAGGATTCCTTTTGTAGTTTATTAATTCAAGTTCTAATTTCGAGAGAAAGAAATTTTCCGCTGGATCATTCGTAAAGAAGATATACCACATAAAAGATAGGATTAAAGCAATTGCTCCGTGCACATAAAATACGATCGGCCAATTAACTAAGAAGGTAAAAATATTATACACACAAGGGGACCTACCCAACTGCACCAAAACCCCTGATAATGGCATCGCAATTATGCACGAGATCTGGAGATAACCAGTCAAAGTGGATAAAAAGAATCCCTTCTCCCTTAAAGGACTCCATTTGGCAACTACGACTCCAATTACAGGGTACAGGTTGGCCAAGGCTGCTCCCTGAATATTGCAATTCAGATTCACAACTGGTGATGTAATCAGTCAAGCCTATAACTCACTTGAAATAATCGAATGATAACAAATAACCAAACCGGAAAATTGGTCAGAGTGAGCGGTGTGATTGCTGTGATGACGGCTGTGAGAATTCCAACAATGAACTGTGTGTGTCTTGCTTTTATTGTTCTCATCATCACAGTGACTGGGATGGCGAAAAGAAGCGCGCCGATGAACGGCGCTGCAAAAAGCCTTAATTTATGTAGGGATCTTTATCGAAACACCCTAACTGTAAATGCTCAAGCAAATATTTATGTTTCGGAAGGTCGATACTGTGGTTTCTTAGGATATTTTAATCTCAGCATTCAATGCTGAAATCAAAAATAGCAAATTTCTACTCCCTTACCTGCATAAATCCATCCTCGTTCAGAGTTACTCAAATAAAATCTCCGATCAGCTATGGGAATGTCGGGACTACTGTAATAAAATGGGTCCGGTTCGGATGAATTATAGTATGGAGATGATTTTATGTTGGTCATGTGGACAACGGAAACATTGAAGCAGATGAAACTAAAAAGTGTCAAGTTTAAAATGTAGTTTTTGGTGTTTAATTTCCACTGAGTAACTCTCTGTTGGCAACATTAGATACACACATATAATGCCTTATGTATAATTAATTGCGAGTGTCGTTAAAATTTCCTTTATTTTAAATCGCTGATTTAATAAAACTCGTACAACTTTTGCCTAAAAATATTGCGAGAGCTCACTGACCACTCGACCATTCGGATTTCCTTGGGAGTTTTAGAAGAGGGCGGAAAATTCAAATAATCATAATTTTATTTAGATTTTATAGGAGTGTGAAGGCCAAATTAAAGTTTTGGCTGCATGGAAATTGGGCGGCGGGAAATTGGGCGCTTTTTCCCTGTAAAAACATTGAACTCAGAGAAGGGCACACATGTTTGTACGCACAGCCGAAAAAAGCTCCCAATTTCCATGAAGCCAGAGTTTTTAACACTTACTTCAGTACTAGTAGAGAAATCACTCACCATGATAGACTGATTGCCAAAGTAAGTAAAGTTAGCGTCAAAATGAAATATCGAAAAACAGAGGGTCCCTTCCGGAGATAAGAGGCCCAGCCATCGCCCTTCCTCGCCAGCTCCATTGTGATTTTCAGCGTGTTGAACGCATGTATTAAAAGACTCCTTAACGAAATTCGACCTGGCTTTCCTTTGATCAACTTGATCTTTATCGTCTTGAACTGTTTGCTCAATCTATCCAGGATTGTTTGCCTTTCGAACATTTCCCTTTTAATTGTACAAGTCTGGCCTCGGCTTTTTTGGCGGCTCAATTAAATGCCCTCCGGGAAGTCTTTTACTTACGTGTGTATCTTTTGTTTTAGGCCGAGTGGGTAGTCCCTGTCTTCTGTTTCTTCCTCAGGTGTTACTGTAAGATCACAAATCTATTTCTCTTTAGAATATTTATCTGTTTTCTACACCAACTCTCTTTTCCGACTTTCTCTGATCGTGTCTTTCTCTCGTCAAGAGTGCAAACCATGTTAACCGAAAATGCAAAACGCCTGGGGCTGTGGTCCATCAGCCATGCCAGGTTTGCAAGAAGGCCTCCCCCTTCACATCGTCTTCAACAAACCCGAGTTTTGTGGAGAAAAACGAAGGGAAAGCAGTGCATTCTCGGTCACTCGTTGTTAGGCCAATTTGGTTTCTTTGAAATTCCGGCCTTGAACACAAAGCGGCCGACGCGGGATTCAAAGCCAGGAATTCTCGGAGACAGAACAGTGCCGGGGCCGCACCTCCCACACCCTCCAATCAACTGACCGAGAGTCAGGCGAAGTGTCGCGCATTCCTTGGGCCGCGTCTCTTATCTGCATGTCTAACCACATACAAGGGCGGTCGTTATGTTTCGGTCGTTTTTCCGCCGGCTGCACTTCTTGCCTGTTGCGTTGGCAAAGTGTTTCGGCCGCTTCTTCGGGAATCTGGCCCAGTTTCCGTCGGGGCCCTTCTCTTTCGCTTTCCGAATGACGAGCCGTTCCAGGCCCTGGGGGGAAATGGCCGGCCCCGAGCGTCTTCCTCTTTCTTCTTTCCCTTCTTCCTCGCTCCATAAGACGGAGCGGCCGAAAGCCGGCTGGAAAAGTGGGAAGAGAGTTCGGCCTGAAGAAGCCGCAGTACGAGCCTCTTTCTGCGAGTACGGCGCTTCCATCGTGCCCCAACTCTTCTCCCCTAATACGGCCAAGTCTGCTTTTTGCGCGTGTCCCTCCGGCCAAAAACCTACACAGCCGGTGGTTGGTTGGCTGGCTTTCGGAGAAGCGGCGCCACTTGTGAATTTCGGTCCAAGAACTTAAATCTAGCCAACAAAAAGCGAGAGGCACGGCACGACGTCGAGCGGGAAGAGGGTGGGGTTGCGCGACCCTCAGGCTATCAATGTTCCCGTCAGCGTTGCGTGTCTTGTCCGATCCTCCTTCCGGCCTTAAAGTCCTCGCGTTCACTCTCACCCTAAGGCCATTGAATTCTGGATTGTTTTTTGCTCGGCTGATTAAGTCGTTTAAAGAGCCGAGGCTTAAGTTCGGCCCAACAAAAAGAGATTTCCAGGGTTGGGAGAGTTCTCCCAACATCTGGTCTGGCCCGTCTGGTAATCAGAGCAGACCTGGCCGTCTTATCCCCTCTAAATGGAGATGGCCGGCTCCCATTAGACTAATGGCCTTACGATTTGGTCGAAGCCCTTTTATCGCCATAATTTACATATGCCCCAGGGAAGATCATAACTTTTCGCACAGTTACCCCCAGATAGATTTTCGGCATAATTCCATTCTCTTCGTTTATTTAATCTATTATTCCGAGCCTTTCTCGAGACCTTTAACCTTCACATATGAAGTTTAAGGCAACCTTGTCCAAGACCGTGTTCCCACGAGGTCGATATTATTTCATTTTATTTTTTATATTATTTTTGTTCAGAATTTGTAACTGGATACTTTCATTATCAACTTTTCCTTAAACCGTGCGCACAAATAGAAAAACTGACGGTTTTGTTGCAGGAGAACGTGGCTTTTAACCAGTCCGCCCATTCCACAGTGCAGAATTGCACGGCGCCGGCATTGGCGCCTTCTCCGACAACATCGCACCGGGCTGGCTGACCTCCGGAGGTCCTGGTCCGCTCACTCAGGCTGAGGAAGTTGGGATTGGAGCCTGCAGCAGGTACACTGGTCTAGTCGTCACTCCAAGCTCGTCGGCCAAGCAGCTTGGCCACGGGCGCCATTGGCGGAAAACGAGATGCGTGCGATCCCGGCACTGTACTGGCGTCGAAAGCGACGAAAACCAGAAATTTGCACACACCAACCACGACAGGAACGGCGACAATCTGATCCCAGACATCTCAGAACGTCGGGACATTCACCTTCCGACCACCTCCACCGTTCCATCCATCCTCCGTGTGCTCGTCCAGTCCCGGTGTCCACACAACGGCCTTCTTTTAGACGACGGCGCACTGTGCAGGGAATGTGCCGAGACTTATTGTATGCTGAGAGCGGAGGGAGTACATGATCAGCAGCCTGACAGTCGTGTCCCACCTTTTCTCTTTCAACGGGTCAAGATGAGTTTTAACTGTCGAAACGCCCTTTTGCCTTTCCTTTACCTGTTTTTGATCAACCTTCTTACCTTTGCTCAATTCCTTTGGATAAAGATTTATCGAAAATGCGTAAGTTCTTTTCTTTCTTATGACTCTCGGCCTCCTCGGAAGGTCTGAGAATGCCACCCAAATAGTCGAAAGTCATCACTTTTAATGGGCGTTTATAATCTGAGAGTAACTTTTCTTATCTTTCCAGCTTCTCCACCGGCATGGCCGTTTGGCCACGACCAGGAATCTGATCTTCACTCTCCATTTGCTCTCCCTTCTGTCCTTTGGATGTGCTCCTTGTTCAGTTGTTATGGCCATCACTTCTTATACGGGTGCCCGCAGTGATCTGGATCCCGGAAAAGAAGGGGGATTGACCCCGTTCCCAGAAAATCCCTTGCTCCGGGCACCACGGAATCATAAGTTTGTTGAGGTATGTTGTTATTGATCATTCCTGCTAGTCACATTATTCCAGAGGGATAACATGTGCCATATCTGGACACGTCACTCTCCACACGATCTCTGCGAACGGGGATTGTGGTCTCGGCTCAAATATCTCCGTGACATTTCGTTGTTTTCTAAAGACTGTGATATTGAAGATGATAACATCCAGCTCGGACAGTTCTTTCGTCTGGAATGGGAGTATCTGAAATCAGCCAAGGATCTAGTGACTCACTCGGAGCATTTGAAGGACGGGATCCAAGGACGGAGTTGTCTTCTTGGGGCTATTAATTCCGACGAATGTCTAAAATGTTTTGAGAGAATCGAAAGCGGACTGCAGATGGTCGATCAGGCTTATCAGGCGTTCAGTCAGATTCTGAAGCGCTTCGATTGTTTGCTGGCTGTGGATTCAGAATCCGCGACAAGGCCGTTCTCTCCAAACGGGACTTGCAGTGATTGCAAAGTAAGCCATGTACCTGGTTCTCATTATTAGTTTTTTTGTACCAATATTTTTGATGACTTATTCGTTAGTAATTTGACCCGAAGACTTTGTAATAACCGATACAACTCAACTAAATTTTATAATTAGTTTTTCCTCTATTGTGACTTCATCTTTTTTGTACAACTTTCCGAAAAAAGTAGAAATAAAGGTTCTGGCAATGATATTTGTTTAATGCGTACTCTTATCACATTAAAAACAGAGGAAACGCAAAATTTGATATTCTGAAATTAATATTACTAGACTACTCTAGTTTAATTTAATTCTTCCTTTGAAGTAAATTAATATCCAAATTTTCCATTTCAGAGATGGTATCGAAAATGGGCGCTGGTCCAGCTGATACAGATCTGGAAGGACCCTCCTTGCATCAACTGGTGTTATTATGCGCAGCTTGCTTGTCCACATCTGGCCACTAACAGAGTTGTCGACTTTGGAGGACATCCCGCTTTTTTGTGTCGCGGTAAGTCAATAAAACGATTATTTACAAACAATAGTAATCAAGGGATTCCACATTTATTTTGTTTTAGATCTGGATATTCCTCAAGGACAAACCGGCCAAGAAGAGTTGATGACAAGAGACGGGGTCTCTTCTTGTTCTTGCGTCCATCCTTGTGATTTGGAGACCTCCATTTCCATTCTTCCATCAAAACATTCGTCCTCTTCCATGAGTCTCAAATCATTCGATTTCTTTGCGGATCCAGAACATTGTAGACAACGATTGGAGCGATGTGATCGCGAGAGCAAGAAGTCGGCCATGTTCTCAACCTCCGATCGAGACGATCCGGCCGTGACGGGTACCAAAAAACGGAAGAAGAGACGGCGTCGGCATAACGATGAAGATCTTGTCCAATCCAAGAAGGCCTGGACTGTCAGACAAGAAGCTCTGGCTGCGGTTTGGTTCGGATCAGCTATCCTGTTACTTTAGGGGTTCCTTTTACAGTTACAGTAATACTTTGACTGTAATTTAAAGCTCAGGGTTTTCTTTGTATTCCCTCAAGTTATGTTATCATTGTCGTTTGGACTCAATTCCTATAGCCTTTTGATAACATAGTTATCTGTTCTAGTGTCTTTTGTCATTTTTTGTAATCGGTGATTAACTTAAACCTATCACGAATTCAAATGACACAAAAATTTCTTATTCTCGTCTTGACCTCGTCTATACCGTTTTTGTTATCATTAGAGTAAGGTTATGAAAGGTGGTGCTACCTAACTGTCAGGTATCTTTAACAGATAAAATTTTAAGCATTATGTTTATATCAAAGGAATTCTAGATTACATCGAAATAGATACTTTTAATAATCTGTTATCATCTGAGATTACTGCGGTTTGACTCCTCCTCGGAGAGTGACCAGCTCCTCGGCACTGGTTGGATGAATGGCAACGCATTCATCGAATTGTTTCTTGGTGGCTCCCATTTTGACAGCAACGCCAAATCCTTGGAGGATTTCATCAGCACCTTGTCCAAGGATATGAACTCCGACCACTTTCTCGTCAGCTCCAGCACAAATCAGCTTGAAAAGAGTTGGTTCCTTGTGTTGACAGACAGCGTAGTACATCGGGTTGAACTTGGAGCGGTAGATGGTCAAGTTGTCCTTGCCATAACGCTCAATGGCGTCCTTTTCTGTGAGCCCAATGGTTCCAATAGGGGGATGGGAGAAAACCACGGTCGGGATATTCTCGTAGGACAAACGATTCTCGGTTTCCCCATGGAAAAGACGATGGGAAAGTCGACGGCCCGCAGCAATGGCCACTGGAATTTTTTTATGCGTTTATTACAGGGTGCGCCAAAAATATTGGGACTCATATTTTTACTTGCCCCGCGGGCTGTAATGGTACAAGAGCAAAGTGGTCGCTTGTGCAAACGTGCAATGCTCCCAAGAATCTATCTTCAAAGTTTCAGACAGAGTAGTCGTATACGACACCTGTTCTGCCATTATAAGTGCTCACAACTAAGGCCCCTGAGACACGGACCCCAAAATGGATAAAAATTGGAAACACTAGTTTTACCGTTGCATGCTATGGCAGAAATTCACTTTATATGACAGAGTAGCGGTCGCTTTTTATACACTAAAAATGATTTTTACTTATAATGACTATTAAATCTTTTACAGCCCGTCAAAGTCGGCCTAAAAACGCGCCGTTTTCCAGAAAACTTCCGTAAGATCAAAGATTTTTATGTAGAAGTTTCCATGTAAGGTTCCCAGCGTATTAGGCATCAGAGATACTTTTATAAGGACAACGAGAGTCTGACTAGTCGTCTTTGAAAAATTATTTTTTTATCTTCTGCCTCTGGGGGATGAAATAGTGACTATAGCGGTAGAATTTACTCTAAGGTTGCTCGTCAAGTGAGCTTGGACTGAAGATCGCTAAAAGTAATTCAGTTGTGTCAGCATGTATCCCCAGTATAGCGTTACGTCGATTTTTACGCTCAAGTACTTTTCAACTTGTAGTAAACTGCCAAAATATATCAAGCTTCGAAGGACCGTGCCTCCAATCCGCACCATAAAGTTTTTTCCATACAGAAACTGTCCCCTTGTAGGTGTAGATTTTATTTTACGGTATGACAATTACCTATGTTCACACTCTATAACCACAAAATTTTAGAGCAACACGGGCGATACTGTGGTATTGAGATCGTTAAAAACATAAAAATCCGAACTTTCGGGATTTTTTTTGTTTTTTCGACCAGCGCCGCCATATCGGTAGTCAACCATGATTACATACGTTGTTACGAAGTGAATACCATGTGCTTTATACACAATAAATTTGAAGGATCTTACTTTCCCTTAGCGGAAATAATGGCCAAATTGATTTCCCGGTCATCCACTTGAAAAGAAAATTTTGGTCCCCCAAAAACTTTTGAATATTTCTTCAAGTTTGCAATAAGTCCCAACCCTGGCATTACCGTTGCCGTATAGCAAGACTGTTGCCCTTGCTAAAACGGCCAAAAGTTTTGATTCCAAGGCCAGCCGAAAAAAGCTACACGGAATTGATTTTTGTCCCAATATTTTTGGCGCACCCTGTACTTAACTTTAACTCTTTTAATCAACTACAAAATAGTATTGTGAGAAAGTGTTTGAAATCAAGAGTGTGGGAATAACTTCAAATTAAAACCTGTAGGGCACCAACCCAACCCCTACATAACCCGAGTTGGACACTTACCTGGAGTAAGCAGGAACTTTCCACAGACATCCCCCAAGGCATAAACGCCGGCCTTGGTGGTATTCTGGTATTCGTCAACCTTGATATGACCAGCCTCATCTGTAGCAATTCCAGCCTTTTCGAGGCCAAGGTCCTTTGTCACAGGCTCCCTTCCAATCGACCAGATCAGTTTGGTAACACCGTCAATCTTCCCAGTGGTGGTGTGGACAATCAGTGTCCCATCTTCAGCCTTTTCGACCTTTTCAACCTAAGGAACAGACTATATACACTTTAAAAACGTACATGAGTCCTCTTGTGCAATTTCAAAGGGCCTTTTTCGATTGTCTCAGTCAGCGTTTCACTCAAAGATTGGTCGAACGTCCTTAGGACATTGTCATAACGGATCAAAAGATGAGTGTCGGAGCCCAGAGCAGCTAACACACCAGCAATTTCAACGGCAATATACCCCGCGCCTACAACAACGGTCTTCCTGAAAAAAATTGAAATCAACACGAATAAAATTAAAGAAATTAAAAATAGGGTCATTATAAACTGGAAAATAATGCACACTTTGGCAGATCCTCAAACTCGAAGAACCCATCACTGTCAGTTCCCAATTCGGCTCCAGGGATGTTAGGAATAGTTGGACGCCCTCCCACAGCAATTAAGGTGTGTTTCCCCTTGTACTTTACTCCATCTACTTCTACAGTCCCGTCTTCGGCAAACTTGGCACGTCCGCGAATCAATTCAACACCAGACTAAAACATAAGCTATAAAAGTGATATCAAAACTCACGTTTTTAAGGTTAGTCTCGTAGATTCCATTAAGTCTTCTGATGTAAGCATCGCGGGATTGCTTGATTTTACTAAAAGCAAAAAACCGACACAGTAAAAAAATAAAGGAAAGGGTACCTCCAATCAAACTTGTTGACAGTAACATCAAATCCGTAATCAGCGTGATCTCTGATATACTCGGCATGAACGGCGGTATTGTACATGACCTTTTTGGGGACACATCCCACATTGACACAGGTTCCTCCGAGACGGGTGAACTCAATTAATCCGACCGAGACATTAAACTCCCTAGCTCTTCTGGCGGAGGCAATACCTCCAGAACCTCCACCAATGACCAGATAATCAAATTCCTTTGCAATCGACATACTTCGACTAAAACAATAAGTTTTTAGACAGGAATCAAGCATTAATAGGACACGAACAACCATTAAATGACTAATAAAGCCGGCGGGATAACAAAAAAGGCAAGCATGGGAATGTTTCTCAACAGCTGTGAGAGTAAAAGGATGGCTCTCGGCCAGAAACAACCTTCAAAACAATCCAAACGTCATTTTTTGAACTCATAAAGAACTCTAATCGAACCGCCTAGGAGAGAAAAATGTTTCTTCGATCCGCCCCTTCACGAGTAAAACAAAACCCCCGAAAAAAGGATGACAAATGCCTCAAAAGCCATGTGATAACACAGATATGATGTAATTCTGATATATGTGGACTTCATGCGGGGATTGCATCATTCACTAGGCTTATGGCTTCGTTTTTAAGCACTTTCGTTTAAGGGAACAGCAATTTTAAACGGAAACAAAACAAATACCCGAATGGACAAAATAAAACAATTATTTACCTAAAAACTTTTGTGAAGGCGGATTGCATATGATGAAGGTCAACTAAACTCCCAAAATTATTAAATCACGAAAAGACCGACGGATATAATACCACGGCCCATTAAACCGTTTTCATTAATCTATTGGAGTAATCGTAATATTTTATATATAATATAACCAATATGTATCCAAATAAATTAAATCACCATATCACAGTCAAAACACAAAGAATCGCAAGAAGAGAAAAATGGCTCCAGCAATCCCAATACCCATAAAGATCTTGATCATGGCACTCCGGCGATTCAATTGGCGAGCATCTTCTCTATATTTCTTGGAGAGATCTGATAGATCCGAGGCCCTTGTTTCCAAAACTAAAATAATAAGGACAGAGAAAGCAGATACTCACTATTAAGTGCTTCTCCTCGATGAATCACATCCTCAATGTTAGACACCATGATTCTGGTAACATCTTGCAATTCCGAACTCACCGTGGACATAGCAAACCGATTTCTGTCGCCATACTTCCGTTTAGCTTGTTGAATATACGTATCTATATTCGGAAAAAAGATTCAGTTCTTAATTTTCGATTGCCTTGATAGAAAAACTTTCATTTTACTCACCAAATTCGAGGAAGTGATATGGCCTCGTCGTTTTATCGATTTGAGTCCCATATTGTCCAATAAACTCGTTGGCTACGTCTTCCAAGAAACTAAAGGCTGACTGCCGAGGGAAGTTGCGCTCACAAAGAGCCAGAGCACAGATGGTTCCTTTAACAATATAACTAAAGAAATAAATAAGTAATACAAATCAAACTTACTAAAATAAATAGGGGCCAGATTCAACAATCTGGGGATTGGGGGTGCCTTGTGTATTCAACTTCCTGAACAGTTTTTTGGCTTGTGTTGTGTATTTGACCATATCAGGCTTAAATCAAGAAATCTTATATTATAAAAGACCTTACATCGTCCGCCCCTTCGATTGACGTAGCCAAAATAAGGCCATCGCTCACTCGAGCGATCAAATTCTGGAGGACCATGTTCTCATCTGTCTGGCTTCACATAAAAATCTCCACAATTTCTCTTATACAGAATGCCAGTAGAACGTGTTATTGAGTCCCGACACGAAAAGTCATTGCGCAACATTGTACAATTCTCGAACCGAATTGCGATTCGGTGTCAGCAAAACCGTGACTCCGTAAAGCTAAAAAGTGGTCCGTACACACATGGAACACGGATTTACTTACAAGTACGGTTTTTTTCACTTAAAGCTTTATAAGTAAACAAACATAAAGCAAGTAAAAATGAACGAATTCCGCCCTGTTTTACTTATTAGTACCGCAATTCGTAAAATTAGTACCGCAATTCGTGCGGAAAAATTGATTTTTTATGGAAATATTACCCTTTACGGTAGAAATAGGTATGAAACTTTTCGTGCCGAAATGTGACAAAAAATCTCAAATTTTCGCCGACTTTCAATCTAAAAATAGCAAAATGTTTTGCCAAAAAAAAGGGCGCTAGGTGTCGCAAAGCGATGATGGACGATTCCGTTACTTTCCCGACAGACAGACTGAGTCCTGCCTTTTTAGGTTATAAGTAAATTTTTGGTCGCTATTGGTAAAAAATTACTTATACACAAGTAGGGTTGTTAATTTGATGGATTTTTTCAATCTGACGTCAACTTGGCGTCAAATTGGCATCATTTTCAAATTTAAACTTCTGATATACGGACTTTCAAAGCGAGTTTAACATAGACTATGATGAATGCCGTTAGTATTAGTCGTAACTGTTTTTGCCCCATATTTCTTCGGTCGCCTTGGTGGCAATTTAATCCTAAAAATCTTGAATTTTCACGCATTTTTATGTAGAAAAAAGTTTAATTTAACAATCAAAATGGCAGAACAAAAGACGACCGGCGGACTTCCCGAATTACTATTATTCCCGAATACTAATTCGGGAATAAGATTAATGGATACCCTTAACTTGAGGCTTCATCGACTGAATTTCAGTTGAGAGGAACTCTTAAAAAACTACCTTCGGAAATTCAATTTTCCCCAAATGAAAGGTTGCGATATTTCTGGATTCCATGTGCAATTTACTTATTCTGCTTGATCTTATTTTAGTACTCGGGAAATGAAAACACAATAAAAAAATTGAAAATGATGACTCAGATTACCACAAGCAGATTCCCCGGCATGATAATCCATTGCAGATCAGTACTGAGATCAGTGGTTGCGTAATTATTTATACAAACAAAAGAATTCTCGCCTCTGGCAATGCATTGTTTGTTCAAGTTCCGGTCATTTCGCCCAGAAAATGTGGACACCAAGCTGATCATACTTCCGCGGCTCAAAGTAAACATTGAATTGGAGACAGCAACTGATCCTACGCGTTAACCGAGGAAAGTAACTCGACTTCTTTCATTTCTACGTGGAATCATCTTACTTTTAAAACTTTACTTTAACAGTTTTTTTCGATCTCCGAAAAGTAATGGAGATAAAGATTACTTGTCCCATTCTTTTTGGCGCATCCTGTACAGTAACGTGCACTTTGTGAAAATCTATGGATTCAAATTAAAAGTCCCAGTTTTAAAAATGAGTTTATTTTGAGCCTGTATTGGATTATTTTACCGTATCTTTGTAATTCAAAATCAAGTTCAATCTTGCCTAAAATGGGGTGAATATAATCATAATTTTTTTTAAATTGTTCACCTTTTTTCAATATTTTTGACGTAATGAAGACTAGGTATTAAGCTGTCCGCGCGCGTATTGTTTGCAAAATTACGTGAACATTTCCCTGGAGGCGTTTGTTCTGTTCCGATCGAATGGGGAGTCAGGGGGGAGGCAAGGGACCTCTTCTCGGACCAGTCCCTATTCTTCTTCGTGTTGAGTGGACATTGCGCGGCCATATGTCTGTTTCTCGTCTGTTTTTTGCTAATAATTGACTTGTACAGCTCTATGCAGCGCCGCAGGGCTAATCATCTGAATAAGGCGAATGCCTATTATGAGGACGTCTGGACAGATGTAAACAGTTTTATTTTGGTGAGTTCTCGACATTTGTCATCGGTTCATACCCCTTGACCTTAGCTATCGTAGTATACGTACCTGACATAAGAACCTTTGAGTATTGACTAAAACAATATTCAGGATAATGTGAATGAAGTGTTAGTTCGTTTGCAAGACGGATCTCTGGACGATGACATCTGGGGGAAGATAATATTAATGGAGAAAGGTCGAAGAATTGCCAAGGCTTATCTGAGACAGCCGACTCTTATTGTTGATGGAGGAGACGAGGAATTTGATGGGAAAACCCTCGGATTCAATTACTTCCATTCCTCACATTCGGATCATCAGATTGAGGAGTTCAGAGAAAAAATTGGAGATGTAAGTGATGCTTGATCAACACTGAAAGATGATTCAGGGGGTAGTCATCAAAATGGATAACGGAAACTTGAAGGCCATGGCCGGAGGCTCTACTCCTGTTATTGTTCAAGGCTTGCGAGATGTGATGGGGAAAGGAAATTGTGTTTCCGAAAGTTTGATGCGGTCTAATGGAAAGTTACCTTGCAGATCTGGAGATTATAATTCAAAAGAGAATAACATTGTCAAGGTAATCTCAAAAATAATTGTGGAAACTGTAACATTCCAGATATTCGATGCGAAAAAGTTTGAAAGATTTGTAAAGACGATTAAATTGGAATCGGAAATGGATAAACAAACCTTGCTGGGAAGAAGTTGTGTGAGAATAGCACTGGTTAAAGATGGCCATGAGATGACCAAGACACCTATTTGGTTTATGATCATAAACATTATTGCAGTCGATATGATAAAAGGTGCGCAGTTTTTCTACTGCAATAATCTTACATTACAGATCGTATCTTGGAAGACATTTCTATCCCCAAATCCTTGCCTTTACTTCAGCCAAATCTTGCAAGTCCCGACCTAACTCAGCTTTTAATATCAGCCATGCAACGTCAACAACTCTCCCAGTTGGCTTCTTCGTCATCCATCGACCTTCTCCAGCTTGCTTCTTTGGCTGGATCCTTGGCCAATTCAAACACCCAGACTCCAGTCATCCTATCAAAGAAAAACAAAAGAATTCAAAGATCATTGTGTAGGAAGGAGAGTGAAGATTCTGATCAAAGTGATGTTGAAGATTCTTCTGGAACATCTTCAGAGCCTTCGGAGAAAGAAAGTTGCTGTAGTTCATCAATAAGTTCGGACGGGAGTGCTCTGAAGAGTAGAATGGTCTTGGAAAAGTTGCACATATCAGAACCCAAGAGTTCTCGTCCCAGATTAGATACTGTGCTCAAATTGTATGATGAACAGAAAAGTGCATCGGTCACTTCTGGCTACAGTAGCCCGCAAGAAAACTTTGATATGGGCTCTTGGAGTAGTGCCAAAACCAAGAGCGAGACTGTAAGTGTTGTGTTTATTAAATGATAAATTTCATTTTATAGTTTGAAGAGAACAGGGAATTTGAGGAGAAGCACAAGCACCGACCTAGTAAGTGAAATGTTAGACCCTTGCATTCCGCCCTTCGCTTTGCTTTAATTCAGTTTTAGCTTCGGTGGCGGACAAAGATTACTCCATTTACAACTGGACCAATGGGGCCATGTTCAAAGGCCCTAACCCCGGCTTTAACCCCATCCCTTATAACTTTTCAGTTGCTTTCCCCACCAAGTATGTCCAAGTTCTAGAATTGTGTTACATTCTGTTTTTTATCATTACTTTAACAATGTTTTGGCGTTCCTAATGATCTGATTTAAGTCGCTCTCCTTATCCCAACGCTTCGTCATTTCATTCGACACCTGTTCATTACCCGGTATATAATCGTATCATCTATTTATAACATCTGTTTTTTATTTAGACAAATTGTGTCGGTCATCCAAAACTACCGACTTCAAGCAATTACTTGCCGCCTCAGCTCACGAATCCGACGTCGCGGACGATTACCGCGGCGATGAGAAGTCAGGGGGATTCCGAAGATTCAAGTAAGTTTGCTCAAAGGATTAATAAGTAATTTTAAAAAAGCTTCGAACAAATCCATGTGGCTCCCGCTGACGGGGAATCGGAACAAACGGAAGAGTCTTGGCCTCAGGGAAAAAGACAAAAACAACGACTTGCCTCCAGGGTAAATATTTACAGTAATTTTCGTAATATTCGTTAGAAACCATTTGAAATATAAATAATTCCAAAGTATATCTTTTATCTACAAAAAACTTGTAGATTCTCAACCAATCGGACTCGAGAATCCGTCAGCCCATCACTCGATTACTGCAGGGTCTGTCAGGGCGCCGGAAACTGTCGATGTCATCGATCTCAACTTCACAAAGTTCATCGGACATTCCGACCGCCTTCCAAAGGCAAGGTCGGCCTCATCGGACGGCTTCGGCGGTCGGTCAGCGGCCAAACCAAAGGGAAATGAAGCCCTTATTTAACTAGCCCATAATTATTATTGGAGCCGTGTCTCGGGTTGTTAATAGACAGATTCCTTATAATAAAAACTGTTCAATATTGTATGGTAGGGAAAGACAGTAAACTCTTTCAAAGATTGACAGCGAAAGAGAGATCGGGTCTAAAGGGACAACGCCCAGGGATCAATCGCCGGATATATGATACCTTCTCTTCCATGGGAACAAAGTAGCTGTTCATGGAGACCTGTAACAGAGCTCAGAGGAAAAGCGGACATGGTCGTCTCCTCGGGTGGCCATCACTTGGATCAGAGCAATTATTTATTCTTTTGTAATCTTATCCATGCCGTGGTAAGAGTATCTTTGATCGAACTCTCTAGTTCAGACAATATCCAAGTTCCTTGATGTGTTAATCTTCGTGTCCATCATAAGCACGACCTTCATTTCGACCTCCCATTTCAACATCACCACAACACCTCCCGTTTTTATATTGGGTACTATTGTTCTGATCATCGTCCTCTCCCACTTCTTTGGTATCTTTTTGGACAGTCACAATTTTATGTATCCTATGGTTTTCCTTACAGTAAGTCAAGCTAAAAAAATAATACTTTTAAGGGAGTTTTGATGGTGTTTGCGATGGTTATTTTATTGATCTACGTATTTCTGGGATCGGCCACAGATATTCTGAAGAAAATGCATGAAGAACAATGGTTGAGGACCATCTACTTGGAGTACAACTTGGACATAAATGATTACGCAAGTAAGGAACGTGATCTTTTCTGCTTAAGGGTACCATTTTCAGTCATCAAAATCCTCTGTTTCATAATTTTGATTGGAATTATGTTATTTGTCGCTGCCACGACGTTTGTTTACATCATATTTTATTTGTCCTTCGATTGGATCCGCTTGAAGAATAATAGCAATAAGCAACCAGAGAACACAACTTTGTTGGACTCCAAACTCATGTATAAATTAATATAAAATTAAGTTTTATTTAGTTCCATTCTTAATTTTTTTGAGTAAAATTTCTTCGCCTTCGTATCCATTGAGCATGAATTGTGATGGATACCTCTCAATAAACTTCTTCGAGAAGTTTCTCTGTCCAAGTAAGGTGTAAATGACGTTGCGCCGCTCCATGGAGTCCTTTTCATACTCTTTGATCACCTCTTCTTTCTTCATCCCACAGCTGTCAGCAAACACCAAAATGATAATAATGGGATACTGTAACCAGAACTAGTATACATATACATATATTGTCCAATAATTAAGCGCACTGTACCATGCTGAAAGTTGCTGCTTTGGCCATATTTCTCAGCGATACTCCAATTGAATCAATGTTTTGTTCGGAGTAATGTTTGATATGGAGAAAATAGAGTAAGACCAATGCCAAAATGATGACCAGAAGTCCGATTGAGACATTGCACACAATAGCTCCGGTAATCTAAGTCAGATCGATATATCGAATGGGGAAACAAACCACTTTCTCAGGATAAAGGCATTCCATCATAAACCGGCTGTAAAAGAAAAATAATTACAAATCAAGTTTTGATTGGATTACGAGCAACTTTGCCCAAAATAAATAAAAGTGTAAGGAAAGACATAAAGAGCGGTCAACAAAATGTTTTAAAACGAAATTAGTAAGGGTCGAAGGGTGATTGAGGGAGCGAAAAGTGAGGCCGAGGAAGTTTTAAAGTCTCTGAGATCAATACTCCAAGACCCAGCTTTCCTCCGGCCAGAACAGATCTCCCGACTCTTATTTTTGCGAATGAATAAAGGGATTGTGTTCAGCATAAATCTGAGCAAATAATTTTGTTTTATGATGACCTGAGGACGTGTAGTCAGGGGGGATTAAAAAGGACAGGGCTTTTTCTGTAATTCGATCCTCATCCTTTAAATCTTGCGCTCAATGTCAAGGCCCCGGGACTGTTTGTTGATCTTTGTTTTACCTGAGTAGATCGAATCAATAAATTTTATTTTGTGGCCATGTTCTCTAAAGGAACGGTAAGTCTTCCTATTAAATACAAAGCCGAAAGTTGCTTGCACCAGTTACAGTTCAAAAAGTGCCGATGATCTTGAGAGTAAATTAAATAGCCTGACTCTTCGATCGGATTTTGATTAAGGCTTTATATTATACATACATTGGAAAGCTTTCCTGAAAATGGGGTCATCATTATGTAAACTGCGTCGGAATAACGTCTCCTTTGTTTATAAGACAAGTCTTTTGCGTCGGAATATTCTCATGTTGACCAAGCCCTCGGGCAATGCAGGGATTCCTTTTTATAGTAATTCGGGACGAAATGGGCATGACAATTAGATCAGTGCCCCTTTGAACAGTCAATTTCACGCGTTTTCCTTCTTCGTGCCCGAGGGAAAACGAGGATAAGGGCTGTAGCGCCTCGCCGTTTTATTCGGAATAAACGCCCTGAGACTTTGGACTTTGGCGACTAATCGTTTGAGGAGCCGGAAAAAATGGCTCAAGGCATGGCGTCTTCAAGGACCGCGGTTGACCCTTCGTTGGTTATTTTTTCAATAATAGCCGGAAAGATAAGAAAAAAAGAGAGACACCTTCGGAGTAACATTAGCCGCATTTGTGGCATATTTACTAAACTTGGAAGAATGAGATGACAACTCTCTCCAAGCATCTTTCGAACATCATCAAAAACAGATATTAACAGCAAACGTCGGAGGGTTTATGGATGTTTTATATTTCCTTAGAACTTCGAACGATATTAAAAACACGTATATTGAGAAGTGTTTGTAATAATTCAGTTTGTTTTCCTGATGGAATAGCAATTAATTATATGTGGATAGCCTACTCAGATTTGCTTGGATGAACATTGTGTAAAAATTACTGAGTCTTTTGTTTTGACTTTAGGTGAATCGGCATCCCGTGTATAAAGACCGGATATAGATATTTTTTCCGACAAGAGGATGTAAATTCGGCACATACTTCTCTTACTATGCTCTTGTTACATTGTAATTTGAAGACGTTCTGTAAGCCCGTTATGCCGCATTTCGACCCGAAATCGTAAAGGAAATGAAGTTTCTGGTGTTAACATGGCGTTTTACTTCTCCTTCCGCACTCGGCCTTTGACTATTCAATTCATGTTCTCTATTCACTAGGCGTTGTGATGTCCGATGGCGTTTGCACGGGATTCGAGCCGCAGAATTATCTGCGTGATCGTTGTAAAAAGTGTTTTCGACTAAAGACAAAACACGATTTGTCTACATCTCCAAGAGCCAGATCTTCCGCAATGTCAACTCCGGAAAATCCCCCGGTTTCGCCCACAAACTCACTGGTAACACAAACGGCGGAGAAAAGGAGATCGTGGAGAGACAGGAATCCAGATGAAGGCCCTGAAAACGAAAGTACGGTATTTTTAATCATTATCATTAACGCTACCCTGAAAAGTAAAATTTGATTTCATTTCAGTCCCTGACAACATGACCGAGACATCGTCGGTTGTTTCCTTTAAATCTGCCCATTCTAAATTGCTATCCACTGCAAAATCTATGGAAAGTATATCGTCTATAGTCGACGACAGATCCATGGTTACCGCGGCTTCAGGGTCTATCGAATTTGACAACGATGACGACAGGTGTATAACTCCAACAGAGGTTTCTGATTTTGTAAGTTAATAAACACGAGACTTTCAATTCCCAGGATTTACATCAGCTAAATTCGGAAAATATGAGACTCCAAGAACAAGTGAACAAGTTGAAAGAAGAACGGAAGAGATGGACCCTTAAAAGGCCTCATAAAGCAGATTTGCATCAAGATGAAACCCTTGTCCAGATACTCGAGGACCGATTAAATGAAGCAGAAAGTCTTATTCAAGACTACAGAGATGAAAACACAAGCCTTAAATGTGAACTCAGAGAGATTAATGAAGGCATAAAAAGCAGAGAATTGGATGGAAAACTGAAGTCTGCGGAAGAGTTATGTGACGAATTGATGGTAGAAAACGAGCAACTAAAGAACGAAGTTCGGGATCTTCAACAAGAAGTCGAGGAAATGCAAGATCAATACCGAGAAGAAGAGATTGAGGAGTTTCGGGAACTTCAGAGAGAACTTGAACAGAATGCCAAAAATTGTAGAGTTCTACAATTCAAATTGAAAAAGGCAGAGCGATCAAGAGAACAACTCAAAACAGAGAATGAGGTTTTAGCCATGAAATTACGAGAACAAAGCAAACCAACAAACCTGGTTGAAGGAAATGAGAATGACAGTGATGATAACTCGGTGATCTCGGATTCAACTGTTCATAGTCAATCCGTAAAAGTTAGAGAACTAGAATCTGAGTTGAGAATTGCTAAGGAAGTCAGCTTCCGTCTTCATAAAGAATTAGAAACGGCAGAAGAAAAAAGGTAGGCATATTTTTATTAGGAAATTAAAAATCGGACGCACTTTATGAAGTCGTTTGTAACTCATTCATTAACTTAATCATGTTTGGAGTGTTATTCTTTATTTTCCCAACTACAAAAACAAAACAAGTACTTTAACAAAGGAATACTTTAACAAACTCGATATTTCGCAGTCAGATTTGGATTTTTTCCCTTTCATCTTCCGATTCCGGCAACTGGTCAACTAGTTATCGAACTCAAAACCAAGTTTTGAACGGCAAAATACAAATGGTGACAAAATGTCAACATTTATTGTTTTTACGGTAAAATTCTATTATTTTTTTTTACACTTTTTGAATGCAAAAGTACTTCGATTATGTAGACGTGGAATCGGATATATCAGTCTGTCGGGAAAATAACGGCGGTCAAAGCAAAATTTTTCGCCTCGTCGAAAAAAGGGTGCCGTCGCGCACCAAATCTCCTGCTTCGGCAGCCGTCGCAAAGCGATGTAATATCCCAAACTTTCACATTAAATTTTCTGTTAAACATTGAGTTAGACACAAAAATATCCTCATTTGCGGACAGCGAAAAATAGTCCCTTTAAAATTTATATCGTCTTCTTTAGATATAAGTTGGAAGATGACGTGTTCTACTACAAGGAAAAGCTCAGGGAATTGCAAACACAAAGCAAATGGAGAGACAGCAGGAACAGAACGGAAGTTTCCAATGTAAGTATGACACTTGAACATGTATAATGTCACTTTAGCAAAGACGACAGTCAATTGAAGTTCCAGAAGATCTGTCCAATGATGATTTAAGGACATTAATAGAAAGGGAGGGAGACTTGAGAGATCAACTCAGATTCGCAGAAGAAGATCTTAAAAGAACACGAGCACAAATGCAAGAATTAGAAAATGAAAATGAGGAGTTGATGCAGAAATTGGCCCGTTTCAACGATGTCTCCAATACCAGAAGCTCGTTGAACAAAAAACCCATCATCACCAGAAGTGCCAGGTAAGTACATGCCATGTAAAATATTTCGCGCAGCGAAAAATACCTTGTTTCCCCAGGCCTGGGGGCGGAAAGAACACGCACTGAATTTAAGATTAGCTTAACAGCACGTAGTTTGTCTCATACAAAGTGTGAATCTAACAGTTCTTGCCTCGGCACTTTCCAATATTTCTGCTTTAGCGAAGGTCATGACGACAAGCCGATGCAACCTGCTGACTTAGAGACGCTAAGTGAACGTTGCAACGTTCTAGAACGCAAGAATAATTCTCTAACTAAAAAGTGAGACATATTCTCCTGTCAAAAGGGCCTCATTATTTTTTTAATGCAACAGATTTAATTATTTCAGAATGCTTGAACTCGAGATTGACACTGTTAAGAAATTGCAAAATTTGGAATCAGATTCGACTAACGTAAGCTACCGTAACCATTCAAAAATTTTTAGGGGAAACTTAATGCGGAAGTCGAAAAAGATATGACACGATTAATAGGAAAGATCCAAGAGTTGGAGAAACAAAACAACGAGCTGCAGCTTCAAATCAGAAGACCAATCACAAACGATCACAGCTCTTCTCGAGATAAAGGTAACAGTCAACAACAGTAATCACATAATTTTCAGCAATGTCGGTCGAACTGAGGCAAGAACGACAGCAGAGAAAAGAGCTCGAATCTGAATTGACTGAATATAAACAGTTAATTGCAAAGTCTGACAACGCAAAATTGATCGCCATGGCTACCAAAGTTGAACTGTTAACAAATCAACTCAATATGGCGTTAGAAAGAGCGAATGCCGCGCACAAGAAATTCGCAAAGGACAGTGGAGTTGAGGAAAGTTACGCCGACCAACTGAAGAAACAAATAGAACATCTGGAGAAACAAAACAGCGAGTTGTTAGCTAAGGAGACATTCAAAGTTGTTACTAAATCCGACATGGATTCCCCCACCATGCCCACAGCTGATGAAGTAATATTTTGGATAACACCTTTTGCATTTGCATTTTAGATAGAACACTGTTGTGTCGTGCTAGCATCAGTTGAGGCCCAAACAACCCGCATTTGCAAGCAACTTGATAGACTTGACAATTCACAAAAAGTAAGGAAACGTAATCAAATATTTTTGTTTCTAGGAAGAGCGTCGCCGGTCATTGTCCAGAGAAAGCGCCGCAGGCATTTCCGTCGACCTGGCAAGTGTGATGGCTGAACTTAAGGTCATCCGCCAAGTCTTGAAAACTCATAAACAGGCCGGCACTGATGTGAATAAAGACGCAGACAACGAAAACGGGTCAGCGGCAGAATCTGCAGAGTGCGCTTTTTGTTCCGAAAGGGATCAGCAGATAGAAAAATTAAAAGAAGAGATCGGATTCTATAAGAAGAAAAACAAAGAGCTCACAAACCAAGTCCTCCAAACGGAGGATAGATGGACTGTTGAAATTGAAAAGCAGACATATAATTATAAAACGGAGGTAATTAGTAGTGCAATTATAATTGCTTTGTAGATTCGACATTTGGAAAGTGATTTGGATGACTTAAGAAGTCGGCTAAAAGAGCAAGAAGAAGTCGCAAATGCTCGGATGGTGACTTTAGTAGAGAAGCAGAAGACGATCGAAGAACAAACAGCCAGAACAAATCGCTTGGAGCATGAAATAAATGAACGACAAAAGATAATTCAGGTAAGCTGAAACAGTCAAATGAAAACGGTTTTAGGATTATGAAAAGGAACAGAAGGCGTTGAAGGAATTCGAAATAAAGTACCGTAAGATCGAGGATATGTATCAGAAGGAAAAGGAGAGATACAACAGTGATCGCTGCAAAATTAAGTCAGAAATGTCATTAGCAAAGAAAAAGTCCGAAGAAGCTTCACTAGAATTGGGTAAGACTGATTTCCTTTACAAGCTAGACATGTTTATAGAAAAGGTAAAGCAAGAAATGGGAAGGAAAGAAAGTGTTTGGCTCGATGAGAAAAAATATTTACAAAACGAAATCAATCAGTTGAAGAAAGCTGCAAAAAAAGATGGTGAAGACAATGATGAAGAAGAAGAGGAAGAAGAAATCCACTTCAGCCCACGGCCTGTAATTAGGACTATCAACTACAGGGTCACGAAAATTAACAACGAAATGGGAGTACCAGAACTGAAGGAGAAACTGGTCAGCCAACAACAAAAGTACAGTGACCTTGAAGGGAAATTTAACAAACTGCAATTGGCCAAAGAATGTCTTGAAAATGAATTGAATAGACTAAAGGACAGTGCGGAACGAGAGCGCAATGATTTCCAACACAGAACTCGGCAGAATGAAAAGATTAGATCGTTTGAAATTGACGCATTACAACAGAAGTTTACAAGTAGAATGAACATAATGGAAAACACCAACAAGTCATTGCATACTCAGGTAAGCCAAGACGATTACTGAATGTTAAAACTATTCCATACTCCAAATTTCAGTTAGTACAGCTTCGGAGAGAACGAGATCGGTTTAGAGATTCCACGAATACCATGGAAAATAAATTATTGGATGAACAAAGAAATCTCGACGAAGAACGACGAAAAAACTCTCAGCTGAGTAACATAAACAACGATTTGGTAAGTTGGTAAAAAATCATAAAGGCCGATTCTTTAGGAAAAGAAAATCAAGGCACACGTCGCTGAGATCGATCGCCTAAGTCACGAACTTAAGCTCAAGATCGATGCCCATAAGGCTGACTGCACTTTATGGGAAATTCAAAAGAAGCATCTCGAGAAGAATCAAGGGAATGTCGACAATGAGAGTAAGGACGTTAGAATTACAGAAGACGCTTTGAATGCGGCTGAAGCAGTGCAGAAACAATATGCCGAATACCAAAAGTTTTATACAAAGGAAGTAACCAGGCTGAATAAGAAGATCAAAGAGATGGCAGCATTACTTAACAACAAAGAAGCAGAATTCTCGAAGAAAGCGAACGAGGTAAGGGTAGTCAAATAGTAGTCGCGCCATAAAGTCCTGACACATTTGTCGCGGGTGTCGCGCGAGAAAATTGGAACGAGCTCGCTCGAAAGTGCATGCCTCTAGTGCAAAAACGGGGAATTAAGCGAAACGAAAACAAAAATGCACGGTATGATCCAGTGGCAAAAAACGTACCATTTTGAATCCGGGAAGTATCAAAAATGTGGCAAAATGCTTCCCTCTCCAAGTGAAAAAACTTCGTTTTGAAGGGCGCGCCCTTTTTCCTCACAAAAAGAGCGGGCGCGCTTTTGAAATCGGAGTTTTTTCACTTGGGGAGGGAGGTATTTTGCCACATTTTTTGATGCTTCCTGGATGCAAAATGGTACGTTTTTTGCCACAGGATCAGATCTCCCAGTCCCCCACTGTAGTACAACATAATACTCCTTTCAGTTGGATGAACAGATAAAGATACTTGAGATTGACCAAAAGAACCTTATTCAAGCCAAACAAACGCAACTCAGTGCTACAGAGATTCTAAGAGCGGACCAAGACAGGCTAATGCAGATCGTTCAGCAATCGGAGATACAGAAACTAACCAGGAAATACAAAATAACGGCAATAATTGATAGAGTAAGAGAACATAAAAACCAGTGAAAATTTGTATTTCCAGCTTCAAACTATACAAAACCTAACTGAAGAAACGGAGATTACGCATATCATCAACCAACTCAACACGATCAAAGAAGATGACAACACTGCCGCATTTACATCCAGTGATTTAAATGGTTATGAGGTGGATTCTGTACTTTCCTCTGCCAGGACGGTGACCTCAAGTGTCAGTGCCTACAATACGAACCCCATGTTTTTACCCAGCCAAAGATCACTCAGTATTGAAAGCAGTTCGACCTGGGACAGCAGATTCCAAGATTACACCACCCGTTCGGTGTCCCCCGTTAAGAAGATGGTCAATTATCCCGACCCGCCTCCCAATTTCATGCTAAGCAAAGACACCAAAGTCGAGTACGACCGGGATGGAAGATTGCATTATGTGCCAAAAACAATATCACGAAGTCTTTTGTATGATAACGCCGGTCCTATTGTAACAAAAAGCACGGGTACTCTAACTGACGATACCGACGTCGACAACGATTCATTAGCATCACATAGTAGGATGGGAAGCGCAGGAACCAATATCCTGTACAAGATACGGAGAGAGGAATTGGCGAAAGGAACTGCACCGTCCGTACGAACAATAGCACAGGCATTTGAAACTCTGGAAAGACCAAAAACAAAGAGAGGCTTTTTCAATATCCGGAAGTCGAGATCGGTTGACACGAATGAAGATAAACCATCTGTGGTAAAAGAATAACCATAAACCCAGGATAAACTTTTGTTTTAGGCTGTCCTCAAACCGACAACTTTATCTAGGAACACGACGAGTATGAGTAGAATTGAGATGGATCTCCCGACTCCAGCACTACAGTCAAAACCATCTTCGAATAATCCTGTGTCTCATTACGGAACACTGACTCGAGGTGGTCGTAATCCTTTTAAGAACATGGGTTCGAAATTAGTAGACCGAGTCCGCCGTTCTTTATCAAAATCGGGCAGAACTAGCCGAGATCAAACTCCCGAAAGGGCGCCATTGGCGCCAAATGAGGATATATCACCCATGGAAGAGACAGCCCCATCTACAGAGGAGAAGCCACAAATTAAAGTGAGTAAATCCACAAACAAAATATTGTTTAGACGGTCAAGAAAATACGAGTTAGAAAATCAGTTGATGGAGAAGCTACGAAGATAACTCGCAAGAAACCGACGCCCGTATAAATTCTCCAACCTCTAATGTTGTTATTTATTGTTGATTCATACCAATAAATTCATTTTACACATGACTCTTTCCTTCTTATTGGAGGATAAATGATAAGGCATGTGCATTTTGAGTAACTCGAACCAGCTGTTTCTTCGATGCTCCTTATGACAAAATTATCTTTATGGTATTATTTGATAACCTCAACTACTCACAATTAGCCGGAAAGGAAAAGCGGAAACTTCAATTTAAGAAAATAGCATTTCTATATTCAGAGCTCTGCGTTTGATTTTTGCGTCTGTTTGTTTTTGACTCACCCAGAAACACAAAAACAATGTGCATAGTTATAAATATGACCCTCCCTCCTGTTTCCAGAACAATCTGATGCACTAACCACCTAGACCTAGGTGGCATACACTCAAAATTAAAAATTTCATCTTCTAAAAAGTGCGTCATTTTTTGTATCATTGCTGATGGGTTTTCTAGAGGGCGGAAATTTTTCGAGTTTTTTGCGAGAGGTTTTTACCAGTTGATCTGTTTTCAAACACTTCTCCTTACACTTCAACATGTTTTAGGTCTCAGAATCAAAAAATATTTTTATTTATCAATTCCGTTGTGAGCTTACCTTTAATTTAATCATTATTTTTGTTACTTTTATGTTGTAATAATGATAACATAAACTATGCTTCAGAACTGCACAAAGTTCTTCTCATCTGGTTGGGGTGGTCGCTGCCGATCGACAGTTAGTGGCGCCACTTAAACTTTAAAACCATTTCTCGGTTCGAAATTTGCGAGTTTTAATTGAATAATTCGGCAGCTGATTTCTAGCGAGGGGGGCTGGAATGCCAGGGGTCCACACATTTTATGATGGGTCAAGGATATTGGAACCCGTCGCCGAAGGGATCGGCGTCGAAGTTGACATGGTATGTATAGTCCAATTCATGTTAATTCATGTTTAGCTTAATCTTGTATTTTGCCAAGTCATCTCGATCCCAATGGCAATATTATACAGAAATTATCTGGGGCCCGAGAAAGTGAGTAGGGAAATTCGATTGTGGTCTTCTATGGCAGTGGGCCTGGTGTTATGCTACTTCTGCTATGGAAAGTAAGGTGTAACTTTTTATAATCAGATTGTTATTGCTCTAGCGCCATCAAACATCCATTGGCGTTGATCGCCGTTTCCTACTCTATAATGCGCTTCTCTCCGACCATTTATGTACATAAATTGGTTTTTTGTTTTGCCATGGGATACTTGATCTTTATCCACTGGTTTCGATGGTACATCTTGACAAGTTACTCAATTGACATCACTGGGCCAATGATGGTCTTAACTCAAAAAGTCACTACTATGGCGTTTTCTTTGCACGATGGCAAAGTAAAGAAGGCCGAAGAGCTAACGCCAATTCAGAAACGGGAAGCAATCGGGTACGCTTAACAAATATCAAGTCTTCAAAGTATTGTTTTAGTGAGGTTCCTTCTGTGCTGGAATTTATGAGTTATTTATTCCACTTCCAAACAGTTTTAACTGGTCCCCTTTGCTTCTATACGGACTATATACAATTTATTGATGGAAATGACATGACTCCTGAAGAAAGAAAGGCATGTTTTCAAATTTTTTTGATTTATTTTTTAGAGGTTGAATGTCTGGCAAGGTGCTCTTCCAAAGCTGTTGTCGGCCCTTGCCTTCTTGACCATTGTCGCTGTTTCTCATGAAGCATACAAACCAGAGATCGTCCTTCAGCCAGAAATACTTCGTTTGCCGTTTTATAAATGGTGGGTCTTATTCTGGCTAGTCATCGTCTTAAAACGGTTCCAATATTATTACGCGTGGACGATCGCTGATGGCATCGCCAATCTAAGTGGATTTGGATTTAACGGATATGATGAAAACCATCGGCCTAGATGGGACTTGATCAGTAATGTTAATTGGTTGAAAGTTGAGGTGAGTCGAATGTATTCTTTATTCTTCCTTTGCAAATTTAGTTGGCCTTCAATTTCAAAGATACCCTGGACAACTGGAATATCACAACAATGTATTGGTTGAGACGAGTTGCATACGAACGAGCTCCCAAAAAGTACAGCACGGTTGCTACTTATATGTTGTCAGCTATGTGGCATGGATTCTTCCTAGGGTATTACTTAACCTTCCTGACTGGGGCGTTAATGACTCTCTCAGCTCGAACAGTAAGTTCAAGTACTTGGTAATTTGTATTTAAAGGCCCGCCGGTGTTTGCGCCATCGTTTCCAAATTAATCTTTTCTGGAGTCGCTTCTATGATGTTTTAACTTTTATTGCTACAAAAACCGCTTTGGCATACACCACGTTTCCATTCGTTACTCTACATTTGTATCCTGCAATTTACTTATATAAGTAAGTTGACAACTTTTTTTTTATCTCAAATTATAGACAAGTTTACTTCTCACATCACATTGGAGGCCTCTTAATAATTTTTCTTTTACCTCTTGTTCTTCCACCCCAGCCACGGTCCGTCGATGTCAAGAAGGTCAAGTGAGCCGAGGTCTGGCAATTTGACAACTTCCACTAACCTCGCCGGTAACCAAACTGCGCGATAATATCCAATACGATTTATGGTTATCGTCTTTGTTGCCTTATGTGTAACGTATTTATTGTCCAACAACAAACGTATAAACAAACCAATTACTACTTTTTAATTTTTCCTAATTCTTCCTGGAGTTGAGAAACAGCGAGCTGAGGATCGTCTTTGTGAATCAAGAGATACCCTTGGACCCAGGCGGGTGAAACAGATGTCCCGGATTTCCTGACCGTCTTCACAAATTCAGCGCATAATTTTTCTTCAGCGTCTTCATAAAATCTCCGGAAGAACTAAAACAACGGTTAAAAATTCAGGCGATATAATAGGCATCAATTTTAACCCGTAGACATACCGCTTCTAACATTTTTGAATTGCAATTATCCAGTTTATATTGCACATCAATTCTCCCGGGGCGAACTAGAGCATCGTCCAATCGATCTCGATAATTAGTAGTCATGAACAAGATCCTTTCCTCGCTACTCGCAACTCCATCAATAGCATTTAGAAGTCCAGAGAAAGTAACTCGAGTCATCCCTTCGTAAGCTTTGTGATTTGAATTATCAAATGCATCGCGATTTACAAAAGCTGCATCAACATCTTCCAAAAGAATAAAACAATTTGGCGGGGTGTTATTCAGAAGATGAGACAGCCTGTCATCATCCAACGTCCTCTCGCTTAATGATAGAATACAAATAGAATACCCAAAATGACCGGCCAATGATGAGATAAGGCTGCTTTTTCCTGTTCCTGGAGGTCCATGTAACAAATACCCTCGTCTGTATGGTATTCCTCGAGTAATGTACCTAAATGGATTGTCATGCCAATGCCCATCCTCCTTACCATTCGGAACTGTCGATAAACTCTTTAACATCTTCAATTATTCTCTCCATGATATTCTCTGCGAGAATAACTGATTCAACCGGCCTCTTTCTTCGTGGATTTCCCATTCGATGCCATTCAGGTCCAACGGCATTGTAAACGACGATTCCCGTTTCCTCCTTAAAATAAAGTGGAAATATTAATGCAGTTGGATACCTTCTCCAACGCTTCCGTCGTTGCTTTTTCCAAAAACTCTTTCCAGATTAAAGGATTTCCAAATGTGGTCAGAGTTACCGTCTCCAAAGCAGTCCTAATCCCATTCCTTTGGATCTGATGTTTTTCGCGATTCCTTTCGACTTGAATCCATCTATAGTTGTAAGTAAAGTAATGGGTTCCATAACCTGGCAAAAGGAAAAACGTCGAGGTTACTTTTCCGCTTTCTGATTGACTGATTACGGATGAAGCCGATATGGACCTTGCCTTGTGTCTACTGTACTTGTTGATAAAGTCCAACACCCACGGGTAGGACCTAAAAAAAGAAGGTTTTAATCCAAATACACACTTACGCATCCTCATTGTTTAATGTCAAAGAAGTGACAAATCGTCGTCTGAACAACGCGTTACCTGTAAATGGAAGCGCAAATTAATTTGTAATTACCTATTACTGTAAGCTTCTTTCCAAAGGACGCCGCAAACCCAATTCCAGCCAATCCAAGTCCAGCATTAAAATACGGATTCTTGGAGTAAGATTCCAAAAAGGAAGATCCTGATGGAGTTGAAACACTGGATGATAAACCTTCCTCCATTTCATGTGCTCCTAGGTTCATCACAAATTAATCATTTTTAATCATACGTTATAATGGGCGCAGTCATATGATCGCATAAAACTTATGTATTTTGCCATCTGGAAAGTAATAACAGCTATAGGACAGATCGTAGGAATTTTTTTTAATCTGAAGTCAAGCTGCGTCAAGTTGGCGTCATTTTGGCAAAAAATATTTGATAAAGAAGCTTGTTGTCAAACGCAACTTTAACATAGGCTATGATGGATATCAGGTTTTACTGCTTATTTCATCCGCCGTTTTGACGAGAAGGAGCAATTTAATTCCCTTTTAATTCCTACGATTTTTCTAGCAAAAATCTACAAGAAAATTCCGACAAAGTTCACTTTGACAGTCAAAACGATTCTATTTAGTTTTGCAAGTAAAAACGGGTAAAAACCCCTCATTCCTTGTTTCAAAATTTATTTTTTCTTTCATATTTGAATTTTTACCTCATGAATCATGACATATTTTTTATAAATTGTAATATGTGTTCCGCCACGAAAACACGATTTCCGACTTCACTCCCACAGCACCGCGCTGCTAGCGGCGAGAGATGATGGCCACAGATTTCTGATACTGATGGAATCGACGGTCGAAAAAGCTGGGGGTTTACTTTTTTAAGTGTTTTACTTGTACTTTCTTGCTACAATTACAAAAAAAAAACAAATGTTCGGGAAGGTGCTGTGATTTTTACGTTTGGAAATAGTTGCTTTCAAAATATTTTCCCGGACATTAAAAAAGAATTTGTTTTATTTTATAAGATTCATTTTCTGTTTCGCGAAACCGTGTTTGATAACAAAAAATGCTTGGAAACACCATATTCTAAACTTTATGGACTTTGTTTATATGAAATTTGTTCTGACAACGAGTTTCATTTTTTAATGTTATTATTGGTGTGTTTCAGAAAGTTTGGATGAGTGACCACAAACAGTTATTTCTCTTTGGCAGGGCTTTTCCGTCGAAGTTGGATGAAAATGCATTTATTGAAAGGTAATTATAACCCAGTTCTTATTTTTTTTGTTTAGAATAATTGACTCAGCTAATTCTCGAAATAAGTATGGATCTACCCCGACTCCGGCAATCTCGTCCATTCCAGCCAATGAAATAGTGCAGATGGTAGTTGGCTCTAGTAGCATCGGGTTTTTGTTTAAGGTTTGTGGAACTGGCCATATTTTTTAAGAAGCTTTTGGCACGTCCTAACAATTATTTCTTCAGAATAATCGTATTGCTCGCCTCGATTTTGAAATTGTTACAAATTCTGTCCTCTCAGAGTCTCCGGAGTCCAATCAGTTTAACACCGGAAGCAATCCGTCGGTGGATCCTGGAAGTTCGGTGCCGGCAGCAGTTTCTGGTTCTTCCTCCTCGATTGGAAGCTCGGGGAGTGGACTGGGGTTCAGTTCCTCGGCTTCAGCAAATCGGAATGCAAAAATCAGAAGAATGATGATCGCCGCCAGAAGACCAGGAGCTATTCTGAATAGAACAGGCGTTATTGTCGATCGTTCTCGTTCCATGCTACCGGCATCTTCAATTCCCGAAGAATTAATTGCACAAGCCCAAGTGGTACTCCAAGGGAAGAGCCGGGAAGTCATTGTACGAGAATTGCAGCGCACCAACTTGAATGTGAATGAAGCCGTTAACAATTTACTTAGTCGAGACGATGACGAAGGTAATTTGATGCAGAATTTTAAATAAAAAAAATTTAGATGAAATGGACGACCAGAATGACTCTTATCTGCATGAAGAACTTCTGTCTTTATTAGATGCCGGTTTGAGGGGGGATGGAGCGGCGGCTGTAATTGACGGAGAAGGTCTTTACACTGGAGCAGAATACGAATATATGTTGAGAGATCCTAGGAGAAGGGATGATCCGAAGACGAAAGATCGCAAAATTGAGAATCAACAAAATGCTGAACTGAGTCAGCAGAATTTCAGATTCTCCGATGAATTGTTTTATTGGCACGATGTTAATGGAGAAGATTTTCCTAATGGTGTCACCAAGTTCATCCAGATTGGGGCTTCTTACTCTGGTCTCTACGGCCTCGGAGATAATGGGAAACTATACGAATGGAGCTGGAAAGACAGACTACCCGTTAACGAACCACATGAAGCCAACAAGGTTCTGAGTGGTGAGGTTTCAAGCGTTATTGTACAATACCTTTTTTAGGAGATGAAAAAATTGTCAATTTTTCTGCTTCTGCATGGAGAATCGTATATCTTACCAACAACCGACGAGTCGGCTCTTTCATGGATGATTATTGTGGTTCGTCTCTTGGGGATATCTTCAGCACGGGGCCCATTGAATTGCCAGAAAAAGTGACGGTAGAAAAGTTGATGTCGTGCTCGTTGTATGCGGCTTGTCAAACTTCTCATAAACTCTATTGGTGGGGAGTCCATCCATTCACCGACCGTGTTCTTATGTTCGAAAATGCTAAAAAGAAGACTCGTGAAGAACCAGTTTTAAGACCTAAAGATATTGTCGTTGGTTCTGAAGTCCGTACACGAGCCATTCCGATATACGCATCTGGATCTGTTGGTGTCAGTTTTGCCAATGGAGCTCCAATGGTGAGTTTAGGGATGATTGTGTGATTGGTTTTTAGATTGGTGTCTTAATGGAAGCGGCTTGGACGATGAATGAGACTTGCAGGTTCAGAGTGATGACTCCTCAGCAATACGCTTCCTACTCCAAGGATAAACATTCTGGCGATAAAACAAATGTTAACCGTAAGAATTTTTTCACGTTCGGGTAGAATTAGCCGAAATTGGGTGTGGTTTTGGTAACTTTAGTCTGTGGGCCTGTTCATTTCGGGAAAAAGCACTATGGCCCTTTTAGTAACTGTTCGCAAAAGAGCCGCTCCTTCAGATGACAGTATGGCGGAAGTTGGGGGCGGTACGCAGGGTACTGCCCAGTACAAAGAGACGGCTTGGAGTCTGAAAGACGTTACTTTCATCTTTGAGGAACCCGTTTGTGATACTGCTGTTGTTAAAATTGTAAGTTTTACTTTTACTCGTTATATATCTGAAAAGGTTGACGGAAGTTATGCTGGAATTGTGTACAAGTCGGCTATTGAACAATCGGAGAAGGAAAACAATGGAGTTGCAAATGAAGTTGAGCTTCTGAAAAGTCACCTAAGACTGATGAGGAAAGACGAGCTTGTGGTGGTCCCGTCGGTGAAACTTTCTCGTTCCCCGCAGACGTTTCAAAAGAAGTTATGCGAAGTCAAGCTTCCAAAGAATATCAGAAGAATTATATCATCTGCAATTGACAATAACTGTAAGTGGGAAGCAGTCAGGGTGTACTGATTCTTTCAGCATTTCAATTGCTGGCTGAAAAGTGCAGTGGCGAGGTCGCTTTAGTTAAAACGAATGGATACGGGACTGACGTTTGCTCACAGTATATTCCCATCGATATTTCTACTTTAAATAAGGGTCGAGAAAAAAATTGGAAAGCATTCTTGGATAATTATGGGGACGTGAGTTTGTAAAATTTTGCCATTAAATCAATTTCTAGGAAAACATTTTGGTAATGTGTGATGCCAATGGAAGTATGGTCCCTTTAATTCCTGATTCTACAAATGGAATAAAGGACCCGGTTTATCTCGGGCTTGGAGCGTCTCGTCGTGTGGGAGTTGGAGTCAGTTATTTGAATTCTGGAGAAGTGAATAGCTCTATCATTACTTCCCACCAATTGTCAAATCAAGCATTGGCCAAGAATATTGAGATTTCGAAGACTGTTCAGAAAATGGCGTTAGTAGCAATTCTTGTTGCGCCTGAAGCTAGAACTACTGAGCCGAGGATCGATTCCCTTATTCAGAACATCCAATATTGCAATCTGAATGGAGTAAAGTCTATTCTCAAGGAATTAGAATCCGATGCGAGCGACGAAGAGAAGAAGTATCAAATCTTGACTGCGCACACAAATGGCAACCGGAATATATTTCATACAGCTATAATGAATGCTTTTGCAACTTCCAATAAGGACCAAGCTGATGATTTCAAGCAGGTCAGGTTCGAGAATGGGCACATTGTGCTGATCGAGAATGCGCCCAATTCCAAAAAGGTCGTGGAAAAATTGGACACAGGCGAAGCTGAGGCCGTTGGGCAAAAGTTCGATCAGCGTTGGAAGGACATGATCAGTGCAAGCTCCGAATCGATGAAAGGGGTTCTCAGATCCAAAAGTTCAGAACAGCCAATGGAAGTTGCCGAAAGGAATGCCGATCGGCCCGTCTCTGCCCGACAACGGCAGAAGAACGCTATCATGATCTTGGCGGAGCTTGTCTCTTCTCCAGTCTTGAAGCCGTATTTCGAAGAATTGATGAAACAAAGGGACATTCACGGTCACACCCCGTTTTACTCGGCGATTCATTTGCGGGCTTATTCTGCCGCAGTCATTTTATGGCACAAGATAAAGGACAGCAAAATTCATCAAGTGGAGAGTCTGGCCAAGATTTGTTTGAACGGTGTTGGCTGCGATTCCCCCCTTTTTATTCTATGCTACAATGATACATGCTCGTTTACCTGGACCGGAGAAGAGCACATCAATCAAGACATCTTCGAGTGCAAGACTTGTGATCTTGTGGGATCCCTTTGTTGTTGTACAGAATGCGCCTATACCTGTCATCGAGATCATGACTGCAAGTAAGTTTTTTGTCCGAGTTTTATTGTTTGAAAAATCTTCTGGTCTTACATTTTTTTATTACAGGTTGAAGAGAACCTCCCCAACTGCTTATTGTGATTGTTGGGAAAAATGTGGATGCAAAGCATTGGTTTCTGGAAATATAGATCAAAGAGAAGAACTGCTGAAGTTGTTGTTGAAAGACACAAACTTAATCAACTCGCTTAACTCCAAAGGAGAACATCTAATTTTATTCCTGACGAGAGCTCTTGGTCGGCAGTTGGTTGAACAAGAAAATTTCCCCAGACGAACCAAGTTGAGAAGTACTACGCAGGCCACCAGTGACAACGTTCCCGAGCATGATTTGGATCCGCCAAAGTTCACTGGAGCTGCTTTACAATTACTGTTGAATCAATGGGAGTCCGTCAAAAGCGTACTGAAAGTCGGATTGAAAACGAGAACTGGAGAAACCGCGATCAGTGAAGATTTATTTCAATTGAATGAGCAGGATGGAGTCAATCATCTGGACAGATTCATATTCACCTTGCTGGCACGAAGTCCTGAAAGTCATCTCGATTCACTGTTGAACACGTTAGTTCGTGAAGCGAATAAGAAGGAGGAAAAAGATCCAGAAGTAAATCTGTTGATAAGCAGATTTACCCGTTCAGTTGTCCGTCTGTTTATCTTCCTTTGTATTGCGTCCCCAATGGCCACCAGCACCAGTTTGAATGCAGTTTCCTCGACTTTGGGGTCTGTGGTTGAACTCAGAAAGGGAAGGGACGTTGAACCTAGATTAAGTATTGCCACCTCGGTACCGGTTTCTTCAACTTCATCCTCCAAAAGTCTGATGCCAAATTACCGAGCAATCACTGTTTCTGGGGTGCTTTCTTTGGTAAGGACTTCCTTGCCGTCTTTTGCAGCCAACGGAAATGCAAAGGAATCAAAAAAGAAGGCCATAAATGCATTTATTTTGAAGTGTCACAGAGTGTTCCAGGTAAATTTAATGTAAAAATCTTAATATTTTTTAGGTATTGGTGTCCTATTCCATAACTGAAATTGTCAACATTGCTGATGCTGTGATTGCCCCTGCAAGGCTTGGTGTTGCAAAACAAACTGTAGCTATTCACAAGAGTATTGGAGCCAGCGATGTGTTGGATATGATTGAGAGATATCTCAACAGCGAAACAGACCTTACCGCCCTGTTGATGGGTGTCACTTCTAGTCCCAAACGAAAGCGCAACCGCAGGATTTCAATGCACAGAGACAACCGCGCAAGCGACGGATCCGATTCGGAAGATTCCGATGGGGATGACAGTCCAGGCTCGAATACAAACTACTCGGCTGCTGCTGTTGAGACCGCTAGAAGAACTGTGGATAACGTGATGAGGGAAGCAATGGGTGGACAAGTTCTTGATTATTCTGCCAACGTACAAGATGGCTACAGTTCTTCTAATAACAGTGACGACGAGGATGATGAAAACGACGAGGACGACTTTGATGGAGAGGATGAAGAGGTTGCGGAGATCTCGGGTGCTCGGAGAGACGGCGAAAATGCTCATGATGAAACACGGCAGGAAGGAGAACACGGTTCTATGGATGAGGACGAAGGGGAAGATGAGGAGGAAGAGGAGGATCGGTATGTTGATGGAGAGGAAGATCCATACTACAGGATGGATGACGACATTGTTGATGAGAGTGGGGATGAATATTCGGACGAAGATCATTATGACTATAGTAGCGAAGGTGAACACTCGGTGTATCAAGATCAGTATGAAGAGGTAGTTGACATCGATGGGTCTAATGCTGGAGAAGCCAGTGTTGTAAATGCTCAACCCCGGAGGGAAAGGCGGAAATCTCGTCGAGGCGGAAGAAGAGGAAGGAACGAGACTGCCAATAGTGCCGAATCAAACGACCAGCCAGTTAATGCTCCCCCTGCGGATGAACCGATGGACGCTATCGTGGAGGCTAGCCATGAAGATGTTGTAGTTGAGCCTGCAGTTGAAGTAAGTTACTTCTCTGCATCTGTATCCAAAATTTTAGAGTCAGGATATCTCTTCTTCGGGAACAGCCCAATCTACCGTTCAGCCTGGTGAGGCCGATAGTTCAACTAATCTTAGATTTGGTTCTCAACCAGCCGCCGGATTTAGACCTGTTTATAATGCCGGGGCTAGTTCCAGAAGATTGACTGGCCGTCAGTTATTTACCACTCAATGTAAGTGTCCCACGCCCATAATTCATACGGTCGTAATTTGTAGCTCCTTCAGTAGGATGGGCCGTGAGAAGAGTCCGGCAGCAGAATGACGGAAACGAATCGACCGTTTCAGTTGATAATGATGGAAATGCAGGAACTCATGAAAGGGTGGCAGTTGCAGACAACAATAATGCCGTGGAATCAAGTGCAGCGAGCACATCTCGAGTTGCTGTCAAAAAGGCTCCATTGGCCGCTGCCCATGCGGATGCCGACATTTATCAAACGAAACTTCAACTATCTGCTTGTTTTGCTTTATTGGTCAAAGTTTTGGATGATTTGACTTTAAGGTTACTTGAGTATGATCACTACAAAAAGCAGAATTATAGTGGTATCGAAGCATTGTTGGATCTTAATGCAGGCGAACTTTTTAACAGATTCAAGGTAATTTGCACCATGTTTCGATTTTATTTATTTAGAAATTGATCAACCATCGACTTGATTTAACTTGGACTTGGTTCCAAAAGATCATGGATAGAATGGAGGCCATGCTCAGATTTGGGAACGCCTTGTTGAAAAGTCCGGCATACGCGGACTTGTCGTTTGAACAATCGCCATCCAGATTGAGTAAAAGAGAAAAAAGAAGGGAGAAAAAGGAGCAAATGGTTGCTGCCATTTCTTCTAAGCGGGACTTCTACAATTATTTCATGTCTTTGATGAGGTCGCATTCCTCAGAAAATGGAGATGAGATGCCAGTTATAGAGTCAACTCCTTTCCGTCATATATCATTGATTGCTGAAGCATTCTTGTACCACACCAACATTTCTGAACTTTTTCATGACAAACTATCTGATTTTAAGGTTGAGAGCGTGTGTTTTTTTTTTGTACTAAATTACGGTTTCAGGAATTCGGTCCTCAGTGTGCTGAAAAAGTTCACGGTCTAAGGAAGTTCTACAAGAGGTCCGAGTCGATCAGTTATCCCTCGCTGACGACAGCTGATCCTCACAACGCATTCAAATACCCTGCTGGGGAATGTGTACCACTTGCTGTTAGGTCATCACTTTTAAAGCCCGAAAGTGATAAAGCTGATATGTTCTTAATCCCAGTCCCTGAACGAACCGTTGAAGATCATTTGGTAAGTTTTATTTTGAGTTTCTGGATTTTTTAGCGAGTTGCAAGAGAACACGGCCTTGAAAACCCTACATATCAAAGTTTGGCCCCTCCACCACTCTCGCATTCAGACGTATGTCAAGACGAAGCAGATGATGAAGAAATGAAGCTTGTTGAGTCTGAAAAAGCTTCTGTGGACAAAGAGAAGGAACTCTATGAGGAAATCCTTTCTCTTCAGATTAATCCAACCAGGATGGAATTGCAAAAGACTCTGGGGAGGTGGGGAAATGCTATGATCTATTTGGCCAAGGTTTGTTTTCTTATTGGTTCACTAATTTTTCAAGTTTAGGCGTTTAAGGAAGATATTATCGAATACAGCGGGCAGGACTCCTTCAATTCCATTTTGTTGAACGAAGTTGGCGGATTCTCGCTGAAGCATTCTCAGTTCAAGGCGAGGATAGACAAGTACAGAGCCGGAATACAAAAAGATCTGAGCTTTATGGTAACTAAAAAAATGTAGTTTTAATTTTCTTTAGAACATGACGAGAGAAAAGCACTCCCTAGTCTCTGACGTTTTCCATCATTTGAATAGCCAGTACAATCGACGACTCCCGTCGAACGGCCAAGAGCCCTCGAACCCTATCCTTGGAGCCAATCGTGTTAAAGCAACTTTCCGTGATGAACCTGGAGAAGGCTCTGGCGTTGTCAGATCCTTTTACTCGGCATTGGCCGATGCCCTAATTGAAATGGATTATCTTCCGAAAGAAGGGGAGGGAAACAGCAATTCTGATTCTGGAATATCCAGCAGCAGTCCGGGTTTCATGCAAGCTGCTGGTTTTTCGTCGAAGACTTCGTACAGTGGATATTGTATCTTGAAAGCGTCTGGACAGCTAGAGTACACTGCGAAAAGGAGACCTGGGGGATCGTCAACCCATTCTTCCGGTGGTTTGGCTGCCGCGGCCGGTTTGAGTTCAACTGATCGAGGAGTACGGACTCGGGCGCAGCAAAGAGCTGCGGCCCAACTTCCGCCAATGCCGGCCGGTCTCTCTTCACGACGAAATGTTGCTGATGTGTAAGTAGAGTGGGTTTTTGTTTAATTCTTATTTAGACAAAAATTCTTGTTTAATTTGGATACTCCACCATACAATCCTCGGAGTTCGACGTCGGATTCTTCTGCCTCTCGCGGATCCGAGCCTCCTCCGAGCGCTTCTAATCTCATCGAACCTCCAGTTCATTCGTCCTCGGCTGGAAGTCTTTCTGTTGGTGGGCCTTCGAGAAGTCAACGTCAATCGGAGACCAACTCTATGCTTTTGGGAGAAAAATTTTACGAAAAGATCACAGGAATCCAATCTGAATACTCACGTCGAATTGCGGGTCTTATTGTCAATGGACTTCCTTTGGTGGAGCAACTAACTCTAATCGCTAATGATGAGCTTCTTACGCATCTTGTCCTCACATTGTCCGATTATTTTTTGAAGGTTGATGGAAACACAGGCGAACAGGAAGCAGGCACCGCTCAGAGACTGGAATCTCTGCCGTTGTTTATGAAGACGCCGGGAAATGGGTTGCTGTCGCCTATCCCTGGAAACAACTCTAGTGTCAGAAGAAATGCTTTCAGAAATGTTGGAAGGTATATTAAAATTGCATATAGGTCAATTCTTCTTTAGGATTATTGGACTGTGCCTGCTACAACTTGAGATTCTCCCGTTAAAACTATGCCGGCACGTTCTCAAATACATTCTGGATCGTCCAATAACCTGGTATGACCTCGCTTTCTTCGATCCAGCGATGTTTGATTCGCTCCGTTCGATCGCTTACAATGAAGAAGAGAATCGTCCCCATTCCGATGAGTTTTATGAGGGCCTTGGGCTTACCTTCGTTGCTGATGTTCCTGCAGAAGAAGTGAGTGATTGTACACTCCATTACGAAAGTATACCTGCCCCATGGAAAATTGCAGTACCTAAGGTTTGGCACGATCTATCAAAAAACTGCTAGTGCCATTCCAAAGAGCATGTCAAAACACCTAGTACCGCATGGAATAAGCCGGTGAAAAACGTTTTTATCGATTTGGCAACTATTTTAATATATTTAACCGTTTTAGAGGTTTACCTACCCCCATTTCATTCCATTGTGTACCATGTAGTACGAGAAAGTGCAAAAAACCAGTCAGGAGTAGGTATACTTTTGAAACGGTCAAAAAGTTTAAAATAGTTGCCAAACCAACCAAAATTTTTTCATCGGCTGGTTCCACGCGCTAATATGTTCTTCGACATGCTCTGTCGAATGGCATTAGCAGTTTTCCGATAGCTCTTACCAGACCTTAGATACTGCAATTTTCTAGGAGGAGGTATATACTTTCGTAACGGAGTGTATAAAACTTTTAGGGAGGTGGTCTCGTTGAGTTGATTCCCGGGGGTGAAAACAAAGCAGTGACCAAGGACAATGTGCTTGAATACATCTATTTGTTCGTCGAAAAGAGACTTCTTGGAGATCATGTGAAAGCGTTGGATTCTATAAAACAAGGTGTATTTGATGTCGTTCCTCCTTCGGTACTTCAAGGATTGACTTCTGAAGATCTTCGTCTCATACTTTGTGGATCGGAGCAGATTTCGATAAAATTGTTAGAGGGTTTCACTACATTTATGGATGAAAGTTCTTCAAAGCCAGAGTCGGTGAACAAAATTAAGCGTTGGTTCTACAGCGTTATCTCCAAGTTCAGTGACGAGGAAAAGCAGGTATGTCGTTCTTTGTTTTATTATTGTTTTAAAACAGGATTTGCGAGAAGCTCGCGGTAGCTGTGCACATAAAGTAGGATGTTGCAGTAGAAACTTGAAATTTATTCCACGGTTAGCTAGTTACTCCCGTATTATAATAGGAGGTCAAATTTTGAATTTTTTGCCTCTGAATCCTCAGACTCTTCCGTTTTGTTTGATATCAAATATTCTACAGGGTGTTCCAAGAATTATGGAAAAAACTATTCATTAATAACTTTGTGCTCGGTGGTCCAATCCGAAAATTTTTTTTTTCATTTTGCAGAAAAACCTTGGAGTTTTTAGAATCAAAAAATTTTTTTTTGTTTTATCGGCGGAGACTTCCGTAATCCGCCTTGAATTCGGTGGAGTGCGTTTTTCACAAACGAGGCTGTAAAAATTGGTTCATTTTTTCTCCGCTGATTTCTCCGCCGAATTGCCTTTTTTTCTTCTCCCAGTGAGCCGAAGACGTAATAAGTCGTATTTAGGCGCCATGCCACCAGGAATACCATACGTTTTGGTTTTAGCCAATTTTGACTCCCCAAATTCGGAGAAAAATCGTCCGCCGAGGTTAAAAAATGTCTCCGCCGAATGACAAAAAATTGAAATTAATGTCATATTGTATCTTCTGAATCCTTTCCCGCCCATTTTCTTCACACATACAACAATTTACAGCCTCGTTTGTGAAAAAAACACTCCGCCGAGTTCAAGGAGGATTACCGAAGTCTCCGCCGATCAAAGAAAAAAATTTTTTTGATTCTAAAATCTCAAAGGTTTTCCTGCAAAATGCAAAAAAAAATTTCGGATTGGACCACCGAGCACAAAGTTATTAAAGAATAGTTTTTTCCATAATTCTAGGAACACCCTGTATAGAAATGTATAAATTCCGTCATCTTCATGGTAAAAATCAAAAAATCTTGAAAGCAACTTGGTTGTATCTCGGTAACGGTGGGAGATAGCGGTGACAAACCCGGGTTTAGAAGTCTTAGAATTTTACGTAGAATAGTTTGGAACAAAAAAATGTGATTCCAAAGGGGCGAAACCCAAAGGGAATAGATATGAAAATTTTGAAAATCCGGAAAGTTGGGGAAACGGTTTGCCCCAAATAAAGGCGAAATTTTCCATTAAGCTAGAGGCAAATCGAAAAATTTCAAAGGTTATGGGTAAAAAAATATAATTCTTGTTATTTTAGGATCTCCTTTTCTTCTGGACTGGATCTCCCTCCCTTCCTTCGGCTGAGGAAGCTTTCACTCCACTTCCGACTGTGATGATTAGGCCACATGATGATCAGCATCTTCCCACAGCAAACACTTGCATCTCTCGCCTTTATCTGCCGTTTTATTCATCCAAGAAAATTTTGCGTGCTAAATTGTTGGTGGCCATCCAAACCCGCGACTTCGGTTTTGTTTAATACGAGTTACAATGATGGAATCTTTGTTCCTTCAACATTTGTTGTTCTTTTCCCGTTTATTTTTCAGTTCATAAACATGAATACTACTCTAGTTTTGTTTATTTTTAACCAAAGATGTGTGGTCTTGATGTATACCTTATAAATGTGTTTCCTTTTTATTTAACGATATATTTAGGAGTGTTGTTGTCCGTTGCTAAGCATGTATAATCCGAATCGTAAGTTCGTTTTGATTTCGAAAAATTATAAAAGACGTTGTTACGCTTCTTGTTCGTTAGTTTTGAAGGTTTTCTGTTGAAAATCTTCGGTGTTTTTTATGGAAATTTAAACAAAAAATAGTTTGTGAAATACAACAGTTTTTTTTTGAAAAATAAATAAAATTATTTGTTCTGCGTGTAGCGTATGCCTACCCGTACAATTCAAATGTTGCCTACTACAATGTAAGTTCGGGAGGAGGAGGGTATGCGGCACCTGCTCCTGTCTCCGCCTACAACATTCCTCCACAAGCCTATGTGGATCCACAGCCTTCTTATCCGCCTAAGCCAGCTACTCCACCCCGATCCAGTTCGAAAGAAGAGAGAAACGACCGTGCAAGGAATAGTAAAATCAGCACAGACACAAGCTCAAAAGACCCAGAAGCCTTAATGTAAGAGACCAAACTAAGTGCGATTAATGTCGTTATTTTTAGGAGTAGAATCTTTATGGGAAATGTAAATGTAACTACCACACGAGATGACATAATTGACGTTTGTAGACCATTTGGTCGTCTGAAGGCTGTTTCTTTATTTAAAGGATACTCTTTTGTTCAATATAACAAACCGGAAGACGCAGCTATGGCCGTCCAAGCATTGGATGGTTACAATTTACAAGGCTCCAAGTTGGATGTCAGAGTTGTCTCAGTTGGAGGTGTCAAAGGAAAGGGCGCGGTACTGAATGCAGGGTAGGTACATACATCTTGTGGTAAATTTTTACCTTACAGACTGGCAAAACGCCCCAAAACCGATTTCTTTTTTGGTGGTCATAAGGTAAGGCCGGATGTTGTGAATGGCCGAAACAAATCCTTTGCCGAAGATATTTCTCCAGGTCTGACGTCACTCCAATTCTACGACCATAAACAGAAAGACGTGCTGGTTTGTGGGTCTTGCAGGACCACTTTTGCAGAGATTGTTGATTACATTAGACATCGACGTCTACCAAATTGCAATTTTTTTGAGAAAGGTAACTGTTAAGCGGGAAATAACGGCTTGGTATCGGTTTAGAGGTCTGTCCAACCAAACTCAGCTGCTTCACATGTAATTCCGAGTTCACCGATTCGTGGGTTTTCGTCCAGCATCTGATACATCGCCATAGCATTAATCTTTATAAAGGTCAGCCGAAGAGTGACCCTTCCTTTTTCGTGGAAAAATATGGAAAGTTTGAAAAGACTCCGGCAGAGACTGATGAATCAGAAGATGATGACATTTCGGACGATAAAAGCGAAGAGAGAACAAACCAGGAAAGAAGTGACCGCCGTGATTCCGACGAGCCTGAGCCTAAGAAATCCAGAGGCGACTCTTTTTCAGAGCCCCCTGACATCGATTGCAGGTCCGAAGACACTCATACTCCGCCACACCAAAGAAACCCACCCAAACCAATCGAAGCGGCGGATTTTGCTAGAGCCTTCAACGAGGATTCAACCATTGGCAAAGCTCCTCCCGCCCAGCCAATGACATCAATGCAATCTTTGTTGAGATTACCACCTAATCCAGTTGGTTCCTCCAGTACTGGTAGTGCTCTAACCGTTGAAGAGCAGATGAAAATGTTGGCCGAATTTGACCCCTCTGGCTTCTGATATATTCTTACTGAGAATCTCGTTGCCTTTTTTCTACTCATGCCAATAATAAATTTGTTAAAAGGCGATTCCTGAGTCGTTGAGTCAGCCGCCAATTCGGCCTGAACATAAGAAAATATTTGAGGTCAGATCGAAAAAATCGTTCGAATTAACAATATAGGGTTGAGCCCTAGTGCCTTTTTTGCTGCTAACTAAGAACTTTTCTTGAAACTGTTGTGAGGCAATTGAAATAGTCTTGATAAAACTGTTATATCTTTCTTGTTTACTCCCATGGCCTCTTTTGTTGCATTGACGTAAAACCGCCGTTGGCGACAGCCGACCCGGCAGCGGAAGAGAGGTTTGCGCTTCCGCTAGCGATTGAGTGTGAGCGCCGTTACCGCGCTCACGCGTTGGGGGAGGTTGGCGCCAAGGTGGGTTTCCAAGGCATGGCCTAAGATAGTCCTGCTAGTTGAGAAAGCATAAATTAATTGAAAGTTTCTGTCGCGTTCTTAAAGAACTACGATAAAAGCTTGATTAGGTAGGTTTAGCAGGTCCGACACACTCGTGGTATACACACTTGTTTAGAAGGGCAAGCTTCAGTTTTTCCCACTAAAAACCCATTCGTAGAAAAGTTTGGCATTTTTGCCAACTTCGACCTAACCGTGTAAGTAGAAAAAGAACTCCGAAAATATAGGAAGGCATTTCTTGTGCCCTCTTCTCGGGCGGCTGAAAGACCAATTAGACGAAAAGGAGGAGCGGGCATGGAATCCGAGGCCGACATCACCAAAAAGTGGAACCGGATATTTTCTGTCAACGTCCATAATGGTTTGGTTGGATGTCAAAAGTAAAAGAGCCATCCGATTGAGCTTCACTACCTTTTCGTATCTTGTTTTCGGCGGTTTGGTCTTCGGGTTATTCGAACAAGAAGCAGATGATCAGTTGCGGCAGGAGATTCTTTCCGTTCGCACTCAGATGCAAAACAAGTACAACTTCTCAGCAGTGTTTGTATTAATTTCTGAGTCAATTTTTGATTTCAGTGATTTCAAATTGCTCGAGGAATCCGTGGTAAATTCTATTCCATTCTCCGCCGGTCATCAATGGAAGTTCGCTGGAGCATTTTATTTTTGTACCGTGGTTATAACTACAGTTGGTATGAAAATAATTTGAAGAATATTCCCTTCAGGATACGGTCACTCAACTCCTGCCACCATTTTGGGGAAACTTTTCTACATGATATTCGCACTGGCTGGGATTCCTCTCGGATTAATTATGTTCCAATCTATTGGTGAACGGATAAACACTTTTGTTAGAGGTTGTCTCATAAAAGCTCGAAAGATCTTGGCTAAATATGGGTTTAATGTTCTGCGCGAAATCAAACCCCGTCATCTACTGGTCACATCCTCAAGTATCGGAACATTAACCATTCTAATTGGGACCGTTGTGTTCCACAAAAAAGAGGGATGGTCTATTTTTGATTCGTTTTATTACTGTGTAATAACATGTAAGACGAGGGACCAATTATTTATCCAATATTTAGTAAGTACGATTGGATTGGGAGACCGAGTAGCTGCTCAAAGTGATCAGAAGCTGGATAAAGACTTGTTTTATGTTCTGTTTACCCTTTTCTTCATTCTGTTCGGTTTAGCCATCTTCTCTGCTTGTATCAATTTACTCATCTTGGAGTGAGTAGTATGCTTTGAAACACTAATCCACGACATTTAGGTTCATGGCACATAATGCAGACATAGTGACCGCCCGAGGACGGTTACGTCGATTGTTATCGTTGAAGAAAACAACATCTTTCCGTCGATATGCGAGTTCAAAATCATCAACCATGACCCCCAATTCGCCCACTTATTTACATAAAGCAGAGCGTTCTTTGGAGTAAGTAATTTACACATTCACCGAGTTTCTTTAGAAAGACTTCGGGGTCTGATTACATGCAGCTGATGTACCGGTATTACCGAAAAAAACCGGTTAAGTTTGTCGTTCGCCGTCCGCCTTTGTCATACATTGATCATCTTGTTAATACTAATTCCACTCGCATATAATATAAATATTATATTTATTTATTATTTTATTATTATGCATTTTGGGTAATTATGACGTTATAAACCAAGAATAGGAATCACGTTTTTACAACTCGGCATTTGTAATGTGCTCAAAACTTTCGTTTTCGAATGGCATTTGATGCTAGATAATAAGTTTATTAAACCCCATAGCACTTACCGAGATTACTTTGAAGAGTGCGGTGATATCAACAGCCATTGTGTCTGTGTATGTGGTGTCCTCTAACAGGTCATCGCCTATCACCGAATCGGCTTTAGAGGATTCTAAACTCTCGATAACCCGCGTCTGAACCTCGTCATCAAAGCGGAAGATGGGGGTCTAGAAATGTTTTGGATCCATTACGTAAACTTACAATCCTCCCATTATTCTCCCTTAAGATCTCGTTTGCTATGGATTGTAGGAATAACGCCAGGAGCACTGATTTGTTAGTGTGCATCGTTATTTCCTTGAAGTTATCCCTGTCTATAAGATATTCCACTTGGAATGTCATGTCCTTGGTCTCGTCATTCTGACTCACTTTCCACACTCTGATCCTTGTGGAGCGGATCACATGTTCACATAGTTGCCCCTGAACACCATTACATATAAATTGGTTGGTTACTTTGTCTTCATATTCTATAACAAGCTGATGTCTACCAATCTTCAATGAACAAACGTTGCCTGGCCATGGATAATCCATGCTAATCGACGGTAAGTACTCGTAACCATAATCAACTTGTTGATGGCAAAGGTGCATATACTAAGCCCATGTTAATTTATAGCTCTCCTACCTGTCTATACAACTCTTGCTCTTCTAAAGATGCCAAGCGTGCTCTTGTAGATGAATTCAATCGGATCAGACCTCTGTCAATATCATTTCTTGCCTGTAAGAAAAGTAACTTCAGAGCCCCTTGGTCATCTAAAAGGGACTCTTCCAAAGATGGATCCCAAATAGCCCTCCTCAATCCCAATTCGTAATGCACTGCTCCATCATCAATATTCCTGTTGGCCACCTGCTGAGAGATAAACGGTGACTCAAAATTCCGTAGCCAGCGAACACCTTATTTCGTCAAGTATTACTACGATTACTTACAGATTGGATCAAAGCCCTCATCCGACCTCTTCTGCTCTCCATTCAACCTTGGTCTGGCTAAGAATATTCCGAAGCTGTTAATAGAGGAGGCAGATATTCCTAGAAAATTCCCCGCTTTCTGTGAAAATTCTGTAGAGTAAGTAGCGTAAACTCACTCTTAACACAATGTCGGTTGAATCGTCAGAACGACAATCGATGTGAATAACCGTACCATCTGGTAGGAATAGTTCTAATTTAACTCCACTTACAGCAGGCATAAACGAACTCTGGAATTTTTATGACAATCTAGACTAAGCTGCTTTAACACGAACCACTTGAAACTCCAGAAAATGTCTTTCAAACAAAGGATGTCTTGCAATGTCTTGATTCTGAAGCACTAAACTCAGAAGTATAAACTGTTGTGATATTTCGAACCTGTTTTAAAGTATTTTACTAGTCCATCCTTCCTTTTGATAGCACCCTCTGCGTCCAAATTTCTCCAAATCTTTTTTGGAGGAAACTCGGCAGTGCCTAATCGTAACCCAAATGTCTCCAACAATTTCTCGTGTAATGAATAGAGTGTACTATAACGTACACTGGCATGATACGACCCATTTACGTATAAATCGTACACCTAAAAGCAGACTAATCAAAATTAGAAATGTTTACGTTATATTTCTTGTGGGAGTCATATTTCTCTACAAATGTTTGGAATGTCGGAATAGAAATGTGAATCATGTATCTGAAATATTAAGTGCAGGAGTGTCATTCGAAACACGATTCAAACTACATTCTGCGTGACAGAATCCAACTTCAAACTTTAGTAACAAACTAACTACATATTCATTCGCCAGACACACTTCTAAAGTACTTTTTTGTCGCGAAATCGGGTTTCTTTTAAATTCGAGTTCCTGTACACAGGGAACTCGTACACTATTATACATACAGGGCAGGAGATCAAGGTTTTGGCATTTGGGTTTTCGCGTTGGGAGCGATTCATAAAAAATTTTTAAGGGTTTTCACGTTGTTTCAAAAGCTCCCTTGTCGAAAATTTTAGGAAAAGGGAAAGAAATGCACGCAATTTGCGGGAGAAACTTATACGATAGAACATGTGTAGGGAGAAAAACGTACCGGCCGCGTACCGTCTCAGCAAAAAGAGGGATATCCCCAGGCTGGGGTGAAATGTGATGTAACGAGATTAAAAGAAGAAAAAAAGAATTTTTTGGTGTAGAGGAAGCGTTAGAAACCATCGCAACAACAAAGATCAAAACTTTTAAATGCACGTCTTACAAACAAGTCCCTTCATTTGACAACCTGCACCGCTATGATATATAGTATATACTACAATATAGCTCAGACAAGGCATTTTCTAAATCGGGTCGATTTTTGTTGTAATGTTTCATTTAAACGATACTGTAGTTTTTGTGAAAAAGTCTTGGTGTTTTTCAAAACTCCTTAGATCACTGTTTTTACATTTGTCACTGTTTTTTTACATTTTTGTTGGCTTCATCAAGGGCTTGGCTCTGTAACTGCACCTAGATTTTTCCAAAGTTCACCGTTATGCATGTCATACCAGTTGCAAAATACGTGGTTTTCGGCCACAAAAAACATACCTCTAAGTCCAACAAAATTTTGGAAATCATTACGCCACTATATCATTATAGCAATGCTTTTCCTTTATCTCTGGTCGATTTATAATGAAGATGGTTAGGTCACCATTCTTCCACTCCGCAAGCTGCCGCCAGGGTTCAAAAAAAGACGAAACGGAGGAAACTTTTTTCTTTCTTGAAGCCGCTGTGGCTGTGCTTTATGGAAACGCCCTGAAGGAAGAACACCCCAAGCGTATGGCTCTTTTCTCCGTGAGAACGCCAAAAAAAACCAGATTTTATAATAATATCGTCAAGTTGGTGCGAACAATTTTGGAACGTGCTTTTCGCCTAAGTTTTGTGACATTCTTTTTGTGTTTTGCGTCATTTCCATTACTTCCACTCTCCCGTCCGTCGGTTAGCGTCAAGACCAGATGCCTTTTTTTTGTCTTTTCTATTGCAGATCGCTTCATTAAGTCTGCATGTTTTAAAAATTAAAATCAGCCTTGAACACGCTAGTGCAATATTGAGGATTAGGGCTTACGAAGGAAATAAGACGGCACGCGATCAAGATTATTGTAGCTAATTTAAAGGGGGGTCTCCTCCACGTTTTCATTCGTTTCTAGAACTCCTTGACTTGTAGTTCTCGTTTACGGGGTTTCTTTGTTCGCGAAACCTCTTCATTCATTCATCTACAACACACTCCAGGTCTGATTGAGTGTTCTCTTCAGGTCACAAACATGGGTCGGCTGGGTAAATCATGCCCGATGTTATTATTGATCCGATTGCTAATCCAATTTGTGTCTTCCACAGCCTCGTCGGTTCAGAGTTACGTCAGCATTACCTACGAGCCGTCGGTGGTTCACGACTTGGTTGAAGATCACAATAAAACCGTACTGATCAATATTAACCTCAACCGAAGATTGTACCCAAATAACTATTCGAAGCTTCATTTTGAGTTATTGTGAGGTTCAGTTTTGTTTATTATTTACTTCTTTCAGACCATTACACCCAGATTTCTTCGAAGCCGATTCCTATGCGAATGAGTTGGAGGTTGATGAAGGGCAAGGGAATGGGGATTTGATCACGTATAAAGTAAGTGGACATTTTATTGAAGTATTTTCCTCTCAGACAACCGCTAATCTATATGGGAAAATGCTGGGGAAATCAGCACTTCAAGTAGTTGTGCAACCAATCCAAGAGGTCGCCAGGGCCGAGAATGAGTTTATGCAAATGTCTACGAGTAAGATGGATGTGTGGGTTATTCGGAATCCCGATAAGCAATATGGCACGAAGGTCTTCGTTGTCACTTTGATCATTCTCATCACCATAGCTAATGTTTTGATGGGATGTGAACTTGATATGAATGTTATTTGGGAGACGCTAAGGAAGCCGGTTGCTCCCGCCATTGGTTTCTTTACACAGTTCTTCCTTATGCCAATGGTGAGCCGGCTTGTTTTCTGACGGTTTATATTGAGAATTTCGGTAATTTATGTTGTTTTTAGATATCTTATGTAATCGCCAGTTGTATTTTGGTTCCGCGTGGCCTAAATTCATATGCTCTAGGGCTGTTTGTATGTGGATGTGCTCCGGCTGGTGGCGCCAGTAACTTCTGGACTCTGCTTTTGGATGGAAATGCTCACCTTTCAGTTACCATGACTTTCCTTAGTATGATTGCTTCTTTGGGTAAGTTAAAGGTCATTTGCATGGCATTGTTTAATTAAAATGTGTTACGTTTAATCTCGTTTTAGTTATGATGCCATTATGGATGAATCTGCTCGGCTACAAATTCTTAAAAGGGTACTCCGAGGATGTTGTGATGCGTGTTCCGTATACGAAGATTGTAATGGGACTTGTTGCATTTATTGTGCCATTACTAATTGGGGTTCTCATAGCCAGAAAAAGACCAGGATGGGCGGCGAATGCAAGAAGAGTACGTTTAATGAGAGCCTTCAGTTTTATTCGAATAATTTTAGATCCTCCGTCCATTTGTGATCTTCGTCTTGGTATTTGTGATCGTTTTTGGAACCTTTTCCAATCTTTACATGTTTGAATTGATGAATTGGCCCGCTTTGATCTCGTAAGTCATAAACGCTCGAATAAATACAAATTTCAGTGGCCTTTTATTGCCATGGTGTGGTTTTATGTTTGGCTGTTTTACGGCTATTTTCCTCAGACAAAAGCCCGAAGATGTGACCGCCATAGCCATCGAGACCGGGGTCCAGAACACTGGGATTGCCATTATGTTGTTGAAGGTAATCGTCTACAATATTATCGTTAATGGTTTTTATCTTGTATCTTTTGCAGTTTTCGTTCGCGGAACCAGACGCAGACATCAGTTCCCTGTTGCCCGTGATCGTAGCCTGTTTTACTCCGGGTCCGTTACTCGTTGGATTCGCAGTTCATTCGGTGATCAAGTGGACAAAAAAGCGAGCTAATTCGATAGTCCAAGACCCAGAAAAACCTCTCGAAAACTCCGTCCAAGGAGAATCTCACGTTCAGCTAATACAGTCTAATGAATCTCCCGGTCTGGATTAGTCCAGCCGGTGTCTTGTGTCTCTAGGTTATTATTTTATCATACATTAGGTCAGCTTTAAAATGGGTTTTCAATTCTAATCGGTGTTTCTATTGAGTTAGGGTCGTGATTGAAGTCTTTTACCCACTGCGCAAGATAAAAACAGCACATGAAGTGACAGGTATTTTCTTTTTTGCATATATGCCGCCAGAGAATCTATTGATTATTTGCATTTCAGCGCTTTTGATATATTGCTCAGTGTGATCGTATCTTTTGAAAAATTTTTTACTTATTAAACGAGTTTAATAAGTCGCTCATATTGAGGTGAGGGCTAACACAAAAATTCTTGTCCATGGACACGATCAAGTGGTGTGGGAAGGGAAAATGAATAATTGCATAACACAAGGCGGCATTCCCCGAAAGTGTGGGTCATAATTATGAACGCACTTTAAAAATGATTGCAACTTTTGGTCGTCAATAAAAAGTGTTATACGTAGAATTTTGCACAGTGCATTCAACCCTTTTTTTGGCACGCGCCGCGGCGATTCCCCGCACGTCAAGAAAAAATAAAACAAAAGCGCTCAAGCAATGAAAAATTCTTGGCATTCTGTTTGATCTCAAAGACAATTTTTTGTTCCAAAGATAGCCTGATTACACGATGAAGATGGGGTAGAATGGGGTTATTGCATATATAAATTTGAAGCTGGGCTCCTGCTTAACCTGAACATATATATTTCATACAAAAAATCGGTCGTCTTCTATCTGTTTTAAGCCTAAACTAACAACGCCTAAAAAATGTTGCGATTTCGAGGATTTCTCTAAGATTTTCCCTCGCCCCTATTTGAAGTTTCGTGGAAACATAGTCTGGAACAAGGCGGATTTTTTGAGCCTAAAACGAAAAAAATCAAATGAGCCAGTTTCGAGATAGAAAATCTCTTCGTTTTGCGCAATATTTCGCCTTTCCTCTGACCTCGTCCAAAAAAACTGTCATTGAGACGGATTTTTTGGACACTTCCGTAAGCGGAAACAGAATGCCAACTTTCGTGTTGATAGATAACCCTTTGAGCGCAAAATCTTGACGTGCCCCGCTTTTGCACTAGCGACATGCACTTTTCGGCGATTGCACCCGCGACGTCGGCGAAAAAAATTCTACGGACTTTATGTCGCGACTAGTACAGTGCGTATTATGGCGATTCTTCTACATTCCGGGTGTCCCAAATTTTTGGTTCCGCCTGCTTTTTTCCATTAATGAGATGACACTGATAATGTAATACTATTAGCCAGTTTCCCCCCTAAGAAAACAGTCTAACCGACAAAAAAAATTTAAAACTAATATTTACCGCATGTACAAGGTCGGAAATTGGCTCATAAGGCCACTGCGTCGATGAATGAATGTAAGACCCTTTTAGTAAAACAGAGAATACGAGGAAGTGAAACAAGATCAGATTGACTCAAAAACCAGGCGGAATCAAAGATTTGGGACCCCGGAATTTAGAAAAATCGCCATAACGTCCGAGTATTGAAGCCAAATGGGATTAAACTTTGCAAGGCTTAATCTTAAAGGTGATTAACATTTGTGTAAAATTTTGCAACTCCAATCAAACGGCCGGAAACACTCGGGGCAAGCCTTTTTAACCTATCTTGACTAATCTTGTTCCTGGATCGGAAAAACGGCAGATTCCGCTCACACCGTTTGGCCCAAGTTGTGACCTGGCCGATCCAGAAGCCTTTAACACATCTAAACTTTCTGGCAGAAAAAGTGGGCCACTGCAACTGAGCGAATGCAAAAAAATCCGCCTAGCTTCTAACTCCACCATCTCTGGGCTCAATTAAAACAAGAATAAATTGTATCAGGAGCACTGTACGGAGAGTCGAAAAACAGCGAAATATATCAAGTTTTCCCTCAGCTGACCAAGGGCGTAGCTGATCAAAAAAAGAAGTACAATAAATTTGATGTTTACGGACGACACGGACCTTTGTTGTGTTCTACAATACTGAATATCCCAGAGATGAACTCATATAATACGGAAACGGATGGGCGCGTAGCCAAGAGATTAAGGATTTCGGGGTTGACCAACTGTTTTTTGTGGTGATATTGTTTAAACGGTGTGATGCCTGGTTTCTTCGCTATTGTAGCGTTCATTTTTCTGCGGTTTTACATTGTATTAGCGGATCCGTAGAAAAAATGTCAGGAAAAGCCCAAGGTGCCAATTCTGTTTGATGAATCACGCGATATCTGAAGCCTCAACGTTTGATGTTCGATATTTGTCTGGGGTTCTTTTTTTAATGCGCATTGCTAGTTTTTTGAAAGGAAAAAGACAGCTGATCGGCCTCTGGAATGTTTCTTTCAAATGGCCTTTGTCAGACTGGAAGGTCGCCTGTCTGAAGGGTTTTTTGCCTTTCCCCACCCCACACCCCAACCAACTTCAGCTGCACTCCCGGCCGTTCGGTTCGTCCTGGCTGTCTTTCCTCCTTTCGTCTTGTTCTTTTTTCATAACAGTCAAAACGACGAAATAAAGAAAACCCAGCCAGGCCGCGAGCCCGTCTGCAAAAAAAAGGATCTTCACATGGGGTTGAGGGGAATGCACTTTAAAAAAAACGTTCCGCGGAAACTTGGAACGACCGTAAATTTAAATCAGTCTGATTAGAGCTATGGAATCTTAGGGCAGGGATCACATGTACACAATCTTATGTACACGAAAATCACATAAAGGTTACAAGAAACCTTTATGTGATTTATGACCCTCCAGAGTATCGTAGCGGTGATGACTCTGGCAATTAGTCAATGCCAGATATTATTCGACCCATGTGATCTATTATTACACTTTAGAAAAGGTGATCTGGTTGATCCGTGAATATAAATTATTTAGTTATAATACGATCTAGATGGACCCTACCTTCAATAAAGTGCAAATATTCCTTGTGATCATCCATTTAATCCCTGCAAACTACCCGAAAGTATCAGATGGCAACTGACCCCTCTTAGGCATTGTAAAGGCCATGTTTATCTCCGATATGCCACGCGCAAGCTGTCTTCATAGGTATTTCCTTCGCAATGGTTATTAAGATGATTTGTTTGCTTTGGGTCTGTCTGGTAGATTTTTTTCTTTGTCTGCGCGGGCGATGCCATCTTTTTTTCTCGCAGTAACGGAGATAAGTATCATAATAAAAACTTTGGCAGATGTCGCCCTAAAACTTGTCCCCGGTACTTGGCGGGCTGTAAATCGCCTCACTGACACACCAATGTAACAGACTTGATTCCCTACGCTCAATTTTGCCTGTGCCACAATAATTTAATAATACGGCATATTTTAGCTCATAATTTAATGTCACTTTTTATTGCATCTCATTTCCTAAACCGCCTCTTTAATGCTTGCCAAATGTTTCCAATGGTCTCTTCCAGTGTCCTACTCAGTCATCGCTCCGAGAATTTATTTTAAAACGTATATTTTCGGAATGTCCTTTTATTGGCTGGCCTCGTGCCAACGGAAGGCCTACTCTCTGGAACACCAGATCGTTCTGGGGACAGCTGCTTGCAACTGATACGAACGTCGAACAAGGCGGCGGACAGTCAATCGGACGCTTATCAGGCCCGTTGCGCCCCTTTTTGTCACGAGAACAAGGCCAGACAGCCACGAGTGGAGCTCATTTTTAAATTAAAAATGATCCCCGCTTTAAATGTTGCCATTGGTTTGATCAGACGTGCTTACTGCGTCCGAAGCCAGACAGCCCAGTCCTTCTGCTCGGTGACCAGGACCGCCTCTCTCTTTCGCGGTCTGGCCGCCTTAGGCGGCAACCCTGCGACTCCTGGTTATGAACTTTCCCAATCAAACGCCTCAATTTATCAAAAAAAAGTGGAAGAAAGTGCGGAGTCGCAGGTAGAAAGGCGATTGATTGACGGAGAAAAGGGATCACAGATAGAAGAAGGTTTGGGCAGGACGGCGGTTGGCGAGACCCCTCTGCCGTTGATTTTTGATAGGCGTATAACCGGACAATGAGTGCACCCGTTCCCGCCTGAGACTTTCCAAATGTCTCCAAGGCCTTTGCTCAGAACTTGGCGGCTGATCAGCCGTCATCATTCCGGTCTTTCAAAGCTGGCGAGCGTCTTGATCGTGTTCATCTAGATTAAAAAGCTCTTGTCAATAACTTATTTGTCATTCGATTTCCCCAAAAATCAATGTTTCCATCTGTCTTGATTTTTGGCGCCTAATCACCCAAACCTTTCCCCCTATCTAACACTACAAACCCAAAAAGATAATGATGTCAGGGTGGTCAGTTCTTAGTTTAATTTCTGTTCGTATCAACCAAGTAGTGCCCACTGATGACACGTCTCGCTGTAATGCCATTTCATCCAGCATTCACACGACCCGTTTTTCTCTGCCAAAATCTTGACTGGGATTGTAAATCACCGCAAAATGAAAGCCAGACAAAAAGCTCGTGCCGATTACATTAAAAAGCTCGGTCCGCCTTCCCCCTTCTCAAAAGTGCAGTCGAATATGCACCGATTTGTTTTTTGGGTGTCTTTGTTTCAGAATGTCGCTTTCCCCTTTAGAGGGACCTTCCGACCGTCTGGCCGCCGCGACCGAATTCGATCGCACTTCAGAAAACTGTCATTCCGGCAGAGAAAGGGGGGTTTCCTTCCTGTTCCCAGCTCTATCCGAGTCTGTTGCTTTCAAGAGTTGCAATAATTGGCGCTTATCTTTCCCCTTCTTCCTTTATCAATCCAATTTTACGAGCAATCAGTCAGTCCGTCGAAGAATTCCTAAGGAAAACAGTATTGTGTCATCCGTAAATTCTGGTGTTCGTCTATTTGGAAGGGCCCAACCAGTCCCACTCCTCGTTTTTCTTTAATGTTATATTGCCGCAACATTGATCACTTAAAAATATAAATCAATTCCTCGATTCTGAGATCTGTTTTCTTCCGTAATTTGACGTAGTTTAAATTTGGCCGGGATAAAATTAAATAGCTGTCGCCAAACTGTTTTGTTGTTACTGACAAGCCATATCAGAGGTAGAGACCTCTTCTCTTGCCCAGCTTTAGAAACAATGAAACCGATCATATGAAGAAGAGACTGCGCCCCTCCCTGTTCCACGCCCCCCCCCCTTGCCTTTCCACGGCGCTCCCGTATTCGGGGCGATCCTTTTTCCAAACAGGTGTATTTGGCCAGATGACTGCAAAAGGCGGGGGGATTCTCCCCCATCATCGTTCCGTCGAGCTTTCGTGTTTTTCCTTTGATCGGGCAGATATAATCCAGACTGGTCAGACCTATACTATTTGTTAACTCGATTAACTTGCAGATCTTTTGATGCTCGGCCAAGAACTCACAGCCATGGTCAGTCGCGCTGTCTCCAAACCCATCGATATAACTGGAGCCTATCGTCGGGAGCCCTTCGATCATACCGACCTATCCTATTCGACCTCCGCCCAAAGAACCGCAGAACCCAAACACAAGCCGGTGATCCGAGTGAGGCCACAGATCAAGAAACCAGAGACCCCAAAAACAAATCATCTGAATGTGGCTGTGCAACAAGGAAAGGTGCACAGCGACGTGAACAAAGAGAACGTGTCCTTCACCAACAAAGTCCCCCTCATATACAACCTTTATGGTAAGCGCACTAATTCATCATTTTGGTGGACGATTGAGCGATTAATAATCGTTGTATTTTAGCTAACCCATCCCCCTCAACTATCCCATTCCAACCAAACCCACTCCGATTTAAGGATTCTTCTGAATGTTCTTGTGGCGGCTTCGATTGTTTGGCGACGGCTAGTCATCATGCTTCGGCATGTTGGGACGTGGACGATGAAAACCAGGACCTGGAATGCTTCCCTTCATTGCCAGCCGGTTTCAGAAGTGTGGGCGACGTGATTGGGTATGCAAATGTGGTCAGAGCTCAGAGACAGGAAGCATTAGGAAAATTAGACTTGGCACTACTACATCTGAACAATTTACGACGAGAACGCCAACGCTCGGCCAGACAATGAGAAAACGAACGTAGGCCCTTGTCTTTCTCTCATTCTGTCCGCAGCGGCAGGGACTCAATACGGCCCACTATCCTAGCTAGTAATAGTATTTAACCAGTTCGCATCACGGTCTAATTAATTTGCTCACATCTCTTGTAAATTGGATATAACCCATATAATTGAATATTTAAACCCCAAGAATACTTTGGATCACTTATCGCTCATGAAAAGGTCTCATCTGACTTATTTGGTTCTTGCAAGACCTTTTTAACTAACGTGCCTTACGTCTTTTCCCCTGTCAACGCCTATGTAAACAATAAATAGCTCAGTAAATCTACAGATTACATAATGAAAACGAATAAATTTTTTATGCTCCCATAAATTGCTTTGATTCGCAAAAAAAACTATCAGGGGCGTAGCAAAATTTCTGGGGGAGGTCGGCTGGGGGACCATATTGAAGTTAGGCGGAGGTATTCACAAAATCAGGAAGGGGGTTTCGAGTGGCCCACCCTGTAGCACACCCGAAAACCTTGAAATAAAAATGTAATTACCCGAATAAAAGTTTCACAAAGTCGAAAATCCGTATTCTAAAAATGAACGGATTCCTTTATTCAAATTATTCTATTACAACAGCCTTAAGGGATAAAACATCGTTCACACAATTCATACCTACACGCTACTTTTGTTGTGAACGCAGACATATAAAGCAATTTGATTAACTATCGTTTCGATGAATAAAGAATACAGTCAAGGTCAATATAGTGGGAAGAAAAGGAGACAGCTATATTTGTACATTGAACAGGGACAATAGATTCTTCACAAGAAGAAGATCCTGTGGCATTACCGTTACTCGTTTCCCGTGTATCGCACACATGTTGGCGGCTTCAAATAATGTGACTAAGAACGCTTCCGATGCCTGAAACAGAATTATCTAATAGATGAAAAAATGATAAAACACCTCAAAATGTTAAACATACCTCTTGCAATGCATTCACTGCCTCCGACTGGATTTTGTAATCAATCCCCTTTGAACAATTTCTGACAATATCCTTTACAACTCTCAGGAAAGGCGCCCTTCTGATCAGGAGGTGACACGTTTTCTGCAACTTCCTAATCTCCATCAATGCTCTTGTTCCAGGGCGATACTTCCTCTTCCTAATTCCAGAATCCATTTTAGGTACCTTCATTGCCATCACCTGTGGTCTTTTCACAATTAAAGACTTCTCTGGAATCTGACTTTGGGTTAGAACCCCGGACGTTGTGCTGTTTTGCGATGCAAACAATTTTCCATTCGCATCTGTTTTCGTGTTGTTCCTAATTTATTTTAATCTTAAAGAAAATTGATAATTACCTGTGTGAAAATTGACTTGAATATTCTACAAGACCATGGTCTCTGTTTTCTCGCAACTGCCGGACCAGAGACTGAGATTGGGACGATATTCCACTGGAGAAAAGTTGAGATTCCCCATTTGACGGTACCTCTCCATCAAATTTTGCACCTAAAAATTGATTTATTCAGTAAGATTGAAACATACCATAAAAATAACTTGAAGAAGCTACAGACGGAGCTTTATTTCTCCCTCCAAAACGAGAAGTTGCTGCTTGTTTAGTTCGGACCATCTTTGAAAAAAAAAATAAAAATATCGACTCAGCGATCGATCTGCATAAATACGCATTTTTCAAACGACGCCATTCCGCGACACATTTTCGCTTCGGGACCAAATAAAATAATTTTATATTTTGCGAAAAATCGTATGATTTTGTAATTTCGGCATAAAAATAAATTTCTATTAATCAATCCATGCGACGAGGACGACGAGATGATGAACGGAGTCTTCTTCCTCCCGTCGATCCCGGAAGTCTCGGAAGAAGACAGGTTAGCTTCGGCAGAATCCCTTCTATGTCGAGTTTGGACCCGAATGAAGACCCAGTGAGTGGATTGGAACGTGTGTCATCGATCTCTTCCATGCAACAACTTAAACGAAGACGAGAACGAGAACGGAGACTTAGAATGCAACATCCGGCAAGTGGTAGGAGGAATGAAACCCCAGGGAATTCAGTACACCCTCTCAGTGATGCGTTTGAGAGTTTGGACTATGAAATTGTGGATAACGACCTTTATAGGGCTGAGGAGACTTGTAAAGATCACCAGGTAGGGATAACATTGTTTTATTTTGTTATTTGGTTTAGAAAAATTTGAGAACTACTTCAAGGAATAGATGGATAGCCTGTCTTTTCATTGGAATTGCTGTTGGTTTGATTGGAGTTGTGGTAGACGTGTCTGTTTACTACAGTTCCAAACTTAAATACCACATTATTATAAATGGCCGTAAGTGGGTTTATTATATTTTGTTTATTTCAGTCGTTGATGTATGCGAGAGCGGAGGCATTGGAAATGGGGGATGTATGTGGCTTGTCCTAACAGCATGGACTTCATACAATTGTTTGCTGGTTGCTGTCGCTTCGTTAATGGTTCTCTGGGTCTCAAGTAATGCATCTGGTTCAGGAATTCCATTAATTAAATGCTTTCTGAACGGAATCCAAATTCCAGGAGTTGTATCATTTAAGACCTTAGTCGCTAAAGTAATTGGGGTTGCTTGCGCCGTTGCTGGAGGTCTGGCGGTTGGGAAGGTATAGGCTTAATTCTATAATATTGACTGATGTTTTGCAGGAAGGTCCCATGATTCATTCGGGTGGTGCTGCCGCTGCTTTAGTATCCCAAATAAGGTTCAAATTGTTTGGATATAAGTTTGAGCCTTTTCCAGAATTCAGAAATGATCGGGAGAAGAGGGATTTTGTATCTGCTGGTGCTGCGGCTGGTGTTTCTGCAGCCTTTGCTGCTCCAATTGGTGGGGTTTTGTTCAGTTTAGAGGAAGGAGCCAGCTTCTGGAACCAAACAATGACTTGGAGGATGGTAAATTAAAATGTTTTGTGACTCTTGTTTTAGGTATTCACTGCCCTAGTCTCCACATTTACCCTTAACTGCTGCCTAAGTTTATTTTTTAGTAGGCCCGGATATCTGTCATGGAGTGGATTAGCAAATTTCGGTGTTTTCGAAGTAGGTTTATAGTCGTATGATCACGTATTTTTTAGAATCAGTCCTACAATGTCTGGGAAATACCATTCTTCGCAGCGATTGGTGCTATTGGCGGTTTGTCTGGAGCTTGGTTTAACTATTTACATTGCAAAATAGCTGCTTATCGTAAAAAGTAAGGCAGATGAAAATATAGATTAATTTCAGTTATATTCGAAATGGATATCAGAAGTTTTTCGAAGCTATATTGGTGGCAGCAGCTTCGGCTTTTGTCGGATTTATCACCTTGTTGTTGGTCGATGACTGTCAGCCAATTGGTGTGAACCCTGGCCTGACAGATGTCACAAAATTATGGTGTCCACGGGGAAAATACAGTGCCGTGGCAAATCTTTTCTTCCAAAATCCGGAAGAAAGTGTAAAGAGTCTCTTCCACAGTCCCTTCAGTAAGTAAACGAAACAATATGTTTGATGATGCCGCTCTAATAGATGCTCTACGACCTATTACACTGGTTGTATTTGCCGTTCAATATTTCTTTCTCTCAGTTTGGACCTATGGTTTAACAATCCCCGGTGGTATCTTTATTCCTCTGTTGTTAACTGGAGCTGCCTGGGGACGATTGATCGGATTGGGAGTTGAAAGTTTTGTTCCAAATCTAGCTGGAATTGACCCCGGAAAATATGCTTTGGCTGGGGCCGCTGCTCAGTTGGGTGGAGTTGTCAGAATGACCATCAGTTTGACTGCTATCATTATGGAGGCAACCAAAGATGTCACTTTTGTCATGCCCATCATGATTACTCTCTGGGCGGCTAAATTTGTTGGTGATTTCTTCAATGAAGTATGTTAGAAGTCGTAAAACTATCCTCTATTTAGGGTATATACGACATCAACATTGAACAGCTCGAGATTCCATTACTTGGGTGGCATCCACCAAAACTTTGCAGAAATATTTTGACTCAAAATATTATGAGGAAAGATGTTGTTGCTTTGCAACCAAAGGAACGAGTGGGTCATATTCTGGATATTCTCAAGTCGACGAAGCACCACGCCTTCCCTGTTGTGGATAAGATTGAAGCCGGCGTAACAGAATCGCAATTCCCTGATTATGGAAGACTTAAAGGTCTCATATTACGTTCCCAGTTAATTACTTTGATCAAGAAGAAGCATTTTACAATCGATTCTGAAGGAAGACATCCGGTAGTGGGGGCTCGACCTGTATCTCTCTATGATTTCAATGTTGATTATCCAAAGTAAGGCTTGTGGGAATTCAAAATGAAATTCCAGTTTTAAAACGCCGACCCAAGATTTTGGGGTAACCCTGGAGGAAGAGCGGGCGTGGTTGGATTTTAGGCCCTTTATCAACCAGTCGGCTCATCGGGTTCCTTTGAATGCATCATTGGGATCCATTTTCAGACTCTTCAGAGGCTTAGGATTAAGGCATATATTTGTAGTCAACGACGATAATCGGGTAAACTTTTTTATATACTGCGCGTCAAAAGTTTGGAACATGCCGGATCTTCTTTGCGGCTTGAGATGGGAGTTTCATTTCTTTTTTATTAGAAGCTCCATGTATTAAAAACCTCAATGAATACATAGCCATGGAAATCAGAAAGCTCGTTGGAATTTTAAAAAAAAATTTTAAAAATAAGTGCGTCAAAAGTTTGGAACAGCTTTTGGAAGGTGATTATAAACTTCGGGATAGAGGCAGGTATCCTCGCATTTAGTGTTTCTGGATGATGTATGGAATCGGCATGCCAATGGCATACGGATTTTCATCGATAAACCCAAAATGAAAAAAATGCTTATTGAGCCAAAAACTACGCACAGCGTTCTGTACTTTTTTGGAATGATTCCGACACCGATTTTTTCGAATTTTTTTAAAATAGCCCGCATTTACGCGGGTGTCGCTAGGGAATACTGTAAGATTGACGTGTAAAATTTTCAGTGCTTATAGAGTAAAGAGAGATCTTTCCAACGATACAACTTACGTAAATTAATATGGAAAAAGAAATTTGTAATCAGCGCTGAAAAATGACCGACTTTGTATTTTCGGCGCTAAAGATTGCCCTTAGGCAGATCTCTTAGAAGAAGTGGATGGTACCACCTTGTGCGGAATTTTATTCTCTACAACATATCCAAAAACTACAAAATTTTACTGCTTTTCCGTCGAATTATGCCTCAAAAATGCAATTTTTGCACTAGTTTTACCAATTTTTAAAAAATATTTGCACTTTAAGGGCATTATTACAAAAACAGAGTCGTACATATTGAAGCTTGCATGGTAGCTGAGCATACTTTTTTATTTTACCCTGTCATCTGTCTCCATCTTCAAGAACAACGGAGCTAAAGTTTGGTGCTTGGACCCAGCATAAAAATGCCCTAAGGGCGAATTTCAAAAATGCGATAGTGCCACTGAACGTACAATAAGCGTTCAAACAGCCATGCTCAAAAGGCAACGATTCGATTCTTTCTTCTGTGACTGCTCCAAGAAATCCATGCAACATCATGAACGCGTAAATGTGTTCATGAGGCCACCGATGTTTCAAACTATTCCGGAAACTCCCAACGTTGATTTTTTCCTCAAATTTGGCGTACCTGTAGCACAAAAAATTCTACGTTCAGCGGCACTATCGCATTTTTTAAATTCGCCCTTAGGGCATTTTTATGCTGGGTCCAAGCACCAAACTTTAGCTCCGTTGTTCTTGAAGATGGAGACAGATGACAGGGTAAAATAAAAAAGTATGCTCAGCTACCATGCAAGCTTCAATATGTACGACTCTGTTTTTGTAATAATGCCCTTAAAGTGCAAATATTTTTAAAAAATTGGTAAAACTAGTGCAAAAATTGCATTTTTGAGGCATAATTCGACGGAAAAGCAGTAAAATTTTGTAGTTTTTGGATATGTTGTAGAGAATTAAATTCCGCACAAGGTGGTACCATCCACTTCTTCTAAGAGATCTGCCTAAGGGCAATCTTTAGCGCCGAAAATACAAAGTCGGTCATTTTTCAGCGCTGATTACAAATTTCTTTTTCCATATTAATTTACGTAAGTTGTATCGTTGGAAAGATCTCTCTTTACTCTATAAGCACTGCAAATTTTACACTTCAATCTTACAGTATTCCCTCGCGACACCCGCGTAAATGCGGGCTATTTTAGAAAAATTCGAAAAAATCGGTGTCGGAATCATTCCAAAAAAGTACAGAACGCTGTGCTACGGTCAAATTTGTGAAAAAATGAATTTTTTGGTTTGGGTTCTCTATGTTGTCGGTGTGTAAGCGTTCTAAAATTTTTAATGTGGTCGCACAATTGTACAAGGGCACTCAGATCTTCGCATAGAAACCATATCCGCACAGCATAATTTATGAAAATTTTGAGTTTTGCTATAAATCTTGATTTAATGTATTTTATATTTTTTATTGAGTGGCTTGGAGGCTAATTGGCTTTCTGACCGTCATCGTGGAATAAAAATGTATTTTCAAGCAACAAAAATCCACGGTATTTGCAACATCCAAGGCCACATCTTTCAGATAATAAAAAAATTTTTTGTCCCCAAAATCAATATTCATATCTGACCCGGATTTATGGCGTGATAATTCGGAAAGTTGGTTTATAATACTGTATCGGTGTAATAACAATAAAGGCACATAGTTTTGAGCCATGCAGCGGCTTCATATCCAAGATAAAAAATACGGGAATATTAACATTTCATATACCCGCTATTTTTAAAGATGTGGATTTGATGTTGCAAACAGTGGCCAAGTTCGGCATCTTGAAGACACCTTTTTATTCCACGATGACGGTCAGAAAGCCAATTAGCCTCCAAGCCACTCAATAAAAAATATAAAATACATTAAATCAAGATTTATAGCAAAACTCAAAATTTTCATAAATTATGCTGTGCGGATATGGTTCTTATGCGAAGATCTGAGTGCCCTTGTACAATTGTGCGACCACATTAAAAATTTTAGAACGCTTACACACCGATAACATAGAGAACCTAAACCAAAAAATTCATTTTTTCACAAATTTGACCGTAGTTTTTGGCTCAATAAGCATTTTTTTCATTTTGGGTTTATCGATGAAAATCCGTATGCCATTGGCATGCCGATTCCATACATCATCCAGAAACACTAAATGCGAGGATACCTGCCTCTATCCCGAAGTTTATAATCACCTTCCAAAAGCTGTTCCAAACTTTTGACGCACTTATTTTTAAAATTTTTTTTTTAAATTCCAACGAGCTTTCTGATTTCCATGGCTATGTATTCATTGAGGTTTTTAATACATGGAGCTTCTAATAAAAAAGAAATGAAACTCCCATCTCAAGCCGCAAAGAAGATCCGGCCTGTTCCAAACTTTTGACGCGCAGTATATGTTCTGTTGTCGGTTACGATGAAGGGTCTAATGTTTCGTACATTTGCTTCAGCTTCGGGGTATTATTACACGAAAAGACGTCGCCAGGTTTCAAGAAAAGCGGGTGAGAGGTCGGCTCATCATCCAAGAGGCCTACATAGCTCATACTGACAATACGGAACACGCTTAATTAACCCTAGTCATATCATCATATTTTTATTTCTTCAAGTTATTATTCCTGTTATTCTGAACTTGTTAGATGCCATTTGTTTAAAACTATAAATTGTGCGTTTACTTAATCGATTTCGATCAGAAAGTTTATTATTCTTTTGGATACTTGCATGTGTTTTTTTCTCAATTTGAAATTTGCTAACAATGTGACCCCAGAATTTTTGGCCTCAAGCGGATCTGTGTGCTGAGTCAACCTTGTAGATGATATTCCTCATTCTTTTGCCCCTGGCAGTAACCTCGTGGACTGTGCCCTTGGAATTGGCAATTGGAGGTAACGTTGGCGATTTTTTCAATGTTCGTATTTAGCCGCTAACTTCCATGACTTTGGCAGCATAAGTATTGATTCTGATTCGGAAGGAAATTTCACGGGTTTTTTCAAATCGTCCTTGAACCCTTCCCAGCTTCAGAAGTCGCTGCATCAGAACTTGGCAGGGCAGTATAAAATAAAGGGCGGGTCGGTTTCCTCGTCGAGTTCAGCTTGTCTGATGCTAAAATCTGGTCTCAAACACGAATTCCACTTGACGATTGATGGATTGAAACAGAAAATACTTTCTTTGACTGTGTTTCCTCAAGGTTTATACGATGTTGGAGAGCTTCATTGCGACGAAACCGATATCAAGCATAACTTCCCGTCAAAACTCCAAGGTAGTGTTATAATAACATGTGTCAAAGATCTGCCCTCGTAAGTTCACGCTGTTTATGAAGAAGTCCTTTAGTCCTGATGTGACCACTTATTTACAAAGAATGGAAGACGAGAAAAGAGCCAGACAACATGGAGCAGCTCAAGACAACCGATCGTTCTTGGCCAAATATGTGAGTCGCTTATCCCCTCAAGGAAAACAATCAGAGCATTCTTAGATTTATATCAATTGTTTTTTCAGTGGATGTACATCGTCCCTGCCGTCATTTTCTTGCTGATAACCAACGCTGTAGGAACAGACCAACAAGCCGAAGGATGATCTCGGATTATATTTATTTGTAATAAATAAAGGGTTTACTTAATAATCTTCATGATTACTGGCGTCCTTATTGTCTGCTAATGGTATATCAGAATCTGAATCATCTTCCGAGTCGCTAGCATCCGAGTCGTCCTGGAACTGGGTGATAAAAGTTGCGTCCCTTACCTTCCTTTTTTTCTGTTTCCTCAACTCCTGAATCCGCTGTTTCCGTTTCAATCGCTTCTTCCTGTTCTTCTCGGTCCTTTCTTCTTCGGCTCTACGCCTTTCTTGCAGTTTTTCATCAAATTCTTCATCCTTCTTTCTGTCCTGATATTCCTTTTCCAAATAATTCAGTCGATTCATTTCTTTTCGCCGGTTGTTTCGGTAAATGTGAAATTCTGCACTTCCAGCAGCAGCTGAAGAACCAACAACGTTACGAACGAAATCAGGGGGTGGTTTGGGTTTAGCGGCTTCTTTCCTTTCCGGTATTACCACGGGTTTATCCTAAATTTGTATAATTATTCTACAAAAACAACTTACAGGATTGGCCAACAATCTGTTAAGACGTATTCGGGCGAGATCATAGCCATCCTTGGCTCTCCGTTCATCATCTCCTTCTGCGTCTTCAATCGGCATGATCTCAAATTTGCTCTGTTATTTCTTCGAATTTAAAATAATATCGAAAAAGACATAATGAAAAGAAAGACATGACCCGACAAATGAAACACTTGTCCTGTGATCAAGTTGGATTAGCTGGGGTGGTCAGCGGGCAGGCCAGGCTCAAAAATGGAAATTTGGAAACGGGCTAGGCCTGAAAAAACACCAGACGGTCACGGGCCTAAAATCCGAGAAAACGTGCCGCTAACCGACTCCGTTTCTTAGCCAAATAAGTTGACTTTGAAAGTCATCGTTTGGCTAGCCGATTTCTGCATCGATTCGACCGGGCTTTGAAACTATTTTATTAAAACACACAAGGTTATTGTACAACATAATATTCAAGTCAAAGGCACTGAAATGGCCCCATTTGTCATTACAAAGACATTAGGGCTGTGTGATATATGCAAGTGAAGACCCTTGAATTGTTCGACGTCTTCCATTGTCCGGAGCTGTTCTACGGCGCTCAAGAGTCGCTGTTCCGGAATACCCGCATCAAACGACAAGTCGTCCAACCCTAAGGCTATTATACATCGACGTTTGGCGTTATCTATTTCGTTCTAAAATAGGTTTGATTACGTATTCGTCACTTACTTCAAGATCCCTGAAATTTTTTCTCCGCCTTAAGATCTCTTCTTTGTTATCCTTAATAAAATTCAGTAGGAGTTTTCCGTCAACAATTGAGGGAATCTGAAGCCGACCGTCTGTTCTGATGTTGATCTCACTGTAAGAATTGCATATCTCAACTTGGAGATTCCGCGCAACTTCAGCCAATTCATTCATCTCAGCTTTAGATCTGGATGAAATCCTGACGATGAGGGATTGGAGTTGATGAGTGGTCTGAAGAAGGTTCCCCCGAGGGTCATAGATGACTTCGGCACCACCCAAAAGTTCTTTAACCCGATCGAGAAGGCGTACGAGGTTTCTAACCTCGAATCTTCTTACTGTAGATTCAATACAAACATCCAGCCAGGCCTCGGGAACATCATCTGCTCCGAATTGAATGGAGCCATCACAACAAATAAATGATCCTCGGCCAAATCTACAATTGAATTCGTAAATATGCCAGCGTTAACCTACATTAAGGTATGATTGTGTAACGCCAAGACAACCCTTTCCTTATTGGATGAATGTTTTAGCATGTGAAGAACGTTGATCAGACATCTCCTCATATATGACTGATCCCAATTCATTGACCAGATTATCTGAAGACATAGAAAAGTCATACTATTAAAGACCAACCTCCTTCAGGCCTGTTTTTTGTTGGACATAAGAGACTTCATCCTGGATAAACTCTTTGGTTTTCTGATAATTAACAGTTTTCTCGACTGCTTCTGCTCTTTTTTGTATTATATGTTGCAGCAGAGATTTCTGATGTCGTTTCCGTCTCTTTATTTCCCTTTGTTGTAAATTATTCCATAAATCTTCGGCATTAAATGGGGATGAATAAGGGCGTGGCTGAACAGAAACCTTTGGAAGGTTTTCAGTACTCAACTCGCATTTCTCTAAAGCATTTCTAAAAGTAAAAACGAGGCTACTAACATGCTTACTTAACAATAGAGACGGGATCATTGCCTGATAATTCAAAGGCGACATCTCTGAGTTTATCATTTTTCATGATGGAAAAACGGACCTGCACTGGTCGCTGTTCACGGGGTTGTGGGAATAATTCGTTGAGATACCCATTGAATATCTTTAGTATTATAATTATAAAATTTCAAGTAATCTATCACCAAAAAATCCTTTTCTTACTTGTAAACTTTTTTCGTTTTTTTTCTGGACTTCGGGAGAATGCGCAAAACGGTCGGGATGGACAAGAAAGTAGAAAGGGCGCAGAGCGACGGCAGCTTGCTGTGCCGTAAATAGCCGAACACTCATGTAAGATCTCCGAAAACCATTGAGAACCATAAAATAATCTCTTGTTTGTTTTTTCGGGGACGAAAAAATTGAAGGGACGCTTTTCGGCTCGATACGAGCAAAATAAGAAAAATGTGAGTAGATGGCTACCGATCGTATCAATCTGATGTTTTAGATGGGTTGCACTCTCCGAAAGGAGTCCTTGATTAAAATTTCAGACTTCAAAGTAGGCCAAAGGTTACGATAACAAAATAAATGGTCGCCGACTGTTGGAATGGGAGTTGGAGATTCTGTTAATCTTATCATTTGACTTGTTATCAATCATCTCGGTGATCGAATCGCTTTTCGTCATCAATGCACCCAAACTTGATGACTTCTTTACTCGGAACTAAAAATAAAAATCTCATGAACCTCGTGTTCGTTACGTAAAATGGGGTCTTATCGTTTGAGTCAGATCACCTGATACGGCCTTTCCCTTCTTCCCATTACAGTTTGGAGTCACGTGGTCCGTTTGTCTGGAAATCGTCTTCCTTTTCCCACGTGGGAGAGCACTTTGTGAATGTTTCGAATAGCCAATAAAAAGAGGTGAAAAAGCGGCCGTTCACTTTACTAACATGGATTACATGCAGAGATGGTTTAGTAACATCAAGTACGTCTATAATTCTATGAATCCGGCCGTCTTATCGGGTATGCCACGGGCTTTTAAATTGAGAGAACGTCGTGTATTACTGTAGATTTCAGGCCTCTCGTTTAGATTACTGTAGACTAATTTAGGGGCAATAGACATCGTGGTGATCGAACAACCGGACTCTACCCTTAAATGTTCTCCTTTTTACATTCGTTTTGGGATCTATGGAGTATTCAGCAGCACAGAAAAAGTACGTTACAAGTTCCAGCGTAATGTTGTTATAGTATGTTGACATCAAGATTAATAACAAAGACGTTGACATTAAGATGAAGCTGGGAGAAAATGGCCTGGCCTACTTTCACGACGATGACATGCAATCCCCAGAAGAATTAGCCAACATAGTATGTTGCTATCAACAATCTCAGTTTTATTTTTACAGTGCAAAGAGGATCCAAAGAAAAGTGAAAATCGGGAGATTGTAACCGCGATGAGGAAGTACTCCAGAATAGAGCAGAGACTCTTATCTGGGATGGACGAGAACACAGAAATCACACTCAGAAGGACCGAGAGTGACGGGGAATCAACCAGTACCAGTGGATTCTCATCGTAAGATGTAGAGCATCAGAAATTAAAAAAATAATTTCAGCGCGGGCAGTGATGACGAGAAGCCGCTTTCTCCGATCATAGTATCAAAAACCAGATCATTTCGGATGACCGATGAAAAATTGCGAAAACTCAATCTAAAATACGGGAAAAACGATGCCCGATTCAGTATTACGACCCGACTGCAAGGGACCACGGCCACTCATTGCCACATCTATCTCTACAAATGGAGTGACAAAATTGTAGTCAGTGATATTGATGGTACTATCACAAAATCCGATGTTCTCGGGCATATTATTCCTGCCATTGGAGGTCAATGGGCTCACACTGGAGTCACCGAACTCTACAGCGCAGTCAGGAACAACGGGTAAGGACAATCTTGACTGAACAACATCCCGTTATAGCTACCAGATTATATACCTGAGCTCTCGAGCCATCGGCCAGTCCAGCCAAACCAAAGCCTACCTCCAAAGTGTGATCCAAGGGAGCAAAACTCTTCCAGATGGACCTGTTCTGATCTCGTGCACTTCGTTGTTTATGGCCTTCAAGAAGGAAGTAATTGACCGTAATCCCCAGGAGTTCAAGATCGCCTGTTTGACAGAGGTCAAGGCCCTTTTCCCAGTCCAGGATCCTTTATATGCTGGCTTCGGGAATAGGGAGACAGATGTCCAGTCATACCAGGCGGTGGGGATTCCAAAACATCGGATCATCATCATCAATCCTTCAGGTCTTGTTAGGACTGCCCTTGAGACGGGATATCATTCTTCGTATATCGGGATGGTAAAGGATACTGTAGATTATATATTCCCTCCATTGGCAACACACAACTGCAAAGATGTGGAGCAATTGGAATTAAAATCAAAGTTCTTTAAACCTAACTCTTACAGGTACGCTTGCATGGGAAATCATAACTAAGCGTTTCAGTAATCTGACTCACTGGAGAAATCCGGATGACATTAGTATCGAGGACAGAGAACTTCAGAAATACGAACAAACTCGGAAAAAACACCAGAAGGAGAATGCTCCAAAAGAATTCAGGAGAAACAGGTTCTTCACTTCTTGAGAATAAACACTAACCATTAGGATTAAATTTATTCACTTTTAATTGTTGTTACTTGTACAAATTTAAATTATTGATCCATAAACCATTCATTTCCATCCTTCAATTCATTCAACAGTTTCTTCTCGATTCTCAACTAAAATTTTAAAAAAAAAAAGTATGCAAGACTTACTCGAACCACTTGTGCCATGAGTTCACTGATTTCGTCGAGCATTTCTTCCTCTTCGGGTGTATTGTTCTCGTTCAAACGGTTGTTCTCTTCCTCACCCGGAATTACAAGACCTGCAGGCAGCTTCATAGCATGCTTAAAAGAACTCTAAAAGAAAAAAGTAAAAACACTTTGATCAACATACCTCGGATTTATAAAGAATTTGATAAATTTTGCCATGTTGGATAATAGAAGGGAGAAGCTTCTCTTTCAACAAGCTCTTTTCTTCATCACCTATCATGGGCCGTAACTCAACAATTGCTGGTATGGCCACTTCATCAATTACTTTTGCCCAAGAACTTGTCAGATGATTAAATACTAAAGAAGAGAAAATGAATATTGAGAAACTGAAGCTTTACATTTGTAAGTGGCAATCGTTTGAGTCTCGCCGAAGAACCCAATCTGATTCACTGCCTCTAAAACTTGCTCGTCGACCATTTCAAAAATTTTCGTCAATTGTTCCCGGCACTTTAATTATTTTGACTTATATAAGTCAAGATTATTTTCGAAGTAATTTCTGAAACTTTACATTTTAAAATTCAATAGAAGATTTTGGCGTCTGAAATAATGTTTTCACAACGAAAGTTTCATTGGCGTTCCGTCTGAAAAAAATATTCTTCTTGAAAGTAAAAAGAACGAGATCGCGTAAACCTTGGAAATATCACAAGATTTCAGAGGTCGGGATAGTAAATCTGGGTGTTTATCTGGTAGTGTACTTTTTTTCGCGTTATCCTTTGCTATTTCGACCACCTTTATGCTTGCCAAAAGTGTTTTTAGTTTTTAGGTACTGTTGAACCAAAAGATCTAATTGAAAACTCAAATCAATGGCAAGACTTTCCGAGGATGCCAGTTCTGGAAAACGAACTATCCAGTTTGGAAAGAACACTCTGCCAAAAGGAGCTCGGGTTGAGGTTAGTATGAAGGATGGAAGTATTTTTACGGGTCAAGCAGTGCTGTATGACAGCTCAATTAATTGGTTTGTGTTGGTGGAAGAGAAAGATCATTATTATGAGAAATTACTCATTAATTACGAACATGTTGATCAGGTACATCAGTTTAATTTTATTTATGGATAAGGTCTGTGGTTTAAGCGCTGTGAGCGAAGCTCCTGAATTGATTGGAAACGACGAAGAGTTGATGCACAAAGCCGAACAGCGACTTCAGAAAGCCTTAGCGGAGAAGAAATACTTTTGCAGCGATCAGGCTAGCCAGAGGGCAGTTCAGACGTTCATGGAGCTCAAGAAAATGTAAGAATCTTTTATTTTTGTAAATTTTATCAGTCTTAATTCAGTCGAATGGGCTAATAACGACATCCTTGTAATGGACGTGGTTCGAATTAGCCCCCCTTACCGTCCTGATAGCTGTGAGATGATCACCAAATCCAGACAAGCTGAGGATTGTCTAAATCGAGTGAAGAAGATTGTAAGTACAAGGTTGTTTTTTAAGTCACATTTACAGTTGGTTCAAGTGATTGAATGTATCGGAAGTCAAGATTAAGGTATGTCTAGTGTAATATACGGAGATTTCTCAGATTTGTTGCTAATTTATAATAAAATAATTGACCACCGAGTAATTTTTTCTTTGTTGATTGCTATAATTTGATAGTGCGCATTGAATTTAAACGTAAATTTTTGGAAAACGAAATCCCCTAAGAATAGAAGAAGCGGCCGAAAAAGTGCTGCCCTGGATTTGGAGGTCGTTTTTGTCATTTATCTTCCGGGCGCTTCGACTACAATGTGTGGCAGGAATTGTTTTTAAAGAAGGCGGGAGTCCGAGTCGAGATGGTCTCCAGAATCGTGGAAACGAACTCGGTTAAGTGGTTAAACGGTTTCCAAATTGGCTGACCCATTCGGCCGGAAGCGATGTCCGTTGCAGGTTACTCACTCCTCTTGGCCTTCTCAAGTGGTACCATCCATATCCGGTGGGATCCTTTCCCTCGCCCGACTTCCCCAGCATAATCTAATCCATTCCGTATTTGCAGTCCGTTGGTTATTATAGTACCTCGAACTTTTCCCACGTTGCCCTGAGGCGGTTCATTTTTCCCTCGGGACTTTCACCGGCCGTTCGAAAAAACGTTATTCTGTATCAGTGACAAACGGCCTGAGAGTACTTCATGTTTTTGAAATGTTGACACTTCCAAAGTTATCTTTTGAGCTTGTATTAGGTGGGAATGTCAGGTTTTGAAGAGCTTATCTCTGCATTGAACGGGGACATCTCATGTTTTTAATCTGTATACTTAACTAACATATGAATTAAGAATTTTTTGGTGACAACTATGTCTTATGTTAGATTTTGAGGGATCCATTAGTGTTTTCTCTCCCATTAAACAGGCCTAACGAGTCTCTAGATGAACATGAACCCGTTTGTATCATCTTCGGAGTAATGCCATGCGAGCCCTCTTTTACTTTACTTTTTTCTTTTAGTTTCACCAAGATGTCGCTCCTAGTTACATCTGAAAGTATGTCGACTCCGCCGATTATGATTCCATTTTCGGCGGATACCTTAACAGAAAGAACTTCATTGATGGGACGAAGGAGGAAAATGGTAAGTGGAGATAAGACTGAGCCCATGATGGTGTTGCTAAAAGGACCTTGTAGTATCTGTTATAAAACAAGACTCTCTATCCCGGAACTCAGGACACACCTTTCTCTCGGCCATCCATCACTCTGGCCTCTTGATCTGCTTTAATCGCCTTTGGACATTGTTTTTTGGGTCTTCTTGCCATTCATTCAATTTTATTTGCGGTCAAATTATTTTTAAAAGCCCCTGGATTTACCCTCACCTTCATTACCGTTTGTTTCCAAAGAATTCGAAGGTCGAGTGGTTGTCAAGGGCATGTCATTTCGAGTGTCATAATTTGCATCAGGCCCCAAGTAGAAGATGGACGGACTCCACAGAATGGAGAGACCGCGGCTTCAACGGAGTGCGACGACCTCCTCGAGACATCAAGACGGTGATCGCCTTAGGCGAACAATCAGTGTGACTGGAGCTAGAAGAAGGGAGCGACTGATGCAAAGACATGCAACTCTCCAATCACACGCATCTACGGAGGCCAGTTTCGAAGAAGGGCTGATTCCTCAGAGCTCTACATGGTCTGGATTCAGCACTAGATTGGGAACACCCCCGCCCAGCCATTTCAACATCCCTGCCCGAGATACCCATTTCCTATCCCCGCCGACTCCTTTGGAAGCAGGATTGATGAAAGGAGAAGCACCTCCTCATAGACGGGTACTGTTTTTACTGTTTTTATAAAGACGGGCACTCTGAATTTCTGGTCAAAAAAAAGTTTGATCTGGCAAAAAAGGTCATCAGAAAATGTTTTGTAAAATTGCGCAACCACGTTGGCCCGAAACAAATTCGAATTTTATCTGACCATTGAAGTAAATATTAGTGGGATATATTAGTAGGCAACGCAGGTCTTGTCTTCTTCTTTTGACCTCTGATGACTTCCCTTTTATTGTTTATTTATAAGACGATAAGTCCTAATTGTTTACAGGAGATCTATTTCTGAAGGGCGGATCCCCTCGGTCTCTGTCTTCTTGCCCTGAGGGCGCTTCCATTTCCGGCACCTTCCGCTTGATCGAAATTTATTGTCAGACGAAAAATATTGCCTCCGGAACTGGACCAAAAAATTAATTCAAAATTCGGAGCCGCTTTTGGACAAAGTGTTTCCAGGCAATTCGTTCGAGTGTCCTCACCAAACCCTTTGTCCTTTATTTAATTTACTATTACTGTTTAACATCTATTATTTGACAATGGAATTTTGACACATTTCTATCTTTGATATTAATCTTCACAACTGGCAATCTTTCTTTATCCATTTTATATAAAGTAAATTCTGCTGTATTACTGTAATCTAGACACCGAAGACATTATAGAAGTAAATCTTTTATAATGTCATCCGTTTATCGACCCTATCATGAGTTCAATGAAGAAGAATTGCAGGTCTGAGGGAGTTTGTATAACTCAACTAGATTACTTTCTAGGATACTTTGGAGAAGATCCCGATTAGAGCACGAAGTCAGAGTTGGTTGATACGGACCCGGCATCTGCTGGACGATGACAAAGTATGTTTTGACAATAGTGGTGATTTGGTTTCAGAAACGACATACCCCTATTATCAGCAACTGTCTGCTGGTTCTATCCATCCTCACCTTGTTCCTCACATTCCCTTTTTGTGTCCCATTTTGCATAAAGATTGCCAAGTAAGCATAGCTTTTATAATTGATGGTTTTCTCTTGCTTGGTACTTTATTTCGTGTAATTTCAATGGATTTAATTTGCAGGGAATACGAAAGAGCAGTGGTATTTCGATTGGGAAGATTGCTGAAGACGGGGACAAAGGGGCCTGGCATCTTCTTTGTGATCCCTTGCATCGACACCATGAAGATGGTAAGGTCTTGTTTATATACTATAAAATATTTTTAGGTGGATCTCCGCGTATTATCCTTTGACGTCCCCCCTCAGGAGATACTGAGTCGGGATTCGGTCACCGTTTCTGTAGAAGCTGTTATCTATTTCCGGATATCAAATCCGATTATTTCTGTTACCAATGTTAATGATGCTCAATTCTCTACTAAATTGCTTGCTCAGACTACTTTAAGGAATGTACTGGGTACCAAAACTCTGTCGGAAATTCTGATGGAAAGGGATAACATTGCAAGTGTAAGTGTAACTCCAAAAAATAACTTATTTCCAGATTACGGAGAAAGTTCTGGACGACGGTACTGATCCTTGGGGTGAGTTATTATTATCTAGGATTACTTTTCTCTTTAGGAGTGAAGGTGCAAAGAGTGGAGATTAAAGATATCCGCCTTCCCCACCAACTTATGAGGAGTATGGCAGCCGAAGCCGAGGCCGCTAGAGATGCCCGGGCTCGAGTTATTGCCGCCGACGGAGAGAAGAATGCTAGTGTGTGAGTTATCACACCTTTAATGATGATCTGACCTCCCAATAATGGGTTGTATGTATTGTTTTCAGGGTGCTGGTGGAAGCAGCAGACGTTATCCGCGAGAACAAGGTCTCTCTCCACCTGCGATACCTCCAGACCATGTCTCATATAGCAGTCGAACACAACAAAACCATCGTTTTCCCCATCCCAATGGAGATCGTCCGTTCGCTGATTCATCGGTGGAAGAAGAATAAGAGCCAACAGAAGCTATTATAATTAAATTTATTGTCCCCTCGGGGACAAAGGAAGAGACCCATATGATGGAAGAGATTGTGACATAAGATATACTACAACATAAATATTTAAAGATACCCGTTTCGATTGAGGTTAAAAGTCTTCAACGTCGTAAGAGACTACAGAATGAAAGAATTACTAATTACAATTTAAAAAATTTCAACATGACAAAAGTATAACAAAACATTTGGAAAGAGCAGCCTTGAAACTGCCATGAATTAAAAAATTAAATTGAGCTTGATCTAACCATCAGGGGCATCAGTGGGATTATCATACAGCTTGACCATGTCAGTGCCCTTCTGATGCTTCGGTGGTGTCGTGGGAGATCGTTTCACGGGTTTCATGGTCAAATAGTCGCTTCCTTCATCGGTATCCAGAGGATCCTCAGTCATCTTCTTCTCATTCTTAGTCAACGATCGATGAGGTGGGGGTTGAGGTTTGAGTTCGAGGTCAGCTGCTGTATCATAAAGATTTCGATGTTTGGGAGGCTGAGGAGGCGTCTCCACGTTATTACGATGGATAGATGGCATTGGACGAACCTAAAAAGTAGATGTACAGGGTGTTTCAAGAAATTCCGCGGAAAGTTTTTTGTCGATTTCTTGGCGCTCAGTCAAGAGATCCAAAAAAAATTTTTTTTGTATGAAAAAGAATAAGATGGGCCGTTTTTTGCCTATGAAAATTATTTTCTCCGCCAACGCGGAAAGCAGTGTATTCGGCGGAGACTTTTGGGCACTTTTTCGGTCATCACACGAATTTTTAACGCTTTATTGTGACACTGAAGCGTCCGGAAAGTTTTCAAATTTTTTGCACAATGGATCAGAAGACCGGCTACAGCGCTATGCGATCCGATAGTGACTGCACGGCGCAATGCAGTCGCTGCAACACCCGATAAAGTCGGAGCGCACCGTGCGGATGTTTGAAACAGCAGGGCAAAGAGAAATTTAAGCGAAAAATCGCTTTTTTCTAGTGCACCGAGTGGTTTCTCGATGGCTAAACTTCTGCCAAGGCTTGGCGACAAAATTTTGGAAGGTACACGACACCTGCAGAGAATGCTTGACAGACCATAAGAATTGTGTTGGGCCATTTCTTGTCCGTAGCTGAGTTAAGTACGGCGAGCGGCTGCCATACCTTCGCCGAACGCTTGATAAACACAAAAATTAGCAAAAATCCTCATTTCAACCATCAGAAACCACAAAAAAGCGTTTAAGGTGGGTGCGATGACCAAAAAAGTGCCCAAAAGTCTCCGCCGAATACACTGTTTTCCGGGTTGGCGGAGAATAAATTTTAGGAAATATATTTATAAGGCTCTTACCTCAACAGTTGGAAGATTGGCATTGTGATTTCTTTGTCTTGGAGGTCTCGGCGGAGGCTTTTCAGTCCCAACTCCAGTTGGATTACGGTAGACAGCAGGGACTGGAGTCGCAATCAGAGGATCCGAAGCGTCCTCAAGAGGTAACCGGTCAGAATCCTGACTCTTTTTGTTCATATTCTGGTTCTGTCTTCTACATAAAATGACTATGATGGCTGCCAGAAGAAGGGCCAATAAAACACCGGCCAGAAGGATGTAGAATTGGGGAGATCCAGGGAGTAGACTGTCCGGCAAGAGATGAGGTACCCTTTCCGAACAGAAGTTTCCTCCAAATCCATCAGAACAAGAACAAGTAAAGGTCGCCTTCTCTCGACGACAGACTCCGAATGGGCCACAGGGATTTGTCACACACGGATCCCAATCTCCATGCATCTGACAGGTCTTTCCAGTAAAGCCCGGAGGGCAAGAACAATGGAAGTCATTATAGAGATTGTGACATTTAATGCCTTTAGGGCAAGGGTTACTAGCACATGCATTGAGATCGATCTCACATTTGACTCCGGTATATCTTTGAGGGCAGATACAACTAAAACACTATAAAATACCACTCTACTCCTCTTACCTGTAAGAATTGGAGTCCTTTTTTGGAAAACATTGGCCTTGGTTCAAGCACGGTGCATTCAAACAAGGTCCCATCAACTGGGCATCACATCCAATCCTCGCATTGTACATTCTGAGGCCTTGTGGGGTCTTGGGGAGATCAAATCCATCCAGTCCGATCCTCCCAATGCATCCAACAAGTCCATTCTGGATAATTTTATGCAATTCAGAAGCACTTTGAAGGGAGATTGATAACGTCAACGAGTCAAAAGACTTCTTCTTTGTATTCATATCAGTCACGTTAGCACCAAAAGTAAGCACCATAGAGTCGGAGTAGAGATTGATGACATCATTCATCCCCATCGAACTGTTAGCACCATTAAATGTGTCATCCAGAATCATCTGGACATGTTTTCGTCTTCTGACCACCCTCACCGTGTGCCATTTTCCATCATCCACCAATTTCTGATGAATCTTCACTTCCCCGGGTCCCGATCCACAATCCCATTCATATTCGAGATATCCATCGACAATCCTGAGGACGTGGAAATCGGAGAGGCCTTCTCCGTGCATGATCACAGCACTCCGACTGGCCGTTTTGAACTCGATAGAAATGTCCATTCTCTGCTCGATCGACTGGCCGATGAACATTTGGAAGTACCCTTGACCCAACATACTCAACGATGCCTTCTGGGAGCATTCTGCCGCATTCGGGCAAGTGTTTTCTCTACAGCGATCTCCTTTAGTACCCGGAGGGCAGATACACTCCTGGCCGGACGGATCATCTTCCATGGGAACACAGACTTCCGCTTTGCTGCAGACATCGTCCTGACTGCATTGGTTTACAGCAACGTCACAATGACGTCCTCCAAATCCCTGACGACATATACATTCAAATGTCCGTTGAAATCGAGGGAACGAGTAGAAGTTGCCGGTCTGAGGGTCGTCAAAGGAATTGGAGTTTACATTATCCAGCCATATCCGATCTCGACATTCCCCTTTGGAACAGGTGTCCCGACGACAAATCTCGGATGTTAAAGAGGTTACCTGTAAAAGTTGTATTACTATACTCTGAAAAGTTACCTACCTCAAGCCCGGATTCCGCAGTAATCCTCGCGATTCCTTCGGTTATTTTTTGCTTCACATAAACAGGCCGATGATAACCTCCAGATTCTCTGAGTACGGTCAAAAGAAGCTCGACTTCCAATTGACTGGCAGCAGGAGGCACAATTACAGCCTCAGGGCTTCTTTTAGTCTTCCGATGACTCATTACATCTTGAACAGCCAGAATCCTCATACTGGTCATCTTCACTCCCAACACCTTCACCAACACTTCATGCAGCTTTCCCATATATCGTTGGATGAAATCATTAATCCCGATGCCTCCCATTCTGACGCTCACCGAGTTCTCAAGGGCCTCTTGATCAATATTGGTGACGTCTATAGTAATCGGGGTGTAGACCGTGTATTTTCCATCCGTCACGGACACATTGAATCGATGAAGACCAGGGAGTAATGTAGACAGAGCTGACAGAGTGCCTTGGATGGGATCCACGGAGATTTGAGGGGTCTTCTTGGAGGTCTCTCCCTGCACAAGTGCATATCGCAACATATCTGCCGGGTCTTTGTCGGAAGCATACACTTTCCCGAGATTCTTGACGCTGAATTCCCCCATCAAGGTGTTGATCAGAATGGTCTGGGGCTGAACTTGTGGAGGATGTCGGCTCTGTTGCTTGACGAAAACTTTCAGAGGACATGATGAAGATAAATCTCCCGAGTCATAGGCAGTCACTGTCAGATTGTAAACATTCTGTTCGTTGTAAGAGAGCTGTCGAGTGGTGATCAGATTCATTAGAGGGTCAAAAGTAAAGGCAGAAGCACCTGCCCCAGTGATCTCGAGTCTGAATGGAGCTCCAAATTTGTCGCCGTCATTGTCGGAAATGGAAACTCTCAACAAGGCTTGACCAGCCTCCACTCCCTCTTGAATAACTGCTGTCAGATTGCAGATATCGAAGATCGGAGGATTGTCGTTCACATCTTCAACCACTACCGTAACCAGACAATCATCGCTCAAGGCCGGTGTACCGCCATCAACAGCCCTCACATTGAGTCGATAAATCTTTTGTTTCTCAAAGTCCAATTGTCCAGTTGTCTTGATTATCCCGTTATCGGTGATTGTAAACAGCTGGGCATCTTCTCCTGAGATACTGTACGAAATTTTCCCGAAATGCTGCGAATCCGGATCCGAAGCCTTGACTTGGATAACATCAGAGCCGGGCTTTGTGTTTTCCTTGCAAGTAACTTCGTAAATAGTCCTCTCAAACCGAGGACTGTTATCATTCACATCGAGAACTTCTATGTCAATCAAGGCCGTTGAATTCAGCTCTCCATCAGAAACGATGACATCGAATTTGAGGCGTTGAATCGCCTCGTAATCGAGCGACTTTAAGAGTTTAAGGACACCACTCTTTTGATCTAAGGACAAGTAATTCCTGGCTTGAGCGTCCTTCAGATAAAAGGACAGCTGAGTGTTGTTATCCGGGTCCAGGGCAATCAATCGTAGCACTTCGTATCCGATGGCCTCGTTCTCCAGAATCTTCAGATGATAGACAGGCTGTTCGAATTGGGGCTCGTTGTCGTTTGTGTCATCAATGTAGATACGAACATTAGCTGAAATAATACAAACATAAACTCAGATCGCAATCATAACAAAGTAATTTTCGAAAGAACTTACCGTAATCCTTGAGTCCTCCTCCATCGACAGCTTCCACTTTCAGAGTAAAATTGGAATACTTCTCTCTATCGATCGTACCCTTAGCCATTAATGCCCCGCTAAATTCATCAAGATAGAAGTACTTCGCAGCTTCTGGAATGCTTTCTTTTTCCACGACATTATACTTGATATCACCGAAGATTCCGAGGTCAGTATCCCTCGCCTCCAGTTTCAAAACAAGGTTCATTTTGTCTTCAGACGCCCTCTGATTCTCATTGTAATGTACAGCGTACTCTTGAAGTGAGAATTGTGGAGCAACTTTGTTGTAATTGAGAATTTGGATCGTTAAAAGTTTCATGCAGAAAATGGCATCTTGATGAACACTTCGTATCTTCGAACGGATCCGCAAAGAATACTAAACAAAATATGTCGTGAATAAAAATTCGATTACTCACATTCCCAGGAATGACGTCATCTTTTACAATAAGTTTGCTCCCATTTACAATCTGGAACGACAATTTCTGGGCATCAACCAGATGATTGGACAAGACCACGTTGTTGTTTCCCAGATCTCTTATCAACTGATTGCTATGGATCGACTTCAGTATGATCTTTTCTTCTTTTTCATCACATTCGGTCGATTCTGGATCCCCAACAAACATCACCTAGATCAATAAATTTAATCTGAAGACTGAATACAAACCTCAATATCTGCTTGCGAACTATAAACCCCATCAAAGCCAATCAATTTCCCTGAGACTCTGACTCTGTCGACAGGTATTCGCTTCAATATTACTGTAGATCCATTAATGGCCAAGTAATTATTCGATGGATGCGTGAACACGGATACTGAAACATTTTGAACTGCAGCTGTATCGGCATCAGTAACCTTGAAATCGACAATCTTCTGTCCTATTTTGAGGCCTTTTAGAGGAATCGTGACCCTGTACATGAGCTGGTCAAATTGGGGAGCATTATCATTTACATCCAACACTTTGATTGTAAAGTTGAACGTAGATGAGAGACCCCCTTCGTCCCTGGCTGTTATTTTCAGTTGATGTCGGTCTTTGGTTTCTCTGTCCAACTCAGATTTCACGGTTAAAAATCCTTGTTCCTTGTCAATTTTAAAGTGCCCATTTTCATTCAGCTCGTAGGAAAGTTTAGAATTATCTCCAGCATCCTTGTCAGTTGCCAAGAATATAAAGATTACCGTATTCTTTGGCACATCTTCGCGAATGGAAAGTCTGCAAAATTAAGTTATATATTTTTTAAAATCGGTTTGAGCTCTGGGCCCTTGTGTTGACATGTCAATTCTTTTTGGCCCGCATAGCATTGGGCCGATACGGGTATAAACTGTCCCTAGTAAATCTACCCCAAATGAGAAGTTTCGCGGATTTTATGTGACGTTGCGACACTTGTGGGCAACCACTTTGAGGGCGGCCGACATTTTCCGATTAGAAATACTACTTTTAAATCGTAATCTACGTAGTGCGGTACAACTTTTGCATTGACAACTCCCTGGTACAGATACGTACGCGAATTCATTTGAATCCGTCTACTGCTTCCAAAGGCACAAAAAACACTAATTTCTGACACATGAGACTCCAGCCCGCGCTTTGCAGAAAAGACCGAGAATGCTAAATCAATCGTTAGGATTTCCTGTTGTTGGCAGATCTCTAATCGTGCTCGCAGAATCCTCGCGATTCTTCTATTTAGCTGCCCGTGGTTGCCCGGAAGTGTGCGCCCGCCTTTTTCGCGAAGTATGCAGAAAACTTACTCTCTGAGGTTTGTTTCGAAGGTGGGAGGATTGTCATTTACATCGACCACATTTATTGTGACATAGGAGAAGGCGGTCCTCTGGTCCCGATCTCTCACTCTGACCACAAAATCGTACTTTTTCTCAATTTCTCTGTCGATTTTTTGTTGTAAGGTGATCCTTCCGCTCTCTTCTTCTACCAAAAATGGTACGCTTCTTTTGTTGTCACTCTGGGGAATATCATACTTGACATTTTCTCCTTGACTTGCCATCAGTTGACCGATCAGTTTACCTAAAAAATGCATCATTATTTGACGTATTAGAAAAGATCACATTGCCGTTATTATCCGTACCTTGGGCGGCATCTTCAGAGATGGAGAAGAAGTAATGAAATCTTGAGAACTGGGGGACTGGCCCGTCAACTATCTGGATATTAATCTTGGTCGAGCTTATATGAGGAGGATTGTTTCTGTCGCTGACTGTGACATCCACATCCACATCATTACTTTCCACTCGAACCATTCCTTTTACTGTAAGATAGCCAGTCTTGGGATCCAAGCCAAGGAAGTCTGGGGTCGGATTGATCGAGTATTCGAGAACATCTTCCTCGTCATCATCCAGGGCCAATATTTTGGCAATCCGATCCCCATCCATTGATGCTGATGAGATATGGAGGCTGTAGCCATCTGAAGGAGCGATGAATCTTGGGGAATTTATGTTATCTGACTCAATCTTTACTTCCATCCTTTGGACCGCGATGTTGTTGTAAGCATCTTGGACAAGGAATGGGACAAAAACTGGTTCAGCTGAGCGTGCAGGCCTTTGTGCGAGGTAGACGTTGCCGGTGTTGGAGTTTACAGTAAGGAGTGGTTGAGCAATGGTGCTGTTGTATGTCTTGGGGGCAATCCCACCGATTGAGGAGAGAGCTTTTACAACAGTCTTGTTCGGAATTACCCGATTCTCATTTATAACGACTGTAGAAGTCAAAGATTCAAACGTTAAAGGCTCCAATTGCTGTGTCGATGGCTTGAAGATTACCTTGACTTGGAGTGGAGTTGTGAACAAACCATCTGAGACTGTTATGTTCAGATTGTAGACTTGAATGTTTCCCAATTTCAGATTTTTGAGTTCTTCCGAGTCAAAGTCTCTGGTTCTTCTCAGAATTCCAACGTTTGAGTCCAATGTAAACATGGTTTCATCTCCCGTCACGATACCAAACACGTGTGAGGGTACAGAGGTAAGAACGGTATCCGGATCTTCAATTTCCAGCTGGTGGATGAACTGGCCCGTGGTTGAGTCAGAACTCAAAATGATAATTAATGGCTCTTGTGACACAAACTTCGGAGGATTATCGTTTTCATCTTTGATCTTCAGTCTTAGAAGTGCTTCCGAAGTGAACCCATCGGAATCCGATGCATTCAGAATCCACTCGAATTCGTTTTTTGTCTCGAAATCCAATTTCTTGGACAAATAGATCATTCCAGTGTGTGCGTCGATCGAAATAACGTCTTTATCTCCATTGTGGATACTGTACTTTATGACGTTGTCTTTCGGAGTCAAGTCTTTATCGATGGCTTTCACCGTGCCGATCAGAATCCCTTCCGATGCACTCTCTGGAATCTCGAATTGGTAGATTTGTTGAAGGAATGTAGGTGGAGTATCGTTTACATCATCGACAGTAACTTTGACGTAAGCTGAGGCATTCATTCTCTTCCGACTGAGGTCGATTGCTTTCACTTCGAGTATATATTCGGGGGTCTCCTCTCGGTCTAACTCCGAATTTACCATGATACGGCCTGCAAAATACGTGTTAAGGAACATTTACGCCTCTTCAATCAAGTGCAGACAACTTCTTACCAGTAAAGAAGTCCATCGAAAATTGTTTTTTGGGATCTCCATCGGAGATGACATAGGCTAGGGTTCCATTGGTGTTACTCTTTGCGTGAACGTTGAAGATGGTCGTTCCTGGAGCGGATGCCTCGGAGATTCTCGAAGTGTATCTTGTATGCGAAAAAATTGGCTGATTACGGTCGGAGATGTGAATCACAACCTCGGCCTTGGATTGCAATGGGGGATTTCCTAAAATTGTGATGATTTTAGTGGTTGAATTTACCACAACGTCGTCAATTCGGGAAACAGACAAGTACTGTTATTTTTCTGCATAAATATCGGGAAGCGACGAAAAAGACAGAAACCGAAAAGTAGATGGCACTGATTTTGAAAATGACATTCATTTTTTGATCGTTACTAGTAGTACTGTAAAGTAGTGATTTTTTGATTTTTTCGCAAATACTCGATTTAGGGGTTTCGATGGTGCTGATTTCGAAAATAAGGAAAAACGTAAAGATCAAAAAAATGAGCGTCATCTTCGATCAGCACCATCGAAAACTTGAGCTGACTTTCAGCTATTCTAGTACAAGAGTATTTTCGAAAAAATTTCAAAAAAAAAAATACTACTTTACAGTATCAGTCTGTCGGAAAAATAACGGCGGGTCGTCGCGCCTCGGAATCGCCCATCATCGCTTTGCGACTGCAAGCCGCGACTTGGGATTTGGTGCGCGATAGCGGCGAGGCGAGACATTTTGCTGCGACGACCCGCCGTTTTTTTCCCGACAGACTGATACTACCCTACAAAAATTTTTTCATTTTTATTTTTTTTTATATAAAAAAAAAATTTATTTCTTATTCTTATAAGAAAAAAAAATTAACATGATTTTTGAAATCAACGCCTTCGATTACCCTAATTTCGACACTTATATGCAGGAAAAATAATAAATATTTTTTTGCCATCACTCCTCGGGATTTACCTACCTTGATCTTGAGCGATGACATGAAACCGGTATACATTGCCAACGTTTGCCTGAGCGTCGTCCATTTTCTTTTTGAGTCTTACTTTTCCGTCTATCTTGTTGATTTCAATAAATTCGACAGCATCAGAATCCAAGGCGTATCTCACGCTTCCGTAAAGTCCAACATCTTCGTCCTTGGCCTTTACAGTGAGGAGTCTCTCGCCTTCCCTTACATCTTCGGACAGCCAAATTTCATAGGGCAGATGATGGAATTGGGGAATGCAATCGTTAACATCATCAACTTTTACGTGTATCATACTGTGGCAAAATCGTTCGGCCTTGTGAAGTGACGTTGTTTTAACAATTATGTTTAATTCTGACGTCCGCTCGCGGTCGATAGGATTCTGTCCCAACAGGTACAGTGTTCCCAATTGATAGTCCAGATTGAAAGTCATTGATTCGTCATTCAGAATTTGAAAATCAAAGTTTTCTCCAAACTCGGAATTGAGCGGCCAGTCTAGCTGGAGTAATTCCTTCGGATGACTTGAAGTGTAATTCTCCGGGGCATTCACGATATACTCAGACCTGCATTTCAAAGTCTGGTGTTTGTTTTGAATGAGGATTGTGACTCTTTGGATGGTTGTGTGCATCCCATCAGACGCGATTACTTCCAGGATTTCTTGCTTGGACTTCAAAGTTAAGACATCTGATGTTAACGCAATTTCTCCTGAGTCACGGTTTAGTTTGATTTTGTTCCCAAAGCCGGCAGACGACCGAAGGGCATATTTCACAACATCCCCATCTGGATCGGTTGCTGTTAGAGTTCCAATCCGCGTACCTGCAACAATTACAGCTTTCGAATCTTCCTTACCTTGATATGCAGGTATTGACAAATCGAATTGCAGCTCGTCACCGAAGATTGGAGCATTTTTATTCGCCAAAATAAGGTCAATATATACATTTATGAGTGCAGTGGTAAGCTCTGACGTTTGCATTCCGATCAAAAAAGTCCAAAAGTTCATCTAAAATCACAATCTTTAAACGGACCTTTCCTCTTACCCCCGGAATCGACCTCAGATCTTTGGTATACACAAATCCATTGCTGTCGACACCAAAGTAACGTTCTTGAGGTGATATCACTCTTGGTTTCTTTCCCTTAGTGGGTATCCTTAGCTTCTGCGTCAAGTTTTTATCCGTGAAAACGGGCGTTCCAGGAAAAGCATCGCCTCTAACATATCCATGAAGTTCATACGCCATTGAAACATCTTGATCATCGCCAATTGGTGTTACAGTGAGGTTCCTGTATATGATTTGATCATAACTTTGTCCATAAACAACACAAATTTTCTTGTCTATGTCATTTGGTCCAAGGAATTGCTTTTGTCTTACAATTCCATTTCCGAAACCAACTTGTGCCAATTTACAATCCTTTGATCCAAGAGAAACAAAGTCATCGTGATCAGCCTCGAGGATGAGTAAGGGTTCGTTGACATAGCTTAAGGTTCGAACCGCAAGTCTGTTGTAGTCCCTAAAAAGGAAGCAAATAGTTTATTTACAATTGAGACTTCTTACTTCTTAAACTTTAAGGCAGAGACACCATTTCTCCTGAAGACATTAACTTTGCAGATGGAAGACTTGGCATTTACTTTAGCCTTATCCTCAACTTTGACGAGGATCGTCGCTTTTTCCAGGATTGGCTTTACTGCAGTAATTATTCCAGTATTATTTTGGATGTTGAATATCTTGTCGGGATCTCCACTCTGAACCGAATACTCGACCTCTCCATTGATCTCTTCATCAAGATCAAATGCCAGAACCCTTCCAACCTCTCCGTTCTCTTCACAATAGAAATCAAATGTCTTATCGACACATTTCGGAGCATATCTGTTTACCGGGATCCTCTTGAACGTAACCATCGCAAAGCTCTCCAGACCACCGTTAACTTTGGCCGCTACAACAACGTTGAACCTTCTACCGATTAATTGAGTCAAAGGCTTCTCCAACAGCAGAGATCCTGTCGCTGAATCCACCTTTATGCTGTCTTTGGCTAGGATTTCGTCGATTGAATGTATATTATATACAATATTCTGTGCATGACTAACACCACTGTTGGTGGAGTTGATCTGAGAATGCAGTTGATGGATCACATAGCCAACAGCAAAGCCATCCGAGAGTTCAACTTCATTGGTTGTTTGTTCAAATGTGGGTCTGATATGAAGGGATCGAGTGATATGAATGTTGATCTTCTCGTAGACTTCCATCCAACCATCAGATACCATGATCTCCAACTCGATTGTCTTCAGATTAATGTCAATTAAATTGACTCGTCTGGCCAACACCAACTCCCCATTATTTCCGTGGAAGGTGAAGGTCTCATTCGGATTCCAGAAGGTGTTTGTTATGGTGTACCAGAGGGGATCTCCATCTGCATCTTCCACTTCCACTCGTCCCAACACAGTCCCTACAGCATCCCGATCTGATGCATAAAGATGGCGCCATTTCTCGGGACTTTTGAATATTGGCGGATGATTCGAATGGTTGGATGTGGATACGGGTTCCACAGCTGTTAATGTTACAGAGACGTCGCTTCGAAGTCTTGTTTCTCCATTGTCTTCAGCAGAAACAGTAAAGTTGATGATCGCATTGGGAAGAATGGGCTCAGAGGTAAAGAATCTGCCGTATTCATCGATCGAAAATCTGGTATCGGTATTTCCTTCAAGGTTGTAGGTGAGTAGAGAGTTTGGACCGTCTTCATCAGCATCATCGGCGAAGACCCTGGTCAAGAATCCTACCTTCTTGGCTGGAATCTTCAAAGAAATGGCCGTCTGTTTAAACTTAGGGGCGTTGTCATTTTTGTCGAGTACTGTAACAATAACCAAAACTGATGTGCACAGGGGCTTTGGTGACGAATCACAGGCTTTTACATAAAGTTCATGTACTGGCTGAGTCTCTCGATCCAAATGTCTTCTTCCTGTGACCAGGAATCCTGTATTCTGATCCAGAATAAAATTGGACTGAACATTTCCTTTTTCCATTTCATAAGTCACAGTATTATTGGTGAGATCGTTGTCTGTAGCATTCAGTCTGACAACCACTTTGTTTGCCTCCGAATTTTCCACAATTCTGCCGTAATATACGGGCTCACCAAATAATGGAGAATGATCGTTAACATCTTTCACCTTAATCATGACAAATGTGGTGGCGGATAGAGGCTTCCTAGATTCGTCCTGTGCTTCGATTGCTAGCCAGTAATACTCCTGTACCTCTGCATTCAATGGTTCCACAGCAAAGACATCTCCAGAAGCCTTGTCGACGGTGAAGAATCCAAGGCCATCCCCGCCAGAGATTCTGTAGTTGACCTTCTTTTCTTCCGGATCAGTAGCCTTAACAGTTACAAGCTTGGTAGTTTCCATCGTATTCTCATCAATCTCGGCCTCATAAACTGTTTTAGTAAAGATCGGCGGAAGCAAATTCTCGTTAACGTCCTCGATTCGGATGATAACAGGGCATCGGGTAGATCTCTGGGGATGTCCTCGATCGCTCACCTAAGGAAAAAGTGTTACTGTAACTCTCGTAGAACCTACCGTAACATTAAATTTGTATTCATCAACATCCTCAAAGTCCAGAGGTTCATTTAATTTGGACATCAAACATCCGCTCTCTGCATCTATTGCGAAGGGCATGTCTTTATCCATCTTATAGATCAGTTTTGCATTGTCTCCGTCGTCTATGTCATTTACAGCAAGACAAGTAATCAAAGCTCCGTTGGGTAGGTCCTCGTATACATGCACTTCGTGTATTTCTTTTAGACAAACAGGCGAATTGTCATTAATATCTTCAAGATTGATGGTCACATTGCAAGAAGTGTGTCGTGGAGGAGTCCCTCGGTCAATGGCAAGTACGGGGAATGTAAAGAAAGGTTGTATTTCCCTGTCCAAAGGACGTTCCAATCGAAAAGCGCCCGTGTCCGGATCCACCGAGACGAGGTCAGTCTCTATTGCCAGCCGATATTCCACTCGGCCATTGGCCCCAGAATCTTCATCGATAGCTTTCACACGGGCAAGTTCTCCTTCGATTAAAGTATCTTCCTTGATGCGGATGTAATAATTGGACTAAAATTGTAAATCTAAATATAAACAATGGTTACTACCTTTTCGAACACAGGCGCATGCAGATTACTTCGTTCAACAGCGATCTGGACCTTCTGCAAGGCCGACTTCCGACCTTCAAAAGCCATGTCAGTAGCTTCGATTAACATCTCGTGTTTATAAACATCTGAACTTCCATTAACCAGGGCATCCAATTCTCGGATTACTGTAATCTCCCCAGTATGTGAATTTACATTGAAGAACGAATCTGGAGATGTATATCTGACTAATCCATTGATTCCGTAATCATTATCACGGGCGGAAACAAATCCAACCGACTGAAAATATGTTCTTTTAGTAGCCATATTTATATAGAGTCTACCTTTCCGACAGCTGCGGTGTCCGTGGTCCTCAATGGTTTGATCTTGTCGAATATTGGAAGATAGAGGTTCTTCATGGAACAAGTGTCATTCACATATCCATGGGCACGTGTTTTGGAAGTTGAGTTAAACGTAACTGAGAGTAACGCGGATGTGTACAGTAGCACAGAATCACACTTATTCATGGCCAGGATTGTAAATTGGGATGGGGTATTTACAGATTTGTTCAACACAACCTTCAAAAATGTAAATTAACTTTAAGATTATACTCACAGCTCCATTATCCAACCTAAAGTAATCACTAAATTCCTCCGATGTTTTCAATTTGAAGATAACATTATCCATGTCAACTTTCGGAATGAAGATGCTCTGGCCAGGCTTGGAATCCTTCAGATTAAGCCACAAATCAATCGGCAAATTTGTGAATTTAGGACACTTCAGATTAACCGGGATTACTGTCACAAATACATCAAGAAACGCCTTTTCTGCTCGATCATCAATATTCTCCAATTTGGCGACAACTGAGAATTCGAAAATCTTCTGGTGACTTCCAATCAGAGATGACTTGGCCCTCATAATCCCCGTATTTCTCTCCAAAAGGAACGGAAGTTTACTGTTGTCCTTCCCATGAATACGGTATCTAGAAGTAAAGTCAAAATAATAAAATCGAGCATCCTTACTTGACATTGCTTTGATCCTGAAGATAAGAAGTGTTTGCACGGAATCTGTAGATGATGGTGTTCTCCAAGATGTTCTCGGAAACGCTCAGTTTAATTCTCGGGGTTTCTTCTTCGGTTGCGCCATTGAACCAAACACTTCTGGATTCCGAATCCATCACAAGTGATATATTCTCGGCCGTAAACACCTTGTTCTTGTTGTCCTTTAGGATCAAAGAAACCGCCTCAGGGGATTTCCTCTGGATTTTGGAGACATACAATAGGTACTGAGTAGATGAGATCCTCTGCAGTACAGTATCCCCTCTCTCCAAGACATCCGAACTGAGGTCGATCTGAGTGTCGATCTCAGAGATTTCGAGAAGTGCTGCCTTCTGAGGTCCCTCGTTGAAATATCGAAGAGGAAAGGTCTTCTGACTCAGAATTGGAGGTGAGGAAGGGGCTTCACGGACATTGATGGTCACATTTACTTCAGAATTAAATCCAGAATTCCGTTTGCGAAAGAAGAGCCGAGAAGATCGATCTTCGACCAAACAAGTCAAAATAAAACTTCCCGAGACTAGAGGTTTAAAAGAGCGTATCCATCCAGATTTGGGTTCCACATAAAAGAAATCTGAAGGTGCCCTCAATGAGTACAGCAACTCTCCATTCAACCCTGTGTCAGCATCTACCGCTCGTAGTTGGACTAGTCTTGAGTTTGGTGGAATCTAAACAGATATATATACAATAAGTACTGTAATCAAAGAATTATCTTACTCTGTTATCAACGTCAACTTTGTATTCGGGATCTCGGAAGAACGGGAGGATGTCGTTGTCATCGATGACCTTGATATTTATGAGACATTGGGTCTCGAAGTTGCCTTCTCTTTTATTCTTTGCACTGGCTTTTATTATAAGATCATATTCATCCTAAAATACGTTGATATGTATTCATTAACTTACCTGCAATTCTCTGTTTAATATCTCGCCGTCTTTCAGAGAGATACTTAAATAAGCAAAGTTCCCGATCCTCTTTGAGGCCAATTTAAAAGTAGAAATTCCATCTCCTTGCACTATTTTAAACTTAACGTTATCATACCCCGAGGGCATGTAAACTCCGACTCTTTGCGGGGTCGTGGTCCAGGCAGGACTGTTGAGTTCCCATTTCTCACTGATACTGAGATTATAGATGGGATGGGTGAATTGAAAGATGCCCGGATCAGGCTGATGGCTAGCCAAAGCCCAGTGGACTAGCACCAGGAGCAGAAGCGACGCGCTCATTTATCGCATTCCTGCAAGGAAATAAAGATTTTATGTTTTGGGAAAGGCGAGGAAGGAGAACATGGCTGAACGGTTTCAGACGATCGCGACGCGCCAAGGTCGGAACCGAATAAAGACAGCACTTTTTGGGCCGCAGGCAATTCCCAGCGGACCATTCTGACGTCCAAGACGACGGCGCGGGAACGGGAAACCGGTTTGGCCACATTTGGCTGGGATTGGGCCGGAAGCCGCGATTTAAGGCCAGCAAAATGGTCTCTTCCCCTTCGCTGCATGAACACTAATCCTTCAATAATTGGCTTAAAGGAATGGACAGCAGTTTGCGGGGAGTGACCAGCTCTTAAAATGTTACTCAAGCAGCCGATGACCAATAATCGAATTCATTAAAAGCCCCCCAAATGGACAAGACTTTACAAGTAGCCTCCAGAATAGTAAATAACATAACCACACACATATTGGGCATGAGGAATGACCCACCCCTGCTGAATATGTAGCAAAAAATGGCCAGAAAGCCCCGGGAGACGGAAGACAAAAGCAAATGCAAATGACAGATTAAGTAAAACAAATCCCAGAGATCCCACATCTCTTAGTACCGACCGTCCATTTTATTTAAATTAAAAAAGCGTGGCCAACTTGAATGTGTCAGAGCGCGTTTCCGGCTTTTCTTAGCCAGAAAAGAAGCATTGGCCGAGAGCGGGGACGAGTAAAAGCGAGGTCTGAGAGTGCGCGATGTGCGGTTAAGGGTCAAGCCGAATCAATGAGACCCTTTCCCCTGCCCATCCTGGCGTCGCCTCGCGCCCAGGTAAGGCGCCCAGGTGCCATTCGACAAAAAAACATGGTTAATGTGCATTCTTGCGGTTTCCCCAAAATCTGTGAAAACAAAACGTCCTGACTCGGGTCACTTGCCCTCCGGTCATTTCTCCCAAAAAGATTCCCATCACTTTTTTTATTTTACTTTTATTCGAAATGGGAAAAGTTTTTATTGTATTTGTAATGTTATCTCTCGGAAGATGAATCATTTCACAGGTAAATATAATCTTTCCCACAAACATGACACTCATTTTTCATAAAGATTGATTTAACAATCATTATGTTTACATGTAACCGCATGTTTATGGAATATACTGACATAAAAAACTCCTATAACTAAAACTGTCAATTCAAAAAAAATTGCTTAACAGAAATACAGTAATCCCAATTCCCTAAATTTAGTAATTTCTTCAACTAATTACGATCTTCAAATATTAGGTTCCGACACGAAAACTTTTGGTGTGAAAAAAAAATTCGAATTATTTTCTTCGAAAAATTTGTCATCGAAAAATAAAAAAAATAATCTGGTCCATCCATCTGAAAACTGACAAGGGAAGTACTTGAAGTGTGACGCTCAGATTTTGATGAAACTTGGCATAAATTTAGAATAATTTTTTCTAAGATATATGCGAGAATCCTAGCTCGCGCTTTACAGAAACAACCGAGATTTTTAGATCAAAAGTCGGCGAAAATTTAGGACTTTTTGCCGAATTTCGGCACGAAAAGTTTCATGCCTATTTCAACTGTAAAGGATAATGTTTCTACAAAAAATCAAATTTTTCCGCACGAAACTGCCAAAGTTATGGCCAAAAAGCGCTTTTCTCTCTGACCGCTCTCCACGTTTAGCGTGCTCTCTCGGCGGCAAAAATCGTTCGATATCTCGGCGGCGCCCGCAAAGCGCGAGCTAAAACTTTCAGGAATTGATATTTAGTCCATACCCGATGTGTGTGCAAAATTTAAAGAAAATCTGAGCGTCACACTTGAAGTACTTCCCCTGTGAATAGAAAGGCCAATAATGCGAAATCGGCGCTTCGGCTCGATCGTTAGTGTGAACGATGGAGGAGATAAAAAGAAGGGAACCTGGAACTTTCTGAAACGACGGAGCTCTTCCAACAACGCCATCAGCAAGAACAATGTCGTAAGTGATCAGCCATGAATAATGCATCTTTATGGGTTTGTGCCGTTTCTTGTTCCCTTGTTTAGAAGGTTTCGGATGTGGATCCGGAGGAATATTCGGATGGAAAAGACCGCATACTTCCACCGATATTCACCATGGGAGACCAGCCGGAGTTGATCTCTAAATTGAGGGATTCTTTTGTGAACTTCTTGGGATGGATACTCAAATGGAGAGGGCGATACCTTCAAATTATCTGGGACTGATCGGTCGGGGTTTTGTGAGTCAGAGGAAGTGGAAAGATGGAGGTCGATGTCGGGCGTCTGCCACTTCTTTCGGGTCCAAAATGCGCGCGGTTTGTGTCCAGAAAACGCTTTATTGAACAGAAAATATAAGTCGCTGTTCTTTAGGGCTAGATCTCGGTTCTATGTTTGTTTTTATCCGCTTAGGTCAGGTTCGCGAAGTCTAAATATATTTTTAATAATAGGAAGGGGAATTGTTTATATTTAAATTTGCTGTATATTATTGGTTGATTGCAGCAGCTTGTTGCCCAACATCCGAGTGGTCTTCCCAGCTCCTCGGCTAACACTTCTCCCACAAATAACGAGAATCTTCCACCTTTCCCGAGAACAACACCCGACCCTAAAAACAAGGTCTATCAGAAACAATCGCCGACTACCTCTAACTACTCTAACACTAATTCTTCGGGTAATTTATTGTTTTTGCAATGGTCAACGTTCATAGGTAATATCTGGAACGACGCTTCATTTTGTATTTTTTTTTCGTTTGCGCGCCCATTTGTTTGGAACGTTTTAATGCTGACCTTGCCGTCATTTCGTCTTAATTTCGATCTTGTTTTAGGTAATTCAGCTTCGGAACGTCCAGATTCGGCCAACTCGGAGCTCTCCCGTACCCCGAGAAAAATGATTGTGAGTTGTTGGCGCCTTTTTTTTGAGAGATAGTTGATTTTTATTTTTTGGAATGAATCCAGGTATTGCAGCACCCTCCAACTAATCCACCGCCCGCGGTCCCAGGTTCGGCCAATTCAGCTTATTACCCAAAAAGGTTGAATAACGATTTGATCATGTCAAATGGAGCTAGCGGAGCTGTTCCTTCAGCCAATGGCAAGTCCTTTATGGCCCCGTCTACGCCAAATGGAAAGCCTGCTCTTCCCGCCAAGCCAACAGTGATCCATTTAAATGAAGAAGAGGAGAAAGAAAACATCCAGAATGGTGAGAAGAATGGCCGATACCCGAAAGTAAAGTTGAATGGTCGTGTGGGATTTGCTTCCCTTCCCTATCAGGTTGTCAGAAGATGTCAGAGTAAAGGGTACATTTACCTGTCCCTTTATTTAAATTTAATTTTTGTTTCAGGTTTCAGTTTAATCTTCTTTGTGTTGGAGAGACAGGTACTGGAAAGACTACCTTGATCGAATCTCTGTTTGGAATCACTTTGGATGACTTCTCTCCATGTGACAATGAATTGAATACCGTCGAATTGAAGACGAAAGAATGCGGTAAGAGGGATAGAGATATTTGAATCTTTTGTAGAAATCACGGAAGGCGAGGTCAATGTAAAACTGAGAGTCGTGGAGACGGCTGGATTCGGAGATCAATTGGACAAGGAAAAGAGTGCCAAAGTCATCGTCGATTTCATCAACGATCAATTTGAGACACGGCTCAAGGATGAATTGATGGTGAAAAGGAATCTCTCTTCTTTCGATGACAAGAGAATCCATGCCTGCCTTTATTTTATATCCCCTACTGGCCATGGGTAAGTATTTCCGGGGGTATTATAATGGCTTCTGCAGATTGAAAGCGTTGGATATTGTGACGATGAAAGAACTCAGTAAACGAGTTAATGTTATCCCTGTCATTGCCAAGTCCGACACCACTAGCAAAGAAGAATTGGCCAGGTTTAAGTCTAAAATCCTCTCCGAATTGAAGTCCCACAACATTGAGATCTATCAATTCCCTACAGACGATGAAGCTGTAGCCGAACAGAACCGAAGAATGAATTCTTTTATGCCTTTTGCTGTTGTGGGCAGTGTAGATACTGTAACCAAAGAGGACGGCTCTGTTGTTAGAGCCAGAAGATATCCATGGGGCATTGTTGAAGGTAAGGTGAAACATGAATATTACCAATTCTCTTTTAGTGGAGAACAAGGAACACTGTGACTTTGTTTATCTGAGAGAGGCCGTTCTCAGAATCAACGTTGATTCGTTGAGAGAACGGACTCAGGATGTTCTCTATGAAGCCTATCGAAGAGAACGGCTCAGGGAACTCAAAATGAGGGATGGCGATGCTGGACCGAACATGGAGAAGGCTTGTGAACTTGTAAGTTTAAAGGGTTTACATCAATTATCTATGCGAAGACATACATTAATAATTTTTAGCGGCAAAAAGAATTCGAACAAGAGTTGAAGAACAGGGATGAGCAATTCCATCGAGACTTTGTAAAGAGAGTTGACGAAAAGGAAGCGGAGATTAAACGTCGTGAGGAAATGGTAAGTCAGGGGGATAATTTATGATCTTATTCTTGCAGATGAACATCAGACGAAGGGAGATTGAGACCAAATTCAGAGATGAAATGGCCAGTTTGGATCAGCAGATTTCCCATCTAACCGAAGAAAAGAACCGACTCGAAGGAAAGGGATCAGCCCGGGATTCTGGAAAGAAATCGAAGAAGTGATTACAGACCAATATATATATTTATTCTCATGTTTATTACATAACTTACCATGTGCAGTAAAACATTGTAACTACTTATAATGGGCTGATTATAATTATGACCATCGTAATTCTGAAGTGTTTGTCATCTTCTCGCGTGCTGTTGTTATACTTGATGGCTGTTATCTGGAAGAGTCTTTTGTTAATTGGATTGACTTGCTTCTGAGTTATAAGTTCTTCCGTCGAAAGTAATACGTACAATTGGAGTACGGTATGATCCCAGTTTGTTCACTAAAATAACAATAAGATCTGACTCATCTTACATTGTCTATGCATTTCGGTGATTAGATCGAGATCAGCCGGGTGAATAATCCCGTAGAGACTAATCCCTGATGTAATCTTGAACGGAGTCTCGCTGAAATTGTATGTTTTTGGTTCCATTAACGTACTGGTTATCAGAATAACGAACTTTAAATTGGTCATCTAAATTAACAACAAGGGCGTCTTTCGATAATTTTATTCCATTTGAAATCTTCACCGAATGAGGCTGACAGAAGGCCAACAAGGAGGAGTCCAACCGGCGATATACTTCCAGAGAGATGACCTGAACTCTTAGATTGCCGTCTCTGTTTTCCCAACCTTATATCCTGAGGCACATTTTGGACTTTCTTTACTTCTCCTTTTGGTCAACGTCGATTTCATTCGCAGATTCAGAAACCAGTCTAACTCCAAATTCTGGGATCGTATAAGTTGTCTTCTGAGTACCATTGAATCCTCTGGATGAACATAGGAATAGATGGAGTTGCCACAGAGATCGACTTGACTCAGCCCGAGATGGAGACTCACGGTTTCACTCACATAAAGAATATCCCCGTGATAACTCAGACAGAAAATAAATCCATCAAGAATCTGGACACATGTTCTTCTTGCATCATATGAACGGACTTACGTCTATCAAGTTGACATCGATCAGAGGGGAAATGAAAGGCCTCCGTTTGATCGGATTGACTGCATGATGCAGTTTGATATAGGTTCCGGCTAGTCTGACCACAGTGGCTTTATCCAAATGCTTCTCACTTATGGCTCTGGCAACAGGCAAAAGAAGTGATAATCTCTTGAACTGTTCGTTCTCCTGCCGTCTTCTCTCTTGCGCAACACTCCGAGCATGACCCGTTAGCAGACCGACTCCACGATTCTCATTGGCGTCATCGTCTGAGCAATTAAATGAAGATTACATCCGAAAAGCCTCCTAATCACTTCTTCCTTGATCCGAAACCGAACCAAAACTTACTAAGCACATCTGATGGATAAGATCCGTAAGAATTGTAATTACTGTACATGTCTGACCAATTGGACATCCCACTACACTCAGACGCCCTGACAATAATACTGGACTCCAATTTCAGCGCAGTCTTGCCGGACCAATTACCAAACCCATCCCGCATACAAATGAGACAACCGTGGTTTATATACATACAATATAAATATTTGACCCCTCAGGGGGCAAAACAACTTTGCCTAATAAAATAAAAACAATTGAGTAATTTCATCGACCACCGCCAAAGAATTGGCTGATCAGAGATCCCGCATTCAGCCCAGAGTCAGGTTCGGGGGTGGCCCTTTTGGCTCCCCCTCGAGATAATGCGTCCACAATGGCATCGATATTGGAGCCTTGAGTCCCTCCAAACCTCGACTTGGGCTCTCCATACTCTTCATAAGAAGGCTGGAAGATCGAAGCTGCTCCAGAAGAGGAAGAGCCAGACCCCGATCCCAGAGATGATCCTGCAAAGAGAATAAACAGTCATAAAAAGTGAAATAAGACACCAAATCGGAGGTATTTCTCACCTAAGAAACTGCCGAGTAATGTGTCCATTATGGAGCGAGGTTGTGATTTGCTCCCAGCTCCGAGGGGACCACCTCCGTATTCGGAAAGAGAGCTGCCCCCAAATGACCCCAGGGAAGCTCGCTCCGGGGGCTCGTAGTTTGAAACGCCTGAAAGACGAACCATTTCAACGTGATAGACAACTTACCTCGGAACTGCGGCCTGACCACTTCGCCTAAGATCCCGTTCCCGGACGAGGATGAGTAATCGTTGGAAAAACTCGATAATCTTGATGAAGACGACGAAGTGGAAGATCCCGCTCCGTTCGCGTTATTCAAAATATTTCCTCCAAGATTCATCAACTGAGTGGCCAGACTATAGACTGAAGAACAATATAATCCAAACTACTCATCCACTCACCTTCCTGGAACTTCTTCATGTTTGCTGCCATATCAGCAGTTTCTACTACGGGCGGAGGCGCTCCGAGGACCGTATGCCATATCAGGCATACCGAAAGGGTAAACAGGCTAGGCTGCATAATTAAGAAACTGGGAAGAGACGATTTGAAGCCGCACTTCTGAACACCGTATACTTTGCAGAGATGTGCAATTTAATCAGGATAAGAAGAGGCCTTATCAGACTCTTCCCAATGGTCTCAAGGGACCGCCTGAATGTGAAATGGACCTTCCGAGGGTGATCGCAGGCGCCGTCGTCGCCTGAGGGAAAGAAGACGCTCCTCGCCCAAAAAGCACGACAGATGGAAACGTAAGAAGAGGAAACTAAAGCGATTCCGATCGCGGCGTTGTGGGCGCCTGACCAGTCAAGTCAGGGAGGCGATGCTTTTTCGGCTTCAACCCGCCACGACCTTATTGAAACTGGATTTGGTGCTCGAGAAGGAGGAGGAGGCCGCTGCCGAAAATATAAAGAGATTCAAGAACCAGAAAAGCTAACTGATATTGCTCTTCTTCAACAAAAACAATGTTCATCAACATTGATATCCTTTATCTCGCCTTGACCTAATCTCATGGAGTTCACGAATGTATCCCACTTAATTCATGCACTGAATTAAAACCGAGGAGACTGTAACAAATCCTTTTGTCGATAGTTGCAATGCGTTTGTAGAAATTCGTGTACGTCCAGAAAAACCGTCATCTGTATGAATAAAGTTGAAAAACATGAACGTGTAACAATAAGCAGCTGGCTTCCAATTTTTTTACGTCATAATAAATTTTATTACCTTTCCCTCCATGAAAAGTTTATAAAATATTCCCGAAAAAAGGCATCATAATGATGAATTTTATGGAAACGCGGCAAAATAAAAATAAATAAAAATCCGGAACGTTATTGTAAGAAGGATGTCAAGTGGCAGTTTTTACGAATATTACGATCAGATTCTTGACTTGATTGCATGTCGGGATTGGAATGAAAGCGAAAAAGTAGCTGAATTGTTTTCTTGCGACGGTCCGCACGTTTCAAACCACAATTTATACGTAGGCACATCATTCCAGAATACTGTCTATTAGAAAGTGCGCTATGTTTCATTTTTTTGTTTAGGTTTTGAATCTCGAAGACGAATACCCGGACAGAAAAGTGGAAGACGAGGTGTTCGATGATCTAGTAGCTCTCCACCTGCGAGTATTATATTATTTGAGTAAAAATGAGTATCATGATGCATTTAATGCCCAAAAAGCGGTAGGTAGATGCAATTTCAATATATCGTAATTTTAGTTACTCCAATACTTCCACAAGGAGATATTGTCAGAAGAAAAGGATGCCAATTGGTTCATTCCGATACTATTTGCACTGTGCAAGGATTTGAGAGTGATTGCCTCGATGGTAAGGTTTCCACATGTTTTCAATTCTGATTTTTAGGCCGATAAAGCGCGAGAAATTATCGATGAGGACGAGAAATCATTTTACGAGGAAGCTGCAAATCCAATTATGGAATGCTACCGAGTTTGCGTGGCTGATGGGTATTTTTACTTATATTTTTTCATCCTTTATGTTTTAGACGAAATGCTTTTGAGATCTCAAAGAAGGTGGCAATTCTTAACCTGACAAACCAACTGTTCAGGATTTACTATAGAGTAAGTTTCGTGTATCATGTATCTTGTCTTTTAGATCAACAGATTGCCATTGTTGAAACCCCTTGTGCGAGCAATTGATGTCTCCAAGGACAGTGAACTCTATAGTTTGTTCTCGAAGGCGGATAAGGTCATCTACAACTATTATGTAGGGCGAAAGGCCATCTTCGACAATAATCTTGAACTGGGTGAGATTACTGTTATTAGGTGTAATCATTCCTTATTTTAGCTGAAGAATCGTTGTCATATGCCTTTAAAAACTGTCCACAAAACTGTTCCTCAAATAAGAAGTTAATCTTGCTGTATTTGATCCCAGTTAAGATGTTCCTCGGTGTGGTTCCGACTCAACAATTGTTGGAGACTTATGATCTGTCGTGTTTCAAACAACTAGTAGATGCAGTTAAGTAAGGAGTCCTTGAGTATTATCGATAATTTTTGATCAGCCACGAATACCTAGTCGTGACTTAAAAGTGTTATATCGATAGTTACATCTTTTTATAGGGATGGAAATCTGAAACTATTTGAGACTTCTCTGAAGTCGCAGGAAACTTTCTTCATCGATTCTGGAATCTTCCTCATGTTAGAGAAACTTAAGCTGACTACTTTCCTCAATTTAATCAGGACAATGTATGTGAATGTCGCCTTCTCTGAATTTTGTACCTTACTTACAGTTCCAACGTTCTAGACACGCATCAAGTCAGATTAGATGCAATTCGCGCAGCTTTAACCGGACTTGAATATGAAATGGACAACGAAGAAATCTCGTGCATTCTAGCCAATGTTATCATGCAGGTATTACTAAAGTCATAGTCTATGTGTTAATTTTAGAAGAAGATCAAGGGATATATCTCGTATAATCATCAAACCGTCGTCCTCAGCAAGAAGGACGCGTTTCCCAATCCAAGAAAATAATAGACCACTGATTATTAATTTATTGATAACAATAAACACAACAACAACAATGAAACAGAGGTTTTTAAACAAGTCTTCCCTTCTTCCTAGCTCTTTCCAACTTCTTCTGGACCTTGGTGTCCCTTCTCTTGGCAAGGTTGGTATTCCTCTTATCCTGGCGCTTCTTTTTATCATCCTCGACCTTCTTCACCCTCTCATCCCACTTCTCCTTTCTCTTTTCTTTAATCTTATCCTTTCTTTTTTGAGCTTTTACTAATAACTGTGGGTTGTCCTTAACCTTTATACCTTCGGCTCTGTTAAGTACAGTGTCCCATTTTATATCCTTCTCGAATTTTTCGGCCCTTATTGGGTCCTTCTCCTTCAGTTTCTTCACATATTCCTTTCTTTTATCCAGCTTAGTCTGTAAAGCTTTGAAATCTCTTCCAGAAAGCTTGTTCTTCTTCTCATTCTTCGTCAAGGTCTTTTCATCTTTAAGAACAAAGTCTAATTTGTTGAAGCTGATCTCTGCGTTTATCTTTTTCGGTTTGTTTTCCTTCACAGCTTCCTCTTTATCCGTGGCCGAAGGAGCTTCAGGTTTGACCGCTGATTTGTCCGCCTTCTGGGTATTTTTCCTATTCAATCGACTTTGCTTTCTGAAAAAAATATATACGTCAACCTTAAGGAAACGTTGTTGTGCTTACCGTCTTTCCTTTAACTCTCCGCGTTCTTTGTCATTCAGCACTTTCTTTTCTTTCTTGGGGACAATTTTCTCATTTCTAAACTTACATTATAACACTTAAATCCGCCTTAATCTTACTTTTTAACTCCATGATCACTCTTTTTCTCGGGCACAATATTCATTTTAGAGATAGACGTCGTGTTCCTTCTTTTAACGCCTTTCTTTTTCAAAATGGCTTCGATTTCCCTAAAAAAGCAAATAATTTGCACGATTATAAAAATTTCCCAATACAGTAATAAAGAACAATGTGCCGACGAAAAATCAGACTTTTCTGCATACCAGTCAATCAGGAAAATAATGAGCACAATGTCGCGGCGCCTATCACGTTGCACGGCATTTTAGCTAACTAGAAACATGAAAATTGGCACGGATATAGAGTAAAAGCTCCGCAATAACATCCCAAAGTATTTCATTCTTAAAACTTTTCGCACCTAAAAGGTAATTTTACATGATCGAAATGACAAATTTTAAAATGCAGATGTATGCAGATTTTTTTCCTCTATCAAATAGCTAAATTGCGTGAGACCCATGCACTAATGGCTGTGCTATTGACGAAAAAATGAGCTTCACAATGTTTTTTGGAATATCTCTGTCCTCATGGATAAAACAAGTTCCGAATCACGACGAAAATTTCATTGAAATAGACCAAAATTTGCCAAATTTCATATTCAGTCAGTTCATATTTAGTGACGTACCCCATTTTCGGCGATGCGATTTTTGATGCGAACAAGTGCTTATTATTTTCCCGACAGACTGACAGCGTTTAAAAAACTTACGGATGAAGCTCTGTCACAGTCTCGTTAGCTTCATCAGCACGTTTCTTATTCTGGTTGTAGACTTTCGGAGTAACAGATACATTACTAAGTAACCTGCAAACATCTGAAACCTTCTGAGGAACGGCTCCAACACCTCGTGCCAATTGCTGTTTCTGTTTTTTACTCATCTGTTTCTTTTGTTCTAAACAATGAATACTACGATGTAACATCAAACTTACTGAATGTCAGCTTCTCATTGACAACCGAATGTTTGTGGGACTTGACGATATCCAAAGCATTCTGATCAAACCCCCATCGTGATAATGGTATAAGATCAGCATTCTTAACTATCATATCATGCAGCGAACGGAGTTTTTCACTTAAACCTGCCATCTAAACTAATGATAAAAAGTGTCATACCATTGAGAAATTCCAACGGAGTTTTTAACCGAAATAAAATGAAATTAATATAGGAAAACATGAATTTATTACCCCGGAATGGGTTCATTACTAATCCTAAGTTGAATGGTCTCTAACCGACTGATCATGACCTTTTTCACATCTTCTGTCAGCTCTTCCAGAGAGTTAAACCTAAGCTGTTGTGGGTTGAACAAATCAGTTAACAACATGAATATGCTTTCCTTGAAATCTGTGCATAAATCTTCAAATTCTTTGCTTGCTCCTCCAAGGAGTCCCATGATTAAAGGTGGAGAAACGATCTGAGAGATGTCATAGAACCGAGAAACGAATCCGTCTTGATTCTGAAGCCGAGATCTTTTCATCTTAATCAAGGACCAAATCAGATTATTTAAAGTCGATTCTCGCATCGACTGACTCAGAAAGGAGTTCTTCACCAAAGCAGCTGTTCCAGATGGAGGTTTTTTGAGGTCATCAAAGGAATCCAAGAGAATAAAGTCGAAAAGAACGTCCCAAATGTTTAGACATTCAACCTGCAAAGAGATTAGCCCAACAAAAGACCGTAAACTTACCCTTCTCTGCTTCAATTCAAAGCAAACTTGTTCGTAATTTTCATGATCTTGAAGATACTCGACCATTCTGTCAAAGGCAACGTAAAATTCCTTGGGATCTTTTTTGAAGTGCCTCAGAATGTCGGCAATCAATGCGCGGCCCACTTTAATCAGCCACAACTTTGTATTTTGAATTTCGAATATACGATCGAATGCTTGCCTAAGACACCATAATTTGGCCGCAAAATCCACGTCGCTTTCACACCCGCACACTTCTGCCCTGGACTTTCTGTAGACCACTTCTCCTCGTTCGACAGCCTCGAGGCCCTCTTTGTAAAATTCGAGATTTTCAAAATCGACACTCAGTGACGGATTGTCTCTTGCCGTAGGCGACTAAAAATATAACATAAAAGTATATGGATAACAACTTACAAAGTCATCAATGGCAGACAAAAAGGAGTCATCGGATAGGACAGACAACGTTCCGGGTTTCGCGGATGGCTCAGTGGAGTTCCATATTGTCCGAGCTAAAGAAGAAGTTAATGGAATACACGTGATCACTCACCAATTTCATCAGTGGCCGGAAGAATGAACTCATTCCGTTCGAATTTTTCCAGATCTGTCAGAACTCCCCTTACTCTGTTAACAACCGATGCCATAAAGTCATACTTGTCTCTCCCCAATTCACCATCAAATCTGTGTGCTTCCAGCTCCTTTAGCAAAACTTCCAACCGGTAGAGAGCATCCGATACGCTAGAGATTACTAAACGTTCCAACTAATTGATAAATTTTATAGCTTACTTACAAGTTTCACTTCTAATTATACTTGCCACGGATTCACGGCGACTCGAGCATGATTGATTTCGCCTGAAAAAATCAATTCAACCCAAATTAGCGCCAAATCCTAAAAATTTATGACAAACATACCTAAAAAGCCATGCAATCAGAGCACAACCGCCTGCAGCTGATGCAACAACAATTATAAGTTTATTCGATGGCCTTTTGAGTATAAATTCAGCAAACGGCATGATTGAGATCAAATGTAACAAGGGAACGACATCTTATTTCTTTTTGATAGGAACGCAAAAAAAACATTTTACAAAAAGAGACACACTTGACTCATAAATGCGATGTGTCAAGTTTGTCCCTCAATTCAAAGAAAATCCTTATGCAAATTATCTACAGTATCCAAAATTCATTCAAAATCATTCAGTTACAGTAGTTGCGGGATTTGCGGTCATGAATGGGAATCAGCGTAAGTACAACACCTACTTAGAATATTCTTTTAGGGCCCCTTCCTCCTTTTTTAACCCAAGGATCAGATACGGAACCGGCAAAGGTTGAAGAATCTCTGAAGCCATTGAAACTAGTGTCCGTTGATCCAGTCTATTTAAAGTTTCAATTGACGGACGTTCTTTCCAGCAAAGTTAATCTTCATATCGGGTATAATAAAATGTCAATAATAATACTTTATTTACAGTAACACCACTCAGAAAAGAGTCGCCTGGAGACTGAGAAGCAATGCTCCCACCAGATACGTTGTCAACCCTGCTTGTGGATTCTTGACTTCGGGAGAGTCGATCAGTATTGCGATTGAACTGGCTAATACAAATAAATTTAGCGATCGCCACAAATTCATCGTTCAAGCGATGGAAGCTAAAGACGATGAGAAAGACCGACGTCGGATTTGGGATTCCGAGAGAGCGCAGAGTCTGGACAATCTGCAATGCATTCGGGTATATGCGGTGGCTGCCAGTGGGTACAGTAAGATCTCGAACCCCACGGAAACTTCCGGAGTCAGCACAACTGGCAGAACTCATACCAACACTGAATCCTCCACTTCCAACTCGGGTCAGTCCTGTTGGAGTTCTGGAACCACCACGTCCAATTCAAATGCACTCAATTCGGGCCTTTCGAACACTGACACCAGTATTACTAGTAGTGCTGTTACTAGTACTGGCGGCCCTTCTAACCAGTCCGGTTCCAGTCTTCACAATCTGAGCACTTCCTCAGTCTCATCTAACATATCCACCTGCTCAGAGATGAATGTGACCGACAAGATTGCCGCCTTGACTTCCGACGCCAAAGGATATTTAGGTAGGACAAGATCATGTTACAGTAACCCTTTTAGATACTAAATCCAAAGCGTCCAGGCGAATGGTTGAGGTGGTGAATGAAGTGAAGAAGGTAGAGGTGGAATTGGATCGTGTTGGAGTCCAATGCAAACAACTCAACGCCCAGGTTAACACCATCACGGCACAGATTGCGGTATTTTAAGGGTGTATAATATTGTAAGCGTACTAATAATTACAGGCCTTGGTGGAACGTTCTCTCGAGTTGGATCAACAAATCAAGGTCCTGACTTCTAAGAACTGAACAATAGTCGTCTTATTCCTTACTTTTTAGGCTATAAACAATGAATCTCTTTAATTTTTATTGCAAAATAGGATTATAAAGTTGTTATTATGTATTATATTGATTAGAAGATATCATAATGTTTTTTGGTCTTGTTGTTTTGATTGAGTTTTGGGATTCCCCCAACCACTCCACTCTCGATTCCGCATTCATCAACCCCACGAAGGATTCTGAAGAACCCGTTCTCTCCCCCTGTAATGCTAGCGATTACAGAGTGTCCAGAGAAATTCCGCGGAAAGTTTCCGTCAATTTTTTCGCCCTCAATTTATCCAAAAATTATTGCAGTAGAAAGATGAAAATAGGCGCTTTTCTTCCTAACAATAAACAATTTTTTCACTGTTGATCTATCATGAAAAAAAATCAAAGACTTTCCGGTGGTTTCAGCATCACAATAAAGCGTTTAGGTGTGAAAGGAATCGAACAAAACTCCGCCGAATACATTACTTTCCGCCTTGGCGGAGAAAAAAAATTTTTAGGAAGAAAACCGCCCATCTTCTTTCGACTACAAAAAGAAATTTTTGGATGCCTTGGCTGGGCGCCAAGAAATCGACAAAAACTTCTCTGGACACCCTGTTCATAATGTCTTACAATCTGTATTCCATGAGTTGGCCACAATCCAGTAAGGAACATTGTTTTCTTCACCCCATCCAATCAACTTGACAGCATGACCTCCTCCCAGATGTCCTCCTTGATGAACATAAACTCCTCCGGCGTAGGTCAAGAAGTCAGTGTATACTTCGAAAGAAACTTCAAGAGGTCCATGAGCCATCAATTCCTTCTGAATGGATTCTACCTTCGAGTCGACAGCGTACGCTTTCTCTCCTAGATAAAACTTGTCATTATCACGGAAGACAGATGGACGTGTGATACGAAGGGAGCTCTCATACCGTAATACTTGTCCTCAGCGTAAGATTTTCTGTTGTCATCGCAATGCTTAACACACTGTGGAGTTGGGTAAAGTTCCTTTTTGCATTGGGGACGTCCTGTATGGTTACTGTGATGTTCACAAGGAGGGAAAGGATAGGTCCGACAGCCAATATGAGTGTCATAATCCGAGCCAGTGACCAATCCATCACTTACCCAGAATTCCCAAGCTTGGAAGGGCTCCCCTCCGTTGCATCTAAAACAAAAGTATTCCTTTTAAGGCCTGGCCCAATAAATTAAATTTTTTTACAGCCATCCTACCCATAACCACAGGCTTTGCAGCAGCTAAGAAGATCGGCGGCTGAGATAAGGGGTCTCTGTCGTCCCTTGGAAGCAACACAAATACGATCAGAGATGGCTTCCACAGCTCCAAAGGCCCAGCAGCTTCCACAAGATGACTGATCACGGATGGCCCGAATCGACGGACAGTCTGGCCAATTGGTCCTCGAATCAAATTGAGCTGGAATCTGGACATCCATGAAACGGGATTCGGCCAGAGTTTTCTTGGCCCTCATCGAATTCTTGACATGATTCACACCCATCAATCCATATCTGACTTCTTCGCTGTAGGTTTCGAATTTTGGATGAAGTTTGGACTAAGAATATGCAAGTGAGGGCGCAAAATAATCAACCCGAAATAAATTAACCCTAGTTACCTTCCACAGATTCTGACGTCTGTTCACATAATCAACGAGAGATTGTCCTTTCAAGAACTGGGCAGCCTCCGGGATCTTCGACTTAAGGTAATCCTCGATTCTGAAGGTCTCTTTGTCCAGAACAAAGTCCTCGAATTCATTACTTTCCGATGATTCCGAGGAACTGTAGCTCTGGACGAGACCAACGACCAAGAAAAGAATCAAAAACATGGGAAGACTAACTCCGACAGTGACCAGTCAACCTTTTTTAAGCACAGATCTTATCAAGATTGAACTGACTGACACTAGAAAATAAATATCATGTGAGAACTTGGCCTTTTTATCGAATTTCAAAATATTTCAAGAAAAAGAGTTTTCTGCTATTTACTTGCAGGCATCAAATAAGATGACGGTGATTTATGACATTAGATATAAATAGGGTTTGCAATCATGGCATGTATATAATATGAGGGTCGATTTCTCTAATTTCTTCTTGGCTCTCATAGAATCGACGAAGGTGAGACAAGGGGAGGTTTGGCTGAAATAAAGATCAACTTGCACATGTTGACCCATTAATAACAAGGAAAATACTGGTCCTCACCTGGATCCGGGAATGTTTTTGTAAATTGAACATGCATTCGAGTCTTTTCTTTCTCTCCTCAGCAATCGAACTCAGATTTTTCTTCATGGCCATAAACATGGGACAAGTCAATGTCATCAAAATGGTTAACAATGCTGGAAGGATGAGACTCGAGAACAGAACATACCCACAATGCCAAGCAACTCGGCCTCGAACGCAGTCAATTTGAGAGAGTCCTCTTCCAATTCATGCCTGCATCCTTCCACCAAAAAAGAGCTCAGCAACACTAAAATAAGAAGCATCTCGACCGCTGAACCACGGGAATTCTGAACCGAATGTTAACTGTAATTGTAAATGTCACATTCTACTCAAGGATTTTTATTTAATCTTTTGTAATCTACACTTGCATTCGTAGAGTGTGCGAAATTGAGAGAAGGAATCGTTTATAATTGGACACCATAATGACCTATTTATGTATTTATTCCGAAAAAGAAATCAGCCCTGACCTATTTTATCGAACGGTTGGATTTTGTTTTTTATTTTTCTTTTTTCGGAATGGAAACAAGGAGAACATAAAAAGGAGGGATCCACGTTTAAGGTCTAGAACGTGGCATTTCATGGATGGAATCTTCCAAGTTTATTTGCTTTTCTTATATTAGATTATACTAATATGCTTCCTCAGCATCGAAAAGACCTTGAACGAGAACAAAGTGCCCAGAATGTCTTCCTTTTCGGCTGTAACATATCTAAATTGTAAGTGATTTATCATTTTGTGATTTTTTTAGTTCTCCGACCGTTCAGTTCCTCCTCCTATGCTCGGCCGTCTTCGTATGTTATTGTGGGTATGGGTTCATGCAGGAATTGATCTTCCGAAAGGATGGCATGAAACCGTTTGGATGGTATCTAACCCTTATTCAGTTCTGTATATACTCTCTCTTCTCAACTGCTGAAGCTAAGATGACTACTGATAACATTCGAAGGTAAGATTTTATTTTTGTGACAGATTTTTGTTTAGAATTCCAATGCAGACCTATTTTCAACTGGCCTTTTACACTGTGGCTACTATGGGGCTATCAAATGCTTCTGTTGGATATTTAAATTATCCCACACAAGTCATCTTTAAATGTTGTAAATTAATTCCTGTGCTTGTCGGGGGTAAGCACATAATATTCTTCTAAGTTTGGTAGGTATTTTAATTCAGGGAAAACGGTTCGGGTTCTACGATGTGATGGCCGCAGGACTAATGAGTTTGGGTCTAATCTTCTTCACTTTGGCGGATAACAGCGTCTCTCCGAACTTCGATCCACGAGGTTATTTTATGATCACATTGGCTTTGGTGGCAGATGCGATTATTGGAAATGTACAGGAGAAGGCGATCAAGGCTCACCAAGCCCCCAATTGTGAGGTGGTCCTATATTCTTACTCCATTGGATCCGTTTATATTTTTATCGGAACCTTACTGAGTGCCGAATTCTTTGATGCTTTTTCTTGGTTTGCTGAGGTGAGCTATCTGTTATTATCATTTAAAAATTTGAGAAAGTTTGGCGAATATGGCTCTGTTGCAGAATCCATCACAATATGGGAATGCGGTCATCTTTAGTGTATTGGGATACCTGGGTATTAGCGTGGTGTTAACCCTGGTCAGAACGTACGGCGCGCTAATTGCTGTTACTGTGACCACCATGCGGAAGGCGGTGACTATCGTCCTCTCCTTCCTCTTCTTCTCCAAACCATTCACCCTAAATTATTTATGGTCAGCCGGTCTTGTTGTGCTCGCGATATACTTAAATATTTATTCCAAGAACCAGCAGAAAGTGGACGCCCTTCTGCAACGTTGGATTTATCAACGGAAACCTTTGAAGAATCAGGCAAACAGTGTTTAATTAATCATGGACAATATACAAATAAAGCAATACGATTTAAAGCTTCTCATTCCGGAGGTCGCGGTGTATGCGGTAGCGGGGTCGGGGGACACCTCATAGGTTTCTCTTCGTCTTCCCCGATTTTAACCGGAGTCACCACGATAGTTGGATGGCTGGGATCCCCGCCATGGACTTCGTAATCTTCTTCTACAGAGTATGCGGCCAATTTGGCCATCAAATCGAAGTCACAGATAACTGGAGCCATCTCCGTGGATTGAACCCATCCTAAAAGTAAGGATAATTGGAAGACGAAGAGACCTACCAACTGGAGGTGAAGAAGGAGGAGATATCAGAAATTGTTTTTCTAGAGGAGGCAGGGTCAGATGGCCTTCCTCGTCTTGATACGCTCGCCGGGTGACTGTGATATTCTGGAATGTTTTAACGTAAAATTTTTATTAGTTAACCGAGCGACTCTTTTTTTTACGATCTGTAACGGAACGTCGTCAATTGGGGAAACTAAAATATTTTTTCGCTTCTTTGGCTAGCCCTTTGCAGAAGGCCCAAAATTTGGAATTTTTAAAACGGCATCTTACATGTGTTTCAGAGGTTAGGTGGATCGACTCAGTTCCTGTCGGGCTGTGTCAGGTCGAAAGAGATTATAAAATTTATCCTCCATTTAATGAAGTTTTTCTGAGGATAGGGTAGCAAGGTGTCTGGTTTTTGCTAGTCAAAAAAGCAAAAAATTATTTCATTTTCCCCGAACGTCTTTTTTTCCCAATAGTCGCGGTCGGGTCTTTAACAATGCTAAGTTTTTCTGACCTGAATAAAGAAAGGCTTCATCTGGACTCCTTCGAACTCGTGATGTTCCACTAGAAGTTTGGCTGCCGTGGCATGTTCGGGTCTTGAAAAAGCGACTCGAACTCGTCTAAATCCTTTCAAATAATCTATCCGAACATTTTTATCGATCTGGGTGAACATATCTGCGAAATTAAGCTTCATCTCCGGGCTGTCGAATAGGTCGGAAGGGACATTCTTGACCACAATCGCGGTCGGAAGGTCCTCCTTCTTACAAATAGAGTCGTCGAGAACATCCATTATCGCATTCTTGGCCATTATTGTTGTAAATACATCCTGTAGATTAGGTAATGTTTAGAAATTTTATTTTATTGGGCTAAGAAATCCAAAAACGAGACCCGAAAAAGCTTTTTTTTGTTTTTCCCCAAAATCAATAGTAATATTAAGCTCTGTATAAGAGAAGAAAAGACGGACGAACGGGAAGAACCGGGACAAATAAATCCCTGGGATTTTTTAAATAGTTCAACTTTTAAACGAGCCCAACACTTTGCGAACTGACTTGAGAGAAGGTTTTGAGACCGCCTCATGGATGATATGTAGTTCGATATGACGTCATTAGCTTTATTAGATAAACAGTTTACATATTCATGCGTCGAACTAAAATGTATCTGACCACTCGGTTGACTATACCCGTTGGTTGTTGTTAAAGTGACTCTTTTCCCTTCTCCCGCTCCTGCTCGATCTCGTCCCTGAAATAGTCGATCGTTTTCTTAAGGCCATCTCTCATTGAGACCTGAAATCTTGATGTTACTATGGTTTTGAGAGGATGACGGCTTGGTCATTTAATGACTTGCCTTAGGTTTCCAATGCAACAATTCGGCTGCACGGCTGATATCTGGTTTTCTTTGTTGCGGGTCATCGGTGGCTTTGGCCAGGTTTTCCACTTTACTGCCACTCCCAACCAACTCCTGGATTATCTGGGCAAAGTTGAATATCGTGTGCTCTTCAGGGTTTCCGATATTGACAGGAAGTGAGGTGTCACTGTTCATGAGAGCAATGAGACCATCTACCAGATCGGATACGTATTGGAAAGATCTGGTTTGGTTGCCCGACCCATAGATCGTGATCGGTTTTCCCTGGAGGGCTTGTATAATGAAGTTACTGACAACTCGGCCATCATTCATATGCATCCGGGGACCGAAAGTGTTGAAGATGCGAGCGATCCTGATGGTTACATTCTCCTACATACAAGTTACAGTAATCAGTCAGTAGTCTTCCCAATGTAATGCCATCTTTCTCACCTGTTTCTGATAGGCCACCATCAAACTCTCTGCCACTCTCTTTCCTTCATCGTAACAGGACCTGGGCCCGATGGGATTCACGTGACCCCAATAACTTTCAGGTTGTGGATGAACTTCTGGATCTCCGTATACTTCGGATGTAGAAGCCAAAAGAATTCTGGCCTTGACTCGTCTACAAATATTTTTTTCCTAGTGATAATTTACCTGGCTAATCCTAACATGTTTATTGTTCCTACGGCGTTCGTTTTAATCGTCTTCACTGGGTTATACATGTAATGGGGAGGGGAGGCAGGAGAAGCGAGATGGTATATTTGGTCCACTAAAGTAATTAATCATATATTGTGCGTCATTTACCCTCCGTGAAATAAGGATTCACAACATCGTGGTGGACGAGGTCAAAGTTTGGATGACCGATCCATTGCTCAACATTCCTTCTCCTTCCGGTGAAATAATTGTCGAGAGCAATGACTTCGTGGCCATCCATCATCAACTTGTCCACCAGATGTGATCCCACGAATCCTGTCCCTCCAGTAACCAGAATTCTCTTTCGGGTTTCTTCATTCCTCGCTTTGACCTTGGGGTACGAATTTTTCGGTCTAAAGTACGCGATGTTACAAGCTACGGGGAACTTTGTGATCACTACATTCTAGGAACCCACTTTTCAATTATTGGACTATAACGTATACTGTGTTTCAATCGACTCAGATGACTTCTTAGTTCCGATACTTCACTCCTCAGAGCATCAATCTCACTGCAAATTATTATATTTCCTCGTCCCACAGCCTTACTCTTTCGTTTGATCCAAAATTCCTGTTGGTTTATCCAGAACCACATTAAATAAAGCTGAAAAGAAAAATACGACCTGGAGTAACAAACGATACCCCTAGGTAAACTAACCGTACCTAGAAAAGACAAAAGGAAGGCGCCGATGACAATGTAAGCGAGGTACGACATCCTGATGTGATGCCACATCGGTATGGAAACGGCCAAAGCGGGAAAATCAGAGCGACAGACCCGTGTTGTCTCTTCGCCTCCCTTCCCTTTTTTAGTGAGCTGGTTCTATGAAATGAGAGAATAAAAGACAAGTTCGGAATTTGTTAAACCGATTACCAAACAGAACTAGAGTAAGTCAAAGGGCGGTCCGCAGGTAATGATTTATGTGAATAACAAGTAACAAGTAAAGAAAACAACAATAGACAGAGTGTGTGATCTTGATCTCATCATTGAGGTCATCACTCCGTCGTCCTTTTGGATTTCCTCTTTCTTTTCTCCTCGACTTGCTTCTCCGCCAATATCCCTCCTTTGAATTGTGAATGAGTCCTATCGATAGCGAATTCACTGTCAGTAAAAAGAGATTGGAAACGAGGATCCTCGGTGTTAACCGTCAATTTGGAAGCCGATTCTGAGAGTCTCATCTTCTTCTTGGCCTCAATTGGCTTTGCTTTTTCGATTGGGACCAACTCTCTCTTCTGAACTTGTCGTTTCTCCTTGAGTTGCACTTTTCTTTCCTTTCGTTTCTGCTTTCGTCGTTGTAAATATTCTTGGAATGGTGTCAACCCTTTGTGTTTCTCTGATTTATTAATGGACTTTTCTGCTTCTTCCTTTTCGATGTCTTCATCTTCTGCTATATTACTTCCTTTCATTACCACATTCGCCCCCATTTTGGATGATGTAATTCCAGCAGCACTGAGTAAAGCTTGGGTGCCAAGTTTGATCTCGGGATCGTCGTCGTCATCCGAGCCTGAAGCAATCAACCCACTGAAACAAATAAAACTAAATCTAAGATAACCTAACTTACGCGTATTCATCGAGATCGGCCTCCGGATCAAATGCTTTCTGCATGGCAACTTGACGGTCATAATCAGTGTTATCCCATTCCATTTTGATATTAGACCTCTTCACAGCAGCTGATTGAACATTATATTTTGGCTGATATTTCTTGGCATTGAACTCTTCCGATGTAACCTTTTCTTTTATCCTTTCATCCTATAATTTTTTGTTGATACCGAACAGTTATGGACGCTTTTTACTGCCCGCAAATGAAATAAGTTGCAAAAACAAGAAAGAATCCAATTAGTGTCCAAGGTGAAGCACTCTTCATACAAAGAAGACGTACAAAAAATTTACATGTTTTTATCCTAATAATCACATTATTATGTACAATAATAATGTCGCACCGGTCGTTCCGAAGCAAAACGTTAAAAACACTTTCCTCACTTTTTTGAAAAAATAGAATGGAAAAAAATGAGGCCGACATGAGAAAAAAAGCTCGAGAAAGCAAAAAGTGTGTATGTGTGTTTTCAAAATCCCAAAATCGGTCTTATTTCTTCACTCTTATACAGGGTGTTTCAAGAAATTCCGTGGAAAGTTTTTGACGATTTCTTGGCGCTCAGTCAAGATATCCAAGAATATTTTTTTGCATAATGAAGAAGAGTATGGGCGGTTTTTTGCCTATGAAAATCATTTTCTCCGCCAACGCGGAAAGCAGTGTATTCGGCGGAGACTTTTGGGCACTTTTTCGGTCATCACACGAATTTTTAACGCTTTATTGTGACACTGAAGCGTCCGGAAAGTTTTCAAATTTTTTGCACAATGGATCAGAAGACCGGCTACAGCGCTATGCGATCCGATAGCGACTGCACGGTGCAATGCAGTCGCTGCAACACCCGATAAAGCCGGAGCGCACCGTGCGGATGTTTGAAACAGCAGGGCAAAGCGAAATTTAAACGGAAAATATTGTGCACCAATTGGTTTCTCGATGGCTAAACTTCTGCCAAGGCTTGGCGATAAAATTTTGGAGGGTATACGACACCTGCAGAGAATGCTTGCCAGACCATAAGAATTGTGTTGGGCCATTTCTTGTCCGCAGCTGACTTAACATACGGCAAGCGGCTGCCGTACCGTCGCCGAACGCTTGATAAACACAAAAATCCTCATTTCAACCATCAGAAACCACTTAAAAGCGTTTAAGATGAGTGTGATTACCGAAAAAGTGCCCAAAAGTCTCCGCTGAATACACTGCTTTCCGCGTTGGCGGAGAAAATGATTTTCATAGGCAAAAAACCGCCCATATTCTTCAAAAACTGGAAAAACGCTTTCCGTGGAATTTCCTGAAACATCCTGTATAATAAGATTTTCCATTCAGAGTCCGCTCATCCTGTGAATTACTCGAAAGAAAGAGTAGAAAGTCCTACTAGTCGTTTACAAAAGTTAATATCCGAGAAGCTTACTAATTTGCTGCTAAACATTGAGTTGTAGAGAAAAAGATACTCATTTACGGACAGTGAAAAGTTTTATTGCGGACTACAAAAAACTCCCCTGACTTCCCATAAACTATTCATAATTTCTAAATGTCAGCAAAATCTTACTTCAAATTCCATTTCTTCTGGGATAAATCTCAAATCAAATTTGACACCGCTACTTTCAAATTCAAGTCCATCGCAAGCCTCGTATATCGCACTTGCGGTAGCGTCACTATCACATTCAACGACTGCATAATAATACTTAAATCGATCCAATTGATAAGCTCGGATAACTTCAGAAGGTCTAAAGAAAGACAGCTTTGAAGCTACGCTGACACTTACAGATTATCTTGATCAATGTCTTCACCCTCCTTTATATTCAACTTCGGGCCTGATTTATCTTCTTCTTCTAATTTCTGGGCTCCGAAGTCCGACAGATAAATAGCCACAGATTTAATTACGCCTGAGGCCGGTTTAAAGGATTCTAAGGCCATGAAAATATCCTCGGCTTTGATTTTATCCCAATCCATTTGACAGACAGATATCCGGGAACTTGTCCAATCAACTTGTCTAACTCCAGAATCAAGTTCTCCCCAAACATCGTCGACTTCGTCTTCCGATTCTGAAGAGTCTTCTTCATCTGACGACGACTCAACATTCCCTTCGCCTCGAGCCAAATCTATGCGCTTTGTGGGTTCTGGGGTCTTTTCATCCTCGCTACTATAACCAAACAATTATAATCTGATTTACCAACATGGATTAACGTAAAGGGTGGGCATCTTTGTGGCACGATTTGAATTGTCAGTAACTTCTTTATTGGGTCGAATTCCGAAACCTTTTTTCCCTGAATCCTCAGACTCTCTCCTTTTGTTCGATACCAAACATGTTATACCTATTTATTAGACTACAGTAAAAATTAACAAAAAACTAAAATTTTAGTTCATTATTTTCGGTTATTAAATTGTCTGCCTGAAAATGAAATGTTGTGTTTGAACAAAAAACTTAAATTATATCATCTAACTGCCCTGTAGACGCTCAAACTTAAAGTCTTTTGAGGAACTTAAAATTTTGAATTTTTCATTTTTGATTCCAATCGTGGCACAAAGGTAGCACCCTGTATTCCACCTTGTATTCGAATGTACTAGGACACGATTATTAAGCACTACGCGTAGTCGTACTCGCACCAAAAAGTCCGAACAATTTTTTGCCGACGTCGCGCGCGAAAATTTGAGTGAGCTCGCGAAAAGTGCACGTCGCAATTGCAAAAACGGTCGCAACGACGAACGCAAAAAACCAGAGAAAAACGCACTGTGTAAATTGTCGGCACTTTATGCCGCGAGTAGTATTCCTTGAAACACCGGAATAAAGAGGGGTATATTAATATTTCTACTTTTATGAACTAACAGGGGCAGTACCCCAACTGCGACGCTCAGATTTTGATGGAACTTGGCACAGATTTAGAATAATTTTTTCTAAAATTTATGCGAGAATCTTAGCTCGCGCTTTGCAGAAACAACCGAGATTTCTAGATCGAAAGTTGGCGGAAATTTGACACTTTTTGCCGAATTTCGGCACGAAAAGTTTCATGCCTATTTCTATCATACAGGGTAATGTTTCATAAAAAATCATTTTTTTCCGCACGAAATTAGCAAAATTATGATCAAAAAGTGTTTTTCTCTCTGACCGCTCCTCGCGTTTAGCGTAATCTCTCGGCGGCAAAGATCGTTCAATATCTCGGCGGCGCTTGCAAAGCTCGAGCTAAAACTTTCAGGAATTGATACTTAGTTCATAACCTATGTGTGTGAAAAAAACTAAAGAAAATCTGAGCGTCGCACTTGGGATACTTCCCTTGTAAATTCGTCTTACTGTAACGTAACCCGCCATAGCCCTCCCGGGGTTTTTGCATCATGTACTCGTATTTGAATACTTTAATTCCTCTGTGCAAACCTCTTATATGAGCAGAAGAAAAGGCTTACGTAGAGTTTTCGTCAATCTCGTAAATGTTTTTAAGTTCTTCTTGAGTCTTGTCATTAACTGGACGCCCTCTTCTGTCGATCTTAGAACTGGTGGATGCAAATCTTTCATCGCTGAACATTTTTTGGAAACGAGGATCCAACTTGACCTTCTTCTCCCTCTTGGGCATTTCATGAAAGACCGGATTGGTCTGAAGCTGGGCAACCCTCTCGGCCATAGCCTCCGATTGCTTTGCCGCCACCTTCTTCTTTGCCATCTATTGCAATAAAAAAATATAAACAGCACAACTATTGCAAGTAAAAAAGGACGATACCTTCAAAATCTCGTATTCTTCACACAATTTTAGTTTTATAATTTATCAATTTAACCGAATTTAGAGAAACACAACAACAACGATCACGTTTTCTGGCCTATTTAACAAAAACACCGCGCAGAGATGGGGCAGTCATTGGGCCATGACCTGAGACATCCAAAACCGAGTCCTTGTAAACCGCTTTTCCCTCGCTGTTGACCTTCAAATGTTCTGAAACAGCTTCCCAGACTTTCTTTTTAGGGTTGAGGACAGCATCAGGGCGACGTTGATATGAACCACAGGTTACAATGTCACCCGGTTTTGAACCTTGAGGCACTTCCATGATCTCCACTTTCTCTGGAGATGAAGCACACATTACCATGGCCTGGGATTCAATTCCTCTCATCTTTACCGGCTTTAGATTACATAGGCATACAACCAAGCGATTTTGCATCTATAAATACATTAAGAATACGCATTGTGCGCACCTGGTCTAGAGGGATATGTTTGACCAGACCGGAGATGACAGTCCGGGGCTTTTCTTCGCCGAGATCAATTGTTTCCACATATAAAGCTTCGGCATCTGGATGTTTCTTTGCTTCACGAATCAATCCAACCCTCAAATCGAGACGACCAATGTCAACCTCATCAGACACGGGAGCGGGCTTGACGTTTCCTGAAAGAAGCATGATAGTTTCAATTTTTATTAAAGCGATAAGGATGGAATTTTTGACTACTTCAGATTAAATGCAAACCTTTCTTCTGTGGGGTTTCCTTGGCCTCACCCTTCTTGTTTTCATTCTTCGGCGCTTTTGGTTTCTCTTCCACTGGTTGAGCTGGGGCAACTGCTGCCTTGGGCAGATCAACTTTGAAAATAGGAACTAAAAATTGATTTTATGTTGAATTATCATGGAGAACCACAAAAATAATTAACAACTAACCCCCAGCTTCCTTTTCGCACTTCAGCAGTTCAGCTGACACGGTTCCGAAGTCTTTGCTTAGTTGGGTGAATCGATCCCTCAACTTTCCCAACTCTTTCTGGGCGAATTGTTCCTCTAAAACACTAAAACGTAATAATAAAACTTACTTAAAATTTCAAACTTCTCTCTGGTTTCTGCAACGAGCTGCTCAATTGTGTTTTGATTTTTTAACAGTTGGGGAAAACTGGACTGAACTGTCTGAACAGTGTCTTTTTTTGGTCTCTTTCCTTCTAGATTTAGAATTAAAAGCAGTTTTTTAAACTTGCCTTTCTGGTTAGGTTTCGCTTCTTCAGACTGCCCATTCTGACCTCCACCAAACTGAGCTTTCAATGAAGCCATCTGGGCTGACTCGATCTTCGCGAATAATGCAGCAGGCTGAAAAAGGCGCAACATCACTTTCGATAACAGTTCAAATGAATATTCGCTTCTTGGACTCTACTTTTTTTTACCTATTACATCAAATTTGTTAAAAAAAACACAAAGGAAAAATTTATTTCCAGTTGTGGCATAATGTTTCAAGTAAATTATACTGCCCGACAATTAAAAGTGAAGTCTCGATTCTGAGCCCGATATTGCCCTGAGGCACAAGATGTTCCCCCAGGCCTCTTCGGTACCCTACGCCGATACAGAGTGCCAATTTTCAGACATGTGCACTTTAAACGCACTGTGCAACGGGCGATTGAAAAATTTTTGGGCGACAATTAAAAGTGAAGTTTTTACTTTTTGGACTTACCTGACCTTTTGAGGGATCTGTTGGGACGGAAACCGTGCAGAGACATAGCCAAGGTTACAGTGAAGAGCCCTAGACACAATTTACAAAAATTGTCCAAATTTTATGGTACCATTTCCCGGCATCAAGACGCGGGGTTTAGGTGCCACAAAACGGGGTCTTTAGGCACTATTTTTTGTAAGACTGGTAATTTTATGATGCTGAGTGCATCTTGTGACATTGTTTGTCCAAATAATGCTGCGAGTATGTCAAGTTTTGGTGCGCTTCAAAGCGTTCTTGTTGATATGGATAACGGCTAGGTGCCTATTTTGACTTATACCGTAGCAGGAACCAGTACCCCTCTCGGTTTGATAGTAGGATCGGGGTGGATAGACATCCTTCTTTCCTAAAAACTTTACTTTTTATGTTATCGCTCCTTTTAGAGACAAAAATAGCAGGTATCACAACGGTCTCCTAAAGTTGCTGAAATTTACCGTCCATAACCGAAGTGTAACGCCATGGTTTGGGTTTTAATGGCCCAAAACCCCTTCACATGATTTTTCTGGATATAAATTAGTCAAAAACAACATCATTAATTTCAATTTCGCTGCATCGAGTTATGCGAAAAATGCTTATATACCAAGTTAAGTTAAGTGTATGGTAAAAACGGGGTAGGTACGCACCTCCAAGTAAACAACGCTGTTTTTAGCTGCTAAGAGGGTAATCGAAAAGTACAAGACAAAATTTGCGCTGATTCTGCATCTCATCTTTCGAAATTGCATCGATATTCCCCTTGACTAGTACCGTTGTCGATAAGCACGCTTTGAAGCGGGCCAAAATTTGACAAACTCGCAGCATTATTTGTATGAAGATAGTCAGAAAATGTATTCAGCATCATAAAATTACCAGTCTTACAAAAAATAGTGCCTAAAGACCCCGTTTTGTGGCACCTAAACCCCGCGTCTTGATGTCGGGAAATGGTACCATAAAATTTGTACAATTTTTGTAAATTGTGTCTAGGGCTCTTCACTGTAACCTTGACTATGTCTCTGCACGGTTTCCGTCCCAACAGATCCCTCAAAAGGTCAGGTAAGTCCAAAAAGTAAAAACTTCACTTTTAATTGTCGCCCAAAAATTTTTCAATCGCCCGTTGCACAGTGCGTTTAAAGTGCACATGTCTGAAAATTGGCACTCTGTATCGGCGTAGGGTACCGAAGAGGCCTGGGGGAACACCTTGTGCCTCAGGGCAATATCGGGCTCAGAATCGAGACTTCACTTTTAATAGTCGGGCAGTATATGTTGTCGTTTTATGACCACAATTGCCGAAAGTAAAAGATTTTCAACCTACTTTTCCAATTTGATGACCTTCCTTTATAAGCTGGCAGAATTTAGTGGGTAAGAGCATCTTTTCCTTAATTCCACATTGTTCTCTTAACGTCTCAGACGTTTGTGGCATGAATGGGAAAAGTAAAGTTGATAATAATGCTGAGAGATTCGCAGCTAATGCTATCACCGAAGCTCCTCTCTCCTCGGTTTCCTTTTTCTTCACCAGTACCCAAGGCTGTTGTGATTGCATATACTGATTTCCTTTCCTAGATACGGACAACACAGTCTGCAGAGCATCTCTCATCTTGACATTCTCCATTTGGTCGACGAATTGAGCCAAAAGAACATTGACTTCATCGATCAACTCAAGATCTTCCTTGTTCAGTGTTATCTTGGGAACCTTGCCCTTGAAGTTGTTGCTTAAAAAGCTGAGAGCACGCAAAACAAAGTTTCCCAGATTAGCCAACAGTTCGGAATTCACCTAAAACTAGATAATTCAAAATAAAAAATCATACCTTTAAAGCAAAATCATCCCATATGAACGCAGTATCTTGGTTCTCAGGCCTCATATAAATCAAATAGAAGCGCCAGACATCAGCCGGGATTCCAGTGCCACTAGCTTGATCTCCAAACACCCCTGTTCCTCTACTTTTACTAAACTTCTGATCTTCATAATTTAAATACTCGGTAGCACACAGGTTTTTCACCATGGTGAACTTGTCCTTAGTTCCCAATTGAGTGGCAGGGAAAATAATTGCATGAAAAGCGACATTATCCTTGCCAACAAACTGATACAATTCCACTTTCTCATTTCTCCACCACTTCTCCCAATCGTCTCCAAGTAGCCCCTTCGTGATGGATAAATATCCGATGGGGGCATCGAACCATACGTAAAAGACCTATGTTCAATAAGTTTAAATTCATAACACTCGCACCTTGTTATCGAAGCCAGGCAATGGTACCGGGGTGCCCCATTTTATATCTCGTGTGATACACCTCTTCTCCAGGCCTTGTTTTAGCCAACTTCTGGCAATCGAGATAGCGTTGGCTGACCATTTGCTATCTTCGCACTTCGTTCTTTTCTCCAGAAATTCCTCTACTTGTATCTAGAAGTATTCATATTTCATTAACTCGTTCGAGTCAAATGGGATCCACGGTTAAAGGAATTAGCCTACCGACAAAGTATCCAAATCCAAGAAGATATGTTCAGAAACTTTTTTTTCAGGAGTTGACCCACAAATATGACATTTGGGATTCACCAGATTCACCGCATCTAATAACTTTGCACATTTATCGCATTGATCTCCTCTGGCATCGTCATAACCACAAAGAGGACAGGTTCCAAAGACATACCGATCAGCCAAAAATTTTGAGCAAGAAATACAAAACAACTGCTCCATAGACGAAGTAGAAGTGTACCCATTTTCGTGTAATTGAAGAAAAATCTTCTGGCAAATCCTAAAAGAAGAGATCAAAAAAATCAAAGACCTTACTCTGTCTGATGCTCAGTAGTGGTGCGACCGAAGTTATCGAAGTCAATGTTGAACCACTCGTAGATACTTTTATGGAGCTTGTGAAACTTCTCACAAATCTCCGCTGGAGTCATCTTCTCCTTGAGAGCTTTCATTTCCGTTGCCGTTCCATATTCATCCGTGCCCGAAACATGGAGTACTTGATATCCACGCATACGACAGTACCTAAACCGAAAACTATAAAATGTATTGAGAACAAACCGTGAGAAAACATCTCCACTCAAGACACATCCAATAATATTCCCCAAGTGAGGGACATTATTCACATACGGCAGCGCTGACGTGATTAAAATACTCCTCTTGCCATCAATTGGAAGTCTGAAAACAAATAAAGGTTATGTGACATCAAAATCCTACTTCTTCTTTTCTGAATCCGAGAAAAATCCCGGATGACAATTCCAGAAGTCCTTCTTATTGAGTGACATTTTAACCTAAACGAAAAATATATAATATGAAATGACGCAATATTGAAAATGCTCTACTTTGAATTACACACGTGTACATGGCCATGAACAGGGGTGGCAAACGGGCCTCTTTTCTCGACTTCAGGTCATGGGCCCGGCAAAATTCAGGCCCGGCCCGCTTTAAACTTTGTCAGTCCCCGATGGCCATCCCTGGTGATGAACATATAATTTTCGCCAATTTCATTTTTTCGGCATGCGCGGGCCCGATTTGGGCGCAAGGTGCCGCATTATGCGCCCAAGTTTTTTACCACCACTGTCCCCCAGGGGTGGTCAGCGGACCCTATTTTTCCGATTTTCGGCCCGCGGCCCAGCCCGTCTAATTACCGGCCCGTCTAGTCTTTTTCCAGGCCCGGCCCGTGACGGGCCTGGCCCGGCCCGGCCCGTGCAGGCCCGTCTATAGAGGGTTCTGCGAACTGCGCCCAAGCTTGGGATCTAAACTTACAGGGGAAGTACTTCAAGTGTGACGCTCAGATTTTCTTTAAATTTTGCACACACATCGGGTATGGACTAAATATCAATTCCTGAAAGTTTTAGCTCGCGCTTTGCGGGCGCCGCCGAGATATTGAACGATTTTTGCCGCCGAGAGAGCACGCTCAACGTGGAGAGCGGTCAGAGAGAAAACCGCTTTTTGGCCATAACTTTGGCAGTTTCGTGCGGAAAAATTTGATTTTTTGTAGAAACACTATTCTTTACGGTTGAAATAGGCATGAAACTTTTCGTGCCGAAATTCGGCAAAAAGTCCCAAATTTTCGCCGACTTTCGATCTAAAAATCTCGGTTGTTTCTGCAAAGCGCGAGCTAGGATTCCCGCATATATCTTAGAAAAAATTATTCTAAATTTGTGCCAAGTTTCATCAAAATCTGAGCGTCACACTTCAAGTACTTCCCTTGTTAGGCAAAAAATGCGTTGATCTAGCTAGTAAAGGATCAATGTGATAGTTTTGTGGTTCTATAATGGAACTATAGACTTGTAAACGTTTTAGAACTTGAGAAACAGCAGATAACAACATCAATTAATTTTTCCGGCGCGAAAACAATGAATGCCAACGGTTTGGCATTGTAATTTAGACGGGCCGGGCCGGAAAAAACCCCAGGCACTGCGGGTCGGGTCAAGTTTTTTTCATGGGGTGGTCAAGTCTTTCCCCTAATATTATTTTTTCCCCGAAATTCAGACTGTTATATGGGAGGTTAATCAAGGTAAATCTGGTCAGTTCTTGTTGATTATTTCAAGAACAAGTCTTATTCTATTTTTAGAAATCAAATTTGATTGAATTACGGTGTGGGTTTGCCTCAATTTTTAGCATTCTTTGGGGGTATGTATTCTATACCTAAATGATCAATTGTGAGACAGTTTCAAGTCTGATTTACGATATCGTTTCCATTTCACCTTCGGACGTACGCCACCTGTCCAATAAAGGTAAGTAACTGTGAATCTGGTAGTCCGTTTTCTAGTAATTAAAGATTTTGTATATTATACTAGGTACTTTTGAAGATTTTTGTTGAGATTTGCCAAGTTTTCGGCCTGGATTAGATTATTTAGCGTAATATTGGTCTCTAGTGCCTATAAAAACGTAAGTGGACAGGTTTCTCCTTCTCTTTTAGACTTTTTCTTTGTGTCCAAAGTTGATGCAGATTTTAGGTAGAGATGAAATTCAACGCCCAAACTATGCGGAATTTTCATAAAAATCAAAGAAAATACTTTCGAGGATCATCAAGCGAAGCAAAAATGTGTTTGAGACCAATCTAGCGTTTTTTTCAGGCGGATGTTATACATGATCCCTGTAACGTATAACGTCTGGATCACATCTGTGAAGACCTCTGGTGATGGAAAACGTGGTTAGGACAGTAAAATTAATATGTTGGACGTGATTTTGAGGGAAAACCAGGCAAATCCCGTACAAAATTTTCTGAATAACCTAGAATAATATACAAAATCTTTAATTACTAAAAAACGGACTACCAGATTCACAGTTACTTACCTTTATTGGACAGGTGGCGTACGTCCGAAGGTGAAATGGAAACGATATCGTAAATCAGACTTGAAACTGTCTCACAATTGATCATTTAGGTATAGAATACATACCCCCAAAGAATGCTAAAAATTGAGGCAAACCCACACCGTAATTCAATCAAATTTGATTTCTAAAAAAAGAATAAGACTTGTTCTTGAAATAATCAACAAGAACTGACCAGATTTACCTTGATTAACCTCCCATATAACAGTCTGAATTTCGGGGAAAAAATAATATTAGGGGAAAGACTTGACCACCCCATGAAAAAAACTTGACCCGACCCGCAGTGCCAGGCCGCGGCCCGGCCCGTGACGGGCCCGGCCCGTTTGTCAATTTCCATTTTTGAGCCCGGCCGGCCCGTTTGGGCCGGGCCGGCCCGGCCCACTGACCACCCCTGCTGTCCCCGGCCCGTCTATATTACAATGCCAAGCCGCTGGCATTCATTGTTTTCGCGCCGGGAAAATAACGGGTAAGACGTTTACTCTCTCTATAATTCCCATTTTTCTGACAAGGGAAGTACCCGAAGTGCGACGCTCAGATTTTTATAAAAATTGGCATAGATGGAGATCAGAATTTTCTTATTCGATTGCGAACATCCTAGCTCGCGCTTTGCAGAATCCGCCGAGAAAGAAGGGCCGGAATATCGAAAAAAATCTTCAAATGCCGACGAATTTCCCTGCAAATCCGCTTGATCTTGGCATTTCGTCCCAGGAGAAAAATATTTTTTCTCGCAAGAAATTTTTTCTTGGTAAAGTTCAAGACTATTTTGTTGCTTTTATGTGGAATATGGTGTTATTTTCACTTTTTTACACTTGATTCTAGCGCTATTAATTGGATTGTCGCCATCCGAGGGGTAAATGTTTCGTCCTTTGACGAATTTATACAGTTTTTCCTCTGCTGATGGGCAAACCACTCTAATAGTTGCTTTAAAGTTGTTTAGAAGACTTGCAAACGTTCTACGGTCGCGTAGGAACGTAATCATAAGGTAAGTGTTACAAACATTTTATTTTTTCACTATTTTTCAGTTTATGCCATTTCAGAAAACAAAGTAAAGGTCCCAAGGTGTTCCGCCAGTGTTCCGATGGTGTACATTCGCTCTTGTTGTTATTCAGAACTTGCTCACTGAAAAATAATAAAGTTTTTGTAACACTTACTTTAAGATTATGTTCATACACGACCGCAGAACGTTTGCATGTCTCCTAAACAACTTTAAAGCAACTATTAGAGTGGTTTGCCCATCAGCAGAGGAAAAACTGTATAAATTCGTCAAAGGACGAAACATTTTACCCCTCGGATGGCGACAATCCAATTAATAGCGCTAGAATCATGTCCTGGGTGTAAAAAAGTGGTAATAACACACCATATTCCACATAAAAGCAACAAAATCACAACAATTAATCCCAATTGAAAAGCGCTTTTTTAGCTAATCTTCTCAATTATTGATTGAAATTTTTGAACACCGTTACAAAAACACGGTCCAACAAATATTATCGCCCCTCACTTTTGAGGACATCGGGTGATTGGGTGAATAGTAAATAAGAAGGAGGGAATAGAACTCTATCTGCACCACCTAAAATAATTTTTGCAGTTTTTACCGTTTGCAAGATATAGCCACCTTAAGTATTCAACAATTGCAATCTTTCCCGTGGTCTAACCGACTTATAATAACGAAAAATCGCATGAAACTTGGAAGTCAACATTGACACATTCTTATCAAACAGTATGCAAAAAATCGCGGCACATTTACTACTCGGCTGAGGAGTTATACATCAATCTTTCCCCATAACAAAAATCAGTTCCCGGCTTTTTGGCACTTTTTGGCATTCTGCAAATGGGAAAAATAAATATAAAAAATTCATGAAGATTTATATATTTTATCAATTATAGTGTCTTTATGTAATAATTTAGACTTTGATGGTTCATACCCATGTCATTTGGCAACTTGCCGACGTCTAAAGGAACTTTTGGCTAGGAAACGGGACTTGGAAGGCGAGAAAATCGTTTTTATAAAAAAAATATTCTTTGGAAATTCTTTTATTTTGCAGAATGCCAAACCCCTTTTCATTTTCGTGGTGAGACAAAAGACTGCAAGCGAGATTAAAGTACGCGCGTCGCCATAACAAGGGAACACTTGGCCATTTTTTAAAATAAATCGCGTCGGGACCAAAATTAACTTGAAATCGTACGTGTGTACGGTAGAAAAATAATTTTTCTGCGGCTGGAGCCGAGAATTATTTGTTGCGTTGTTGACGAATTGTCGGATTCGTGGATCAGTGTGTTTATAATTTCTATAAATAAATCGTTTGTGGTTCGTGTATATTTAGCTGTATTTTAGATTTTTTTAACGAAACATGGGATCGATACGTGGGTTCCAAGTATGAAGTAAGTTCAATTTTTGACATTGATTACTCGCTTTTAGGACTCTCTGCGAACGTGTCAAAAATGACAAGATCCCCTGCGATCTGGATGTCATTATCTACGAGGCAGACTTCGTGCTTCTTCCTGGAACGGCCCGCCTCCTACTCCAACAGAACTCGCGCATGATCATGAAGTCGATGCCGTCACAAAGCCCACATCCTCCGCAGTGGAGACTTATAATTATAACGCGTTGAATAATAATAACAATAAAGACATAAGAGAAGGTTAATAAATTTATATTATAAATCTTGATTCTGAAAAAGTAAAGAGGAAATGTTGGAGGGAATAATACGGCTTCTTGCAAATCACAGATAATCGGGAGGGGAAGGAGTCGAAGTTGCTGTAGGAGGTATGGTGGTAGTCCATTGGTTGACGTGAACAAACTGAAAAATTCAAGCAAAATAAATGGATAATATCGGATTTTTCAAAAAATGGTTTTTCAGTCTAAATAGTAATTTAAACAGACAGAAGAGCGCTTGTTCATGTTTTTCACAGCTTCTTTAGACGATAATACTAACAAATCATGGATAAGATAGCATTTTTCACGAGAAGAAAGGAAATCTGACAAATTTTGAAAGAAATCATAAAAAAACTAGTAAACGACCTTCTCTAACCGTCCCTGAGCTCGCCGTCTAGAAACAAGCAAAAATAAACATAAAATAACTTACTGAGATCAATCCATCGCGATATCAAACAACAAAATTTCCGGCTGCAGCCGCAAAAAATATTTTTTCTACCGTACACACGTACGATTTCAAGTTAATTTTGGTCTCGATGCGATTTATTTTAAAAAAATGGCCAAGTGTTCCCTAGTTATGGCGACGCGCGTACTTTAATTGTTGTGAATAGTCTTGAACTTTACCAAGAAAAAATTTCTTGCGAGAAAAAATATTTTTCTCCTGGGACGAAATGCCAAGATCAAGCGGATTTGCAGGGAAATTCGTCGGCATTTGAAGATTTTTTCGATATTCCGGCCCTTCTTTCTCGGCGGATTCTGCAAAGCGCGAGCTAGGATGTTCGCAATCGAATAAGAAAATTCTGATCTCCATCTATGCCAATTTTTATAAAAATCTGAGCGTCGCACTTCGGGTACTTCCCTTGTGAATTTTGCAATTTTGCTTTCGTTGAATGCATGGTTTTAGATGGCGCTGATTTCGAATATCATATCCATTTTTTCTGAATTTTACAATTTTGCTTAAGCAGTAGTGTTAATTAGTAATTTCAAAAAAAAATTTTTTTGAGTAATGGATTTAGGGGTTTTAGGTGGTGCTGATTTTGAAAATTGTATCCGTTTCTTCTGAATTTTTGCCTTTTAAGGTTAAAATCTTCTTCAATTCTTCAAAATAAATGTTTTAATGGGTAAAAACTTGGTCAAACTTGTATGATCTTGTGAGAAAACTTCTGACGCTTTTTTTTGTCTTTACAACCAAACAAAAGAAAACGGCGCTACGACATTTCGGGTCAGGGACAACTCGGGTCGCGACAACTCGGGTCAACGACAACTCGGGTCAACGACATTTCTGGTCAACGATACCGTTTAATATTTTCGCTTCGGGACTTGGGAAAAAGGATTTTTTGGAGAACTGAGGTTTATTTTTTAATTTTTTTAGGAAAATAGTGTTTATAAGCGACAGTGCCAGAGGGTGGAGTGAGAAGATAGTTGTAATGATTGTGCGAATAACAAGTAAATCGCTCCATTTTCTTTTTAAACCCTTTTTACTAGGAAACTGCTTTTGTCATCCATATTGTCGCTTTTCTCATCTTGTACCTGCTCGGACCCGCGTTTTTCGTATCGATGGCATGGGCCACGATCTATGGAGGTGAGGACTTTTTAACGTCGTGAAGTCGTAGCTATGAGGACTTTTTAACGTCGTGAAATCGCTATACGGATATGACAACGGTTCTTTCTCATACCTCATTTCTTCTCTGTAGGAGCCCAGAAGCACTGCGAGGACACATCCTTATCCTTTCCCACCAGCCGTTACAGTGAGATGGCCGAGAAACGCTTCCGCGTCAATTCGTGCCCACCAGCTCGATACGTTAGGCGCAGACTGGATAACGGGACAAGGAAGGGCGAATTTCCGGACGCCAATGGCCTTTTTCGATTTGGAAGGTGGCAAGGTTTTTGTGTGTTTTCGACGAGGTAGAAGCGAAAGCAAAATCCAGTTCCGGACAAAACTGCTACGGATCGAAGCCTTTTCAATGGAAAATAAAGGTCTTCTCGAAATTTGTCCGTGTCCGGACCATTTTTTTAATTCCGTGCTTCCAGTTAAAAACATTTTCTTATTTGCTCGTCGCCTATAAACACTATTTTCCTAGAAAAAAGCTAAAAAATAAACCTCCTCTCTGACCGCTTTCCACGTTTAGCGTGCTCTCTCGGCGGCAAAAATCGTTCAATATCTCGGCGGCGTCCGCAAAGCGCGAGCTAAAACTTTCAGGAATTGATACTTAGTCCATGCCCGACTTATGTGCAAAATTTAAAGAAAATCTGAGTGTCGCACTTGCAAGTGCACTTCCCTTGTAAGTGTTAATGTAAAATAATATTTGTAGTAAGTTTTTGAGGAAATACTCAATATATAGAATCGACAGTTTCGATTTCGAAAATGATTCTCATTTTTTTGTGATTTTTACTTTTTTGTGGTCAAAGAGTGCATTGACCACAGAAGTTAAATATCGATCAGAAGTTAAAATGCCGGCCCGTCTAGGTTTTTTTAGGCCCGGCCCATGACGGGCCAAGCCACGTCAATCCAAAATAGAAGAAAAAATTTCCCGCCAATTTTGGTGCTTCGTTCAAAACGAAATGTCACTATCCGATAAAAGCATTTTCTTATCTTTCTTCTTCCTTTTCGAGAAACGGCAATTGTTTCGGGCGAGAAAATGTGCCGATAATTTCGCGACATTTCGTCTCTGGATTGACGTGCAAGCCCGTTTAAGAGGGCTCGGCGAACTGCGCCCAAGCTTTGGAACTAATGATAGACTTGTAAACGTTTTAGAACTTGAGAAACTGCAAGTACAACAATATTAATTAATTTTCCCGGCACGAAATCGTAGGCATTACAATTTATTCGTAAAAAACAAAGTGTGCTTGAAATCGCCGATGAAATGAGGTAACGTGAAGAACGTGGTAACGGATGAGGTTTTTTTACAAATCGGCGGAACACATAATAATGGCACAAAAAACAAGGAAGCTCTGTAATGTAAACCCGAAGTGATGATATGATAGATGGAGTGTTTCAGACACATTGGTCCATGTCTAGATGCCGATAGCTCTGATGCTTTTTATACTGCTCGAAATGAAATTCCCAGTCGTTGATGTATTCATTTTCCCATCGATCCATCTGTTGTTTCCATCGGACAAATGATTCCCCGACATCAGCTAAAATAAAATAATGTCAGGGCTCCCTATTTCGAACCTACCAGATGCCGACAAAATGTTGGGAATGAGGGTCTTCCAGAACATGCATTGTCTTCTTCTCGGTCCACTCCCTGTTCTTCTGGCTCCAGCATTATATTGAGACTCTACAGTCAGATTCATATAAGTCATCGTCTTTTCGTCATACGGTGGCCAGGTGTCCAGAGTGTAAGTCCCATCCGGGTTTTTATTGGGATCACTAAAAGTTTATGGTCAATTAAGTCTTTACGTCTAAAAGATTGGGCCTCAAGACAAACATACCCGGTCCTGGCAAAGTTGGCCCAATATCTCATGAACCGCCGGGACAACTCTTGCTCTTCTTTGGTGTACTTGAACTTGCCGGAATTGAAAGGCTCGCCGAAAATAAAGTTAATCTCGTACCCATGCAAGACTCCCATCCAGTCGGGCCATGTCTGTTGAGTAGCTCTGTGTGTAAAGTAGTAATAATAGGTGTCACCTCCATGCAGAGTATGGGCTAATGCCATTTCGTTGACATTACAAGTAAATTGGAGATCCCCCAGCATTTTGTCAAGACTGTCCATCCAATCTTGAGGTTCAACGGGCAGTGGATCCGAGGGTTCGTACTCATGGATAATACTTTGAAGGGCCAAGGAAGACTTGAGCATTTGACGTGGCAATAAATTGGAGATACTGCGAAGCCAAACATCTCGGCTTTTTATAAAATCCTTTTTGGTAAAAAAATCAGCCGGCGGAAAGACATCCTTAATTTTAAGTTTTGTCAGCATAAGTAAAAACAGTCCTTACAGCAAGTTGGTAGACGATGAAGTATATCGCTTCATCCAGATTAGATCCCGCCAAGAGTTGAGTCTTCTTAAAATGCCCAGCTTTCAAAGAAGTGGTTGCACTTTCCACCATGAAATCCCCGTCGATAACTGGGACCCACGGGAAGTCCGCAAACTCCATCACTGGCGCCCATTCCGAATCCCTGAATGAGTTGGTCTAAGCATGACATTCAACTCACCTCAACTTCTCAGGAGTCGCCGCCAATAAGCATTCGAGAACAAGATCCATGTTCCATTTGTCGGGATCATGTGACATATTCCCGCACTTCATGTACTCATATAGCACCACTGAGCGATGCAAAGCAACTTGTCGGTTCTCGATGGCCCAGGGGGCTGTAGCACTTCCGCTTTGGATGATGGCTCGATTAAAATAAGGAGTCGACTTCTGACTGAGCATGTGCATAGATACGGAAGCAGCACCGGCACTTTCACCGAATAAAGTAATACATTCAGGGTCTCCCCCGAACTTGTCAATGTTAGTATACACCCATTTAAGGGCCAACAATTGATCCCACAATCCCATATTCCCTGGGGCTTCTTCTCGGCCAAGATAAATAAATCCGAATAAAGACACGCGGTAATTCATGGTGACAATGATCACATTTTCTTCACTGAAATAATATTCTAATGACAAATGTCGCGCATTTACCTCGCCAGGATCTTTCCGTCGTATACATCTAATGTCGAGCATCCCGACCAAAAGCCCCCGCCGTAAACCCAAACCATAACTGCGATCTTCTTGCCTTTGTTTATATCACCCGGAATATAAATATTGAGATACAAACAATCCTCTGACTGTTCCACGTTCGTATTCCACATAGTGGCACCATAGAAATTGCCAAAGTAGGTGTCGGTGCTCTGAATAATTAAAAGTCTTCTGGATGGTTAAACCAATTACTCACCTGTATACATGCCTTTGGGGGAGTAGTTGCATTTACGGGCACCCTCCAAGGCGCCTTGGGCTTGGGCTTCCGAAATCGAAGATTGCCGATGGGTGGTTCTCCAAACGGAATGCCCAAGAATTGGGTGACCGGCTTCTGATTCTGGGCCACGACCTGCTCTCCAATGATGGGCGATCCGTCCTGAAGCACAACCTGAACGCCTCTGACGAGCCCAGAGATGGCCGTGAGCAGACAGAGCAAAATAAACATTGCCCTTCACCTTTCTTTGGACATGAACATATTGACACGAAAGAAGAGATCTGAACAAGTATTGACAGATGCTGCACAAACTTGTCAGGTTAATTGGCTGGCTCGGGCCTCGGGACAATCAAGAAGAACTCCTAAAGTCGGGAGAACGAACAAGTCGACTTATAATCGCCTCGCAAACAAGACACGGCTGTAAAAAATGTTTTAATCGGACAAACTATATAGTATGATGTGATTGCTAAACCCGATCCCCCAAAAACCGAGACTCTAAACTCGCCGGAGGGCCTCAAGGCGCCATATATTTTTGGCCTTTTGATCAAATCTTTGACAAGTCAGTTGTTCCCTCTTTATCTTCCTATATCTCCTTTTTCTGTTTTATTAATTAATACCAGCCATTTGCACAAGTAATCAAGGCCCGACCACAGGAATGTCCCAATCTTTTTGCGTGAACGGTTCGCCGGGTTTTTTGAATAAATTAAGTGGAGAGGCAACTTTTAATCGGGTCCTTTCTCCTCATGCTTTACAAATTCCAGACGGAGAATCAATTCTTCACATTAATCTTGCTGCCACACACACACACAGTAGTCCATAATAAACAATATTCAGACTGTTCCACTAATCCCTTGGGTTATGATAAATGATTTCGAATTAACTTTCGGTCTTTAGTGCCCATCTGATCGCATGCCGCCCCATAAACTTGCTCTTGATGGCCACTGCGTTCCTAATCGTTTGAAATTTAAAATGCAATCTGGGCAGTCGGTCAGATGCTCTTATCAGTTGGCATATGCTTATCATGACATTACGTCACGTTGAAAGATGAGAAGGGAAATTGAAGGATAGCAATGAACGCATGTGGCAAGCATGTTTATTCAGAAGATTAACATTGAAAGCGAATTCAGGTTTCCTCTTACTGAAGATGGTGTCTTCTTGAAATATACATAGGTTGAAATTTTTAATGACAAAACGCCAAACAAATGTTCTCCACAAGCCTCGTGACGGTTAGAATATTGCCGATTGATGAGTTACATATAACTTTTAAGTTATTTAAAGTTCGCAGATAATTGGTTACTGTAACAGCAGGATCAGCGATTTCTTAAATTTTTTGCAACATTAAAATGTTAGCTAGGTTGAACGTCAAAATATTTCCCTGACGAGGGCTCAGCAAAACCTCGTCCACTGGTTTTTCTTGAAACATATACCATCTGAAAGAACGTAAAAACTGGTGTAGAAGCGACTTTTATTAGCTTCTATGATTGCCTTACCGCTGGCTAGCGAGCATTTTTTAGTTCTAGGCTAGTCTCATCCTTCTTTTGAGAAAACAAACGACATCGGTTTCAACGAAGCCGTGCATCGGTAGCCGAGTGGGCAAGGCGCTGGCGCCACTCCTCATTTTGATTTTTTATTTTGAAAGTGACATGTTCTGAAAACGTCTTACATGTTTGAAACATCTTTGTTTGTCTTGGGTTACAGGGCCTAAAACATCGCGTAATCACTCATTGAGTACATCGAGTGTCTCAAGCTCGGAAACTTTTTTATATTTTTTGACATAGGTTGAAGCGTTCAATCTCATAGGTGACTATATTTATATGAAAAGTGATTATTCGATCCCGTTCATCTCTCGGAAGCAAAGAGTTCCAAAATCCAATTTGGAAAGAATTTTTATAAAAAATGCCCGAAACCAGGACGTAAGTGAATAACAGCAGCTAATTCAAGGTGATCCTAGACCAGTTTTTTACGCTCTTTCGAATGGTATATGTTTCAAGATAAAACCAGAGGACGAGGTTTTGCCGAGCCCTTGTGAGAGATTTGCTTACAAACAAATTTACAAACAACCCCGCTGGTCCGATTTGTCTCACAGCGAAACCTTTTTCGCCAAAAAATAATTTTACGTGGAAATTTTTTTTGTTGAAGTTCGCTAAATCCAAGAATCTGGTTTTTCGGCAGCGTGAGTATATATTACCGATGGCCGACGCATTATACGAATTAAGAAATTATTATTACATTGGGGCTTATCAGCAATGTGCAAAGGAAGCTCAGGTAAGTTTCTGATTTGTATATGATTAATTTTTTAGAAGACTAATGTCAAAACGGACAGAGAGCGATTGGAGAAGGACGTGTTTCTCTTCCGGGCTTACATTGCTCTTGGAAAGAGCTCAGTCGTTTTGTCAGAAATCTCAGCCGATGTTAAGGAAGATGTAATGAAGGCAGTTCGCTTGTTAGGCCTATACAAGTCTCAGACCAGCAAGTGAGTTATCTGGTTTCACGGCAACGTCTTTTTAGGGAAAGAGTTGTTGTTCAGGTGGAAGAATTGGCAAACAATACCGTCGATGATCTGGCTTTGGTTATCCTGGGATCAATCTTGCTCAGCGATAATGTGAGTTGTTTCATTCGTTGCGAAAACAAGTATTTACAATTAGAAACATGAGGAGGCTTACAAAGTCTTGAAGAGGGCAGACCTGTTGGAAGCTCGTGCGCTTACTATCCAGACATTACTGGCCATTAACCGCTTCGATCTCGCCTTGTAAGTATTTTTCAATTTAAAGGTAGCCTTTTAGGAAAAACTTGAAGCAAATGCAAGAAGTAGACGAGGATGCGACTCTCACTCAGCTGGCACTTGCCTGGCTTTACATTTCTAACGTGAGTATAGTCAAAATCACTTGTGTAATTTTATTTTAGGGTAAAGAAAAGCTACAGGACGCTTTTTACATCTATCAGGAGATGATTGACAAATTTGGTGCCACTGCTGACCTGCTAGTGTCTCAGTCAGCAGTTAAAATCTTGAAGAATGAAATCCCTGAAGCTGAGAATCTGCTTCAGCTTGCTGAAGAAAAGGATTCTGGATCGGCTGCTGTTCTGATCAATCAGTTCTTAGTTAGCAGTGTTCTGCATAAAAATGATGATGTAGGTTTTGTTTGTCGTGTTTCTCATTATTTATGATTGCTTTCTTCAGTCTACACCATACATTTTCAGGTTTTGAGTCGCATTCTAACGCAATTAAAGGCTGAGCATTCAGATCTGGCATGGGTGAAGAGTTATCTGGAAAAGGAACAACTGTTCGATGAACTGGATTAAATGTGATAAACAAATGTATTTTAACCCGATAAATTAATGTAATTAATTTTGGTCTATATTTTCGGGCGCAGCTCGAAAACAAGCTGAAACTTAGGTCCGGCGAGCTGCGAACGCTTGTTCTATATATGAAAATTGCATTCTGCGCGAAAATTACATTACCAGAAATCGAGGGTAAGCACCGTTTCTATGCACCTAAAACACATAAAAGAACAGTCAAAAGTGCCTCTTGCTAGTCCTTCCGGAAAGTCGCCGGACGGAAATCGGCGACATGCACTCCGCGAAAACGAAAGTTCACTTTGCACTGTGCAATTTTTGGCTTTTTGCACAGTGCAAACGTCAATAATCAGTCCGGCGACTTTCCGGAAGGACTAGTATAAGCTATCTTTTAAGATAACCCCTCACACATCATTCCGAACTTTTTTGTGAGGAAAATCCGGTGTCAAAAAAGCAAATTTTTTTAACAGCTAGAGGCGCCTCAAACATGGCATATGCGCAAAAATATTTCAGGTCTGAGAACGAAATTCCCTAATTCGGAACGATCTGAAAGGCATGAAACAACATTTTTGGTACACTACTCCTTGATAGGGAGAAGAAAAATATGTTGCAAAAAAATCTTCGATTTTTGCACTTTAGGCAAAAAAACCGCGATTTTGTGCCGAAAAGTGGGGCTTTAGCCATAAAAAGGAACCATGGGAGGGAATGACATAATTCGCAACTATGTTATACAGCATCAAATTTCCTACAAAATAGGAACTTTCGTTTTTTCAAAAGTATACGGTAAAGTGCAGTTCTGAGGCATCAAAAGTAAGAAATACCATTTTTTAAATCATTTTTCCCGGCCTTTGTAAGCCGTTAAAACGGAGTTTTTACAACTTCGAAAAAACGACCAACTCAGAATCTTTTGATATTTTGCATAGCTGTTCTACTATCTTAGACGAACGTCAGTACACAGTTTTAGTTTCGGAATTTACCGTACACGGGGGTTACGGTAGGTGCAATTTTTAGAAAGATTGGGCTCGTACGTAAAAACCCCGAAGAGTAAAAGGGCGAAACTTCGTTGTTTTACGTTTTCGACCATGGGGAACATTTTCATAATTGACACTTTCGCCGTAGGATGTTGCCTTCGACTACTTTGAAAAATACCAAGGTACCATATTGAATGTAACTTTTTTGCAGAGAACTTGTCTCAACTTTTGAAACCTTTTAAAAATACTTTGACATAGATGTAACAACATATCAAAAATGCGCGAAAATAAAAGGGGTGGTTTTGGAGTTACGGTACTTTGATTGTGGCCCGAACGGTATATAAGAGCGAAGGAATAAGAATTTTTTCTCGAGCTCGAGAATGTTTGCTGGATTCGCTACCAATTTCAAAAAGTAGCGGAAATCTCAATTTGCAACCTCCAAAAAAGGCGTCGGAAGCAAATCGGCCATTTTGCGACGGCGCAAAATTGGGAGGTAGCAAATCGGCCATTTCGCGACGGCGCAAAATTGGGAGGTAGCAAATCCATGGATTTGCGACGTCCCAAAATAAGCTCCGCCCCCTCAGTTTTTCAGCCATCACTTTTTTTCTTTTTTGACGGAAAAACACCGTTCAAGGTGAAAATTTTAGCTTATAAATCGTACATTTACGATACTATGAAAGAAAAAACGTCCCTCGATTCATTAAAACATTTATTGTAAAATGACGTACATTTCATGAAGAATATATTTTATTTTTTCCACAATTTTGTCCAAATATGGCCGGAGAGTCAATGGATGGGGCTGAAGAACATTTGTTTTTCCACAATATTCTCCAGAGATGGCCCAAGAGTCAATGGCTGGGGTTGATGAACATGGCCGCATATGGATCTTCCTGGAAATCAAAAGCAATATAACATTTCCTTCTAATTTTTAGAAAAAAAGACCTTCATATTTACCTCATAGTGCATGTGTCTAATCCGACCATCGAAATGGACATAGTCTTGGGCAAAAATACGACCGACGAGAGTGAAATTGTTTCCAGGTAACAATTTCAATCTCTAAATTACCTAAAAACAAAGTAATAATACTTAAATCAAATCTTACCTCCTTTAGCAACTACCACACGACTTGTCCTTTGTCCGATTTCATTGTTTCGGCCTCCTGAAAACGATCTATAACGCTCTTGCCAGCAATAATGTAGAAAAAATTGGAAATCTCGTCCAAAATCAAAAAATAATAACAAATCAGCTTACCATGGAGTCAAAAAGCCTTGTTTTCCAGCCAATCTCGTCCCCGAGTCGTTTTATCTTCACATTCAGCTTCTCTGATCAATTGGCCAACTTCAACAGAAGGAAACATAAGAAAAGAAGAAAAAAGAATTTATGAAGTGGCGAATATTTTCGCGGCCCGTGAAAACGAAATGCCACGGATTTTAGGTCGAATTTTCATGGGATTTCTGTTCATTCAATCCGAATTGAAGGCAACCGAGGGCCGAATTCATGGTTGGACATTTAGGTAAGCTTTTTTCTTGGTATTTTATTGTTTTAGCAGAGTAACAAGGATGTCTTCGGCCGTATCAATCAAACATCCTACCGTTTTTGGCCAGTCGAACCGTTTGAAAGAGTTGTTGAAGCAGGTTTCTCCGATTTCTGTATTTGGCCATTGTTTATGTAAGCTTTACTGTTTGTATATTGTTTTTTAGTATGAAGACAAGGATCAGAATGTGTCGGTTTTATCAATAAGATATGGTTCGAGCAAGATGCGCCAAAATGGAGAAGTCTCTTGGTCAAATTTAAAAAGAATGGAGTGTGGGATCGATGCGTTGACGAGAAATTCCTTGAAGACAGAATTGTCCACTATATCCGACACAGAAGGCCATATATTGGAGACCACATGAGGATATATCGAAGATGTGCACGAAATGGTTGTGGGTCTACAAGATTGTAAGGAAGATTTTTATTTGATTTTATTGCTTTAGGAGAAACATGACGGGCCCAATCAAAAGCCGCGGCTACTTCTGTCCTAGCCGCACATCAGATCCGGGAAGTCCCCAGCAGATCCAGGACCTCCCCGGCGGTTCCAGGTCCGTGTCTCCACAAGGACTTGCAAGATTGTCTATTTCATCCCTGGCCATATCGCGATATGGCCAGGTCGTATTTATTAGAGATTTTGTTAGTCTTTCTATTGGCCATATAAGGCGCGTGCGTTCTACTTCTCTGCGGACTTCCTCGCAGAAAACCCGCATTTCTTGTCTGTGGGTCCGCTAGACAAGAAATGTGCAATTCTTGGCTGAGCAGAGAAAAAAAGAAAAAAATCTTCACGGGGAGAGAGCAGAAAATTGCGCAATATTGCGCAATGTTACGCAATTTTAGACAAGAATTGCGCGTTTCTTGTCTAGCGGGCCCACAGACAAGAAATGCGGGTTTTCTGCGAGGAAGTCCGAAGAGAAGTAGAACGCACGCGCCTTATATGTTAAGCTTTATTATTGTTTACCTTTGTGTTTCCAAGACGCTGTATTTTTGTCTATTTAGTCGTGCAAGAATTATTTTATATCGATTTAAATGTAAAATATCTGTTTCCTCTCTTACGTCTTGTTATTTTTCGGATTATTTGTTTTAATAAATTGTTATTGTCAAGAAAAATGTATGGGAGTTGTGAATAGTGCTTTATACACTCGAAATATATTCAAAACGGTAAACAGGAGAGCTGGAAAAAGATTTCCGCCGGAGTGGGCGGAGTCAATTTGGGAGGTCGCAAATCCACGGATTTGCTACCTACCAATTCCGCGCTGTCGCAAAAACGTCGTTTTGCTACCTCCTCTCTCGCGGAGGTAGCGAAAACGCCGATTCGCGACCGACTTTTTTCGGAGGTCGCGAAAAAAGGATTCGCTACCGAGACCACGTCGCAAATCGATCGTTTCGCTACTTTTTGAAATTGGTAGCGAATCCAGCAAACATTCTCGAGCTCGAGAAAAAATTCTTATTCCTTCGCTCTTATATCAAAATATCATTTTTTTCAAAATAGGTGTAAAAGAGCCGCATATATCGCCAAAATACGTTTTCGACCATGGGGAACATTTTTGTAATTAACACTTTTTCTGTAGGATGTCGTCTTCGAACACTTGGAAAATGACCAAGGTACCATGGTCAATATAACTTTTCGGCATTCTACTTGTCTCAACTTTTGAAACCTCTCAAAAATACTTTGACATGTATGTAACAACATATCAAAAATGCACGAAAATAAAAGGGGTGGTTTTGGAGTTATGGTACTTTGAATGTTCCCGGTACCGTATAAAGTAAAATTTTATTTTCGTGCATTTTTGATATGTTGTTACATACATGTCAAAGTATTTTTGAGAGGTTTCAAAAGTTGAGACAAGTAGAATGCCGAAAAGTTATATTGACCATGGTACCTTGGTCATTTTCCAAGTAGTCGAAGACGACATTCTACAGAAAAAGTGTTAATTACAAAAATGTTCCCTATGGTCGAAAACGTATTTTGGCGATATATGCGGCTCTTCTATACCTATTTTGAACAAAATGATATTTTGATATACCGTTCGGGCCACAATCAAAGTACCGTAGCTCCAAAACCACCCCTTTTATTTTCGCGCATTTTTGATATGTTGTTACATCTATGTCAAAGTATTTTTGGAAGGTTTCAAAAGTTGAGACAAGTTCTCTGCAAAAAATTACATTCAATATGGTACCTTGGTATTTTTTAAAGTAGTCGAAGGCTACATCCTACGGCGAAAGTGTCAATTATGAAAATGTTTCCCATGGTCGAAAACGTAAAATAGCGGGGTTTTGTGCTTTTACTCCTTGGGGTTTTTACACACGGACCCAATCTTTCTAAAAATTGTACCTACCGTAACCCCCGTATACGGTAATTTTCAAAACTAAAAATTCACGCTGACGTTCAGCTATCATAGTACAACAACTATGCAAAATATCAAAAGATTCTGAGTTGGTCGTTTTTTCGAAATGTCCGGCCCTTGTTATGAGAAGCTTCAATCTGTAAAAAACTCTCTTTTAAAATCCTTAAAATTTGCATAATCTCAGAGAGCGACATGTGTTTTATCGCGCTGATATTTTTCCACACTTTATTACGCCTTGTCTTAGGCGCCTCTAGCTGTTAAAAAAATCATTACAAAAAGATTCGCTTTTTTGACACCGGATTTTGCTCACAAAAAAAGTTCGGAATGATGTGCCAAATGACGAGCATTGTTCAAAACATATTTGCAAAAGGTTTCAGCGTCCAGATTGCAAAAGTACGGGCGTCTCCGTCATGTCAGAAGGGTTTCTGAAAAAAAATATAGGCTGAAATTTCGAAAAATCAGCAAAATTTCCCCAACGTGTACGTGATTGAAGCAAACGTTTTGAAAAAAACTATTGGTCATTGGATGAAACGCAAGTTTCTACACGTCGACAAGACTCTTCTCTAAACACTCAAATCGCGATTTTTTCGATAAAGGACTTCTGAAAAACTATCTTACTTTTACTAGTCTGTTCGTAAAGTCGCTGGAATGTTTTCGACGACATGCACTCCGCGAAACCGAAAGTTCACTTTGCACTGTGCAATTTTTTGCTTTTTGCACAGTGCAATAGGCTTTTTTGGGCTGTCGCCCGCACCCTGAGTTTTCTTGCACAGTGCACGTCGCCGAAATCATTCCAGCGACTTTACGAACGGACTAGTACTATCACCACAAGCCAAAAAATGGTCAAAAAATGGGTACAAAAACAGGCTCAAATGTAGGCAAAACCTGATATTTATCCAAAGTTGAAGATAGACAACGACAGAAAGATGATACTTGGTATATCGGATCTAGTTTCAAATAATATTCTTTGTATGAATTTTTAGAGCCCTGAGGCAATCATTGCAAAATTTGATCTTCCTTCGTATAAGATGTCCACAACGAATTACAAATCGCGGGCGCAGCTCGGGATCCCATCTCAACCGCGGCTTGGACCGAACGTGGTAAATTCGGCTAGCGCTAGCCGACTCATGGAAATTGGACAGAGTGAAATACAACTGAAAGAAATTGGACAGTGAGAAAGCATTCGACTGATTTCTTGTTTCTCTCTTTATACAAGAGAGACTTGTAAGAGCTACTGTTTTTAAATTTGGGAATGTCGTCGAATCTGGAGAAGGTTTATCAGCAGATACGATGTATAAAAAGTCGCCCAAGGGAGGTTCTATCGTTTGATGAGATCCAGGACCTGTTGGAGGATGCCAAGAAGGAGAATTACGACGATAGTATTGTTGTAAGTGAATGATATCTGCATTAAATACTTTTTAGCATTTGCTTGAAGCATACAACTACATACGAATTGGATGTTTTGAAGAAGCCCTATTTAGTGTAGTTGCATTCTTCGATTATTATGAGAATTCACTACCAAAAAAAGGAGACAGAAAGTATGAAAGACGGTATAGCACCCTCAAGCATGGACTAGTTTTGGTGGCAACTTTACACAGATTTTTCGGCAGTTAGTAAGTTATTTTAACGTGAGTTATCTTCTTAGTCTCCCCGGGTCGGCATTGTTAACACAAGCGACAGCCAACGCTCATGATAATCATGATGTCTCGGAGTATCGATTCTGTATGCTTGAAGAACGGGCGTACAATTTAAATGCTGTTCAGACATCCATGAATCCGGCTCTGCGTAGAAACATCGACGATCCTTATTACAGTAAGTTTACTTGTTTCTATTTCATTTTTTTAGTGGAAGATCTAAACAAAAGATTTCTAACTCGATTTCATTCCGATCAAGTCCACTTACCGTCTATGGGATTGGAAGAAGCATTTAGGACTTTCATCGCTGCAGGATTTGCACACAAATCGCCTCGGTTTAAAGCCATTGCACAACATTTCCGAATGGGCCTGGTTTTTATAAACGCGTTGCATTGTGCTAGGACGTGTGATAATCTGGAGAAGTAAGTTCAATAGTTTCGGAAAATTTTTGAGCCTTGTAATACCAACCTGGTAAAAATGTGCCAAAGGGTTCCCGAGAACTTCCAGAACCTTTTTTTAAGTCACTTTTGATTCAATTTTAGTTTGTCGAAGTATCTAAATGTTTGTTTGGAAAACGAAATAGCAAGTCAATGGAGAATGTATGCCAACGATATTGAAGATGGAGCACTAGCAATTCATAGCACCGTTGTTCTGGCTAACGGATGTACTGCCTTGGAAGAGAAACACCGATTTCTCCGAGATGACGAACTTCCGGAAAAAGTGACAGAAGGTGAAGTAAGTAGAGTTCCACAAGTGTTTCCATTTTTAGCTGATTATGGGGGTAAATGCCGCTTATGCGTATGCTTGTCAAGGGCTGTTTGATAACGCTAAGAGTGTTCTATCAGGCCTCAGAAAGAATTTTCCATCCGCAAGCAATCCTATGGTAAGATTATTTTTGCCAGACCGGTTTACTTATAGCTTTCCATCCACTGGCAACTAGCAGAACAATGTATTTTATATGATTGTGAGTTCTTTCGAGGGGAATTCGAGAAATGTGAAGAGAGATTGCCCTATCTAAACGAATATTCGCAGCCGGAATCTCTGTTCAGGTAAATCAATTCGAGCAAATAAATATTGTTTAGGAAATGTATGCTCGACTGCGCGTTCGGGTGCTACAAAGAAGAAGAACTCCTCGAATTCTTATCAAGTATTCGTAAAAGTAGTGACCCTCATCTAAAGATTAGAGCAAGGATTGCCTTAGGAAATTTGAAGGTGGTTAATGGAGATGTTGAAAATGGAATTTCAAACCTGGAAAGAGCTTCAGCTTCGGCCAAAAGACTTAAACTATCCTTCTTGGAGGCTTCAGCCAAAAGGAGATTAGCTTTCGCTTATGTGAGTTAATAACTCTAGAAAGGTTTCTGGTGATTTTATGGGTGTATTATTTTACTTCAGATATGTCGACAAGACTTCCAGAAAGCCAGTTCTATACTACTGTCGCTTGAGATGGTATTTGAGGACGTCGATGTTGTTGCCGTTGAAAGGTTCCTCTATTATTCCACATGGCTTGAGTTGTTTAACCAAAAAGCGGTTAGAGAACCTCTAAACGCCGATGAGAGTAAGCGTTTAAAGATTTTTTAACAGTACTGTGTATAGAAATGTCATCCTTCCGCTTTATAATGAAGGCGGCCAACTCCATTCCCCACAAAGGATTCCCTTTATTGGAGTCTGAATTGTATCTCAAGGCATGCTTTTTTGTCCACGATCACTGCAGCAATCTGGTATTAGCGAATGTACTAGCAAAACTCAGAGAATCAACGGGAATTGAACTTGTAACTAATTCTTTCAATTACTTTGTTCTGTAAATACAGCTGATTCGAGAAGCAATGTTCAATTTAATTTATATGGGTATTGAATAAATGCTTTCGTTTTCATATGGTCGGAATATCTAGCAATTGTGTAACAGAAGTGATGATTGAATAAGGGCCTTCGTCAGCGATTGTCAGGCGTATCAGAAGGATTACAAATTATCAGACAAACTCTTCTCGGAATTGCATTCTTCGTCGAAAATCGCAGTTCAGTGAACTAATGTATGTCATCTATTTTTTGTATAGTCAGAATTAGTTCATTCAGCAGAACCTCCAGGAACTCTTCCAGCGATGTATTGATTCGAATTTTGGCATAACGTTGCAGTTGTTCTCTAAATTTTTTCGGGCCTCGATTTAGGTTTTTTGTTTGCACGCAGAACTGACTGAAAAAGAATATTACATATGAGAAGTCTTGACGCGTAGTTTTTGCTTTTAACCTTGGGTTGATTGTATTTTTTATTTCAGGTGTTCTAGACGCCGAATCCTGTACATTTGTGTATAATTATTTGTACATTTTTGTAAATAGTGTGCTTATATTGTTAGAGATGGCTGAGCAACATTGGAACAATTGGAATGGCACCCGTTCTGGTAGGTCATAGGCGAATTGCGGGAGATAGATATTGTTTTAGAACATGCGGTCAGCAACCCGATTATGGTGCAAGGTGGTGGTCCTCAAGGGTCTCATCTAATGTCTCCCCGGTCAGTAGGCGAACAGTCGGTAGTATACCATCAAATGGTTGAGAATGTACTCAGCTCATCTCCAGGGAGTATAAACAACAGAGATATGAAATTTGTAAGTTACTTTTTATATTATTTGTTTAAATTTTAGTTCCGTGGACATAAGCCATCCGAAAAAACGACAACAAAGCCAATAAAGGTCAATAATAACGATAATTCAAGGTAATTGCGTTCCCGCAAGATAATAGTTGTGTTTAGTGAGCAGGCGACTCCAGTAGAAGGATCTCCAGTGGAAGATGGAATTCTGGAAGATCGGGCTCAGAAATCGGGCCCTGTTCCAATTCCGTTTACTGGTGGGGAAGTTCAAACACTTCCTGGGGCAACTCCTGAATTCAACCAAGTAAGTGTAAGAACGAACATAAATTTTTAAAAGTGGCTATAGGTATTTTTACCTAATTTTAATTTTAGTTTCCGTTGATGTATGCCGGGCAAAACCCAGTTCAATATATTGCTGGAAACGGAGCTCCTTTTGGTACCCCTCCGTCAAACTATGGTTATGGCTCATGGAGTGCAGTTTATCCTCCACAAAATGGAGGTAATTCAACATTTGGTGTCTTTACTTCTTTTTAGGTATACCTAGAGGAACACCACCAACTTCTCAGCTGTTTTCTTCATCTCCGCCAATGCCTCCTAGTATGTACCCTGTTGGGTATCAGCCGGCGCCCCCAAGGGGAATTCAGGGGATATCCAATGCGATGTCTCAGATCAGCATTGGGACAACAGCTGGCAGGCCACGTCGAGACTCGTTCACAACTTCTCAATCTAGGCAGTTTCCACATCAAGTTCCCCAAAGTGGATATTACATGGTTGCAACAGCCGCCGGCTCACCTCCCGTGTCGATGGGATCATCACCTAACCATGTTATATGTAAGCTGACTGTGGATGAGATATTTTGCTTCAGGGATTGCTTTTAAATTAATTGTTTATAGATAATGGAATGTATCCTAATGCTTCGATGAACGGGTCCGCGGTCCATGGACCCCCAAATGTTGTATATCCCCACATACCTCCGCCTCAGAATCGTCAAGTGTTTAATGGGCCCCCAGGCGCGGCTCAGCCCATGCCTTACCCGAACAATGCTCAAGGGGCCCCTCCGCGGCGAAATGGGAATATGCCACCGGCAAGTATTAATCGTCCACAACATGTCCACGTGATTGCTGAGGCCGACAAACCTGTTGTTACACATTCTCAAATGTTAGAAGAGTTCAGAAACAGTCGCCTTCCACATCTTCAGTTGAGTGATTTGGGGTCTCATGTAGTCGAGTTTGCTCAAGATCAACATGGATCAAGATTTATTCAACAGAAGCTGGAAAGGGCCAGTTTGAGGGAAAAGCAGATCATCTTCGACGAAGTGATAGCGAATGCCAGTATTCTGATGACTGATGTTTTTGGAAATTATGTCATCCAAAAATTCTTTGAACACGGTACTCAAGAACAGAAAACCCAATTGACTGAAGCAATCAAGGGTAATGTCATGTCTCTGGCACTTCAGATGTATGGATGCCGGGTGATCCAAAAAGCACTTGAATCGATCGAGTCGGATCAGCAACTGTTATTGCTCAAGGAAATGGAGGGACAAGTCAGTATACTACTTACTTCAATTTATTTTTATTTTTAGGTATTAAAATGTGTAAAAGATCAAAATGGAAATCATGTAGTGCAAAAGGTCATTGAGAAAGTTGAGCCGGCAAGATTACAATTCATAATTGATGCCTTTACCAATTCTGGACCTGGAACGGTAAGCTTTCATTCTCAAATGTTTTTTAAATACGTTTTTATTGGTTTAGATAAAGATGCTTTCGACCCATCCTTACGGGTGTCGTGTTATCCAAAGAGTTTTGGAACACTGCACAGAAGAACAGAAACGTCCAGTTCTGGAACAATTGCATAAAAATATCAACGAGCTTATTATCGACCAATATGGAAACTATGTAGTTCAACATGTAATTGAACACGGATCAGATGCGGATCGGGACAGAATAGTGGGCCAAATAAAGGGAGATGTCTTGAAGTTCGCCAAGCACAAGTTCTCCTCCAATGTTATCGAAAAGTGTCTCTTTTGTGGAAATAATAATCACAAAACGGCTTTGATCACGGAAGTTTGTGGAGAGTAAGCATCAGTATTTTTATGTCAGATTTGTGTGGATGCGAAATATTGTTTTGTTTTAGTGGAAGTGTTCCTACGCCATTATTGGATATGATGAAGGATCAGTTTGCGAATTATGTAGTTCAAAAGATGCTGGATGTCGCCGACAGTTCCAACCGGAAGAAGATTATGCTCGCTATCAAGCCACACATACCCACATTGAGAAAATACAGCTATGGGAAACACATTATCAGTAAGTAGCGGGACGGTAGAAACTTATCCTGGTTCGTAGATCAGATTTCTTTGACCATATGGGAGTCTGAAATGAGAGTAAACTAGATTCGGAATGTAACACTTGCATTAAAATGCTTGTTTAGCAAAATTGGAAAAGTATTTCCAAAAACAGAACGGAGTCAGCCCATTCGTGCAGCCCGTGGATTATGTGCCGAACAACGATTTCGTCCAGTCGAATCAGCCCCCCGTCCTCTACTAGAAACAACTTTATTTGAACGGCGATCCCTTTTTTGGTTTCTGTTTGGAAGGGACTCGATTTTTAATTAGTAATGGTTACTGTACACCCATGCCAATTAATTGTAAATAATTTCGTATATCGTTTTTTGTCACACATTCTCCATTGGTTCGACTTTAGAATCGGCTCTGGAATTTTGTAATGCACTGTCATTTTTGCACCAGCTTTGATTGTTTTACTTCTTATGCAAAGTTTGTACCTTATTGTTGTTGTGTAAAGTTTTCGTTGTGTTTAATAAATATTTTTTATTATCCGTCTTAATTTTATGAGAGGTTATTAAAACCAAGGTATTTTAATTTGAAAGCGTGTTAAGATTTACGCAAATTAAAGATGTGGAAGGCAGTGAGTCCCTTCAAGAAGATCCTTGGAGCAGGCGTTTGTGGTGGGGCGGCCTTCAGTTCTACCGCCGTCTTCCTCAAAGAGTCCAATACCGAGTTTATCAGTAATCATGCCACCAAGTTTGTGAAGGCTGAGGATGGAATTCAACTCTCTAGAAAGGTATTTATAAACGTCAAAGATGATTATTTCGAACCCTTTTACTCGGCGCAAATAAAATATTCGCAGGATAGCCTCATTGAGCAAACGGCTAGCCAGAAAGTTAAAAATGGCATTTGCCTGTCATTTATGCGATTTGGCTCTTCCAACCCATCGGCTAGCTAGCCAAACCACTTTACAATGAGTAGTCGCTGCGCCATATGAAATCTGAATCGATTGAAGCCCATTGTTTGATTCCAGATCGTCTCCCCGAATGACAAACTTGGACTGAATCTCCGTTTATATCAATACCAGACATGTCCGTACTGTAGTAAAGTCAGAGCCGTCCTTGATTATTATTCCTTTTCTTATGAAGTCGTTGAAGTTAATCCTGTAACGCGTTCGCAACTCAAATTTCTGAAGGACTACAAGAAAGTAAGTTGTCTTAATAATTCAATTTGAGACTTTAGGTACCCGTAATGACAAGTGCTAAATGTGAAACGCTGGTCGATTCCTCACAAATCATCTCAGTTTTGGTCAGTTTTCTTCTTTTGCCGACCAGAAAACTGAACGAAGTGATTCAATTCTATCCGGAACATGAAGGATACAATCAGAAATTGCACAAGAATGAAAAGATATTCCCCAACAGAAATTATATCATGAATGAAGAGAAACGTTTGACCAATTCTGAGATCCAAAGTGTGAGGGAAGAAAGAGAATGGAGGGATTGGGTGGACGATCACTTCATCCATATGATCAGCCCTAATGTCTACAGAACTTGGGAGGAATCTCTGGAGACATTCAGATACTTTGATAAAGTCGGAGATTGGAAACATAATTTCCCGGCATGGGAAAGATATCTGGCTGTTTACATGGGCGCCGCGGCAATGTTTGCGATCTCAAAGAAGCTTAAGAAAAGGTAAGGACAACTTTGGTGATTTGTAATAAAGTTAGGCATAATATAGTGGACGAAAGAAAGGCGATTTTGGATGCTTGTAACGACTTTCTGAAGGCAAAAGGCCGAGACCGACAATTCCTCGGTGGAAAGGAACCTAATTTGGCTGATCTGGTAGGATAAGTAACAAAGAATTTATGTTTTTCCTCAGTCTTTATACGGCGCAATCACTTCATTCGCCGGAACCAGAACTTTTGCTGAATTACGTCAGCAGTGTGCAATTGGAGAATGGTACGATGCAGTCCACAAGGCGGTCCAGGAACATCGGGGAGCAGCCTTGATCAAAGCAAAGTCCCAAATCGAATTGAATTAACTGGAAGTAACATATTTTATAGGTTGTTGAGATTTATTTTAGGATAAATTCAATTTACAATTAGTCAAATTGGGTGTTGAATGAAAAAAGATTTTCCGATTTATTTACTAAACCTGTATAGTTCATGAGCGATTGTCTCGGTCCAAAGGCAATAACTCTTACTAGGGAAGTGTACATACGAACCCTCAACAAATGATAAGTGACATAAGTCATTGAAGAGCCCTTGAAAAAGGGTGCCTGACTGAATATGAGGGACTAAATATGAAGGACTGAATATGAAAAGGACTGAATATGAACTGACTGAATATGAGGGACTAAATATGAAGGACTGAATATGAAAAGGACTGAATATGAACTGACTGAATATGAACTGTGGTGCTGACTGAATATGAAATTTAGCAAATTTGGTCTATTTCAAGGACTACATAGTACCAAGTGCTATAAATGTGTTTTTGGGTTGTACTAAGCACCAAACCAACACCATTACCGGCCAAATTTTCACCTCGTACTAAATAGTACCAAGTGCTAAAAAGGTGTTTTTGGGCTGTACTAAGCACCAAACCAACACCATTACCGGCCAAATTTTCACCTCGTACTAAATAGTACCAGGTAGTACTACTTAGCACCAAGTGTTAAAAATGTTTTTTTAAGCAGTACTAGGCACCAAAACAACACCATTAACGTCTAAAGGTGTTATGATTCGAAAAAATTTTAAAAGGAGTCCTTAATCGGAACCTAGGTAGTAACAGTAACAGAAACCCGGTTTTCATATTCAGTCAATTCATATTCGGTCCTTCATATTCAGTCAGCACCCCAGTTCATATTCAGTCAGTTCATATTCAGTCCTTCATATTCGGTCCTTCATATTCAGTCAGTTCATATTCAGTCTCCCTTCGCTTGAAAAATGGTACAAGAAAGCATTTTCATTTTTTGCAGAATGCCTTTCCGCGACGACATACTGTAATTATATTATTTTTAGGTAATTTTGCCACAACAATCTTTCTTTCTCTTGGGCGGGAAAAAATCCTCGGAGCACGTTGCTTTAATAGTGCAGTGGTTGCTGAGCTGGCTGATAAGCCAAACCAAGCTAGGTTCGGCTCCCAGCCCGAGCAAAGCCATTTTTGCCTTATGTCAGGAAAATACACAAACTTACATGTTTTTCAATCTTAAAAAAAGTGAAAAGTGTTTTTTCACGTTATGGGTATTTAAAACCAGTAAATATCATATGTAAAATGGTTTTACTGTCAAGCGCCAAACTTCATAACGATTTATAGACCAACTTAGTAGCAATAAGTACCATTTAGCGTTTTGAAATAACATTTATTTTGCCCCATAGCAGATATTGTAACTATTTATTTACTTAAGGGACAAATGAACCGTTTATAATTTTTTGTCCTAAAGCATTCTGCAAAAAATGAAAATGGTGTCTTGCTCTATTTTTCAAGGACTTTCCAATGGTGTACTACACTTGCCATTTGGTGGGGGTTTCACATCTCAGAAATTATGCTGCAGAAGAACCTCTTGATTATCTTGTTTCTCAAGACCATTAAAGTATTTGTTGATTATGACAAAATGGTTATTTTTAAGAATGAAATACTGGTTTTAGTTGGATTGCTTTAAAAATGATTTGTTGGGTACAAGAGTTCCATCCTGGATATAATCAATTATGAAGGGTAATTGCGGAGAACAAGAAGAATACTTATTTGTAGGTCCATTTCTCGGAGACCCCCTTTTGAAATATCGGGGAGAGAAGGGGGCTTGGGACTCTGCCACTCTGCTTGACCCCCTCGCGGTCTCCTTTTCTGGGCATTTATTTATGTTTCAAGGTTTGAAAGTGTTATATTTAAAGGACGATGCAAGTCGCTGACGAAATTCTGTTAACGCTGAAAGATTCCCCCATCCAGATCTTTGACCGTACTCGATTTAATTGGATTCTGCCACGGAAAAACCCCGGCTTCGAGCAACTTGTCAACCAGCTGGGTGTGTTAGCGGCAAAAGTAAATAGAAAATTGTTTTTATCCAGTGCTTTCAGAACAAGAACCTTAGGAAACCGTTAACTTCGATGACAAAATTTATTGATTCGAATGACGAAAATCAGAAAATTTTTATAAGTTGGGAAAACGGAGAGAAGTGAGTACTCGGTTTTACAATTTATTTTCCATTCCAGTGGAGTAATCGTGCATGGGTTTATAAAAACGTCGAAAAAGAAACTATATCTGAGGGATAAGAACGGCTTGCCTTATATCGAGAACCCTGTGTGCTTCATGGACCATTTTTTTGTGAATGGAAACCAGGAAAAAGCCATTGAATTGATCGACTTTATCCTTCAAGTAAGTGGAAATCGTTTAATTAAATTATTTATTAATAGAAAGAGGAAACAACGATCACCGAGTGTGCCTTTGACAGTCCCTCAAAAGATCTCATAACAATCTTAGAATCTCATTATGGATTAAGTTATCCAGTGCCACAATCTATTAACTTCTTGATTTACGATTCGTTCTTTGATGGCTTAAATTCTGTGGATCAATCTCAGAATGGCTTCTCCAGCAGGGCCGCCAGTTCTCGAGCATCTCCAACGCCTCTGAGTCATGTAAATTCAATTCTTAGTGTTCTTAAAGCCAGTTTACATACATATTATGGATTATTTTTAGAGATCGACCGACCAAGTTTCGGATCTAATCCATTCCAATATCCGAGCCGATCCTATTAAACGAGCAGGACCAGATACACCGCAAGGAAGGAAGTTTACTCGGGATTTCGGCCATCAATCAATCTGGTGATCTCACATTCACAGAGCTTATGGAATAAGGAAATGGTTGCCTGGTTACCGCAGAATATTTCCCGCACCTGTTTCTTTGTTTGTGTCTAAACGGTTTTATTTTCTGAAATAAAAATTGTCATCATGAATCTGAAATTCTTGCAAACTCTGATCGAACCTGAGGTAAGTGATAGCAATTTGATGATAATGGTTAAAGAATTCGATCTCCCGAATCCCCAGCATCGCATATTCCCCCAACGATCGGAAATTGGCCATAGCCACTAATGATCGGGTTATTCATCTTTTTGATGACAAAGGGAACAGAAAGGATAAGATCAACACAAAACCCATCGAATCCCAGGTAAATATGTCTCTAGGTACTCTAAATACAATTTATTCAGTACGGAAAACAAAGCTACAAGATACAAAGTGTTTGTTTTTCCCCAGATTCCACAAAATTGGCAGTCGCGCAAACCGATACAATTGTTTTTGTGTATCGTTTGGGAGAATCTTGGTAAGGCCAAAAATTTTTAAACGCGTTTCACCACACTTTGAAGCTTTGCCTGGCAGCGGTGCCTCATAATCCAGTGGAACTTAATAACCATAAGGAATTTAACAATCGCTTTCTTTGTTTTGTCCCAAGTTACCGTATGTATGGCGGATTAGAGTAACTTTCTCTCAAAAAAGTTTAACTAACAGGGGAAGTATCCCAAGTGCGACGCTCAGATTTTGATGAAACTTGTCACAAATTTAGAATAATTTTTTCTAAAATATATGCGAGAATCCTAGCTCGCGCTTTGCCGAAAACACCGAGATTTTTAGGTCGAAAGTCGACGAAAATTTGAGACTTTTTGTCGAATTTCGGCACCAAAAGTTGGATCCCTATTTCTACCGTAAAGTTTGATGTTTCCACAAAAAATTAATTTTTTCCGCACGGAACTAGCAAAGTTATGGCCAAAAAGTGTTTCGCTCTCTGACCGCTTTCCGCGTTTAGCGTACTCTCTCGGCCGTAAAGACCGTGCTTCGCCTTCGAAGCGCGAGCTAAAACTTTCAGGAATTGATATTTAATCTACGCCCGAAGCGTATGCAAAATCTAAAGAAAATCTGAACGTCGCACTTGGGGTACTTCCCTTGTAAACAAAAAAAAAACAATGCGATTTTGAGAATGAATCAAGTTACGTGAAATTTGGTATGAGAACTTTATGAGACACTCTGACAACATAACCAGAAAATCATTTCACTTTCTTGGCAAAAGGCCAAATCTACTCGGGGAACTTTCGAAGGAAACCGAATTTTTTCGGCGACGTCGCCGGATGCACCGCGGCCGCGGCGGGTTCTCGCAGAAAAGTGCAAGTCGCTAGTGCAAAGAGGGGTACGCAGTGAAGAAAACGTTCTCTTTAATCGCTCTATTTTCTACAATAGGGACGAGAAGAAAGTAATCTGTAACAAATTCGTTCAAAGTTCTGCGGCCAATGTGTTGGCCTGGCCTGAAGAGAGTAAACTTATAGTCGGATTGGCCAATGGAAGGATCAGAAATGCTTCTGTGGGATCCAACAAATGCTCCACTCTGTACAAAACTGATGTTTTTACTATTTCCCTCTCCGTACAGTAAGTCTACTTTAAATTTCAAAGTTTTATTTTTAGTCCAAACAAAAAATCGTTTGTTTCTGGCCATTTGGATGGTTCGATTATACTGTTTTCATTCGAGAGTAAGGTCCAGGTGAGAGAAGTTTGAAATTAAAACTTTTCCAGACTAAAATAGTAGTCCATTCCACAGCACCCTACTGTTTATTGCGATCAAATTTTGGGATTCTTGCCGCTGGCAGTGACCGAAGAATTGTGTCGTATTCTGATCAAGGAAGAATGATCCAACAGTATGATTATAACAAAGACAATGATGAAAAAGAATTTACAACAGCTGTCATAGACCCTTCTGGTCTTAACGCGGTGTTTGGATCGTTCAACAAGTATGCTTATCCCAGTAATGACAATAATATTGTAGATTACGGTTGATGTCTTGGAATCCGAAAAGAGGGGCTTGGGATGAGGGATCCGTTTTGGTGGTCCAGAATATGTATTCTGTCTCCGCATTGGCTTGGAGACCTGATGGATCATCAGTCATCTGTGTAATCAAAATTATTCGAACCCCTGTTATAGCCATACTACTTTAGGGGACAATGATGGGTGGTGCAATTTCGGTTGATTGTTGTCTCCGAAGAGCTCTCCTGAAGAATCGATTCGTCACCACATATGTCTCCCCGTCTCAAGTCGTTGTGAAAGATGTGGAGTCAGAACGACAGTGCTCCTTACGATCACTCAAAGGCCTCAATATTAACGATATTAGGGTAGTCGGAAGGGCCAATAGACATGTTGTGGCCTACACCCCCAGCACTTTGGTTCTGGCTGATATGGAGACAGGTCTTTTCTCAGAAGTCACCTGGAATTCTGGAGGGAACGAAAAGTTTTATGTGGACAATGAGAACGTCTGCATGATTGTAAATGCGGGGGAAATCAGTATTGTTGAGTATGGAAAACACGATATTATTGGATGGATTCGAACGGAACGCATCTCTCCTCATCTGATCAGTGTTCGAATAGGTGAGAGCTCGAGGAAGACAAAAACACAACATCGCCGGGTTGCCTACATGCTAGATATCCACACAATAAACATCATGAACCTGGACAATAGCCAGATTGTGTCTCAGATTAATCACGGATCGACTGTGGATTGGCTGGAACTAAATGATTCCGGAGAAAAATTACTTTTCCGTGATATCAGATCTACTCTTTTATTGCATGACATCGAAACCGAGCAGACATTTACTATGGCTAACTTCTGTTCTTATGTCCAATGGGTCCCTGAGAGTGATGTGGTTGTTGCTCAATGCACCGATCAGTTGTGCGTTTGGTATAACACCGATAATGTGGAGCAAATCGTCCAGATCCCGATACTCGGTGATGTGGACGATGTGCTGCGAGATAAGGAGAGAACTGAAGTCATTGTGATTGTAAGTCAAGCAGAGTAATTCGCAAATAAAATTAAGGAGAACAACGCCAAAGTGGCCTACGAATTGGATAATACGTTGATTGAATTTGCTACGGCTATCGATAATCGAGATCTAAACCGGGCCTTGGAGTATCTGGAGAGCAGTGAGAGAGACAGGACTGACATCTCCTCTATGTGGAGACAGATGGCCTCTGTGGCGTTGGAAGAAGGGAATCTCCTGATCGCTCAACGATGTTATGCCGGTTTAAATGACATATCAAGAGTCAGGTAAGACACAGGAAAAATTGAAGGAAATATATAGATTCATTGAGGACACCATGGATATGATGGCAGATAATAAGGACAGTTATAAGGTAAAAGCAAGAATGGCATTATTGCGGAGAGATCTCAAGGAAAGCGAAAACATCTACTTGTCTAATGTGAGTCTGAAAGTCATATAAGACGCGCGCATTATGCACCACGAACTCGCCAAAAAAATCGTCTTATTTTCTTGTCTAGCATAAATATTATATAGTATGTATGTAAGAAGCGAAGACAAGAACAGAGCGAAATAGCAAAATTTTTAATAACCGGAAGGTTACGAATTGCGCAACATTACATCAAATTGCGCAACTAATCAGGAAAGAATTTTTATACGGCCCGTTCGCAGGAGTAATAGAACGCAGACATGTTTAGAATGCAACCGAAGAAGCCTTGGAGATGTATCAGAAACTCCATCGATGGTCGGCATCATTAGACCTGGCCAGGGCAACGGTATTTTCGATTATCTCAATTAACTCTCAATTCAGAATTATCCGGATCAAGAGGGATTAAAGATGAAATATCAGAGATATCTCCATGAGACTGGTCAATCGGAAAGAGCGGCCGAATTGAAGGCCGAAGAAGGCAAACTGGTGGAGGCTGTGGATCTATTCTTACAATCAAATCGACCCGTCATGGCCGCATCACTACTTTCCGAACACAGGACTTTAGCCGAGGATGACATTTTATGCAATAAAGTGGCCGAATCTCTTCACAAAAACAAAGTTTATGCCAGAGCCGGTGAAGTTTACGAGCTTAATGGACAATATGAGAAGGCGCTTGAGGACTATGAAATGGCACAAGCGTTTAACAAAGCCATTAACGTGCGTAACATAACTTGGTGGAGATAACCCCTCGTCTTAAAAATTAATATTGTTTAGATCGCCCGAACTCGATTTCCAGATAAAGTAACGGAGCTGGAAGAGAAGTGGGGAGATTCTTTGTGTAACAACGGCGATTATACCTCTGCCATCAGTCATTACTTAGGTAAAATCTTTGCATAACCTTCATTCCTTCTAAGAGAGTGGAGCCAATGAAAAGGCCGCTGATGCAGCGATCAAAGGGAAAGAATGGGACAAAGCCATTGAAGTTGTTGAAGCATTGGACAAGGAGAACAACAAACAATATTACGAGAAATTGGCTCGTCATTTTGAAGCGAATGGACAGTTCGATGTAATTTTACATTCACCATTTTAATACCAAGGATCTTACAAAAACGTATCACTGTAATTTCAGAAGGCCGAAAGATTTTACTTGGATGCGGATATGATGAGAGAGGCCGTTGAGATGTACAACAAAGCCGGCAGATGGTCCGACGCTTACAAATTAGCCTTGGAAATGCTTGGCCAAGAACAAACCCAAGAACTATACTTCGAAAAAGCTCAAGAATTGGAGGAGCAGGGCCAATACAACACTGCAGAAGAATTGTATGTGACTGTGGGAGAGCCAAACAACGCAATTGCAATGTATAAAAGGCTAAATCGATTGGAAGACATGATGAGATTAGTCGAGAGATTCCATTCAGAACATGTAGACGAAACTCATATAAGACTAGCCCAGGATTTGGCCAAACACGGAGAATTAAAAAGCGCAGAAGAACAGTATTTATTGGCCGATGATTGGAAGTCTGTAGTGGCCATGTACAAAGATGAGGGGAAGTGGGCTGACGCTTATCGAGTGGCACAAAGTCATGGGGGAGATCTTGCACACAAACAAGTCTGTATTGCCTGGCCGTTCATTTGATCCGTCTTTAGGTTTCCTATTTATGGGCTAAAAGTCTTGGTGGAGAGGCAGCCATTAAATTGTTACAACGTCATGGGGCACTGGAAGATGCAATCGACATTGGAGTAAATAAAGGGTAAGATTGCAAACCGAAATCATTCACTCTTTCCAGAGACTTCGACTTCGTCTTTGAATTGTGCCGACTGGGATGCCAACATCGATTACAAGAAGTACAAGTAAAACACGCTGAACATCTTGAGGATGAAGGGGATCTTCGGAGAGCAGAAACCTTCTATTTGCAAGCCGGAAAAATCAGAGAAGCAGTACTCATGTATATCCACAGCCAAGAATGGATCGAAGCGGAAAGATTGGCTAGGTACTGTGATAAGTCATCAAATAATAATTGTCATCGTAATTTAGACAATACGCACCTGAGATGGCGGATGAAGTCTACATTAACCATGCCCGAGCAGCACTCGAAGAAAAAGACACTGCAAACGCAGAAAGCTATCTTCTGAGGGCAAACCGTGCAGATATCATTTTGAAATACTACAGAGAAATGGAAATGTGGCCCGATGCCATCAGAATTGCCAAAGAATACGTTCCAGAATACCTGACAGAAGTCGAAAACGAATATGAAAACGTGCAGTTACGCGCTGGTGAACGAGGCGCTCAATCTTTCCTGGTCAGAGCAAAAGATTTCGAACTAGATGGAGAATATGAGAAGGCTGTCGAAAATTATTTAAAAGTGGACACAACGCTCACAAATGACACAAATTTAATAACGCAGGCACTTCGGAAAGCCGGCGAGCTAGTGTCTAAATTTTTTGGATCAGATCAAAAGATTGAGATTGGATCCAGAGTGGGAAACCGATTGACTGAACTAAATGAAAACTTGGCAGCCAGCGAAGTTTATCTGGCTGTGAATATGAATAAAGAAGCAATCCATTCTCTGATGATGGCCAATGAATGGTCAAAGGCACAAAAGGTGACATAGTTTTATAGTAGAGGACTTCTCTTTTGTTTAGATAGCCGAAGAATTACAGCCCGATATGATCCCCGAAGTGGACCAGGGGTATAAGGATTACCTTAAAAACCAAGGTCGTGTTGGAGAACTGGTTGATGTCGATGTGCTTAGTGCGATAAATGTGTATGTCAGCCAAAGTAATTGGGAGAAAGCTCTGTCTACCGCAGCTCAACAAAATGTAAGGAAACTTAGAACATAGATAGAAACGCGTTTATAATTATACGCTAATACTAGTACTACTATTTACCGTTGAAACAGACCAGGTAGGGGGTATCATTGTTTAACGTATTATCTACCGTTCCGGGAGAGTCACTAATTCCGGAAATGGCGTGCTGCTGATAGAAAATGTTGTTTCAGCATCCGGCGCTGCTAGAAAAGTATGTCGCCATGTACGTTAGCGAACTCATTCAAGCCGAAAAGTTCAACGATGCCGTGAAGTTATTTGAGCAATATGGTACCCCACTAAATACATTTAACACCTACAAGATGTTGCTCGATGTTATGATAAACCAAAAGAATATAAGTTATGAAGATTTGAGCCATCTGAGAAATATGATCCTAAAGTTGAATGTTAACATGATCAATCATAAAACCGAGGTCAATGAAAGAGTCAGAGAGGTTGGTAACAACGGCTTATGTAACGCTTTTAAGGTGTTTAACCGATATCTCTACGTCCTACATTACTATTGCCTATGCCTAGCCCTGCAAGATACCGAAAATCCAGACATTGAGAAGCTTGTAGTGAGACTAAAGATATCCATGCTGCGATATGTTGATCTAGTGCAACCCGACAAGCTCTTTTACGAAGCTGGAATCGCTTGCAGTGTAAAGTTTTAACAAAAAATATAATTTGTTTAGAAAGTACAAGGGTACGAAAATATGGCCTTCACTTTCCTCAATCAATTTGTGGACATTCACAACGCGGTCGAAACAAATGATCCAAGTGAGGTAAACAATGATATCTTCGAAGGAACCGACATTCCAGTACATTATACACTCCCACAAGAAGCATATCTAGGTGTAAGAAAACGGTTCGAGCTATGCATAAACACAATAACTTCAGGAAGACGAATACGAGAAAATAAACGAGATGGTACTGGAAATGTCAGCGGATAGAAAAACGGAAAAAAAGCTTAAGACAGATTCCAGAGGGTGCTACGAAGCGAGCTCCGTGGATTTAGAAGGCCGAGTCTATCCTACTTGTCTCTTATCTGGTTACCCCATCTTGGACACACCCAAGATCTTATCCGAAGAAATGTTCGTGGATCCTAAGACCTGGCATCAGTTCATCACACTGATTCGAACCAACCCTTCAGATAATTTATTCGATATTCAGTCATTCTTGTCCATGTGGACCGGAACTACAGTATCCATAACCTATTAAATATACATAAATATATGTACATAAATGTAAAAAATAGTTAAAAGACGATTTCTGAGTCAGTGCGTCAGCCGTGGACATAGAAAAAAATCGATTTTGAGTTTTTTGCACTAAAATGGCTGTTGGAAGGTGCTAAGCAAAAGCGAACAATATTTTTTCCCAAAACCTTCATGAAGGTATATTTTTTTACAATTTACTGTTCTAGAAGTAACCGCGTCCAGCTGTCGTATCTTACCTTACTGGACGATGATTTGACGGTTACTGAAGTTTTCGACCCTTGCGATGACGATGGTATCATTATTTTTCCGATTTTCCTACTGTAACATACCGTAATACTGTATCGACCGCTAAAAAACGACCGTAGAATCTTTCTTTCTGAAAATTTCACAGGCGATTTTACGATTTTTGGAATCAGCATAAAATTCTGCTCTAGAGGCAATCAAAAAAAGTTCAAAAAAAGCTGCGACAAATTTCGTGGTATAGTGGTTAGTGGTCGGGACTACCAATCCAGCGACCCGGGTTCGAGTCCGGCTGGGTGCGAATATCGAAAAGAAGTCGGAAATTAAATTTATTGTGATTCAGAGGATTGTATATTTTGCCACGAGCAATTATTAATGTCAATGGTAGCTGGATTCGAGGTTAAAACGGGATTTATATAATTTTAGGGGCTCAATACATGAAAAAATAAAAGTGCTTCAAACCGGTTGAAATTGATAATACTTATTCTAAGGGCTCTTCTAAGACACTTTCTCGTTAACTTTTTTTTGGTAGCTTACTGTTCCATGCACTACAGTAAGATAAAGATTTTGTACTTAAGCGGGATTTTCTTCAAGATTGTTGCATCCAGTCTCGAGTTTTTTTGACTAGGTCGTTCAAACAGCAACGAAGGTCCACTATACGTATACAAAATAAATTTCCGCTTCACTTCCAGTGTGTCTTGATATCATCGCTATCTGACAAAACTTCGTGAAATAACCCGGTTGTTTCAAACTGTGCGGCCATAAAAAAAATTTTGTATGCAAACCAACTCGTTATTAACCATCTCTATCAATATGGCGATAGTCCGAGCTGTCTACGCCCCGTGGTATGCGAAAAATAAAATTGGATTTCATGTCACAGTAATCCATGTTACAGTAAGTTACGAAAAAAAGTTAACGAGAAAGTGTCTTAGAATAGCCCTTAGAATAAGTATTATCAATTTCAACCGGTTTGAAGCACTTTTATTTTTTCATGTATTGAGCCCCTAAAATTATATAAATCCCGTTTTAACCTCGAATCCAGCTACCATTGACATTAATAATTGCTCGTGGCAAAATATACAATCCTCTGAATCACAATAAATTTAATTTCCGACTTCTTTTCGATATTCGCACCCAGCCGGACTCGAACCCGGGTCGCTGGATTGGTAGTCCCGACCACTAACCACTATACCACGAAATTTGTCGCAGCTTTTTTTGAACTTTTTTTGATTGCCTCTAGAGCAGAATTTTATGCTGATTCCAAAAATCGTAAAATCGCCTGTGAAATTTTCAGAAAGAAAGATTCTACGGTCGTTTTTTAGCGGTCGATACAGTATTACGGTATGTTACAGTAGGAAAATCGGAAAAATAATGATACCATCGTCATCGCAAGGGTCGAAAACTTCAGTAACCGTCAAATCATCGTCCAGTAAGGTAAGATACGACAGCTGGACGCGGTTACTTCTAGAACAGTAAATTGTAAAAAAATATACCTTCATGAAGGTTTTGGGAAAAAATATTGTTCGCTTTTGCTTAGCACCTTCCAACAGCCATTTTAGTGCAAAAAACTCAAAATCGATTTTTTCCTATGTCCACCCCTAACAGACGGCTGATGCACTGACTCAGAAATCGTCTTTTAATAACTATTACGCAATACCAAATACTAATGATTTTTAAAATAATCTACGTAAAGTTCTGCTGAGAATAAATCGAGGTGTACTGTATGTCCAAAATTCAAAGTAACATAACTCCAAAAAAAATTACTATAACAGTACTTACTATGAAAAAAAGTAAATACAGAAAAATGGATGTCATTTTCGAAACCCGCGAAATTGATCACCTTAAGGTGCACCTTACTAACCACTATTTCCCGGCTGGGGGTCTCATTCGATGGTTTTCCCTTTTTATTTTCCTAAATTTTTGATAATATTTTAGGAAAATAATATTACGTTGTTACATCTATGTCAAAGTATTTTTAAGAGGCTTCAAAAGTTGAGACAAGTTCTCTGCAAAAAAGTTATATTCGATATGGTACCTTGGTATTTTTCAAAGCAGTCGAAGGTGGCGAAAAACGTAAACAGCGAGGGTTTGTGCTTTTACACCAGGTTTTTACACACGAACCCAATCTTTCTGAAAATTGTACCTACCGTAATTTCCAAAACTAAAAATTCGTGCTGACGTTCAGCTATCATAGTACAGCAACTATGCAAAATATCAAAAGATTCTGAGTTGGTCGTTTTTTCGAAATGTCCGGCTCTTGCTATGACAAGCTTCAATTTGTAAAAAACTTTTATAAATAGTATACAGACATGAAAATTGGCAATCTGCATTGGCGTTAAGTACCGAAGAAGCCTGCGGCAATATTGAGCTCAGAATCGAGACTTCACTTTTAACGGTCGGGCACTATAAATTAAAAAAAACCTAAATTTCAATTGTTGTTTTCTGCTGATTTATTATAATATGTTACGGTGCACCGCGGTGTATCCAGGGGTGGTCAGTGGGCCGGGCCGGCCCGGCCCAAACGGGCCGGCCGGGCTCAAAAATGGAAAATTACAAACGGGCCGGGCCGGGCCCGTCTAAATTACAATGCCAAACCGTTGGCATTCATTGTTTTCGCGCCGGGAAAATTAATTGATGTTGTTATAGTTGCTGTTTCTCAAGTTCTAAAACGTTTACAAGTCTATAGTTCCATTATAAAACCACAAAACTATCACATTGATCCTTTACTAGCTATATCAACGCCTTTTTTGCCTAAGTTTAGATCCCAAGCTTGGGCGCAGTTCGCAGAACCCTCTATAAACGGGCCCGGCCTGGAAAAAGACTAGACGGGCCGGGCCGGTAATTAGACGGGCCGGGCCGCGGGCGGAAAATCGGAAAAATAGGGTCCGCTGACCACCCCTGGGTGTATCCAGGGGTGGTCAGTGGGCCGGGCCGGCCCGTGACGGGCCGGCCCGGCCCGGCCCAAACGGGCCGGCCGGGCTCAAAAATGGAAAATTACAAACGGGCCGGGCCCGTCACGGGCCGGGCCGGGCCGGGCCGCGGGCCTGGGGTTTTTCCGGCCCGGCCCGGCCCGTCTAAATTACAATGCCAAAGCGTTGGCATTCATTGTTTTCGCGCCGGGAAAATTAATTGATGTTGTTATAGTTGCTGTTTCTCAAGTTCTAAAACGTTTACAAGTCTATAGTTCCATTATAAAACCACAAAACTATCACATTGACCCTTTACTAGCTATATTAACGCCTTTTTTGCCTAAGTTTAGATCCCAAGCTTGGGCGCAGTTCGCAGAACCCTCTATAAACGGGCCTGCACGGGCCGGGCCAGGCCCGTCACGGGCCGGGCCGGGCCGGGCCTGGAAAAAGACTAGACGGGCCGGGCCGGGCCGGTAATTAGACGGGCCGGGCCGCGGGCCGAAAATCGGAAAAATAGGGTCCGCTGACCACCCCTGGGTGTATCTACGGAGAAGAACAGTTGACCTAAACGGCCGGGGAAAGACTTGACTCAATTATTTTTTTCCGTTTTTTATGTGTAGACAAATTGGCGTGGGATCCGGGTTTGTCACAACTATATTCCCGAGATACAATAGATTCTCGACATTTTTTGTAGTTTTTTGATTTTAGTCAGTTATGTACAATTCAAACCGGGCCAAAAATGGCGCACCCTGTACACTTTGTAGGCGGGTTCTACCACGAAAAAGTGTTGGCATTCCGCTTCAAGTACAGTATTTCCTCCCAACTGAATGAAAATATTATTTTTCTTTTTTTCATTTTACAACAATTTTGTCGTCTCGGTCGGGTTTACGTTATTTTTAATGTTTTTTTAGGTTTAGTGGGTAAATCCATAACCAGGCCGCAGAATGGGACGTATGCACAACCCCGGAAAGGGTATTTCCCGCTCCACCTTGCCTTACCGCCGTTCTGTTCCCGGGTGGTTGAAACTGACTTCCACGGATGTTGAGGAGCAAATCGAACGTCTGGCCCGTAAGGGTCTTCGACCCTCTCAGATTGGTGTTATCCTCCGGGATTCTCATGGTGTTGCCCAGGTCCGTCGCGTCACTGGCAACAAGATCGTCAGAATCTTGAAGAAAAAGGTATGTCTTTCTTATCTGTCTTGTTTTTTAGAGCATTCCCTGTTTAATTCAATGTGTCGCTGTAATACATCTTTGTCATTTTTTTTTTTTTTTTTTTGATTATTTAATTCTGTTTTATAAATGTCTTACTTTAGGGAATGGCCCCAGAGATCCCAGAAGACTTGTACCATCTAATCAAGAAGGCCGTCAATATTCGCAAGCATTTGGAGCGCTGCCGCAAGGACGTTGACTCCAAGTACCGTCTGATTTTGGTCGAGTCACGTATCCACCGTCTGGCCAGATACTACAAGACCAAGAGACAGCTCCCCCCTACCTGGAAGTACGAATCAGCCACCGCTTCCGCTCTCGTTTCATAAATGCGTTATTTTCGTTGTTGAATAAATTCAATTGTTATAACATACTGCGTGGAAAAATGTTTTTGGCATCACTGTGTGTATTTAACCAGTTGGTTTAGGAAGAAGAAGTTATTGAGGCTAATAATGTTTCGCTAGATTTGAGAAATGAGTGGAGTCAGGCAGGGGTTCACTTGTGTTACATGTCGTCTGGTGTTTCCAAACTCCACATTGCAAAAGGAACATTATGTCAGTGAATGGCATAGGTACAACGCGAAGAGAAATGTGGTTGGATTACCCCCAATTACAGAAGAGCAGTTTGAAAGCAAAGTGAAGGACTTCACAAAGTTATGTTACCCTTTAAAAGATCACTGTTATTGTTTAGGTGGCAGAGGAACAGAAAAAGGAGGAAATTGAAAAGAACTACTGCAAGTATTGCAAGAAGTTGTTTCAGTCCAAGAATTCTTATGACAATCATCTGCAATCGAAAAGGCATAAAACTAACTTTGAAAATTATGCTATGCCATCGGAAGAAAAGTTTACAAAAGAAATCCCTGCACCTTCTGAAACCATATCTGTGGATTCTACCCGTAAATTTGTTGATGGTGAGGATCTAGACGACTGTGAAAGCAGTGGAGGGTGGGAAACTGCAAGCTCCGAAGATGAGTATGAGTATGACGAGGATAAGGTGAGTGATTAAGATTACTTTCACTAGGCGAAACCCCAACAACAAACTATTTTTTTTTTTTTTTGACCCATACTTTTTAAAGGTGGTTATTGACTATTTGTTAGGCAATTCCAAATTCGCGATGTTTATTCTGTCCGAAAGAGTCAGGCTCGGTGGAAGATAATCTCAGTCATATGTACGAAAGTCACGGTTTCTTCGTTCCTGATGCCCAGTATTGCACTGATGTTTCTGGTTTAATGAAATATCTGGGTTTGAAGGTCGGAGGTGGACTGTATTGTATTAAATGCTCGAAGAGGTTCTCTGATCTCCATTCAGTTCAGCTCCATATGAAAGACAAAGTCCATCTTTCCTTTTCATTGGACGATGATCTCGTCAACTATCTTGATTTCTATGATTATGGGTAAGATTTTTTTAAACAATAGTCATAAAAATTTTAGTGAATTGTTGGGAGAAGGGGATGACGACGGTGATGATGTGGCGCTTGATCTTGGGTATACACTTGTTCTGCCCTCCGGAGCAAAGCTTGGTCACCGATCGTTGATGAAGTACTTTAAGCAGAGATTACGAAGCGATGAGGAACAAAAGCGCCTTGCAAATGCCCGGATAGCTATGAAGTCGAAAGTGGAGCAGAAATCTTTGGGATGGACTGGACTTTCCGGTAATTAAAAACTTGTTAAAACGGAAACTTATGGTATATTTCATTTCTTACAGGACCAGTTGCCATTCAGAGAGCCAGAGACTTTAAGTTCGTAAGGAGGGTAATGCAGAAACAGTGGTTATCCAAAGGAATGCACTCCAACAAGTTATTCAAAACAAGAGGACGCGACGATCAGATGTAAATTTTATTTTTGTTTTCAGCTTCATACTGTTGTTACTTAGAAGATAAAGTTATGTCAGAAAGACGGTTGGCCACAGACTTGGATTTTGGGGGGCTTTTGTCTTGATCACTGTACGGGCATTATAACTAACGGTCTGACTTACGATCTTTCGTCTGCGGTCCGTGGGAGGTCAGTATTCAACTGAGGCAACTCGCTACAGAAAATGTCGGCGGAATATAACTTCTGATACAGTGGGTCAAACTCTCTAAAAAAGATCGTGGGATCATGAATTTCTTACTGATAAGTGGCAAGCACACTGGCCACATTGAGGACGGCTCGAAGTTTCCTGGTTAAAGTCAGACTTCCGTGAATTCTGTACCATTCGAAGAGAAACCAACAAAGAGGGACAACTGCCAACTTCATGATTGTACACAAAAATCCGACGCCATTCGCGATCAGACTTATGGTACCGCAGCTTAAAACGACCCCTAAGCTGGCCTTAAACCTAGGCGAATTAATATCTGATTCGCCGGCTTCGGCTGTGGAAATCGGATTCTTATCTTCAAATGAAGAATTGTCCAAACACTTCAGTTCTTCCTTCGTAATTTGACATTCGGAATGGCTGAACTCGGGTCTTGAACATGATATCAGAAGGCTTACTCTTTCTTTGAAACCATTGCACCGATTCGAAGTTGAAACCACTCATAAAATAAACGATTTTACTCAAAGACCCATTTTGCGGCTGCTCGGCCGATAAAAATAAACATGAAAATGTGATCGGAATGAGGTCAGGCGGCAACATCAACAAGTTCAGAAGGGAGGGGAGACTTGGGATGCTTCGACTGGAAATGTTGCTTGTAGGTCTTCGGATCGGGCATTTGGGCCATGCAAACGGAACACTTGTGGTGCAAAGCTTGCTGAGCAGCGGTCTTCTGATCAATACCCGACTTCTTGGCAGCCTAAACATAAAAATAGAAATAAAAACTGAAATAATGAACTCACATCAGCTTTCTTTTGATTTTTCATTTGAGATTGGATCTTCTGGTGTCCACGAGCCATTTTTCTCTGCAAATCTAAGACATAAACCTACTAAAAAGCGGCCAACGATACCGGCGAGAACTTCTAACTCACACTGAGAGAATACTACTCCAAAATCAAACTTGAAACATTTAATAACATGCAAACAAAACAAACCTAATTTCTATATGATAATATTTTAGATAATTTCGCAAGTAGCTCCGACTTTCTCCAAAAGGGCCTTCAGGGCTTCAGCCTCGTTCTTTCCGAGATCTGCCTTCACTTCAACTGGAGCTGTCTCCACGAACTTCTTTGCTTGTACCAGATTCAGTCCTTCAATGGCATTCCTGATCTCTTTGATTAACGCTATTTTCTTCGAGTCGTCGAATTTGACCAACTTGACTGAGAACATTGTCTTCTGAGCTGGTTGTTCTGCCTCTTCTTCAGCCGGTGCGTTTCCTAAACACAACCGCAATAAAAAACTTATGAGGAATAGGCGGCAAATCAAAACAAATTAGTTTTGGGTTCACATTATTTTGTGATTCACATGACGCAAGAACATCATGAACACATACCTGCTGCGACAGGAGCAGCCACCGCTGCTGCAAACATTGGCTGATCGGGGATATTCAACTTCTTTTTCAACGCATAATTGAGATCAGAGACTTCAAGAACAGTTAAAGTGGCAATTTGATCGACCAGAGCCGATACCTTCGGCGAGATCTCGCGTTCTGTGGATGGAATTGAAGACGAGGGTCCCTGATTCAATGGTATTCCAGCTTGAGCTGCCGAGGAATAACATCGAAAGAACCGAAACGGGGTTTTGCATCGAAGAAATCTCAACGACGACGACATTGCCACCCTCTTCACGAAGAATTTTGGCCAACGAAATTACGCCCAAATTTTTTTTCAATTTTTTCTGGCGCAATTTTTCGCGTGAGGACCTTCAGAGATGTTACAGATGTACACGTGACAAATCATTGGAATATCGTAACCAGTAAACCCAATGACTATAGCCATAATTAATGCTAGAAACAAGCAAATCTGAACACGAAAGGAGTCCAGTAGACAAAAGATAGCAATGAGAGATCAAAGTCTATGTATAATAAAAGCAACTATTAAACATCCAGTCAGTCAATTTTACCCTTATAAATAATCGTAGGTTCATAATATTGTTTTGAACCTACGTGAATTCATATAAAACCGAAAATTGAACAGAACAACTGAATTTGGGTGTGAAATGCAATTGGTTTTTTTTTAAATTTGGCATTTCATTTGAAGGTGTAAAAAAATGACAATTCACAAAAGATAGGGGTATCCCCCCAACCCATTTATTATTCGAGCGTATAGTTTTCATTCTGTATCCAGGACGACTGAAACAAGGTTGAATGTTAAAAGTCCTTTGCTCAAACATAATACATTATATTACAGTTTCATGGACTTGGATTATGAAGGTGAGTACCATACCTCGGATGATTGTTTTTGTTTAAGATTACGAAGGGATAAACGATTTTGATTCGACATATTATTCCATCAGACCGGTCTCATCATACAACGGCTCGTATCAGTTCTACAACCCTTACAATAGTTACTATTCGTTATATCGTCCTTATCGAACAGTTCCTCCTTTTTATGACACTACAACGCATCGAGAACATTTTACTTGGAAACATGCACCTAGCAACAGGTGAGTTGTATACCGTTGGCCTCCCTAGGTACTGTTTAGAAGGTACCAAGTGGAAGATGACCGGGCTACTCTCCCTCCATTCGAAGACGAAACAACTCATCGCGCTCACTTTCCTGGACATTACATTCTAGGAAGAGAGTATGAGGAAGATGATTTCACCTATGATTATGAAGAAGAACGGATCCCTCTTAATGAGACATCCACCCATCGAAGAGATTTCACTCCCAAACCCATAGAAATAAAAGAAATACGAAGCAAAAGTGTTGATTCTGTGAGAAGACCAGGACCTCGGATGGAATATGAAACTACACACAAAGCTGATTATTCCAACAAAGCATCGGTACGAATATTTACCGTAATCTTACAGGGAATTTAGACTTGTCCAGTTAATCATCTTAATATAAAACAAGGTCGGCGAGACAACGGCCATGTTTATTTCCGCCAACGGACATCAAAAAATACGAAACGAGTAAAGTCAAGGTAATTTGTATAACATTTATTGTAATAAAGCACCCGTCTTATTAAATGGCTTTAACTATAACAGAAAAATTTTAGAAAATGCTTTCGTTAAGAGGATATATAGAATATCGTAATCCGAGAATTAAAACATCAAAGAAACTTATGAACTTAAATTAAATTCATAATATTAATATATACAATTGAATGCATGTTTTCTGATGGTTTAAGTGAGGTTGGAAAGCACTGAAGAGTCAAACGATGGCCGGACTTCTTGATCACGATGGAGAATGCCTGTAACTGATGGCGCCATCACTCTTGTTGGCGGCCCTTCTCGACGTCGTATAGTTGGATATCCTTTCCTTGGCCCCATTGACCATGGCCGAGAGTCTTTCCTTGTTCCAGAACTTCCCTGTGCTTCTTTGCCCATTGTTATTGTTACTCCTTTGTCGGCCTTTTATTTCCCATGACAGTGCAATCAATTGGCTTGTATCAATCACTGGATAGTTCTGAAGTCAGCAGTTCCATTGTTGTTGCCAACTGATCCTTACCTGCAAGAACTTCACAACTTGACTGAAATCTCCGTTCAGGAGTTCGATTCTGAATTGGCAAAGCATGGCCAAACAAATAAACTCGGTCGCTTCCATTCTGTTTTGTGCTGCAAATACAGTATCCCATATATTGATTAGATCAGGCAAAGAGAATTCTTGAGACAAAAGAAGGGAAAGCCATCTGAAGGCGTAAAATTGGGCCTTCACATCTAGCTTTATAACAACATGGTGATACAATTCAGGGTCCACTGCTTGAAATAGTTGATAGAAATGAGCCAAAGTCCATTCGATCCCGCAAGAACTGCTGTCCAAAGATTTGATAAAGTTGTCTTTGATCTCCGACATCAGAAGCTGGAAGCAATAAAAAGTATCGGCCTCGGCCGACTCCGCCCACTCTTTGTCGGGATCAGAGGCAAATACGTAATAGATAGGTCCAATGATCTCATTCATCCCCTGAATAATCATATTAACATCTAGGATGACTCTACCTGAACATACTTGATGCCCGGATTAACCTTAGAGTAAATAAAAAGTATCCTCTCCACCACCTGCCAGTGATATTCTCCGTTCGGTTGTTCCACGGGTTCCCCATTGTTGTCAAGGGTATTCAGACGGGCAGATAATTTCTGCCCTTCCCTGCGAGGATATTATTCTTTCTCCTTAACTTACTTTAGCGGATAGTGGCTAATTCGTTGGAAGAAATCTATTTCTGGCCTCAGACGTCGAACATCTTTGTCGATTTGAATGAGGACGTCGTTATCTGCAAAGAACTTGGCCCATTGACTGTCTTTTCCATCCGATAACGGCTGAAAGACATGCTTAATAATGTGCAAATATAAATTTCACAAGGAAAGTACTTCTATGGGGTATGGATTTACAGGTCGACACATATATCAAGAAAATCGTAAAATTTTTCTAATTCAGAATATGTAAAAATTAGCTGCCCAATTTTGGTTTTCTAAGGGCGAAACAATCCTCAGAACTTTGCTCGCAACACCACGCAAATGCCTTTTTGACCAAAAGTTTTAATAAAATCACTTTATGTGTAAATCGATTTTGGCTTGGAACATAGCCAGATCGAAAGGTGTGTGGTAGTCGACTATTCACTTGGGGGGAAATCTCTGCGCGTGGCTTCAAAGCCGAACAAATCGGCTTCAAAGTTTGAACGAAAAAAAGTAGCAACGGACAGGAAAAAGTTAACAAAGTTCCATTGTGTTAACTTTTTTTAAACGTATAGCCTTACAAAGTGAGGAAAAGTAAAAACGACAAATGACGATTTGAGCTTGGAAAGACTCGAACCTACAATCTTTTGTGCAGAAAGCAAGCTCACTGACCACTCGGCCACTGCTTCATACTTTTTATTGCTTCTTTTACGGGATCCCTATCCTTTGATTTTCGTCCAAAATTTAAAGCCGATTTCCCGGCTTTGAAGCCCTGCGCAGAGATTTCCCCCCAAGTCAATGATCGACTACCACACACCTTTCGATCTATGTCCCAAGCCAAAATCGATTTACACATACAGTGCATTCGCTTGTAAGGCAAACCCTGGCATTTGCGTGGTGTTGCGAGAAAAGTTCTGAGGGGTTTTTCGCCCTTACAAAACAAAAAATTTTAGCTAAATTTTGCATCTTCTGAACCAGAATTTTTTTTTGCTATGTGTCTCGACGTGTAACTCCATACCCCTTAGAAGAACTTTACTTGTCAAACAAACAATAACTATACTCACGTGATCAACTGGGCCTTCTTCAGAACATTCGATGTGGGCTTCAATCATATTTGTGACCAAGGCCTTGTAATCAGCCCTTTGCTTGGTCAAGACGGCGTGCCATTCTTGTCTTTCTTTTGGCAAAAATCCAAGAAACAGCCTCCAACAAAGAGGTCTTAACAGATCCGGTATCCCAAAAGCACAGGCTTCCCTCAGGGCAGACGTATCTATGACCAGATTCTGTATCAGCAGAAGGTTCTCAATGTGGGTAATCCTATAAAATTATGAGGATCTTTGTGGATACCTACCGTTCGATATATTTACTCATTATTAAACAGGATTGTCAAGAAATGTACATTAGTACCTTAAAAACGTGTCTGAAAACTAAATTTACCTTTTTAAAGATAGAGCTCGGAATAAAACCATTCGAAATAAAAGACTTGAAAAAAATTATTTATTTGAATCACATTGATGCCAAAACAAACTTGTCAAGACTAGAGTATAAAGGAAGATTAAAGCAACCGAAAAAAATAAGATTAGAAATTAACAAAGAACCCAGAATATTTAAGGGGTGTCCGATTGATTTAGAAGGGATACGATATCCTTCGAAAGCTGGAAAAGGCCCGTGCCCACCACCTGCGTGTCGATTTGCAACATCTTTAACTCCAGACCGGCTTCTTGTTGGGTTAAGGCTGGTATTACAATGGTGAGTTTCGGTGGTTGGGTGAAGTTGGCATTCAAGGTGGGGAAAAGGAAATACTCCTGCAAAACAGCACAATAAAATTGGGTTCTTAGATTTGCAATAGCAAAACAAGATACAAACCCGCATCATGACGAGATAAAGAACGTCGTCCTCCCGCTTGATAGCCCTTTTTAACTTATCCATCAAGCTGTTTCGGACATCATATCCATTTCTTGTTATATTGAGTACGGATGGCCTGAAACTCGTATATAAAAATGCTTGATGAATTTGAAACAATCTTAAACTCACAAGAACGCTGATGTGTCCGTCTCGTCAGTCCGCTTCTTCATTACCTTCCTTCTGGATTGGATCCTTTTCTTCAAGATATCTTCCTTATTGTCCGTATGGTTACGAATTTGAGTCACATTCTTAAAAACTAATGACTTCGGGCTGTTGTAGATTAAAAATGGATCCACGCCCTTCCTCAGTTCAACCAGATTAAGCTGCTCATGCCGTTTAATCCACCCATTCAGGTCTCTATTAAGCCTAAAACACATAACTATGACATATAAGTCTTTACCTTAATTTTTCTGTGGTGTTCAGGGATGTATAAGTGCATATTGTACTGTTAGCAGAGGTTGAAGCATTGTAATGATTATATGAAACTTGAGGTAAAGATCGACCATGATGTTCCTTTAGGAATATGAGATCAGAAGACGTCGCCAACTGTAGTTCTGTCGATACGGGAGGACTAAAACGAAGATAACATGACATTCCAAAAAAACTTGCCTGTCAGTGTAGCCGTTATTCAAGGTAAATAAAAGGGCACAGAATGCCAAACAAACTCCGGCTACCTTCTTCGCCTTCTTATGAGGAACATTATAGGATTTCCTGTTCGAGAAGAGCTCCCTTTCTTCTTCTAGCTCACGAACTCGCTCTTTTAAAAACTTATTCTCTTCTTTCAGCCGATTACACTCAGCTTCGTATTCAGTTAGTTGTTGCTTCATGTTGTCCAATTCCATGCGCTTTCGATACCTCGAGGCTTGAGCTGCCGCCCGATTCCGGAGACGTTTATCTTCGATCTTCTTTATAAATCCATTCTAAAATATCATGAGTTTCACCGGTATAAATAAATCACCCTACAGGAACTTACCTCTGCGTCGCCACTTTTCACAGCATTCGCGATAATATTGCTATTCGACAATTGAACAGAACTGGAGGAAATCGGAGTCGCTACAACAAGCCTGGTGGCCGGGACTAAAGTTACCGGCGTGGCTAACATCACGGTATTTAGAGGCACTGTTTTAATTGGCAGTTGTGTTTGGAAGTTTTGAGGTTGTGGTGATGGCATTGTAATATAATTATTTTCAGGTGATGCCTAAAATCTCCATCAATTTTAATAAGACATACCTGACAATGCGAACTGGATGAAAACGGAGAATATACATCGTTGTCTCGTATTGCCGAAGATGCAAAGAAATGGGTTTCTACATCATATTTGGAGACGTCGTCATTTGAACTTCCAGGAGAATAATTACCAGAGTCTGAAGATTCTGGTGTAAATTTTTGATCCCACTTGTAATCATTCAATATATCCACATCCGAAGGGGCTAAATCCACGTTATTCTAAAAGGAACAAAAATTTTTCATGACTAATTCAATAATTACTTACTCTGAACTCATCATTAGAAAAGAAATCGATCTCATCCTCAGGACACGTAAATAAATTATTGTAAGTCTCCACATCACATTCATCTAGTCCACTCATTTCGTTTGTTTATTCAAAATACATACAAGACAAATTTTTAGCGATATCGGGATAAAATATATTACAGCTATTTTGTTAGAAACGTTAAGCCAAGAAATGCGTTTTCCGTTCGAAACTCAGAAGAAACGTCAGTGTAAATTTTTATGGGAGTAACCTTTGTTGTGAAGGAGTGTAACATCAGGGGCAGCCACGGGGCCGGGCCCGACAAAAATGGGCCGGGCCTGATTTTTGCTGGATGGGTTTTGTCCCCGTTTTTGTCACCACTTTTTTTGGGCCTTTTTGCCCCACCCCGGTTTTGTCACCAGGACGTTTTTGTCCCCAAGCCGGTTGTGGCTGGGCAAATTGTGTGTCCATTGGCGTTGGTACAAACTGCAGAGTAATCGAGGTACTACATATTAGCACTTGATACTATACAGTGCAATTAAAAATTATGCATTCAGATGTTAAAATACTGTTGGTTTGGTGCCCAGTACTGCTCAAAAATATGTTTTTAGCCCTTGGTACTGTATAGCACTAGGTCGTACTATATAGCATGGGGTAAAAATTAAGCTATAACAAATTTCTGTCCCCACAAAACCGGTGTGCGGACAATAAAATAAAAAAAGTGGGGGCAACACCGTCTTGGGGGCAAAACCGTCTGGGGACAGAACCGATCTGGGGACAAGAAGGGCCAAAAAAAATTGGCACAAAAACGTCCTGGGCATAAAATCGGGCCCAATCGTTTTTATACATCTAATGTGATGCGGTCAAAAGGTTTACAAATCAATTATCATAATTTTTCTGTTGGGGCAATATTGATTGATTAGGATGTGTATTTTATCTGACAGAGTGTCATATCTATGTCTACATTGAGTTATACGTCGACTTCTCCACGTTGAGTTAGGCTGCTGGTATTGATGTTTTTGGAAGGCCTCTAGAGTTTTTCTCTGAAATGGGTCAAAGGCGGATGAAATCCTTTTTCCATTCGGATTTCGATTCTTCCGAACGACCTTCGTGTGATGGAGATTTCGGGGATTTTAAGCCTCTACGTTAAAACTTTGGATATCGTCTTTGGTGGCCATGTTCCGCTTTCGAGATTGTATCACAGACATAATTCAGAAGGTAAAAGGAATATGTAAACCCGTTACAAAATTACCTTCAGTGTTGATCAAAAAAGATTCCGCCAGATACGCCAGAATGGAATAGTCATATATGAGCTGCGTTTTATCGACAAAACTAATTTTCTGTTTATATTTAACTCGTACTCGTATTTTTTTATAAAGCTTTATTTCTTTTTCTCTGGCTTTTGTTAAAATACTGGGAAAGATGTGTTGCGTACGATTTGGCTCAAAAACGTTGGGTGTGTCTATTGTTATTTTCAAGATCGTGGCCACGAAATGTAGTAAAAAACACGAAAGAGTTAAATTTTGCACGGGAGCCGGAGCCACAAATTTAACTCCGGCTCTGGGAGCAGCTAAGTGCCGGAGCCGAGATTTTGGTCGTGGCAATCTCTGGTCAGATTTGGGGAGGATAGGTTACCCCGAGAATGGGTTACCCTGAGGATAGGTTACCCTTTACCAAAAAATCTTTTTTGGAGTGTTTTCGCTTCGGGACTGGAAAAAAAAGATTTTTTTGTGAAAATTGAACAGAATTTGAAATGTTTTCGTTTCGGAATTGGGAAAAAACGATTTTTTGTGAAAATTGAACAAATTTTGGATTTGGGGAGGATAGGTTACCCCGAGAACAGATAGGCCACCCTTTACCAAAAAAAAAAGGAAAAAAAATAGATTTTCAAATGTTTTCGCTTTGTGAGTAGAAAAAAAATTTAAGCAGAGAATGGGACATAGCGAATCCAAACGGCTTTTCGCTGTCCGCAAAGTAAGTTTTTAGCCAAATGGCCATGTTGGAGGTGGTGTTGAGTTGGGATACTCCTGGAACATGATCTACATAATTTTTTTAAATCTTTTTTTCTACTCCCGAAGCGAAAAAATTTCAAATTTTGTTCAATTTTCACAAAAAAGTCTTTTTTTGCAGTCCCGAAGCGAAAACACTTCAAAAAAATTTTTTATAACCTATCCGGTGGGATAACCTATTAGCTAGGGGTAGGGTTTAGGCATGGCTCCGGGCCGGGCTTTCCAAAATTTTCCGGCCGGCCCGGTTTTTTTGAAATCTGGATTTTGCCCGGAAAAAAGGAAAAATAGGGTTTTTGTTAGATTTTTTTCATTTTTTTCGAACACAATGCTGATAGCGAACGTAAAGATTACCACTTGCCCAAATAAAAAAATAATTTTCCAGTCAATTTGAAAAAATTTTCAGAAATTCTTAAGTGCGACTTCATAGTTAATACGCTGGCAAAAAAAGAAACCGAAAGAAAGCGCGATTCGCTCGTAGGTTTTTTCAGATCCGACAAAACATCTGTGATAAAATATTTTTGCTAAAATTTGGGTGACTCTACACAAATTTTTATGATTTTTTGTAACCATATGGTAAGAAAATTTATGGCGACTTAGTAATTTATAAAAATAGCCAAGCGGCAATTGCACTATGTATAGGTTTTGCTAAATTATTGTTTACATTTTGCGAAAATGTGCCATAATTTTCCCTTCATTTCCTGCTTTCTTTCTTTCCAACCTAGTACAAAAATTTTCCGGGCCGAACGGGCCGGGCTTTCCAAATTTTCCAAGCCCGGGCCCTTTTCCCAACTACAACAAACAAAACAAGTACTTTAACAATGGAACAGTTTAACAAAATAATTCGCAGTCAGATTTCGAATTTTTTCACTTTAATCTTCCGACTTCGGCAACTGGCCAACTAGTTTTGACCTCAAAACCAAGTTAAAAAAACAAATTATGACAAAATGTCAACATTCATTGATTTTTTATGACCAAATTCCACTTTTTTTACATTTTTTAAATGTAAAAGTACTTTGAACATTCCCTTAACCCTTTCCGGACGAGTCGGCACCTCCATGCAGAAATGAAAGAGGGTACCCTACTGAGTAAAGGCATAATAGTGGTTCAGCCCATCGAAGCGTTATTTGGGACTTATGACAAAAAATGTCCTAAAAAGTACCCCCAGTTGACATAACCCTTATAAAATTTTTCTAACGATCTGTAAATTAGAAACTACCCCTAGGTTAAAGTCTAAGACTCCTACTACTGTTACATCCAAGAACTGTCCAAATCGGACCACTACAGGATTAGTTATCGACTTTTGGAAATTGAATTTTAAATTTCGACCAATTTTTGACCCAAAATTGAGTATATCTTCCGCCGGAATCAACCATTTCAGTCTAAATGTGGTTTTTCTGAATCTAGAGTGACGGTAGCTTCTTCCCAGAATGTTTCCAGAAAAAACCTATGGGGCACTTTTCTGTAAAAAGCGAAAAGGTTGAAAGCGTAAAGGTTTCACCGTATAAAATGTCGCCGCAAACCGAGAAAGGTCGGGCGCAGCTCGAAAGGCGAAAATAATATATATTTTTTTGAGAAATACTATTTTAGTGTGAAACTAAAGCAAAATCCAATGAAATTGCCTGAAAACGCATTAAAAATATTAAAATGACATTGAGTTAATGTTTGCGTGCTCTGTCTGTCTGTATTTCATCTGAATTCAGCTTGTCGACACTAAAATATTATTTTTCGAAGAAAAAATATTATTTTCGCCTTTCGAGCTGCGCCCGACCCTTCTCGGCTTGCGGCGACATTTTATACGGTGAAACCTTTACGTTTTCAACTTTTTCGCTTTTTACAGAAACGTGCTCTATAGGTTTTTTCTGGAAACATTCTAGGAAGAAGCTAGCGTCAATGTAGATTCAGAAAAACCACATTTGGACCGAGATGGTTGATTCCGGCGGAAGATATACTCCATTTTGGGCCAAAAATTGGTCGAAATTTAAAATTCAATTTCCAAAAGTCGATAACTAATCCTGTAGTGGTCCGATTTGGACAGTTCTTGGATGTAACAGTAGTAGGAGTCTTAGACTTTAACTTAGGGGTAGTTTCTAATTTACAGGTCGTTAGAAAAATTTTATAAGGGTTATGTCAACTGGGGGTACTTTTTAAGACCTTTTTTGTCATAAGTCCCAAATAACGCTTCGATGGGCTGAACCACTATTATGCCGTTACTCAGTAGGGTACCCTCTTTCATTTCTGCATGGAGGTGCCGACTCGTCCGGAAAGGGTTAAATACCCGAAAGGCTTCGCGAGTATTTGGGAATATACCCGGATATATACTCCGTCCGAACCCTACTCGTAACTCGACTTATTGAGCCATCTTCGAAGCTTCCCTGCTGTTAGAATGTTTCCCGGGCTTTTGGCAAAATGGAGAAATCCTTGGCATTCCGCAACTAGTAAGATTTCTTATGACAAGAAAGATTCACCGATTGGGTCTATAGCTTTTCTCTGCCAAGGTTATTCAATACTAGGCTAAATTCCAATCTTTCTGAGTTCTCTAAGAAGCCAAGAAAAAGTTATTTAACAGTACGCCAAATATTTGTTTCCGTGGCGTGACGCGACGAGAGTTCCGTAAAAAAACGTTGTGTATGGCCAACGGAGAGGAGTCCAGATTTTTTTGGGCACGAGTTCGTAAAAAACCTTTTTGTAGGAATGTGTGACAAATAAACGAAAAAATGTCTAAAGAATATTACTTTGTGATCGTTGGGAGGGATGATCAGCCCGTTTTTGAGATTGAATACCCTGTTGCTGCTCAAAAGAAGAGAAAGGAAAATGATGTTAGGCATTTACATCAATTCATAGCACATGCCGCCTTGGATATCGTGGATGAGCAAGCTCTGCATTCGTCGACCATGTATTTGAAAGTAAGGGTTTTATTATAAATTGTTTTTACTGTTTAGGTAGTCGATAAATTCAATGAATGGTTTGTGTCCGCTTTCTTAACAGCAAGTCGTATGAGGTTTATAATATTGCACACGCAGAAGAATGAAGAAAACATCCGCCAGTTCTTTCAGGAGATATATGAAGTGTATATAAAACATAGTATGAATCCGTTTTACATTCCCGACAGTCCGATTAAAAGCCGTGCCTTTGAAGAGAAAGTAATTTTTTATGCCAGGAAGTACCTATATTAATAAATAATTTATTACAATTTTTTATTGTATGCATTGGTTTGAAGCCTATGATACCTAACTAGATTACGAGTTTAATCATAATTTTATTTTAGCTTTAAGGATAGAAGATGTGCCGCTGCATTCTGTTTTTGCTCTGTATTATCTTTCCGGTATGTTCGTTTATTGTGTTCTCATATTTTTTTCGTTTTAGCCTCTGGCAGTGCTGATTGAACGCGGATGCTCGGTCCATCTGTGCATCAATATTTTCTTCACCCTGTTGGCTTGGATTCCGGGCGTGATCCATGCCATTTATGTGTGCTTTTATGACAAGTCTCCATGAGATGATCTCTGTTCCCCTTTCCTATCAATGTTTTACCATTCAAATGATCTGAACTCCCTATTTGTGACAATCTCAATGTTCTGGTTGCTAGCTTTAAATCATTTCCAACTTTCTTTTTTCAAGTGTAATAAATCTTGAAGAATTCGGAAATCTTGACGATGATTCCAGTTCGTATCTGGTGTACTTAGCCACCCTAAACTAAAAATGAAACAAAAGTAGATGTTCTGAAAGTAGTACGATGCCCCAATGGTTGCCACTTCAGAAGGGTGAAGTTCTTCCTCTGTTCGTCCAACGACCGAAGCCAGCTAGTTGTGTTACGACTGGGATTAGACGATGGAGGGCATTACATCGATTCCAAAGGACTGTAATCATAGCTCTAGCTTGCGGCTTGCTAATATTTGGCTTTTATGCGCAAGTCTACAGCCTCTCGAGTCAGGTGGAAGATGTCTATCACAGACAGGTACGCCTAGAAGTTATAAATAATAATATCGTTTTCTTAGGCTTTCACGACTAAGAGATACAGGACAGAAAATAATGCCTCAGGGAATGTTCGGTCTGGTGTGATAACTTTTCCAGAGCCCAACCAAAGGCAACAAGCAATAAGAGATGCTTTTAAACATGCCTGGCGGGGTTACAAGAAATTTGCATGGGGATATGATCATCTTAAACCGATCTCCAAGGGGTATTCTGAGTGGATGCAGTGCGGATTGACTATAATAGATTCACTTGATACGATGTTAATAATGAATTTAGAAGAAGGTAAGAACGGACTGTTTTACGTTCTTTGGGCTGTGTGGATTTATTATAAGTAACACTATGTTTAGAGTTTGCGGAAGCGAAGGAATGGGTAATTAATTCGCTCAGCTTTGAAAAGGATAACTATGTCAACCTGTTCGAAACTACAATTAGAATATTAGGCGGACTTCTTACAGCTTTTCACATTACTAAAGACGATGTATTCAAGCTGAAGGCTGAAGATATTGGATTGCGGTTGATGGGAGCGTTAGAAAAAACCACTGTACCTTACAGCGATGTGAATTTAAAGACTAAGTAAGACCTTAAAGAGTGCTGAGTTGTATTGTTCATTTAGGCAAGCAAAACAGCCAGCTTGGGGCGGCGAGAGTTCATTGTCAGAAGTTACCTCAATTCAGTTAGAATTTAGAGATCTTAGTAGATTAACGGGTAATCAAAGTTTTGAGGTAAGAAGTTGGTTATTAGGTGCTTGCTGAGTACGAACGACCTTTATTTCGAAAAGTTTAGACAAAATCGTTCCAAGTCTCAGAACATATTCATAAAATTGGATGCAAGAATCACGATGGTTTATGTGGGATGTTTCTAAACCCTGCTACGGGGACTTTCCGCGATGGAACTACAATTACTTTGGGAGCGAGAGCTGATAGTTTTTACGAATATCTCTTAAAACAGTGGCTTCAAACGGGGAAGACGATCGATTGGTTAAGAACTGACTATGCCGAATCAGTTGATGCTATGAAAAAACATCTCTGGAGATCGTCAGAACCGAATAAATTCTGGTTTGTCGGAGAATTGTTATCAGGCAATTCTTTTTCTCCTAAAATGGTAATACCAAATTCACAGTAAACCGACTTTCTAGGACCATTTGGTATGTTTCTTAGCGGGAACCTTGGCCTTAGGCACAGAAAACGGAATGCCCGAATGGCATCTGGAAATGGCAAAAAACTTGTCAAGGACTTGTTATGAGATGTACAAAACACCAACTGGACTGGCTCCAGAGATTGCCTACTTTAACCAACTACCGGGGACAAACAAAGACGACGTTATCATTAAGGTAAAGCTTTTAAACATATGGTTAATGCTCTTCAGCCCCTGGATGCGCACTCCTTACTGCGTCCGGAAGCTTTCGAAGCATGGTTCTATATGTATCGAATAACCAAAGACAAGATGTATCAAGAATGGGGATGGGAAGCGTTTCTGGCCATTGAACGATATGCCCGGGTAGAAAATGGATACTCATCCGTCAACAATTGCAAGAAGATTCCAGTCACCTATCGGTATGGAAGTCACTGGTTGCTTAATTCCAGTTTTAGAGATATGATGGAGTCATTCTTCTTGTCAGAGAGCTTAAAATACTTGTACCTTCTTCTTTCCGATGATCAGACAATATTTCCATTAAACGAGTACGTCTTCAATACCGAGGGGCATCCGCTGCCGGTGTATAATTATTAATATTTAATAATTATTAGATAAATAAATAACAAGAAACATCTAGAATCACTTCTGCGCGGCTAGAGTGCGGAAAAGTCTGTGTCCGCTGATAAAGGTGACCACAGAGATTGGGACGAGGTAGTACAACGTCTCAAACATGTTCAAATGGAGCCAAAAGCAGGTATATAGGCCAAAGATTCCAATTATTCCTCCATGGAACCCAAGGATCCACACAGAAAAAGGCAATTTTCCAAAGTTGATTCCGATTACAAGCCACTAAAAATTCACATAATAATTCCTTTGCTTACCGAAATTAAGAGCAGCAACAATGGAGCAGCACAAACCAAAGCAAAAACATGCCCAAAGAAGGCTGGAGGGCGAGCTTCAGGTTCCCGGAAAAGATGTTTTATCTCTTTTCTTGGCTGGTAGTGGATTTGTTGGGAAACCGGAAGAGTTTTTGGAGCAACTGCCTCCACTTTCACATTAAATTGAGCAAAGACCCAGTCCAGTGGTTCTACTTTAGCATCACCAAGAATCAGATGTGCAGAATACACACCAGGTTCGCCTCCAAATTCCTTTCCGTGCGTTTTCATGCTCTAAAAGAATAAAACAAATGTTATCAACGGATTTTGAACTTACCAAATCGAATACATAACTTTCAGTCTTAGCATCCTGTTCAATTACAAAAGCCACCTCTTTCTTCGATTTGTCGTTGACAAAGATAACAAACGCTTGATGGACGCTGGCAGCCTTGTTGTCAGAGAGCACTTTGAATGACAATTTCAGATCGTGAGACGAGTCGAGCTCAACAACTTTGCTGAGTTTTTGTCCAGAAGTCAGACTGAAAATGAATTGTATATAAAGTGAGATAAACAAAAACAGTTTTTGATGCACGTATACTTACGTTTTCTCGGTGCCCACACCATCAGTTAGAACCACATCTTTTAACGAAATTTTGCCTAACTGAGCACATGAAACAGCCGTAACCCAAAGGACGAATAAGTACACTCTCATCTTCTACAATACGTACCTGTTTGGACCTCTGAATTGCTTGCCAAGTGGCGAAAACTAATGTTTTGGCGTTCTGTTTGAATAATCAATTTTTCGCTCTGATACCGCACACACGCTCGCAAAAATTCTGCCCGCAAAAGTCGCGACGCCGTTCTCACAATCAGCTGTATTTGACGAACAGCAATTTGTCGGTAGTGTCAATGAGAAGTCAAACTATATAATAAAATTCTGCCCGGCTAAAAAAAATACGCTAAAAACAGACCTCAAAACGGAAATTGGACAGATCGTGGAAATTGGTCAGATTTTTTTTCACTGCAATGCCGCAAAATCCGGTGTCAAAAAAGCTTTTTTTTTTGTAAATCATTTTTTTTAGCAGCTAGAGGCGCCTAAGACAAGGCGTAATAAAGTGCGGAAAAATATCAGAGCGAAGTCCCTCTGTGATTATGCAAATTTTAAGGATTTTAACGGCTTAGAAAGACCGGGAAAATGATTTAAAAAATGGTATTTCTTACTTTTGATGCCTCAGAACTGCACTTCACCGTACACTTTTAAAAAAACGAAAGTTCCTATTTTTTAGGAAATTTGATGCTGTATAACGTGTAATTTAAAAAAAAAGTGCAAAAGGATCAAAACTTTATTTGGAAAGGGAAGAGTAAATATACTATAGACATTATTTCGGCAACACCGTGTCTTGTCCATTACATCAAAGTTAACTCTTTCGCGTCTTCGCATAATCAACAAATTCATCAATCATGACCGGCCATGCGCCCTCAGCGTCGTAATTGTCATAAGTGTCCATGGTTTGCACCAGAAAGTCGAAAAAGAGATTCCAAGTATCACGAGAAACCCCCCGAGTTTTGTTATTTTTGAGGAACTCAATCCAAATGGGCACTCGGCTATCCCGGTCTTCGAAGATCAAATTCCAATAAGCCACTGCGGTATCTATTTCCAAGAACCTGGTGGCAGCACTTTTAGCATAATTGAATGCAAACTGGTACAGTTGTTTGAATTTCTGGGTGTCTTTTATCTCATTTCGCCAATTTGACACCTGATTTCTCATTTTATCAATTGTGTCGACCCTAAACATTGAAGCCAATCATCTGGAAAAATGCTCCTTACCTCATTTGAATGCACCCGTTTTTAAACTCCTCCTGAGAGAATTCGCATTGAGTTTCAGCTTTCATTTTCCAAGCCAAGATCAACGCGTCAACTGACGACGGATCGACATGGAGATCATTTAAAAGTCTGAGCATTCCGTTCGGGCCAATTCGATTCTCCACACCCGTCTGTTTTAGGTCTTCCTTGTCTAAAAAAATAAAAGCTTACAACGACTGTACATACCATTAGCATAGGCGTTGAAAAGCGCGTCAATTTTACGGGCATCACATCCAGACGAGCTTTCTTGGAAGGAGGGAGTCTGGTAAAATATGTCTAAAGCCCTTTCAATGTTCCAGTCTGCGTTATTGAGGCATTTTTGTGCGATGATTTCATCACAGTTAGCGATTTGCAAGAAGGTTCTCAACTAAACGAGAAAGACAAACGTTTGAAACAATCAAACTTACTTTATCACGCTGTCCAGCTTTCAACTTTGCGCTCATCGTCGGGGCCGGGGGACTCGGCTCACCGAGTTTCAGTCTTTTTGCTGCCCGCGCCACGACGAACTCCTGGAAGAATTTTATTATTTTGAACATGCAATCCCAGCAAAAAACGCTATTGGTTTATCTTCAAACAAATAATAACAATAATTTATCACGTCCCGAAAGAAGATACTAATGAGCGCTCTAATGCCGCACACACAATCTTTAGTAAAGCAGACAGAAGAATCGGTCAGAAATCGAAATATTTGAGAAAATATATTTGTGACACTTCGCAACATACCCACCAAAGACAATACTTTTGGTGGCAATTCGTCCAGATCCTTCTGCAGCTGCAGAAGGATCTAGACGACCCTGGTTTACAGGTTAGTACTAGGGTTCGGAAAATTCGGGTATATTCACCACGCGGGTATATACCCGAAATCTTGGGTATATTCGGTTTTATAAAATTAGCCCAATATAATACCAATATGACGTCGTTTGCAATTTATTCATTAACTTAATTAATCAAGTTTGGGGTGATATTCTTGACAACGAACAAAACAAGTACTTTAACAATCCAATATTTCGCAGTCAGATTTGGAATTTATTCCCCTTCATCTTCCGACTCCGGCAACGGCCTGACTAGCTTTCGACATCGAAACCTTTTGAACGAAAAAAACAAACTATGACAAAATATCAACATTCATGGATTTTTTTTGACCAAATTCCACATTTTTTGCATCTTTTTAAATGTAAAAGTGCTTTGAAAATTTCCATAAATACCCGAAAATACCCGGCTTCGCGGGTATTTGGGTGTATACCCCGTCCGAACCCTAGTTAGTACATACAGGTATTGGCAACCTTTTTTTGAAGTTTCAGGTTCGGGCCGACATGTTTCAAAATTTTTGCAGCCCCGGTAAAAATGAAGTACAGTATTTCCTCTGATCTCGCCGCCTCTGTGGGGCTCACACGCTTTCAACCGCAAGAATTTTGCGCCGCTCTTTTTTTTTTTTTTTGAATTTTGCCGCGCAAAAAGACAGTTGCGTGGTGTTGCGAGAAAAGTTCTGACAAGGGGTTTTTTTCATTAAAGTACGTGTCTCACCAAGCCAGAGAATGGTTTTTCCTCCAACAGCTAAGTTTTTCGCGGCGGGACGCGCGCCGAATGGGCGTGCCACTAAAAATAAAAATATTTTTCCAAATAAAATTGATGTTGAACTGTAAAAATGATGTTTGAATGGAGTTTTCACACAGGTAAGTAAGATTTTATACCTATTTGAGCTTGAAAATACTATAGTTGTTCTTAGTTGTCCAATTTTTCCTCAGTTTTCGCAATATTACGTGGTTTTTCGGACAGATCAAGATTGGCAATGGAGAATTTCAGTTTTTTTGGATATAATTTCAGGAATACAAGCAAAATGGGCCTTCCCAACACCGGAATCTCCTCCAAGGCCATGAATATCACGAACTCCTCCTCCAATCATGCTTTTTGAACGCATTGGTATGTTGTTTTAGATTACTATTGCATTATTTATTTTGATTTTAGGTAAATCTCTTCGTATTTATCGATGCTGAAGCCTCACGCCTCGTCCGGTACAACAATCGCCCCATAGCATTACTGATCCCATACGGCCCTCTTTAGGGCCACATATTACGCTTATATTATTTTACCTTGTTTTATAGGTTTTTGTTATAAATAACTATTTTTGTTCGACTTTATCGTATTTATGGTGGTTTACATTTTGTTTTATAGAGTTTCTGGTCTAAACCTTCATAAAAAACCTTGTTTCAGAAATGATTTACATGCTCTGTAAATTCTGTATTGCAATCTACGAAAAATCTTTATTTACGTCCAAAGCTTCAATATCAAAGAAATGTGGCCCTAAAGAGGGCCGTATGGGATCAGTAATGGGTGAAGTGGGAGCGTTGAACCATCGTTCGTGATCAATTCTCCGGGTAGAATCACACGGACCGAAATCCGGATTTCGCCAGAAGAGATGGGGCAATTGTTGTACCGGACGAGTCGTGAGGTTTCAGCATCGATAAATCCGAAGAGATTACCTAAAATCTAAATGAATAATGCAATAACATCTAAAACAACATACCAATGCGTTCAAAAAGCATCTTTCGAGAAGGAGTTCGTGATATACTCAAGGCCTTGGAGGAGATTCCGGTGCTGGGAAGCCCATTTTGCTTGTATTCCTGAAATTATATCCAAAAAAAACTGAAATTCTCCGTTGCCAATCTTGATCTGTCCGCAAAATAACGTAATATTGCGAAAACTAAGGAAAAATTGGACAAATAAGAACAATTATAGTATTTTAAAGCTCAAATAGATATAAAATCTTACTTACCTGGTGAAAACTCCATTCAAACATCATTTTAACAGTTCAACATCAATTTTATTTGGAAAAATATTTTTATTTTTAGTGGCACGCCCATTCGGCGCGCGTCCCGCCGCGAAAAACTTAGCTGTTGGAGGAAAAACCATTCTCTGGCTTGGTGAGACACGTACTTTAAGTAGCTAATTCTTACATATTCTGAATCAGAAAAATTTTGAATTTTTTTGATATTTGTCTCGGGTTGTAACTCCATACCCCATAGAAGTACTTTCCTTGTTAAAGTACGCACTTCTGGAAGCCTAGCAATACACTTGGCCACCTGCAAATTAATTCCCGTCGGGACCCAAAAAGGGATTTGAATTTGTTTGTGTACGGTAGAAAAAATATTTTACAAGGAAAGTACTTTTATGGGGGCTCCTACTTTTTGACGGGAGATATCTCAAAAAATCAGAAAAAATGTGCTGATCAAGGATATATAAATCTTAGCTGCCCATTTTAGGTTTTTAGGGGTGAAAATGCCCAAAAACTGGCTTAATTTCCCTACAAAAGGTGCAGGCATTCGAAACGATAAAAAGCGCAGTCGGTCTCTTCCTCCGGAAGAGAGCGGTGTGGCTGAGTGGTTAGTGCCGCAGTCTGGGAATCAAGAGGGGCGACGCCGCACGGGTTCGATTTCCCTTTTGGGCTGAATCAACTTTTTTGAAGTTGAACGTCGGAAAAATAAATTTTTGGGCCAAGACTGATTTATTACGTCTTAGAAACTCAATAAACATCATTTTAAGCCAAAATAAAAACTGTAACCCTGTGAAATCAAGCGAAAAGGGGTTCATATAGGACTTTAAGTCAACTTACGATTGAGTTTTCACCCCTAAAAACCTAAAATGGGCAGCTAAGATTTATATATCCTTGATCAGCACATTTTTTCTGATTTTTTGAGATATCTCCCGTCAAAAAGTAGGAGCCCCCATAAAAGTACTTTCCTTGTTAAAAAAATATTTTAAAGAATATGTAAGAATTAGCTACTTAAAAAATATTTTAAAAATATTTTTTTCTACCGTACACAAACAAATTCAAATCCCTTTTTGGGTCCCGACGGGAATTAATTTGCAGGTGGCCAAGTGTATTGCTAGGCTTCCAGAAGTGCGTACTTTAAATATTATTCCAAAAAAGTTATTAGTGCCAGCGATGACATACCCAACGTTTTTGAGCCAAGTCATATGAAACACATCCTCCCGAGTATTTTTTTTGGTTTAACAAGATCACGAAATTTTTACTTTTCTGAACGCCGAAAAGCCTGGCTCCGACTTTGGGAGCGGGAGCCGGAGCCAAGAGCCGGCACCGGAGCCGTGGCAATCTCTCCTTGTGAATATAGACGGTGTTGCGCTAATTAGTCAAAATTTATATACAGATATAAATATGTTATGTGTCATAGTACATGGCATAATAGTCGTTATTCTGTCTGAAATTTGTCCTTGGGACTAGTCGAACGGGTTCAATAGGTGGGAATGGCGTTCTAAGAGATGATGGTTCGAATTTACTCGTTGCAATCCCCTGCGTCGATCTAGCTTGGTAGTGGGGTGTAGTTGTCTCAGGCCTGAGGTTCTTATCGGTGTAAGTGGGCCCTTCTTTGTTGACAGGTATTGTTTCCTCTTTTGTTATCTGAACTTCATAATCATCTATGTTCTCTGAGATAGTTGGTAATGGTTCTTCTTTAAATTTCTTTTCAAAAATTTTTGGACTCGACGGAGTGTTGATGCTCTTTCGTGCAGGGGTCACTGCATCGACGGGTTCAATGATATCGATCACATCTTCATCTTCTGGCTTTACGTGTTCCAACTAAAAGAAGGTTTTGACAATTTCTCTCTTACCGCCGAGTAGTAATCAAGATTCGATGATATTGGGGGAAGTTTCTCTTCTTTCCCTTGCGCTTTTTCTGGTGTTCCGTCAACGGATGAAGAGAAGTCAGTGCCAAACCCACTTAGTTCGTCAGGTTTCATGTCTGTGCTGTCAATTTTATTCTTGTTAGTGAAATCCTCGATAAGCTCGGGGTTTTCCAGAACCTTTCCGATGATATCCCATCCTTTGGGGTCATGGATCAACCCCATTGCTGTCTGAAACAATAAAACTAGTCGCGCCATAAAGTCCTGACATTTGTTGCGGGTGTCGCGCGAGAAAATTGGAGCGAGCTCGCGCGAAGGTGCATGTCGCTAGTGCAAGAAACGGGGAATTGCCGCGATTTTTTAAAGGAAAACAAAAACGCACTGTGCAAATGTGCCAAGGCTTTATGGCGCGACTATTATTCCAGTGTTTCCTAAATTACTTGGAATTTACTTTACTAACCTGGAAATTTGAGAAGAAATCACTTTTCCTGAACTCGTCGACGGCTTTATAAATGTCCCCGCAGTTGAGTCGATTGCATATTCCAATAAAAGGAAGTTCAGGCAAGGGCTCATCGAAGTTTCCTTTACCCGCTTTTTGCATAAACGTTTCGAATACTCGGGCAAAGTTGAGTTGTTCTAAACATGAATTAATTCAACTGGTACATACCGGGAGACATGTCATGTTGTTTTTCTTGCTTTATATTAGTCATCTTTTGCATGTCTTCACTGTACTGGCTCTGCATTTTGTCTTTTACCTGGTTAAAAATCTCCGTCAAGACACCTCGAGGGCCCAACAACAGAGACTTCCATTGTTTGGAATCATCTAAAATTGACTTTATCGCGACGATGACTCACTAATCTGACTCGGGGCTGAGTCGATGGAAAAAGAAGACTCAGGCTGGTGTTGAGTTGCGTCTCCAGAGTCCATCTTGCTTTTGGTATCATCCATAATGAACATCTTGTTGACCATATTCATTATTCCACCATTTTGCATAAATCTGCTGATAAATGACAGCGCTAGAAAAGTATTGCAGAACTAGTAATGTTTTATAAACGGTACGGGGACTGAATCGCATTTGAAAAAGTCATCTCAGAAAAGTTTCTTCAGAGAGCTAGTTAAAATAAATCTTAAAGTTACACCAAAACAAACCTTCGTTTGAAGGAACATTATCTGGCTTCTGCGAGAGTTGTTCTTGAGGACTTGACGATATACTCGGAACGGAATGTACAGAAACAAACAGAAGAATCACACACAATGAAGGTTTTGAGATCAGCATTTAGGTTGGAATTAGGGAATAGAGATGCATCCACAAAAATCTAGGATTTCCTTAAGGATCTAAGGTGGAAGAGGGATCTGAGGTGAGAGAGCGCGGAAAGAAGGAGCTGGCTGTGATCGACTTCAATCCCCGTCTAGGGAAAACCGGTCCTCTACTTTTTATTTGACGAACCTGGAGGTGACGCGGCTTCGAGTCCTGCCGTAATATCTTTACCTTGACCTATCACCCAGCCTTGACATGGTTGGCTTTACTCCACCATGTAATCTCCTTCACATTATTTAATTTATTATGTTAAGTCTCTGAGATACTGGATACAATTCAGCTTTTTACCAGGTTGTTGTGTCGGCGCAATTATCGATGAAGACGTCGTATCCTGCGACACTTCGTCGTAGTACTCTGCACTTCGCTGCCGTCTGGGTCTTTCCTTATCTTCTAGCAAATCGTTGTCCTCATACTCGTTGTCTTCATTTGTATTAGGCGTAATTGGGCGTGGTATTGGTAACGCCGGTTTTTTTAATGATTGTCCGGTTGTGTATTTGACTGCTGCCGGACGAGGATTTCGTGCTCGAGGCGGCGAAATTCCCTTGGTTGAAGGTGTTACTGCTCCCAATGGAGGGGTTTTATGATTAGTTGTTCGCATCGTTGTCTGCGTCTGATTAGTCATCATTCCTCTTCCCACGCGCATTGTTTTCGTCTCGATATTCTTAACCCTCGTTGACCAGGTATGTGAACCAAGTGGCAAGCTTGAACTCCATCGGTCGGGAATAGGTTCAGGACTGTCGTTAATTGGTTCTAGGACATTTGTCAAGGGTTCAGAGGTGGTGTTTTCCTCCACTGGCTTCTCGATTGAGTTCATAAAACGGTCGATCAATTGGAATCCTTTAGAAAACATTTTGCATTGATCATGAGAAAGACCTTGCTCTCGGCACACTGATGTCACGGCTTCTGGATTTCTGAATTCAGTGTGAATCGGAGCTCATTCTACTTACTGGCTGATGACTTTTCTCATTTTCTTATCTTGAATCAGTTGTGCGGCCAAATTAAGGTTTGCAAAACTTTCGTCGTATTTAAAATTGTGGGCTGTACATGAGATAAATTTGCATATTTGAGAGTTGCCTTGGCAAATTGGAGCGTCTGAAGTCGCGACAAAAGTAGGAGCTCCAAGAACTGCCACTTCCCTGCGAGGCGTGTCATAAGGGCTCTAAACTTTGAACATTAACGTTGTCTGATCACTTACTAACCTTCTTTACTATCCCTGGACTTTCATGAATGGGCCTGGTTGTATCAAATATCGGTTTCACAAAACTCAATGCTGTATGAATGAGATCGTCAAGGGAAACTGCAATATTTTAATTTAATACAGAGCCAGGTTGAACGTTTACGACAAGGCATGTTTAAGAAGTTTTACACCCGAGGCCTTATATACACTCAGACGATTCCACGCAACTTAATTGATGTAATCACCCACCTTGACGTTTGACTGGAACAGCAGCAGAAGAGTGAGCGAAAAGAAAAAGCAAAGTCCAGTAACGCCAGTCAGGCGCTTTAGGGATCATATTATACTCAAAACCTTTTGAAGAGTTACCAGAATAGGTGGTGGAAGTCAACAGCGAGGGGAAATCTCTATATAATAATGATTTGCGAAGAGAGGAAGATCGAGAAGAGAAGGGAATGGCGCGCCCTCGTTGCGCTTCACGGCCTCACTTTCAGAAAACCCGCTGAGCCCTTAGGCGATCCATTTTTATTTCATTTTATATCGTTCAAACCACCTAGGGTGTCGTCTGTTTCTGATTTGCCAGAAACATGGGAGGCCTGTTCGTCGTCGTTGTCGTCGTATTCGTCCTCCTTGATGTCGACAACCCCGTACTTGGTATTGTTGGCGGCTTCACTGATTGGGGCTTTGTCCTGTTCTCGTTTTTCGTCAGCGATTTTTTCTTTTGGCTTTCTGAAAATAAAATTTCACGCTTATGGGATAATGACAAGTAAATAATAACACGAGTTCTGTCAGCAACATGCTGGAAAGTCAATTCTCATTTCTTACATGGCTGTGGTGGCCGGGACATTGAGTAAGTGCGCCAGTTTACCTTTGCCTTCCCATGGGAGGGGGAGCTGACTGACTGCTAGTCCTCTTCTCTTGGCCGTCTCAAGCAATGGAGATTTAAACTGATTGTAATCTGAAATCAATGATAAATTATCGTTACGTACTTGAAAAAATACCTGGGGTTTTATTGTAGTTCAATCGTTTGAGAGTCTTGAAATAAATCCACAATTCCTTGGGGATCATGGTCGTCAACTTTTTCTCAGAGTTTTCCTTACACCTCTCCGCCTGTCCTCTGTCCATGCATTTCCAGGGTAATTCTCCATTCAGCATCTCGATCAGCATGTAGAACCATGACCAGAGATCGTCATGTTTGCCAGCTTCTTCTTTCCTGTGCACATTCAGAGAACAATATCTGACAGTTCCTTTGAAGGGTACATTTTTTCGTGGTTCTCGCAACTTTGATTTTCCTTTATCTGTTATCTATAACGGTATGATAAATAGGCAATTACACTTACAATAATCTGCCGAGCCAATCCAAAATCCAGAATGTAAATCAACCGTTTGTTTTTCACTGCAATGGCAAAGTTGGATGGTTTGATATCACGATGGACGAAGCCAGCCTCGTGGACTTCCTTTATCCCCTCTAGAGTCTCTACGCCTACATGTAAAGTCGTGGGCAACTCGAATTTCTGAAATATTCTCGTTCGGGATCAATTCGAACCATACCTGACCAGGCATGGCTTTCCTGAGTTCACTTAAAGATGGTCCAATTAAAGTCATGATGACAAAATAATAAGTCGAGCCTTTCCCGGTCGCCAAGAGTTTGCAGACATGCTTGGCGTTGACCAATTTCTTAAGGACAAACACTTCCATCTTGAGTAATTCATCTTCTTTGAGCATTCCAAATGGTTCTGCCTAAGATATGTTACTATTTAAAAATAATTAGATTATTTGAAATAAAAATTAGATTACTTTTAAAGCAGCGAGATTGTCCGTTTTGACATGTTGAACTTGCCAAACAACTCCGCACCCTCCCTCACCCAGTTTCTTTAACACCTTCCACTGTCCGTTCACAATGTGTCCCGCATTTATCGGGATCTTCTGAATATCAGCTTTGGTCAGCACCATCGAAGGGTCCGTCCGATTTGAAGGAAATGTACAAAATCGAATGAAATTAAAGTCACGAATTTATTGTAAAGCACTTTTAGTGATGGCAGGTAATTTGATGGATAAAAAAAATGACATTTAATCATGGATCACGCTCGATTTCTTTGTCGACATTTATCAGTCATTCGGCCGGCACTGGGGAAGATGGATCCAATGAAAACTTTGCGATTCTGGACGATGTCGTAACTAGTTACACTCATTGGACATCCATCCAATTCGACCTGGAATGATAGTCATCTTGATGGCTAACTTACATCACACGTCCTACTTGAACGCCGACTCAAAAAGCACAAAGTATACAGCCCAAAGTCGAATTCCGGACTTGTCCCAATGAGTAATGAGCCTGCTCTCTTCGCTAATTTATTCCAATAAAACTTTACGGCCGCCATGATATTCTAAAAAGAAAGCAACAACTAAAAAGGTTTGGAAAAATAAATTGGACCCAGAAAAAAATATTTTTCTGAAAAGCAGTATGTTCAAGACGCGCCAATTTTTGTAGCTTGGCTATGACGTTTTTAGTTTTTGGCCAAATTTTAAAACTTTTTTTTGCAGAGTTCACAGAATCGGTATCTTTATTTTATAACATGTTATAATTTGAGCCCGGCCCGCTGACGACCTTTGATTACTGTATCTACTTACTCCGCGTTTTACCAAGAAACCTCTGTAATCAAAGTTTTCAGAAGCATTCCTTTCCAAGGTGTAAAACCTGATCCAATTGTGCATTCCCGAGATCTCTCCATTCTTGGCCTCCCCCACAAAGACGTGCTCGAATCCCGAAGTATCTGGCTGTCCTCGAGCCCTGGAGTAATTATCGAACCATAATTGTTTCAGATATTTTCTCATCGTTTTTTTGTCTTTGGCAAACGGATGACCTAGAAGTATCGTACAGAATAAATAGTCGAAAAACGATTACTTTTTGCCTACCTTTATTCTTCAAAAAAGGTCCAAGGGCACTCCATACAGGCGTCTCCAGGATTAGATCCAGAAACCGGTCGATCTCGGCATTTGACTGAAGTAACTAAACTATGAAGACCGGGCTTACTTGAGTTGACTGTTTTTCAGCGACTCCGGTCTCTATATTATAGTTATCGAGAAGGTCGATCAACGCCTCATAGGTCGGTTTTCTTAGCAAAGATGAATCGATTCCGGTGAACAATCTACAAAGAACGTGTAAGGACGTCTAAAGGATCCGTCAGAATATAAAAAATCGATCGTTGCTCTGCAGAAAATGCAAATTTCAGCCCTTGCAACTGTAAAGAAGGTGTTACCATATTTTAACCGTTTTGCGGTCCGTGTCTCACGATAGGGGTCGTAGTCGTGAGCCCTTACAATGGCAAAAAAAGAGTCATATACAATTACTTTGTCTGAAATCTTGCAGAAGGATTCTTAGAATTAGACGCATTACACGTTTCCCTCACTTTGCTCTTACAAAAATATTTGTCCACACTTTTGGCGCACCCTGTAATACACCAACGACCAAATAATCACGGATCTTCTTACTTTTTGTCAGCCCTATCCGTGACGTCAGCAGATCCCGTATGTCCCTGGAAGTTGAGTTGAATTTGATTTGATCTGGCCTTGTTTTGATCAACTTCTCTCATTTTATTTACAATTGAGACAAGTTCTTGATCACTGATCTCAAATCGAGGAAGTATTTGGGCTGAGGTTGCGCACAATAGTAGAAATATTGTAGTTAAAATCATCTGAAAAAAAAACAAAAGATAGTATTCGAGGAAGGAAGAAAGAAACCCGCAACTCTATATTCCCGTTATGTAATCCTTGTGTTATGCTATGTACTGCATTCCCAGTTTCCTTGGCTACCGTTCCTTTCAGATTAAATGTAATTTACTATTCATTTGCGCTTCCACATTAACGAAAACATGTTCCAAAAGTTGACTTTATTCTCTTACTTATTATTTTTTTCGATAAATTGCTGTTACTTCGACTACGGTAGGTCAAAATTACTATTTTTGCAACGGATTACGTCACGATTACGGTGTTATATATGCTGCTGCAAGTGTAAGGAATCTTTTCAGAGGGTTCAATCAACATCGGATATACATATACACCCCTTTATAAAAACGAGGCAGTTACCGTCGCCGGCTTTCTTGGCAAGGAAATGGGGAGCTATAGTGTAATTGTAAGTGTCAGATAATAGTGGCCGTGGGCTCGACATTTTTTTCTGATTGTGTGCAAAAATGTCGACACCGAATTTTAAAAATCAGCGTCGACTTAATTTTCCGCTTTTTTGGTGTGCACCGGCTTTTTGAAATCATTGGCAAGAACTTTCGCAGAATCGACTGGTTTCGCGAGAAATCAAAATTCGAGAACCTCTTTGACCGCTGTTGTACATATAGGGCTCGTGCTTTATAAGTTTCGTCGGCTTTGCAAAAAAATGTTGCAAAAAGGCGTTCAGAATTCGCTCTGAACGCCTTTTTGCAACATCAGTTCAAATCGTGAAAAATCGTGAACTGATTATTGCAAAATCAGTTCACGGGGTGAACTGATGTTGCAAAAAGGCGTTCACGATTTGAACTGATGTTGCAAAACGGCGTTCAGAGCGAATTCTGAACGCCTTTTTGCAACATTTTTTTGCAAAGCCGACGAAACTTATAAAGCACGAGCCCTATATATGGGAGGTGCTTTATAAATTTCAGCGCGCTAGTCCGTCCGAACCCTGCGGATTTAGTCCAAAGTTAAAAGTTGCGCAATCTTACATAACGTTGCGCAATTTCTCTCTCTGTAAAAATTTCTGCCTTTCTCTGTCGGCTCCTCCTCCCCTCCCTCTTTTTCGTGAACTTTTAACTTTGGACTAAATCCGCGGGGTTGGGATGGACTAGCGCGCTGAAATTTATAAAGCACCTCCCATATATACACGTTAGTTGGAGTTTGCAGATATTCGCTGTACCTGGGACAAACAGTCAGTGGAGTTTAAATAACATTCCAATTGAATTTGATTCTTCTCAAAACAATAGAATCTTCTCAGAAATGGTGCAAGAAAACAGTGACAATGTGTTCGAAATGGCCAATATAAGCATAAATGTAATGTTACCTCCCGATTATATTATCTTAATGACAGGCCCTTGTTCTCAAAAATGGAGACGAATTAAGGTCTGCTGATCTGGATGATGGCTGTTTTATATTCACTGTGACAAGTCAGAATATTCAAACGGAAAATGGAAAATGCACAATTCGGAGAGTGAGACTATTCAGAAGATGTTTTAACGATAACTATGAGTAAGTCGCCCGTATTCATAACATATAAAACATCCAGGATTTCCGGCATTATTCTTGAAGAGAATGTGATCAACAGGGATAATCAATGCTTCAGTCTTAGAGTAAGTTACTCAACCAATAAACTGCAACACTCAGGCAACCCCAATGTCAGTTTCTGGTAATTGTTTCATCAAAACCACAAATTTTACTGTTCCTTTGGATGTAAAAAAGACAGAGAATGTTACTGAATTAAATGGATGTTTCATTTTTGAAAAAGATATGAATGCAACCCTCTATTGTGGCCATACCCAAACCAGCCCAATATCAATTACAAGTTACAAACAATTGATAATTCATAATATAGAAGGACAAGTTAGGCTCAATACGACTAATCCCGTCCTTAAGGTAAGCAAAGGGTGGCGTTTTAGATCAAAGCCCATCTTCAGATGAGACCAGGAATGTAATTTATGGCGTCTCCCGAAAATCCAAATAAACAATCAAATAAAATGCCTTTTCAGATTCCTTTCTCCTTCGATATGCCTCCAAAAATCGTTTTTTCTTTCGATTTCCTCGCCTTTTGTTTGACGGGTAAGTGAGAGTGCGCAAAATAGAGAGGGTGCGAGGAAGTGACAGAGTCCTGAAAAGAGTTCTCTTGCCTTTTCTTCTCGCTCAATACTTTCCTCATTTCTTTTCCAAAGAATCTTTTGTTTCGGCCGTTTTACCATAAAGCATGGGGCGCGCGATGAAGGTTTACCATCTTTCGGCTGACTTGTCGGTGATGCCAACATTATCAGATACTGAGCGCCAAATAAATTCAAAGTTTTTTTGCAGATGACAATGTAAAAATTTCTGGAACGGGTGGGGGCAAAGGTGTTATCTGTGATTTCAATAACTCCAGAGTGACTGGGATGCATAATGTCTTTGTTATAAGATCGTCTGAGCTGGTGGACGTAACGTTAAAATATCAATCTCCTATTCAAATTTATATCCCGAATGTCAGTCCTCAGATCGAAGCCAGAGTTAAAAATGACCTGGATAGTGTTGAATTGGTAGTGTACCCGACAGAAGTGACTAATCTTACGTGTTCCTGGAGTGATTCGGTCAATTTTTTGAGCGGCAACTGTAATGACACTGTCAAAAGAGCAGACTTGTCTGATGTAAGCGCAATTTCCCTTAGATTCATTTTGCAGTCCTTGTTGACAATGGAAGGGTGTACCCAATCCGGCTGTACCATACAAACCATCAGAGTTAATATTCCCCCGAAGATTAGTCTTAAAGTCGACGTTTATGGAATACCAGAAACTCCGGTGTCGAGTAATCGAATAGTCTTATATTCTGGTGTCTCTTTGAATGGATACAATGACTCGTTCACACTCAACAACATCAAGGTAGTTTTTGATGACTACCTAATTTTTTCTTTAGTATTCCTGGTATTTAAATTCGACATTCAAAGCAAAAACCCAGACATTTATCATCAAAGGGAACACATATAAAGGTGGTGATAAAGTCACAGTAATCCTTAATGTAACCGCAAATTGTAATGGAGTAACTGGGATAGGGAGAGCCAGGAAGATCATACAAGTAAGTGGCAGTGAGAAAGATACGATCGTTTTTAGTATGCTCTGCAGCCGTTGGTGGCCATAACTGATAGTTATCAAAGATCTTTATCCCAAGGCGAGAATTTGTATATAGATGCCTCAAAATCTTATAATCCTAACTGGCCTGAGTCCGTGCTGAGACACCAATGGACTTGCTATGATTTCACTAAGGAGGGATTGTGCAAATTAGATGATACAATTGTTTATAACCAGTCCTACTTGACAGTCGATGCATCATTTCTCTACCCCGGTCAAAGGTAATATTGATACATAAGACTGAATAAATTGAAATGGTATTTAGATTGAAATTCATTGATTACATCTCCGATAAACCCCTTAACTCAACTTTGTCCACTATTGTGACCATCCAACCTCGCAATGCTCCTACTGTAACTTTATTGCCATCTTCTCAAGTGTTTATAAATTTTATCGATTCGATCAGAACTCAGGCCTTTGTTCAATCTTCTGGTGGCCATCTGGATACTGAATGGCATCTCTTTGAGAGTGACAGTAAGTATGTTGCATGGGTTTACATTTATATTAGCCAACAAGAGTATCGATATCTCAAAACACTTCCCCAATACGAAACGATCTTTTGATGACACTGACCCAAAACAATCCATCCTATTATCATTCACGTTAACACCTGGATCTAAGTAAGTCTAATTTAAAATAAAAACCGTTCAGCATTATCCTCGGATTGTCGTCAAATAAATCCTATGTGATCCGTTTGTTGGCTAAGAACTCGGCTGGAATTGGTTGGGCTGATAGGATTCTGTCACCAAAATACATTCCTTTGAAGCTCGAGGTGGAGGTCTCAGCCGACGATCCCATTTATGCACTGGAGACACCTGTTACATTGGAATTGGTGAACAAGTCGATTAATCTTTCCAATTCTTACATTCGATTTGGAATCCGGAGTCGGAGTGTGGGGAATGTAACGGCTGATCGATGGAGTCGGTTCTCGGCCTTGAAGAAGTACACAACGTATCTCCCTTCTACCATCGGCGACAATAATAACACGAGTGAATGCAGTACTAGGGCCTCCTATCAAGGACTGGTTGAATTGTGTGATTTCAATGGTTACTGTATTCGTGGCGAGACCCAAGAATTCAATGTAATGTCATCACGGAACTTTGAAAAAGCCTATGACAACATTATGAAGATGATAGATACGGATATGGAAAGTGGGGCATTGCACAATGCGATTGACAAGTTGTTGGCCGTTTATCAAGAGAACTGTACGGCCGAAGTGAATAAAGAAATATTCGATACTCTGGCATCCAAAATGATTTCACAGATCTCGTCGTCCAGGTAAAATACTCGTATTTTCCTTAAGTTTTTTTAGCGATATCCTCGAATTAATGGAAGGAATGCAGTATCTGAATAATGTGATTTTGTGGTCATCTCCGGGAACAATGACCAAGATATCTGAAATCTCATCCAAAGTGAAGTATATTTTAGGATTAGAGAGCAAAAATGGGAAAAAAAGAGAGAAAAGAAATGCCGATCTGATGACGGCTATGGCATTTGGAAGTGGCTCAAGAATTTCTGAGGACATGGTAAAGGGGAAGATCATATTGATTGTGTTGGTTTAGGCAGACGAATTACTTCGGGCGTACGATCTCTTGATAAGTAAAAATCAACAAAGTGAGACCTTGTATTTGAGTAACATCGACGACTTGCTGAGCGCCTTCTGTGTTCAGACTGATTCCAATAATATGATGGAAGCGTCTGGAGGCAAATATACTGACATTAAATTACAAGCTCTAATGCCGAGTTACGACTCTTTTTTGAATGATTCTTATACTTTGGCTGGGAATTCGGGAGATACCGTAAGTCATGCGGAGAGTACAGTAATCCTTCAGATTGAGTTCAATTCCAATTTTAAAGTGAGATATTCGGAGTGGAAGTGCTCCAATGGGAATGTGAGCTGTTCCGAGATTTGTTTGGGATCCGCTCAAGTTAAGCAAGAGATCTTTGATGACAATGAATTTATGAGGAGTGCCTTCACTTCCCCCATGACGTCATCTACTACAATTTATGATCTGGTCTCTGATCTGTTTCGGATTGTTTTTATGGATCCAATTAATGGCCAGGACGTTCAGATGGAGAATTATATCCAATATACGGTCCAGATTCCCATGATCAACTACTCAGCTGCTCTATATTACAAGGTGATTGTCTTCGTCAACACATTAATACTGTTTCAGTGCTTTATATATACGGATTCTTGGAACGGAGATCTCTGTTTAACTTCTAATTATGCTCACAAATCATCGGATTCTGGGTATTTAATGCAATGCCAATGCACCTCGAATGGCTATATTGGGTATGTGAATGTTATTAATGTTGGCCTTGAGTTTATTTTACTGTATGCTTATCTTAGAGTATTCAAAACTGCCCCTTCCACTCCTACTTATATGCCCTTTTACAATGAGATTTCTTTGGAATTTAATACGGTAAGTTTTGTTTTTTCTTTTACTTTTTGAAGACTCAACAAGGAGCCTGCACAATCGATGAATCGAAGATGGCCATGGACAATCTGGCCTCTACGATCTCGGTGGAAGAGAACAGATTTGTGAATATAACTTCTTGTAATGAGAATGGGACTTTCACAGCCATCCTAAGACCAGCCCTGAAGCAGAATCAGACCTCTAATAGTTATGTGGTTCAATCAATTAGGAAGACGGTTCAGCAACCTGGAGGGTTTGTGGCCGGGGTTAACTTTACCATCAATAATGTGACCATTTTCATTGTTGCGAGAGGTGTGTTTGGACTGTAATTTAATTATATTTTAGAGTTATTTAACGATGGCAATGCTCGAAGATTAAGTCTGAGGATAGATAAGACCTTGAAGGAGGTGGCCCCGAGCCATCCAGATCTGGTGGCCCAACAGTGGATCCAGAGTATGGCCACGAATATGAGGATCTCCGAATTCAGATTCAAAAATTACGCAATCTTAATGGGTAAGATGATAATGTTTCCTTTGTTAATTTTAATTATCTAGGTGTAATGTTTAACTTCACAATCACCCTTCCATTCCCTGGAGAGATTAGTGAGGAGAGAGATCTGAGCGCGGAAGTGATCTCATTGATTATCCAAGAACAGATCGAATACGATGAACTGCAGCTTTGTGACAGTGATGGTCAGCCATTACCCATTGATCCTCTTACTGACATCTACCAATTGGTGGTTGCTGAACAGTTGAACACTCTTGTCGTAGTCCTGGGAGTATTTATTACACTTACAGTAACTTTGGGAGCAATCTTGGCTGGTGGTTTGGTGGTGATTAAGGTCAGAACTGACAAGTTAATCCAAGCTCACAACAGAGAGTTCGACGAACATATGAATCACGCCTCAGGGCCCAGTGAAACCTATGATGACCAGCATGCGGAAACTCTGTTCTTCAAATAAAGATTTTTTTACATAAAATCCTAACTTTATGTTATTTGGAAGTGTACTGCATACAGTAAATATTATCCTATTTTTCGAGCGAATTGAGATTCAGATTGATGATTAATGACGTCAAAATTAAAGCCGAGCCAATTATAAAGCCATAACTGATCTGCATTCCATTAAATAGGATGTCTATTACTAAAATAACAAGGATTTATGTTCAGTGATTTGCTTAACTTACTCATATTAAGTGGAATTCCAAATAAAGCACCGATCGTTACAAATAATGGAGTAATTAAGGCGATGGAGAAGTTCACAACAAAGTTGTAGGCTAAAAAATAAGTTATTTTAGGTGTTTTATATTACTCATGTTGAGAAGAGCACTTCCGATTACGTAATACCAAGGGATCTTGTGTAAATTTATAATCTCCACATTTAATATGTACAGTAATATCACTGGGATTACATTCAAGATCAGATTCAAAAATCCGAGCAAGGATAAGACAAAAGAAACCCTTCCGAGACGAGCATTTCCCACAACCTTCTTGAATATCACCTGAAATTTTTGTATCAGCGCCCTTGATTATCAATACAAAAATTGCAAAAATGATGCAACATTTATGATGAGGTTGCTTACCCTGTATAGAGAGGCGAAGAAAGCGGCGAATATGATTGACACCATCCCCAGAAGATCGCCTGCAAACTCCTTATCACAAGAAATGATTACAACGCCAATCACTGCCAGAGCTGTCGACAATGTCTGAAATACTTTTAAATGTCACAATTCCTCTGCGTTATCAAGTAAATTGTAATCTCTTAAAGCTGTTTTCTGATGTTTTAGCCATCGTAAATAGTACCTTCCCATTGATTTACCTTTCTGAGAGTATATTCTTCATTTAGAAATACTCTGCTCAAAATAAATACCATGAAAACATTGGAGCTGATAAGGGAAGTTGAAGCCGAAGCTGAAAGTCGCCCCAGGGAAAAACTGAACAAAACATTGGCCGAGGTCCACAATGTATAAAGTATAAAAGCAATTGTAATCACATGTCTAAACAGTAACTTAAACGACGATTAAAGGCCAGTTTCATACAAATGACTCAAGTTTACCTTACAATGATCTTTGATTTGCGTTTTCTTTGTCGAAAGTCTCCGTTTTTATTTTTCCCCATGATTTTCCAATTGAAAACAGAAGATAACACGGATAACATAACATCATAAAGTTGGTGTTGAACCAGACAATGAAGAACGGAGCGTGGAAATCATCGTGGAAGCAAGACTTTGTGAGCTGGGAAGCCAAAGTCCAGGAGAAGGAGACCCCAAGAATAACGGCTGTCGAAATTAAAACCTAAATTCATATATGCAAATTATTTTATAACCTATAGCTGAATTTATGAACTCACTGTTTTCACAGATCTGACATTCTTGGGAGAAACAAAAGGTTCCGAACACTCCCCGTCCATGTTCAAGATGCAAAGGAAATCTTATCGCTGATTTTAATTCATTTCAAATGGGGCGGCGCTTTAACATAACTACCAATTTTTAAAAAAGCATCTGTTGTTGTTGGGGTTGGTCGATTATACGACTACTTTTTTTATAAGTTATGTTTTTTCTCCGGCCTGCAAAACAATCAATATCCGCACCGTGCTTAAAATTTGTACAACAACAGTTTTTTGATGTCATTAACACTTCGGTGCAGAAACATGATATTTTTACATATATATACTTGATCGGGTTATTTTGATGTAAAACGATGACTCTATATTTTCTGGATAAAAAACAAAAACAAACAAGAGCAAAGTCGGTAAAAAAGTAGAGTGAAAACACAATGGATATGTGACTGCTGCTCTTGAATTCCTTTCCCTTTCCAGAACCTTTTCCCAAATTCAGTTCTGTTGTAATTATGTTGCTGATATTAGCAGTTCTGATCTCAATTCCGTTCTCAATTTGTTTGAAGGAGCAGAGTATTGGAGTCAAGGGCCGATTTCTCTGTGGCTCCGCCCCTTTGGCCAATGCCGTAATAAAATTAATGAACAAAAATAAAATCGGTAATGTATAGAATCTGCATAATATTAACATTATATACGTGTGTTAGGTATGTATGATATATTGGATACAGTGCAGACATCAGAGAATGGGAGTTTTGAGACCAAGGGGACCATCAACAGTGTGTTCGGGATGGATGTCAAGGTGAATGTGGCCCATGATTGTGATCGCCATCTCCCTTGTCAGCGCACTTTCGACTTTTACATCCCTTCCAAATACATTTCGCGTTCCACTGATGTCCAGAAATGGTTTTATTTAGGCAAATGGAACTTGGAAGTAATTGTAAGTTCGAGATTTTTATCAAATTGTATTACTCCAGCTGCCGGAAGAAGAATCGAACTGCATAAACTGAGTTATGACCGGTTTATTGACGTTATAAGTGTAAAAAACATGGCTATTAGGACTACGGGAAAGACTTTCTGGGTTGCGGACGTGGCCGGCTGAAGACCTGCAGCGTTCAGATTGTCATCGCCATTGCAGAAGTTGCCTTCGCATGTGCACCTTGTTATTAATTTACTTCCGAATCCACTTTGTTTGCATTGAGTCGGTTCGTATTCATCCGAACAAGTTTTGTGAACGGTTTTCCTATCTGAAACACGAACAATAAAGGTGGATTAAATTGGAATCAAACTTGCCATTGTCCATGTTGGAGGTCTCCATCTTGATGCAGACCACTCCCTGACATTCCCCCACATTACAAGTGTTATCATCAGCCCGGCAATCATAACATCTGACTGGCTGAGCGGCGAACGAGGGATTCAGAGAGGATCCGAGGAGAGGAAACAAAAGAGCAGAGATCAACCAGATACACATCATCGAGCCCATCACATCGCTGGCCGAAGAGTGCCTGAGGGGCGTTGGCCACTGTCCCCGAACGATGATTAGAGGCCCTCCGGCGTCGACGCAGCCTCTCCTTCAATAATAATTCGATTTGCAAAAATAATATTTAAAGGTCGCGTAACGGGGAAAGGGCGGTGCTGTGCCTCGCAGAAGGTCCAGGAAGCCGGCGGAGCGCCGAGAAACGGCCGACCAGCACTTGTGGACAACCCAATCAGCGGCTATTTATCATTCAGCGACGCCTCCCCCCGTCTTGAGGACGTCTTCTTAAGTACCCATACCTATAAGTGCCGTGCCATTAACTCGGCTCTCATCCCCGCCGAATCCTTCTTAAACTGGATTCTTCTCGCGCACAAAATGGGGCCATATAACGACGACTCGAGGCCGTCTTCCAAATGTTTTTAGGTGACAGTCGGCCCAAATGGAAAAGAAAAAAACTTTCCAAGATTCCAGAAAGTGGCCAAATTTAAATTAATGAAACTAATCAACAGGCCCTCCGGCACTTTGGCCCCCCGAATGAGGCTTTTCATCGGCGCCTTTAAAAATACAATCATTTAATCGTCAGATTTTTTTCATTCCTTGAAATAATTTTAATTCCTCGGTTAAGAGATGACTGAACTGATCTAGGGCATGCTCTAGCTTCTCTAACCTTTCTTCACTCTCTTCTTTCACTTTATTCACATATTCCGATTGGTGATTGCTTATCCAATTCTCAAAATCCAAGATTTCTGATTCGATTAATGGCTGAAATTGCTGTAATTGCCAATATTATATCAACTTACATTACACAACTTGGTCGAGATTGCCTCGCTGATGTCAGATATCAATCTACTTTTGAGGGTTTCCAGAGATTCATTGAATTCTTTCTTAATTTTGTTCACCTCCTTTTGATCCCGCAGTATTTTCCTAAAGTCAAAGTAATTATGAGAATCTCCGCGCTCTCTAAACAGCCTGCTTATTCAAAGTCTACAATCGCTACCCTTTGGCATTTCAAAAAGTGGATCAAATCGCTTCCATTCAATTATGATGACATAAAAGGTAAATAAAATTTACTTTAGCTCTATTCTCTTGTGGTCCTGGTGATTGAATAGAACACAGACAGAACAAAACTTCTGATTCCGGCATTCCAAACACAGAAAGATATTGTTCTCACTGGTCGGGGACTGGCAGATCTCACAAATGAACCCATTCTCCCGGCTTCTCTTCACTTTATCCAACACTTCCACAGCTTCTGAACAATGGGATCTAATGAAAAACAACTTGTTCTACTCACCCCTCAATCCATAGTTGATATTTAAATTATTTATGCCGCAGGGCGTTAAGATCCGACAGACCGGGCACTTGATGCCATTCTCGATGCCTGCAAGAGATTCAAGAATAATTTATTAATTACCCTCAGGCGGTAGAGAGGCGAGACACTTCTTGCAGAAGGAATGACCACATCCCAGAAGTTTAGGCTCCTCGTAGGTATCGAGGCAGATCGAACAAACAATGTCATAGTCATCATTCTCTTCGGGTATGGGCGACAATTGGGGGTCCAGCTTGGAAATGGCATTCTGGATTTGGAAAAGAGATGGACCCAGGGATTCGGAGTCAATGTGGTAATAGATATGAGTATTATCCAACATGCGAAGGGCCAGATTGATGGAATCTCGGGGGAGTCCGTTGTAAGCAGAGATTCTGAGAGGAGTATTAACCAAGGATACACATAAACTCACAACTTCCATTCAGCCAACTGAGTGTCCAAAAGCCATATTTCACTGATATACTCATGTCGTTTCACCCTCTGCCCACATAATATTATCCCTTTCGGATGATGCAACTGACCCCAGATCCCATTGGCCGAGGGTCCCCTTCCCAATTCCTTATCTGGTCCTATCGGCGCCTTGGTCCAGATCTTCTTTTCCTTGTTAAATAAGGCCAAATGTGAGTTTCTTTCGTGAGAAATGAAAAGTAATCCCTGAACAGAGTAATGCTACACAAGATGACTATTTACTTGAGATGTTAAAGTTGGCAGTTCCCACGGTTTTGAGTGAATCGGGAGGGAATCCTGGAGGACTTCTTTTACGCAATTCGACGTAACACTGTATTCAAAATGCCAAAACTTATTGGTCTCATCATTTAGGGTGTAGAATATTATCTAAAAAAACACATTGTTGCAGTAAAGTACAGTAAAGTGGCTTACATTATAGAAGTTTGTTTCGTTTATTTGGACCCAATAGCCAACTTCGTAAGTAATTTCGAGCGGAAAGTAATGTCTGATTTGCTCCGTACTCAGAGCATTATCCTTTATAACATGGGAGGATAAACAGAATCTCTTTTTATCTCCATTATACCACAACACAATTAGTTTTGGCTGCTCCTGCGAGTGAATATAAGAGAGATGATAACAAGTCCATCGACTCTTCCGAAAGTAATTGTTGGGCCTTAAGAGTATTTAACAATAAATACTTTTTGAATCCTACCATTTCAAGACGACCTTCTCCCTTGAGATCAGATCTATGGCCACAATATTCTTGGTGCTCCGGTCATAGAGAAAAGCGAGGGTTCCATTTACGTTGAAAGTAAGGGCGTTGAAGACATCCGAGACAGTCCTGACCTCTACTTTTTGCATAATAAGACCGTTTTTTTCTCCTTCCCGATAAGGGAAATAAGCGATCGGGCTATGACACAACTCTTCGCCCTCTTCTCCACCTTCTTCTTGACCACCAAAAAGCAAATAGATTACAAAAAAATTATTTATTTTACTCGCTATCTTGAAATAATTGCTACAATAAATGAAATCAAATAAATATTCTGATATATAAAGATATGTTGAGAACAGTATAAACAATCACTAGAGTCAGAAGTCCCCGAAGGGATTCGAAGAGATGGGGTGCCTTTTTCCGATAGGGACGGGGGCCGAGGGTGAGATAATGCTCACCGAATTACACACGGGACATCTAAAACCTGAGCCAATGCAACCTTCGTGGACCACATGATGACAGCACAAAATCAAAAGATCTCCTTGGTTTGATGGACGACAGATCAGCTCACTTAAATTGAACTACGTCATTTCCCACACAATACTTACCCACAATTATCACAACGTTTGTCCGAACCAATCCCAGTACAACTGATATTGGCCTCCACTTTTTTCGAAAAGATCCTGAACATATCATCTGAAGTTATCCTCGATGAATCCCTCAGGACATTCACCTTCAGCTCGTAATCTCTCAGAATTTTTAAAAGAAGATCTTGAAGTCCGGGGATCTCGATCTGAATTGGCATCTAGAAAGAAATCAGGAATTTGAATTAATTTTTTTTTGAAACCTTTTCGATGACAGTCAGTGGATCAATAAAGGTCCCTGCAGTTGATAATATCTTGGTTATATGTTGAGGATTATCCAAAGACAGATCGATCAGCCGATCCCAGAGTTCAATGTCATCTTCGTGCTCAGAACAGAAGGAAATAGCCATCTGTATGTCCTTACTCGATTTCATTATCAAATCCAGAGCTTCCAATCTATTTCCGCTGCGTCCCAATAGAAACACTGCCTATAAAGAAGATTAAAGTATTACCGGCTCAGCCTCACTTCATTTATATAATTCTTTTTTCTGCAGATTTCCAAAGCCAAGTCTATTTTGTAACTCTCTGCTTTCTTCAAGAATGACAACAGTTTTGGACGATCATATTCGGCAAAGAGTTTAACCATCAGATCCACATATTCAATACCTTCCCCTCGAGAATAAAGTCGATTCAAATATGCCATCTAAGAATAATCATGTATAACATATTGCCCACCTGCAGCTTCGGATGTTTACTCAGTCGAGTAACAACTTGTTTTGCTGGAATCGAATCCTCGTTATCCAACAAAAGTCTGATGGCTAAATCAGCATTAATATCCATCAACTCAACAATTCTGTCTTTAACCATGGGAAACAAATGATATTTATCGATGACTCCAAAAACGGCCTTGTCTTTCAGCAACAAGTATATCACCAGAGCCTTGTCAAAGTTGCGAACATAGGCAAACAAATGAGCCAAGGCTTGATAAATATTAATCAAATCGTCTTTTTTGTCCTTTACTGCCTGGTCTACAGTAAAATTGTTGTCAGCATTCAATCGCCTGAGGGCTTTGTCAATGATCGAAGCAGCTCTGTAGATATCTGGATTCCATTCTATCACGAGCTTTCTGAATAAATTTGTTTTGGAATATAAAGCGGCGGTTAGGACGGATTCATAACATTCGGGTTCCAATTGTGGATAACCTAAGGGCAGATAAGGGATCAGTTTGAGGATCTCTCCGTATTTCTCAAACTCGGTTACATAATATTCCCATTCCATTTTTTCGCGGTCACATATCTAAATTGATTGTTCATAGATTCAAAAAATTCTCTTTTTACTTACAATTAATAATGGGTAAAACTTAGGGTTGTTATTCTGACAGAATTTTCCAAAATGACGTCAAATTATGTCAAATTTCCGTCATTTTAGCTAACAGGGGAAGTACCCCAAGTGCGACGCTCAGATTTTGACGAAACTTGGCACAGATTTAGAGTAATTTTTCTAAAATATATGCGAGAATCCTAGCTCGCGCTTTGCAGAAACAGCCGAGATTTTTAGATCGAATCGGCGAAAATTTAGGACTTTTTGTCGAATTTCGGCACGAAAATACCTATTTCTACCGTAAAGGGAAATGTTTCCACAAAAAATCAATTTTTCCGCACGAAACTGCCAAAGTTATGGCCAAAAATGTTTTTTTCTCTGACCGCTCTCCGCGTTAGGCGTACTCTCTCCGCGGCAAAAATGGTTCAATGTCTCGGTGGCGCTTGCAAAGCGCGAGCTAAAAATTTCAGGACTGTTCTTACGATTTTTTAGGATAATCAATAAAAATTTTCCGAAAAAGTTCAATTTGACAATCAAAATGACAGATCAATTTAACATCACGAAAAGGACGCCAAGTTGGCAACGTGATTGACGCGTCAAGTTGACTTAACAACCCTACCAAAACTTGTATTTAACATTCTAAAAAAAATATTTTTCCATACCTGAGGCAAAATTTTGGCAGCTCTTGAAAACATTCCCTGTTCGATAAGATCGCGGATTAATAGCCTCCCAATATCCGATACAGAGTGCCGTTGCAAAGCTTCCTTATCCTTCAAGGCACATTCCAGAGCCTCTGCATAATATTTATTCTCCAAAAACCAATCAACTCGATCGTCAGTTGAGAAGGGACTTGCCTAAAGCAGTGGCGTAAAGGTATAAATTCTTACTTCGATCAATTCCCTTGGCCCTAGGAGAAAATACATCGAATCAGAAGGCAGGGCAACCAAAGAAAACTTATTCAGGAACCTCAGATCTGAGTTTCTCATCTTCCATTTGTCATCAGCTATTACAATGTAACTGCTTGAATCCAAAGGCTTCATCAAAAGTAATTGTGCGTTTGTTTTCTTACAGGCCAAAGTTGCCAAAGCAGTAATATTTGACACATCGGAGATTACCGACTGAAAAAATAATCATGTTTTCAATAACGGGCTCACCATTGAATCGTCGACCATTTCCGAGTCATCTTCATTCTCTGCGTTATCAATCGTCAACCCGAACACTACTATCTCTTCCCAAGTCCGACTTGAAGATGTGGCTGGGTCGGCTACAGTAAAACTAACTCCAGAAATAAAAACATCAGGGATAGACCACATGAATTGGATCTCCACCTTCTTCATGGACAACCCATTCTTTTCCTAGAGGATAACATTAAAGTTCCAAAGACCTACATTGGATTGAGAAGTCACTTTACATATTGTGACTGTACTCCCCCAGGCAATAACAAGTGTTACAGGATCAATCCAACAGTGCCGGGGGAGGAACCGAGAAGAGAAAAAGGTTTCATGAAGATGCGACGGTTGTACAAGAGATATCATCCTCTTAAGGGTACTGTAATAACGAATATGCCATCTTTCCCAATCACTTACCAATCATAAACCCGAGTTCCCGTATCGTTTGTAAATGCCAGTAACGAGCCCCTCCAAGAACAACAAGAAATGAATCCATCCCGATCTAATCCTTGGAATAAGGTCTGTAACAATATAATATTTTTATTCGATTACCTACCAGACCTTTATATTTGCCCAGGAATCCTTTCTCATACATAATCAGCATCTGTCCTCCACTCACAAATTTCTGACCAGATCCTCTTTTACAGAAATCCTCACTTAAAGCGACACTCTTGGCAGCCGGACAGACTTTAAGGACCTCATTGTGTTCAGAAGACCCAATCCCTTGAATAGAGACAGTAGAATCATTAGAACAGCTAATCAGATAACTCCCTTGTGTATCAAAGGCAACTTGAGTAACCGAGGATTTATGTTTCCTGAGGCTGTTTTTGAAGTGTTCGTAACCGAGATGATCAAACAATCGGAGGTGGCCGGAACTGAAACCGATGGCCAGAAATTTATCGTGGACGGCAACACATGAAGCCGAGGACCCTTCTAAGCAAGAATGGACGTCTTTGATCACTCTAGAATATTTGAATCTTGGTTCTACTACCACTTCCCCGAGTTCAACGACTTGGGATCCAGAAGTCGAATTCATTGCTCAACAAATAAAGCATCAACAAAGAATCTCTACGAGTAAAACATTGTACTACAATATCTGCAAAAATCTAAACTATATAAACAGAATCTTTTATCAGTACTCAATTTGAAATAAACAAGGATGTGAAGGCGAATAAGGCTGCTAAAAAATCTTTATTGAGCTAGGAAATGACACCCGTTCATAATTAGTAGGAAAGATTAAATCAAGGTTCTACTTGGCCCTTGCTGTTATAAAATTAGAGGGACTGGCGGTAACTACATCCAGGATCGAGGTGGCAGAAAATTCATTCCGAGGTTTGGGGGGAGTGGCCTTCATGTTTCGAATATTGGATGGATTCAGATTAAGAGGAATCAGAGAAGCCACTGATCGGAACTCCATATTGGGGCGAATAAAATCAAAAGAGGGTCTAAAACAAAAATAAGATAATAAATGGACCCACGCATATCTGCCGACACAAGACAGCAGCGTCTCTCTCAGATTAGGTATTATCCGTTCTGGTTCGGTTGTTCGCAGCCCACAGTCTGCTCGAAATTGTACTATATTCTCAGAAAGAAACCTGAGTGCTTCCACAAACTTTGTACGATTCTTGAGGATGAGTAATTGGAATTCAAATATATCCCCGGTTGATCGCTTTATAATAGAAGAGCTGGATCCCTTAAAGATGACCGGGTATTTCAGAGGGTAATCACAGATCTTGGATACACAGATCAAAAGATTCACAAGATGAGAAATTGAAGCACAGATTTCGTTATCAGAATGTTCTAAAAGAAAAAAATAATGATAAAACAACTCAGACTTACCATTCTTTTCGGGTACAGATGGCAAATGAAGGCCATAAATAAGATCATACTTTATACAATTACACTTTTTTTTAAAGTACCGCATATAACAGTCGTCCACAAAATAGACCATGTAAAGGTCATCGAGCATAAATCTTCTTCGATAAATTAATTCGTTTTTAAACTTCCTCAAATCATCTCTAAGCAAAACTTTTAAACGGCAGTAGAACTTACAATACGTCTTTTATTTTTTCGCTATTTCGGATAATTGCTGCATTCATGTCCTCCAGCCTCGTGTTTAATAATTTTCGTTTGTTACCTAACAAGGAATCGGCAAATACTTGCCACCAGGTTCCTAATCGAAACCTATATCATTTAACGCAGCATTAAAAATAATGCATCAAATTATCTGTTCAATTTGAATAATCATACCCGGACAAGGAACTGACATGGCACCCATTTAATTTTACGGTAATAATATCCCCCCATCCTATTACCAGCAAATTTATGGTTGTTTCAAAAAATCAAAAAAACTCAAAACACTCGCGTAATTTTAATTCTCTTTCAAATAATACAGGTTTCGTTAAGAAATCTGGTGGCAAGTATTCGCCTCGCCGATGCCTTGTAAAATAATATAAATAATCTAAAATTATCCACTCACCCGACTCTTGAACAGAATCATCCTCTCTTAATCGTAAATGCAACAAAACTCTTCGATGATTACGGGTTTCTTCTAACTTAGTTTTATTTACCCTTAGCAAAATCTCCTTATTCTGCACCTGTGATACCTAAAAAAAAATAATCAATAAAGAACAACATACACATTCGCTGGTACAAGGGATTTCACTGATTAATTGTTGTATTGCAGTTTGCACTTCATTACACCTATTTTTGGCACTTGAACAAGCATCCAGTAATTGTTTTAACCTAAAGTAAATGAAGGGAAAAATGGTCTAGTCCAGAAAAAAAATTTTTCTCCAGAAAATAGAAGTTTAAAAAACTCCCAAAAAGGATAATTTATAGTAAATAAGGAAGCAGTTGGCTTAAAATTATTTTTAGCAGTAACTTTTGTTGTGCAGTAGTGTAACTTAGTAAAGGTTATATTTTTAAGTGAATAATGGAGGCATAAGCACAAACATTTTCGATTCGAATGTCCATAGCCGTTCGTAGTTTTGTAAAGTTTTTAACAGAGAGGTCTTAGGCTTGAAGAAATCGTCTAACTAGGGAAGTGTACAAACGAACCCTCACCAAATGGCAAGTGTTATACATCATTGGAAAGCCCTTGAAAAATGGTGAAAGGTACCATTTTCAATTTTTGCAGAATGCCTCAGGGCAAAAAATTATAAACGGTTGATTTGTCCCTTAAGTAGTTACAATATCTTCTATTAGGCAAAATAAATGTTATTTCAAAGCGCTAAATTGTACGTATTACCATTAGGTTGGCCTAAGAATCATTATGAAGTCTGGCGCTTGCCAATAAAACCATTTTACATATGATATTTACTGGTTTTAGATACCCATAACGTGAAAAAACACTTTTCACGTTTTTTAACCTTGAAAAACATGTAAGTTTGATGGTTTTAACCGTAATCGATCGTCTCCCAGAAAAATTAAAACGTTTGTAAAAGTTTAACGCAAATATTTACCTAACTGTAAGAACGCAAAAATGATTTTGCCCAAGCTGGGAACCGAACCTGGCTTGCTTTGGCTTATCAGCCTGCTCGGCAACCACTGCACTATTGAAGCAACCCTCTCCGAGGATTTTTTCCTGCCCAAGAGAAAGAAAGATTTTTGTTGCAGAATGACCTAAAAATAATATAATTTACAGTATGTTGTCGCGGAAAGTCATTCTGCAAAAAATGAAAATGGTGTCTTCTATCATTTTTCAAGGGCTCTTCAATGACATATGTCACTTATCATTTGGTGAGGGTTCGTTTGTACACTTCCCTAGTAAGTTAACATCATGCGGAGTCACATCATGCACGAGAAATTGGAAATGAAGGATATCGGCATAAACCATTAATATTCCTGATCCCGAAACTACTTATTTACTAACTAAGAATTATCCTTTCATGGTAAAAATCGTTTCTTTGGCGAAAAATACTTATTTTCTGGGGTAATTTCTAAAATTCTAAAATTAAAAATATCAACTAAACGTACCTTTTCCAATCTTCAAATGAGCAAGAAAATAAATTGTTTACCCTTTCGGACATAGAAACAATTAATAGACGCTACTAGTCATTCATTCATCTAATCAATCTGTCACTATCTGATAAAAAAATTATTGAAAGAAAAAATTGGGTTTCCGATCAATAATATTTTGTGGCACTACGCAACAATAAAATCGTGGCATTTCGTCCTTTCATAATGCGTTATCGTTATATAAGATTATCCGCGATAATCTTGATGTAAAATCGCGGGTATGATTTTTGTGCAAAAACATGTAAGAATGCATTCTTGCTATGATAGATAGTGTCCTCTGCTCAATTGGTGCTTCAGCGATATTATTCATCCGGCATCTGCTCACCGGCTGCTTTTTCTTCTCGTTCGCTTCTTCCAGACCTTTTCACCCTTCTCCTGACCTCCTCTCAAAACATTTGAATGGGCATTGACCGCTGTTTTTTGGCCTGATCCCTGTCGAATGTCCGAAATATGAGAAGAATTGTTTTATTTTCTCTGTTCTTATGTTATTCTTACGCTTTCTTCGGATCAACACCAGATGAGGGCGATTACCGACATCTGTACCCAGAATTGTGCATCGCCTACAAGGTTAACAACCCAATCTCGACATCTTATTCTTTGGGTTGGCTCGAAAACGTGAGATATCCAAAAGATCGCACAAAGGTTTTAATTCAAGTAGATGAACAAGATAAGGAGTTGTTTAAGCAGTAAGCAAACGACCGTTAGATAAGCTGTTTTAGATGGACCGCCGATTTCAAGGCGTTATATTCATATGTGGCCACAGAGATTGTTGACCCCAATTTTTTGGATCAGGGTTTGAAGTTCGGAAGGAGGTTTAAATGTGGATATCTGTTGATTACAAATACAGATATATTCCTGAGTGAGAATTCGGTCAAAGATTTGATATCCCTGAAGCAAGTTGTGGTGTCTGGTTTGATGAAAGATCCCTTTTCGCTGCATTCTAATGGCAAAGGATTGGTCGATTCTTCTCATCTCACCGGAAATAAAATCGAACTTTTAAGAGTAGGTATCTAAAGTAATGTAGACAAAGATTACAGGTCTATTATGCCAATCCTCCATTGCTGATCGACCTCAAACACAAGGATTCGTCTTATTTAACATTTGATGAGCAAAATTTGAGGGAGAAAGTCGGTTCCAAGAGTCCAGTCGAGATCTTTGCCTTCTCCGCCTACAAGATGGACATCCCCATTTATCTGGATAATCACTTCTTCTATGGATATTTCATTGATTCCACGAAGTTCTCCAAAGTCGAATTTGCTCAAAAGGTAGGGGTAACTACAGGGTCCAGAGAAATGTGGGTTTCTGGTGAAGGTGGTGGCTAACATAAAAATAAGCAAATATCTTCTTTTCAACTATCTAAAATCATAATAAAGCGTTTAAGATTGGTGTGTTCACCAAAACGTGCCGCAAAAGTCTCCGCCGAATGCACTGTTGTCCGCACTGGCGGATAAAATTATTTTTTGGCCAAGAAGGCCGCTCATCTTCTTTCCCCTGCAAAAAGAATTGTTCGGATATCTTGACTGCGCCCCATAAATCGACAAAACGGCACTTTTCTCTGGACACCTTGTATATCTAACATGATAAATATGTTTCAGTTATCTTCTTTTGAATACCAACTATGGGTGAACAATAATCCGGTCTTATACTCCAACTCGATTGATCCTTGGCAGCCAACTCAACATACATTTGGTTTTGATAAGATTTATGTAATCAATTTGAAAAGACGACCGGAAAGGCGGAGAAGAATCGAAAAGGGATTGACGATGCTGGGAATCGAGTATAATATATTCGAAGCAGTCGATGGGATGTCTCTGGGTGAGAAGGAGATGGAGGGCATTAGAATTATGCCCGGATATCTAGACCCTTTTCACAAAAGGCCACTCAAAAGGGGAGAGATTGGATGTTTCTTGAGTCACTACCATATATGGAAGGAGGTGGTCGATAATGGGTACAGTAGAGTAATCGTATTCGAAGATGACATCAAGTTGTCTGAGAACGCGACAACCATTTTGAGGGAATTTGTGGAAGATACCATGAAGACACAGGCTGAATGGGATTTTGTTTATCTCGGACGGAAGAAAAACGACGCCAAGAAACAGGAATTTTACGTTTCTGGTCAGTTTAACTTGATATTTCATCTAACTAGATGGTTGTATTTTAGGTCACAGATATTTAAGTACAGTGACGTACTCTTATTGGACCGTTGGATATGCTCTTTCGTTATCCGGAGCTCGGAAATTAATAGAATCGAAGCCATTGGAGAACCTACTGGCTCTGGATGAATACCTCCCCATCATGTATAACGACCATCCGAACCCAGAATGGGCGAATTATTTCCCCATTAGAGATCTAAAGGCATTTACCCTCTATCCACTGGTCGTCCATCCGGATAAATATTTGAATGAACCTGGATATCTGAGTGATACGGAGAACTCGACCTTGGTGGAAGATGAGACGACGACCAAGATCTTTAAACATGTAGGAGTTAATGTGCAACAGAAGTCAGAACTTTAATTTATTTGAGTTAATAAACTGTTTGTTTATATTAGCAAAGGCCGCAAATTAGGGCATATAAATAATGAAAGGGATCACAGGTCACTTGACATTCTATCTCGCGATCTGAAATTTCATTTCGTTTTGACCCTGAAGGCATCTGATGACTAGAGAATTTATTATTTTACTTATCTTCCTAGGACTGAAACTTTCATCATCCTGTTCATGGGATGTAAGTAAAGCAAGGAAAGATTACTGTAAATAAACAAGTTGCAGAACTGTCCCAAGTACGAGAATGACAATGAAAACTCAATTCATGTTCATATTGTAAGTACTTAGATTTATTTATACGTATGTGATATCATCCAGATACCTCACACTCACGATGACATGGGATGGATAAAAACTGTCGATGATTATTACACTGGAGGTATTTGGTCGTATATCTTAATTGAATAGATTTTAGCTAAAAAACGACTGGTCAATGTGGGAGTTCAGTTTATTTTCGATTCAGTCATTGATGAACTGAGTAAAGACAAAGAAAAGAGGTTTGTTTTTGCTGAAGTCGGATTCTTGATCAGATGGATCCATCAGCACAAATCCGACTCCAAAAGAATTGAACTATTCAAAAAGTTGGTTCTGGATGGTAAGTCATCCAAAAGTTTACTTTTTGAATAAATTTTGGGCTTCCAATAAACTTTGTGACATTCCGCAGCTTGTGACATTAAGTTCATTTTTGCAGATTATTTTTTTCTGAATTATTTTAGGCCAGATCGAATTGATTGGAGGAGGTTGGGTGCAACCAGATGAGGCTTCTTCTCATTACATTGACCTCATTGACCAGTATTCCCTGGGGTTATCTTATCTTAATCAAACTTTTGGGGCTTGTGGGAAACCAAAAGTGGCCTGGCAAATCGATCCCTTTGGCCATAGTCGGGAACATGCAAATATCTTGGCCCAGGTGAGTTGATTCTCGGATTAATGCTTATTTATCTTATTGTTGTATAATTTTAGATGGGATATGAAGCTCTTTTCCTGGGACGGATGCATTTCAATGAATTGGAGGAGAGACATAAAAATAAGAGCATGGAGTTTGTTTGGGCGGGATCTGATGATCAAAGTAGGAATACCTGATGCTAACAATCCTTCTAGAAACAAATATCTTCACCGGTGGATTCTACACCAACTCTTATGCCCCTCCTCAGAACTTTTGTTTCGATCAGCTGTGTGCTGATGATCCGGTCGTCGCTGATCCCACGTTAGATGGCTATAATCTCCCTCAGATGGCTGACAGTTTTATCAAAATGGTTAGAGAAAGGTCCTCAGTTTTGAGGCACAATCAGTTGTTGTTGTTGATGGGAGGCGATTTCCAATATTCAAACGCTAATATGTACTTTGCACAGATGGATTTACTGTTCAAGGAGATCAACAGACAGGTATCTGGAACTCCTTGTGTAGTTTTGTATCGTTTTTAGACCCCCACCCACAACATTACAGTAAAATATTCTACTCCATCTTGTTATATGAGATCGTTGAGACGACTTTATTTTCAAGTTCCCACCAAATCCAATGACTTCTTCCCTTATGCCAGCTCCGAGCATCAATATTGGACTGGATATTACACTAGTAAACCTGCCTTGAAGGGTCTGGTCAGAAAAGTTTCCAATTTCCTTCAAGTGAGTACAGTAATCGTAGGTTGTAAATCTTATATAGTTAGTCCGAACACTCCGCGTAGCTGCTTCACTGAGTTCTGCTGAGCATTTTGCTGATGAAGACAAGATTGAGAGAGCTTTGGGATTAACACAACATCATGATGCTGTTACGTAAGTCAACTTTTGTTGCTTTCACAATTACAGTGGAACTTCCAAAGAAGCGGTGACTGTGGATTACGAGAAAAGATTGTTGGAAGCCATGCAGATCGTTGAAGTATGTTTCAGTCATGCTTAAAATCGGTTATCTTCTTTTAGGAGATCACTGACCGAGCTTTCCGTTTCCTTTCCAAAGTCCATCATGATATTAAACTCAGTTTTTGTCCCTTGATCAACGAAACTGTTTGCGATGTGACAAAGTAAGTGTTTTATTTTGATAATTCCAATTACAGCTCTGAGAGTGTGGCCATTACTTTCTTTAATTCCAATTCGAGACAACTCGATGAGGTAATTGAGATCCCTTATTATGCCCGATCAGCTTTGGTTCAAGACAACAAATTGAATGAAGTTCATTCAGAAGTAAGTTGTCTTTAGCTATGATAATTACAATTAGATTACCAAGAGTTTCCGAGTCTCCAGCCAACTCCAGAACCCGGATTCAGCCCCATTTAAAATAAGTTTCCCCATCTCGGTCCCAGCTCTTGGATTTAAAACTTATTTTATAACCAAGTTAAAGACAAAGTAAGTAATTTTTGGAAAAAATAGTATATTATATTTTAGGAACAACTACATTACTCGTAAGAATCTGATCAAGACCAAGTATCGGAAAGCAAATGAATCCATTACTATCGAGAATGAATTCATTAAACTGGACTTTAATCAAGATGGACTAGTTCAGAACTTGACCAATGTCAGAGAAAACATTACTTCTACGTTTATCCAGGAATTCTTTTTTTATCACGGAGATGGACTAAATAACACTGAGGCCAGAAGTGGGGCCTATATCTTCCGACCGAATGGAACAGAACCTTTTAATTTCCCTCAACCCATGCAAATCGAGTATTACAAAGTAAGGAAAGATAACAGTACCGCTAACGTTACAGGGAGACCTAGTACAAGAAGTTCGTCAAGTGGTGTCTCCTTGGATAAGTCAAGTAATCAGACTCAAAAAGGGAGAGAAATTCGTGGAGTTCGAATATACAGTAGGCCCGTTGCCTAAAGAAGAGACGTAAGATTATTATCAGTAATATTACTAATTTTTTTCAGAGATCCTATTACTAAAGAAGTTGTTACTCGTTATTCAACCAATGTCAAGAACGATCAGACTTTTTACACAGATTCTAATGGACGACAGTTAATGAAGAGGAAGTAAGGTTGTTATTACTGTTTGAGAGTACCTTTAGCGTCAACAAATCCCCAACATTCACTCGGAATATCACAGAACCTGTTAGTGGTAATTATTATCCGATTACAAGTCAGATTATGGTAAAAGACAGTAAACTCCAACTTTCAATCTTAACAGACAGAGCTCAAGGGGGGTCTTCGTTAAAGGATGGAAGTGTAGAAGTTATGGTAAACATGGCCAGACAGCCGTAATCTCAATTTAGATCCATCGGAGAGCTTTTGTGGATGATGGTTGGGGAGTGGAAGAAGCCCTGGATGAACCCGGTCTGGATGGCCGAGGTCTTATCATCAGAGGAATCCATCGAGTCCAATTGGCCGAGCCATCCAAAGCAGAGACTCGACTCAAAGCCCAAGATGTATATCATCGGCCTCTCCTCGCCCTGGCCCCTATCCAATCTGCTGATGGCTATCAAAAAACGACGGTGACTGAAGTGAGCTTTTATGTAAATTAGTAGCTGTTTACATTACTTTATTATGTAATCCTTTCCGCGTATTACATTTTCAGTTTTGTCTGCTGGCCGCGGAACTCCCGGTTCAAGTACAAATAATCACCTTGAAGGCATTAGAGAGCAAGAGGATCTTACTCCGTCTCGAACACATCTACCAAGGTACAGATGATGGCTACTTATCACAGCCTGTCCGAGTTAATCTCTCTGTAAGTAGTAGCAAGTGACCAAATCCCTCTTCTTTTCCAGAAATTATTCAAATTCAAAATAACAAACATCGAAGAGAGGGATTTGTCGGGATTGGTTGCCCTGAAGGCATTCATGGATTCGGAGGTTTCATTGTCCCCAATGCAAATACGCACATTCTACTTGACTCTTGAATAATAAATGTTGTTTCCCCCATTTCAAAACATTTTCTCTTCCGACGCTATAAACAATATTGGACCCTGTTTCATTTCTCTCTGATACCGTAATCTGCTTGTTGTTTTTGTCAAGTCTCCCCAAGTCCTTAAAAGTGTGAAAGGACATCTGGCAAGGGGCGGAGACGGCAGACGAGCAGAGACAGATCTTATTGCACCTATGTTTTTCCCCATGTTTTCGCAGATTCAGGGAGAGAAACGCGCGTGAGCGAAACAAACATGAATCCGTGTTTTGGATGGCGATAGGAAGGGAAGGTGGAACAAGAAGGAAGGGAAACAGACAACCGCCTGCGGACTTTAAATGAAAAACAAATTGAAAAGAACAGGCCGAAGGAGGAGATTCCTCCGAAACACGCCTATTCGCAGAGAGAGGGACCAAAGAAAACCAAGTAGAGAGAGCATAACACTTTTCGGCGGGAGTGCAGGACGACTTCAGAGTGCAGATCGTCGAGTGCTGGCCGCTGTTTTGGTCGTTTTGCGTAAACAACTAGAACAATGATGAAGAAAGGAGAGTGCAGTGACAGAAAAGGGACGGGGTCGACATGACTCCGCCCTTTATATTACATAGTTCTGGGAATGAGAGAGTGTTTATTACGAAGAGAATAATTCGAGACGAAAACAAAACCCCGAATGGATGTCTCTGAGAGAGATGTCTGAGGTCTCCAGAGAACCCGCTTTCTCTCTCGAGGTTGTTATTCTTTTGTGTGGCTGTCTGTGGTGTGCTCTCTCGACTTGTTTTGGTGTTCTTTGTGTGTCTGCCCAGTTCTCCCCCTCCGTAACCAGCTCGCTCATTGTGGCTCGTTTCCGTCTTCTCTTTTCTGTTGTTGTTGCGACCCCCCTCATCATACCATGTCGCTGTACCGTTCTCCCCCTTTTCTTCTAGGTCGTGCCGCGCCCTTCCCACCTAATTCTTCTTGTTTTTGTACGAAATTTAACTTTTATAATAATATTTTCGCTGGTTTTTTCAGAAGGCGAGTTTTGGATGGGTTATGAAAATGATTCCATCGGAACTGAACGAAGATTCAGAACAGTTTAGGAGTTCTTTACAAGCCGCTTCCATCCAATGCGCAAATCGTTGTTACCAAGGCCAGGTTTACGTGGCCAAGGATACTGTAGGTTTTTTTAAAATTAGTTTTATTCGTCTCATTATATCATATATAGGTCAACTGTCCAAACTATGTTTTTTTGGTTGTTTGATAACCTTTTTGGCGTCTTGGTTTGTATGAATTGCATTCCCCTACATTGAAAACAATTCTTGGAGGGCATTCGCTCAGGTTGGCACCGGTCTTAACGTCGGGAATGTGGGAAAGGCGATTTCGTAATAAAAAGCGCGCGATTTCTAAGGGCTTGGTATCCTTGGAAGACTGCGGAGAGCGGGGTTTAGCTTTTCTTCTGTCAATCCAGATAGATTTAGCGATGTTTTCCACAAAAGAAATCCCATCTAGATCGCTCCCGAATCCCTTTTGTGAACACTTCTTTGATCCAAATTCAATTCGAATGCTTCCACTAAAATCCCAACAAGAAAGTCAGACAATTGAAATCAAACCGGTAGTAGTAATCAAACAATTTCAGAAAACATTCAAGAAATCTCAATTTGTGGTATGCTCGATACGAACATTGGAGATTCATGGGCCAAAAAAGAGCTTCAAGAAAACAGAATGGATTAAGCAAATCATTGATCTCCTGAATGTCTACAGTTTGACCATCAAAGAACATCCCAAACTGACGACTTGTATTGTTCTCGTTACCCCAGATCAGACAGTATTCCTGCGAGCTGCGGACAGAAATGCTACTCTTCTGTGGTACTCGATTATCTTCAACAGTGTTTACACTTGTCGCTCATTCAATCCCGAGAAATCGATGCCGCGAGATCATTACCCAGGTATGTCATGCTCTTGTTGATGTTATGTGGGTTGTTTTTTTTACATTTCAAGGTGTAAACTCGTCTCAGGTTTCAAAATTTTAAGCTTTGTGTAAATGTAATTATCGTTTCTATGGTTATCTTCCGTTTAATCAGAGTTTTAATAACTGGCTACTACCGTAAATGTTATGGCCGCCCCCAATGTTATTAGTTAATTAGTAGCCAATTTGTATGTCCATGTTGTTTGTTATGTAATCTTTTTGCAAATTAGTAATTGATGTTGTTGGATGTGTTCAAAAAAAAAAACAAAATGAAAATACAAATTTTGTAGAGTACACGTGGGATATGAAGGTTTTGGGCAGCTCCAAATACAGCGTCGCCCATTACAGTAACAGCAACAACATCACAGATAAGGAGCCTGAATTGGCTGGCAGGAAACGAGTCTGTCTCTACCGGAATTCCCTCGCCTTTGTCCATTTGAATGAAGAACCCATGGATATCTACGACTTTGTTGACTGGAACGTGCAGTACGTCAAGCGACCCCAGTATTACTTAATTTCTGTAAGTCCTTTTTTAAATATTCGACGCCATCTGATAATTGCGCTGTATATCATTGTTCCTATAACTATTTTCAGAGAAGTAATATAACTTACTACGGAAATCGGAATAAACATTTCATCTTCTGCATCCGAGAGATGAACGGCGAGAAAGCCAAGGAAGTTGTTCTTGATGCTGAATCCGAGAGAGAAGCGGAGGAAATCAAACTGGCTTTGGAAGAGCTGATCCAACGAGAAACAAAGCTGCTGGGACTCATCAGTCCCAAGAAATCGTAAGTTGAAATAAAGGATGACATCATTAACAGAAAAGATGATGATCATTCCTCTATTATGTGTAATACCGCTCTAATTTCAGGCTATACGAATCAGTGAATTCCCCGGAAACGAGTATAAATCACAATGAGAGAGCATCAACGTCACAGTCCACCAGTTTGCCCAGAGACCAACTTGACGATGAGATGAGGAACAACCAAAAGGGTAAACAGAGAAAGGCAGACTACCGTTTCAAAGAGTAAGTGATAAAAAGACTTGATCACCCCTTTTCTCTGCAGCCTCTTCGGTTCTTGGAAGAAGAAGTTCGGCAAGAGCAAAGAGAACAACAGTCTCCTGTTCGAGAGTGGGATGAATCCCGTCACAGAATGGGTCGAGAATCGGGCATCAATAATATCAGGGGAGAATGGAACCGAGGAAAGTGGAGGCACCCTTAGGGCTGAAGATCATCAAACCACACGACCGAAGGACAAGATGAGATATCAGAAGGGTGAGCATCCGTTATTTATGACCACCCTCTTCCTATTAAATAAGTACTGTAGGAGTAGAGAATCGCCTAACACGACCTTGTTTTGAAATTTGTTTTGATGACTATGTTATTTTGATCCAAATGATGTAAACACATTTGCAGACGGGGAAGCTCATGAGATGACATCGTTCTTTGACACTATGAACTCATCCATCAGTTCGAAAACAAGTTCTGTTGTCAGACCAAGTACAAGTAGTACAAGTGCCCTCGATTCTTGCATTTCCAATCTGAGCTGTGATCTCTCAACTTTATCATCAAACGCTCACACCACCGACGACAGAAGTCACCGACGAAAATACCATCCTATTCCAGCCTTTGACAATATCAGAAAGGGAGATGAGCACTCAGAAAATCTACAAATGTCGATAAGCGGCAGCTTCGACAGCTGCTATTCATCGATTACCAACAAACGGCACAAAAATACCAAGAAGACGGTTGATCTAGACCTCTCGGAAGGCCCTCGAATGGCATCTCGACCTCCAGAATTCGTGAAACAATCCAAAAACGAATTCGACGTATTCAGATTCCTAACAGGGACTCTTTCGCGATCCATGGATAATGTCAAAGATTTGTTGCCAGAACACCGTACGTCTGCGTTATACCGAAAGTCATCACTGAACTGTCTGAATAACGATGATCTAAAACGAATGGAGAAAGAAATGAACAAGTGGCTAGCCATGGCGCCGAAGCCAAAGAAAAGGAAGACAAAACGAAGGAAAAGGATACAATCACACGACGACAGTTACTCCAAGACCTCCCCCGTCCCCTCGTCTCGGCATCTCTCGATCTCATCCCAATCAACTCAGAGATCAAACGCATCCAGGAAAGGCCTCCATTCGGCCAGATCACACAGTCGACAGTTCATGGACAACTCGATGGAAGAGAGCGTCCACTCCTTTGAGAGCGACATGCAATCCAGGGCCAATAGCATGGATTCTCAACGATCCTTTGTGATCGGTGCTTTCAGAGGATCTAATAAGCACTTGATTCCAAAGGCAACAATGGAAGACACGGACGTCCGCAAGTACGATTTTGGTAAGGTTACTTTAACAACGTGCGCGTTTTCTCACTGCAGTTATAATGATGTAATCTTCAGAGGCCCAACATATCGTCAGAGCAGAGCCCTTGTTCTACGAGGTTCGAGATGATCTACAACGCTTTGCTAACAAGCGAGATCGTCGGCACACGAAACCTGACTCTCTTCAAGGAGTCCGGGGATCCATCAGCTTTCATTCTGGCTGTCAGGTCATTGATGAAGAGATCAACTACACCCTGGCTCAGCCTAAGCAAACCAACCCAATCACTGGGATTATCGGATAATTAATTATTTCAAATACCTCTTTCAAATATTATTGTCCTGTACATAAAAACTGAAAAGATTGTATTATTATACCTCAAAATTTTATTGTGTATTGAATGAGACTAAATATTGATGATACTAATAAATTTATTATAATGCGTGTTTCAAATAATTTGGTCAATTATTGAAGAGCTAGGAATCCAATGGAGTAATTACCATTCCACAAACTAATGACAAGCCTTCCATCAGAAAAATCAACAAATTTATCAACAATTAGCCAACAAACAGAATATTCAACGAAAAAAGACGAGTATTTATTACTTGGACTTGGTCGTCTTCTTTGTCTTATTTATATTCTTATGCTGATTCAATTTGGCTTGCTTTCTTCGTTCTAACTTCTCCTCTCTCAACTGTTCTCGTTTCTTCTCAGCTTCTTGTAAAATCTCTTCTTTGAAAGGGCATGAATTAGGTACCGATATCATCTTTTCTTTCTTCTTGCGACCACCTCCATCTAAGCATAAATATCACATCGAAAACATTTAAACTCACTTTTCTTGGCAGCCTTCTTCAACTTTCTGTTGTGCTCCTTTACTTTCTTCTCGATCTTATATCTTTTTTTACAAGTGGATCGCTTTGAACTTTTTTCTAAAATAACGGTGTTAAGAATTAGAATATATTTATTACTTAGAGACTTACTGAGACAGAGTTTTGACATTGTGACAATGTGTTAGCTGGAAGAGACCACCTATTACGCACAAAACTAAAAAACCTCGCGACAATTTTTTTTTTGTTGAAACGGAATGCCAAAATTCAATTAATCGTTGCGAGATAAAATAATATAATTTTACGTCAATTATTTTACGCGAATTTTTTTTAGCTGGCTTGCTTACTATAATATCGGTGTGTATTTTATATTATTTGCCATGCAAATTAGAGACGTCTAGGTTTTTTATTTCCATCTTTCCAATCTTGAAATGGCCAAGAAAAATAAAGTTCCGCAACAGCGACAAAGTCGCTCGGCGTCGAAGGAGATGACTCCCATGGATCCGTCCCAATTACAAATCCCCAAGGTAATTGTTGTTTATTCTTTTTAGAATTTTTTTAATTTTAGGGCCTCCCGAACTTGGGAAACACATGTTTCTTCAACTCGGTGACTCAGTGTATACTCCAAACCCAAGCTCTTAATTATTACCTCAAGGAAGTAGGCAAGATAAAAGAGCTTTTAATACCGAAAGATTGCATTGTTAGTATAAATGATGTCAAAGTAGAAGTTCCGGCGGCTCGAATTCCCCTACCGGAACCTGAGATGTTATTTGTGAAAACCTTTTCCAATTTATTGACTGAGTTTCGGTGTGGGAGATCTCCTAATCCTCAGAGTCTGTTCAATCAAATTGCCAGAAAGTGAGTTTTTTAATTTTTAAATATTGTTCTTGTTTTAGGGTTCCTCGATTTCGCGGCTGGGCACAACAAGATGCACACGAGCTGCTCAGATATCTTCTTGATGTTCTCAGATCTGACGAGATCGACAGGTTTAAGGAGGGAATTGAGGAATACCTGGACAAGAAGGAAGAAAACTCTGATCTTCTGCGGAAAGGTTTGAACCTATTCTTGAATTAATTGTTATAAAATTTTAGCAATACTGAAATGCGCGGCTATTCCGTTGTTGGATTCAGTTTTTGGAGGCACCCTTTTACAAACTATTCGATGTTCCGAATGTAATTATGTTAGTACAACGTTCGAACTCTTTCTCGATCTCTCTTTACCTCTAGTCAGAGATGACTGTAATAAGAAAGGTAATGCCGTTCAAGCAAAAAGCAAATATCAGCTGAAAAAGGAACAAAGGAACAGCAAAAAGGTCAGTTTCGTTTATTCAGCTTTTTATTTGGTTTAGAAGGCGAATAAAAAAAGAAAGAAAAGAGGGTCGGAGATGGAGCTGGGATCAGAGGAGAACAGAGAGGGGTCTTCAAGACAAGATGACGATGAGAAACCGAATGAATCAGATGAGGAGATCCTGGAGAACGGAAACGAGGTTAGTGAGATTAATGGGAATGTTGAAGGTAGGGGAAACTATTTATATAAATACTTTTTTAGTTGACTTAATTGATGAGGTTGAGAAGTTGGCCATAGACTCGAATGCTGATTGTATATCAGCATTGTTGGGAGAAAATGGAAACCAGGAACATAGCAATGGGATTATGATATCCTTAAGAAGGTACTTCTCTGAAGATGTTTTGGCTGCTGCCGATGCTTATGAATGTGAGAAATGTTGTGCCCCATTAAACAGAAAGGTAATATCCTAAAAACTGGGTAATGAAGATATACTAATTTTCAGAAGAAAAAGGACGAACCTAGAAAAACCGTGGTGTCACACAAAAGATATTTTGTGTTCAGTCCCCCTCCCATATTAACTTTACATATGAAGAGATTCGAACAGGTAAAGAAATCAGAGTGAAAAAAGACTGCTGTAGACACACACATTTAGTCGAACAACGTCCAGTAAAATACGAGGACACATCGAGTTCCCCATGGTCCTTGATCTGGCTTCGTTTTGTTCAAAATCGGAGGAGGTAAGTTCGCTTTTACATACTTTGCGACAGTTACTTTTTTACAGCGAGTTATGCCAAACCAAACGAAGATTCTATATTCTTTGTATGGTGTTGTTTGTCACAGCGGAGATCTTTCCGGAGGCCATTATATTGCATATGTAAGGTCCAGAAAAGAGTTGTCCCATGTCCAAGCTTTCTTCGAACAAGCCGCCAAGGAGAGTTTTACTGATGCTTCTCGGCTGGGGGATCTGACTTCTCATGTTGCGTTGAAAAGAGAGATGAATGGCCGTCTGAAAACCGTTAAAACTCCATCGGAAGAAGAAGCTGCGGAGGCTCTGAAGACCCTGGAATACACCTCGAGATGGTTTTACTGCAGCGATTCTAATGTGTCGATGACTACCGAGACGAAAGTCCGCTCTTGTGAAGCTTACCTTCTTTTCTACGAGCGAGTTTTCTGAGAGTGCCGATGTTTGATCTGCCCTCTCCTGACCCAGCAGTTTCTCTATCTAAGCCGGTGAAGGCGTTTTGATCCCTGTGACTGCCTTTTCCCGCTCTAGGTGACAAACTAACCTTTGTTGTCGTTGTTATGACCGAGCGGCTCCCGCAGCTCTGTTGTTGTTACCAATAATAAATGCTAAAAGAAGGTGTTGGATTCTGCTGATGGGGCCTGGTGATTGCCCATAGATTATTGATTTGGTTACTGCTTGTTGTGTGTTCCAGCATTTGTTGGAAACAAATTGCTGATTGTATTTTGTGACCCCATCAACATTGTTTTATTGGTAATCGCGTCACATGTACATCGACCGCTCGAAGAGTGTGTCTGTCGCTTCTCTGAGTGCACTCATCCAACGTTTAATTGCAGGTCAATGTCCATTTCGATATTAGCGATCGCTGGGAATGCGTGAAAACAGCGGGTCTTATCAATTGGTGGGTTCGTATCACTCTTTTCAAGAATTTTATCTCAGCGTTTCCTGTCCTCGTATAGCTGAGTTAAAGTTCGGTTCCTTGTTTCCCTTGACTAATTTCTGACCATTTTAGTTTAATTAAGTGCAATATATGTGAAATGGGTCTTACTAGTCATCTGGTGGATGTCGCCATCATCCTCGTTCTCTGCGTTCTTTTCTTCCAATACGAAAACTGGTTGGCAATCACTCTGATATGTTTGCTGTTTCGGTATTTTTCATCAGACATTGGGAAGCGGGGATTGAAAACACTTCCAAGAGATCTCAAGTCAGTTTAATTTCAATGTGATTTTATTTAATTTTGAGAATTTAATTTAATGCCCCTTTAGAGGCCTCGCTCTTCTTCTTCGGGTAAAATGGACGATGCATCAGGGATTCAAGAGGAACAAACCTCTTCATTATTATTTCTTGGATCATGTAAAACAACATCCGAATAAGGAGTGTGTCGTCGAAGTAGAAACGGGTAGGAAATTCACATTTAGTCAACTCAATGGACTCGCCAACAAATATGCAAACGCTTATAAAGTAGGTTACTAAAATATGGCTCTTAAAATAATTAATGTATTTTGGTTTCAGAAAGTGTCAAACGAAAAACAAATAGCCATTTTCCTAGAGAACTCCGCTGATTTCTTCGCTTGCTGGCTTGGCTTGAGCAAGCTAGGGGTGATCACGGCTTGGATCAACTCAAATTTGAAGGCAGAACCTCTGGCCCATTCGATTAAAGTGGCGAAAACTGATATTGTTCTTACCTCAACCTCTTTGTTACCCAGTAAGTGGACGTCCTGACAAGTAGAGTTTCTTTTAGCATTGTTAAAGACCATTGATTCTGGCTTATTACCTCAAAACTTAATCATCTACACTATCGATAAGCCCGTGGACAACGGAAGGTCCAAGTCCATTCAAGATTTGTTGCAGGATCCAACCGAACCGGAGCCCAATAATGACATCAACTTCCAAAGTACGCGTTTTTTCTACAACTTTTAGTTTGTTCACAGGTGTTTTGTGTTACATTTACACCAGTGGAACCACCGGAAACCCCAAACCTGCTATCATCAAGCATTTCCGATATTTTTTTATTGCCATGGGAAGTGGAAAATCGTTTGGAGTTACACCGGATGAGAGGATTTACATCACCATGCCCATGTATCATTCTGCTGCGGGGATTTTGGGCATTGGACAAGTTGTTGTACTGGGTAAGGTGTCCGAATTTTTGTTTAAAATACTTCCTATTTAAAGGAGCTACGGCCATTATAAGAAAAAAGTTCTCTGCCAGGAACTTTTGGACGGAAGCCAGGGATCATCAATGCACAGCCAGTCAATACATCGGAGAAATCTGTCGATATCTCTTGGCCCAACCCCGATCAAAGGCGGAGAGAGAACATTCTATTCGACTAATGTATGGAAATGGATTGAGGCCAGAGATTTGGAAGGAATTTGTAGAGAGATTTGGTATTCGGAAGATAGGCGAACTCTATGGAAGTACTGAAGGAAACTCTAATATTGTCAACATCAACAATCACATAGGGTCCTGCGGTTTCTTCCCCATTTATCCCTTCCTTACAGCTCTGTATCCAGTTCGGTTAGTTAAGGTTAATCCCGAGACCGGAGAATTACTCCGAGATGAGAATGGACTTTGCATTTCTTGTAGACCCGGGGATACCGGGGAAATGGTCGGCATGATCAAGAAGAATGACCCTCTCCTCAGGTTCGAAGGCTATGTCAACAAAGACGACACTGACAAGAAAGTCATAACGGATGTCACAAGGAAGGGAGATGTCGTCTTTTCCAGTGGTGATATCCTGTATTGGGATCAGTATGGATATCTTTACTTCAAGGTAGGAGAATGATCAAAGGATGTACTTCATAATTGTAGGATCGGGGAGGAGATACCTACAGATGGAGAGGAGAGAATGTGAGCACGATGGAAGTAGAAGGTGTTCTTCAACCCCTTATGCAAATTCAGAATGCTACCGTATTTGGAGTGGAAGTAAATGGCCGAGAAGGCAGAGCTGGGATGATTGGGGCCACTCTAAATACGAATGTTGATATTCAAGTGGGTTCTCTAGTATGATGTTTGATATTTTTGTAGGAATTTGTTGACGTCGCTGCCAAACGTTTATGCGATAATTTGGCTGCTTATGCCATTCCCGTTTTCCTCAGAATCTGCAAAGAAGTGGAGACTACAGGGACTTTCAAATTGAAAAAAAGTGCCTTACAGAAGGATGGATTCGACCCTGCCAAATGCGGGGCAGACCCATTATTCTACTTTGATTATACCGCCAAAACCTACAAACCTCTTGATTCGGACATGTACAACATGATCCAAAGTGGGCAATACTCAAAAATCTGATCTTCAGGGTAATATTAATGTTGTTTATATTGCATTTAAAGATAAAATAGCATCACAAATAACCCGTACATTCCATTAAAGTCTGCGTCGCTGTCTGTCTTACTGATAGTTATATGATATGTACAATGTCATGAGAACTGAATTACCCGTATTTAAATGAGTCGCTCTTGTTTTTTGATTGGCTTTTGAATGGTGTGCATCTGCAAGGAGAATATTAGATCACATTTTCGTAATATTACACAAAAGCGGGAGGATGGATACCTGAACTCTGGCGCCAGTTACTTCCTGATTTGAGGGACTGTAGGTTCCCTGATTTGCTCTTCGATTCTTGGCCACAAAAAAGAATAACATGCACACCAGGACGGCACAAACTATTAATAATACTACCGAGGGACCAATGATATATCCCAAAGAGACCGATCTCTGTTTCTCTACCTGAAAGAAGAGTGTCAACTCAAGTCATGTTGCACCTACCATCTGCACACATTGCGAGCCCGTATATCCTTCGTGGCATTTACAGTCATACTGACTCAACTCTCTTCCCGAGGCATTCTTTATGACTCTTGGATTAATACAATCTCCGTGAACACAATTATGTAACGTCTTGTTGGAGGATGACATCGAACAGGGGTTAATCATATTGCATTTGGATCCAATGAAATCTAGATTTCGATGTTACATCCCTCCTGTTAACTTACTATCTTTACAATGACAATAATACGACCCAGGGAGGTTTTCACAATGTCCATTCACACAATTGAGACCTTCTTCATCACATTCGTTGATGTCTTCTTGACATTGCGTTCCTTTATACCCGGTTTCTCTACAATTGCATTCGAATCCATTCACCCGGTCGATGCATTTCCCTCCATTTGCACATTTATTGCCTCCGGCACAGTCATCAATGTCGGTTTCACATTTTTCTCCCATAAATCCAGGAATACATGTGCAGGTGTAACCTCCGACCTTCCGATTGCAAGTTCCTCCATTCAGACAAGGATGTTGTTTACAGTAATCGATTTCCACATCACAATTAACTCCTTCGTATCCATTTTTACACTCACAAGTGTAGTTGTTTTGTCCATTTTGAGTGCATTTTCCGTTCTTACATGGAGATGTAGTACAGATACCCGCAATTTCACATCTCTCTCCGAAATAGAATTCGGGACAAATGCATGAAAAGGCGCCTTTGGTGTTAACACAGGTCCCATTGTTTTCGCAAGGGAAGTCCTCGAGGCATTCATTCACATCTCGATCACATTTCATTCCTTCCCATCCAGAATTACACTCACAGATGTAATCATTGAAGACGTTATGGCATTCTCCGTTTTTGCATGGAGCAGAATGACAGTAATCCTTTGGCTGATCACAGTTTTGCCCTTCGAAACCCTTAGGGCAATCGCAGAAGTATGCTGTTGTATTCTTATATGTAGTCTTACATCTTCCTCCGTTCTTGCAGGGCATCTCCAAACAATCCATGTCCCCAGGTGTGACCTCACACAAATCCCCGGAGAATCCCTTTTGACATTCGCAAGTTGGTCCCATCTAAAGAAGGTTTAAACGTCAAATAAATGACTCACTTCACTGTCTTTACAGCTAGCTTCATTCGCACATGGTCGTTGAATACAATGAGTGTCTCTCTTTACCGTACAATTCATGCCCATATAAGCCTCGGAGCATTTGCACTGATATCCATGTTCAATGTTTTCACATTCTCCTCCATTTCTACAAGGATTCTCAATGCAAAAGTCCACTTTCTGATCACATTTTGGCCCAGCATATCCTTTTTTACAATCACATCTATAGCTTCCAATATCATCAACACAAACTCCATGCTCTCCGCAAGAAATATTCTCACTGCATTCGTTTATGTTGATCTGAAATGAATGATTTTTGGTGTAATGAAATGGATATCATACTTCACAGAATCGTCCCTGGAATCCCTTTACACATTCACAATTGATAGCATTGAACAGATCTTTGCATAAACCACCGTTTTTACAGGGATTGCCGTCAGTCCCGCACAGACTTTTACTGTGACATCCATCAGGTCTGAGGTTGATTAATCTCGAGGACACAAAATGGGGACCATCCAGGAAACCGAAGCCTTCTAATCCGAAGAAAGAGAGGCTTGGATATTCGGAGATCTTCACATTATGCAGACACCCCTGCAATTGATATTATTATATCAGACAAGACATACCTTGAAGCCGGATTCATTCAAATACTTCCCAAATGCAATCTTCTGCAGATCTTGAGTCATCGTACGTGTCCAATTATATCCGTTGAATACTTTCAATGATGACATGTTATCGAAATTTACGTAAAGTTGATTGTTTTTGGCAAATATGTTGATGGAATGCCATTGGCCGTCGATGACATCAGTCTTGATTGTGTCATTTAGGGTCCCATTTGAACTGGTGATTCCAAATTGGACAGATTTACCCCTTAAATTCATCCAGAGAAGGGTCTCATTCAATGAAATGGTTAATATTCTAGACTTTTCTGATCGAGTTCTTAATGAAAACGAGATGTCAAATATGTCTTCAGCCGTTGACAAATTACCAACCAGAGTAAATTCAGCGACACTGGTGGTGGCAAATGTAGATGGGGACTTGCAGACATATCCACCGTGGGTATTGATGCATTGGGCATTCAGAGGACAAGGCTGTGCGCTACAATAATCCTTTAGATCACAATTCTTCCCCATATATCCTGGTTCACATTTACATTCGTAGTCATTGAATGTATCAGTACATTCCCCATGCACACAAGGAGTCAGCTTCATACAGATCTCATCACTTACGGTACCCTAAATCAATCAATATAATGTATTCAGAGTAATAAACTCACCTCTAACAGATTCTGAGCATCGATCAAGGTAAGGAAAAGAGGGTCTTTGATGAAATCAGGCTGCCTTTTGCTCAATATCAGAGGGTTTCCATTAATCCGGACATCTTGCAGGGTACCTTTAAATATTTCTTTCTCCTCCGTCTCTCCAATTTGTGTTGAATTTCCCCCCAAAACCAGTCGATCAATCAGTAACGGATGTTCAAAAGGCCTATCGATCTTCAGAGATTCGTCCAGTTTTCCATCCACGAAAAGCTAAAAGAGTAAATGCTTATATTTCCAATCATTCAAATTCAAATAAATAGAATCTGCCTCACATCAATCTGATTTCCATTCCTTCCTACTGTAACAACATGAGGTTCGTTGTCATTTACAATTGTGTTCCCTTTAATCGAGTACACCTTCCTTCCACCCAATCTCACATCTACTTTTACAGTACCATTGGAAAGCCGACCGTTCAAGAAGGTTGTGGTATCATCATCAGAAGTCTGGCCAAGGTAAAACACTTGTCCCAGGTCCCTGTTAGTTCTGATAATGAACGATATCTCGGTCTCCTTGGTTAATTCGCCCAAATTGTTCTTATCTCCTGCATATTCAGCCAAGGAAGTCTCATTCTCATGCCCGAATGTGGATTCGGAAAGTTTGTGGAGGCAATCAGGCTGAAGGAAAGGACGGCGGCATTCGCATTTGTGATAGGACCAGTAGTCCAGACAATATCCCCCATGAGAACAGGTCTCGGGGCGGCATTGGACCTCCCTCTCACAGCCTCTTCTCACATCAATTGATCTCCTACAATACGATTCTTCCATTTACAAAAAGACTTACTGCTTGGAGAAAATGTCGATGGGATTCCCATCGACCATGATATTTCCCATGCATCCGATCATATGATGCCCTTTATCAACTCTCCCGATCCTTATGGAAAAGATATCGAAGTTGTTGGCGGCCAATTGTCTATGGCCGAGCACATATCCGGTCTCGAAATGGCTGACCTCGATCACCGTTCCGTTTACTGAGCCAGCCAAAGTGATCTGATACCAATCCCCGTCATTGACCCTGGTTTCTTTTACGGTCTCCTTCTTCTGATCCTTAAGAGCAAAGTAAGGAAATCCATCAGAGAGTCCGAGGGAGTAGGAGAAATCATTTAAAATGGATTCTCCTGTCAGAAAATGGACATTGGGGACAGTTGTTCGGAATCTGAATTGGATCCAATGCGTATCCAATTTGTGATCAGCCAAGACTTGAATGATTACAACCGAGGATTCGTTGAAGCTGGCCTCAGGTGTCCTTTGATTACAACCCTCTCCACTGAGACCCGGAGGGCACGAACAGAAGGGAACGTCATTTTTGCTAGTTCTCCGAAGACGACAGATCTGCCCTTCTTGGCAAGAGACCCCTTCACAGATCTGAAGATCTTATTTTAGACGACTTAATTAGGCTTACATGAGATCTCTCAGTGCAAAGAGGACCTTGGAAACCGACAGAACAAAGGCAGAGATGTTGATTGTTGGTCATTACGCACTTCTCTGAGTTGGAGCATTCTTCACAACTCGAGATATTCTATAAAAATTATGGATTCAATCCAACAATACCTACCGTTGTTGGCTGCACAGCTACCGTATTATGATCAATACCTGGTAACAAAAGTCCAGTGGATACATGATCTGTAGATGATTGGGTCGATATGCATTTAAAACTACCAGTAGAAGGGCCTTGGTTGCACAATTCAGAAGAGGAGCAATTACATTCGGTCTGACATAAAGGACCCACAAAATTGTGGGGACATTGACAGGCATCTACAATATATCACGTCATGACATTTCGGGAATTTGGACACTTCCGGAACAAATACATATAGCAGTATCATCTGAATGGATTTACTTTGTTAGTTTTGAAAATTTCGTAATCAGCGCCGTCAAAAACCCCTGAATCGAGTTTCTTCAGAAGAGATTCAAAAAAAAACTTGCTTAACAGTATGTATAATAAGAATATTATTCCTGAACTGTCCGCTTTCCCGGAAGTGTTCAAATTTCGTAAACGTTGCAGTGTCCAGTATATTTGTGGGTAACATTAATACTTACCGTCACTCAAACAAACCCCTCCATTTAAGCAATTGCAGGATGAATTTACAGTACTACTGTTAACTTCATCTGCTATTTGAGTCGCAGTAGTGATACTCTCTTCATCAGTCGCCAATTGTAATCTATCACACCATTTTCCTTGGAAAGATTGAGGACAATTACATCGGGTGACGTTGCTCTCCTTCACACATTCTCCCCCATTCAAACAACTTCTCCCATTTACAGTGCACTCTTCTTTCTGTAATTCATGTAAAAAGAAATATTCATGTTCTATTTACATTGCAGAGTTTCCCCTCGAATCCTGTATTACAATCACATCTGAATCCATCAATAGTGTCTACACAACGGCCGTGAACGCAAGGTTTCTGGACACACTGGCCGACCCTCTGTTCGCAAATCTTCCCTTCGAATCCAATGGGGCATTTGCAATTGAATCCCCCCAAGATATTCTCACATTCTCCATGATTCAGACAAGGCATCAACTCTTCCTCGCACTCATTCACATCCTCATCACACAATCTTCCTCGCAAGCCCTTGGTGCATTCACAAATAAAATCATCCTGTAAATTATTATTTGTGGTTGAACCTGAACTCTACCCCTTTTCTGAACTTTACCCCTTTTTCAACTCTACCCCTTTTTGAACTTTACCCCTTCAGAACTTTACCCCTTTTTCAACTCTACCCCTTGAATGAACTTTACCCCTTTTTGAACACTACCCCTCATTTTGAAAATTGAAAAAATGAGGTGTGACACCTTATACGATGAAAATTTTTTTCAAATTGAAAAGAATATGGTGTGACACCTTATACGATGAAAATTTTTTTCAAATTGAAAATAAAAAGGTGTGACACCTTATACGATGAAAATTTTTTCAAATTGAGAAAAATCAGGTGTGACCTGATTTTTCTCGATGTCACACCTAGTTTTTTCAATTTGAAAAAATTTTACATCGTATAAGATGTCACACCTTATTATTTTCAATTTGAAAAAAATTTTCATCGTATAAGATGTCACACCTGATTTTTCTCAATTTAAAAAAATTTTTCATCGTATAAGATGTCACACCTTATTTTTTCAATTTTCAAAATGGGGTAGTGTTCAAAAAGGGGTAGAGTTCAGATTTTTTGGCGAAAATCAAAAAAGGGGTAGAGTTCAGCCTTTTTTGGGGTAGAGTTGAAAAAGGGGTAAAGTTCAGATTGGGGTAAAGTTCAGAAAAGGGGTAGAGTTCTGCCGCAACGATTATTTGTAATCTTTTATACTCTGTTCTTTTTACAAGAATCTTATTTCTGTACAAGAGAAGACGGAATAAAAACTCATAAAAGTACGTAACCACAAGAATTGCGCAACGATGACATTACTTTGCCCGTAAAATAAATAAGATCCCCTTACCTTGATGGGTCTACATGTTGCATTGTGATGGCAGGGATTCTGACTCTGGCAGATGTCCACTTCGCAAGAAAACTTATTCAAATTCAAATCCAATAGACAAATCTGATCTTCCGGACAACCTGAATGTTGACAATCCACTTCTTTGTCACACAAAAGACCGGCAAACCCCTCAGGGCATTCACAGAAAGGTTCAGATGAGCCATTGTGAAACCGGCAAAGTCCTTTGTTTTTACATTTCAGATTGCATTGCAATTGTTCTTCACATAAGGTCCCTGTAAAACCTGGGAGACATTCGCATTGGAACGTCGGATTATCCTCATTGATCCCTCTTTCGACCACGCAAATGCCGCCGTTGAAACAAACATTGCTGACACATAATTTCTTGTCATCTTTAATAAAATATAAAATTTATATCAATTCACATAATATAAAACAATTAAAACAAATATTTTTTTGTAAGTCTTACCAGCTCTTATCCTGGGAATTATTAAAAACAACCAGAAGAGGCCAAGAGGGGCAAGGTTCATGGCTCAGGAGATCCTCATTCAGCCTGCAAAGTTTCCTTGTGCGCTTGGAACGTCACGCCCGAAATAAACGTCGCTTTATTGGCGCGGGAAGTCGGTCGCGCGACCATAAAATGCTACCTGGACAGAGTCACTCCCATGCAAATTCTCATAGTTTAAGGTCGAAAAACACCCGTTTAATGGCCGGATTTGGAGAGCAAGGGGGGGAGGACAGGTTAATAATGTAAAGGGTATATAAAACGGAAAAATCCGCTCTTTTTCGGCTCATATATACATGCACAATTAAGTCGAGAATTACTCGGGAAATGGGGCCGAGGGTGCGCGGGACTGATAAGATATCGGGATCCAAAGCAAACATAAATAAAGCAAAGAAAATTATATTTTTGATCAGTCTCCAAGGAAAACCTAGTAATGAGAAAGTTCAAGAAATTTATTAATCTGCTGGGTAGCCTTCGAAGAGCCCGATTTCAAGAGGCCGGCATCCCGCTGGACATTGGCCAGTATTCTTTTGTTTGCGCTCTTGAGAGAAGAGAAAGCGAGAGAGTCGGGACTATCTGGTTATCAGAAGATCCCCTTTCAGACGTGACAATCAGAACGTGACCAGTCTAAAACCATTCTCGATGTAATCCGAGGATCCCCGTCCTTTGAACGCTTACATCCCCCCTTCTATTCGAGACTTGACGCCCATGCCAGGAGGCAATCGCACAGCTCCATGAAGTTACCTTTTGTCAAAAATCGGCGCCGCTGAGAGAATGGGGCGACTTTTACGGAAAAATAAAATCAGAAAAAGCGACTCCGCCAACATCGACTTCAAAGCGCAAACCTTCAGAATTAGATGTTAACTAGGACGGCGACAGATCTGATAAGACGACTGCGGGAAGGGCAGGCGAACACCCTGATCCCATAAAACAGTTAGGGTACCTGTTACCATGGTAATCAAAGCGAGACGACCGTTAAATCCCCCAAAAAATGAAAGCCTTCAGCCCGGAAAGGAACGGAAAAACCGGGAAATGCAAATAAAAATGGGCTCGGGTCAGAGGCCAGTAAGGGCAGATACCTGCCAATACAATGACTTGTATTGGCAAGGCGCTGGGTGTCAGGAGGGTGGGCAAGAAAACAATCTATGGTCTATTAATTTAAAGTTATGCGGGGTAATTTGAAATTTAGAAATCATCACAAGAATGCTTCTTGTAAGTGAATCTTGTGACGTAACAAAATAACTCGTACTTCCATACAGTAGCCAATTAAATTCAGTAACAAAAAAGAAGACTGGAGAGCTTGCATTAAGCGCAGTTCATTATCGCCTCCGGCGTCATTCCTCGATCCCCTGAAGGCAGGTAAAAAAAAGACATCTAAAATAATAAAAGTGGCGCTGATTTGAGTCGGGGTCGCTCTCGGCTGGACCTTGAAATAACCTTTATACAATAAAATGGAGTCGACGTTAAAGGCTTCCGGCGCTTTTTTCCGACTCAAATCCTTCTGGAATCGCGACAATTACAGTCGCAATTATAGGAAAGTCAAAATCTGAGCTCAGCCTTCTCATCTCCAAATTAAAAAAAAACTTTTGTTTCTTCTTCCCGCAATGTTTATTCAACTCTAATTGTATCCATACAATATGACATTGATTAAATGCACAGAGTAATCTCGCAACAAGATGACATAGACTTACACAATCTCTGATTGTATGTAAACTAAACCTATAAAAACCTGTCTGATCAATCCCACTCAGCCAATTCGAGTTGCTGGTTTCGACGGCTCAATTCACTGAGTTCTTGCAACTCCTTGGATTTGCTTTTTATTGGACACAACCATCCAAAGAATCGCTGGAATCCGATGACATTTAAAGCTACGCAAAACGCAATTATCCCGGCGAAAAGAAAAGAGAATAAAGCGGAGATCAGGGCAATTATTATTATTTGTTTCCAGGTTGTCGTCGACTTAATTCGCGGCTGAACGGTCGATGGAACGACTTGGAGAAGGGTGGAGTCCAGCAGCGTGGCTAGAAGATGTTCTCGAGCCAGGATCACCTCCACCAGAGTCTCCCGCGGGAAACAATTACTCTCTGAAACAGGATTGTTTGTTGTAAATATTAAAAGCAAGTTTAATCATTAAATGCAACCTCCTGCTTATTCAGCCACCTGCCTGCCCCTTTCCGGTCTCCAAATTATACTAAACTCCCGGTCTATTTACTATTTACGACCATATCCCTGCGTCGCACGAAAACAGGGATAATCGGGATCGTTATGGGAATATACGAAACCATTAACCCTAAAGGGCATTTCTGCAGTTACCTGGCATGCATTCATAGCAATCAACATGCCCTTGAATAATAAAAAAAATTTTTTTATAATCAAAGTGACACACACAGTACATATAAGGTGGACGGCATCCTTTATTTTGCTGATGAGCAGCCTATTTTAGGTCCAGTCGACCCTGACCAAACTTCATTGGATCGAATGATTCGGACAAAGCCAAGAAAGCCAGAATGATCCCGTGGATACTATAACCCTGCCTAGTCAAAGTAGTTCTACAACATTACCAAGCATTGTGCCCAGTGAGAGTTTTGTGTTACAAAATTCCAAGGAAGAAGAGGAGACGGAGGAGAACGCAAAACCCAGACTCATAACGACCAGGGAGCTGAATGACGTGGGCCTAATCGAGAAACTGGTCCAACCGGGGCTTCCCAAATATTCAACGGAGACAGAGAGTCCAATCAACACGGCTGAAATGCCGCCATCCCATGATAGCCAAGATCCGTCTGTCGAAGGGGTTAAACCAAATACAACCTCCATGAAACGGTTTAGATGACAAATTAAATAGAAAAGCCAGAAGTAAGCGATAAAGACGGAGACCATACACGGGACGAAAATGCTGATGACGATCACATTTCCAAGCCTTGGCAAACGAACGCCAGGAAAACGAGAGTGAGAAGACCGACAATGGAGACGTCTAAAGTCACATGAGTAAAGCTACTCAAAAAGTAGATGGAGAAGAAGGTCCTAACGGGGCGCTCAAACTACACCTTCATCAGATTCTCAGAACGAAAGCAGTGCACAAACCAGTGGTCAGAATCAACAAGCAAAACCGTCTTAATCAAGAAAATTCACAAACCCAACTCCCTGAAGATGGTCAAAGTTAGGAAAACGCAGGAAACACCCGTGAATATGGAGACTCTCAAATTCAGACAGGGCAGGATCCAGATCAAAAAAGTCAGGAAACAACATATACATCCCAGTCTGCCCTAGAAGCTATACCCCATCAGATTCTGTAGTACCTGCTTCCCCTCTAATTCGACAATCTGAAGGAAGTGCAGGTCCATCAAGCTGCAGATCTTCAAGCAATTCTATCAAGTCAGCCAAGTCCTTCACCCCAGGAGCCAGCCGGTCATGCCAGCGGGTGCCTGACTGAATATGAACTGACTGGATATGAAGGACTAAATATGAAGGACTGAATATGAAAAGGACTGAATATGAACTGACTGAATATGAACTGTGGAGCTGACTGAATATGAAATTTGGCAAATTTGGTCTATTTCAAGGACTATATAGTACCAAGTGCTATAAATGTGTTTTTGGGCTGTACTAAGCACCAAACCAACACCATTACCGCCTTACGCCCAAATTTTCACCTCGTACTAAATAGTACCAATTGGGACTATATAGTACCAAGTGCTATAAATGTGTTTTTGGGCTGTACTAAGCACCAAACCAACACCATTACCAGCCAAATTTTCACCTCGTACTAAGTAGTACCAATTGGTACTATATAGTACCAGGTGCTAAAAATGTGTTTTTGGGCTGTACTAAGCACCAAACCAACACCATTACCAGCCAAATTTTCACCTCGTACTAAATAGTACCAGGTAGTACTATTTAGCACCAAGTGTTAAAAAAGTTTCTTTTTAAGCAGTACTAGGCACCAAAACAACACCATTAACGTCTAAAGGTGTCATAAGTCGAACAAATTTTAAAAAGAGTCCTTAATCGGAACCTAGGTAGTAACAGTAACAGAAACCCGGGTTTCATATTCAGTCAGTTCATATTCGGTCCTTCATATTCAGTCAGCACCCCAGTTCATATTCAGTCAGTTCATATTCAGTCCTTCATATTCGGTCCTTCATATTCAGTCAGTTCATATTCAGTCTCCCTTCGCATGCCAGCATATCCCTGATAGTCAATACTCAAATCAAAACCTCCCAGCGCCCTCACCTCCATTTGGAATCCGAGTACCTGATGAGCAATAATCTCCTCAACAGAAACCCTTACCAATAACTTAATTCCCATTTGAACGTAAGAAAATAAAGGTAATCAAAAATATTGAATGAATCTAAATTTCAGTTTTCCACATTGAAGTCACAAATATCCCGAACTTATAGTACTTTCACTCAGAATTCGATCAGGCCGCGTGGAGAAACGTGTTGTCTTTTCCCCAGAAAAAAAATAACATTAAAAAATTATGTCATCATTTAAATCTTACTATCGAGAGCATCTCCACTGGCATTCCATCGTACAAGAAAACTGATTCTGCTCTCCATTCCTTCCAAACAAACAAAATCTGTGATAAGTACGTTGTCCACATCAATGTTTCTACTTGCTTTTTTACATCTCAGTATGAAAGCACACTCTTCTCTCACCCAATTTCCAATCTTTTCTCTGATTTTATCCAAATTCAAACCCGAGGCGTTGTTGCATTCTTCGAATTCCACAGTGACCGAATTCTCTTGATCTTCGAAGATACGATGACAAGACGTACAATTGCATTCATAACTAGTGTGCTTAATAAAAAAATTGTTACCTGATATTACACTAGAGATACCTGATTGCAGACCGTCCCTGAAGTTATCAAAACGAAGTGAATAAATATGAGAGTGAAAGAAAACATGGGTAACTGCCGGAGGGTCTACTCTTCCATAAAGCGCACTCAAAAGGAAACCGCTGTCGATTGTAACCGAACCTAACCCCGGTTTCCCGTTTCAACGGACGCAAAAAACTCTTCTGTTTATATCGTCAAAACCTAATAATTCGACAATTCAAAGTTTGAAGCCATAATCCTTCTTGTACGATGAAGCCGAAGCGGAGTTCCGGTTGGTTTCATAAGGCGGTGGATAGTCCTAGACAGATTTTTTTAAAGGTTATACCAAACGGCGAGTTCTTCGAAAAAATACTCAAAAAAAAAACAGAAACTAACCTCTGGTACTCTCCATAATGGCACGATTGCAGCCTCTGGTCGAACAATGTCATAATCAGAACGGTACCATGGGCGAACTAAACAAGAAATAACAGTTTATGAGTTATACTTACTGCTCCAAGAGTTCAATTGAGCCATTCTATATACACAGATGGAAAGAGCAAGAAGCCCAAAAGTGGAGCCCACAACAGTCTGCTCAGGCCATCTTTTCAAAGCTTCTCTTGGCCAGAAAGATAAGGATCGTGCTGCCCTGGCCAATCGGGACATCTAAAGAAACAGATTGGTTCAGAAATAAGCCAAAAATTTTATAACGACAAATATGATAAATGTACCAAGCAATTCCGAATGAACAAAGCAGTGCACTTTTACAAAAAAGTTCTACAGCTGCAGAACCTTACAACGGTTATCGAACAAACAATAAAAAAGCTTGAGAAATAGTAAGCGCAAGTCGCGCCCTACCTTTTGCAACATAAAGGTCAATCTTATACGTTAGCGTACGGTGTGAAATGCAAATCCATTAAATTTGGGATAACATTGCCCCTTGATGCACATGTTAAAAGCCACTCCGTTACCACAAAAGTAAACCAAAAACAAATAATCAAAGAACTTTTATCCAGGAAAGACAAGGTTCAGAAGATGTCATCAGTTTCAGATACGGCCGTTCTGTTCCAGTAGTTATCTTCAAATTCCCATTGATTGTCCCTGCCGAATGCGTCTTTTCCAATATATTTGAACCATCTGAAGAGCAATGAGCAGCTTTGTACAATCACTTTACCTTGCATCCTTCTCCTTTTTGCCTTTCTTCGACTTCTTTCTGACCGATCTCTGCTTCTCTTCTACACGATTCTTCTCAAACTCAGCTCTTGCTAAATATAGGATGTTAAAATATAATTATAAAACAGTAATTTGCAATTAAATTACATACGAATATCTCCCAACTCGAAAAACTTGAGATCAGGACGGAAACGGCAGTCGGTCTTAGGGAGACTGTGACTTGGCGGCATCTCATTAAGCATCATCGTGAAGTGGGTGAAGTTGTAAAAAAACTCAGCCTTAGGCGGTTTTTCGTTTGAACTCCACAAGAATCTAGATCCCTTGAAGACAACGATCGGGCAATTCTAAAAAATACAGTAATCTCTGACATCACTAACCTCTAGAAGACTGTCACAATGTCTTCGGAAAGCCTGTTCGTATGCCAGAGAATTTTCGGAATAGGTTTTATGAGGAATACTGGCCAAGAAATGGGCCCAGTTGCCATAGATCTTGGACACTTTGGTCTTGCTGAAAAAAGCATAACTCCCCAATTAGTCATCTTACTTTTGAAGTACATCGCCTTCGACCAGGAGATCAGGCTTGTTCTGATTGGCTCCTTTAAAACTCAATTTGGTCTCGAAAGGAGTTGCATGAGACACGATGGTCATGCTTCCATTCTAAGGCCATTTTATTGTAAAAATATCATTATTTACTTACAGCACATATGTACATACTACCCATGATTATATTGTAAATTGTGCAGCTGACTGCATTCCACGTGTAGATCTCAATTCCTTCTTTCCTGAAACAACAACATTATTAGCATCAAAAGGGATCACATATTTACCTCAACAACTTGAGAGTAAAGGCGGCGCCAGGGTCACATTCAACAGAGCGACCCCAGAATTTAACTCGAGGGGCTACAGTACCAGAGAATTCAAAGCTGTTGGATTGAGCATGGAAGGCGGAGATCGGAGGATGATGGGAGACTTGCTCGGCGATGAAACGGAAACCAAGCTCAGGTCGACTTAATTCATATGTCTCATGAAGCAAAGGATTGAAGGGCTTGGTCAGACGGACACTTGAAAGGGTGGACACCGCGAAGGCTGAGACTAGCTGTACTTAAATTGTCAAGTAACGGTTAGTTCCCTACCTCCATTCGGTGAAGAGGATCCTCAGTCCGAGTAGCCGTATTCAGCAATTCACTGTGTTCCATGTATTCGGCTAGTCTCTGGAGGAAGGTAATCGGTTCGTTCAGCCCGATTGGAAGGGTTATCCTTGATAGGTCCTAAATTAGAAACTTCGATTGTGTGAATAGAGGTCTTGGCATGAATATGTCTCTCTTACCTTGCCGATCATACTTTTGAGAACACTCCAGACACTCACTGTTCCCTTAGGCACAGGATTTCCCGGAAGTTCTGTTCTGGCTTGGAATTTGGGATTGGGTCGAGGCCTCCGATCGACCAGAATGGACAGGGATCCACCCTCAGACATGATGAATCACTTCAAGCCGGATTTCCTTGGAGTGTCGGTCGACAACCGAGCTCCAAAATAATTGGAATATCAAAATAAAAACAGTTACAATTTTATAAAATTATCTTCTTGCTAATTTATGAGTTTACTGTATCTTGACATTTTTATCGTATAATCTATAAGTTATAATTTGTCTGTATCTTTTTGGCAAACTGCGCCCGAGCGAAAAAATATTTTATTAGGAGCAATAAAGAAATTTCGAAAAGGCGCGCACAATTGAACAGAAATGGAGGTTGATGAAAGTACAGTGTCAATTTCAACAAAGGTTAAACAAGTAAGTTCTTCGCGTAAAATCTTTTATTTTTTAGGAGGAAAACGCCGCAATCAGGAGTAGAGTCGCAGCCCACAGTCATGTAAAGGGTCTAGGTCTTGATTCCTCGACTGGAGATGCTATTGATCAGGCTTTTGGTTTCATTGGTCAAAAACAAGCTCGTGAGGCTGCTGGAATTATTGTGGAATTGGTGAAACAAAAAAAGATGGCAGGAAGAGGAGTGCTATTCTCTGGAAAACCTGGTACTGGAAAGACGGCTATTGCTCTGGCTATTGCTCAGGAATTGGGTGATAAGATCCCTTTTATACCGATGGTTGCTTCAGAAGTCTATTCGTCTGAGGTTAAAAAAACAGAGGTCTTAATGGAAAACTTCCGAAGAGCTATTAGTAAGTTGATCTTAGTTATTGTTATTTGTTCATACGGGGGAAGGCTTCCAAGTGCGACGCTCACGTTTTCTTTAAACATTGCACACACGTCAGGCATAGGTTGGGACACATATTAATTCCTGTAAGTTTTGCGTTTTTCAGGTATAACGTATTTGCGAACAAAGGGGCGGTTCTGGCGATTAAGGGGACGAAAGAATGTTAACTTTTGGCCAAGAAAATAAGGAAATATTGTTATATTACGATTTTTCAAACGTGCGTAGACTTTTTGTCGCAAAGCTTTCCACACTGTGCGTTTCACTTTGTACTGTGGAATTTGAAAATCGCGGCGACGTAAGCTTTTTTCAACTGCGTCGCTGCGCATTTTGCGCGCGATGCCACAGTGAAAAGGGGCCTTCAGCTGCTGATCTCTGTAACCTGTTGGCAATTTTTTAAACCCATTCCTTGAACTACTTTTCAAAAGCTGTCGAAGGGTATAGCAAACGAGTAAACTTTTTGTTTCGCACTGAAAAAAGGCACTTTCTGGAAACGTACTACATCTTTGCTTGTTAAAAAAGTCATCTAAATTTGTGCCAAGTGTCATTAAAATCTGAGCATCGCACTTGGAGTACTTATCCTATTAGATGTACGAATGATGGAGAAGAAAGAGGTCTACGAAGGTGAAGTTGTCCAAGTTACTCCATTTGAACAAGAAGGCGTTAATTTTGGATATGGAAAGACCATCAGTCATGTTGAACTTGTTTTGAAGACCTCGAAAGGATCGAAGAAATTGAAGTTGGATCCTAGTATATACGATGACCTTCTCAAACAGAAAGTCGAAGTTGGGGATGTGATTTATATTGATGTAAAAGCAGCTTCGGTAAAAAGGGTCGGCCGATCTGATGTTTTTGCGACTGAATTTGATGTGGATGCAGATGTTTATGTGCCAATGCCAAAGGGAGATGTGTATAAAGTTAAGGACGTCGTTCAGTTTTGTTCTCTACATGACTTTGATGTTGCTAATATCAATCCGAATGGAGGGCAAAGCGATGCTTTATCCTTTTTTAATCAGTTAATGAAACCAAAAAAGACAGAGATTACAGGTAATTAAGGAGATTTTACTTAATTAAATTTAGAAATGCTGCGAGATCAAGTCAACAAAGTTGTAAACAATTTCATCGAAGAGGGAACGGCTGAACTCTTACCGGGTGTTTTGTTTATCGATGAAGTCCACATGCTTGATCTGGAATGTTTTACTTTCCTCCATCGGGCTCTCGAATCTCCCATCAGTCCAATTGTTGTTTTCGCCACTAATAGAAATCTGCATTCCACCGATGATAATGCGCCTTGTATTCCGTTGGATTTGCTGGACAGACTTTTAATTGTTCATACCAAGCCTTATGATAGGAATGAAATTGCTTCGGTGAGTTTAATTATACGAAAGTTGTGAATGTTTAGATCGTAAAAGTCAGAGCTGATGCAGAGGGAGTCAAGTTGGATCAAAAATCAATTGAAAAGTTAAGTAATGTTGGAAGAGAGGCATCTCTTCGGTATGTTATGCAATTACTGACGCCAGCCAAGGTTCTGGCTCAGTTGAATGGAAGAGATACCATTGAAGTATGTTCTCTTTGTTTTATAAAATCGTATTATTTTAGCCTCAAGACGTGGAAGACTGTGAGAAATTGTTCTTGGACGGAAAAAGATCGGCGAGAATTGCCTGATTTGATGTTGAACACTTCGTTATTCTCTTATACTACATTATGATGCTCATTTTCTTGTTCCTTGTTATAAATCTTTAAATATTCCGGCTTGAATTGAAGACGGAGTTTTGATCTCTGTGTTATTTAATAATGATTTGGTATTATTGTTCATTTTATTCTTTAGGATTGCTCATTTTTATTCTTTAGTTTAATATGTCTTTGGGACCGAACAACACAGACTGGGACACCGTTCCGGATGACGAGCTCTATGAGACGCCCTGGGAGAGACTTGAAGCCCTTAAGGAGATCTTCCCAGTCCCGTTGAGAAGGTCTTTCAGTGCAACGGCGGATTGGACTGTCTGGCTGGGAAAGAGAACTGTAAGTGTTCAATTTTTGTTAATGTTTTCCTCTTAGTTTTCCATGACGAAATCAACTCTTTGGATTGGTGCAACGTCAGGTATCTTGATGCTTTTACCTGTAATTATTGAAAAGGAATTAGCCGAACTTGCCAAATCTCAGGTAATGGATAAAATCCGGTTTTAAATAACAATTACTTTAGATCCAGCAACAACAGCAGATGCTGCTTGGCCCCGTTAAACCTTAATTTCCATTGTTTAAATTGATTAGAGAAGTAAATTTTTTTTATTTTTGAAGCTTGTGGTTTCTGGAGTTGTATTCTACGTTACTTCGATTCATATTTTCTAGAGTTAAGGCTTTTATTCTGGTAGATGTTTATTCAGAGATTAGGATTATCCAGAAGTTTATGCTCATGTCGTCGATTTTCTGCAGTAGTACCTCAAGGGGATGCAGTAAGTGGTTTGATGGTAAAAGGGTACAGTATTTAGAGCCTGGCCGAATCTGAAAACGATCGTACGAAAACGATTGACTTGTTAGGAGAGATAGCTACGGATGAATTAGAATGTCTTCCAGATGATGAAAAGCCATCTTTTTTTGTGTCTGGCCTAGTCCGAGGCATAGATAAAGGCTTTGGAAGAGAAGAAAGTAGACCAGCCAACAGATTTAGGAACGTTATTTATAATGAGGGAGAGTTGGAGAACTCCGACTTAACGAAGCCTCCGGCTTTGTAAGTTTAATCTCATCAAGACTGATGTGTTTAGAGACAATCCACATCCATTTGATCCTAGTTCTCTGCCTCCAACTCATTCAAACAGCCTGGTTTCTTATGTAAATTATGTTACAGTGCTCCAGAAACTTGTAGATATTGGAGTCGACTTATATCAGGTAAATTGAGCTTTGTACGTAGTTGATTACTGTATTCAGGTGGATAATGAGCCTAAAATAGGTCGAAAAATAATGTATCTAAATTGGGAATCAGACGTGTTGCCGCGATTGAAATGGCTTGTTCAATATTTGGGAGTTTCTCCAGAGGAAATTGGGTCATATCTAACCAGAAACCCCTATTTCCTTCTTCAAGATACCAATAGGTTACAAGATAGAATAAATTATCTGAAATCGAAAAAATTTTCTCAAAGTGAGATTTGGAAATTGGTCATTTCATATCGGTAAGCTTTCTTTCACTTATACGATGATGATAGGTATTGGTTGAATAATGACATCGATGTAATCGATCTGAGATTAGGATGGATTCAGAAACAATTCAGATTAAAGGGAAAAGAGCTCAGAAAAGTAATTGTGAAAGAGCCCAGGGTCATACAATACGGGATTGCTCCTTTATCGGTGAGTTTCATCGATTCAATTTGAATAAATTTACTTTCAGCGGATCACAATGCTGATGAATAATGATTTTTCTTTTGATGTCGGCGAGATAAAGGCCATTTTCTTGAACGATCCTCGATGTTTTATGATGGGTATCGTCTTTGGTTCTATTAATTAAATAAAAAAAATTTTCAGATGTCTCCCATCTTAATAACACTTACAATTTCCTTCATCAAGTCATGCAGATTGAGAATGAGCAAATAGTTGAATTCCCGATGGTTCTACGGTGTTCAGTATCCATGTTAAGGAGAAGGTTCGAGTTTTTAAAACGTCTTCAGAAGGCCCAATTCAATCCAGAACTGCCAGATTATATCTCTCTTCAGAAAGTATTACATCCAAGTGATAAATATTTTGCTGAGAAGATATGCTCGACACCGCTAGCTGATTACCAAGCATTTTTGAAGACTCTCTAAGCTCGAATAAATGCTCCTTTACGTTCGTTTTTTTATTTTCTGTGTGAATCGACGCGCATTTCTTTTTTTGACCACCTTATCAACACCTCAGCTCGCCAATCGTCCGATAAAACCCGAGTTCTCTTCGACTTACTCACTACTCTAAGATTGCTCTTATAACTTCCTCGTGATTACTGTAATTACTCAATTTAATTATGGTTAATGGGCTTATTCGATCCGGGGATAATGCTGATCTGACAAAAGAAAGAAGAGCCGCTACTTTTAACGTAAACGAACTCTCTGAATTTATTCATGGAGGAAAAGAAGTTCTGGCCAGGAGAAAAGAGATCCTCCAATTTGTGGAATCCAAACCAGAATTCAAACAAGAGATTCCCATCGAATTCTTGAGTCGAGAACAGAGATACGAACAGCAAGCAAAGAATGCTGTCGCGATGACAGAATATGCGACAGATGTCATCGACGGCAGTGACTTCTTTGGAGAGGGGATGTATTATCAACAGTAAGTACACGAAATATTTTACATTGTTCAGATTGATAATGGGCCGAGATTTGCATGCCTTATCCCTTCATTACGTCATGTTTCTTCCGACCATTCAAAATCAAACCACCGAAGAACAACTGGATAAATGGCTGGGCCTTGTAATTACTCGAGGGATTTCTGGGACTTATGCCCAGACTGAACTGGGTCATGGAACTAACCTCAGTCAGCTCGAGACTACGGCCACCTATGATCCCAAGACTGAAGAGTTTGTCATCCATTCGCCTACTGTGTCAGCTGCCAAATGGTGGCCAGGAGCATTGGGAAAATCCTCAACTCATGCTATCGTTATGGCTCAACTTATCACTGGAGGACAGGGATACGGACCCCACCCTTTCATCGTCCAGCTCAGAGATCTCGAGAATCATAAACCTTTGAAAGGGATTACGGTAGGGGATATTGGACCCAAACTGGGCATCAACGGATCGGATAACGGGTTCCTTTTGTTCAACAATTATCGTATTCCCAGGGAAAATATGTTAATGCGACATGCCAAAGTGACAAAAGAAGGGAAATACATTCATCCCAAACATCAAAAACTTGGCTATGGATCAATGGTTTTTGTGAGATCAATAATGATCAGAGATCAGTCTTTGCAACTGGCTGCTGCTTCGACCATCGCCACAAGATATTCGGCCGTCAGAAGACAAGGAGAACCTGTTCCTGGGTAGGACTAGTCAAGACTGATCTTAATCTCTTATGTTTTAGAAAGGGAGAAGTCCAGATCCTGGATTACCGTACCCAACAACTCCGGATTATTCCACAGATCTCCAAAACACTGGCTTTCCTATTTGCGGCCTCAGAAGTGCGTGATCTTTATCTGAAAGTCACAGAACAGCTCTCGGATGGGAATGTTGAATTACTCCCGGAACTCCATTCTCTCTCTTCAGGCCTCAAATCTGTAGTTTCTTGGGAAGTTGCGCAAGGGATCGAGCAATGCAGACTCGCTTGTGGAGGACATGGATACTCTCAGGCCAGTGGATTCCCTGAAATATATGCATATGCAGTGGGTGGATGTACATATGAGGGAGAAAATATTGTCATGCTTCTTCAAGTTGCAAGGTAAACATTGATCTCGGAGCATATTTATTTTACTTTAGGCAGTTACTGAAGTCGGTTACAAAATTCAAGTCAAGCACAGCAAAATTGGCCGAGATCGATGGGTATCTCGGTAATCCTGCTGTTTCTCAAACTTCATTCCATGGATTAAATGGATTAATTCCTCAGGTTCTGATCAACGACTTTGAGGAAGTCGCAAGGAAACAGGTACTCTTAACCATATATTAGTCATTCTTTGATAGATATTCGGCGTTTGGGACCGTTTTGAATCGCTGAAAAAGTCATTATCCGAGAGTGAGGCCTTTAATAAGGTCTCCATCGACCTTTGCCGCGCTTCAAGATGGCATGTTAAGGCTTATTTGGTAAAGAATTTCTTTTCCTACATCAGCCGATTCCAAGGATCAGCCCGGATTAAGGAGATCCTCCTGGATTTAGCGAGTCTCTATGCTCTGGATCAGATTTCCGCTGGATTATCGCACTTTTTACGAGTAAGTAATACAATAGACGCGAAATGTTTTCCGAAACCAATTCCAATGGATCGTAAACTTAATGAATTCCCCTTTCCAGGATGGATATTACTCTCAGGGTCAGGCCGATCAAGTCAAACTCTCCATCGAAACTTTATTGGAACGTCTTCGCCCGGAAGCTGTAGCCATTGTCGATTCCTTCGATTTTAGCGATCGAGAATTACATTCAGTTTTGGGAAGAAGAGATGGGAATGTTTATGAGAATCTCCTTAAATGGGCTCAGCAGTCTCAGTTGAACAGAGCCGATGTTCTCGATGCTTACCACAAATATCTGGGACCAATGATGAAGGAAGGAAGGGCCAAATTGTAAGAAAAGACACCGGTTTATTGCTGAATATGTACAATAAGCGACTGAATGGCTGACAATTTTCTCCTTCTTGTTAACAAATGTAACACATTAAGTATTAAGGGATAATATGTAATACTTGCAATTATGATAAAACTGTAACAAAGAAATGCAATAAATCTAAATGAGTCCTTCTATACTGGGTGGAGGTATGACTGGCAGATCTCTGGCGTTGTTTTCCTCGAGCTGAGGCCGGTATTCTCCATGATTCCTCCTTCGTTCTCGAATTCTATGAATCCCGAGAAATGCCAAACCTCCCAAAATAACCAGTAGTACCTGTAATTAGCCGCATTTTATTGAAAGAAACATTGTACATAGAAATAGGTCACCGAGCCGAAATTGGCTGTTCTTAACCCCGATCACGCTCCCTTGTTTACTCAGTATTACGTAAACCTCCAGAAATAAAATCGTAAAACGAGAGTTTGTTGCGCAACGAAACAAAGTGATGAAAATATAAAATATCAATGAAGAGACTCACAATTACGCCGATTACTATGACAACAACAACCCAGGCATCCAGACCGGTGGCCTCGGGCTTGGTTCGATTGGAACGCTCGGTGGTGGCGGCGATAGGCATTGGAGACGGATACGAATCGAACTGATCAACGCATTCTGAGATTAGCCATGAACAGGAAGAGGAGGATGCCTAAAGGAGAACAATCGACTGACTCGCGACGCCCCGAGAATCGATAAAAGAGAGCAAACAGAAAAGAAAAGGAAAGTGCAGGTGAGTGCCTCAAGATTTCCGAGCCCAGCCCCCAGGCGAGAAGACCGCAAGAAAAGGAATTCCCCTCTGACCGTTGTCCACACCCACCCCTTGTAAGTAATCGCCCGCTTATTATTTTATGTATTCCTCTCCCGGTTGAATCAAAAAACTTTATTAGACCAACAAAAAACCGTTTTCTGTAACAAAAAACAACTGGGAGAGGATGCTTTCTTAGGATTGGGCTGGTTCATCGGAGGCCAAACTCTGAGGCGTCGTCTTTTGTTCTTCAGGGCGCATGGCTGGGAAGAGGAGTACCTCCTGAAAGTGACGTTGTCAGCAAACAATTATTAAACACGGTAAACGTTACGGCTAAACCAATTCTTAGGTCTTACCTTGATGTTGTTACTATCAGTTAGAAGCATGGTTAATCGATCGATTCCCATTCCCCAACCGGCCGTTGGTGGAAGACCATATTGCAAAGCGGTGACAAAGTTTTCGTCAATAAGTTGAGCTTCGTCATCACCAGCAGCCTTGTCTTTGGCTTGTTGTTCGAACCGTTCCTTCTGAGTGATTGCGTCATTCAATTCGGTGTATGCATTAGCGATTTCTTTGTGAACGGCGAACAATTCAAACCGCTCTGTGAGCCCTTTTCTGCTGCGATGCCATTTAGCCAGAGGGGACATGACTTGAGGATGACCCACCAGGAAAGTGGGATTCAGGAATGTACTCTCCAGGAATTCCCCAACCATTTTATCCAGCAATCGTGCCACCGTCCGTGGAGCAGGACAATCTACATTCTTGGAACGAGCAATCTCATCCAATTTGTTTCGTGCTTCTAAACCAATATAATAATAATAATAATAAGATCTATAAGACAAACAGAAAGTACTATAAACAAACATACCTTCAGTATGGAGAGTTTCCGGAGGCGGCAGTTTGACTCCGAGTTTAGCCTCGAGGTCATCATAAATGTGGACTCTCTTGAACGGAGGAGTGAAGTCCACCTCCAAAGTAGGCTCAGATCCTGGTCCATTCGGATGATATGGGAGTTTGTAGGTGCCGTGAATGGTGTACACCATTTCTATAACACGAATTTAAATTTAAAAGACACTTACTCGAGACAAGGTCTTCGGTCAGTTTAATCAGATCTTCATAGTCAGCATAAGCCATGTAGAATTCACACGAAGTAAACTCGGGGTTGTGAGTCATGTCAATGCCCTCATTTCTGAACAAACGTCCAATCTCATACACACGGTCTAATCCTCCAACTACCAACATCTAAACAAGACATACTTTAGAAAGAAAGGTTCTTACCTTGTGATACAACTCCGGAGCAACTCTCAAGAAAAGATCCATGTTCAGATCATTGTGATGGGTTATGAAAGGCTTAGCAGTCGCTCCACCAGCAATCTGATTCATGATTGGAGTCTCCACTTCCAAGAACCCGAGGTTGTCAAGATATTTTCGAACGAAAGAGATGATCTTAGCCCTGATGATGAACTTGTTTCTCACATCGGGATTCATAATCAGATCAAGGTAACGCATACGGTATCTGAATTATACTTAATTACCAAATTGGTATTGAAGTCATACCGAGTCTCTTGATTCTTAAGGCCGAAATGAGTATGTGGAAGCATGTGGAGACATGGAGTCAGCTGGACTACTTCCGTCGGAACCAAACTCAACTCCCCACGAGCAGATCTAGTTGGGTGACCCACAAATCCAATAATATCGCCTCTTTTGATTCGATCATGAATCTTGGCGAATGATTCTTCGCCCTCTTTGTGATACTTGGCGTTGGCCATCACTTGAAGTCGCGTGCATTCTCCATGAAGATCATAAAATATGAGTTTGGCACCGGCCTCACGTTTGGAGAAGATACGGCCTAAAGAGAGGTAAGAATTATAAAAAAAAACATACCAGCAATGCTGACAGTAACATCTTCTAGCACTTGGTTATCCTTCAGATAAGCATATTTTTCAGTGAACTCCTTGAGGGAGATAGAAACATTGAACTTGTGCGGAAATGGTTCCTCACCAGCCTCACGACGTTCGTTAATCATACGTACCCGCATGTTAAAGTACTCCTGAGGATCAGACGGATCGGCATCTTTCACTTTATCGTTCTTCTTAGACTGGACTGGATTGGCGGCCTTAGCTGCATCTTTTTCAGCCTTCTCCTTGGCCTTTTGAGCCTGTTTAGCTAGCCGTTTTTGTTCGCTGAAAATTAGCAGTGAAAATAAGCGATTGGTGAGTGACTGCCCTAATTTAAATCCCAACTAACCTAAAATCTCGATTAATAACCCAGCTCCGGAGAACAGGAGATCGGACTATAAAGCGGCGTGAAAACCCAATCATTGTGGTGATACTTACTTCTTGCTTAGCTTCTTATCACCCTCTTCGGCACTCATCGTCAAAATAAATTAATTCAACCTGAAAAGAAGCAAGTGTAACATTGCAATCATAAACATAGAGATGGCAAGGTAAATCCCGACATTTTCCGTAGATAACAACCTCAAATCCTGAGGAATTTAGGCCAAAACCCCTTGAATTTCCGCGTTTCAAAAAAAATAAAATTTCTGATGTAATTTCGCAAGCTGCGCCCCGACTTGCGTCATTTTATACGATGAAAAAATCTGCTGATGTAGATCTATAATATATTTTTATGCGAACAGAGTTATATTATAGTGTTTTAACCGGTATCAAAAACAGTCAATTACAACTTGAGATTGAGTGTTTCGGCGGACTGCCTTTCTGTCAGGCCCAGACTTGATTTTACTTCAACGGGATCCCATTCTTCATATCTTTTCTGTGGTTTCGCTTCTATTACCGAGAATATAGGTTTATTAGATGATTTACGAGTTACCTGATTTTTTAATGAGGGAATCCAAGCTGAGAATTTCATCGTCATTTCCCCTAACTTCGTCGATTTCCATAGGATTTGCTTTAATCTCCCATAAATTTATATATTCCTTCCTTTTCTCAGGAGATATCCTTTCCCCAAGTTCAAGTAGTCTAAAATAGTAAGCTATCAGAGATGTGAGCCTTACTTAATAAAAACGTTTTTTGAGAAGAAATAGAGTCCTTCCAGAATATTTCCTATCAAAGATTTGAGATCATAATCTGAAAGTGAGATCTCTGAAGGGATAGGATAATATTAAGAAGTTGCACATACCACTAACAAACACCCTTTCAAGAAGCAGGGCACTCCAACCGGCGTATTGACTCTTTTCGAAGAAGCTGAGATCCGAATCAGAGCATAATTGGGTTACCTAAAGTAATATAAAAAAGATCGTCTACTAATACATACCTTGGTCAGTAACATCCCATAGCAATTACAATCTTCTAATAAGACTATCAATTGTTGCCAGAAGGTGACCAAAGCTGTTGGAATTTCCCAAACTCGGTTCTCCGTCTCAGCTAAACCGATAAAAAACAACGGAAGAGGAACTTACAACAATTATACGGAAACTTTGACTTTTCCATGTTTTGTTTTGAGAGAACAAACTTCTTCGTGATACCGGCAATAAACAGACTGACCATGATAAATGTGATTTTGCACTTACTGGGGCTCTTCTTTTATCACATTTCTGAATCCTTCCATTGCACTCTGAAGTTTCTTTTCATTGGCCTTTTTTTCGGCTGCATCTTTTGATTTGCTCGTCATGACATTGCAATAATCAGTAACTAACCTCTTCAGTTCGTTTACTAATAAGGGATCCGAAACTTTCTTCTGAGTGGGGGGATCTGCCCCTGGAACTGTTAACGCAATCTCAACTGGCTGTTTCCAGTGCATTTCCTGAGCAAAAACAAAGTTATCAGTGTTATAACCTTACCCACAGCCAATTCCGACAGAAAAGAACACCGTTTCTGAGTTCATTTAGAGTTGGGAGATCAGCATGAGCAACACTGTGTCTCATTTGGACGATCCAGGGAGGAATGCCTATCTAAAAAACGATCAATGCACAAATTGTCCTACTTTGCTCGTTGCTGCGACCACGGATGTCAAAGGGCCGTCCTCTGATTGGCAGATTTCGTTTAAATAATTCACAAATCTATATTATAACATTAAAAGAGAACAGTACACATTACCGTATCATTACTGTGCTGTAGATCATTTGTTTGTTGTAGGACATATTGTGGTTACTATCTTGATTAGACATGTCAAATAAGATACCATTCACCACCAACTTGGTGAGTCTAATTACAATCGGTGTTAATGGATCAGATCTAAATAGAAATAAACGTGAAAAAAAAAATATCTACCGGAATTCCCACATATTCAGCACTTCCAGGACATCTTGCAGAACCGGAATATTATCCGTTGTGAGGTTATTCTTCACTATATTCCATTCAAACCTAAAAGAAGCATTACAAAAAAGGTTGCCTTACTCGGTGAATGGAACAATTGTTACCTCAGTTTTCCCTGGAGGCATTATCTCCACAGGTTAGGACAACTTGTCCGAAAAAATAAATTTTACAAAAAAAAATATTTATTTCTAATTATTTTTTCGAAATTGCATTTTGCCAGACAAAATAACTCGTGATGGGAGCCAAAGCAAGGTGAGATTACATTTATAGAAGCAATCAAATAGTATCAAACACTGCAAGATATATTCTCTTTATGGCCACAATGGTCAAAACTAAAAGGAATGTGAGATACGTATTGTGTTAATATGACATTATAAATAATAAGAGTTATACTTGTGAGTAAGAAAAGTTGGCTCAAGTTTTATTTCCCTTCACCTCACAACTGACGTGACCTCTTTTCTCTCTTTCCGCCTTGGATTTTATGGATGTTCCTCATCTGCATTGCTTATCCTGCTTCTTTTCTGAATGTTCTGTTCAAGAATGCCCCTTAACTTACTGCTCTAAATGTTACATTAAGCTTCATGAATGTAAATTGCAAGATCATGAAGAAAATATTTGCCTGGAGGCAAGCAAACGTTTAGGATAATCTCTATTGCAAACTTTCAGGCAAGCGTGCCGTGTCTTCTCTTCCAATATGGGTGTAAATCTGAAATCGCCCGGAAATCGATGGGATCCCACCTAAAATCATGTCCAGCAAGTGTAGTCAGGTGTAATTTTACATGGAGCCGACAGTTTCTGTCATTGGAAGCCAAACGTCTCTTCAAGAAAATTCATCGCGGACTCGCAAACTTTGATGAGACCCAAAAAGCACCAGAAAATTATATCGAATTAAGACTCGCCTTATTAGATCAACAAGTACTTTTTCGCTCTCTGAATTGTAAAAGAGAGGCGCGAGTCAGACAAAGGGATTTCATGAATCCTCAACATCCTATGTTGCCATTGCGTTATACGGTGATTAAAGATGGATCAGAATCTAAAGAAAATGATAGCAGCGACGAAGAAGAAGATGCAAGGGTAAGTAATAATTACAGTTAATAAAGAATGAACAGCTTCGCAAACTGCATGCAAAAAGAAAGATCTTTGCGGGATGTTTACAATGCAAGATAGACCCGAGCGCACAACATCTCCACACCCTCGGTAATGTGAATACGGAATACGAGATCTCTTCCAATGACAATAGAAACAGATTCTACACCAATTCAGTTCTTCCGCCTTTTCATCATGACTATGGGTTGTTTGTAGGTCACTGTTTAACCAGATATTTCACGTTTATATTACTTTAGCTAAGTCTGGAGACGGATAAGGCGCCCCCAAAGACTTTACCGAACGAAATGAGAAAGCTGGTATATTTCTTTAGCTGTGATCGAGATATCCGACGGGACGAAGTGAATGATCATATACTTTACCATCAGACCTTGAGAGGATGCGATAATCATTACATTTGGTGTCCTTTTAACTGCGGGTTCGGGGTGTGTCTCTCTCAGAAGGGAGAATTACGGTAAGATAAAAAATATGACATAACTAATATGGATTAAGAATGGCTGAGAGACAAGATAACGTCGTATTTATTAGCAAAGGGTCTAGCTCCATGCCTGAGAGAGATTACAACCTAAATCTTGTCTTAAACGTCATCGCTTCCACAGTGCCCTTTTTGGATTCAGGACAACTTAATGCTCTGTCCTGTACGTGTAAATCTCTTCGGAACTTTCTTTTTCACAATTTTTTCGATCGAAGTATGGTTTATCCGATATGGGAAAAGAGTATTCAAGATGGGAAAATGTCATGGAGAATAAATAGCTTTGTAAGTAAAAGACATAGTAAATATTAGGGTTGTTAATTTGACAGAATTTTTCAAAATGACGTCAAATTGCGTTAAATTGCCGTCGAGTATTTTTCGTCACCAAGCTCACGACCTAAGGTTGAGACCATTTTCGGGTAATTTTTGGCAACCTCCTTGGCCTCGGTCACGACCTAGGTTGCGAGTAAAGTGCAGAAAAAAAGAACGCGATTTTCGAAATCAGCACCCTCGAAAACCCAAATCGATTATTGTTAGAAAAATTCAAAAAATTACTTTTTAACACTGCATAAGAAAGAAGTAACAATCACAGAAAAATTAACAAAATTTTCGAAGTTAGTGACGGTCAATCTGTTCAGATGGTTCAGATGACAGGTCTAAGCCTTATCTTTGATTTTCCCGGGTTCCGGAATTGTCACTATTCCGCCATTCCGGAATTGTCCAAATTCCAGAAATGTCGCGGGGCTAATTTTTCTTACTGCGCTCTTTACCGGTACAAAAAATAGACTAAAGTTTGGTCTGGATGGTTCAATAGATTTTTTTACGAAATTTTTTATTATTCTCACCCTGCAAAAATTTTAGTTTACTCCGAGGGCGACGCTCAGGTTTTGATGAAACTTGGCACAAATTAATCGTATTTTTTCTAACAATAAGACATATGCGAGACTTTCACAAAAATTCAATTTTTTCTGCACAAAGTTGGCAAAGATATGGTCTAAAAGTGTTTTTCTCTCTGACCGCCCTCCGCGTTTCGGTGCTTTCTCGGCCCAAATATCGTCGAATATCTCGTCTGCCATAGCAAAGCGAAAGCTAATGAGAACCTCTTTTACGTACGCAATGTATTGTCTCATTGTACTGTATTACTTTTAGAAGTGCGCTTTCTCGAATGTTCAAACGGATCTGAGAAGATATTATAAAGCAGATTCGGGAGTATTAAATTCTCGGTTGGAGGATCACGTGACTCAATGTACTTTCAAATCTGATGTCAACATCCCCAGTGGTGTCAAGAACTCGGTCTTATTATCTGAGATGAAGCAGTTGCCACCGTTGGCAGAATACTTGAAACCCATAAATTTTAATGAATAGGATTATATACATTAACCGGAATATATACATACAATCATATTGTCTTCGGAGTATAAACAGGGCAAACTTATTTTTACGTTTTATTAATGTCTGCTTTAAAAACAAAGAGATGGGGAATGATAAATTTATTCGGCATTGAAAGGCATGAGAAGAGTTCGAAGGCGGGAGAATATCTGTTCGTTGTCAATGACATTGTTGTAGGAAATCTGAGGACGAAGAAGAGGCCCATTGTCTGGCCGGAAAAGATTGCTGTACAACATTTTGATGGCTTGGGAACCGCGCGTTTTCTGGAGACCGGGGGACCTTCCGGACCTGAATAAGGCCCCTCGAATACACTCAACCATCAAAGGCATCAATAATATCACTAAAAATGAAAAATAAGACTCAATTAACGCAAGGATTATATATACAGTAATATCCAAAATCCTTACCGAGAAAAGATTTGGGGAACATGTCCGTGAACACCGACGGCAAAGTAACATCCCTTGGCTTCTACGGCCCATATTTGAAGCCGCCTTCCAGATCCGCCTTTTCCGGATTAAATATTGGGAAATCCCCAAAAAATTGGGCCGAGATCTTTCACGTCGGATATAATCGATATGACGGTCTTGAACAAACAGAACGATCGAGATCTTGGCCTGTCCTTCCACCCACGGATTCGCGCGAAATCAGGGGAATCCGGGTCAGAGAAGCAAAGAAAAAAGAAGGCCGCGCACCGCCTCCCCAGGATTGGGAGGCCAAACATTCGAAGCCGAGAGAAGATAAGTCTGCAGATCAGTTGTTTGGACTCGTCCTGGACTAAAACCTGGTTGTCAGCATGGGTGAGGAAGTAAGTTCGTTTGTCAGTGTCTAGCCAATTAAGAGCCCCTCTGTTCTTGTCGAGATTATGTAATATTTAGTCATCAACAATAGTCAAAAAAAGAAATACGTAGTTTGCACGGATCACCTCAATCCAATTTAATCACCTCAAATCTGATAAAATTTTAGGACAATGGCCCCGTCAGGAAGCCGAAGTGGTCTCTGGAACAACTTAAAGCCGGCCATACTTATCTTAGTATGCAAGCCGGGACCAATAGATTTGAGAGTCAGAAGGGAATGACTGCTCCTGGCATGCCGAGATGGAATATAACCAAGGACAAAAATGCTGGGTAAAGGAGAATTCCATATTGAGAAATATGTTTTGGAACATCATCGTAACATAAAAACGCTGACATAATTAACAATTTACAGATACATCGAGCCTGATCGCCGTTCCGAAGAAGTCCTCCGTGTCCAATGCGGAACCAATCTGTACGCATCACAAAAAGGACAAACGCCGATCGGAGCCAACCGGTCCCAGGTCCCCAGAGTCGTCTACAAGAAAGATTGGGAGACCATTCTGGATAAAGAAGGCGAGAAAATCCTACCAAAGCAATCTGGTGACTATGGTCTGGCTACCCAGTCTGGAGAAGTTTCGATGGGAACCCATCGTAATCAAGTGCCCAACATCCGTGGTCGGCTTCCCAATGACCGTCGCACTCACGGATTGTTGTGTTATCAATCAGGAACCAATATCTTTGCTTCCCAACAAGGAATGAACGCCCCTCCTGGAGTTGGTGCTGTTCGTCAAGCCACCACCGAGATTGAAGGTCTAGGTTTCAGGTAATCGAGAAAAATAGATGATGATGCAATTATCAGCATACATTATTTTGATCCTATACTTTAGCGAGGACAACCTCCGCCGAGGATCAGAATATACCCCATGGTACTCTGGCCAAAACAAGTTTGCCAACCAAAGTGGCACCGGAGGATTCTTAAAGGTCAGAGATGTGCTACCCCATACCCAAGTAAGTCATCCAGATATCTGAAAAGACCCGTTAGGGAGGCAAAGAGATTCCAGAAGAACAGAAACTCAAGTCTGAGGGACTGGTGCCACTTCAATCTGGTACGAACAAACTGGCCTCTCAACGCGGAATGACTGGGTTTGGCACACCCAGGAATACCTTGCTCAAAAATGGTTGGAAGAAAGAATGGTAAGGACAAAAACATGTGTATCTGATGTAACTCCTGTAGGGTCGAGGATTACGAAATCGCTCTCAAGGAATGGGAAGAAAACAAGCCCCCAGGATCTGCTGCTTCTAATTTGGAGCCTTATCAGAAACGAAAACCGGACGAATTTGAGGTAAATTAAGTATCCTTCGCGGGAACCAATAACTTTCAGGTCAAAGAAGAGAAAGTGGAGTCACCAAAGAGCGAGGAGCCACCAGTGGCTTCACCTCCACCACCAGCTGAGGAAGAAGTAAAGTCACCACAAGTACCTGAAGAAGAGGTAGAAGAGGAAGAAGAATACGAAGATGAGGAGGAGGAAGAAGAAGAGGAGGCAAGTTAACGTTAATCTACGACGTATTTCAGGAGTAAAACGAAGGACTTCAACGACAAATCAGCCAAGTCTCTCACATAACATTTGATCTTTTCAAACTTCATTGAAACGTAAATGAATAAAGATACTTTAACAATTTATGAACCAAAAAATTAACAAAACAATCAGAACTTAGGCCTTCAAAGCATAGAGTCTCTTGGGAACAGTGGTGGCCTTGACATGCTGTTTGTGGGTGCGGAGAGACAATTCGTGTTTGGTAAGAGCACGACGGAGAGCCCTGGTCTTCTTATGGCGGAGATCCTTGGGAACGTACTTCTTGTTCTACAAATTAAATGTGAGGTTAATAAAAATCCAAGTCGAATCACAAACCAAAACTTTCAAAAGAATTCATATTTTTGTCAAACATAAACTTTTCAAAAACATGGATAAACTGCACTTAATGAACGTCAAAAATGCTGTTAGCTTTCTGCATAGCCAATAATGAATGAAACTACAAACGCCTAAAAAGGCACAAAACTAACCTTGTACAGTTTTCGCAAGTTCTCTCGTTGGGATTGGTTAACAACAGTCAAAACTCGAGCGATGTTCTTTCGGATAACATTGATCTTGGCCAATTTTGAGGTAGGACCAGCAGTGACCTTTGAGACCTAAAAGCAAAATAATTTAAATGCCTATTCATACATACCAGGATGTTGGCCAACTCGTTCTTCTGCTCTTCCAAAACCTGGAGAAGCTCTTCCTTCTTCTTTCCGCGGAGTTCAGTCGCCTTGGCCTTGGACATGTCTAAACCTGTAAAAAACGAATGGAAACTGATGCTGAGTAAAACAATAAAAACTTTGCAAAATCCGAGCAGCACAAACGTCATAAATGTAAAACAAAAACTTTAAAAATATTTTATAAAAATTCAAAGGCTTGAGAGAAAATTCTTTCTTTTACCGTACTTTTTTGATCTCACTTGTTTTCGTGGCGAGACACAGGGACACGACTTGTACTCTTTTTTTAACCCTTTCCGGACGAGTCGGCACGTACTGGTAAAAATGAAAGAGGGTACCCTACTGAGTAACGGCATAATAGTGGTTCAGCCCATCGAAGCGTTATTTGGGACTTATGACAAAAAATGTCCTAAAAAGTACCCCCATTTGACATATCACTTTTAAAATTTTTGCGACAAGCTGTAGGTCGGAAACTACCCCTAAATTAAAGTCGAGGAGCCCTAGTATTGTTACATCCAAGAACTGTCCAAATCGGAGCACTATGGGATTTGTTATCGATTTTTGGAAATTGAATTTTTAATTTTGGTCAATTTTGGACCTAAAATCAAGTATATCTTCCGCCGGTATCAACCATTTCGATCAAAATGTGGTTTTTCCGAATCTATTGTGATGCTAGCTTTTTCCTAGAATATTTCCAGAAAAAACCTACGAGGCGTATTTCTGTAAAACGCGGAAACGTTGAAAGTTTAAAGGTTTGATCGTATAAAATGTCGCCGCGAGCCGCGAAGGGGCGGGCGCAGCTTGAAACGAGAAAATAATAATTTTTTCTTCGAGAAATATTATTTTAGTGTCGAAAAGCTGATTTCAACACGAAATACAGGCAGAAATAGCACGCAAACATTACATAAATGTCATTTTTATATTTTTACTCTGTTTTCAGGCAATTTCAATCGATTTTAATTTGGTTTCACGCTAAAATCAAACTTCCCGAAAAATTTAAAAATATTTTCTGGTTTCGAGCTGCGCCCGTCCCTTCTCGGCTCGCGGCGACATTTTATACGATCAAACCTTTACACTTTCAACATTTCCGCATTTTACAGAAATATGCCTCGTAGGTTTTTTCTGGAAATATTCTAGTAAGAAGCTAGCATCACAATAGATTCGGAAAAACCACATTTGGAACGAAATGGTTGATACCGGCGGAAGATATACTTGATTTTAGGTCCAAAATTGACCAAAATTAAAAATTCAATTTCCAAAAATCGATAACAAATCCCATAGTGCTCCGATTTGGACAGTTCTTGGATGTAACAATACTATGACTCCTCGACCTTAATGTAGGGGTAGTTTCCGATCTATAGCTTGTCGCAAAAATTTTAAAAGTGATATGTCAAATGGGGGTACTTTTTAGGACATTTTTTGTCATAAGTCCCAAATAACGCTTCGATGGGCTGAACCACTATTATGCCGTTACTCAGTAGGGTACCCTCTTTCATTTTTACCAGTACGTGCCGACTCGTCCGGAAAGGGTTAATGTCATTCGACTTCTGTAATATGATGATCGAAGATTTAACTCAGAAAGTGTATGATAGCTCGTTTTATATGAAATTACGCTCGAAAAATGTCGACTTTATCATTATGATAACAACCTGCCAATTAGTAGATAAAATAACGATGACCTCTAGGTATCGAAAAAATGACAGGATTCGAATGACAAGACACAAAGCAAACAAACTGACATATGTCTTATAATTTGAGAGCATCAAATATTCCGTCTCTGTGGGAGAAAATCCTTGAAATACTCCGAATTCCCATAAATTTAAACTCCAGTCCGAATGGCAGAAGGACTCAGAGAAGTCGAAGTTGTTTTACTTTTATGCTGTACGATTATTCTTTTGGCTGTATTAACAGCTTATGCGATCGTTTTATGCCTCAGAAATTCGAAAAGAGAGGTCCTTCATCTGAAAACTAAACTAAATAATACCTCCACGCTTTCTTCTATTGTTTGATTAACAAGAACCGTGCTATCCAAGAAGAGCTCTCCGTCTTGCGTAGGCTTGATGGCTGTAAGAGTCAACAATAGAGACGTTCTTTTGTAATGGCGAGGAGGGAACATCCCGTCCGAGTGCTCGGCCCTGATGATTATAATAAATCCTTCCAGGTAAGTGCTTAATTTGACCATTTTTAAATTTATAATTCTGTTTTTAGGAGGTTGGGAAAGAAGAAGTTCATACTGTGGAAGCGTTTGAAACCAAAATCCATGGAAAAAACATCGAGGTAGGTAACCAAAAATAAAATTGCAAATTCTTTCCTATTATTTATTTAACCATCGTTGTAATAACATGTGACATTTACAGCCGAAACGTTCGTTTTCGACCAAATCATTCATCGAGAGAAGGACCTTCGGCAGAGATGAGAATGGAGACTTGGTGGTCAAGATCGAGAATAATGTAAGGGAGCTCTCGTGAAAGGAAAGGGCGTTCATTCGCACAAAGAATACCCTAAAGTCCTTCTAAAATTTGTAAAACTAAGAAAACCGCTTCTAAACGTGCTTTTCAAAACACTCTCGATGATTATATTTCCTTTACAACAGGAGGAAATTTCTCGAAAAGAAATAAAAAATAGGAAATCTTTGCAAGAAAGGTCACGTTCTATGATCTCTTGGATATTTGCAGCCAAAAGATCCAGTCCGTCCAGTTTCCCCAGTGAGGTTGACTGATGGGAATGAAGAAAAGACCCTGAGGCCATTACCCAATCTCGAGACTACACCTTTACATATACCCAGAGTCGGCCTTAAGGGCAATGGAAAGAGATCGCCTTCGATTCAATGGAGAGGTAATTCAATTTTCCAGAGACTGTTTTTTTTCTTGGTACCGTCAAGGGAAGTGAGCTCCCAACAATTTTTCACGAACAAGAACGTTTTTAACCCATGAGTCTGAAAATTTTGATGACATTTGTTGTTTTTACATTCGCAATGAGAGCCAATTATCTTCTTCTTAGACCAAATCTCACCCGAATCGAGTTATCGACGGTCCTCTCCCCAGCCAACCTTCCGAAGACCTTCACCCAGTTTCGGTCGTCCTTCCCCTCAACCAAGTCATCATTCTGGGAGATCTTCAGGATTCAGTTCCGGCTCCAATAATTCAGAGTTTGCGGCTTCGGTCCCGATGAAAAAGATCACGAAAAAATCTCGGTTGGTAAACATCTTCGATGGTCGGCCTATGAGTGATTACGAGGAGACAGTGCACTTTGTACCTGTAGACAGACCGCCAAGGTAAACCGACATAATATAATTAGCTTGGAGAGTCTGGTTATAACACCTAAGAGTTGTAGTTTTAAAATATAATTGAATTACTCCAACTTTAAAACGATTGCGTAACTCTTTTCTCTTTTCAGTCGATGGAACGAGAGCGACGATTTATATGGGTATCGGAATCGAGGGGTGAATTTGGAGCAGAATTCGAGAGTCTCGAGGTTCGACCACGGGATGGATGTGACGCAGAATCCTTATTATTCAGATTATTGAGGGATCTTGGCAAACGATGCCATCAGCAATATATCCATTGATCTGCACTTTGCTTCCCATGGCCATACATTTTTTTCTCTTGTTTTACTAACAGTAAATACCTTACATTATTTTTAATCAGCTGGAAAAGAAGGGGGACCGAGCTTTTCTCGGGGTTTTTCTGATTTCTTACAATGAATTTTATGGTCAGCGTTCCGTCCCATCTTTGCGTGACTGATTGAGAAATACCTTTGAACCTTTGGAGAAGTTTTCGTTTCTCTAGAATAATTTTATTTCCATTTTGGGTATGAACAACAACTATGCAGGACCTAAGGCCCATCGGAGGTTGTCCGATCCGCCCAAACTTCCACTTGAATTATCCAAGTTTTTATGTAAATGGAACCAAGTGTCAGGTAAGATTTGAATATTATGATGACTATTTGTCATGTCTTGTTGTTATCCGTTTATTATGTATCTTATTTTAGTGATCGAAGTCATAGAAACTCCCCCGAAAAAAACACATGACAAAGTTTGGATAATGAATCTCCTGAATAAACTAAAGATTCGTTTATGCTCCATCTCACAGTGTGGAAGGGAAAAGAGGAGAAACCATGATGAAGACAGATTTTTTGAAGGTACTCCGTTGTCTTTTAATGTAAAAATTTTGTTTAGATGACGATCGCGTACGAAGACGATGTTTTTCGACCAATGCAATCAGAGCTGACATGGAGGTCAGTATCCCCGAATGTTGTAAAAATAGACCTAAGAGAGTTTGCTTCGGGATCAAACAAAAAAATTGCATAGTGAGTTTTGATAAGATTCACATTTCTTAATTCGATTAAAAAAATTTTACTATTTGTATTTTAGGAAGACGATGATGAATGTCGGACACCCCCTTGTTCTCCGCGCCCCATCCTCATGAGGCGTCGCAACAGCATTACATTGGGTCAGCTTTCCCAATTGCCCTACGCCCATATGGATTATGATACCTTTAAGGCCTGGAGAAGAGGCAGTCGATTATCAGAAGATGTCTCCCATATGGACCCGGTCAAGCCGTATAAGCCTTTGGATTATTTAAGGCGATCAGAGCGGAAATTGAAGGAGAAGACGACTCCTATTCAGAAGGTCGTGAAGACCTTCGTAAAGGGATGTCATGGCCCTGAAAGACCTCAATATAACACCACCGGGTTTGCCATCTGAAGGCGTAGGATCTCATCAATGTCTGTGTTGTAGAATGAGCAAGAGAACAAAGTCTCAAAAGGCCTCGAGGGCACTCTTCGGATGTTTTTTTGGATCTCTCCGCCGATCGGCGCGCTCGTGATCGTGCCTTTGTTTATTCAACAAACTATTATCCTCTAATTTTATATTTTTTGTATTAAACGAGGCGTGTTCTCCCGTTAATTTAATGATCTGTTTCTTGTGGTATCTGTCTCTTTATGACATCTGGGGTCTTCTGTCAAACAAAAGTCGATTTTTGAGTTTACTTTGATTGTTCTTCTCTTTATAAAAACATGGCAAGCCATCTGTGAAATTTGGTTTACAATTACTGATTAATAAATGCGTAGAAGGTGAAGAACTTACAGCGAGCCGATTAATTTTGTATTGCTGGTTTACAATAGAAATTGCGGACTTTATAAAAACATTTTTATTCTACTTACTGAAAATAAATCAAATAATACTTTAAAAAGTTTAAAAATTCGGTATAATATGCAAGTGAAATTTTGAGAAATGTTTGACCCCTGAAGGATTACCTGTTTCCTGGACGTTCCACCCCGGTCGATTACTCATAGCAAGGGATCTTCCTTCCACATCCGTCCTCAGGTCACTGGGCGATTCTTTTTCTTTTTATTTCAACTGTTTTGAGCGGCGAATATGGGGATTAACTGCAACCGGTTCCTTGACTGGTTCTCCTCTTTTGGGGGGAGCTGACTTTTTGCCGAAGGGATATCAATGGCGACTTGAGACATGATAGGATGACGCTGCTGTTGTGCAATCGCCTCGAGAGCTATATTAAATTTAGCGAGCGCTTGGTTATTTTGGGAGCTCTGCAGTTGGCAGGGGAGTCCAGTCAGCGGGATGACGGTCTAGTCAGCCAGAGGGGATGAGCCATCCATCCGAAACTCGTTTAAGAAGGAAGGAACGGCGATTTGCTTAATCCGGCACAATGCAACTCGGATTGAACGGAGAAAGGAAGACGCGGCTAATCATCCTGACGCTAGTCGTCCACCGAGGGAGCTTCCAACGAGGGAGCTGGACCGGAAATTCCGAGGGTATTTGATCTGTCTCCCCTTTCCCTCGCTGCCTCCCTGAAGGTGATCCGCCCTGCTTCGCGCCGATCGTCGTGGTCATTTCGCTTTCTGTGAATCCTGTGCCGGTTTATTTAATTTTTTTTATTTTGCATTTCAGACCTCCCGACCTCCTACCGTTTCCCGGAGATCATCTTCATCTTCTTCTTCGTCTATGACTCGCGGCAATTAAAAGTTCATGTCAGCTATTGATGCTTTTTCAAGTCATCGTAACTCTACTTGTATATGCATCCCAAAGTCAGGTAAATATTTTTAAACAGTGTCCATTCCGAGTAACAAACCGGTTTCAGGCATTTCATCATAAACTTACAAAAGGAGAATTGGCCCATACTTTTGGTGTAGAACATGTTGATCATGTTCCCGAATATGACCTGATCCGGGCCAAAAGACATGTGATTGATGATGAGAGGAAGAGGATCGAGTTCAAGGCTTGGAACAAGACTTATATGCTCGATCTCCAAATTAATAAAAAGCTTTTAAGCCCACATTTGGTATGTTTTACTCCAAGAGTACAAAATTGTCATCATTTTTTTTACGTTTTTCAGATCTCAGTAATCCGTGATGTAAATAGTTCTGTTGAATACGAAGGTCTGCCCACTCTGGATCAGTCCTGTCATTATATTGGCCATGTTGTTGACGACAATCATAAAGCTGCCATATCTGACTGCAAAAGGCTTCAAGGAGTGGTTGTAACCGATCAACATTTCTTGGTCTTGCAATCTATCCCGGAGAGATTACAAAAACAACATGTAAGTTTGGATAAATCTTATATGAGAGAGTGTTTTAGGGGCCTCATGTTGTGTATAAGAGGGAATCCGGCCTCATAAATCCACTTGAACATCTTACCGAATTCTCTGAAGACACGAAAGCAGAAGTCTCAGAAGAACATGGAGAGTTCTGTGATGTTAATAGTATCACCGGAGACATCTCCAACGAGAGTCATGCAGTGGATCGGTTTCTTTACTTAAATTACACCATTCCATCCGAGGCCAAACTGGATTCATTATTTATTTTCCCTCAATTGGATCCGATTACTTTAGAAATCGGACTGTTCCTGGACTCTGCTTTGTATGAGCACTTCAAACGCGAGTTTACGGCGGATCCAGATAAACATCTGACCGAGTTCTCATTGGCCTTGATCAACAATGTCCACGTCTTATATCAGCAACCGACCTTATCTCCGAACCTGGATATTGTCATTGTTCGCTTCGAAATGTGGAAGAGCCAGCCGGTATCTTATCCATTTACAATTTAAAAAAATATTGTAGCCTAACCTGGCCTCCCATTTACATAAAAATGGCCAAGCCCAGACTTTGTTGGATTCGTTTTGCCGCCATCAGGCCCGAATTAATCCAGGGACGGATCTCACAGATCCCGGACATTGGGATCACGGTGTTTTGTTGACTGGGTAAGGCTCTTTAACACAATAATATTGTTCAAGATATGACATCTACCACACCACTCCGTCCGTGGCTGGTGTTGCTCCGGTTGCCAGGATGTGCGATGATCTGTTTGCCTGCAGTTTGGTCGAAGGATTACATCTCGGTCGATCTTTTGTTTTGGCCCATGAGATGGGACATAAGTAAGAAGCAGCGCCTTTTCTTGTGCAATAATTTATCTACCTTGAGTCACGTGTTGCTTTAGTATGGGGATGGTCCATGATGGAGTCCAGAATCAATGTGGGCGGAGTTGTTGTCTAATGTCCGCTGTAAATGGAGCTGGAAAGACGACATGGAGTGAATGTTCGGTCAGGGAATTCAATGCATTTATGTTACAGTTAGAGTAAGCTTGATGAATCATGATTTATTACTGGTTTTAGTGAAAGTGGACGGGGTAATTGCCTTCGGGATCCAGCCGAGAGCATCACCAGTCACGACCATCTGAGAGATGGACGATTGCCGGGACAAAGATTTACTGCAGACCAGCAATGTTCCTATTTCTGGGGTCGCGATTACCAAGTCGAGATCCCGAATGGTCGTAATATGGAGGATATTTGTCGTATTCTATGGTGCGGAAACAGTGGATCCACCATTTCGACGGCTCATCCAGCTTTGGAAGGCAGTTGGTGTGGGGGCGAGAAAGTGAGTCGGAGTAAAAAAATTCACTTATGTTTGGAGTTTGTAGTGGTGTCAAGAAGGTCAATGTCAGTTCTGGAAAGGGCTTTCCCCACAGCCAGTGGTCGTTCATGGGGACTGGTCTCAATGGTCCTCGGGTGACAAACAATGTGCAATTACTCCTTGTCAGGTGACGGGAAGTATTGCTGTGAATGCACAACTGAGAACATGCACCAATCCAGCGTAGGTGTTATCAAAAAAAAAATAACATTAATAACAGTTGCATGACAATCACATAAAAATATTTTTTAGACCTAATAACGGAGGCCGGCAATGTTCTGGAGCCAATATCAGAGGTCTTGTTTGTGGATCAACCAAATCAGAATGCAAGGGGTTAACGCAAAAGGAATACTCTGACCACATCTGTTCTACCATAAAGAGTGATCCGATTAGACCTGATAGACAACTTAGTGGTGTTGGATTTATGCGTGAGTGTTTGCCTTAGAGGATTTAAATTAAATTAATTTCAGATGCAACACAGCCATGCAAAGTTTGGTGTCATGTGAGTGGATCAGAAGTCATCAGAAACAAAGGGCAACTTCCCAATGGATCTCCCTGTGGAGACGATCATCATTGTGTGGGAGGAGTCTGCTTGGTGCGTCTTTGTAATCAAATATGATGTATTCAATTAACTTCTATTACTGTTTTTTTACAGAAATTGCGTTGCAATGGCCGAGCTCTTGTCTCCAGCTTGGCCGATTGTCCGGAAGAGAGTCCTGCTGTCTTCAAGAATCCCCCGAAATGGGAATCCTGGGGTGAATGGTCTTCTTGTTCCGTCTCTTGTGGAGATCATGGATTACAAAAACGATTCAGAGTTTGCAAATCTGGCGAACAACAATGCCAAGGGAAGCCGAGTGAACTCCGTGATTGTACACCTGAACCAGAGCCTTGTGAAAGATATTCGGCATGGAGTGAATGGTCAAAATGTTCTGTGACTTGTGGGGACGGAACGCGGAAGAGAACACGGAAATGCGAAAGTGGAAACAATTGCACAGAGAAGTTGATGGAAATAAAAAAATGCGCGGAAGTAGGTTCTTAGAGTATTATCATTCAGAAAACAATAATAATCGATTTGAGAACTCACGGTCTTTTCAATTTTTATTAACAGACAAATTGCAGGAAGAGTGTCCGGCTTGGTCGTCCTGGGAGGAATGGACGAAATGCAGCGAAAAATGTGGCAAAAAAGGGAAAAGGTCGAGAACAAGGACATGCCGCCAAAAAGAACATCAGATCTCTGCAAAACTCTGCAAAGACGATCAAGAAGAAACTCAGGAATGTCAAGAACCAGTAAGTCGACGCAAAAAAAACATCAAAGGACCAGTATAGCTACTTTTGGATTTTACGGCGTGGAAAACGAAAGCCAATCCAGGTGTTTGGCTTGCCTAACGGAAAAAATTTTTTGGTTGTTATGCCAACTCATTGGCTAGCTGGTCAGACAATTTTGCAATATTAGCTATAAATACAAAATTTATTGAGCCGATAACCGATCTGCCCCAAATGAAAGGTCGCGCTTTAAATACGCAAACAAATTTAATAATCTCCTTCCATGTATTGCTGACTTATTTGTCATCATATTACGCAACTTAAGGATTGCGAAGTGCAAAATGAATGGGGCCCGTGGCAACGATGCTCAGTGAGTTGTGGAATCGGATTCCAATTGAGAGAAAGACACTGTAACGGGAAGCCATGTGGAGGGAAACAAGCAAGAACTTGTAATGCACAGGATTGTCTGAAGATGTCTGATCATATTATAATGTCAGAATGGTCTCTGTGGAGCACTTGTAGTGAAACTTGCGGACAAGGGACACAATCAAGAAGACGCCGATGTTTGAATGGAACCTGTAACGCAAATGAATCTGTATATGAGGAAAAGAGATGCGTCCTTCGACCATGCCCTACGTGGACTGCTTGGGAACCTTGGACAGCATGCAGTTCATGCTCAGAATCAGAATCGAGGAAAAGAAGTAGAAAATGTGTAATTGGATTAACATTGTTGGGAGATGAAGTCATCGAAATCGACTCCCAATTATGTTCAGGGGATTCGGAGCAGAAAATGCCGTGTTCAAAATATTGCGAAGGCCAGAAAGATCCCGGCGATCCTATCTTCCCTTTCAAGAAGGCATTAAGTAATTGGATGGAGTGGGAATCCTGGCAGGAGTGTTCCGTTTCTTGTGGAAAAGGATTCAGAAAACGGTAAAAAATAAGATGGACGATTAGTATAATCATTTCAGATCTCGGTTATGTCGACCAGGATTTGACTGTAAAAACGATGGATTAGACTTTGAGATAGAAAGTTGTGAAAAAGACTGTAAGGAATTGGGAGAATGGAAAGAATGGAGTGAATGGACAGCTTGTAGTAAGAGTTGTGGAGGAGGAAGACAGACAAGAACGCGGACTTGCTCACTAATACTGGTATTCTTATGCTCGGGGAACAGTACTGAAGATAGGATTTGTAACGAACAACATTGTGAAAAGGAGAAAAAAATTGGATTAATAAGTAAGAGGCCCTAATTAGATAGAAACATTTTAAATCAGAACCAGAATGGAGTGAATGGAGTGACTGGTCTAAATGTAGTTGTTTTACATTGAAGAAGTTCAGAAGGAGATTCTGTGTGATCAAGGACCCCTCAATCCAGGGATTCTGCAGTGGACCCTTGATCGAGCAAAAAAGTTGTGAACCGGAGTCATGTTGTGAGTTATATAACTTTGTTGTTTAAATATTGATCAGTATGTTATACAATAATTGTTTTAGTAGCGGTGTCTGGAGGCTGGTCAGCTTGGAGTGAATGGAGCTTGTGCTCGAAAGATTGCGGAGGAATTGGTCATCAGATCAGAAATAGAATGTGTTCCCAACCATTACCTTCCAATAGAGGTGCTTATTGTGTTGGCTATTCCTTTGATCAACGGACTTGTGACCCTCAAAGATCTTGCAAGGCTGATCCCATTGATGGAAATTGGAGTGAATGGACAGAATGGAGTACTTGTTCTGACCCCTGTCAAAATGGGCAGAGATCCAGGACTAGATTCTGTACAAATCCATCTCCTCAGAATAATGGGAAACCGTGCAATGGGAATGACTTTGAGTTGCAACCCTGTCTAGATCTTCAATTTTGTGGTAAATGTAAGTCTAATAAAAATAAATTTACAAGGTGCACATACACGTCCTAACACCTTCATGGAGAATATCAGGCTCCCAAACGCACATTAACTTTTTAGCTGTAAACGGAGAATGGTCCCAATGGGGCCAATGGTCCGATTGTTCGGAGTCTTGTGGGTTCTCGTTCAAACGCCGAGAACGACATTGCTCCGCACCGATCCCCGAAGGCCAAGGTCGTCCTTGTTCCGGCCTGGCTTACCTCACTTCCGTCTGTCGCACCGCACCCTGTCCCAAATTAAATAAAGAAACCGTTGTGGATGGAGAATGGTCTGAATGGAGTTCTTGGTCTGACTGCACCATGCACTGCGGGCACGGCACTCGTACTAGGTTTCTATGTTTCTATATCTTTAATCGGTCGTATCCTCGAATGACCTTCTTCTTTCAGAGAGAGGATCTGCTCTAGTCCGATGGCAGGCGGCTTGCCTTGTTTCGGTCGTTCAGATCAGATGGAATCATGCTCTTCTTCTACTCCTTCGTTGGATCTCTGTCCGACAACAAGTAATCATACACTGGCGATGGACAAGTATCTCAGCGAGACGTTGTCTTCCCTTTGATGTATATAGTTATATTTCTATTTATTTTGCGGGTTTTTCTTGCCTTTCGTCTTTTGTCTCCATTGTCTCCGATTCCAAAGACGTCCTAGTCCTTATCATTTCGTCCTTTCCTATCACTCAGCCTTTTTCTGTTTGTAAATAAAGTCGGAATTCCTGAGGCTTTTATTGTTTTATTAGTCATTACGAAGAAATCTCGGAGAAAGAAGCATTCGTACCGCGGGGTCACGGATCACGTAGAATAGCGACTGAGTCACCACTGGAGGCGCCTTCTATTAGAATATAGGAAAGTGCGAGCAAGAGCCGAAATAATGAAAACAAGGTGAGAGGGACTGAGGGGAGGTGGCTACCTGCCAACAAAGTCCTTTCTCTGCGCGCACGCACTGTGAGGGAGAGGGCGAATGTCCGAGCCGACCGCACTCTAACGCAGGGCTTGACCGCTTCGTGGTAACCAAAACAGCCTCTTTCTTCCCTCATCTTTGACCACCTCGTTCATTCACCTCGCTCACCCTTTGTTCATTACTCATCATCGCATTCCTGACGTGTTTTCTTCTAATTCCTCAGGCGTTTAGCTGCTTTGCGGCTCCGGATCGTGAGCTAGAAAAGAATCCTTCCCACCTGAGGGCCTTTTGAATGACTTAGCTTCTGTTTTTACCCACAACCCGCGTATTTACCCATTCCGGCTGTGATTTCGTAAAAGGTCTTACGTGAGTTGCAGACATGACCCGGGATGTCCATCGAGCTTTGGAGTTGTTAGAAGAGTACCACGCCGACCTCATCCGATCTTCGGACATTGAACTCAAATACAATATTGAGAGGGTGGTCAACTCTTTCAAAACTGGTTTATTCAACGCATTATGTGGTATGTTATTCTGGGTTATGGGGTGGAATCGGTCTCATTTCCATTCAGTTTCGTGAATTCGCTACGTCGTGCCGTAAAGGCAACTCTTTGAAGCCAATAAATGACGTTAAGGCGTCTCTGCGATTCCGTTTTTAATGGAGCGTCAAAAAATTGCTCATCGAAGACAAGAATCCTTTAACGATAGGTCATGACAAAATTCATAAAGCGTTTGTTTGACCCGTTGACGCATCCAACCAATCTTTTCAGACATACAGGAATTTTACGACAACATTCTGCTTAATCCAAACATCTCATTCATCCAGAAAACTGCGGAAGCTCAAAAATTCGCGGATCGATGGGACGGAACAAGTACGTGTAGAAAATAAACGCAATTGCGCCTGAGGCATTACTCATGCGTAGTATAAGAAAACCAGTTGAGGCAATGTAAACAACATTTTTTCTTCAGATGCCCCCTTCTCCCACACTGCCCTTCCCCACACTTATTCCCGGCCAAGTTCAGCGTTTTCTGGAGTCAGATTTGGGACGACAGAGCCCATCGGCACTGGCAACATCCTTAATTATAGTGCTGTATGTAGACCATCCCTCCTAGTTACAACTAAAAATGACGCAATTTTCAGGCTAAAGAACCGCAATATGAGGATTACGACATTTTTGAAGTTGTCATCGACGCCTCTCAGGCGGGTCTCGGGTTCTCTATCAGTGGTGGCTCTGATCGCCCACCAGTTCCGGATTACCATATTAGAGTAACGGAAATCAAAGAAAAGGGAGCGGTATGGGCGGATGGAAGGGTCAGAATTGGAGATGTCATCCTGAAGGTTAACGGAATTGACGTCTCGCATGTACCCCATGAGGCTGCTGTTGCTGCTCTCAACAATTCTGGTCAATTCGTAAAATTGGTAAATTTTGAACAACAATCTTTAACTGCTTGTTCAGTGTGTTGTTAATTGTACAAATTGTTTTAGTTGGTGAAAAGAGAAAGATTATCAAGAAGTCTCAGTCAGTCCAATTTATCAAGACCTCCAGTTCCTCAAACTTATGACCTAAAACCCGTTCATAGATCCAGTAAGTGTTACAATTGGATGTCATCTTTCCTTCAGGATCTCTCCATCAAATTCCCCAACCAACTGTGACTGGCCGGCCCTTAAGTCGGCAATCCTTTGGAGCTCCAGTCTCTTACCAGCAGCCACCGATCCAAGATGCCCCCCGCCGAGTTGTCTTAAGGAAAGGGACTCATGGACTAGGCTTTAATATTGTCGGTGGAGAGTCTGGAGAGCCAGTTTACATTAGTCTGGTCCAGCCGGGAGGGGTTGCAGATCTGAGCGGGAACGTCAAAAGGGTAGGTATTTATTTTATTATGCCGCTGTTTGAATTATTTGTCGGTATTTACGAGTGTTTACAGGGCGATGTCCTTTTGCGAGTCAACGATATTGATCTGCGAGGAGCTACACACACTCAGGCCGCGGCTGCTTTGACTTCGATCCCGCCTCACAGCAACGTTGAATTGACTTTACAATACAGACCTCTAGGTGGGCAAGATCGTTTGAATATTATGCAATTAATTACAAATATTGTGCATAATTACATCTTTTCTTATATTTTTTTAGAAAGCAGCACATTCTTCGACAAATTGCAAAGACAAAGTCAACTGAATCTAAACCAATTCGGCCGATAGAGTAAATAAGAATATAACGCTGAGTACAATAACTATAATGTGTAAGATTAATTCACTCTGCATTCGAATAAATACTTTTTTTCCTTCGCAAGGTCATTTGGTCCCGGAGATTATAATCAAGAAAAGAGGAGTTGGCATGACAACGTTGGCAGGAGTCCAAGATGAGAAGGGCGAGATCGATAAGAGAAGAGGGAGAGGCCGGGCGAGAGTCTTGATCAGTATTTTTTGAGACACCTGGCTAAAAAACGCTTTATTTCGACTGACCGCTGTCCCATTTCCCTCAAAACCTGACTGAAGGTGCGGGAAAGGAATGCGCAGGGCCACGCCCCCTGGAGATGGCTGCCTGACTGTTTACTTCACCTCTCCCCTCACCACGAAACCCCACCCGAGAAACCCCAACCGAGCCATCGCTCGGTCCAAACAAACCGACAAAGTTTGATGGTTTCAATGGTTCGAATTTCCTTGCTTTCCGTGTATTCTCCTTCGGAAACCTCGATGGGCTACAGACAAAAAAACGGTCCTCCGGATTCCGAGGTGTCCCCCTGCCCATCTTCTCCATCTTTTCTTGTCTTGCTCTTTGCCCGTACAAAAACCGAATGACTCAGTTTTTTGGGTCGAAGCGGAGAAATGGCTGCTGACTTTTGTGAATATGATAAACGTTTCCCGAGGGCTTTACAATTGTTTTCTGGGCCTGGAGTAGTTTTTTTGTTTAATAAACGTTGTCATCACCTTGATTGTATTATCGTAGCACCTGTTAACTCTATGTTTAACTCGGCCTTCATAGAGACTAAGTATTTTTAACGTGTTGTGTTTACCTATGTGATATACACTGTGTGCAGTAACGCTTAGTCATGTCTTTTTTAGCTATTCATACGCTCAGAAATGGGACAACACCGCAGACTCCGGCCATTTTGCTTAATTCTATCTGTTGAAAACCCCACGGGGAAATTGCTTTATCAGTTATCAAGTATTGTTGTTTGCATGTACTAGAGGGCAATGCATACCTCAGGCTTGTCTTTCGTTAGTTTCCAATAAAAACATCGCATTATTTCCTGTTCCATTACTTTTCGCGAGAACAAAACTTTCACATGGCGTTGTAATCTCAGCATTGTTTTTTGGGAATGAAAAAAAACTTTAATAAGCGGTCAACGCAGGTCATCCCAGGGCTTGTGCGAGCGAATGTTCGGGTGGTGTTTTATGTCTAGCGCCGAGGTCATATTAGGGGTGCCTGTCCCCGCGCACCACAGGTAATCCCTCCATTCGAGTCCTATGGTGTGGCGCCGCGTCCTTGCGAGGCCTCGATCACATACCTGCCTTTTCTTCCCCTTCTTTTTCTACCCGTTTATTGCCTTCCTCCTCAGCTAACTACTTGCTATCGGCTGCTGAAGTTTACCCAATTTTATACCGAAACGGGAAATAGCTCTTGGTCAATTTAACGCGCTTCACGTACGCATTCATATCGTTTTTGTTGCAGGCTCCCTCGGGGATCATGTTACCTCGTAAATCAGGTGAGTTCACATACGTTAAAGCATAAAAATACCGCCTCTGGGCATAATATCCTTAAATTTTAGAAGCGCATAGGGCACTGGAATTATTAGAAGAATATCACGCTGAGTTAACAAAGACGACAGATATTGAGCTACGGAAATACATCGAAAAGATTATATCCTACTTCAAGAGTAACCTCTTCCAAGCATTATGTGGTAAGTTGCGGTTATTCTGATCGTCAAGCGGCTGTCCTGTCAAAATTACTCAAGCGTCGCATTGACATAAATTGCAGATATCCAAGATCTTTATGACAACACGTTGATGAATGAGAGAGTTGGTGTTTTACAGAAGATCAGTGAGACTAGAAGATTTGCTGAAAGATGGGAGAATAATCCTCCATTTGGCGGTATCTCCAGAGCAAACGTAAGAGAGAAGTCCCTGTACAATGTGATGCATATTTTTAGAGTAGACCAGTCCTCTGCACTGCCACGTTAAATCCTCCTGGTACAAATGGAGTGGAAACAACAAAAAGATCCTATACTTACGAGGAGAAAACCAAAGAAATTGTAAGCATTCAACTAAAGTTTTTCCAGTTTGGCTTTCGCTCAATAACGCGATCGTATTTTAGAAAGATGGGAATATCTTTACTCACCAATATGCAACAAAGACATTTGAAGATCCTACAGGAGTCACAACTCAAACAACCAGTGCCAACACTTTAACGGACGAGAATGGAATTGAATGGGAAGTCGAAGACGTTATCCTAGAAAAGAACCAGACAGGCCTCGGGTTCTCCATAAGTGGAGGACTTGACAAATCCCCAGCTCCTGATCATCTTATTCGCGTCACTCATATAGCCCCAGGCGGTGCCGTCGCGAAGGATGGCCGAATTCGAGTTAACGACGTCATCATGCAAGTAAACAACACTATTTGCGAAAACGTTAACCATGATGTAGCTGTAAAGGCGCTGCAGAATGCCGGAAGCGTTGTCAGGCTTGTGAGTTTACCTATATATACGAAATTATAACTATAGTCTACGGTAGTAAATGAATTTTCAGGTTGTCAAAAGAGTAAAGCATGGTCTAGGAGCGCCATTGCCACCAATCCATCAAACCTCCGGAATCCTTTCTTCGAGTACTCTGCCGCGGAGCTCAGGATCATCTCTTCCTTACCCATCTGGATTATCCTTTTCTCCACCAGAAATATTGCGCCTAGAGACCACCCCAGGAGTAAAGAAGATCGAATTATTTAAGGTATTCCATCTCTTTGTTGCGTAATTAATTCATTGTAATAGTCGCGCCGTAAAGTCCCGACACATTTGCACAGTGCATTTTTGTTTTTCTTTCGGACTCGTCGCACTAACGACATGCACTTTTCTGCGAGCTCGCTCCAGTTTTCTCGCGCGACACCCGCGACAAATGTGTCAGGACTTGCGCGACTAGTATGTACGGACACGTCTGTATAATTATTTTTTTTCAACACAGCCACCAGTGGCAAATTCGTTCTAACTCGGACTAAATTTTGGCGGATCTTGTCTCAAGTAAGTACAGGGTGTACCAATTTGGTGGGCCGATTTGAATTGGCTATAACTTCTTTGATTTTGGGCCTGATTTTAAAATTATTTTTTTTTTCTGAATCCTCAGACAAGGCAGGAGTACTGAAATCTCGCCATCTTCGTCGTAAAGAACAAAAGATCTCAAAAAATGCCGAAAATCAGTCGTATCTTGTGAACGGTGGAGATAGTTGTGGGAAACATAGGTTCATAAGGTTTAGAATTTTGTATAGAATAGTTTGTAATCAAAATACCCAAAGGAAATCCGCTCCTAAGGAGTGAAACCCGGAGGGCACAGATATGAAAATTTTGAAAATCCGCAAAGTTGGGGAAAAGATTTGGCCCTAAACAAAGATGAAATTGAATCTAAGTTTCGCAGTATAAGTTTTTTTGATCCAATATAACATTCCATTTTTAGGGCCGACAATTTTAACAACCGAAAACAGTAAAAGAAAGTATTAGTTTTTCGTTGTTTGTTTCTTTTTACTGTAGTTTACTAAAAGGTATGTTATATTTGGTATTAAAAAAATGGGAATGTCCGAGGATTCAGGGAAAAAAAGAATTTTAAAATTTGGCCCAAAATTAGAGAAGTTATAGCTAATTCAAATCGGGCCACCAAATTGGTACACCCTGTATAAAATTTCGCTCAAAGAATGTAGATAAAAATTATTCCAAACAGTAAGCAAGATCCGCCGGACTTAGTCCAAGGTTACTAAATTTCCCGTTTGGATTGAAAGAAAAAATTCGAAAAACCCGTCCATATATCCTTTCTTTCAGGATTTCGCACCTGATGGAACACCGAGAGGAATAGGAGTTAGCATTGCCGGTGGAATAGGCAACGAACATTACCAAGGGGACTCCAGTATCTATATTACAAATATCATCGAAAACACGCCGGCGGCCAGAGACGGGCGTCTTCAACGGGGAGATCAACTTTTGGCGGTCGACGATACAGTTCTTCAGAACGTCACTCATCAGTTTGCTGTGGATACAATGAAATCAACAGGAAACAAGGTGACATTGTACTACAGAAGGCCCAATACAGACCTAGAAGACAGCGTTTCGAGATCCATCGGATCTTTGTCCCATCTCAATGTCAACCAACCACAAGAACTAACAACTGATCCTCGTTGGGTTGTATTGAAGAAGGGAGAAGGTGGCCTTGGATTTAATATTGTGGGCGGTGAAGATGGTGAACCTATCTATGTCTCTCATGTGATACCGGGAGGTGTCGCAGACATCAGCAACAATGTCAGGAAAGGGGACGTTCTTCTCCAAGTAAACGATACAATTCTGGCCAACGCAACTCACGCTGCCGCCGCTGCGGCTTTAAAACGTTGTCAGCCGAATTCGAATGTCAAATTGCTTCTACAGTATCAGCCATTTCAATACCAGCAATTCGAGGAGAAGGTCGAGAGACTTCGGAATGATCTGATTCAACAAAACCAGGGCCAAGTCGCGGCCGCCGCTACAGTCGGAGTTCCGATTGGCCAGAATTTCTATGAAGAGCCCATTTATGTAAGGGCCTTGTTCGACAATGATCCCAGTCGAGATCCCGGAGTTCCCCCTCGAGCACTGCAATTCAATTATGGTGACATTCTAAGAGTTTACAACAGAGATGACGATGACTGGTGGAAAGCCCGAAGGGTTGGCGATAATGGTGAGGGCCCTGAAGGTGTCATCCCAAGCAAACGAAGAGTTGAGAAACGAGAGAAACAGAGACGAAAACAAGTGAGATAATACCTTAACAAAATTAAGCCAATTTACGACTATCAACAAACATCTGTTTTCAGGTAAACTTCAACCAAGGAAGTCAAAGTCTGGGAAGAAACTCTTCTATGGGAGGAGGTGGTGGTCTCGAAAATAGAAGAGGCTCCAGAAGTCAGCTTTCCTTCTCACGAAAATTCCCATTCGTTAAATCAACTGAGAAACTGAATGAATTATCGGAAAATGAGTTCGCAGAAGAGCCCATCTTCACATATGAAGTTGTAACTCAACAGCAAGGTAACCTTTTGTCAGTAGATACTAATCATAATCCAGTTTTTATTCACATTGATCCTTCGTTTCAGTCAACTACGTTCGCCCAGTAATAATTTTGGGAGCGCTGAAGGATAAGATTAACGACGAATTGGTGACCAAATTCCCGAATAAATTCGGTAGTTGTGTCCCACACACATCAAGACCGCCCCGGCCTAACGAGATACATGGTCGCGATTATTATTTCGTATCCAAGGAAGAGATGGAACGAGATGTCAAGAACAATCTCTTTATTGAAGCCGGACAATTCCAAGGAAATCTATATGGAACATCCATTGATGCTGTAAGACAAGTGGCCAGTGAAGGGAAACATTGCATCCTCGATGTAAGTGGAAACGCGATAAGGAGGCTTCGGTCGACAGCTGGAATCTATCCTGTGTCCGTCTTCATAAAACCTTACAATCAACATCAACTGCGGTAAGTCCACGTTTTAGAAAAGAAACAAAAATAATATGTTTCAGTGAATGGGATCCCACTCTGAGTGATCAAGAAGCATACGCCCTCTTTGAGCGATGCCAGCGTCAAGAACAAACCTTTGGAGATCTGTTCACAGGTGAGATCAACTAAATCAAACTGAGATAAATGTGCTTTCAGCTGTTGTAACCGGCCATACGTTCGATGATGTTCTGAACAAAACGCTACGTGTGATTCAAGACCAGAGCCGTCCAGACGTTTGGGTACCGGACAACCGACCTCTCTAAACATCATATCTGAATAGTAACATCGCTAGTTCAGTTCTCTCGTCCAGAGAGAATTACAGCCTCCATTTACTGCCACACGATCCAAGCCATCTATGCATTTCAAAACTAAAAATTTTTGCAAATCACTTCGCAACTCCTTTATTTTTTGTGTCTTCCAAATATTTATATCGGAAATAAATTATAAAATTTATATTCTTTGAACGATTCGTATTTCATTTGTATTTCCGTTGTTGTAGTGGTCGAACAAATGTTTTGGGGAAATTATCGTAAGTTTCATTTTACAAAGCGTCAGAACGATGGGTAGCTGAGTTTTAATAATTTGCAACGTGTTGGTAATTTCCTTTCCCTTTTTCAACATCAACTCTATCGAAAACGCCGAAATTTTCGGTGGTCTAGACACCGAGAGAGCGGCCAAACAACCAGAGTGGAAATTGCACCAAAACGCGTTTTCGCAAAACGAGCAAGAACTCTCATTCTAATGACCATGGCCATGCATGGTTATAAGCAATTTTAAATTGCTTTGACATTATGTTAAATGACAAAATGTAAAAATTGATTTTTCCGATTTATTTCCTTTGCAGATTTATTTGTCTTCGAGATGTCCATCATTCTTATTTCCTCGTCTTTTGTTGTTATATGCTGTAAAAGAACGAAGAAAGATCCTGTTCGGCATAGGAAAACACCAAATTTGGAGTCTCCGATGTCTGCAACCCCGTCTACGAAGACCACAAGTCTCTCAACTAACAAGAGCACCGACTCTCTGGAGTACAAACTCTTTTCTAAATTTGAGCAAAACGATTTGAAGAATAGGAAGGAGTTTAACAAGATCAAAGAAAACGTTTTTGGAAAGAACAAATCCCATGGAGAAGATAAGAAACAAGAAAAGCAGAGTGGAAAAACGAACGATCATAAACACCAACATGATCAGCAAACGAATGTAAGTTTCAATGAGAACCTTTATTACTTATGTTAATAATCTTACTTATTTCAGGGACCAATTACAATCCAATATATCCGATATGAAAGAGGATTCTGGAGAAGAACCACTTCTGAGGACAATCTTGATGACTTTTCCTTTTATTTGAATAGCGATAATGTTGATTAAAGAGGTCGAAACTCGGGTAAGACCACTTGATCTCGAGGTGGAGCGCATGTCTGGATGCATCGGGATTCCGAGATCAGAGGATTCTCCCTATTTTCAGTGGCCACTCCACAATATGGATATCTATATGGACGGCATAAGGACTCGGTAGGCTAAAATAATATGAGTCTGATGTAAAATGAGAGGGTCTTACCTGTTTGTACCATCTGATCACTTTCTTTGGCTTCGTTCCATCAGGGCAGAGATGCCTGATCACTCGACAACACTCTTCTTTCTCAGTGTCATCACCTAAAAATGGGTCATAACTTCCTATTCTGCTTACATTGACTTCTTTGTGTTTGAATATTTGTGGATTTCCTTTCAAATCCACTAACAAATTGGTCTTCTTTCCTCTAAAAAGTGATCTTAAATGAGTTATTTTAACTTACAGTAAAGGGGCTTTCTTCTTGGCATTCCGGTAAAACACATCGCTGAGTCTCGTAAAGACTGGGGCATGTCCTCTCAATTAATTCCTCTGTTTTGGGATCTTTCTCCGGTAATGGAGGTTGTAACACATCCCGATTCCTAACCCTTAACGCCAATTTACAATCTCCAAAGCATGAACTCCATGGTCTCCATTTACTAACAACACATACTGAAAGAGAGCATTGAATAAAATAAATAAAATACTTACATGAGGCCAAGGTGGGATGACTGAGAATGGCTAGCAGAAAAAGTCCAAGCAACATTCCAGCGGGTCGAATGACATTCTCCTTCCCAAGATGTCATTCCAACACAATTTCACAAATTCTTCGCAAGTTTTGATTCCGCCTTTTCACGAAGAAGTGCGTCTGAATTTCTATCTCCTCCACGCTGCAGAGAAACACAAACCGGTCTCGCTTTGACAACAAAAACTGTCATGTCCGTTTGATTGATTAACATTACAAGGAACGCATCGATCCATCAAAGTGAGGTAATCCACTAAGCGTTACCATCTGCGGTTCCGCAGCAAAAATATGCTATGCCTGAGGGAGGAAATGATGACCGATGAAGCACATTTCCGGAGGGCAGAAAGCAAAAACTTGGGGACAAAGTGGTTATGGATTTCAAACATGTTATTGATGATGATGATGATGAGATTCAGAATGATGAAACGAGTCAACAATGGCTGATGAGACAGCTCAGAAAACATCTGGATTACATCCCCGATCAAGTCCTCAGGGAATTTGTTCTTCAACAGGTAGTTGCTGATGAATTCCTCGTGCTTTAATGGTACTTGCTGATCTGTCTTGAGTTAATTTTATTTGCTGCCATTCCTTTTAATTACTGAAAACATCTCTCGCATCTCACGGCTATCTCCGTCGACGAGTTTAATGTGTTTTGACATATCAGCGGCGATCTCTTTCAGGACATAACACCCCTAAGGAACTTCATGACTGGAACTCGACAACGCAGAGGGCTCTTCATTATAATTGATGAAGTCATATCCACCTCTGTTGAACATAAATTCTTTGGTGAGAATGAGTTGACAGAAATGAAAGTGGAAGATAAAAAGGGAGCGGAAGAATTGAGCCATCAAGAAGTGCATAATCAGATTGAACAGGACCTCAGAAATCTAGAGAATGAGAAGAAACCGCCATTACCAAAGTCAAAGAGAAGTATGATCGTATTTAAATAATAGAATACTGTAATCATTTCAGAAATGAGAAGATTTAATTCAAAGAAGATCAAAAAAGAGACGAAGAAAAAGACGGACCAGGAAACGGAAAGGAAATTGGAATCAGAAACAAATCCAGCAGTCGAGGTGCAGTCAGAAATACCCAATCCGGCGGTCCCTCAACCAGCTCAACCCCAGATTGAAGCCCCTGAATTTCTGGGAGCCCATACTTCGTATGTCCTCAGATGGTTTGAGGAGACTGATATTCCTCAGAACAAATTCGTATTCTTGGCCACTCGAGATGAAATTTTAAGTGGTACCAAAAGTGAATTCGATAAAATGTTCATAACAGGATACTGTAAAGATCTCAGCAAATACAATACTGCCATCGAAATTGGTAAGCTATTAATTTTTAACCGGAGTTCAACGATTTGGGGAATTCTTAAAAGAAAATTGGAGACACTGAAAAAAATATAATATTCATTTTATTTTTTTTATTTCGGGGACCCCCTGGTCCTCTTGGTCTGTTCAGGACTCCAACTCAACTGATGGCCCGAGGGCATTTTCACCGAAGGGAGACTGAATATGAACTGACTGAATATGAAGGACCGAATACTAGTCCGTTCGTAAAGTCGCTGGAATGATTTCGGCGACGCGCACTGTGCGCGAAAACTCAGGGTGCGGGCGACAGCCCAAAAAAGCCTATTGCACTGTGCAAAAAGACAAAAATTGCACAGTGCAAAGTGAACTTTCGATTTCGCGGAGTGCATGTCGCCGAAAACATTCCAGCGACTTTACGAACCGACTAGTATGAAGGACTGAATATGAACTGACTGAATCTGAACTGGGGTGCTGACTGAATATGAAGGACCGAATATGAACTGACTGAATATGAAAACCGGGTTTCTGTCACTGTTATCTACCTAGGTTCCGATTAAGGACTCTTTTTGAAATTTTTTCAACTTATAACACCTTTAGACGTTAGTGTTGTTGTTTTGGTGCCTAGTACTGCTTAAAACAACATTTTTAACACTTGGTGCTAAATAGTACTACCTGGTACTATTTAGTACGAGGTGAAGACTTGGCCGGTAATGGTGTTGCTTTGGTGCTTGGTACAGCACAAAAACACATTTTTAGCACTTGCAACTATATAGTACCAATTGGTACTATTTAGTACGAGGTGAAAATTTGGGCGTAAGGCGGTAATGGTGTTGGTTTGGTGCTTAGTACAGCCCAAAAACACATTTATAGCACTTGGTATTATATAGTCCTTGAAATATTTTGGGTGTTAATGAGGACTATTCAACTCAAAGATTTCAGGACAACTTCTTATGGATGAGATCTCTTTTGAGCACAAAATGAACTTAGTAATGCAACTTGAGACCAACGAAGCAAATACGAAGGTGGAAAAATGGCAGAACCCAGAGAATCGATTCGAGAATTTCATCCTGGACTCCCTTGTGGTCTCATTCCAATCGTCTCTTCAAAGAATGAATACCGAATCCTTAATGGATTCATCTGAGTTGGACGTTGAATCCATTGAAGCCCTGCTCAAATCAAGAGTAAAACTATTTACGCAATCTCCAGTAAGTAGCCTTGGGTAACTGAATATTCGGGTGAGCGCATCCGGGTGATCGCTTATTCAGGTGATGCAACTCTCCCCTTTTTTGAACACTCCGCCTTGAATGAACCCTCTCCCTTTTTGAACACTCTCCCTCATTTTGAAAATTGTAAAAATTAGGTGTGTACGATGGGAAAATTTTTTATTTATATTCGAAAAATCATGTTCATTTTTTCTACACTTTATTAGCTCGCGACCTATTGATGAGCTTGGTGACGACCTGACCTAAAGAAAGCGTCTTGACCATCATATACTGGTTGACAAAATTTTCTTTCCACCTCGTATCTCGGGAACCGCTGGGCCTAGAACCTCCAAATTCGGCATAGAAACATCCTAGGACAGTCTAACACCATGCCCAAAAAATCATATCATTTGATGCACTTTACATGCCCTTTTTCCAAAAAAGGCAAAAACCCGGATGACAAAATTTTCTTTCCACCTTGGAAAAAACGTTTGTAACTCATAAGCCAGAGGGTTTTAAGGCATGATTGTGGTATCGTTGTGTTCGCGAAGAAGTCCTCTCTTGATTGGTGTCACAACCTTATGGGGGTTTCTGTTTCTGCGCCCTTGGGCGTCGGCTCATCGTTGCTTTGTCCATTTTCAGCCAAATTCGTGCCCAGAGGAGCTCGCTTAAGGCATAAGGAGATGAAAATGCCTTTAAAAAATCTGGCATTCATGTTTGCAACATTGTTTCCTCCGGCAGTAGAATTCGATTTAATTTAAGTGCGTTGCAGGGGAAAACGCGCGCTTCCAGGGTTCTCGTTACCAGAAAATTACGCTATTATGGGAACACTGCGGATAATTCAAGTAACTTTTCCTGCTTGTATATTTTCTATGATACTACAGAGTTAAAAAATAGTGACGATTTTAATCACTGATGTTGCGCTTAGATGTGAGCAGAAGAAAGGTTCCAAATGCCCCATGTACAAAATTTGCGACTCTAAGTTTCCTGCGAAAGCTATTCGTCGTGGAAAAAACGTTGAAGGCCTGTCAAGGTCAATGTATTAAAGTAGTCTGGTAGCCAAAAGTCAAAATATACCAAGCTTAAGTAATGCCAAGGCCTAGTGCAACAACCTGCGTTACTTGAGACGACATAGACCAGAGAGGGGTAAGATAAGCTGGTAGATTTCAAGAGTGTTACCCACTTCGCGTGTGGGACACTTCGCGTGAGACGCTTATCCCACTTCGCGTGCACGCGAAATGGGTTTCACGCGAAGTGGGTAGTCACCGAGGTTCATAGTACCCACTTCGCGTGACTTTCCAAAAATTGCCGGGGCCCACTTCGCGTGTAATTTTTTTTGTTCGGTGCCCACTTCGCGTGAGATTTGGATTTTCATTGGAATTCACGCGAAGTGTCTCCGGCAAATTTTAATCAACAGGACACTTCGCGTGTACCGTATTTCGTTGATTTGCCTGATTTTGGCATTCTGTTTTTGCAGGAATTGTTGCCTTTAGAGTGGTAGGAAAGACTTTTCACGGTCAGTCCTGAGGTTTTTATGAAAAACTGAACCAGAATGATGTATAAAACATAAAAATCGGCATAGTTTGGCATGTTTTATACATTTTTTACACTAAAATAATATAAAATGATTTTTTAGTTTTAAATCTAGAACATGCAGCGAGACTAGTTCGACTTCCTGATGTCTGTCATGCTCCAAGCTTCGCTTAGAACCTATAAAACCCGCCGTTTCACCTCCTCCATACACCGGGTTTTGCAGAATAACATGAAGTCATCATGAATAATATAGTTTTACTCCTGGAATTATTTTGTTGTATACTGCCGTGTTTGAAGGATGGATTTCTTCCTAAAATGGTCTGTCTGACATGTTAAAAGTTTTTACAGGCCCCTTACACGTAAATTGAAGATTTTGATTCTTGAAAAAACAAAAAATCATCAAAAATCAAAGAAATATACAAAAGTCCTTATTGTCACACTTAATTCTTCAATTTCTGTGTATTATCTGAATTGCAAGAACATTTACAACGTTTTTTTACCATTTTTGCCCCCGACTTAGCTTTGGGCGGAACAACATCGTCATGGATAACATCGGGAGCATTTACTAAAATCGCTTCGAAATCAGTTTAGATGTATCGCAAACACTATAAATCATATATATTCTGATTCCTTAGATTATGCTGAACATTTTGGAGTCAAAATTGGATTTACCATTTTTTTACCATATAACACTTACTACGGTAAAATTTTGTATAATAATCGGATAGGTCTGAAATTTTGCGTGGAGATGTCTATCTATATGCTAGACAAGTCTGCCAAATTTCATCCAGATCCACCCAGTAGTTTCTGAGTTATAAACAATTTTATTATTCAAACAGAGGTTTTTTCAACCTTCAAAATCGTGTTTTCAACCTTACAGTAACTACTGGGCACATTTTCTAAACCTTATCTCAGCTCAACTTTGATCAATTTTCGATTTTTAAAAAGTAATTGAAGTAATTCGGACACTGCACATCGTTCTTTCGTAATTGGAAAATGTTTTTTTAACGGGGCGGCGCTATTATTGATTGAAAAAAGAGGGAAGAAGCGCCGAAAATTCTAATTTACCACAACCTAATTTACGCAAAAACCATTGACACACATACTCATTGAATGATATTTTCTGAAATTTCGAAGGACTAAGCTCCTTTAAGAATCAACATGACATCTGTTATCATCTTAGCCTTTCCATATTCATCTAAAACATCATGGGTGTTTCTGTTATAGATTCGGTCATATCTCGCAGTTCCAACGAAACTTGGGTATACCCGATATGCCAGTTGATGCAGAAGAATCCAGAGAAAATATGTGTTCAGTTTCAGAATTTTCTGTACGCGATTTTTTTTTCAATTCCCGGATTATGTTATACTAAGAGGTGGTATCGCCGAATATCAGATTAATAAGATTATTAGTATTGTTGACGCTCCTTAAATATATATTCATGTATTTTTTGTTAAATATGACGCTATTTATGCTGTTACACATCACTTTATGCATGTGGCCACAACAAAACGAAAATTATAAAAAATGCACAATGCCACATTTTTTTGGCAAAAAATGTTTTTGTGATGCAACCGGCAAAAATTTTTAGCTTCGCAAGCCAAAAATAATTTTAAAGCATTACGCCAAAAGCTTGTTTTTCGTGCCGAGACAAACCATAATTAGCAGAAAAAAACGACGTGCACTGCGAACCACGTGGCAATATTTATTTTTTGTTCCGGCAGCTCTAAAGTATCGAAAAACACAATGCCAAAAATAGCCAAAATCGCGCGAAATTTGAATGGTTTCAAGAACTACGACTGTTGGACGCTGCCAGCAGCTAAACAAACATTTAAAAGGTCAGTTCAAATGATTTGCATATTTTTCCCGTACCAACTTAGCGGTATATTCCACTTGTCCAGTCTTGAAATGACACCTAAATTGAAATTGATAAAAAGTGCTTCAGAATGGCAGGAAAAATATAAATTTTTTGGTGGTGGCGCTTGAAGGGTTAGAAAAGCTGGAAATGTTTTAAAATTGCAAAAAAAGCAATGTAAATTCAAATTTCGCGCGATTTTGGCTATTTTTGGCATTGTGTTTTTCGATACTTTAGAGCTGCCGGAACAAAAAATAAGTATTGCCGCGTGGTTCGCAGTGTCCGAATTACTTCAATTACTTTTTAAAAATCGAAAATTGATCAAAGTTGAGCTGAGATAAGGTTTAGAAAATGTGCCCAGTGGTTACTATAAGGTTGAAAACACGATTTTGAAGGTTGAAAAAACCTCTTTTTGAATAATAAAACTGTTTATAACTCAGAAACTACTGGGTGGATCTGGATGAAATTTGGCAGACTTGTCTAGCATATAGATAGACATCCCCACGCGAAATTTCAGACCTATCCGATTATTATACAAAATTTTACCGTAGTAAGTGTTATATGGTAAAAAAATGGTAAATCCAATTTTGACTCCAAAATGTTCAGCATAATCTAAGGAATCAGAATATATATGATTTATAGTGTTTGCGATACATCTAAACTGATTTCGAAGCGATTTTAGTAAATGCTCCCGATGTTATCCATGACGATGTTGTTCCGCCCAAAGCTAAGTCGGGGGCAAAAATGGTAAAAAAACGTTGTAAATGTTCTTGCAATTCAGATAATACACAGAAATTGAAGAATTAAGTGTGACAATAAGGACTTTTGTATATTTCTTTGATTTTTGATGATTTTTTGTTTTTTCAAGAATCAAAATCTTCAATTTACGTGTAAGGGGCCTGTAAAAACTTTTAACATGTCAGACAGACCATTTTAGGAAGAAATCCATCCTTCAAACACGGCAGTATACAACAAAATAATTCCAGGAGTAAAACTATATTATTCATGATGACTTCATGTTATTCTGCAAAACCCGGTGTATGGAGGAGGTGAAACGGCGGGTTTTATAGGTTCTAAGCGAAGCTTGGAGCATGACAGACATCAGGAAGTCGAACTAGTCTCGCTGCATGTTCTAGATTTAAAACTAAAAAATCATTTTATATTATTTTAGTGTAAAAAATGTATAAAACATGCCAAACTATGCCGATTTTTATGTTTTATACATCATTCTGGTTCAGTTTTTCATAAAAACCTCAGGACTGACCGTGAAAAGTCTTTCCTACCACTCTAAAGGCAACAATTCCTGCAAAAACAGAATGCCAAAATCAGGCAAATCAACGAAATACGGTACACGCGAAGTGTCCTGTTGATTAAAATTTGCCGGAGACACTTCGCGTGAATTCCAATGAAAATCCAAATCTCACGCGAAGTGGGCACCGAACAAAAAAATTACACGCGAAGTGGGCCTCGGCAATTTTTGGAAAGTCACGCGAAGTGGGTACTATGAACCTCGGTGACTACCCACTTCGCGTGAAACCCATTTCGCGTGCACGCGAAGTGGGATAAGCGTCTCACGCGAAGTGTCCCACACGCGAAGTGGGCTTCCCCCGATTTCAACACATGCTATCGTATAAGCCCTAAAGTACGCCGTATGTATAGCGAATGGATGTAATTTGGACGTTCCCATTCTATACAGAAGTGATTCTTCGGTTTTGCGGACCCAGGCAGCGCTCATTTTCCCCTGCAACGCACTTAAATTAAATCGGATTCTACTGCCGGAGGAAACAATGTTGCAAACATGAATGCCAGATTTTTTAAAGGCATTTTCATCTCCTTATGCCTTAAGTGATTTTCGAAATCAGCAACCTCGAAAACCCCTAAATCTAGTATTTTTAGAAAAATTTCAAACATTACTACGTAAGAAAAAAGTAACTCCCAGAAAAAAACCCCCGAAGTTAATAACGGTCAATCTATTCAGATGGTTCAGATGATAGGTCTAAGCCTTATCTTTGATTTTCCCGGGTTCCGGAATTGTCACTTTTCCGCCATTCCGGAAGTGTCCAAATTTCGGAAATGTCTTGACGCGCTTCATTTTTGGATTCTTCCTGCTCGAAAACACTAAAAATGAATGAAATTGCTCAAATTACAAAATTTTTCGCGTCCCGACATTTCGGGTCAGGGACAACTCGGGTCGCGACAACTCGGGTCAACGACATTTCGGGTCAACTGCCGTTTAATATGTTCGCTTCGGGACTGGGAAAAAAGAATTTTTTTGGTGAATTTGAAAAATTTTTGAAATGTTTTCGCTTCGGGACGTGGGAAAAAGATTTTTTGTTCTGAATGTTACAATTTTATTTTTCATAAGGTACGAATGTTATTTCTTTAATTTTTTAGATAAATAGTTATTTTAGGGGTAATTGAGGTTTATTCTAAAATTTTTTTGGGAAAATGGTGTTTATAAGCGACGAGCAAATAAAAAAATCGTTATGTGCATACAATCATTACGACTATCTTCTTACTCCACTCTCTGGCACTGTCTGCGTTTAAATCCCGTGCTTCCAGTTAAAAACAGACAATGGATACGATTTTCTTATTTGCTCGTCGCTTATACACTATTTCCCTAAAAAATTAAAAAAATAAACCTCAATTCTCAAAACAATTCCTTTTCCCAAGTTGCAAAGCGAAAACATTTAGAAATTTTGTTCAAATTCTTCAAAAAAATCTTTTTTCCAAGTCCCGAAGCGAAAACATTTAAAAATTTTGTTCAAATTCTTCAAAAAATCTTTTTTCCAAGTCCCGAAGCGAAAATATTAAACGGTATCGTTGACCCGAAATGTCGTTGACCCGAAGTGTCGTTGACCCGAGTTGTCGCGAACCGAGTTGTTCCTGACCCGAAATGTCGTAGCGCCAAATTTTTAGTAACCATCAGAACAATATTTTCTTCAATTCACCCACCCCAAAAAATCCATCACCGCGAATATACGCGACCCGAATTTGCACCACCCGAATAAGCGCTAACCCGAATGCGCTCACCCGAAATTTCACCACCTGAATATTCTCAACCCCCAGTGGCCTTATATATAATACATATAACTAGAATATTCAGACCAAGGACAATCTAATACAACTTAAATTGGAATTGTCTTTGATAGAAATGAAGTATATTACCACTGAGATGTTCGATGAAAGTGTTATCAGTAGAATCGAGAGGTCGGCCTCTCTTCTTTCTGTGTTATCCATGTTATATCAACAGGTGTCAAGGGATTGGATTCAGAAGGCTCTCTTTCATTGTATTGAATTGACTTCGAGAACTGTAGCCACCAATGTCCATCAGAGAGTCTGGAATCTAGTACACGAAGATAATCCGAAGTGCGATCGCAAACTGAGCAATATCTCGGACGAAGTCCACGTCTTGATTATTCAAAAAACCCAGCCCCAGTTAGTCAAGTTACTCAAGCTCGGCTTCTCGGTCCTCAATGAAGGAAGCGATGAATATATATGTCTGCAGAAGATAGAACAATGCCTCACGATCATCAGCTATATTCAGGAAGAGTTGGAAGTGAGCTAAGATAAATATAAACTGATCCGTCTTTACAGACCTTTAAAGAGTTGTATAAGGATCTCAAAAACCCTGTTCGAGATATGACGTTCGATCGAAGGAAGCTGGAGGATGTACAGGGGATTGTGAGGACTCTCTGGCATTCTTTTGAAGAGGTAAGAGATCAATGGTGAACCTAGACTTGGCTCTCGGGCCGGCCCGGCCCGCGGGCCGGAAGAGGTCGGCCCGGCCCGTTTCAATTTTCCTTCGGCCCGGCCCGGCCCAGCCCGCGGCCCGGCCCGGGCCGGCCCGGGCCGGCCCGAATATTGAGAAGAAGTAAAAAACCTTAATTCGCTATTAGATATGACTTCTTTACTGTAACAACTAACAGTACATTTTTTAAAGCAAAAAATTACTTACCAACGCATTGCCTTTTTAAAATTAATCAAAAAATTCCCGAGATCCGTTTTCAGACTATTAAAAATTGCCCCAAGACCGATTTTACAGATTCAGCAAGGGTGGAACCACGTTTAACAAGGTTTTCAACTTCAAGATGATAGTGTTGCTTCACACGACTTCTTAATTGTGTTTTTAAGGATGTCGGTTACGTTTATTTTGAGTTTTTGTTCAAAAAATTACTACAAACACTAATATTCATTAGTACTTAATAGATTTTACTAGTAAAATTACTTATTATTAGCCATTTTTCAGTACTTCCGTGCTTTATTTTTGTAAAATTATGCTTACTGTGAGAAAAATATAAACCCCCTTCTTGGCTTTGCGTTTTAATTTTATTGGCAACCCAACTTTTCGCTTTGAAATTCAGAATTTTAATTTTGCCGGGCCGGCCCGGGCCGAAAGTTGCGGCCCGGCCCGCGGGCCGGAACAGGTCGGCCCGGCCCGTTTCAATTTTGCTTTGGCCCGGCCCGGCCCGGCCCGAACACCGGGATACACTTGCTTGGGATGTCGGAAAAAGACTCGGTGGAGGTTCGGCGAAGCTATAGTGGGTTCGGTGGAGACTCGGCGAGTGCCTGCCAAACTCGATTTTCAACGCTTCGTTTCTACATAACATACAAAAAGTATATAGTAAATCGTGCATGTATCACCTAAGATGGAAGATTTCAACTGAGAAGTACGAGTTGTGGTGTTATGACGGGCCCACCAAACATTAGAACTGCAGCGGAATTTCTTTTCACGGAGTCTTTGCCGAATCTACTGTGGCTTCGCCGAACCTCCACCAAATGTCTTTTACGGTAAATGTATCGTTGACGGGATATGAACTCTCGAAAAGTCGAGACGCGTTGAACCCATTTTTTAGAGTTACTTCGAGTCTTCATTGGAGAGTGGAAATTATGACTCAATGAAGAGCGTTTGTCTTCATATGGTGCAATTAATATCCGATATGAAGGAATCTATGCCTACTGTAGACTCTTATTGCCAATCTGAGAAATAACTGTAATGAATATTCGGTACTGAGCTCAGTTAGTCCCTAGTCTTTTCCTAGAGTCATCGCTGATATACTTGCAACAGAATGCCAGTAAGATATTTCGTTCCGAGATTAAAATAAATAAATGTAATCCATTTTTCTGAAACAATTTTTTATAAAATAAATATTTTCTAAACATTGTTTTGTTGGAGACATGGATCTCCAAGATACTCCTGCTAACTTTAAGGAGCTGATGGGATTTGAAGCCAGGAATGAAGCCGTTTATGATGAGGAATCGAACGGAAGCGTGCCCAACATTCAGGTAAGTCGAATGAACGCTGGGTTATACATGTAAAATTTTATTTAGAAGATTACGAAAGGAAATAATGTTCTTCCACTGTGGGGAAATCTTGCCACGATGAATTTAAACACCTTACTCTTGGAGAATGTTGTTCAGAGTGCGTATTACAAAAATGTATTGACCGAGTTAACCAATTTCCAGCAAGTCGTCGACCAAATTTTACATAAGGTGATATTTTTTAGTTTATTATCTTTTGTTTAGGTAACTCACTTGGAACCATGGGAAAGAGGGACCAGAAAAACATTTGGGATGGGTGGAATGTGCGGTGGAGTTAGAGGGGTTGGTGCTGGTGGAGTGATATCCACTTGTTTCTGTGTGTTGTACAAATTATTTGCGCTGAAATTGACGAGGAAACAATTGGTATCAATGATTAACAGCACTCAGTCAATCATGATGAGAGGTGTTGGGTTTTTATATATTAGGTACACCCAACCTCCAAGCGATTTCTGGTGGTGGTTTGAGCCATATTTGGTAAGATTGGTATATTCTTTCTTGTAATTTATAGTGGTTCTTTTTAGGACGACACTGAAGAGATTGATCCCAAAGCTGGGGGTGGAGATTATCAGACGGTTGGTGATTTTGTGAGGACATTACTGTCTAAACTGGATTGGTATGGCACTTTGTTTCCTCGAATTCCTGTTCCTATTCAGGTAACTGAAAATTCAAGCGCTTTTTGCGTTTAGAAGGGCATCGAACTCTCTTTGTGTTTAGAAGGACATCGACGCGAAATTACATCCACGGCATCAACGGGAATCCCCTAGGGAGACTGTCAGAGAACGATCTAGAGAAGTAAAGGATCGCCCTATCAAGAAAACGCGCTGTGCCCACCATCTACGACATCATCATTGTCGGAAACACCGAAAAAGATGTCCGAGGAAGGTACAAGCAGAGACAAAGCTTGAAGAATGATAGATTTAAAATAAATTATTTGATTAATTCTGGGGGTGTAACTAAACCAATGTTTGATACTGCTTGGCTATTTGTGTTTTCGATTTTTTATTTATATTGATTTTAGTGTGAATTATGGCATCAAACGGGGATTGGTGTTTGATCGAATCAGATCCTGGCGTGTTCACGGAACTGATTAGGAACTTTGGAGTGTCTGGTGTTCAAGTCGAAGAATTATATACGCTCGAATTGGATCATCTCAGAGAACTGGCGTAGGGTTTAAATCACATTTTAATCTTGATTTTTAGTCCCATCCATGGCCTGATCTTCCTGTTTAAATATCATGTTGGGGAAGAACCCACTGGTCAAGTTGTTCCTAATGCTAGTGGTGTTTACTTCGCTCAGCAAGTGATCAGCAATGCCTGTGCTACTCAAGCCATTCTAAATCTGCTTCTGAATGTTAAGAGTGATGAGGTTAATCTCGGAAATATATTGGAACAGTTTTACGCTTTCTCCAAGGATATGGATCCCGCTGTAAGTTCTCTTTTTATAATCTTTATATTAATTTACAGAGTCGTGGACTTTGTCTTTCCAACAGTGAGGAGATCCGCAAGTATCACAATGCCTTCAGCCGTCCAGCATTGGTGGAGATCGAGGGGCCTCAGAAAGGGAAGGAAGATGCCTATCATTTCGTTACCTACGTTCCTGTAAACGGCCATGTCTACGAATTGGACGGTTTGAAAGACGGTCCTGTTGATATCGGAAAAATCCCTGAAGGCAAAGATTGGCTGGATGTTGTGCACGGCACTCTGAATGCGAGAATTGAGCGGTAGGAATTATCAATTAACGGTAATAAAGTTTTGTTTAGACATACTCATTCTGAGATCACATTCAACTTGATGGCTGTAGTCGCGGACCGGAAACAAAAGTACGAAAAAGAACTCACTCTGCTGGAATCGGTAGGCTCAGCGTGCAGGAGAAATTTTGAATTATTTTAGTCTGATATCAACGAGGAAGAGAAGGCCAACCAACGTTGTCGTCTTCAAATGGCCATCCAAGAAGAGCAAGAGAAGATGACTCGTTATAAAGACGAGAATATCAGACGTCGTCATAATTACACTCCCTTTATAGTCGAATTATTGAAGGCACTGGCCAAAGAAAACAAGTTGAATGGATTGCTAGAGAAGGCCGCAAAGGAAGCTTCTGATCGTCAGAAGGCTCAGAAAAGCACTTAATTTATATTGTGGAATCTAAATTGAATAAAATATGCATTCTCACAAAGTTCAGTGTTTGGAAATGTGATGTAAATTTCACAATCGGGGAATGGCGTTCTTCACTAATCTGCATTTGAGAAGATTTCTAGCAGAAGAACGGTCGGTTGGCAGCGTGTCTAATCAAGGCATTCTTTGTACGAAGAAAATAGGTATCCTTGAAGACATCAGCGGGATCTCATCGGATATCATATAATACGATCATTCCCTCCGGTCCTTAGAATCTGATCTGTGAGAATGTCGGATGAAAAAGCTCGAAAGAAGAAGAAAGAAAAGCCTGAAGACAAGTAAGTTCTCAAAACTCTACAGTAACCTTTATTTCAGCCCGAGGCAAAGTAAGAAGAAAGAGAACGCGTCCAAGAAGAACAACGTTGTGAAGGTCAGGAAAGAATCCCATGAAAAGATCTCTAAGGTCGGCACAGTTCCAGCCGTGGCTTCATCTGAAACTCCTGATCGTGCTATCTTCGATCCGAATGAAAGACTGGAGTAAGTCTCAACAGTATAGTAACTTCCTGTCTTTAGCCCACGTGAGCCACCTCTTCATGAACAACAAGTTAAGATGCTGAAGACCATGGTGACAAACATTATGAATGATGGAATAACAAAACTCAAGGAGGAATATGCGGCTCTCCACAAGTACAAGCCTCCAAATGTGACGAAAGAAGCCCAGGGTGTGAACAAAAGGTTGAGTCGCTACAAGGACGTCGCTTGCTGGGATCAGACCCGGGTCCGGCTAATCTTCCCTCCAGATATGCCGAACGACTTCATCCATGCGAATTACGTTAATCACGAGTTATTTGTGAATCGATTCATTTGCACCCAAGGACCTATGGAGCATACTGTAGTCGACTTCTGGAGAATGGTCTGGCAAGAACATGTCACCGTAATCATCATGCTCTGCCAATGCTTCGAATTGAAGAAGCCCAAGTGTGCTCAGGTGGGAAAGTGATTGCAATCTCTATTGTTTTAGTATTGGCCAACTGTTGTCAACACTCCGAAACAAGTCCATCCATTTGTGATCACAGCGACCAACATAGACAACAGCGATCCAAATGTGATTGCCACAGATCTCCATGTTCAATGTGGAGATATAATCAGACAAGTAGAACATCGTCATTGGATCACTTGGCCGGACAAGACGGTCCCCAAGAATGGAGCTGTGGCTTTCCGCCTTCTTGCCCATCCCAGAGATTATCGTTTCAATCCGAGTGTTATCCATTGTTCCGCTGGAGTTGGTCGAACAGGAACTCTGCTGATGATTGAATTGATAATACAGTAAGTAGAAGTGGTAAAACACTCTTCACATTGCAGACATGTTCTCAACGTGCGACCTATCAGTATTCCCGAGGTCTTGAAGGAGCTGAGAGGTCAGAGAAGTCAGCTGATCCAGACAGAAGACCAGTATGTGTTCATTCACTTCGCTATGGTACAGTATGCTGTTCTGACCAAAGTGATCACTATGGGAGATTGCAGGCGTAAGTGCAAACACCCTGATGGTTAAATTTTTTAGACTTTCTGCGGAGTTACGACAAATACCTAAAACAATGTCAAGAAGAAGTCGAAGCCAAGTTAGCGGCCAAAAAGAAGAAGAAGGCGACTGTTAAAGGTACCGTAAGAAAGAGAGAATCGAAGGAAAAGGAAGAACCCGGAGGCGCCGCGGGAACCCAGAATAATCTGGTGAACGCCGTTGGTCATGATGAAGATGATGAACTTTCTCACGTTGAAAGCCCTGAACATAAACCTTAATAGATATTGGAATAAAAAAGAGTTCACAGAATTTATATCTCTTGTTAAGTACAGATATGTTTGCTCATAATCTCGGAGAGGCACAGGATTCCTGTGATATCGTAAATCACATATCCGAGGCATCAGAAGTGAGGTCGTTGTCGTGGATCTGGATCTCCACCTCTCCACTTTCCTGTAGCCGGATGGGGGAAAGTATGGACATTCCGGGCATTGTAGAAGACGACATCTCCATTAGTACGGAGGGAATTACGGAAAGAAGCGCGGATTGCCCTCAGGGCATAACAAGCGACAATCCCAGAACATATGAGGACTGTCAGTAGAAATACACCGACCATTATCCACCTTAACATATGTATATGTTGAGTCATGCAATTTAAAAAGATGAAACTTACATAAAAAACCGCATATCAAACGGTAGACAGACATAGTTCTGGTTGGTGTTGCCGTTGCACTTATCCACATAGACACAATCGTATTTCCCACATCCTTGAACACCTGTAGATCTTATTTAAACAGCTCTGTTAAAACCCTAACTTGAACACTCTGACTACTTTTAATCTGGAACTGTAACCCTGCTATGTTCAAAAAAGGGGAATTAAGAACCATTTTGTCCATGATTCGTAAAATAAAAGTGCTTACAAGTCTCCAACGTCTCGTAGCAGGTGAGTTTATCGCCGTAAACCGCGTTACCCATTTGAAGAATGGGTTTCCTTGACTCGGTCACCTGTTCTCTCTTTCCGTTCCCGGGTACCCTAATCAAGAAAAGGAACAGGAACGGAACGCCAACCCATCAAACATTTAATTCAAACAATTACGACTTATTTTACTATTATATTAGCTGGATGACAGCTGTTGTGATGGAGCGGCGACAGTTGTCAAAACGGAGGGTTCTCTCACTTCTTAATTGATGCAACTTCGCTCTTCGTCAGGGAACTGCAATTAATCCAATTAATCATCTGTAATCCAGCCTTAGGCTATGGATTATCACGGGAATAGTCATACATAGAAGAGTCACGTTAATCGAAACAGATCCAGAAGTTTTATATGCAAAATCACGTGAACGTTCTTTGAAAATAAAATTTAGAACGAGTTAATTAATCAGCTGTCTGTTAAAAGAACACAGGTTACCTACCACAGCGCCTAAGGCATTAGTCAAGCAGGCTTCTTAACTTACTTTGAACTCCATGTTTATTGTGCCAGCGTCGAACCACTTGTCCACTTTCTCCGTTCTGGTCACATATTGGTCGGGAATACCCAGGTTTACTTTTCTTTGACATGGCTAATCGGATATTATTCTACTCTACTTAAATGAACTTACCACAGCTCCATCGTCGCAGTCATGGTATACTTTGAAGTGGACATTCATACCAAACATACTACCTACTCCGCCTTGGAGTTCAAAATTGCCTTGAGCATCGGTTTTTCCAGCGGCCAATTGATCGTCAGTGCCTGAGATTACAATTACAATCTAAGGAAATATTACTCACCGAGCTTGTTCTTATTCCACAATTTGACCTGGGTATCCTTGAGAGGGACTTTCCCACACAGCAGCTTCCCTTTAATACCTACAGATTGCTGTCTGAAGGCTTCTACAAGAGCCATGTAACAGAGGATAACAATAAGGGACTTCATCTCGACTTCCGATGGTAGACTTGCCTCGGGCCTATTTATTTCACCTGGTCATAAATAATCAGCCACGATAAATAAAAAAGGATAAACAATTCGCTGAAATGCGATATCTATACGAAGAGCAGACATAATGCAATCTTTGATTGCTAGTAGCGCCAAAACCTAAAAAAATCACACAAAATTAATATTTTGTCATCTATCGCCTAATAAAAGGGAGTACTGCAACAGGTAGAAACATATTTATTCTCGGGAGTGAGCAACAACGGTCTTACTAATAGCGTCCCTTCAACGAAGATGATAAGGAAATAGGACAGGGGCAACAAAATACAAACGAAACAATTAACTTCCATTCATTTCCAACTGTTTGAGTTCGGCCTCAAGTTCGGGAAGTTTGTCGAGTTTTTGTCGCTGGTTCAATTCAAGCTTGATCCCATCGGCGGTCTTTTGTTTGAGTTTTTTGATATCTTCGATCTTCTTCTTCAATTTTTGGATTTGTTTTTCATTGGCCGTCAATTCCACACGAGGCCCAGATGAATTTTGATTGGCACGTGGCGAAGGATCGATACCTGGAGATATAAAGAAATAAATATATAGACGATGATTTAAAAATTGCATCGCACAAGTCCATCCGAACCCTGCAAATTTAGTCCAAAGTTGCGCAATCTGACACAACGCGTTGCACAATTTTATGTTTGTAAAAAGTTCTTGCAGGGTTAGGACAGACCTGTGCGACGAAACTTAAAAATCATCGTCCATATATACTCCGCGCAAAAGGTATTCAAAAATAACCTAAAAAATGGGAAAAAGTTTTGACTCCCATCAGCGGATGTAACCAAAACTTTTCGCAATCGACGTACTCTGCCTGAATACAAGTTAAATCCATGGGTAAACGAGCAAATGGATAATTTATAATTCCTGGAAAGAGTTATAGTAAGACTTTCACCATTGAAGGACAGTTCTACAGCAAAAACAATTTAACGCGTTGAATCCTAAAATGCAACTAAAAGTTCAACGAAAACTAATTATTAACCTGTATTCAAGTACAGGAGGACGATTGCAAAAGGTTCTGTTTGCATCCGCTGACTTGTTAAACCATTTCTCGCGAAGTATACACCAAAAATATAAAAATACTCTTTCGGAGATGAGGGGGAACATATCGGCCGCCTTCAGAGACTACGCCGGCATTCTTGAGGAATGTGACGCTATGATCAGGGATGGAGCTGGTCACTCTTCGGTTCTCAATCTTCCTACGCTCGGCATCAGTCAGTTCAATGATCTTGAACTTGTTGAAAATACCAGGCGCCGGCTTGAAAACAACCTGTAAAAGATACAAACTGTTCGTGTGGTATGTACATACCTGAGCCATTTCAACGGCCTTTTTTTCGCTATCAACACTCAAGTATTCATATTTTAGCTGCCCAGTGTAATGCCAGATCCTGAAATTGTTGTCAACCCGGAGGCGAGGGGAAGTCGTAGCCGTCATAAAATGTTGGCCATCAGGTGCCCAGGAGAAATAAGTAGTATTGGGAACCTCCATTTGAACGACTTCGGTCTTCTTCTCCACATCCCACACCTCAATCTTTCCCGCTGCCAAATTTCCGAATCCACAAACAGCCAGCAGAGATCCGAATGGATTATAATATACTTCGTTCTTGTGACTCTCACCCAAACACCAGATCGAAGTCGCTCGGAGATTGAATACGCATATCTAAACCCGAAAAAATACATTGCTACATGTAGATAAGATGTTGAACGGGACGATTGTGGAAAACGACGGTTGGGAAAGCTAAAAAACCCGTGCCCGTCCGTATTGTGGGCATGCCCTTACAATTTTTTAAAATTTCAACCAAAACCAATGTGCACAATATATATGCTTTCAGAAAGAGATGGGACCTACTTTTAGACGGGGTATATCCCAGTTCAGAAATTCAGTCATGTTCATGACAAAAATCAAAAAACTTTGAAAAGTACCGAAACTCGGTCGAATATCGTAGATATGGAATACTGGGTATGTATGACAAAAACCCGGTTGAGTCTTAGGATTTTGCGTACAATAGGATTCGTTTTATAAGGAAAGTACTTCTATCGGGTATGGAGTTACAGGTCGAGAAATGTATCAAAAAAATCGTATATGTAAAGCGGATAAATTCAAAGAAAGAAGTTGTCAGCTTCGAACTTGAATGCCAAAACTTTCTTCAATGAAAGATTTTTACAGTAAAAAACACCTGGTTTTGGTAATTTTTGACACTAATGGAAATTTACTCTATAAAATATTTAAAATCTTGTTGGTACATTCAACAGGCCACTTTCCATTTTTCTTGGAAACCGATCGCTAACGAAAAAACATCGGAACACCATGCAGGCACAATTATTTTAGTTTCCCCAATCGATAAATGTATGATAAACTGACCTTAGCAGGCATATATCCGAAACAGGCTATGAAAGACATTCCATTTGGAGACCATTCCAACGAATGAAGGGGACCCTCCTTATTCAAATGTACTTGAAAACTATCCCCCATCTTCGTCAACAAATACAGGCAACTTATACCATAGTAAGATTGATTCGTTTTATCCACCTCAACAGTCGTTGTAGCCAAAACAGCGCTTCCCTTGGAATTCCAATTAAAAGAACAGACATCACAATTAAAGGAGGTTTTCTGTGTGATGACTCTTAATTCATCATGAGGATTACGAAGTTGGATGAGACCGGGTTTACCCTAAAAGAATATAAAGTCAAGAAAACACAAACTTACACCAACTGAAGGAATGAAACAACACAGGGAAGGGTCTAAGCCTGGGCCTAATTCAAAGGTTTCCAGTCCTTTTATTACACCTTTTCTCGTGAAGCGATCTAAAATTTCAATCCATACATAAAACGTTGTCATAGAACATACCAAATTTGTTGTTTTCATAAAAGTGGAGTTCAGATCCGTTCTCCTTTAAAACGCAAAACTTTTCATCAGTGGAAAACTGAGGTTTCCAATTTGCTTGAGATTTGCAGATTTTAGCAGCCACCTCCTTTCCATCTCTGATATCATAGAATCTGAGATTGGGCTCGGGCTCTCTTTTCACCCCATCTTCTCCTGTCCTCATTCCATAGATCGCATATTGTTGATAAGTAATCAATAGATTTTCGTTCGGAGAAAACGTAAGCTTCATTGTTCGACCAAGACCTTCGATGGCAAACCTCTCTTTCTTTGATACAACATCGTAACACACAGTCCTATAAATTTTATATTATTCTAGACACAAATCGCACAAGGTTACTCTTCAAAGCAAACCCTTACCTTTTATTATCACAATAGGCAAAAAACCTGCCGCTAGGGCTGAACTGGAAGCAACGACACACTGCATCGTCCTTCGATGAACTAAAGAAAATAAATTGTGCATTTCTCTTCGAACTCTTACCAATTGAGAGAAAGAATATCTTCTGCGTTTTCTAGTCCTCGTCTAATCTTCAACCCGTTTGCACTTCGATCTAAATACGTAAAATACAAGACAAATTGCACTTACAAGCATAAACCAATTTCTCCGCCATTTTTCTGGCTCTCTGGGCACCGGTTCAAACCCTAAAACAAAAAAATCTGGCTAGAAGTAACGTCGACGTATTCGCGGCTTTCTGAAGGCAACTAACGTAATTGAAAGAGGCGAAAATTTTACTACTAAACATTTCCGGGTTATTTTTTTAGAAAACAATATTTGGGCCTTCGAAGAGCAATGGGCGCAGGCTGCGCGACGAACAGATTTTTTGCGTTTCCTTACCTAAAAAAATATATCTACGCGTAGCTACGCGTAGTATCACAGTAGCTACGACCCTACGTACAGTCAAGAATTTTTTTGACTGGGAGGCCTGGAATCGACGTCCCAGTCAAGATTTTTTTTGGCTGTACGTAGAGTCAGGAATCCCGGGAATCCTGACTGTTCTAACAGTCAAAAAATCCTTGACTGTACGTAGAGTCAGGAATCCCGGGATTCCTTGTCAGACAACTTTTTGAGCCTTTGCTTGCCTGGCTCTGGATGAGTTCGCCGATTCTTGTCTGAACTCAACGAAATCTGGAAAAAACCCACGCGGATCTTATTTAGCGGGCCCACGGAAAACCTGGAGTTCCTGCGACGAGCTCCGAAAAACATTAGGTCTCACACGCCTTATATTATAACAGGCATTTGGCCGTCCCGCGATGAATTAAAAAGAAGCAAGCCGTTCAAAGATGTAGAGCAAGCGTTGTAACCCAATGCTAACAACGGAGACGAAAAGTTTTTTAAAACATACTTCTGACAGAAATTTGTGTATCACCATGCCTGATTGAAATTCTCTATGGTAATGGGTGACTTTCACTGACCGTTAGTTCAAGTGATACTGTAGTTTTTCAGAATTGACAAAAATCTGTATTTTTTAAAGATATCGCAACTTCGTGCTCCGTCGACCCTTTTTTAACGCTTTCTGTGTGCATGAACCCAGAATCGTGTGTTTACATGTCCACTTTTTCACTTAAAGTCCCTACTTTTTTGGTTTTGATACATTACCCAACATAGGTCAATTTAGTGGCACAGGATTTCATTTGCAATGAACTCAGATGCGGTTTATTTGAATCAGTGACTGCGTCTATATATCTAGAAATGGTACTGCGAGTTGTTGCTGTCGGCCTCCGAGGCGTTGTATTTGGCGGGTAAGCTTTCGGGTTCCTCAAATTCACCACTGGGTCCACTTCGATTCACAAGAGGCTGTTTGATTTTTGATTTCAGTGCTAGTGACACCTACCTCGTAGCTTCCGTAGCCCTGGTTTCCAAAACTGACTCCGGCTGAGATAACGGAGACATAAAGCGAAGTGTCAGACTGGTCGGGGTCCAGACAGCTTTGCTTTTCCATTCCTTGAACAAGCTCGACAGCCATCTGGCGCGTTGGTTCTGGGATCACAGTCAGGGCATATGACAAACGATAAGCCAGAGGAAGGTTATGCTGATCCATTAAGTATACAGATTGGATGGCTTCGTAAGCCGGGGAATCGGTGTTCTCATACTCATGGTACACACTTTCTTCTTCGGTCGCGGGGGCGGTGCTCGACAGATATGACCTGACGGGCCCAGCGGCGTAGTAGATGGATGCCTCGGACTTTTCCTCGACGGTAGGTTCATTGAACTCGTTGGAAATGTACACTGAATCCATTGTTCGGTGTTCTCATGGGTTTGCACCACCGATCACTGAAGATGTGTTCAATTTTCATCGCAATTTTTATTTTAGGACTTAATTTAATTTGCATCAACTATTTTTTAAACAGCGCAATGACATAGAGGACAATATCGCGCAAATTGTATTTCCTGTTCGTAAGCCCTGTGTTTACACGATGGACATAACCAGAACTGGTAGTCGTGGATCGGACGACCTGAGGCTATACATATCGGGAATTTTATTCCACAGTTGGCATTTGAACATGAGGTCGCGTAGTCCATCACCATGGCCCCGCATGCGTGGCATTCAACCCGGGCCTGTTTGGTATCTTTGGGAGGATATCTGAATATATGTAAATATTGTGATGTCAGTGGTTATGTCAGACACTCACTTTAAAAAGATCTTGAGGGATAAAGCATTGTATTGCTCCATTTCTTCTTCCGGAACATTCTCCAATGATTCGATTTTCATAAATGCCTTACTGCAGACTGAAAATTGTTTTGCTTGGCAGCTGGCCAATGCTAATAAGCTGTAGATTTCGATGGTGGGGATAACGTCTTCATACTCGGTCAACACAAGTGCTGTCTTCATTGCGGAATCAAACTTATGTTGATGTAATTGTTGCTGACATAACATGTAGAAATGGATGGCTTCGGCTCCCCTCCAGGCAGTGTCTATTAGTCTCGAATCCTCGATAGATAAGGTGTGTTCTTCTTCGAGTAGACCTTGTATTGCTGCGGTCGACTAAAACAATGACAAGGGAATAATCTGATCCTACCAGATTGTCTTGATTGTTCTTGACGACTTGTGATTTACTGTATTCTCGGTACTGTTCGATAAGTAACCCTCCCATGACAAATAATTTTTTTACTCTCACGGGCGGACATTGTCTTTCTAATTGATCTCTCGCAATCTAAAAACAATTTTTTTCTCTTTTCCTTTACTCACGTCGAATGTTATTTTAGTCGCTTGTAAATACATAGCTGCTTTTCTGTACAATTGTGCTGCTGCCATAGTCTTCTCGATAGAACCAGTTAATTCTTCGGCGTAATTGTTAAGGAGATTGATAGCATTAGAAAGTTTGTATTTCTCGCTTAATTCTACTGCCTTGTCCCATTGATTCAGTCGAATACATGTGTCCAATGCTTCATTTACCATGCCCAACTACAATAACATAACTTATGTTAGTACATCGATTCGATTTCTTACTCGAATATAACATTCAACCGCTTGATTACATAATCCCGAGTTTGTAAAGATCTCTGCGAGATTGTTGAGGACTTCATGGCCATCAGGTAGTTGTTGAGCGATTGATTCTAGTCGAGCATAGTCATCCATCATCAGATAGCACCTCACTAATTCTTTGTAATGCTGTCCGCTTTCATAATGCTTAGCTGCACTTTGCCTTTATTAAGACTGAGGTTACTGTAATTTTAATTACCATTTTTGTCTTTCCATGAAGTAATCCCCGACATGTTTCCAAGCTCTCTGTAACATAATGTCATCCCCAGGTCCTGAAGATGTTTGTAATATCTGAAGGACACGAAACCAGTCATTCATCTTGGTTCTCATATCAATGGCCAGATCTCTGCGACGTAAAATTGCATTAACAATATTTATGTTCTTACCTTCTATCATTCTCAAAACAGATATGTTCAGCAGTATCGAGATCTCCTAAGAAAGTGCATACTTCGGCCTTTTTGAGGGCTTCTGACTGCAAAATTCTTATAAATCTACAATTCTTAGTTACTTACCTTAATATTTTTTAACTTCTTCAAGAATTGTAATCCTCCAAAGTCTTGTAATTCCACAAAAGCATGTTCTGCTGTCTTCAGATCGAGTTTGTTCAATGCAAATGTTGCTAGAAGATTCCACAATTTTGGATGAGAATGGGACTCGATGAATTTGGTGGCCTCACTTATTTTGTCCTGGTCCAAAAGTTCCTTGGCTTGTCTCAGTGTCTTTGTTTCGATACTAATAATCGCCGTTTTCGTTGGGTTTTCTGGATCTTTCAAGACCTCATCCAGCTGGGCACATTTAACCGTCAGGTCAGTAAAGTCACACAAATACCCAGTATTCTGGACGGGATCTTCTGTGTCCGTTCCATGTATAACGATTACCTTTTGTTTCTCCATACAAACTAGGGTATCTTCTCTGTCCTTATCCCAGATCACGCCCCAGACATCTTTTCTTTCAAAATTGGGAACAACAATAGCGTTGTTATCCTTGATATCAAAGAATTTTAGGAGATGATGTTTGTTGATCAAGGCCAGCCGGGTGCTGGTTGAGTTTAGGGCCATGGATTCGGCTGCATATGATAGTTGATATCGTTGAACTAAGTTGACATCCGGGAGATTGTATCGATGGACCGTACCTGATTCTCGTCCCTTAAAATTGCTTTGATAGCACAACATTCTTTACTTACCACTAAAATCATATCCTTTCCAGTGCAAACACAACAAATACCATCGAATCCTATCCGATTTCCTTTCTTGGCACTTCCATTCTCCTGATTTCGATTGATTTTGTAGTCGTCAACGTGGTATATTTGAGGGAGAGTTGTTTTTTGTGCACTCCTATCGACTGTCATTCGCCTGGGAACATTGTAATACCATACCAGGAACTGATCTGTCGAGGCCATAACGACTATCCCGGGGGATACCGATAAGGTAAATGGCTCTACGTTTGTTTGGGTGGAGTCTACTGGTGTTCCGATGCTGTCGCAAACTTCGATTTTGTACTGGAAAGAAATGATTACGCTGACTTTCACTTACAATCCCACCCAACTCGTTGACTTGGCTGACTACAACGCAGTAATCTCCGCAAGCCTGCAGTTGCCACACATCCGCTGTTTGTCTCTTGAAGGTGTCATCCATCTTGCTTTCATAGAACATAATCATTTCGTCCCCCACATCCATGTTTTTGTAAGTGTATACCAAAGTTTTCCCACAGAATGCCCACTGAAAAATAAGCTGAGATGAAGCTAGATTACCTTATAAGCCGGTTTGACTATGGCCAGGTAGAGGTTGGAGTCCATGATAATTCCCAATCTGAGTCCACTTCCCTCCCAAGTAATCCCTGAAAGTTTTCCGGCCGAGAGTTTCATCGTTTGAATCTTTGCCCCGAAAGGAGTGATAAAATGGATAAGATTTCTTTCCTCGTCCGGAAGATCTGTCTGATATCCGGCTACAGCCAAGATAGATCCATCCGGAGACCAGGCACACTGAATGATTACTGTATTGGCCAGACGACATACAATGGGACCTTTTAAAAATAATTTTTCATATTAGTCTCATCTCACTAGAATCTATTTCGCTCCTCATGATTTGAATAATTCCATGTTGATAGGCCACTACGAACCGAGGTTGATCATCGGGAATATCTCCGCGGAATACCATGGGATCAATGGCAAATGTATTCTGCCGTATTAACCGGGGTAGCTCTCCATTCGGTCCTACAGTTTCCCATTGTGTTACAGTATCTATGTATAACTCACCTCCTTGAGACTCAGTTCTGCATGCGGGTGTGGAGACATACCATTCCATACAGACAATAACATCTTTTTTGAGATCTTCTGAAATGATTTATCCTTCAAATATGTTAGATAAGTCCTCACTCTCAAGTGCCGTTTGTAACTCCACACTCTCAACACACATCATTGGGACTTTAAAGGCAAAGTTTCCATTCATATCATAACCATGGACATCACCGTCTTGTAATCCGATTAAGATAATAGTGTCAGACGCATTCCACTAAAAAATAATCTACATCTGCTTCTCGCTTACGCATAATTGAGAGATGTTTGTTGTGATTTCCTTACTCCAGAGTCTATTACCATCTACTGATCCCACAATAATTTGCCCATCTTCATATGCGATGGCTATCTTTGTCCCATCGTTACACCATTTTATGGCCACAACTGTACTCTTTTGTCTGTTGTTTATCATTTCCTGAAGCTACTTCCTTAACAATGACTGCCTACTTCAAACCAAGTCTCTTCTGTAGCATGACTCATCCACACAATGATAAGGCCGGATTCATCACAAGTGGCCAATTTCTGGAACACCTCGTTCCAACAGGCATATTTTACTCTAGCCGAGGCGGTATGACCTTCCAAATGAATGAATGATTTGAAGGGTCCCTTCATGACCTTTTCTAAACAGATGTAACCTTCTTCATTGCTCGATTACCTGCTTCGTCCGGTAGTTGAATCACTTTGAGGGACCCTTCGTCTCCTCCGATTGCCATATATCCTTTGTTTTTCATCCACGCGATACTGCATAACTCTTTTGAACCCGCGACAGCGATCTATATTATCTCTTCGTATTCGTGTTATTTTGTTTACCTTTTTTGTCAAAAATATGTACGTATGTTGCATTTTAGAGAGGAATAAAAAACAGGAGGAACGGATCTCAAATTTGATGAATAACCATATAAGCGGTTTAGAAACGGCGCTTTTCTTAAGGCTCTGAGGTCACTATGACAACCAAAATAAAAATATTAAAACACAATTTCTTAGTTGCCTCGGTTCCCTATCGGTTGGGGTCAGGACACAGGAAAAACCCGAGTTTTTGATTTTAAACTGATTGTCGGCATCCAATAAACGGAAATGTTGCGGGCAGATGTCATAATTGGCAGACCATAATGGGCAGATTTCTGAAATCATTGCAAATATCATCAATACCCTTATATCTTTGTAAAAATGTTAAAATTGAAAAAAATATAGTCCACCGGAATCAGATCCGGCGGCTATGCGTAATACTGCTACCATGGCCATTTCGAATCGCCAAAATGCTACGGATAGGGAGACCACGGAATCACGACGGCTTCCAAAATGTCGCTGGTGGACTTCTCGGTTTGGCGCAAAATTTTGCCACAGGTCATAACGAACGCGAGGTTCAAAAATGGAGAATGACAGTCTAACTCCTGTCATTCTGGTGGTTGTAGGCCTGGTCATTGTCGAAATATTTATCATCCACGAACAGGATCTTCTCTCATCACTGAGCAGCGGCGTGACGTTTTTGTTTTCGACATTTTTTGAGCTTTACTTGCTTGTAGTTCTCCGTGGGGTGCTAAACTTTTTGGAGCTTATTATTTTTCAAGCCATGCAGTTTCTCTGTGCAAAATTTCAGATCTGTCAAACCATTTTACAATGTTTTACTACCCGTGGAGAAAAGTCCTGAGAATTTTTCGCGGTCCCCAAATTCTGTCGCATTCCTAACAATAAGGAATAATTTGTCGCTGAGGAAAACGGGGCTCATACGCAGGCCTAAAATATAAATGATACAAATAGGCGGAAGTTGATTTATTTTTATATACAAATTTCAAGTTTGAACAGATTCTGGTGACCAGTGATGACATATTTTATTTACTTCAAATTACCCGTTGATGATTTTGGAAAGCTGTGGGATTAATAAGACCTCTTATCCACATCGTCTATCCTCACTGTCGACCCATCACTCAATGATCCTAGAATAATATGATTGCCCCAAAAAAAGTTACCTTTCTTATTGCCTGACGAATGCGACCGGTCGAACGTGATCTCCTCGTCTTCCACAACAATCATCCTCGCTTTATAAGCCGGGGGATTAATCGTGCCATGATGACTTGAAGAACGACTACTGATATGGGCAAGATTTATTCGAGGGATGGTCCGACTGGTCGATTCAAAAGATTCTGTAGACCGTTGTGGAGGAACTGGCACTCGTCGAGGGAACTGAGTTTGTTTAAATAGAGTTTGGGGATGGATTGCCTTAGGGGGAGCGGGCGGGGGAGGAAGATCTTCATCTGAACCCATGAAAGTCATGTCTGAAATTATTATTTAAATTTGATTACTATTCTTAAAAGGTTTAATTACTTTGTGGATTCCTTGCTTCGGCCAATGAATTTCTAATCTCTGAGTCCTTCAGAACTCTCCGATAATGATTTTCCTCGGGTTGTAAATGTCTTTCGTAACTGTGATATATCCAGAAGTTATTATCAGGCTCGTTGGTCTCGACTTTTCTTTCCTCATCAAACCAAGAAGACTCTTTTCTTTTTACATTCTCCATCTGACATTCCTTTCGACCATTTTGACTATTTTGGGATTGATTGTGTGGTTGAGGTTGATACGGCTGGTAAACAACGTTTTCTTGCACTTGATACGAGTTGGAATAGACTTGTCTGGGGTTGTTAGCCGCCTTAAGATCCTTCGAAGTAGGCGTTGCAAAGGCCTTCAAAAGGAATTAAAGATTTCTCTGAACAGTTAACTTACATTTACTGAGACCTCTTTTATGAACTGCACGGACGCTGAACTTAATTGACGGGTGGCCAAGAAAACGTCAATTAGATAGAGAAAGGAAACGAGGACACTGGTTATGGCTGCCTTCAGAAAATACGATGATCCGGAACGGGTCTAAAATAATTTTGTAAAAAAAAGATTATGAGTAAATCACTTACTTTGAAGTACCCAAAAAAAAGAACACACCCAAATCCAAAGGACGCACAAGCCAGAGTCATTGAAATGGCCATGTCTGCTCTGAGCCAACTCTTGGCTCGCATCTGAGCCTTATAACGGAGATAAGGGACCGAATGCCCCAAAACTGCGTTGGGAATAGAAATTCTGCTAATAACAAGGTAGATTCCGTATATTGGTACCACCAAAATAGGCATAATCAATATCCAATAAGGCCCAATATAATATAATAATCCCACCAATAATAACGATAAAAGAAATTCTCCGGCCTTGAGGACAATCCGAAGGCCTTTTAATGACGGATTCTTCGTTGATGAAGTCATTGGAATGGAGTCTGGAAGCAAACAAAAACAGTTGGAGAGACTGTCCGAGTGGTCGAATTGCCCTTTAATGAGTGGTAATCAAGATCGACAATAGGGATTTGGAGGTCGGTTCTCCCTTCGATTCGCTTTTTAATCAAATTAGACCGGCTTCAAAACGATGCCATCTCACGTAGGGGAAGAGCCGGCTTCCCGTTTTAATCAGCTTCTCCCACCTTGAGCTGATTAAAGTAAAAGAGCTTTCGGTGACGTAAAAAAGCAGAGGAAGGTAGAGAAATATGGTTTAATCTACGGATTAACGGGCTTAAAAACGGTTGCAAAGCAAAAATACTGTAATCAAAAAAAAAGAATAAATTTGTGAAGTCTATTTTCATTATCATCATTAATGGTAATTAAGCATTTCTAACGCTTACTTAAGAACTAATGTCCAGAAAGAAGTTCCGCAAGAAACCGTGTAACGTTCCGGGGATCGTCCCTGGACTTTATTAAGACGACAGTCTCTAAAAGAGTCACTAATTCTCTGTTTTTTGGTTCCTTTTCAAGCCACTTAAACAATATTATAAGTGAAGGTGAGGAGAAAAGGGAAAACAAAACCTGTTGGGCCTTTTTTCCCGCGCTTTGACTTCAGCGTTCCATCCGGAACGGAGAAAGTAAAGTTTCTATGCTTCGATAGATGGCATCGATGTTGAGAGGGGGTAGGGACGTCTCAATGACGATCTTATCGGGTTTATTCACTCACGAATCTATTAAAAATAATGTATTTGGCATAATAAATGATTCCTTTAACCTTGGTAATTATTGCTAAAATGACAATAAAACAAAGAAAACTATATAAAAGAGGGGTTCCGGGTAAATTCAAATTTTTTCGGCCATGATGTTCGACCACGCTTTTTGGCCACGGCAGTTTGTTTATTCTGCACTGTACAAGGCACACAATAAGCAAAAACTACGCGAGATGTAAATATTTCTTTCCATTGTACCGTTCAGGACGCGTCTTATCCTGTTTTGAGTTCTGCAAGTTGCGAGACATAAAAGTCATGATGGCCGAAATGCGTGGCTGAGCATCATTGCCGAAAAAAATTTGAATTTACCCGGAACCCCTCTTACAGACTTGCATAAGTAAAAGTCTAACAATCTTGTATTTATCGGAATTCCAGATTACAAATTCCAAAATAAATCCAATAAATCGCAGAAACATATCGAATGAAAGTGACCAGCTCCCTTCCTTCCCTTCCCGCACACTCGGGACTGAACATGTTTACCGTCGAAGCGAGGTAAGTGCCATTACTGAACCATGACCATGCTTTGAATAGGATTAGGCTGATCCCTCGCTTCCCATTGACCTCCTTCCCTCCAGCGATCTCAAATTGACCTTCTCCAATCCCATTTGCAGCCGATCTAGGTTTATCGCCTGAGGCCAGGTTCAGGATTCGAGGGGTGTCGAAGAAGTTGAGAGTGTTGCGGGATGTTGTGCAATCAGTAAATAAGAGAAAGAGTGCCAGTCGCTCTAAAGTTAAATTTTTGAGTAATTTTGTAAAGCTCATTAATGTGTTGTTAATTTTCCAAAATATAATCAAAATTGTTCTTGAAGGTATACTGTAACGACGAATTGTAAATTCTTATTTTTTAAGGGTCTCGCCCTGTTCTCCTTTCTATGTAATGCCACGGGACAACATAACCGCGACTCAAGACATTAAATATGTCCAGAGCTTCCAGTCGAAACCAGAGAGAGACTGACAACCAGCGCATCGGCCGAGGTAAACGTGTAAAATGGGATAAACAGATTCAGCGTTGCATCAGGTCGATGAGGGTAAGTTGGCCGGGGTTCAGTAAGGTAGGAAAGCGGGAAAGAAAAGGGAATTTAAGTACATATGTATATATACGTTTGCAACCTTTCTCCCCTTCACCCCCGTTACAATACTTTTATTTCTCTGTAATTCCGAAAATTTTCATCTGGACACCAACTTATTTTTTCATTTAACGCAAGTCATAATATTAGAGATATGTGATAGAAATTAAAGTCATCGCTTTCCAAAAAATCATTTTTCTTATTTATATGGGCCCTATCCCTTGTCTAAACCGAACTTGCATAACGCCATTGTCCTCCGAGATGTAGTTTTCCTTACTCAAGTGGACTTAAGGCTAGATTATAAATTTCAAGGAACTTAAAGTCAAGTGGATATGTCGACATCCACACCGAGAGTCTCGATACAACACCATCTGCAGGGCTGAATAAAAAGCAAGAACCCTTCAGAAATCGCTTTGCAAAATCTGCAATTCCTCGCTTCCCTTGAAGTTGCGCAATTGCATGTGTAAATAAAAGTAACGTTTTTTTAGTTACCCATCAAAGCAAATATTTAACCACATAATTTGAGAACATGCCTTGGAAACTTAATCTGGAAAGGCGTTAAAACGCTTAGGACAAGGACAACCTCCTTTAATTCGAGCCGCACTAATTAGCGCTTTTATTGCGGCATCTCCTCCAGTAATTTATCATGCTCGAAAGATACAATAAAGCCGACAAACTGAGTGAAAAGGTCAACTTTTTATTGCGGATACTCTGAAATCTTGTTAGAAACATTTAAAAGATGTTTAATCAACCCAAGCCTGCTTATTTTCCGGTGTAAATGGCTAATTTGATCACATTGCGCAACATCTCGATGCATGACATCCATCGGATCACCTGAAATAGATCAGATAACTCCACATATACGCGGATATTCAACGGATTTCCGGTCAATCCACAGCCTCTAATCTGCTTTTGTATATCTTGATTTATATTCGACATAACAATTAAAAAACGACATGCACGGTGAACAATAGGGACGTATAAAAGACTTCCGTTTCTCGGCGTCAAATTCAAAATGACTGCCCAATTTGGCCAGGAAATTACGTCCGGTGGACATAAAGGTTTTAGGAATATAAAGAAAGAATACGGTAAGCATTCGAACTTAGGGCGATGGAAATCTTATCGTATATTATAAATCATAATCGAGAGCGGGGGAATCAAAACATTGCGGTCAGCGAGATAATCAAGACAACTTCTCACCTTTCAAGGCCTCTCAACGGAGAATAGAGATATCCTTAATTACATATCTCAGTCATCAAGATAAACGGTTCACCTCTAGCTAGATATTATAATATAAAATGCGAATTTGGACGGATTTACTTAACAAAATTTTATACATTTGTAAAATTTGGAACGTATTGTATATATACAATAAGTCAGCGCTTAACAATAATTCTCAACAAGAAATAATAAATAATTATACGGTAGACACGGAGGAATGTGTGAAGATATTCAACTCAAATGACTGGAGGCGCCGGCTAAGCATACGGGATAATCTCCAGCAGCGATAACAACCAATCAGCGTCTTTGCGGTGCTCCAATGGGGGCGGGCGCCGTTAAAGGAAGCACTCGAGGAGGGGAGGCTGGTCCTCCAAGGCGCGGCTGACTGCCTTCGGACGGCCACAGTGGGGCGCCGGTGGATTCAGAGGTTGTGGTTGCGGGAGATGGTCGGCGTTTCCACTTATTTGGGGGCCGGTTAATGACAAAACGTGGATCACGGGGGTGCCTCACAACCCAGGGGGGACCCACTCACACCTGTGTCCCTATGGGGGACGACCCCTGCCGTGCCGTTTCCCGCCCTTTAACGTGATTCGTGTTTCAGCCCCATGCTCAATTACAATCCTCCCAATGTGCCAGCACCCTCTTCGTTCCCATATCAGCTCAATTACGATCATTGGAAGGGACAACCAATTGTTCCGACCACTTCAAATGAATATGTTGGTGGAGCTGGAGATCAGTATATCCCCTACACTCTCCCGTATCAGCCATTCCGATCATTTTACCCACCGTTCGAGAATGTCGCAGAAAATCAAGAACGTTTGTTCCAAGATACGACGCAAATAACTAGTAATGTCTATGGAGCATTGACTGCGCCTGGGTGTTATCAACCGGTAGATGAGAAGCCGATTATAAAAAAGAAACACCTAGGACCCCATACTTGTCAATGGAGAACGGTAAGCAGGGCGGTTGAGTTCAAACAGATGTCCGGTTTATACTTTTTATTTTGAATTACTCCTTATATTTGTGTATTGGCATTTTAGGGAACGGGAATGTGTGGACAGCAATATAACGATCTCAAACAATTCGTGGATCATTTAGCAAATGATCACGTGGGGGCAATGGACGGCACACGTCATGTTTGTCTGTGGACTGACTGCCCACGTTCTCTGAAGGAATTCAAGGCCAAGTATAAACTGATCAATCACATCCGGGTGCACACCGGCGAACGGCCTTTCTACTGCAGTCATTGTGACAAACACTTTGCGAGGAGTGAGAATCTGAAGATCCATGAGAGGATTCACACAGGTCAGTTTATGTTTATGGGATACTGTAGGTCTTTGAACATATTATGAATCCATGAGTTATGGCTTCCCAGGGTGCATTCCAAAGGCGGTGAATCGATTTAAATAAACTTGGAATGACAGTTACCTGATCCCCGACTGACCTCGCCTTCCTTTGTCTTTAATCCCTTTTATAGAAACATTTATGCGCGATCTTCCTCAAAAAACTTGAATCTGAATATAGATCAGTTTATGACCCCGAGATTATGCTAATTTTTTTATTACAATATCTCGGGAATCGCGATCTTGAAGTGTCGGAAATACGACTCTTGTCCCTTCTAATCCCACCAACAACAGTTTACATCCAAATTGATAGTTTGTTCGATTAAGTATTCCGATTAAGCATTCCTCAAAATGCCATTTCCCTCTCAAACCCGCCAATTAAATCCGAGAAGAAAAAGCGTTAGGTTAACGACATCAATTCCACTACAACGAAAGAAAAGGATAGAATTTAAATCAAGCAGAGGATCTTATGTAATCCGCGAGATGGGGTTATGAATTATAGGTTAGAGATGCCACAAATGGTCGATATAAACATAATATCCATTCTTTGTGAAACGAGTAACTACAGTATCTTTTCATAAATCAGAATCTACCGTCTTTTTAATGAATTTAAATGAAGGGATCAATCAGAACCGCCCTCTAAATACTCCATAGAGGACAGATGTGATTTCGCAAAATTTTCATGAGTTCCCGTTAGAGCCATCTGGAAATAACCACTTAATGAAGTGACAAATGATCTTGCAGGAGAAAAGCCCTTCAAATGTGATCAATGTCAGAAGAAGTTTGCAAATAGCAGTGACAGGAAGAAGCATATGCATGTACATTCCAAGAACAAGCCCTATTACTGTGGCCAATGCTCTAAGAAATATACTCATCCATCAAGTCTAAGGAAACATCATAAGGTAAGTATCCAGAGAGAACTCAAAATTTTTTAATCTACGTCAGTTGTAAGTGTACCAATTTATATTGTAAATTTTAGCAAGCGCATCCAGACGTCCCTCTCCAACCTCTGACTCACTACAAAGAAGAAAGCGACGCTTCATCAGACTCAGGGAATGCCTCGGCTCTCACGCCGACCTTGATCGACGCTACTGTTTATCAACCAGTCTGCAAAGAGAGTGACATCATCTCCAATCAACTGGCCTTCCTCGATCCGGCCATGACATTCCATCAGGACAACATGCTTCCATATATGCCCCATGCGTTTGATCAGAATTATTACACAGCACGGTAATGGGCACGGCAACCCGGACTAGATTATTGTAAGCATGGCATCCAATATGTATATGCTATATTATGTTTATTTTGTGTATTCGTGGAGAATAGGACGTGTATTTAAGGAGAATAAATGAACGGAAATACAATGGCCACCAGTTTCTAATTGCCATTTCACAAATATTACGCAACAGGCTAAATGAGAGGTGAGAAAATTGATGACCTCGTACCCCGCCGAGTGTCCACTAAACAAGAGTAGACTTGGTTTACGCATTTTTTGCGTTTTTTTGGCTACTGTAATTTTTTGTGCGTTTGTGTTGACTTACATTAGAAAGTTAGAGACGATAGAGAATGCTCTGCTTTTTCAACTCGCAATATATTTTAAGCTGCTTAGTTTACCGTACTTTGTATTTTTTACAAGGCTGCCTTTCAAATGATTTATATGCCGCCTCCCTTTGGGATCTACATCAGCATTCCCACTCTTAAATTCATGCATTTTGGGGATTCCCAAATCTGTCAAAATTCATTTGATCGGAGGTTATGGGTATCGCCGCCCCTTTCCCCTTGCCTCCAGCCGAGAATCTATTCGACCGCCGTCTTTTCACACAATTTGGATCTCTTAATTTAATCACACTGGCTCTTTATCCAAAAAAGTTTTGTTCCGCTTTGCTGTTTACCCGCGATTACTGTGGAATGTTTGTAAACTTGAGGAATGTAAAAGCGGCGCCTCTCAAGAAACACGAAAATAGGGAGTCAAGGATTTTGGGACAACGGAGGTGTAAACAAAAGATGACCCGATCTCGAGAATTATGCCGAAAAAGACGAGTAAGCGCAACAACAGGCCAATTACAGTGGATTAGGGAAACGGGCTTAATTAAGCTTGTCCTTGATTCCACAAACATTGGACAAGAAAAACACAAGGTCACCCCTCTCCATTATCCTCATGCTAAAATTGTAATTGTCTGCAAAAAAATCAGAGAGCTAATCCTTAATGATCACACCTTCACAATCTCGGGATGGATCCAAAGTCAAAATTCGAAAACTCTGACCCGGACCAGGAACCGGTTTATCCAAATGACATAAGCCGAGACCGGACATTTCATATCAGAGCGCAAACGGGCTGATAAAAAGCGAAAACGGAATCCAGATTCGGGAAAAGCGAAAGTTTCTTTTCATTCGGTCAACATGATGATGATTCCGCTGTTTGCTTTATTTTTATTCGGCGTCGCATCGGCTTCATACTGTGGACAGGCCGGTGTACCCTTTAGCATAGAGGTAACCTTTAAGAACATAAAAAAAGTGCTAGGATAGTGCTTTCTAACCTTATCTGTTTACTGTTTGAGATTGCTCCCAATGGCCAGCCAATCCTCGGATGTGCCCGTCCAATTTGCTTTGGATGGAAGGCCGATGGCAGAAGGTCTGCTGACGCCGCTCAATTCTACCAGATTGGTTCCATCATGGACGGATTCATACGATCATCGGATCATTCCGGACCTGCAGCTAAAAACGCTTCCATCTTCCAGCCTCAATTCGCGGTAATTAATTGTATTTAATATAACCAAATTGTTAGGTTTGCGACAGAAATTTTATGTCTGAACGTTGTGTGGGACAGAACGAATGGGTTGGCGGTATTTTCCCACAGGGAAAGATCGATTCCACAGATCCGTAAGTCATCAAAGACGAAGGCTAATGAAAACTGCAGAATGAAAATTATGTGCTGTACTTATGAAAAGCTACGGACATCGCAAGACCGCGGAATCTTGAGACTCCGTCCAGGCCAAGCTGTTCAAGGAGGAGAGATCAGAAATGAAGAGGGCAGACAACAAGGATTCGAATATATTTCCAGCATCGAAAGAATGTTCGATGATCACGGAGTTGTCTACACCGTCCGAATGCGAAGCTTCGGCTGTGTTCCTGAACCGAATGGACCGGCTTCCGTTGAAGACGGCGCTGCCAAATATTTGGTCGATAATATCAATGCCATCGACCATCCAGCCACAAAGAAACCAACCTCAAAGAGCAGTACTCCAGCCCCAGAACTCCCTAATCTTCTAGGGCTTCCAACTCTGGGTCCTCTTCCTGGCTTTGGACAGCCAGGACTTAGTGGTCAGACAGGAGCTGGAATTCCAGGAATCCCAAACATCGGTAGTGCTCCAGCTCCACAATCAGTAGACAATGAGAGCCCTTCCTTCGATGAACGAACATTTCAATTGCCCGATGAAATGCCAGCCGAAGATCCGGCTCCTGCCCTCGCGACTCTTTCGGAGAGTCCCTCGCCTTCATCGTCATCCCGTCCTCGGCCAGTACCCATTGCGCAACCATACGAGGAAGAAGAAGCCCCAGTACAACAACAATTTGCCCGTGCTCACAGCGCTCCCGTCGTTCCAGTAGAACAAGCCGTTCCTCTTCCTTCTAGACCTCAACCACAATATCTCCGACCTCAGCCTACTCCCATCCAACCACAGATTCAACTTCAGCTACCTCAAAACCCATTCGAAACGATGGGACTTGGCAATCCCTTTGCTCCTCCTCAGCTAACGGCCACACCAACCCGAGCTCGAGCACACGGAATCAGAACTTACGGACCCGGTGCTCGGATTGAGAGTGCGGCCCCCATTAGACGCTGGGGTCCTCAGGTAGTTGAACAACAACTCCAGCAACAGCAAATCCAGCAGATGTTCAATCCGTTCGGTTGGATGGTTGAGACCACACCTACTCCCCCAGCAGTGCGCGAACTTCCAAAGATCAGAATCCCTACTGTGGAAGAAGTGGAAAATGCGGTGAGTTTCAGTAATATGTTGTCGACGCATTGTCAAATAGAAATTTCATCAAACAGTGAGAATTTCAGATCCCCAAAGAAGGAAAACAGATCATCTCTGACGTAGCTAGAACATTCCTCGCCGCTCTTCATTAGTAACAAGTTCTATCCTAGCGAAACATTTGTAAAACTAATAATAATAAAGGTTTTATTGTTTGTTTTTTTAAGGGAATGGACAAACATTCCCTGACTCAGGTGCCCCCCCCCCTCGCCCCGACCATTTTGTTTCGCAAGTCAAAGCAGTGCGCTTTTTCCGATTCCTACCTTGTTTTCTAACTTTAGTAGGCGTCAACTATTCATATAAATAATATGACTCTGCAAAAAATCGCCTCAGGTCCCGAGGTCGAAGAAGGAACTTGTGTTCAGATTGATCAAACCATTTACTTGTTCGAATCCAAGTGTAAGATTCGTATTTCTTTTGAGGGTGATTAATATATTTTGATGCGTTTACTTTACCCTAAAAAACGGAAATAACTGACTGATTGATAAAAAATTGCAGACGAAGACCAGCCTGATTATCATAGTGGACACAGAGTAATCTCAATTGGATCCTCAGTGCAATCGTTTGATGTGTTTAAAAAACAATGGTCTCCAGTGTCCTTAGTACCGCCAATTCTAGAAAAGCAAGATCAAGGAAAGTTGGATGAGCTTCTATTTTTACATTCCGGGAAGCTGTTCTTACTTCTCTTCAATCGCTTCGAGGGATTATCTCTCCACTCGCTATGGAGATTCGACCAAGAAAACCTTAAGTTTGTAAAACATTCAGATATTCATGTAAGTAAAAATATTAAAATAACATTTTTTATCACCATGTAACACCTATTTATTATAGCATAAAATCGTTCCTCCCGGTGAGGATAACACATATGGTAATTATCTGAAACTGGTGAGCGGAAACCAGTTCAACATTCCTGCGCCGTATTTCATCGCTAAACTTAGGAACTCGAACCTCGAAATGGTCATCTTCCATCTGGAGATTGCGACTGGCCATACGGTACCCGAGATCTTAAAGAGATTCCAAACTCTAGAACCTGTCGTTAGAGTCATAGATCCCTTACTGGTCTCCGCTCTTTTTTATCAGCATTATATTTATATTACCTTAGCCGAACATGGATGTGGATATAAATGGAAAACGGACCAAATATTAAAGTTCAATGTGCATGACAAAGTTCTGGAAACGATGAATGTAAGTTTTATCCAACCGATGCTTACATTACAGGTTGCCAACGAGCCCTTTGTCTTGGCCCTTCCTCGGACCGACTTTTTCTATTCAGTAACTGATCAGTGGTATCATTTTGGATCAGGAGCGAAGGGTCCGAATGGAAAACATCCTGTGTTTGTCCTAAAGGAACTAAGTAGACACCCCACATGGGTACAATACGAATTAGATGTCGATGATGTGGGATATAATGACCACTTTTTAACCACGGATACTTCAACTATCGTTACTTTAGTAAAAAAAAACTCGGTGTATCAATTTGATGTCAACAGTTTGCATTTTTAAATGTGTATAAACTATACGTGAAGTACAGGGTGGCGCATTTTTGTGGTTCGATTTTAATTGGCTATAACTTCTTTAACTTTTCGCCCGGAGTTGGACGATTGGGGAAAAAGACGATTGGGGAAAGGGACGATTGGGGAAAAAGACGATTGGGGAAAAGTACGATTGGGGAAACCGAAAAGTATTATTTTTCTTCGATGCAAATGTCGAAATTAGGATAATCGAGGGTGCTCATTTCGAAAATGACATTCATTTTTTTGATTATTACTTTTTTTCTCAAGTAGTACTGTAAAGTAGTAATTTTTGATTTTTTTTCATAAATACTCGATTTAGGGGTTTTCGAAGGTGCTGATTTCGAAAATCATGTTAATTTTTTCTGAACGTTAATAGTTTTCCTTAAGTAGTAGTGTTAAAAAGTAACTTTTTGAAATTTTTCTAAAAATACTGGATATAGGGGTTTTCGAGGGTCTTGATTTCGAAAATCGTGTTCATTTTTTCTAGTTGTTACTTTTTTCTTAAGTAGTACTGTTAAGTAGTAATTTTTTGAAAATTTTCCAAAAATACCGGATTTAGGGGTTTTCGAAGGTGCTGGTCTCGAAAATCATGTTAACTTTTCCTCTAGTACGAATTAGTACTATCTGATACTATGTAGTACCAGCACCTTCGAAAACCCCTAAATCCGGTATCTTTGGAAAATTTTCAAAAAATTACTACTTAACAATACTACTTAAGAAAAAAGCGACAACTAGAAAAAATGAAGGGGCTTCGGTAGTTGAGCCCCCCACGAAAGGTAGTTCAAACCCCCACTGTTTTGCCCGTTTCACACCCCACATAATGAACAAATTAGAATAATACAAAAAATGTAAGTGGGGGTTTGATCTACTACGTTGGGGGTTTGATCTAAAACGTAGGGGGCTTGACCTAAAACGTAGGGGGCTGTATCTAAAACGTATGGGGCTTGATCTAAAACGTAGGGGGCTTATGCTGGACCATACAACTTGGATTAATTCTTTGAAATAAATTTTGGGGTTTAGAATGGACGAGGGGGTTTGTATTGGGTCATGGGGGGCTAAACTGGACTGGGGGGCTGTACTACCTTAGCCCCAAAATGAATCTGATTTTCGAAATCAGCACCCTCGAAAACCCCTATATCCAGTATTTTTAGAAAAATTTCAAAAAGTTACTTTTTAACACTACTACTTAAGGAAAACTGGTAAAGTTCAGAAAAAAGGAACATGATTTTCGAAGTCAGCACCCTCGAAAACCCCTAAATCGAGTATTTATGAAAAAAAATCTAAAATTACTATTTTACAGTACTACTATATTATACTTAAGAAAAAAAGTAATAATCAAAAAAATGAATGTCATTTTTGAAATGAGCACCCTCGGTTATCCTAATTTCGACATTTGCATCGAAGAAAAATAATACTTTTCGGTTTCCCCAATCGTACTTTTCCCCAATCGTCTTTTTCCCCAATCGTCCCTTTCCCCAATCGTCTTTTTCCCCAATCGTCCCAGTTCCCTTTTCGCCAAATGATAAGATTCTTTTTTCCCCTAAACCCCCAGAATTTCCCATTTGTTTGAATCCAAAAAATCCTCCCTTAACTAGGGAAGCGTACAAAATGGCCATCACCAAATGGCAAATGTTATACAACGTTGTAAATCCCGCGTAAAGTAGTATTAAAAGCCACTTTCAATATTTGCAGAATGCCTTTCCGCGACGACATACTGTAAATTGCATTATTTTAAAGCGATTTTGTAGAAAAATCTTTCTTTCTCTTCGGCGAAAAAAATCCTCGCAGTTGGTTGCTTCAATAGTGCAGTGGTTGCTGAGCAGGCTGGTGGGCTAAACCTGGACGGTCCGGCTTCGGGCAAAATCATTTTGCGCTTTTACAGTTATGAAAATGTTTCCGTTAAATTTTTAGAAAAAATTTGATTTTTTGTGGAAACATGACCCATTACGATAGAAATGGGCATGAAAATTTTGGTGCCGAAATTCGGCAAAAAGTGTCAAATTTTCGCCCACTTTCGATGTACAAATCTCGGTTGTTTCTGCAAAGCGCGAGCTAGGATTCTCGCATATATTTTAGAAAAAATTATTCTAAATTTGTGCCAAGTTTCATCAAAATCTGAGCGTCGCACTTGGGGTGCTTCCCCTAGGGCCGGCCCTGTTAGTCAAATTTTCCTTTTGAACCTCCGCTCTTACCCTGGGTTCCAACACGAAAACGAAGATTACGGTCGCCATCGTTTTCACTCCTTTATTTTATTTCTCTTCTATTTCCACTGGATTTTGACGGAGTTCGAGTTTTTGTCGCGTTTTCCAATTTTATTGTAAATTATTGTTTTTTCAGCGAAAATGCAAATTTTCGTGAAAACCCTCACGGGTAAAACTATTACCTTGGAGGTAGAGCCAAGCGATACCATTGACAATGTCAAGAACAAGATCCAAGACAAGGAAGGAATTCCTCCAGATCAGCAACGTCTGATCTTCGCAGGTATGTTCAACTTTTATGTTTTGATTCGGGTTTAGAATGGAGTACCTTTTCGAAATGGATTTGTAATTTTTTGCTGTGCCGTTTTTTATTAAGATTGCTCTGGAGATCAGGAACTTTTCTTCCTTTTAACGACTTTAATTCTAGGAAAGCAACTCGAGGATGGTCGCACCCTGTCCGATTACAACATCCAGAAGGAGTCCACTCTCCATCTGGTGCTCCGTCTTCGTGGTGGTATTATCGAACCATCTTTGAGAATGTTGGCCCAGAAGTACAACTGCGACAAACAAATCTGCCGCAAATGTTATGCTCGTCTCCCTCCCCGTGCTACCAACTGCAGAAAGCAGAAGTGCGGCCACTCCAACGACCTCCGCCCCAAGAAGAAGCTGAAGTAAATGTTTTGTTGTTTCGATCCCCGTTTGGATCACATTTTTTTGTTGATTAAATTTACTTTTATCGCTGTCGGAGGTTTCATCAGTTTTTTGTCTTTCAAGGTCAAGTCTAATATCTGTCTCGTTTTGTCTTATTTCCGGCTAACTACTACTGATTTTTTAGTATTCTGGATTTGACAATTATTCAATGATTAGGGATGAAGACTAGACGGAGTTCTCAGGGAAGTTTGGATGTTTTTATAACGAAGTCGTGTTCTCAATACGCAATTTGAAAACATTACTAGCGAATTTCTCGTTTTAATGGAAATTGGCTATTGGAAATTTCTGCCAGCCCAACTTCCTTGAAGCCAATTTTCGATAGGTTTAGTTAACTGTTAGATTTCCTTGTGTTCGTACAAGGTATATGCATGTGGCCATCTGCGGCAAACCCGAGGAAAAAATAAAACGAGGTCGGTGCATGGCTTTCCGCACAATTTTCTAATTCCTCGCTGCCGGATTATTGGCGAATTAAAAGGAATCTTTTAATATTACACTCTAAATAAGGCGAGAGAAACCTTTTTGAAAGAACGCTTTTCTTGGCTTAACGTTTCAGCAAACTGTTATCAAAAGGCGCGCTTTTGCTGCTTACTCCAGTATTATGGATGAAGACAGTAAAATAAAAAACGAATTGGCCGGTGATCTTACTGGGTTATTCTTTAAGGCTGCTGAAAATCTTGGGTTGAATCAGATGTCAAAGGAGGTGCGTTTGTCTGAGAATTGTTTATTCATATGTTTAGACTACTAATGAAGTGGATAAGGAAGATGAAAGCGAGGCCGAAGATGAGGGCGACATTTTTGAGGTGGACTATCTGATGGACACCAAGGTCAAGAAAGGGATCCGGTATTTTCACGTATGTGATTTTGAATATTCAAATTGATTGGGTATAATCATTTTTATTACTGCTAAAATTTCAACGAAATGTTGCCGTTAATATGTTTTATTCATCTACAGGGTGGGCCACTCGAAGGTGACAGCTTTTTTTGGGTTTTTCGCGGAGACTCTGCCAAATTTACTAAATCCGGCATTGAGGACGTTGAGGCTTGGAGCCCATTAATCAGACTGCTAAAAAAACTTTTTTTCCAAAATTTTGGTAGGGCATAGAAAGGTCATTTTATTTTTTCGAAATTAAACTGGTTGAAAATGGCGGATCTCAGTTCCGAAAAATCTAAATTTAAAAAAATCGGCGGAGTCTCCACGGAGGAATCCAAAGAAAGGCGACGTCAGGTTCTAGTGGCCCACCCAGTGTGTTTTATCGAGAACTCACTGCTTATATTTGAATTTTAATATTTGTTAACCAGGAACAAATATATTGTATTGTAGGTGCGATGGAAAGGATACGATGAATCTGAAGACTCTTGGGAACCCGAAGAGAATCTTGAGGGTGCGAAAGATATTGTCGCCAATTTTATGATAGACTATAACTCGAAGAAAGGTAAACCGAAAGCAAGAGGTTCTGCTACTCGTCCTCCACCAAAGAAAAGAGGACGACCTTCCAAATCCGAGGCTTCTGATCCAGAACCGGAAGAGAAAGAAGATGAGAAGGAAGATGAAAGAGATGATGACTATGACGGTGGAAGAACCCCGAGAAAGTAAGTTCTTTTTCCTTGTAATTTTTTTGGGTATGATTTAATTGAAAGTAATAAAATTAATTCCAGAACCAAAGTGGGCCATCCTCCAAAAACCGACACTGCGAATGCGTTTTCCAAGTCTTCATTGGTGTGTGCGGTTTTGTAGTTGCGGAACTTACGTTTTTTGCCAATTTAGTCGTAGTATTTTCGTATCTCGATAAATTGTGTTAAAATTAAGGCTGTGTGTTTTAATAAGCGACTGATTCTTTGTTTTTAGGCAAATTGTATTAAAAGAAAGGCTACGACGAGTCATCTTCGTTGGTTGGACTCCGACTCTGATGATTCTGACGACGATAAGTCTCAGTCAGCGAAGGAAGCATCCAAGCCAGATGGTCCAACGTCTACTAAGTCTTTGTCCGCCCTTCCGGAAAGTAAATCCTTGGTGAAACTTCCAAATCTTTCCCTTCCATCGACATCTCTGCAGGCGGCTGAGTCGACCGCTGATACCTCTCCTCCTTCCAGTCAAAAATCGAAGAAGAAAAAGAAGAAGGTAAGGTTGTGAACACAATATTTATTGATTCATAAATGGGCAAGGTAGATATATACATTTTAGAACAAGAAGCATAAGGAGCGTGACCGTTCCCGCTCCAGATCTCGATCTTCTGAACCGCCTAACCAACCATCAACGACCTCAAATTTTGTTTCTCAACCTGGTCAGCCGTGGTTTTTTTAAAATTCTTGTTTTATTTATAGTTAACGAAAAATTTCTAGGTACTTCTCTCACATTTTTGGGCGGATTTTTGTCCGAGGATTCTTCCGATATTAAATTTGTTGCCAAGAATCCGAGTAACCAACAGCTGATTCTCACTTTAAATGGTAAGACATCCTCCTTAGAAAATGTATTCAAAATTTAGATGCATTCCAATCTGATGGCTTAGCCCTTTGCCAGTTCTTGGCCTCCAAGGTCGAGTTCCAGCCCCAAGGCCAGCTCAAGGTCAAACTGAACAAAATGAATGGCGTCTGATATATTAAAATTAATATAATAATGCACTGTTTTGGAACGTTACATGTTTTTACTTTGTTGAATGTAATTTGAACAGCGTTTTTTAATGTCCCTAATATTTTATCTTCACGTTTTACAATCTCTTGATGGACTAGAATAAAGGCTGTTCCGAGTTTGTTTCGAAGAAATGAACAGCGTCTGGGTGTCGCTGATAAGTGCAACGGTCGAAAAAAAAGAAATGTCTGGTGTCTCCGCCTTGCCCGCTCTTTCTCCGCACGTTTTTAAATGAAGAAAAAGAAAAATTGACTGTAACCCATTTCATTCAAAGTCGGGCCGTTCCCTAAAAAGATTGCGACCAAATTTTGTTCTCAAGGTTTCTTCCCTAAAATCTAATTATTTAATAATCTAAGCACGTCTTTAGCACCCAAGGCCTGAAACGGTGCCAAATTCAGATCAAATGCAAGGTAATTTGCGACTGTTTTCAGGCCTTTGGTGGCATAATTCGTTGCGAGGTAAGGGAGTTTGAGGACTTACAGTATTCCGTTGTTCGCATGCATGTAAACCGGGAAGTTTGTGTGATTTTGGGCAAAGTTTGGTATTATCAAACTGCATGTTTTTCCCGTGGGCATATAAGTTAAAATTATTATTGGAATTCTCCGATCTCATTTATTTTGTCCTGCCGTATCAGGGTTTTGGATTACAATCTTGACAAAAGTCGTCTTAGGCTACAATTTTAAGCTTTAATTAAAAGAAGGCCATAAGCGCCGTCTCAAATAAAGTCGCGCCCTAAAGTCCGTAGAATTTTTTCGGCGACATCGCAGGGTGCACTCGCAGGAAAGTGCATGTCGCAGCGCAAAAACGGAAAGTCGTTTATGAATGACGGCTGGTTCCAAAGTTTTCATAAACATGGTAGCAGCGCACTATGCGACAAAAAATATAGCTCAAAAATCTTTCTCTGGTATATAATGTACATAGCACGTCAATCCAACGCATTTCCTCACCCGTTTGTAAGTTTGCACATTTTAGAACGTTAGTTACTGATCCGGCTAACCAATCGAAAACACATTTCGGCAATTGGGGTCAGAAGCAAGTCGGGTCGACCCCGTTTATTATTATAAGGTCGCCGTAAGCTTGGCGGAGTCTTGCCGTGCTGACGATCCTTGTAAAGCAAATTTCTATCATTTAAGGCACAAGATACCTCTAAGAGGGTATAGTAGTCTCTTTTGGGTACTGCGAAAAGATTTCCTTTGGGGCAAATCGGGTACTGATAATCAAATATTCATCGCCGAGCACAAGTACTAGTCGCAACATAAAGTCCTTATTCATTTTTCTCATTTGAGATCAGCCCCATCGAAACCTCCTAAATCGATTATTTGTGAAAAAAGTTCAGAAAGTTACTACTTTACAGTACTAGTCAAGAAAAACGTAACGATCAGAAAAAATGAATGTCATTTTCGAAGTCAGCACCATCGGAAACCCCCGAATCGAGTGTTTGTGACAAAAAATCGAAAAATTACTGCTTTACAGTACTACTTAAGAAAAAAGAAACACTCAAACAATTAATATGAATTTTGAAATAAACGCGATCGATTACACTGCATTCGAAACTTACATGCAAGAAAAATAATATTTTTAAGTTTCCCCAACTGTAGTATACACTCCATTTCAAAATGATAGACACGCCTATAAAATCTGCAATTGCGGCGTCGACGTGCAGTTGACGGATACGAAACCTTTACAGATTGAAAGAGGAGGTTCGAAAACCTATACCAAAAAATAATCTTTTTTATTGCACTGCAATTGCACTTTGCACAAAAGATTTTCCAAATTTTGGGTGTTTCAAAAAGATAGACACGGTTGCTATTTTTGCTAAAAACTTGCGAGTATGGGCCCCATAGGGCCTGAAATTATTAGTATGACTGTATTGCAACTGTCTGGACTTTATTGAGTTCAAAACGCCCGAATTTTTGTGCAATTTTCCCGGTATTGCACACATACTTCCGTTTTGTGCAATCTGGCCTGCATCTTTCAGAAGTCCACTTTCTATGGGCACAGACAGTGCAGATGCGACCTATCGTGTGTTATGGACTAGATCCAGTCAGTTTTCACTGGTATGCAACAAATAAATGCGTGGAAATTGCAAAGAAAACTGATTTCGCAACGATAGTCGTCACTTTTAAAGCTCCTCAAGCGGGTGCCTGTGGTTTTCACAACCCAAAAAGCTCCGAACTATCTTGGCGATCAGCAAACAAACGTTATTAAGTAAGCCTTGTGTCCAGGCTCCGTCGGGCCAACGCCAGAAAAGGTGAAGGTTCCAAAAAACCCTTTTTGACCGATTTTTAAGCCTATTTCGCATAGTTTCGCAAAAGTTTTGTGCACTGCGGACCCGCTAAAGCAGAGCTGCATATGCTACAGACTTAAACGTTTTTACGAGAACCTAAACATTGCACTCATGAAGTTTTTCTTCCCATCTAGCTTGTTTCGATACGTAGGGCAGCCTTCAAAGCTGACCATGTAGCAGCCGAATCAGTTTTCGTTGCAATTTCCACGCATTAATTTGTTGCATACCAGTGAAAACTGACTGGATCTAGTCCATAACACACGATAGGTCGCATCTGCACTGTCTGTGCCCATAGAAAGTGGACTTCTGAAAGACGCAGGCCAGATTGCACAAAACGGAAGTATGTGTGCAATACCGGGAAAATTGCACAAAAATTCGGGCGTTTTGAACTCAATAAAGTCCAGACAGTTGCAATACAGTCATACTAATAATTTCAGGCCCTATGGGGCCCATACTCGCAAGTTTTTAGCAAAAATAGCAACCGTGTCTATCTTTTTGAAACACCCAAAATTTGGAAAATCTTTTGTGCAAAGTGCAATTGCAGTGCAATAAAAAAGATTATTTTTTGGTATAGGTTTTCGAACCTCCTCTTTCAATCTGTAAAGGTCTTGTATCCGTCAACTGCACGTAGACGCCGCAATTGCAGATTTTATAGGCGTGTCTATCATTTTGAAATGGAGTGTATTTCTCCAGTTGACGATGCACAACGATCAGAAAAATTTTTTACTTTAAATGGGGAATCTGATCAGGGAGTTTTGTTAAGACTTAATCAAGGATCAAAAATGCCAAATCTTATCAAAATCGGTCTACGGCAAAAAAAGTAGTAGCGATATTACAATTGAAGGTCAAGACCTACAAATAAACTGTTGTACGTCCTAGCAACTTTGCTGATCATTTATTTGTACCGATTTGGTCATAAAATAGCTTTTTCTACGATTACACATATCTGAAATTTCAATTTGGCGTTCGGACTGATATTAACCATGTTATACATGACAAAATTAAAGTCAATTTTTTTTACGGATTTGACCCAATTATTCTATAAAATAGGTAAACAAGAGCCACAGTTGACGAAACTCTCTCTCTTCCCTTCTCTAAAGACCCCAAACCTCATTCTTGACAAGTCCAGATCTGCGCATCTTCTCCTCCAAGAATTCCACGATCGAGGTTAGTAAAATCTCTCTATTTTCTCCCGTTTCATAACTAATATAGTTATAAAACTGCTCACACGTTCCATTACCTTGGAGTCCTGCTGAGGCGCTTCCTCGGCAGGATATTGATCTTGATCATGGATAACATAATTTTTCCATCTAAAAGTACTTTACTACTTTTTGGGTTGTCAAGACGAGCTTATTCTGGCATTACCTTCGAGGTTTGATGGGCCTGGGCATTTTAACCACTAAAAAAATAAAAAACAATGAATTGATGGTGCCTATTTTGAAGTATTTTTGCTACTGCTGCAAAACTTGTAGACCGATTTTGCTGAAACTTAGCCCGCACGCAGAGAAAGACATGCTGAACAATCCTCCCTGATCAGATTTGTCAAAAAAAGTACTTTACACTCTAGAAGAGACAAAACTTTTGCAAAAACGGGCATATTTTCGGCCAGTTTTACCATAAAACCATAAGTTTGTTATCTAAAAAAATCGAACTATAATAAACTGAAACGGATTACCTTTCATATGATATAATAAACTTACAAGGGAAGTACTTGAAGTGTGACGCTCAGATTTTGATGAAACTTGGCACAAATTTAGAATAATTTTTTCTAAGATACATGCGGGAATCCTAGCTCGCGCTTTGCAGAAACAACCGAGATTTTTAGATCGAAAGTCGGCGAAAATTTGGGACTTTTTGCCGAATTTCGGCACGAAAAGTTTCATGCCTATTTCAACCGTAAAGAATAATGTTTCTACAAAAAATCAAATTTTTCCGCACGAAACTGCCAAAGTTATGGCCAAAAAGCGGTTTTCTCTCTGACCGCTCTCCACGTTGAGCGTGCTCTCTCGGCGGCAAAAATCGTTCAATATCTCGGCGGCGCCCGCAAAGCGCGAGCTAAAACTTTCAGGAATTGATATTTAGTCCATACCCGATGTGTGTGCAAAATTTAAAGAAAATCTGAGCGTCACACTTGAAGTACTTCCCCTGTTAATAAAATTATGGCCCTTTGATGGCGTATGAGCCTGATTTATCCGACCTGTCTTAAAAAAATTGAGAAAATTAATGCCAAAATTCTTGGCATTCTGTTTCTGTTCGTTGTGCGATGTTCCGGCCGGAACCTCCAAAATATTATACAGTAGTTGACAGCGAATTGTCAATTTTTTTATTTCGTGTGTAACTTCACTCAGACTCAACAGAATTTGATGAGACTAAGAGCGTTTAAGAGGCTGGGAGACACGCTTTAACCTTATGAAATTGTTTTATTTCATATCGGCCACAGACGTGGTAAAAATTTTAAAACAAATTTTTTTGGGGGACAACGAATTGTCAATTTTTACATTTTGAGGCATAAGATCTCAATAAACCAGCATATAAGGACTAGAATGGAGAGTAATCAGTTGCCAGCAATCATAGAACAGCATACAACGGGTTTCAGCCATTAGTATAATCTCCTTCGCTTTCTATAGGTCGGGCACTTGGGGGTGGACCATGTACAATATAATGTCAGCCTGGGGGCTTC